GGAAAAAAAAAGTAGATAGAGAACCAAAATGAAATTTTTATTTCCCAGATAGGCGATCATCAAAAAAAAAAAAAAATTGCTACACTATCAATTTCCTATTATGATGATATTTTAATCGTCAGTGAGAACACGAAGCACAGTTCCTTTCCCTTTTGTTCTTCCTTCACGGAATATCTATAGATATAAAAAGGTTAGGAATTCAAAAAAAAAAGATACGTTTTCTTTATTATAATTCATCTTTACCAGTTTTGAACCTTCACATAAATATTCAGGATGGCGAACAAATTCGAATTGCTAAGAGTAAATAAAAAAAGGTTAAAAGAATGATACCCCTTTTTTTTTATTAATTTTATATTGTTTATTACCACAACTGCTTTATCACCGGTTCGAAGTACTCTGTTTTCCAAATTGATAATACTTGCTGTTTGTCGTACAGAACCACAATGGACCATGGCTTGATATTTTTGCTTAATAGTTGTTGAATGATATAATATACGTATTTCCGCTTCAAATCGTCTAGACACTTTGGGTATGGGTTTATCCTTGTCGTACGCCAATAAGACCATACCTTTTCGAATCATTTTCCTTCGTACATTTTTTAATGCAAATGTCACACTTTGTCCTGCCTTGGCCACTGGTACTGCTACTCGTTTTCGATGTATTCCTTTGATCGTTGTCACCATAAATTGTCCAGAATGATCCGGCCCAAATAATACCTTATCCCCAACATGAATGATGCCAGTCTTGATAATACCACTGACCACTGTTCCAACAAAAGGGACTGAATATGTTTCGTTGACTTCATAATGAAATGATTCTGTAGTATCGTATTTCGTCATGGATGGTAGAATGTTAAGGTAATTTCGTAATAAATCCAAACCTTCACCTGTCACATTACTGATTTGAAATATAGGACATAAACGAGCACTAACAAAATGTTGCTATATATAAATGAAAATAAATAAAAACGATCAATTCTATTTAATCTATCTTTTTTTTTTTTTTTTGATCTTACCGCACTATTGACCACATCATCATTTGTTTTCACCAGTAAAGGGAATTTTTGACAAGATTTTGATTTCAATATAGATCGTAGATTCTTGATAGTATCAGCCAATATATTAGGAGGAGTGCGATCAATTTTGGTGACTACGACAAATAAAGGTATACCAAGAGACAAAGCCAATCCCAAATGTTCTTTTGCCATTCCGATCACACCTGCATTACCACCAACCATCAACATGACAAAATCTGGAAAATTGCCTGTCATACCAAACACCGTTGTCTTTATCACCCAAAGTAAAAAAAAAAGTCTATTAGTATTCAATCTCTTTAGTATGATCTTTTTTTTTATTACCTTCAAATATTTTTCATGTCCTGCAAGATCAACAAAACTAAGTAATTTTGAGGCTTTTGTGCAAACTTCTTCCCAAGTCAATTTCCGTCCAGTATTTCCAGGATGTACAATTGTATTTGATTTCGAATCGAATCCCAAGATCTCACCACCAACACTTGATGTTCGCCCTGATTCTATTTCATGTGGATGTCTATTTTTCCAGAAATAAGAAAAAAAAAAAAAGAAAAAAAAAAGTCATCATCACACTGTCATGACAAGCTCTATCTTCTTCTTTTTTTTTTTTTTTTTTTTTTTTTTTTTTTTTTTTTTTTTTACCTAAACAAATTCACACGTGCCTTCCCTCGTCCATCATCCAAGATTCCTTTGGTCAAAACACCTAATAAAGTTGATTTACCAGCATCCTAAACAAATAAATAAATAAAAAAAAAGGGATCATTTTAATATCATGGTCTAATCAAACCCGTCTTTTTTTTTTTTAATTTATTTACCACATTCCCAACCACAGCAACACGAATTTCAAGGAGATCTTCCACTGATGTTGGCTTTTTTCGAATCATCAGGTGGCCACATTTATTATCTTTCTTTTTATCGTTTTGCTTGTCATCCGTGGTCACCAAAGTGTCGATATCTATATAATCAGCCTGTAATTCTTTCGCTATACTATCCATTGTCCGTAAACATGTATCATATTCTTCTTTCGTCAACTGCATAGGAGTACCATCGTCTGTCAATAATATATTTATATATAAGTATAGATAAAAGAAATCCATTTTCAATTTTATTTACCTTCGTGACCTAGTTCAAATAGAGTTTCTCCACCACCATCAGTGATTCGTTTTGCCAAAGTCTGTCGCAAGAATGCAAAGTCATCTGCTGTACTCTCCAGTAAACGAGTCTTCAAAAAAAAAAATCAATGTATATAATATTATAATGTAAACTTATATTAATCTTTTTTTTTTTTATGGATCTTACTTTAAGAGAACGTTGTTTAACAAAGTCAAAATCTTCATCGTCAGAAATGTCGTTTTGGTCGGGACTATTTTGTGTTGGCGATAAGGAAACAGAGGCAAGACGATCTTCAAGTTTGCTAGTAACTTCCAAGTTTTGTTCGTCTTTTACCGTCATTTATTTAATGTATTTAAGTATAAGAAGAAGAAAAAGAAGAATATGAAATAGATTAAAAAGTGAGTTGAAAAAAAAAAAAGAGGAAAAAGTGGGATAAAGAGAGAAAAAAAAAACGATTTCTTATGTCTTATGCCATTTGCTGAGATTGAAAATAGAAGCTCACGTTGATAGATTATTACTGCGAAATATGATCCAATGGTGAGTCATCCATGATGACTTTTATTGACATTCAAGAGGTAGTATTAGGGGTAATATAAAGGGGTTGGGGTAATATATACAGATATGAATACTGCGGTAGTTTAAGAAATTGAATTAAAAAAAAAAAAGACAGGGTCCAGTTGAACATTCAATCATGCGAAATAGAATGTAAGCATAAAACTCTTTCTTTTTTTTTTTTGTAGGTGTAGAATCGATTTCTTTTTATTTTTATTTTTTTATTTTTTTATTTTTTTACAGAAATCTTGATTCTGTATTAGATTTCTATTTTTAAAAAATGCTGCATGTAAGAAAGTATCTTTTACAAAAGAGAGTAGTATTATCGTGGGAAAGACGATGTTCTTTTGTGTAACTAGTAGTTAGAAGAGCCTCTTTAATGAATAATAATAATAGAAATTTAGTATAGAAAAACACTGAATTTTAACTGTATCTGGTAAAAATAAATGATCAAGATGATTTCTATCAGCGACAGGGTCCATATAAGAAAAATAAAAGCACCGATGTACACAAAAATGAATGAATTGTTAGTATGTTGATATATACAAGTATACATATAATCTTGTTTATATATTCAATTAAACCAAGATGAATCATTATTAAGAATGAATGAATCTTTCTTTATATGATTGATATAACATAATAACTCTTTGATTCTTTAGAATATTAAACTATGTAAAGGAAATTTTTATATAGTCACAGACATCTCCGAAAAAGTTTAAAAAAGAAAAGTTTTTTCCTTTTTCTATTCTTTCTTTCCTTTTTCTTATTCTTTTTTTTTTTTTTTGTAACATGGTCCTTCCTCAATTGAATATTATTGATACCAAGAATAACTTGACTGAAGTGTTGAATATCAATACAACCAACTATGATAGTTTAGTCATTCTCTTTTCCGAAAAGTCTAAGCTCCCCAAAGTGATACCTAGTCTTCAACATTATTTAGAACTTGATCAATCCTTTGGTAAAACTATTCAAGTCATTTGTCCTCAAGATCAAAAACCATTCTCTCGTTTACTTCTTGTTCCTACTGGTTCTATTTCTTCTGATATTGATGATGCTCGTCGTTTCAAAGGTAAAAACCAAATATATATATATATTATATTTATTCATCGCCTTTTTTTTTTTTTTTTTTTTTTTTTTTTTTTTTTTTTTATACATAAAACTAATAGATGCTGCCTTTGAAGGTGGTAAACGTGCATTGGAAGCTGGTTTTGTCAAGCCTTTAATCTGTTTTGCTGATCCTCCTACACCAGAATCTCAACCTTCTTTAAATTGGACTTTTGATGAACAAACCAATGATTATCAACATTATTTAGAAGTCACTATGCTTGGTTTCTTGGAAGCCGCTTATGAACCTATCGATGTCCGTGATTATCATGCAAAGAAAAACACGTCTATCAAGAACTTTGAACAATTAGGTTTTGTTGTCGATTCTTTACAACAAGATACCATTACTTTGATTCAAAAGGTAGAAGCTATTGAACAAGGTCGCCGTGTTGCCAAAGGTAAAGTACCAATCATCTACATACATAGATATAGATATATATATAGATATAATGGGACTCATAATATGATGATGTATTAGATATTGGTTCTCCTGATCCTGAACAAATGTCACCCATTCAAATTGTCAAGTACTTGGAATCTACTTTCAAAAATGCCAATAATATCAAGATGACTGTGATTGATGATATCGATACTATTAAAAAGGAATATCCTTTGGCACATGCTGTCTCTCGTGCCAGTTTAGTAGGTAATCATTAAATTATACAAGAAGTTGAACATTATATACAAATGTGAACTAATTCTTTTCTTTTAATAGTACCAAGACACCATCCTCGCTTTGTACACTTTGAATACAAGTCCTCTGATCAATCAAATGTCAAGGAAAAGTAAGTCTTTATAAAAATATATATTTTTTAGAAAAAAAAAAAAAGCCAATCATTTTTTTTATGACTTTCATAGTCTTTACTTTGTGGGAAAGGGAGTGACTTATGATACCGGAGGCGCTGATATCAAGTGCAGTGGACATATGAGAGGTAAATCATGAAGAAAGAATCAGGTGTATGACAACGTATTCAATGATAATGATGATATTTTTATTCTTAAATAGGCATGTCCCGTGACAAATGTGGTGCTGCTGCTGTGGCTGGTTTATTCAAGACGATTGAACTCTTGCAACCTAAAGGAGTAAATGTTACTGCTGGTTTAGCTCTCGTTCGTAATTCCATTGGCCCTGATGCTTATGTGAGTGATGAAATCATTTGCTCCCGAAATGGAAACCGAGGTATTAAAAATAAAAAAAAAAAAAAGAGAGAGAGGAAGGGACAATGTTCATTTTTTTTCTTATTTTTATTTTTATTTTATTTTATATTTCTTTACTAGTTTTGGTTGGCAACACTGATGCTGAAGGTCGTATGGTGATGACGGATTTATTATGTGAATTCAAAGAAAAGGCTATTGCTCATGCTAAATCTCAAGAACCTTCTGGCAATAAACCATCTCTTTTATTCACTGTGGCGACATTGACTGGTCATGCTTTGCGCGCTTATGGTGGTTATGGTATTACTATGGATAATGGTTATGCACGAAAGAATCGAGTCAGTCGACGTATCTATGATGCTGGACATATTTTGGCAGATCCTTTTGAAATCTCTACTTTACGACGTGAGGACGTGGATGTAGTACAACCTGGACGATCAAGTGAAGATGTTGTGCAAGCCAATGACAAAGCAAGTACTATGACAGATCGTGGCCATCAGTACCCTGCCGGTTTCATGCTTATTGCTTCTGGACTTGAAGATCATGGCCTTCGTTCTGATTTACCTATTGGATATTCTCACTTGGATGTAGCTGGTTCTGCAGAAACTATGTCATCTGTTGGTTGGAGTTTGACACGTGTTACTGGTTCTCCTGTTGCTGCTCTGACGGGTGCTTTCCTTTTGTAAACCTTTTTTCCTTCACTTTGTAGCTAGTATGTATATCTCTCTCTCTCTCTCTATCTTGTGATCAATAAATTTGTCAATTTTTTATGCTCGCACTGTATGGATGTGATGAATGCGATGGATGAGATGAATGGATGAATGGATGATATGTGATGGATGGATAGTTTGTTTATTGTGATAAGATGTGTCTTTTTTTTTATATATATTTCATGAACATTCAATATAGGGCTGTCATTAACATTACATCTTATTCAATCATGGTCTTAAAATATCTAACATAGTAATACTTTTTCGCACGTGCTACTGAATAGTTGTACATTTATTCATAAAATCACACCATCTATGAACCTCGTGCACGTACTACTCCGTAAAAAAAAAAAAAAAAAAAAAAAAAAATAGATGATTTTCTTGTACGATGGCCGATCTTTTAAATGGAGGAAAATCCCGAAAGCTGTTTCCCTTTTGTAGTATCCCCTTTTATAAGACATTCATCTCCGCTTTCCCACGCCTTTTTTTTTCACTTTCCTTGGTTACAAAGGTTAGTAAAAAGACATCCTTTGTTTTTAGACTTGAATAGAGATGATAATGAATGAAATGAAAACCAATTGATATTCACCATAGTAAACTAAAAAATAGGATTGATTATCTGTATATTATAGTTCTTCTTGCATTCTCTTTTAATAGTAAATAAATAAAAAAAAGAAAGGTTTCTGGAAAATTCTTGTTTTCGTATTAGTTATTTTTATAGAAAAAGGGGAGGGGAGACATCCTGATTAATTTTGAATCGCCGATTGCATTGGCCAATGTGAAGCTTTCAAAAGGGTGAATGCCAAAATTTTTTTCTTCTTTTTTTTTTTTTTTTTTTTTTTTTTTTTTCTCTTTCGATTTTTTTTTTCTTTTTCTTTTTAAAAGTTCATTGAATTCAATGCCTGTCCCTTTTTTCTCTGGTGGTCGTCAACTATCCATTGAACTTGCAGAACCAGTGGTTATTTTGCGTGGTCATGCAACCGATCCTACTACTGCTGTTGTACGAGGTGAAGTGGAATTGTTGTTATCAAAACCTATATTGGCATCTTCTGTAGTGGTGAAACTAGTTGGTAAATCTCACATGTTATGGCCTGAAGGTACTATTCATATATGATAATAAAAAAAAAATAAAAATAAAAAAATAAAAATAGAAAAATAAAATGGAACTAAATTTTCATTTTATTTATTTATTCAGGACTTGGACCTCGTAACAACAAACTATATCATGAAAAGACTATTCATGAACAAAACATTATATTACAATCCTTCCCTGAAGATAGTGATCGTACATTACCAGCAGGTTTACATCGTTGGCCTTTTGAATTCCTTTTACCTAATCGACTTGTTGAAACTATTGAAGATGAACTTGCCAAAGTATATTATTATGTATCTAGTACTGTTACTCGTATTGGTATGGGTACAGTCAATCTTCGATGTAGGAGACAAATCCTGTTACTACGTGCTCTTTCTTGGTCAGATCAAGCATTGACTTCTCATTCTTTATCCAATCCTTCCATCTTGGTAGAAAGGCGTTTCCCTCAATATGATGCTACTATTTTTATTGAAAAATCAATGGCTTCTTCTGGTACACAGTTTCCTATCACACTTATTTTATCTCCTCACCGAAAACATGTCCACTTGGAAAGTGTTTCTGTCCTCTTGACTGAAAGAAGAGTGTATCAACTTCCTGAATTCGATGCTAGACGTGGTGAAATGCATGATTACAAGCTTCCTCTCAACAGTGCTCAAAACATGGCTGATACCTCTATATCATCTTTTGCTCCTCCCAATGATATTGATTCTGTTAACCTTCGACGTGCTCTTACTACCAAAAACGCCCATATCCCTTTGACTGCCACTCCATTCCAGTATCGATTTGTCTTCACTTTACCCAACTGTATCAATCTCAATCATACAACTACTTACAACGAAATGCATTTTTCTCATTTTTTGAAAATCAACATTGAACTTACTTTTCCTCAAGAACGTGAACAAGATCAAGATAATGACAACACTACGATAACTGTGGAAGATAGTTCTAAAGGTATTTTGCGTACATCGGTTCATCTGGATACACCCATCACCATATTAGATTGTCGACTTAAGGATGATCATGCTACTTTACCTTCCTATGAAGCTGCAAGACATGATTCGACTGTGGATAGTGATGATTTGGATGATCCTACCAAAAGACCTACTGGATTCTTTTTATGCCCCTGCTATTTGGAATACAAAAAGGAATGCAAGCAACTCCCTCGACCTGAATGGATGATGGTTCGACAAAATATCACTACTCCTCCTCCTCCCTATTCAAGTAAATGTTAGTTCCCATTGGTTATATACGTATTTACTTTATACCGTTTATCATTCTTGTTTTATTTGCATACAATTCATTTCATTTTTTTTTCATTACCTTTCCTTCATTATCATCCCAACTTTGTTTTTTTTTTTCCTTTTTTACATTCTCATTATCTTCAATTCATACATCTTTACACTCCTACATACATATTATATTTACTTGATAATAAACACTCTGGCACTGTACTGGAACTTTTTTTAATCAAATATTTGTATCGATGTTATCACTGCCCTATCTTTTATATATATATATATATATATCTTGATAGTTATTGACTGAAGAATAAGGAAGAAAAATGCCACCACTGAAAATTTTGCCATCATCGATGGATGTAAAAAAAAAAAAAGAAACCCTCCAAGCATAAGAGCGATACTGTGGATCAGCGACGGCTTTATGATATATATTCTGCACATCATTTGAGTCATTTATTTTAAGTCATCATTATCATCGTTCACAAAATACTCTTTCATCCGACAACCAAGCATCTACGTCAACACAAAAGGAAAACGCAACATAGATGAATGAATGGTCTTTGGAAAAATCACTTCTCAGTAATATGAATCTCACCAAGAGATCATCAGGATTACCATCAAAGGAAAGATATCGCCATATTATGGTGTTGGTACATGTGACAATCCTGATTGTAAATACATACTCTTTATATATATTATAGTGATCACTCGTCAATTCTTTTTTAAAACGCCGTCCAGTCATATTCATTTTTCATGACGTCCCACATACACGCACATTCAAAATCATTCACTTTTTTTTTTTTTTTTTTTTTGTTATTTGGTAGCCAGTTCAAAGTGGCGGGGGGTCCCTTACGCTTTTTTGTTTTTCCCTCCATTCAAAGTGGGGTCAATTTTTCTTTTTTTCTTTTCTTTTTAACTCTTTCATTTTTAAACTACACTCTCCCCACTCTTCCTTCTTTTTTTTTTAATCATGTTGGCAACTCGTTCCATTCTCAAGACTGTAGCTCAAAGTAAAATATCATCCATTATCAAGATCAAATATTATTTTTTATAATTGTGAATAGTAACATTATTCTTTTCTCTTTGAAATAGATCACACTGCTTCCAAGGTTGTTTTCAAGAACATTGCTGCTGCTCCTATGGGTGTGAGGTTAGAATTAAATAAAGTAGTATGAAAAGATAAGGGAAAAAGAAAAAACTAATTCTTCATTTCTATATAATAGACACTTCAACGTTTCACCTATCAGCAAAGCTCAATCACCTGATGCCGAATCTGAACTCTTACGCCAACAACGTAAAGTACGACCTGTTTCTCCTCACTTGACGATCTATCAACCCCAACTTACCTGGTATATGTCTGGTTTACACAGAGTCACTGGTGCCGCTGTGGGTGGTGGTAAGTTTTTAATAAGAATGAATAGAACAAATGGATAACAATCTTTTTTTTTTATTTCTAATGTTCTTTAATATATATGGGATAGCTTTCTACTTGGCTGCTATGGGTTACCTTGCCGCTCCTTCTCTTGGTATTACTGTTGATACTGCTAGTATGGTCTCTGCTGCTGCCGCTGCCCCTGTTGCTGCTAAGGTCCTCGCTAAGGTTACCGTTGCCACTCCTTTTGTTTTCCACTGCTTGAATGGCATTAGACATTTGGTAAGAAATAATAATAATCATAATAATAATAAACGCTAATACATTTTATGTAATAATAAAATAGGCATGGGATGCCACCAAGTTTCTCAATATCAAGGATGTATACAAGACTGGTTACGCTGTTATCGGTGGAACTGTTGTTGGTACTTTGTATTTAGCTAGTTTATAATCATAGCTTTATGATTCTTTTTATTTTATGTTTGTTACTGAAGAATAAATAAATATATATATATATATATATATATCTATGTTTTTGGAAATATAGATAATCTTTTTTGCGTGTGGTTGTACAAGAACATTGTTTTGAGTGATAAGATGATAAGAAGTGGGGTGATCAATATACAATCAGTTATTAGAAAAAGCAAGTAAGAAAAAGAGAATACTTCCTTACTATAGTGTCTTTTTAGATGATGATGATGATCAATACGACTTCATTAGTATAGATGACCCTGATCACACTGCAGAGAATCGCAATATAATAGCGGAGATTTCATAATGCCTAAAAACAAATATGGACAGAACTGTTTTTTTTCTTTTTTTCTTTTCTTTTTTTTTTTTTTTTTTTGTTGTTGTTGCTCTTTCTCCTTTACTTTTTATTTTATATATACATATAATAATATAGAACAAAAATGTCTTCTTCCTTTCTTCAAATATACCAAACTGCCGATGACCAAGCTCATGATGCAGCAGCTCAAGATCCCTTTCCAGCATATGTTGAAGGTATCGAAGACAACAATTTGGCACCGTTTTGCCCAACATCAGCCACGCGAGTCCTTAAAGCATTATCCATGGGAAAGGTATCAAGTCAAGATCGGTTAGTAGATCTTGGATCAGGTGATGGACGATTTGTAACAGCAGCCGCTTCAGAGTATAGGTGTCAAGCTTTAGGAATAGAAACGGATGAAGAACTGATTTCACAATCAAGACGTTTAGCTGATCAAGTATTTGGTGGAGATCATACTCAACATGGAGTCAAGTTTGAACATGGCGATCTATTGACAACGCTCAAAAAAGCAACTAGTGACACCAAAGAAAAAGAACTACCATGGACAGTGATTGTCCTGTTTTTATTACCTGATCATTCAGATCGATTTGCAGATGATCTCGTGGCTCTTCATAATCGTGGCGCAAGAATTATTAGTTTAGTATTCAATTTGAATGAAATCAAAGGTCTTACTCTTCAACAGGCGGATGATCAAGATGGTATTTACGTATATGGAAAGAACTCATTGTTATAGAATAGATTGATATTATTTTTTTTTCTCTTTTTATTTATTTCTTTACTTAGTTATAAACATTTGTATATTATTCATCATCAATAAATATCTTTTTATATATATATATATATTATATATTCGATATCATAGTAATACTGTAGTATGATTATTATTATTATTTTTTTATTTTTATTTTTATTTTTTGATCTTTGATTGTATGCATCAACGTTATTCTCATATGTTCTACTCGTGGTACACTATCTCAAGAAGGAAAAAAAATAAGCACTTTTATTAAGGCACGCACTCTGAGTTGGGATTTCTTTTTTCTCACTCTTTTTTATCTTTTTCCTTTTTCTTTCCCTTTTTTTTCATTTTTTTTTTTCCTTTTTTTTTTATTATTGTTAACTCTTTTGACTTCTATATACCTGTTTTTATACATAAACTATAAAATATGGTGCATAAAGCTTCAGTAAAAAAGCTTGTAAAACCTTTACGAAAACTCTCCTTTCTATCCACCAATTCGAAAGTGTATGTCAGTAAAGGGTTACCTTTTAAACTCGACTCGGTTATTTACCTTTTCTTTTTTTAATAGGAATCTATCACTAGTCCCGGAAGAAGACGAAGAACAACAACAATATGAATATCAAGAACAAAATGATATTCTTACAAGGTTGCCTTATGAACTTGCGCTTTATATATTTTCTCTTCTTTGCTTTGAAGATCTTGTACGAGTTCAACTGGTAAGAACGAAGAAAAGAAAAAAGAAAAAAAAAAAGGATAGAATAGGAGGCGATTGAATAGATATGGTAGTACAAAGGGAAAAAAAAAAAGGGTAATCAACACTAACTAAACCTCTTCTTCTTATTATTTCTTTTTAGACTTGTAGACTATGGTGTAGAATAGCTCATGATTCTTCTCTCTGGAAAGCACGCTGTTTGGCTATTACTCAACAACATACTGATCTTTCATTTGACGACTTTCAATGTAATGATGAACAAAATGATATTCAACAACGAATACGACAAAGACGAACACGTCTATCTTGGCCAACTAGATATTGTCAACTACAGACTAAACTGAATTGGAAACTGGGCGCTGTACAACAAGTACACTTGATCAACCAACATTGTGGTAGAATATTATCTGTGAAACTCAAAGAAAATATGCTGGCGGCATTATCGGAGGTAAGTACATATATATATTCTATAATAATAATCATCATCGTAATGAATAAAAATTCTAATCTTTATTATGTTTGATAGGATAATATGGTACGACTTTATGAAAATAAACAACATGGTTTCAAATTACGACATACATGGCAATTTGGTGATCCACAACAACAACAGACAAAAGTAGAATGTATTGATCTTTTACCGGAAATCAATATTATGGCGGTGGCGTTGCACGGATCGTAAGTCAATTTTATCTATTATTTGATGATCGTCAAGTGACTGACTATCAATTTATTAAAATGATAGAAAATGCATGTTCTACGATATCTCCAAGAATTCTACCGAACCAATTCAAGTTCTCAAAGGTGGTACACATGCATGGTTTGTACCAGATTCTATCTCCCTTAGTCGTGATTATTTTGCAGTCTCGGGACGAAAACCTTCTGCCGTTTTTGTGTGGAAATGGAGAAAAGGAGTACGATTATCTAATAAGGTATGATAATAAAATTACAGATAAAAAAAAAAATGATTGATCTTTTTTTTTCTATTTATTTATTTAATAGGCATTCGACAATCAACCTCATAGTGTACACATATCTGGCGATCATTTGATTACAGCAAGTGTTGATGGTACTATTCAAGTATTTGATATTTTGGATGAAAAGAACGTCAGAACATTCCGAATTCCTCCTTGTAGTATCCCAAGTCTCGATTACGATGGTGGACTGTGTCTTTCAGTGGCTCCTTTTACAGCAAGAAGTTTATATCAATATGCATGGCAACCTCATCACAAACAAAAAATCACTACTGAGACAATTGATGAACAAACAACAACACCATCACCTTCTTCCTCATCATCCAACTCTTCTTCCTATAACAACAGATTAGAGGAAACAGATGAAGGCAATCCTACACCACAACCATCAACATCAGCACCTCATCCATCACAACAACAACAACAACAACAACAGCATGGTATTAAAAGACGTCTTTCATCACCCTTTGGATTTTTGTCATCAACGAAAAACAAAAGATATAATACTGCTGTTACCATAGCGACAAACGGTGGTATGTTCCAAGAAACGTCTTCATCTCTACCGAGGTTAACAAGAATACGGCGTCATTCTTCTTATAATGATTATGGTTATGCATGTCAAGCGCGGACGGAACAATATATAAAACAAAAAATGGAACAAGGTCTTTTATCGAAAACGCCACCAACACAGCAACCTGATTTCAACCAACCATTGATATTGCAACGGACCATTCGGACAACGCCTTTAGGTTTCACATCCTTGGAAATTGTGAATGTGGCTAGTTACCAAGATCGCATCGGTACAGTGAATCGACACGGAGATATTGCCATTTACAAAAAGGATGGGACAATGGCAGCGAGAGTTCAATATCATGGTGATCACGCATGGATGGAAGATGTTCAATCGGAATTCACAAGGGATGATGATGATTACAGTGATGGATATAATTTTATGAAGTCAAGATTGGCCATTGGTTCTACAGGATTGGTCTATGGTGGACGGAATGGTTCTTTATGGTGGTTGGATTTTGCTGTCAAGCCCAATGTGTAATTTTTTTTTTTTTTTTTACCATTTCATTAGTTAGTTACCCCTTCCTTTTAGAATAGTATTCTTCATTCATTTAATATATCATTTAGTTATACCAATGCTCTTTATCTCACATTATGATACAATAAAGCGTAACATTTTGGAAATCATTTTGGAACACTACTTGAAAAATGTGATACCTTTTTTTTTTGCCGGGAACGATGATAAAAAAAAAAAAAAAAAGAACCAAGTCAATATAGGAAAGTAAATATTGAATGACAGATGATGAGGATGATCTTCTTATCATATAATATTATCGTCTTTGCAAAGATTGTCGTGAATGATGAAGGTGATCATGTGAAGGGTGATAAAGATATCATCCATGCTGAACCAAAATATGGACCTGCCAAAAAAGGAAAGACATTATAAGCAGGAAAAAAAAAAAAAGCAAACTGATAGTGTAGTACATATGTTAACAGGTCCATCTTGAATGATTATTTGTACATGGAACCTTTGCTAGCTGCTGTTTCCGACTTCAAAAAAAAAGGGGTTAAAACCTTATTGGAGTTATGACGCTGTATCAATTGCTGGTGTCAGTACTGTATCATAATCCATCAAAAGAGCAAATCTGACGTTTGATGCAGTAATCTTTCTCTTACTGTATGATGATATTCAAATGTTTTACTGGAGAGGTCTTTTTTTTTTCCTTTGATCAGAATATGATGTTCCATAAGTTTTGTTTATTTGGGTATCCAATAAAGTTCAAAAAAAAAAGTGTAAACTTGGAGCATATAAAATAGATGTAAAAAAGATATGAAGGGCAGACAAAATGAAGAGGGGGGACCTATGACTATTGATGTATACATAAAAAATATTTTTGTTTTGTAAGAATAATGATAATATGTGAGGAATAATAATAATAAAAACAAAGAACAATAACTAAAAAAAAAAAAAAATGTAATTGACGACAACAAGATGAAGGTATCTGACTTCTTGACTGATTCATTCAAATTCTTGAAGATCGGGCATATTACAAGTCAGTACTTCCAAAGCTTTCCAATTATCCACAATGCGTCGAGAGTATTGAAGTTTTTCATGGACATAGTTTTGATAAAGAACAGATACAAAGGCTTGTTGTTTATGTACAAACGTTAGTTCACTAGCCAGACAGAATCGAAGGAATAAAGCTCGGCGTTGTTGGAACGTCAATCGTTCTTGATCCTATAAAAAAAAGGATTATATATATTTTACTTGGATTGTATGTCAACTTACAGTATGGATTGCTTCATCTAATCTTGCAACATCCGCTTCCAGTCCAGGTACTCCACGATGTTGATTGACTTTGGCCTTGTTAGATGCAATTCGATCGGAAAGAGTATCAATTTGGTTCACAGCTAATTTGTTTCGTCTCTCCAGTACATCCTATCAAAAAAAAAAAAAAAAAAAAAAAAGAGAGAGAGAGAAAATAATGAGAAATGAGTGTCCACTCATTCCAACTCACTTGTTTTTTTTTTTTTTTTTTTTTTTTCACCTTGAAAGCCAATAAAGTGTCATGATGTCGTTTCAAATGAACCATGATCCCAGATATAATATCATCAGCTTCTTGATTCAAAATAGATCCAGCTTGTCGCATATACTTGGCCACAGCATCATATCCTCTAGTCATATGTCCACACGCTTGACAACCGGGTATATAACATTGTTTTTCCACCAAACCCATGGCACTAGTAATCAATAATAATAATAATTATTGATCAGAAAATAAACAATAATAATAATAATAATTATTGATCAGAAATGTATACAAATGTTTTATACTTACTTTAAAGTAGAACTATAACGTTCTAATTCCATTGTTTGAGATTGACCAAGTTGAGCCATCTTATTCATCCCATCATATAAACATTGATAATAATCCAGTAATTGAGGAAGGGTTTTTTCAATTTGCTCCAATCGATTGTCCAAATCACGAGGAATGCATGTAGAAATTTCATCAGGATTCAATTGATCGTTAATACGAATAAATTCTTCATCCACCACAGGAGGATTACCACGACGCCACGCAAGGAATTCCTTATTCATCATAAAAAAATGAGTAACAATAACGCATTTATAATAGTTTTACTTACAGATGGTTCGGCGATGAAAGTATTGAAAATAATATCTTTTTTTAAAACAGGATGTCTTGCAATAGAATTGATAAAAATCGAGAGACCTTGTCGTCTTGCTTCCAAAAAGACATCGTCACCTAGATAAGCATAAAATAATAATAGTTATAATCAGTAAATTTCTCTTTTTTTTTTTTTTTTTGTTTTATTCTTGATATTGTTTTTTTCTTTTTTCACTGTACGTCCACTGATTTTCTTGGGTGGCAAATGAGGTACCAATCGACAAGGATATCGCTTCAATAACACTTCCCATAACCAAAAAAAATCACTGTATCGTCGAAGTACCAAGCTTGATCGTTGTTGACTTTCCACAATATAATTCACATGCTTGAAAATAAATCCTTCTTTTTCAGGGGCTACCATGATTTTGATATTATCGAGATTATTAAACCAGTCCGAAGTATCCATCTTGGTAATTGTTTTGGATTCCGTGAATGAATTGGGTGATGTTTCTATGCCTGTGTTGATATTGTTTGTGGTAGTGTTTGTTACTAAGGATTCGAGTGTATCCGCCTTTGATGAAGGATGTATATTGGATGAATCAATGGTAGTAGAGCCGTTGACTTGTATCATTGGTTTGCCATTGGTAGCTGTAGATGGATTTGTTGATTGTATAACAGTTGAGGAAATGCGCCATGGATCATCCACCACAGCATTATTGGTATTGTTGCTGTTGTTGGTGTTTTTATTATTATTTTTGTTATTGTTATTGGTATTGATGTTGTGAATACTGTTTTTTGTTGGTATATCGCCAGAAGATGATCTGTTTCTTTGAATAGTCAATACATCGAGATTTGTTAGTGTAGGAATCGGTAAATCTATTGACATGTGCAAAAACAACAGTAAATCAATATGATGTCATAGTAGTCAAAATATTTTTTTTTTCTTACCATTTCTATGCTGGTAAACGTTCAATAAGGAGAGTTCTAGAATAAAAGTATATGAATAAAATGTAATTTTCTAATTAACCAAAGTACTTACCCATATTCTTCTGAGCACAAGCAGTTAAAGCCAAAGCTGTATTGAATTCGTTACGTGTAACATACAAAGCGTTTGAAGGCACTACCAATGATATGATCTAAAATCGGACAAGTAAGCTATTTTGTAACATGTCTATTTTTTCATTCTACGCCTTGTCACTTACTTCTTCAATGGTCCGGGGGGTCAAACTAGACAAACGTATGATTTTCTCCAAAGAATCCAAAGTAACTCGATCTCCTATAGGATTTGCTCGAATATAAGCTGTATCAAAGATTTCTGCCAAGTCTACACCCACTATTAAAAAAAAAAAAAAATTAAACCAATTCATATCCTTAATTCTTTTCTTTTTTTTTTTTTCTTACCTAAAACACTAGCAGCAGTGATACCTTCTTCGAGAATATCTTCATCCACCGCAGCTGTCGATTGGTTTACTTGAAGATGTTGTCGAATATCGGCCACAGGGTCAAATGTTGCAATACTCCCCCAAGGGTCTTCTTCTTCTTCTACTCCATATTGTGTAGCATAAAGTGGTGATGAAAACTGCATTGAAGTATCCATGAGATATCTTGAAGACGAAGAACTAGGATCTAAGAAACCACTAGAATTCAATACTTCATCTTCGTTTATCATTGTCAAAAGTAGGATATATATGTATGTATATATAAAGGAAGGAATGATATAAAAAAAAGAAAGGAAAAAGGAAAAGAAAAGAAAAGAAAAGGGGAAATGCGGAATCTCGACTTTTTTTTTTTTTTTTTTTTGGTTTCTTGGTCCTTTCGAGCGGAGGTGTTTCTTTTTTGTTATATCTATATGTGTGTGTGTGACGCGGAGACTGCTTCAATGTTCTTAAGCCCAATAAAGTAGACTGTCATCATCATCAATATCTTTATATACAATTACATTCAATAATAGACCCTGATCTTCCATCTATTCGAATCCTCGAAGAATCATCTCCGGTCCCTGATTTTATATGTTCATATCAGGTGTCGGCTAGTGAAATTGCATAACAATCTATGCTAAATACAACAATAGAATGTAATAATAATAATAATAATAAAAAGGAATACTAATAAATCATTGGACTTTTATTTTGATTATATAAAAAAAAAAGAATCATCTACAAAAGATTGACTATCTAATCAAAAAGACCAAAGCCCATGTCCTATAACAAAATATATTATTAGTGATTATAAACAAATTTATATTTTTCATTATTATGACTTACATCATCAGATTCTTCCTTTTCTTCTTCCTTGACTTCTTCAGCAGCTTCAGCGGAAGCACCAGCACCAGCAGCACCAGAAGAGGCAACAGCACCAGCACCACCAGTAGGAACAGAAGCAAGCTTTTCCTTTCCTTCTTCGATGAGTTGAGCAACATCCTTTTCAGAAAGAGCAGCAATCAAGCTGGTAATACGTTCTTCATCGTTTTCAATACCGACAGTGTTCAAAAGGTTTTTGATATCGTCAGCAGAAGGAGAGGTCTTTCCACCAGCATTCAAAAGGAGGTAAGCAGCGAGGAATTTCATGTTGGGTGATCTAAAATAATAATAAATAAGAGTCAGTTTTTTTTTCATCCATCCATCCATCCATCCATCCATCCGTTTCATCATCCATTCATTTTATATATAATTCTAACCTTTGTTTTTTATCGCTTTGCGCAAGTGACGATTTAACTCTTCAAGAGAACAAGACGCTTTTAGCGAAAGAAAAGAAGGTAAAGAAAAAAAAAAAGAAAGAAAAATCCCAAAAACGCCCTCAATGTATAGTTTGCCTTTTTTTTTTGCGGTGGTTGAATGTTGATCGTTGAGATATCAGCCAATGAAAATATCTGCCACGCAAGATAGAAATGATATGGTTCATATTTTTTTCTTCTTCTTTTTCAATACTTTGTATTCTTTCTGTAACTTTCAATAAGGGCTGATGACAGATATACTTGATAATTTGGAACCTAATCAAAAGAATGTATTGGATAAATTTCAAGTAAGAAAGAATATTGAACTTGAAGAACATTTTTTTTTTTTATTAAGTTTCTTTTTTTCTTCCAAAAAAAAAAAAAATGAAATATGGTAGGTGATTACTCAATCCAATGACTTGACGACATCTATTGCTCTACTTGAAAAACAACAGTGGGATCTGGAAGTAAGTTAATCCTTATCATATTCATCTTTTTTTTTTTTTTTTTTTGAGATGTTATGCTCATATTCTTTCCATTCTTCTTCTTTTTTTTTTTTTTTTTTTTTTTAAAAAAAAAAAAATGGTAGAAATCGATACAAATGTTTTATGAATCCACACCAACAAGTGATACCTCACAAGAAGAATCTAAAAGATCATCTTCGACACCTCCTCCTCGACCAAACCAACCATCTATTACTACTTCAGCTACCAGTTCTACTACTGCTTCTATTCCCAATTCTACAAATGCAGCATCATCCTATAGAGGTATTTCTACGACTTCAAGAAGAACCACTCGATCTAGTCTATTGGCTTTATTGATGTGGCCATTTGGTCTTGCTTGGAATCTCACTTGGACAGTATTATCCTTTGCAAGTAAGTAAAAAAAAAAAAAAAAAATAAAAAAAAAATATTTTTTATATATCTTTATAGTTGAACTAACTCTCTCTCTCTCTCCTTAGACAAATTACTATCTAGACGTTCAATCACAGCTAATCAACAATCATCCAACAACACTTCGCGACAGCGCCAAGACCCTCGGTCATTAGCTCATCGATTTTTACGAGAATTTGAAAAGAACTATGGGGAAACTCATGTGGAATTCAGTCAAGAAGGTTATACTCAAACATTGGAACAGGCTCGACGAGAATTGAAATTTTTTTTAGTCATATTACAAAGTGATGAACATGATGATACTGATCATTTTTGTCGGAATACATTGACCAATCAAGATCTCATTCATTTTTTACAATCTAAAGATATTCTTGTATGGGGTGGAAATGTAGGTCAAGTGGAAGGATATCAAGGTAAACTTAATTAAATAGAAAGAAATAATTCTTATCTTTTTTTTTTTTTTTTTAATCTATAGTCAGTTGCACATTACAAGCTACTACCTTCCCATTTATGGCGGTCATTGCATTACATTCTGGTTCCTCTAGCTCAACTCCAAAAATGTCAGTAGTTGATCGTATGGAAGGTCCCATGCCTCCTGCTACTCTTATTCAACGTCTTGAAGCAACCATCCGGCGTCATGGTTCTATTCTAAATCGAATGAAAATGGAACGTGATCAAAGAGATATGGAACGTCGACTACGAGAAGAACAAGATCAAGCTTATCTGGAAAGTTTGAAGGCGGATCAAGAAAAGGTAAAAAAAAAAAAAAAAAAAAAAAAAAAAAAAAAAAAAAAAAAAAAAAAAAATGAAGAAAGATGAAGAAAAAAAAAAGAAAAAAAGAAATTATAATAATGGTAAATAAATGTCATTGAATTAATTTTTTTTTTTTAAAAAAAAAAAAAAAAACTAATAGGAACGTAAAGCACAAGAAGAACGTCAAGCTCAAGCACTTGAAGAAGAAAAACGAAATCAAGCACGTCAAGAACATGAACTATATATCAAGAAGCGTGAACAATATATCCAATCTCTCTGCCATACCATCTCTGAAGAGCCTGGACCAGATTATCAAGGAAAAGTCACCAAATTGAATTTTCGACTTGCTAATGGTGACCGTGTGATACGTCAATTCAAGGAAACAGACACCATCGAGGTAAAAAATCATAAATTGTATATTCACTCCTTTTATTCTCATACTTTTTTTTTCTTCTTCTTTTATTTTTTTTTTTAGACATTATATCAATTCGTAGAAGCCTATCCATTCATTAAAAGCGGTCAAACGAGTCCTGTATCTCCACCTACGGAATATCAACATAAGTATCGTTTTACTATTCATTCACCCTTCCCACGTACTGTATATGATATGGAAAAGGATCGAACTTTATTGAATGTGCCTAGTTTGTGGCCTAGTGCGACCTTGATTGTGGATGCATACGAAGAAGATGATGATGAAGAATAGACCTTTTTATTTTTTTTTAGTATAGTTGGATGGTTTATTTATAGGATAGTTCTTCTTCATCTCATTCTTTCCATTCATTTGGATACTTTTTATTGAATAAAGGAACTATATATATTTTTACAGTGATATCTAAATATGAATGGTTATGAAATTACAAAAGAGATCATGCGCACATGAGATAATGAAAGAAAAAAAAAGTGTTCGACATATATATATATATATCAGCAAAATGTTTTGTTTTCAAAAATATATTTTAGGATTATTTAAAAGTCATATGTATATTTACATTCGAATGAATCATAAAAAGTAAATAAACATGTTTATTGTGATAATATTCAATCAAAAAAATGGATGATACATATAAAACATACGACATAATATATATTAAAACTATACTAAAACAAATCAAATCTACGATATCAACGGGGAATTCACATGAGAATGTTCATCATAATAAGATGATGCACTAAGGATACGATTTTCTATGATTTCAGCAGCATAATCTAACGAAGATGAGGATGGCGGTGGTGGTGATGGACAATGATATTGTTGAGCATTAATAGGATGATGATAATATTGGTGTGGTTGATGAGTAAAGAAGGACGAGGTTGAATAATACGATTGTGAAGGAGACATGAGAGAAAAAGAAGTCTGATGATCAGGAATTCCTGCGATGGAAGAAGAAGAAAATGAGGTCGAAAGAGAAGTCCGAGTAGATGAGCATGAGATACAATTTCCAGCCGCAGTAGTAGAAGCAGTAGTATTGTAAATAGAGTCCATAGCCATGTTATGTCTTGGTAGGAAAGGGAAGTAATCAGCAGCAAACCAATAATTTCCAGAGGTCGATTGAACCACTTTAGTGATATATTGAGCAAGTCGATAGAATTTTGCAAAGTTGATCAGTTTGTCTTCGTCGTCTTCATTTTTGTCAGATTCATCAATAGAAGGATGACATTGGCCATAAGTAGTCGGGTTTCCATCCATCAAGAAAGTCAAATCCTTTAGTACCATGGGAAAGAATAACAAAGTTGGTAAGGAGGTATTGGAGGCAATTGATAAAGGCGAAGATCCAGTAAAGAGATGATGATCTTTTATTGATGATGATGATGATGATGAAAGTCCGCCTGTATCGGTTTGATTAGAAGCTGCTGTATTTCGTCGTTTGTTGTTGAATAAACCAGGATGTAGACCTTCTTTCAAAGCCTGACGATATTGAGCCATGTTATGACTAACATCCATTAACTTTTCTAACGTATTGAATGTAGCTTGATCCCGACTAGGAAGAGATTGCCAAGTTTCTTCCATCTTTTGAACCGGTTGCGATAAAAGACCCATTGTTAATACCATGGATGTATGAAAGTTGTTCCATTCGAGACAAAGCTAATGAAAAAGGAGAGATATATTAAAATCTATTAAATATCATTATTTGTATTCATTACCTTGGAAGTTTCTATCAGTTTTCGTAATATGATTCGTCTTTGTTTGGATGATTTTGCTGATGTCAATTCATGAATAACCCAATGATTCATCTAAAAGAGAAATGAAAAATATATATTTATAGATCAGTCGGATGAAAAAAGAGAATAAAAGATCTTTTTTTTTTTTTTTTTTTTTTACCATATTTGTCCTTTTGGTGGAGATACCAATATAATCGCCTCTGGCCTCCAAAGTAGCAAAAGATAAATCGTCATATTGAGTATCACGCCAGTGTTTGTCTAAATATTGGTGTGGTTTGATCTGTTTCATAATGTGATGATCAGCCAAGGTCAAATATTTTGCAATATCCTTTGCATCTAGTGATAAGAATGGGCTGATGGTAGTATGTTGAAGTTGTCGATAACGAGAAGGATAAGCCAGAATAACAGGTGATCCAGGAGGAGTTGTTCCACCCACATTCGAAAATAAGTTTGTCATGGATGATCCGGCAAGGTTCTGACCTGATGGTACATGGACTGAACAATGAGGACCACGTTCATCACTAAAGCTTGAATTACGATTTGCACAAGCCTTTTTTTTTTTTTTAAAAAAAAAATAATAATAACAATCAATATAGTGCCCTTTCTGTTGACATATAGAATGATTTTTTTTCTTTTTTTTCTTTTTTTTTTTTTTTTTTTTTTTTTTTTTTTTACCTGCGTATACAGAGTTTCCTTGATCATAGCTGATTCGGTCACAAAGTTCGCTTCATGCAGATCGTTATCACAAAAATCTTCAAGCTGTAAAAGTAAGGATTCATCTTGGAGAAAATCGGAATACTGTAACTTGATCCAGCGAAATAATATGTTCAGTGTCCTAATTATCAAAAGAAGAACAAGAATAGATGATTTAGAACGCAAAAGATTCTTTTTTTTTTTTAATACATACTTGATTTGAATTCGACGTTGCCATTGGTCAAAGTAATCCTCGTTACCAGGACTAGGTTCCAAATGAAAGCGTGCCATAATATTATCAAAGAATTCTTTCGAAGTAGAGAAACTCTTATAATTCAATAAATATGCATCCACATAATCAAAGTCTAAAATAAAATAAATAAAAAGAAAAAAAAAGATTAACAATCCATTTTTTTTTATAATATATTTTTACCTTGAGGAGATTCATCTGCTAGTTTCAAAAAGAGTTGTTCTTTGGTTGCTGCTACAACTTGGGGTTTCCCAGCGAATATCTGTAATACCATGATTTTACGTCCCGAGGCATCAAATACGTGATATAGAAGGGATCCATCCTTTTCACGCGATTTTTTGGGCTGGCCGGGTTGATGTAAAGGAGGAGGACCTGACAATTGTTGTATTGCCTTATTCTTCTTATTCGTTGTTATCTTTGAAGTTGCTGTTGTCGTAATGATTGGTGAAGGCGGTGGTTTGTTGTCTTCTACATGATCATTATTATCTAAACTCATTAGTGCTAGAGCTTCCAGTTGGTCATCTTCGAAATCAGAATGTAGTTGTTCTTGTATAGTAGAAGAATTGTCAGAAGAGTATGCAAGATCCAATACAGAGTGAATAGAAGATGATTTTGCTGAAAAATAAGAAGAGTCTGTTGAACAGATAGTAGCCGGTTTGCTGCAAGCTGTTGTACAAGTTGGAACTGATTCTTGTTCTTCTGTTGTAGTGGTATCGCTAAAAAAGTAAGGATCGTCATAGTAATGTTGACAAGGAAACGAAGAAGGAGGAAGAGGAGGAGAAAACGAGGAAGGAGTGGAAGGAGGAGGAGGCGAATCTGTCCTGGTTGCAAAGGGTAAAAAGAGGGACGACTTTTCCCGCTGAATCATGTTGGCTGGCGGTGAAGATATCGCTGAAGTGGAGTGTCGACCTTTTATTTCTCTTTTCTCGTGAGAATCATTTTGTGAGGAGTTTTTATAAAAGGAGTCATTCAAGTTGTCAGGCAGTAATGTCTATAAGGAGAAAAAAAAAAAAAAGAAAAAAAGAATTTATCGCATTCATTAACTTTTGTATGAGTTTGAAATGTTATATCTCCCTGATGATGGGTGGCGATATTTTTTTTTTTTTCTGTATCCTACCTCAGAACCATTATTACGACCAATCATAACAGGGGTATCACGTTTCTTTTGAGAATTGAATAGATCACGTAAACTTGATCTACTAGATTTTTTGGAAATGAAAAGGTTCTTGAGACCAGATTTATTTGTTCGTCCTGAATTAGAGTTGTCATTGTTGGTGAAACCATGCCAAGCATTGAATTGCCGTCGATCTTTACTGCTATTATAATAGGATGATTGATTTCGAAAGGGTGATAATGTCCTTTTAAGTCTTCGTCCCACTAATATTGTGAACGAAAAAAAAAAAAAAGATTTAGATAGATTATCATAATATATTGAGAAACTATGATGATCCTTTTTTTTTCTTTACTTGTATCAAATTGGCTACTAAATGAAAAGTCTTCTTGATTACCCCTAAATAAGAAATCATCATTCATCGTAAGGTTAATCAATAATATATCCATGATCTTTAATGTCTCATCATATATTGATATACTTGAGTGAATGGTTTTGTGTGGGAATATTACCTTTTCATATTTTGATATCCATCCAATTGCCATGCGATATCTACATACATCATCCATAAAAGTTCTATTAAATACGATACGATGTATTTAATATATTTATACTGTTTTACCTCCAACATCATATGCCATTAATGCATCGACCAATCTATCAGCATGATTAGTCAAGGTTATCTAATGTAAAAAAAAAAAAAAAAAAAAAGAGAAACAAAATAAGAAAGAGAAAAAGAAAAAGAAAAAAATAACGAGTTAAAGGGGTGATACAAAAGGGGAAGGGGGACAAAAAAAAAAAAAAAAGAAAAGAGAAAAGAATAGATATTGGGTAGGAGCCAAAAAGGAGCGGTTAACAGAGAAATATATATATATATATAAAAGGAGTAATACTAACCAATTGAGTTTGATAAGCTGGATGATGATGTAGAGCCAATTTTTGAACATGATGAACAGATTCGAGTAAAACATCCATTTCACGATGAATCAAATAACTTGTCTGTTTTTTTATATTCATAGATTGTAATCGAGTATCAATCATTGTTCTAAGTGTCAATGAAACTGTTTCAAGAGTAGTATGTTGATCTGGATTTATCATTAAATTAGATGCCACCGACAATATTGTAGTTAACGTAGATAATAATGTATCCCACCACTATATGGTTACACACCATCAAAAAAAAAAAAAAAAAAACGATGATTAGAATTTATTTCTTCTAATTTTTTAAAACAGTTATGAACTTACCGTATCATCATCAAGTGATTTTTTGGTTTGAACAGCTTTATATAAATTCATCATCTAATCTTTTTTTTTAAAAAAAAAATCGCGATCTAATGAGTTCAATAAATACAAACTAATTTAGAAAGAGAGAAAGAAAAAAAAAAAAGAAAAGGAAAAAAAAAAAAAAGACAAGTAGTAATTTTTTTGTTCATTACTATCAGCAACTCCATTGAGGTTTGGAGGGGGTGGATGAAAATAGTACTGCTATCTTATAGTCCCTGAGATAAATCTTGCTTTTTTTTTTGATCTATAATTTTCTCAAGGAGTAAAAAGAAAAGGGGGTTTTCTAACCCATGAGATGATGTGTTGAGATCTTTTTTTTTTTTTTTTTTGTAACTCTATTTATTTTCATACCCCTGAAACACGCAAATCTATTCAAAAAATAATCATTCAATGGAATTATTACTATTATTGTTTTTTATTATTATTATATTTTGATGGATGATCGTTCTGATGATGGAAGTTCTTGTTGATCATCATCATAAAATTATAATAATGTAAATTCTCTTTAATACTGTTAGCCAATAAGAACCCGTCTTTTTTGAATGGGTTATAGCAAAAGAGAAAAAAATTGGCTGGCTGGCTGAGTGTGAATTGGAAAAAAAGTTGAATAAACTGTACAATGCAACCTTTTTTTTTTTTTTTTTTTTTCTCTCTCTCTTTTCCACTGCAACAACGCCAAGACACACTCATTATGGCATTAAGAGTAAATTATCTTTCATTTTTTAAGAATAAAATAATGATACATTATTCTAACTATCTAATTTGTTTTTTTCTCATTTTATTAAATAGTTTTTATCCCAAAAGGTGGCTCAAGCTGTCGATGAAGAGCTCATGTCAGTACAAGGTGGTTTCTCTATTGATCAACTCATGGAACTAGGCAAGTCTATTTTTTAATAGTTGATACCTTTCCACAAACTCGACTACATCAATATTCTCATCTCTTCTTCTTCTTTTTTTTTTTTTTTTTTTTTTTTTTTTTTTTAGCTGGTCTCAGTGTAGCTCAAGCTGTTCAAAAATCTTTTGACGTGTCAAGTCACCAACGGATTCTTGTATGTGTTGGTCCAGGTGAGACAATAAATCATAAAAGAATAGGAAAAAGAACATGTATGAGATATATGCTCACCTGTTTTTATTATTATTATTATTATTATTATTATTATTGATGTCAGGAAACAATGGTGGTGATGGTAAGAGTGAATTAAAGCAAAAAAAAAAAAAAAAAAAAAAAAAAAAAAAAAAAAAAAAAAAAAAAAAAAAAAAAAAAAAAAAAAAAACGAAAGACTAGAGAAATATAAGTTTTTGGATGTTAATAAATAAATAAATAATAATAACAATAAAAAGAAGCTTATATCTCTCATATGTATAGGACTGGTGGCTGCTCGACATCTTTCACATTTTGGATATAAGCCAGCATTATATTATCCCAAGCAACCTAACAAGGATTTATATCGACGACTGTTACGGCAATGTGAAAACCTTGGCACAACCATGGTGGAGAACGACCAATTGGAGCAACACATGGATCAAACAGATGTGATTGTGGATGCGATCTTTGGGTTTAGTTTCCATGGTGATGTGCGTGATCCCTTCAAACAAGTGATTCGCGCCTTTCAATATACAAAAAAACCTATTGTCTCGGTGGATATTCCTTCTGGATGGGATGTGATGATGGGACCTACAGAACAAGCCGCTTTTCAACCTCATGTCTTGGTGTCTCTAACTGCTCCCAAGGAATGTGCTTCTCATTTCAGAGGTCAACATCATTTTCTCGGTGGTCGTTTTGTATCTCCTGCTTTGGCTGAAAAATTCCAATTTGATATTCCAAACTATCATCAAGCTGATCAAGTCGTAGAAATCTAGTCTAGATTTTTTTTTTTGGTGTTTTATTTTAGTATATTCTTTTCTTTTCATTTGTTATTAATAAATAAACAATCTAGCGCTTCACTATTATTATTATTATTATTTGAAGTCGATGATGATATGTGAATGGTTAATTTTGTTTTGTGATAATGGAAAATTTGGTTTTTGTTTGTCATGGGTAAAAGGAGAGGGATGATTACTTAGAATTTTTTTTTTTTATTCTATATAGATCTGAAAACTGAATATAAATGATAGATGAGGGATAATATGGATGATAATGGATGACGGGATGATTGGAGGATGGCGAATAATGATAATGAAAACGACAGGTTATAACAATGATGATGGAATTATTGTAGATACATGATTTTATTAAAGAAGAACAGAATGGCAGGTATAATATAACTAATAAGTGATCTATGAACGAATCAGCGGAAGGAAAGGTAGATATGAGTGAGTGAGAGAAGCTAGGAAGATTGATTGATTTGGCGAGCATTCAATCATCCATCATCCATAGCAATCCATTCATCCCTCGTTGCACTAAAATCCCAATGACAAGTTTATAGCATGACAAGAAAAGTAAAGAGGGGGGAAGATTCTAATTTTTATTATTATTATTATTATTATTTTCTGGTCATACATATATATATATATATATATATCTAATAGGAATGTGAAGAAGGGGGGTGTCTACTGTTGTTCCAAATATTCCTTGACACTAGGAGCCACACTCTTGGTTTTTAATAAAGTTTCTTTCCATTCTTGTTCAGGATCTGATAAAAAGGTAATAGCACCACCACCACCTACTGATAATTCAACTAGCATAAAAAAAAAAAAAGATGGTTAAATAGGATGAATGGATATACCTCTTTTTTTTTTCTTTTTTTTCTTTACCTTGACCAGATGATGTTGATGTTGCCACAGCTGTTCGAATCACTACACTGAAATCAGCGCTTCCATTTAAAGACAAATAACCTAGACATCCAGAATAAACACCTCGACGTTTATAATGTTCCAATTCATCTAAAAGCTGAACAGATCGTAGTTTGGGTGCGCCAGTCATTGAACCTAACAAAAGTAAATAATCCTATTAATCCTAACATCATCTCATTATTATTTATTTATTTTACCTGGTGGGAAACATTTTTTCAATGCATCCACACAATTAACATTAGGTTGCAAAGTACCACGGACTGTAGATACTAAATGATGTACTTTTTCATAAGTTTCTACATGCATCAATTTAGGGACTTGGACAGTATTGGGATCACATACTTGAGCAAGATCATTTCGAATCAAATCCACAATCTAAAAAAAAAAAAAAAAAAAAAAAAAAAAGATAATCATTCGTCATTAGAAACATCAAGATATCATATACTTTTTATTATTATTATTATTATTATTATTGTACCATCAGATTTTCGGCTCTCTCTTTGACATCTTCCCATAACTTTTGTTTCCGTCGATGATCTTCTTCTAATTTGACTTGTTCACATCTGGGACCAAAATCACATTCATGAGGATCACACACACAATGAAGAGCGCGTGCCATGGTACCTTTGATAGGTTTCATTTCTGCCACACCGTTTTCCACCTTTAAGAAACGTTCGGGACTTGATCCAAGTAGACCAAATGCCGGAAGAACTTGATCACCAGGGAAATGGATGAGTGCTGAGAAAGGTGCAGGATTGTTTTTTCGTAAATGATGTGTATATAATTTCCATAACTTGTGAATCTTTGTGTTAGCATCTATCATATCATTATCATCATCATCATCATCCAAGTCGTTGGGAAGAGTCAATCGAAACCTGGTTGTCAAACATATTTCATAAGATTCACCTTCCTTGATTTGTTGAACACATTGTTGAATAGACTGTAAATAGGCATCATGCTGGACGTTGGCGGTAAAAAGATCAGATCCCATAGGAGCTGCTTGATCCAATATCATGGATTTGGGAATAGGTGTCGTACATGTTGAAGATGAAGGTGTTAAATTGGTAAAGTCATTTGTCATTTGTCGACGTCGAATATTTTCCATAGTATGAAGTATCATGCGTTCAGTTGTTTGTATCCATCCCATCAAATCATCCATTCCTGCAAATCCAGGCACCCATTTCTGATCATTCGTAAATATGTTATATTGCTGATTTTTCACTAGACCACATGCATATAGTTGTCGTTGTTCGTGATCAAATAGCCAAAAGCGATCGATAAAATGAAACGCGGCGTCTGGTTCTTCCATACAATTACAACAGTTCATATTTTTCGAGATAGGTTGTTCATCATGATGAGTACAATGACATTGTTGCTCCAAGGGTGTTTCGTATCCATCCAAGCTTTCTCTTTTCATCTCATAGCCAAAATATCCTGTCAATCCACCAAGAAAAGTTTGTAAAGGTGCTTGAGATAGATCATCATCGTCATTGATATCTTGAAGTTTATCAGAAATCTGTCGAGCAGACACTTTTCCAATACTTTCCAACCATCTTGATATATAATCGAAAAAGGTATCCTTGTTGTGCAAGAATTCCACAGTATGTTTATCATGGCGATCTTGAATATTGATTTGTCGATGTAATGTTGAATAACGAACTGTCAATGCTGGATCCACAGAAAGAATGGATATTTGCGAATATGGTGACGATTTCTATGATGACAATAATAAACAAAAAAAAACAAAACAAACATAAATATACATATTCTTTGACAATCTAATTTTTTTTTTTTTGACTTACTCTACTACTGTCAAGCCAACTAATCGATTTCACTTTTAAGCCTTCCACAGTATCTCCATTCAATAAATCTTCTACCAAATACTCTGGGTCCACCCAATGAGGAAAACAGCGCTTGGTATGAAGTGTAAAGGCAGATGTTGCATCAGCAGTATTTGTTGGTGGGCAAGGAAGAATTTTTGATGTTGATGTTACGGAACAGGATTGAATTGTCGAATCCAAGGGCTTTGTCATGAGAGGTCGTCCAGTCTATCAATAAGAAAGTCAACAAGTGAGTGGAAAATGGTTTTATAAGTATTTTGACCACTATTTTTACCTTTTTCATCCATTCATAAGTTTGCATAATAAAATTGTCCATCATTATTTGACCATGTTCAGTAGAAACAGATTCAGGATGAAATTGTACACCCCATAATGGCAAGGTTTTATGTTGAAATCCCATCACAGTGAGAGCATGGTGTTTTAATTGTGTTGATGGTGATGATGGTAGATGATCTAAAAAATGATTTCGATGGTTCATTGATTTGTCGTCATGTTTGTCATCGGATAAAAACACTGAGTTTTTCAATGCATTCATATCAGCGTCATTTTCTTGGCAATAAGCTGTAAGTATCAAACAAGAAGGTAAACCTATTAAAAAAAAAGTAGATAAAATTAATAACTATATATATATATATATTTTATATATTATCTTACTTGATGGATCGATCACAAGAGAATGATATCGTACAGCCCAAAAAGGTATAGAACAATGATGAAATATATTCCCATACACCATATCATCATTATGTTTTATGGCATGAATTTCTGACATTCGTCCATGCATAATCCTTGGAGCATAATCTACCTAACGAAAATAAGAAATAAAAGGAATCAGTGATACATTAAAAAAAGACCTTCCAAATTTATATATATATATATATATATTACCTTTCCCCCTAGTAAATAACCAATCCCTTGATGTCCTAAACAGATACCAAATATAGGTCGATGATGTTGAGATTGTTCTTGATCTAACTGTGCTTTCAAAAGTGGAGTACAAATACCAAAATCCTAGATAAATGATATGTATGAATTTTTTGTTTGTTATTAATTTCTAAAAAAAGAAAAAAGAAAAAAATTGGGACTTACTGCTTCCCTTTCAGGTCTACCAGGTCCTGGAGATATAATAACACTATCAAAGTGAGGTAAAATATTGGTAGAAAACTCTTGCCTAATATAAAAAAAAAAAGAGTCAATAAACCAATTCAAAAAGAAAAAAAGTCAAAAGTTATACCAGGTATATTGGTCGTTTCGAATAACTACTACTTCACATTGAATAAGTTGTAGCATATTGAAGGTATATGAATCATAATTGTCAATAATTAAGATCTTGACATGTTTAAGGTCTTTTGTAAGTGAACTATACATCCTCCAAGACTATATATATAAAAAACAAAAAAATGAAGTAAAAAAAAAAAAAAAAATGAAAGGAAAAAGAAATTTAAAAAAAAATTCCATTTCCGGAGACCAATCAAGCTTAAAGTAGATCCAAAGTCACATCTGATTTGTCTATTCTGATCCAACTTTTTTTTTTTTTTAAAAAAAAAAAAAGTGTTGCATGAATTTTTGGATGATAACTCAGGGGTTAAGATGATGATGATGATGGTAACTATCTTTTAGATATGATATCCCATTCTTTTAACATATGAAATAATGAGGATAACATGATACATAGTCAGAAATGAATGTACAGTTTCACTTGATAGAACTGGTCTCACTTCTCTGATAGTGATCCTTGTTAACTCCCAGATCCGGGTTCAAGTTAAGACTAGTGCCAAACAATGGTATATATTCAAATGGATTGGGAAAAAAAAAGTATAAAGAGAAATAATAGACTTATTTGCTCATCTATACAAAATCATCATATAGCATAATTTCAAAATTGTAATATGGTAGATAATCATATATCAAATAAGAAACTAGGAATAAGATGGAGAATGGTCAAATTTTTATTAACAAAAAAAAAAAAAAAAATAGAAGTGTACACAAGATGTTCCCAAAAGAATAAAGAGAGTATTCTTATAAATTTAAAAGAAATCATAGATAATAAAAAAAAAAAATATCATAACTAAAGTAAGAAGATAAGGAATAATGGAATAATATATGGAGAGAGATAATAACTAAACTAATTAATCATAACACCGTACAACGTAAAAAGATATAAAAAAGAAAAAATTTCTTTTTTTTATGCATTAACAGGTTCAAAGCTCCAGATTCTTGCACGATTATCGCCAGATCCAGTAGCAAACAAAGGTCTTCGTCCAGGACTAGCAGCTACAGAAATGACTAATAATCAAAAAATAGTTAGTATATCAAATCAATAAAGGACTTTTAAAAGCTTTTACCTGAATTTTTATGACCTTGAAGCATGAATTGAGTTTGCCCAGTACGAGGATCCCAGAATTGAACACCACGATCTTTTGAACCAGAAACAATCCAATTACCATCAGGAGTAGTAGCCACAGATAATACAAAATCTTTGTGACCAGTAAAAACTTGACGGAAAGCATTGTTGTTTGTACCTAATTGCCATAAACGTAAGGTTTTATCCAAACTACCACTGACCAAAGTCTTTCCATCTGGCATGAAAGCAACTGAATAAACGCTATCCTTGTGTCCTTCCAACCGTTCCAATTGTTGTCCAGTAGTTGCATCCCATACACGTACAATTTTATCCAAACTACCAGCTGCTACAAATCTTCCATCAGGAGATATGGCCACACTAGTCACACCAGGATCTCTTTGATCTTGTTCCTTGATACGTAAAGTATGTAAACATCGACCATCTGCCCAATCCCAAATCTTGACTGTACGATCTCCAGAACCTGAGACAAGAATACTACCATCTCGACTAAATTCCAAAGAATAAATATCCTGTTCATGTCCTTGTAAGATACGTCGAATACGTTTCTTTCCAATATCCCAAATCTATTCAAATATATAATTGTTAGATGATATCACTCTTCTTCTTTTTATATATATTTTTTTTGTAATTTATTTTACCCTGATTTGTTTATCTTCGGCACCTGTAGCTAAATGTTTTCCATCAGGACTAAAGCTAACTGATCGAATATATAAATCTGTATCACGTCCTGTACTTTCATCTTGAAGAACACTAAATCATAAATATATACATATATATAGATAATTTGTTAATGTTGATGACCTTTTTTTTTTGAAAAAAAAAAAAAAAAAAACTTACGCCACACGAGCAGCATTTGTAGTATCGTAGATATAAGTAGCTTGATTACAACCAGCAGCAAGATATCGACCATCAGCACTAAATTTGACACAACATACCACACTACCATGATCAAAAGTATGTAAAAGATCGACCTTTAAATAACGTTGAACTTTTGGATTGAATCTAACCAAAAAAAAAAAAAAAAAAATAGTGAGTTTAGTTTTGATTCCAAGAGAATGGATAAATTTTCCTTACAAAGCAAACCAATCAGGACCTTCTACTTTCATATTAGCAGGAATTGTTTCAGGATCCATTTCTGAAAAACCAGTAGTAGTAGTGGTAGTAGTAGTAGAAGTAGTAGAAGTAGAAGGAAGGTCACCATGTTGCATTGGAGGACCAGCTCCTGTCTTGACAACAGCATTGGAAGGTGTTCCTATATATATATATATAATCAAAGAATGAATAATTCAATAAATATATAAATAAATAAATAAAAAAACTTACTTTGTACTGGAGTAGGAGGAGCAACAACAGTTTGAGGAGATGTATTTGAAGGACTACCATTAGCATAAGGAGAACCAGTCAAAGGATGAGGAGGAGGACCGTGCGAGGCAGATGGTGGTGGAGGAGGAGGACCATTTGAATACATAGTATGAGGAGGAGGATTTGAATCTAACATTGGTGGAGGTGGTTGTACATATCCATTTGTAGCTATCATAAATAAATATTAAAAAAATCAATTTTTTTTTATTTTTTTTTCTTTTTTTTTTTTTATATGATTTTATTTTTATTTTACCTCCAGTATTGTTGTAACTAGGACTACCAGTTGATATATGTTGACCATGCTAAAAGAATAATAATAATAATAATGATTTAGATTTATTAAAATTACTTTTATTAAATTACCTGTTCCAATTGTTGACGTAATCGAGTAATTTCTTCTTCATATCTATAATAAAAAGAATTGATGATGATTTATATAATAATAAAAAATAAATAAATAAATTTAACTTACTGTTTTTTCATAAGTTGTTGTGCATGTTCCAAATCCAATAAACTTTGTTGAATATGACCCATTTCTTGTATTTGACTATTCACTATAATAAATATATAATAAATATTTTTTTATTTTTTTTTTATTTTATTTTTATTTTTTTATTTCTTACTTTTCATTTCAAATTCGTCACGTTGACTTTTACATACAATAGCATCTTGAGTTAATTGTTCAAATTCTGTCCGAACATTATCAAGGAGTTCTAATAGTCTGTTTTGAGTAGTCGGTACCATAGGTCGATGATTATAAACTGACATGATCTATTTTATATATTATATATTAATATAATAATAACATCATTATTTACATATTGCTTACCAAAGCAAAGGGTCCTTTTTACTTTATGGATGAAAGTAAAAAAAAAAAAAAAAAAAAAAAAAAAAAAAAGAGTGAGAAAAAAAAAAAAGGAGAAAAGTAGAAAAGATAAAAAAAAAAAAAAAAATAAAAAAATAAAAAAAGAAAAAAAAAGAGAGAGAGAAAAGACTGGAAATGAAAAAAAAAAAAAAGGTTGTTTTCTTTTTGGTCTTAGTACTTTTTTCTTTTGGGGGGTGAAAACTGTAAATAAAAAAAAAAGGGGGGAGAGACAGAAAAGTCAACAAGGGGTGGAAAAACCATAAGAGAGAGAGAGAGACACACATACAAAATATATAAAATAATAGTTTTTTTTTTTATTATTATTATTTATTTATTTACAAAAAGGTATCTATATATATATAATCTATTCTAATTTATCTAAATGATCTAATCTTGTCAAAACTATATTTTTACTTGTTTCTTCTACTTCTCCAGCTAAAAAGACTTCATCCAATATAGCATATACCTTATTAATATATATAAAATAAGTTGAGTGAGTTTTAATATATATTATTATTATTATTATTATTATTTTTACCTTATAAAAATTGAAAACTAAATCTAATTCACATACATTTCCAAAGAAAGCATCCAATACTTCTACAAAAAAATGAATAGCTTCCAAATAGGATAATTCATTATCATTGGCATCCACACATACACAAAAGAATAACCCAGCATATCGACGATAAACTATCTTGTAATTACGAAACTATTATAATAATAATAATATTATTATTATTATTTCATCTCTTTTTTATTTTATTTTTTTATTTCTTACCTCCACAAAATTACTTTGATGTTTTTGATCTCTTGGTGCGATCAATCGATGGACTTCACCTTTAAGTTTCACTTTTTCTTCATCTTCATATGGAACGTACCATTTCGCCAATCGTGTCTTTCCTTGTCGATTTTGTACCAAAATAAACCTAAGCTAAAATAAATAAATATAATGATAATATTGTCAATATATAATCCTTTGTAATAAAAAAAATAAATAAATCATTGTTCAATACAATTACCATTGTAATATATATATAGATGGTATTAAAAAAAAAAGAGAGAGAGAAAGAGAAATAGTGGAAAAAAACCGAATTCATCTCCAAAAATCATTTCAGCTGGGCTTGAAATAAAGTCGTGCAACGAAAAGAAATCATCCAACCAGAGTAGGTCTTTTTCTTGTTCATATTGATGTTGATATCACTCTTATCATAAATTTTTATATATTATAACTATTTTAAATGGAATAATTGTATCGATGATGATGATAAAGGGAATAAATGTATTATGGTATAAATGATGATGGATACATAGTATAATGACTATTGGATCAACTGTAATAACGATCATAGTAGTGATCCAGCCAATCAACTACCATTTTGCTTCTTATCCTAAAATCAAGTATGTCATATAAAGAAAGTTTTGATATCAAAAAAAAAAAAAAAAAAAAAAAAAAAAAAAAAATTCAAACATCAAAACCCGTTTTATTAATATATGAAAAAAAAAAATAAATACTAATCTAAATAACATTAATCTATGGGATAAAATTTGCATTTCCTTGACTTTCCATAAACATATTTTCCCATGATCCTATCATATAAAAAGACAAGATCAATCTATTGTTCTCTATCATAAAAAAAAAAAAAATTCCTTACCTTGAAAATCAGATCCACCGGTTGCATTGTTACTAAAAGGTGTGCCAGCAGATGAGAATAAATATTGCCAAGTAGCTTGAGTCATCATTGGGTTGGATTCATTGCCTAAAAGTGAATCTTGAGTCAATGCCAAAGTAATTAAATCCACAGGATTAGAACCAGAAGTTTGATTTGCTCCATTATTATTCACTGGTGCTGATTGTGTTGATGGTGGTCTTCCCGTTGTTGTATTGGACGTTTGTTCTATACCGGATACAATTTGATGCACACTCATTGGGGATGTCGAAGTATTATAAGTTGTATCATTGGTCATTCCACCAAAATTAGAAGAAGATGTTGAATAAGACGTTGATGATGTAGGATGTTGCATTGAAGGTACTTGTTGCTGACTATAACCCGTTGTTGCCGATGTTGTTGGTATTGTTGAAGAAGAAAAAGTTGGTTGCGTAGATGATGATCCATCACCATTGGAAGATGAACGATAAACAGATGGATCCGCTTTCATCAAATATAACAAATTTTCTAAAAATTGTACCACTGGAGGTCCATAGGGAATATCATTTGTCATTGGCACTATACATTCATCAATACTGATCCGAATATAATCACGAGACATTTGAGCAACAACAGGATCATTACTTGTACAATTGTAAACATGAATCAAAGCTGCTTGAAATATAGAATAAGCTAAAAAAAAAAAAAAAAATCATTGAATCAGTTTAGTTTTTCTTTCGCTGTTCCATCTTTTTATTTATTTATTTTATTTTATTTTATTTTATTTTTTTTACCTGCAAAATTCCATCCGTATCGTACAATTTCTATACCAGGAGTATGTCGAGCCACATCAATAGAATTTTTAGCAGCATCCATACATCGTTTAGGAGCTTCATTGAAAAGTCTACTGCCATGATGATTGTTGCATTCAAAGACAATAAAAGGTCGGAATAAAAGCACTACCACAGCATAATAACATACTGTCAAAGGTCCACCAGATCTAAATTTGTCACGTTGTGTATGTTCCATTCCTTTCATTTCCCGTAATTGATCTTGTGTAATACGACATTCAGCAGGCACTTGATCAAACCATTCCTTTAGCATTTTATCAAGACTCCATACTGTTTGTTCCATAATTGATGTACCGTATCCCATGGCCTTTCCTTTAGGTGAATAGATCCGTCGTAGCACCTCACCCAAAATACCAGACAGCTTGACCAAATTGACAAACATGGTATACCGTCCAGGTTCATCCGCACAATCTGCTTGAGGTAAATCTACATCACAATCTGAATCCGCAATAGCCAGAGGTCGTCCCATCACTGAACAACACCATCTGTCTGTCAAATACACAGAATACCAAAGTCGTCGTCGTTTTTCAATCAATTCAGTAGCCGCGTTCGTGTTTGATACTGATCGATGTAGCCCGAGATCTTGAGCCATACGAACCGCCATACCTGCTAGAATCCAATTACGATAAGACCCAGATGAATAGGTTGGATGAGCACATAGAAGAATCAGAGCTTGAATGGTTTGTATCCGAGGTGTCAAGTATTCCGTACGAATCAAAAGTCCAGCACGATCCACTAAAGTATGAAAGATTTGATTTCTTTCCAAACCAGACCGAGTAAAAATAGGATGATTGGAAGGCACCAAGAAACAAGAATAGGAACAAATAGCATAGGTCAATAGAGGTGAGGGAGGTGGACTTGTTTTGCCTTCGAATGCATTGACAAATTCTTCTTCATCCAAGATGGGTAAAGTGGGACAATGAGCTTCAAAATAAACCTTGATCAGACTAGCAAGCATACTACGGGGTATAATTGAGTCCATCGTTTCTTGTTCGTCTGCTGCTGCTGCCTGTATTCTACTTTCATCTTCTGTTTCATCTCGTACCATCACCAAATCATCATCATATCTGTTCATCCGCCGTAAACGATAAGTACCTTGTTTTGTTTCTAGTGATGTAAAATTGTCATCTTCCTTTGTTGTTGATGGTGATGTGGTGTTGTTATTGTTCGCTTGGAGTGATGTAGTCGAATGAAGATGAGATTGTTGTTGTTGTTGTTGTCGTTGTTGTTGTTGTTGATACCATGATGTTAAATCAGTTCCATTTGTTTTTCCAATAGATGTGCCATTACTATTCGTTGTTTCACTGTTTCTGTTGTCCTTGTTTTTCAAAATGTCATTCACAAGATATAAACCAGAAGAACTTCCTAAGAACCTTACAACCTTACCTTTGGGTGGTAAGTTTGAATTAGTTACTGGTTCACTTTCTACTGATGCATGAGGAGACTGAGGACTATTTGCACCTGAAGGACTTTGTGATGATGTTGAAGAAGTGGGTAATGATTCAATTGTAGAAGTTGTTGTCATATTAGTGTCATAGCCATGATGTGTTGTACTTTTGTCATCGTCATTCTGTATTTGACCTAATAACTGTTCCATTCGAAGTAATCTCGCTTCCAAACTTTCAATATATCTAATACAAATTAAAAAAAAAAAAAAAGCAAGTTATAATATATATATTGTATATATAGTATTATATTCACTTATATTTTCCTTACCCTTTTGGAGGTCCTCGTTTTCGAGCTGTCTACAAGTGATAAAAATAGATATATATCAATTACCAAAAATATATCACAAATATATATATATTTATATATAAAAAGAAGAACTTACATCATTAAAAGTACATTCCCAATCATATTGTTTACAAGTTGTACATGGGTGACAATTATCGACATCACATCTATAACATAAAAAGAATAATAAACCAATAAGTACGTTTATAGTAAAAATAAATAAAATAAACTTACTTTATTTTCTTTTTTCGACAAGTATCACCTATAAAAGAATGTTGTTGTAAGTATACTATTTAATATTAAAAAAGAATGACTTACATGCTCTTGAGATTCGAGTTCGTTTAGATGGATGCGCTGGAGGAATAACAGAAGTTTCAGGAGAAGGATAAAGTTGTGTAGATGGTAACCGTTGTTGTTGTTGAGGTTGTTGTTGTTGTTGTTGCTGTTGTTGTTGAGATTGATGTGATGACTGTGAATTTCCTGCTGCTGAAGCTGATGAAGTTTGGGGTATCCATGCCATATTGTTAGACTTGTATTTTGATATGGGATCCATTCTTCAAAAAAAATAAAATAAAATAAAATAAAATAAAATAAAATAAAAAATGTGAGAGAGAAAATAAAAACTAACAAAAAAAAAAAAAAAGAGAAACGAAAGGTATGGAAAAATAAAAACACCGAGATTAATATCCAGCTACACACAATGCACTCCCTTGAGATATTCCGAAAAGTTTTAAAGTTTAACTATAAAAACTATATTTTGTTTATTGTTTGTTAGATCGACAAACACCCTTTTTTTTTACATGTCAAATAGATGATAATAATGATGATGATGATGATTTTTTTTTAAACGGATGAAACACCTATACCAGCAACAGTGTCTCCCCACGTATTGGAACCATTGATAGGTACACCAGGCCTATTCGCGGTAGATGAAGCGGATGAAGTATCAGCAGATGTATTACTTGAAAGTAATCCAAATGTCGTAGGTTGAAATATCATCAAAATGGCAGCAACTACAATGCAGGTAGTTAAGAATAGTGTAGCAGCTATTCGACATCGTTTTCTCCATTGATCAGCTGCTATGATTTGTTTTTGAATAATAATGAATCCATCATCATTATCCTTATTGGCATTATCTTTATTTTGATTTGTCCATTTTGAATCATCATTATCATCATAATATCGAGTAATATAACAACAACAACAACACGATCGTTCAGTACTTCCTATGAACCACGCTAATGGAAATATAAATCCAATAAAAAAAAGATATTGTTCAATCGTTCCTTTCATACTAAGTGCGGATATTCAAATATTAAAAAAATTTCTAATGACAAATGTTAAATTTTTTTTTTTTTTCGTAGCTTATATATTTGATTCCCATGCAAAGTGATGAATGATTGATTTGATGGATGATCAGAATATCAAATATGGGTATCTCCTTTTTAGATATTATTATCATCATCATTATCATCATCATCAATATGTTTGATCAAAAGAACTATTATTCTCTATCAACTCTTTTTTTTTTTTTGTTTTTCTTTGATTAGTAAAAAGAATCATAACAAGAAGCATGTATTACTAATCGAAGGGTTTAACTAGTCAAATGGTTTGGTGATTTATTCATATTATTCATAATTATCATCAAAGATTTAGTATAAATATATATTTAGTTAGATGAATAGATTAGTAGAATGAAGAGATATGATGATCTTATCATAAAATAAAATAAAATAAAAATAAACAAGACGGCAATGATCTAGTTCAATAAGCAAAAGACGGCATTAAATGTGTTACTTTTATCATCAGCTTCCCGGGGTTTGAATCTTCAATATAACTATAAAAGAAACACGACCTTTCCAATTTTTTTTTTTTTTTTTTTTTGCATTTCTTCTTTGTATTATTAATATTTTTTCTCTTTATAAATCAAAATGGTTACCAATACTCAAGTTATTTTTTCCAAGGTTCCTACTACCTATCCTGTTGTAGGTGAACATGTCACTGTCAAAAAATCTGAATTCGATCTTGATGCTCCTCTTGCCGAAGGTGAATTCATTTTGAAAACTTTGGTTCTCAGGTAACCCATTATGACATGAAAACTGATGATTTTTTATTCATTTCTTTTTTTTTTTTTTTTATTTCTCAGTGTTGACCCTTATATGCGTGGTCGTATGCGTGATGCTTCTACCAAGAGCTACTCTCCTCCTTTCCTTATTGATCAACCTATGAATGGTCATACCATGAAACAAGTGGTTAAATCCAACAATGCTGACTTTAAAGTGGGTGATCTTGTCTATGGCATGGGTAACTTTGAAGAGTATTCAAAGGTCAATGCTGCTATTGCCAAGGCTCTTGGATTAAAAGTGCGTAACGATCCCAAGACAAATGGTATTCCCATCTCAAATTATATTGGTATTCTTGGCATGCCTGGTATGACTGCGTAAGTAAACAGAATCTCTTTTTGATGCATATGGAAAAAAAAAAAGAAGGATGATCAACGATCGATTTGTGTAAGTAAATCATTGACATATTTCTTTTTTTTTTTTTTTTGATTTACTAGTTACGTTGGTTTGTACAAGATCGGTGAAATCAAGAAAGGTGAAACTATTTACATTTCTGCTGGTAATAATAATAATAAAATAATAATAATAATAATAAAAAAGGAAATATTCATCATCTTAGAATATAAATTGATCTTTTATACTTATTACTATTATTATTATTTCAAATAGCCTCCGGTGCTGTTGGTCAGGTGGCAGGTCAAATTGCCAAGGCTCAAGGTTTGCGTGTGGTTGGATCTGCAGGTTCTGACGAAAAAGTTGCCTATCTCAAGGAAATTGGTTTTGATGCTGCATTCAACTACAAGACTGAAGATATTGATGCCAAGCTCTCTGAATACTGTCCTAATGGTATTGATGTGTACTTTGAAGTAAGGGAGATTCACATCTGCATATACATACAAAGCAAACAAACTCATATTGATTCTTTTTTTTTTTTTTTTTTTTTTTTTTTTTTACAGAACGTTGGTGGCAAGATGTTGGAAATTGTATTGACCAAGTTGAATCCTTTCTCAAGGTAAGAATGATAAAACAATAATGGGATGATGACAAGGAACTAATCAATATATATGTATATAAATATCATAGAATCATCGCTTGTGGTATGATTAGTCAATATAACTTGGAAAAGCCTGAACCTGTACATAATCTGGTGAACATTGTCGCTAAGCGTATCAAGTTCCAGGGTTTCATTGTCTCTGATTATCCCGAAGTTGAACCTGAATTCTTCAAGACTGTCACTCAATTAATTCTCGACAATAAGATCAGATATCAAGAATCTTTTGCTGAAGGTATTGAAAAAACTCCTGAAGCTTTATTGGATGTGTTGAAAGGCAATAACTTTGGTAAGCAAGTCGTCAATGTTGCCTCATTATAAGTAAAAAAAAATATGTTTGTATGTTAGTTTAGTCTTTTTTTATATTTATCTTTGAAATAAAAAAATGAATTTTGTATATTTTTTTTTTATGTTGGTGATATTTTGTTTGAAATGAAAACCTGATTTATTTATTGTTTATGATGGATGATATATGCCAACGAGCAAAAAGTCAAGCTGTGAAAAGATTACAATACAACTTCAATTCAGTACGCCCTCGACATAGGAAAATAGATAAAGATAATATCAATCACAAAAATATTAAAGAAAAGGAATAAAACCATGTATTTTTTTTTATTTACAACAATAGACTTCATATAAAAAGAAGGAAAAGCAACAAAAAAAGAGGGAGTATAAGATAAATCATCTAACTAACTATACAAACTAACTAGCACAAAAAAAAAAGGGGGACCAAAAAAGCATAATGTTGTTTGATGTATTCATTGAGTTCCCATCTTTTGTCTATATTGTCGTAATTCCTCCACTTCGCTTTCCAAGGCAGCACATCCAATTTCCACTTGAAGATTTTGACTAATCAGATCCGACCATTTGTTTTCCAATGCTTGTAACGTTTCTGCAGCTTTCATCTAAAAAAAAAAAAAGAAAGAAAGAAAAAGAATAACAAAATATTTAGATGATCATCCATACCAAACAAGAAGTATAAATAAGTTATAGTTGATTTTTTTTTCTTTTCTTTTTTTTTTTACCTGGTCAGCTTTTCGTTCTCTATTGATTTGATTGATTTGATTACGATAGTCTTCGGTTTCTTGTTGAATTTGTTTTAAATCAGCTTCCAATTGGTAGTTATGTACACGCCAGGCATTGGCACCATATTTTTGAAGTAATTCCAAATTAAACATACTATATTTAAAAAGAAAAGTCAATATAAATACCATTGTTTTTTTGTTTTTCTAGTTTTACCTTCCAGCTTGAGATTCTAATTGTGCTTTAGTGTTATCAACTGCTTTTTTCCATGCTTCTACATCATCCGAATCAGGTCCTTGGAGCTCATATCGTGTTTCGTCTAATGCTACCAAATTTTCCTTCTTCCCAACACGATGCCATTCCTGTGATAATATATCATTATTTTGGAAAAGATCAACGGATAATGGTAGTTCGGATCGTTCTTTTCGTTTCATACGTCGCATTTCTTGTTCAATAAGTCGATCTACTGAAGCCTTCATATCTATATTAAGAGTATATGATCAGAAGGAGCCTAACTTGAAATAATATGTATATAAATATATTACCTGCATCATCGATTTCACGGTCAACATCTAAAAAAAAAATAATCCAAAATAAATATAAACTCTGTTAGTTATTATACAGAGTTTTTTTTTTTTAAAAAAAAAAAAAAAAAAAAAAAGACTTGATATGGTATAGAACTTACAAGGAAGTGCGTCAATATCGATATCCGATCGTCCGAGAGCCTTTGTTGAAGAAGATTCTATCAAGGTATCTGACATGGTTTTTATATATTCGTCAGCAATGGGGAGTAAGACAAAAAGAGACAAAAAAAAAAAAAAAAAAAAAAAAAACAAGAACACTTTATTTTGCGAGCGGAGGATGAAACTAAGTCACCCACCACAAAGGTTTAATACAAAAGGTCTATCACTGCTTCAAATCTATAACTACATTAGTCTACTCGTTTGTCTTGAGCTTTTTGTTGCGATCGTCATCATCGTCGCCATCTTGGTTTGCTGTATTATGAGATCTTTTGTCTCCTGCCACTGGTATATTTGTCGTAGCTGCTTCTGTTTCTGTCAAAGTCATTGCTGCTTCTTGACGTGATTTTTGTTTTTCCATTGCTTGTTGATAGTAGGGTAATAAATCAAAGAGTTCACTAGATAATCATCATCATTATCAAACATTAATCAGTCATACAATGATTCCTTTTCTCTCTTTTTTTTTTTTTTAATACTTACCACATGGCCTCAGTTGATTTAGTACGCTGCATTTTCTGATAGAATTCAGACTTTGTATGTTTCGGATTAGTATTCATGCACAACAGTACATACTTGGTGTTGACAAATACGTTGTTTACATCCACACACTATTAAAAGAAGATATCATTTTTAGTAACATAAAGATCGTTTCGAATAATAATAATAATAATTACTGTTTTCAAATATTCTTTGGCTACTTCATCAAAAGGTACCAGACCCTCTTTTCTAAAAGCTGATGGATTATCTTGAGCACCTCTTGCAATCATCACCGAACTTGCACCTAAATATATATATATATTCTCTTCAGTATACCAAACTACATATCCTTTTTTTTTCTCTTTTTCTTTTTCTTTACCTGTCACTTCTTTTGCTTTTGCAATATCATTCCAACACATCACATCCCCATTCACTACAACAGGAATCTTGGTCAAAGTCTTGGTTACTTGTTTCATGGCTTCCCAACGAGCTGGTGTAGTTGATCGTTGATTTCTTGTTCTAACAATATACATATATATAGTCAATGACTGATGCAAAAAATTTAGAAAGAAGAAATATAACCTTACCTGCAATGTATAGTAAGAGCCTTGACACCTGTAGATTCAATCATTTTTGCCAATTTCAAAGTTTCTTCTTCACTCTCCAGAATCCTATATATATATAATTGTGGTAAGAAAAACCATATTTTATAATTCATTAACATTATCTTCCTCACTTGCCTTATTTTACATGTAACAGGTATATCCAAATTTTCCACCAGTTTTGTAAGAATTGCCTTTAATCGATCAGGATTCGTCAATAATGCAGCACCCATTCCACCTTGTACTGAGAACTTTTTGGGACATCCACAGTTGAGATCTACACCAGCAATTTCATCCTTTCTATTATATATATACATATATATATAAAGTATTAGAATGTTTGAACAAAAGAAAAAAAAAAGTTATTACTCACAAGGTAAGTGCAGCTTGAAGAGCCAAATCAGGATCAGCAGTTCCGAGTTGTAAAATGACCTTGCCCTTTTCGTCCGGATGAGTAGCAAAACACATGGCCTGACCTTTCCAATATTCAGTCACACCAGTAGCAACTATCATGAGATCAATATCATTAATATATTCGATCCTTTTTCCAATCGTTATGTGTTTTACCATTGTATTTCCGTACTGAACCTATAATGCGTTTATCAACAAGTTCTTCTGTCCATACAAGATCTATAAAAATAAAAGGAATGAATAAACAGTAAAAAAAGAAAAAAAAAACCAAATTGAATCAAGGGATCTATTTTTTTTTTTTTTTTGCCTTACCAGCTCCATATCTGAGAGCTAACAATCGCATAGGAAGAGTACCTACTCTTACCTAACCAGTTCAACATTGGTTAATTCATTGTTATTTCTCCAACTTTTTGTATATCTTACCATAGGAGCTAGAAATGTTTTATTAGCATAGTCAATGGCCATATCCAAACAAATAAAATAGAATACTAAAGAGAGAAAAAAAAAAAGGTAATAATAAAAATGAGGACAGTCGTCTTTTTTTTTTTTTTTTTTTTACCCAATCAAAACATCATCATTTTCACTTACCGACTTTTCCAAATAAGTCAATCTTTACATCAATGTAATATTATTTCATCCATCTCTTTGTTGCATGCATGACATAGATTCGATCAATTTTGTTAAAAAGGTGAAAATAATTTATTTTTAACCAAAGAAATTGAAAATAGGATGTTTCATTCCCTTGGTAAGATATATTTTTAATACGTCACTCTATCTCACAATTATGTATGAAGGAGGGGAAGAACTGTACAATCATCTCCCGTAATCATCCATCTCTCCCTCACATATAAAATCATCATCATTGTTTGAAGAGAAGATTCGGAAAAGTTTACGAAATAAATAAACTTCAAAAGAGAAGGAGGTTGACAGACGAGAAAAATAAAAAGGAGCCTGAGAAGTACAGTAATTTAAGCATGTTGTCGTTATAAGGGGAATCGACATAAAATAATTAGGTTCAAAATGATCCTGCAAAATAAAACCTACCTTGCATGATGATTTGCAAAATAGGAAGTGATTTTGTTGACATATAATGAAAAAATCATTCATCATAAGAAAAAAAAAAGAGATTTTTTATTGTTCTAGGTAGACAATCACTTTTACAAATAAAACAAGTAATGGCGAATAAGAAACTAAGAGAGAAATAATAGTATATAAAAGAAGTAAAACTATATAATATGATGACAAGAAGAAGAAGAAAAAAAAAGTATAGTACTAATAAAAATAAGAAATGATAGGGGAGGAAAGGAGGATGAGAGAAAGAAAAAAAAAAAAAAGAGAGAAAAAAAAAGGAGGGATCATATTCAAAGAATAAAGGTACCAACCAACATCATGATGATGGAGCCAAGGAACAAGGATGATGAACTAGTCAAGGAGATAGCACCACTGGTAGAACCATTGCCACCGTTGCCATTGCCAGAAGAGCCACCAGGAGACACACTGCTACCATCATTGGGAACCACGTTACCCTTGCTATCTAAACGAGATCCTTCTTTGTAAGGACCAAGAGCAGGAAGATCATCAGCATCGGTGAATTGAAGTTGTTGAGTCAAAGACTTGGAACGGTTGGTGACCCATTCATTGATGCCTTCCATACCGCTATCAGTGGTCTTGAGATTGTTCAAAAAGTTTTGAACTGTAAAAGTAACTTTAGTACCAGGAGAATGACCAGGAATAGAATAATCCCATTCAATATCTTCCTTCAAAAGAGTGGCCCAGGCATCAAGACGAGGTTGAATCACACGAGGATTGAAGAATCGCTTGACAAGAGTCTTGAGAATGGTTTCGAATTGAGATTTATAGTAAGGAGAACTAAGGAAGAGATCTACCAAAGGACGAGTAGATCCAGGACGACTATAATTTCCATAAGGGACACTGTCACGACCTTGTTGAGCACCGTTACCAAAAGTTTCATCAAAATCATAAGAAATAATAACCCATTGGTTGGTCTTCAAATCCTGATTCAAATAATAATTACTAGCTTGGTACCATACTAAATAAATAAAAAAAATAAATAATAAAAAAAAATGAGTGGATTCGTTATTATTATCAACCAATTCTATACATACACCCATCCCATGAATCAGTCAAATAATTCATAGCCAAAGCAACCATAGTATTTTGAGGATCAAGTAAAGCAGGTACATCTTTGTTGTTACCATCAGTAATTTGAGAAGGGTTGATTTGAGAAAGACGTTTGGTAAAATCAATCAAAGGAGCAAAAGTATTATTCTTCTTGGTAACTGTATTTTGTTCACCACCATCGACTAACTTGTACAGATCAGCAGAGTATTTGGTTTGATCATCACCAAGATATGCAAGGTTGCCTTCTTCAGTAGGAGAGAGAGCGTTACCCTTATAAGTAACACCTAATTGACAACAACAACAACAACAACAACAAAAAAAATCAAATGAGTTTTCATGATAGAGATTTCTAACAGACAATTTTTTTTTTTTTTTACCAGTAGATTCATATTTCCAGTTTCCACTATGAACAGTATTGTCGATCAAATGAGTAGAAGCATCATCCATCAAAGTATAAAGACCATAGGGTTCGTTGTTAACAAAAACACGGACAAAACTACCAGATAAAGTAGTGGCACCAGCAGCAGCAAGACAATCCAAGTATAACTTTTCACGACTATCATTTTTTTTTTTAAAAAAAAAAAGAAAAGGTGAGTACATGAATGATCAATATAGAATGAAAAGTAAATAACTTACACTTGAGTAGGGTCAGTAGCTTCAGCTCGTAACTTGACCTCAGTACGACCCAAAAACAAAGACTTTTGAGAACCCTTGGGAGCAAAGTCATTAAAGTCAATTGAATAAGATTGTTTGGCAAAGTCCTTTGTAGATTGACCAGAAGTTTGGATACTAGGAGTATTGGCAAAGGTGTAAACTTCTTGGTTGCTGATATATGCGAAAGAGTTAACTTGAGCTTTAAGTTTTTGTTGAGGAGCCTTGATTAAAGCATCAAACGCACTAGAATTAACTTGAAGAATAATGGTGGCAACTTCATTGGATTTGTTAAAAGTAGTGAAAAGAGCTGAGGTAAAATATAAATATAGAATGTAAAAAAAAAAAAAAGGAAAAAAAAAAAAGAGAAAACGCCAAATTAGTACACTGAAACATTCGGAGATGATTTTATATGAGGTTGGATCTTACGAGGATAAACAGGATTAAAAGCTTGAGGTAAAGCAGGGACATCAACAATAGTATGGGTACGATTGAAAAATTCATTACCAGTAGAAGTAGCACCTTGAGCCAAAGTACGTTTGGGCACTTCAGGACTATTGTTTTGACCATTGGTGATAACATATTGATAACTATCGCCACTGGGAGCTGAACCCTTGAAAAGATTGGGTACTTGAGAATCGGCAGTAAGAGCGTGATTTTGTCCACCGACAGATACAGCAACACCTGCACCATTAGGAGGGAAAGCAACAACAGCATACTGAACATCAGCTTGTACAGCAGCTGTTGCCATAGCGACCAAGGAGCTAATGGTCAACCACTTCATATTGAAATTAAAGTAAAAAAAAAAAAAAAAAGAAGTAAAAGTAAAAGTAAAAAAAAAAAAAAAAAAAAGGAAAGAAAGAAAAAGAAAAGAAAAAAAAAAGATTTAAATAATTGGAAATGGAAAATGTGTTATTATATTTTTGGAGTGTCAAGATATCAAATGAGGCGTAATAAAAGGGGAGATTTCATCGGGGGCCGAATGATGAGGTGATCAATACCTTTTGGCCCTGAGAGAATGCAAAAGAGGGGAAAAAAAAAACTTTTTCAATTCGGGGTGGAGACATTGGGGAGTACTCTTTTTTTTTTTTTTTTTTTAAGCAAGACATCGTGTGATGTCTGGTGTTGCCTTTTTCGTTGATCAAAAGAGTAACTCACAAGGGTTGATAATTACAAAGCTAATCCATTTACATTACATTATTAGAAGAAGGATTGCTCCTTTTTTTTTATTTTTATTTTTATTATTATTCGATATATAATAGTCAATTGATGGTTGACCTGTTTTATCCTGCGTTATTATATCTGGTTATTTCCGATATAGTATCACCATCATCATTGTCATTGCTTATCAATCATTATCGTTGTCATCAATCATCAATGCATTTAATATTCATGATTAATTTATCATATAATGATTATCAATTCATTCTTGAGCATTATTTATTATCATTCTTCTTCATCATCATGTTACAATGAAACAGGATTTGTTTTACCGGGTGATAATTAACCTGAGCTTAAACTTAAAAAGGAAGGAGACACAAGAAAGTCAAATATATACAAAAAGATACAGTCCCTGGTTCACACCCCAAAATATTTACCTTATTTTTGGATATGCTTATTGATGATTGGAGGGGAAATTCATTTCAATGTTCTACATAATCCCATCCGAAAATCAATAAACTTTTGTGTATCAATTCATAGAGATTCGGCGATGGAATGCTTGGCTTAGCAAAACTTTCACTTCCTCCTTTTTTTTTTTTAACATGGATTGAGTCAGCGTTATTAAAAAATACATATGAATGACAATTATTTTTTATATAAAATCAATCAATCATGTAAATCATAATAAACTCTTTTTTTTTTGTATGATGAATTTGATTATTTTGATAAACAATAAAGGAAAGAAAAACATCTAAACATGGTAATTTTTTTTCCTTTTGCTTACATTACTATCTATGTTTAGAGTCTTTTTTTTTGCTTTTCTTTTTTTTTTTCTATTTGGAATTAGTTAGTTTTAATGATAAAACTAATTTGTTAATATTTATATATATATAATAAGGATGTTAAAATAATAAGCAGACATCTTTTGAATACTTCTTTGAAATGAATGGAAAGAATGGAAAAATCATCGTTTATCCATATACAGCATTCTCCAGTCGATAAAAATAAAAATAAAAAATAAAAAAAAAAAAAGTGTACGTGCGTGGTATATAAATAGTTACTAAAGGATCATCCAAATTTAAACTTTTTGGTTGAGAGACAACTTTGAGTATTAAATAACCGCTGATCTATTATTTACGTTTTGTAAAGAATACCTAAATCAGTAACTTGATCAACCGTTTATCATTGATCGAAAGGTTTCACTTTTTTTTTTTTATTTCTTCTTTTCCCATGTTTCTTTTATAATGATGTTGATTGTCCGATGTTGATGATTTCCTTAACAAATATGAACGCCAAAAACGCGTCAAACGTCGTGGTCTCATCACTGCGAGCGGTAAATGAAACCGATTTTTTTTTTTTTTTTGTAATCATCTCCCCCTTTTCTCATTGTCTTTATTCTTCCTCTTTCTTTCTTTTTTTTTTACATAAACTTCCATTATATATCCAAAATGCCATCTATTCAACTTCCAAAAGGAAAATCACTTTATGATATTCTTGAACTTGAAAAAAGTGTAGTAGATAAGGACGACAGCGTGATTAAAAAAGCATATCGAAAACTGGCATTACAATATCATCCTGATAAACAATCTCCCAAAGCAAAAGCGGAAGATTTGGAACACGCGACTCAACAATTTCAATTGATTGGTTATGCTTATTCTATTCTTAACGATAAATCAAAACGCTCACATTATGACCTTACTGGAAGTCTTGATGGGGAAGATTCTTTTTTGACTGGTGATAAGGATTGGACTGATTATTTTAAGGAACTCTGGCAAGGTGTCGTCAGTGCTGAAACTATTGAAGCTCATGCTTTGAAATACAAACGTAAGATTTAATATTTTTTTTTTTTATTTGTTGATTGATTATTTCTTTTTTTTATATTAGATTCAAAAGAAGAAGAAGAAGATGTATTGAAATACTATACGAAATTTAATGGAGATATGGATAAAATATTAGCACATGTGGAACATAGTATGGCTGCAGATGTACCTAGGTTTATGGATCTAATTCAACAAGGAATTCAAGACAAAAAAGTGGAAAAGTATTCTTTGTATGAAAAGACAACCACCCGATCAGCTCAAACAAGACGTATCAAGCAAGAACAAAAGGAAGCGCGTAACAGTGAAAAGGAACAGCAAAAAAAGAAAAAATCGGATACAAAGACAGATGAACCCAATGTGGATGATATACAATCACTTGAAGCAATCATCAAAAATAGGCAAAAAGATCGGCGGTCTCAACTGGACTCGATGTTGGACTCTATTATGGAAAACACAACAAAGAAACAGCAACCTAAGAAAAAGGAACCTTCAACAAAAACAACGACAAAAAAGACGACTACCAAACGCAAATCAAACACAAAAGATGACGATAATGAAGTGGCGACACCAGATAACAACGATGAAAGTGTAAAGAAAAGAAAAACGGTAGCCACCAAAGCATCGACAAGTACGCCATCGAAAAAGACAAACAAGAACAAAACAAAATCTACCAAATAGGTCCCGTTTTTTTTTCTCTTCTTCTTCTTTACCAAATTAGTGTCTAGGTGTTTCCCTTCTCCTTTTTCTTTTTAGGTTATACCTTTATTTTTTTTTTTTTAATTTCATCACTTTTAGTTGTTACTATTGTCTTCATTTATCTTCTTCATTTGTAAATAAACAAAATCCAAAAAATATTTTTTTTTATTATCTATTCCATTCATGATGAATGAAAAGAATCGAAATGAAAATTCTTTGTACACACTTTTTTAATAAAATATGAACATTGTCTTTGTTTTTTCGTAATAAAATATGAATATTGTCTTACACTTTTTTTTTTAATAAAATATCAATGGTGTCACACAGTGGAAAACGTGGTAGATCGAGCATGATGATCTACATTGTATCAACTCCTATTAAAATGAGATCTGGGCTATCTAGATACATTGGTTTAGCAAGTCAAATTAGGATATATCAAGATGTGATCAATGAAAGGAGTATCTAACGATTACTTTTTAATAAATACAGATGGAACTACACAAGCTTACATATATATATATATCAAGGGAGTGAAAAAAAAGTGTCATCATTTATTTATAAGGAAGAAGGAGTCAAACTATTCTAAAAAAAAAAAAAAAAAAAAAAAATAGGTACCGAAATGTTTACTATCTATCTATAACTTAAGTTGTCGTTTCAATTCTAAATACCATCCAACAGCTTCTACCCGGCGCATATCGGAAATACCAGACCCGCTGACGGTTTCATACACTATCTTTAGAGTAGATTGTTGCATTCCCTTTGTTTCTTGTTGTTTGATCAATTTTTCCACCAAAAAAAGTGCTTTACCAAAAAAGGGGCCCAATGACAAGGGTTTCAATAGATCAATCAAAAGTACAACATATTCAGATCGTAATGATGCATCTTTTTCATTTGAAAGTTGATTGATCTTCTCCAATACATGTTGCACAGTCAACCACGCTACTGCATCGTCCAATTCACATAATGATTGTACCATAGTCACATATGCAAGTCGAATTTGATGATGAGTTAATGGTGTAGGGAAGCTCTAGATAAATAAATAAACAAATAAATAAATATGAATATTGTTTATATATATATTGAAATAAAGATAAACTTACATTGATCAAAATCGTAGCATAACCACCAGCAAGTTCACGAGACACTGCCTTTTGAGAGGAAAAGATACCAAGAGTAGCAGCATGAGCACTTTCAAATAGATCCTTGTCAATGATGGTTTTCCATCTCAGAATAGGGTAGATGACAGGTAATATATCTTTTTCAATTACTTCATCCTCCAGTTCAGTCATGACTTGTTCTGCCAAATTCATAAAGAACAACAATCGAGTTCGTTGTACAGGTGATAATATAGAAGTGGATGGTGTTTGATCACTTGTATACAATGATGACCCTATGTATAAAAAAAATATCTATTAAAAAAAAAACAAACAATAACATCATTACAATTCTTTGCTGATGTACTTGCCATATTCTCGAAATGCTAAAGAAACAAGTTTGTTCAATTGACATTTATTTTCATCATGTTTCAAATAGGCCACAGAGTTTGTCATGGTTTCTTGATAGGCTTGGAATCCATTGGCAGAACCAAGTTTGTCATTGATAAAATGAAGATTTCCGTAAATAGATAATATGCCTTGTGCTATAGATTAGAGAAAGATTTATAAAATGACCAATGAAATATTTCAATTTTGTTCGACTACTTACCAGCATGTGGAACATCAATGAGTCCTTGTCCATCCAATACATCTACTGCCACAGCCTTCAATATGGCGGTGTAAGCAAATACCATGGTCTTGAAAATAGTCCATAAATTTGATTCTATCTTCTTGTATCGTTTACTTTCATCTAAAAGATTAAATGTTAGTCCTACTTGTTTTTTCCACTAATCATCCTAATTTACCAATCGTCATCATAGATTCATCATTTTGACTTGTATATCGATCCCAATCAATGAATATGTTGTATGATAAAGCTTCCAATCTGCAATAATAAAAAAAAAAAGGAAAAAAAAAAGATAGAGAGTCATAATCAATAAAACATGATCTAGTTCATTCTTTTTCTTCTTCTTCTTTTTTTTCTTTTCTTTCTACCTGTCAATGGCTAGTTGAATTGTTTCTGTTCCACCTTCCACGCGTTGTTCTAATAAAACTTGAATTGTCTTGCCAATAGATCGAGATATTCTTCCAATTTCTTTGAATAAAGGATCTTTTTGTAAATCCACCAAAATAGTTTCATCTTTCATTGGTCGTATGATTTGTCCATTCTTCCACAAATGATCACTTGTCGAATAACTTGATATTAACACTTGTAATAATGTCTAAAAAAAAAAGGAGGGGGATGAGTTATCTTAATATCAGAATCGTTTTCTTTGATATATCATCTTGTTCTTGATTACCTTTAAATTCAATGTTTTCATTGTATCTGATGTCAGATTGGGAAGACATTGGCCGCTAAAGTATGCAATAATATCTTGATTCACTGAGAATGACATACTTTCTTCAGGTGTCATGATTCTTGATAGTAATCGATCGAAATGTTGAATAAATAGCACTTGTGCTTTCTGAAGTATTCCTTGGACTTTTTTGGTTTTTTCCCCTTGGTTGAATTGCAACATCCGCCTATGAAAACAGTGATCGTAAAAAAAAAAAGGGAAGAAAAATAAAAAAGTTGTGAATAAATCAGGCTCAATTTCAATTCATATCCTATTTTTTTTTTTTTTTTTTTTTTTTTTTTACTTACACAATGCCAACAAGAATTGCCATAGTAGCGAAATAAACAGGTAAGGAAGATGAATCATTTTGCTCTTCTAACAAAGTTTCAGCCAGAGTATAGAGGGTATCAAGATCAGCGTCAGCACGACTAGTAGGCTTCAACTGAGAACGAATATCAACGGCATGTTCCAATAATGTGACAATAGACCATACACCATGAGGACGATGAGTTTCCAAAGATATCAAGGCTTCTAGTAAATCTTGACAGTATTCCATTTCAAATACATTCAATGTTGTCGATTTGGCCAAAGCATGAGCTACACCTGCTTCTAAAACTTCCACCATGGATGCTTCTTCCTCAGAAAGTTGTTGTTCAGAATAATATCGAATCACTTTGGTCATTGTAGTCAAAAGTTGCTCTTCATTAAAAGAAATTGGTGTACATCCTACTAAAGCGACAAGTCCCATCCATGCTTGCTTTCGAACGTTTAAAGTGGTTGTATCGTTAGGACCATAGGTCAACAGGGTATTAGAATAAAGAGAAAGTACATTGACCAATAAAGGTTCCTTATTGATCACGTCAGAAGTGGTACCAGATAATCGTCGAGTCCAAACTGATAAGAGACTATAGATAGCATTCCAACCTTTTGGTTCGTTGATAAGTTGAGTCTCCAACTGTAATAATGTACGAATAAGAGCTTGAGTGAACCAACTAAGAGGAAGGTGATTGCTATAGGTAGAGAGTAAATCAAGGTGATGCAGTATCTAAAAACCAAAAAAAAAAAAAGAAAAAAAAGTTGGTAAATAATATATTTGAATAAATAAACGTTTTTTTTTTTATTATTATTACCTGGTTATTATCAAGAGACTCATACTGTAAAAGTGTAGAATAACTATTGGATAGTGTATTACTAAGAGCCTTCAAGTCAACCTCTTCTGTGGACATATGAAAAAGAAAAAAGTAAGGGAAAGAGAAAAGAGAAAAATTAGAATTTGTGGGGCAGATTTTCTTTTTTGTCATCCAAATCCATACCCATTCGAATGTTCATACTCCGAATTCTTCTTTTTTTTTTTTTTTCTTTTTTCTAGGATTTGACAAGTAAGAATAACAAGCAAAAAGGGCTCTGATTTATTTTATATAGAATCATCTATTATTATTATTATTATTATTATTATTATTATTTAATATTAATATTGATAATATTTACCTATTTGATATTATTTGTATGAATAGAATTGGGCTTGGCTAAGAAAAGACTACCCAATTTTTTCTTTTTTTATTTTATTTCAGTTCCCGGGAATTTGGCGTTGATGAACCTTTTTTTTTTTTTCTCCTTTTTTAATTCTTTTTTTCTCTCTTTCTCTCTTTCTTTCTTTTTTTCTTTTTTTTTCTTTCTTTCTTTTTTATTCTTTATTCGTGTCTGTGTATTTGTCACTCTTTTACATAGACATACAAAGAATGAAACCATCTTTGATAACCTTGAACGATGCTATTACAGATTCCCCTGTTTACCGAGCTGACGTCCATCACTTTGACGAACAACTAGAACTTCTTGAAAAATGGTTGGATGCTTTGTCGAAACACTTGAAACTTTATTGTGACAAACTGAACAGTAAGTATATAAAGTCATTAATATGTACCTGACTTTTTCTTTTTATAATAGAATTCAATTTGGAAACTAACCTTGTGTGCAAGAAAGCTATGCCTATTGGTATTGACAATGCTCTAATTGGTAATATATATATTATGATACTTTTAAGAGAACCAATATTAATGATATGAATTTATTTTTATTGTTTTTTTTCTTTTTAGACCCTCACTTTACTGGTGCTGTTATAAAAAGTTTCTCGGATGCTTTACAGACAAGTCTTGCTTTCAAAACCAAACTCGTACGTTTTTTTTTTTTTTAAGGAGAGAGGAAGACAGGAATGGAAAAGAAGAATGAAACTCATAAATGACATATTCTTTTTATTTAGGTATCAGATTTGGAAGATAATTTTATTCAACCACTTCAACAATTTGTCAAAGTACAATTGAAGGAATTCAAGGTAAATAAAATAAATAGATAATATTAAAAAAAAAGATCATAGATGGAAATGTCAAAAAAAAAACTAACTTATTTTAATTTATTAGGATTTTCGAAAACAACATGAAAAGGCACTTGAACGATATGAAACTCAACTTTCCAAATATTCAGCACAAAGTAAATCCAAAGAAGTATCAGCATTACGTGAAGAAGCATTTCGATTACATGAAGCTCGTAAATATTACGTACATATGTCTGGTCAACACGTTGTACGTATTCTTCAATTTCGATCAAGTCTTGAACATACTCTTGTTGAACAATTCTCAGCTGCAACTCTGGCTCATTTGAATGATTTTGATGGTGGTATGCATGTTTGGCAGAAATTGGATACTCATTTGGCATCTTGGAAACAATGGCTAGTAGATGTAAAAAAAAATCATTTTTTTTATTATTAGTAGTGATTCTTTTACTCATTTTTAGTTTTATTTTATTTATAGGACAAAAGTACTTGCAATTATCAGTTACACAAACTTCAAAACACGCGAAAAGAACTTGAAAATGAATATATTAACCAAACCCAACCACCTCGTGATCTTGAAAAGTACGCTCCATCAGCTTTCAATACTGTCCTTCAATCACCAATGACCAATCGATTTTCAATGGATTTATTAGAAACTACTCCTGATCAAAAAGCACATCACAAATGGGGTTACTTATTTACTCGTGGTTCTCGTGGTTATTGGACTCGTCGATGGTTCTTTTTGTATGATGGTTATTTTGGTTCTTGTTTGGTGAATGCTTCTTTAAAATTGAAAGGTGCTATTAGTTTGGATGAACGTGTATCAGTACTCTTATCTGAAATCAAGCCTATTTTGGACATCGATCGACGTTATTGTTTTGAAGTAGTTTGTGTTCAAAAGTAATTTATCATCATCATGATATTGGTTTATACTCATCTTTTCCTTTCTCTCGTTTTAGATCTCCTATTGTTGTACAAGCAGAAACTGAAGATGAAATGAAGGATTGGATAACAGCATTCGATAAAGCAAAACGATTAGCCATTCAAAATGAACAACTACCTTCTCATCCAATTCAAACAGATGAAAACAACAATAACGATCATATGGACTCACATGATATCAACAACAACAACAATAATAATAATAATAAACGATCCGTCGGTCACGCAGATGTCTCAAAATCTTTTATTACTGACCTTTCTCATACCACATCTTTATCATCCACGCCAACTAATGGAGATACAACAAATGAAAATAAAAGCAACAGTAATCAACCTACTATTGTCCTTTTATCAACTTCTGCTGATAATGATCGTGTCTCTCTCGCCAATTCAACTTCATTGACACCATTATTAGTTTGGGAGGCTGCCCGTGCTCAAACATCATCTCAAGCAAGCTCTTCACCTTTCTCACCTACTCTGGATCATTATTCAAAAGACAATATTACATCTAGTATTGATAATGGTGGTACGAAATCTCATGAAGTCACTAATGGGCATCGCAACAATGGAGATAATGTCAGCAAAACTACTGTCACCACTACAACTGCTGATGTTACTGCCTCAGCTACTACTACAACGACAACAACAACGACAACTACGACAACATCATCATCTACCAAACGACCTCCTCACCTTAATCTACACTCTGAAAAGTCAAATACATCTTCTGCTAATACCAGTTGGGGTATTCCATGGACTTTGGTACCAAGTATGTTCCAATCCTCTGGTGATAGCAATGATCCTCCTCCAACACCTGCCAATGCCCCACCTAGTCCCATGTTTAGTGATCTTGATGGTCATCAGGTAATTTGGCCTGCCAATCTTGATGATGGAAATGTGCCCAAAGTAGAATTGACGGATTATTCTGCCGAACTGGAACAAAGGAACAAGGAATTAAGAAATTTATTCGGTGGCGTATCAAAACATGAAGTGGTTTTAGATGGTAAGCAAAAAAAAAAAAAAAAAATTGGCAGATAGATGTATACATTGACTCCTTGTTTTTTTATTTATTTATTTTACTCTTAGCTTTTATATGCTCACTGAAAAAACCACCCAATGCAGCTAGTAATGATATGGACAATACAAAAAACGATGATGATCTCGATTGGCCAACTTCACCCATTGGATCTGGTAGTCCCTTGGAACAAATGGAACAAGATTTACAAATGCAATTAACTCAAAATGTCAAGCCTCCCACTTCCGAATTTGGATATTCTTATACTGGTCGTGCCTTTGTAACTCAGGAGACATTCTGGTTATACAGTTGTGTGGTCATGACATGTGTCCATACTGTGGCAGTACGACTACGAGATATTACTAATATTCGACTTGTACGTGATCCATCCATTACCAATGTTGGCAAGCAATCTAATATCGCTCTCGCAATTGATCTCAAGCAAGATGATGTTTCTCCTCGTCGTGAACCCTTGATCTTAGCAACCTTGATGGATGATATTGAAGTAGTGGCTGAAAAATTAAGAATCGCAGTAGATAATGCAAAAAGCAATGATGTAAGTCTCAAAAGTAAATTGAAAAGAAAAAAAGAAAAGAAAAAGATATTGAACTACTATTTTTTTTTTTTTTTAGCCTAGCCCATTACAAACAATGTACGATATTTTACATCACATGTCTGCAGCCATGTCGAAAAAGAAGAATGCACCTATCACTACCATTATTCGATCAGAACCAGTCAAAGCACAATCTTCACCTGATCTTCTTCGTCGTCCAAGGTCAAACAGTAGTAACGACATACATGGTTTGGAACCAGCAGCATCACCTATCCCATCATCATCCACTTCTTCAAGACTGGAACGTATTCGAAAAAAGAAAGGTGGAAAAACATCTAATAGCAATAATGACAATCATAGCAACAAACATCAACCCAAATCAGGTGCTTTAGCTGCGGCAATGATGGCTGCTACAGTGGCTGGTGGTGGAAGTTTCTTTGATGTTAGTAAGATGGGCAAAATGGATGATGATTTGGATTTGAATACAAAGAACAGTACTCGCAAATTAGAGGATACTTCTGGCAAAATGAACAAAGATGATACTACAGCATCAACAAAAACAACAGATGAGGAGCAACTCAAAAAAGGTGATCCAGGTAAGCAACAGAAAACAAAAGATAAACATACAAATTTTTTAATATTTTTTTGTTTTTTTTTTTTATTTTTACTTTATTGAAGATGCACTTCCCGCTCATATATCCGCTCCTCAGGGTCCTATTACATGTGGTTGTAATGATCATCTTGAAAAAATGGAATACCAAGTCGATGTTCCACTTTCAGCAAAACGATTGTACGATCTATTATTTTCCGAAGAGAAAACTGGTGCAGTGGCTAAAGGTGGTATTTGGGAACAGAAAACAGCAGCCAGTGGAAGTCGAGGTAAGCAAGGGGAAATTCAAAAGAAATTCAAAAAAAAAAAAAAATTCAATGATAACATTTACCGTCCTTTAATAACTAGACCTCAACGTTGGTGCCTGGTCTGATGTGGATGGAAAACAACAACGTCTTTTGAAATATGTAATGCCTGTTAGCAATCCAATGGGTAAGTCCTTTTTTCTTTTTTCTATCAATATATATATATCTTGACCATACTAACCGACAATTATCTTTTATATCTCTATCAGTTAAAGTCAAAGAAGCTGATGTAGTTGAAACACAAGTACTGTTGAACAAGGATGATTACTTGTAAGTAATGATTTAATCGTGATGACACCCAAGAATGATGAATGACGATGATCTTACTAATATATATATATATATTAATTTATTTCTCTTAATGATAGACGATACGTTATACAGATCTCAACCAAAAGTGCTCAATTACCTTATGCTGATGCATTTATTCCATCTATTCGATATTGTATAAGTTGGATTGATGCCTCACATTCGCATCTCTCTATTTGTATAGGGGTCAAATTTGTCAAGAATATCCTCGTCAAAAGTAATATATATATATATATATATATGTAAAAGGAACTGTGGAAAACTAATCATTGAACTTTGAATTTAGGTATGGTGATGAAAGCTGCTTTGAAGGGAATGAGTGAAAGCATTGTTCAATTTGCACCGATGATTATGGAACATGCCAACAAATTGAATGGAGGAGAATCAAGAAAAGAAGGAACTGACAACAAATCTGGTCAAAATAACAATGACAACAACCTCAACAATGCAAACAACGGTAATAACACAAACAATACCAATTCAACACTCGGAACACAACCATCGAGCACTGGAAAACAACAAGTGAGTGGATGGTATGGACAATTGATTGAAATCTGGGAAATGATTCAAGATATAGTACCTTTCCCGGTTGGAAGTGTGATCATTGGATTATTGATACTCTGGGTGATATGGGCTTGGGTCCGATCTGGTCGACAACAACAAGGATTACACCATTCGCATTATGCAGGTCATCAAGTCACTTCAAGAGCTATTTATCTACGTGATGTTGAAGAAGGTCTGCTCAACAATACCCTTCCATCTTCTTATACGGACCACAATTGGTAAAGAAATTAGTAAAAAAAGAAAGATATAAAGATACTCATTTTTTTTTTTTTTACCATAGTTATCAATTCTACTTGCAATCCAAGATTAATCATGTAGGCAATAATAATTCAACAAGTACTTTGGATCAATGGTTTAGCGACAAACATTATGCATTTTCGATAGATCTCCTCTTTAGCCGTGAAAGACTTGCTATCTTACGACATGATACCCTGGTGATTTTCCGACTTTTGAATCAACTGGATGCACAACTTTCGGAAAATGAATATGTCAATTGGTTGTTGGATGCAAGACTCGAATGCCATGCTGGTGTCACCATGAACAATGCAGTCAAATGTGAAGCCGTCCATCGACAGTTACAATCCCTTATTACATCCCAGTAGACTCTATATTGTTATTATTAGTAGTAGCTGCGAGGTAATAATTAGTGCTATTGTTAGTATTAGGTTACAGTTGTTTTAGTGTACAATCAAATAAATCTTTTTCCAAGTATAGTGCAAATTTGTCAGAAAAAAAAAAAAGAAAAAAAAACTTTTATAGTCCATTATCATATAAACCATTGTTATCGAGCCATCATCAGACGAATCATTGTGCCTGGAATATCAAAAAAAAAGAGTTCCTTATAAAATAATATTATAATCAACTTCATTGGGTTCCATTGTCATAGTCATTAACTGTAGAGCTCAATCATGTTAAGCTCTTGGATATTATCAAATCATCATCTCAGTCTCGTTACAAGAATCAATCCATCTTTGTTCCAGTTGATCCGGGTGAAAAAAATTATATAACATCCTTTGATTTCAAAATAAAATAAAATGAAATGAAATAAAATGTTTATTCAGTAAAATAATAATAATAATAAAAAAAATACTACATGAACAGTATCTATATGTTTGTCTGATAGTCCATCATTGATAGTTGTTGTTAGTTCCTTATACAGGTCCAGTGCCTCCAGGAATAAGCTATCAAAAAAAAAAAAAAAAAAAAAAAAAAAAAAAAAAAAAAAAAAAAAAAAAAAAAACTGTCAGTACCATGATTCTCGATCTTCCTCAGATTACAAAGTAATAACGTACCGCACAAATGTTATTGCCATTCAATAGAATTTGATCCAGTTTGTGAATCTTATATCCATCTTGAGTATTTTCACTATTATCATTTAGAAAGAAAAGAGAAAAAAAAAAACGCGTTGAGTCGCATACTCTTTTTTTTTTTCATTTGGTTGACAAATTACTTACTATTCTGTTACATCTTCTAATACCATATCTAAAACACAAAAAAATAAATAAATAAATAAATAAATAACGAATCAATTAAAAAAACAAGATCTTTTGTTATGGACTTACTAACATAATCGTCAAAACCTAATAATTTGCCTGTGAATTCCTTTTCATTTTTCATAACCACCCAGATTTTGGATCCAATACATTTATCGATAAGTTCTATTTCAAAAAAAAAAACATAATAAGTATATGGTTCTAATCATTACAAAAGTATAAAAAGAAACTTACCTAAAGGTAAGAGTTGTGAAGTGGCCATTGAAGATGTGTATGAAATATTTATTCAAAAGAAAAAAAAAGAAAAAAAAAAAAAGAGGACAAAAAAATCAAAAAAGTGGAAGGCGGAGAGTCAAAAACATACTGTCAAGAAACCTTGACTTACAATGGGTCTTGATCAACTAGATGACCTAATTGACCCATTTGATCCATAACAGATCCTAATATAAGTAAATTAGACTTGGTATCAAGAGGATAGTTATTTTGACTAGTTTCACTAGTATCCACCATTGGATTTTCTACTACCATCGTTTTAGTATCGAACATGACATCTGAATTATTATCAACAGGTGGGACGCTAGATATCCGATCGTCATCCGTCTGTAAAGGATAATCAACTGGGAAATAGGATAACAAATTCATAAACTTCTGATAATCATCATCATCATCACTAATATAATCTGTATTATCAAGGTCAAGCTCGTTGTAGATATAGTCGTCATTTGGAATAGATGCTGTATAGATAGCCATTATTTTATTGAAAGTCATCAACATAAAAAAGAATAAACATTTGTTCTGCATGATGATGGAAAAAAAATAATAATCTATGATTGATTCGTAATTCTTCTTTTTTTTTTTTTTTTTTTGCTTTATTTATAGTTTCCAGGAGATTTGACAGAAGTTTGCAAAAAAAAAAAAAAAAAGAGCATACCATCCTATTTGTATTTATGCATATTATCATTCAAACATCCTCAATGAAAAGAATTGAGAAAAAAAAAGTGATCATCCTGGATACATAATCATTTGTCGCAAAAATTAAATTATTTAATAATATAACGAGGATTGATTAAAATCCCAATATCTGATGATTCTTTCTCCCTTGTTTGCCTTATCATCAAGAGGATGATTTCAAAATAGGTCTTAGTTTTCTTTTATTTTGTTAAGGATACCTCCTTTTTTTTTAAAAATTCTCTATATACTATGTTTAAACAGCCTTTCGCTGGTGGATTGTTCAATAATAATAATAGTAATGATAATAGTAATAAAGATGTTGATGTCATAGCTTATAGACCCCTCGGATATTCTATATTCCTTAAATTTTCTCTTATTTCTTCATTCTTAATATCTGGTATATGAAAAAAAAAAAAAATAGATGATGCCACGTTGCTTATGATCCCCTCAATACATGCATCTTTTTTTTTTTTTGTTTTGCTTTTAATATCATCCGCCAAAAGCTTATTATACAAAGCTCATTAATTCTAACCAATTTAAAGTTGGTAAGGGCGGTGAATGAAACAGGCCTAGTCAAAAAGAGCTGTTTTATTTGACCCTTCCCATTTTTTTTTTTTTGTTATAAAAAAGTGTAACTCATCTTCTCTTTACTCCTTCTCTCCTTATCTGTTTGCATTCATTGTTAAGGATGGTTTTTATTTTTTTTATCTTTTTATTATCTTGTTGGATATCATTATGTTTGGCTAAAATCAATAACATTGTGGTCTTTGGTGACTCTTATTCCGGTATAGTTAAAAAAGAAAAAAAATTTAGGTGATATTGCTTAACTCTTTTTTCTCTCTCTTTTTTTTTTTTTTTTTTGTCCTGTTTCTCTTTTAGACTTGGGCAATCGACAATTATCGAGTAATGGTCCTTTATGGAGTCAACATTTAGCTATAGGATGGAATGCATCATTATATAGTTTTGCATTTAGTGGAGCCACTTGTGATCAGTCATTATACCAACAAAGTAATAATACCACTGCACCATCCTCACCAAGTATAGTAGATCAATTGGAAATTTATTATCAACAGCAATTAAATTTGAAGCCTGAAGATACCATCTATGCATTCTGGGTTGGATATAACGATATTTATAATATGCTACAAACAAACGATCAAAGTATGTCAAACATTCTTTCATCAATGACTCAACTAACTCATTTTTGTTTTCTCTTCTCTATCCTTCGCTACTTTATATAGATTATGACCAACTCACCGATTGTATTATTCAACAAATGGTAAGTGATATAAGTAAAAAAAAAAAGAAAAAAAAAGAAAAAAAAAGGAATATTGCCATTCTAACGAATATACTATAATAGCATAATGTTCGCAAAGTATTTGGAACGAATAGATTTCTTATGTTTACTTTGGTTCCCATGGACAAGATGCCTTACTTTAATAAGGATAATGATAAGATTGCATTACAACGACAGAAACAGGCCATCGATAATTTCAACCAACTTCTTCATGAAAAAGTATCCAACTTGGTCAAGCATCATCAATCTCTTGAATTGGATCTAGTAGATGCTCATGATTTACTGAAAGATATGGTGAACAATCCTGATGAATTTGGATTCAAGGATGGACAACACTCATTTTGGGATACTTGTCAAGGTCAATGTCATGAATCGGTGGATGATTATATCTGGTGGGACAAGACTCATTTGACAGGTGGTGCACATCGAATCATAGCGAACAGCATCTTGGTCTCAGGCTCTATGGAACCTTCCGTCACCTTACCTTCTCCAGAGGTTGTAGATGATATGATACAAACACCTGGATCACGGTTCCAATCTCCTCATTACAAAGCAAAGTTTAATACCGGCATTATCGACAAACTTGTCAAAGAAATCAATACGGCAAAGCAAGACGATAAAAACCCATTAACACAAGATGATGATGATCTTGATGAATTGGATGAAGATGATTGGATGCTTCGACCTTTATATATTGGCGCTTTATGTACCGTGATGTTATGTATTGGGTTTGTGCTTTACAATAAACAACAATCAAAACGACGAACTAGTGATGGTGGAAGCTTGGCAGCATTATCTGGTTTAGTCAATAGAAATCGAGATAATGGTCGTGGTCGATTTACTCCTTTACGCAATATGGAATCTTCTTCAACCGTAGTATAGTACTTCCCTTTGATTATATATATATATATATATATTTATCGTATTATTTATTGTCATTCATTTCATTTGTAAATAAACCATCTTGTGTTATAAGTAAATATTATGATTGTTGTCAGTGTCAATTGGAACTTTTTTTTTTTTTTTTTTGATATTCAGATGAGGGGGGAAATGTGGTCAAGTTTTGACTGAGAGTGTGATATAAAAAGAGAATAAGATGATTCAGTGCGCATATGATAAAAATTAAAAAAAAAGGACAATTGTGCTGCTTTTGTATATCTCTGTGTGTGTTAACGTGGATTTACTTCTTTTTTTTTTTTTTTTTTTTTTTTTGTCTGTAACAGATATGAATAAAAAAAAGAACAACACACAGCAATCAACGGTTTTAAAGAAACAATCACTTTTACCATTCCCTGTGACTGGACCAGTCGATTATACTCTCTGTGGATTTGCCTTTGAAAATGAAACATCATCTACAGTCTGGCCATTATATCGACTTTCCCATCCAACCAAGGACATATCTTCGTCCTATCTTATAGATAAAAGTGCTCAATGGTATCAACGGCCATCCTTCTATATGTTGAAATCATCATCATCATCATCATCATTACGTGTACGTAAACCATATTGCTCTAAACATCGATCTATTTTCACTCCCAAAGTGAATAGGTATCTCCAAGAAATGTTTTTCTCCACTATAGGCCGCAATCAAAAACTCACCAAGGCACTTCGACAAAAAATCATGCGTGAAACAGGCATCAGTTCTCGAAGTTTGACCTATTGGATGTCCAATCACAAACGACGATCACCTTTATTGTTACAACAATTTCAACAGGCCGTCGATCAAAGTGGTGGTCAAGTCCAAACTTTGGAAGATTTTGAATTATGGATGACTCTATCAAAACAAAACATGACCGAGTAGTTATATCTTTTTTTTTTTTTCTTTATGATCAATAAAACAATTGTTGATTAACCCCTCCCCTTTTTTTCTATCATTTTCTTTTTAAATATAATAAAATAAAAATCGAGAGATTTGTGATGATGATAATGATGATCAAAACGCCACAGAAAAAATATACATATACATGTATGATGATTGCATAAGATAATTTGTTGAGGAGGGATGAACATTTTTTTTTTTTTAACAGTGATCATTTATTTCATCCTCCGCGTTAAGAACTCCATTTGGAAATGTGTCACGCTTATCTGTGCTTTCCATGGAAAAAGTAATGTAAAAAAAAAAAGTATAAACATATAGGCATATATATAAATTATAAATAATTGAAATTGTATATATATATCTTCTCTCTCTCTGATTTTAATAGTGAAAATATAATAAAAAAAAAATCCAAATGCAGAAAAATGAAAAAAAAAAAATTCAAAAAGTATAATCTCAACTCGGCGGTGTCAAAATAGTAAAAAGGGGAGGTTTTTTCTTTTTTTTTTTTTTTTTTTTTTTTTCTTTTGTCTCTCTCTCTTTTTTTTTTTACATTCTCTCACTTTCTTACTCTCTTTTTACACGCTAGTGTGTGTGTGTGTATGTGTGTTTACTTCACCCTTTTACACCCTGACTTCTTTCTTTCTTCTATCATCTTCTAAGCCTTTGTCTCTCCTTTTTTTTATTTTATTTTATTTTTATTTTACAACCATTATTTCGTGACCATCATCCAGTTTTATTCACTTTTTTATTAGTCTATTTTTTTTTTATTTTATTTTATTTTACCCTTCGTTTTAATTCTTCTTCTTCTGAATTCAGTATCTTTTTATTAGTTTACATCATGAACGGTAGTCCTATTCCTTCATCTGTTACTAGTTCTCCAAAACCCAATGATATTATTACCGTGGAGGGTAAACGCATTTTATGTACAGCTGATATCAAAGGTAAAAACTTAATTTATTATTCTTTAATAACTACACTTTTAACATTGACTCATTTTTTTTAATATTAGGTTGCATCTCTCAACTTAACCAATTAGCACGCGACGCCAATGCCCATTGTATTATTCATACTGGTGATTTTGGTTTTTATGGTAAATACGGTATTCAACATCATGATGTTATTAATTCTTTTTTTTTTTATTCCAAACTCTTTTTTTTTTTATTATAGAACGCTCAAGTTTAGAACGTATCGATGACAGGTATTTAGAAAATGAAATAATAAAAAAATCATCATATGACTGATATTTTTTTTTAATATATATTCTTCATGAAGAACATTAAAACACTTGATCCAATACAGTACTTTGATCCCTCCATATATGCGTGGTCGATTCAATAATTCACCTATTGATCAAGTCCGACGTACGATTGAAACCGCTCCTCAACAAGCTTACTTATCTGAATTCCCTGATTTCCTTTCTGGTGAGAAACAATTGGATGTACCTGTTTATACTGTATGGGGTGTTTGCGAAGATGTGGCTATTCTGGAAAAGTTACGATCTGGTGAATATTCAGTGCATAATCTTCATATCTTGGATGAAGCTACTACTTATTTATTGGATATTGGTGGTGTCAAATTACGTTTATTTGGTTTGGGAGGTGCCGTTATTCAACATAAATTATTTGATAATGGAGAAGGTAACAATAATAATAATAATAATATTTTTTTTATCAATATGACTAAAATGACAAACAAAATATTTTTTTTTGATAGGCACGGATACTATTGCTGGTGGATCTGGAATGATGTGGACTACTGCCTTACAAATTGGTGAATTGGTGGAAACTGCACAAAAAGTAAGATAAAAAAAAATTAAACAATAAGAGATTAATTCTAGAAATGAATTTATTAGGTATATGATTCTTCTGAAACAAGAATCTTGGTTACTCATGCAAGTCCGGGACGTGAAGGTTTATTGGCTCAGCTGTCACTTTATTTAAAGGTATAAAAAATTTTAAGGGATGAAGGAATTGTTAAATTGACATTTTCTTTTTTTTTTTTTTTCTTTTTAGGCTGATTTCACTATCTCTGCTGGTCTTCATTTTCGATATGGTATTGCTTATAATGAATTCGCTTGTCAATCTCATCAAGATCATTATAGAGAACGATTACTTCAATCTCAACAAAACTTTTTACAACTTTGGGAAACTATCAAGGATCAAGTGGAAAGTTATGTTGAGTAAGTGAAATAGGTATAAATAAAAGGATTATTTATTGATCTTTGTTTTTTTTTATATATAGTAATCATCAAGCTCTATTACTTCAAAATACATTGGAAGTAGTGAATCGATTACCTCCTTCCTTACATGATTCTGGTGATGAAGGATCTGAACATAGTCAAAACAATCGAGATGAAATAGCATTCAAGAATCTATGGAATTTCAATTTACCCGATGCCGCTTTAGGATGGATTGTACTTGATGTCAACAATGGTCATGTTGGTGCTGAAATGAAATCTCAAGGATTCAACTTTGCTTATCGTCGTACAAATTCATCATCCAATAGTCTCAACCATACCCCTTATGCTGGTTCTTCTCCTGCTTTATCTACTGCCACTTTCCCACCAAGACCTTATGCCTCTTCTGATAAATACAAACCTGATTATCAACAAGGAATATCTCGCAATAATAGTATCAATAGTGGAAATGATAATATCAGTAGTAACAATTCTGAAATGAATGATTCTTCCAGTAATAATAAGGATGATCAAAATTCTTATCGTCAATCGAAACGACAAAGTAGTATGGTAAGATGATGATGATTGATCTTTTTTTTTTTTCATTCTTTCATTTTTTTTTTTTTTTTTTTTTTTTTTTTTTTTTTTTTTAGCAACGAAGCCCTTATGCTATCTTTGTTGGTGGTCTTAATAATGGACAAGTAACAGAAAATGATATTCGAGAATTCTTTGATCCCAAATCGGTATGATTAAAAAAAAAAAAAAATAAACAAAACAAAAAAAAAAGATGATGATCTGATATAATTTTTGAATTAGGTGACTGATGTACGAATCCCTATTGATCAAGAAACCAAATTACACAAATCACATTGTTATGTTGACTTGGTGGATCCTATTTCATTGGAAGCTGCTTTAGCAAAGAATGGACAAATCTTGAAAGATAACAAACTTATCATCAATCGTTCAGCACCACCACAATATGGGGATAATCGTCGTGGACGTAATGGAAGAGGTCGTAGTTTTCGACCACCTCCAAAATAATCATGATTACACTCTTTGATATTTTTTTTTTAGTTTCAGTTTTTTTTATTCCCCCATCTTTTTTTTTTTTTATTTTATTTTTATATTTTTATATATTCGTATATATATATATATTTTACATATACACAACTCTTTCTTTATATATCTTCTTTTATTGTAAATGCTGTGTCTACCTTTTTTGAAATTAAATAAAAGAAAGCTTATTGTTTATTCTTCTTTATGAAGTTACTTTGAGAAACCGCATGAAAAAAAAAAAAAAGAAATTTCAGGAGTAGTTCCCGATTTATTTTGGTCAACTGACATTCTTATTTTATATATAAAATGAACTAATTTTCATCATTTTTTTTCTTTTTTTTCTTTTTTTTCTTTTTTTTTTTCTCTTTTATTCTTTTTTTTTTTTTTTTTTAACAAACATGAAACTTTTTAGTTTAACGACAATAGTGGCTACATTTATTACTATAGAAGCTGCTTTTACAAGGTAAAACTCATATGAAACACTTATCTCCGCATTCGTTTGATATATTTTTTGTTGTTAGGATTCCTATCAAAAAAGCAGATGAAACTCCTTTTGAAAAAATGCAGCGTTATGCTCATACAAGTGAATACTTGAGTCAAAAGTATTTTGGTAGTCGATTGCCTCAAACTAACATGATGGATGCTTACAAGATGCATTGTCAAGGTAATGTTAATCATGGTGTTCCATTGTCAAACTATATGAATGCTCAGGTAAGAAAATTATATAAAAAAAAAAAAAAAAAGAGGAACAAAAATTTTTTTTTATATTTTTATTATTCACTTAGCTTTATGGGGGAAGTATTGTTCTCACGTTTTTTTTCTTTTTTTCTTTTTTTTTTTTTTATATATATATCTAATTATAGTACTATGGTACCATTGAAATTGGCACACCACCTCAACCATTTACAGTGGTATTTGATACAGGATCATCCAATCTCTGGGTGCCTTCCAAACATTGTACTTCTATTGCTTGTTTCTTACATAAACGATACGATTCTAGCAGTTCGAACAGCTTTGTGGAAAATGGGACAGAATTCTCTATTCAATATGGGTCAGGCTCTCTTGAAGGGTTTATCAGTCAAGATACGGTCCGTGTGGGTGGTATTGCTTTACCTCATCAAGGATTTGCAGAATCGACCAAGGAACCAGGTTTCACGTTTGCTATGGCACGATTTGATGGTATTTTGGGATTGGGGTATGATACCATTGCTGTACAACATGTCGTACCTCCGTTTTTCAACATGGTGCATCGTGATTTGTTGGATAGTCCTGTCTTCTCCTTTTGGCTCAACAACAATGGCGGTGAAGACGATGGTGGTGAATTGGTGTTTGGTGGTATGGATCCTGCTCATTATCAAGGCGACATCACTTGGGTACCTGTCACCCGTCGAGGCTACTGGGAAATTGAATTGCAAAACATAAAGTTCAATGGTGATTACGTTGATCTCGATCCTATTGGTGCTGCTATCGATACTGGCTCTTCTCTTTTGATTGCGCCTAATACCCTAGCCGAGTTGATCAACAGCGAACTTGGGGCCGAGAAGAATTGGGCTGGTCAATATACGATTGATTGTGATAAAATCCCTGATTTGCCGGAATTCTGCTTTGTGTTTGGTGGAAAGGACTTTTGTTTGGATGGTACTGATTATATCTTACAAGTTCAAAATCAATGTATCTCTGGTTTCATGGGGTAAAAAAAAAAAATGATAAATTAAGATCAAATGATTGATTCTTTTTTTTTTTTTTTCTCATAGAATGGATATCCCTAGCCCTGCTGGTCCTCTTTGGATTGGTAAATAGATATATAATAATAAAAAAAAAAGATAACCATGTGATTAATTTTTTTTTTTCATAATAGTGGGTGATGTCTTCCTTCGAAAATACTACAGTGTTTATGATCTTGGAACGAATCAAGTTGGTTTTGCAAAGGCAACTTAGTCTTTATTTGTCTATATTTTTGTTAGTTTAGCTTACTTTAGTGTGTCATATCTCTGTTTTATATCTTTTTTTTTTTTTTGTCAATAAAGCTGGTTTTGTATTACCTTTCTTTTGGATGCTGCGGTCAAGATAAAGGTACTTTTTTTTTTTTTTTTTTTTTTTTTACATTCATGAACTGGCTTATCGACGAGAATAATGATAAAAAAAAAGAGAACGGTTATCTTGGGAAATAAGTCATTGAAACTCCAGATCCAAAAGTAAAAGGAAGTTGCAGATTTTTTTTTTTTTATTATTCAGAATCTAAACAAAAAATATCCCATGATTTATCTCAGAGTGATAGCATATGTAGACAAATGTAAATAAATGTAAAGTATATAATAGTGACAGCCGATACACTTTATTCAATAAAAAATGACGGAATTCAAAGAAGAAGATGTCGCAAAAATAGGAAATAAAATATCGTAAGGATAGAAAATAAATGACGGTGTAGAAAAGAGAGAGTTGTCGCATAATCAAATAGAGAATATAAGAAGATAAAGAACATAAAGAAAAGGAGTGATAGTAGTTCCATTGAGTATTTTGAATAACAGAAAATAAAATATTATTTAGTCAACATATCCATTTTTTTATATTTATTTCAAATTACCTGTAGAAAAGCATTAAATGCGTCCTCCGAAGAGGCGATAACATATTTTTATATGTTGCTGTTACAGTTAGATATTCACTTTGAACACCAAGAGAGATTTCAAAAAGAAAAAGAAAAAAAAAAAAAAGAGAAAAAAGAAACAGAAAAAAAAATAAAATAAAATAAAATATCACTTTTTTATATCTCTCACTTGATCAAGGAATAAAATAAACCTGGCAAAAATATCTCAGAAAAAAAAAATAAAAGAACTATTATGCAAATTTACATTTGTCATCGATCGATCGAATGTCTCAGTTAATGAAAATAAACAAAGAAGACCCCAGTAAATGATTTTTTTTTTTTTAAAAAAAAAGAAAGGAACTATTATGCAAATTCACATCAACATCACAAGATATGAATATTACATTAGTATATCCCTGTCTTATATGATACAATATAAAAAATATAGTTCTTTTTTTTCCAAATATGTCCTGTTGAAAAGAATCAGCTAACAATCAGTCATCAATCATCAATCATCAATCAATGACATACTCTACCCACATCTCTGGAGCGATATCTGAAAAAGTGGTAATGCGACATCCATTTTGGGAAAGTACGATTTTTTATTTTATAACATCAGCATTTTCTTGTGACCCGACAAAAAACTTTGAAAACACTGTATTTATTAATTTCTCCAATAATAACAATAATAAAATAGATAAGGTCAATGATGTTATGAAAAATACAAAAGAAGAGAAAATGATATACTAAAATAGTAATCGATCTATCACACAGGGGTTGATTGTGCTTTGGCAACTTCCATCTGTAGAGAGGTGGTATATTCGGTAAGCATGTCCAGCTGTTCTTGGTATTTGGATTCGGTAGTAGACAGTGATTCCTAAAATAGGAGAATGATTGAATGAATAAAGTAACTTATATATCATCTATCGTACCTTTCCTTTGATAACTTCATCTTTCAATCTTTGGATTTCATTGTGTAATGATCGTTTTTCTTCATCTTGTTTGGTCAGTTTATCTTTCAAAGATTCCACAAGGTTTGCAAATCGACATGCTTTGCTATCGGCAGTTTGCAACTAAATAAAATAAAAAAAAAAAAAAACAAAAATCTATCAAGTTCATCCAAATACTTTTAATTTTTTTTTTTTTTACCTTTTCAGTTAATTGATTCAACTTTGATTCATAATATTGCTTCATCTTGTCCTCCCGTTCTTGGATCATAGCCGCTACTTTTGATTCATCCTAAGAAATAATAATAATAATCAGCAATAAGAAAAAAAATAAAAATGGATAATAGTAATTCATTTATCCCTTGATTTGAACTCACATAATTGTTGTCATTGTTGTCATCACGGTCACCATTGTTATCTTCATTGGAAGATATGCCAATCTGAGACGCTTGTTGTTTGGATTCGTCGCTAATGTTGCTTGTTGGATCAACAGAACGTTCATCATTATTGTTGGATTGAGTACCATCTTTTTCTGCTGCTCCTATGTCTTTTGGTACTGGGTAAACAAATGGTTGATCATCGTCTTCTTCTTCTTCTTCTTCTTCCTCATCTTCTTCAACGATATTGTTGTGGATATCACTTTGTCGTTGGTTGATACGATCATTCGCTTTTTCTTTTAATTGCTGTTGTTCTTCAAGAGATTTTTCGTAAGACACCACTTGTACACGAAGATCCGATAATTGTTGTTGCTAATAAATAATAATATTAATAATTAAATATGGTAATCATCATCATCATAATACCTTTTTTTTTCCTTTTTTTTTTTATTACCTGTTCTTCCAATTGAGTTTCCAAATGGGCAATTTTTTCTTCCATCGTATTCAAAACTTGTTCCTTTTGTTGCACTTCTCCAGTAAGTTTCTCCACTGTAGCTGAAGTATCTATCCGTAATGTAGCATTATCCTTAACAAGAGCATTCTTTTGAAATTCCAAATCAGTGTTTGCTTGCTTCAAAAGAGAATTCGCTTGTTGTAAATCTTTTATTTCGTTCTCCAGTTTCTGAATTTGTTGTTCTGTAGACGTCGATTGATCAGTGTGTTGTGTTCTAAGCTGATTGGCAGTAGATTCAGCTGCCTCGATATCATGTTCCAATTGTTTAATGCGTTGTTCTGCTGCTGATTCTTTATCGGCTTGACTAGATTTAAGTTGTGTTATGGTGTCTTGCAAATCTTTGATTCTTATTTCCAGTTTTTCGATTTGATCATTCGTGCTTGATGAGAGATCTGCGAGCTGTGTCCTCAAGTCTGTAATAGTCTGTTCATATTCCAAGTTCTTGTCTTCTTGATTATCTTGTTGTTGATACTCATCCAATAACTTTGTTTTCCTATAATCGATCACATAAAAAAAAAAAAAAAAAAAAAAAGAATATATGAGATATCTTACCTTTTTAACCCATTCTCAGAGATCAGTAACAAATATACTTACGTTGATAATTCTTCTTGCAAGCGTACGATTTCACTTTCCAAGTTTGCCCTTTCCTTAACCAACGAGGATGATTGACTAGATGTTTCAGACTGCAATAAAGCGCGTTCATCTTGTAATTCTTCAATTCGTTTCTGTAGATTGTCGATTTGAGCGCAAAGTCTATTGAGATTGTCAGTATAAATATGATGGATGTCGGATAATTCGGATCGTAGTTCCTCTATATAGAAAAATGTTGACAATTATTATGCAAATGATGAGTGCCAATCCTTATGTTTTGATTTCTTACCGTTTTCTTCGATTTTCTTCGCAAGGTCCAAATTGGCAGCCTCTAAAGCCTGAGTACTTTTTTCTAGTTCTTTCTTGATGGCACCACCTAATAATGAAAAGTGTGATCCTTTCTAAGCAGTCGATAAAACAGTTAAAAGGAAATATATGAGTCAAAAGAGAGAAGATAATATATAGTGATTTTTCTTTCGTCCTACTTACGGTATCAAGTTCTTGTACAGCTTCTATTCGTTTTGAAAGTCGTTCATTGTGAAATGCCAAAAGATCTAATTGTCCTTGTAACTAATATATACATATATACAAAAGGGGGGGACGTGGAATAAGTTTTTTTATTTCTTTAAAAAAAACACTAGAATAAGAATACATTTACCTTTCGTAATTCCTTTTCCTTTTCCTTGGCATCTCCTTGTAAAGAGGCGTTTTCAGTTCTTTCCTATTCAATATAAAAGCAAAGTTGTTGTTGTTGTTTTAATCAGGTTATTGATGACAAATAAGCACAATGAATCTTGTACCTTTTTGACAGCCCTTTTGAGTACTGTATGCTGAGCCTTGAGTCTTTTATGTTAAAAAAAAAAGGAGATATCAGTATGCAGGTGAAAGGGAGGATCCAAATAAGAAGACTTTACCGAGAATATTCCTGAAAAAGAGTTTGATGTTTTTGTGCAAGTTCTTCGGCAGATGCTGGCATGACACCTATTATGAAATAGATGAATGGTTAATGGTTAGTTCAATAAATAGAATAATAGTTTCCATCTATATCATTTGGTCTCAACACCTTTTTTTTTTTTTAAAAAAAAAAAAAAATAATATTCAATTTATAGATCATCAATTTTTAACTTGCCTGCATTGAGTTGGGCATGTTTGGTCAAGATATTATCAGTCATGGCCTCTAAAAAAAAAAAAAAAAGAAAAGAAAAGAAAAGAAAAAGAAAAGGAAAAAGAAAAGGTAAAAAGGAAAGGAGAAAATAAAATAGATACAATGGAGTGAGTCCAAAAAGTCCATTCCGGAGTTTAAACTAAACAATTGTATGTACTCCATATAGAAGAGCATGATCATAGAATCAAACAAAAAATAATAATAATAATAATAAGATATGTTTATTAATATATATATATATATATATATTTGACAATAGGTGATATGTTAGAGATAGGGTATGAGAAGAAAAGAATGTAAATATATATAAAAAAAGGGAAATTCTAATAAAAGGTAACAAAAAAAAAAAAAGAGAGAGAATAAACTAATGTATAAAAGTATTACGATTTCTGAGCATCCAACAATTGTCGACGAATCACTTCATATTCACTTTCCCTTTCAGCAAAATTCATTTTCAGTCCAATCAATACACTTTCCATATCTGCAATTTGGTCCTGCAAGGAGGCATTGTGTTTGATCAATTGAGCATTACTTTTGTAAATATCTTCCAGTCGAGCTTGATGTTCCATTTCCTTTTGTCGTTCTGAATGTTCAAATTGAGCCTTGAGTTGTTTTAATTGATGTGTTAATTGTTCATTATCTGCATCCATTTTTGCCATGGCCATCTTCGTTTCCACTGCCTGTCGTGTCATTTCTTGATGTTCCATTTCTAATACTCGATATTTTTCTTGAAGTGCATGGATATGTGCTGTTAATTGTTCGTTCGCCAGTCGTATTTCATCATCCTCTGTTCTTCGTTTGATTTTTCTTGCTATTTCATTATTATATTGTTTTGCAAGTCGTGTATAAAGTTTTGGTGAGATTTCTATTTGATACATATCTACTACAAATTCATTTCGTCGACCCTATTTTTTTTTTTAAAAAAAAAAAAAAAGGTATTGTTAAATGTGCATGAATAAAATCAATATCTTATTTATTTTTTTTTTTTTTACCTTGTAAACTTCAAATATATCTACTTGGAAAAACTTCATTAAAGCTTCAAAACCAAGATCCATGATGACTGATTGATTTTTCTTCAAAAGAGCCAAAATAAAACGTTGCATAACATAAGCACCTTCCACGAGAATGATATCCAATACACGTACCACCAAAGAAGGAGAACAATCATAAGCAAAACAAGTAGCAAACCATCGAGAAGCATACATTTCTGGTCTAATTCCTAATGCGTCTATGTGTCGATAAAGTTCAGGTAAAACCAATTGTAGCAAATGGTCAAATTGATAAAGATGTAATTGCAATGTATCCATAGATTCTGTCAAGTATCCTCGTATACCAAAAGGTCCCATCAATTGAATCAATAAACAAAATACAGATAATTCATTAGGTATCTATACAAAAAAAAAAAAAAAAAAAAAAAAAAAAAAGAGTAAATCAAAGAGTTGTGTCACTTAATTTCATTATTACCTGCTTGAGTAATACTGCCACAATAAAAGATAAACTTTGAGAATAGCCAATGTCTTGATCAAAAAGACTATATGCCTTCAATACATTAAACAATGATTGATATTGTTGTGAATGCTCGTTGCTTGTGTCCACCATCTCTGTTGGAAAAGGGAAAAACTTGGCCATAGGAAATGAAGTATCCAAATCATGATGAATTAGTTTTTCATGAGGACTTGTTCGTTTCAATAGTTCTCCAAAGACAGCTTCCATATCACCAGGTTGATTTCTTGATTTTGCTAACAATTGCCAAAGCGATCCACGTAATCTATCTGGTATTCCCATTGATAAATGATGTCTGAGTGCCAATCCTTGTGTTGTGATTACTTTGTCGACATCCAAAACCATTTCCTTCCAGAAATCTATAATCATTACCATAGATAAAAAGTTCAGTGAATAATTTATTATTATTATTATTATTATTATCATTCATTCCTTTTTTTTCTTACCCCAGTCGTATTCTCCAGGTTGAGCTTTCCGTTCCTGTTCTAGTAATTTCAAAGTATCTTGTAAAAGTTTTATTTGATTTGGTGTTTCACGTTCATTGTCGTCTGATTCCTGGGAAGACCGTTTAAATTTCGCTTTGAGCATTCCATAATAACTGTTACTAGTTGTACCTACAGTGACTGTTGAAGCTGAAGAAAGTCGTTTTGAGGTAGTGGAAGTTCTTGGTGGTGAGCTTACATTTGGAATAGAACGAATAGGAGACATGGTATAGTTGAGTTCTGACATACGTTTGCTTTGTCGTTCTCGGAATGCTTGTGAAGGACGTTGAACTGGTGTAGTAGATATAATAGAAGGTGCAGTATGTTTGGTTCGAGAGGTTGTTGTGGTATTTGGATAATGTTGTGTAAACTGACCCATGCTTGACTGAGAAAAGTTGCTGTTTTGGCTTGTTCGAGGTATTGAACTATGATCTGTGGTATCTTGACAATATTTTGAATCCCATTTATCGGTGTCGATATGTGTTGTTGTAAAAGATGAACCTTGATTGAAACCATTGTTGAGTTTAGAATGTGATTCCATAGAAGACGTAGATATTCGTTGAGGTTTATGCGTTGTAGGAGTGGTCAAAGCGGTATCGATAGAGTATTCATCTTCGTCACTTGCTGCTACTGAAGAAGACGAAGAAGTAGAAGAAGTGGATTTTGGATTGAGAGACGTTGGGTTGGAATAACGGCGCTGTTGTTGTTGTTGTTGTGTATTTTTACTATTTTCGTTATCGTCGTCGTTTGTATCTTCGTCGTCGCTTGTATCTTCAGAGTCTTCATCATCAGTCTTGACTTCAATCTTAAAACCAAAGTGATCATAATACTCGTTTTGGTGAGGATTATTGAGAACTGAGTCAACTACGTCCAAATCATATTCGTGAAGATCAAATTCATGGTTATCGTGTTCTTTTTCACTATCTTGTGAATGTTCAGTTGATTGAGAAGGAGTTGGTTTATTGTCCATTCAAGCAATATAAGATTTTTTTATTCAAAGAAAAAGGAGACAAAGAAAAGTGAGAGAAAAAAAAAATAATTAAAAAATGAAAAAAATAAAAAGAAAAGAATGAACAAGCGGAAGTGAAATTGAATATCACCCAAATTGGTGTTACACCACTGTCCACTGCAGGAAACGTAAATGACATATATATAAACCTGATTTACTAACAAATTACTATATTGGAGGAGTGGTTTTTTTTATTTATTGCTAATTAACAAAACAAAAACAAATTAAAACTACACTATAAAGTAAAACTAAATATCTATATAAATACACACTATATGTTACAACTATTACTAGATTTATTTCTATATATCCCAGGAGAATCACGATCATCAATAAAGTCCCATAAACCACAATCGACACAGTCTCGTTCAGGAAGACATCTTGGTAATGGAAATTCTTCAGGTTTGTTCAGAATTTTTTCAATGACATCACCAATCCTGTGAGATCTAATATCTACTTTCCATCCATGTTCATTAACTGTATCCCAAACACATGCCTTTCATTTAGAATAAAAAAAAAATTGTTAGTATAACAGTTAATATCTTATCTGTTTTTTTTTTTTTACCTTTCCTGTATGACATCGTGTTTCCATTGCAAACCCACCATACCTATATATATATAAAAAAAATAAAGTAAAACACCAACAAAAATTCCTAATTTTCCTTCTCTTACCAACAAGAACTTGAAATACCGGTACATAAACCAATAAATATAGGATCAGCAGTATGACCAAAATGAAAAATAGGTGTACGAGAACCAGGAGCTTGAGGTAAATGTAATCGTCTTGCAGCTAAACGATCTCCAGGAGATTCAAATGATACAGCAGGAACTCCATATGTTTGACCCACTAATGCAGCCAAAGCACCACCAAGAGAATGACCTGTCATAAATATAGTAGCTTCCGGATATTGATCACTAATATCTCTGTACACTGCCTATGTGTATATATTTCAAAAAAAAAAAAAAAAAAAAAAGGGATGAGATATATATATATATATATATATATATTTACTGTCATCCACTTACTAGAGCATGATCATAATATAATTCTTCATTCAAAATGGCTTTTTCAATACAAGAATTTTCACAACGATATTCATTTCCTTGGTAACAATCACAAACAGGAGTCCATAAACGACTAATTCTTGCACAACAGCAAGAGAAGAGCATATTATCCTATATGAAGTTAAAAAAAGAAATCAATCCAGTCCTGATTTAAAAATGAGAAACAAAAAAATTTTTTTTTCATTGATTACTTACATTCAGTTTATCTTTTTCACCAGTAGGATCATTCGTAAATAAACCAGCCGTTGTTCCCTTGATAACGATCACCATCAAAGAATTATCCGTATTTCCAAAGACGTGACCCTTCAATCCATCTTCATTCCATCCAAAGGTATCATTCTAACGAATAAAAAATAAACAAAATAAATAAATAGAAATAATTCTTGGCAGAGTAAGCAGTTTTTTTTTTTATATATGTTGAATATCTTAAAAAAAAAAGAAATTCTTACCACTACCCATTGGTTATCCAAGTCATACCAGTCTGACCCACCTACTACCGAATAAGCATCATAAGACATTTTTGCCATGGAAAGTACTGTAGCATGATCGGTCACGTCAGGTACAAATCCCCAAGTAGATTCCATTGTTATATGAGTTGAAGGAACAACCTGCCACCGAGAGATACGACGTTGTAAAAAGTAGTTCAATGATTCTTTCGAGGGTTTTGAATAATAGTCCAAGGTTTGTTTCATTGTATAAAAAGTGTCGTTGATATTTTGTTGCAGTACTTTTGAAGGTCGACGTCGGTATCGATGAAGAGAATTGGAATGATAGTGGTATAATCTTTTCAAAGATAGAGTTTGAATAAATGAAGTGGTAACGACTGTCTGGTCAGCTAATATCAACTTGTCATATATTGAAATTAATGATAATAATAATAAGAAAATGAACGGTAGTAGAGGAAGATAGAAAAAAGAGGAGAAGGACATGAGGGAATGATATAATGAGAAATACCAAGAAGAAAAGAAGAAGAAGAAAGAAAAAAAGTGCAGAAATTGGAAAATTTCCCTTTTGAATGAAAAAGAAAAAAAAAACCGGAGGATCGGGCTGAGCATGAAAATGATTAAAGCTTAAACTTCACTCTTATTACTACCTAATCCAGGAACATGATTCCTTTTCCTGTTCTCTCTCTCTCTCTCTCTCTCTTTTTTTTTTTTTTTTTGATTACAATGATTCTATATAATACTTTCTTTCTTTCTTGAAAACATCAATATGTCTATAAACCTGCTATTATAAAGAGTCAAAGGCATGAAAATATCATTAACTATATCTGGTAAATGATACAAACAACGTTCAGTCGTCACGTAAATAGAAAGGACCAAGCATCTGGTGTTTTATAGTATTTGGATAGAAACAAACAAACCCAAAAAAAAAAAGATAGTAACAAATCATTCATTAGACACAAATGGCGAATGATGATGAGAAGAAGGGTTTTTCCGATTTGTTGCGTTCAAAAGTGGGGTAGCATTTGATTGATTTAGGAAAAAATCCAAAAGTAGCAAACCTGTTGTAATAGTACTTTAAATTTTATTTGTGTATGTATTCAACCTTTCAATTCATTTTCGATTTCCTGGTTTTATCTTTTTTTTTCTCTCTCTCTCTCTTTCTTTTTTTTTCTCGTGACATCTCTTTCTTTTTCTCTATTTCTTAAAGTCACTCATCATCATCATTATTATTATTATTTTTATCATCATCAATATCGATCAATGTACGAATCACAACATCCTTCGGAACATACAATGACCAATCATCCATTGACAGAATTAGATTATCAATTGATGTTAGATCCCAATGTGTTTACCAAATGTGAACCTGGTCTAGTTGAATTTAATCATGCAGATTATTTGAATTTAATGCAAACACACGCTTCTTTGGATTCTCAAATACATCATCAAGATGAACAACCCATTGGATCTGATACAAGTAGTAGTAATGAACAACTTTATTATCAACAACAACAACAACAACAACAACAACAACAACAACAACGAATCATGCCATCATCATCCTCTTCCACTGTGCCATCACTTCAAATGACCTATTCCAATTCATCCCTTTCTATATCTTCACCACAACAACATCCTATGTACGTGGCTACTTCTGCTCCTGTGACATCTATGTCTAACAATCCTCATCTTTATCAACAGGAAGATCATATGCAAATGCCATCTTCATCATCAACATCATCATCATCATCATCAGCACCTATTAGTTACTACTATCATCAACAACAACAAAAACAACAACAACAACAACAGCAAATAAATCATCATCATCCATATGCTCCACAATATGGAAATGGCTCTGATCCATCAATGTATTCATCCTCTTTGGATGATTACGTGCCCAACCATCCTTCATTTTATAATAATCATACATTGGATGAGATGGAAGCCACACAATTCCATCATTTGGAGCAATTTTATGGTCAAACATTGGATGAACAACAACAATTTTTCCTTATGCAACAACAACAACAACAGTTATGGGCCCAACAACAACATATGCGCCATCATAGTAATCATTATGCTCATCCTATCTCATCATCACCCACAACATATACAACTGATACAGATTCTCGACCTCAGATCTATGTGAGAAAGGCATGTGTGGCTTGCAAACAATCCCATGTAGCTTGTGATGTCCAACGACCCTGTTCTAGATGTGTACGACTCAATAAGGCCGAAAGTTGTGTGGATGCTGAGCGGAAAAAGAGAGGTCGTCCATGTGGATCTGGAAAAAAGAAAAAGGATGATGAAAAGGAATTGAGGAGAAGAGAACAACAACAATTGAATCATTTACTAAGATAGTTTTTTTTTTTTTTTTAATTTACTTTTTTTTATTATTATTATAATGTTCATTTCTTATCTATTTTTTTTTCTATAATAAACTAATACGCCATGTTTTTTTCTTTTACATTTTTGTCTATTACATTCAAACATGTCTTGACATCATCACATATCATATCTTAACATCATATCATCAAAGACATCACATATCATCCCATTATCCATCGGAATAAATCAATCAAGTCCATAAACCAAGAAAAGAAAGGAAAATCAAATAAAAAAAAAAGATGTATCTGTTTATTAGAATGCATTGAGTGAGAAAAAAAAATAAAAAAAAAATAAAAAAAGAGGAGATCAAATAAATAAGAGAAGGGTATTTTATATAATATATATATATATATATAACTAGAAGAAAGAAAGAAAAAAACATAAAAAAAAAAAAGTGATATGAGAATAAAAAAAAAAGCCATGGTTTGAATCATGACTAGGGCCCAAAAAAGAAAAAAAAAGGAGATCATGATGGAGTAAGGATGAAGATGCATGAAGAGAAAATATATAACTATACATAAACCAGAAAAAAAGAAACCAAATGGAAGAATTCATAAATCACTACGTCATAGATGTCAAATAAAGAAGTAAATAAATAAACAAAGATGTCATAAGGCGCAAGAAGGAAAGAATGGAGGTAAACTAGTCAAATAATAAAATAAAAAAAAAAGGAATGTACACAAGAAATCGACTATGAGTAACCAAAAGAAGGAATGAATGTTGAGTTTGAGATTGATGCATAGATATCCATGGCATTTATCGAATCAGAAGGAGAATAATAAAAAAGAGAATCCGAAGAAGGTGGTTGGAAGTAGTCTTTATTGTTGTTGTCGCCATCAGCACCAGGCATGATGTGAAAGGATGATGATGATGATGATAACTGAGTTGTTACGTCCATATTATTGGAATCGGATGATAATGTAGGTGATTGTGTTGGTGAGATCGAAGAAGAAGGTGAATGGAGCGTTTCAGTACTTGATGGTGTCATGATATACGATTGTTGTGATTGTATAGATAATGAACATGGTGGTGATAATGGCCAACTTGCAAAGTATTGTGATGATGGGGATGATAATGTCGTTGGAGGCGTCATCAAGGTGGTCGATGAAGATTCGGGGAATAAATCGAGAATAGAGCTTGTTTCATCTAGCCATGTTGGATCTAGACCATGATGATGTGATAGCGATGTTGGTGGAGACTGTTGATGATTAGTATAACTCGTGTCGTCTGTTGTTGTTGTTGAATAAGATGAATGATTGTTTGTATTCAGTAAACTGTGTAATCGTGTATCCAATAAATCATCTTTATCATTACTATCCCATGTCATGATAGGTGAAGTTGATAAAGAAGAAGGTGAAGACAAAAGCGCTGATGGGGAGCTTAAAGGTGTCGTATCGGTTGAAGTAGTCGCTGCTTTTGCCAAAAGACGTGGTGTATTTCTATTTTTCCTTTGAACGCGCCGTTTTCGTTGAGCATCTGTCGTTTCGTCTTCATAACTAGTAGATCCATCGTTTGTTGAATCATCATCCATTGTTCTTTTCATGTTGGAAGTGAACCGACGTGGCGATCCTTGTTGTTGAATTTGTTGTTTCTTATCATTCAAACGAATACCGTAATGATCCAATAAAAATCGGTCCAATAGTTTCCCAAGATCAGAGGATGCCAAAATACTACTATTACAGCTCTTCAGCATAAAGAAGCTTTTGTCGAGATTGAGAAGTGATGACACTTGGTGTTTTCGATCCAGATTCAAAGCAGTGTCCAAATGTATAGATGCTGCCAAGGTCAAGGATGACATGAATGTGTTGTGTAAATACGTTTGCTGCTTGTGCTTGATCATTTGCTCTGCGATATGAATGATTGTATTTGCTGCATTAGTACATATTGTCTGCGCCATATTTACATGGCTACTGTTAGGTATTTTGGATACATTGTCGAGGTTGGATGAGAAGCTTGCTGAAGATATTGAAGATGCTGTAGATGATAAAGATGATAATGATAATGATATTGACGATGCTGTTGCACCTTGTTCTTGTTGCTGTTGTTGTACAAATGGTTGATGAAGCATAATCTGGACCGTGTAATAGAGCATGTGATACATCCGAGCAATAGGAGATGGTGGAGAATCATCTTTTGGTTTGTCATATTCCAGATAAGGAGGAAGTCGAAGTAACCAATCAGTAAGACGGGAAACAATGATCGGCTGATGGCAATCGCGCGTTGTTGAGGAAAATGATGAAGATGTTGACGATGAATAAAGACTATGCATATCACCAACAATGCAAGCTAGTTTGATCATTTCGGAGAAAGCAGTGATTTGTAGAGCGTATTCGGCAGAGAGATCCGGCATAAAGCAAGAAGAAGAAGAAGAAGAAGAAGAAGAGTCTGTCGTCGGTTGTTGATTCTGATGATGACCATTTTGTTGATAAATTTGATCGTGATTGTTATCGGTACAATGATGATGAGTAGTTGATAGTTTCCAAATCTTACTATCGATCACCATAAGTTGACTATCTTCTAATTGGGGCCATTGACATGTCCATCCATCTTGTATCACCCAAAGTCTTTCACCAGTACAACAAGAAAGCCATTGATCGGTAACAAAAATGACCCAGAACGCACGCCGACGCATTTCGATATCTACAATGCCCAATGATGATCCGGGGTCTCGGCAGAGTTGAAGGTCATTAGCAGATTGAAGTAGACGGTGGCGTAAGTCACAGCAAGTTTGCATATTGCCCAATAGATAGGAATACCAACATAATATCACCAATGCCTAAGTACCAACAATAATAATAATAATAATAATAATAATAATAATAATAAAAAGATGATGATGATGATGTTAATAAACAAACAAGGGTTATTTTAATTAAATTTCTTGATTTGGAACAATCTTTTTTTTTTTTTTTTTTTTTTTACCTGCACAGTGGACAGTGTAATAGGATCACGAGACATATTCAAAATGCACTGGCAACGTTCATAATAAAAAGTACTTGTTTCTTGATCATTTTCAGAATATTTTGCACCAATAGCACAAACAGCATAAAGTAATAAGGGATCAACTGTTTGTTCAGAGAGTTGACGCATAAAATGAGGTTGAGACAAGACTGGGAAAAATATATTGAAATAACCAAAATAACAAGTAGCCCATTTTTGATATTGATTGACCATTGGGTCATCTTTCATAAAAAAATCGTTCTTGAGGTAGTGGCTGCCCTAGAGAGATATCAAAAGAAATGGAACTTATCAGTGGACTGAATTCATCAAAATAAATCAATAAATAATAATAAAAGAATACGAATAACGTACAGGCGAGTCTTGATGAGTAAGAGACCATTTATTGTTTGATTGAATAGCATCCACAGCACCAGATATAAGATGTAAAATTGTATTATTTTCCAATGAAAATAATTTTTTGTTGATATTTTCATCCTTGTTGTCAAGAGAACCAGATAAATCATTATTCTCACTAACCATATCCATCATCACAAGAGGAGATACTAAAAACACCAAAAACAAAATATATTAATAAAAATAAAAAAAGGTTGTACGATTTTTCTTTTTTTTTTTTTTTGTTTTACCTGAGGGAGATATCTTGTGATCATGCTCAGTGTTATTATTATTATTCTGAGAAATACCAGTACCAGCCACCCGTAAAGATTCAATTCGATGAGCACGACTTTCAATAATTTCTACTTGACCTTTAGGAGGACCACGTTTCTTGGGAGGATCAGAATAATGACAAGAAAAACCCATGAGATTACACCTAGAGCATGTAGGTTGAATACCATCACATTTTACTTTTTTTTTACGACAAACAACACAAGCTAAAGTGACCTTGACTCTTTTATTGTTAGGAGAAGTGGTTATAGGTAACACTACTGTTTGCTGAGTTTGTTGAGACATGAGGGTTCGACAAGATAAAACTGAGTTCGACATAATGACGAGTTCATATAGTATAATATATTGTAAATAAAAAAGTTATATAATAAAAATAATAGAGTATAAAGAAAATAAGTAATAGAAAAAGATAAAAAAAAAAAAGAAAAAGAAAGAAAGAAAAAGTTGGGGTAAAAAAAGAAAAAAAAAGAGAGAAAGAGGGAAAAAAAAGGGTAAAAGTCCGACTTATATATCATCTCGTAAAAATTAGGGGGGAAGCTTCATTCTCATTGGTTTATTCTGCTTGGCCCATGAAAAAAGTTAATGCAGCCTTTTCCCATTCTTTTTTTTTTTTCATGGTATACCAACTTTTATAAAATAAATTCATATTATTCACTATAATATACAGTAAGGAGTGAAAAAAAAATACTTGGTCAAAGACAAAATATCATTTGACTTTTTATCAGAACGGATACCTATACCGCCTGTTCCGAGGTTAAAAAAAAATCAAAAAAAGAAATACCAGGGGGTTCCACACAACTGTCTATATAAAATAAAGCGGGTCATCCCCCCACTCTTCCTTCTCCTCTTTTTTTTTTTTTTTTTATACTATATGTAATCAACTTTTCATGCATAACCATCATTCCAAAAAAAAAAAAAAAATTAGATAAGACCAAAATCTTTATTGAAGAATAATTATATATATATTTATCATATTACTATTCTAAATATACTCTATATATCTTTCTTACAGAATTAAAACATACAATAATATCATTATTCTAATAATAATAAAATAAAAGATGTAAGTTATATATATAGGAGATGGGATAGGGGCAAGATAAAAATAAAAATAAAAATAAAATAAAAAAATTATATAATAAATAATGATAGTTAAAAAAAAAGGGGGGGGAAGATTGTTTACCTGTTGTGCCTTGATAAGATCATCAATTGTTATCTTTCCCTCTACCATTTCATCTTGATCTAATAAATGTTGCCTGAAAACCCCAGATAACAAACCTATAAAGAAAAAAAAAGGGTAGCCAATCATCATCATGTATTCTTCCCATCTAATTTATCTTTTTTACCACAATCTAATATTGGTGTTTTCCATGCATACCCATGCTGGTCCTTCATCTTTGTACCCACAGCAATGTTTGCAATACTTGTTTCGGTAATTTGCTTGTCTATATTCCATAATATCACATCAAATATATCATTCGAACCTACATGTACTCTTTCTCGAGCCGCTGTATATATTGATCGTTCTGTCGTCTTATTTCGAATGAATTGTTGATGGATGTTTGTATCTGTAGGTTGTATATCCAAAGTTACCTTGAGTGTTGGTAATTCATTCAAAATTTTTGTATCCTCTAGCATTTTCAAACTATCCACTGTCTTATTGACACTTTCCCATGATAGTGGTGTATGTTCCAAAGTAGTATGACCTTGTTTATCATAGAGTAATCGTACCTATTACAAGAGACAATAGAAAAAAGAAAAAGGTTATTAAATAATATATATATATATATATATATATATATATATATGTGTGTGTGTGTGTGTGTAAGAACGTACACGTTGTGGACCATTAGAAGGTATATTTGATAATAATAAATTAGATATGTGTTGTTTATTGGGTTTAACAAAGTCAAGTTCTTTTGCTGATTGTATAAGTCGTTTCAAATGTAAATCTAACAAGTAAAACCCTATTTAAAAAAAAAATAATTATAATGAATAATACTTTTTTTTTCTTTTTTTGTATTATATTATACCTTCTTTTGGAGTAAAAAGAATGGTTTCTAATAGATTAAAAGGTTGTTCCATTCTAATAAAAGAAAAAGAAAGACAACAGAAGAAGTCTTACGGAGAATGAAATGAATGGCGAAAATTGTCTTTTCATTTCATCATCTTAACTGACTTTAATTTGTCAGCTTTCTGCGCCTTTTTTTTCCCCCATTGCCTTTTTTTAGTTATTCTTTCCTTTCTTTTTTTTTTTTTTTTTTATCTTTTCCTTTGTATAATATATCCAACTTGATTGTAATATATAGAATATGAATTCTTTAACAATATATTCCGGAAATACCTGGCCTGTTATTTCGAACATTATAGGTTGGGTAAGTGATCGTTTTTATATATTATATATTATATATATATGCAAAACTATGCGTCAAAACAGGGCCCTTACTAAATAGTTTTGACCTATTCTATATAGGGTTATTTTTTATCTTGGTCTGCTAGTTTTTATCCTCAAGCTATATTGAACTTTAGAAGAAAAAGGTAAAAAAGACAATTCACATTGACTATTAAACTCATGTATTTTTTTTTTCTTATTGTTCTTTAATAAGTGTACAAGGTCTTTCTTTAGACTTTTTGTACTACAATCTCTTTGGTTTTATATGTTATTCGGTAAGATTATTACTTAACAAATTTTTATATATTTACTAATATTTCAAAAAAAAAAAGGTCTTCAATTTGGCCTTTTTCTTTAGTGATGAAATTCAGGATGAATGTAAGTAGTTTTTATTCACTGGTCAGGTCGACATCATGATTCAAATAACTCTTTTTTTTTATATATTAGATCGACGACGGCATCAAAATAGTGATAATCTTGTTAGGGCAAACGATGTATTATTTGCTGTTCATGCTCTTTTAATATCCTCCATCACTTTAGCTCAAACTTTTATATACAAAGTAAGTTGTTTTTTAACTTTTAAATGAAAGTAATCTAAAAAACTTTCTATTATCCAGTCAAATCAAAAGTTATCCATTACTGCAAGTTACCTGTTACTAGCATTCTTGGTCTCTTCTTTGGTGGCTGTTGGGTGTGCCCTGTTGAACTCTATACTCTGGATTGATGTACTTTACTATTTAAGTTATATCAAGCTTTTTATTACTTTCATCAAATATCTTCCTCAGGTAAATCAAAACAAAGCAAAAACAAATAATTTTCTAATATATATATATACTTTCCTTAGGTATGGTTAAATTATTCAAGAAGATCAACAGTGGGATGGAGCATTTACAATATATTGTTGGTAAGATTTAATAATAATAAAAAAAAAGGACCTGATGATCAATTCGGGTGGGATGATTTAACCAGATGATAATATCTTTTTTATTTATTTAAAAAAGGATTTGAATGGTGGTATACTCTCTGTAGCTCAATTGGTTTTGGATGCTGCCATCTCTGGTGACTGGTCTGGTATCACTGGTGTAAGTTACAAAAAAAAAAAAAAAAAAAAAAAAAAAAGGAAGAGAAATGATAATGTTAGACTTATTTTTTATTTATTTTTACACATCATTATAAATTCTGTCTACTTTATATATATATATATATATATATATATATAGGATCCTGTCAAATTGTAAGTAGTTTTTATTTGCATATCCTATCAATATATCTTTTGAGCTAATTCTTTTTTTTAATATATTGGATGATAGTGGACTTGGATTTGTTGCGATTGCCTTTGACTTGATATTCATTGTTCAGCATTACGTACTATATCGCGAAAGATATGATATCTATTTGGATGCATATGATGAAGAGCGCCAACAATTGATCCCAGCTACAAGTATCTAAGATGAAACTCTCTATAGAACAATCATTAGAATCATCAGTACAAAACAGTTGTAGAATATATCATATTTTTATTATTATTATTGTTGTTATTGATGTGATACGAAAATCTATACTAAAACCACAATAAAGAAAAAAAAAAAAGAAACAGTGGACTGACCCTATGATGATCACAATGTTTTTTTTTTTTTGTTCTTTTTGATTCGGATATCAGTTGGGATTATGTAAGTCACCTGTCCTTTTATTATTATTATTGTCAATCACGTTAGTGTCGGTTCCGATTTTCTGTCATAATGTTCAATGGCATGATGGGCTATGTCATTTACCCCTTTCCTTTATCAAAACAATGAACATGTGACCCTTGCAAATCACCAAAACAGCTGTTGTTTTCTTAAGATAATGAATAATTATAGGAAGAAAGAAAAACAAACAAGAATGATCTTTCTTTTATACTTGTCCTTCATATCGTTAACTATCTATGTTATAAATCATAAAAGAAAGATGACAACATTAGCTTCTTTTAACATGGGTACATGAATCCCTTTTTTTTTTTTTTAAAAAAAAAAAAAAAAAAGCTACATGCATCATGATTGGTACCCTTCCTATTCTGATTAGCCAAATGAGATATGATTGGATGAAAAATAAAGAACATCGAGCATACTGTTGTCATGCTTCATGTTCGGATAAATCTGACATTGGTTCATTTCAATTCATCAACCAACAGAGGGGTTACCTTCTCAAAACTGTAATATGCTCAATAGCTCCCCCTCCACCTGGCCCCTAAAAGGAAACATAATGACACTAAGTTTTTTTTTTTTTTTTTTTTTTTTTTTTTTTTTTTTTTTAAAATATTGCCCTGTCAGTATAACGATGATTTGTAATCTAGAACATTCCCATTCTCATTATTCAACTATAACATCATCAATATGTATAATAAACTTTATTCTGGAACATCTATGTATATATATATATAAAATAAACAATATAACTAAGTTTATCTATAACTTTCTAAATTTGCCTTGAAGCCAAACCCGATACATCTTGAGTTTTCTACTTCGATTGACTAATAATCGACGATCCACAGCATTTTGTTCAGTTTTAAATAAAGGAGATTGACCATCTAGTTGAGGTTGAGAGAATAAGGTATCTAATTCTTGAGGAGTAAAAAAGTAAACACGAGTACCATCACCTCTAATATAGAAGTTTTCTTTCAACAATCGCTTTTCTTTGAATCGTAATTGAGCCAAATCATGCCGTCCATAATCACGGAATAAAACTAATCCACCAGGTTTGAGCATACGATGGATATTGTTGATAGCTTGTTTCCATTGTTCCGGTGCCAGAGCTGAAAATACAAAAATCATCACAATGATATCCAAAGATCCTTCTTCAATTGTTTCTGGTAAATCTTCACTAGCCAAATCCCAAACAAAAGCCTTGGATCGTGATGTATCGTAATCAGGATTGCTTTGCACCACCTGCACTGCTGTTGATGAAAAATCCGCCGCATAGACAAACAGATCAGGATTTTGACTCTGCTCCAATAATGGAAACATGGTGTTGCCAGCGCCACATCCTACTTCGAATACCCGTTTCTTGCCTGCCTATATATTGAAAGAAAGAAAAAAAAAATAAACATTTCCCCAATACAAAAAAAAAAAAAAAAAAAAAAAAAGAAAGGAAATCAGTTTCGTCATTATGAATGATCATCATAAGATCAATATATTAATTTACCTCAGCAGTAGCAGCTTCGAAGAGTTCTGGAAACTCTAATTTCAACCAATGACGATCCTTAAAAAATCTATTTTCATTCTTGGTATAAAATGTATTCCAATATTCAGCAGGATTTGCATAATATTTCTCTAGTTAAAAATAAATAAATAAATAAATATAAAACAGTTAAAGAAATAGAATGGTTACTTACCTTGTTCTTCTTCAGGTACAGGGCTATTCAAGTGTTTTTGGATTTGTCCTTGAGCGTATTCTTCTTGTTCTTTATCCCATTCAACATGATCCCTATGACAATATATATAATGTAATCTGACGATCTTGAGTATAAAGTTTTCCCAGTTTTTGAGATTGGTTTTTGGTAGCTATGGAAACTAACAATAACCTCTTTTTTTTTTTTTTTTTCTTACCAAGCATTGTGATTAAATACAGAGTCTTCACTTTCTAATAGTCGAGATCCAAAAGTTGTGCTATTTTCGACATCTTTGACATCAATCGCTGATGAAGTGGTTTTCTTATCCATAATATTGAATATTGGACTGATCTAGCAAAATGAATGAAATAAGAAAAAACAACAAAAATGGGAACTCAAGCGAACGAATGGAAAAAAAAAAAAAAAAAAAATTGAAAGCCAGCGATTTTTTTTTTTCTATGTATCAAAAGGGGAAAACATGGTTTTAAGTATGCAGCGATAAGTTATTATCAGTGAAATGACAAAGATATAGAAGAATATATTGATTATTTATTGTAGCATATTTAAAACAGCAATAAAGAATTCTATATGGAAAGCCAATGATATTAGATGTCATATGGCTTGACAGGACAGCTTGACATCTTTGATTAGCCTTGGCATTGCTGGGGGCCAAATATTCTATGTTTTTTTTTTGGTCAGTGCCTTGTGAATCCATAATTTATTTCTCTTTCTATTTTTTTTCTTCCTTTTTATTGACTCTTACTTATTTTGGTACCAACTCTTTTTTCTTTTTTTCTTTTTTTTATTTTCATTCCCTTTTTCTTATATATATATATATCATATATTTTCTATAATATCATTTATTATTAAACAACTACAATGACAAGTAGGTATGCCAAACCTACTGTGAAAAAGGACCTTCCATATGAAAGTCCATCATCTGTAGCTGCTAGTTCACCACCTGCCTCTATTCCAAGTCCATCCATACAACATATGAGTTCGACTTCTTCAATTAATTCGCATTCGCCCTCACTTCCTCCTCCTCCTTATACGGACCACATTCTCTCCATACCAGCATCGGATACTTCTTCTCCTTATTCGTCTTTTGCCTCAGCCACGGCAGGCCGATCTGATACGCATCGTCGACGACAAAAAAAATGGAATGGCCAACAATATGATTATGATGACGACTCGATGTTTTTACCTCATGACAAATTATACAAGGCTGAACAACAAAAAGTACAAGCTAAACAATATTCAAGAAAACGCGATTGGCGAATATCCATTGCACTTTTCATCTGGGCTCTATATATTCGTTGTTGGCATATTTGGGAACCAAGTTCTGTAGTGTAAGCAAAGAAAAAAAAAGAGACCAAAGGGTGTTCTATATATATATATATATATATATGCCCTATTGTTGGCCTCAAAAAAAAAAAAAAATCAATACTGACATTTGATTTCTTTCCTTTGATTGTTTATTCTTTATATTAAGGTTTGATGAAGTACACTTCGGTGGATTTGCAAGTAAATATATCAAGACACGATTCTTTATGGATGTTCATCCTCCTGTAAGTTTTTTTTTTTTTTATCGATTATATATGTGTTTGGACAGAACCTCTAAATTAACCTATATTTCCCTTTTTAGTTGGCTAAAATGATGATTGCTCTGGTGGCAAAACTAGCTGGTTTTGATGGTAGTTTCGGCTTTAAACAAATTGGAGAGTAAGTAGGATCAATATATCACAATCAATGATCATACTTAACGATTATTTATTATCCTGTAGTGAATATATAGAAGCTGGTGTCCCTTATATCACCATGCGTGTATTTTGTGCTTTGAATGGAGTGTTGGTAGTTCCTATTGCTTATTGGACTATGCGTGGATGTGGTCATTCAATCTCTGCTGCTGTAGTTGCCTCATTGATGGTGTGCTATGGTAAGAATCACATAAATATGTATATAAACTACTAATCAAATATTTCATTAGAAAATGGATTAATTGCCAACAATCGACTTATTCTTTTGGATCCTCCGTTATTATTCTTTACCGCTGCTACTACTCTGATGTGGGTCAATTTTCATAATCAAGATCAAAGGTAATAATAATAATAATAATAATAATAATAATGAGAAAAAAAAAAGAAAGTGAACAATGCATGAATATCTAACCGTTATCCATATTTTATCATATTGACCATGTTGATGATAGGCCATTTCAATTTTGGTGGTGGACTTGGTTGGCTATGACAGGATTGGGATTAGGTCTTACTGTTAGTTGTAAATGGGTGGGATTATTTACAATTGCTACTATTGGTGTCTCTACAGTGAATAGTCTATGGCAGATTTGGGGTGATACCCGTGTTCCTATGGTAAATTATGATTCTTTCGTATCAAACCTTCAAAATCTAATTTTTTTTCTCTTTTTTTTTTTTTTTTTTTTTTCTCCATAGCATCGATTCCTTCGTCATTTTGGTGCTCGTGCTCTTTGTTTGATTATCATCCCAATTACTATCTACATGTTAATGTTTGGTATTCATTTTGTGTCATTGCCAAATACTGGTGAAGGTGATGGATTTATGTCCCCTGAATTTCAACAAACATTGGATGGACGAACAATGGAAGATTCTCCCATTGGTAAGAATATATATATATATATATGACAATACGAATTCAACTTGCCTTGTTTTTTTGGTCTATAGATGTCGCCTATGGTTCAAAAGTTTATATTCGTCATGAAGCAACTCATGGTGGTTATTTACATTCTCATCCTCATGATTATCCTTCTGGAAGCAAACGTAAATGAAACAGAAAAATAGAGATATACCTTATATACTAATGATCTTTTTTTTTTTTTAAAAAAAATATACATAGAGCAACAGGTTACTTTATACCCTCATCGAGATGATAATAATTGGTGGGTGATTCACAAACAAAACTCTGAACAAGTAGAAGGTGTTGAATATGTCAAGAATGGTGATATTATTCGATTGAAACATAATGATTCTGCCAAGCGACTTCATAGTCATAATCATCGACCACCAATGACAGATGTTGATTATCATAATGAAGTTAGGTAATAATGACCGGATATATATATATATATATGAATTTCTTTGTGATTGATATCATTTTCATGTAAATTATAGTGTATATGGGTTCCCTGATTTTGATGGTGATGCAAATGATCTCTGGCGAGTAGAAATTATAGGTCATGATAAGAAGGATCCAATTTCCAAAGAACGACTTCGTACAATCCATACAAGATTCCGGTTAATCCATGTTATGGAAAGATGTGCTTTGTTCTCTCATAATGTAAAATTGCCTGATTGGGGTTGGGGTCAACAAGAAGTAACATGTATCAAGAATGGCAAGATTCCAAAATCTGTTTGGTATATTGAATCTAATACAAATCAACTTTGTGAGTATATCTGGGAAGGATAATGAAGATGTACTGACTTTTTTTTTTTTTTACAGTACCACCTGACACAAAAAGGGTTAGCTATCGAACACCTGGATTTATTGGCAAGTTTTTGGAATTGAACAAAGTGATGTGGGAAACCAATAAAGGATTGGTTCAGTCTCATCCTTTCGATTCACGCCCTCAGGTGAGTTTATATAAAATGGTTACAGAAAATATAGCAAGAATTGGAAATTAAAAAAAGGAGTGAAGGATCATCCAATGTGTAACATCGGATAATGAAAAAAAGATTATTAACCAAACGAATTTTAATTTCATTAGGACTGGCCATTCCTTCGACGAGGTATTAACTTTTGGGGCAAGAACTTCAAACATATCTATCTACTTGGAAATCCATTTGTTTATTGGGCATCAACTGGAGCTGTGATTAGTTATATTGTGTTGAAATTGATTATTTTATTATTGGATAAAAGAGGATTCAAAACTGACTTTAGAGGTACAAAAGAAAAAGGAAAGATGAAGATAAGATCCAGATTTTTTGATTTAATTTTATTTCACTATAGGGTTGCGACAATTTTATGAAAATTCAGCAGGATTCTTTGTGATTGGTTGGTTTTTCCATTACTTTCCTTTCTTTTTGATGGGAAGACAATTATTTCTACATCATTATATGCCTGCATTGTATTTTTCAATTTTAACATTTTCAGTTGGATTTGATCTTTTGACAATACGATTGATTCAACGCAAACGATTGATGGCTGCTTGTGGATGGTTATTAGTGGTGATTTACGTTTATAGATGTTTTGTTCCATTGACATATGGTGAACCTTGGACTAAAACATTATGTGAGAAAGCAAAATGGCGAACCACGTGGGACTTTGATTGCGGAGCGTAAGTAAAAAAAAAAAAAAAAAAAAAAATGAATGAATGAATGAATGAAACAAAATGGGGCTTTCTTTTTAAAAAAATAGGAGTTAGGAATTTTAGTTAGTATAATTAACCTGTTTTTTTTTTTTCTGTATAGTTTTCATGACAAGATATCTGATTATGCTGATCATACACCTATTGAAATAGCTGGAGCTTTTAATAAAATTCAAAATGCCTTCAAAAGTTATATGGCAAAAGATGAAAACCGGGAATTAGCTCCTGAAGTAGCGGATATGGTAAACAAGATATCAGACGCAATGATTGAAATGAAACAAGAAACCTCCACATTACCCACTGGTATAGATGATTTGAATTAGTATTTTTTTTTTTTTTATGTTTAGTTAGTTACTGAAATTAGAATTATTGTGTGGAAAAATCAAGTGTGAAACTATTACTTCAACCTTTTAGAAATCGAAAATAAACTTTTTGTATGACCATACTTTTTTTGAACCTTAAACCATGGATTTCTAGTCCCGAACAAATCACTTTTTTTTTCTCTTTTTGTCTTTTCACAATCTTGACTCTTTTTTCTCACTCTCTTTCTTTCTTTCTCTTTTTCCCCACTTTTCCTTTTTTTTTTCTTGTTCTTATTTTTTTTTTCCCTTTTATTATTATTATTATTATTATTATTTAATACTCCCTTACCTTTCCTTTTTCTTCTTATTTCTTTATTTTGAATGTTGAATAAATTTACAAAGGGTTTAGCTTTATTCTCTAGTTTTGCCCTTGTCGCTTCTCGTACGTGATGAAAAAAAAAATAAGATCGACAATATAAACAACAAACAAACAAAAAAAAAACTCGCACAGACGAATGTACCTTCATCAATTTACTCATGTGACCTCTTTATTTATATTGTCTGATTAGAAAATACTTCTCAATGTCTTCAATATCCTAGTTCTGGTATTTGTGCTGTAAGTCCTTTACCTAAAAATAAAAATAAAGAAATTCCGCCAAATGAGCATACTAATTGATTATCTTCATTATTATTATTATTATTATCATATTAAACATTTATCATCGTTCGACCCCATCAACATTATATATATATAGCAATACATCGACTATCCAGTTTATACGAAAATTGGTATCAATGCTACTGAACAACAAGCATTAGCTACTTTACCAGTATTGAAACAACAAATGGGAGCTATTGATCCAGGATGTGTTGATACTTATTATCGTTATGCTTGCTCTGCAGCCTATCCCAAATGTACAGCCACCGCAAGTATGTTCAAAAGTATATATATTATTTAATTATCAAAATAAATTAATCTTATTTTTCAATAGATCAAACAACAATTCTTGCAGGTTGTTTATCAACTTGTAATGAAATACAACGAAGCTGTGGTTTAATCTTTGAACTCACTAATCAAACAAGTCTTCTTCCCAACTGTAATCAACAACCAGGCATTCCACTTCAATCTGATGATAGTTGTAATTTGATCAAACCTCAAGGTAATTTATTTTTTTTTATTTATTTTTTTTTGGTAACCTCCTACTCAATTATTATTATTATTATTTTATAGTGGATAATCAACATAGTGGACTCAATTTATCTGCTATTCCAGCTGATTTCAAACTTTCAACATGCCCAGCCCCATTCCTTATCGATCCTATTGCTCAACAAGATCCAACCAAATCCTCTAATCCTATTAGTTGTCGATTTGGTTGTTGTATTCCTTGTCCATATCAAAACTATGTAAGTAATAAAATAAATATAAAAAAAATGACTAATACATGCTATGTTTCATATAGTTATATAATGAAGGTTGGATTGAACATGCCTTTTTTGCTACTGATATTGTTCGGTCCGTTTCAGCCGTTGGTGCGTTCTTTATTATGGTTAGTTACTTTGTCTTACCTGACAAACGAAGGTAAAAAAAATTATCTATTCTTGAAACTCTTTAATATGAGAGGAAGGGGGATCAACCCGGTCCTCTTTTTTTTTTTTTTTCTCTCACTGTATATAAGGAACTCCGCGTGCTCATCTTAATTCTCCTTTTTTTTAGACATCCTTCTCTTTTGATTTTGAACTTCTCCGTTGCAGTTTTCCTTTTCAGTTTTGTGGCATTCTTTTCAGTGGGCAATCCAAAGAAACTACAATGTGCAGATGCTATCACTGCAAGTACACAAGGAAACAATAGTTTATGTGCTGCTCAAGGTGCTATATTAATGTTTTCATCCCTTGCTACTGTTCTTTGGTGTTGTGCTTTGATTGTTAATGTAAAGTGAAAAACTTCATATTTCTATTTTTTTTACTCATATTATTATTTAATAGTTACACCTTCACACTGTATGGTCCTCCAACTTCTTTACCAACCGATACTTCTTGTTACATTTGATATGTTGGGGTATTCCTGCTGCTTTTATGGCAGCTGCTCTTGGTTTGAAACAAATCCAATATGAATTTGCTAATCTTTGTCTTGTATCTTTGGATGAAATATTCAACTTATTCTTCTATCCAATGGCAGCCATTGTTATTCCAAGTTTTGTACTTCATATGGGAACATTTTTATATATTGCCAGAGTAAGACATACATATATATATATATATATATATGTATCTTGAATAATGGACTCATCTTTTTTTTTCGTATATATAGATTGCTGTGAGGGAAGGTATTGACTCAGATCTATCACAATCGGCCTCCAATGGATCTATAGGACGTGCTCATCGTGCTGTTCGACATAAACATGTCATTCAAGCTGTTCATATTCAATGGCGTGCTCTTCTTTTGGCAGTGATTGCATGCACCACTGTATTATTTTACTGGGTACGTTATAAAAAAATAGTGATATACACAAACTCACTTTACCTCTTATTTTTTTTTTTTATTATAGATCTTCTATTTCACTCAACTTCGACATGCTTCTGATTTCTCATCCGATTCTTCCATCATTGATAGTTGGCTCCAATGTATGATTACACCTGGAAATACTCAAGATTCTTGTGTTAGTATTGTAAGTTCACATTTACCTCCCTTTGGTCTAATGGTGGCTGCTGAAGCTTTAGTGAGTGTCATTGGTATTTGGATCTTGTAAGTAGTAATAATATTTACTACTTTTGGGATTTATATTCATTTTTTTTTCTTTTATTATTTAGCCTCATCTTTGCCAAACGATCTATATTCATTGAATGGAATGATTTGATTTATAATGTACGAGTCTATCTTGGTGGTCGTGGAAGAGCTGAAAAACATGGTGAACAATTCTTCCAACTTTGATGATGATTCATTATTCCCCCTTCACCTTCCTTCTATGCTCCATTCACACACACGTATACATTTCTATCTATCACAACTATTGTATCTTTTATTTCTCATGATAATTTTCCTGTTAGTTTAGTGATATGCACAAAGGTACCACTTGTTTTTATTTTATTTTTTTATTACTCTTTATTATTTAGTCTTTGATCTATCACTCTAGTTTATTTTAGTTATTCCTTTTACATTTTTTTTTTTTGCATACTATTTCTATCTCTTATTTCTATCCATCTATTTATTTATTCGTTTTTTTTTTTTTTTTGTTACCCTCTGGCCATTGAATAAAGTTTCAAAAAATTGTTTTTCAACTGTCTTCGTGCATCATTCCACTTTTATTGGTTCTTTATGCGTCAACTGTAACACACGAAAATCCGTTCTTATTATCATGTATACTTACAAGCATGGACAAGCCTTGTGTCTCTTTCTATACCCGTTTCGAACGGATGACAAGATGTGGCTATTTTGATGATCATTCTTTCTTATTATTCATACTATTATTATCATTTTTTTTTTTTTCGTTGGGGTTGCAAATACTGCGGATTTTTGCACCAACAACAGGATTTTTTTTAAGAGCAAATAACAGATTCAAAAATGATATAAATTAAAAGCTTCGAACAAAAAAAAAAAAAAGAAAGAAAGACAAGGTAAACAGGTTATTCTATTCTCTATAAAGTTGTTTATTTCTACAGGTAGTAACATATAGATTTCTAGGATGAAGATAAATAATAATAAGACTTTGGAAGGGGGGATGGTATAATCATATCATAAAAAACTATATATACACGTTACACTAATGCTGATCACTAAAAAAAAAAAAGTTCACTAGATCATGATGAATGTTGATGGGAGGCAGTAGGTACCGAAAGCTTTAGTTTCAACGAATGGCCAATCAAAACACAGGAGATCAGAAGAATAATGAGTTCCATTACTACAGCATAGACACATCCATAGGCTATAGTAGTTGAAGTGTTCATCAATGTCTAAATAAGTTAAAAAAAAGAAGATATATAAATGAATAACAAAATCGCTTTTTGAACACGATAGATATTTACAGCATATGAAGCACCAAAATGGGAAAGAATCACCCAAGCAACTTTGCCATAACCTGACCAAGATCTTTTTGAATATCCATCAAAAGCCACTGTCATCCAAGCCATATGTAGTAATGAAAATAATGTGGTTGTAACAGCTATATATATATAAAAGAGGATAGATGAATGTTCTATTCATTTCCTTTTTTTTTTTGGATTACCAGAAATCAAGAACAAACTTGCATTTGGACAAGAAGGACACATTATTACACCAGGACCAATGGATTCTACCAAAATTGATATATAACTTATTAAACTTGTTGCCAATGCATATCCATACCCCGCCACTGAATCAAAAAAAAAAAAAAATGTAAGTTATTCCTATTTATTATCATTATTATTATTATTATTCTTTGGATTTTTTTTTTAATTACCAAAACCAAATTCAAGTTTGTTATAAGGTGAAGTTGGATGTCGAGTAATCATATTCAAACCAGCTTCTGACCGTTGTAGTAATAAAAAATAACACCATCGAAAGATTTCTTGAATGGCAACACTATAAACAATACTAATTGTCAATGTGGACTGTACTGTTTTGGCCAAATACCATATCACACTAGAAAATAATAAAGCAATCAAACAAAAAAACGCACTATCTCGATACCGTAAGTATATATATATATATATAAAACTGATTTATTTATATTTTTTTTTTCTATTTACCTAGCTACAGTCACTAGGACATGTTGAGCTGACTGTGCAATGTAAAGAAAAAAGATGGATAAAATGGGACCATAAGCTATAAGAAGACATCCAAAAAAAGTATAAAGTGACATTGAGAAAGAAAGAGAAAAAAAGGCCAAAAAAAAAAAAAAAAAAAAGAATGGGATAGAAAAAATATATATATATATATAGATCAACCTGAGTGTTCAAACCCCGTTCTCATTCCCAAAAAATGGTTGATATCTTTTTTTTTCTTTTTATCGTCCTAAAAAGAGAAACCAGTATTGATATAACATACCTTTTGAAGAAATCTATCCTATAATCTAGCATTCAGGCTTTTGAGTTTCCAATTTTTTTTTTCATTTAAAAATTCATCATCATCGCATCAAATTCGTATTGATCATTCCCTTGATAACACATTGTATCTTATCTCCCACTTTATAGAGTAAATTAAAAAAAAAAAAAAAGAAAACAAAAACAGTATCTATTCTCTTCTTGGTATTTGGTTAGATTTATCTGTTTATCGATCAGGGATAACATTTCTGACACTGCATATGTGGTAGTTCATCCTCTTTTTTTTTTTTTTCTTGAAGATCACGCATGTTGCCTTTTTAGGAAAGGCCTTTGAGTGTAATCAGACAAGTTCCCATTAGTTTTTCTACATACATCGGAAAAATTTACTATGACGTCTAGGGGACTCCTATACAATTTCTAGCCTAGATATGCATTCTAGGACCTCTAGGACCCCCCCCCCCCTAAATAGATAGGATAGAAATTATAAAAATATTTTGACTTCAATAAATCTATGACAAAAATATACTAAATCTAGGTAGGACATATTAAGGCTGAAATATAGGTTTGGTCGACCTCCAGAACAAGGAATTTCATTTGATCAGTACAAATATACTATTGAAATCATAATTTTATTTCATCACTACAAATATTCTATACTACATAACTATACTACATAACTATAATAATAAGTAACTACACTATAATCGACAATATCCATGAACACACGACCAGAATCACAACTAATGCCATCACCAGGACAACGATCATGACTTGCACTTTGGGTAGGACTATTTTATTTGATACAGACACTTCAATTGGATGTCTAACAGGGTCATTCCAACTAGAAGGCATTCGATCTTGGCTTGATTGTATAGTTTGCAACCTACAGATAAAATTAACAACAGTAATCCATCATAATCCATCAGCATCACTCTCTTTTCTTTTTTTTTTTTCTACATAAATGTTACCTTGGCTATATCATTGAATGTTTGCATCACCTTTATTGTATAGACGATAATCTAGCAAGCTACAAATAAAATCAATAAAATGAGTAGTAATCCATCAATGTTTATTTCTTTTTCTTTTCTTTTTTCTATATAAATGTTACCTTGGCTATATCATTGGATGCTTGTATCACCATTATTATATAGACGATAATCTAGCAAGCTACAAATAAAATCACCAAAATGAGTACTAATCCATCAATGTTTATTTCTTTTTCTTTTTCTTTTTTCTATGTACAAGTTACCTTGGCTGCACCATCGAATGTTTTGTACCACCAGTAAACCCAATGTCATCATAACAGTTGGCTCGGAGAGAAATAAAGGCTTGCCAAATGCAGATATCAGACAATTTCAGATCATCAAGAAAGATAGTTGTATCGTCTTACGTATAGCGCTCCACTATCAGTCATTGATATGATCCTCAATAATCTTTCCAAACCAAATACCGCAAATGTCAGGACTTAACAAGGACTCCAGCATGAAACAACACGATCAACAGACAATAACTGAATTTCCTACGTGTTGCATTTTGCCCTCCACCTACTTGAGCACAAAATTCAGTCACTAGATTCATAAACGACTCTAGAGACTGGTCATCCTCGACCAAGTCCATTGCCCGTAAACAAACAAAGATCAATACACCATGATCTTCGTCTGACCAAAAGCTAAGTATAAAGTAATGATGACCATCCGACATTTGACTGTATAGACCACTATTCTGATACCTAACAGATAACAAAGAATCAACAAAATGAGTAGTAATCCATCGATGTTATTCATTTTTTCTTCTTCTTTTACATATACACATTACCTTGGATCATGCGCTAGTGTCAATGTATCAATCACAATACAATAAAAAGAAGGATCTAAAAAAAAAAAAAAAGAAAGAAACAAGTGATTGTATGTAATATCGATTGTTCCTTTTTCTTCTTTTTGTACAACTTACTAGTTCGGCTCTACAGACGGCAATCTTAATATCTACAGATACAAAAAACAACAGAGAGAAAGAGTTCAACCAAATAGCAAATGTATATTGAAGAGAACATCACCACAATGAGCGACAGATGGGAGACAAAGAGTCCAAACAAGTAGAAAAGAAATTTTGAAATATCATAAGGAAGACTAACCAAGCAGTAAAGAGGACTTTCAAAAGTACTTGTGCATAAATGAATTGCATTGGCTGTGCAATGGAATCCGAAGAAAGAGAGAGTCCAACCAAAAAGAGGTCTTGAAATTGTAGACACTAGAATGAATTAACTATAAAACAAGTAACTAATTGTATTTTATACTATTTTTTATTTTATTATTATTATTTTATTTATTTTTTTAAATTGACAATAATAAAATAAGAATCCATTACTTGTCATTGTATTTTATATGTTACCTATCATGAGCCAATATGGAGACACGAACAAAGTGCGCAGGAGTAAAAAAAAAAAAAAAAAAAAAAAAAGTGTAGAGAAAAGGAAAGAGAAGGTAGAAAAAGAAAATTGTTAGGAAACGAAATAAATAAAAATGCAACGAAAAGTCCGACTAAGTAAAGGCAATGTGCCAAAGTAATATATAATAGAGAGAAAGAATATGTTGTAATGTACTAATGAGAATAAAGTATTTACAAAGAAGTAAGCTTAGTTTTTAATATTAAAGAAAAAGTGATAAAAAATATATGAAAAAGAGAACGACTTTATAATATATTTCTTTTTTTCATATCATTTAATTTATTTAAGGAACACAGGCACACAAACAGTTGTTTGAAAGGAAATGATAGATAACATTAAAAAAAAAGTGATGATTGTAAATAGTGACAATAAATATAATTTTATTAAACAAAAAGAATGTAAATGTGTATAATTGTATACTAAGTGTGATAGTAAAAAGAATCACTAACGCTTTAAGCCAGAATAAGATAAAAAGACCAAGAAGATATCTCTAATTGATTGTAAGTCGAATCCAATTGAATCCTATAATACATCCTGTTCATCCATTTCGCTGATCCAGACGGATAGCCACTTCTCGTAGTATCCTATTGACATGAAACGGTAATGATCAATCTTCGTGTATCTAGATTTCTTTCTTTCTGTCAGACGTATATTCAGTAATAGTCATTATCCAGGATACCAAGTAAGAAGGATGAGAAGAAGAAAGAACGATAATCCTATATGGACAGATGTTGTAGTAAAAACATCAAGGTCGAAAGAACGCGTATAAAAGAAAAAAAGAAGAAAAGTAAAGTTAGAAATAAGAAGAGGAAAAGAACTTGTTTTTGAAACTTACAATTAATAAGAGTGAGTGTCTGTAAAAGCACATAGAGAAAAGGATATAGCAAAGAGGTTGGAATGATTCATGTATAAAAAGAAGAAAAGGTTATAAAACAACAGTATCATTATCTTTTTTTTGTTTGTCTTACTTTAATCGTCATATTTGTATTTAGAGTATAGATTCAAATAAAAAAAAAAAAAGAGATCAGTGTCATATAACGTTGGTGGCATAATGAAATGGATTTACCTTATTAAACATGAGTAATACAGCATATAACAGGTTAAAAGTACTTGTGTTCACTTGTTTTAACTAAAAGGTATAAACACACACAGCAAACAAGAATGATTCAGTCAGTTCATGAATACAATGAATATAAGTATAAACAATCTTTTATTATTATTATTTCCATACCTTACTTTGATTTGTCTTAAAAGGTAAACGTATAACAGAAAGAAAAAAAAAAGAACAATAATGTGATAAAAATAAAAATAAGAAGAAGAAGAAGAAGAAGAAGAAGAAGAAGAAGAAGAAGAGTAAAAATAAACAAACGTCCTTTTTTTTTATTTAGCAATGCATAATTTTCGCTCAGCGAGCCTGTGGGCAAAATATGCTCCTTCCAAATTAGGACTGGAATATCCAATTTCTATTCAACTCTACATAGAAACCCTAAATTCTACCTAGAAAACCAATTTTTATTCAACTCTATATAGAAGTCCTAAATTCTACCTATTTGACCTGATAACTATGTTTATTACAAAAAAAAAGGTAAATCTACCTATTATATGCTTTCTAGCCTAGATACGAAAAAAGCGATTTCCGATGTACATTCATTAAGAAAGTCTAATTATAAATATGTAATGTGAATGAAGCTTTATTCATATTTTTTTTTAAGGATATAATACAAAGCTAAACTATTGAAAAGCAAGTGAAGAGAGGTGTAATGTGAATGAGAATAAATAAAAAAAAAAAGACTACCCAATAATAATAATAAAAATAATAATAATAAAATACAAATAACAGATAAAAAAAAAAAAAAAAAGATAAAAATAAAATGAGAACCAGTCTCATTCTATCAGTTTGTTTCTAAAACTAAAAAGTATACGTTATAAGTATTCACTATAAACTAAATCCTTCTTGAGGGAGAATGGGTTGACCATATTGTTGTTGTTGTTGATGAACAGTCATCATAGGTTGATTGATCATATTAGGAGCCACCATAGGAAGAGTATTATTTGTGACAGGAGGTTGTGGTTGAGAAGAAGTTGGTTGTATTTGAGCCACATTTTGGAAAGCCAATGGATCAAACAACAAGTGGGATGGATCAAGTAAAGCTGCATCCACAGAAGAAGTAGCGGCATTGGATTGTAATAATGCCATTTGATCTTGAAATGGATATTGTGGAGGTATAGGTGGTTGATTTGATGATGGTGAAACATTAAATTGTGGTGGTAGGTTGACAGCCATGTTTGTATTCATTTCCCTGGTAGATCCTTCTTGTGTGTTGTTGGTTTTTTCATCCTCGTGTAACTTGAGATGTTTCTTCAATGATCGCGCGTGATAATAAGCTTTTTCGCATCCAGGAATATGACACACAAAGGATCTGACCGTGCAATGGGTTTTGACATGACTACAGGAAAGTATAAAAAAAAGAAGTTAGCTTCCTCAAAGAATAATTTGATATATCTTTTTAATTCAACTTACGTTGTAAGAGAATCCAATCGAGAAAATCGTTTTTCACATCCTTTTGATAAAAACAAAAAAAAAAATAATCAATATAAAAAGATAGATCCTTTTAAATAATAATAATAATAGTATCTTACCTGGTTTGTCACATACAAAAGGTCGTTCACCAGTATGAGTTCGAAGGTGATTACAAAATTTGTGTCGTTTGGTAAATGGTTTATGACTTCGTCGACAACTTTCCCATTCGCATCTATAAGTAGGCTATATAGAAAATAAAACCAAGCCAAAGTATGAATCATCTATTTTTTTTTTCTTTCTGAATTCCTTACCTTTCCACTTCCAACATGTTCATTGACCATATGATCAGTAAGATTCCGTATACCAATATAGATTTCACCACAGCCTTTCCATAAGCATTGTAATTCAGATTTGTCGCTACTGGTATTGTCATTACCACTTGCAACGCTCGAAATTTCTTCGTCATCATCATCATCGTCGTCATTATTGCTGTTCTCCTTGTTATGAGATTCATGGTCCCCAGTAAGATGATTGTTTGTTGATTTGTTTTGGTTTCTGTCATTTGATGATTTTTGTTCGTCTTGTTGTTGTTGTTGTAATAAACGTTCGTTTTCCAGAAATATTAATCGTTCTATCAGTTGTTCTCTTGTCATTCCTTCAAAAGATTTTTCTGTAAAAAGAGGACGACTGGGTGTCTCCTTTTCACCAGAATGAGATTGCTGTTGAGATGTCGTACTATGATTGGCCTTTTTTATTGATCGATCCTTTTCCAAGTCTTGATCTGAATTTGCACGTTTTGTACTCTGTTGACTTTCATGAGTAATGGGAGATATTGATCGATTTGTGTCATGATCAGCAGGTTGAATAGTTTTTTCTTGTTGTTGCTGTGGAGATGACAGATCTAGATGTTGAGGTTCACTTTGATGAGATGCCACAATCCCAGTTCCTTCCACGTTCATTGGTTGACCATCTTGTTTCCATTCAGAAGTATTAGATTCACGTTGTTGAAATGACTGTTGAAGTTGATGAAATTGTTGTTGATTGTGATTGTTGTCAAGCGGTGAGCCCACGATGCCCAGGCCAGTTGATAAATAGATTGTGTCATGCTTATGATTGTTGTTTGCAATGGCTTCTACAAGGGTGGACGATGCCATCTTCATTTTTTTTTTTTTAAAAAAAAAGAAGAAAACCAAGTTAGCATACATATAAGAAACCATGATTATTTTATTTCAACTTACATTTTGATCCTTATGGCGTATATCCGTAGATGAATGTATCCTAGTATCCGATAATTGCTGAGCTGAACTTGGTGATCCTTGAGGACTGATGGCTCCTTGAGATAATACTGGCGTTGAATTGGCTGAAGTCGCTGCTGTAGGAGTTGCCCCTAAAGAAAGAGGTGAATGCTGTCGAACGCTATTGGAAGTTAATGGTGAAGACGATGATGGAGAACCCATGGATGCAGCAATGGCCATATCATAATGATGCTGAATCATGTTCAAAGTATGTTGTGCATGGCTATTTGCTTGACCAGTTGATTGATTGATTCCATTTGATTGTTGTTGTTGTTGTTGTTGTTGTTGCTGCTGCTGCTGCTGCTGCTGCTGCTGTTGTTGTTGTTGTGGTTGTGGTTGTTGCTGTTTCGGTGGTTGATACCAACTTTGACCATTGGTAGGTGAGATAAAATTAGAGTTGATGTGTGTCATATAGTCAGTTGAGGGAGTTGTGAGGAATTGAAAGGTATCTTCAGGAGCTAAGGAAAACGTAGAAGACAAAGTATCATTGCTGCGGGTGTCATTGTTGGAAGGATGATGTTGTATGACACCAGGTTGAGAATGTGCATTCATGTTGGTTCCAAAAAAAAAAAAAGAGCTTCTATACAAGATGAGATAAAAGTATGAGGCAAATCCCTATAGCCAGCACACTTTATCTTCCTTTTATTTTCTTTTTCTTTTTTTTTTCTTTTTTAAAAAAATGAAGGAAAAAAAGAAAAAAAAGGGAAAAAAAAAGGTACGATATCAGTCAATAAAAAAAACACACAGAGCCAAAAAAAAAAAAAAAAAAGATCGGCATTTCAAAACAATATCATCCATTTGTACTAGATCATTGGCTGATTCCTTTCAAATTATCCATCATTGATCAAGTTTCGAGTTTTCCTTTAACCAATAATAATTATTTGTTCAAACTATTTTTTTTTTTTATTTGACTTGTATAATAAAATCACAAAGATAACCAACTAACTAACTAACAAAAAATAATCTAACACTTTTCCTAAAATTTCCAATCATCAGGAATGTTTTGTGCCCATCTAAATTTTTCCACTAATGTCTTGCTATAAACCTTTTCCATAGGAACATCATACTTTCGACACCATGCCACAATAATACGAGGATCAATATAATTCATCTTGGAAGTACCTAATGAGATTTCCTTATTTTCTTCCTTGTCAGTTGCTTGAATCTTGGTGGCATTGATACGTTCATCCAATTTTTCAATCTTGGCCAATAATTTTTCCACTGTCATGCTTGGTGCTACATCCACTTTCCCAGACTTGCGTTCCTTGGTTAATTGAGCTTCTAATTCATCTACCTTTTTCAATTTCGCTTCCAGTTCAGATTTGGGTTGTGGTGCTTGATTTTCCGCCTTGAGTTTTTCATTTTGCTTTTCGAATCGATTCTTGACCTTTTCTCGTTCCTTTTTGATAAATTCAACTTCATATTCCTTGATCCAGTCCTCTTCAAGGTCAGATTCATCCATGGCCAGTTCGGGTTTCTTCTTTTTAAGTGACTTGTCCAATGCAAATAATTGTTTTCGACATTTCATACGTTGGTATTTAATAGCACGAATCTATTTATTTATATATAAAAAAAATTAGTTATCCAATGGATATTTTTCATCATTTTTATATTTACCTTGTCCCCAATTTTCATCATTTGTTGAGCATGTGATTTGGATGCTGCCCTTTGATGGTTACAAAGAACGGCTACTTCCCGATTTGCTCGATTGAAAGAAAGAATCTTGTCATGTATAATATCATCAGGATTGGTGAGTTTGTCCAATTGTTGTTGACATGTAAATGAAGCATTATATGTACGGAACACTTTGGCTGATAGTCCTGGCATATGACTGTTCAAATGCTTATTCAATCCACTCGTCTAATCAATATAAAGAATATAAATTATCAGTTCCAAAAAAAAGCATTCTTTTTCTAAACTTACTGTCAATCGATCAAAAATAGAAAAACCAGTTCCCACTTGTTTCTTGAAAAGTTTGAGATTTTTGAAAACCTGAGGATCCACCTGAACAGAGTTTTCATATCGAATTGAATCTTTACCAAGGAAATCAAAATGGACAGTATTTGGAGGTTCTAGTGTAATATGTTCATACCGCAAAGAACAACAACCAACAGTATCAGCTTCTTCATCACCTTTTTCATTACCAGCTCTAAGAGCCAATCGATCGATCAAATACATAGCTGTTGCCCTTTGTCTAGTTTCCGTAAGTTTATCCTTCAAATCAGCTGTATAACTTGCACGAATACGATCAACATGATGCTATAAAAGGAATTTATAAGTTTCTTGATTCATTTCTTTGTCTTTTTTTATTATTATTTATCTATTTACCTTGAGTTCCCGAGCTTTATCGAATTTCTTCATATCACTTTGTCCTTTCCAAGAAGAGTTGGCGGCCAAAAACACATATTTTGAAGTATCATTGATGTTTTCCTTCCAAGTAGCTAACCAAGTTGCTTGTTGATCATGTACAATCTTTCCCCACTTGTGACCAGGAAGAGTAGGTGGAATAGGACTATCTTTGGAAAGATTGAGAGTCACTTGTTCAGGATAGACACGTAACTATTAATATGATTATCAACAATAATAAAATGAGATCAATATTCTCTATTTTTTTTTTTTGAAATATATATATATATATATATACCTTTAAACGACCAGTTTTGGGATGATCACCACGACCACGGAATAAACCTGGAGGTTCAATACGGAAATTACCAATCTTCTCCTTTCGTCCATCGATAGTTGCGTACAAATAAGGTTCTTCCATCTTGGTACGTTCATCCTTGATTTTCTACAAATCAAAAAAAAAAAAAAAGTTAATAAAATAATCCAATATATATACATAGTGCATATATACTTACCAATTTTTCTTCCTTTGTCATTTGTTTCTTTCTTTCCTTGTCCAATTCAAACTTTTGCCAGATGGGTCGGAAATCACATTTTTCAAAGCTTTCTATTTTGGGATTCTATCAAAAAAGGAGAAGATAAGTATTGATATAATGAATTTATATTTTTTTTTTTTTTCATTACCTTGGGACTTTTAGCCAATACTTTTTTGAAGTCGCTAAAAAAGTTTTTCTGGAAAGTTGGATTTTTCCCATGATCGGATTCTAATAAGGCAGCAAAGAAACTAGCCACTTCTTCAGCCTCGGGAGTCAAACTAACAGGTTTACCATCATATTTCATTTGGATACCATGAGGGACATATTCAGGGGGAAATAGTACACCATAATGACTAAGGGTCGTCCATCGAATACCACCTTCATCTTCTTCATTATCAATACTTCGATCAGGAGTTTCTTCTTCCCACCATTTATAGACTTCTACTTCTTCTTTGATTTCCTTTTTGATCTTTTTGTTGGCTACATTGGATTCAATTTTGACGGATGATGATCGTTTCAAAGTTTTGGACTGGGAGACCTAAATCAAAAACAAAAAAAGAAAAGGAAAAAGTATGCAATCAGTCTTCATATATATATATATATATATATAATATGGCGATCATAACATATTTGAATGATCGGGAGTTTTTTTTTCTATTTTCTGTACCTTGGTTGGTTTAGATACTTTCTTTTGTTTCTTGGACTAGGAGAAAGGGAGTATTCAAATTATATAAGTTAGTCCTTTGTGACACATCTATAATCTTGAGAATGTAAAAAAAGTTTCTCATCACTTACCAAAGGAATATCATCGTCACTACTTTCTTCCTTTACAACGCGCTTGGTAGTAGATGTTGTTCTTTTGGCCAAAGGAATATCATCGTCACTATCTGATTCTTGCATCTTTCCATTGTTCTTGGTAAGATTCTTGCGTTGGGTCAAAGGAATATCATCGTCGCTGTCCTCATCTTCGATAGTAGCTGCTGTTCGAGCTTGAGAAGGATCCGGTGTACTATCGTCAATAGGAGCTGGTACAGAAAGGTGAGGAGGTACCGCTATAGAAATGATTAAAAAAAAATAAATAAATTAAAATTTCATAATTGTCACTACATGGATCAAAATTATCAAACACTAAACTTGAATCAACTTACTTTGTTGTTTCACACGAGATTCGGTTCGTCGTGAAAGGGGAATGTCATCTTCTGAATCGGACATGGTGAAAATAATATTTTGACAAAGAAAAAAAAAAAAAAAAAAGAAAAAAAAGAAAAAGGAGAGAAATAAACAAAACAAAACAATATATACGCAGAAAAAATGTTAGCTCTTTGGTGGGAGACGTGTGACGGAGTTGGAATTGGCCACGTTGACCCACTTCTTCCGAAAAGAGCTACCACTTCTTCGGCTTCCAAATGGAGTAGATAGTCGATCAAAACAATGTTCATTGTTGTATGTCAACACTTCATTAAGTTTATACCATTTAAAATAAAAACAAACAAACATAAAAGATGATACTATATAATAATCCAGCTTACTGTGATATTGAGTGCCTTTTACTTTCATGTTTGACAAATGAAATAATGTGATCAGTTTATATGTTTAATGTGTTGAACACATATGATGATGGTTGTTTTTGATTTGATTTCTAATTTAATGATGATTGATTCATGATGATATCATATATAAACATTCAAATGATGTGATTAATGATACCTGATTCATAATGACTTCCACAATGAAAAATGCTGGAGTGGTACAAATACAATGAAAATCAGGTATGGTAGAATGTAGACAAAGAAACTTTATGGATTAATTAAATGATTGGTTCTATGCCATCCTATCGATAGAATTCTCCCATTTTAATTTCTTTTTTTTTTTTTTTAAAAAAAAAAAAAAAATGAAATAGTATGTAAGTGGGAACTAGAAAAAGATATAAAAATGTTCGACTATTTTATTAAAAATTGGTATTTGTACAACTTGACGAATCATATCACATGAGATAACAAAAAAAAAAAAAAAAAACCAATAAAAATATAACTTTATACAAAAAAAGGAAAAAAGACGGTAAGTATCAATAAAATCAAATATGTACTAATCTACATCCAACCAGACGGCCATGTTTGTTGTTGTTGTTCTTGTTGCTGTATTTGTATATTGTCAGTACCAAGATTATTTCCATTTACACTTTGATTTGGAAGTAAATAGGCAGTCCAATCATCCAGTTCTATACTACTAGGAACAGACCAGAAAGGATTGTCGGGACGGTTTCTAAAGAGTGAGTGATCTACCATTGGTACTTGGTTTGATATTGTTTCATTGTTAGTCGTTGATGATGATTGAAATGACATATCTATTGGGATCATGTAATTGTTGCAAACTGTAGCATTGGTTCCAGATTGTTGTTGTTGCGATGATTCTGGATAGAGACTCGATGGGTTTTGTTGTAAATTGGAATGAACGGATGGTTGTTGTTGCATAGAACCAGCAGTGAATCCAATGTTTGATAATCCAAAAAGAAAATTTTGTGATAATCCATTAGTCGAGTAGTTGTTACCTTGTTGTGAATTTTCCATTGACAGGGCATTTGGGGAGTTGTTTGTGATACTCATTTGATCGATAGGTGTAAACATTTGTTCCATATTCAACCCAAATCGTCGTAATGAATGAGGATCAGATTCTTGTTGCATATTTCCATTACCGATGGATGCTACAAAGAAAATGTTAAAAGATACAATACTATAGTTTTAATTTTTTTTTTTTTTTTGTTTTTTGTTTACCTTGATTTTCACCTTGTTGTATTGATGAGTAAAGACCATTAATCCAATCACCATTGATAAGTGATGTTGGTGTCGAGCTTGCACTGTTGATACGTTCTTCATTTGGTTGGAGAGTATTTGCCATAAATTGAGGATCAGTACTTGGACTACTTGATGCTCTGGTTGGAAGTTGACCACGACCTACATCTGACACACGAGGTGACATACCGGCTTTGAGATGATCAACACCTGTACATTCTTCGTATTCAACGTTACTGTTTTTGTTGAGACTATTCTGCAAAGAGGTGGTCACTGGTGATGAAAGTGATGATGATGATGCTGATGTTGATGATGCTGATGATGTTGATGCTACTGTTGCCACTGATGTTGTAGTTTTCTTCTTTTTTGTTGATTCCTTACTGATCCTTTGTACTTTTTGGTCTTGCATTTCATCATCGGAAGAAGGATCATCATAAGAGATATTTCCCATTTTCATTAAACGTAAAAGTACTTGATGGATTTGACAAGCTGCTGCAGACATGTTTGATAAGCGTTTTACCACACGAACTGACTTGATAAGATCACTTTTTGCTACATCAGAGACTACACTACCAGCATGAGAAGCTGTATGAATATGAATCAACGAGGCAGTAAACACGTGATAAATGGCGAAGTTCCATGACACAAGTAAGAAATCCCGGAAATGCATAGAATCTGCCACATCTACACATCGAGTTGCTGCAGAGATGCAAATGGAGAGAGAGGACACGGATGATTTGGTTTTTTCACCACCTTCTTTTTCGATAAATGGTCGATGTAACAAAATAAGTAAAGTACAGTAAGAAAGATACATCAAGCCTATGATAACAAAAAAAAAAAATTTGGTGATAAATATTATTAAAAGAGATAAAAAAAAAAAAGAGAGAGAATCATTCTTTACCAGACATGGAAAGTAAAGGAGTTCTTCCTCGAGAATCCAGTTTTCGTAAGTTTGTTCCAGAAATTTGTAATGTTGGTGGTAAAGCCGCACGCCAATCAGATAATGCTTTATCAAGATAAGATACAATAGCATCACTTCCATGTTCAGCACTATATTTCTTGGCCCTTGGAGTATAAAGACCTTGTAAAACATGACCCAAAATTTCGGAGAGCTTGATCAATTGTACAAAGGGTTGATAAATTGGAATTCGTTCGCCTTTTGCTTTTTGAGCCACTGATTTTTCCAAAGAAGGGAATCGGGGTTGATGATCATCCACATTTGAAGCCGTATCCATCACTTCTTCCCAAGAAGCACTTTCGTTAGGATAACTTTCATCACAATCCTAAACATGGTAATAAAAGTAAGAAGAAGAAAAAAGTTAGAAATGCTTTAAGAAAAAAAAATCATGTACTTACTTCATCAAAAATCGTCTGTGGTCTACCAGTAGATGCTGCTGACCATTTGTCCATAATATATACAGCCCACCAAACACGTCGTCGAGTTTCTTTTTCACCTTCAGTAATTTGCCAAGTTTCAGTTGATCTATGTAATCCTAGATCTTGAGCCTTCATTTTTTTTTTTTAAAAAAAAAAGAGTAATTATAAGCTTGTTTGTTATTATTATTTTTTTTTAAAAAAAAGAAAGAAACTTACCATTCGAATCGCAGCACCGTTAATGAGCCAACTTCCAGTCATCTTCGCATCTAAACTTGCACGATGGTTTTGAGCAATGATCAAAGCTTGAATGACAGCAATACTTGGAGAATATCGACCTCGAACATATGTGATCAAATTGTCAAAGAATCTTTCAGAACCACCTTCAGGGATTTGCCAATCCGATACGTCTTCATCAAATGCATCAGTAACGGCTTTTAGGTCTCCAAAAAGTTGACATGTTTCAATATAACGAGTTGCAGCACCATACATAGCATTCAATAAAGGTGCAGAAGGAAAATCATCAGCCAGATCACGGTATTGATTCAAAAATAAGGTTTTGTTGACAACAGGTAAACCAGGATGAATATAGGCAAAATATCTATCAAATGGATCAAAAGTCAGTTATAATATTAATAAATTAAATATAAAATAAATACTTACACTTTCATAAGTCGATCGCTTGTTGTTTTTGTAATATTAGCTACTTTAAAAATCCATTCATCTACATCACGTACAGGTTCACCAGGTTTCAATATACCCAACTTTTCCACGACTATTTGATTTGGTGTCCGACCATTCAGATTATCACCTTGTTCGTATATAACTAAACTTTGACCAAATCGTCGAATCTTAATCCCATCTGGTAAAGCAAATCGACTATCTTCAAAATTGAATTTCTGAGCAAGGAATGGAAGTGTACTCATATCTCCAATATATCTAGGATGAAGTTCAGTTTGTTCTGTCGATCGATGTCTATTTTGGATGATTGTTTCGGACGAGGTGCCGTACGGAGTAGTTGATTTTACCATTGCCGATGAATCGGGATTCTTAATAGATGTTATATCATTGGATTGCGTTGGAGAAGTATTTATTGATGTTGTAGGTTGTTCATTATCGTCATGATCATCATTATCCAATGTCAAAGTTCTATTTTTGTTTTCTGCCATTCCGCCAAGAAGTTTTTCCATTCGTTTTAATCGGTTTTCCAAGATTTCAATATACCTGTGTAACAAAAGTCAAAAGACAAAAAGAATTAGATAAAAATGGTATATATAATATATATATATCAAATATTTACTTACCCTTTTGGAGGTCCACGTTTCTTTGCACTAGATTTTTTTTTTTTTTTTGTATAATAAAAGATTATTTATTCGTATTTTGATATTTATGTATTTTTTTTTTTTTTTTTTTTACCTGTCTTTGAAGGTACAAACTGTGTTGGCCAATCTACAACTTTTGCATGTACTTCCCAATCCGTCATTATCACATTTAATTTTTTTCCGTCTACAACCATCACTAAAAAAAAAAAAAAAAAAAAGAGTAATAATAATATAAATAAATAAGTAAATAAATAATCAAATCAAATCAAATCAGTATAATAAAAATCTTCTTTTTTTTTTTATCTTATTATTTATATCATTTGCTTACCATGCTCTACTAACTCGTATTCGCTTACTGTCATGCTCAATATCAGATACGTTTACTTCACTAGATTGTTGAAATGGATGAGGTTGTATAGGTTGTGGAAATGTGGATCGAGGATATATATAAGAATCATGTATTCGATGATTAGAAGATAGTGGGGTATATGGTTGTGGTTGTAAAGGTCGTAATGAAGGTTGTGTATCCTGCGGTATTGTTGTTCGTTGTTGTATAGGTTGTGTTTGATATCCATTGTGTTGATCTGAAGATAAAGAAGGAGAGGTAGAAGATAGATTAGATGAAGGAGGCCATTGTAAAGGTGAAGACATATCAACGATATATTTCAAATGCTGAGTAAAATTATCAATGATATGAAAATAAGTGGAGAAAAATGGAAACCCGGGAAGAAAAAGCGAAACGTAAAAAAATCTTTTTTTTTTTTTTTGAGACTAGGTACCAAAAGCGTTCAATTCCCCCTACACCATTTGGAATACCGCGTAGAATCTTATTGGTCGCGACGCATTTTTACATTGGAACAATGAAAACATCTTTTTTTTTTAAAAAAAGTTCTTCGTTCATAGTATGACGATATTATATGAACCTGAACATCAACAACCTCTCTCTTTTTTTTTTATTAGCTTTTACTTTTATTTTCTATATATATATAATAAAATCGATATGAATGATCATTCTAAGTAGAAAAATGACAAGCTTGGCGGTAATTAAAACATCGTTGTTGTTGCTACTGGATGAATTTTTCTCATTTTTTTTTTCTTCTTCTTTAGTTCTTTTTGCTTTACTCGTTTGTTTTTTTACTTTTTTGTCGAATTTTGTCATGTCGGCTGAAGAGATTGTTTTACAACTCAAACGGAAAGGAACTTTTGATGAATTACGAAAACGGTTATTAGCAGATTTTCAAACTGAGGTAGTGTATATCTATTTAATATTTATTTATTTTGTTTGACTAACTGTATTATAGCCTGCTGGTCAACAATTTATGAAAAAGATACAAGACTTTATGGAAGATATGATAACTAAGGATCCCTCATTATTAGATAAGGACAAATCAGCTTTTCATTCTTTAATGTTGAATGAAATAGAAAAGTAAATTTTATTTTAAAATAATAATAATAATATAATTAAGTCTTTTATTTATCTTATATTATTAGAACTGGAATGTATCAAACTATTCAAAAAGAAATTGTGACAACTCTTATGCAAGCGGACGATTTTCAAAAACGTGTAGAAGACGAAATGAATACTGTTTTGAACAATTTGTGATACCCCCCCTCCTTCTTTCCTTCTCTTAGTCATATCTTTTATTATGTTTATATATATATATTATATTTTAGACTATTATTCGTATTATTTTTATTTATATTAGTATTTTTTTTTTTTACTTTTCATTTTGTATACATCAATAAAATAGTGTTTCTTCTATGTTGATTTGACTACAAATGGGATAGTTACAAAAAGACTGGTGGCTGTAGGATTGAAAACTCCGCGTATTATTTTTTTTTTATCTCTTTTGTTTTCGTGTATATATACTCATTCATCCATCATAAAAACTTTTATGGATTATAATACTGTTGTCCTTGATATAGAAGGTACTATTACACCTATTACCTTTGTAAAGGACGTATTGGTAAATATATATATATATATAAAATATCATGTCTTTTTTTTTTTTATTCTCTCCTTTCTTTTCTCTTTTTTGATTTTTACTTTTTTTTCTTTTTCTAGTTCCCTTACGTTACCAATGGTCTTGATGCTTTTTTGGATAGATCTTGGGGAACTTCAGATTTAGATCAATACATTCAATTATTACGTGAACAGGTAAAATAAAACTTAAAATACAATACTAGATAACAGAACGTCTTTTTTTATTTTTTTTTATTATAGGCTGAAAAAGATGTCAAAGCTGGTATACCCGAAGCTGTTGTGATTCCTCCTACTGGGTAATTGATTATACTACAATTATATAATCTAGTTACTTATAGAATATTTTTTTTTCTTTGTCTTCTTTATATATGTATATGATCAAGATCATCCTCCGTTGAAGATATTAAAGCCGCAATCAAACAAAATATTCATTGGCAAATGGCATCAGATAGAAAAATTGGTGCATTGAAAGCATTTCAAGGATATATGTGGAAAGAAGGTTATGCATCAGGTGAAATTGTTGGCATGTAAGTGAAAAAAAAAACTAATTTGAAATGTTATATGATCATTCAACACTGTTCTTTTTTTTTAAAAAAAAAATCAAATGGGATAGTGTATATGATGATGTTGTACCTGCACTTGATCGATGGAAAAAGGAAGGCAAGAATATTTATATTTATTCTTCTGGTAGTGTTCCAGCTCAAAAACTATTAGTTGGACATACAAAACAAGGTGATTTATCCAAGGTAAAAAAAAAAAAAAAAAAAAGAAAGAAATCTTTAGTATTTTGAAGCTTATATTTATATTGATAACATGTAGTATTTTTCTGGTTATTTTGATACATCCATTGGTCTCAAAGTGGAAGAACAATCTTATTTGAATATCTCCAAAGAATTAAAGATTGATAATAAAAATACCATACTCTTTGTAACGGATAATATCAATGAAGTTTATGCAGCAGAAAAGGCAGGAATTCAAGTAGTAATAGCTAATCGACCTGGAAATGCTCCTCTTCCTTCTTTAGATTCATCTTATAGAATAGTAACTACATTTGATTCTCTTTAATAATAATGATAAACAATTCTATTTAATTAACTATTTAATCTCTTGTCTTTTTTTTTTTTTTTTTTTTTATCTATTTTTATCAATTGGATACTTTGGTAGAGTATTTTGTGTGACGATAAAATTGGGGATGAGGTAGGGTGGATGCAACTCAAAAAAGTAAAAATTTCCAGTGAGCTGTGCCTTAAATCCTTTTTGTCACTTTTTTTTTTTTTTTTTTTTTGGCATGCGACATTGATTTCTCTCTTTTTCTTTTCTTTCTTTTTTTTTCACCATCTAACCCAGTTTTATATACATCTATAAATAATATATTTTTCCTTTATTTCATACCATGTTCTCATCATCAGGGCTTGACCTCCCTACTCATGCAGACTCAGCAGAGATGGGATACGGAAAAAGTCTTGCTTTTGATGCTGCAACTACATCTACCATTGGTTTTTTAAAACATTCACTTAGTATCATCCTCGATAATCAAGACTCCAAACAAATATTTTATTTTTTACTACTCAATCTTACATATATGTTTGTTCAATTGGCTTATGGTGTTTGGACAAATTCTCTAGGACTTATATCTGATGGTAAGAAGAAAATAGATATATTTATAAGCTTGAAACTAATTCACATTTTTGTTTTATAATAGCTATTCATATGTTTTTTGATTGTTTGGCATTGGGAATTGGTTTATTTGCTTCTGTTATGAGTAAATGGCCTTCAAATACAAAATATTCTTATGGGTAAGTATAATAATAATAATAATAATAAAATTTTATCAAAAAAAAAAAAACAAATGAAAATGAATAATTAATATTGTTATTTTTCATAGATACAATCGAATCGAAACTATTTCAGCTTATTTCAATGGTATCTTTTTGGTGTTGATATCAATTTCTATTGTTATGGAAGCTATTCAACGATTACTTGATCCTCCAGAAATGAACACTAAACGATTATTACTTGTCAGTTTTGTTGGACTTGTCGTTAATTTGGTGGGAATATTTGCTTTCAATCACGGACACGCGCATGGGCATGGTGGACATGATCATGGTCATCATCATCATCATCATGGACACGATCATGGTCATAGTGCAAATATGGAAGGTAAATACAACATATATATTTATCTTATATATCTGTTCTATATTCGTATATAACTAATATGATACTTTTTTTTTAAATATATATGTATATATATATAATCAGGTGTCTTTTTACATATCATGGCAGATACATTAGGTTCAGTTGGTGTGATTGTCTCAACATTATTAATTAAATGGTTTGGATGGACTGGATTTGATCCTATTGCTTCGCTCTTTATTGCTATATTGATTGTCATGTCAGTGATACCATTGATCAAGCATTCCTCAAGTGTACTGATGCTCGAATTGGATGATAATGTAGTTAGTCAAGTGGAAGGAACTTTGGAAGAAATCAAAGCGATGGATCAAGTATCTTCGATAGCTATGCCTAGGTTTTGGCCAAATGAAGCAAGTTCTTTAGTTGGATCTCTTCATGTTTATGCAAAAGATAATGTTTCCACTCAAGAATTAAGACAACGTGTAACAGAAATCCTGGTTAGTCATATTGATGGTCTCAAAGAAGTCTGTGTTCAAGTTGAATTACAAAACTCTCCTCGCCTACAAAGACAACAAACACCTACATCGAAAGGATTTTTCCATACTCCTCCTCCATTCAATTATATTCAACAAGAACAACAACAACAACAACCTATGTCATCACCTTATGGTATTGCCTCTTCAGCCGTCAATGCACCTCTCAATTATCGATCATCTGCTGTTCCATTACCCGCGTTCCCTACTGATACCACCAATAGCAGCACTCTTCATTCAAGCAACAATAATATGGTTCCACCCATTCTTGGTCAACATCCTGCTTCTACTTTGGCTTCTCCTTCACCACTTGCTCGTCAAACGCCACCACCTACTATAGTTCCAAGTGTTATTTCAGGTGCAATGAAAAAGCAAACAAAGAAAGAATAGATTAGATAGATATGTTATATTATATTCGCAGTATATCGGTCACATTTGTTTTTATATTTTTTTATTTTATTATTATTATAATAAATATTGGAAATTCAAAAAAAAAATACTCTTTTTTTTTTTTTTTTTTTTTGTATGACATCTTTGACAGATCTATACAATTTTTATTCCGCCCAACAAAAAACTTGCGGAGATTGATTAATAAAGTAAGAGGGATTCAAGGACCATAGTTGAAATCTTCCTTTCACTTTTACATATCCAATATGGTAATACTATACTTTATATAAATAAAGGAAGAGAGAGAGATCTGAAGGGACAGAGATGAACGGAACGAATATCAACTACTCGATGATTATAAAGATTGAAAATTGAATGAATGGAATAAACGGATGGATAGACGGATGGATGGATGGATGGATGGATGATATATAAAGATGGAGAGGACTGAAAATGACATTGAATTGAATTTGGTTCACTAACTATATTCTTTTTTTTTTTTTTTAATTATGAATTTATTCTTTTATATATATTATTGTTTACTGTCACCGTTATTATCGTTGTCGACATTATAGACTAAGGGTACCTCTTCGTTTGGTAAACGCCACACCAAGTCTCACACCTTGTGCCGTCGTTGTGGAAACCGTTCTTTCCACAAGCAAAAGAAGACTTGTGCTCAATGTGGTTACCCCGCTGCCAAGATTCGATCCTGTAAGAAAACGATATATTATATGTCCATTTTTTTAAAAAAAAAAATAGTTTATTCATTTCCTTTTTTTTTTTTTTTTTTTAATAGTCAACTGGTCCGAAAAGGGCAAGAGAAGAAAGACTACCGGTACCGGTCGTATGCGATACTTGAAGGTTGTCCACCGTCGTTTCAAGAATGGTTTCCGTGAAGGTAAAAAAAAGATTATAATTATTTTTTTTTTTGAAATATCATTAACAATATTTATGTGGAATCTTTTTAGGTACTCAAGCCAAGGCTGCCACTGCTTAAACGGTCAAACACCAAAAATCAAGAACGATATTATATTCTATTTAGTTTTTTATACTGTGTTCTTATTTCATGTTATTCTGAAAAACAAAATAAAACAGTAGTTACAGAAATCACGTCTTCCTTTTTTTTTTTTTTTTTTTTGATTTACTGATGGATACATCTGCATGTGACATTTACCATATATAAATGCATTATTTTTGCTTTATTTTATTTTGTTTTTTTTTTTTTTTTTTTTTTTTTTACGTTTTTATCTATTCTATCTTTATACATATATAATATCTTTTTTTTTATCTATTCTTATGGTGATTGATTTGATTTTATAACTAACTATTAATTTTTATGTTGATCAGTATATATGACTAGCAACTATTTTTTTTTTTTTTTTTTTTTTTTTTTTTGGAGAGCGGAATGTCCGCACTTTAACGGATATGCTCGATGCTCCTTTCCCTTTTCTATCCTTTTTCTTTTTCTTTTTCTTTTTTTTTTTTTTTTTTTTTTTTTCTATTTCCTTCAAAAATATTATTATTATTGACGCCTTGATTATACTTACAATATTGTCTAGTTCTCAATTGATATTGTATATAGGTAAGCAACAAAACAAGTTAGAATCTATTCTCCATTGTCGTTTAGATGACAGTGGACTTTTTTTACAGCGCGTCTTTTTAAGCCACTTCCGTGTTTCTCCCACTTTTTTTTTTCCTAACTTGATTACTTATTCTTTTCTTTCTTGTTTATCTCATTTGGTTCCATTTCTTCTTTTATAGATGCCTCTCTTGAAAAGAAAACAATTTCATTTATTAGATCCACCACCACTTGATCTAAAAGTCAAAGCATCTAAATCTCTTCCTGTCTGGTATTCGAATCTTACGAACGAAATCTTTGATGACTATCCGTATCCTTTTTTTTTTTTTTATCATTATCATTATTGTTATTAATATTACTTATTATATAATATTGTATTTTCCTTGACTTGATCTTTTTTAATCATCTTTCTTTTGAAAATAGAACTTATTTAGAGCGAACCACCCTTTACAAACGTCCCGTTTGGCAATGTGAATCTACTGGACGGTCTAATCTTACTTACGCAGAAGCCTTAGAAAGTGAACGTATCGAAAAGGAAAAAGTACAAAACAAACTATCAGTAGAACTTCAAAAGGCTGTATTGGAACGCGCTCAGTTTCGTAAGTAACAACTCTTGTTTGCATAAATACTTGTATATTAACTAATCTTTTGTTGAGTAGAAACGACTCGCTTAGATGCTGTAGTGGATTATGTTTACAATTACTTTGTTGATCGATATGTGGCTGGTGAACAATTAGAATGCTTGTGGGACGATGGGATTTTGTAAGTTTACATTACTACTACTATTGTTCTATGGCTAAATTCCTTTCTTATAGATATACTGCCAAAGTTCTTGAAGCTCCTCCTCTAGATGAACAAATAAATGATGAAGTGGAATATAAAATGCAACTGTTAGATGAAGACTTTGAAGGGATTGATGATTATATACAATCTGTACCTCGAAAAGATATCAAGTAAGTAGATCAATGGATGATTTACAATTAAATCATTGATCTTTAGTAGACGATATCTCATCCTTACTTTTTTCTTTTTTCTTTTTTTTTTCCTCGTACTCCTTCTACTTTCTAGGCGAGATCGACTAGCATTTTCCAAAAACTTGCTCAAGAAATTCTTACGTGAAGCGACTACTAAGGAAACATATATGGGTGCTCCATGGATAGTCAATGTAAGGAAGACATTAATATTACATTCTAGAGAAAGAAAGAAAATAAATACTTACATTTTTTCTTTTTTTTGATTTACACAGGATCAATTCGCAAAACGCTTCGACATTGATACAACATTACCGTCAGATCTAGATGCTGCAAAAACGTTAGCCTATAGCAAGTCACGGAAGATGCGATCATTATTAGCAGCTGAAAAACAAAAGGAAATCGATCAAGCGAAATTGGCAAGCAAGACAAAAGGCGTGCCAACATCTATAATAAAACTGACAACTGTACTTACAGAAAAAGATCGACTGGAAGAAGCAAGAAAATTAGAATCACTATTGAAATTTCCTATGGAAGATCTAGACTTGCCAGTTTACCGAAGAAATCCTCACACTATCATTACACCTGTTTTCCTTGACATGTCTCTTGGTAAATGTAGTGAATCTGAACCTGTTCCAAACCCAACTGGTGATTTCCCTCTTCGACCTCATCCTACCTATGAAACCGTAGCATCTGATTGTTTTGGATCCTTCTTGATGGTATGGAGTTTCCTCAATGTATTTTCTCGTCCTCTCTGTCTTTCACCTTTCAACTTGGACGATTTTGAATCTTCTTTACGCTACACGTCAACAGATTACAAATGCGAAATGGTATATGAAGTGATTGTGGCGTTATTGAATTGTATTATCCGACATCGACAGAAGACTCGTTATCGACCATCTATCTCTTCAATAACTATTGGTGATTCGACTGGATATCCTCGTACTCCTCTATTAGCATCCTGCAGCTTTCGACCAGGACAACTTCAACAAAGTGAAGTGAACGATCAAGAACAACGTACAAACGGTATAACTGCCAGCGATGATGACGGTGATAGTCATGATGATGAAAATGATGATAATAATGAAGGACGGTCACAAAATGGACAAAAGAAAAATGGGCTTCTAAATAACAACAATATCAAGACGATCAAGGAAGAAACAACAAAACTCAAATCAGAAAGCAATCATGAATGTTTAGAACGGGGTTGTGGAAGCACAGAAGTGGTGACCATTGGTAAAGATTGGGATATCCGACCCATTGCTATTGGAAATGATCGCGAAGGATGGGAAGATGTAATGATTGGATGCATCAATGACGTAAGTATTATATGATATTTAATCAAGAAAAAGATGAATTTAACTTTTTACTTTTCTCGTCGATATACTTTATAGTTGGCGATTGAATTGGATGAAGATTTGGCTTCATTTGACAGTATTCTTTGTAGTTTGGTACCTCGAATGAATTCTACAAACAGAGAAAGAGAAAAAGCATATATAAATCTTTCTTTAAAGGATAAATTGAAGATATTACAACTGTTGGTACATGCTGTCAATGAAACTGTGGATATCAAGTAAGTTGGAATAAAAAAAAAAAAAAAAAAAAAAACGAAAGTAGAGTGACAGGAATAAATCTGATCGTCTTCCCTTTTTTTTTTTTTTTTTGTTGATCGTTAGGGAATACATGGAAGAATGTCAAGAACAACTTACTGAACTACGAAGACAGAAAATTGATATCAATCGTGAAAAGAAACGAATGTAAGTTACTGTATATAAAAGGGAAAAAAATATTAATAGATATGTACAATTTTAATTTAAATCATAGCCAAGTCGAACGAAACGAATTGGAAAAACAATCTGAAGATACTACCAATGTGGAAGCTAGTGCTGAAGAGAGTGACTCTGGTGATTCTGATAATGAAAGCAATGTTGAAGAAAACATGTAAGCAAACTATTTTATCTTAAGTATAATATATTGAACTTTTGTTATGATGGAATAGTGATCGTGTACAAAAAGAAGCTGCTCATATATCAAGGCATGAATCTCGTCAAGCAATATTGAAACGGAAACAAATGGAACGAGAAGAATATGAAGCCAAGCGTAGAAAACTTTATCATCAACAACGACAAGAAGCACGTGAAAGAAATCAAGAATTGAAAGCCAAAGCCATCATTCGCAAAAAATTGGAAAACGATGAACGTCAAGTACAGAGAAAGGTAAAAGAAAAAAAAAATCAACTGTGACTGATATGATGAAATTTTTTTATTAGCGCGAACAAGTGGAACGGGATATGCGCAAATATAGTACATTACGATTCAAACCATTGGGAAGGGATAAATTCTACAATCGATACTATTATTTGGATAATATTGGTAGTGGATTCACTCATGGATCAGGAAAACTATTTGTACAAAGCCCAAGCGTAACCGATTTACTGATGATGCAAGAAAGAGGCAAGGAAAACATGATCAAAGATGAAGACAACAAGGACTCAACATCAACTAGCTCTTTATCATGCGGGCATGGAGGAGGATTACCATTTATCTGTCAGTTGATGGATCATCAAGGTTTATCAGACAAGGCATCCATGTTGAAACTAGACTTTGATAAAATGGTGGGTCCTGATCATTTGGAATGGTGGGAATCTTTTGATGATCCTGACAAGGTAAATTTATTTTATTATATTTTGCTAAAAGAATGAACTCATTTTTATTTATATTTTATTTTATATATATATATATTTATTTTTATTATTATTATTATTATTATTAGCTGAATGCTCTTCTAGATTGGCTGAATCCAAAAGGTGTACGGGAATACTTGTTGAAGAGAGAATTACAGAAACATTTACCTGGATTATTGGCTGGTATGAAGAAACACTCATTTGTAAGTAATACCGAAATGGAAAAAAAAAAAGAGACAGAGAGAAATAAAGCATGTGACATTGATGATCGCTTTCACTTTCTCTATTAAGGAACGACCGGTAGTGGAAGTGATCCGACGCAGCACAAGAAATAAACCTGGCTCACAGCATCAACCTCCTGCAGGATCTTGGCAATCATACACCAACAAATTAGCAAAGTAGCAGTATAGAAAATAATCCCTCTCCTTTTAGTATAGCTTTTATTAGTTGAAGTCATGTGTATTTTGACTCATTCTACTTGTTTATCATAATAAATACATTATATATATATAAGAAAGGACTTTTGTTACTAAAAGACATGGAATCTTGTATTATAAATTTGTGTAATGAGAATGGGACTAGTGATGGTATGGAGTATCCTATAAGAGTGAATATTGATCCATTAGTTATTGTCCGTCTCCAGTTTATTCTCAATCATCATATAATCATCGCTTACCTTTCATCATCGACCTTCAATAAAAACAAATCTTCCTCAGTATCGCTAACCAACAAAATCCAATTTTCCATCTTAACTAAGAAAAATCTTTCACAATGGAAAAAAAAAAACAATACTAAACTTTCATCGGAGCGCTAGAAGGTTTAGTATTTGTGATCTTCCTAAAACAATTGCCGGATGAACCTGATTCAAAGCGTAAATGTACCTAAAAAGGGGTCTGGATTTGAAATAAGTAACCAATGTTTAGGTAAAAAGGACCCTTGATCGTGAACGACTTTAGTAAGATGTAAATGATTTTCTTTTATTAGTATATTGTGTATTGGTTCGAAAAATATCTAATTGGATAACCATAAATAATAAGAGACTGGGTGTTAATAAAAGCAAAAAGAAAAAAAAAATGGATGTCATAGAATTCCCACGGGTAGAAAAACGTTCGTTTTTAAGTTGCGGGGGAGAAACAAGTGTGGGGTGATACAGCGCTTGAGGGAAAAAAAAAAAAGAGGTAAAGCTTGCTTTTTTTTTTTCTTCTTTTTTTTTTTCTTTTTCTCTTTTATTCTTTTCCTTCTTTTATTAGTTGTTTTTTTTTTTCTTTTCTTTGCACCCCTCTCTTTATATCATTCAATTACTATAGAATGGCAGCAGCAGCTTCTCGATCCAAAGTTGTTAATCTTTTGGGACTTTTACAAGCAGGTGCCAATAGTTGTCCCTGTCATTCACACGCTCATTCTCACTTTACTCCTACTGCCGCTTCTTTTGGCAATATGTTGAAATATGGTCGTAACTATGCTAGTGCTCAAGATAATAATACTGACTATGCTTTTGAAATGGCTGCTAGTAATATTCGTTTTGGTCCTGGTGTTACTGGGTAAAAAAAAGAAGTCTTCACTTATATATACATTATATATATCATCTCACCTTCTTTTTTTTTCAATAGTGAAATTGGTCAAGATCTCAATAACATCAAAGCAAAGAAAGTGGCTGTTTATACTGATGCAAATGTAAGTTGTTATATATATGATGGGTTATAATAAAAAAAAAAAAACTTGATGAAAGAAAGGAATAATAACATTTCTTTTATATAGATTGCCAAGTTACATCCTCTCAAGGCCGTGATTCAATCTTTGGAAAAGAACAATGTCAATTATGTTTTGTACGATACTGTCCGAGTGGAACCTACTGATACTAGTTTCAAGAGTGCCATTGATTTTGCTCGTACTCATAGTCCTGATGCTTTTGTTGCTGTGGGTGGTGGTTCAGTGATGGATACAGCTAAGGCAGCTAGTTTGTATAGTTCTCATCCTGAAGCTGACTTTTTGGATTTTGTCAATGCTCCTATTGGTAAAGGTTTACCCATTCGTCGTTCTCTCAAGCCTTTGATTGCTGTTCCCACTACTGCTGGTACTGGTTCAGAAACAACTGGTACTGCCATCTTTGATTATGAACCTTTGAAAACCAAGACTGGTATTGCCCATCGTGCTTTGAAACCCTTGTTAGGTATAGTTGATCCTTTGAATACCCGTTCCATGCCTTCTCAAGTTCATGCTTCTTCTGGTTTGGACGTACTGTGTCACTCTTTGGAATCATATACCGCTTTACCTTTCAATCAACGCTCTCCTCGTCCTAAGGATCCCATTGAACGTCCTGCTTATCAAGGTTCTAACCCCATCAGTGATGTCTGGTCTCTTCATGCCTTGCGTATGGTTGTCAAGTATCTTCCTCGTGCTGTCAAGGATCCTAGTGATTTTGAAGCTCAAAGTCAAATGTTGTTAGCTGCTACTTTTGCTGGTATTGGTTTTGGTAACGCCGGTAAGTTTCTTTTTTTTTTTAATATATATATATATATATATATATATATATTATTACGGAGAGCAATGAAGTACTCAATTTATCAAAATATATGTAGGTGTCCATCTTTGTCATGGATTGAGTTATCCTATTTCTGGTTTGAACAAGACTTATAAGCACCCTGGTTACAATGTTGATCATGCCATCGTGGTAAGTATAAAATAAATAATAAATATAGAAGGTTATATATTGGGCGATTAATTTTTTTTCTTTTTTTGGTGCATACATCATTAGCCTCATGGTGTCTCAGTTGCATTGACTGCTCCTTCAGTCTTCCGATTCACAGCTGCAGCTTGTCCTGATCGTCATATCGATGCTGCAGCCGCATTTGGTGCTGATCCTGCCCACGTCAAGGAATCCATGGCTGGTGAAGTATTGGCTGAAAAGTTGACTCGATTCTTGGAAGATTTGGGCGTTCCTAATGGTTTGGGTGCTCTTGGTTATGACTCTTCTTATATTCCTGCTTTGGTGGAAGGTGCTTTACCTCAACATCGTGTGACCAAGTTAGCTCCTGCTGGTGAACCTGCTAGTGAACAATTGGCTTCTATCTTTGAAAACTCAATGTCCAATTATTAGTTATAGGATGAATCAATTTAGTGGTATGGGGGGATTGATTTTTTTTTTATGCATTCATTGAATAAAAGGTTCTATCTTTTATTTTTATTGTTTTATTATATTCTGTATATCAAAGATGATCTTTTTTTTTTGTGACAAAGAAGGAAATAATTTTTTTTTATTGACATGGTATCCTGGAAAAGGCAATAGACCAGATAATTCATGGGTTTTATCATTGAGAAATGTTGCATGATTCTTCGAGAAAGATTAATGACAGATATACTGTATGTAAAAAAGTGGGAAGCATGCTGTGTGTTAATTTGGAAAACAAAAACAAAAAGATATCGGTATTGACATTTTTATGTGTGAGAGCAGAACTAGAACCCAAATAAACAAATAAAAAAAAAGGGGGGCATGATTCTTATCGTAAAGGCTGATTATGATGATGATTATTATTATTTTTCCAGACTCACTAGGTTGATTAGGTTTCTTCTCCTTACTTACCATAAAGTGAAGATTTCTTTTTGTTGTCAGACCTGATTAAGGTACATAGGAAACCATTCAACTCCGGTTACGAAAGAGATGGCGGATTCATGCATTTAGTTCCCAACATTCCACATTATTATCATCATTGATTGATTTTATTTTCTTTTTTTTTTTAATGCATCTCCTTATTACCTCAAAAGGAGGGTCAATCATATAAAAATTCAATCTATAAGAAACTATAATATGAATAAGCATGACTGGGTTTATTATAAAGTTAGTTCGGATTAGTGATTGATAAAGCAATTCACCTACATTAAAAGATGACATCGACAAAACACAGACAGAGATCAAAATCGCATATATAACAACCTCTTTTTTTTTGTTTTTTTTTTTTTTGTTCTCCCCTTTTTCTTTTGATCATCTTTTATTCTTTTATTTTTATTATATTAGTTTTTTTTTTTTTAAAAAAAAAAGATGAAGATTGTTCTTGATTATCATTATCCTACCTTTCAAGATCAATTAGAAGCGTTTAGATCCACTTGGTTACAATCAACCATTTCTTATCTTATTAACTTTTTTCCCATATTACGTTGGATTCATCGATATAATTTATCAGTAAGTAATAATATTCATCTTTTGGATATTGTAGAGTACTTATTCCTTCTTTTTTTTTTAAAAAAAAAAAAAAAAAGTGGTTATTTCAAGATGTAATTGCAGGAATCACGGTAGGTTTATTACTTGTACCTCAAGGTATTGCTTATGCTAAAGTTGCAAACTTGGATCCTCAATATGGTTTATAGTAAGTGATGTTGTCTTCCCCTCTCCTCTCTTCGTTTGGCTCCTTTTTAACATGGAGCATCGTTACTTTTAGCAGAAAAACTTATATATTCTACTCCTATTGGATTTTTTTTTAATAGTACTTCCTTTGTGGGTGTCACCATCTATTGTCTATTTGGTACAAGTAAAGATATTAGCATTGGGCCAATCAGTAAGTTTCATCTTTTTCGCATTCCGCATGTATGTCCAAAATGGCCCAAATTAAAACTAATTTTCTTTTTTCCTCTTTCTCTTCCTTTTTTTCTTTATCTAGCTGTTGTTTCATTACTTGTGGGTGAAGCTATTACCAAAGTTACAGAAGCCCATCCTGATATTACTGGTCCAGAAGTAGCAGTATGTTTGTCCCTTGTTTGTGGTGTGATCACTTTATTAATGGGTATGATCCGATTAGGTATCCTTGTTGACTTTATTTCTGGTAAACTCTTCACATAATCTATGCTTTCTAAATATATCGATATTTTATCTTACCTTCTTTTTTTTTTAATTACCATTATTATCCTTTAGGTCCTGCCATTGCTGGTTATATGAGTGGATCTGCTATTACTATTGGATTAGGACAATGGCCAAAGGTATTCGGCATCACTGGAGTGGATACACGTCAACCTCCTTACATTGTCTTTATACAATTTTTCAAACAATTTGCAACGACACATATTGATGCTGCTTTCGGTATTACCTCACTTATTATCCTTTACGTTATCAAATTCGGTACTGGACGTTTAGCAGCACGATTACCTCGACTCAAGAAACCTCTTTTTTTCATGGGTATCATGCGAAATGGTTTGATAGTGATCGCTGGCACTCTTCTTTCTTTTCTTATCAATCTGGGCAGAAGCTCTAGTCCTTTCAAGATCATCAAGGAAGTACCAGCTGGATTCGATGCTATGGGTGTTCCTCATATACGGTTAGAGATCATCACTGAATCTATGAGTGTCTTACCATCTATTATCCTGATCCTTGTTTTGGAACATGTATCTGTGGCTAAATCTTTTGGTCGTCTTAGTGATTATGAAATTCAACCGAATCAAGAAATATTAGCTATTGGTGCAAGTAATATCATTGGTGCTTTCTTCGGGTAAGAAATGAACAAAAACTTACAATTGTTCATTCTAATATATATACATATATTTTTATTTATTAATAGGGCCTATCCAGCTACTGGTGCGTTTAGTCGAACTGCTGTTATGGCAAGATCTGGAGCAAAAACACCGTTGGCAGGATTATTTACTGGATGTATCGTTGTGCTTGCCTTATATGTATTGACACCTGCTTTTTACTTTATTCCTGAAGCTGTTCTTGCCGCTGTCGTAATACATTCTGTCATTGATCTGGTATCTGGTCCCGCTTATGTATTGGAACTCTATCGCACTAGCTATTTGGAACTCGTTGTCTTTTTACTTGGTGTAGGAATCACCTGTTTTGTGGATGTGGAAACTGGAATTTATGCATCTGTGGGTCTTTCACTGGTGATTATGCTTCTTCGATTAGCACGTCCTCCTGTCCAAGCTCTTGGTCGATGCCCTTTACGGTCACAACATTATCCAACAATGCAAACCGATACCTTTGCAAATGATCAACACTATATCTATGTGGATGAAACTGATCCTCACTTTGCCAATGTTTTGGAGCCTTTACCACCTGGTATACTTGTGATTCGACTGACTGATTCAATTCTCTATCCAAATGCCGGTTACGTGGCTGAGAAACTCACTCATTTTGGAAAAACAAGAACGCGGAATGGAAATCGGAACATGGATATCAAATCATTACCTTGGAATGAATCCACAGATACAAGTCAAAATCATCATCGTCAACCTTTACTTGGAGCAATTGTATTAGACATGACGGCAGTACGCTCAATGGATACGACAGGATTACAAGCTTTGGGATGTGTAAGAACAACTTTGGAACGTCATGCTGGACAAACTGTGGAATGGCATTTTGCTGGATTACAAGATGCTAGGATTCGACAAGATTTACTTACATTTGGATTTGGTACTTTGGGTGATGAACAAGACCTGATGAAAATCACGTCTCCTTCCAATATCTCTCCACAACAACAACAACAATATCCGACAACGTATGGATTGACTTTAACGCAATCATCACCTTTACCTTGTAACAACAACGGCATGTTAGTCCCACCACGAGCACCTTTCCATCGTGCTTCTATAATGCAAAGACGAGGAAAAGATGAAAAGGCAATTGTGGAATCATGGAAATCAGCATCATTTACGGAATTGGACATTAATCGGTTCTCAATACGCAACAGTCTTTTTGATCCTATGGAAATGGATATTGATCCTTATTACGCCAGCATCAATATGTCAACCGATCCTCATGATCAATTACCAGAAGAACGTTACCCTTGTTTCCATTGGGATGTAGATATGGCTGTACGAACAATCAGTGAAAGATGGCACAGCAAGAAGTCGATTCAACCTTATTTTTCTTCTTCAGATTCTTTAGCATAGATTTGTGTGTGTGTGTATGAATATTCCTTTTTTTTTTTTTTTTTTGTATTTAGTGCTGTGCATCATCAAACCGTTTATATAAACTCAATAAAAGCGTTTCTTTGTGTATTTCTTTTGAATGGATAAGAATTGTGTGTGGCTGGTTTTATTCTAATTTTATTCTAAAAAAGGAATCGTCTAAATAAATTTAATTTGAGAAAGAACGCTAGTGTCCATTTTCAATTTTTTGGTGCAACATTACTGGTCGATCTCAAAAAAAAAGTCCTTTCTATGGTCGTTGCTATGGAAATTGGATTCAATGTGATGACAGTTTCTTTTTAAACAAAGTAAACAAAAAATAAAAATTGAATCATGATGATAATGATGATGATGATGAGGATAAGAGTTTCATTTGTTCAGAAAATGGAGGAGGTCATCCTTTTTTTTTTTTTTTTGTTCCAGATCAATTTTTTTTTTTTGGTAGAATTGGGTGATTCACCTTTTCAATTACCTTTTATATTCATTGATGAAGGTTGATTTGTACATGCTAACCCACAAATAGGGCTACACAGCCATTATTTATATAAAGTAGCCAACTTGTGTCACCTCTGTATTTAAACAACCCCTCTTGATTTGATTTTATTTTTTCTTCTTTCTTTCTTGATTTTCATCTTTTTTTATTTTTTTATTTTTATTTTATTTTACTTCATCATCATGGTCAAATCAACTGCTGCTATTGTTGCCCTTGTTGCTATGTCTGCTCATAATGTGATGGGTCAAGGTACTAATGAATAAAATAGAAAAACAATTGAATTGACTTTATTTTTTTTTTTTTTATTGATTGATTGAATAGCCATCCCAAGTGGTATTCCTACTGATCCTGCCGTTTATAGCTCCATCCTTAGTCAAGTAAATAAAAGTTTGAAAAATAAATACTTGTTTTTTTTAAAAAAAAAAAAATATACTAACGATATAATCGTTTCATTTTTTTTTTTTAATAGGCTGAAGCTTCTTTGTCTGCTTTGGCCACTAATCCTTCCTTTTCTAGTTTGTTGGCTAACCCTACTCTCTCTAGCATTTTGAATCAAGCTTCTAGTGCTGGTAATGCTGCTACTGGTACTGGTGGTGCCTCTGCTGCTCCTACTTCTGGTACTAAGAGTGGTGCATCCACCTTGAAACCTATTGGTGCTGCTGCTCTTGCCATCTCTGCTGCGGTCGCTGTGGGCATGTTATAGATCACTTTTTTTTTTTTTTACCTCTTATAATATATATATTTTTATTTTCACTTGTCTATTATATAATAAAGATTTCTTAATCATCAAATGATAGATTGATTATCTGCTTGGTTCAATCGTTGACGACACAAAAAAAAAAAAAAAAAAAAAACTTCACCAATCATATGCATTGATAAGGTTTCATCAATGTGCCAAGCAACTTTGTGCGTGTGTGTCTTTTTAAGATCTCTTTGTCTTTATTTTTTTTTTGTTTTCTTTCCTAGCACAAATTCCGATTTCCTCCTCAGCTTTGAGGCTTTCGTATTTGAGCCTCATTTTTTTTTTTTATACTTCCCCTTTTTCTTTTCTTCTTTGTTTCCATTTCTTTCTTACTTTTTTTTTTTTTTTTTTAAAAAAAAAAAGGAAAACTTGATTCAAAAATATGGATAACAAAGGTCAACATTCGTATCCTCCTCCACCTTCTTATCAACCTCCACCTCAAAACCAAAGTTATCAACCTCCTCAAAACCAGAGTTATTATCAACAACAATCATACTCACAGCAACCTCAACAATATCAAACATATCAACAACCTTATCAACAACCTTATCAACAACAACAGTATTATTCTCCTCAAGCACCTCCACAAACTATCTATGCTCCTAATCAACAACAAAAAGGAAATAGTGATGCATTATGTTTGGGTTGGTAAGTTTTATTATTCTCCTTCCTTTTTAGATTCTCCTCCTGAGAAACTGACTCTTTCTTTTCTTTTTTATATAGTCTTGCTGCTCTATGTTTCTGTTGTGCCATGGATGCTTTATTCTAAATGAATATATAGTAATAGCTTAGTATTTTGATGTCTCGATTTATACTTTATTCTTATGCCATTACTTCTTTTTTTTTTTTACTCCGTTTGTAAATGATCCGTTTCCCTACAAGTTATTTTCTAGTCTTCATTATTAAAAAATAAAGAACACTCATGATGGATGAAGTGGGGGGATTTTTTTTTTATTATTTCATATTGATTTTATACAATCTTTCTTTACTTTATGTCGACTTTTGTTACAGCATCGTATCTTAGGGTAATTGAGTTTCCGAATAGTTTCTTCTTCTTGCCTAAGAATAAAAAAAAATAAGTCCCGTCCGAAATTTCTTTCTTTGTCTCCTTTCCTTTTTTTTTTTTTTGAAACGCGCAGATACTTTTCTTTATTTTATATATATATATATATATTGTTTATAGATTATTATTAATAGTTTTTCTTCTTTTTTAAACAAATATGGATACACAACACATTGGACAGAAAAGAGGTTATCAAGATGATGATCAACCAACATTCAACAAAGCTCCAAAGTATAAAAAAGATAGTGTCATCAGTGCACAATTGGTGGCTCAACATTATAATCAACGACCAGAAGTAGGTGTGGCTCGAAGAAAGGAATCAAGGATTATACGAATGCGTAGTTTCAACAATTGGGTGAAAAGTGTCTTGATCCAACGACATACACGGCCTCGACAATGTGTCCTTGATATGGGTTGTGGTAAAGGTGGCGACTTGCTTAAATGGGCCAAAGCAAAGATTGGTTATTTGATTGCTGCTGGTAATATATATATATATATATATATATATATATATATATATATATATCTAGTTATATTCACTCTTTTTTTTCTTTATCTTATTTCATTAGATATTGCGGCGGTATCTTTAACACAAATGCAAGATCGTTATAATGGATTACGAAATCGATCATTTGGTGCGGAATTCCATGCCTTGGATTGTTATAGTGAATCTATTGAACCTCATCTGGAAACACAACGACCGGTGGATGTAGTGTCTATGCAATTCTGTCTCCATTATGCGTTTGAATCCGAAGAAAAGGCACGAATGATGCTTCACAATGTCAGTCGTCATTTACGGTCTGGTGGTCAGTTCATTGGTACGATTCCTGATGCTAATTTGATTGTCAAACGAGTACGTCAAGAACCTCCCGATGTTCTTGGTTTTGGTAATGAATTCTATTGGATTGAATTTGATCCCCTACCGTATCCAAAATCATCTGGTGCTGCTTTTACTCCTTTTGGGTGCAAATATATGTTTCATTTAGAAGATGCTGTAGATTGTCCGGAATATTTGGTACATTGGGGAACTTTTGAACGGTAAAAATAATCATTTTTATTCGATGAAACTTTTTAATATATAACCTTTTTTTTTTTTTTGATTAGTTTGGCTAATGAATATGGATTAGAATTGAACTATAAAGAAAACTTTCATCCTTTTTATCAAAGAGCCAAAACTGATAAAGATCATGCAAGATTACTTCAACGAATAGGTGTAGTGGGTGGACAAGAACCTGAAATGTCAGTGGAAGAATGGGAAGCAGCTGGGATTTATTTAGCTTTTGCTTTTACCAAACGATAGAATAGTATATTAGTTTATTTATTTATTTTTAGTTATAAAGAAGATGTTTGATCGATCCAACGTGTTCATGTAGGGAAATGGAATGATTTGCTCCGATAGAAATAGGAAGATGTTTATTATAAAAATAGGACCCTTTTTTCCTAAATCAGATTCACTATCGGATGTTCTTTATGCACCTGATGATTTTCTTTATTTGTGAATGGGCATTGGCCATAAAGTGTAATAATTTGAAAACACTTTGTAAAAAACTGATTATCTTCGGGGATTAAAACACTCCTTTATTTTTTTTTTTATATAGTGTTCTTCGGCTTTGAACTCTTTTCTTTTTTCGTTCTCTCTCTCTTTTATTTTTTCTTTTCTTTTATATATATATATATATCTACTTCTTTTCTTTCTTTAATTTTTTATTTATTTATTTATTTATATTAGCAGATAAATATGGCAAGTCGTTTAAAGAATCGTCCTGGGCTCCGTCTTGACTTGAATATGAAACCCAACTTACCACCTGTGGATTTATTGAAACCATCGTCTTCTACAGGCACTTCCTCATCTACAACCAACTGGCGCGCCGATCTAGCAAGAATTGTCAGCAAGAACAAAAGTATGACGGATATCAGTGATACTCCTTTGGATCCATCCTTTGCCAATAACAATACAAAACACGATGTCTCTGAAGAGGAAGACTTGAAACCTGAAGATTTTGAAAATATTCATAAACTTGGTGAAGGTGCTGCTGGTACTGTATGGAAAGTCAAACATAAACCTACTGGAAAGATTATGGCAAAAAAGGTATAGATTAAAAAAAAAAAAAAAAGTACATTAACTTATCTATTCATTAATGTATAGACAATCACAGTTGACCCTGATCCACAACTTCAACGACAAATTTTACGAGAACTTTCTTTTCTTCGTACTTGTGGTTCTCCTCATATTGTTGCTTTTTATGGTGCATTTTTGGATGACGGTGATACTACTATTGCTATTTGTATGGAATATTGTGAAGGTGGAAGTTTGGAAGATATCTATAAAAGGGCAAAAGCGATGCAAGCCGTCATTGGTGAAACGATCCTGGCAAAATTAGCTGAAGCGGTAAGATAAAAAAAAAAAAAAAAAGGATGATGATTTTTTTTTGTTTTTTGTGTTTTGGAACTAATATATTATTATATCATGATTTCCAAGGTATGTTTGGGTTTGATTCATTTACATTCTCATAACGTCATCCATAGAGGTAATTTTTTTTTCTTAAAAAAAAAGAGAGATTTTCAAGAAAAAACTTATTTGTTCTATTATGTAGATATTAAACCTTCAAATATTTTGATGACAAGACAAGGTGAATTTAAGTTATGTGATTTGGGTGTTTCTGGAGAATTGATCAATTCAATGGCAGTAACATTTACTGGTACTCAATATTATATGGCTGTAAGTGGGTTTGAAAGGAAATTTAAACAAGTCAAATTAAAAAAATAATATTATTCATTTCAATAGCCTGAACGTATCAAAGGTGGAACTTACTCTGTACGATCTGATATTTGGTCTTTGGGATTATCCATCATTGAAGTGGCTCAAAATCAACCAGCATTACCTCCTCCTGATAATCCACACCTTTCCATCTTTGAACTTTTGGACTTTATTGTACATCAACCCATGCCTAACCTTGGTCCTGATCGATCAGCTGAATGTCGAGATTTCATTGCCCAATGGTAATATACTTATATAGATAAATATGTCAATGATTTATATTTTTTTTTTTTTTTTTTTTTTTTTTTAGTTTGATCAAGGAACCTTCGGATCGACCAGGACCAGATATCATGTTACAACATCCTTTTATCAAGAATTGGGCTCATTTGACAGATGATATTACTCCTTGGCTCAACCAGGTATGGGGATGGTCGTAGATTTATACAACATATACCTAGTTTATTCCAATCTCTCGATTCTTTCTTATATATTTACATACCCTTTGTGTTTATACTATATAAACTGATCTTTTTTTTTTTTATCTTGGATTCATCAATAAACTCATATCAAAAAAGTGATTCTTACAAAAGATAAGAGTCAGGTTTTGGATAAAATTTTCTATTTGCAGAACACAGCGAAAATACTGGGAATCTATCTTAATGAGGAGTATTGGCAATAATACCTATCGGGACAGTTTAAGAGCCCTAGAAAATACTATTGATATTTTTTTTTTAAAAAAAAAAAAAAAAAAAAAGGTGTATATTTCATAGAGTTCATGATAATGATCCATGACTTTTATTATTATTATATAATTATTATTATTATTATTATTATTATTAAATTCGGATGATATGTACGAGAAAATCTTTATTTAAAAGTTGTTCAAAAAAATATGGATGCGATTCTAACTAAGTATTCACAATGTTGGATCTAAGAATAATGTAAATCATAGAATAAAATAAGGTCAAATGATGGGATATCATTTACAAAAAAAAACAAGGAGGATACGCCTATTGCATTGATTTGTAATATCTTTATGTCTTCTTATTTTTTTTTTTTTCAGTGTTCTTTTCGTCGTCGCTTTGTCTCCTTCGTATCACCTAATCACAAAAAAAAAAAAAAAAAAAAAAAAAAAAAAAGAGGAGGGGTCAATTTTTTGTTTATTTGAAACGTTTTTTATAACCTACGGTTGTCATAAGATGGATGTCGTAAATCAACGGGATTCATCAGCGGCGATTCTTTTCCAAGGCCCATGTACGGAGATAATCTTGTTTCTAGTAAAATAAAGGAATGAGACAATGCGAGAGAAGACTTTTGTTTTTGGTATTTACCAGTGATTGATTCTGTGGATGGACCAATAGGACGTAATTCAGTAGCTTCCAATAAAGATCGAATGGGTTGTAATGATTGAAAAGGTTGTAAACTATGGCCAGCCCTCATCGGTGGGGATGTTGTTGTTGGATATTGCGGATAATGATGTGAAGATGCTGAAGAAAAAGGACCTGTATGTGAGAGATCGATAGAGGGTAATCGATTGTCATTGCTGCTGGTACCTTCCATAGATGTCTGTATGTGTTCTGGAGAAGGAGATAGATTCGATGATAGAATGGATGAGATCGGCATAGGTAAGAAGGGTTCGCTCTTTCGATATACGATGCTACTATTACTACTGTTGTTGTTGTTGTCAGTATCATGATCATCACTCTTCATGAATGTCGTTGTCATTCCGTCATTTCGATAAGTACTAGTGACATTGATGTAATTGTTGTAGGTATTGAGATTTGGATTGTCATTATTGCCAACCCGAGCGGATGATAGTGGAGGTGGCGCGTTGGTACTGTCTTCCGTGAACGAAAAAGTCGATGTTGTTGTTGCCGTTTGAGGAGATTTTCGTTTCAAGGATGAATCTAGTTGGCATTCCGATTCCGAGAGATTTCGCTTACCATCGTCCATTGCTTCGCGTAACGTCTTGATGTGTTGCCTGATCTTTTCAACTAAAAATAAATATGTGATCATAAACAAAAGAAACTTCTAATTATCTTTTTTTTTTTTTTTTTTTTTACCTTTTTCATAATGCACATTATTACTGTCATATTTTGATATATTCAACAACACATCAGCAATATCTTGCATAGCCTATGAATGATTACATAAATCAATAAATAAAATATAAGCACGACTATAAATGTTTCACTTACATCTTGTTGTCTTAATAGAATAGATTTCAAACGTTCAGTTTCATTCTTAAGCGAAGTATGTGAATGAGAAACAAGTCGAACACGATCTTCCAGGCGTAAAATATGATGATATATTGGATTGGATTGGTCTACCCTGTTGATAGGATCTAGACTATATTTGTCGTCATATAGATTATGTTCACCATGGTTTCCTCCAAACTGTTGATTTGATTGCTGTTGTTGCTGATCTTGTGTCGATTGTTGATGACTACTGGTATTGAGAAGGAGACGACCAACAGAGGAGGTAGATACTGGTGAACTAGTCGGTGACAAGTATTGATGATGGGATTTGGCACTTTTTCTTTTAATATTTTGTAATTCGTTTATGGCTCCTCGTCGAAAATGTTGATGTCGGAATTCCCACTTTTGGCTTTCGCTAGTCAAGTTGGAGTGAATCATATCGTTGACTTTGTGGAATCCGTACACTAAAAAGGGAAAAGAGATAAGCCTTAAATAAAAAGTAATACTAATATTATTATATCAATATTAATATTGATAACTTACTGTTGAGTTGTCGAACGAAACTTTGCCAGTTATTATGTTTAAAGTATTGAGGTAAAACCAACTTTGAGAATGCAGTAGGACTAGATACGCTGAATAGATCACCATTAGGAGACCAGTTGATCAAATGTTGTATCGAATCATCTTCCAACATTCTATGTCAAAAAAAAAAAAATTCTGGAACATCGTATTTAATTCAATTCTTATTCAATCTTACTTGTATAATTTGTTGATAAAGGCGGCTTGAGGTCTATTGGTTGAGGATTCATTGCTGTCATTCGCTTTTGCTTTGCCTTTGTTGTTGCTAAAAAAAGACATTTTTTTAATTCCTTTTATATATTTCCTTCATTTTTTTTTTTTTTTTGTTTACCTGGTATTTGGGGTTTCTGATTTCCAATGAGAAGTGGGGAGAATAATTGAGGATGATGCACCTTGATTAGTATTGGATGATGTTGGAGAGAGTGGTGGTTCTTCTTTTGACGAGTCGATGGTATGATTGATTGTGGAAAAGGAGGATTCATTGGTGATACTATCATTATTATTACTGTTGTTTTGGATAATGTTGGCTTGAGCGCTGTGTAAATTGTTTCCATTGTCGTCGCTAATTGTAATATTGCCTTGGGTCATGATTTTAGCAAACCGGCCATACTTGAGTGTCTTGATACACTAAAATTATATATAGAGAGAGATAAGAGAGAGTGAATTAAACTATAATTATGCAAAATAACTGTACCTTTGTTGATTGCAAAATGGTTATTGGTTTGTTTGTTTGTTGTTGTTTTTTGACAGTGAGAAAATAATTGAACGGGATAATAGAGATAAACAGTAAGTATGAGTATAGAGATCAGAAGAATGTAAATAGGAAGAATAAAAGAATGACAAAAGAGAAATTGACCCAACAAACAAAACACACTCGCACACAAGAACACACACACGTACACACACGCACGCACTAACAAGATACCAAAAGAGATGAAATGATAATGTGTTTTGTAATGTGTATTAAGTGAATAATGGTTGAAGAGTATAGTTCAACTATAAAAATAAATGTAATGAGAAAATATAATATAACGCGTCGTAGTTATCTAATCAATTTTTTTTTTTTTTTACCTTTAGTAAAGCCAGTACGGAGTATGTATATATATATATGTATGTATGTATGTGAGTATATACAAAAAAAGAACAAAGGTATACCAAGTATGGTTACTGGAAGGGGAAACAAAACAAAAAAAAAAAGAATTTAAGAAGGGAGAGAAGAAACAAATAGAAAAAGTAAAGAAGAAAAAAAAAATTCTAATGGAGGACTTTCAAAATGTTTTTTTTTTTTTTTTTTAGGAAAAAGTAACAAAAACTTTTGAAAAAGATTTCAATAGTGACGCATGTTATGATAGAAATATTACTAAGTTCTTGCAAATCTTTAATGAAATGACATCACTTATTTTTTTTTATAATAATATGTCGGAAGATACTAACTCTATTTGATATGAATTCCATTCGATTCCATTCCGATTGATCTGTGTGGATCCATTTTCCTGACATAAGAAAATATTGGTCCCTGATTTGGTTACCACTTTTGGCAAACAAGTAAGATAAACTAGTTTTTTTTTTTTTTTCCTTTTAATTTCAAGATATTATACAATGTTTTTTCTTGGATGAGATACTATGACTAACATGGGTATTTGTACTACTAACACTAGGACTTGTTCGATTAATATTATCTTGTTGATGCTGTTGTAAAGAAAGGGCAATGGCATAACTAAAATATATAGAATGAATAAATATATACATTCTCCTCCTTTTTTTTTTTTTAAGAAAAACTTACTCCAAATCAGCTGTTTCACGATTTTCTTGTTCTTGTCGGGCACTTGATGAAGGTCTTGTTGACAAAGGTTGGATAAATTGACTATTCACAAATTCAGATGTTCCTTGATCTACATCACCTAGAGTTTCCCATATCACTTGAGATTCAGATACTAAACCAGAATCAGTCACTAAAGTATATAATCGATTGGTAATGGGATGTTTATATAAAGTTGAAAACTATATTAGAGATTAAAAAAAAAAAAAATTGTCAGTTAGGAGTAAATGAGCTATTTATAATATATATGATTACGTGGTTATTCCTAAATAGGACACATAAAGTATTCTGAGGTAGTGTATCCATCAACAATTCAATTCCATAATATGTAAGTTGTGTTGCAGTATCTTGTAAATAAGTAGATGCCACTAGTCCTAAAAGGAAAAAAAAAACAGGATAGTTTCAATTTATAGTGTTACACAATTTCGTTCTTTTACCATCATGTATTCTGGTTTCTGCTTGATCCTTTTTCTTTCGTTGTTCAACATTATCTAACAAAGAACTAGTTTCCAAATTTACTTCATTCCCCCGTACTACGCATTCCACTAATCCATTGTATGATTTGCATTCATGTACTACGCGATATGTTTCTTCATCCTATGAAAGGGTTAGTTATTCTCCTATTTTTTTTATTATTATTATTATTCCTCTTCCTTTACCTGAGGATCGGGAATCCATCCATGTACCAAATTCACATCAAATAAATCAAAAAGTGCCAATTCTGCAGTAGCTTCAAAATCATATATAGAGGAGAATTGAACATTGATATCTATAATAATAATAATAGTTAAAAAAATGAATCAATCCTTCATAAAATAAATATCGATGTGTATTACCTAATCCTGCTTGAAGTCTTGGAAGAATAGTTAGAGCTGATTCCAAATTATGGCGATAGGTAAGGACATATTCCATAGTAGATTGCCGACTAGAAGTTGATTTCATTGGTATTTCATGAGATTCATCAATAGGAGAAGATGATAGTGGCTCTTGTATTGTTGATGATTCTACAGTCTTTATATATAAAAAGTAGTACATGAATGATATGTTGTCTCGAATATATATATATATTTACCTTTTCATCGGAAGGAGCATGATTTAAAAGATAATCACCAAGACATTCCATCAAATATTCAAATGTCACAGTTTCCCTCTCAAAAGGTCGAACACTGATATCACCACGAATAAAGAGAACATTACAAATAGACACCAAAGGACATGGACCATTTTCTATCGATATTGCATAAAAAAAAAAGATAAATAAATAAATGCTGTCGTTTTTTTTTTTTTCTCATGTTATCTTCCTTACTATTTTGAGTAATGATTCTAACTGGTCGTTCGGTCTTTGTTTTCGGATCGGTCCAGGCAATAGTCTTCACAAGGTATTCCTGATCTAATGTCTGTTGATGTTCTTGAGAACGTTGATCATCTGTGTTTTCAAAGTCGTTGTCATGACAAGTTAATGATTGTACTGTTTGTTTCGAAGAGTTTTCCTTGTTGTCTGTTGATACCATTGTTGGTTGTTCTTGAGAGCTCTTCTTATTATCATCGTCAGTAATTGTAGTATTCGGGATTACATCACTATCATGTTGTTGTGGTGTTGATGACAAACTGGTCTCTTCCAAATGTATTTGTATTTCATCAGTTGTTCTATCAGTGTTTGCCGTTGTTACTTTGTTGTCCACTTGTATAGTTGAGGTTTCATTATGTTCCCCGGTGATGTCATCCAGGTCTATTTTTTATTTGCGTAGACAAAGAAAAAAAAATCAGTTTAATCGACGCTTAAATAATTCCTTTTTTTTCTTTTCTTTATTTATTACCTTGTTTTATGGAAGAGGAACTATTTAACATATTCTAGTTTTTGCTACGACCTTGTATGAGAAAAAAAAAAAAGAAAAGAAGAAAAGAAGGTTGTAAGAGAGACCTTCGTCAAAAGTCTATTTTCGGAGAACGAATCATTTCAAGAAGCATAAGCCCAATTGAAATGATCATATCGTGCTAACATAGTATAATACAATATCCATAGATCAGTTCTTTATCGAAAACCTATAGAAGGAATAATATACAAGGATTAACTTCATGATTTCATCATTATTAATCATTCCATCCATTCTCTGACCTTATCTATATAATGGAACCAATACATTGGACTACTTGAAAGCAATCTACTCGAATGCTTGCCTTCACAAAATGAAAAAAAAAAAATTATCCTAAGAACCCATTTATAACCATATTAAAAAAAGAAGAGTCATTGAAGAGTGTATTTTATTGAGTGTATATATATAAAAAAGATTCAATCTAGAAATGAGGGAAAGTTGTTGACTGCGTGTAAGATGGATAAAGAGTTTTCGTCGATTACATGGATGAATAACTTAAAGATGACAGAGGAGTGACAGTTGTAAAGAGTAAGTAAGTAAGTAATAATATCAATGTCTCTCTCTAAATTAAGAGGATTTCGATTTGGTGTCGTTAACAGAAACATAATGGTAGACAACAATAAGAATCATAGTCATCACTCCAAGGGAGTTTGCAATAAAGGAAAGTTGAGTATCGTTAATCATGGTATATAAAACTAATATTAACCAAAAAAAAAAAAAAAAAAAAAAAAAAAGTCAATATATAATATATATTTTTAGAAAAAAAAAAGTGGCAATCTTACTTTCAATGCGTGCAGAGTCTTTTGGAAAGAAAAGAAAAGTGGAAGAAAAAAAAAGCAGCTAGACAACGAACCCAAAGATGACACGGTCATATTTTAGCTCCGATTTTTTTTTTTTCTTTCTTTCTCTTCCCAACATCAAAACTAAATAGATTTCTGTTTAGATTAGTTTAGTTATTTATATATAGAATTCTTTTTTTTTAATAAAATCATATTCATGGCATCATTACTGTTACTTATCATTATCATATTTATCAATAATTTCAATCATCATCAACTATTATGAAAATACAGCAATATGGATTAAAATACACGGCTTGTAGTATATAAAGTGAAACATCAATGTCAAAAAGGGTTTTATTTATTTACAATCAAAGTACAGGAAATGGTATTGAAGGAAACATAGAAGGTACTGGAGAAGAGGATGAAGAGAAAGAAGGTCTTCGATGTTTAAAATGACCATGTTGAATATGATATTTCAAACCATTGAGATTTTTATATCGTTTTCTACAACGACCTAAGGAACATAGATAAGGTTTTTGTAATGTTTCTTCTATATTTTCATTTTGTTTATCATGACCATGTGCTTTGTGATATTTTAATCCATTTGCATTTTTATATGCTTTATCACATCCTGGTACTCGACAACGATAAGGTCGATGAGATTCATCCTCTATAAATGGAAATTAAAAAAAAAGTCAGCGTTTTTTTTTTTTTTTTTTTTTTTTTTTTTTTTGAAATACCTTGTTCTTCTACCCCAGGTAATGATTGAGCTTGTTGCATCCATTCTTTGATTTTTTCATACCCATATTCTTCTTGTGTTTCACAAGGTCGCATCAATGATGATTGGTGTTGAGAATTTTCTAATGCACTTAGGTTGGTGAGATGTTGTGATAATAATGGTGAATCTGAAACAACAGGTGAGAGTGGTGTCAAAAGTTCATCATCATCATCTTCATCTTCATCATCATCATCATCATCATCATCATGTTCGGGTACATCATATAAAGTAGTACGATCATCATAATTATTCATCATCATCATAATATCTCGATTAGCATGACAATCTTCACAATGTTGTAATAAACTATGTAAATCAGTCCAATATTGATTACAACAAATGAAATCATTACAAAACACTTGTTCTAATTGTTGACGATGAATCAATGTGGACATCAAATCTGTATCATCTTTACATGATCTACTATATAGATTAATAAACTTGATGATTTTGTTCTTCTTTTTAAACTTACAATCGCGTACCAAAATCGGAACAAGTAGACCAAGTGTTTTTATCAAGCATAATTTATAAAAAGAAATGATAGAAGAAAAAAAGGGAAACAATGAATACCAAAAAAGTGTACATTTTTATCCAAGTAATAAATCCCGTTTGAATCCAAAAGCAACATCATTGGCTCATTAATCGTTTCCCGAGATAAAACCCAAAGCCTTTTGGTTTCAATCATCATCCATGGAAGTGGGTTTCAAATCAAAAATCCCTTTTTTTTTATTTTTTTTTTCCCTTTTTGGGTTCCCACGGGAAAAAAAAAAATGCTTGTATGCTTACATCGGTCACTGAATTTTTTTTTTTTTATCTTCTTCTCTCTATCTTTTTTTTTTTTTTTTTGTATTGATAATATAGTGACATTAATGAATCGTTTGACGGTGACTAGTCTTCAAAGGGCATTTCTTCGTTCACAACGATCGGGTATCACTCGACTTTATTCTACACATAAAGAAATCAAGTTTGGTATCGATGGACGCGCTGCTTTACTTCGAGGTGTGGATTTGTTGGCCAAGTCTGTCGCTGTGACATTAGGTCCCAAAGGTCGTAATGTATTGATTGACCAACCTTATGGTTCTCCCAAAATGACAAAGGATGGTGTTACTGTAGCAAAATCTATTACTTTGGAAGATAAATTTGAAAACTTGGGTGCAAGGTAATAAGAATAAATAAAAAAAAACATTGAATCTTATGTATATTTTTTTTTTTTAAAAAAAAAAATAGACTTGTTCAAGATGTTGCTAACAAGACAAATGAAACGGCAGGAGATGGTACTACTACTGCTACTGTTTTGGCTCGTTGGATTTTTGCTGAAGGAGTGAAGAATGTGGCAGCTGGATGTAATCCTATGGATCTTCGTCGTGGAGTGACTTTAGCTGTAGATGCAGTCATTGATTATCTTATGGCCAATACAAAAATGATCACGACTTCTGCCGAAATAGCTCAGGTAAAAAAAAAAAAAAAAAAAAAAATGTTTCCTCGTTTTTCACACTTTTTTTTTTTTTTTTTTAAAAAAAAAGGTAGCGACCATTTCAGCCAATGGAGATCAACATGTGGGTAATATGATTGCTCAAGCTATGGAACGTGTTGGCAAGGAAGGAGTGATTACAATCAAAGCCGGCAAAACAATGGATGACACATTGGAAGTGACAGAAGGCATGCGATTTGATCGTGGATTCACATCACCTTATTTTATTACGGATACCAAGACACAAAAAGTGGAATTCGAAAAACCATTGGTGTTACTCTCGGAAAAGAAAATCTCTCTCTTATCAGACGTGATGCCAGCCATGGAAGCAGCAGCGACACAACGACGACCTCTCTTGGTGATTGCTGAAGATGTGGATGGTGAAGCGCTTGCGGCATGTATTCTGAATAAGCTCCGTGGGCAACTACAAGTAGCATGTGTCAAGGCCCCTGGGTTTGGCGACAACCGTAAATCGATCTTGGGAGATATTGGTGTGCTAACAAACAGTGTGGTCTTCAGTGATGATCTAGATATCAAGTTGGAAAAGGCGACCCCGGATTTGTTTGGTACGACTGGATCTGTCACTATCACCAAGGAAGATACCGTGATGCTCAATGGAGCTGGGTCCAAGGAAGATATTGCTCAACGCTGTGAACAAATTCGAAGTGCTATGGCAGGTGCAACAGACTATGAAACTGACAAATTGAAAGAACGATTAGCCAAGTTATCTGGTGGCGTTGCTGTGATCAAGGTTGGTGGAGGATCCGAAGTGGAAGTAGGTGAAAAGAAGGATCGATTTGATGATGCACTCTGTGCTACGAGGGCGGCGGTGGAAATGGGCTTTACATGTGGTGGTGGATCTACTTTGGTCAAGGCGGCTAAGGCATTGGATGGATTGAAAGGTGTTAACTTTGATCAACAATTGGGTATCAACATCATCCGTGAAGCGATTCAACGTCCATGTCGTATTATTGTTGACAATGCTGGTGGTGAAGGTTCCGTGGTTGCTGGCAAATTGATGGATGAATATTACGATAAACCAAATTGGGGTTACGATGCTGCTACAAATGAATATGCTGATATGATTGAACGGGGCATCATTGATCCTACTAAAGTTGTCCGTACTGCGCTTGTCGATGCTGCTGGTGTGGCTAGTCTTCTCAGTACATCTGAAGCTTTTATTGTCGATGCCAAAGAACCAGAAACGTCTCCTCCAATGACTGGTGGTGGTATGGGAATGATGTAGATCTCATCACTATTTTTTTTATTTATTTATTATTTTATTATTATTTATCTGTAGTATTTTTTTTTTTTTGTCATTATTACCTCCCCTCTCTTTTTCCTTTTTCCTTTTTTATATATCTATTTATCTCACTATCTTGTCTTATCGAAGTACCAATAAAAATCATCTTATTGTTTATACTCCCTAGAAAAAAAAAGCACATGTTGGATTATTTAATTAAAAGTAAAAAGTCTTCTCTCCTAGTAGTAGCATGTGACATTTTTTAAGGGTGTCTCAATCAATGCAGAATGAATCCACCTGTTCTCATTCAAAAAAAAAAAAAAAAGGAATCCTTATTCTTAATTCAAATTTTGACACTTTATGACAATGGTATTAAAAGAAAAACAGATTTTATGTTGAAGGATGTTTAAACTGCCTGTTGGCTTCATGACAGTTTACAGCCAAAAAATTTGGCGGAGGCATTAGAAACTTTTGGCCGTAAAATTTTCAAAAGAAAAATGGTAGGTTATTCTAAATGATCAAGTGCATGTAGAAAAATACTGGTCTTATATAATCAACTGTTTTATTCCATTCAAAAAAAAAAAAAATCAATCAAGTGTTAACTGTAAAATTTATATATACAAGAATAGAAAACTGTATTGTACAAATAAACAAACAAAAATAACATTTAGAAAGAGAGTAAAAAAAATAAATAAATAAATATATGCAGGGAATAAATAAATAAATGCATACATAAAGACTAATAATAATATATATATATATATAAAACAAAGACAGATACAGGTATCAATACTAAGAAAAAAAAACAGGGATGGAGGAAATAAAATAGAAACTAATATACAATAACTACTATGGAGGATAAAGGATGTCGTAATAATAATGATAATAATTATAGAAAGAAGAGCTTGTTCACTGGCGATCTTCCACTTGAATGGAAATGGCATCACTGGGTGTTGATTTGCATTGTTGATTTCGATGATCCAAGGCAGCATAGGCGGCTTCATGCAAGGAAAGATAAAAGTAAGGATATCTATCACGGATAACACGAATGTTGGTACCAACGGGTTGTTGATCATTGTATCGATTAGAAGCATCATCCCTTTCATCATCATCATCATCATCATCGTCGTCGTCTTCATCATCGCTTTGACAGTGACACCAGGAAGGAAGAACATCTAATGCATCGGAGGAGACAGTCGAAAAAGATACGTTGTTTTGATTGTAGATAGATAAATAATCCCCATCAGCTGTTATAGATGGTGCTGTAGTTATTGGTGAACCAGGTTGTACTTCTTTATCGATTTGGTGATGACGATGATGATGTCGCCCGGTCACATCTTCAATGGTCATAGTTGCTACTTGATCTTCTTTCTTTTCTTCATCAAGTACCAGACCCGATTCCTGTTGTCTTCGACAGTTCGGCTTTCCACAAGGCAAAGATGATGATTTTGTCATTTGATCCTTATTTTTCTCCTTCTTATTGTTGTTATGATTACTGTTGTTGTGTTTCTTCTTGATATCGTTGTGGAACGTAAAAATACCATTGACAATCTTTTTCCTTTGTTGACGTCCAAAACCAGCATACAATAATGAATGTCGTACACTATCCGAGCTACCCACTACAATGAACCACGGAATGGGTCGGTTACTGTAATGATCCACCATACGAGAGAGTTCCACCAAGCTTTCCATGGCTGTATAATCCATCGTATGTACACCAGAGACATCAAAGATAATAGAGGATAAAACAGGTCGTTCTTCAGTTTGATCGGCATCAACAGGATCATTCCAAGGCCGAGCACCCGCTGCATTTGAAAGTAGTTTACCACGTCGAGTTTGTAATTTGATCTGATCCAATAGTTTTCCAAACAAGTAATTCGTATTTTCAAACACTAGATTTTCACGAGGTTGAAAACACACAATACTAGGATCAATGGGACGGATCCATCCACGGAAGTTAGTGTCAGAGAAAGAGAAGAACATGGATTTATCAAGATCATTTTCATTGGTATCACTTTTGTTGTCATTTAGATAATCTTGATCGGCCAAGTCCACACGACCAAGGAAGGCATATTTAGGTCGAGCCACACGATAAAGTTGAACAACAATGGAAATAGCAACTGGTACATAGACACTGATATCAATGGTTGTAAATAGTGAGATCACATAGGCAGAAGCGAAGATCAGTAGTTCGGATGGATGAGTATTCCAGAATTTGACCCAGACCTTAGGACCAGTAATCAGATCAGTAACAGCATGACAGACAATAGCACCAACAGCAGCATCAGGTATATATTGAAGAGCAGGAGTAAAAAAGTAAATAGTAAGCACGACAATAGTACCCACAAAAACATTGGTCAATGGAGTTCTACAACCGGATTTTGACATGACAGCCGTGCGTGAAAAAGCACCAGTCATTGGATAAGCGCTAAAAAAGGAGCCAAAAACATTTGCTATTCCGATGGATGTAATTTCTTGATTCACTTGAACTAAACCAAAAAAAAAAAAAAAAAAAAAAAAAATTGAATAAAAAAAAATATATAATGAATCATTTAACTTACTTTTGTAATCCGTGATTTTGCCGAGACTTGTAGCAATAGAACAATGTTCCATAATTTGCAAAACAACCACACCGACCAAATTTGGTAGAACTTTAGATAACAGTGATGAATCGACAGTTGGTACGCCCATGTTTTGAAAACCAGCTGGTACAACACCAAGGATTTTGAAAGGACTTGAAGTAAAATGACCAAAATGGTTGATCAAGAAAGATAATAAAGTACTGAAGACAACAACGATGATATTTCGAGAGATGTTCAAGAAAAAGAAATATTTCGAATATTTTGGGTATTGATGAATGAATTTTGTTGTAAAATAGCGTACACCATAGAGAAAGACCAAAGCCGGTAAACCCAAAGCGACATCCCAATGAGAATGAGGAAGATTCTTCAATGTATTGCCAAAAATAAGATAAGTTGGTTGAGTTGTATTGATATTTGGAATGCCAAAAATTTTATTGAGCTAAAAAAGATTTGACAGAATTAAAAAATAATGATTAATCCAAAACGTCAAAAAAAAAAAAAAAGTGGCTGATATTATTTTACCTGATTAATGACAATCGTAAGTCCAGAGCCAGCCATGAATCCAGCAATAGCAGGTTGACAAATGAAATCAAATAAGATTCCTAACCGTAAAATACCCACTACCAAACATATTAGACCGGATACCAGTGTCAAATTGGAAGTAATATGGGAGATAGTCCAAGCACCAGATTGAAATTCAGGTGAAGATGTAAGAATCAATGTGATTTGTCCAACAAGTAAAGAGTTGATAGCACTGGTACCTATGAGCAAAAAAAGAACGAATCAATATGTAACCACCTAATCACGTTCTAATATGTTACTTACCTATACTAATATCCTTTGATGTACCAATCCAAGGGTATATAAAAACACCAATAACACTTGAATATAAACCAAATTGAGGAGGAAGTCCAGCCATTTTTGCTATAGTGATAAAAAGAATAAAAGAAGAGGTTAAATCATAAATAAGTAACCAAAGATCTGTCATTACCATAAGCCATTGATTGAGGAATGACAATAATACCAACAGTGATAGCACAAATGAGATCACCATAAAACCATTGTCGATTATATTTTGGTAACCATCGTAAAACAGGAAAGGTATCTTTTAACCAAGTTGCAGAAGGTGAAAGCGTGGCTTTGACTTGATCACGAATACTTGATTTCGGAGGACCATCTAAATATAGTGTAGTAGACATTTGGTTGACAGTAATAAATATATATATCTATATCTATATATAAAAAAAAAGAAAGAGAGAGAGAGAGAAAACCAATACTGTCTAGATATATATATATATATATATGTATGTATGTGTACGTATGTATAAAAACAAACAGTCAAAAAAAAATAAAAGGAGAAGATAAGAAAGAAAAAAAAAAGAAGAAAAACAGACAATAAGCATTAGACCGTTTTTATGGTCGCGCATCCAAAAAAGAGAAAAAAGTTTTGATTAACCGCCCAATAGCAGTTTATAGTAATCTAATTGATTATTAAAGCAGAAAATCAAAGCAAAGCAAAAAAGAGATTATACCTTTAAAACCCCGTTTCATTTTAGGCATTTATGATTCGTCTCTCCTTTGAAAGAAGTTCCATTGTATATAGTCATTTGATGAATCTAAAAAAAAAAAAAAAAATTCCCAGGTCAATTTGAAAATATATTATATTCATCTTAAGGATAAGACTTTGTTTTGATTCTTTCCTTACTATTTCTTGTTTTAAATAGATTATCTCTTTAGTTTATTAAATGATACTACTCGGAAATCACTTTATTTGGTCTATTTTTTAATATAATAATCATCATTATCGTCTTCTACTCTATTTTGCTTTTTGAAACTCGTGTGTAACTTGATCTAAATATCTTTCAGAAGTAGTCAGGTAAAGTTTTCAATGATATCATCGATTTCCTGTTCTGAATTTTACCTACTTTGCCTCTTCTCTCTCTCTCTCTTTTTTTTTAATTACCATTATAGATGAAACTAGGATCAAACGTGATCGGTGACAACATGATCATGAAAAGAGAATCAAAGTTACCGGATAAATACCCAAAGTAATCATTATTATATACTATATATTTTAAAACATCAGTGTTTTTTTTTTATTTTATAACAAAGTGATGGAAAAGACAACTAATGACTAAAACTAAAATGGCTATAATGGAATATAATCTACTCTTGAGTTTCTTCAGGTTTCTTGTCAGACTTGTCATTTTCTAATATTGATAAATAAATAAATAAAAAGATATTGAATAATCAATTTTCAAGATGTAATATATACATATATATATATATATATATATATTTAATCTATCGCTTCCTTTTTTTTTTTTTTTTTTTTTTTTTTTTTTACCTTCTTGAAGATCAGAGGTCCAAAGAGTCAAATTATCTCTCAACAATTGCATGATGAGAGTAGAATCCTTGTAAGATTCTTCACTAAGAGTATCCAATTCAGCAATGGCGTCATCGAAGGCTTGTTTGGCCAAATGGCAAGCACGGTCAGGTGAGTTCAAGATTTCATAATAGAACACAGAGAAGTTCAAAGCAAGACCCAAACGAATGGGGTGAGTGGTAGCCAATTCAATTTGAGCAACATCAGTAGCAGCCTTGTAAGCTTCATGAGCAGCAGTAGCAGCGTCCTTGCGAGCTTCACCAGTAGCATATTCAGCAACATAACGATGATAATCACCCTTCCTATAAATATCAAATGAATGAAAAATAAATAAATAAATTAATATATTATATTTTATTTTATTTTTTTCTTTTCTTACATCTTATGATAGAAGACCTTAGCTTCACCATCATTGGCTTGAGGAATCAAATGGTCAGTCAAAAGACCCAAAATATCTTCACAAACTTCATAAAGTTCTTTTTCAATCTTGTTTCGGTATTCCTTAATCTTAGTGACTTGAGCTTCATGACCTTTGCTTTCTTCTTTTTGTTCAATAGAAGACACAATACGCCAAGAAGCGCGACGAGCACCAATCACGTTCTTGTAGGCCACAGACAAAAGATTACGTTCTTCCACAGTCAAATCTACACCCAACTAGATAGAAAAAAAAAAAAGTAAAAAGTAATATATATATATTTATCAGTATCTATTTTTCTCTTTTCTATTTGTATTATCAAAGTTATCTTTTTTTTTTCTTTTTTTTATTTTTTTTTTTTTTTTTTTTTTACCTTGGCAACATCCTTCATATACTTCACCATTTCTAAAAGATAATAAAATAAATGAGTAAGTAATATCTTTTCCAAAAATATAAAGAAAAAAAAATAATACTTACCATCATAGCGTTCAGCTTGTTCGGCAATCTTAGCCATAAAAACCTAACATTAAAAAAAAAAAGTTGGTAAATACGTTTCAGCAATGAACTTTTTAAATGTTTGATTCGTGTTTTTCGTAGGTTTCTATTTCTTTTTTTTCTTGTATTACTTTATCTTCGCGTTCCTATAAAAAAGTAACCATTCATCAGATAAGAAAAGAAAAAGTAAAAAAAAAAAAAAAAAAAAAAAAGATGAGTATCAAGAAATTTTTTTTCATCATCTTTTATACTAAAATGATGACAAAAAGTAATATAATTCATCTTTTCCTTTTTTTATTATTATTATTATTTTTACTTACAGTGGACATGACGTTTAGTTGCGGTTAATTGCTTTAATGTATATAAAAAAAATAGAGAGGTAAAAAAAGAAAAGAGAAAAAAAAGGAATAAAAGAAAAAAAAAAAGAGGGAGTAAGAAAAAGGAAAAAGGCAAAAAAAAAAAAAAGGTGATGGAAACATCACACACACACGGACGGAGCCTGAAAAATAGGGGGGCTGTTGATGAGAAAAAAAAATCACGCCCTAAGCATTATCAACCAATCAGAACAAAGTCTACGGTAACTCCTTTTTTTGACGATAGACCCATACACATATACCCACATACATTCAATTGTCAAACAAACAATGACAAAACAAAAAGAGAGACAAAAAAAAAAAAAGAAAAGTGATACAAGGAAAAAAAAAATATAACATATAATGTTTATTGTATAAAAGAAATCAGTCAATACACTACACTAAATAGAATAAAAAGAATGATAATAATAATAAAAAAAAAAAAATAAAAGAATAATAATAATAATAATAATAATAATAATAATAATGGTAATAATAATAAAAATGGTAAAACCAAAGTACAAGAGAAAACTAAACCTATTTGCATATCATATCAACCTTGGTGCATTTACTGTTGATATAGGAGCTGGTCTATTTCCATAAAAGATAGGTTGATCCATAGAATCCATTTTCACTTGAACATCATCATGAGGTCGAGATATACCATTCTGAGATAAAGATGATAAGGTATTGTTGTTACTATTGGTGGAGTTGAGAGGATGAACTGGATTTAGAAGATGACCTATTTGAGGATTGGAAGCAGATGAATAAGGTTGTTGTTCATGTTGTTGTGGATAATGATGTTGTTGACGATCATAGGCATGATGATTTGAAGGTATACTATCATACCTAGGATTATTATTTGGTGAAGGAGTAGAAGCTGGCATGGTTGAATAAACGGATGTTAGGGTGTGTGATGTAGGAGATATCTGTTGTTGTTGTTGTTGTTGTTGTTGTTGTTGTTGAGGTTGTTGTTGAGGTTGGATATAAAGAGAATACATTCGAGTTGATTTTGTGTCATCAGTATTATAATCTCCTGATGGTACCTCTTGATATTGACGATAGGATGACATATGTTGAAGAGAATGATTGTTGCCATATAGTAATGATTCTTGTCGTAAAGAATTTAATGATCCAACAGACATACTTCGTAATGAACCAATAGGTGGAGGAGTTGCTGTCGATGTCAATCCATTATCAAGGTCATTGTTTCCTGCCAATGCAATATGATGTTGTTGTTGTTGTTCTTGTTGTTCTCTTTGAGTAAGAAGATGTTTCACTAAACCAGAAGTAGCACTTGCTTCAGAAGCTTCAATAAATGGAGGAATACGAAAATTTTGTTTGACCAATAATTCAGGAGAAATTTCCAAACTTGCTAATTCAGGAACAGAAGAAGGTCTTCGTAATCTGTTTTCAATAATATCTTGTGGATGATAATAAGAGATCAAATGTTGCGTACTACCATTCACCACAATAGACATTGTTTTCTTGATAAGTCCATCAGGTCGAAAATTGTAAACATCCGATAAACTACCAACAAGTTTCTTTTCTTTGGCCCGATCTGACAAAAACCCACCACCAGCTGCTTGTACAGTAGATGAAGCATCCATACTATAACTCCGTAGACGAGGATCCACATTAGGTATACGTTTTTCTCCATTTCTTTTTTCCAATTCACGATAAATCAAAAAATTGCCAAGGATACGAGAAGGACTCCATACTAAACCATCAGTCCATCGTTTCACCCCTATTGATTGATAATAATAATAATAATAAAAAAAAAAGTTCAAGATGGTTAGTTCATATAGATATGGAGGGAAAAAAAAAATCCACACACTCGGAATCTCCTCTTGTCCAACCTCCTCTTTTCCCGTCCCTCCCTCCTTTGACACTGCCACCTTTTTTTCTAACTATATCCAATTGTTTTACTCCTTCTCTTTGTTCACATCCCCTGAAATGATCAAAACAATAAAAATAATTATACCTGATTCCCTTTCACAAAAGACAAATACAGAGCCTGATTGAATCAATTTTCTTTCTTTTTCTTGTAGCCTACGACTGACTCTTGGAAGAAGACCTCGACGACAACCTTCGAATACCAATAGTACATCTTGTGTAGTATCAATATAGCCATGGAATGTTTCGGTCATGTTCTTAAATATGGTAACGTCTGCCTAAGAAAACAAATAATAAACATATATATATATGTTTGTGTGTGTGTGTGTGTGTGTGTGTGTGAGTGCCAGTATAAAAAAAAAAGTTGAAAGAGAGAATGTTAATGGAATACCTGTATTGTTTAAATATGTTGAATGGCTCTGTCGTGAGAGAGAGAGAGAGAGAGAGAGAGAGAGACAAAGAGAAGAAAAAGAAAAAAAAGAGAGAGAGTATATATGTCTGTATGTATGTGTTGATATTTATATATATATATCTATATATATATTATTTCCGGGTGAATAATATGCGTATGTAGATATTGTGTGTGTGTGTGTGTTTTTGCGTTTGTAAGTATATTGTGATATTTTCCTCTAGAATGAATAAAAAAAATAAAAATATATATAAAACGAGAGGGTAGGGGATTTAATAATAAGATAGATAAAATGATCAAATATATATATATATATATAAAATGATTTTAGTTGAAAGAAAGAAAGAGAAGAAGAAAAAAGGGGGGGAAAGAACAAAGAGAAGGAAATAAAAATGAGGTTCCGCCATTGAATCCAGTGTAACATACTTCCTTTTTTAGATAAAAATTGGGCAAAAAGAACCTCCAATTTGACGCGAATTAGTATAATAAAAGAAAAAAAAAATAAACAAAAACAAAAACAAACCACAACAAAACAAAACGTTCTATAAACATTATATTATAATTTCCCCTGTCATTAGCATATATGATGAAATCCTATTTTTCCCAAAGAGATTCATATTCCGATCACTTTTCAACTTTTTATTTGTTTTTCTCTTTTTTTTTTTTTTTTTTTTTTTTTTTTTTCTTGTTCCAAATTGATTCATGACACTTCTAACTCATTTTACCCTTCTTTCTTTTCGATCTATACCGAAGGTAAATATTAAGAAAGAAAGAATACATAAAATTAATTCCTTCTTATGATAACTAGTTTACTTGTACTCGTTATTATTCTTCTACAACAACACGACCTCTACGTATTTTATTTTTTGGTACCGATGATTTTGCCTCTACTCACTTGAAAGCTTTGATCAAAGAAAAAAGTAATTAAAAAAAGAAAAAAGAAAAAAGAAAAAAAGAATGATATATATATATATATATATATATTAACTCTCTCTCTCTTTTTTTTAATTTAGATCATAAGAATAGTTGTATTGCTTCTTTAGATCTTGTTTGTCCTCCTGATAGTCGAACTGGTAGAAAATTAAATACATTGACTCCAAGTAAAGTGATTAAATATATATATATATATAGAACTTCAACTCAATTCTCACCTTTTTTTTTTTTTTTTGTTATTGTTAGGTGCCACTAAAGGTTTAGCAGAACTTTATAATATTCCTGTACAGCATACACCTGCCAAAGCAGAATCACTTGACAATTGGAATATAGAAAACAAGAATAATATTCCTTATGATTTAGGTGTAGTCGTTTCTTTTGGTTATTTTATTCCTCCTCATATCATTGACTCATTTCGTTATGGTGCTATCAATGTACATCCTTCATTATTACCTAAATTTAGAGGTGCTGCTCCTATTCAACATACCATTTTACAAGGTGAAAATGAAACTGGTGTTACAGTACAAGAATTAGATGACAAGGAATTTGATGCTGGTCGTATTTTGGCTCAAACCAAAGTTGATCTTTCTACTGATCATGCTCCAACTTATAAGGATCTTTCCCTATTTTTGGCCAATGTGGGTAGTGATTTGTTATTGGATACTCTTCGGAATTTTGAAGATCGAAAGGTAATATATTTTTCTATGTTATTCAATTTATCTTTTTCTCATTCTTTTACTTTTATATTTATATATATATATTTAGAAAAATGCAAAAACTCAAGATATCTCTCAAGCAACCAAGGCACCCAAAATAAAGAAAGAATGGGCAAATATTGATTTTGATTTAATGGCTTCATGGCAAATTGAACAATTACATCGTGCTATTGGTGAACAGGTATATATATAAATTATTAATCTCATTTCTATGATACTCATCCTTTTTTTTTTTGTTTTCTTTTTCTATTTAGTATCCTCTTCGTGTTACATTTACATTCTCAAGAATTAAACGATCACTTAAAGTCAAGCAAAATATTACTACATTACAATTATCTCATATTCATCTTCCATTAGATTCTCCCTTCTACGATGATCATCATTCCACTTTTCCCCCAGGTACGTTCATGCTGGACAAACGAACAAAGACACTTCATATTATGTGTGCTGATGGACAGGTCATTGGTGTCACTCATCTCAAAGCTGAAAACAAAAATGCTATTACTGCCAAAGATTTTATCAATGGATATGAAATTCGACATACAGGACAATTCAACATCAATGTCGATCCATCCACTGTGAAACCAGGTCAAAGTGGGGTTAGAATCACCAAGAGACGCGAATTTTACGAAAAGACTATTCGAAAACGATTGGGTATACGTAAGGAAGTCTACAACAAAATTTACAAGGCATAGGGATTATCGTTGGTTACATATACATATATTGTACATAAATACATAGATAGATAGATCGTATAGTTTAGTATATTTGATCATGATGGTATCAATAAAAATCGGCATTTTTTTTTTTTTTTGGTTGGTAGGCGTTCTCCTATGTTTATGTCTAAAGATGATCCCCTGATTTTCTAAACAATAGATGACGCCCGGCATGTGGTATCCTTGCTTTTTTTTTTGGGTACAAATCTAGGTTGCCGAAATTCAAATATTGGTTTTGTTTTGTTTTGTTTTTTTTGTTTTTTTTGACATCTTCCTTGATCCGAAGTTCTACTACAAATAAAGTTTGGACAAATCCAGAAAAAAAAAAGATATCAAATTCCTTAGATGAAAGATGAAATGTGATGGATTTTTTTTTTTGTAAATATTATTTTATTTTCATAAAGAATATATCATATCATATAAAAAAAAAAAAAAATAGAAAATAAACATAATCTAGGTATAATAAAATATCATGAGTAAGATAACACTAATCAAATAACTAATCAAAGGGGTTACTAAAAATAAAACATATAATATATACAAAATAATTATCAGTAATATAACACATTAATGAACCACACATCGAACAGACACTTTGGATAGTTGAGTCCATTGAGACAGGGCATTCATGAGATCATCTTGTGTTCCAATAATAGCTCTTGCATCCAGATCTGCATAGGTCGAATACGCCGCCGACAAAGATAGTAATGAGTCCTTTCTACCCCCAATCGAATTAAATACAAGTTTGAAATCTACTGGTAAATCCATCGCAATGTCTTCAAATTTGTGAAGGATCCTTGCACGTAGTTCTGGAAGTCTGATATTCCGTGGTACCTGAAGCATAATAATATTATCCAAATCATATACTACTTTGAGTTTTAGAGGTGATGATGAGGTTGCTGTCGATGCTAAGGTCATACTGGAGAAAAAAGAATGTTCTGTTGGTATACTTGTTGTTGTTGTTGTTGTAAAGTTACTATTCATCAATTCAATATCACTGTTGTTGTTGTTGTTGTTGTCATTTTTATCATTATGATCATCATCATCATCATTTGTACCTGTCTTGTCGGATGATTGTAACGAGTCCCCAGATCGGTTGTTGAATCCATAGTATGGTTGGAATGCTTCGTACACTGTTTCACCGGTGTTACCAAAGGTTGATGAGCCATGTGTCGGGGCACCAGGGGAAACAATTTTGTTGTTGTTGTTGATGGGACCCAATGGTGATGGTGGAGGTGTATTTTCAGGCGAGAGAGGAGTAAGCCATATTGTTGATGATGATGAATAAAATGGATATGGAGATGATCTGCAGTTGATATCATCATATGCTACTAAGAGTGATGGCAATGTTGGTGGTGAAGGTGGAAGTAAAGATGATGGACGAAAGTTGGGTTGAGACTTTGCCTTTTTGACTGATCGGTGTAAGGCATCGTCGTCCTGAACAATAGATCGTGCACGTCGTGATACAATAAGAGTCGGGGATGAAGGGTTCGATGATTCTGTTGAATGATTTTGTATTGGCGTTGTTGGACGGGTGAATGATGATGATGATACATGTGATAATCTAGATGCTGATAGACATGCCATAGAAGAATACACAATCCTTTCTGTGTCCGCCTTGTGAAGCCCAAAGAATTCCAACATCAATAAGGAATGAGTTATATATGGAGGAAGTTTCAATAATTCTTGACAATATCGATGTAATTCACATTGCCGTTCGCTATGAATACTTTTGTTGGGAAGAATTTTTCTTTGTAATTTGAGTTTGGGTATATCGTAAGTATCCACACTATTTGATGTAGATGATTTTGATACATGAGTAGAAGTTGGATGAGTCAATCGTCGTAAACGGATGGAAGAGAAAATGGATGTTGAGAAACAAGAGTGAAGCTGCTGATCCAATGTACAAAATTGATCGAAACGGCGAGCAATAAGGTAAGATTTTCGTTTCAAAGAATGCCTTCTGGTGTCATTATTTGATGGTTGTGATGATTGTAATAAGCTATCAGTTTGTTGCGGTGTCACCTTAATAATATACCATAGTTTTTGATCAGCATGCTTTTCATAAGATAGTACAGATAATTGTCTGATGGGTGGTGCGAGCTTGATACCATCCTTTTGAAGGTTTTTGGTAAGCAGTGGCATTGGTATAAATAAAAAGTGATAATAATAATAATAAGAATAAGGAATTAATCGTAAATATATATATATAAAATAAAAAAAAATAAAGAAAGAAATAAAATAAAAAAATAAAAGAATATAATAAAGAAATAAAGAAAAAGAAAAAGTAAAGAAAGAAAGAGAAAGAAAGAAAGAAAGAAAGAAAGAAAGAAAGAAATAAAAAGAGTGGACATCTACCTTTTTCAGCTTACCCGTTACTGGATTTGAAAATCCGCCCAAGCTACAAAATGGTTATTGATCATACTTTCAAGCATACGTTTGTGATCAATCATGCTTTATCTCTCTCCTTTTTTTTTCTCATCGTTTTTAATGTTAAATGATTGTGTGAAAGAAAGATCAAAAACTGTGTAGTAAATGAACTTGGAAAATAAGATAAAGTTTTTCATCATTCATACCATGCGACCTTGCATATGGTGAATATTGCTAGTAAGTAGGACGAGCCAATGATTTTTGTTTTCGGAATACTAAAAAAGGGATATTTAAATGGGTTTTCTTTGAGAATATCACTCCATGAATGTCATCATGCACTTTTTTTGATTTTTTTTTTTTGGATAGATCTAATTGTAATTCTATGATGATGAGTTTTATAAAATGATACTTATGGCTAAAAGGTGATCATCTTTTTTTATTAGTAAATGCAACTTTTGGATTTGTCTAATCATCGTGTGCCATACTGCAGTGGATGGACGGGATTTGAAACATTTTCTTTTCTTTTTCGAGTGAAGGGTCTGACAACAACTGGTCCTTTTCTTTTCTACTTTTTTAAATAATCTTCTATCAGATCATCATCATGCTTGATAAAGAAATGCTAGGTGGTATCCATCTAGAAGAAGATATTTGGGCTAATTGTATAGCTATTATACTGGGTCTTATTGGTAATAAAATAGAAACACGTATATTATTAAAAAAAAAAGATATATATTGATTCTTTTTTTATTGATACTAGAGGACAGCTTAATTGACGACGAAACCAACTATTCAAAAAAGACAAAGCATTCACGCAAGAAAAATGACAAGGGAAAGATGGGATCTTCTGCATGTAAGTTTAAAAATAAATAAAATAAAGAAATAAATAAAAAAAGTTCTTTATGTCTAGGATACTTACTTTTATTTTTTTTTCTCGAATAGTACAACCTATGCTCACTCCTCAACCATCCTTAGATTCATTGAAAAGGAAACGAAGCTTCACAGAAGATATAAGGGATAGGAAACTCATGCGAATGTCAGAAAACTTAGCTAACGATATGGCTCGTAGTCTTTCGGTAATAGACTCTTCTATGGACTATATGGATTCTTCAGCTTCAGCATCCACTCCAGTATCAATCTCAACATCAACACCAGGACCGGCAACATCTTCTATAAAACCTCCCATACATTTAAAACCAACCACTTTGGGTAACTCATATCAACATACGCCTTCAAGTTCATCGCTGCTGTCTACATATCAGGACGCGACCACTAGCAGGGATAATCATCAACTTGATCATGTACTTTTTACTTCAACTACTAAAGTGGCTCCAGTACCATCAACTATAGCAAAATTCGATCAATGGATCCAACAACAAGCGCAACTACGGGGAATGACGGAAAATGATTACAGGCTATACTTTGACAAACAACGATACGAATTTCAGTATTATATGACTCAACTTCAAACGATGATACACCATCAGACTGTAACTTTTGAACAGATCAAGACATGTCTACAAACTATATTGGGATTGGCAGAAGAAATGATAGGCAATCAATCTGACGTTTTGATGGTAAGAATTAAGCGAGAGGCAAGATAACTTTAATATCAAATTTCTTACTGGAAATTTTGCTCTTTGTTTTTCTTATTATCATACTTTTAGAATATGTTTCCAGAATGGCGTTCTTGGGAAGGTCTTGTACAAAAGTTGACGACTTATGTGAAGGTAAGAAATAGTAACAATAATAATGATAACAAAAAGGAAAAGTTGGTGATATACAGCAAAAGGAAAGAAATTTGATCTGATGAAGTTTTTTTTTTCTTATATTAATGTTATTATATGTCACATAGTGTGTTGATGATATGAATCAACTGATAAAACAAGAAATACTACCAGCAAGTGATTTGAGAGAATACATCAAGGATCTTCATCAATTGATAGAGACGCGAACAACACTTTATGGTGATTTCCTTATTCATAATGGATTGGAATGGAAAGCAATGGGTTTGCCAGTGAAAAGGGAGCTACTAGATACGACCAAACATTGGTTTCTTAATGTGTGCTCATGTTTATTGCTTGATCTGGAAAATGCATGTTCAGATCTTCAAGAAGTGACTATGGATGAAGAAGAATGGAACCCTCAATCCGAACATACAGAGCAAGTAAGTGACAAGTTGAATACAAAAGATATGATGATTTATCATTGATTGTTTTTTTTTATTAGGTAATGGACTGTTTATTACAAGGTTTGGAAGTGATTGGAAGTATTCTATCTTTTATTGGTACAACAGACAGAGATATTAATGCACGATGTCATATACTCGCAACAGTGTATGGACAATGGATATCTGAAAGTTTGGAACACTTGAATCAAGAACAAACTGGCAGTCGGATTAGTATTGGCAAGAAATCACGAAACAATCACAATAGTAATACAAAGACATCTTCAGGAAGGACTGATTTACGATTGATGCAAAGAATGGAATCCATGATACGACTTCTTTCTACTTTACAATTGATGCAAGATTTTGATGACAACCGTGGTAAACATACTCATCAACAACCTGATAGCGAAAAGGAAGAAAAAGAAGAAGAAGAAGAGGACGAAATCGGTGATGCTGGGACAATTTTGGAAACAGTTACAGATACGTTAGTTGAGGTAAAGTAGTTTATATAAATTAGTTGGGTAGATAGAAACGGAATGGATGATTATTTTATATATATATATATCATCTAGGTTACTGTACGTGCAATTGCTGTGATTGAAACACATCGAAGTCTTGGTAAAGAAATCAAACAAGGTGTTACTAATATTATGACACGACCTCTCCAATCTGGATTTATCTATATGGAAGAATCTTTACTGTCTTTTGCTGACAAGGTGGTAGAATTATCTGGCCGAGAATGGATAGATGGAACTAAACTACAGGTAATCCATTTTGAAATATGTGTTTTTTATTTTTATCTACTTATACTGAACTCATTGGATTATGATGATTTGTTTATTTTTTTAGCGTCTACATCTATACTTGGAAGAATTGGAATTATCGATAGCTGAGGACAGTTAGATGATACAAGATCGGAACCCTTGTTCCGGAATTTGAAATGGCCTCAAATCCAAACCCAAGTAGTTACAATGTAAATATTTTTTTTTGTGGTTGCAGACAAAAATAGACTATTTTTTTTTTCTTACTAATTCTCTATTTTTTTTTCTCTCTCTACTTGTTTTATAGCTAGACTTTATCAAATATGTCGACTGATCCCTCAAAATATATCTTCAACCACACAATGATCCGTATTAAGGATCCCAAGGCTTCTCTTGACTTTTATGAAAAAGTGCTAGGCATGAAGTAAGAAGATATACATATTCTAAAGTTAGTTGCTTGATTACTTACGCGTTTTTTTTTTATTTCCAATAGACAAATCAACCGAATGGATATGGAAAGTGGCAAGTTTACTTTATATTTCTTAGCCTACGTAGATTCTGTCCCTGAATCTCAAGAAGAAAAAAAGAAATTGGCCTTTACCACTCCTGGTGTTCTTGAATTGACTCAGTAAGTAGATGAATATCAAAAGTAGAAAAATCAAAATTTAACCGTCTTTTTTTTTTTATATATACACACACGTGTAGTAATTGGGGAACTGAAAATGAAGCCGATTTTAGTTATGCAAATGGAAATAAAGAACCTGGTCGTGGTTTTGGTCATATTGCCATTGTAGTGGATGATATTCAAGCTGCATGTGAACGATTTGAAAAACTCAATGTCAATTTTGTCAAGCGTTTGACGGATGGAAATATGAAGAATATTGCATTTATCACTGATCCTGATGGTTATTGGGTAGAGGTATGTATACAATATATATATAATAAAAAAAAAGAGGATCATATGGTTAATGTTACAAATGAACATTTACTTTTTATAGATCATCCAAAATGCTACTCTCTCTGGTCAAGTTCCAGTTTAGTTTTAGTTTCTTGGATTCTTCTTTATTTATTGTTATGATCATTTGTATAATTAAAAAAAAAAATTCTTCCCCATCAAATTGCCTTGAGTATTATTTATTTGACTTTTTTATATTGTATCCAAGCATCCTATGTGTAACTGTGTGTACGCGTGAGAGAGAGAGAGAGAGAAAGAGATAAACAGAAGTTCTCATCAACTGTTTCAAGCTCCACTTGCTACCTGTAACTAGAACCATTTTTGAGTTTCACCCTGCACCTTCTTGGCATTTTGAATTTCTGGGAAAACATTTTCGAATTTACAACAAACAAATATATGTAGCACATATATTAGGTATAGCTAAATCCGGAATATGAAGCGAAAAGAATGATAAACTTCTAATAATATGCAGATGAACCTTACTTATTTTATAATCATCATCCTATTACTGATGAAATTGATTTCTTATTGGCTCACACGCTAATAAAAAAAAAATAAAAAAAAAAAAGCAAAATGATTTCATTTAGGGAAACAACACCGAAGGTATCAGTTACACAAAACTATACAATTGTTGGCAATAAATTTACAGCCACTCCCCATTCTTTTATTTTTGAGCCACACAACTGTTACAATAACTATAAACAAGTTCAACAAAATGACGGAAAAAGGTTTTTTTTTTATATATTTATAATTGAAACAAACTATCGGAATAGAATATGTTAGTCGTTTTATTATATATATATATATATATATTTATATCAATGATATCAACCTTTTTTTTTTTTTTTTTTGATTCTAGACGTCAAAAAAAAATCTTCCATCTAAGGTAAATTTATTCACCTCCTTTAAAAGCTGGGACCGAACCCGTATACATTCGTGAAGCTAACGTTATTTGGCTTACCTTCCTAATTAGGAACAGTGCGACCCTTTTCTTCTTTTCAGTATAAAAATCTATTCTTTTTCTTTTTTGTCATTTCTTTTTTTCATTTCCTTTTTTTTTTTTATATAAAGAAACAAAGAAAAACTTCAAACTTTATTTGCTACTACTATGGTCTTTTTATCAAACGCTGTCTCTGAAGGTAAACTAAATATTATACCTACTCATTCTTATATAACACGTCATTTTTTTTTATTATTATCTTATAGCTCGTATTAAAGAAACTAACAGCAATGGTGTTCATCATGCTGACACTGTTACTACCTCTGTTTATGGTTCTCGTTGGGCTGCTGAAGACATTCCTCGGTAAGTATCTTTTTATTATTAATATTATTATTATCGGCTCATTCTTCTTTTTTTTTATGTTTTCTCTCTTTCGCTTAGTTACCAAATGCCTGAAGTAAGTCATGGGATGAATAGATTCTTAAAACATAAACTTATCGAATTTATCTTCTTTCTTCTTTCCTTACCCATGTTCTAGGATGAAATGCCCTCTAGTAAGTATCATGTTATCTATAAAACGTAGGAAATCATTCTAATCAACCTTATCTTCTTTAGATACTGCTTATCGTTTGGTGAGAGATGAACTTCAATTGGATGGTAACCCTGCTTTAAATTTGGCTACCTTTGTTACTACCTATATGGAAGACGAAGCAGAAAAGTTGATGGCTGGTAAGGAAAAAAAAAAAAAAAGAAGACAAGAAAAACTCTTGTGCCTAAACCTTTTCCTACTGATTATCTATAGAAAACATTGCCAAGAATTTTATTGATCATGATGAATATGCAAGCAGTGCCGAACTTTGTGTAAGAAAGATAAAATAAAATAATAAAATGATGTTTAGTAATGGATGATATCTTTTTTTTTTAGAACCGTTGTGTCAATATGATTGCTCGCCTCTACCACGCTCCTATGCATGATTCTACTACCGAAGCTTTGGGTTGTAGTACTGTTGGTTCCAGTGAAGCTATTATTCTTTCTACTTTGGCTATGAAGCGTCGATGGCAACTTGCTCGCAAAGCAAAGGGTTTACCTACTGATAATCCAAATTTGATCTTGGGTAGCAACCAACAAGTCGCATGGCATAAGGCTACTAGGTAAAAGATGCATGTATTCACGTGATATAATGAATGATGAAAAACCTGATCCATATTTTCTTTTTTTATTATTAGATATCTTGAAGTGGAATCTCGTGAAGTTGATTGTTCTGAAGGTTTCTTATGCTTGGATCCTGTGAAGGCTGTTGAATTAGCTGATGAAAACACTATTGGTGTAAGTTGTTCATGGTTATTTTTTTTTTTTTGATCGAAAATACTTACTTTCTTTTATTCTATACCATATTAGATTGTTGTCATTCTGGGTTCTACAGTAAGTATATTGATTTTTATTTCTCTCCTATTTTATTTTTTTTTTTTTTTGTCTCATGTTCTTCCAATTTATTTTTATAGTATACTGGTCACTATGAAGATGCTAAGAAGGTGAATGAACTCCTTGAAAAGAAGTGTGCTGAAACTGGATGGGATATTGGTATTCATGTTGATGCTGCTAGGTAATTAATAGAGAAGAAGGTTATATTTTGATCGTATGATTAATTTCACTTTTTATTTTGTAGCGGTGGTTTCGTTGCTCCTTTTGTCAACCCTGATCTCGAATGGTAAGAATATAGATATTAATATGTTAATAACAAAATGATTGAGATACTAATCTCTTTTTATTTTACTTTAGGGATTTCCGTCTTCCTCGTGTTGTTTCCATCAATGTGTCTGGTCACAAATATGGATTGACGTACCCTGGTGTAGGTTGGAATGTATGGAGATCTAGTGAATACCTTCCCAAGGATCTCATCTTCAACATCAACTATTTGGGTAGTGATCAGGTAAACCATCTTTAAAGATATATATATATATATATATTATTATTATTATTATTACAGTTGTACTTGTAACATTTACTTTACTTTCACTTAGGCCTCTTTTACTCTCAACTTTAGTAAAGGTGCAGCACATGTTATTGCACAATACTATGTTCTGATTCGTTTAGGCAAAGCTGGTTTCACCAAGATTATGACCAACCTGACCCAAACTGCTGATCATCTCTCTGACTGTCTTCGTGCTACTGGACGCTTTGAAATTCTTAGTGAAGGAAATGGAAATGGTTTGCCTTTGGTGGCTTTCAGTCTTAAGGGTGATCAACACTTTGATGAAGTAAGTCTTTTTTTTAAGAAGAAAAAAAAAAATAGGGGAGGATACGAATATTTAAAACAAACAATCCTAACATTATCTTTTATTCACTTTTCTATTTTATAGTTTGACCTTTCTGCCAAATTACGTGAACGTGGATGGATTGTACCTGCTTATACCATGGCACCCAAATTGGAACACAAGAAACTCTTACGTGTTGTTGTACGTGAAGACTTCTCACGATCTCGTTGTGAAATCTTGATTCGTGACATTGTTGCCGCTATGAAATCTCTGGATCTTATTGATCAAAAGACTATCGAAGCTTATCGGTAATATCAAAAAAAAAAAATCAAGTGATGATCCTTCATTTTGCCTTTGACATATAATTTTCTTTCTTTCTTTTTTTTTTTTTTTTAATATATAGCGCTATCAAGGACGAACATTCGCATTTTGCTTTGCAAAAGAACATTGCTCAATTCAAGATCAAGGACGATGAACCTGTTCAAGATGCCAATGGCGAAGTGCATAGTTTAGAAATCAAGCAAGCTCCTGGTATCTGTTAGTTTTATTTTTATATTGTTGTACTATTTAAATAAAAACTTTTTGTTTGTATCAATATAAATCTAATATTATGAGGATGTATTTATAGAATGATGTTGTCTGACAGCGCTAAAAAGAATGACTTTAATTGAATTGAAAGTTCGCATGAAGGATGATCATATAAGACGAATGAATGAATGAATGAATGAATGAATGAATGGTGATGACATACATTTTTATTGAATCAAATAAACATCTACACAAAATAATCCTATCTAATCATTAACTACTATAAATTGGCCATAGTATTGGTATTATCTATACATCACTGGAGCAAGTCGGCAAAATAATCTTCAAATTCCTCTTCTTTCGTTTTTTCATCCTTGGTATCCACAGTCGAGCTCCAAATCGATGATGTTTTGTGATCTATCGCATAAACATGATAAAGAAAAAAAAAATCAAATAGAATGAGGTTATTTTCTTTCTTTTTTTTTTTTTATATCCTTTTTTTTTTTAATTTTTTCTAAACTTACCGTCATTTTCAGGAGACCCATCATCCTTTGTCTTTTTCCTCTTGATCAAACCTTTGTGATTTCCAATGTCTTGATCAGAATTATCAGAGGTATGTTCATCAAGTTTCCGTTTCTTTTTATTCTTTTCCTTCTGTTTCACTTTTCGTTTTTGTGTCTTGTAGTTAAGTTTGTAAGAGCAATCTTCACATAGACGTACCTTGACCAATTCGTTCTTCTTGATACCATCTTCCATATACCCAAAGTTGACTTCCCAGCTTGTGAGATGAGTAGTCTGATCACAACGAGTCGATGCACATATGAATTGCCCTTTCCCCATCACCACCTCACTTTCAGTTCGCCATCTTAGTGCAATCTTGCCTTGTTTGTAATAACTGAGTTCACATAATGCATATTCTTTGAATAATTGTTCATAATACTTTTGTGCCAATCGTTGTTCCCATGTCATTTCCTTATCATCTATCTGTGGTTGAACAAACCTAATCCCCACATAAAAACAAAAAAAAAATGAATTTCAGTATCTTTATCTATCTATCTATCTATCTATTCAAATGGTGCACTACTTCTATATGTTTTACCGGTGGTGCTTCCGAAGAATATCATATTCAGGATTATGAGTTTCTTTGTTGCTGGATTCTTTTGGTCGTTTCTTGTTATAATAAGTAGCGTAACTTTGGATCAGCTTCTTGTGTCTAGTATACTGTGTTTAACAAAAAGAAGTCAACAATAAATCTTTTATGCATATGTGTGTAACAAAATACTATATCGTCAACTTACAGCATCAATACCTTTAAGTTCTTTACGGAATACAAACTGGCTCATTATATTGTATTTCAAGCAAAAAAAAAAAAAAAAGAAAAGTAAGAGCAAGAAAAAAAAAAAACTGCTGGACTCCAAAAAAAATCTTTGATTCGCTTTGTATCCAAACGCGGCTTTCACTCTCTCAGTCTTTTTTCTTTTTTTTTTTTTTTCTCTTTTTTAGTTTTTTTTTTATTATTGCGCATGTCAATTTAACGTATATCAATTACTTATATATAATGACATCTTCTTTACGAGATCAAGTCAATGACCTATTAACAGAATATACACAAGTGACACAAAAATACTTTCAATCATTAATATCAGTAGCAGAAAACAATGATCACAACCTTGGACCAGAAACATATATTCAAGAAATGATCAATGTGGATGAACGATTACAAAAGGCATTGGATCAAAGTAAAAACTTGGATTATTCAAGATTTATGATATTAATAACTGTTTTTCTTTTGGTAATAGTTGGGGAACATCAGGCACGACAACAACAAATCAAACAAGTTCAAGATGAAATTCAACAACATCAAACAGTACTTCTTTCGATGGTAGAAAAACTCAACACAGCAAGCCAGGAATTGGATAATTGCCTTAGTATGGCAAAGAAAGAACTTAAGGCTACTGAGTATGCACAAAAAGGTAAAAAAAAAAAAAAAAAAAAAAAAAAAAAAAGAGAGAGAGAGAAATAAAGAAAATAGTAGAAATTTCTTATATTTCATTTGAATGATTCTTATTATTATTATTATTCTTTCTATTCTTAGCAAACATTCAATTTACTGATGTCTTATCTTATGCATCTAAACTCTCAAAATATACCTCTGCACCACCTAATTTTGATCTTATGAATCGTGATATCAAGGTGGATTTCGAAAAACCATACCCAGATGAAGAACGAATGAGACGTGGATTACTTTATTGGCAACATTCTACACAACCTATTCCTGAAGATAAGTGTAAGTAAAAAAAAAAAAAAAAAAAAAATCAATTGGAGTATAGAACTAAAAATATTATTATTACTTTTATTGACAACAATAGTTGAAAGCTCGGATAATGAAAGTGCATCAGACGAAGATGATGGGAAAAAGGAAGAACCAACCAAGAAACCGGAAGAAGATGGACCTGCACCTTTTTGGATTTTGGATTTGAATCCAAATATGTCAACGTGAAATAGATGATAAAGTAGTGATAGATGATTAGTGTAGATAGTTAATTATTATATCAAATAATAAATAAAAAAAAACAGATGATAAAAGATGCGAAATGATTAAATACTAGTGTTTATTTTTTATTTTTTATTTTTTATTTTTTTTTGGGATGTTGTATTTGTAAATGAAATAGGAGAAAGGAAATCATCAAGATTTGTCGATAATAGGGGATGTATAATTAAGATGATAATGCCATTTTTAGATATCAAGTATTTTAGAGAACAAGGGCAACAGCAGCCATAGTGATGAAACCAAAAGCACCAACCTTCAAATGATCACCAGCGTTGGAAGATTTGGCAGCAGATCCAGAGCCAGAAGAGCTAGCACCGTTGGAAGAAGCAGAACCTGATGCACCAGTGCTGGTAGGAAGATGATTGAAATCAATGGAAGTAGCGTTAAGACCACCTTGACCAGGAGCAACACCAACAATAGTGAAGTAAGGGGAATAGCTGGATCCCAATTTGGTTTTGAAGACGAGGGCATCTATTTTAAAAAAAAAAAAATTTATGATGAGTTAAAAGCCAGATGATCAAAAAATTATTTATATTACAAGAAGGTAAGGTTTGAACGTTCTTGGGGATATTCCATGTATATTGACCACCATTCACAGGAACATTAGTATCAACAAGAAGATAAGTTTGCAAGTTACTTTGATCACCACCCATCAAGACAATAGCATCAATAGTAGTAATGGAAGCATCAGTCACAGTGAATTTAACATTTTCAGTGGTACCAGCGTTCAATACATCCTAATCAAAAAAAAAAAAATTTTTTTTTAGGGATCAATTGACATTTTATCATGATCATCCACTTACACCTCTAGCAGGGATATTGATAGCAACACCAGTGTTAGTGACATTTTGAGCGAAAACGGTGGAGATAGCAAGAGCAAAAAGTGTAGTAATAGCAGTGAACTTCATATTGAAATAGAGAAATAAAAAAAAAAAATGGGAAGAAAAGCAAAAAAAAAGTTGATATAAAAAAAAAAAAAAATAGAAACACGTTTTGTACCTATTTATGTCCCCGGGGTAGGTGTAGGAGAAGGGCCCATATTCGAAAAAGGAAAAGAATGTGTGTAGTGTAACACTGATTTCTCAATTGACAATCAACTCAGCTAGCTACCTGTTTCTATGGAAAAGTAGGTCTTGTAACCTCTTTTATTATTATTATTATTATTACTATTATCCTTTTTTTTCTTTTTGTCATATTATATCATCATCATCATTATCATCATCATCACCATCATCATCATCATCATCATCATCATTATCATCATCATCATCATTATCATCATCATCATCATTATCATCCACCATTACCATCATCATTATCAACATCATTCATAATACAAGATGACGATAATAAATGATGATTATTATATTGGTATCTATCATGGATCCATATGTGTAACGATTTGCACGTTTTTTTTTCTCATTATGATGATGTACCGACATGCACAGATTTTTTAGAATTGATGTTCCGAACAAAGGTTTTTTGTTCGATTTGATTTGTTAGTAGAACTTGCAGACTAATACTAAAAAAGAGTCAATAAATGAATCAAAAGGATCATACAAAAAAGTTTAATAATTGAGGAATTAAAATCATGTTTTTTTTTTTTTGTTGTTGTATTCATATGATGATGGTTGTTTGTATCAGTTGAACCCCCCCCCCGATATACTGACGGTTACAAAAAAAAAAAAAAAAAAACAGGGGAAGAGGAAATTTATCCTTTTATGCATTCTTCGATTTGGACGATAATGAAGAATGTTGATCCAATTTTGATAGTTGATACTAAACGATTCATCATCATCAAAAGATTGTATCTCTTTTCATGATACAAGAAAGAAAGAAAAAAAAAACGAGAATGTAATATCATGAAATCTCACCAACAATAGAAATAGAAAAAAACGCGAAAAAAAAGTCAACTATTGGAGAATGTCTTGTTTATATGAATGGTATTGATTTTTCCCCCTTGCATTTATAAAGATAGATGAAATTCTTTTTCTGTTTATCTTCTTTTTTTTTTTCTCGCTCTCTCACTTGTTGTTCTTTTTCTTTTTCTTTCTTTTATTTATATATCTTTTTTTTTTGTATATAAAGATTGAATAAGAAAAGGAGAGAGGGAGGTAAATCTCGATCTATTCCTGCATTTTTATATTTCACCAGAGACCAAATATAGCAATGAATAACCATCCTTCATCCTTCCTAGAAAATTCGTAAGTTATATTTTCATAATAATATCATAAACAAACCTGTTTTTTTTTTTCTTATTTTATTTTATCAATATAGTTTTGAGGATTTGCCTTTTGAATTGAATCATCCAGATATATTATCTAATCACTCTGTATTAGGTATTTAAAAAAAAAAGGTCATTTTCATGCTTCCAGCGGAATTTTGATTTATTTATTGTTCTCATTCTTTTTTTTTCCTCTTTTCCCTTTTCCTTTATTCTTTTTTTTTTTTTTTTTTTTCGTTCACATCATCTCTACTAACCACAATGTTATCATTATTTAAAAGGTAAATGAAATAATATAAATAAAGATGTAATGACTCATTCTTTATTTTATAATTAGCAACCAAGTCACCAACTTCTCGTCGAACAAAAGCCTCTTCAAACTCTTCAAATTCTTTTCAACAATATCCCTATTGGAACATTCATGATGCACCTTTATCAATATCTGAAATTGAACGAATATTTATCAAGTTTGAACATTATTTTGGATTTCAACATGATAGTGTTCTCAACATGTACGATCATCTTTTGACTTTATTGGATTCACGTGCGGCTCGTATGACTCCTCAACAAGCTCTTTTATCTTTACACGCTGATTATATTGGTGGGGAACACGCTAACTATCGTATTTGGTACTTTGCAGCTCAACTGGATTTGGATATGCCATCACAACAAAAAACAAAACAACCTCCATTATCATCAGCTTCTGGACAATACCTTCAACAAATGAAACGCGAATGGCACGATGCTATGGTGACTATGACTGATCACGATCGCATGTCGCAATTGGTCTTATATTTATTGATCTGGGGGGAAGCAAGTACTCTTCGTTATATGCCTGAATTACTCTGTTTTCTTTTCAAACTAGCTGAGGATCATCGAAAACAAATGGATAACAATTCAACTTCAACAGAATCTTCTCATCACTTTTTGAACGATATCGTCGCTCCTCTTTATCGTTTTCTTCGGGATCAATCTTATATTATTGTCAATGGTCAATGCTTACGACGGGAAAAGGATCACAATGATATTATTGGATATGACGATGTAAATCAATTTTTTTGGGATCGACGTGCTATGGCCAGGTTATTACTGAAGGATGGTGTCACTTTACTCAAGGATATACCTCAAGCCCAACGATATGAAGCTCTTCCTTTTATTGATTGGTCCTCTGCATTTAGGAAAACGTTTTATGAATCAAGATCATGGTTGCACCTCTTCACCAATTTTTCTCGCTTTTGGGTTCTACATATTGCCACTTTCTGGTATTACATGACAGCCAATATGGGATTCCTTCTCTCTGATTACAAGCATTATACTCTACCTGTCAAGTTATCTGTGGTCGGTCTTGGTGGTTTAGTAGCTGTCGCATTGGTCATGGCAGCAACAATCAGTGAATTCCATTATCTACCGGCTTATTCACATATTACAAAGATCTTAATAACGAGACTGTTATGTCTGATTCTCCTTGCTGCTGGTCATACGGGTGCTTTTTTTTATGTATATTATATGGACAGTAATAGTATGATTGCTCTTATTGTATCCTCCTGTCAATTGGGTCTTGGTGTCATTGTCACTATTATTCTCGCTATTGTACCGTCCTCCAGGCTCTTCCGATTACGAAATCAACTCCATCTTGCTACTCAGGCTTTTACCGCACATTTTCCTACCATGTCAAGTGACGATAGGTTTCTCTCTATTCTGATGTGGTTATGTATCTTTACCTGCAAATTTCTGGAAACTTATTTTTTTCAAGCCTTGTCTTTCCGGGATGCTATTACTGCCATGGCGACTTTGAAATTCGATATCTGTCGTCGTGATCCTCTGCTTGGAAATTGGATTTGTACTTTGATACATGTGGTTGCAAGTATACTCATGTTTGCCGTTGAATTGATTCTCTTCTTTTTGGATACTTATCTATGGTACGTTATTTGGAACACAGTGTTTTCGGTATCACAGGCAATGCGGTTGGGGATTTCCATCATGACGTCTTGGAGAACTATGTTTGCAAGGTTACCAGGAAATATGTATTCGAAAATCACAGCTACTCGGGAATTCTCTGCTTCTCATTTACGAAAAATGGCTTGCTCTCAAATGTGGAATGCTATTGTGATATCTATGTATCGGGAACATTTATTGTCTATCAATAATCTGCATTGGCTCATGTACAAAATATACAACAAAACTACAAATGATGATGACGATGATGGTGATGATGCAATGGGTACTCGTGGACTTGCTCTGCCAGCTATATTTGATCTCGATAATAATGTGAACAAAGATGATTGCTTTCCGGCTTACTCTGAAGCTGAACGACGACTCTCCTTTTTTGCTCAAAGTCTATCAGCTGATATCCCGCCTCCATGTTCGGTACAACAAATGCCTATCTTCACTGTCTTTACACCACACTATGCAGAAAAAATATTACTCTCTTTACGCGAAATCATCCGGGAAGAAGATACGACAACTCGTGTGACCTTATTGGAATATTTGAAGAGATTACATCGTGCTGAATGGCATCATTTTGTGAAGGATACCAAATTCATTGCAGAAGAGGATGATGTTGACATATCTGGAACACATTCAGTCAAGGATAAGGATGATTTACCATTTTACTGTATTGGATTCAAATCATCAGCACCTGAATATACTTTACGCACTCGTGTATGGGCATCTCTTCGTGCACAGACTCTCTATCGAACTGTCTCTGGTTTTATGAATTATGCAAGAGCTCTCAAGATTTTACATCGGATAGAACGTCCTGAATTATCTGATATCAACAACAACAAGAATACATCTAATAATCTGGCTGATACGGAAACACATCTGGATCAACTTGCGCAACACAAATTCAGGTTTCTAGTGGCGATGCAACGGTACGACAAATTCAATGATGAAGAAAATGAAAACTGTGAATATTTGCTGACGGAATTCCCACACCTGCAAATAGCATATATTGAAGAACAAATGCCAACACCTTCAAATACTGATGATCATGACAATGATGATGACTACAAGGATAGACAACCGAACGAACCAACTTATTACTCTTGTTTGATTGATGGATTTTGTCCGAAGTTACCCAATAACAGACGAAAACCACGATGCCGAATTCAACTTCCTGGAAATCCTATTCTTGGTGATGGAAAATCAGATAATCAGAACCATGCTATTATTTTCTCAAGAGGTGAATATCTTCAACTGGTGGATGCCAATCAGGATAATTATTTAGAAGAATGTCTCAAGATCCGAAGTATCTTTCGTGAATTTGAACAAGATGGAACTCCAACACAAGATGTTTATGCCTATGATGATGATGATGATGATGACAACAAGAATACAAGTACCACTTCTTCTTCTTCTTCCTCAACATTATCTACAACAACAACGACAACAACGACAACAGCAGCAGCAGCAACAACAACAACAACAACAACAACAACGAAAAAAAGAAAGCCACCTGTTGCTATTGTTGGTGCTAGGGAATATATCTTTAGTGAAAATGTGGGTGTATTAGGGGATATTGCTGCAGGAAAGGAACAAACATTTGGAACATTGACTCAACGGATTATGGCCAAGACAGGAGGTCGACTTCATTATGGACATCCTGACTTTTTGAATGCTGTATTTATGACAACACGTGGTGGGGTTAGCAAGGCACAACGTGGATTACATTTGAATGAAGATATTTATGCTGGAATGAATGCGTTATCACGAGGTGGTCGAATTAAACATACTGAATATCTCCAATGTGGCAAAGGACGTGATCTTGGATTCTGCTCTATTCTCAACTTTACTACCAAAATTGGCACTGGAATGGGTGAACAACTTTTATCAAGAGAATATTATTATTTGGGCACACAACTACCTCTGGATCGGTTTCTTACATTCTATTATGCACATCCTGGATTTCATATGAACAACATTATGATCATCTTTGCTATTCAAATCTTCTTATTCTGTATGATGGTGATCGGTACCATGGCGGTTTCATTACCTCATTGTCCCTCTCAACAAGTAACTAGGTTTACAGGATGTTTGGATGCAACCCCTATTTATGATTGGCTACGACGTTGTATTTTATCGATTTTTATGGTGTTCTTTATTGCCTTTTTACCTTTGTTTCTTCAAGAATTGACGGAAAAGGGAACTTCAAGAAGTCTGGCTCGTCTATTGAAGCAATTAGTCTCTTTATCACCCTTCTTTGAAGTATTCGTGACGCAAATTTACGCCAATGCTGTTTTGTCCAATCTTAGTTTTGGTGGAGCACGGTATATAGCCACGGGTCGAGGATTTGCAACATCACGTCTTCCATTCTCGGTTCTTTATTCTCGGTTTGCCAATCCTAGTATTTATTTTGGAGCAAGAACCATGTTTATGCTTCTATTTATCTCTTTGGCAGTATGGATTCCTCACTTGATCTATTTTTGGGCAACAGTTTCAGCTTTGATCTTTTCACCATTTATCTTCAATCCTCATCAATTTGTATGGACGGAATTCATCAATGATTATCGGCACTTTTTGTCATGGTTTATTCGGGGGAATGCAAGACATTATCATGGAGATGCTTGGATCACTTATTGTCGTCAATCTCGAACACGTGTTATTGGCACACGACATCATCGCAAACAACACAAGAAAAAAAAGAAGAAGAAAATGCAAGAAAAGGAATTGGCTGAACATACAACAACAACATCTGTACCCATGTCTCCAAAAGCACGTCTTGCAAGTATATTTGTATCTGAAATATTTATGCCAATGGTACAAGCTGGTTTATGTCTTGTCATGTATTCTTTTTGTAAAAGTCGTGATGGATTACCTATGGGACCTGGTGGTGGAATTGCGCGTATTGGATTGATTACTCTATCGCCTATGATTGGACATGCCATTCTACTTGCTTGTGTTCAAATCATTACTTTAGTGCTTGCTTGTCTTGGTTGTGGTATGGGACGTTGGATGGCGGCAATCACTCATAGTTTAGGTATTCTCTTGTCAATTGGTGCGTTAGAATTCTTTTGGTGGATGGAAAACTATGCGACACAACCTACTTTACTTGGTCTCCTTGCAGTTTTTGCCATGCAACGGTTTATCTTCAAGACAATTGTGGCCATCTTTCTAACTCGAGAATTACCCGATGATGCAACGAATCGTGCCTGGTGGAATGGTAATTGGCGTCGAACAAAGGTAATTTTTTTTATTACAAAAAAAAAAAAAAAAAAAAAAAGGAAAACTAACAAATTTGATTTTGATGATAGCTTGGCAAATATGCATTACGTGAATACATATGCAAGATTGTGGAAATGTCTGTGTTTACAACTGATTTCATCCTTGGCCATTTGATCTTGTTTGTCTTGTTTCCAGTGTGCTGTATTCCTTACATCGATCGATTACATTCCTTAATGCTCTTTTGGTTACGTCCTTCACATCAGATTCGACCCTCTGTCCTTTCTACTAAGCAACGACAACGGCGGAATCAAGTCATCCTGTGGTATGGACCTTTGTTTATCTTGATATTTATTCTCTTTGTTTCTCTTCTGGTCGTTCCTCTCTTGTTTTGGCAGCCAAGGCTACCTAGAGCCACATCCACTATTGTTACCTTGATCTTTTAGTTTACCTAGTCATCTTTATTTATATTTTTTGTATGGTACAATAAACATTTTGATTTAATAGAAAGAAAATCATACACATAGTTGAATAGAATCACAAGCATGAAATAGAATAAATATCCTAACGACCTTTGTTTTGTTCTATTCATGACTTTTTTTTCTTTTGTTATTTCCTTTAATGAAAGGAACAACTCATATCTTCCTTCATCCATCTCTTAAGTACATCATCATCATCACTATTATTATTATTAAATGGAATACGTTGGATGGGAAGAATCCTGTTTTATGGAAGGGTATCCAATCACTGATCGTTTTGACATTCAAAGTCCTCTACAAATCCATCCATGCATATCAAAAAAAAAAGAAAAAAAAATACCATTTCAATCAATAAGAGTATTATAAAAGACAACATAAAGAATAACATTTTTATTTCTATAATGCATAACTAGCAGTACTAAAGGAATAATCTTCATCATCCTGATACAAACTACTTTGTGTGGAAGGAGACGGTGAAGTGCCATCAGCAGGTATCAAGGTCCATAATTGATTTTCATTATCAGAAAGTTTTCGTTCATATAATAATACTACTGTACCAGGTTTAGACCAATTCCCCTTTTTAAAATAAAAATAAATCAGTCATGATATCTGACATAAACGTGATTTGTACAACTTACACGAATATCTAATACAAGGTTGGGTTCAATTTGTGGGTAAATGAATCCATCTTCTCTATAAAACCATCGTTGATTATGTGCGTCTTCTGTCATTTTCCTTTTGTATTGAATGATAGGTTTATCACTTTCCAAAATACCTAAATAAAAAAAAAAATTAAATGTATATTTCTACTTCTTTTTTCAAATAGATAATCTCTTACCTCCTTGTACATCCAATACTATTTTAAAGAAAATACAAAAAAAAAAAAAGATCAAGTTCCATGTTTAATCTTTCTTTCTTTTTTTTTTTAATCTAGTTATTACCTAACCCTGAATTCTTGTTAATAATATAACCATGATCATATGTCCATAACTGATTATCCGAACCTTTTCCATTCTTTTTTGGCCAAACCACAATTTTGGCAGCTTGCTATAGAATATCATCTAAAGTGAATAATGACGAGAATAAACTTTGTTATTTATTATTTTTACCTTGAGTGAATCCCAAGAAACATCTAAAACCATACCATGTTTAGCTTTGGATTGAATATAAAACCATCCTGAAGGGAAATTCATTTTTGTAAAGGAAAAAAAAAGAGTACCAAAATAAACAAAAAAAAAAAAGAGAGAGAAAGGGAATAGAAGTTTTTTCTTTTTTCTCTCTTTTTGGCTTCATTCCCAATTTGGAAGTACAGGCAATTCAGTATCCGAATGTCATATTTACAAAAAAAAAAAAAAAATCATCATATCTTATATAATTTGCCCCATTGATTATATAGATGAGTGATATTTTCTTCAATTAACTAGTTATTTGAATTAAAAGAAATAATACTTCTTTTTGTAAGTATGTAAAAGTGACCCTTGTATCACCACAACTGTGGCGCTCTTTTTTACGTAGTATGGAAACTTCTTTTTGGTAAACTAAGAAATAAAATTTAGAAAGAATATGCTTAGCCAAACTTATCCTTTTCATCCGTAGCTTATAGTAGTAATGTATTCATTCTTTTTACTTAACAAACTATCCCCCAGCCACTATTCATATCAAAACTTTGATTTCTCTCTAGGCACATTATTTCTAATCCCGCAGTAAAAAGGAGGGTGGTATAAAAGATTTCTTTTCTCTTTCCTTCTTTTCTATCAATTCTTTTTTTTTTTCTTTTTTATTGGTACACATGCGCATTTATTTAATATCCTTTCTACTTTTACTATTATATACTCTCAACGTTTTAGCCAAAGGCGGAGGAGGTGGTGGTGGAGGTGGAAGAGGTGGTGGTGGTGGTGGAGGCAGTAGTAGTGGTGGAAGTCGTGGAGGAGGTAGTAGTAGTGGTGGAAGTCGTGGAGGAGGTACTAGTGGTAGTGGTGGTGGTAGTAGTGGTAGTGGGACTGGTAGAGGTTCTACTCCTGCTGGTGCTCGTTCACCTGGTGGTGGCATTACTGCTGGTGGTGGCTCTGGTTCCTTCTCTTCCAAACCTAGTTACAGTTCTTCCACTTCAAGACGTAAGATGCCCAAAAACAAAAAAAAAAAAATCTAAAGCTAATCTCTTTTTTTTTTTTTTTTTATGAAATAATTAGAAACCTACAATAGTTACAGTCCCACTTATTCTGGAACTTATGGTAATGGATATCATTCTGGTTATGTTGGTCGATACACTCCTGGTTTTCCTTACTTTTTCATTGTTCCTTCGTTTATGTTTATGGGTTACTATGGAGCTTATCATCGATTCAACAGTCAAGGCGCTTACTATGCACCGGAAATCAACTCTCAAGGTACTGGCAGTACAAATTTATTGATCAATGGAACAGCTTATCCTGATGACAACGACAATTATCATTACACTATTAATGCTACAGCTCGCAGTGACCAATTCCCAACCATTGATATGGGATTTTTTGATTCATCCGATTTGAACGCACATCCTGCTGACTTTATTTACCGTTTGACTATGGCTCATGTATTGGAATACGATGATGTTAATAATAATGGATTTTATGATGCTCAAGAACCTATACTAGCCATCAGCTCCTTACAGAAAATCAATTGGCAACCTATGATATTGAATAACCGAACAGTACCTACGAATACGCAACAAACCTATTTGGAAACAGTGACAGCTGCCAATATTACTTACAATAATACGAATACTTCACCAACAACAGCAACTCAACCAACCTTTGGTATCAGTATGACTCTTCGGTTCAGTAATCTTCAATTAAATGGTACAGCATCCATTCCTATCCAACCCAACTCTGTACAATACGATGTCCAACTTCAAAATTATCCTGCTGTGGCAACTGGAACCAATGGCGCTGTTCATCCTCGTGTGGCTCTTGCTCAAGTAGTGACAACCAAACCTTTTACTAATGTAGTAATGGATGTAAATACAACTACACCTGTGAATGTAGCTCAACAAATCAAGACAAATGTGACATATGGTGCATCTATCGGTAATTATTCGGAAGGACGTTTGGAATATCAACCATCGGTAACCATTACAAACATGGCCGGTATCAGTACATCCACATGGACAAACCTCATGGATCCTGCTCAAGTCAACCGTTTGAATGATCCTGGTTCCTGGGCTTGGGGTGATAATTTGGGTGTTGATCAACGCAACAGTATTATGTCTCTAGTTACTTTCAACAATCAGTCATCACAATCTTATCAACTCTCTGGATTAGCTTATTTGGATACCGATATTATCAGTTCTGCTATCAATGGTGGATCATCTTCTACGTTTATTTCTTCAAGTTCAAGATTATTGGTACAAGGAACAAGTATTTGTACTCTATTAGTACTTTTATTCTTTTCCTTTTAGATTGATTTAGTTTATATAATTATTATGTATTTTTATTATTAAAAAAAAACTTTTTATTACTTTTTTTGATTTACCGGGGATTGGCTGGGGGGATATGAAATCGTTTGGCTGAGCTGCAATAACATAAAGCTTAAATTTCTTTTTTGATTGTAATCTTTTTTTTCTTTTTTCATTTTTCATTTCTTCTTTTTTTCTTTCTCATCTTTCTTTTTATATACAGATAAATATATTTAGATATTTAGTATATCCTTAGTTATTATCACGTCAACACCATTTATCAGTGATCAATAGTCTTATCTGTCATGTTCCCTCAAGGTCTTTTTTATATACTCTCACGAAAAAATGGGTTTGCCCTGGATGTATACGATGGTCAAACAAAGGTAAGAGAAATAAGCATATTACTGAAATAAACTTCATTGACTCATGAAAACTCGTATCCTTGTTTTTTTTTTATAGGAAGACGCTAATATCATTGTATGGCCTCAAAAGTTTGAAGATAGTGACAACCAGTAAGCTTGAAACAGTATAAATGTTACTGGTAGGCCATTGCTCAACTTCTTTTTTTTTTCTTCTTTCTTTTAGGCTTTGGACTTATGAAGAAGGTCGTTTAGTCAACAAAAAGTCTGGTCATGGTAAGTGAAGAAAATAGGTGAAGAAAAATAGTATACTAATGTTCTCTGTTTTTTTATTATTATTAATATCAGTTTTGGATATTAGATCAAGTAAGTATTTATAGACGGAAAATGCAGGGACGGCAAAAAGAAATTTTTGTTGTAATGAATGTATATCCATATTTTATTTTATCTTTTTAGGTGCATTCAAGAAGGATAAGGCGATTGTACAAAACAAGCGCAAGGACAAGAATCAATCACAATTTGTAAATCAATTAAAAGAATGGAAAATGAATTATGTGAAATCTAATATGTTTATCTTTACTTTTATGATGAAATAGTGGATCTTTGACCAAGGTTTTCTTTGTTCCCAAGAATATCCTAGTATGGTATTTGATATCAAGGTATAATTCAAATAATATAGATAAAAGAAAAAGATTAATACCAACTTTTCTTTTTTATTTTATTTTATGTTAGGGGGATAGTGACAAGGGTGGTGCGCAAGTGTTACTTTATAAGCGTAAAGATACTGACAACTTGAATCAGCAATGGTACCTGGAACCCTATCACAATATTGAATCATCATTGAATATGGCTACAAAGAGTATTCCTCTACATAAGAAGGAAGGTTTTGGTCAACCTCGTCTTGGTTATGGCGCTGAAATAGGTGTTCCTCCTGAATTGAAACATCTTCCTGCTAATATCAAGGTAGCTGGTGTTAGCAACAACGGTCCTACTGCATCCAAACCTTTACCCAATCCTGCTGACCAACATTCACCTCATCCTGAAGCGTTGAATATGAATCATCAAGCTCCCATTTCGACACACTCTGCACCACAAGCTGAACCGGGTTATATTGCTCCTCCTCCTAGGACATCTGCTTATCCTCCTCCTCCTCAAGCACATTATCAACAAGAATCTTCATCATCATCTAACCGCCATCAGGATCAACCTCATTATCAACAACAAGGCTCAAATTACCCTCATCCTCCTCCTCCTTCTTCTTCAGGTTATCCTGGTCCTCCATCTTCAGGTTATCCTGCATCTTCCACTCCTCAAGGTATGTCCTCTCCTGGTGTCGGCGGATTTTATGTACCTCAACCCAATAGCCCTCCACCCCCTTCTCAAATGAATATGCCCTCTTATCCTTCTCCTCCTCCTCCATCTAGTAATGATTATACTTACCCATCTCAATAAAATATTTGGTTGTCTTTTTTTTTGTATCTTTATTTGAATATACCTTTCTCATTTATTTTATACTGTTGTACGGGACTGATAGTTGTACTCCAACATAATCTTTATAGTCATCGTCATTCATATTCATCATCACCATTTTCAAAGTTAACCCATCCTTTTTTTTTTTTTTTGTTTCAAGGAATAAAATTGGTCAAAAACTTTTATTTCAAATCAATGGAATCAAGCTAAACTATACTACTAGAGGAATATCGATCCATGGATATCATCAGTCGCTAGAAGGTCGTATATATATAAAAAAAAAAAAAAGAGAGAGAGAATTGATTTATGTCATCATAGTGAGGTGATGTTGCTGAAGATAGGACGAACAAGTCGATTTGGTCCAACTTCCCTTACTGGTCTGAGTGTGCATTTTCATCCAGATCATCATTATCACCGTTGAGACAGAAGGAGCTGGACGGAGATACCGAGTATTTGTCATCATCATATGTAAAAGGTGCTTGACATGGTGACGCAGGAACTTGTAAAAATATAGGCAAATTATTGGTGGATACGGCATGCTGCAGTTGGGTGGTATGTTGACCAGTGGATGGAGGTATAGGCACTTTTTCCTTTTCACGTAGGATTGTTTTTGGACGAGGCGCAGTGATAATAGTGATGGGTATAAAAAGTGGCGTGGCTGACGTTGGGATGGAAGATGAAGCATGATTGTCGCCCTTGTTATAGAATGATGTCAAAGATGAGAGAAGACGAGTTGTTGTAAAGGAAGAGAAGGACGGTTGATCAGATATTGTATGTTTGTGGCGTTGCTGCAATGGTGACAAACTGATGATGATAGTGTGTTCCAGATGAAATTTAATCCCATGGCAATCGTAACGGAAAGATGGAAGACAATGTCGTGCAATTGGAAGAGATATCATTTCCATATGATCGGTTGCGTGCCTTGGGATTGAAACTGAAACGGATTGATGATAGAGAACTTGTTCGAGCTGTTGGCGATCAGTAATGAGTTGGGTGACAAATGTAACATATACTTGACTAATGTTTTGATCCGTCTTGTTGGTGATTTTCAATTGGATGGTACATTCATCACCTAGTTTCTCAGTCCCCCACAAAAAAAAAAAAAAAAAAAAAAAAGAATCAGTATCTGCTGTATCTATTTACCTCTCTTTATCCATTTCTACGCAAGACTCTTCCTTGTTTATGTCTATTTACCTGGGCAATAAGTAGGTTGCATCGTATAAGCTTCCATTTCAACAATAGAAGAATCGTTGGTTGTTGATGCAGATTGGTGTTCGATATTATTTGTTAAAACAGCTGTCTCACTAGTAGTAGCTTCCACAAGAGGTAAATACATGATAGGTGTAACGGGAGAGAAGATAGTAGGTTCACCTGGTCTTTCTAATAGAGCCTGAATTGTATAGTTGATAGTGTAGTGATCACCATGAAAGGAAGTATCAGTAATAGTAGGAGGGTAATTCACCAAAGGAAGTTGGATGGCAAACAAGTTCATATGGCTTCCTGCTGGTAACATTATTGTCGTATTGTCATGAACTAAAATAAAAAGAAAACACATTGAATATTATTCATTCTTTCCACGGCTTTCTTTATTTTACTTGTATCAGTATTGTCGAATGAGACATATTCCTTGACAGAGAAAAGTGTAGTTGTAGTAGGCATTTGGTGGTGTTGTTGCTGATGTTCTTTTCGAATGACTTGACATTGAAATAAAATCACTAGTTGTTGTATTTGAATTGGTCCCTCTGTTTTCAAATAAACAGATCCTATAAGAATGTTCGAATTGTAAGATACTGTTATCTCAGTTGACTCTATATATGCCTTTTTTTTTTTTTTTGGTTCTTACCATTGATAATAGATCCAGGACCAAAAGCTACCGAGTTATCTTGTCCAAGAGAACTAATGGAAAGACGAAGACTGATGTCGTTGGGGTTTGAGTTGAAAAAAAGCATTGAAGAGAAAGAGAAAAGCGTATAAAAATGCAAAAATACATTTTAAGCTTAAGCGGAATATAAAAAAAAGAAAGAGTACGAGAGCGCATCCATTACCAAAAAAAAAAAAAAAAAAAAAAAAAAAGAGTTTGGTATTATCAATCATTTGTCCAAACCACCAAAAATCTAGCTCTTTTAGCATATTTATGCATTACATTCAAAGGAAGCGTTGAATATACATCATCAGGTATAGAATTGCTCGAGAATACGAATAAAAACGAACTGCTTGGCACGTTCTTTCATACGTGATAGTACATAAGGCTCACCCATTCATAGGCAATATCTTCCAATTCTTTCAATCAACTTATAATCGATCATCATCATATCTTATACATGAGTAAATCACTTTCTTATGTCATCATCATCCTTACGAAAGTGACTGATTTTGAATCAGCTAGCGACGATCACTTGTTTTCTCTTCTTTTCCTTTTTAAATGGTGGTACGAAGAAAAGACCCTGTTTTCCTTTTTGTTAGCTCTCCGTCTTAAAAGTGCGGGAAGACGTGGAAAAGTGGATAACACGAAACATTACTTTTAAATAATTATTATTTTATTATCAAAGGCGATTACACCATTTAAAGTGATGATGAATGAATGAAGAAAGATAAAAGGAAACAATTGTCCAACAACTTAAAAATAATTAGGTTACTTTGCTCTATTAGTCATAGAGTAATTCCGAGGAACGATGAAGCAGGTAGGATAAAAAAAAAAAAAAAAAAAGGGACACAACCAATCGTATGGTAGCACTGAGTGTTCCTGACTCATCTTTCATTTCCCGAAGAACAAGAGTAAATTTTTTTTTCCTGTTTGAAACCACGTTTTCCCATTTCGTATAAATAGTTGACGAAGTCTTCTTTTTTTTTTTTTTCTACATCATTCATTCTAATACAATTATATCAATCATCATGCTCCCTCGTATCATCACTCGTTTGTCAAATATTTCTTCTGTTCCTGGTAAAAAGTTGGCTATGGCCTCTGCTGGTGCCTCTATTGCTTATATCTATGCACAACAATGCAAGAATGATGTTTTCTATATCACCATGGCTTAAACGTGTCTTTCCACTTCATATTGAATTATAATTTCATACTATCTTTTTTTTTTTATTTATTTATTTTGCATACTATCATTCTTTTTCTATAGAATCATTTCATCTTACTTAATAAAATACTTATAATACGTATTGATGATCATATCATCAATGATTACCCTCCATCAAATTGTTTATTTTTATTTTATTATTATTTTTTTATTTTTTGTTTTGTTATCAATTAACTACCTAATCAAGATTTTCCCGAGAAATCTTTTATTTCCCTTTTTTAGATTTCTGACTTTTTTTTTTTTTTGTTGGGGATGAAACAATTATTCCACTCTTATTGGCATTTCTATTTTCATTTCTTAGTCACACATTTTCACTCAGATTAGAAAATCTATATATATTTCTTTTAATATTAATCACCAATCACTTGTTACCAATCTTTCAAAACATGCTTAAAAAAAAATGAAATCTGCAAGGTCGCACGCACATGGCACTAAGTTTGAATTCAACGAGGTCATCATGGCAACCCACGGGAAATCAGCTGAAAAAGAGCATGAAAAAGAAAAAAAAAAAAGTAGGCAGGAGTATATAAAAAAAAAGGAGAATATAGTAAAGGAGATCTTATCCATTTTATTTTTTTTTTATATGATACAGGGTTACTTTATTTATTTGTTATCATGTAAGATTAAAAAAAAAAAAAGAGAGAAAGAGGGTCGGATACATCATCGGGAATCTTACTATATCATATTATCAAAAACGATCATCTGAAAAAAAAAAAAAAGATGATTACGGCAATAATGGACGGCCTTCCTTTTCCCAAATAAAGAAGAAGATTCCTTTCTATATTTTATACTATTTTTTTTTAATACAAAAAGGAGAGAGATAAAAAAAAAAAAGAAAAGGAGGAATGGAAAGGTGATCGGTATTCTATGGATGTTAATTCTTATGATTTTTATGATGATATTCTATAATGATGACCGGTTTGAAAAAGACGATTATAAAAGTCTTATGATGATGAATTTCTATGATGACTGATGATGATGGTAATATAGGATCGACATTGACTAGAAATGCAAATGAAATGAAAGATCCTGTAATACTGTCAAAATAAAGCGTATTCCTTGTTACACGACATAGAGCTCCTATCCATCAAGCATGTAGTATGTCCATTTTCCCCCACTCTTGCCACTGTAATGCAACCATATTATGATTAATTTGAGAACCTGATTCAATACTAGCCGATTGTTCATAAATGATGATGATCCCTATGATGAATCACGTGGATGATCCCGAACAAAAAGAAGAAGAGAAAGTATTTTCTTTTTACTGACTTGCTATTTGAAAGACAAAAAAAAAAAAGATTCAGATTGTAAACCGGACTATTTCCTTAGAAACCATAAAAAGAATACATTTTGTTTAGTTAGCTTATAGGATTAAAAAAAAAAAGATAGAAAGATAGTCAAGGGACAGGGATGATGAATATAATGCTGATCGATATTTAGTATCCAATCTCACCTTAAGATTTGACAGATAATTTAAGGTTAAAAGCCATGCTGTGGATCAAAAGAAAGCGGCATGAGAGTGGCTGAGATTGAAAACAATATATATGCAAGGAAGCAGGGGGATGAAAAGAAGAAAAAAGATCCTTTTTAAAAAAAGAATGGAGAATATCTAACCCGAGAGAAAAAGATCATTCCATTTTTATGAAATCAAGAAAAAAGAAAAACAAACTTATTTTAATATCGACTTGAATCAAGAGACATTAGACAAAAAAAAAAAGTTCATTTTTAATCATCATCATCATCTTTCGTCATAACAATGATTGTTAAGAAAAAAAAAAAAAAAAGAAGACACGCGCCTTTATCCCTTGAGTAGTCTATCAATATACGGATCAATTGAAGGAGAGATATTATTGTATATGAGAGTTTGTGTTTATTGTATTATCTATAGACCTTCTAAACTATTTATCCTTTCTGTTTATGAAAAAAAAAAGGAGAAACTCAAAATTTACCTAGTGTGTTCCTCTCTTTTTTTTTTTCTTATATAATATCTATTTCCCTCTATTCTTATCATCCAATTTCTTTTTTTCCCTTTAACCCCTTTATCCTTTTTTTTTTTTTGTGTGTGTGTGTTAGGAGTTTATAAAAGTGTGCTATAAAAGTTGCGTTACAGCTGACCTTGCATTTACGACGACGCTTTACACATTACATGTTGAATCCCTTTTATTTGATTTGCATTTGAAAGGTAGGAACTTTTATTGACAATATATCATCTTTACTAATGAAAATAATATTGGGTATTGATACAAAGAAAAAAATAAAATAAAATAAGAAAGGTTAGGATCTAGATGATTGGCAAAAAAAAAAAAGGGTGAAATAGAGGATAGAATAGGAAAAAAAAAAAAAAAAAAGGAAAGAGTCCCTTAGTACAAAAAAAAAGTGTCGTTCATCCCTTTTTTTTTTTTTATTCCTTTGATCTTCATTGGTTGTTGTTTATATAATATTTATGTTTATATATAAATATATTATATATATATATATATGTGTGTGTGTGTGTCTGTCTATGTGATGTTTGCGTGTATATATGTGTGTGTGAGAGTATGTGTAAATAGATTGAATGGATTATGTTAAAAAAGAAAAAAAATAGGGTTCTTTCCTTTTTTTTTTTAATCCTATTTTCTTACTTTCTTTCCTTTTTACTTTAGTTCCTTTTTCTTTCGCTTATTGAACACTTTTTCTTTCAAGGTAAGGCTCACATTTTGAATCTCCCCAGTCTTCTTTTATCTCTATACTTATTTCTTTTTTTTTTCTCTTTTCTTTCTTTCTTTATTTTTTTATTATTTATGAATATATGTTTCAAACATGATATTTTATAGTTACTGGACTTTCCCTTTTGACTTTATTGACGTACAAACTTTTTGGTAAATTCACCATAATAAAACTACAAAAAAAGAAAAGAAAACTTATTAAAAAAAAAGGTACTTTTGTTTTCACTCTTATTTAGTCCTTAATGTATTCGTCATCGCCACAATCGTGTCAATATTATAGCAACACTAGCGACAACAATAATACCAATGTCAAACACGAACATCACGGAAAATACAATAGCGATAATAACAATGTTGTGAATTCAGATACTGGATCTACTCCATCTTGGCACCAATATGATAATGACTATAGTCTTGGTTCACCTACTCCTTCAACCTCACCTTCTTTTCCTTTACAACACTATTCTTCCATGTTGACACCTACCTCTACTCCCTATGTCTTGTCTCATTCGACTAGTGCTTTACCTCCTACTCATCACTTTGAATCAACACCAAACAACAACAACAACATTAATAGTACTGGTTTAGGAACTCCGTTAAATTCACATTTACCTTCTTATGGTTATGGATTATCTCATCGAGGCTTTTTTCCAAGACCAAAACTTACTACGACTTTATGGGAAGATGAAAGGACAATATGTTTTCAAGTAGATGCCAATGGTATTTGTGTAGCAAGACGCGAAGGTAATCAGTATTGATGAAAGCCAATAGCCATTATTTATTTATTTATTTATTTTCTTGTAGACAATGATATGATTAATGGAACCAAGTTATTAAATGTAGCTGGTATGTCAAGAGGTAAACGTGATGGAATACTCAAGAATGAAAAAGGTCGTGTTGTGGTTAAAGTAGGAGCTATGCATTTAAAAGGTGTTTGGTAAGTAAAAGAATAATAAAACTGTAACACAATCGAAAACCTAATCAAGATTACTCTTTTTTGTGTAGGATCACATTTGATCGTGCAAAAATACTTTCAGCTCAATTCAAAATTCAAGATATCCTTTATCCTCTTTTTGTCGACAATCCTCAAACTTTCTTATATAGTCATCCTATCACAAGTCCAATCTCTCGCCTTGGTCCTTTCCGTCCTTATTTTTCTTCTTCTTGGGATCGTACATTGTCTTCTCCAACTACTCCAACTACTCCAACAAATTCCAATGCTTCTAGTACTACTACTACTACTACTTCATCTTTATTACAACCACAACACGGTCTTGATTCTTCAGATACGAATATAGCTGCACCTCTAGGTAAATATTTGATATGAATTTTGATTGAATTCAACTTTTTAATTTTTTTTTTTTTTTTTTTTTTTTTTTTTTTTTTTTTTTTTTTTTTTTTTTTTTTTTTTTTTTACATGGAACTCACCTCCTTCTCCTCTTCTCCTCACCCCTCACTCCTACTCTTCTTTTTTATTCTTCTTTTTTTCCCCCTCCTCACTCCTATTCATTATTATTATTATCATGATCATCATTATCATCGTCATTGTTATTATTATATCATCATGATATCATTTACTTTTTTATTGTAGGTTACCGAACGTCTGGAAGTCTTCCACCTCATTCTTCTGCTTCTTCATTTGGTAGTAGTGGCAATCATGATCTTCTACCCATGGATTATCGTTCGGGTGGATCTACCTCGGATGGACTAACGGACCAACTCAATTCTACTTCCTCTACGTCACATGGTTCAGCTTCTTCCTATTACAATGATTTATTGGATACAAACCATCGTGCAAATGATTTGGCTATTTATGATACATCCAACAACAATAGTGGTCGTGGTAATTTTTTTTTTTTACTATTATACAATCCATACTCCTACATACATAAATAATAGGTATTTATTCTATTTATAGAACCTAACAAGATGATGACATGCACAAGTTCTTCACCGAGACCGACTAGTCACTCTTTGTTAGCCAATAGTGAATCTTCTATATTGTTAGACACGTCAAAACGATCGAATTCTGGATTACAATCTCCTTCTGCCTTTCAAGCATTGGACACTACCAACACTACCACGACTTTTCATCATCCTCAACCTATTTATATGGATCCTGCTAACACTTCTTCTTCTTCCAGAGATCATTATCATCAACAGTTCCATTTATCAAGTTCACATATCAATCCCAATAATAACAATAGTAACAGTATTTTAAATGACCTATCATCACCCAATATCACATCATCGTCAACAAATGAACTTGGAACACGACGGGATAATTTAGTAATGAATCATCATTTAAGGAATGGTACTCAAAGACATCATCCCTATGCCAATTGTACGACATCACCACCGCCACTCCCGAAATTGTCAAGTACACAAGAACATTCAGGATCTCTTCAACTCAAGAAACCTTCCATCTCAAGGCATCATCATCCTCCTCCTCCACTTAATTTCACATCATCAACAAGAAATTTAGCAAAGGATACTACAGAAGACATATCACTCAAGACAAATTCGGATCATACTACTCGACCTTGGTAATTGATAACTAAATGATTGAATATTTATGTTAGTACTAGGATAGTATAGTAAAATAGTTTTCCCTCCTTTTTTTTTTTTTTCTTTATCATTATTCTAGTTGATTTCAACTTTTTTTTTTCTTCTCATTATCATCATTTCTTTTTATTATCATTCTTATTATTATATCATTTATTATTACCGTCATTCTATTTTTTTTTTTTTTTTGTTTATTATTTGTTTTATTTTTGGTTTGTTTGTTTATATTGATTGGACAATCGTTCATGATGACGGGTGATAATAATAAAAAAAAATATGTTCTTATTATTACCAATGTGGTTAGGGAAACCTTAAAAGAGGGGGATGTGCATTCAGATGGTTGTTAGGAAATGCTAGGTACTTTTTTTCTGCATATAGACGGGATATGAAAATGTGAGATGAACCTCACCTTTTTTTTTTTTTTTTTTTTTTTTTTTTTTGTTTGTTTCATTTGTGTGGGAATCTCTTTTCTCTTTCTTCTCTCTTTTTTTTTTTTTTTTCCTCCTTCTTTTGTTTATCTCAGTATATATATATCACTGTTATTACTACTACAACAACGATTAAAAATTCAATCTCATTATATTCACTTGTGTATAACTTTTCACCATGACAACTTCACATCATTATAGGCCTGGCTCTCCTGCTGGTCGACCTGGTTCAAGACCTGGTTCTCCACGTCCCTACACACCACATACCAAGGTAGAAGAAGATCTTCACAATATGGCTGGTATTGATTATGACAAGGTATATACATTTATTATCTCCCTCCGTTCTTCTTCTTATTAGTTTAATCTGTCCATAGGTGACCATCAAACATAATCCATCGGTTCCTGTCTTATATGAGGAAGCCTTGACTCATGAAATAGGTACTGTTATCTCATCTACTGGAGCACTATGTTCTTATTCTGGCAAGAAAACTGGTCGTAGTCCTCAAGACAAACGTATTGTAGAAGAAGAAACTTCCAAAAATGATATTTGGGTAAAAATAAATAAAATAAAAGGTCAATGTGCTCAACTAATTTGTCTTCTTTATATATATATAATAGTGGGGTCCAGTGAATACTCAAATGAGTGAACGCGTCTTCTTAATCAACAGGGAACGAGCCATTGACTATTTGAACACACATCCTCGTCTTTACGTGTTTGATGGATTTGCAGGTTGGGATCCTAAACATCGTATCAAGGTACGTGTGATTGCATCTCGTGCATACCATATTCTTTTTATGAGGAATATGTTGATTCGACCTACGGATGAAGAATTGGAAAACTTTGGTACACCAGATTTCACCATCTTTAACGCTGGCGAATTTCCTGCTAATCGATATACCACAGGTATGACTTCTACTACTTCAGTTTCTATCAACTTCAAACGTCGCGAATTTGTTATTTTGGGAACAGAATATGCTGGTGAAATGAAAAAAGGAGTAAGTCCATTCTTGAAATGATTTTTTTTTTTTTGGAAACTCATTTTTTTTTTTTTTTTGATAAGATCTTTACAGTGATGCATTACTTGATGCCCAAGGCAGGAGTCTTGTCCCTTCATAGTTCTGCCAATGAGGGTGAAGATGGTGATGTATCATTATTCTTTGGTCTCTCTGGTACTGGTAAAACGACTCTTTCTGCTGATCCTAAACGTCATTTGATTGGTGATGATGAACACTGTTGGTCTGATAATGGTATCTTCAATATTGAAGGTGGTTGTTATGCCAAATGTATCGATTTGTCTAGTGAAAAGGAACCCGAAATATTCAATGCTATTCGATTTGGCTCTGTTTTGGAAAACGTCGTACTCAATGAAGAATCACGCGAAGTGGATTATGCTGATGACTTTTTGACTGAAAATACACGATGTGCTTATCCTATTGGTACTATTCTTCTTTTTCTTTCTTCTTCATCTTTGATATTGACCCCTCTTTTATTTTCTTTATAGATTTTATTCCAAATGCCAAAATTCCTTGTATGGGTGGTCATCCCAAGAACTTGATTTTATTGACATGTGATGCTTTCGGTGTCATTCCTCCTGTATCCAAGTTGACGCCCAATCAAGTCATGTATCATTTCATTTCTGGTTATACAACAAAGGTAGCTGGTACAGAAGATGGTATTGTTGAGGTAAGGAAAAAAAAATTTTTTTTATTGTATATTTCCTTTTTAGTATTATTCATCAACTGAATATTTTTATTATTATGTAGCCTACCCCGACATTCAGTGCATGTTTTGGTTCACCATTCCTTGTACTTCATCCTCAAAAGTATGCATCCATGTTGGCGGAAAAGATGGCACACCACGCGGCGGATGCATGGTTGATCAATACAGGCTGGGTAGGCGGAAGTGCATCTTCAGGTGCAAAACGATGTCCTTTGAAGTACACACGGACCATTTTGGATGCTATTCACGATGGATCGTTAGCCAAGGGTACATTTGAAACTTATGAAGTGTTTGGACTAAAGATTCCTACTCAAGTGGCTGGTGTTCCTGATTCTTTACTTCATCCTCGTAAGGCTTGGCAAGGATCTGATGATTCTTTCACCACTTCGCTTCAACAAGTAGCTGGTATGTTCAAGGAAAACTTTGAAAAATTCAAGGATCAAGCTGCTCCCGAAACTTTGGCCGCTGGTCCTTTACTTATTGATTAGTACCTATTCACACTTTTTCCTTTTCGTTTTTTTTTTTTTTTTATCAATAAAATAAATGTCTTCTCTTTATATGTATATATCGGTGATGATGATAACAATGCAACGTATCTGCTTGTTTAATATGATATCTTCTTGATGTGATACTATATTGATATGATGGGAAAAAGGATGACGTGAGTTGTATTGAATTCTTCAATATCCTCAATGTCTCTACTTTTGAATACATGAAATATATCATATAATTAAACATCACACATTTTATTTCTTTATACTAAACATTGTCATAGTAATCAAGCTACAGTAACTAATCATTCGTGATGATGCCTTTGTAAAACCTATTTAAGTCTTTCCTTTTTTTTTTTTTTCCAACCGCCTTGTGAGATGATAATGAAAGATAGAGCGGATATTTAGGAATTTGTCCTCATCTATCTATTGTCAAGATGATTGTTTGAATTTACCCGAAATTTGTAATAAACGTAGAAAAGGGCAAATTCCCCGTATTCAAAGGGTACCCTTTTTTTTTTGGAAAACTTACTTTTACAGTTTCCCTCCCTTCCTGGGTTAACTGTATCAGACAAAAGGCACAATCATCTATCAATGTTATAACAGTATCATAAAAAAATATATATTGATCTATAGATTGGAGATGAAAAGAAAAAAAGGAAAAGGGGATACCGCATTTGAAAACTGACACCTGCATTCAACCAAAAAAAAAAAAAAAAAAAAAAAAAAAAAAAAAAAAAAGCTCCTTTCTTCTCTTTACTATAGTAGATCTATGTGATGTACTCCTTTAACGTTGTTGTATTGATATTCAACGACTGATAAAATATAATATGGACGATCATATTGGTTTACGATGACAAAAGAGAAATAGTAACATGATATTAAAAAAAAAAAAAAAAGAGAGAGAGAGAACAAAACAATAATAGTCTTTATTAAAAAGGAATATGGGAAAGTGAGTATAAGACGATCAATAAAGTAATAAGGATATATTTATGCATATACATGTATATAATAAGGAGGAGAACGGATTAAACCAGACCTTGTCCATTTACCTTGGAAGGCGTCTAAAGTGCATAAGAATATATTCATGGTGAATTCATACTGTTGATCATCTCCCTTTTTTTTTTTTTTTTTTTACCATGACTTTGAGGAATTCTTCATAGTTGATCATACCATCACCGTCAACATCAGCTGATAAAATCATTTCTTTTAATTCATCTGGGGTTACAGTTTCACCTATAACAAATATATTGAATAAAATAGATAATTATTTTTTTTTTGTTCAACTTACCAAATTCCACTATGGCACGTTCCAAATCTTGAGAAGTAATCAAACCATCATTATCAGTATCCAACATGTGGAACACTTTAGAAGCACCTTCTTCAGCATTAGTTTCATATTGCTAAAATCAAAACAATCAGTGTAAAAACAAATCACTTTTTTTTTTGTATACTTACACGACTCATTACAGTCAAGAAATCATCAAAATCTAATTTTCCATTTCCCTTTGAACTTGAAGCGGCAATCTATATATAAAAAGGAATAAATAATTTAATAATAATAAAAAGAAAAGGATGATTCTTTACCTGACGATCCAATTCTTCTTGAGTTACAGGTACTTTGGCTTTACGATAAATTTCAGCCAATGTAGAAGCATTCATCCCATGACCGTGAGTATAAGAATCATAACACTCACGGAGTTGTTCAATTTCCACATCAGTCATAGTACCAGTCTATCATATATATAAAAAAAAAAGAAAAAGAATTTAATATCATCAATATTATCTTTTGTTTTATTTACCATTTTGAAATAATACTAACAAAAAGAAGAAGAAAAAAGAAAAAAAAAAGAAGAGTGGGAAAAAAAGAAAGAAAAAGGAATAAAAAGAAAGAGAAAATTGGGGGAACACCGATTCTTTATTTCTTTCCCGCGTTGAGTTTCCAACTTTACCCTTTCTCCTTTTTTTTTTTTTTTTAAGTGGCCAAATATGAATAAAAAGTCGTGATCTTCCTCTTTTTCCATAAACTCCTAAATATAGTCAAGCCTAAAGGTTCCCCCTTTTTTTTTTATTCTTCTTCATCTTCTTCTTCATATATAAGTAAACGGAAAAAGTAATATCAACTAACTAACAAAATTTTTATTAATGTATTGGATTCAAGTAAGACGATTCCCACACACACATACACACATAATACACACGCACAAATATATATATATATATATATATATATATAACGAGAAGGACCCATAATCAATAATGGACACAAAGATCAGTATTAAAAAAAAAGTGGTTGCATTGTTTATTTTGAAACGCCGTCTGTACCACCAATCCAATCATCTAAAACAACTAGTCATCCATATTAAACCTAATAATCATACTTGACATATTGATCCTTCACTTGTGTCAACCATACTAGAGAAGTGACTATATATATATATATGTTAGTTTATTCATCATTTTATCGTTTCCAATCATTATTACCAGCAACACATAAAGGTGATAAGTAAGGTCCATTGAATTTACAACCTCGAAAAACGAGTAATTCCCCAGCATAATGTGTCAAAGCAATAACATAAGTCCAAATCCCAAGTTCATACATACTAAAAGATAAGAAAAGAGTTTATATGTCATAGTAAGAAATTTTTTTATCACTTACAAACGATGTTGAAGGTGGAAAGCAGCATAGATTCGAATCATACTAACAGACCAGGTCCAGGTGGCAAATAAACGTGCACTTAATGGTGTCACTATTTAAAAAAAAAAAAAAAAAAGAGTAACACATATCAACATCAATTTCTAACCAGTCTAATAATATATATATTTGTACTTACCTTGTTCAGGTTTACCAGCGTAAAGGCGTTTGGTAAGGGAATCAGTACAAAAGTTTTGAATAGTGTTGAAAATACCCAAAGCAGAAGTAAACAATAACCATTTAGGAAGATAACCTTCAGGTAATGTAGAAAAATATCCGTGACGCGTTCAATCATAGAATCCATCTCTACTATAATTAATTGTTCAGATGAAAGAACAAGAGAGAAAGAAAAAAAAAAGTTTTTGTTTGTGCCTTTGGGGCTATGACTACATTTGATTTCCGATCATTGCTCTTAGCCAATCATACTTTTTTTTCTTTTTTTTTTTTTTTTCCTTTTCCTTTTGTTTTCTTTTTCTTTTTCTTTTTTTTTTTTTTTTATCTCTCATGGCATCATTCGGTTTATTAAAGACTAGACTAAGGTCTATACCATCAAAACAACAATGTCAGTTTTCAACCTTACTTGCACAAACAACACCTACGACTTTGTTTATGAAAAAAATTCCTCACCAACGAGTCATGACCATACCTTCTTCTTTCCACTTGTCACCACGACCCAAACTCTCTTCTTATACAAGACCAACAATGATACCTTGGATACAACAACATTGGATAACCAGCCATTCACAACAAGATCAAGTATTGGACGATAAAAATACAACCACCACTCGTATACGATACAATAATTTTATTGATCACCTACCAGCTTCTTGGGCTCCTTATGCTTTTCTCACTAGGATAGATAAACCCATTGGTACCTGGCTTCTCTATTGGCCTTGTGGTAAAACTATTTAAAAAATTAATACAAGTGAACTAGAACCTAATCGTTTTTTTTTTTTTTATATTTGTCAAGCTTGGAGTATTAGTATGGCAGCTACACAACAACATGCTCCTTTATCAACAACTATTGCCATGTTGACATTATTTGGTGTAGGTGCTATTACCATGCGAGGTGCTGGATGTACTATTAATGATTTGTGGGATCGCGATATTGATGATAAGGTGGAACGAACAAAGGTTAGACCTATTGCTGCTGGTCAAGTCACTCCTCGTCAAGCCATTACTTTTCTTGGTGCTCAATTAACCGTTGGTCTTGCTATTTTGACCCAATTGAACAATTACAGGTATCATGATTATTTTCTTGTTTTTTTTTTTTTTAAAAAAAAAAAAAAGAGATCGTGCAATGATTTCATACTAACATTCCTTTTTTTTTATTAGTATTTTACTTGGAGCATCATCATTATCACTTGTTGTCACATATCCTTTGATGAAACGAATCACATATTGGCCTCAAGTGGTGTTAGGACTTGCTTTCAATTTTGGTGCTTTATTAGGATGGTCGGCTATGACAGGTGGATTGGATCTCAGTGTTGCAGGACCTTTATATGCTGGTGGTGTGGCATGGACTCTAGTATATGATACTATTTATGCTCATCAAGATAAGAAGGACGATATCAAGATTGGTGTCAAGTCCACAGCATTAAGATTTGGTGAAAATACTCCTCAATGGTTGACTGGATTTGCCACTACGTTTGTTTCCATGACTGCTTTGGCGGGTTATATGAATGATCAAGGTGCTCCTTTCTATTTGATCAGTGTACTTGGTAGTGCAGCTCATTTGGCATGGCAATTACGTACAGTCGATTATGATTCTCCTGTGGATTGTTGGGCAAAATTCAAGAGTAATACTTGGACAGGTGGTATTTTTTGGTCTGGTATTGTTGCTGATGCTCTGGTCAAGGCTTCTCCTTTTATGAATTAATATTGTAGTATATGTAGATTAATATTATTATTATTATTATGTTTATAGATGATTACTTTTAGAAGAATGAAAAATAAAGTTACTGATATATTAGATTCAAATTTTTTTTGATGTGGCACGTGATGGTCAATTTACTTGTCATCATTTTGATAGGATTACTTTCAACAACAGAATATATATAGAATGCCAAGTATTTGATGAAACAGATAATAGATGGATAAGAACATAGATATGCATAAAAAGAAACATTCTCTATTTTCGGAAAAACAGGCTCAAAAGGAAAAAGAAGTATGTTAGACTTTATCTTTTTTTAGAGAAAGAGGGCATCAACAAGAACTGAACCTATCAAAAAATAAACTGTTTTTTTTTTTTTATTTATTTCTATTTATATTTTCTTGTTTCCTTTCTTTTTTTAATCGAACAAACTTTCTCTTTTTCATTTCCCTTTTCGTTTTTTTAAAAGTAAACAAGAAATATATCATTGATGATTTCATTTCCGCCACAAAGGGAGAACTTTTTTCATTCCCACTCTTTTTTGTAAGCACGTCCTTTTTGTTGGATAAGTGATACAAAAAAAAAAAAAAAGAGTAAAGGGAACACAAGTAACAATTTTGTATTTGACTTTGTTCTACTTTGTTATTTTATATGCAGCTAACATCATCCTATTTCTTCCATTATATCAAAAAGGCGTAACCTTGGATTGAAACCTCTTCCCATTGGTTTATACTTGAATAAAAAAAAAAAAAAAAGAAATAAGGAACATGACGGACATTCAAAAGTTAAAAGGTCTTTAGTTTAAAAGAGGTATTAAAAAAAACAAACTTTTTTTTCCATTTCTTTCCTTTTCTTTCTTTTCTTTTCTTTTTCTTTTTTTTCTTATCTTCACATAATCATCATGAAATCCATTCTTTTAGCTATTGCTACTTTGGGTGTCTCCATCATTTCTGCTCAACAAAATATTGTTAGTGTCACTTCACCTCTTCAAGGAACTACTTATACTGCTGGCCAATCTGCCATCATTGCTTGGTAAAAAAAAAAATAAAGTTAAATAAATATTGCAAAGAAAAAGACTTAACGTCTTTTTTTTTTATAGGACAAATCCTCAAGTAGATACTATCTCTCAAATTGTTTTGGCTCACGGTAATCCTTCTGCTCTTCAACCTCTTTCTACTATTGCTACCAATGTTGATGCCTCTGCCATGAAATACACTTGGAATATCCCTGCCGATCTTGCTGCTGGAGTGGATTGTAAGTATCATATGATAAGGATGAAATAATAGGATGAAATAATAATAAAAAAAATCAATATACTGATTTCCCTTTTTGTTTTTTTTCGGGGATTGTGTGTGACATTAGATGCTCTTGAATTTGGTACTTCTCCCAACCTTTCTTACGCTGGACCTTTTACTATCAAAGCTGCTGATGGTTCTCTTCCTTCATCTAGTGGTAAATTTATCATATATATATATATGGAATATAATACTGATCTCTTTTTTAATATATATATATAGCATCATCATCCAGTGTTGTTGCCACTTCAAGTGCTTTGCCTAGTTCCTCTGTAGTAGCTAGCAGCAGCATCAGCAGTGCCGCTCCCTCCTCTTCTTCTTCTTCTTCCTCCTCCGTAGTTTCCTCCGCTTCTGCCAGTTCCTCCACATCTCCTTCTGCTTCTCCTTCTCACAACGCTGCCAATAAGAAAACATCTACCTTGGCCGGTGTTATGATGGGTGCTGGTGTTGCTGCTTTGTTATTGGTCTGATCTGATCTGGGATGATAGTTACTGCTTTTTTTTTTTCTCCTCCCACCAGCGGCAAATTTTTTACCCCCTCTTCCTTTAATGTACTATTTAGTTATTATTATTTTACTTTTTCTTTTTTATTGATTATTTTAATAAAAAGTCTTACTTTTTTTTCAAAAAAAAAAAAAGGAACAGTGTTGCATAAATCTGAATAAACAGGGAGTTGAGATTCTTTTCATTTAACCTACTCCCCCCTAGACGATGGATGACATGTGATAATGGGATGATAGGATGATGGATGATGAATGATGGATGATAATGAACAATCTGTGATATGATGGATGTTGAATGATAAGATGATAGGATTACATGGGATGATAGGAGATCTTTGCGATTCGTTTGAATTGATTTTTTTTTTTTTTTTTTTTTGGTAAAAGTAGTGATCAATGCTGTTTATTTTGTACTATTTATATAAAAGGTTGGTTTCAATTGAGCCTGCATGAATTTTGAACTAGTCATATAAGACGTTCACCCGGGACTATTTCACCATTAAAAAAAAAAAAAAAAAGAAAGCCGGTGTTTTGGAAAAAAAGAATTGATGATAGTTAGTCATTTACAGTAATATATGTAATACATCAAAGTATATGTACTTACAATATAAGTTTCCATCTAGCTCAAGGATACTGATAACCAAATCAACCAATTCAGGATATACGATGCCGTAGTACTAGTGGCTCATGACAAGACAGAACTGACCACAAATGGAAAATATACGGATGGATCAAGCAAAGAGAAAAACGCCAATAAAAAGTAGCAGTCAGAAATGGCGCTATATGATTTTTTTTTCTTTTTGTGGAAGGAAGAAAAACAAAGCAAAGACTTTTATAAAAATAGTTTCTCCGGTTACATTCATACCCTCAAACCTCGTGATCATTGTATCAGATCAAGTATTTCAGGTTTATTGATCAAATCAGTCCTTCATCATCCAATCATTATATGCCATAAAATAGGATATAGAATGCATTTCTCATAAAATAAAACATAACTTCGAAAGAGATTACGTATAGTGTTTATTAAGAGCATAAGGATCACGGCTAAATTATCAAGGGGTAGTCGGTGACTTAAAAAAAAAAAAACTGTTCTTGGGACTTTGACTTTTTCCTCCTTTTTCTTTTCTCTTTGTCTTTCTTTGTCCTGTGAATGCTATACAAACTACCTCGATGAATGAAAAAAATGCTGACGCTATCGAAGTGAAATGTAGAAACTTTCTTTTGGAACATAATATCATTGAAAATCATGCTGATATAAAAAAACGGTAAGTATCATGAACAGCGTTCTTTTTTTTTTTTTTTTTTTTTTTTTAACATTTGACTCCTTTTTATATTATATTAGAGAAAATGTCCTGAACTTATTACGATCATTACTCTCTTCCTTTGTACGTCTGACTGCTAAAGAAAATGGCATCAAACGCGATGACTTTGAATGTCAACTTTTACCCTTTGGTTCATATGGGTTAGGTGGTTATTTAAAAGACGCGGATATTGACGTTGTTTTATTAGCACCTATTTCCATTCGTCGGCGCAACTTTTCCAATCACTTTTCAAAACTATTAAAAGGCCATCCAAGTATCCGTGAAATCGAGGTAAATTCTATTTTTTTTTTTTATAGAAACTAAAATAATGAAACTTATGATTATTTGATTTGTAGGTTATTGAACGAACCAATGTTCCAATTATAAAATGTGTCATAGATTCAATTAGTGTAAGTTCATCTATATCCATTCATTATGTATATGTACTAATCAATTTACGTTATTGATGATAGATTGATATATCTTTTGTCCGATTACGATTAGCCACTGTTTCTCCTGATATCAACCTATTGGATGATTCTTTGTTAAATGGATTGGAACAAACATGTTTACTTAGTACTGATGGTAAAAAAAAAAAAAAAAAAAAAAAAAAAAATCATATAAAAAGAAATATTTTTATTATATGTATCATTCAATCGAATAATTTATTCTACAGGACCACGTGTGAGCCAATTTATCCTCAAACATATCTATCCAAACGATTTACCGACGTTCCGTTTAGCTTTACAATGCATCAAATATTGGGCAAATCAACGTTATATCTACAACAAACCAATTGGCTATTTGAACGGAGGCTCTTGGACATTATTACTCCTTCAAGTCTATTTTACAAAAAGAGCTCAATTCGATTCATCATCACCAAATATGACTATGGAATTTCCACCACAACAGCAACGTCAGTCACCATTTCATTATTCATCGCCTCCATCTTCTCCAACTTCCATCTTGTCATCATCATCTCTATCAGCATCATCATCATCATCTCAAGAAACAAGTTCTATTATCTCTCCTTCTCGAACTGTCTCCTTTATATCACTATTGGAAAGTTTCTTTGAGATTTGGTCGACTTGGCCCTGGCCTGCTCCTGTTATTCTTACAAAATCCATACCCAATGTTCCGGGACAACCAACTACTGAAATAAGTTCGATTACCACTATGGTTAGTATCCAAAAAAAAAAAAAAAAAATAGGATTCCTATTAATTCTTCTTCTTTTTTTTTCATATGTATATATAGTCAGAATTCAAAGAATCTTTGTTACCCATTGTCACTCCATGTTACCCTGTCAGTAGTGCAGCTCCATGTGTTACAAAATCAACCTTACGTATCTTGACAAGAGAACTCCAACGAGCCAACCAGATTATCCATCATCCCTTTCATTCTTTAGAAGACATGTTGATCAAGTTATTCAAGCCTTACAATTTTATCAAGGAGTATAGGCATTTCCTCAAGGTTACTGTCAGTTCTGACGTTATGAAAAGTCATGAAATTTGGTAAACGAAAATTTGTACCATCTGAAAGTATGGATGGTTGACTTTTTATTTATTTATTTATTTAGGGGTAGAAGAATGACACATTATCTCTATCGATTGGTGAAACTTGTCGAACAAGCACCTGAAATCAAGACTGTTCATCCTTTGACCAAGGTATATAATGAATCCGTTTCCTATCGTACAAAATATGAGGAGGACTTATTGAGACAAGGTTATACCGTGTATGATACCGATACTACTCTACCGTTATTCCCTGGGATCTTACATATGCAATACTTTTTGATTGGTTTGGAAATTGATGAAAGTGAGTAAAAAAAAAAAAAAAAAAAGTTTAAACTTGTTTGATACTAATTTTTATTATCCTATAGATTACGATTTAGAAGATGCAACAATAGATTTGACAAATGAAATATATATGTTTGGTCGAGAAGTAGAATCCAAGAAGAATAGTAAGGATTCAGATGTGAGTGTTGCCGTATCTGCCATTAAAAGGTAAAATGTAGTTTTATACTTAATGAAATCAATATTGTTTCTAATTTTTATTATTATTATTATTATATGATATAGACGTGACCTAGCAAATTTGATCCAACGCTGTGAAACCATTTAGTTTAATGTAATCTAACATAGTATGTTTTAGTATAGTCTTTATTTTTTAGTATAATAACGTATTTAACTGGTGTGTATATATGAGGTCCAAATAAAAAAAAAAGGTAATTGTCCGTGCGCACTGCTTCCAACTCATGATAATGAAAAAAAAAAAAATATGGAAATATCTCCGACTCTATCTCTCTCTCTCTCTTTCTTTTAAACTTCATTTTCTTTTCTTTTTTCATTTTTTATTTGTGTTTTAGTACCATGCGATTGAGAAGTTCAGGATCGTTTTCTTCTTTTGAACGACCTGTTGATCTCACTAGCACTGGAAACAACAACAACAACAACAACAACAACTTACATTTTAATTCTACCTATCGGTTTGATCGACTTTTTTTACAACGGTTTTATCGTCTTCTTCGTCTTTTATTCCAGTCATCACCAGGAACACCATGGTTTGCAATGGGCAAAGATGCACGACAACATAGTGTATTTTGGCTTTACATGACCTTTTTATTTCTAGCCTGTGGTTCAGAATGGCTTGTTTATTATGTTGGCTTGATCCCTAGTCGGTTTTATACTATTTTGACGGCCAAAGATCGTACTGGTTTTCTTACTTTTATATTTCCTTGTCTTTTACTTATCTTGGGTATTGCTGCTGTAATTCAAAATGAAATAGTATACTTTTTTTTTTATTATTATATTGACTAGTGTTTTTTTTTTCTTCTTTTTATCATTGTTCTTATTAGGGCAAAGCATTGATGAATTATACAGGAGGCTTATTGGCACTCAAGATTCGAAGACTTCTGACCAATCACCTGCACGACCGTTACATTCAATCCAAAATTATGTACACATTGATACTAGATCACAATCACGTGGTGGATAACCCGGACCAACGTATCACTCAAGATATTGATAAACTTGCTGAAACAATGCATCTCATCTTGGAAAAATTGGTGCTCTCTCCTATGTTGGTGGTACTTTATACTTGGCAATGTTGGTCAGTCGCTGGTCTTTTAGGTCCCATGTTGATCTATTCTTACTTTATTCTGGGTTCTTTGATTAGTCGACGCTTTATTCAACCTATTGTTACCACCGTATTTTACAAGGAACTTCAAGAAGGCAATTTTCGGTAAAGATTAATAGGGAACGGGCAAATAGGACTTCTTTTAATTTTTTTTTTTTATTTATTTAGGTTTTTACATGTCCGTTTACGTCAGTTTGCTGAGTCTATTGCTTTTTCCAAAGGTGAATGGGAAGAAAAACAAAGGGCAAATGCTAGTCTGGATACTTTATTGACATATCAACGCTCTATTGTCAACAAACAACTACCATTACAATGTAAGTGAACAAAGAATAGATGAACGACAAATGGATCTAAGGTTTTTCTTCTTCTTCTTTTTTTGGGTAGTGGCAAATCAAACTTTTTCGTATTTTGGCTCGATTCTCAGTTATTTAATTGTGGCCATCCCTATCTTTTCTGGTGCATTTGATGACAAGGACTCTGGAGAACTCAGTGGCATCATCAGCAAGAATTCATTTGTGTCCATGTACTTGATCTATCTTTTCAGCACAATCATTGATCAATCTGACAAGATCTCAGTATTGGCAGGTTATGTCGCTCGTATTGGGGAACTATTAGAAGTGGTGGATGACATTGACAATACATTGGATTCAGTGCAACTAGATTCTGTGTCGCAAGATTCAAGGTAAATTTTATACTAGTGAAAGGAATGTTGATCAAGATGCGAAAAGTATTCATATTGTCTTATTTATATAGTGATGTTATTCTTTTTGACAAAGTGACTCTTGTATCACCTCGTGGAAAACCTATTGTGACAGACTTGAGTTTGGAAATTACTGATGGGCAACATCTTGTACTTATGGGACCTAATGGTAAGAGTATAAAGATGGATTAGATTTGGAAGATATCACCCCGTCGCTTTTTCTTATATGATCATATCAATGATGATGGTTTGATTTTTTTTATAGGATCAGGGAAATCATCGATCTTGCGTGCCTTAGCTGGTCTTTGGTCATGTTCAAAAGGTAACAAAAATGGCTATTATTGAAACGATTCCTTACCTTTTTTTTTTTTTTTTTTTTTTTTTTTGTGATCCAAGGTCGTATACATGTTCCTCATTTGAAACATGGAAAAGATCTCATTTTTCTTCCTCAAGCACCATATTTGATTCAAGGCTCTTTACGTGATCAACTCACTTACCCAAGTCTCTCCTCAAGTACGACAGGTAATATATATATATATATATATATATATATATAAACTGACCTATGCGACTCTTTCTTTTTTTTTAGTGACGGATGCAGATGTTCGAATGTTATTATCTCAAGTACGATTGACACATCTAGAACACATGATTGATTCATTTGATACCTCCTATGGTATTGAATGGGATAAAATGCTTTCACCTGGGGAACAACAACGTTTAGTTTTTGCTCGATTACTTTATTGGAAGCCTAGATTCGCAGGTAAAAAAAAAAATAGCATCATTTTTATTTCGACATTTGACTCCTTTTTTTATTATTAGTTTTGGATGAAGCTACGAGTGCCATGGATATCGATACCGAATCACGACTATACCAATTGGCCAAGGACGCAAACATCACTTTAATCAGTGTTAGTCATCATCCCGGCATTGTTCATTATCATCATCGAAAACTCGTACTGGATGGAGATGGTCATTTCACCCTACAAGACATATAGTATTCCTATTTTTGTACTTTTAGTTTACAGTTTAGACTTTTTTTTGGATGGATTTACTAGCATGATGATGGCAATTTTGTTTGATCTATTTATATAGGCAATAAACTTTGAAGGATTTATTTATTTATTTATTTTTTTTTTGGTTGTGGAAGTGATGACGGATGATTGTAAATCTGTGGATATCATTGAATGCTTTCTATATAAAATAGTTTTTAATGTACACCTATCCGGCGAGAAGCTTGGAGGAATAAAAAAAAAAGTGAGATCTACTTTTTGTTTTTACAGCCAAAATTTCAAACTCCTCAGCCAAATTTTAGCTGTGAAAATCGATCGTCGAGGGGTTATCAGGGCAATTTTTCAAAAAATGGATGAAATGTTGTAGTGATCATTGCAGATTAGGTGGAAGGGTAAGCGATAAAATGGGATTAGATGATATTAAACTACTTTTTTGAAAGGAATCTAATGGTGGTAGTTTTATCGGATGATGACCATTATTGGATGAGGGATGGTGATATTGACACTTCATCTTTAATTTTACTCTATAAATCGGGAGGCAAAGTATAAATTATTATTAAGGCAAGTCAAAGAGAATGACTTTGTACATGTTCAATCCAAATTTGGTACGATGATGATGATTTTTGATTCAGTTGCAATAGTATAAAGAGGTACAAGCCCTCTACATTTGATGTTACAGTGCACAGACAATGGAGTGCATTGGAATAAATACCAACACAATATCATCCATCACATACCATCCATCACATATCATCATCCATCACATATCATCATCCATCACATATCATCATCCATCACATATCATCATCCATCACATATCATCATCCATCACATATCATCATCCGTCACATATCATCCAATTCATGACCCAAAAAAAAAAAAAATAGAATCCTGCATTTGACGGTGCTTTATTTTGTTCAAAGTAAAAAAAAAAAAAGAAAGCGAATATAATATAAAACTAATGTAACCATAACTATACTAAAGAGTCTTGCTATAACGTAAAACGCAAATTGTCGAATATTCAAAAAGAAAAAAAAAACAAAATAAATATTACATATATATACTTTGATGTATTTCCATCTTCTTATTTTTTATGCTTTCCAGACTTTTAGGTGAAATTGAAATCATTAATTTTGTACCTGAAAAAAAAAAAGGCAACGGAATATTAAACTTTTCTGTCAAATTTTTAGCTCAGCCAAATTTAACATATAATTATTGGATGGATTTAGACTTTTGAGTTTGTCAGTCAGCGTGGATGCATAAAATATATATGCACTTCCGACATTGAAACATAAATATAATTTTGAAAAAGTATCAAAAAGTATTACTATTATAACTTGTCCATCTTGATAGTAAAAAGAATATAAAATAAACATAAGGATGATTTTACTATAGAGTTTGAAGAAACCAGCCAATGAAAATGTCCTTAAAAGGTGACTAGAAAAAAAAAAGTAAACAAAAAAAATTTTTTTTTTGTCCTTTTGTTTACTTTCTTTCTTTCTTTCTTTGTTTCTAATGTAAAACATTTATTACTACCATATTATGTTTTTTTCTTTATTACTTTTATTTGGAAATGTTAAACCTGTCTCTTTTCCAGGTGATACTTTTATTCTCCCACCTTTCTACCATCATGAAATCTCATTGATCGAAACTCAAGCCATTGACTACACTCCCTCCTATATTGATACTACCTTGGATATTCCTGTTTTGAATGATGTTGCCTTGGATACACCTATTTCAAATGCTATTGCCTTTCACCCATACCAAGTCTTTGCACTCCACGTTTACCTGATCGTTTTCCTTGTCGGGATGTTGTCTGGTGTATATCTCCTCCTTGCTTTACCTGTCCTGTCACGTCTACTGCGTAAACCCTCTGTCTCTACCTTCCGAAAAAATATCGCGTCATACAACAACATGGTAGTTCACCCGATATTAATGTTGATCTCTACCTGGTTACGTTACTTCTGTTCCTTCTGTCTTCGGGTACTTTGGCCTTTGAACTGTCTTCTTGTTTCTCGTTGCCTTCGGGCTTTATGGTCTTTCCTTTGTTACGTGGATTCATTCATAGTACGTAACTTGTTTGCTCTCCTCCATCGTAAGTAATAATAATAAAAAAAAAAAAAAAGAGAGAGAGTAAAAGATGTTCACGTATCTTCCTGTTCTATATAGGTCCCCCTGTTTCTCCTATGTCCGCAGATCAACTTGTAAGAGCTATCTCTCAACTTGGTATGCCATAATAACAAATAAAAAAGATGAAACAACACATATTAAAATAGTTTGTTTTGATCTTTTCTTTTTGACTGACTCATTTTTATGTATATATAGATGACATCTCTGGTTTAGCTCTTCTATATTGGGTATACTTCTTTTATCACCATGCTGATAAAAAACCTCTAGTATCACGACCTCAACCCAATATAGAAGCTCTCTCATTTCCACCCGTCCCTACCACCGGTAAGATAAAAAAAAAAAAAAAAAAAGAAAAGAGCTACTTGTACTCACCTCTTGCTACTTAGAAACCATTGATGATGACGATGAAGATGTTGCTTGCTTGCCCTCTTTCCCTGCAGCTGCTTCAGTCCCTACAGCTCTCATCGGTAAGAAAGAAAAGAAAAAAAAAAGCTACTTCTCTTACTCACTGCTTATTATTCAGAAACCATTGATGATGACGATGAAGATGTTGCTTGTTTGCCCTCTTTCCCTGCAGCTGGTCCTGTCCCCTCCAATACCCTTAGTAAGAAATGAAAAATGAAAAATCATACAACCCGATTTCTTATCCACTGATCTTTTTTTGATGTTTTAGATGATGATCAAGACAATATGATCCATCATTCTTCTTCATCCATCGCTGTTGTCTCCCTCTCATGTCCCGGTAAGAAATAACGGAATCAATAACATTACTTTCTTGCGCTCACCTTTTTATATTTTAGTCGAACCCGAAGATGATGGCCCATCTCATCTTTCTCCTTCATCCGTCATCCCTTCATCCTCCACAGTCCTTCGTTCACCATCACCCACCGGTATGAGTAAGAAAAGAAAAGAAAGATTTAACAGAATTGACTTTTTTTTTTGTGCTCACCGTTTTGTATTTTAGTTACAAAGGATGAAGATGTCTCCTCTCCACGGCTTCCTCCTACTCCTGTCCCTCAATCTGGTATTGGTAAGAAACATCAAAATCAAAATAAAAGTACGCTACTTTTTTTGTACTTACCTCTTTTTTTTTTTTATGTTTTACGTTTTAGATGGTGTACAAGATGATGTCTCTTCTCCTTCTTCTCCTTTGGTGGCTCCTCCCACTCTATCTCCTCCTCTCACTGTCGCCATCCTGACAGATGCCTTGTCAGAAGGTAAGTACTACAGACACAAAAAAAAAAAAAAAAGAAAGAGGAGAAGGATGACTATTTGATCGTTTTATTAACTATTTTACTCTTTATACATTATATAGATGAAGACATGGCTTCATCCGATAGATTCGATTTTGTCATCGAATCAGAAGGTAAATAATAAAAAAAAAAACAAAAGGATGCTTATGAGACGATTTTATTAACTCTTACGCTCTTTATAGATGAAGTCATGGCCTCTCCTCCTGCTACCTCCCCATCACCTGAGCCTCTCAATGTCCCGTCCTTTGATGTATCAGTTCGTGAGTAGATACAAAATTAGATGATTTGATGAGTATTTTATTAACTATTATTCTGTGATATAGTCGAAAGTGTTGTCCCTCCTCCTTCATTTTCCTTCCTTCCTCCTGTCCCATTGGCTGCTCCGACTCCATTGGTTATTCCTACCTTTGCCGCTTCTCCCTTTACCTTCTTATTCGACAACAGTAAGTAATAGCAAAAAGATGTCGAAACAGGAAATAGTTTATTTGACTTTGACTCTCTTTTTTTTTTTTTTTTTTTTTTTGCTTCTTAGCATCCCATCAAGCTGCTCCTTCTCCCTCTTCATCTGTCCCTACTGTTAGTTCTCGTAAGTTGAAACAAATATACGATAGCATATAAAATAGCATATACTCATTTACTTCTAATTTATGAAGATACAACTACAGTAGATCCTCAACTTCTTTGTCCTCTCCCTGCTGCTCCTCTTCCTTTTGCTCCTCTTCCTTTTGCTCCTCTTCCTTTTGCTCCTCTTCCTTTTGCTCCTCTTCCTTGTAAGTAGTAAAATACATCCTATAGTCCATATATTTAAGATTTACTCAATTTTACTATACTATTATTTAGCATCACTCCCAGTCATCAGTCAGGATTTACCCTACATGCCTGACTGTTCCGATCAAAACACCCCCAAGGAGGAGCGCAAAATAATCCAGCCTCGTCGCTTGCGTAAGTACATGGAACTCATAGACGTTTACCAAAGGTTATTTGCTAACTTTTACTTTAACATTTAGGCCCTGTGGAAGAAGCCTCCTCTTCATCACCCGCTCCTCCTCTTCTTTCACCCACCCCATCATCAGTCCCTCGTCTTCGCATCATCCCCCCAAGAAGACCTCCAACCCCAACACCATCCGTCATCCCACCAACAAGACCTCCAACCCCAAGACCGTCATCATCCATTCCCGCCATCCCACAACCATCATCAAGGTTCAAACCTGACATGCCGCCTCCTCCACCAAGACCTCGACGGTCTAAAAATCCTCCTTCAACGTAAAAAAAAAAAAAAAAAAAAAAAAAAAAAAATACCTATATTATATATTTTTTTATTTCAGTTTTTATATTCTTTTTTTTTCTCAATAAACGTATTTTTATTTACTTCATTACATTATATTACCGGATGATGATTGTGATATTGGTATGGATAGTGATAAAATAATAAATAAAAAATAATGAAGACGAGAGCAAGTCTGTGAGATTTCTTTTTATTGAAAAAAAAAAAAAAGATCGGGTTGAGACTCATAGGCATACTTGTGTCCTACTATGGATGTAGATAGATATTTAAAATAAAATAGACAGTGAGATTCCCTTTATAGTCCTATTTTGGAATAAAAAATTAAAAAGATCTACACTTGAACAGACATGGACTTTTTGGCTGGGACAAGAAAAAGCAAAAAAAAAAAAAAAAAAAAAAATCGATGTTCAAATTGTTATCAGTGGACGGGCTTCAAAAACTAATCACCCCTTTACGCGCATTTTGCTCTTTTTTCATTTTTTTTCTTTCTTTTTCTTTTCTCCATCCACTTTTTTTTCCACATTAGGTGTCCTCTTTGTCTGTGCGATCTTGTCAAGGTAGATTTTATTGGATTTGGAGCGTTTTGATAAAGGGATTTACAAAATACATGGGGAAACCCTTTCATTTTGGATGTAGGATTTAGTACAGGTAAAAATATTTTATATAGTCTTGTTTTTTTCATATGAATTGCTTGATCTAGATTTATTTCATTGGTGATGGGAACGAAAAACTGACTGGATAGGAAACTTCGTTTGGTTAGGACGAACGTTTCTGGTGTAATCGATACAGTAGAATGGATAGTAGTGATATGTACTAGTTAGTATATGGATTATATTTTTTTTTTTGTTTGAAATAAAAATTATATTGCTTTTTATGGTAGATGTTGATTTTTAGTCAATACCAGTATGATTTTTTCTTAATGTTGGAATGCCGATGATATTGACTTATCGTACTGAAAGGTTGACAGTAGGGTTGATTTTTCAATATATTATTTTTACAAAGTTTTGTAATCGATACTGGAGGTCAGGGGATTATTTTTTTTTATGGCTTTTGATCAGCTATACCCAGATTTATTGGGTCAGTAGATCTTGGTTACTGTCGTCGCCATCTCCAAAGTGACTAATAATCATTATCCTTCAATCACCACACATTATCCATCACCACGCATTATCCATCATTCAGTCATCATCTTTCACCACGAATCACAAATCACATATCATCATTTCATCCATTCATCTAACTAACCCAAGTACTTTAAAAAAATGGAATTACTCATGGTGTTTTATTTATTCAAAGTAGTAAAAAAAAAAAAAAAAGGAACAGCAGGTACAATTTATCATCCATGTTCCCCTTAATTAAAATCACTATTGTAATCCTATATCCTTTCCATAAAAATAGAAAACGTCCTCTTTAATTTCGAAAAAAGAAAAGATGCCAGATTGTTTATTATACATTAAATATGATGATGAATAAAAAAAATGGAATGAAACTAAATAAATAAATAAATAAAAATGGTATAAACTAAACTAAATCCATCTATAGAAATAGAATATAAATAATATATATATATATACAACAGCTAAATAAAACTAAAATAAATAAATTAAAAAGGAGGAGAAGATAGTAAACTAAGAGTAAACATCGACACCAGCCCAATTTGCTGTTGCCAAAGGACATTGATCAATTGAATCCGGATTGTTGCCCCACCAAGTAGGAAAGTTGATGTTTGAATAATGGAAGGCAAAGAAGATAACAATAGCAGATACAGCGACACCTGAATCTAAAGCGGCAGAGAGGACATAATTGTACTTGCGCCACCAACCATTGTAACGACGCTTGATAAAGAAGTTGAAGACAAATCCGACAGCAGCCCAAGTAGTAGCAGCATTCGTAGGAGCTGGAGGATAAGGCAATGGTCCAAGGCACACCATAGGGATAGAAATATGACGTACCCAAGACTTGGGATAACGACGAGCCAACAACCAAAAAGGTACAGGTAAAAGGAAACCAATCAATAAAAAGTAAGGCAGGAAGGCATATAATGAATTGGAAGCAAAGAATTTGCCAGGACCAATCAAACCCCAGATGACAGATGAAGCACCAAATAAGTTCATGTTGGGACATGTCCAAGGATACGCAGATTTTGTACAAATACCTTTGATGGAGTTCATCAAGTAATTGGTAGTTCCAAGAGATACAAAGGAGGCAATGATGGTACCAACCACTTGGAAACTAAACATTTCACGAGGAGGGATTTTCATATAATGACCTAGTTTTAAATCTTGAGCAAATAAAAGTGCTTGACGAACTGTGATATAACCATAAGTCTTGAAGATCATATTACCAATAGGATGACCAGGAGCGATGGCACCATATACCCATTCAGTAATCATAGAAATAGTAGGAGCTTGAGATGTGATGGCTGTAATAATACCAACGGGTAATAACCAGATAAATGCCAAGATGACAGCAATAATCAAAGACCACCAGGGCATATCAGATGGGTAAACAACAATAGTAGCAAAACCAGCACCAAGAGAACACACAAAGAGAACAGCATACCACCAATCTGGCACTTCCTTATAGTTATCCATCAATCGAGCATGAATATCATCTGAATCCTGACGAGCACTCTTGAATCGATTCCAAATATCTTTTCCGTTGTACAAGATAGTATGTGTAACGATAGCTCCCAATGCCACTAATCCTTGACCATAACAAATAGCGAAGAATGATGTAATACGAATAGGTGAATAGTCTTCATAAGCAGTGTCATTTAAAAGTTGATTAGGAGTCAAAACACGTTGTCGATCGAATTTGTTGCCCCAGATATCGTATTGATTTGTGTTGTAAAAAGGGAATTTCTTTGCTTCCCAAGTATTGGTGTAATAAACAATAGGAACCAAGATATAGATAAAGAAGATGAATCCCGCCAACATATTTGCTTCTACTACCCAAGGAATAGCCAAAGCACTAGGATACCATGCAGATAAAGTAGACCAATCCAAAGTAAAACTACCTAAACCAAGGCCATTGATACCACTACCAAGTTGAGATACAAGTACAGAATCTTTTTTAATCCAACAAATCCAAGAAATCGAAGTCAATACAGGGATAATATAACCAGGGAAGAAATACCATACAAACGAAGCGATAAAGGCAATTAAGAAGAATTTGTTTCTTGACATGGATAATCCAGAAACAGTAGCTTCAGCATCTTTCACATCCTTGGGAACTTGTTGATGAAGAGTATGGAAAAGAGTTGCATTCACTAAATTGATAGGCCATACCATAGAAGCAGGTCGCACAAGATAACGTCGTAAAATACCAGCAAAACCAAAACCAATCAAACTAGTTGTAAGCACCAAAAGAATACCACCACCAAAACCCCAGTCTTGATTATAATAGATTTTTTGAACTACAATAATATCAATAGCATCAAAAGAAGTGGCAGCAGCATTTGCCATGACAGTAATGAGGACATGTTCTTTGACACCAAATGGACCAGGATTCAAGTTGAAACCAAATCTACCTAACTTGAATTCATAATTAGGAAGGATTTTTTCCGTCAATTTGCCAGCAGGAAAAGCGAGTAGTTGTACAACAATCACTTTTATAGTCAAAGGATTAGCACGAAACCAAAAGAACTATAAAGAGAAAGAATGAGAAAATTTTAATTCTATTAGAGTTTTTTTTTTTTTTTCCCAGAAGTCATTCTTTTTTTTTTTTTTTTTTTTTACCTGATTTGTAAAAGAGATAGCACAAGAAAAGATAATTCCCCATAACCAAGCACGAAGAGTAGCTGTAGGTAAATCAGTATTGTCAGTAGGTGGAACAGCAGCTCTCACTTCTTCAATAGGTGAGTCTTCAATAGATTCCACAAAAGAAGGTGAAACTGCTTTTTCATTAATGGACGATTCAGAGAATGTTTCCTTCAAACGCGGTACTTGTTCAGTTTCCAGTTTTTCGGACATATTTTGTTGAATATATGAATGTATATATTACAATGGTTGAAGTGGTATACTTTTGAAAGTGTATTATATTTATAAATAAAAATAAAAATAAAAAAAATGAATGAAAATAAAGTATAATATACAAAATAATATATCTATAAAGAAAGGAAAGAAAAGGAAAAGAAGGAGTGTAGAAAAAAAAAAAAGAATTGCCTTTTAAATAAAAAAATATTTCTCTCCCAGCCTCTTGATCTGACAAATACATAAGAGAGACAGCGGGATTATAATACCTTAAAGCATTTAGCATGTTCCCTCCAATCACCCATCATAAAAGGTTCAAGCACGCGATTTGTAGCAAATGAAATTGTACCTTTTTTTATCAACAGTATTTAAAACTCATTGTCAAATTTTTTTTTTCTTCTTTTTGTTGAACAATGATCATTGTAAAACTTAATCTGATTGATGGATTATTGCATCATTTCCCTACCAATGATGTTTGTCCCTTCCCCTTTTTCTTCCATATGAATAAACCGTACACGTCCAACGATAAATCACACCATACCCTGGCCGAGATGACTAACTAACCTTATTTTTTTTTAAAAGGGTTCTCTTCATTTAAAATATGATGCCATCATCTTCTATCATTAGTTGAATAATCCTTCACATTAATTAATAGTATAATCTTAATCACTTTCTCATCATGATGAAATACACTCGTACAATAAAAAAAAAATAAAAATAAAAATAAAAAAAAAAAATATTTTCAAATGAAATTAAGAGGAGCAAAAGATTTTTCTTTATTCATTGATCTGCCGTTGAGAATAATAAATTAACATACGAGAAACACAAAGCACCTAACAGATTACTTATTCGCATTCATTTTTTTTCTCATTTCATTTGAAAAGCATAAAATACAGTATATAAATGATATTACCTTCTATAATAATAGATTGATGGATGACTGGATGATGATTCTCATCCAATGATGATCATGATGACGATGATCGAGTGATGATGTTTAGGGAATGACGATTGATGGCTGGCGTTTAATTGATGATACTTTGATTGGAAGATGAAAGATAAAGGATGATACCGCAGTACTCCTGGTACAGTATTGCTTACCTGTTGTAGATCTTCTAAGATCAGGTAGCTCTTATGTTTCAATCGACAAAAAAAGAAAAAAAAAATCCCAATGTTGACCTGAAGTATTCAAATGTCCAATTCAGAAGATACTGTACATAAACTGCATCTGTCTACATGATTAATGATACTACGATAATATAACGTCAATCCCATTATCACTGTTATTTCCCATTAGTTATCTTTTGGTGATGTGTTGCCAGGGTACCGTTGGACCAAATAAAAATAGTACCCTTGGTAGAAATAGACGTAGATCGCCTTTAATATACGCAGTGATGCTTTCCTAAAAAGGCAACAACTGATCTTCTTTTTTTTCCTTTAGGTGGATTGAACATTGTAGTTTTAGTGTAATCGTGCCTCAGAAGAGATGTTTGTCCTGTATGTTTAAAAAAAAAAAAAGAAAACAAGAATGCTGCAGATGTTATGTACGTTTTGATCATCCTTTCCAACTTTGTGTATATTACAATATAAATTCATTTCTAGATATATTAATGACTGATAAATGCGTTATGAAATACATCAGACAGGATAGTTTCTTCATATGCTATTAGCTTTTAAGTGATAATAATTCATTTCCCTCAATAATAATAAAAAGAAATTTTTCATATATTCATCGGAAGAATTTTCCGCGAACCATGCAGTTTCTTTCATCCACGCCTTTTGATTTTCAATATCAGTTTTGGTTTGGTAAGCGGAATTCCTTTTTTCTTTTTTTCTTTTTCTTTTTTTTCTTTTTTCTTTTTTTGTTTTTTCTTTTCTTTCTATCTTCTTTTTATATACTAACAACATTTTATACCTCAAATAATGACCAATGTACAATTGATTCATCACCAAGAAACAGTCAAGGTACCACTAGATAAATCAACCTCTGTGTCTCTTTTAGATTTCATCCAAAGGAATTGTCCTCACTTATATGGTCCTGAAGCTACTTATCACCCAACACCTTATCTCTTCAATGGTCACTTACAAACGGCATATGCTGCTTATTACAAAGGTACACTTAGTATGGATGATATCAAATATGAACGAGACTATCTTCCTATGAGTGATGGTGGTCAGATCGCTTTGGATTGGTTCCCTGCTTTACCTAAAACAAATGATCAACCTCTTTTGGTGGATACACCTACATTGGTTTGTTTACATGGTCTTACTGGAGGAAGTCATGAATCTTATATTCGAGGTTTATTAGAAGTGGTAAGTCGAAAAAAAAAATAAAGGGTAGAAATGTGTCTAATCTCAATTCTCTTTCTTTTTTTTTTTTTTTTTTTTTTTTTTTTTTTTTTTGTTTATCAACATGATAGGTTACAGCTGCTCCCTTCAATTATCAAAGCGTAGTGATTAACAATCGTGGTTGTGGCAAAAGTGAATTGAAAACTCCTCATTTATTTTGTGGTGCGTATACTGAAGATATACGGGTGGCAATGAAACGAATTCGATCACAATTGAAACCTGGCACTCCTATGATAGCTATTGGCTTTTCTTTAGGTGCAAATATTTTAGTCAAGTATCTTGGTGAAGAAGGTGATAAGGTTCCTTTGACAGCTGCTATTTCAGTTGCTAATCCTTTTGATTTTGTCAAGTAAGATCATATATATATATAATATTCTTTCTTTAATTTATGTCATCTAACTGAATAACTTTCTTTTTTTTTTTCTGTTAGTTCCGGTGATCTTTTGGATAAAACTGCTTTTAGTCGACGTGTATACTCAGGAAGCATGGCTGGCAATTTACAAAGACTTGTTAGATTGTAAGTTTTACCCAAGAAAAAGAAAATGTCAAGGTGATGGATAATGATGATTTATCTGTCTTTTTTTTTTTTTTCTTCTTCTTCTTAGACATGAAACTGTTTTGGAGAAACATGACAAATACGACAGGGAAAAGGTGATGAATGCAACTACTTTACGGGAATTTGATGAACATTTCACCAGCAAATTCTTTGGTTATTCTTCAGCAAGTGCTTACTATCATGATGCCAGCTCTTATCGAAAAATTGAAAATGTGCAGATCCCACTATTATGTCTCAATGCTCTGGATGACCCAATTGCTAATGGTGCATGCTTACCCATCGAACAAGTGAAAGCTAATCCAAATGTTATTCTTGCTGTCACCGCTCAAGGAGGTATGTATATGAATTCAATATTAGAAATACTCCCTTTTAATGATCACTTTATTTATATTTATTTTTCTCTTGATAGGTCATATTGGATGGTTCGAACATATCAGACAACCTTCACGCTGGATGAATAAACCTTTGGCTGAATTCATCACTGCTATGTTCCAAGTTCATGATCAACGATCCTCACATCATATCGATCCCGCTGATGTAGCTACGGAGGTGGAAGCCATTGAACACGAAAAAGGATTAGCTTAATATAGGAATCATTTATTTACTTAGTCATAGAATAGAAATTAGCATAGTAGAACTTTATATTAAAATAAATCTTTTTTTTTTATTGTTTTTGCATTTTGATGAATATCTAGATTGGACAATAGTGCTTGATGCTTGATGATGGATGGATGATTGGATCAATCCGATGGATATAATAGATGATGATAATTGAATATGACAATAAAAAATACGAATAAAAATTTTATTAAAGAAGATGGCGAAAGAATTGATATAATAAGACGAAACTATCAATAATAACAAAAAGATCCAGATGGGAGGGAGATTCAAAATTCACATCACCAATGAAATAAATCTAGGTCAAGCAATTCATATGAAAAAAAACAAGACTATATGAAATATTTTTTGTTATTACCTGTATTAAATCCTACATCCAAAATGAAAGGGTTTCCCCATGTATTTTGTAAATCCCTTTTTCAAAACGCTCCAAATCCAATAAAATCTACCTTGACAAGATCGCACAGACAAAGAGGACACCTAATGTGGAAAAAAAAAGTGGATGGAGAAAAGAAAAAGAAAGAAAAAAAAATGAAAAAAGAGCAAAATGCGCGTAAAGGGGTGATTAGTTTTTGAAGCCCGTCCACTGATAACAATTTGAACATTGATTTTTTTTTTTTTTTTTTTTTTTTGCTTTTTCTTGTCCCAGCCAAAAAGTCCATGTCTGTTCAAGTGTAGATCTTTTTAATTTTTTATTCCAAAATAGGACTATAAAGGGAATCTCACTGTCTATTTTATTTTAAATACCTATCTACATCCATAGTAGGACACAAGTATGCCTATGAGTCTCGACCCGATCCTTTTTTTTTTTTCAATAAAAAGAAATCTCACAGACTTGCTCTCGTCTTCATTATTTTTTATTTATTATTTTATCACTATCCATACCAATATCACAATCATCATCCGGTAATATAATGTAATGAAGTAAATAAAAAATACGTTTATTGAGAAAAAAAAGAATATAAAAACTGAAATAAAAGAAAGAAATAAAAAAATATATAATATAGGTAATTTTTTTTTTTTTTTATGATGAAGGAGGATTTTTAGACCGTCGAGGTCTTGGTGGAGGAGGCGGCATGTCAGGTTTGAACCTTGATGATGGTTGTGGGATGGCGGGAATGGATGATGACGGTCTTGGGGTTGGGGGTCTTGTTGGTGGAATGACGGATGGGGTTGGGGTTGGAGGTCTTCTTGGGGGGATGATGCGAAGACGAGGGACAGATGATGGGGTGGGTGAAAGAAGAGGAGGAGCAGGTGATGAAGAGGAAGCTTCTTTCACAGGGCCTAAATATTAAAGTAAAGGTTAGCAATTAACCTTTGGTAAACATCTATGAGTTCCATGTACTTACGCAAGCGACGAGGCTGGATTATTTTGCGCTCTTCCTTGGGGGTGTTTTGATCGGAACAGTCAGGCATGTAGGGTAAATCCTGACTGATGACTGGGAGTGATGCTAAATAACAGTATAGTAAAATTGAGTAAATCTTAAATATATGGACTATAGGATGTATTTTACTACTTACAAGGAAGAGGAGCAAAAGGAAGAGGAGCAGCAGGGAGAGGACAAGGAAGTCGAGGATCTACTGTAGCTGTATCTTCATAAATTAGAAGTAAATGAGTATATGCTATTTTATATGCTGTCGTATATTTGTTTCAACTTACGAGAACTAACAGTAGGGACAGATGAAGAGGGAGAAGGAGCAGCTTGATGGGATGATAAGAAGAAAAAAAAAAAAAAGAGAGAGTCAAAGTCAAATAAACTATTTCCTGTTTCGACATCTTTTTTTGCTACTACTTACTGTTGTCGAATAAAAAGGTAAAGGGAGAAGCGGAGAAGGTAGGAATAACCAATGGAGTCGGAGCAGCCAATGGGACAGGAGGAAGGAAGGAAAATGAAGGAGGAGGGACAACACTTTCGGCTATATCACAGAGTAATAGTTAATAAAATACTCATCAAATCATCTAATTTTGTATCTACTCACGAACTGATGCATCAAAGGACGGGACATTGAGAGGCTCAGGTGATGGGGAGCTAGCAGGAGGAGGAGAGGCCATGACTTCATCTATAAAGAGCGTAAGAGTTAATAAAATCGTCTCATAAGCATCGTTGTGTTTTTTTTCTATTATTTACCTTCTGATTCGATGACAAAATCGAACCTATCGGATGAAGCCATTTCTTCATCTATATAATGTATAAAAAGTAAAATAGTTAATAAAACGATCAAATAGTCATCCTTCTCCTCTTTCTTTTTTTTTTTTTTTTTTGTGTCTGTAGTACTTACCTTCTGACAAGGCATCTGTCAGGATGGCGACAGTGAGAGGAGGAGATAGAGTGGGAGGAGCCACCAAAGGAGAAGAAGGAGAAGAGACATCATCTTGTACACCATCTAAAACGTAAAACATAAAAAAAAAAAGAGGTAAGTACAAAAAAGTAGCGTATTTTTATTTTGATTTTGACGTTTCTTACCAATACCAGATTGAGGGACAGGAGTAGGAGGAAGCTGTGGAGAGGAGACATCTTCATCCTTTGTAACTAAAATACAAAACGATGAGCACAGAAAAAAAAAAAAACAGTCAATTCTGTTAAATCTTTCTTTTCTTTTCTTACTCATACCGGTGGGTGATGGTGAACGAAGGACTGTGGAGGATGAAGGGATGACGGATGAAGGAGAAAGATGAGATGGGCCATCATCTTTGGGTTCGACTAAAATATAAAAAGGTGAGCGCAAGAAAGTAATGTTATTGATTCCGTTATTTCTTACCGGGACATGAGAGGGAGACAACAGCGATGGATGAAGAAGAATGATGGATCATATTGTCTTGATCATCATCTAAAACATCAAAAAAAGATCAGTGGATAAGAAATCGGGTTATATGATTTTTCATTTTTCATTTCTTACTAAGGGTATTCGAGGGGACAGGACCAGCTGCAGGGAAAGAGGGCAAACAAGCAACATCTTCATCGTCATCATCAATGGTTTCTGAATAATAAGCAGTGAGTAAGAGAAGTACCTTTTTTATTTCTTTTCTTTCTTACCGATGAGAGCTGTAGGGACTGAAGTAGCTGCAGGGAAAGAGGGCAAACAAGCAACATCTTCATCTTCATCATCAATGGTTTCTAAGTACCAAGAGGTGAGTACAAGTAGCTCTTTTCTTTTCTTTTTTTTTTTTTTTATCTTACCGGTAGTAGGGACAGGTGGAAATGAGACAGCTTCTATATTGGGTTGAGGTCGTGATACTAGAGGTTTTTTATCAGCATGGTGATAAAAGAAGTATACCCAATATAGAAGAGCTAAACCAGAGATGTCATCTATATATACATAAAAATGAGTCAGTCAAAAAGAAAAGATCAAAACAAACTATTTTAATATGTGTTGTTTCATCTTTTTTATTTGTTATTATGACATACCAAGTTGAGAGATAGCTCTTACAAGATGATCTGCGGACATAGGAGAAACAGCGGGACCTATATAGAACAGGAAGATACGTGAACATCTTTTACTCTCTCTCTTTTTTTTTTTTTTTTATTATTATTACTTACGATGAAGGAGAGCAAACAAGTTACGTACTATGAATGAATCCACGTAACAAAGGAAAGACCATAAAGCCCGAAGGCAACGAGAAACAAGAAGACAGTTCAAAGGCCAAAGTACCCGAAGACAGAAGGAACAGAAGTAACGTAACCAGGTAGAGATCAACATTAATATCGGGTGAACTACCATGTTGTTGTATGACGCGATATTTTTTCGGAAGGTAGAGACAGAGGGTTTACGCAGTAGACGTGACAGGACAGGTAAAGCAAGGAGGAGATATACACCAGACAACATCCCGACAAGGAAAACGATCAGGTAAACGTGGAGAGCAAAGACTTGGTATGGATGAAAGGCAATAGCATTTGAAATAGGTGTATCCAAGGCAACATCATTCAAAACAGGAATATCCAAGGTAATATCAATATAGGAGGGAGTGTAGTCAATGGCTTGAGTTTCGATCAATGAGATTTCATGGTGGTAGAAAGGTGGGAGAATAAAAGTATCACCTGGAAAAGAGACAGGTTTAACATTTCCAAATAAAAGTAATAAAGAAAAAAACATAATATGGTAGTAATAAATGTTTTACATTAGAAACAAAGAAAGAAAGAAAGAAAGTAAACAAAAGGACAAAAAAAATTTTTTTTTGTTTACTTTTTTTTTCTAGTCACCTTTTAAGGACATTTTCATTGGCTGGTTTCTTCAAACTCTATAGTAAAATCATCCTTATGTTTATTTTATATTCTTTTTACTATCAAGACGAACAAGTTATAATAGTAATACTTTTTGATACTTTTTCAAAATTATATTTATGTTTCAATGTCGGAAGTGCATATATATTTTATGCATCCACGCTGACTGACAAACTCAAAAGTCTAAATCCATCCAATAATTATATGCTAAATTTGGCTGAGCTAAAAATTTGACAGAAAAGTTTAATATTCCGTTGCCCTTTTTTTTTTCAGGTACAAAAAACGTAGATATTAATGATTTCAATTTCACCCAAAAGTCTGGAAAGCATAAAAAATAAGAATGATGGAAATACATCAAAGTATATATATATATGTAATATTTATTTTGTTTTTTTTTTTTGAATATCTACATGTAAAGAAAGAATTTTTTTTTGAAAAAAAAAGACAAGACAAAATAATAATAAAAGGAAACGGAAAAAAAATTATATTGAATGAATATATGATGAAAAATAAAATGATGAATGATAAAATTATATAAAAAAGGAAAGAGGGGTAAGAAAAAAAAAAGGATAACATATCAAGTATAAATGAATACTAATAAAGTGAAGGGGGGAAGGTCATTATTCTCTAACGATCAGTAATCTTGTTTCATTATCAATCTTTTGCCATACGTTGAGATCACAGTAAATCCGAAGAGTTTCATTTAATTGATATTCGCTAAAACCTCTGGCAATGATACTATCCTTGATTGTATTCATATCCAAAGTATCACCATGAGCCATTCGTAATTCGTTCACCGTGTTGTAAATCATTGTCAAAAATGTATAGTCACGTCCACGTTGGTTTCGACCACTGTCATCCATCAAGGATGCTTTGGAAACATCAATTAGTCGTAAAGCTTCATCCACATCAGAAGTCTTGACCACATCAGACATTCGAATACGTGCCACTGCTTGAGCTAGACGAATAATTCCCAATAATGTACGTGCAGATGCATAGGAGTATTGTTGTTCTCTTTCTTCTTGTTCCTTATATTGTCGTCGAAGTCTTACATATGCACTGGTCACATAACCAGATACTTCAGCACTTAGTACCGGTCGTTTGGCACGAGCTTGAGCAACATAATGTCTAATAATAAAAATATAAAAAAAAAGTATTAATAATATCATTTCCATTTTCTATTTTTTTTTTTTTTTTTACAACATTACCGAATGACTTCAGGTTCCAAAACATCAAAGTCCAAAGTAGGATGTTGGTTGTGTGTATGTACATAAGTAACATGTTCAGCTAACATTCGATCCATTTCATCCGAAGGTTTATCCAAGATCAAATAAAGAATATCAAACCGAGATAACAATGCAGCTGGTAAGTTGATGTTTTGTGTAGGTGAGATGCGAGTATTATAACGACCATACAAAGGATTGGCGGCAGCTAGAATAGATGTACGTGCGTTTAAAGTCGTATTGATCCCTGCCTTGGAAATACTAATTGTTTGTTGTTCCATTACTTCATGAATGGCTGTTCGATCCGATTCGTCCATTTTGTCAAATTCATCAATACAGCAAATCCCATTGTCTGCAAGTACAAGTGCACCACCCTCTACAAAATAATAATAATAATAAGTATAAAGTATTCCATTTGACTAAAAAACTTACCAAGCATCATTTCATCAGTCACTGGATCACGCATCACAGCAGCAGTAAGACCCACGCCTGAACTACCACGACCAGTAGTATAAACACCACGAGGAGCTACTTTGCCAACAAACTTGAGTAATTGAGATTTAGCCACACCAGGATCACCCATCAAACAAACATTGATATCCCCACGAATCTTCATACCATCACCCACTGTTTTGGATACACCACCAACAAGAAGCAACAAAAGGACTTTTTTGACATCATCATGACCATAGATTTCAGGAGCAATACTACGAGCCAAATTAGAGTAGATATTAGGATCTTGTTGTAATTGTTCCACCTTTTGAGAATCTTCTTCTGAAAGTTCAATTTGATCGTATTGTTTCTTGAGACGATAGACATGTTGAGCTTCCAAATAAGTATCAGTTAATAAACCTGCTTTCAAAGCACGGAAACCGGTATATGGCATGGGTAAGAAGATACCAGACACATTACAAACATCACCAGGAGTCAATTGACGACACATTGCACCATACATATGTACAGTCATGGTACGAGGAATATGACCTACAGGGACTTGATCCGTCTATATTAATAATAAAAAAGAAACAGATCAGTGTTATTTCATACAAGTCTTTTCTATTCTAATACTTTACCAATTCTTGAACTTTGACTTCTTGGAATGCCAAAAACTTGGATGCACGTGTTTGCATGTAAAGTTTGCCACGGATATTGTTGCTTGCACATTCTTCAGAGGGACATTCAGTTAAAGGCGTAAATTGACGAGATTTGATTTCTTGAAAGATTTCATGACCACAAGCATCACAACTGTAAGTATTGACTTGTAAAAATGGTTTGACATCAGTCACACGAGTAACAATACCACGTAAAACCACCAAATGACCCAATTGACCACCATTGATATGACGTACTGCCAAGGCTTTATCTGATGACATAGGTTTGATGAAAACTTCACTATAAACAGAGATAAAAAAAAATTTTTTTTTAGTCAATTTTCGATTAAAAAAAAAAAAAAAGAGATAGACTTACTATCGTCGAGTCAAAGAGGGAGGGAAGAGTTCTTCAGCATCATCACCAGCACGGTTTTCATCACGAATACGACGTTGACTGATAATAACATCTAAAACACTGTCCTTATAGCTAAGTTCAGGATTAGAAGGTGTCATTGTTTTGAAGAGTTCGTCAATAACTTCACAAAGTAGTTGAATATAGTGTTTCGTGTTCTTTTTGATATGTTGCACAGTACGATATCGAGAATCTTCAAACTGTGGATATAACGAAAAAGAGAAAAAAAAAAACATTGATCAGTATCGATGAAAAAAGAATAAAGTAAATATGAATTACCTGAGCAAGATCATCTAATTCTACTGTAATCACAGTTTCCTCCCTGTCCAAAACTTTTTGCTAAAAGAATATATGTTAGTTTTACCAAGATATTGTTAATGTGAAATTATAGTCAAGTTACCAGAATATCCATATACTTGGGCCTTTCAACATCTATTTCCATATCATCAAGACTTGACGTAGTAGACTTGAAGTTTGTAAAGAAAGTGGTCAAGGCATCTATATATAAAAAAAGAAAGTTCAAACAAAGAATCAATACCGTGACCTTACACTCTTCTTATATTGCCGTTTTTTTTTTTCTTTCTTTCTTTTTACTCTTGTCTTCTTCATAGTTGACACCAATGGTGATGGGTAAAAGAGCAGCCATGATGAATACAGAATAAGTAAGAGAACAAAGAGTGAAATAAAGACAAACACGTCCATTTAAGAAAAAAAAAAATAATTATCGTGTTTTTTTCCACTGTCACAAGGAACTCCGCCCTCCAAATGTGGTATGAAAGGGAAAATCTACTTTTTATTATCATAGGGGTATAAAAGTTATATATATATATCAAAATAAAGTGTAATACTAGTCTACCAAATACGATGCCCAAATTGCATTTGAAGGAGGTGAAGGAGATACCATAGAAGGGGGTATTTTCAAGCCATTATTTGATCCAAGAGAACCATCATCCACTTCAGATACTACATATTGATCCCATTGTTGTCGTATATACCGTAATTTCTCGACATCTTGCCAACCTTGAAGCCAATAATTATATGCATCCATATCTAATGGTTGATCTTTCCATGTATCCTCTGGATGTGGTTTTATTGTCTGTTGTTCATTCATGTTGTGTTCAATCCAATCTTGTTCTTCTTTTTCTTTTTCTTCTTCTTCTTCTGCTGCTGCTTTGATTGTATTATAAAAAGTATCGCCAGTTTCTGGAAAAAAGTGACCTTTAGTTTCCAATTTCTTTCGTCGAAGATCCCGTAATCGTAGTAATTTATCCACCACAATAGTTAATTGTTGAACGCGTTGTTGTTGATCCGATACATTCTTTGGTCGCGTTAATTTTGGTGGCTGTTGACCTATTTCCTAATAATCAACAAATATTAGTTGTTACAATAATGAATTTATTTTCCTCTATTACCTTTGTCTTTGATGATTGTTCTATCTCCTTCTTCTTTTCTTCCATCGTATCTCTTGTCATATTCAATACGGGCTCCTGACTCTTATTTTCCGATTGTTGAGATTTTAATCGTTCTTTTCGTCGTTTTCGCCAGGCCTATCGTCAAATGTATATATATAGGTCAGTTCACTCATATATTATATGTAAACAATTTGTCTTGCCTTGTGTTTGTTGATTTTAAGTTGTTTTCTTCGAGCACGTTGAAGGTAGTCATTCGTAATACCATCCAAATTATTATTCAAGGTAGTCTAAAGAAAAAAAATGAAAAAAGAACCGAGTTACTATTTTGACAAAAAGACGTCAGTGACATTGCTTTTTTTTTTTTTTTTTTCCTCTTTACCAAAGCATGTTGTATAGCTTCACATTGGTTTTGATTGGACTCATCAAGAGTATTTAGTTCATGTTGTAAACGATCTTGTTCCAATACAGCTTGAGCAATTTGTAATTTCAATCGGGACAATGAGACATTAAGTGAATTCATAAAGAAGAAAGCAAAAAAAAAAAAAAAAAAAAAAAAAAAAAAAATGAAATGCAAAGCTTATACATTTTTTTTTTTTTTTTTTGGTGTGTGACTGAAATCCATATTCCGATTGAGAGGATCAAATTTTTGAGTTCCACTGTTCTTTGTTTTGTTTTTTTTTGTTTTTTTCATCCACTCTTACTTTTTTTTTTTTTTTTCATTAAAATCATACCAATATGGCCACATCAACAACAGTCCCTTCAGCGGCACGATTAGCTCAATTAGCACAACTTTCCAGCAAAATATTCCAAACTGTTTATAATCCAACAGCAGCAAGAACTGGCAACAAAATCTTACGACAACGATTATTGGGTCCTACCATGACTCAATATCACCCTACCCCCTTGATCCATTTCCGTGATATCAAAGCTGCTTATCCTGAACTTGGTTTAGTGAATATGGATGAACAAGCTCGTTTAGATGAAATTGCTCGACGAAAGAGACGTGGAAAGGGTGCTCCAAAGAAAGGTAAGAAGAATATATATATATATATATAATTACAACAAGACCCCTAACTCTAATTTTTTTATTTTATAGGTCAAGGCAAACGTGCTTCCAACAAGAAGAAATAGATTATTCAACATTAGATTTTTGTACAGTTTTAGTTATTATTATTATTATCATTATATATATATGGAAAAGAATAAAACAATACAACACATGCTTTATCATCATTTTGAATTAAAAAAAAAAAAAGAAAAAGACAATGGTTTAAATATGGAAATCGATTCTATTTTTTATTGTATTGATACAATCAAATAATAATAATAATAATAGTAGTAATAATAATAATAATAATAGTAATAGTAGTATAGGAACTAACTAGTTAATCGTCAAAGACAATGAGAAAGATATATATATGTTTATTTAAGAAGAATAAAAAAAAGTAAAAAGTAGTGACTAAAATGCTATGTGTGTGTATAAAAATATATACATTGAAAAATTGTATGTGTGTATATATATAGGTAATCGATTGACTATACTACCTATCTAGTAACTACGGCCAAACAACATATAATGCTTAGCATCTTGACCACAAGCAACACACTTGGTGATACCAGGAACGATAGGTTTGTCAGTAGGTTGTTCGAAAGGATTGCATAGAGATTTGGCACCCATAGAAGGAGCTCTTTCATCTTCTTCTTCACCTTCATTGGCACTAACCAAAAAAAAAAAAAAAAGGATAGATATTTAATGATTCTGTTTTCCTTTTTTATTTTTATAAAACTTACGTTCTTGCAGATCTTTCCTTGATATCATCTTCACAAGCCATACGATCACACCAAGGCATCAAGATCAATTTCTTGTCATTCAAAGCAGGAACAAATTCTTCCCATTTTTCAACACGGATAATAGATTCATCACGCTTGGCCTTGGCACGGTTGAACATATCATGATGCATAGTTTCCAAAGTTTCCTTTACACCATTTTCCACATCATCCAAAGGAATGGTAAATCGAACACCGTTATCACGGCGAACACAAGTGACTTGATTCATTTGAATATCCTTGGGACCTAATTCCACACGGAGAGGAGTACCACGGATTTCCCAATGATTGAACTTGAAACCAGGAGTATAATTTTCACGGAGATCACTCTTTACCTTGATACCACACTTCTTCAAACGTTTGGTTAAATCGGCACAGGCATCATAGATCTTGTTAGCATCGGCTTTGGATGTCTTGACAGTTAAACCACAAGGAATCACCACTACTTGAGTAAGAGCAACACGAGGAGGAAGCACAAGACCCTTATCATCACCATGGACCATTACCATCACACCAATAGTACGGGTTGAGAGACCCCAAGAGTTTTGCCAAACATGAATCTTTTTAGCTTCTTCATTATCAATAGTAGCAGGGTCTTCCACCACAATGTCGAACATTTTACTGAAGTTTTGACCCAAGCAATGAGAAGTACCACCTTGAATAGCACGACCAGTAGTAGGGATATAGCCTTCCACAGTGGTAGTAAAGTAACCACCAGCAAATCGTTCCTTTTCAGACTTGACACCTTTGACTACAGGCAAAGCCAATAAATCAGTGTAAACCTTTTCATATAAATCCAAGATTTGATAAACTTCATCGGTAGCATCCTTCAAAGTTAAATGAGCAGTATGGCCTTCTTGCCATAAGAATTCACGAGTACGAAGGAAAGGCTCTATTATATAATAATATAGGTCAGTAAAAAAAATAATTGATGATCATTCTTTTTTTAGCTTACGAGGATTCTTAAATTCCCAGCGGACAACAGAACACCATTGATTAATACGGAAAGGAAGATCACGATGAGAACGAATCCATTTGGCAAAGTAAGGATACATAACAGTTTCAGAGGTAGGACGAATAGCAATAGGTTCTTCAAGATCACTAGAACCAGCTTTGGTAACCCAGGCAACTTCAGGAGCAAACCCTTCAATATGATCCTTTTCACGTTCAAGTACACGATTAGATACAAACATAGGGAAATAAGTATCTTCAACACCCATTTCAGTGATAGCAGCATCAAAGAAATCTAAAAAAAAAAAAAAATTAATTCCTATTATTATTATTATTCTTATTTTATATATATTACTACTTACTAGTAATTTCTTTCCAAACATTGTAAGCAAGAGGACGGAGAATGTAACAACCAGACACATCATAGTAATCTAACATTTCACTTTTGGTCAAGACTTGTTGATACCATTTAGGGAAATCGACATCCTTTTTGTATTCAATACCCATTTGATGAGCATCTTCCACAATAGCAGCTATTTTTGTTCCATAAATATATAAATAAATCATAATGAGTCATTACCTCTTTTTTTTTTTTTTTATTTTCAAATAGACTTTACCTTCTTTCTTTGTTTCCTTTTTGGGTTTGGGTTTAGAAGTAGCAGCAGCAGGAGGTTTCGCAGCAGCCAAAGCCTTGAAGTCAATATCGATATATTCCTTATTAATGGAGGTAAAGTATTGTTTCAATTCGTCTACAGTAATAAAGATAGTCTTTTCGGAGGTAGCAGGATGGAAAGCCAACTTGTCAGAAGCAGGAAGAGACAAAATAGAAGCATCCACAACCAAGTGTACCAAAGTAAGATCAGTAACATTAGACAAAGCAAAAGGAGATACTAATACAATAAAGTTAATAAGTTGAAGTTTATCCTTTTCTTTTCTTGGCATTTACCAGCATCTTTGGTAGTAGCAAAAGTATCCTTCAAAAGATCTTCGTTTGCAAATCGACAATCCTTCAAACTGAGTTTCTTGCCCAAAGCGGTAGCATTAGTTTCAGTGGTATCCAAAGCAATGACAACAACAGGAGTAGGGGCAGCTGACTTGGCAGTCTTTGGCTTGAGAATCAATGTTTTGGTGACATGGTAAGGTTGATCGAAAGAAAGGTTGTCTAAGGTCGCGATCCAAGCTTTATTATCAGCCACAGGTTCATGTGACAGACTAGTAGGCTTGATAGAGAGTTTTTCAAGAGAAGCAAGAACAGAGTCAAAAGTGGTCATCCTACAAAAGAAAAAAAACACTACTTTATTTGATACAATGGAAGAGGTCCAAGAAGAAAAAAAAAAACAAGAGGAGAGGAGAAAAAAAAAAAAGTAGAGAGAGCGGCCAACAAACAAAAGAGAAAAAAAAAAAAAAAACAAAAAAAAAAAAAGGGGATCTGAGGCAAAAAAAAAAAAAAAAAAAAAAAAAAAAATTCGACGGCATTTCAAAAAAAAAGTCCCAATATGGATATGTCAAAATCTTGAACGTTTGGTTGGTTCCCATAGATTAACGCCTTGATTCAACTTTATTGTTTCCCATTCTTGAAGCTTGACGTAGTTGTTGTTTTGACATGAGTCTAGAATACCGCAGTCCACAAGCATTGCATAATCTATAATAAAGAAATATATCGCTATAGTTAATTTTTTTATTATACTTATTCAATTTTACGTTTTATGTCCAGTTGGTCCTCGACGCCATTCAGGACTATTGATTGTTCCACATCGTACACATCTTTTCTTTTGTTTTTCTTGTCGTTGAGTTGAAGATGATGAATTTTGAGTAGGATGACATTGGATGGTCATTGCTGATGAGACCAAATTGTTTCTATGAGTAGAGGGTATAGGTGTTTTTTGAAGAGATGAACTTGGTACTACCGCTTGTCTATCCCTTCTCTCCCAAAAAAGGTATATGCATTTCATTAGTAAATTGATGAAGGTAACTAAATGATCTTTTTTTTTTTTTTTTTTACTTGTCTTTTTTATACAAATGATACTGGTTCAATTGTTTTTCTACAATCATTCCTGTTGCCACAGTTGTAGATATAGATGATGTTGATGCTGCTGTTATTGTTGACGATGATGATGGTTCTGAAAAGTCGATTTGAAAGGAACAAAAAAGAATAGATCCATACGAAATGACAATACGTTCTAGTCGACAATCAGAAGAAGTATGCGAGTTGAATGATGAAGTTGAATGAAGTAAACGAGAATGACTATGGGTAAGTTGCATACATGATGAAGTATTGATATGTTCTTTTTCTTGTTGTAGTTGTGATGGTTTTGTAGTAGTTAGTGTTGTTGATTCTGATGCTGCCGATAAATAAGGATCATCCACGTTGAAATGCACATCAGAAGGAGGCCAGGATAATAAACGTTGTTTAGTTGCTTGATCATAAATTTGAAAGACCCTTTCCTTTGTTACATCTACACTGGATCCGTTGTTCAAATCATTTGTTGATATTGTAATAGTAGACAATGTACTTTGAGGTTGATGATTTTCTAAAGTAGACAATAAGAGAGCAATATCCTAAAGAAAGAATAAAATAAGATAATGTTCTTGCATTAACCTTATTTTTCAATTACCTTTGAATAATAAAAAGATTCACCACATGTGACACGTTTTTGATAATTTACTAATGCATTTGCAGGAGAAGGATCTACAAAGAAGAAAAAAAAAGATGTAGGGTAATGATAAAGAAGGGTAAAAGTTTAATAGTCTATTGAAATTAATATTTTGTTATTATTATTTTTTTTTTTTTTTTTTACCTTGATGAAAAAAGGTTAATACCATGTGTTCAGTCACAATATACATCACAACATCCACAATATTCCAAGTAGTTGCTTGATCAACCTAATTCAACATAAAGAAAAAAGAATTTTTTTTTTAATTTCAGGTACCATTCATGCAGTTTTCATTTATCTATGTTACTTACATTTTCATCTTCAAATTCATAAGGATATAGATTTTTAGCAATAGAAGGAAAAGATCTTAACTGACATCTATTAAATAAAAAAAAAAAAGGAGAAAACAACAAATAAAGTGAGTTAAAAATCAAACTCGAATATAAACATTTGTTTACCTTGTAATCGCACCAGCCAATGGTTTTCTCCTTAAAAATGCAGATAAGTCATGTTTAGCCATAGTGAATTCTTCGGGATGAATAAAGTCATAAAAAGAACGATGAAGAATAAGATCTTTAATAGTTGTATCATGATTATCAAATACCACAAGTGAACCAACCGAGGGAGGAACATATACCACTTCCAGTTGTTGTATTGATAGTAAGAACCAAAAGCAATTAACCATTGCCATTCATACCCAATACTGAATTTGGGAGATTATATAATAAGAAGTTATATAATAAAAGAAAGGAAGAAAAAAAGAAGAAAAAAAAAAAAAAGAAAGAAAGAAAAAAAAAAAAAAGAAAAGATAAATAACAAACAAAAAGAAAACCTTTTTTTTTTCCTGCAATTTGTTGAATCCCCGACCGCGTGTGTGTGAGAGAGAGAGAGAGAGAGAGAAAAAGAGGGGAAAGGGAGTGCGCACAACAAAGTTAAAAAGGAAGTTAGAGTGAGACAAAAGGAGAAAAATAGAAAGGGTTTTTATTGTGTATCGGAAAAGAGAGAAGAGAAGGGGATCAGTGCACAAATATCTTTTTAGTTTAATTTTACATTTTTATCATAAAAACTAACTAAGGGTTTTTGACATATAATAATATAGTTTATTTATCAATTCTAAAATACAAAACATAAAAATGAGGAGTAAAATAAAGATAAAATAAGAATAGACTACAATTCTAAGAACAATAATAATAAATAATAATAATAATAATAATAATGATCAGGATAAAATCATCTATTTCAATAACCAAAAATCATCCAATCGTCTTTCTTGTATCACCATGTTTTTTCCCCGCTTGTCAGCTCCCGTTCGTTGAGGTAATCTTGAATGTCTTGATTGTCCAAATGTATCGACCAAAAATTCAAGAGAACATCCATTAGACCGATTCTGATCTTCTTCTTCTTCTTCATCATCATCATCTTCATCTTCATCTTGATTCACTTGTTGTTCATTATCTTCATCATATGATTGAGTCACATAATCTGGAAGTCGTTCACCATCACGAGCTACACTTCGATAGGATGGAAGAACATCTGGTAATTCATTGGACATATCAATTCTTTCTGTAATATAAATAGGTAACCCAAGACAAATAGGTGGTGATTTTCTATCCTGATTATCATGATGATTGGTATATCGGGTATAAATCATGATACGTATGAAATGTCGTACGTTGAGAAAAGGTGAATCCAAAGAGTAATTGAGAACATCGCGTTTGACTAAAGTGTTATTTTTGTCTTGTACACTTGATCGTAGAGTACCTTTATCGATTATCGATAACGGGAATTGGAATTCAATAGTACAACTTAATGGTGGATGAAGGTAAGTTGAAGGTATATTGGGACAAATAGTAAGATGTCTACGTCCTTGATCACTAGTATTAAAAAAAAAAAGAACGATTAGTTAAAAAAAAAAAAGGAACGATTAGTTAAAAAAAAAAAAAAGGAAAAAAAAAAAAAAAAAACTTGATGTTTTTAATTATTATTATTTTTTACCTTCCATCATCATGGTATAATTCTTCTTGTACTACATCCACTTGAATCATATCCACCAAAAGTTGATCATGTAAAGATTTCAAAACGCCTTCAAATTCAATATCATTACCCATACACACCCATTTTGGTACTTTGAATTCCCAAGAGAGACAACCATTACGTTTTCCATGCATACTAGTTCGAGGAACTTTATAACCAGTGACCATTCCATAAGCAATATCTTTTGGCATCAATGTTTTGCGTATATCAATCGTTTTTTCTACTTCAATATCTTTAGCAAATTTGGCTACAGGTATGATTTTGGCAGATATAATATAATTCACATTCATATAATCAGCTTGATAAGTTGGACATACATAACCAGGTATAGTAATTTCGAAACCTATTCAAAAAAAAAAAGAATTATTATTATATATATATATATCAATAATATTCACCTCCCTATCTTATCCTTTTTTTTTTTTAATACCTAAATCAGTCACACCAGTTGGAATAGTTCCGTCTTGTAATAGAATATGTTTTGATTTTCGAATAGTTTTCCAAGCATGCATTCTATTAGCTAATAAAGAATGAGTAAGAGGATCTCGCCAATATAATTGACTTGAACCTTTAAAACGAACTTCAATAATAGAAAGTCGAGTAGGTTGAGAAGTAACAAGTCGTAATTTTCCTCGTAATTTTTGTCTTTTTGGAAAAGTAGAATGTTTATCATTGGGTCTAGGTCCATAAAATTCTACTTGTTTTGGAAAATCAAGATCAACTGCAATAATCTTTTTGGTCATAGATATAAAAAAGGGTATCGTTAATTACTCCAGGTATGAAAAAAAAAAGAAAAGAAAAAGAAAAAGAAAAAGAGAAAATCAGAAAATGAAGAAAAAAAAAAAAGGGTCATTTTTTCACTTGGTCTGTTTGCTTCATATTCCGACAGGTAGTACGATATAAAAGACATTTTTTTTTTATTTTCTCCTTTCTTTTGTTTTTTCTTTCTTCTACAAAACACACAAAAAAAAAAAAAATCAAAAACCAAAAAATCAAAAAAAAATTATTTGCTTCTTTTTGGCAACTTCCTTGTTGGTATCTTCTTCTTTCCGTTCGCCTGGTTAACGCAACAGAACACTCTCATTCTTGTTTGTGATTCTTTTTTCCCCCGTTTTCCTTGTCGTTCTTTTGGTTTTGTCGTGCCTTTGATTTTCTGTCTTTTGCGTCTCTCTGTCTTTCTTCCTTGCTGTTTGGATCTTTTTTTTTTTGTTGGTAAGTGGACATAGACAAATAATATTTAGTTGATCATCACACTAACCATTTTTCCATTTCTTCTTTTCAACCACCGAAATGGGGGGAGGGCAAATACGTAGATCCTATAGCACAATGTCAAATCCTTTGAGTATCGTTTCCTTTTCTTTTCCTTCATAAGATTAAGTTCAACGCTATGATCACCTTATTCTCTCTCCCTTCTTCTTTTCTATTAATAATATAATATGAATAAAAACAATAGAATGAATAATAAAATTAAAAAAAGCACTTTTTAATTTTCAGGCACCAAAGCAGTGATTAGAGATTTACAATTTTGATAGCATAATCATTTATGCTCCGCCTTTTATCTTGTTTTTTTTTAATTTCTCTTTTTATAATTTTTCTTTTTTCTTTTTTCTTTTTCTTTCTTTTTTCTTTCTTTTTTTTTTATTCTTACATTGCCATACAATTATATGTATATACATATATAAACATTTTCTTTTTTCTTTTTTTTCTTATCATGGATATGGGAACTGATGAACATGAACAACAAACAACAACGGAAACTACTGGACATGGTCATAGTCATAATCTAGATCCTACTTTGTTTGAAGAGTTTGCTGCTACTTCTGAACCTCTAGGTACCATTATGATTTTACATATATTTAGTATGGTTTTGGGTAATAAAAACAATCTTTTTTTTTTTAATAAAACAAAGAAATATACTAATTTATATATAAATAGCTTTTGGTATTCTTTATCCTTTAGGTATGGTTTTGGGATTGGCCAAAAACAGGTGGCATGTTCCAGTACAAATATTAGCCACTTCGATATTTATCGTCGGTTATTTTTTGGCTCATGCTCATGATGGACGAAACTATGTAAGACAAATAAAGGAATGAAAGTATATAACTCATTATGATAATATATATATATTTTAGGAACCACATATCGCTCATAGGTGGTTTGCAGATATTGTTATATGGGTAGTTTGTCTTCAATTTGGTGCTGGTGTTTACCTAAAATTACATCTGGAACGTGGTATTCATGGTCGAATTAGGAAATGGTTTGTTCAACTTCATAAAACATTGGGTGCTTCTATACCTGTGGTTGGTTATGTACAAATTGTTTTAGGTGTTATTGCTACACTTGGGTTTTGTTATGCAGGTAAATACTATTACGATCATTAATAAATTCAATATTTATGTTTATATGTTGATAGATCATACTGGGCAATGTTTAGCACATTTTATTATGGGATCTTCTTTCGTTGCTTATGGTATTTTATTATTACTCTCATTACGTGTTGGTGGACCATGGTTGTTACGACAAGGTAAAAGTCCTGAATGGTATGATAGTTGGGTTATCATGTTATGGGGAATTGTCAACACTTTTACGGAACATAGGTAAAAAAAAAAAAAAAAAAAAAAAAAGGAAAAAGGAAATATCAAATATTATTTATTTATATATTTGATGGATAATGATTTTGAATTTTCTTTTTCTTTTTTTTTGTTGTAGATGGGGAACTTCTTGGACTCATGGTGATTATCAACATACATCGATGGGAATCATTTGGTGGGTAGCCGGTTTACTTGGTATCCTTCTAAGTCGAAAAGGTAAGCGCACAGTCATTCCTTCTATCCTTATCATCTTGACTGCAGTGGCTTTCCAAGGTCATGCTCAACATGTACCAAACAGTGGACAAATTCATTCTTATTTTGGTTATATGCTTATGGCTGGTGGCCTTTCTCGTATTATTGAAATCTGTTTTGTTTGGAAAGAAGGTGATTTTTCCATCAATCCTTGGCAATATATTCCACCATTGGTAAGATACAATTTTTTCTTTGCAAATATATATATGTATATATTAAAAGAAATAAAACACTCATATAACTTTCATTTTTGGGGATAATAGACATTGACATTGGCTGGTTTCTTATTCATGGGAGCCACAGAAGAACAACTACAACTTTTATCTACCATGATGATTGATATTAGCTCTTACAGCAATGTTTTACTTTCATTTGGATTTGTGATGTTTATGTTTGCCTTTTTACTAATCACGCTCTGGGAACACCTGACTGGTTATGATGAAACACGCAATCAATATTCTGAAGTACCGACGGAAAATCAACGTACCAACAGCAGTAGTCATGATGATGATGAAGATGATGATGATAGTGATGACAGACATTTATTGGAAAATGATTTTTTACATGATCAAGATGCCGAAATTTTGGAACTCAAGCCAACACATAGAGTGGAAAATGTATAGATAGAATTTATCTTATTTTTCATTTGACTATGTCTCTTTCTATTTTTATTTATTCATTTATTATTATCATTATTATCATTATTTTAGTATAGTTACCCAAAAAAAAAAATAATAATCATTCATGAAATAAAACAAAAATCAAATACAAACAAAAGTTTCTACTAAATGAAATAGAATGGATTTACAAAAGAAATGTCTAAGAACGGTTTTATCTTCCCTTGCTGTTACCCCAAATGGCAGTTGCTATCAGGCTAAACGATGATAATAGCAAGTGATGTTTTCTTTTTAAAACAAAAGAAAGTGTATTTAAAACAGCCCAACAGCCAGCATGACTTGCATGAAAAGAAGAGACGCATATGATTGGCTGAATAGTGGCAGCATCATCCATGATTCCATAATTTATAATGAAACGACCATCATTCATCATATCAATTATAATCATTCCACAAATGAATCCTATACAATAAAATTTTGACTTCAGGAAAAGCACGAGCATCAGAAAATCAATATTTTTTTTTTCTTTTATTAATAACAAATAACTAACAACAAAATAGGGTAACTACACTAAATAAAATAAAATAAAATAAAAAAAACATCATACATCCTCATCTAAACCTAGATTTCTATCGGTGAATACAAAGACCATATCTTCACTTGTACGACTTCCAATGACAGTGGATATAGGAGAAGATGATGATGACACCATGCCGTCTCTTGAGTCCAAACCACGATCACCATGTTGTTGTTGTTGTTGTTGTTGTTGTTGTTGCTGCGACGATAAGAATCCATCAGCATGTTCCAATATGACTTGAGTGCCTGATGCCAATCTTGCGCTAAGTTTGATCAATTCCATTGCTGTGGTTCTTGCAAAAGATTGAGTACCCTTTTGAATCCCTTTAATGACTCGTCCATCCTTTCGATATTGTTGTATGGGTAAAAGAACCAAATCAGCGATGCCACTACCTAGACTCACCATCGATCGGATAGGTGAAACACCAGATACCATGTGAGGAACTTGTGTATTTTTGATATGGGGTAGCCATTCTTGCCCTAATCGTTCCATTAATTTCGGGATCCCTTTTATACCAGTCAATTTGACAGCACTGAGATTCAGCTTGGCACCTTCGAGTTGGAATAAATTCACCAGTTCAGCAAATTGTCCTTCTTTGATATTGTCATAGTTGATGTATTTTGGTTTATAATCAATCTTCAAATCAATGGGATATATTTCCACATGTTCTACCAAAAAAAAAAAAAAATAAATTAGTTCATCCAACTTTTTTTTTTTTTTTTTTTTTTTTACTTACGGAAGAAAATAGCATTCTCTTTGGAATCATCACGTTGCTGTTGATCATTCTGGTATTGGAATTGATTACCATGTTGGAAGGGAAGAGAAGAAGAAGAAGGGATGGATCCAGGGTCATGTGAGATGCCATTAGTAGTTGAAGAAGAAGGAATCATCGCAGCTTGTGATCCAGGAGTTGACCGGAGTATCGATGGATTGAAGGCAAAGAATTGGACCAGGAAATTCAATGCATCTTGATCAATAAACAGTCGAAGAGGTAATGTTTGAATACCAAGTCGATATTCCACAGTCATATCTTGCACTACCGGTCGAACACCTATGATATCCACCACTACCATGTAAGAACCAGTCTCACGAGGGAGAGAAGAAGGAGATTCAGGTCGCATACATCCAAAGAAAGTATCCCATGAAGACGTCTTGATATTATCCACTATTTCCACATCACGAATTTCTAGATGACCATGTAGACGCGTTTGTTCTTCAGGTACCATCATATCTAATTCAAAAATAATACCTTCAATTCGTAGTTCCATATCTGCTGACCCGGTAGCACGCCCATTGTTCCGTTGAGATCGTCGTCGGCGACTACTGCTATTACTTGTTTGCGGAGACTGTGATGTTGATTTTCGACTATCCACACTTCCAATAGGAGAACATCGACTGTCTTCATAACTGCTACTAATATCTACAGGATGGTATGCTGTGCTTCTGTCGAATGAAGTAGCATAAGGCGGTGATTGTCCACTCATCATTGATCGATCCGAAAGTGGAGGAGACCTATTACTGATGTTCCGTAATTCTGATGTGCTAGTATTTCGAGAAATAGTTTCATTGCCTATGGTGTTGGAGGATGGTAGATTGGAATAAGTTGCAGAATAACGATGACTTGACATACTAGAAGAAGGTCGACTGCCAGATCGTCTTGATGCTGATGTGCTTGCATTTCCCATTGTTGTTGTCGAGGTTGCTATAGAGGATGTTGATGTTGATGCCGATGTATTGCCACCACCTTGAGATCCCATAGATGAGCGTATATAATCCCAATCATTCCCACTATAAAGTTTCCATATAATGTCCACATCACGTACACGAACAGATAAGGCCGACCTTCGAGTGTCCACCAACTTTTGTTTGCGTGGTGCCTTGTTTGTGTTGTCAATACTGTAAAAATTTTCCACAATGTCAAATTCTTGCAATTCAGTGGATAGGATTCGGATGATGTCTTCTGGTGATTTTTGAATTCGATTATGCTTTCGTCTGGGTTTTCTGGGCCGTAGTGAGGATTGAGTCATGATCGATGATGATTCCGCTTTCGAGTAATATTCTTCAATCAGCATCAGATTGTCTTCTATTGGCGTTTGGTGACGAGAAGGTGTTGTCGACGGTGGTACGTGTCGATGTTTGAAAGCTTCTTCATCCAGACTAGATAGCATATCTTCCTTTGTCTTCACTAGAGTTGTATGGGATCGCTTTACAGGTTTCTTTGTTGATTTATATGGAGTTTTGGTTGTAGTATATTGTTGCTGTTGTTGTGAAGTGAAAATCCGATCGCCATCGTTTGTTGCATAGGTAATAAAGTTGACAAGTGATTGGAAGGAATCCGCACAGCTTTCGAGAGTGAGTATATCGTTCATAATAGTAACTTCAATATCGGGAATAGGAAGAATATCATCTAGCTTGAGTTTGACTTGAGATTCTAAATTTCTAGAGTGAAGTACATTAGCCATTCCAATCATTGACCAAAATCGTCTTGCGTCCCAGTTTCTTGTTGTTTGTTGTGCATGTGTTTCGTCCAAATCATTGACATCATCCACAAGAAACATATCAACATTTTGAATATATGTTTTGACATCTATCAAGGGTTGGCCAGCGAGAATATCAGTTACTACCTATATTCAGAAAAAAAAATAAAATAAAAATTGTTAGATTAAAAGAAAGAAGATGAGGATTCTATCAACGAGAACAATGACGATTACCTGAAGATTATCAACTACAACAACGGCACGAGAAGGGATAGATTTGGGTTTGTAATCCACTGAAGTATCGAGGACATGTGCATAAACCTTGATATATTGAGTAGGTGGATCAATGAATACCATCTAAAACAAGTGAAAAAAAAAATAGTAAGTATCCAGAGAAAATCAGTGTTTGATATATTCATTTACATCATCAGGTGTTTTCTGAAAGTCAATCAAGTTGTCTATAAAGTCAATATTCGGACTAAAACGCCAACATATATTGCATACGACGATACTGGTAATCTTATTCTGCTTGTTCAATTCAGGTATTGTTGTCAATCGAGAAAACAGGGATACCATTGATGTATTCCTTCTTGGCTATAAAATAGAATACCAATCCATCAGTGTTGATTTACAAAATAATTATGGTTTGATAACACAATCTTACCGTCAATGATTTTGGTAGCGTTCGATAAAAGAGAGGGACCTTTCTAGCATCGTCACTAATATCATCTAATGTCAGATCTTCAATGTCGAGCGTTGTAATATTCTCGTTCTATTCCAATTTTTTTTTTTAAAAAAAAAATAGAAGTTACTAAACCATACATATCTCAATATCAATATATTCTGTCTTTATGTCTTACCAGTCCCAAGTGTTTGATAACAGCAAAATATCGAAAATCGGTGAACTGTAGACGGTAGGCCGATGACGATTGATTCTTATTTGTGTGCAAATCCCATACACCTAAAAAGAAAAAAAAAAGAATAAATCCATTAGTTCAATTATAGATATAATTATTGCACTTTTCCCCACTTTTTTTTTCTCTTATTATTATTTTTATTCTTGCTGCCAATGAACTAAACTTACCTTCACCCATGACGGCAACCACAGAGAATAGACTTGAATTTTGAGTATCAGAAAGGCGACCTAATCGTTCGTGACTTTGACTAAGAACACTTGTATGACTTGATTCCATATCAGAGTGTCGTCTATAAGATGCCGTTCTAAACATTTCACTACTACTTGATACTGTTGTGCTTGAATCTGTTCGGTTTTGATCTTTTCCCAAATAGGTCATGATTCTTGGTTGCCATAAGATAAGATCATTTTGAAGAATTTGGATCTTGGCCCATGTTTGATTGGACAATGTCAAATAAGTGATAGGAAAATGACAGTTGAGAACAATCATCTATAAAAAGTAAAAATCAATGGTGATAATCAGAATGGAGCTAGAGAATAAAATGTTTTCTTTTTCTTTCTTTCTTTCTTTTCTTTTTCTTTCTTTCTTTTTCCTTACAGAGGTTTCTACAGTTCGCTGCTTGAACATCATGGATGATTCCGCTTGGTCTTCAACTGGTACATACATCTTTTGTTCAGAATGAAGGGTTTCATTTCGACTAAGATGTTCAAACAAATTGTTTGGAATATCTGATCCTGTTCCGAAATAACCTGATCTTGCTGATGGTGGAGGATGGAAAGTTTCAGAAGATGAAGAGCGTATAGTGATTTCCATACTTGGCGAAAGGGAAACCGAGGATAATGAACCTTGTTTTCCTTGACTTTTTGCAGTAAACCAGCATCGTGCCAATGGATCTAAATGTAATAAATAAATATGTAAATAAAACTGTAACTCTAATATGTATACAGATAAGACTAATCAAAAGATATTCCTTACCTTGACTTTGTTTTAAAAACACATTGATTGAATCCAAGTCCACTGTAATCCTTTGAGGTTGATGTTTTGATAAATCTGAAGATGTATATAAATAAAGTAATAAAATGGTGCATTAGTTTATTTTGGAACAGTTCTTATCCATTTATTACTATTACTATTCTTATTACCTGTCATCCAACCAGCATTGATTTTGTGGACATCCACGCTAAGAGTATCATCATGTAAATGGTCATTGAATTCATCCCTTGTACTACATTGGCTCATATCTGGTATAGATAATTGGGTCCGTATAAAGGCAATACGCACTTTTGCTTGGATACCTTGTTGATATTCTTTTGCTGCATTATCCAAATCTTCATAAATTTTTTGACCAAAAGATTGTTCAGACGTACTAGAGAGATAAAATAATAAAATATAAAAGGTAAATAACTACCAAAAAAAAAAAATTGATAAGGTAATTTCTTTTTCTTTCTACTTGCCCCATATTTTCACTTGTATCAGATCTTGTTCGACTGTCTTTTGTATGTTTTAAAATAGCGTAAGCGTAATTTTCCAGCCTATCAGCTATTCTGACATCCACGTTCAATTTCAAAGCTTGAATGTCAGTATTAAGGTCTTGCTCATATGAAGTGGCTTCTAAAAGGAAAAAATAAAGTTCCAGTTCAATAAGAAATGCTTATACAATCTTTTTTTTTTTTTTTTTTTTTTTTTTGGATTACCATCATAAATTGAATTGACTTTTGAAGTGTTTCGCTTTTCCAATCGAATTCGAATTACATCTTTCTTCGGCCTGCTTTGCTGATTATCGCTAGTCTGACCTTGATTCAAAGTCGTCAATGGTTGAGGAATATAACTGGGAAATTTCTGGTTACTATCATAGTCGGAGCAGATAGCGTCATTGAATTCCAAAATTGGCAAATAACAATAATATTTCATCTTTGTTCCTGATGTTGCTGCTGAAGTTGGTGGTTTCAGTGTCGTAGTAGAATCAAATACAGACAAACCAGTTGACATGTATTCGGTAGGAGGTACCACCCATTCTTCAATGCCCATACGCTGTATTCGTGTATCCAATATTGACGATAAATACGTTGTTTTAGCTGATGTTTCTGATGATTGTGTTGAATCTGTATCACTTCGTGATAATAATGACTCTCGCATTCCACTCATTGATTTGATCCTATTATTAACTGTAGACTTGTTGAGATGATGAGATGGGAATTTTTGTAATCGTATGATAAGCTGGCGAATCCAGACCTTTAAATGACTCGTGTTGCGTGTAGGAGGACTTGCTGATGATGTCCAAGTAGATGATGATTCCAATGATTCGTCGTTGTACAAGAAGAAGTGTTCCATCAATGGGACCTGTAGCTTGATTTTAATCTCGGGAGATGATGATTGTTGTTTCGAGGAAGAAGTTTGATGATTTTTACGCCGAGAAAGATCTTGATAAGGATCCAATTGGTTCATGGTAGGTTTTGAGTGCTGATCAGAATGAGACATATGCCGCTGATTATAAATAATATTTTCCAAATTCGAAGATCGTCTAGTTTGTGAAAAAGGTCCGGTTGATGCTGAAGGAGACGTTGATGTACTTGTTACTGGAGGAGAATCTGTCAAAGGAGTCGTTGTTGCTGCTGATAATAAATCCAATAAAAATCCCAATTGATTTGGCGTAATCATAGTTCGAATATGGCTGATATAAAAATCGATGTTTTTCGCTGCACCTGTTGACGGAGGAGGAGATGTCGCTTCTGCATTGAAAGGAGAGAGGTATCGAGCTTTGAATCGTATCCAATTTTCCTTATCCATTGTGGTAAACAAGAGAGCTTCATATGGTTTATCGATGGACTCGTTATGTACCGATGGAAATGCTCGAGGTGTAATAGAGCCACTCATCATTGATGAAAATGATTGTTCATGTTGAAATAAATCAGAGTCAAGACCTTCACTTGCTTCATAGAATTCGGTGTCAGTCAAATCGTTTGCGTCGTCAGAGGAAGTACTTGCATCCAAAGTAGTTTCGCTTTTTGATGGTTGTGAATATATTGGAGAGCCACATGATCGTATCCATATCTTTGGTGATGCAATGGTGACAATTTTGATCAATTCATCGCCGGAGTTGGGTATTAGGATACTTGATTCTATCATATTGGATGTTGGCACGGTTGTGGGATTATTAATATTTCCAGAGAATCCAGGAGTTTCATCAAAATAAGAAATCTTGGGTATTTCAATGTCCAATGAATATTCTTTGTTATAACCAGCAGATCTTGAAGAATCACCTGCCAAAGAAACAGCTGATGGGTGTACAATATGAATAGCAGTATCAATAATATCTACTTTGAGCATTGCCGCCAACTTTTCAATAACAAGAGTTAAAGCTTGTAAGCCTGCATCACCTATGTCAGTACTAGGTTGTTCTTGTAGTTGTTGAATAGATTCATAAAGTTCTTGACTTTGATCAGTTTCCATTTCCGTTTTTAAAAAGTCATCCGCAAAATGTAGAGACGAGGACATGACAGGTGAGTCATCTTCTTCCTTTTCATTTTCTATATAAATACAAGACTTATCAGTAAACAAAAAGTTATTCCTTTCACATTTCTTTCTTTTTTTTTTTTTTTTTTTTAAAATTACGTTTTCGTGTTCGTTTTTCCTTCGATGGTTTCAGTATTAAATCTAGTCCCTGGATCTTGAAAGAGATTTCACCAGACCAATTTGACCATGGCATTTTTCCTTTGATAATAGAAGCTCGTCCTTGAGTCAATACAAATGGGGTATCAATAAGTTTATCGTTAAGAGTCTATTGAAAGAAAGAAATACACACACACACAAAAAAAAAAAAAAGGTTAATTATTGTTGGATGATATTATTATTACTATTATTATTAAACAGTTACTTACGTCAAGATTCAAGTCAACATCACGTAGTTCAAAAGAACCATTTACAAGTTCAAAGTCAAAGTTATCTTGATTCAATTCAGTGGCAAGATATGAACCAATTGTTTTCCATAGTAAGTATTTGTGTAATCGTTTTTGAATATTGAATGGTATTGAGAAGTTCGTAAATCCCGAAGATAGATAATCCCAAGCAAGTTTCATGATGCTGACTTGCTATAGTAATAGGGTATACTGGGATGGTCAATAATAAATAATAAACAATATATAAAAGAAGAAGAATAAGGAAAAAAGAATGAGCTGCGAAAAAAAAGGTAAAAGAGGATTTTTTTTTTTTATGTGGGTCAGCTGAACTTATTAAGTAAAAAATATGAGTTATGCGTATTTGTGAATTTGGATTATTTCAAACACCGTTGAAGCCAATGGCTTCTTAATAATTTAACCGTGATCATTACACTTTTAATGAAAACTATACACTTATGATCTCTTCCAAGTAGCCTTTTATTTTATTAGATATGAATTCTATATACTATTTTATGACATATGATGATTGGAAGATGATTATTTGATTTGATTTAATAGAATAACCATGATTATTTAATAACTTCGATGTGATTGGTGGAAAAGAAAAACAATATAAAAGACATTTTTTTTTATTTTCGCCCTTTCTTTTGTTTTTCTTTCTTCTAAAAAACACAAAAAAAAAAAAAAATTCAAAAACCAAAAAATCAAAAAAAAAAATTATTTGCTTCTTTTTGGCAACTTCCTTGTTGGTGTCTTCTTCTTTCTGTTCGCCCGGTTTGTCTCCCCGTTTTCCTTGTCGTTTTTTTGGTTTTGTCGTGCCTCTGGTTTTCTGTCTTTTGCGTCTTCTGTCTTTCTTCCTTGTTGTTTGGATCTTTTTTTTTTTCGGTAAGTGCACATATATAGATAATATTTAGTTGATCATAACACTAACCGTTTTTCCATTTCTTCTTTTCAACCACCGTAGATCCCCAGTGGCGTGCATCAGTCTGTCATCATTAATAATAGGAGATCATTTTTCATTACAGTTTATTCATTAATAAATTATCAATGCTTTATATTGGTCTTATACCTGTATGCGAGAAAAATCATCCAATACGTTAACGTCATGAAAAGAGCTTTCTTGATATGAAAGAATGACTTTTAGATTACCTTTTTTTTTAAAAAAAAACATCATACTTACATTTTATCTACACACATATATATATATATATATAATTTACTCATCAATGAAACCACTTTTTTATTATTTTTATTATTACAAATGATTTTCTGCATGAACTGGGTCGATGATCTTCAGTGTGACTGGATTGATAAACAGTAAGGCGGGACCTTAATTGTTTTTTTTTTCCCTTCTAGTTCCAGATTCTGCTTTTCCTTTTTTTTTTTTTTTTCTCTAATGTCTCTTTTCATTATTTAAACATATGCAACTTTCGACAGATCACTCTTCACCATCAAGTCCATCTTCTACCACCAAAAGTCATGAAAACCTTGATCCTAATTCAACGGATAGCAACAAAAGATCTGTGGAAACCCCTGATACATCAGTAGCTTCTAAACGCGCAAAGATAATAGATCAACGACCAGTTATCCCAATTATTCCTAGTACTATGAAGCTTGCACCAAGGCCAATCGCTTTACCACAACTCAAATCAACGGCAGAAATAGATACGGAACCAAAATCTAATGTTTCTACTATCAACACAGAAAGAAAACCTTTAACGACTGTCTCCTGTAGAAGTGATACCTTCACTGTACTTCCAACCTTACTACCAGCATCTCAACAACCTCTTACACCTTCACCAGCAAAAGAAACTTTGGATAATGTCAATAGCAAGCGAGAGGCAACACCAATCAACATGAACAATATTCCACTAGCAACAGTGTCTGCATTATCAGAGTTTGATCTTACACAAGCGCAGCAAGCATTGACACAAGCTGCTTTAACCTCCTCGACAATACACACTCCTCCTCAAAAACAATCTACTACAGAGAACTCCAACGTACATACGGACACTCAAAATATACTGAAAGACATGGCTCAGAAATATGCATCCGGAGGAACGACGTTGGAACAATTGCAACAACACTCTTTTTTGACGGCTGATCTCCTTCGACGTGAATTGATGAATCAAAAGGTAAAAGATTAAAAAAAAAAGAAAGTTTATTATTTTCAATAGTTGATTGAATTTACTTGTATTTCTTTTATAGGTTAGAGCTGATAACCGGGAAAGAAAGAAAAGATGGCGAGAACAAAATGAAGAAAGAAGTAAGTAGAAAGAAAGAGAAATGATGTACAAGAACTTATATTTAATATGATCATCTTCTTCTTTAACTAGACAAGGATAATGATTTACGATGTAGAGTGAACAAACGGGCACATAAACTATATGGCAAGGAAGACAGCGAACAAAAACGCCAATGGATAGAAGAGGAATTTGCGAAAAGACAACATAGACGTAAAGAAAAAGAACAACGTAGGATAGCAACTGACAGCAGTATGAAATCAGCATCAAATTCATCAAGTGTGACATCCCATCCTGTGACGAACAATGGTTCTTTTGGCTTAAACATAGAATCTCCTGGTGTCAATCTACCACTTTTGCAAGAAGCGTATTTATCCATGATGTACAACAAGGATGAATCATCCACTCAATCGGCAGTACAAAAACTTGCTGAGGGACTACGACTCATGGGAACAGCTATCAAGGCAGACGGGCGCAGCGAAGATCCAACTCTACCTCAGCAACTGGCGTCATCACTTCAACAACTTTATCAATTATTGCATCAGTCTTCAACAGAATCATCACCAAAGAAATCACAAGATTCAGTATCTGTAAAATCATCCACTGCTACATCTTCAGCAGCAAAAGTGACAGTAGGAGCGTCCACTGTGAAATCGCCTATGAATATATCATCAACAGAGGACTCAGCAAAAGAAACATCATTAGAAAAAACCAACACGCTTGGAACGACAGTAGTATCATCAACTGTGTCATTACCTTATACATCTCCTTCCGTCAATACTGCATCGACAATTAAACCAGTAATATCAACAGAGTGTCATGAAATGGATACAATGATAACCAATGGAGCCGAAATATTAATCAAAGAAGAAGACATATCGACAACAATGACAGCAGGATGCGAATTGAAAACAAAGAAACCATCATCGCCTTTATTATCGTCATCATCATCAACAACAACGACACCAGCACCAACACCAACAGGATGCCAGCAAGAGACTCAGGTTACAAATGATGAATTGTCTGCTCTATTGATACAAACTCTTCAACAGACCGCTTTTGTATCTCAAGAAAAACAAGATAACATGACAACACCCTCCTCTCCAGCAACGGCAGATCTCCTTTTGAATGATATTCCACAAGATCCAAGCCAATTATACCCCATGGAAGCTATTAGAACTCTCTTGAAATTGAACACAGGTACAGATATTTTGTATCATTATCCAACGAAAGATTTGTTTTCTAACAACATTTTTATATATATTTATATTTTTTTTTTGTTTTAGAATGGATAAAACAGTAGTTGAAACCGGTGATTAGATAGATAGATGATACGTTATTTTGTCTTGTTGACAAATCATTTGTATTCTATTATGATAATAATAAAAGATGAATAATTAAAAAAAAAAAAAAGAAAAAAAGAAAAAAAAAAAAAAAAACTCCTAGGTCTATTCCAACATTCTTAATCTTGTTTTTTTTATTCCGTACAATCTTTTTTTTTGTCCATATCTTCCCGTTGCGTATATTATATATATATATATATATATAAATATATATATATGTGTGTGTGTGTATTTACAATAATAGTGTACGATGTCCATCCACTTGTGTAGTTTGGAAATTCTGATCTGTATCACGGAGTATTTGGATGTGAAAGACGTGCTAGCTTTGTCCAGTTGCAATCGAGCACTGAGCCAATTGAAAAACATTGATAGTCTTTGGAAACAGTGGTGTCATACTCATTTTAGATTATTATATAATCATCCAGATCAGTTATATAAAACTCTTTATCAAAACTCATATCGACGTGTTTTTGCAGGAAGACGTCCTTGTTGTCATCTTTCTTCCTTATTTATCATGCCGCATGTCACTGAATGGAAATGTTGTCGCACCGACGGACATTCAAACCGGTATATCTGTCTCCATTGTCATAAAACAGGTATATTATTATAGGGGGGAGACAATGTTTTAATTTTCTTTTCTTTTCTTTTCTTCTTCTTCTTTTTTTTTTTTTTTTTTTCTCTCTCTACTATTGGTGAATAACAATCGATCCAGTATGTGACCGACATGCTCGTTCCCATGCAAAACAACATGAACACAACATCTTTTTTAATCCTGTCCTGATGGAACTCTTTTGTCAATCGTGTGTTGACTGGGTAATGAACTCAATAAAACAAAATTTCAAAGGAGCCCTCTAACTTTTTTTTTTTTTTGGTTTAGCTTGGTGGTACGGAAAGTGATCCTGCTGAACAATATCAAACACACTTGATTATAAATCAGTGGTTGCCAATGATACATGAAACGTCTGGTCAACAACAGCAAGCATTGATTTTACAACAACAACGACGGTATGAAAGGTATCTCCGCTGGCGAGATACACCTCAACAGATCATGAAGGATCCTCTTGGATATGTATTCATCACAGCATCATGGGTGGCTCAATGGGAACGCTTTGTAGAAGGCTGGAGCATCCACCCACCTTCCATCACTATCGACAATCATCTCTGGCGACGCTTGATCAAGGACTGTGATAAACCATCTATCAGCTTCAGTCCGCCTTCTTCCTTCTCACCTACTGATCTAGTCATCCTCTCTCATCATACTTGGTCCTATCTAGCTCACACTTATTCGATCATTGGCCCATGTATTACAGAAAACGACTTGCAAGGTCTCGATCTGGACAAGAAATGGCAGTATTACAAGTCTCGTTTATGTAATTAGGCAATTCTATCATTTATTATCATTTTTAGTTTAGTTAGTATAGGTTTTTTTTTCTTTCTCTCTATTCAATATGAATTGATGTATCAAATAAAAAAAAAAAATGAAATAACAATTGTTGGTTTTTGTTGTCAAAATAAAGTATTTATTTTACATTGTTGGTTCAAAAAGGATTCCGTCTAAATCAAGTAAAATGTGATTATGCTTACAAAAAAAAATGCAAAGGACAAACTATGTTTCTATCATTTTGTCTAAAGATCAATGCATAGAACTCGCGCGCTTCTTATCAGGACGAACTGTACCAACAAATATAGGAGCCTTTTCAATGTTCATAGCTTTCATCCGAAGAATGGCTAAAAAAAAAGTAATCGTAAGTATATATGAGTATTCTTTTGCTCGTTTTGTTTAGTATACTATACCTTCATCAAGTGCAAGTTCAATCATACATCGAGTCCGAATCAATGATAACAATGGCCATGTAGATCGTTCACCATGTAGTATCCTAACATCAAAACTCATCAGTGCCTTCGATTATCTTTTTTTTTTTTGTCTTACCAATATGCGAGGGATTCATGTGTTGGATTTGAAAATAACATATTGAAATCCTAAAAAAAAATATCAAAAGTATCAGTCAGTAACACATCATATCATCGTTTTTTTCTTTCTTTCTGACTTCCTACCGATAATGCCAATTCTGGTACAATGTTGACATTTCCTGACATTTTTTGTACAATAAGACCACGTAAGGAATATGGAAGCAACTGAAGTTGATCAAGCTATATAATATATTACATTAGTCTTAAAAAAAAAGATGATCATGTCTAACGATAACTCATCTTTTTCTTACCTGATAGAGTCTATGTCTGAATTCTGATGCCATCATATAAACCAACTTATTCCAAAGAGAATCGCGTTGCATCTTGTGACCTGGAGCAATAAATGGAATGGCATAAGAGCTAGCTTGAGATACAATAAAGTGATTCACGTTGAATAATTCGGACAAACGTTGCAATGGTGCTTCACTATTTGAATGAATAACAAAAGAGACTGATTAGTATAATTATCCAAATTCATTTGCTTTTTTTTTTTATTTTCTTCTGTTTTACCTATCCGAAGATGTTGTTTCCGTCCAAGGATTCCATTTCACATCTACTCAAAAAAAAAAAAAAAAAGTCATTAAAACATTCCCAAATCATCAACCCATATATATATTCTTTCTTTCTCTTATTACCTGAAGGATTCCATTTCACAATATCACCATTTTTATCTTTGGCTAATAGGTCACATCCTGAAAACAATCCGGCAGAAGCAGTTGAACAGCAAGCAGCACTCCAAATCAACTATAGAATAAAGGACCATAAATTGAGATACTTTCAAACAGAATCAAATCAAAGGATAGATCACTTACCACATTCGGAGCTGTCATATAATTCAAATGTTGAGGTACTTCTTGTGTTCTCCTTGATGATACTGAAATATTCAAAACACGATTACTTCGAGCATATGCTTCCTACAAAAAAAAAAAAAATGTTAATCATATCACATGAAAATCATAAAAAAAAAACACCTTTGTTTATTGTTTAAAGTTTTACCTCAAACGTCAAATCACCAACATTTTCCCGTACACATCGTTGTAGTACCTTCATGTCCATCAAATAACCTATAGAGTGCAAATATTATAACGATTTAAATGAATATATATAATACATAGTTTCCATCTTTTTACTTACCATATTTAAGTAAACGAGTAACCCGACGTTTGAAGTGGCTAAAAGAAAAAGACGATCAATCAACAAAAAAAAAAATGCGTGTGCGCCGCAGATTGATGATAAAACAAATAAACAAGTAATAAAAAGTTAATCTTACCCCTTATCTGTCTTTTTGTAAAACGCTGACAAGTTGATTCCATCAGGTTGAAGAACACGCTGCAAAAAAAAAAAGAAGAAGAAGATTGTATAAGTACATTGATCATATTCATTCAGAAAAAGACAAAAATGTCATTACTGGTAATTCTTCATCGGTATGAATACATATCAAAGCAGCTACCATAGAACTGATCGCCGTACTACTAATAATTCTTGGTAAGAGTCCTTGTTCGTTCAACGCCTTGACAACGCCTATATGATATAAAGCTTTTTTTTTTTTTTTTTTTTGAAAAAAAAGTTGAGTTTTTTTTTTTTTCCTTTCAATTCATGTGAAAAAGTTTGAAACTTTACCAAAAGTCGAAGCACCTTGTAATACCAAAGCAGAACGACCAAATCCTTGACGTGTATCTGTGAAAAATTTCATTTTGAATTGAGGCTCCAAAGCTGGAGTAGATTCAATATATTCAATTTGAGTAACGACTTCATCCATATAATCTTCAATGGTTTGTTTTGTTCTATGGAATAAAAAAAAAAGTTAATAATAAATGGTTACGGAATCAAACTTTTTCTAAAAACGTACCCAAGATAAGAATGAGTAAAAAGTTTTCGATCACTGATACCTCCAAAGTTTCGTAAAAGACTGCCTCGTAATAAATAGATCATAGAATCAGCATCATTGGCTTGTCTAGCTTTGCATAAATGATCCAATCTTGAAGTGATGACTTTGTAATCATATAGTTTAGATTTGGGTTGTTGTTTCCACCGATCATTATCTATTCAAATAATAAATAAATAAAAATCAGTATCATTATATTTAAATATATATATATATATATAATATTTAACTTACGCAAAAGTCTATCAACCAAAGAAAGAAGAAGAAGAAGTGTTACTTTCGTTCGTTCAAAATAAGTATTGATAAATTTTTTTTTTACCTATCTAATTCATATGCTTTGTCACACCAATCATCATAATTGGTAGCATTGGACAACTGTCGCGAGAGTTTACTTTCTGGAATATTGTCATTAATTTTATGCCAAGTTCTCTATAAAAAAAAAAGAAAGAACAGTAAGATAAAAATAAATAATTTTTTTTTTTTTTTTTTACCATCCATGGTAGCAAAAGGTATGTAGCCAATATGCTTATAAATCGATATATATAGTCAAGAAGTGGTACAATAATATAATGAACAGGATCTTTTGTCATGTTGACCAAGTAAGAACCCATGTTATTCTAATAATGGTGAGAATGGTTGAATTCCGTAACCAAGTCTTAAAAACCAAAAAAAAAAAAGAAGGTTTGACAAGAAAGAAAGAAAAGAAAAGAAACAAAAAAAAATAGGATTTTATATATAAGTATAAAAAAAAATTGAAAATTTCACATGGCTTGCCCGGTTTGTTATTGGTGCATTTTATCCGTCGGTGTCCTAATGCATAGAGAAATCAACTATGGAGCACGCATAATCCCATCATCAACCCCCCCTTTGTTTGTGGTCAGTCATCATAGGATTTACATTGAATTATATATATAAAACAATCATTTTTAAACTGTATCAATTACCTTTGTAATAAGAATCACAACAAAATATAATATGATTTCATGTTCTATTTTATTTGAAGAAAATAGAAAAAAAAAGAGAGAGAAAGAGAATATGAAAGTAATGCAGGAATAATAATAATAATAAATGAGTGTAATAAAAAAAAATAATGAAATAAAAGAGTGGAATGATATATAAATATATGTAAAATTAACTAAATAACAAACTAATCTAATGACCAAAAGTTTCCAAATCATAAGATTGAGCAGTATCCGTTGCAAGGGGTTGATAAGATGCTTGTATACGTTGTCCAATAAAAGGTACAGGAGAAAGAAGTCGAGACCATAAAGAAGAAGAAGAAGATTTACTTGTTGTTTGTTGATTCAATAAAGAAGGTCGGCGCCAGAACCATTTCAACATCAGACTACTAACCACCACACTTGTAGAACTTGCTGCCATGGCCAAACCTGCCATCATAGGATGAAGATGATATCCCCAAGGCATAAAGATACCCATTGCCAATGGAATGCCAATAAGATTGTATATACATGCCCATCCAAGATTGATCTTGATTCTTCGAAAGATGGACCTTGATAGATCTAAAGCTGTCACCACGTCCGCCAAGTCATTTCGCATCAATACAACATCTGCCGCTTCCATAGCAATATCTGTTCCACTACACAAAGCAATTCCAAAATCTGATTGTACCAATGCAGGAGAGTCATTGATTCCATCTCCAACCATTGCCACCACTGTTGATATATCCGATTTCCTTATTTGATGAATACCCCTAAGAATCATTGTACATAAAGAACAAATCCGCCATGATTGTTGTTGCCATTTCGATTCTTGTTGTAAAGGCATCCAAGCTTCTCGTTGCATCCGTTGTACCAATTGAGTTTTTCCATTGGGTGACACACCAGCATGTACTTCCTCTATTCCTAGTTGTCTAGCGATCGTCTTTGCTGCCAATTCATTGTCACCAGTCACCATTGCAGTATGAATCCCCATACGATGAAGTGTCGCAATCACATGTTTAGCTTCCGGTTTGACCACATCAGAAATCGAAATATAACCAGTCGCCATACCATTCATTCCAATCAAAATACATGTATAACCTTGACGTTCTTGATCTTGTAAGGATTGTACTTGTTGTTCCGAGAGATGAATATCATGATGTTGTTCTAGCCATCGTTGATTACCCACCACCACAATATATTGTTGCATCTGTTGTGAAATAGCATCCATCACCTTTTGATTGAAATCGTTCCCTGTTAAAGCAGTATTGGCCAAATCAATATGACATTCAACACCAAATCCCGTTTCACTCTTGAAGTGAGATACAGAAGCTAGATCATCCGTCACCTGTACATTAGCCAAAGCCTTGAACTTGTTGACTACAGCACGACCTAATAAATGTTCACTATGAGCTTCCGCCATGGCAGCCAAAAAAAACATCAATGCACGTGTAGTTTCGATATTGTCCCAAGAGTTGTATTCTACCACTTCCATCTTGCCAATCGTCAATGTACCAGTCTTGTCAAATGCTACCTTGTTCACTTTTTGTCCCTTTTCCAATACCAAACCACCTTTAAAGAGAACACCATTTTCAGCACCAAGTCCAGTTCCTACCATCACGGCTGTTGGCGTCGCCAATCCCAAAGCACAAGGACAAGCTACGATAATCACACTGATACACATCTTGAGACATACAAAGAACCAATCACCATTGCCTTCTTGAGTGATTTCCATACGTAACATTGGAGGCATACGATCCACACCAAGAAAGGTTACCAAGAGTGTCCAAACCATCAGAGTACCAAACCCAAGAGCAATCACACAAGGAACAAAATAACCAGCAACCACATCAGTAAAACCTTGAATTGGAGCCTTGCTAACTTGAGCATCTTCTACAAGTCTTACGATTTGACTCAATGCCGTATCTGATCCCACACGAGTTGCTTCCATTGTAAAGGTTCCTAATCCATTGACAGTACCACCAATCACAGTATCACCAGGTTTCTTGTTGACAGCATCCACTTCACCCGTCACCATACTTTCATCCACAGAAGACATCCCGTTGATCACCAAGCCATCCGTAGGAATCTTGTCACCAGGCACAATTTTGAGTAGATCACCTTGTTGAATCAATTCAGAAGGAATTCTTTTTTCACCCACTACAACTTTGGTCACTGGATCTAGTTTGAGCATGCAGGCAGTAGATGGAGTGAGAGACATCAGTTTGGATAATGCAGTTGAAGATTGTCCTTTTGCTTTGTTTTCGAGATAACGACCCATCAAAATAAAAGAAATCAACATACTGGAAGTATCAAAGAATACAGAAGGTCTTGATGATGCTTGAGTAAGAATAGCACGTAACATAGAGATGATTGAAAAAGTAAAAGCAGCCAGAGTAGACAAAGAGACAAGTACATCCATAGTTGGAGATTTGTGACACAACGAGCGGTAAGCAGATATCAAAAATCGACGACCAATGATGAATTGAGCTGGGATGGTGAGGATCAGTTGTACAATATCCATAAGGTATAAACCTGGAGCCAGGGTAACACCAACCAGAGAACGACCCCATGCAAATTGTGGCAGTATCATGGCAATGAAGAATACTGGTATTGAGAAGAAGAGACTATGGATAAGAGCTTTTCGCCATTCCTTGATTTCACGCACCTTGGATAAACTTTCAAGTTGAGCATTCTTGGTTGAATTGGCTACAAGTGCATTGAATCCTAAATTTTCGATAGTTTCCACAATAGTTCGAAGTCCAATTTGTTTTTCGTTGTATTCCACCTTTGCAGTTTCCGTCATCAGATTCACAGAGATTGAAAGTATACCATCCAACTTTGATACCGCCCGTTCGATGCTATGTACACATGATGCGCACGTCATACCAAATACTTGAAGCTGCACCATATCGTTTTGAGAAGATTCCAATGCCATAGCTTCAAAACCACATTCTTCAATCGCATGAGCTATTTGAGCAGCAGTGATCGTCAATGCATCATGTTCCACAGTTGCACGTTCCGCCAATAAGGATACTTTGATTGTTTTCACACCTTTGAGGCCTTGAATACTTTTTTCTATACTATTGACACAAGAAGCACACGTCATACCTCGTACTTCAAACTGACTTGTATCATATTGATCATTGTTTTCTTTGAGCATTGCCGTTGTTTCGATATCATCAGGATCGTCCATAGGAAGAATGGCTATAGGTTCTGTTGACTGGGTTGTTGAAGAAGTTTTGGTATAAGGTACATCGAATCCACAATCTTCAATGGTGTTGATCAAGAGTGATACTATATCAGATTGAGAATTGTCGTATACAATGGTGGCGTTTTCTTTTTCCAAACTAACAATAACAGACTTGACTTGGGATAATGTTGATATAGCACCAGTAATAGATTTCACACATGATTGACAAGTCATACCAAGTACAGGTAAAACAATAGTAGCGTTTGTATTGGTAGATAAAGGAACATCAAAACCACAATCTTCAATAGTATTGATAATAACAGAAGCTTCCAATAGTCCATCAGTTATCACAGTTGCTTGATTATCTTCTAGACTGACCACAACAGAAACAATACCAGGAAGTTCTTGTAAAGCATTTGTAATAGACTTGACACAAGATTGACAAGTCATACCAATCACAGGTAATGTGAACTGAGAAGGAGCTTCCGTCATCGGTAATGAAACATAAATAATAATAATAATAATAAAAAAAAAAAAAAAAAAAAAAAAAAGGAAAGAAAGAGAAAGAGGAAAAAAAAAAGGGGGTATGTGTATATGTAAGAGAACAAAAAAAAAAAATAACAAAGATGGAAAAAAAAGAAGCCGCGCTGAGTCAGAAAAAAAAAAAAAACTGAATATCAATTGAATGTGTGTTACCCTTCAAGATCTGATAACAGTTTAAATACAATCATATAATTGATATATTCATGTTGGAATGATCAAATATGAAAGAAGTATAAGATCAAGCTTAAAAAAAAAAAAAAAAACGTCATTCATAAGTTTAAAACAAAAAAAAAAAAGTGAACGAGGAATTAAAAACAGAACTACGCGAGAAATAAAAAGAACCCTGGAACTCCCCGGAAAAAAAATTCTTTTTTTTTTCTACACAACAACATGGTTAAATTTCAATTAGTCACTTGTAGTCTCCTTTGTCTTTGATATATATTTTTCACTTAAAAATACTAAACGGGAATTAGGGTTTGATTCGATCATCTAAATGATATCTCTCCTACACTCATAAATATATCATAAATATATATCATCATTATATTCTTTCCTCCCGAGAAAAATATATAAATATATATATGGGCGTAGCGAAAATAACTCAACCAATGAAAATCTTTCTTTTTTTTTCGTGAACATAAAAAAAAAATTCACTTTTTTCGGTCTATTGTTATTGTTGTTACTCTTTCTTTTTAAAGAAACTTTACTTTTTTTTTTTTTTCTGACAATATGTTCCCGGTAGAAAAAGGTAAACCAAAAAGACATATATTTTTGACTATTTCCGTTTTATTTTTTTTTTTATTCTTTTCTTTCTCTCCTTTTTACTTAAATTTTTTCTTTTTTTTTTTTTTTTTTTTACTTTTTTTTTTTTCCTTCTTTGCTATGACTATATATAACGATAGACAAACTCCCAAAGTGACTTTGGACTATATTGACTGGATAATAGAACAACGACAACAAGGATTACAAGATCATAAATGGCAACAACAAAGGTTACGAGATATATATAGGTTGGTCAAACGACGACAAAAAGAACTTCGTATCTTCTTCTTAACAGTGGACGCATTACAATCACAATATAGACGATATCATCATAGTCAATATCAACTTTTGGACCGACTGACGGAAGAAATCAATCAACATGATTGGAAACAACACAATGACCGACGACAGCAAAAACAAGACGAAGCACAGTGGACCCATTTGGAAAAGCAATTGCAGCACCTACGTACGTATGCAGCACAACGACGAGATAAGAAGGCAAAACGAGAACGACAATATCATGATGTTTATTTCGTACCGGTGGTTAATAAGCAATACAAAAAGAAATATATGCGTGCGCGTGACAAGAACAATGCTGTAGAACAACAATTGTCAGATTTACATAGAGACATGGATGTGATCAAGGATCGACTCAAGCAACAACGTAATGCATGGTCATCAGGATTGGCATTTCGACAACAACTCATGGAACAACAAGATCAAATACAAAAAGAACTCGATCATCAGCAAGCTCTTTTGGTGAAAATGAAACAAGCTCAATCATTTTGGTGTCAATTTGATACTCATCATGTACAACCTTACCTTGACTGGCTCCAACGCAGTGATGATGACGATGATGATGATGATGATGACAATGATTGGACTCGATTACGATTGATGACTGTGGATTATGAAGAAGCTGAACAACATGGTCGACATACTTGGGATCATGAATCTTGGGAGGTGACTTTTGAATGCTCACATTGTCATATGACGACTGATGGTTGGCCCTATTTGAACAAGGTACGTACAACTCAATTGATGTGTGTTTCCTGTTATCAAGATAATCGGACATCTATGATTATGGAGAAGAAACTATCGTCCATCTTTTCTGGATCTCAACAACATGCTTACAAACAACCTGATGTACTTTTATTCTCTCGTTCATCATCTATTCCATCCTTGATCTCCTCAACCTCCAAATCAACACAATCTATCATCAATGACTGCAAGCCTTTTGTCAAGAAAATGAAATCCGCTCTTTCTCTCAATCACAAGGTCGATGCTTTGATCCATAATCCATTATTGATCTCAAAACAAACCCAACGAGCTTTATTAGCATAGAAAAAATTATATAGTTTTTTTATTTATTTATTTATTTTTACTTCTTGAATAATTCTAAATTGAAAAATAAAATAAAAAAAATGTAATAATTATATAATATATGGTATGATGATGAAAACTTTCTTATGATAATACTTTGTGATGATGATTCATATAATGATCCCTATAAAAATGATGATATTTCCTATAAAGATTGTAATGATTCGTTCATACAATAGTTGATGATGATGATGATGATAATTGATTCTTTTTGATTTGTTTATTGTTCGAATATTGAATATGAAGAAAAAAAAAATGTATTTTGGGGGGATTCTAAAAATATGTATGAATACAAAAAAAGAAGAAAGGAGAAAAAAAAAGGCGATATATAACTTTGAAAACAGGCAAACAAGGAGATCAAATGAAAATGTTTTTCTTTTTTCAAAGAGGGTTGTGAGGAGGATGCGGGAGGAGAGAGGGGAAAGCATCTAATCTACGTCTATCTACAAATCACCTAAACTATCCTTGATAGCCTTATAATAATCTGGCGAAAGATAATTGACTAATTCATCCTTGGTTAACCATGCAAAATCTGACACATCCTTGGTAGGTTTGACTTGACCAGCATATACACGTGCCTTCATAAAGAAAATCTAATAATAAATAAATAAAAGGTTAAATATCCATTCATTTCTTATTTACTTTTGATTTTTTACCTTCAATCCTTCAGTATCTTCCTTTCTAGAGGGACTTTGCTTGTAATGACTAACAGGTTGTCGCCCCACAAACCAAACATCCATATCCTTACCACAAGATTCTTTTAAATAACGTTCAGCAGCCTACACAAAAAAAAAATATATATAAATAAGATAATTGATCACTTGTTTATAATATAAACTTACTTCATGAAGATATTCATTTGCTTGTAAGTCAGTTTGAGGGAATTGCCATTGGTTTTGTTGTTTAACAATCAAATAAAGGTTACGAGTCAAAGCTCGATCGAGTTTCTTGATATCGTTGGTCTTGTCAGCTTGAGTGATTCTATCGTTGATTTGAATGGGTGGTGTTGAAGAAGATTGGTCAATATGTTGTTGTTGTATAGCTTCAGTTAATGAGAGGGCTTGGTCCTTCATAGCAGCGTCTCTTGCTTGAACATCTTCCTTCCATCGTCGTTCAGCCACCGATCCCTTTTTAAAATAAAAATCTTGAGGAAACACAGCGGATGCCTGTCGTTCTTGTTTTTCCTTATAATCGAAATAAGCTCGTTCAAAAGGAGTAGCGTCCCGGGTGATTTGAGGTCCACGAGTCAAGATTACTGATGCTGCAATACGACTGTTTTTGATCATTAACGGTTGTTGTTGTTGTTGTGCAACTCGGCTACTTGCAGAGAAGAATCGTTGACTGATCTTCAACATGGCAATGGATAATATTTACTAGTAGTGGTGATAGTGATAGAGATAGAACGAAGAATGAAGGACACTAAAAGAGATTTACAAGGAAAAACAAGTAAAACTGTCAAAAAAAAAAAAAAAAAAAAAAAAAAAAAAAAAAAGAGGGGATTTGGTGAAGGCGCAAGAAAAAAAAATCTACAGGTGGAAAAGAAAAAAAAAAGTGTGACGTTCGTGAGTTGGGAAGCCAGGATATGGCGTTGAAATACCGATCTCACTTCCAAAGGCGGGATTGCCAACTACTACTACTTTCCTCGTCTTTTTTTTTTTTTCTCTTTCTCTTTTTCTTTATCAACTTTGTCATGAAACACCTTTCATTAACTCTCGCCTTGGGTGTATTATCTTCCTCTATGAGTGTCATGGGTAACAATGAACAAAATAACACGTTAAATAAATATGATTTTTATACTGAACAACTTCTTCCTTTTATTATTTTAATACATAGCACGCTCATCTGTTTATTTTACACCAATGATACAACCAATGGATTCCATTCCTGAAGTATCATTGAATACTTTCTCTACTTGGATGGCACATATGACGGGGTCTAGTGAAATACATTCTGTCTTTCATTGGAAAGATAAACATCGACAAGAAGCTTTGGAAGGTATACAAACTTTATGGTCTCATCCTACTTTTAGAGAAATGGTTTCTGGTGATATTTTCGAACCTTTGACAAACTCAAAAAAGTCCATGGTTATTATTGATGGAGTCGCTCATTCTAAAGGTATAGTAAAAAAAAAAAAAAAAAAAAAAAAATAGGTTAGTTATTGTTTGTGACAAAAGAAACGTGGATAGAGAAGGGCTGAAACAATACATCTAACTCCTTGATTCTCGGAAACCGAAATAGTAATATATTAATTGTGTTTTTTTTTTTTTTTTTTTTTTTTTTTTATTCTGGTAATAGATATTTTACCTAATCGGCAACCTTCTCTTTATGTTGATGATAATGATGCCCAAGATTTTATGGATGTGGCTCTGGATACCATGGCTTTATACGCTGACAAAAATGCTGAAACTCAAAAGGTATCCAAAAAAAAAAAAGATGGAATCGAGTGTACATTTGCTAACCTCCTTTTTTTTTTCATTTCAATAAAATAGATTGAAAATGTGGACGACACTGTGGATACCAATCTTAACGAAATTATCGATTCTTTCAAAACTCATTATGAATCTTTGGTAGATACCACTGTATTTGATTCTAACAACAAGGTAAAATAGAAGATAATAAATCGTGATGATTTCTTTACTGACATTGCACAATGTATAGGCAGATCGAACATTTATGATCGAAATGGAAAAGATCCGAGGGATGACGAACAAGGATTTTAACGTGGTTCGATTGACAGGATTGAAACAACTTGGACAAGAACATGGTATTAATTCAAACGTATACAGAGAGGCACAACAAGTGGTACAACAATTGATCAACAACGATATTGAACAACAACAAAAAGAAACAATGACATTGATTATGACACCTTGGACGAATACAATGGAAAAACGTGCAGTACCTGAAAAGATCAACGCTGTCAGTGATTTTCAACTACTCTTCTGGACTGGTGTTTTCTTGGTATTAGTGACTTCAGGTGTATTGACGTTTGTCTATAGATTGGGTAGTGTGGATACTGGTAATGTGGTCATGACTTCTACTCTCCCCAAACAAGATTAGTTTTAGTTTTAGTTTAGCCTTTTTTTTTTATTATTATTATTATTATTACTGTTATCTTTGTGATGAATAAATGGAAACTTGTTGTCAATGATTTATTTCAATTACATATGTGTTATTTTATATCGTATTCAATGAAAGGAATGGATGGAATGATCAAATGAATATGTGAAACAGTAATGCTTTTTTCTTTGTTTTATTGATGAGTAAGGAGTGAAAATAAAAATGCTGTTTTTTTTAAAAAAAAAAAAATATCAATATATATATATATATAAAAAGGAATAAGAAAAGAGATTTGTGCTTGGTATGGCATAGAAGGTATAATAAATAAATAAAAAAAAATGTTAAGATACAAGAGACATGATCATAAGGAGGGAAATAGAAAGAAACCAGATTGATTGATATGCGAAAAAAGTAAAAGGGGGAAAATAAGAACATTGAAATAAATAAATAAAAAAAAGAGAAAACTATATATAAGCTATATACAACATATTGATTTTGGATCTACCATAATCAATATAACACACCAGTATGAGTAATAAAAGAGCGGTGGGAGCAAATGAAAAAAAAAAAAAGAATGTGTTGAAGCATGATTGAACTTGATGATAAAGAAAGAAAGTGGACCAAAAAAGGCAATGACGGTCTTCATAACAAGTAATGATGATGATGAGAAGAAGAAGAAGAAGTAGAAGAAGAAGTAGAAGAAGAGGAAGTAGAAGTAGAGGAAGAGGAAGAAATAGATCGATCATGATGATGATATCGATGATGAGTTTGTTGTTGAGGATAGTAAATGGGAGGTAATGTACGATCTTTAGAAGGAATGGAAAGACGACGGACTAAAGGATCATCATTAGCATAGATTGGGTAAGGTGATAAATACAAATCAGAAGGAGGAGTGGTTGGTATCCAAGAGGGTGACATGACAGGAGTGACCACTGTAGGTGAATGAGGTGAACAGGGAGAAAAAGAAGAAGATACCGATGATGATGATGATGTAGAATATTTCTTTTCCATCGTATGAACTGAATTGTTCCTATTATTGTTGGATGGAACACGTTTTCTAGATTTACGAATGCCTTGAAGAGTACGATATCGATTGAAGCAAGTGGCTCGTTTGCGATGAGGTAATTGGCTGGAAATTTGACCCCAAGTCAAACCATTGGCAACACCATCACAAATAATAGCATCCTCCAAGTTGGAAAATCGACTACGAGGTTTACCATGAGATGATGTATCCAAATGATTATCTGATGATGATTGTTTGGGTGGCAACATATCAATACCAGAGGTAGGGTTAAGCAGATCAGAGACTATAAAAGGAAAATAAAAGAGTTTAGATGATGATGGAAAATAATAAAATCAATCACCATTATTAACTTACTGTTCATCATGTTTATAAAAGACTACGGTAGAATAATATATATAAAAAAAAAGAAAAGTAGAGGAAGATGGAAAATAATAATGTAAAAATAAAAAAAAAAGATTTTCGATCAAAGTTGCTCTCTTTTATAGGTTTTTCTGGTTCTTTTTTGGGGGTAAAAGGAAAAAGTGTGGTCGAGAAAAAAAAAAAAAAAGGGTGAGAGATAAAAAAAAAAAAAAAAAAAAGGATCCTCGTTCCCCCCAAAAAATTTAATAAGAGAGGATTTGTTATCTATTTGAAAAAAAAAATCTTACTATCCATCCCATAGATATGCACAATAAATCAATTTCTCGAAGAATATGTTGATTGACAACTCTTTATTGTTTTTCAATTCTAAAACAACAATAACAACAACAGCTATAACAACAATAACAACAATAATAACAACAACGTAACAACAACTTGAGAATAAAATATATATTGACATATCCTTTCCTTTTTTAGATGATCTGTACCCTTCGATCATACAAGCTCCTAAATCATGCTACGTACCATCATCAATTAGAGGATCATGATTAGGTAACCAAGGTAACAATCAACTTTTTTTTTTCCGTAATGAACACGGACAATGACCCTCTGCTTTTTTTTTTTTTTTTGGAGGTTTTAGAAATGCGGTTATTTCTCCTTGTTTCTCTCTTTTTTTTTTTTTTTTTTTTTTTTTTTTTTAGTAAATCGGTTGATGATTATATTGGAAAGGGGATGAAGGGATAGAGGAGTTAGGGTGATGATCCGATTGAAAGGCTGGCCTCGGAAAGGGGGGGGGGAAGTTTACCTGCCACATCTGTTTGTCATCATCATCATCCACCATCCATTATTATTACCATCATCGTCATAACAACCACCGCAAGAATAACGAAAAAGGAGAAGGGTCTTTAAAAAGAACGAGCCAAGAGAGTTTAAAAAAAAAAAAAAAGAGGTAGACAGAAAAAGCTCATCACGATCTTTTATAAAATGAATAGGGGCTATAAGCTTATGAAAAGAATGGCAAATTCATTACTCTTATTAAATAGATAACTATGATTGAAACGGTTGATTAAGTCGAGATGATTATAGTTGTTACAATGATCTTTTTTTTTTTTATTTTGATTAAGACAAATAATGATGATTTTTTTTTCTTTCTTACTATTGGCCTATTCTGCCCTCCCTGCACGGACTTTACTCTTTTCGTTGGAAAATGAGAATGACTTCAAAAAAAAAGGAGGATGTAGTTGTAACAAATAAGATCAAGGCTCCGTTTCTTTCTATGTTTTGTTACATCCAGGGTCTCTGTGTACCTGATTCCACTTTCTTTTTTTGGTATTCACCCGTCAAAACACCCCATCTCGAGATTTTTTTTTTTCATGAGGTTCATATGATGATTCGTATGCTGATTCATACGATGATTCCTATGCTTGCTTCGTATGACGATGGATGATGATGGATATTTCGCATAATGGATGGTTTGTATAATGAATAATTTATATGAAGTATGAATTGTATGATCCATGGTGAATGATCTATGACTGGTGAATGAATAGTAATCGTAGTGATGATGATGATGACGATGATGATTACTGTAACGATAAGGATTATGCTCATAATAATGATCATTAGTGCCCTTCCTATGCTAATTCCTATATGATGACGCAGGGTGATTTTCTTTAAGAAACAATCGCTATAAGACCTCCACCTCCTTTTTTTCGTTCCCTTTGTACCTTTTTTTTATATCTCTCTCTCCCGATCGATCATCAGCATCATTCTGTTAGCATTGATAATCTATGGATGATGTAATCATAGTAATAGCAGTAGTACGAATAAAGATGAGGTTAAATAGAAGACAACATCCGTCAAAGCAACATCATAGTAATCAAATAGATGTTCATGGATCATTGCATTTTTTTTTTTTTTTTTGAACAATCATCCCCGTCAAATAGACTCGGACTTTTCCCGAATAAATAGAATATGAATCCGTACTATCATCTATCCGATTTTTGGGCGGGCTATGATAATATGGAAAGGTGCAAGTATTTGCACACGGACGTGGCACATGCCTTGATTCCCTTTCTTGAACCCAATACCGCCTTAAATGATAAAAAAAAAAAAAAAAAAAAAAAAACTTTATGTTACCTCACTTTTCCTAAATGAGTAATCCATTTGTGCTCGTGCTCAAACATCTTATAAACCCTTTTTGCTATTAAGACTATAATTCATAAACTTGAAAGAATTATGATGCAAGAAGGTTCATCCGCTTGTTTAAACCGGTTTTTTTTTTTTTTTTTTTGGTGTTGGTTTTGCGTGGAAAATTTTTTTCCTATTTCATTTCAAAATATTAATCCACGTTATTATTAAAAAAAAAAAAGGGAAAAGGGAACAGTGCTCAAGTTGGAAGGATGACTAAAAAGAAAGAAATAAGTTAATGCAGAAAAAAATATCCGATTTGGCTGTAAGGATGACAAGTTGTTGTTTATTGTTTTCTTTGTCAAGTGAATAGAATTTAACAACGATCAAACTTTGTCAATATAGTTTTTATTGTTTTAGAGTAAAAATAGATGTTTCAAATTAGAAAATATTTAGATGATATACATTTATACATAAATTTTTTATTAGTTTATGTGATTTAGATCTACATTGAGAATCATTTGGGTAAAGGCCAACAAAGAGATCTCAGGGGTAAAAAAAAAAAAAAAGTGGGGATGGGAAGAAAGGGAGATTGAACTTTGACCCCCCGCCTTGCATGAATAGATTGTCTTTTTTTTTCCCTCTGTGTCTTTCTCACTTACTCCCATTATATTACTAGTTGCACTAGTTAGTGAGTATAATACAGTAATCATCTTGTTAGTTATCTTTAACCTTCCGATCATATTAATAAGAATTTTTTCAAAAAAAAAAAAGAAAAAAGATGAAACGAAGGAGATCATCCCAATGACCTGTGTGTCACTTGGCATTGATGCCTGTTAAACTCTCCCTGAAACGCTCGGATATCATCCACAGAGTACACGTCCTTTTGAGCACATACATTTTGTGGAATAAACAGGTTGTATGCCTCATCACCCTCTTTTGCTTCTTCCCTCTTTTTTTTTTTTTTTTTTTTTTTTTTTTGTGAATCTGCATGTCATCATAATACTATCCTCATTATCCAACCACCACCATTATTATTATTATTATTATTATTATTATTCAGTTAACACCGCCATTCAATCATCATCATCATCATCATCATCATCTTCATCATCATCATCATCACCATAATAATAATAATAATAATAATAATAATAAATATCATCATCATAACCATCATAATTATGATCATCGTTACTCAATTAGAATCGCTCAATGATATCGTCATTAAAAAATCAACATCGCTTACAGAGTTAGGAGCTCGCTTCTTAGAATAAATGGGCGGTTAAAAAGCACGGTCCAGCATTATAAAAAAGCTTGTGCCATCCTTGTGCTCCTAAGCATCCATCTCTAAATTACCTTTTCAATATGATATGATCCTTTTTTTCTTCTTATGAATGAAGGTACCATTATTATTTTTTTTTTGGACTCCATTACCAAAAGAAGAATTAGGGGAAGATATCAATATTATAAGTTAAAAAGCAGATCCATACTTAGAAAAAGGAGAACATCACTATAAATAAAAAAAATCAAGGGATTTACTTTTTTTTTTTTTTTAGCACTTTAACGTATCTGATTCATTCTCCCCCAGTTTCTATGTCTCTCTTTCTTTTTTTTTTTTCTCTTACCTCGTTCAAGCCCCTATTATTTTCTTTTATCCTTTCTACAGACCTTTTTTTTTTTTCTCATTATCACACATTTATTCCATTCGACTCACGCCTACGTACATACGTACGCACACACGAACAATCCACACATCCATACATACAGTTCACACGTCCAGACACAAGTTCCGTTCATACGAATAACACATACATATAGCACGCACAATTCACACATATATTCGATCACATTCTTTTTTCCATTTTTTCCCCTTTCTATCTATTATGCATCATCCATCATATAAACATAAACCAGTATACCACTTTGATGGTTTGTCTTTATTATTACTTTTTACATATGCATAAATCAAAAAAAAAAAAAAAACTAAATTACATGACAATGACACCAAGCTAATCTAATAAGCTTATACAAATGGAGGAGAAAAAGGGTATAATATGATAACTTTGTTCAATCTTTTAAGGAATGTTGTTGCCATACTATTTTCTTTGGTTTCTTCTTGATTTCAAGTTCGAGATCTTCAGCACTAGTATCCTTCCATGCTTCTGGAACTATCACAGGTTCTTCAGGAAGTTTGTTGGCGACCCAATCAATGGCTACCACCGGTAAATCTGATTTTTCCCAATGAATATAATTGTAAGTACTGTCCATGTTGTTTGAGTAAAGAAAAAAGTGTTCATGTATGAAGAAATAAAAAAAAAAAGAAAGAGGAAAAGAAAAAAGAAAAAAATAGGAGGAAAAAGGAGGGAAACCTAAGGTTTCCGGACGAAGCGGTATTTCAAACTCACAAAATCCGGTCCAGTGTGATACCTTAAATTTTTGGTGGAGAATAAAGCTCATTGTTCACAAAGCAACCTCTTGCTACGTTCTCTTTTTTTCTGTCTTTGCTAAAGGTGTGTATACTATTACAATATCTTTGTAAGAACAATCAACATTATATAGTTACAAATAGTTCAGTGGATAATCATATGGATGGATGGATGAATGAATGGATGGATGGATACGTATACACATACATAAACATATATATAGATGCGGACTGATGGATAGATACTTATATCACTCAAACGGCTGAATGACCAATCAACTACAACAGATCGATCATTACATATATATATGCACCTTATATCTACTTTATCTTGTATCTCGACCACATCAAATAGTAGATACATCACCTACGACAATGGATGGATGAATGAATGAACATATAGATAGATGGATGGATGGATAAAGAAATCTGATAGAAGAATGACAATTACTCTTTTTTTTTTTTTACGCCAATTCACTTTATACAATGAAACACAACATGAATCTTAAATAACCATCACTATTCGACGATCGACATGTCTTACCCAGCAACATCGTATAATTATTTCTACAACTGTATTATGTATCTTTTTTTTTTCTGTACATATGTTATCTATGTGTGTGTGTATATGTATGGTGGATAGAATTCATATTCCTCATATGTATTATTCGCTGGACAAACTGCAACTTGGATTGTATTTAAAGGTAGAAACGGCTTACTGATTCTTTTTTTTTTTTTTTTTTGATATAGCAACAATGGCTAACGCACCCAGAAACTCCATCCTTGTTCCCGGCGTCTCTCGTTACAGCCGTTCGGTCATCTACTCCAAGAAGGCTTTGTACAAGCGCAACAAGTACAACACTCCCGCTGCTGTGAAGGAAGTTGCTGCTGATAAGACTGTTGAAGTCAAGGGTGCCAAGAATGGTGGTAAGCGTACCATCCCTGCCAACAAGGCCAGCAAGTTCTATCCTGCTGAAGATGTTCCTCAACCCAAGAAGTCTCGCAAGACTGTCAAGGTCGCTGGTCTCCGTCAATCCATCACCCCTGGTACTGTTGTCATTCTTTTGGCTGGTCGTCACCGTGGAAAGCGTGTTGTTGTCTTGAAGCAATTGGACTCTGGTCTTCTTCTTGTCACTGGTCCTTTCCGTGTCAATGGTGTCCCCTTACGTCGTGTTGATCAAGCTTACGTTATTGCCACCTCCACCAAGATCGATATTGGTGCTGTCGATGCCAAGTTCAACGATGCTTACTTCAAGAAGTCTTCTGCTACCAAGTCTCAAGAATTCCTTGCTTCTCAACAAGAAGGTGCCAAGGCTGTTCCTGCTTCCAAGGCTGCTGACCAAAAGGCCGTCGACAAGGCTATCCTCGAAGCTGTTGTCAAGACTCCTTTCCTCCGTCAATACTTGTCTGCCAAGTTTGGTTTGTCCAAGGGTCAATTCCCCCACAACATGAAGTTCTAGATTAGATACAGTTAGTTATTAGAGCTTTTTTTGGTGATTTTGTTGTGTGTATGTTTTTTTTTATGACATCTTTTTATTCAAATAAAAAATAAAAAAGGGTTGATTTATTACTATTATTGATGAATGCATGGATGATGGCATTGTTGAATTACATTTTTGATTTTAGTAGTTTGAATTGTGGCGCTTTAAAAATCCATTCTTTTTTTTTTCTTTTTCTTTTTCTTTTTCTTTTTTTTTTTTTTTTCTTTTTCTTTTTTTTTTTTTTTTTTTTTGTCTTCATTGTATTTTATACCCCTTGTTCTTCCTCCTTTATGATTCAAATACATTATGCTCCTTTCCTCATTTTGTCGATATCCCCCCTCTAGACGTTTGATGGCCACCTTCAGCTCAAAATCTAAATATGTGAAATGGGAACCTTGGGAAGATACCTTATTGAAAGATTATGTCGCCAATAATGGAAAAAGATGGTCAGATCTAGTTCGACATTGCCTACCTCACCGAACGGGAAATAGCTGCTTATATCGTTACAAACATATATCTGATTCAACATTAAAAAAGGGTCCGTTAACACCTTCTGAAAGGGATAAATTACGACAGGGTGTTAATGAACTTGGTCTTGGAAACTGGACAATGATCTCTAAACTGTATTTACCGCACCGTACACCAGCACAACTTTACAATGTATGGACTAGTACCTGTGATCCTCAACTGGTTAAACAACAACGATGGAGTACTGAAGAGGACAATTTACTTTTGGATGGGATTAAGCAACATGGAATGAATCAATGGACCAAGATCAAGAATTCGCATTTGCCTCACCGAAGCCGCCAGCAGATTCAATACCGTTACAACAATCACTTGGATCCTCGTATTCGACATACTCCTTGGACAACTGAAGAAGCAGATATCTTACTACGGCGCACCATTCTATTTGGTACTGATGATTGGAATAAGGTATCCGAAGGTTTGGAAGGTCGAACACCAGAACAATGCAGATTATACTATATCAGGCACGTCGACCCATCACGCACCAAACGTAATACTCCGTGGACAGAAAACGATACTCTTTTGTTTTGGGAACTGGTAGAAATCTATGATGGCAAATGGAAAATCATCAGCAAGCAATTAGGCCGCACCGAAGAAGAATGCATTGCTTTATTTAAGGCTGCTCAACAACGGGAACTCAAACTTCTTCACTCGAAACATGACACGGAACAGCATCCAGAAGAAACAAGATCTCAGTGGAAACGACGTATAGGTGCTTTGATGTCCCAGTATTACCAACAATATTATTATACCGCTCAGCCGTCCATGGATGTCAACAGGATGAATAACAGCAATAACGATAGTAACAACATGGATAAACTTTTGGATAAAAACTCTGATGCACAAACAAAACAACACAACACAACTGAAAAAGCCAGCAATAAAAAAACCAACAATGGTAGCAAAGGAAGAACATGGACGAAGGAAGAGTCGAATTTACTGGATCAATTGGTGGAAAAATATGGAATGGATTGGACTACGATCGCACAACATCATCCAACAAAATCGACCTCTCAATGTAGATCACGATATTACAATGTACTACGCTATCGACAGGATCCGACCTACTTGCATGATCAACCTCTGTCAAAAATCGAAAAAGAACTTGTCTTGCATGGTGTTGATTTGTTTGGACATGACTGGGTGGCAATTACCAAGACGTTTCTTCCTAGACGAAAACCTCACCAATGCATGCGATGGTATTTCGCCAACTTTGAAGGAACCAATACTGGTGGTGATGATGATAAAGGAACAACACCTATGGATTCAACACTGATGGATCACAGACCAATCAGGAAAGGGAGATGGACAGATGAGGAAAACAAACAGCTTGAATTTATCATGGAACACTATTACAACAACAACGACGATAAAAACAACATCAGATACGACTGGCGCAAAATAGCAAGATTCATCAATACTGGACGAACGCCAAGTCAATGCAAGTTACACTGGTTTTCAGTTCTACGATATGATGATAGCAAGAAAGGTTCTTGGACATGGGATGAGAGGCTACGCTTGGTGGAATTGGTTCAAAAACATCAAATGGCTGACTACTCGAAGGAAGAGATGTGGAAAAGGGTGGCAACCGATTTGAAAACTGGACGATCACCTTTCTCTTGTCGCTCGAAATACAATTACATGGAAAAAACAAATAGTCTCTTCAGGTCATAGTTGATTTTTTTTTTTTTTTTTTTTTGTATATCTAATAGTCAAATAGAACTGCTATATTTTACCAATAAAATATTTATCTCTTTTTTTTTTTTTTTTTTTTTTTTTTTTTTCCTGGAAAAATCTTTGTTATGATATCATTCATGTTCTTTTTTTTATGATGATTACTTTACTGATCTCAACTTTGTCTTATTGATCAAAATTTTGAATCATTCTCTTTTTTAACATCACTTGGAATGGACAGTAATTCATTCATTGCACCATATTTGAACACAATATACATAAAGATATTCTCGTTGGTATTAATAATAATTTATATCTTGCTTCCCAATTTATAGAGTAAAAGGAAATGTCCATATCGTCATTCTTCATCCAATAATGATCATCATTCAATAAGGATTTCGTCAAAAAAAAAAAAAAAAATAGTTCTAATATCATCTAATACCATTTCATCAGTCATTTTTGCCAAGATGACCAATGAAATGCATCGATTTCTCTAAAAATTGCCTGATGATCCCCTGACGATTTGATTTTTAGAGCCAAAAGTTGGCTGAGGAATATGAAAATCTTAGCTGTAAAATTCAAAAGCTCATCCCTTTTTTTCCACCCTACATACAAGATGATGAAAACACTCTCTTTGAAGAGGTTAACCATTCGACAAAAAAAAAAAAAAAAAAATGGGTGATTAGTTATAAAAAGAAGGGTTTCTATATAGATTACATTTCATTTCATTTCCGGTTTTCATTCAATCATTTGGTATCTGCTTTATTTCTATTATTGGCTTTTAAATTAAATAAAAAAAAAAAAAGTGGAGACTAGGCTAAAAAGTGCATAAATAAATAAATATATATTCATCTATCTATATAAATCAGGATATCGTCAAAAATCGTCAGTTCGTAATAGTCACCGTAGGTATACTGTTCCTTTCTGCTGTTTGATCTTTAGCATGATCTTCCTGATTGTTGTCTTCGTCCTGGTATGCTGTGCCGCAGATTTCTTGTATTGGTGGTAATTCTGCAGATGGATCCAACGGAGTCATCATTGCCAATGTTTGAGTATATGTATGTATTGCTGCTTCCAATTCTTCTTTTCTGACGGGTTTGCTGACGTACGCATTCATACCTAAATTCACAGTAATCATCATATAACCTGTTATCAGCTTTTTTTTTTTTTTCTTTTTTTTTTTTTTTTTTTTTTTTTTTTTGTAACAAACTTACCGGCTTTCATACACTTTTCACGATCACCAGGCATCACACAGGCAGTCATGGCAATGATATAAGGATGCAACTGTGAGTGAGCTAAATCCTTGCGAATTGCCGTTGATGCCTCCAAACCATTCATTTTGGGCATCCAGATATCCATAAACACCAAATCGATCGGTTTGTCAATTCCATCACTATCATTTGCTTCCTTGATCGCATCATATGCTTCTTGTCCATTCTGTGCCGTCTTGAAAGTCAGTCCCATTCGTTTCAGCATGCGAGATAGTACCTTCAGATTCACCGGATTGTCATCCACAAGTAAAGCTTTGATCCTTCCCGATGTATCATCTATAGTGCTTCCATGTTTGTTTTCGGTGCCGCTATTTGCAGATGAAGGTGTGCTGATGCCTGAAGTCGTCATTGTTGTTGAATTTGATGCCAGAGATGCGTTGGAGGACGAGATGGAAGGATGTCGCTGAGATTCGTCCCTAGTCGTTTCTTCGTTGTCAAGTGAAAGACTCCTGGAGTGGCTGATGTTTTTATTGCCATTTGTCAAAGAATGCTGGGGACTGGATTCTCTATTTACAAAGGACTGGAGATGGTGCTGATGTTGTTGCTGATAGTGATGATCATCATTCGGTGGGGAAACGGCTAAAGGTATACTATCGAGTTGTCCGTCCGTAGTAGCTGTGTCAATAGCAGTAGGTGTGATAATGCTGAGTGGAGATATCAATTGATGTAATGTTGAGAAGAGGACAGAGTTTTTGAATGGTTTGAGAATAGTCATCGTTGGTGTTTGGTCCAAAGGAAGTAGTTTCGTTTCATTTGAGCTGGGTGATGCATTCATACCTGCAGTTAATTCTTTATAACTGGCCATCAATGCCTTTTCCGATGTATCTAGTAATAGCTGATTTTCGTCGACTGATTTCATCGATTGTCGCTTGGATTTAATGTCGCCAACGCACAGAGTAGGAATATGATTGAGTTGAGGATAGTGATCTCGGAAATATGAGATTGTGTTTTCACTTGAAACTGGTTTTGGTTCTGATTGTTCCATGTCCAAAGAATCCATATCCACTATCAACAAAGGAGGTAACGAATCAACAAGTTGGTGAGAAAAATACCGTTCAGCTTGATCAAAAGTAAGAGTTTGGACAAACTTGATTCCAGCATTCCCAAGAAGGTTTTTCCATGCTTCATGATCTTGAGGTTTTCCACAGATCACAACCGTGCCACTAACAGTTTTGGTGAGCTCTGCCAATTTGTGATATTCACCATAGGTACATGTATTTGACTGTTTCTTGAGTGATACCTGGAAAGTGAAGGTAGTTCCTTTGCCATACTCTGAAGAGAGCCACTAAAAAAAAGAAAAAAAATAAATAAATAAAACAGTTAACATCACCGTATGTTCATATACACGAGTAATAACAAATATAGAATATATTTTTCTTACCATATCACCGTCCATCATACGACAAAGTTGACGTGAAATAGCCAGACCAAGTCCCGTGCCACCATATGTTCTTGTTGTTGACGCATCCACTTGTGAGAAAGATTGAAAAAGAGTATTGACTTTGTTTGCAGGAATACCAATACCAGTGTCGCTGACAGATACTTGAATAGGTACATAATCTGTTTCCATATATGGGGAGACAGTAGATTCATCGATTTCTTCAGATAATAAAGGTCGTATTTCCAATGGTTGATCTTGTTTGTCTTTTTGGGAATCCATTGTATAATGTCTATCCTTTGCAATTTCGACATGTACATGTACACAACCACCTGAAGGTGTAAACTTGAATGCATTGGAAAGCCTTTTGAATAAATTAAAAAAAAAAAAAAAAGATAAAGAAGGAAAATTAGTTATAAGGACCTGGTTTAATGATGGACTGACTGATGATCAAAAACTAAAATAAAGTAAAATAAAATAAAATAAAATAGAAAGATGAACTTACAAATTCAATATAATTTGACGTAAACGGACCAAATCACCCATAATTTTAACAGGTACTTTTGGATCAACTTCACACCACAAAGCAATGTTCTTTTGCAAAAAGTTGGGAGCCACCAGTTTGATAGCGCTTTCAATCACGTAGGTCTATAAAAAGAAAATAATAGAAATTAGCATATATGGCATACTCATTATTTTTTTCTTCTTCTTTTGAGTTTACCAGGTTCAAAGCTTTTTGTTCCAATAAAAGTTTGCCGGATTCAATCTTCGAATAATCCAATATATCATCAATGATGGCCATCAAGTGGTTTCCAGAAGTTTCAATAGTTTCAGCACAGTCGTATAATTCAGGAGGTAGATCGCTTTCCATCAAAATACGAGACATTCCAATAACAGCATTCATGGGTGTACGAATTTCTAGCATATATATATATAAAAATTATTATTCCAGTTGTATGATTACCGTTTATTCTTACCATGTGACATATTGGCTAAAAAGTTCTGTTTGGTTGCTGCTGCTGCTTCAGCTACTTCCTTTGCGGCCTTGAGATCTAATTATTGTACATGAGTTAGAAATTGACAATATAACTATATCATTCTCTTTACCTTTCAATAAAGTTTGTGTCCTGCCTCGTTCTTCTTCCAACTCCAAAGTACGTTGCTGAAGATTTGCAGTTCTATTGTATACCAAGTTTTCCATATCATTTGCATACTTTTCAAGCTTGAAATTCAAAAAGAAAAAAAAAAAGAATAGAAATCAGTATAACGCATCCTTTTCCATAAAAGTTATCAAAACTTACAAGAGCAGCAAGTATATCCACTACATTTTCCGAGCTGGCTAATGAAGGATCTATTGTTTTCATATGATTCTACAAAGAAGAATACTAAGTCTCATCTATTTTCTAACTTTATATATGTCAACTTACTTTCAGATCATAAATCAAAGGTCGATCATCAGGATCAGTAGCCCAACACTTGATAATAAGCTGATTGACTTGATTCACTTTGTGATAGTTTTCATCTTGTGTGTTGTTGGAAAGAGTAGGTGTAATATGGTCGCGAGTAATTTGTTGAAAGATATCCCTTGAAACAGTGCGTTCTATTTTTCGATCACTGTATGGAAGAGTTCGAGTCAAGATTTCATTCATAACAATACCAACGCTAAGGGAAAAGAGAAAGAAAAAAAAAAAGAGATCATAAGTAAATTTTAACAAAAAGTAAGTATATAGATACCTGTAAACATCCGCTGCTTTTGTAGGAAAAGTGATGTATAAATCCGGTGAGACTTCAATAATAGATTCAGGTGCTAACCATAACAAATTATTTGCAGAAGGAACCACCATAGGGCAGCCTGGATATCGTTTATGAATAGAGGAGATGATATTTCGATCATATTGAGTTTGGCGCATTTTGTATAATCCATAATCCGTGATTTTCAGTTCCCATCGACCAGTGATAATACAAGAAGCTGAAGTGAGTAATCCATGAATTTCAATATTTGATCTATGTATAAAGCGCATTCCTTGCAATAAATCATTGATAAGAGAGAATCGAAATATCCAAGTTAAATCAATATCGGGATTAGCCAAGATCTTATCTAATGGTCCTTTGCTACAGTATTCTAAATGAAAGTATTGTATTAGTTTATACACAGAGGTGACATGTCAATTTGATTCAATAAAAAAAAAGTTACCTTCTACTATATATGTTCCATGAGATTCGATGCAAACCCCAATAAATTCCACCAGATTTTGATATCGTCCATGTTTCAAAAGTCCAATTTCTTTTTTCATGTCATCATCAATACGTAGCTGCTTGAAACCAATTTGTTTGATGTATACCCGGAGATTTCGACTACATTGGAATAAATGATATGTCATGTTAGATGATCCCGATATCATATCCATTCATTTTCACTTACTGTCGACCAATCGAGTTGTGTAAAACGTTATGCTGTGGTTGCCTAGGTAGATATGGGAGATCCAGTAAAAAAAAAAAAAAAAAAAAAAAAAAAAAAAAAAAAAAATTGGATTAGCCGTCTAGCCTTTCCCGACTATTCTTTGTCTCAGTTCAATCGCTTGATGATTTACCTTTTTGACTTTTTCGGTTCATGACCATCGTAGTGTTTTCCTTCTAATCCTCTTGGTGACATTGAGTCTCTGGTACCAGCTGATTTTTCTTTGGTGGGCTGTACTACGTAACCTGGTGCAAGTTGATTCATTTCATCATAGTTGCTGGTACTACTGCTACTACTACCACTGCTATTGGTAGCATCCGTATGAGATAAAAGCGCCATTGCAGAATGAGGAGTAACTGCTGTATCTGGAGAAGACACGTTGGGAAAATCTGAACGTAATTCTTTGTCATTTGACATATCATTTGTTGTAGATAAGTGTCGTAAGCATGGTGTCATCAGAGCCTTGTACGATAAAAGCCAAGAATCATCATCAGCCAACTCTATTGATTTCCGTTCTCTTCGTCGCTTCAGACAATAGTAAAGCCACCAACCAAGTAGTGCAAGAAGGATGACCAGGACAATAGGTAGAATAATGGCCAAGATCAGTCGAATCTTTCTTTGTTTTTCTTGGTAAATATATGTTGAACAGTAACTGTCGTTTGATGCAGTAGAGTCGTGACAAGAAATGCACATTGTCGAATTGCCATTTGGAACGGTACCTTCTGGACATTTTGTACACTCGCTCTGATCTGGATGAGGATTGTAATAATATGCTGGACATGGACTGCATTGAATGGAAGACTTTGCATTGTTTGATTCGTCTAGACAGAAGGGATCACGAGCCAAAACAATATAGAATGTACCAGGTGGACAGATGTAAGGGACATGAGAAGGATGTATCATTGTATTTTTCCAGGGAAGGTTAGTCAATTTTTGAGAAATCAAGAGATCAAGTGCAGCCAAATATCCAATAGAGTAAGTCTTCAAGGCCCTATAATACGCAAAAAAAAAAAAAAAAAAAAAAAAAAAAAAAAAAGGTAAGAAAATAAAGAGATATTGATATCTATCTACTTACCAAGATGTATTCAAACGCAAGTCCAGCAAAGCATTCAATTCATCAAAACGATCTGCTCCACTATACAACATAACGTCGCCAGGTGTATAGTTTTGTAAAAAGCGCTACAATAAAAAAAAATGATAATAAGGATTAGTAAATTGTATGAGATCCAACATCAATAATATATATTCTTTCTTTCTTTTTTTTTTTTTTCTTTTTTTCTTCATTTTTTTTTTTTTTTACCATGTTGAATGTGTTGAAGATGCTTTCCGAGAAAGTAATAATGGCGTCCTCAATGTAGTTTTCCCTGTGTAGTTTGTCCAAAATTATTGATACTTGACTATCCACGTTGCTTTGACTACCAATATTCAATAAATACACCACTTGATCTTCGGAAGGCGGAACGAAGTTTGCAATGGATTTGAATTGGTAGTAAAATGCTGAACAAAAGTAACTATATTCGGCAAGCTGTCGTTCAGAGAAGCAGAGAGGTCTTTCGATTCCATGTTCCACTGCGTCGGCAGCCACCCATTGAGCTAATAATTCTGCATCAAGTGATATATTGGAAACAGATCTATATAGATAGTTTTAGTTTGTTTGTTTTTTTTTTTTTTAAAAAAAAAAATCAATCGATAAGATAATGCATAGAAAGAATATTATGTGATTTGACTTACGGAGGAAGCTTGAGTTTATCATTCTCCAGAAATGATCCAACCACAGTCAATGGAACATTATTGGTAGCGCTTGCATTCACGACATATTTCATAATAGCATCATTGCTAGTCATCATCACCAATCCAGTAATATTTTCACGGAGTAAATTATCTACTTTTGGTAGTAGCACTTCAGGTAATCCTATCAAGAAAGTAATCAAGATAAAAGTAAATACATGTATCTTGTTTTAGAAAGATATCTTATGATGTACCAATAGCTTCATTCTATTCAAATAATAAAAATGGAACAAGTTAGTCAATGAATTTTTCAACAATTATTTCCATTGGATTAACTAGATTTTAAACTATAGATGATTATCCCCCTTTTTTTTTTTTACATATATACCTTAACAGCATCATCAATGGACCAACCCACTTTGTGTGCTAACTGAGACATTCCTGCAACCATATTTCTTCCATAAGTATCACCTTGAGCATTTGGAATAAGTGCCCCAATAGTAGATTTCTTAGTCTGTACGGCAAAAGGTTTATTATCCAAATCATCCAAGTAAGAGTTAACGGTGTCATTTGTAAGAAGTGTTGGTCCAGTAGGTACAGTTTGATTGCCAAAGACAGTATATCCTGTTTGAAACTATGAATAACAATGTGAGAAAGAAAATAAAAAAAGAATTGTCATTATATACCTCCAAATATAAATAAAATACAGGCAAAGCAGTTTGATAATATGGTAATTGACTAATAACGTAGGTTGTATTGGGTCGTCGTTCAAGAAGATTTGTCAAATTTTTATCAGCAAGATCCATCAAGATAGTTTCAAATTGTCGCTGTGGTTGAATATCCAAGATTTCCAAAGCTGTTTGCACAACAAGATTAGCAGAATCCTACGTATTAAAAGAAAAAAAAAGTTTTAGATGAAATCAGTATTGAATACATATATATATATATATATTATATCAACATACCATATCACCCAAGGAGATAATTGAATCAAATTGACCAGCCAAAAAGTAATCGCGTAGCTGTTGTATAGTCTCATTTGAAGAATTACTACGACGAAAGAGGACGGGGTATGAAGGATTGTTCAAATTGGTAGCAATAGCATTGAGTCGAGCGTCTGTATCTATCAGGTCATTTTCTATTCGAGACACAGCCAGAGGTTTATTGAATCCATCTTTCCGTAATTGTCTAGCAACCATCTTGCCAGCTTCGTCATTGGGTTGAAGAACGCGTGTCAGTCCAAGTAATGCAGCATAGGATTCACCAGTATTGAAAACAACGACAGGAATCCCAGAGTCACGAGCATATTTGACAGCTTGATAGACATTATCATCAGGAATAGGTGTAATGATCCCATCAACACCCTAAAAATAATCAAAAAAAAAAAAAAAAAAAAAAGAGAGAAAAGAAAAAGAAGGTTAATGCGAAAGTTTATACCAAAAGTCAATCGGGATTTGAATATATATGTACGTCCTTTACCTCTTTTATCGCTTCATAGATTTCGTTAGTCATATTCCTTTGACCAGCATCAGTAGTTCGTAAATTCCATTTCACATTAACATCCTAAAGAAAAAATAAAATAAACAAATAAATTGAATATATATATATATATATTGCTTACGAGAAGAGCAGCAGCATCCATGGCACCAACAGCAGAATTTTCATAAAATTTGTTGGTAGTTGGATCATGAGTAATCATAGCAAAAGTCGGTTTTGAAAAGTTGTAATGAGAGGAATCACATTTCGGTAAATAATTAGTAGGATCTTCTGCTGATACTGTGATGATCATCCATAATAAGATATAGAACCATATATCTTTTATGATGATCATTATACGATTACCAAGGTTGTATTGTTGTTGTTGTTATTATTATTATTTGTTTGATGGAAAAGAAAGTAAACATGAATATTATTAAGAGTAAAATATATTCTAACGATGATGTACAAAATAGAAAAATAGAAAAAATAAAAAAAAAAAGGAAAAAAAATTAAGATGAAAACCCGGAATATGAATTAATGTGAAACCACTTATGCAAGGGACACCGACGGAGAAGTTCAAATTGAAAGAAATCAAAATCAAAAGGTATTTATTAATTGGAGGAAGGAAAAGAAGAACAGTAATTGATGAAGCATAGTAAATGTGTTTGTACATGATGATAACGGTAACATAAAACAACATAAAAATAAATAAATAAAAAGAAGTGAAGAAAAGGGGGATATCATAAAATTAAGGGAAAAAGAAAAGGTGGAATTAAATAATGTGAGGTGAAAGAAGGATGCTAACTAAATAATCAAATGCTTATAAAGATGTAAAATAAATAATAAAAAGTAATAAAATAAAAATTAGATAAAAAAGGGTATGATGATGATGATGATGATGATGAAAATAATAACCAAGTGAATATGTAAATAAATAAATAAAAAGGTAAAAAAAAAAAAAAAAAAATGGGATATCCGTTCAACAGTTTCACCATTTTGATAATAGTAATATCTTGGTTTCAAATGGAAGAAGTATGTTGATGATGACGAAGATGTTGAAGATGTTGAGGATGTTGTCGTTTTCGAACCATATTACCCAATTTGAAAGATCGGATTTCACATTCACGCCAAGTTCGTTGACCCATATCATCTGCTACTGATTTCCAAGCATGTTTGAATAACTTTGCATGTTTCTTGACCGCCAATAACAGTAATCGATCTTCAGGATCTGACCATTCACGTTGTTCCAAGGCCTTAGCCTGCAAGGTCTTGAATCGTCCCCAACAACAACCACGAGATCGATGAGGTAAATAGGTAGATGAAATCATAGCCCATGATAATCCTTGACTATATCCTTTCTGTAGTAAAAAATCTTCTTCTGATGACCATGGTGTCCGAGTCTGAGTAGTAACGCGACGTTGTTGTCTTTGTTGTTTCATAGAAGGTGAATTGGGAGGTGAAGCTAGTATGGGTAATGGTGATGCATAACTTGATGATGGACTTGAAGATAAGGATGACGGTGAAGAATAACACGAGTTATAAAGGTAATTATTTTTTTCAAGCATTACTTGATCAGTGACATGAGGACAAAGTAAGTTTTTGATATCCATTGTAAGTAATTGTAGTAGTAACTAGTAATAATAACAGTAGTAATAGTATAAAGGCAGTAATAGTATGGTATCAACAGTAATAATAAAAAGATATGATAAAACAACAGTAGAAAAAAGAAAAGAGAAAAGAAAAAAGGAAAAAGTAAAGAAATAGAAATAGAAAAAAAAAGTTAAGGCTTTAAATACGTTTTGACTTTTCAACCCAGACTGAGCCTAAACTCCCTTGAAGAAGAAAAAGAAAAAAGCGTGTTTTGGTTATTCGTAAGAAAAAAAAAAAAAAAAAGGGGGCGAGGAATAGTATGAGGAGATAAAATAACAAATCATCAATGAAGGAGGAAGAAACAAATAGAGAATCTATCTTAAATAAATGACAACAATGTTCATTTCAATATATCATCATTATAACATTTCAATAAGGTGACATATAGATAAACTATTCTATTAAATGGTGATGATAATCAATATATAAAGTTATATTACCTTTAATAATCCATTGTCCGTTCCTCCACTTTTTTTTTCTTAAATGCATGAGTGAAAAAAAAAGGGGGGAGGTCTATAGATGATCTAAGAAAAAAAATAATATATATATGTATATATATTTATATATAAAGGAGGACAAAGGAGAAAGTTCAAAAGGGAGGACCTCTTTGGTCTTTTTATCATTGGGAGGGTTTTCTTTTTTTTTTTTAAATGTACTTGTTATTTGCCGATGATTAACTATTTTGAGCGACATTTGTAGTTTGGATTGCTGATCGTTAATCCTCCAACTAAAATAGGTAAATCAGATTAACAGATACTTTTTTTTTATTATTTGACAAGATAATAAACCTTATACTATTTTTTTTTTTTTTTGACACAAAAATAAACTAACACTCTATAACATTTTTTTTTTCAATCATCCTTTTCTTTTTTTTTTTTTTTTTTTTTTTTTTTTTTGTGCGCCTTTCAGGATTCAATCCCTTTTTTTTTCATATAGTCATTATGAAAACGTGGTATAAAAGGATGCAGGTGATGACTTTTTATTTTTTCATAACGTGTCGAGCTCAGGGAATAGGGATTTCACACGTTACGTGGCTAAATTAATGGGAAAACTGGACTATAACTATACTAGATTTTCCCAATCATCATCAGTATAAAAAAAAAAAGGAGGAGTAAGAGAAACTGAAAATGATATAATATAAAAGGAGTTATATCTTCGGCAGTCTATATATGACAAAAAAAGGATATCTGATTGACATGACAGATCTAACTGATTTCCCTTGTTTTCCTTTTTTGGATGATGCAAAGTAGTTATAGTAGTAGTAGTATGACCATTTACTGTTTTTATCTCCGTATCTTAAATTCATTTTCCTTACTTTTTTTTTTTTTTAAATCTTTGATACTATCCAAAGAAAGGAGTGCTAACGTGCTTTTCATTATGTCAACTTGTTTCAAAAGAAAAAAAAAAAAGGAAAACGTGGCTTCTATTTGTTCGTCTTGATCATGGGAAAGGAGACATGATTGTGAAAAAAATAAAATGATAAAAACAAAAGGAGTGAATCCATTGTTCTCTCCCTTCCCCTTTCTCCTTTACTTTTTTTTTTATCAACACGTTTTATTCAGGGACTCTTCCCAGAAACAAAAACCAAGTTTCATTGTTTTGTTCGCACAGACAAAAAAAAAATCTTTCAACAGAAAGTATGATATCTATATATTACGTACTTGATTACATGTTATATTAATGAACAATTAAAAACTATCAATAGCCAATTACCTCATATATGTGATTTATTCATCAAATATAATATAAAAGAGATTGTTATGTTTATTGTTTGATTTCAAAAAAAAAAAAAAAATAAAAGTATAATAATAATGATAATGTCTATCGAAAATAATAAAAAGAAATGAAATGATGCTTTGATAAGAATGTAAAGAAAAAAAAATATACAATAAAATGAATAAATAAATAAAATAAACTAATCTAATTGAATCGTACACGTTTGTTTGCTGATTTCCTCATGTTCCGGGCCATCTTGCGTTTGGCAGCAAGTTCAGGATTGGTCACAGCTTCAATCGCTCGCTTGGCTTTTCGTTCTTCCTTGCGTTCAGTAGAATGTTGTCGAATGTTTTGATAGATAGCAAAGTATGCTGTTGGTCCTGCCTTTTTTTGTATCATATTCAATACTTCATTTCCAAGGGTTTTCAAATCATCTAAAATATATATATATATATATATATAACCAAAAGTTATAATCTTTTTTTTCCTTTCTTTTGATCATTCTTTTGATTACTTACCAAAACCAGGTTCCCGACTGAATTGACCATTTACAGTATGATAGATGGGAGCAATCATAGAAAAGAGGTAAGGTGGTAGTTCCTTAGAATCAATCACATTACACATAGCAGCAAACCATTTGAAGATCGATGATCGCTATAAAAAAAAAAGTCAATTACCTCTATCCTTCATACCCATCATTACTTACCAATAAAAGATTTTTGCCTTGATTTCGACCAGCGCCTCTAGCAGTATAAGAAGCCTTGTGAAGTAACCATAATAATGAAGGATGTACTAATTCTTGATTCACAGAAATATTTTGTTCCGCTAATAATATTGTTGAAGTAGCGTCATCTTCTGCACTATCTTTCTTATCTTCATCATTATCTTCATTGTCACCAATAGTTTCAATATCTTCTGATACAGGCAAATAGTATAAACATCGTCCAATAAAGAATAAATTTTTCACCAATTGATTCGCCTGTTCTTCTGAAAGATATGTACTTTTGAGTTGTTCCACAAATGAATAAGCCAACCCACGAAGTTCTTGCCGAGTAAGATAGTCATTTCTTGTAACAGGATCTACACCAGCAAAATAAACACCAAATAGACGTGCTGATGATGATCGAATCCAAGCATGAGGATGTAAAAGAAGTGATGCTACACCACGCCAAATAGATATTGTGTTGTCCGTATATACTAATTTTGGGAAAGTTGCTGTAATCTTGGTGAAAGTATTTAAACTATAATATCCTACTTCCCAAGGTACATCCACATCCATGCCTTCATTTTCGTCACTGTCTTCCAGGGTATCTTCATCACCATGTTCTTCTAAAGCTTCTTTCCATTGTTCATGACTCTTTTGAATCATAATTGCCAATCGATTGATTAATTGTGGTGCCAACTATAATAATAATAACAATAAAAAAAAAAAAAAAGAAAGAGGTTAACATAACTATTCCCTTAGTTTTTTTTCATTTATATATATGTTAACCTACCTTGAATTCCTTGCCATAGGCATCAATCACTAATCCATACATTTGACAACCTGCACGTTGTAATGTCACTTGCTTGCTTTCCATCCATTTGTCCAAAAGTCGATATACTGTGTCCATATCATCTTCCATCCGTAAGAGCAATGCTTTGCAGAGTTCAGCAGTCATTTCACGACATTTGGCGGATTCATCATTGATCAAACGCATCACCAAGGCTAACAAGATAGATTGAGAAAATTCAGCCAAGATTTCGTCACCAAATTTGTTGATGATATGGTGAAGCAGTTCCATCACAGATTCTCGACCACTTTCATGTACATATTCCAAGTTCTTGATAAGGAATGCCATTTGCTTCTTTAATCTTCCACGACCTTGAGGATAATCCATCATAAACATAAAGTAAATCGAACGTGCTTGTTCCCGTAATTCAGGCGTTTGATTCGTCACTGCAATATTGGCCACTGTGTCCATCAAATCGTACATTTCAGGTGCTAAGAATTTGCGAGAGATAATACTACGTACCAAGCCAAAAGCAGTACCTTGTCGTGTCGGTTCTTCAAGATCAGGTCGGATGATGTTGATGAGATATGTCAATTGATGTTCGGTTAAATTGGATTTCTTGAAAGAGATACAGACAGTCAGTAACTTGAATGATGATTGGATCATTGAGCTATTGGTGTTCGGTGATTTTTTCAGAATTTGGAAAATACGTTTGATTGCAACAGGTACTGCATCGTTTGTTGAAGGAAGTGGTAATCGGAATAAAATACAGAGATCCTTGGCTGCTAAGGTGATATTTGCTGATTGTGTCGAGAATAAAATATTACCCACCGTCATTAACAATTTATCTAATCGTGTAGAATAGGCATCATCATTGAGATCGAATTTGTTGCGTTTCAAAGCTGTATGAAGTATAGATAATCCAAAGTACACAAATCGATGAGAGTTGACATGAAGATAATCCACTGGTTCCGTCACCACACGTTTTGTTTGCACTTCAAAGTTCAATTCTTGTTGAGTCTTCACTTTCTTGACCTTCTTTTCAGCCTTGTATACATCCACATTTTCAGAGATCAAATCATTAGCAAAATCCAGTAATTCAGTCGATTCAAATCCAGGGTTATGTACCAATCCATTTGCAGTTCGTTTAAGTACATCATCTACTTTTTGTAAGATCTTCAAACTTTGGGTGTTTGTCATCACTTCCTTCAATGGCATTAACATGATACCAACGTTGGAGAACTTGATCAATTTGGCAAGGAGTTCAAATGCAGCGGGACTTCTTCGACTTTTTCCTTCTTTGGTCTTGGCAACCATTTCTTCAGTATCTTTTTCTTGTCCAGTCTTCCCAAAGATATCACTAATCAATACCTGTATAATGTCTTCCAAACAGTAATCCAAATCACCAATATTCATACGAGGTGCCATATCGTGCAAAAGAGAATTGACTGTGTAACCAAGTACATGGAGTTCATAACCACGAACCAAAGCACCTTGGAGTTCTTTGATGATAAATTTGAAGTAATCTGTACCCAAGAATTCATTAATCTTCAACAATGTATCCCCAGTAACATCACGCACATCTTGAGCACGACTACGAATAGTTTGACATACAATTGTCAAAAGACCAGGAAGATTGAGACGTAGAGATTTTTCCGGAAGTTGGCGTAGTAATTTGACAATTCCAAGAGCAACAGGCATACGAGAGATCACAGATTTACGGCTTTTGTTTTTCGAAATGAATGAATTCAATTCTGGTAGTACCTTGGTAATTAAAATGTCGTGAATCTTTTGAGCTTGTTCTGATGATAATGTATCACTTGATGTTGTTGTTTCTTCTGCAGTAGTAATTTCGTCTGTTTCGTCTTTCTCATCATCATCATCATCTTCTTCTTCTTCATTGTTGTCGTCCAGATTGTCGGTATTCACTTGTTGTTCACTAACTTCTTGAGAAGTATCATCGATGTCCATTTCATTAGCATTATCACCGGTAGCTTCCTTATCAAGATCAGCCGCAATATCCTTCTGTGTTTCATCATCCTTCTTTTCATTGTTTTGAGCTTGTTGATCCTTGGCGTTGCTGACAATTTCTCGATGGCTGAGATAATCGATCCTCACTTTTTGTTTTCCCATGATCTTCGCTGCTGTCTCATCACTGATTTCAACATGAGAAATGTCGAAATGGAAGGCTTCTAATACATTGGTCGTCAATCGTATGTAGATCTTTTCCATATCTTCTTGTCGTGAAACCATAGTCAAATAACGTGAAAGAAGTTGATAATAATGTCTCCAAGGAAGGCATTTTGCAAGAGCACCAATCGTTGTAGAAGCTTGATGAATCAAATTGTGGTCCACTTTTCGATCACTTTCATAAATAAAACCAGACACCAAAGGAATGAATACATTGACAATAGCAGGGACAGTTAGTTGACCTTGATTTGCAAATTCAGATAAACGTGCCATAGATCGCATACGTCGATGAAGTTGAATATGATAAATATTATCGAAAAAGTTGGTTTCATCATTTTCACTACCAAGTAAGGGTACCAAAGGAGCAAATATAGGTAATTCAGGGAAGATCTTGATACCAGTATTCAATAATCCAACAAATTCCATACGAATGATTTCAATACGATTCAATAAACCACGTTTGATATTGGGATAAATCAAATGAGTTACATACTCCATAAGCTTTTCTTTTTCGACAGCATCCTCTTGTTCCTTGGCAGCTTTCAGGAAGCGAGATACACAATGAGTAGCCGTTCCACGAACAGCAATTTCTTCTACATCTTGCATACTGTAAAACATTTGATTGAGGATAGGAAGCCATTGATGATGATCCAAAGTTGAATACAAGTCTTCACCAATAGTGCCAAGAGCATCCAATATACGATCATAATCAGGTTCATCGATTCGCTTTCTTGAGACAGAATTGAGATCTTGAAGTAAGCTGCCAACTTGAGTCAATTCAGGGTTGACATCAACAAATCGTTGGAAAAGAGAAATCAAGACGGATCTACTTTCACGAGGTTTGATCACCGAGAACATATCAGAGGCCAACTTGTAATAATTGTAATAAGTTTGAGATCCACGTTCAAATCCAGGAACAACAGGCATAAAGTTGGACCAAATGGTGAGAATATTGCGCTTGGTCATTTCAGGAATCAATCTAGTCGGTTTCTTCAAATTAGGGATCAATATTTCCAAAATTCTTTCAGTATGAGTTCCATCCTTGGTATATGGTGCAATACGAGCAACAATGGCAATTTCCCGTACAGAATATCGTCCACTACCAAATCGTTTGTCATCCTTGGATTGAGTCAATCGGTATTTCATATGGTTCAATAAAATATCCACGTGTTTCACAATAAGATTTTCCTTGAAGTAATCCAAATCGATTTCCATACCATTTTTGTTGGTCATCTTATCGTCTTCACAATAATCCAATAAACATTCTAAAATATCCAACGTTGTGCTGAGAACTTTTTCATTGATCTTGCGTTCTGACAAAAGGGCGTAAAGTTGAGGTAAAAGGGAAGAATCATAATCTATCAAGAAAGGTACATAGGATGGGTTTTCGGACCAAACGGCAAACATCTTCAAAAGACTTGACACTTGTTGAGAATTTTCGCTAGCGAAGTTGATCAATCGAGGCGAGATGAAAGAGGAAAACATGGCAGTCATATATGGTATAAAGTCGAATCCACCTTTAATCATGAAGATTTCTGTGAGACGTCGTAAGGTTGTCGTTCGTACTTGTTTTGATCGATTGCTAATACGAGTTAATCCTTCTTCTTCGTCTTCATTTTCATCGTCTTCTTCTTCGTCTTCAATGGCATCATTATGACCTTCTTCTTGAGTAATATCCAAGTCCATTTTGTCATTGTTCTGGGCAGAATGTAAAATATATAATACAACCTTAAGAATATTTGGCATAAATGGTAACAAGTCGGATCCAAGTTGTTTTATCATATCTTCCAATACATTGACCAAACCTAATTGTTGACGCCAACGAATACGTCGGATGATTTCAGAGCCTTGAGCAACAAATTCAAATGAAGTAATATGTCCTTCTTCATCATAAGTTTCTCCAGGAACATCCAAAAGAGCTTGTGTCGATTCCAAAGCCAAATCAATAAATGTTTTCATTTCCTTCTGTTCACAACAAGATACAGCACTGAGAATAGCCTTGCGTCGCAATTTCTTCAAATGTCTACTACCTTTGGATTGACGTTCCACTAATCGACCATAAAGTATACGCATCACAATCGGCATGAGTTCTTCACGATGAACAGGATCAATCAAATTTTGTTCACTGTTTTGAATGAAAGTTGATAATTCGTCCCGGAATTTGATATCATCCAGCAAGTTGCGAAGATTGTCTTGATAAGGCTTGATATTCTTGTCTTTCCATGCAAACAAGGCTTCCAAAGCTGAGGTTTGTAAACGATTATCACCTTTGGCAATCAAACGAAGAATGACAACATAGAGATCCTGAGACTTGTATGCACCACGAATATTTGTAAAACAGGAGAATAACTTTAGCCAAGAACTCATCTTGTTTTTGATGTTACGAGAAGATCGAGGAATCAAACCAATCTTGCGTTGTTGCGTTTCATCATCTACAGTAGTATCATTATCTATCATATCATCATCAGCTACAGTATCGAATTCGTCTTGTAAAAACTTGAAGAACAGTGGAATCAAGTGACGAGCGCGCTGCTCAACAATTGCAGGAGTTTCCATCAACGTTTTGAGAATCATATTGTAATAATGCCAGAAGTCCATATGAGGGTTTTCCAATCCACAAGTCTAAGAATGAAAAGAAGAAAAAAAAAAAGAAGTAAGTATAACGAAATAGCATAAGATCATAAAAGGTTATGGATCATCATCATACTTTGACAAAGAGTAATGCTCCGTTGACTGAGAATTGATCACCCAATATCGTCATTGCGTGATCTTGAATAGCCGTATACTTTGTAAAGGAAGGACATTCAAAAGAGATATTTCCAGTCTTCGTTGCTTGACCAGTTTGAATAGTGATTGGAGACATAGCTTTCTCAACAACAGCAGAAGCAAAAGTATCACATACAAGGAGTCGTTCATCTTCAAATTTGGCAATTTCATTAAAGCATAATGTCCAATAAAGTTCTCGGTTGGTAGTAGCAAAAGTTTTGAGAGCCTTGCATGCATCTTCCCATAATGGCTTGAAGTTGATTGTTAATATACCTACAATATAAAAATGAATCAATAGATGAGTAAACACTTTACTATCTCTTGATCATCATTACTTACCGAGAGCTACCAAGGGAACAAAGTCAGTGTATAAATCCGGAACACGATTTGTTGAGGAAATCAGATTGAGTTTTTGAATAAGGATCAATTTATCACGGAAATCGTTCATAGTTGGAGCAATTTCTTCCATATTTAAAGCCACTTCCACAAGTTCACATCTTTCATCCCTTCGATGATCCAAATCCTTCTTCATCAATGGTTGATCGAAAAGAGCCAATATCTTCATGGTGTAAAGACGACAGTTAGGTAGATAAGATCGTAGATTGGATTTCAAAAGTGGATAAAGTTGTTCTAAATGTTGTAAATCAAAATGATCGTTCTTGAAGGCACTAATATTTTGAAGTGATTGAATATATATATATATATGTTAGTATCAAGGTCATCACATTAGATTACAAACTGTGTATTATTAAAAGTATTACCTTGAATGTAAAAGATTTAAGTACCCATATACACCTTTGAGAATAGATTCATTTTGTCCATGCTTTTCAAGTAATCCAGTCAAAATGTTGTGATTATTGTATAGTTTTTTCAAGTATGTTGATTGTTTCTTCTTCACAAGGGCCACTAGGGTTTGAACAGTGATACCAAGTAAAGATTCCAAAACAAAAGTTTCATGACCCATAATGAAGCTGGTTGTCACCACATCAGATTTGTCAGAATTTGATAAATAATTCGATAATGAGTCAAAGAAAGAGGAAACAGATTCAAAAGGTAGATCATCCGATATGTCCAAGATAGGTAAAATCGTCAAAATAGAAGAAGAAATAGCAATACTCGAGACTGGAGTAATATGGATCTATCATCAAAAATATATATATATATATATAAGTAACCAAGAAAAAAAAATCATATGGAATGAATAAATGATATTCTTACCGTTTCAATTTCAGTGTTATTCAATATATCTTGTTCTTTCTTCCAATCATATGGAGTATTCAATATCTTAAGGAGTTCTTGTACCAAAGATGTATTATTTCTCGTTTGTGGGAATCGAAGAAGACCATCAGCATTAACAGCAGACGTCAGAGTACCAGGAGGGACAGAAAGAGAACCAGTAGACATAAGTTCAGAGAGGAATAGTATAGATTGTTCAGGATAACGAATAAACTGTTGTGATACATATTTGGTGATATATGGTAAAGTGACTTGAGTATAATTTGGCCATTCTAATTGTGACAATCCAACAAAGAATCCATAAACAACATTAGGGTCTTGGAAAGAGGTAACAGATTCCAGAATAAGACGACCACCACCCACAACTACATCCAAGTTGCCAAAGCATAAGATTCCAGTTACTGTACGTAGTGTCTCTTTGTACAAGTCGTATGTGAATACTCGTCGAGTGGAAGTAAATACTAGTTTGGCGACTTGCTGTACACGACTAAGAATGGGTTTGAAGTCTATAATGAATAAATAAATAATTATAAGTATCATTCCAACAAAGTATTTCTTTTTTTTTAATCATACCATCAATACGACTAGCTTTTCTAACTGTAACCATTATGGCTAAGGTTGACATATCGATGAGTAAGTGCTTTTCGTCAGATTTCTTTTCTTGTAATTGTAAATCAATATCTTTGAGGATGATATCAATAATGGGAGTAAAATGTTGTCGATAAGTATGATGGAGTAATAGTAAAGTTGTTTTGTTGAATAATTGAAAGTTCATGTCAGATTCTATATGGTAGTACAAAGTAAAAAAAGAGAAAGTATTAATTGCATTGATATCAAGTAACTTTTTTTTTTGATGGCTTACCAAGTTCATCTATAGGTCCAGTTGTAGTGCAAACTTGAGTAAACAATTCTGAATAAATGGATACAGCGCGAGAATGAAGACGATTGTCCACTTGCTAAAAAAAGAAAGAAAACAAAAAAATAAGATATATGACGAATTTGATGTCATGATCAAATATGTTTTTTTTTTACCTTCATGCTTTCAAAAAATAACATAGCTAATCCTTCAGTATATTGATTAGAAGGTTCTCGTTTCAAAGAATCCAAAATATGTTGTATTAAATCAGTCAAAGCTTGTCCACGTACTTTCTTCATCAAAAAGGCAAATGCTTCGGCAGAAAAGTGACGAATGTATGGTTTGGTTGTAATATCTTCACCAAGTAATTTAGATAATAAGTCGAAAGTATCGCATATGTCAGGTAAGATTTGACGAGAAAGGAACTTGAAAAGATATGCAATACTGTTGAATAAGCACTATAGGATGATTATAAAAAGATAATATTGAGGATCTCCATCTACAGAATTCTTTTTTTTTTCTTTCCTTATACCTCCAAAAGTTTGATATCTTGATGATATACCAAAGGTAACATACACTTGAGCATTCTGGTATAATAAGGATAGAATTCACCTTCGAGATCTTTAGCCAATTTCGTAACAAGACTAACATTAGAAAAAAAAAATAAAGTTATTCACAGATCAAATAATATAACTTATATTGTACTTACTCTAATAAACCGTCAAGAGCCAAACTATTAGGAACCATCATATATTTTTCCATAATATCCATGATCTTTTCCTTGTGGTGAATAATTGAAGCCAATGTCTTCACATAAGGTTGAATTTCGCGATAGAAGAGTGTAAACTGTTTGGACAAGTTCAGTTCTTTCCAAGACTGTAATGATTCATAAAAGAAAGATCCATTTTCTTCAATTTCATCTTCTACCAGACGAGAACGATGAACAACATTGACCTTGATCTGTTCTACCCGAGCACTAAAAGGTTGAAACTAAAAAGAAAGAAAGAAAAAAAAGATTTCAGTTAGATCAAAATCAAAAATAATAATAAAAAAAAGAAGTTTTATTTAAATTACCCTGAATCGATTAGTACCCGTCCCTGTATTCAATTGAGGGACATCTTTATTATCTAACATGACAAGTAGAGAATAAAAAGATGTGGCCTATGCAGGTTGATCTGTCAGTAAAAAAAAAAAAGGAAAAGAAAAGAGAGAAAGAAAAAAAAAATTGTTCAAGCGAGAAAGACACCAGCCACTTTTGGAAATTTCAAGGACCGCATAATGAGGGCGTGAAGCAAAAAGCGGGCGCTCTTACCATTTCTTTCCTTAGATTCTGTCTTTCTTTTACACGTTTTTCAATTATATATTTTTTTTCCTTTCCTTTTTCTATATTGTTAGAGGTAATATTTAAACCACCATATAATGATACAAATTAAAAAAAAAAAGTTACTTATATTTATATATGTTTTATTATAGTCCTCTCTATCTATCTCCTTCTCCCTGTCCCTGTCTCCTTCTATCTCCTTCTATCGCTCTCTCTCTCTTTTTCTCTCTTTTGCCACCACCCTTTCTCTGTCTCTCTTTCTCCCATTCATAAACACGACAAAAAAAACATATCAAGAAAGTAACTATGCTTTCTCATCAGGACAACAATGTAGACCACCTACAATCTGGTATGAATGACCTTCGAATAGACAATGAACAATATTATCAACAACATCAGCAGCAGCAATATCAGTCACCCAAAGAAGACTCTGATGACGAAGTACCTCTCGTCATGAACCATCATCAAATACCTGTTAGTGTTCAAAATATCGCCAATCATCTCAATTCTTCAAGACCAAGTCATTATATCAAACCTGCTTCACAAACTACACAGACCGTTCTTCAAGATTTACCAGCTGATATTCAAACTACTCAACTCATGTACAACTACTATACCGAAAAAACATACCTGGAAGGATACTTGTTAAAGATGAATGATTTGACTGTGGATGGATCTTCTTGTGGTGATTCACGATGGACGCGATGGTATGTGGAACTTTGTGGACCTGTATTGACTTTATGGGATGCTGAAACCAATGATGATACTAGTCATGCAGTGATACCTCAATATATCAACTTGGCGGATGCTTCTGTATTTATCAGTGATCAAGAACATGGTGTAATTTCTCTCAACTCGGCTGGATCCAATCGATTCCTTCTTCAACCTGTGGATGACAACCCTGCATATCAGGCCCCGCTTTGGGTATGTGCAATGCGACTCTCCTGCTTTGAATGGTCTCGAATTCACGAAATATATACCATGAAGTTTATCTCTCGTTACAACGCTGATGTCATGGCTGCTACCAAAGCTACACCAAAAATGGAAGGTTTTGTTCAAGTTCGATTGACTGGCGCAACCGAATGGCAAAAATATTGGACGGTGGTTTCTGATCGACGTGATGAAAAATCGTTTTTTGGTAAGAAAAAGGTACCTTCTCGTGGTCAACTCTCGTTTTATGAATCCAAGAAGCAAAAGCATCCTAATTTCATCATGATGAACGTGGTACATGCCTACACTTTGTATCCAGAATCTCCACAGCTTATCGACATGGCAACTATACTCAAGGTAGAAGGTTCTATGGCCTCAATCAAAGCGAACGGTGAACAGGAACCCAGCAAAGATACTTCTAGTGCTCTGATTATGGCTTCTTCTCGTAAAGAATTGATCCAATGGCTTGTTGCTGTGTTTGATTCCTTTAAACTTTATGGACGACCTACCAAAATTTATGATGATCCTTTGAATCTCAATTCACTCAATTTTGGTGAACTAGCGGCTTCAAATCCTCGTTTATTTTTGGAAATACCTGAAGTTCAACATGTTGATATTTATCAAGATACCTATATCGATAATGTAGCTTCTTTCGCCGGTGTTTTACTGAACAAGATGACAAACCCAGCCTCTCGTGCAAATCAACAATGGAATATTGGACAGAATAATGACGATCATAGAAGAAGCTTACCACTTGAACAATCATTCAATCATCCTTTGGCTGCCAACCGTCTCTCTGATCAACGGCAACAACAACAACAACAACAACAAGGAATGACTCCAAGCTCATCTAGCCGTGGTGGTAAACTTATTTATGCTAGCGACAGTGATGATGATGATGATGATGACGATGATGAAGAAGAAGAAGAAAGCGATGACGATTCCCTCGATCAACCTCGTAGATCTGCCATTAAAACATCCCAAATTTCAACTTCAATGAACAAAGCACACCAACAAAAAAAAGTAGATGAAGAGGATACTGACGACACACAATCAACTACCTCTGATGTATCAGACTCTTCTGCACCACAACAAAAATCAGAACCGACATCATCTCGACAACGACCTCGCCGACGTATTGTGCGCCCTCAAGCTAGCATTAGTGGATCAGGAACAGATAGTGATGAAGATGATGATCATAACAACACTAGAGGTGGAAATACAACCGATGATGATGATGATGATAATTCTGCATTGGCACCTGGTGGTCATCAAACCACTTCAACACCTTCACCAATGATGGCCATGAACAACAATCCATCTGGACAATTTTATGATCAACAACAACAACAACAATATCATGATGGAACGATGTATGATCCTGTTACTGGTATGTATTACGATGATCGACAATTCGAAGGACCTGCTGGTATGGAAATGGGTGAAGATGGACCTGTGATTCCTGAACTTGGTTCACGTTTTGCAACACAAAATAGTCTTTTGGATACATATCGACCGGATCAACCATCTGCTAAGGATCAAATCGAATATGCAAAACAAACTGGACATACCTTACTGAGTGTTCCTAACAAGCCTCCTGAACCTCGTACTGGCTTAGTTGGTATGATCTCTCAAATTGAAGTGGATAAGAAGGAACAAAAACTGAACAAAGGAAGAATGTTACAAATGGAAAAGAATCAACTTTTAGAACGTGAACGTGAAAGATACTTATGGGAACAACGTCAACAAATGATGCCTCAGGTAAGAATAAAAATAAAAAGTAGAAATGTAGTTACTGACATGATGATGATCATCATCTTTTTTTTTTTTTTTATTCTTTTATTTTATTTTTATTAGATGGGAATGAACCAAGCCAACATGACACCTATGGCGATGAATCCACCTATGGGGATGAATCAATATGGAATGGGACATTATGGAATGGGTCAGATGCCAATGATGGATCCTAGAATGTCAATGATGCCACCTATGATGGATCCAAGAATGTCGATGATGCCACCTATGATGGATCCAAGAATGTCGATGATGTCTCCAAGTATGATGAATTTATCAAGTCTCAGTAACAACAATTTAGATCCTCGTATGTCAATGAACCCTTCTACCAATGATACAGTGGATCCACGTATGTCTATGATACCTCCCATGATGGGTCAAATGCCAATGATGATGGATCCTCGAATGTCCATGATGAATATGCAAATGATGATGTCAATGTATCAAAATGGAATGTGGAATCAACAGCAAAGATTTGGTGGTGGTCCTAATATGGATGATGATGATGAAGATGATGATGTCCCTCTTGGTGGTGGTACTGGTCATGTCAATGAAGCTACTAGTACAAACAAACGTTAGATCATTTTATTGCCTTCCTCTCTCCTTTTTTTTTTTTTTATTTTTATTATCTTCCTTTTTTATTTATACATTATATAAATATATCTTTATTTTAGTTTACTCTATTTATTTTTATTTTATTTATCACACAAAAAAAAAAAAAAAAACAAAACAATCTAATAATCAATAAAAAAAAAATTAGCCTTCTCTTTTATCAAATTCATATCAAACAATTCATCATACGACATAAATAGACTATTCCTTTTTTTTATTATTTTTTATTATTATCTGGTAAAAATGTTGTACAAGACATATACATCTAAAACAAAAAACATTCTAAAACTAAATCTAAATAATAAATTAGAATATAACACCTTCAGCCTTCAATTCCTTTTCAATCACGTCCATCACAAGTTGAGGATTGGCATGATCCACGTGTACCACTGATCGTTCTTTATCCAATAAACCAATGAATTCCTTGGGTAAAACTTGAGCTTGGAAATCAAAACCTTGTTCATCCTTGAGGGCCATTTCAACTGCTTCTGAGAATTTGGCAGGATGAGCAGTAGCCAAACAGATCATGACTTCATTGCCTTGAGGTAATAATGAAAGATGATCACGTTCAGTGAGACGATCGGCTGCCACCACACCAACAGATGTATGAGGATCCAAAATATATTGATGCTTTTGTTGATAGTTACGAATGCCTTCTACAGTTTCCTTGTCAGTAACCATAGCCGCGTCAAAGATTTCACGAGCGTGTAACACGGCCTTGTCGGATACACGGAAAACACCCTTGGTCTTGAGTTCATTCATCCATTGCGCAACCGTTTGACCAGCTTGATCGCTCAGAGTTTCGTTCAATACAGTATCATGAGTTGCCACTTCAGTTCGACCATTATCTGCTTCACTATCACGAGCCAAATACCATAACAGACGTTCAAAATTGGATGATACCAAGATATCCATGGCAGGTGATAAAGTTTCCTTGGCATTACCATCTACAGTTTGTTTTTCATAGGCATTGGTGTTGAAGAATCGATACAAAATATCATTTTCGTTGGTGGCCACAATCAATTTGTTTGTAGGAAGACCCATACGGTAAGCATAATAACCAGCAAGGATATCACCAAAGTTTCCAGTGGGAACAGAAAAGTCAAACTTGATCTTGTCAGCTTCAGCAGAGGCGGGATCGATATTCAATGATCGCAATAACAAAAAGTAAGCTTGGAAGTAATATACAGTTTGAGCTAGAATACGAGCCCAGTTGATGGAATTAACAGCACCAAGGTGATGCTTATCATTGAATTCACGATTGCTGAACAAGTTCTTCAAAATATCTTGACAATCATCGAAGGTACCTTTGACACAGAGATTGTGTACATTCTTATCCAAAACAGTGGTCATTTGAGCTTCTTGAATAGGACTGACTCGGCCATTAGGATGAAGGATAAAAACAGATACATTCTTCTTGTTGCGAAGACCATAGATTGCAGCACTAGAAAAAAAAAAAAAGAGTTCCTATTAGTATAATGATTTTTTTTTTTTTTTTGTATTTATATTTATTACCTTCCAGTATCACCAGAAGTAGCACCAACCACAGTCAAACGATGAGTTTTTCCACCTTCAGTTTCAGCTTTGTTACGACGTTCCAAGAAGTATTCAAACAAGTTACCAACAAATTGAAGAGCGACATCCTTGAAAGCAAAAGTAGGACCATGGAAGAGTTCCAAAACATATAATCCATCCTTAACTTTGGCGAGAGGAGTGACTTGTTCATGACGGAAAGTTGAATAGGATCGTTGGATCAAATCTTCAAGATCAGGCCGAGGGATCTGTGAATCTTCAATATATAAGGAAAGAATTTCGACGGCCAATTGTTGGAAAGTCAATGAAGACCAAGCTTGTCTCCAATTATCAGGTAAAGAAGGAATGTGATGAGGGATGAAAAGACCTCCATCAGGTGACAAACCTGCCATGACGGCTTCTTCAAAAGTATAATCTTTAACTTGACCACGAGTGGATCGATATTTCATAGTATATGTATACAGAAAAAAAAAAAAGAGAGAGACAGAAAAAAAAAAGAAAAGAAAAGATAAAGAAATCATCAGTGAGTCATTTTTATCAACAAAAATATGCGGAGATGAAAAATTTTATTTCAATAGTCTTTTTTTTTTTTTATAGGGAAAAGGAATTGTTCTACCATAAATCAAAGAAAGAAGTTAGTAACAGAATCATCATTATTCTTTAAAGAAAAAAAAAAGTTACTTACTTGAATAGGACAAGGAAATGTAGATTGTGAATTGATGGTAGGATGAACAGAGACAAAGAGTACCCTGGCAGTAACTTGAATTGTATAAGATATCGTCAAATCGCGAGGTTTTTCACCTGTTAATCCACATTTATCTGCTAAATCATTGAGAATAACTTGATTGGGATCTGTCATAGGATCATAGGCAATAGAAAAAGGGAATATAAAACTAAAATCACTATATTTTGGAAGTTCCATATAATCTAAATAGCCACCACCAACTGGAGTTGTATTGCCACTTCCTAATGGATCAGGATAAAAGGCCTAAACCAGAACCAAAAATGAAAAAGAACACCATAAAAGGAAATCAGTAACCATCCCTTTTTCTTTTCATATCATTGTTACACTTACTGTTGCATTCATGTCAGAAATATAGATAGGTAGTAAATTGGGATTCTTGGCTGTGACATTCAATCCAAAATTGATTTGTATCTTGTCCCCATTGAAGGATAAAGGTGATGATCCATTGCCTGTACTATTGGTGACACCTCCAACATCGACTGTAGGCATAACAAACTTGCTCATGATGGCTCCAATGATAATAACAACAATAATGATGGAGATGATGATAAACCATAAAATATAAGTGGCCCATTTTGGTAAGCAGCAAGCACAACATAAACATCGTAGACAACAATTGCGACCTTCCATTCGTCTTTTTTTTCTTTTTTTACTTTGAAAAGATCCTTCTTCTATTGTTTCGTCTATTGGTGTGGTATTGTTCCTGTCTAAAAAAAAAAAAAAGGTATCATAAACGCCAGTACAAATAGACTGAATGACCACATTTTTTTTTTTTAAAAAAAAAAGAAAGATCCAATCTTCGTAAAGACTACTTAGCTACCGGAACTTACCATCATGTTTACCAGCCACGTGGTGCCCGGATAAAGTGATATCTGTGGTATTGTCATTAAGTGTATGAGATAAGGTGACTGATGAATTTTCGTTTATTGTTGTCGACTTCATTATGAATTGATAGGTACAATGGTATATATATACATATATGCAAATAAAAGGATGATGATAATGCTGATAATACAAATATGAAGTACAATATGTAAAAACCAAAAAAAAAAAAAAAAAAAAAAAAAAAAAAAAATTAAAAAAAGAAAAAAGAGAAAACCTATTTTTTTTTTTTTTTTGAGCCAAGAAACTTATATATTTGGATATTTCATACTCCGTAAGGAAAACTCGCAATCTGATACTATTTTAGATCGTATTCATTGTAATGCACCATCTTTTTCGTAGCCAAACTTTGTACTTGTTCCGAAATCTATTTATCGCTATACAGGCGGAAACTCAAAAGAGAATCTTTTTGACTGCTGATTGACAAACTGACTTGTATGTTGGTCAAGTGCGATGTGACACATTCATTATATTAAACATCTGCCATTGTTCACTAAACTTTTACTCAATATCTCTTACTGCATAACATCTACGTCATAAATAAATAGTGATCATCATCATCATCATGCTTTATGATTACTTTTAAAGCAAAATAAAAAAAAATTTACTGCATTGTTGAACTCAGTTCGCATTGATACACGCATTATGAATTCAATTGAGGAAGTAAACTCGTTTCTATATCATAATCATTACGAATATGTTAATCTAAGCAAAGACGATTACTCGAAAACTGACCATGTCCATATTTGGAACTCACAAATTGGCATGAACCTGTCAAAAAAAAAGAAGAGTATTGATTGAATTCCGATGGGGCTTAGTGGCTTAGACCATTGGTCCTTTCTCAAAAAAATTCTCTTCTTTTTTTTTTTTTTCTTCTTTCTACCACTTCATTTTTTTTTATATATATAACCATGGCTGACGAATCGGTTATCAAACCTACTGCAGTGACTCCTGCTATCAACACTTCCAACTGGCCTCTTTTATTGAAGGTAATTTATAATTCATTTTTATATATTAAGAATATTTAAATTAATTCAATATATATATATATTTTGTTAGAACTACGATCAACTTAACGTCCGTACCGGTCATTATACTCCTATTCCTCATGGTTGTTCTCCTTTGAAACGTCCTCTTAATGAATACATTCGTTATGGTGTTATTAACTTGGATAAGGTGTGTATATTGATAAAATATAAAAGAACATGTGCTAAGAAAGCATTATTGACTCAATTATTATTATAATAGCCTGCCAATCCTTCATCACACGAAGTTGTTGCCTGGGTTCGTCGTATCTTACGAGTTGAAAAAACTGGTCATAGTGGTACTCTTGATCCCAAGGTGACTGGTTGTTTAATCGTATGTATTGATCGTGCTACTCGTCTTGTCAAATCTCAACAAGGTGCTGGTAAAGAATACGTGTGTATTTTACGTCTTCATGATGCTCTTGAAAGTGAAAAGAAACTCTCTCAGGTAAATATCATTTATTAACAAAGAGCATTTTTTTTTTAAAAAAAAAAGCAACACTGGATTGATCATTTCTATTTTATATATATTTTTAGGCTATCGAAACTTTGACTGGTGCTTTATTCCAACGTCCTCCTCTTATTTCTGCCGTCAAGCGTCAATTACGTGTTCGTACCATTCATGAAAGCAAATTGTATGAATTCGACAATGATCGTCATTTGGCTGTTTTCTGGGCAAGTTGTGAAGCTGGTACTTATATGCGTACTCTCTGTGTTCATTTGGGTCTTTTATTGGGTGTGGGTGGTCATATGCAAGAACTTCGTCGTGTTCGATCTGGTGCCATGTCTGAAAACGATGATATTGTCACTATGCATGATGTGATGGATGCTCAATGGGTATTTGATAACAATAAGGATGAATCTTACTTGCGTCGTGTGGTACGTCCTTTGGAAACTTTGTTGACAGGATACAAGCGTGTGGTTGTCAAGGATAGTGCAGTGAATGCTGTATGTTATGGTGCCAAGTTGATGATTCCTGGTCTTTTGCGTTATGAAAGCGGTATTGAAGTCAATGAAGAAGTTGTGCTTATGACTACCAAGGGTGAAGCCATTGCTTTGGCTTATGCTCAAATGACCACTGCTGTCATGGCTACTTGTGATCATGGTGTGGTGGCCAAGGTCAAGCGTGTTATTATGGAACGTGATACTTATCCTCGTCGATGGGGTATGGGTCCTATTGCTCTCGCTAAGAAGAAGCTTAAGACTGAAGGCAAGTTGGACAAGTTTGGTCGTGTCACAGAAGAAACTCCTGAAATCTGGAAATCTACCTATGTCGACTTTTGTAATAACACCACTGGTACTGAACCTGAACCTGTATTTGGCAAACCTGTCAGTTCTGTTGTCGCTGCTGCTGGTATCAATCCCAAGATCACTGCTGTTGGTGTAGCTACCAAGGATGCTATGGATGCTGCTGATGATTCCTCAAACAAGAAACGTCCTGCTGATGATGAAGTGACCAAGTCCGAAACCAAGAAGGTCAAGAAAGAAAAGAAGGAAAAGAAGGAAAAGAAGAAGAAGAGCAAGGATTAGAAAATTTAGATGTCAAGTTACTTTGATCCCTTTTTTTTTTATGATCATTTATTTCATTGTTACTCATTCTCTCTCTCTCCACTCCATTCCTATCTCACTTCTTTTTTTTTTCAACACAAATACTCACTCATATTTAGTACACTTTGTTAAATCACATATATAGTTCATTCCCCCCTTTTTTGTCATTTTTTTTCTTTTACTTACATGCAAACATCTTTTTTTTTATTATTTTTTCAGATTCAATTGTTTTATATATTTTGTCTCTCGGATCATCTATCCAATTCTTTATTTTTACCTCTCTCATCTTTATTTTGTAATCAATAAAAATTGAAATGTTTTATTTATCAATATATTGTCTCCTTCATACTTTTGAATCATCATTATCGTTATTATCAAGGGATCATCATCAACCTATCATCATTAACATATCGTCATTATCAACTATCATGACTGGTATCATAGAAGAAAAAAAAAATAAGGAATGGAAGGATCGGCAATGTGTGAATAAAGGAGAGGGATATGGTCGATCAATCATGTCAATCACTTCAGGGTCTAATAATAATAAAAAAAAAAGACTTGCCTTATTGTTGTTTAGAATGTACATCAATTAGTTTATCGTCGATCAAAAAGGAATCATTTCAAACTCGTTGTTTTTTTATTGTTGAAGTAAAAAAAAAAAAAAAAAAAAAAAAGGGGGAGGCGAAGATCAAGATAATAAGGTACCAATAAACAAACTACATTTTTTTTTTCGGGGGAAAGAAGAGAAGAAGATTGCATACACTGTTTAATCTGGATAGATTGTTTCCAAAAGCATAGGTACGATCACATCAATGTTTCCATCATGTGTCATTAGAAGTTCCACAGCCAAGTCATCACAATAAGTAATTCCCTTAAAAGATATAAAATAGAATAGATCAGTTCAATGCACTTTCTTTTTTTTTTTTTATTTACCATTTCATGAAGTTGAGCCAGCTTGGATGCATATTTAAAGTGATTACCTTTGTCTGTCTTCGTTGATTGCTTTTCGCTGACCCATTCGTAATCATCCGTATTGACACTATCATAAGGACTACCGGGGACTGGCGACTTTTCATTTGGTACTGAGACTATAGTATTAGAAGTTTGTTGTACGTGTTGCTGATCATCACCGTAGGCTGATTTACTGATGAGAATATAATTTGTGGATGATGATTCAGTTGACCTGTTGTTGTTGTTGTTGTTATTGTTGTCACTAGTTTGAGATCCAACGCTACGAGTCATGGCCATTTGGCCTTTGTTTGACGGGTGTAATTGATAAGTATCTTTGAAAGGATCTTCGGTAGAACCAGTATCATCATCATCATCATCGTAGTATTCGTAATCAGTGTTATCATTGTCTCGAGTGGTTACTGTGCAAACTGAAGGTGCTGTTGGCGTTGTGATGGTGCTTGAACTAGTTGATCCATGATAAGTAGTATCTTCCATTTTGTTGTTGCTTGGTTGAGGGTAGATCATAGTGGAAGTATCGGCTATTACCGAACCAGTAGATATAGTGTTTGGAGTGGATGGACGTCTTGTTGATGATACAGTACAAGGACTTTGCGAACGAATATCTGTTACAACCTTGATGTCACACCAAAGACGATCACCAAACCGAATTCCTTCAGGTGAGGCGAGGCGGAAATAACTAACATGACGTCCAGGAGTATCAGGAGCACAGAGTTCAACGGAAATACAAGCTTCTTCGCCAGGAAGGATAGTAGGAATGACGGTGTTTTGCTGATATTGAGGAGGATACGGACGAAGGATATCACCACCACTAAAAATCAAAGTAGATCCAGCGGGCCAACGGATACGACCATTGTTTTTGATCTTCCACATTTTGAGAAAACGTTGAGAAGATTGCATATCAGTTCCATCAGGTATATTCACATCATTCACAAATTCTGCAGACAAAAGACCATCAGGTGATCCAAGTGGGGAGTGACGTGTTTCTGATGGTGATAATGATGTTGTTTTTACAGTAGAATGATTATGGCTGATGATGATAGGCTGTGATTCGTTTCCTGGAATAGCTTCAGGTTTTTCATGAGTAGTTGATTCTGTTGGTTTGAAGGCATAATCAAAGGGTGGTAAAAACGTGTTGACCATGCTTCGAGCACGTGATAGAGGGCGACGGATCTTGAGGAAAACATGCCGTTGATCATGAATAAGCAATGGTTCACAAGATTCACACAAGTCGTAATCAGGACAATGACCACACTATGGATAAAATAAATAAAAAAAATAAGAGTAAGAAAAATCTGATAAATTTAATGATTTTTTTTTTTTTTTTTTTTTTACTTTGTATCTGATTCCCACAATGTTTGTTCCACAGTGATCACAGACAACGTTGTCATGATTAGCGTTACCGTTAGATTTGGTGTTGGATGGTTGAGGCGTAGTATCTTGTACACTAGAAATCATTTCAGCAGGTTGAACGTAGCGGAATACATGCAAAGGATTATGGAAAACACCACCACGTGCTCGACATGAAAGACAAGCATGATATGAAGGACACTGACAACAAGCCCAATGATTCCTATGTGTTTCACAAGAAAAGTTCAATATTAATTATGAGACATGAATAGTATAGATATACTTTTTTTTTTTTTGGTTTACCCAGTAAGAGGAGCATAGCAGGAATCACAATACATAGTCGGAATAGCAGAACGAGGAGAAGCAGTAGAAGGCGGAGGAGTAGCTTGTTGATGAGTATTAGGCATATCTTGTCCAAAAGAAGAGTAAGATGTTGGATAAAACGGATGACGTTGCAGTAAAGGAGACACAGTTTGATGTACATGTTTTGCAGCCTCAGCGGTATTGCGAAGAGCACTATCTAAAGCAGCCAAAGTAGCACCAGATGCTTGACGAAGATGATCTTGAGATTTCTGACTGGTGGTTTGTTGGAATGACATGATATCTTTACTAACTTGATCGAGAGCACCTTGGAGGCAGCTTGCAAAAGATTTGAATCCATCAACAGCAGCAGGACGGGGAGGAGGAGGTGGTAATGATGATGACGCTGGTGTTGTAGTTTCCGAGCTCGTTTGCGTACTTTGAGAACCAGAGGGTACTGCGGTGGAAGAAGAGGATGATATGGTTTCCAAAAGTTGCTCCCCTTTCACTGGAGTCTTGGCATTCTTTTGAGGTGGTTTCAAAGTATCATTTTTGTTGTTATATTTAGAGTTATTCTTTTCCGGTTTGGAGGGTCGTATGAGCAAACGCTGTTTTTTTTGAGAAAGTGATATGAACTGATCGAATTCTAGAGGTGAACCCATACTGATAATATCATTTTCTTGATCGTTGAAGAAGATAGAAAAGTCGTCATTGTCCAATTTGAATACTTCTTTGACCTGTCAAAAAAGGAAGAAGTACAGATATTGAGTAGGTTAGTTTCCAATAAAAATAAAACATCTTTCATACTTGTTCACGGAGTTTTGTATAACAGGTCATAGATAGACTCTTTAATGTTTTCAAACGTCCATCCTCATCATATGGCTCAAGTTCACCCGTAGTAACTATATCAATCATACGATATTCCAAAGCATCTTCGAGTTTGACCTTGACAAACATTGTGAAGTAAAAGAGAGAAAGAAAAAAAAAAAAAAAAAAAAAGAGAACAAAGAAAGGGAAAAAAGGAAAAAGCTTGGCAGCCCAGTGTTAGTAAAAAATAGTTCTGAGATTGTAAATGAACCCCCGATTTGCATACACATATACAAACAGACGTATATATATTTACATAAAGTGGACAAGACAAGGAGTATCAAATATATAATATATTAATGAACGATCAGGAAATCAAATAAAAAAAAAAATAAAAAAAAAGAGAGAGAATGTACAATTAAGAGGGAAGCATCTATATAGTAAAATTAAGAAGGGAAAAAAAATGAGAGATGGAGAGAGAAGAAGAGGAAAAAATAATAATAATCCTATCTTCAAAAGCTTGTTTTGGAATGGAAAAGAGCATTTGGGAAACTTGGGGCAGATCCAGCAGAGTTTGTTGTTTGAGAGACCACAGTGTTGCGTCGTCGAAAAGCTTGTTCTTCAATTTCACGCTCTTCTAATTGATCCGAGGGTAACATAACAGCACGATCAATGGAAGCAGGCAAACCACGGTGTCGTCCTTTATACATTAGGAAGATAAGTACGAGTTTACTGATAGTTCGATATTCTCCGGCTTGAGAGACTGATGCGTCCGGGTATCCTATTTATTATTATGATGATGATAAATGATGATTAGAATTCACATTGTTGTCACATATATAATTTCAATCCTCTTTTTTTTTTTTTTTATGTTTTTACCTTGACTAGCACCAACATTACCAAATCCAGATACAGATTCATAAATGATTGTCCAGACAGTAATAGGCGAAGGGTCCATGATTCTTTGAGCTTCAGCCACAATGATAATAAATAATCCAACAAGTAACCAAGAGATATCACTTGAAAGTTGCCTTTGTACTTGAGTGACAACAAAAAAATCGGGTCGTCGTAATACTTTTCTTCCAGTTGTCATGACACTATTAACAGTTGGATGTCGTTTTAATTTCAATAATAGTGCTGGTCCTGTTGTTGGTTGTTCATATCCACCTTCTTCATCATCATTCAATCCACGATAAATTCCAAGTGCACGTTCCTAATTCATAATAATAAGAAGAAAAAAATGAATAACATGAAATGAGAAAAAAAATAAGGTCCAATTTTATTATTTTTCTTATTATTGTTATTATTTGATTTTACCTGATAAACATTACTGTTTCGCATTGATATAGCAACAGGATAGACACTAATATACATGGCAACAATATAAACCAATTGAGTTCCAGGATTCAAGTCCATCAAATTGATAACAGCAAAGCCAGCTAATTTGTATATAAAGAAAAGACAATTGAGTATTATCCAATTAGTTAATTTTTTTTTTTTTTTTTTTGGAGAACTTACCATTTCTTGTGGAAATAGATTGAAAGAGACCATCAATAAAACGGGAACCCCAATTTAAACCATCTAATACAGGTAACCAATAATTGAGTGCCAAAAAACATACTAATTCGACAACGGTAATCACTACCAGAGTGAGGAGAAGCCAATAGGTTTGCGTCGAAGGGAACAAGGTGGTATAACAACGACGAGGATGATCAAGCATATAACGTAAAGTTTCACGAAGCATAGGACGAGAATGTGGAGTAAGCTTGTAAGTACACCAGATAATAAACCGAAGAAGAATTGCATACGCCGTATTGCCAAATAAAATCAATAACATGGTGAAGATCAATGGGGCAGGTGCATTCTGAAAGGGAACCATACTTGCATCACATAACATAATACCCAAATTGTTGAAGGCAGATAGTGCTTGAAAAAAGGAAAAGAACCAAGGATCAATGGGGCCAGTAGAGTTGGTTGTCCGTAAAACATCTTGAGCATAAGTGGAGCAGGCGATATAGATCCTGAAGAAGAAAGCAAAAAGAATAACAATACCCAAGTAGTATGCAGGTACCAGTTTCACCAAAATATCCAAAGCTCGATATTCCGCACCACCGATACGATAGCGTTGTTCACGTGTCAGTTGACTTTTGTCAATAGGTTCGCGCATAATACGATCAATTTCTTCTTCTGCCACCATTTCGTCTGCGATACGTTGTTCTTCATTGTTGCGAGGTTCTTGATTGTGGGCGAGTTTGTCTAATACTTCCTTAAAACGTCGATCTTGTTCTAAGCGTTGACGAGCCATTTCACGTTGTCGTTCAATGTTATCTGCAAAAGCAATACCAGTTGTTTCCGATTCAATATTATCATCCAGTGGAGTGTTTTCATCATCTTGTTCCAAGGCGGTTGTAGGACGAGAATCTGAACCTGAAGTTTCTTTAATTGTATCTTTAGGAGAAACTGATGATGGACATGTTTGAACTTGTCGTAAGCCTAGATCACCCTCTTCGTCCGTTGGATAAAAAGTCGTTGCTGCATCATCATTTGCCCACATGTCGACTTTGGTATGATCGTGAGTCGTAGAGGATTTCACTGAGCTATGTCTTGATAGATTGTCATCGTATAATGGTTCAGAGGTATCAGAATATGGATGTCGTGGTGAATGGCTGTCAGATGTATGAGAGGATCTTCGAAGTTTTCGTAAATGAGTTGGAGCTGATGGTCTAGCAGAAGTAAAACTTTTGTGACTATGCTGTTTTCGTCGATGTTCTTCACGCATACGTCGAGCTTTATTGAAAAGTAGTACATCTTCAAATCTTTTTGAGAAATAATGGCGACGAATGAGGACAACAACAAGAGAAATACCAATATGAGAACCAACAAAAGAGGAAAAGAATAAGAGAATAAGTTGATATGTACTAAAAGTTGAGATGGCGACAGTGTTGAGACCAGTATTTGTACTTCCAGTAGTTGCCATGAAGAGAGCGTCAATATAGTTCCAATTGGTACCAGGTTCACAATAATATAAAGCGGAGAATAGGAAGATGATAAAACCAATATAAAAGTAATGGAGTTGAAGAAAATGAACATGATTGGTCCAATAGCGTTCCAACCATGCCCAAGTTGGTGCTATATATCGACGTAGCATGAGAATGCCACTTTCGATATATTTTGAAGGGAAGTAAAAGAAGTAAAAAAAAAGAAAAAGAAAAAAAAAAGGGAGAGAGAAAGAGAAAAGAAAAAAAAAAAAAGAAAACAGAAAAAACCGAACTTTCTAATATGGGAAGAAAAGAGTGAAAACAAAAAAATTTTCTGGATCCGAAGACATATCAAACAAAAAAAAAAAAAAAAAAAAAAAAAAAAAGAAATGGGAAACTTTATTAGAAATGATTTGATATAAAAATTCATTGTCAGCTTGTCCAATTTGTTACAAATGGAAGGTTTTCTTTTTTTTTTTTATAGAAAAGAATAAGTTTAAAGAAACGACATTACAATGATGGATTCAAACAACTCACGTGGTTGACAATGATTAACCTCTTCCAATACTGAAGTTACTGTATCATACTAGCAAAAAAAAAAAAAATACTATTTGTGGGGTACACGCCGAGTGCTACTCCGATCCGATCATTCATTGCATTTAAAAAAAAGAGGTGTACCATCCATCGCTCTGCACTAACATTGATTTTGAATAAATAAGCTGCCTACAACTTCCAGAAAAGGAAACCGTATCTAGTATCACTTAAATAACGTGATGATGTTTTTTGTCATAGAGACCATCATGTCATAAAAGCATCAAAAACTATGTGTATTACCATCTAACAACCAACACCGCTTTCCCGAAAGGCCTAGAATGATGATTTTTAACCCACCAGCTATTTTATCCTTTTTTTTTTTTTTTGTATCCCCAACAACTGAATGAACATCTAAGCGTAGTTTTAAATGAGCAAACCTGCATTGAGAAAAGACAATTGTTAACATCTCATATTTGTATGTAGTTACTGTATAGGTTGTTAACACATATCATCACATCATCATATATCATTATATATCTATTACATCATCACATACCATCACAACACCACATATCATCATTCAACCAATGATTAATCAAAAAGAACGTTTTTCTTTTTATTTTATTATTTCAACAACATGATGTTTCATTAGAATAACAAGCATGTTCAACTATTTATCTTAGCGACCTATATTATCATTACCGCTCATTCTATTTCCAGTTTGATCATTGCCCATACCAGTGTCGCTTTGTTGCTGTTGCTGCTGTTGCTGCTGTTGACCACTTCCCTGTTTATTCGATATATGAAGAATATTTTCTAACTTTGCTTCTCCTTCTTGTAATTTGTTACGTATAGTGTTGGGAAGCTCTTTACTATTAAAAAAAAAAAGATTTAAATATCAAAACGTAACATATTACAATATTCTAGGGATGAACTTACGCAAATTTCTCAATGCCACTGAAGGGTCCAGAATTAGGATTGTTATTTTGTGCCATGATTGAAATAACAAATAATGATGATTATAATTATTTTTTGAAATAATTTACATTTGTATTTATATAGTAAAAAAAAAAAAAAAAGATTAAGTATGAAACAAAGCGCGGTGAATATTATTTCTCATTTTTACTAGTGTCATTCAGTAAGCTAAAAAGGAAAAGACTTGTGATTGGCTGTATGAATCACTTTCATTTTTGTCTACCCTGTTTGAAACGCACACACACACATATATAAAATATTTTAAGCTTGGTGCATCAAAAATAAGTCTATTCAGAGTGAGTAGCGGATTGGCAGTACACTTGTTTTTTTTTATTTATTTTTTTAAACCCCCCCTTTTTTCAGTCTTTTTCTTCTCACTCTTTACCTTTTTTTTTTTTTCTTTTCTTTTCTACTTTCCCCTTTTCTTTTTGTTATCAATCTATTTTTCCCTCAATCATATATTCTACATTTATTTGTTAAACCAGTATTTGATGATGAATATGGGTAAAATAGTCAACTAGTGAAGTTTTACCTAATAATTAATCTCTTTTTATTTCATTTGACTTTTTTGTTTACCATAGATGACGATCATAAAGAAAAATATACAAAGTTGAAGAAGCGTATTCGGGACATTGAAAGGGTAATATTAGAAAAAAAAAAAAAAAAAGAGAGAAACAAACAAAAGTATAATTTAACTTTCATTCTATATTATTATGACCCTTTTTTATACTTTTTATATTTATTAGGAAAACGACTTTCTTCATGTTCGAATTCATAAAGCACGAAAAAGTGTAAGACGACTACGATTGGAACGAACGTAAGTAGATGAACCTTTGAAAATAATAAATAAAATAAAATAAAAGATAGGGGCTGTACTTGTATTGGATAGTATATTAATATTATCAAGATTGGTCTAACCTTAGTTTTATCACCAATTTTTAGATTTTTATTAGACCGGATTGAAAAAATCAATCATCATTATTCAGTGGATGAATCTGAAGACGAAGTTCATTCTGACCAAGAACATACCATCATACCGGTAAGTAAACCAAAAAAAAAAAAAAAAAAAATCTTTTCTTACTTTTCTTCATTTTTTTTTTTTTTTTTTTGATTATAGGTTACCAGTAGCAACCATAGTAGTAAAACAATCAAACCCAAGAAAAAGAAGGATCCCAATGCACCCAAAGGTCCTGGTAATGTCTTCTTTTTGTTTTGTCGTCTACAACGGGATAAGATCAAGGATGAACATCCTGAAGAACGAAGTCTAGGTGAAGTGACAAAGTTATTAAGTGCCAAATGGAAAGGTCTTGATAAAGAAGAAAAGAAGGTAAGAATCATTCTATATATATATCTCGATCTAATCTCTCTTTTGACTGTCTGTAGGTATATCAGGATATGTATCAAAAGGAACTGGAAGAATACGAAGTAGCAATGAAATCTTATAATAGTAGCAATAATCCTCATGCTATGGATGAAGATGTTATATCAAGTAGCGCTGCTCCTTCTCCTGCACCTTGAATCCCATCATCCTCCTCATCATTATCAACAATATTAACAAACGACAAAACATCGGTCTTCCTCTTAGTTTATTTGACAATCATGTTATCAACTCTACCATCCCACTCCTAGTTATCGTTTACCTTATTATTTTATTATACTTCCCCTCTTTTTTTTTTTTCTCCACAATTCTTTATTTCCTATTATCTTTTTTTTTTAATGTAGATTTCTCTATTTATTATGGCACTATATATATATTCTTCTTTGTTTACTTGAAATCACTTTCCATACCTAGTAGTAGTACTCGCTTATTATTTTTATTGTATGAATACTCTCCCCCCCCCTTCTCACCACCTTCCTTCCTTTCTCTTGATCTTTGTATAAAAACTCCCATATCTCATCAAACAAAATGAATAATAATAAAAAAAAATATATTCTTTTCTCTTCTATATTCCATTTGATTTTTATTTATAATATAGTGTGTAACGACATTGGACTACTGACTGATTGATGAAGTATTAACTAACTAACTAACTAAATATATATATATATATATATATATATCACTATGATGATTCAAATATGATCGATTTTTCCAATTCAGTCTGCTTTTTCCATTCCAAAAGTAAATCCAATTTTTGTCGCTTGCTACCTTGAATGAATTGTAGTACTTCCAATAATCGAGTCTTGGCTTTCCACAGATTTGGCTACAATATAAACAAAATAGGAGGGATTTAGTTTCGATTTAACATAAATATTATCAAAGTTACCTGAAAGATATGCACTCCATACATCGTGGTCACCAATAATTCATCCAAACCATCACAATTCAAATCGAAATGTACAATCCGATAGATAGGATATGCAAATTGTCGACGCCATAGTACATTATAATCTTGTGTTCCCGCCACTACGACAAAAAGAAGAAAAGAAAAAAAAAAGAATGAATCATTTTAAACATTGATTTTCATGCATCTTTTTTTTTTTTAAAAAAAAAATACCTTGTTTATAAATAATGACTTGTCGACCATAGGTACCAATCATTATTTCTCTTTCTCCGTCCCAATCAACATCCATAGCATGTGAGCAAAGCACGCTATCATAGAGTGTGGATTGTGGTAGAACTCGATGTTGAGAAAGTCCTTCTGTTTGTATGGACCTAGTATAAATAAAATAGATAAAAAAAAACAGATATTTGAATAATGTAAAAATCACTATTGCATTATCCTCTTTTCTTTTTTTTTAATAAATATTTACCTGTAAACTGATGCTTGTTCAATGGGACTAGTCACCACCAGACATAATTCTTCATCGCGACCTAAGAAGATATATAAGAATAAATAAATGCATTTTCTTCCTCCCCTCTTATAATCTATTTCCATTTGTTTTTCCTTACTTGTTTTCGTCGTTCGTGGTTGAAATATTAAAACAGAAGAGATTGGACTAAAAGTTCGTATACAATGAGATCGTGTTTCACGGCCATCTATTGATCAAATAAACCCATCCAAAAAAAAACAAAAGTTAGTTCTCTTATCATCTCCTCTTTTCTTTCATACTTTTATCATAAAAAGCAAGAAAAAGTTCACCATGTTGACCACCGGCACAAACAACTTGAATACCATTGGGATGGCTGAAGAAATGCATAAACAAAATATTGATATGACGTTCTGATATATTATTGATCATAGGATAGAGCCCATAGGTAGATATTTCTTGAAACTGTCTTGAAATATCACCCTAACAAAAGAAAAATATATAAGTTTAGTAACGAAGTTTTTTTTTTTTTTTTCTAAAAAGAAACATTGTCTTTTCCTCTTTACCTGTTGATAAAGACGAATATTACCATCCATGGAACTTGCAAAAAAGCCAATCTTCTTTTGACCTTGACAGTGAACACTTGATAAATAGTGAAGAGAATGACTTGTTAAGAAACGACGATCATAAACAAAAAGAGGTACTTACTAAGAGTGAGTTACTTGCATAGGTGGACTATCTAAAGGAATGATTTGTGAAGATTCTACAAATAGATAACGGAAAAAATTAGGTGAAGGAAAGGTGATATACAGTTTTCTTACTTGAAATATTTGTCAATGTCTGTTCGAGATACTGTTGAGCAGGTGTATCAAATCCATATATACGTAAACTATATGTTATTCCAGCGTATTCATTGTCAGTATCCACTTTCTATTTCACATAAAAAATAATGAATAAATAAATAAAAAAGAAAAAAAAAGAGTTCTATAATTATTCTTACTTCAGCAATAGCAATCGCTACAGCTATTCGAATATCATCCTTTCCATTTCCTAATTCTACGGTATCAACAGCAATGACCTCTGACTTGCCTATAATCATATATTTAAAACAATTTGAATACAAATAGTTAATAATAAAAAAAAAAAGGTTATTTCGTTACCTGCTTCGAGGTCTAAATCAAGAGAAATACAATTCCAATAACCATCGTTAGCAATAAAAGCAGTAAGTTCTGAAGCAGAAGCTGTGATCAAATGTCGTCTTGGTTTTGATAATAGAGCTTAATATAAAAAAACCAATGAATATCGATGTTTTTGCTTTTCTTTTATTGTTTTATTTTACTTACGTTTTGGTTGTTCCGGCATTGGGGTATCGGGAAGTTGATCATGTCGGCCAGAAGGGAAATCTTGAGCTCTAGCAAGATAAGTAGGTAAACGCGTTTCTAAAAGAGCCATACCATAGATATTACTAGTAATAGGAAGTATGAGTAAAAAGATTCGATAAGAAAAAAATGAATGACTTACGTTCTTTCGTAACCATATCTTGCATAATGTGTTTCTTTAAATAAAAAGTCATCGTCACTATTGGTGGAATCACCTTCCATGACTTATATATAATAGTATAAAAAGAAAGAAAAAGGAAAAAAAAAATGTCTCGAACTGGGATTAAATTCTCTCCATACATGATCAATCACTTCCATATATCATAGAGAGTTTTCTATGATCATGACGATCTTTTTTTAATACCTATTCATTTTTAGTTACATTGTTTACCAATCTTTGAAGTATCATCATACATTATCCATTATTAGAATATTCATTTTTTTTTGTAGTACTATAGAAGATGATACGGTTAAATCACAACAAACGTTAAACTTCTCATTGTGATAATGATAATCATGATAACAACGACTGGGGGAGATAGAATCATAAATATTCGAAAGTTTTTTTTTTTTTTTTTTGTCATGTGGGTTAAGTAATTGTTAGTAAAAAGGATTGCAGTAGTACCAAATCATCAGAGTTCTTTTTAATTGTAAAAGTCCGGAACATGAAGTATTTCCTAAAGCAGTTCCTTCTATGATTCATTGAAAATTTTTTGATAAGAGGATTGAGGGGTTTCATCTTTTTTTTTATTATTATTATTTCCCACATCAAAAAAAGAAAACATTTTCGCCGATATTGGAAAGAGAAAAAGTTAACCAATAAAAAATGATAATTTGACCAAGACATTTACCAAACAGATCAAATTGGTGATAAAAAAAAAAAAAAAAGGTACGAAAAATGATGATCTTATTGTATGGGTATTTATTTATTTTTTTTTTAAGTCATGATATTTACATATGATTTCCAATCAAAGTGAAGAAACACTTCAACGTTTAAAAAATCAAGATAATGATTTCTTGATCCAAGATATCCTTTTTTTTTATAAGGTAAAGTTTGGGTTGCTCCAAAATTTTAATTACAAGTCCGAACACTATGTTTTGCTGCCAAAGGGTCCGACACTATATAAATCATAATACTTGTCAATTTGTATTTTTCTTTTTCTTTTCTTTCTCTTTTCTTTTATATATTTTAATATAAAGTCAAACAACATATAAAACAATCAATAACTAAAAAAGGGACTCTGCTCACTTTTTTTTTCTTCTTCTTCTTCAACTTTTTCTTTTATATATCGTTCTCTCATTCGTTTTTTTTTTTTTACCCTACTCCTTTATAAATACTATGGAAACCAATTCACAACAACGTCGTCACTCTCAATCAGTTGCTGTTACTACTGTTAGTGATTCTACTACTCATATGACAGTACCTTTACATCGAACTCGTTCTCACTCTACTTCTTCTCCACCACCACCACCACCACCAACCAACGGCACAACTCCGGTATGTCCTCCTCCTTTGGCCGCTCATATCCTTCAATCAGCCAAATTGAAAATCAAGGAAATTGAAGATAAAGATAGTACTGGTTTCTTACATTATATGGACGATCAAGTTCATGATACTTGGAATGGTGCGAAATCAGCTGTAGCAGATGCTCATCGACGTTTATTATATCTTCACGAATTACCTATTGAATGGCAAGAAAATGAATATGTTTTATCAGGGTAAGCATTTATCAAATGTTTTGAGGGATTTACTTGTTCTTTATAATCCTGTCTTTTTTTTTTTTTTTTTACTCCTTGATTTGGATCTTCATACATTCTCCTTTGATGATCATTATTATTAATATACTTCTTCTTTTTTCGGGCTGTTGTTTTTTTTAAGGTACCGCTTTTATCATCATCATCATGATTGTTTGAAATCTATTTTCATGCTTCACAATGAAACAATGAATATTCATAGTCATTTGATTGGATTTATCTTTTTTTTGATTTTATCTATTTATATGGTTAACGTAAGTAAAAAAAAAAAAAAAAAAAAAAAAAAAAAAAAAAAGAATCATGATCATTATTATATTCATTTTGATAACTTCTTTTATAGTATCAATTCCCTGAAGCCAGTGCCTTGGATCGAGCAGTATTTGTGACATTTTGTGTAGCTGCTTTAAATTGTTTGTTTTGTTCATCTATCTATCATACATTTATTTGCCATTCTCGACATACTATCAAGTCTTTCACAGCAACTTTGGATTATATTGGGATTGCATTTTTGATCACGGCTAGTGTCTTGGTGACGGAACATTTTGGATTCTATTGTCAACCTGAAGCCGCTCGTCGTTACATGGTGTTCACCGGCTTGATGGGAAGTGTCGGTACTATTTCACCTTTCTTCAAATGTTGGGATACAAAGAAATATCGTCCTCTTCGCATTGCCGTTTTTGTTGCTATGGCTGTCTCTAGTGCTGTTCCTGTTATTCATTTGATTCGTTTGAATGGTTTATCTGCTTCAATTGAATTCTTCCAAATGGCCACTATCAGTGTCTTGATGTATTCTATGGGCGTATTTATTTGTAAGTGTACCATTCCACAATTTTTTTTACATATCTATTTATAACTCAGAAAAACTCCTTTTTCATATAGATGCCAAACGATTCCCTGAAAAGATGTATCCTGGTAGATTTGATTTTGCTGGCATGACTAGTCATGCTATCTGGCACGTCTTTGTTTGTTTTGGTATTTACGTAAGTCTTAATCCTATTACATATATCCTTTACTTACTTTTTATTTGTATATATATCTTTTAGTTCCATTACTTGGCATCTCTTCAATTTTATCAAAGCCGATATACTTATAGTTGTGGAATGACCTATTGATCGCTATTTTTGGAAGGTTGAACAAAAAATCAAAATCGAATTGGCATTATATCTCCACTCAATATGAATATCCTTATCTCAGATCAAGTTAGAGGAACAAAAAAAAAAAAGATGGATTGGCTGAGCCGGGCTCATTCTTCATTATTATTATTTTTTTTTTATATCTTCATTTCTTTATTCCCTTACTAGTTAGACTTTGTTACAACTATACACACCGCACTCACAACTTTTATATATATACAACGCTTCATCATCATTACTCTTACTATTATTATTTTATTCTTATTTTATTCTTATTTATCATCGTCATCTATCATCAAAATACGCAAACACACATATATTTATGGGTAAGAAATGTTTTAGATATCATTTATGACACTACTTCATCCCAATTTTTTTTATACCAATAAACTTTCTGGCCCTCTGGAGCATTTTGAAATTAAAGATAGATATCAATTGTAAATTTTGTTTAATATGGAATGTTAGTTTTTTTATTTTATTTTATTTTATTTTATTTTACTTTTTTTTTGGTTTCTTATGTGGATGATGATTTAATGGATTTTATGTGGAAGATGGGGATTTTCGTTGGACATTATACGATGAATTTTGATACTATGAAAAAGAATAACGACAATCATGGGTAATAAATATATATATAAAGATAAATATATTAAAGAGGAATGTAGGATACTATGGGACTTTATCAAACTATGGATAAAAGGAATTACCACAAATAACAATCCAGATATCAGCCAAGCAAATCATATTAAAACTGTGATACCATTTTACCTTTCTTGTCCAGTCGATCCTGCAATCCATCCATCCAATCGAATCATGTTGTTGGACCCATTCAGTTGTTTCATCCATCCACATGTTCCATTGGTTATACGTTCATCAACTAAGTTCTATAAATATAAATAAAACGGTCATTGAAAAGAGAAAGAGAATGGATGATAATAATAAGAAGAAGAAGAAAAATAATAATCATAATAAAGTCAGACAAGCAGAAGGATGACTTGCCAAATATAGAAGAAGAAACAAGACTTGTGCCTTTTTCAACAAAAGAGAGATCATCATAAAACCACCTTATCTGAATTTTGCTTTTTTATTCTAGTCAAACATTTTTGGACAAAGAAGTAGAGCAAATGTCTCTTTTTTTTTTTTTTTTTTTTTTTGGGAAGTATCAACCTGAGGAAAAGAGTAAAAGTGATTGATGCAACCAATGTTCCTCAATGTAGATCCTTATTTGGAGAGGGGGCATCCGGCGGATGACAGACTCGAGTCTGATGACACATTGTACAAATTCATTTTGAAAAAAAAAAGTCCTGATCATATATCAGTCATAAAAAAAAAGGGGCGGATTTATTCATATAACATATAACAAATAAAATAGATACAATAAAGGATAAGATAAATAGAAACTAAAGAATGGGGAGAGAGAAAAAAAAAAAAAAAAAAAAAAAGAGAAAGAAGAATAAGGAGGGGAAAGAATGAAATCAAGTACCATCAACGAAACCAAATTTGGTAAAGCCAGGTCCATTTTCCACCAGTTCATCGATATGAGTCAAAAACAAATGTATACCTTGGAAGTAATCGGGTCCCACCGGAAGTAAAGGTTCTTGTATTAAAACCGTTTCTTCTTCTAGCTGCCAATCAGGGCAACCGCCATATTCCATGATCAATTTGTGCTTGAATTCATCCAACCATACCAAAGCTTGCTGTCGAGTCGTTGCTGTAGGGAAATACAACCGTAGATGACTGTCATTTATCAATTCCACTTGATACCCTTTGTCGATCCATGGATGCAACCATTGTAGTAACTGCTCGTAATGCTTCTGTTGTTGTTCTTTCCATGCTACCAAGAACGGCCACGTTTCCTTTGTCCATGGTTTTCTTCCAGATTTCATCATGTCATTGCCTGTCATACATACAAGATCTAGTGTGATGAAAAAACAAGTATATGTAGAAGATACCATTGTTGAGCGTACCATCATATCATCATCTTTGCATAATTGCGCTGTTGTTGTGATCGCCCGTTCAGTTTCCACTACTGCTGCTGTTGCTGCTGTTGCTGCTGTTACGGAATCTTTTGTTGAAGTTGTAGGCGTTGTTATAGAAACTATCATAGAGTGAGATACGTTGCCTTGTGTTGGTTCCATGTGCAGAGTGTTGTTACTGTCGAAATGAATTGACGATGAGCTTTTGTTGCATGGTTGTTGTTGTTGTTGTTGTTGTGAAACAATAGGTTGCGTATGCTTGATAATACCTTTGTTGCCAGTGATATTTTGTTGAAAAGAAGCAAACATCCCTGGGGAAAGATGAGAAAACACACCTCCATTGGAAGAAGCTGAATAGGCTTGAAAGACGGGACTAATAGTAGAGCTTGAATAAGAACGATAAAGTCCAATACCATGATAATTAGCCTTAATGTGGGATAGTCCAACACGATGAAATCCGGATGAAAGTGGCGAAGTAGACCAGAAACCAAAAGAACGTACAGTTGGAGAACAATACGCTTTGCTGACCAAAGGGAATTGACGTTGAAGACCTTTGACCAATGGTTTCTTGGGAGGTTGATAAACAAAATGAGAAGTGGTGGTCAACGTATTGGTCGTTGTAGAACTAGGAAGTAAGAATGGTGGAGGAGGATGTTGTACCACCAACTCGGTCACTTTGGTTTGAACATAGTGCCTCAGTTGATGGAAGGAATGAAATAGTTTTGCAGGTCTTAACATGGACCTTTTCGTTTTTCCTTGAAATAAAATAAAAAGAATAGATGCACAAATATATAAATAAAAAAAAAGAGAAGGGTTTAAACAAAGAAAAAAAAATATGGAAGAGAAAGGAAGGCAAAAAAAAAAAAATTGGAAATGCACTTTTTGCAACAGGCATTTACATTCCGCCAATACACTGAGGAAAGGGAGAACCATTCAAAAATGGTAACTAAAATAATAGGATAAAGCAAATGACTTTTCTTTTGTTTTTTTTATTTATTACTATTATTTCTATACAATCGCATCAAGCGAATAAATACTAATGATGATCATTATTAAGAAACATTCAACAAAAAAAAAAAAAATAGAAAATAGAAATGAATGGAATGGAATGGAATGACTATATACAATATCTCTCTAATCTATGTATGTATGTGTATGTGTTGAGTGATTGTATATAATATCAACGATAATTAATTTATAGACCAAGTGACAGGAATCCGACCTTGACTTAATGATCCTAACTTTTTAAAAGCACTTGGACTAAGATCGATATCAGTAGCACCACAACCAGGGCAAGTATCAACCACTTTGACGGTAACAGAGCCTTTTGATGACTTGATATTCACTGATTTTCCACATTTACTTTTACTCATAATATCTGCACTTAACGCAGCCACCATTTCACTGTCAGAATTAGTTTTACCACAAGATCCAAGTCCAACTTCATAAAAGGTAGCACTTCCAGATGTACGTTTGTTAAGAATAGGAGCACCTTGAATCAACAAGGAACCAAAGGATAAAATAGCAAATAAAGTAAACTTCATGATGATGATGAATGTGATTTGTTAACGTCCAGCGTTAAGATGATAAGAATGAAAGAAAAGGATGAAAAGATATGTTTTTTTTTTTTTACTCTTTCATTGGTATTTATACTCTTGTCATAACGATGGTCAGGGCACCTGCCTATCTTATATCCAATGCCGGCGGTGAACGAAATTCAGTTTCATAATAAAAATAAAGCTAGTCTAGAAACGATAATCAAAAAAAAAAATAATCACCATAAGAGGATCATTATCTTGATTACTTTTTTTTTTATTATTATTTCTTTGTAAGGTAAAGAAATGCGCCCCATATTAATTAACTCGATGATGGACTGTCGTACAAACATAAATCATCATACTCGTTACATATGAGAGTCCACGCGTTGGTTAGAAAGACAGTAAAAAGATGATGTCGATCCTTTTTTTTTTTTTTTTTTTTTTTTTTTTTGAAACAGTACCCTCATCAATCATTTTCTTCTTTTACCGAAAAAGAAAGAAGAAAGGTACCTTTTTTTAGAAGTATCGTATTTAAAAGGAAAGTAAAGAATAAGATGATGACCCTTGTAAGGCTGCGAATTTTTTTTGTTTTTCATTCTCAACTTCATCATTGAGCGGATCAAATCTTCATTGGATAACAAACAGTGATGATTTTTTTCCAATCATCCGAGTTTTTACTTTTGAAGTAAGCATCATTCTCACTACCATACCATATCTAGTACATTTATTTAGTTAAAAAAAAAAAAAAGAGAAGGAAAATATATCAGATAAGGAACCTTGGATTATTCAATCCTATCGTTATCAATATAATCTTCATCATCAACTATCCTCCCTAATACCATCATCATCCACAACAGTCATCACAGCCAAAAGAAAAAAAAAAGTCAAACTAAACCAAACTTAGTATGAAAAGAAGACAAGATTTTATTTGTTATACAAAAAGGAACGGGGCCATCGGGATGTTGTCAAAAAAAGGAGTAATGTGCAAATATTGGAATAATAATAATAATAAGGTACCTATCCACTATATACTATAAAGGATGTCGAGGACGTAAAGCTTCACATTGTTTGCAAGATAGTCGCTGATGAAAGTTGTAATAGTCGCAATGAGGACAGATCCAGTCTCCCTGAATGCCATGTCGTAGACGAGGATCGATTTTGTGAGAGCATTCACTACAGCTAGAACGATGAGCATAGTTGTGGAATTGACAATCAGGACAGATCCAGTCTCCTTTTCGAAACCTAGGTTTGATCTTCTTTGTTTCCCTTGTTGATTTGTATTCACGATGCTGTGATTGATCCGGAAACGGTGATGATACTTGGTGATACCATCTTGATAATGACAAAATAGATCTTGACTAAATTCAGTACAACCACAAAAAAAAAAAAGCTTAGTGGCAATTTTGTTATTTGATCAAATATAATGGTAACGAAAACTTACTTTAATGTTGGAGAAGAATGGAATGGCTGTGTATTGTAAAGATCGGTATATCTTTGTACTGAGGTATATTGACATTATGAGTATGGACGAAAATGGAAGAGCGAAAAAAAAAATGGGAAGACAAAAACGACATAAAAGTAGCGGAGTCACATATCACATAAAAAAAAATATTAATTAGCCAATCACGTTTCCAATTCAATTTTTTGATGACTTACCAAAAAGTCCCTACATATCAATGTATGTTTGCACATCATCCATCAAACTAGAATAGGTTGAGCGTGAAGTTGATAAAACTTGAGTGCAGTGACCGGAGGATATTTTTTTTGTTTGGATGATTGGACAAAAGCAGGAGGAGAAGTTCCACAGACCATGTACGTGATACCGACCATCATCATGTTCACGCTTAGTATTGGCATCCCGAGACATTGCATCTTTCTTTCTTACCAGACAAGATGGATTTTGACAAATGACCGTGCATAGATTGTTGATCGTTTGCCATTCTTCTTAATCTTCTTTGGATGAATCAGTGGTTCATGACAAAAGCAGCATAGTTTTGATGTGCGAAATTCAGGTGCAACATATGATCTTTGACGAATTTCTTTCAGACCACCCCTCGAAGATAGTCCTTGATACGAGAATTAGTTCCACGACCAGCATCACCATAGAAATACACCATCTTGCTGTTTTTGTTCAACGAGACGCCTTGATGATATGTCTTCACCGCTTCCGCATGGTCTCGATAGATATTCTTGCCTCGTTTTTGTTTTTTTGTGGCTCTTGATGTAAAATTATGTCAGTGTACCAAATGCTTTCCTTATGAGCCTTTCAAAAAAAAAAAAAAACATCAGTATCATCTTCCTCCCCTTTTTAAATATCCCTCTTTTTTCTTTTCATACCTTGAATGAGGTAAGAACACCTTCTTTGCTTGGCATAGTATGAGACCCTTTGATCATCTTTCCTAGAACTTTTTCATAAACCCGGACAGATGTCTTTAGTGTTTAACACTGTTAAATATAAATAATAACAAAAAAAAATATAATTAGTACAGCATCGTATCTCCAATTTTAAGGATGACTTACAACTGCTCGATGGTCTTGTCTTTTGCGATACGCCAGATCCTTCAAGTATTGCTTGGTTCCGGCATGATTGTTGATCATAATCTAAGAATAACAAAAAGATACGCATTAGAAAGTGAAATCATCCATTCCAATGGCATATCAGCTTTACCTGTATTGAATTTTGTTGCATACAAATCATATAGTCCTCGTAATGTTTTAGCTTTATTGATTTTGCTGATATAATCGTTAATAATCCTTTGCTTTAACTTTATCAAGTGGTAAAGGATGTTTTCGGTTGACCAGAGGTTTGATACGAGAGTGCAGATCCCTGTTCAAAATATATCCAAAAGCTTGCCGCTTGTTGATTGTTTTCTGTTGACACTAGTACGATGTACAGCTACATTCCGGTGATTCATAACGCGTCATGTATAAAATAAAAAAGAGTGTTCGAGATGGAATGTACTTTTGAGTTGTAATAAAAAGATAATAAATAAAAAAGTAAAAGTGTGAATCAAAATAATAATAATAATAAAAAAGACGAAAAAAAACAAAGGAGGTACTATAAAATTGACACTTGAAACAGAGGGGAAAGAGAGAGAGAGAGAGAGAGAGAGCTATGCGCATCAATAAAAATTGTGTTACTCCGAAAATAGGCCTGGTATAAAAAATTAGCCAATAAAATTATCTGTTGTCAATAATGCTCATCAGAAGTATTTAACATTTCATCATCACATTATCATCATATATTGTATCATACAAATCATCACATCATTTTTTAAAAAAATAAAAGTATATTATAATCACTACCTTTTTCAATTTCTATAAAGTGTTTAATTTCATTTGAATAAAAATAGAAACGTACTGTGTATTTAAAGGAAAAACAAGAAGGAATATATGTACATCAGGATATATTTATAAAGCATAATTAGAATGTACTTAAAAAGGAGAAATCATCGGATATACTGAAATAATGTTAACTGTTTTAGATGTTTATCGAAAGATGAGTTACTTGTCATGGAGTACGATACTTAAGGGAAAGAGACGTAGGAGAATTGTTTTATGGATTATGCAATTTCTAGTGTACCTGAAGAAACGGAACATCAATTTTCATGTGATTAGATACTTCACCAAAACACAGTTTATTCATCCAAGCACACACGCATTTGTACAAATAGCATTTTATTTTCTTTTATTAGTATACAATAAAAATGATAACTAAACTATAATCGAGAAGAGATAGGAGTGACGACATAATAAGCCATGGGGAAATGGATATAGACATAGCCAGTACGATCGTCATGAGTACGGATGATGACTCGTTGAGAAGTCAAAGAAACTAATTCGCCTACTGCAGGAGTTCTAGCAGTATCCAGGGGTGTGACCGAAACCTGTTCACCTATGGTAAAGAGAGAAGAGCTTGAGGATGATCCTTGAGGAGGGATGGATTGTTGTTGCTTGGCGATTTCGAGAGCTTCTTCTGCTGTCAAATCCAGAGGAGTCGGTTGCGAGGAAATTAATGCATTGACGCGTTTGTAATGAGCTGCCAACAATGGGTAATGTTCCTTTGTCCAATCCTGTCCAAGTACTGCATATAAAAAGAATGTGATCATGGCCAAACTAAAGTCGCTGTCAGAGGGTTGGGCTGTATCCAATATCCATTGATCATTTACGAGTCCTTCCACCAGTTGGTCCAATTGTGCTTGTAGTTCAAGCTTGAGGAAAGGTTGCATTTGCTTTTGCTTGGCAATATCGATGGGTACACCTTTGAACTTGGATCGACTATCTATAAATGCTTGAGGGAATTTGGACCAGTCGAATTGAGTTGGAATCGCGCTAAACACTGAAGTATTCAACAAATGGGTCACACCGTATGCTAAAGTCTTGCTAGATTGTCCATTTCGTGTCAAAGGATAAAGGCTTGGTTCAGGATATCTCTTTTCCAACTCATCAATGATAAGTTTTGTATCACAGAATACTTGGTTACCGATTTGTAAGATGGGAGTGCGTTCATAATTTGAGTCAAGAGGTCTTCTAAGAGGACGAGGTTCCATGACACTTATCTCTACAGTCTTAAAATCAATCTTTTTGTACTTGAGAACAAAAAAGATCTTTTGTGCAAATGGTGATTGAGGATACCAATGCTGTGTCATTTTAAAAAAAAAAAAAAAAAAAAAGGATTGATTAGTCATGAACATGTTCCAATACCATTCTCGTCATGTATAAAGAATTTATTGCATTGACTTACGAGAATGACTTGTTGATCGTTAACCATGACGAGGATGTAGTTACAATATCAGAGAAAGAAACAAAGAAAGAAGAGAAAGAGAGAAAAGAGTAAAAGAAAAAGGAAAAAAAAAAGGTTCACTTCCTTTTTTATATGACCCCGCTGACCACCAAAAATGGAATCGAAGGAATTATCTGATTGACGGGATATCCACTTACTAACGTGAAATGCGTCAAATATATATTATTAGTTTATTGAGTAAATAGAAAAAAAAAAGATGTATGTACAATGTAAAAGTATATCTAATCTAAAAAAAAAAAAGAAGCTCTATACTGAGGAGAAGACACGAATAATCAAATACAAAAAAGAACCAAAAAACCGGAATATATTCAATCCAGCATTGACCCATAATAATATCATCATATAAGTAGTACCTGTAGATGATTGGAATAAGGATGAGTAATCAGTTGAAGTAACTACCTCCACTAATACAACATTGCAAGTGATCCATAATAAAAGTAAATAGGTGCGAAATGACCGGTAATAATCCTCCATTGATCGACCATGGTTCTTTTGTATGTCAAAAAAAAAAGAAGGGAAAAAGAAGGATAGTTAAATAAAACAAGGATGGTACATGATTTACTCACTTTTTTTTTTTCTTTACCCTTTGTTTGATTGGGAGCCCAGACATAATATCATTTAGTGCTGCTTCATAGTCCAAATTAATGTCACCTTCATCGGCTGGTAATACAAGTTCCACTGTATGATCTGTTTCCGTCTTTTTGACCACACCAAGATCACTAGACATACCATTATCACCTTTTGTTCCCCAACTATATAAATACAAAAGCAGTTAGTTTTAATCAACATCTATATCTCGTATCACTTACCTAACATCATGAGTGTTACAAAACGAGTAGATCGTAAGTATATTTACATACAAAGGTAATAAAAGCAAATATTGGAAAAAGCTTGTGACCATAGGCATTGGATCAAAATAAAGAATACTTGCCACAAAATAAATACCATAGGTAACTATCAAAGATATCAACACATTCTTTTGTTGTTCCCCGAATCCAATTCCATTTGTCGTTTTGCCTAAACTTTGATAGATTTGCCATATAGTACCGAAGATCATATAAGCCATAATGATTGTAAATCCAAAGACACACATGTAGAATAACCCTCTTGCCCTATCACATAATCAACAATTCATGGAATCATTACAAAAAAAAAAAAAAATGATTAGTAATACACCTCATTTTCATATTTCTTATTTACCCTTGCGGTCGATTGCCAATGGATGAGATGAATAACACCGTGATTAAAAAGAGATAAAAGAATTGAAAGAAATCGAAAAACTTCAAACCCCAACCGTGACCAAAAGGGTCTATTGATGGATCAGCTAATCCTTTAGTAATAAAGTAAAACGAGATATAAAAGTTTCCCTAATAGAGGATCAAAAAAAAAAAAAAAAAGACATGAATATACCTAAAATATACATGTACAGCTCTGTTTCTTTTTTTTTTATTATGATTATTATTATTTACCATAGCCAACCAATTGAAAATAATATTGATGATGTTGTAAATAGCTTGTAATGAGAGTAAGAATATTCTTGACCAAGAATGCCGACTTTGACAAGGAATCAAATAAAAATGCCATAGACTATAAATTGCGGCAAAGAAACTCCCATTGACCCATCGTCGTCTTTGTGATAACAATTCATCCAGTCGATTGGGTACATCGGTTTCAGCAAAAGCTGTTTTGACATAATGTAGAAGCCAGCGTTGTTGTCGTTTCGCCACTAATTCAAAACAAAGAATACGATCTTCCGCCAAATACATGTTGCGTTCAAATAAACCAGGACCTTGGGTACAAAAATAACTTGCCAATGGACCACGTTGATTCATATCATTCTGAAGTGCTTGATATCGGTAAGCTGAAAATGCACCAGGTAATACTGAGATCATACCGAACACGCTTTCCATTGGTTTTTCCAAAATATTGGACATCTAACAAAAAACAAAAAGAAAGAAGAAATTGAATAAAGAGTAATCGCGTTAGTATTTCTACTTACTTTATATTCAAAGTTTTGAGCAGCTATCAACGGATGAAAAATTTGATGGTTCAGAGTACCAAGAGAAGCTCGAATTTCACCACACGCACCAGCAACATGAGCATAACGATCAAATACTTTCCATAGCTCATAAATGGACGTATAACCTGGTCTATACAAATTCATTCAAATAGTTTTTTGTTAGTTGTCTTCCAAGTTTTTTTTTTCTTTATTATTATTTACCTTGTTCCCACGTCGAGTAAAACACAAACATTAGGTTGAAGTACATTACCAAAAGCATTGAAACACCATCGATGAGAATCTATCTTCTTTTTATTCTTTTCCTTGATACATAACAAGATTTGTACTGGTACAATCCCCTATGATGTTATAATGAAGTAAGTATATGAAATAATAATAATAATAATAATAATAATAATTAGATTGGAAAAATATTATTACCTTATCAACCCCCTTGATATTCATGTCACCATCAATAGATATTTGTGTAGTATATTCATAAAGATGTGCTTGAACAGGTACTTGATCCACTTGATTCTTGGCCACACCAGGATGAAACACGCCTAAAGTAGACAAAATACTAATCACTCGAGGATGTATCACCTTTCTACCATCAGCTACAATCGTCACCACCACCTTTTTCCAAGCATCAGTACCCCACGTGGATGATTGTTTGAGATTACATAGATGTGAGATATTTTTCATCACTCCATATAATGTTCGTGCAAATAAGATATGATCTTCCTACAATCAAAAAAAAAAAAAAATAAAGATTTTTTTTTTTAGTATTATTATGTTTAGTATGATATACTGATAAACTTACATTGTACATGGTAATGACGATCATTAATTCCGTTTTCCGTTGATTCAATTGCTGTCGTAAAGTATATCCATTAGTAGCAAACTGATCAGCATCACAACATATCGCAGTATATCGCATAGTCCTGAATTCAGGCTCGGCTTGATATGGAATGGCCTCCAGTAATCGATCAGCTATTCTGCATTCAAGTACAAGGTGACCACGTCGTGTCAATTGGATCCTTCTAGTCACTTGTCGTCGTAGTGAAGGGTGAAGTAGGTCAGATTCTTCTTCCTTTTTGTCATTTTCTATTGTTGATGAAGTTGAATGATTGAATAAAAACTGAGAGAACCAGGAAGTCCAAGAGGTATCGTTATTATTGGTTTGACGAATAGGTTGTTCTCGCGTTGTCATATCAAATATGGTATGTTATGATAAAAAAGGCAAAAAAAAAAAAAAGAAATAAATATAATTCAAAATGTAGAATATTTCATTGTTTTTTTTTTTTTTGTAAAAGTACAAGGAGAAAGAAACTTTTTATTTTTCCAAAAAAAAAAAAAAAAAAAAAGTTCCTATAAACTAAGCTATTACCATTTTTGGAAGATGTTTTGCATTGAGAGAGGGCCATAAAAGGAACCAAATGAGATAAAGACGATTATTGGACTTGTTCCAAAACCAAATTGATTTTCTGTATAAAACGAACCAAAGTTGGATTGGATACGTAAGAAAGTGGTGAACATTGTTTTTTCAAGGTGTCATATACATCATTGTTGTTCACTAGTGGAATGACAAAAAGTAAGGATCAAGTAGTCAATATATCAATTCTTTTATTATTATTATTTTGATCCGACTTACCGGCAAGGGACACTTTGATGGCATTTTCCAATAGAATACAAGCATTGCATTGAATTTCAATAGGTAATTCTGTTTCACTAATATCATCCACTATCACAGCCAAGAAGGATCTTGTTTCTTCTTCTGAAGGAGCTACATTTTCTTTGTCTTCTTCATTTGGTTCCACAGGTATAGGGTGTGAGGCTGCAATTAAAGGCAAGGCTATCATCCAAAAAAAAAAAAAAAAAATATCAATCTGTCAATCATCATCTATAATTTAAAGTACATAGATCTATTTTTTTTTTTCATATCAAACTTACTATCTGCTAACATATCTTTGGATAAAGTTGAATCATGATCAGCTAACATCACCGTCAAAGCAATAATACCATCATTTTTCAAGACTGGAAATTTAGAAGTACGAATCAATTCAATAATAGCATTGAGAATTGGTTTTTGTAACAATCGTTGTCGTAAGTCATATTGATCAGCTATTATCCAAAAAAAAAAAAAAAAAAAAAAGATCAACTTTTAAATATTTTCCAAGCATATTATTTCCTATATGTTAACTTACGTTGAGACCATACTGATTTCACAAGTTGAGTAAACACACGAGTCGTTTCACTTTTGGCAGCGATATCGTCCACTCGATCCAGAAAAGCAATGAGATCATCCAAAATAGTCGGTTTGTCTTGTCCAGTGCCTTCCAAAAGTCGTTTTGTGTTTGAAAAATGGTTGGTACATAGTAACTTTAAAATGACAATGGCCAAGAACTGATTGCGTTTCACCATATCTTTGCTTGGGTCCAATAATGGCGCCACCAATTCGATCACACCAGCTTCACCAATAACAGTCCTATTACCAATGGGAACACATATATGTTTCAAACATCCTAAAATTGTGCATTGGAAGATGGCATTTTCTGTTTGTTTGTATAGGTTTACAAGTAAGGTTTCCAAATGATGTGTTTGAACCAAATCGAGGCAATTTCCATCTAACCATGAAAAGGAAATGTCAAATAAATAAATAACAAGAAAAAAGAACATAATGCTCATCTACTGGCTCATCATCTCCTCTTCCTTTTTACCTGTTCTTGCGAGATTGCCAATGATATTCACCGCTGTCATTTGAGGTAATTCTGAATTACTTGCTATCATATTCATGAGATTTGTCATAAAACTGGAATCTTGATAAATTTCCCCAATTAGCGCATCTATGTAAGAAGAAGAAAAGAAAAAGAAAAAAAAAAGATGATTAAAAAGAAAAAGTGTTTGTCAAATAAAATATAAAATAGACAGGAAAGTATTTACCTGGTGAAGTGGCATAAACTACAATCTTGCTGATGGCTTGCTTGAGATCCATGACTTTATCCAATTCTTCCTTATCTTCCTCATCCAAATCCAACTTGGTCTCTATAGTCAAATTGGTCTCTAAAAACGATATTAAATCAGGAATTGCACCACTGTTAAACACACGTATTTGTGCCTGATCATCATCCATGATCACTTGTAATATGATATCAGCCAAATGTCCACCATGTTCCAGATCCATATCAGGATCTGATTTCCATATGCGAGTAAGTAAAGTCAACATGTTGTCCAAATAAATGGGATTTGATGTAAAAGCCGCTCTTGCTGATTCCTGATCCATCAGATTATCCAGTGCCTTGAGGGCCATGGCTTGAGTGTTACCTAGATCCAAATTGCCAACAATATCACATAATGCCTGCACTCCTCCCTTTTCAATAATTGCCAACTTCATAGGTTCTAGTTCAAATAAATAGTGAAATTTAGTCTCAACAACGTGTTGTATATAATACATGAGATAAAAAAAAATCGACATACCGTAATCCATAGCAGTGTTTATGCAGAATCCACCTAGCATCATGTTCAACATGTTATCATTTCCACCAAATAGTGCCATCACTGTATCAATCACTCCAGAATCTAGCACGCGTTTACGATTTTCATCTAGTTTAGTAGTAAAAGTAATAAAAGTATATGAGAAGAAGAACCCTTTTTTTTTATTACTATATCTTACCACGATCAATAGAAAGATTGCCTAAAATACGTAGAGCTTGTATGTCAAATTCTATGGGATGAGGTATCTTTTTCAATAGGGCAGTAGTTGCTTCAATAATACCAGCTTCACCCAAAGGAATCCGTACCGAAGCTAATTCATCCAACAAAACGAATTAAAAATAAGTTTTAGATAATCGATCCTTATTATTCTCATTATTATTATTATTATTCTTACGGTTACGTGCGCAGTTTCCCAGAAACTTGGCCAGATCATGACAAAGAGTCCAAGCATCTTCCATATTCGAAAGTTGATACATAAGGTCAGTGATAGAATTGGCTATCTGAAGTACCTTGCTGTCATCTAATCAGGGCGTAGTTTCACAAAGAAAAGTGAGTCCGTCAATAAAGCTAAAAAGTAGAGTCATCCTTTTCTTTATTTCTACCTTCAATAATAATAATATCATTGACTTGCTGTTGCAAATCTTCTTTGGTAATACAGTTGACCATGATTTGATGTGGCAAGAATCAGAAAGAAAAGAAAAGAAAAAAGAAAGAACGAAAAATTCAACAGCGCAGACCTTTTTTTTTTTTAAAAAAAAAAAAAAAAATAAAAGGTTTCGGGCAAATGCTACCCAAAAGCCGTGGCACTTTGAAATGCGCTGTGTGCGGAACTCGTGCTACGATTATTTCCACTGCGATTATTTCTTTTTTTTTTTCTACTTTCTTTTTTTTTTTCTACTTTCTTTCTTTTTTCTTTTTTTTTTTTTCTTTTTTTTTTTTACTTTTTGACGCGACATTACAACTTTAAAGAAGACAGTCAAATCGGATTCTGTCATTCATGAATACTATAAACCAATGCGATATGTATTCAAGCGTGATAGGAAAGGTGATTATCAACAGGAGAAAACAGATATATGATCTGATTCCTTTAATTATTTAGGTACATATATACTGCCCTTCTTCTTCTTCTTCTTCTTGATCTATATGAATAGGTTTACAACTGGATCAATTGAATGGCTTACAGTAGAATCAATTGGATGATTTACAGCAGAATCAATTGGATGGTTTTACAACAGGATCAATCGGCTGGACTGGATGAATTGAACGGAGTTTATACATGTTATATTAGTTGTTCAAATAATTGGATGGACTAGAAATCAATGCTACAAAATTATCTTTTGATTGGGTTTTCCTTCTCATCTTTTGCTGCTATTGTGTTTTTTAATCATTAGTTATTATTGTCGGTGTTAGCTAGTATTTTTATAACGTAGGGGAATATCTTCTTCGTTTTTTTTTTTTTTTTATTTTTATTTTTTATTTTAATAAAGTCATATTCATTTTTATTCATTGTTTTTATTATCGTTTATCATCATCACCCTCCATGATTCATTCTATATACATAGAAATGCCATCCCATTTATCGCGGATATTACTTTATCGTACTTCATTCTCCATTGATTAGTATTTAGACTAGTATTGAATAACATCGGATGAAATGATATTTGAGATATGTTCGGACAATTTATATTCAAAAGATTTTATTAGAGAAAAATAAGAAATGGGAAAAGCAAAAAAGATAGGAATTATAAAAAAAAAACAAGTGGAATAATACTACTTTTTAAACAACATAACAAAAAAGAAATAACCGATTGACGTTAGATTATTATTATTCAATGATCTATAGAATATATACTTTTTATATATTTACCTGGATTTTTTTTTTCTGTTGTTCTTGATGGTTCTTGACAGAATTTAGTCATCATCTTCATCATCATCATCATCATCGTCGTCGTCATCATCATCGTCGTCATGATGCTTGCCCTTCTTCCAGTGATGATCCTTTTCATATACGACACGAGTGGCATAAGGGCTAATTAAAAAAAAAAAAAGGGAATGAGCCAGAAGAATTCATAGATGACGATCATTCAAAAACTTACATAGCAGTTTGTCGAACAGTTTCAGTATGAGTGGCGGTCTGAGTGACATAGACGCGTACTTCTTCATTTTCTTCCTTTTCTTCCTTTTCTTCCTTCTTTTCCTTCTTCTTTTCCTTCTTTTCCATCTTCCATTCCTTCATCATTTTTTTCTTTTCTTCCTTTTCCTTCTTGAGAGCTTCCTTCTTTTTCTTCTTCATTTCCTTTTCCTTTTCCTTTTGCTTCTTCTTGGCTTCCTTATATTCTTCCTTGAGTTCCTTCCAGTCTTTTTCTTCTTCTTCTTCTTCCTTATGCTTCTTGTCATGATCATAGTATTCATGATGGCCTACATCTTCAGCATGCTTGTAATCCTTGTATTCACGTTCATCCTCATCATCCTTCTTAGGATCCTTTTCATCATCTTCCTTCTTTTCTTTCTTTTCTTTCTTTTCCTTCTTTTCCTTCTTCTTCATATATTGTTTTTGCCATTCACCGCTACCGTATTCAATATCGGCTTGTTCAACAGGATTAGCATCAACTTCAGAGGCATCAATATCGACATCGACATCATTTTCTTGTTGTTCATCCTTGGCGAACATCAAGTTGGTACGTTGGATCAAACGGATGGCGGCACTTCCGACTTCATAAGGACCATGAGCCTTGATGGTGATGTTGTGTCTACCAGCTTCCAAATTAAAAGCACCTTTACTAAAGTGATCATCCAATAAAGCTTCTTGAGGAGTGGCAGCATAGGTTTCTACATCTTCATTGTAGGCAACTTGAGAAGAACTACCGAGAAGGTTACCGTTGTCATACACTTCAAACATATCTCCGTGATGCTTGAAATCAACCACTTGGAGACGAGTGGGTTCAGTCAATTCAAATTCAAAGTTTTCCTTGGCAAATGAATTGTTGGCATCCCATCGGAAAATGGCGAAATTTTCCATCAAATCTTGAGCCATCTTGTTACCAACAGTAACGGAGGCATCGACAGGGGCAACACCAGCAGGTGATTCATTAATTCCAGGGATAGGTTCGGATGGTGCTGCTGTCACCGTTTGTAAAACCAAAGCAATGGCAAAGGCAAGAGAGGTTTTCATTATTTTTTTTTGTTGTATATATAAAGAAATAACTGATTAAAAAAGAAAAAAGAAAAAAGAAGAGAAAAAAAAAACCGTGATGACATGACCATTAAATACACTTCCTTTTTATACCTTTTCATCATGTCAAAATATGTTGATAATATTCCTTTCAGGTTCAAATTGAAACGTAGAAATACTCATCACACTTTGAAAAACGATATTCTAAATCAAACTTGAAGAAGTAAAGTGCTGTAGGGGATTTTTATATGAGGATGAATTATGTATCTATGTAATCCCATTTCCTTTTTTGGTTCTCGGAGATGATACTTTGTGGGTTTTTGCCCATCACATAATTCTTTTGGCTCATGATCTATACCCATGGTCCCGGAGTATGAAATTCCTCATCTGTTTGTGTCTCCCAATGAAAAAGCAAGTCCACCCAACCAAAAAGAAAACTGGAAAAAAAACATTACCCTATCATCTTCTTTCCATTATTTTCTTTTACGACAAACTATTGGTTGGCCATTTTGCCCGTTTTCGAATAAAGCAACCAAATACTTTGTCTCCCCTTTACTTTTTTTTTTGACAGCTTATATTAAATCTACAAAACATCTTTTTTTTTTCTTTCTTTCTTTTTTTTTTTTTTCCAACGGTAAACTACATGATAACAAACAATCATTTTCATTTTATTTATCCTTTTTTTTTTCTCTTTGTTTATTATAGATATTAAATGAACAACTACCCAAGTACTGGTAGTATGGAACAAGCTCCATCCTCTATGGTAAATATACTTGTTTTATTGAACTTATTTGTAACCACTTTTTTTTTATATATATACTAGTCGGATAGCAATCGGTCACCTATTAGTTATGATCCTAATCGTCATCTCAACTATTCTCATTCTATGGTAAACAAACAAAGAAAAGAGTTTTTTTTTTATTTTATGAATGAACAAGATGATATTCACTCAACAAACAATCTAGTCTTCTAGTATGATTGCTGCTCCTCAAGTAGTAGATACTTCTTTATATCGTGGACCTAATGGTGAAATAGTGACTGGACCTACACCACCTCAACAAGAAGAGGAACCTTTATATGTCAACGCGAAACAATACCATCGGATCTTGAAACGACGCGCAGCACGATTCAAATTGGAAGAAATGAACAAGGCAGCTAAAGCAAGAAAACCTTATCTTCATGAAAGTCGACATCGACATGCTATGCGACGTCCAAGAGGTCCAGGTGGAAGATTCCTAAGTAAAGTATTTGATGAAACGATATAGGAGTTTGACTGATCTCTTTTTTTTTTTTTTTAATATAATAATAGCTGCCTCGGAAATCGCTGAATTGGAGAAAAATGGAAAATTGAATTTGGATGATGATGAAAGAAAACAAGAACAAAAAGAAGAACATCATACTTCTATGACTGTTCATTCTACAAACTCAAGTAATCATAGTACACCATCTGAAGAAATTCAATCTATCAAGGAGGACAATCATGGAAATCAAAATCATTTAGTCAATCTACAATCATAGTTTATAGTTATATTGGGATTATATACGTTTCCCCTAGTTTATTTTTCTTTTTGTTATTCTTATTCTTATTATTCTTTTTTTTATCAATCAACATCCATTCTCTCTCTCTTTTTTTTTTATTTTTTTTTTATCATATTTGTATTATATATTATAGTTATCTCTTTTTTTTTTTTCTGTCAGTGCAAACAAAAATAAAGCAGACATATATTCTGTCCAATAAAATACCATCCCTTGATATATTCATACTCAGTCTGCAACCTTTTTATCATCTCCTTTTTTTTTTTGGAGTTCTCACACTTTTTTTTTCTCTTTTTCTTTTAGTTTCTTGTCGATTATTTATATATATATATATATTATATATCTGTAGCCATTCATCTATTCATCATCATCATCATCATTAATATTATCGTCATCGGATAAACGTTTTTCTTCTTCTTTTGAACTTTTTTTTTTTTTTTTTGTGAATGACCACCACATGGTAGTGACTTGATTCTCATTATCATCCTGCGATTCATACTATACTATCGGTACTCGAATTCTATCATCATCATCATCAAGGCAACAAAATGGTTAATGATCGCGTGTTATTATGTATTGAAATTATCTATTTATTTATCATTCAACCATGGATATACCTGCAGCAACAACTTCATCAATGGTTACGACACCCTTTTTGGTCCACTGTAGTGTTTTTAGTACTCTTACCTCTTTTTATTATGGCAACCTTGATATCCACTCTACTTGGATTGTTTATCAATCACATGATACAACACAGGGCCACTTCCTCATCATCCACCGATTCCGATTCTTTCTTTCGGCTCTCTTCTCTTTCTTCCACTATTCCAAATTCCAAAAGAAAACAAACCATGGATTCTTCTTCTTCTTCTTCTTCTTCTTCTTCTTCTGCTTCTTCTTCTCCTCAAGATGATTTATCTTATTGGATTGAACGATGTTCTATTTGTTTTGATGCTCGATTAGATTTATGTTTGGATTATTGTCGTGATCAATTTTGTATTGATTGTTTTCAAAGGTAATGAATAGATAGAGATATAAAAATTATATATTCATTGATTGTTGTATAGATACGTTACAGAAGTAGTGACTTCCTCCTGGGGTTTATCGGTCAAGAAAATCAAATGTCCAGTATGTCAAATTCATATTCCTCAAAGTGAATGGAGTAAATATGTCCCTGATCAAATTGTTGAACTTTACAACAAATTCAATCGACCTTTTCGAAGTTTTACAAGATGTTGTCCTCGTTGTGAAACTGAAGTGGCTGCTTGTGAATATCCAAAAACTAAATCTATTTTTCATCATAGGTAATTTCGTTTTATTATTATTATTTTATCTTATATATTTATTTATAGGGATAATCATCGATCCAATCTAATTCATGAAATCATCATGGATCTTGTTTTATCATGCAAGCATCAAGATCATTCTCATACAGAAATGCACCAATTACTTAAAGTATATGAACTACACGAATGGAGGAATTCTACTTTATTAGCTCTTCATCAACGTACCATCACCACCTTGCTTTCCTTTGTGAACCATCATGATCCTTCCTTGGTCCCTAAAGTCTTCGCAGTTTCAAGGCAAATCTTATTATTGGAAATGAAAACGGATATCTTTAAGAAACTTCAATTCTCTCACATTTCATTCTTTCCTAATGTGGAATGGTAAGCGGTCCCAAAAAAAAAAAACCAAGAAAAATTTATCCATATATCCTTTTTTTTTTCAATGAGTAGTACCAAGTCGTCTTGTCGAGTCAAGTTTTGTTTACAATGCGGATATGAAGCTCATGATGATCGAACATGTGAAGAAAATATGCAACATCTGATTCAAGATAAAAAGTCAACCGACTTGGAATCGATCAGGTGGAAATTGGAACACAGGTAAAAAAATTTTTTTTTAAAGATTCACTTCATCTTACACTTTTATATATATATCTAGTAAACTATGTCCAAGTTGTTCTATATTGATTACAAGGGATGAAGGTTGTAATAAAGTGGATTGTTCTTTTTGTGGGTATTGTTTTTGTTGGGCTTGTCGATCATCATGGTCAGAGGTAAATCATAGAACTTGTGATGATGATTTAGGTAACATCTTTTTTTTTTCTTTCTTAGAAATGCGGATTTTATAGATGTGCTATTACAGGTTTGACGGAAAAACGAAGCAAGTCATCGGATATAAAGGTATTTTTCCCTTGCAAATCCTTCACAGAAATACTTATCGGTCTTTTTTTTTTTTTTTTTTTTTTTTTTTTTTTTTTTTTTTTTTTTTTTTTTTTTTTTTTTTTAGACGGAATTGGGAGTTCCTGATATGACCTTTATTCAAGCAAGATTTTCTCCTCATGTGAACTAGATTTTGTTTATAATCTAATTGTGTCTATTGCTATTTTTGGTATTTTTTTTTTTTTGTGTATTCCAATAAAGATATTCTTCTATTTTTTTTCTATGATACTCCTTTTTTTCTTTTTTTATTGGCCATTGTCTCTCTATAGTATTCAATGAAAAATGATAGACAATGATATTTAATAAAAAATATAGCTTGATGTTCTTGAGGATTTTCAAATTCATTCTTTATTGATTTCATCAAAAAAAAAAAAAAAAAAGGTTATCATCTAAATCAAAGGGGGGTAAATCTAAAACTATTGTAATCATTGTATCGTCTAAGATTCAGCCACTGTTTCTTCAGGTGAAGCAAGAATGTAGTCCGTAGCCACCTGTGCGAAATCGGTCATCACACCATGAATCGTCTTCCGGAAACTTGCCGAATCTGTTTCAGTTGCTTGACGACATGATGAGACGCTGAGACGTACCATTTCCTTGTCAATGGCATAATTGATTCCATAACCATCGGTTACCACTGGTCCAAACGCTCCCCATGCTTGAGTTCCTGGTGATGTGTTAGAGGTGGACAGTTTCCAATATTGTGATGCACGGTAAATAGGATCTCTAAATATACCTGCTTGTTCAGATTGTGCTTCTTCAGGAGTCATTTGATAATAAAGTCCAAACAGATGACGATCTACGCCTTGTCCTATCAAGAAAGAAAATGTGTTAGCATTTATCACCTATACCATAATCTCATATTACCATTGCTTGCTGCACGCATGTATTCACTATGACTAGCTATTGCTTTTTCCAAAGAGGCAAGTTTTTCAACCATCTGTAAGAGATAATAATAATAAAAAAAAAAGAATAAGTTAAGTGATGATGCGTATAATATGTAACTTACGGTAGTGTCCTTATCTTCCCAAGTTTTCGTAAATGCCACAGATTCTTCACTACAAGAACGCACTGTTTCTGTACGACCAGTTAAGAATTTACGAGTAGATGCTGATTCATAAGTAGGGCAAGGTTGACCATAATGACGATAGTAAGCCAATTGGAACACCATCTGCATCCAACTATCGGGACTGATCTTGGCTCGTTTCATAAAGTCTGATCCGTAATCTCTGTTATGTAACATGACACAATCCAAATCATCAATTGATTTCTTTGAATTGGCTTCAGCTGCTTGAAGAGCTTGCTTGATACTATCGCTATTGTTGTTATCAATGGACCATGTCAGATGACGAGGAGGTGCCAAATTCACAGATGATAATCCAGTATCTTGAATAGGTTCCCTGAGAAAGAAACAAACAGTAAGTATATATGAAAAAAAAAGAGAGAAGATTCATTTACTTTGATAAAACATCGTCAACTACACGAAGAGGAACCACCGCATCCACAGGAGAATGTTCACCATTGATACCAGCAGCTCCATTTGTTTCCACAATCACTTGCATACCTTTGTCAAACCAACGATTAAATGCATAACGACCATGAGACATGTTACGGTGTGCCTCATCCAATTCTTGAGAAGAACTATAATCATCCAAGCAGAGAGCAAACAAAGAAGTTTCAATATCTTTGAATATCTTTGCATTTTCAGGATTAGATTCCAAAGTTTGTCGAATCTATGGTTTTCCAAAAAAAAAGTGTAAGTTAACTTTTTTTATTTCATCTATATTATTTTACATTTGCCCAAGTATCACGTTGTTCTGATGTAAAGAGACCGATAGGTAATTGACGTTGTTCGACTGGAGTTGCATCCACTTGATTCACCACTTGCTGCAATTGCCTTTATAATGTGAGAAATACAAGTCAGTTCAATACATAAAATGCAATTTGTACACATGATCTACTTTACTTTTCAATCCCTTGTACAGATACAGATTCACCATGTTGTCCAATGACATCCACCGAGAAGATTTGATCCTTATAAATGACTGTGATATGTTTTGCAGTAGCAGGATACTGAGATACTACTCTATCTCTAGGCATGGCAGCAATTCGAGTTGTACTAAATACGCCTTTTAATTGATGCATACAGAAAGGACCAGATCGAGATACATCAGGAGGAATTTGTTCACTATCATTCAAAAAGAAGTAAAAAAAAAAAAAAAAAAAGTAAGTACCTCCTTTTTCTATAACCATCATTTGTAGTTTACTTATTCAAACGGTTAGAATAATCCACCAAACCAACAACAAAGCCAGCAGCACGGTTCAATTGGAAAAGGGTAGCAACACCTTGAGAAGAAGGTTCAACCAAACCTAAGGGAGAGTTTTTGACTTGCATCCACCAATTGACATTGATCATCGTAGGCGCTCTATATTCAAGATAACCTTTGTTCAGCCATAATTGGTCCAACCATGAATACCCCTTCTTTGTTTCTTGTTCATCTAGACGCAATAGTCTTTGTTGTAATTCTTTGCCGAGATCCCCCTGAATAAATTGATCCACTTTGGCACAGGCATGTTGGTAATCAGTGGCGCTAAGAAGAGGTATTAAACTTTTCTTGTAACGTTGCCCTGTGGCTTCTAGTTCTGGAATAGGTAGTTTGGGAAGAATGGCCTGATTGGAGAACGTCTTGGCTGAATAACTTCGTCGACTAGAATAAAGAGTGAAGTTAAATAACTATTGGTTTTGACATTCGATTTTTTTTTTCATGTTGTTTACCTTGGTATAAAACTTTTGGACTTGACTAGTTGTCTCGTGACAAAGGTAACCTGGGAGGAAAGCATCTTGTAAAAAAAAAAAGGAAAAAAGAAGAAAAGAAGTGTGAGAAATGAAAAAGTATTGGTTTTTATCAGCAAGATTCGCGATTTCATGTGATTAAAAAACTCTTAAGGGGATTTGTCTCTCCGCTCTAGTTGCCATAATTGACATGCATATAAGATCTAAAGGATAATACAATGATATTCAAAAACTTGAAAAGTTGAACGCTTGTCAAAATAAAAAGTTAAGGAAACTATACATAGTACAACAGATCTGTCAAAATCCAACAATGTTTTTTTTTTTTTTGAGTAACAAAGACACACGCATTTTGATTTGAATATGAAAAGCACATGAAAATGGATTCTTTCTATTTATTTCCATTTTTTTTTTCTTTTACAGTAATTGATCCAAGCATAGACATATAAATAATAATCCAGACATATATTTATTCAAATTCACATAGTACACAGAATCATATATTAACTAAAGACTAAGACTAAAAAGTAAGACTAGATATGCAAAAGAAATACTAAACAATGAATGACGTCTAATAAGGTGGATAACCAGGCTGTCGAGGTGGTTGTTGAGGATACGGTGGTCTTGATGGGTATGATTGTGTATGTTGAAAATGAGGTGGAGGTGGTTGATGTGGGCGAGGAGCTGGAAATGATTGTGGACGTTGTGATGAAGGAGGATAAGGATGTGGTTGAGAAGGAGGATTCCCGTTGTAAATATGTTGCTGAGGATGTTGAGGAGGATAAGCCGGCCTTGGTGGATATGCGTTTGCTGGTAGAGGAGTTGATTGAGGAGGATGACTATAAGGTACTGTCCTCATTGGAGGTTGACCGGCTGGTAAAGATGTGTAATGATGACCATGTTGAGAGACAGGAGTAGGAGGAAGAGGTCTAGGCGAAGGATGATGATGATGATGTGTTGATGAAGTACGTACATGTAATGGTTGTGCAGCAACATAAGGTCGAGGATGAGGCATGGGTTGTCCTGGATATCCTATTGGGGGTTGAGGTGCTGTTATTGGTGGAGGAGGACGATTCACATATTGTCTAATAGGAGGAGGTTGCTTATGCATTTGTACAGGACCCTTAAAAAAAAGATAAGCAACGGTGATTCAATACTATCTTTTACTTCAACTTACTGCATAAAATGTCAATTCCAAATATATCTTTCCTGCTCGTTTGCCATTCAATACTAATGGAAAAAACCCTATCAATAAATAAAAGGAGTCATCCAATATAAGTCAGTCCACATGATGCATTAACAAGTTCTTTCTTTACCATCATGTTCTCCCTTTCGAAGTACTTCATGAAGATCCACGTGGCCCTCTGATATAAGATTTTCCTGACTTGCTTGTCTGTTGAATACTTGAATAAAGAGTCGTGTCACGCCCGCAGGCATGGGTAAATTAATCTAATATAATGATTAATCTATGTTAATATTCCTTAAAAATATTAGTCCTTATTAGTATACCTGATCATCCCATATTGGATTTTGTCCACCACGTTGATCCGTTTTCGTTTTCTTTGCCACTGAACCGAGTTTGAATATGCAAAAAGGATCCTGTTGTCCGTTGCCCTATGATAAAAATAATAGTAATAAAATAGAAAAAAAAAAGATGAATCATTCTGTTCAAAAAGAGTAAGAAGATTTATGTTTATATTCTTTCTAGTTTTTCCTTACCGTACGATCAGGTAAGTTTTCCTATTATGCAAGTCAAAAAAAATAAAGTGATAGGCATAAGTATAAACCTTGATCATAAATAAAGGATAGAATGAGAAGAAGAAAAAAATAACGTTACTTACAGCTTTTAAAGCAATGACCACCAGTTCCCCAATGTTAACAGGTTGAGCCATACAGATAAATAATATATGAGTACCGAACTATAAAAAAGGAAGAAAGAAAAAGAGAGAGAGAGAGAAAAAAAAAAGGAAAGAGAAAAAGGTAAATAACAACAACAACAACAACAAAAAAAAGAAGACGAAGAAAAGCTTGAAGCTGCGTTTAAATTCGGATTACCGGCGAAGAGACCTTTTACAATGAAACTTTTGTTGTGTGCTAACATATCTTGATTTTATTGAATGAACAAGAAGTATGCTAAGCCAAGTTGAAAATAGTTTCTATATATGTATATAAAAAAAGAAAAAAAAAAGATGAAAAATAAAAAAAAATTGAATTTGGGTAGATATATGAAATATGTGTACCTTGTCCCACATTGTAAACATCAACAAAGAGTAAGTAACCCCGAGGTAAGCCCAGAGTCCAATCAAAAATTAAAAGATATTTCTTTTTCTTTTCTTTTGTAAACATGAACGACAATTGTCTTTATTATAAAGGATCAAATAATTACGATTAAATTCAATAATAAATAAATAAATAATAATAATACTAATAATATAATTCATGATAATTCAATGTATTCTAATCAATTGGAAAAGTATGTTGATCAATAGGGTCAAATGTCAACATCTGTTTCAAAACATCCAATCAAACGATTTATCCAAAGTATTCCCAGGCCAAGAATATAAGTAGACTTGGCATCTATTAAAAAAATAAAGGAATGATTAGGTCAAATACGTTTTCTATCTTTATAGATTACCAAATATAATCCGTCTGTCTAGTTCATTCTTCGAATGATTGGATCATCAATGATGATTACATTCTAGTTCTTGTGATTTGTCACAGTTCCTTTTTTTTTTTTTTGTCGAGTTGTATTGATATGATATACTACATATTCCAAGAAAAAAAAATCATCATGATTTAGACTAGATCTATGAGAGACAAGAAGAGAAGACAACCGAAAACCAGAAGGACAAAAGAAAAAAAAAGATACCTTTTATCATGCTTTTCTTATCCAGTCGACCTTATCGTATTACCCGTCCAGTTTGAGCTAACTATTGTATATTCAGCCATAGGGGATACCTAGCCACTTGTTGTTCATATAATAAAAAAAAATAAGCTAAGGTTAATGTATAATAAAAAGAATGAAAAAGAAGAAGCCAAGAAAGTGAAAAATAAAAGGGGGAAGAAACTATACAAAAAACGGGGCAACTTACTTTAGAGACAATGTATAAAATAGATTAGTCATTCCTGAGTGAGTGAATGAGAAAAAGTATTTGTATAAATGTATATAATATGCAAAAGAGAGAGACTATCCACACTCATAGCTCAATTTTTTTTTCTTTTTTTCGCATTCTACAGCCAAAAATTTCCAACTCCTCAGCCAAACTTTAGCTGTAAAAAATAATTTCCAGGGTATCATCAGGCAATTTTTGGAAAAATCATTGACATTTTTTTTTCTTTTTTTTTTTTTTTTTTTTTTTTGTGTCTATTGCGCACTAGATGATATTAGACTATTTTGGAAAGGAATCAAACAGTGGCAGTTTTATTGGGTGATGGTTATTATTGGATGAGGATATTAACCATTATTTTTTAATTTACTCTATAAATTGGAAGGTAAGATACAGATTATTATTAATATAAGTGAAAGAGAATATCTTCATGTATGTTTGTTCCAAATTTGGTGCAATGATGGTTACTTTTGAATGAATTACAAAAATATAAAGAAGGACTTGTCTACCACATGTGATGTTACAGCATAAAAAAGATTACGCATCGAATTTCTCTCTATGGAGCAAGCTGACCAATGAAAAGCTATTAATCTGCTGTTAGTCTACTTTTATGAAGGAATCCAATGATGATAATATTATTAGATAATGTTCAATATTGGGTGAGATATGATGATATTGATACTTCTTTTTTTTTTTTTTTTTTTTGCTCTATAGATTAGGATGTATGTGATGATGGATGGTGATCGTTGTTCCTAGCGTGTTTTCTTATTGTAGGAAACATGTGATTTTGACCGATGAAACTAACCAATTCTAGATAGTAACCATTTTTATTACTATTCGAGAAAATGAAGGGAGGGCAGGGTTGCTTGGTCATTTTCATACAAGTTTCAATAGTACCACCATGAAAAAGATGATTTAAAAAAGGAATCATCTATGATTCGCTGTGTGTTGAAAAAAAAAAATGGATGGATTTTTATTTTCGATGCCGAAAACTTTATATAACAAATTTTGATTTTCCAATATAGGAAGAGAGAAGTTTGTGGGACATCATCATCCTCTCTCTTTTTTTTTTCCCTTTTTCTTTTCTTTTTTTTTTTAATTATTAATATACAAGAAGAATAAAAAAAAATCATTATAACAAAGTTGATTATTAGGTTTATCTGTGTAGCATAAAATCTTTATGACATGCTTAACGATCCATCCTTCTATTTTTTTTTCCTGAGTTATTTTGACAGCAATAGACTTTAAAAACCGCAAGCGCGGAATGTACGCTAATCATCTCTTTGATCTTCAGGTTCAAGGTTTTACATTTTCATAAGCCGTCTGCCATTTCTATTTTCGGTTGGATTGGGTCATATGCTTTTTTTTTTTTTTTTTTTTTTTTTGATGATGATCATAGTTCTCTTCCGATCAACCTTTGAATTCTCTAGGGTTTTTTTTGGTGGTCTATCGGAATGACCACTAAGTATCTCTTTTTTAAAACAATGAGGATGGTTACACCGGCAGAACAGGTTTCAATAAAAAGATGAAGTGACGCGTTGTTACGATTACTATTTGCTTTATTTGGTTTTCAAACACCCAAGTCTGTTTTTTTTTTTTTTTTTTTTGATCTAGGAAAAGAACAATAATAACAAGATCAAAGTAGATAGGAAAGATATTTCATAAAAGTAATCTCCTTTTTTTCCCCCATATGATTACAATCTCATATTATCTTTGATCATCACGAGATTTTACTTCAATCAGCTTTTTGGAAAGAGAGTGGGAGAGAATGATTATCTTGGTGCAGAATCTGTTCATTTTAGGAAATCAAACAATTGTAGGATCAGGTGAAAAATGAATCAAACTTGGCGATGATGGCGATGATAATGATGATGATGATGATTCCTATAATGATAATGATAATGATAATGAATGATGATAATGAATGATGAATGATGTGATGATGATGATACTTTTTTTTCTTTTTTTATACTTGAATGGATGATGTATGATGATGGGATGATTTTTTTTTTTTGCACTTGAATGGATGATGGATAATGGATGATGACTTCATAATGATGATAATGATGATAGTGATGATGATGATTGAAGGATGGTGATACTGAAGAGGACGGAATGGTTTACATAATGAAATAGAATTAGAGTTGTAAGCAACTATAGATCCTACTTGATCACTATTCTTTATAGATTATACTCTCCCGCAAGTGCCGTCAGTGTCACTTTCACAATCCAAAGTTGAAGCATCATCCAGCGTGTAACAATCATTCATAATGTGAATATGGATGACTGAACAAAAAAAGTGGGAACCAGGAAAGGAGGGGTGTTTGCGGGATAAAGGCAATACAATCAGTTTAGCGGGGAAATCATTTATAGGCTGATCAATTACTATTCTTGGCATTTGGTGAAATAATAAGGGAGGCGTATTGTTTAAAGTTCCAAGTTTTCTGATTAGGTAGGAGGGGAGATCATTTTGGACAAAAGTTCTCTTTTTATATATTCACACGGATACTTTTTTTTTTTTGTGATGCAATGAAAAAAAAAGTATGGCGCAGATATCAAGTGTAATCCAGTGCCAATTCTTTCATCCAGTAAAAAATGTATTAGGCATGTTAGTGAAAATTGAGTCGCATGATAAAAGTTGCTTCATTTTGGATCGATAAAAAAAAAAATTACATGGGTATAGTTATTTTATTTTACTTATTTTTAATTGGCTGATTCTTAGTTTAGTCTTAGTACATTTCTTTATTTTCAGCGATCAATGCTTTCCTGGAAACAAGGATTTCTCAAAGTATGACTGACTCTTAATAAAAGTGATGAAAATAGAATATGAATATGAATAGTTTATTGTTGTTACATTTCCAAGAATTAAAGTTCTCTCCTCCATGTATTATCCAAATATGGCTGTACAAGAGTAAAAAAAAAAAAAAAAAAAAAAAAAAAAAAAAAAAAAAAAAAGAAACTGGATTGTAACTTTAAGTGGAGGTGGGAAAGATTCATCCAACTTTTCCGTTTGAGGATCCATGACCTGTTTCTTTCCCGATCATGTAATTCTTATAGGCAGTGTTTCATTTTCCGTCTGTGCCTGAAATATAAAAAAAAAAAAATACATCAGCCAGTTCAAATTTCCTTTTTCTTTTCTTCCCCTTCACCTTTTTTTTCTTTTTTTTTTTTTTTTTTTTTACATATATAGATATATATATATATAAATTCATATTTTAACATAATAATGCCTAGTGTGGCTGAAGCTCAACGACGACAAGCATCTATAATGAATTCATCCATTGGCATCTCACCTTTGTCAATGGGGTTTCCTGTGGACGTAGAAACAACAGAACGACGACGTCAACGTAAACAACAAGAAGAACAAAAGAAACGAATATCTCCTGACGATGTCTCATCTTATCGACCTTCATCAACTGGAATTCATAGTCATATTATTTGGCAACATGCAACAATGAAAGGTTATTTGACTAAACACATTCCACCGGTGTTTTCTTTTACCAAAAATAAGAAACGACGTTATGTGATATTGGCGGATCGCTTTTTATATTGTTTCAAGACCGACGTACCCACGAACAAGTACCGTGAATTCATGGAATTGGGACCCGATACGCAAGCTTTTGTTACCGATCATCTATCTGGGGTACTTTACTGTATTGAAATCCGAAAACCTGGCATCGACGCAACATCTTGGTTTTTACAAGCAGAGGATGCAGATGGAATGAAAATATGGTTGGAAAGATTGAAAAAGACGATTCAATATTTGGCAGACAACAAAGATGACAAGGGACCTATCACCAAAGAAAAATTACATTTTGTACATTCACCCGAAGATCTATTCTTTCTCAATGGTGGTATTTATCATCCTCATGCTAACGATTCCAACAGTCTTCATGGCACCAGTTCATCAGGCGATAGTAGTAGCATCAACATGACACCAAGATCAAGTCAACATGAAATCGATACTTCAACTTGGCGACATAGTGGTTCCACCAACTGGACTGATCCTCATTCTCCTTCAACAACAAGTGGTAGCAACTATGCCTGTAGTCCTCCAATGTCTCCCTCTACTGCAACAATGAACGGTAGTTTTTCTTCCTCTTCTGTATCTACACCCACTTCATTTAATCAATACCAACAACTTCATCACATCAACACTTGTAATACCAACGGCGGAAGGATACAACGAAACGACAGTATGCGTTCAAGTTTATCTCAAGAAGATTATCATCATACATCAAGAATCAACTCTTTAAGGTCTCTTCCTTCTCCTCGTCTACCAGATTCATTGCCTCCTGCTTTACCACCACCCACTAGTTCTTTACCCCCACCGCCTACCCATATATAGTTTTCTTGTTCTTTTATGTCCTAGTTCCATTTTGTACAATTCCTTAATTTGATTTTTTTTATATACATATAAGCCTGCTTATCTAACACTCCTTCCCATCCTTTTGTATTCATTCTGTTTTATTCAATAAAAAATATATTTGTATTATACCATCTTTATTCAATTGCTTTTTTTTTTTTTTATTTTTATAAAACCATAGTATTTAATATCTATCTATACATTCTATAGGTTCTATTTCAAAGGTCGATTCCCGCAACCAATCAAATTGTTGTCCCTGACCAATCATCAACTGTATGTACTGTATCACATGCTGTCCGGTGAGAGTTTTGTAGTTACACAAAGTGTGGTCATCCAGTATTCTTTGTTGAAAAAAACGTGGAGAAGCCATCATCATATCGGGTGTCACATTCATTGGTATCATCTTTTTGAGATTCTTCGACCCCTAACTTATAATTCAAATATCAAATATTCAAATAAAAAAGAATGTGTAGGATACAAATAGTATACCTATATGGGAAAAAATGAAAATAAAAAAGAAGGTGAGTACAATCTATAAAGTAGAATGGGAGTTCTACTAATTTTTTTTTTTTTTTGGCTGAGCCTTGCCTATCTTACATTGATCAACTAATGACGATTACTTGTGTAATTCACATGATGTTATGGATCCAACAATATATGCGTCATCATCATTCCAAAATGATTCATTACCTTCTTGATTCGGGTCCTTTTCTTCTTTCTGTTGTTGTAACTAGAATTTAAAAATATCAGCTTTTTCTTTTCCATATTGTCCAACCTCTTTCTTTTTTTTTTTTATCTATACCTTTTGTTTATCATGGTTTTTCCAGTATAGATTCATTTAATAGGACAGGATAAGATTGCTTATACGTTCATAACATAACACTATAACTACTGTTGTATTAGCCATTCATGTATTGTAGACACTGGATACAAAGCCTTGGTATTGATAGTGTGAGTGCATTGCTGTTGTTTCTGTATTTGACATTTATGATTAATAACACATTATCTACCATAAAAGATATATAGTTTTAGATTGTTCTATTTGTATGTTCTTGATGACGAGTCAGTAACAGATAAAATAGATTGTAAGAAAGAGGAAAGGAAAAAAAAAAAAGAAAAAGAAAAAGAAAAAAAAGGACAAAAAGAATGGATTCGTAGACCAGCCAATCAAAATTCATTATTTGGAATACCGCAAAAAAGTAGTGAACACTGTATACGCATATCTTCCATAGAATAAACATTCCCTTCGATAGAATAGTATATACTATCATCATGATAAAAGTAATCGTTTGATTTATATGTGACAATTGATTGTTTAAAATAATGAATCAAAATTCGTTCGCATGAACAGATAGCCCAATTCGAAAGACAAACTAAAGAAACAAGCGTGTTTCAACGTCCGCTGCGCATGACTCGAAAGAGTCATTTGACAATCTCCCTTTTTATTCCATTTCTTTTTCATCCCTTTTTTTTTTTTTTTTTGGTGCGTGTGTCTATCTATTTTGTGTGTGAGTATTTCTAGTGTGTGTTTGTGCACTCTTTGATCGACCCATTATATCAAGTTGAGTCTTCACCATTGTTCTCAATTATTGCAACGAGCAATTTCACCACATACTAAAAATTATTCACATGGAGTCAAGCTATATGGATACTTTGGACGCCAGCGATCCTCTTTGCAAAGGTAAAAAAAAAATAAAATAAAATAAAAACCAGTAGATATCAAGATAAAAAAAAAAATAGGTCTTTTTTATTCACATTATTATTATTATTCATTCTTCTATATCTATAGCTGTAATGTGGTCAAGAACAAACGAAGCTATTGAAGAGCAACAACGATGGCAAGAAGAGAATGAAGAACCAGACTCACCACTTCCTTCTTCATCACCAACAACACCAGCAGAATGGGATGACTTTTTATTATCCAACATGACGACAATCTCACCTACTCAGTTTCATGTTTTGTATGCAGGTCATGGTGCTCCTTTAGCAAAACCCAAAGTACGGCAATCCTTAGCTCTTGCTCTAGCAAAATACTTCACCACTTTTCAACAGCAACAACAACGAACTCTCAGATTAAAACGACAGCAACAAGAACATTTGATACCAAGTTTACCTCAACAAAAGTACAATGTAGTGACTTCTGAAACATTACACACCGATACTTACGAAGATAATGGATTGGTTATCTATGAAACTGATGCTACGTGGACGTTGCCCTCATTATCACTCTTATTTCCTTTGGATGGTACATCTGATACTTCTGCTGCTGGCGGCGATGATGATTTTACACCTTTTCTTCCTCAAACTCTCTATACTCAATTGATGCCTCAACTTATTGCTAATCATGGCAAATTATCTCCTCCTATCGACCTTGTGATATATTTTTGTAATCAACAACATGGACCTTTGGAAAAGGATTTCATTGCTCTTCAACAGTTACAACTTCCAGTATTACCACTTCTTATCGATTCTCCAGCACATAATATATCTTCAGCTATTCCTGCTCCTTCTTCGGATCCTGACTATCCACCATCACTCTCATCATCTTGTTCATCAACTTCATCCTCACGACTGGTAACCATTCCAACTACAATACCAACATCTATATCTTCTTCATCATCAGTAATATCAACATCATCATCATCATCATCGTCAATGGCTCAATCAACGTTTACATCAACAAAAGTAAACATCAAAGATTCACAATTACTTCGTAGTATGTTGGCTCATTATTTACATCAATATCATATTCACTGTCTCAATGTGACAGATATTCATCCCGAGTTGCCTGGGTTCATGTCAAGTCCCTTATCAAGATGTCCTAATGGAAACCCCTCAAGTCTTTGTCATGTCATGTCACCCGAAGAAGTGATGCATGTGAACCAACTCAATGGACTAGGTACTGAAGATGTATTTCGACTCTTGATCAATGTTCGAAAATATCATCAACAAATGGCAGAAATAGAACAACAGCGAAAGCAGGATAAAATAGGACGATTTGGATATTGGTGGCGACGACTTTTGATATTATGGTTCATCATTATATTAAGTGGATGGATAATGACTTCATTTGTTGGAAATCAAGAAGAACGCGTGACCGATCAAAAGGCAGAAGAGCATGACCCATTGACCCCTCTATCGGTAAGGTTCAAGATGAAGGCTGGATATGAATACCCTGATACAGCGATGTATCATCATTTAACCCTTATCCAACAAGAAGGGGAACGGACTGATGGTGGAAATGAAGGAGAAAGTAGGGTGATAGAACAAGCTCGATTGGATTGGAAAAAAGGGGGTGCAACCTGGACTTTGGCTAAAACCGATTGGACAGCTCATGTACCATCTCCTTGTATGATGGATTGGGACACGGACATGAAATTAGTACTTTCGATCTACATGAATGGACACTGGGAAGAATCACTTTGGCTTACCCTTGCATGGACGCCTTGCCAACCACCACCAGAAAAAGAAGAAGAGGATGATCGTGATGATAGTAGCAACAATGAGACAAGTCTTATCAAGTCTGACTTTGCTTTGGCTCCTTACCATCAAGATCTTTTGCGGCAAGCTGGATTACGACTCTTTCATTGGACAATGCAAGGCACACACCATCTCAACCGGATTAAACAGATATTAGTTGAAGGAACACAAAAGATGATGAAGATGATCAAATTTAGTTTATCTAGTTATATGAATCAATAAAAAAAAATCACTTTTTTTACTCTTTTTTTTTTTTTTTTTTTGATATACTATAGGTTAGAAGGGAGTAGATAGAATGATTGTAGTTGAGGAGGTTTAGAAGATCATTTTGAAAGATATATATATATATCGGTGAGTTCGGAAGATCCATTTCGGTGGCCAGAATTGGAAGCATGGAACGTGGTATTAAGTTTGTGGAGATTGAAGTGATGACCCAAGTTCTATTGTTTCCCTTTTTTTTTTTTTTAACACCCCTTGTCAAGTTGCAACCCCGTACTTTTGACTTGACACAAAAATTAGCAAGCAAAGCACTGCATTAGGTAAGAAAAAGTGAGGAGATTATAAAAATAATGTGTATATATAAGAGGAGAAAGGAAATGACAAGGTTGAACAAGATTCGGAATATGAGAAAGGGGAGATGAGAGGGGGGGGCGGTGGAACAGAGGGAGGTAGACAAGTTGAAAAAAGTCAAAGGGAGAAAAGGATCGAAATTATCATCTGACGTTTTTTTTTTTTTCTTTTCTTTTTTTTTTTTTTTAAGACATAAAAGGCACTCCTCTTTTATTCCCTTTTTTTTTTCTATTTTCTTCCTGATTTCCTTATTTTGTGATCCCCTTTCCCGATATCCCTTACATTTATCTTCCTTTTTTACAATATAAAAGAACCCTCTTTATCTTTTTTTTTCATTTCTATTTTTCTTTTTTTTAAACAACCATTTTTATTATCTTCAATATCATGACAATCGCCAATAACAACAATACCATTAAAGAAGAACCGATTCGAAAACGGACAAGAGCAACAGCAGAACAACTTGCAGTTCTCGAAGATACATTTGCAGTGAATGTCAGTCCTAACGGTAAATTACGCAAACAATTGGCTGAACAATTGAAGATGACGGATCGATCTATTCAAATTTGGTTTCAAAATCGTCGAGCCAAGGTCAAGCATATGCAGAAACGTGCTCAATTACAGATGCATCAAGCCAACATGCGAGCCCAATTATATCACTATCAGCAACAACATTATTATTTGCAGCAGCATTATGCTCCTCATCAACGTGCTCACAGTCTGGATTCTTATAATCATCATCATCAACGTTCCAATACCATTGCCACTTCATCTGTCACTGATCCTTCTCCTTCTTTGATGGATCATCATCGACAAAGTGTTCCTCCTTCTTTACCTTATGCAGACTTACTCATGGATTTCAACCCCGACCCATGGACCTTCCCTGGTATGTTTTTTTAAAAAAAAAAAGCTTTGCCATCTAATTTTTCTTTTTTTTTCTTTCTTTCTTTAGTTTCTCAACAACAGCAACAACAACAACAACAGCAGCAGCAGCAACAACAACATGAAGTCACCATTGATCCTACTCATTTGACTATGAATTCACCTGACTTGGGACTCAGTATTTCGTCATTAACAATTGGTCGCTGGCACCGTTTAAAGATGCAACCTAAAGATTTGACATGTAGATATCAACCTAAACAACGTGTATTATGCTGGAATATTGTAGATGGACAACACCGATTCAAGATGGAAATGCCAGTAAGTAGTATTCAACAACTTGTTTACACATCACCTGCACCAACAACAACACCAACAACGACACCAACTTCAGAAGTATCGATGACAGGAGAACTTCATTTGGATCTCCATCACCCACCTCTTTTCTATATGAAACATCAACATGAATGGATTGCATGTAGCGACTTTACAGAACATCAACAAGCTTCTCAGGTATTACATCATACATTGAAAGGAATTGATTTGACTTTATGGCAGGAACTTTCAACTATCATGGCCACTTGTCCTGAAACACAACAATGGATCCAATTTGTACCATCATCTTCCCCACCATCCACCTGTAATAGTAGTGTCAGCAGTTCCTCTTCTTTATCCACCAATGCATTCTCAGAAAACAACAATAATCCATTCTTCAATACTATCAACTCGATGTCTATCAATGAAGATTGTGCCTTATCTCCATCAAAATGTGAAACACTTTTACCAATGACAGATGATTTCTTGATCGATCCTTCCTTATTAGATCCATCCTTATGGTCCTCTACTTCTGGTTTTTTGGTCTCTTGATTATTATTGTTATTATTAATTATTTGTCTATGTTTTTATTATTTTGTATTCATTTATCATCATCTTATACCTTGGCATCCTTCTCTCTCTCTTTCTCTTTTTTTTTTTTTCTCCATATCCTTGTTTCATGATTCCCCTTTCCTTTTTTTTTTTTTTTTTCTTCTCCTCACTTATCTTTTTCTACATTGATTCTAGTCAATCTTCCTCCTCATTTTACAACCGTCATCGTTTTTCTTTTTTTTTTTTTTTACTCCTGATTCTACTTTGTGTATATACTTCCTCCTTTTTTTTATAAAAAAAAAAAAAATACTAAAAATAAGAAAACTGAAATCTTCTTTTTTTTTTTTTTTTTTGTGACATTTGATTTTTTCTATCTTAATGATTGTGTCATCTATCCTAGAATGGAAGAATAAAACAAATCCAGTATATTGGGGACAAAATTCCATATATATATATATATATGTGTGTGTGTGTACGAGTGATGATCAAAAAAAGAAAAGAGTCTATTTTATTGTAAAACTTGTGATACACTATTTTCACTGTAACATATCGTTTAAAAAAATAAATCATATCGCCAATATCGAAATAGGATGTCTTGAAGTTAGAAAAATGATAATAAAATGAAAGTAATAAAATGTTATACCAGAAGTAATAGAATTGTCGCAACCAAAATGAAGTAGAAAAGAAAAAAGAATAAAATGAGTAAATATATCATCAAAAATATGTGCTTCATCATCTTTACCAAAAGATATGTATATAAAGAAATATATAATCCAGGCCAAGCCAAGAGAGGAAAGGAGATCATATAAAATAAAATAAAATAGTAATAATCAGCATCTATCCAAAAAAAAAAAAAAAAAAAAGAAAAAAAAACTTACATCGAAGCTGTTTTCACCACAGAATGGGGACCGTCATCTCGCACCACATGGCATGAGTTTTGTTCGTAACTTGAAGAAGCACCAATCATAGCAAATCTTGTCCAGTAACAGCGTAACGCAGGTAGATGATAAGGCATCAAGCGAATTCTTACATAGTCGATATGATTCACAGTTCGAATTGACGCAACAAGAGGTACCATTATTCATTAAAGTTTTAAAAGTGAACATGAGACAAGAGAAACTAACAAGGCCGTTTTTTTCGAAGTACGCCATCATTTTATTGAAAGCAAGGATATGATTTTCTAGAAACATGATAACTAAATCTAAATATACTGTACATTTTTTTTTAAAATCTAAATCTAAGTCTAGGCGATTTTTGCTTGTTGTTCCCGAGCCAACTCATATTCCACACGTTTTCTTGCTTTCAATGCTTCTTGGACACAGGTCATTTGTTCGTATTGTCGAGCATGTTGAATAGATTGTTGATACATTTGAATTGCCTTTTCACGATCTTGCATTTGCTACAAAAGAATAAAAAAAAAAAGTAGATAATCATGATATTAGTTTTTGTTTTTTATATACTTTTCTTTTCTTTTCTTTTCTTTTTTTTTTTCTCTATACCTCGAAGATCATGCCTAGATTAAAAAGCAATATACCACAAGATTCATCACAGATAGATTGATCCTTGTTTACTTTGCCAGTATTTGGATTTTGAGCCAATGCAATCCCTTTTTCTGCCCAGATCTTGGCTTCCTTGAATTCATTGAGAGCTACATAAGATTCCGCAAGATTGTTCATCAGTACCGTAGATTCACAATTATCCATTCCACCTAATGATAATGCACGAAGATAGAGATGAATTGCATAACTACAAAATCAACCAAAAGAGTTAAAAAGAAAAAAAAGAAAAAATCAATACGAGTTCATCTGTTTCCTTTTGAAAAAAAAAAAAAAAAATAAAAAATTGCAATTTATCCTTTTTACCTGTATTTCTTTCTTGATGCATAAAATTGTCCTAGAGTAGCCAAGGCCACACCTACATCAGTAGAAGTCAACCAATCGGGCAAATGTTCTTGATCAAATAGACGAGTATGTTGATCTTGATGAGTCTTATCACCATATGTGTTTTCAGAAGATGGTGTTGATGAACTTGCCAATAAATGTTCTACAGCCGCCACATAGCATTTTTCTGCCTCATCATCACGATGAAGTGTTGCATTCACATCACCTAATTTCAAACATAATCCCACTATCTTTTTCTGTTCCATTACTGGTAAACGAGTCCAATCCAAGGTGAATATAGCATGATCTGGAAGTTTCATTGTTGTTGTCTCCGTTGCTGCCTCTGATGATGATGATTGCGAACTTGTCGTGTTTGATGATGATACATTCTCCATACCTAGTAAATGTCGTAGAGCCATGATCAATGTCTGTCGAGCTTCAGATAACCTTCCAAGTCGCTCCAACAAAGTGCCCCATTGAATCAAAATCCCAGTCAAAGGTGCACCATCCAATGCCAATCCACTGTCAGGTTTTAATGCCTCTTCAAATGCTTGTTGGAAATAAGGTAAAGCCAACATGGGATCCTTGCGTTCATAGTACAATGCTTTACGAAGCGCGGTGCGAACAGGTGTAGGGTATTTTTGAACATCTGATGTGAAATGTTCGTACAGTCCAACTCCAAGACATGCCAAGCCAAGTCCAATCAATGCTAACGGTACAGGTGGAATACGAATAGTACGGGTTGGTGTTCTTCTATTGGCAGCTGACGAAGCATATCCCATACGATGTTGTGATTGCAGGAATGATCGTGATAATACTGTTGACTTTCTACTTGATGAATCTAATGTTCGCGTCACATTCATAGTGTATCTTGTCATACCTTGGTTGGCAATAGATCCAAGTCGTTGAGTGGTACGTAAAAGCATGATCGATACGTAGATAGAGATATATATATAAAAGATGATAAGAAAAAAAAAAAAAAAAAGGTGGAAAGAAAAAGCGAACAGGGGATCCTGCACTTTTTTTTTTTTTTTTTGACATGAACCTGGCTGATAGTGACTTGGATAACAGGCGCGGTTTAAAAAATCAAGCTTCATTGATTGGAAATGAAGGTAAAAGAATTGATGATCACCATTATTACACTATGATCAATTATGAAACATAGTAATCACCATCACAGCAATTATCATAGAAAACTATCGATCGTTGTTCGACATTGATTATGGTTATAGTGAAAAAAAAAAACTAGGAATCAGCTGTGATCCAACGTCTATAAAAATGTATTCTGCAGATTTGATTATCAGATCATCCATCCTCATCCACATATCATCCTTTCATCACACATCAGTCATTCATCACGTATTATCCATTTATCATCGCACTTAAAAAACGTAACTAGAACAACGGAGAGAATGGATCTCCAGATTTCCTTTCTGTTTTACTCCCTCTGTCTGTGTGTCTCCATACCTCTTTTTGCCTTCTAATCCATGTAATATAAATACGCGATACTTTTTCTTTGTAATCTTTTTTTTTTTTTTTTTTGTGATGTGAATATCATTATGATGATAACATATTAGCAATGATGTTTCCTAATTTAACATATCGGTATGCTGTAGTTTGATCGGTCCTTCTATTCCAAATTGGTTTTTTTTTTTGTCTCAATTCAAAATAAATAAGCAATATAGATCGACATCCTTAGGTATTTGTTTTTTTTTTTTTTTTTTTTTTTTTGGTTGATTACTTTTTTCGAGAATCGAAACAATGTCGTTTCTATGGAAGGTACTTTCTCTTTTTGGGATGATTCAAACCCAGCATGCATAAAATGATATAAGCTTTTCTAGTCACATGTAACCAATGAATAAATTGAAAATGATAATAATACAAAAGTGTTTCAGGATGAAAGCCATATTTTTATTGACGACTAAATAAAAAAAAACAAGTATATGTATAAGTATAATAATAGGACAATGATGAGAATAAACAACAAAGGGGAAACCTAAAATTAAGATAGAATCCAAATCAAGACCGAATAGGTGGACGAGCAGTAGCAGAAGGTCGATTGGTTTTTTGATGATGTTGTGTGAGTAATGAACCATCCATGTCTTGAATTCGAATAGTAGGTAATGAGTCATGATCAAAAGAGAGTTGTAAAGTAGGTGTTTCCAATCGAGGAGAAGATGATGTAGAAGACAAAGGTGAAGATACTACTTGCATGGCCGGAATGTCATCCGTATCGGTATCAGTCGAAGGCATTTTTGTTATTGGACCATCATCCAGTTGAAAATCATCCAACATATCCAAATCATCTTCATCACCTTGTTCGTCCACTGTCGTCAATGCTCGTAATAAATCAGATGCCAAAATCGCCTTGTTGGGTGGTGATTCTGCTCGTTGTTCCCATTGATTGCAAGGATCACCTGGTGGTGAGATAAGTAGGTTTCTTCCAAGGTCGGGAACTTGTAATGAAAATGATGCTGGGTCAGGATTGATAGGATTGTGCTATAATATATATATATATATATAAAGATGAGTCCATATTCTTCGTTGTAATTGATATTGTTTTTTTTTTTTCCTTACTTGGCCAAAGTATACCCGAGCTTCCATTTCATATAAAGGTAAATCATTTGATATGTCCTTGTCACTTGTAGTTTCCAATCCAACAATGTGCATTGTATTGTCAATCTCTTGCCAATAAAGAATACGATGATCCATATAATTCTTGGCAGCTATAGCATGTTGGGTATCGAGATAAATGACCATCAAACGTCTAAATCCTTTCATTGGAATCATTTGATGAAGTTCACCAAAGTCTTCCCACATGGATCGAATGGTATCTATGGCATCTTGGCTAGTAAAGAAGAGTTTAGGAATATTTGGAATGACTAGTGTATTGGTTGCGATGGAATTTGCCATGTTTAGATAATGTATGATATTTCAATAAATACAAGATATATATATGGAGTGTTTCTGAGAGAGACAAAGAATACAAAAAAAAAAAAAAGGAAAAGAAAGAATGGAAAGAAAATGAAACTTTTCAATTTGAGAGGTGTTTTTTTAATGAATTTTTGAATTCCGAACCCCCTTATGAAACTATTACGAGGAGTCAAATTGTAAGATGAGATCAAGTAGATACAAAAGGATAACAATTTTTATTAAATAAGAATATAAATAATATAAATATATATATATAAAAAAAGAGGGAGATAAAACAAAAACTAAGTGAAAGAGAGGGGTATCAAGTTGTTGAGGAGAAGGATGAATCGTATTCAATAGTACTTAGTAGATGTGCTCTTTTACCCACTTTTTTCATCAAAGTACCTTCAGCTTCCAATTCCTTCTTTAATAATAATTCGCTAGCCAATCGTCGTTGAATTTCATCATCATCTTCTTTCCAATTATCGGTATTTTCTTGTTCTTGTTCTTCTTGTGATGGTTGGACAATGTTACTGCAATGTGGCCATTCAGGTCGACGCATACGTTGTCGAAAAGTATCCGCTATTAATAAGGCATCTGTTGAAGTCAATGGTGGATCAGATCGACTGGATAGATTGCTCATACTTTGTAACGTTGGTGGAGGTGGTGTCACAGATGAGAGATCCGGATAGGATGATGAAACTGTAGTGTGTTGATCATTATCTTGATGCTTAAATATTGTACCGGATGATGGTGGAGGTTGTGTAGGATAAACTGTACTGTTTTTAGAACTGATTTGATCTGTTGTTTTTTTTTATTTATTTATTTATTTTTTTTTAAAAAAAAAAAAAAATGAATAAACTACTCAAGTAAATATAATTTTTCAACTTACCTAAATGACTTTTTTCACCATATACTAATTTTCGTCGTCGAACAAGTCGCATCATCCAGAATGCTGCAATACAACCAATCACGAGTAAAATACATCCTATTACAATAAGAGGTGTTACCCAAGGTGGAGTTCCCATAGAAGTAGAAATAGGTGATTGTGAATTAGTTGAACTAGAAGCATGTGGATCGGAAGAAGATTCTGAAAGGAAAAAAAAAAAAATAAAAGTTAGAAGAAAAGAAAAGAAAGAAAAAAAAGATTCCTGTTACCTAAAACTGAGAAATGCACAGGTTGTGGCCAGGCGGAATTCAAATTGTTCATTTCTGTAATAGGATTCATGCCAGAAGCTAGCAAATAGAGTCTAGCATCATGATTAGGAAAATCTTTTAATCCTAAATTTGAATTAAACCACGTATTGTTGATCAAGATAGGATATTCACCGATATTACTGATATTATGAAAACTGATGATGTTGATTTTTTCGTAATGCTCAACATAATATATATATATGGATAGTGATGCCTAAAATATAAGGAGGTTACAGGTTAGGTGAATAATTTATCTCTTTTTTTTTTTTTAATAATTACTTACAGCAGATACATAAGTTGGATAAGTAGGATTCCAAGTTACTAAGTAATAAGTACCATTTTGTTGCCATGTATCACCAGTCAATGGAGAACAAATAGTATCAGTATTTCCATTTTGTCCACAATTGGCTAAAGTAATGAAATAAATAAAAAGAAGATCAATCAAACAGGTTATGCGGTTTTTGAAATCAAATTGCTTCTTACTTTGTCTTGATCCCCATGACAATCTTGGAAAACTCAATAGAAGCATCAAAAAACAATGTATTGATTTTCTTTGCTTCATTGAATACATATACAAACGGATTATTGTCTTATTTTTTTTTTTTTTGTCGTTGAAATATATCTATTGATATCGTTGATTTTGTTATTTAAATATTATTAAACAAGGGGGAAGGATAACACTCCTGTTAGAAAAAAAAAAAGAGAGAGGAAGGGAAATATTAATAGTGATAAAATGAAAGTAAATGGTTAAAAACCAAATATCAAGAAAAAAGAAGTAAAGAAAACGAATGGAAAGACAAAGAAAAAAAAAAAGAGAAAGGAATATGGATAATAATAATAAAAAAAAATGAATTGAGATAGTAAAATAAAAGTAGTAAGCTGATGATTTAAGGAGTCATTAAAAATCTTGAATTATAAAGATGTGGGAACTTTGTATACTTTACGAACTCTCTCTCTATATAGGAGGATATGATCTTTTTTTTTCTTTCTTCTTGTTGTTGTTGTTACCTCTCCTTTGAAAAGGGAGACAAAAGCTGATTCGTGTTTTTTTTTTTTTTATGGTGCACCTTGTATTAGCAACCTTTCTCCTGCGCCCCTCCTTCTGCTCCACTCCCTCTTCAATCTATTGTATAATAATCATTTAGAAATAAAAAAAAAAAAAACACTTGGTTAAAGATAATCAAAATGATAATATCTTGAATCGCCATGGCTTTTTTCTTTCTTTGACATGTTTCCATTTTAGGCATGTATTTGACTTCCGACCATCTTCTTTGTGACGTTGAGGGTCATTGAAAAGAAAAAAACAGACCCTGCTAACTTCTTTCCCTCTTTTTTTTTTTTTTTTTTTTTTGTCTTACCAAAACCATGTTTTCACCTGTATTGAAAAGATCGGTAAGGACCTAAGAAATATAAAACAAGAAAAGTCAATGTTCATCTTCTAAAGTATTTCATTATCATATTTCATTAGCTTGTCACTGCTGCAGCTGGAGCTGTTGCTCTTCAATCTGTATCTACTGTTCATGCCGAAGAAAACACAACCACAACTCGCAAGAGCAAGGTAATAATAAGAATTGATAACACCATCTTCTAGAAGCGGCTCCATATAGAAAACTTGACACTTTTTTTTTATTTTTATTTTTATTTTTATTTTTTCAAATTGTAGCTTAGTATCTACGATGAACCTGAACCAAAGCGAATTGTTATTGAATCACCTACCAAATTGGAAGAACACGTTGCTTATGCTCAAAAGTACGCCAATGATGCTTTGGATGAAGGAAAGGTACTTAAAGTTGAATATAATAAATGAATTGGCAGATATGACTTGAAACAAGCTTTTGATCGATACATCTTTTTTTTTGGATAGGCACATGTTGATACTTTTCACAATCACGTCCAATCTATTGAAAACGATATTCGAGGTAAGGATACAAGAAGAATAGAGGAGAGAAAGTTTGGAGGATGATTTAGAGTGAAATTGACTTGAATTGAATATGTTATATACCATTTTAGGCACCATCAACGAAATTATTGCTAAAGATGAAGATATTCTTCCTAATGCTATGTATATTGGTGTAGCAGCATTGGCAGGAACTATTATTGCTCGCAACCGTAAAATATGAAAAAAAAAAAGATAAGATCAAAACAATTTATCATGACGCTTACTCTTTTATATATATATATATAGGTAATATTGTACTTCGATTCTTGACCTCTACAGCATTGGCTACTGGTGCTTCCTTCTATTTACTTCCCAAGACAACTCATAACCTCGGCGTGCAACTCGAAAAATTGGAACGTAAATACCCTGAACTCGGCAAGGTTCATACTTCCATCAATGAAGCCATTGGTGATGTACGCAAACAAGTGGATGATACTTTGCTTAGTTTACGTGGACAATTGGATCAAGGAAAAGAATTAGTCAAGCAACAAGTCAATGAAACAGATTCTTTTGCTGCCACCAAAAAGAAGGTTGAATCCATGTATTCTACTCGATCTAGTGTAAGTCAATATAACATCTCGAATAATACCATGTAATCATACTGATTCTGTCTTTTTTCTTTTTTTTCTTTTGTTTTTTTTTTTTAAAAAAAAACAACTCTATAGCCTGCTGTGGAAGAAACTTTGAAGAAAGATTAGATATATTATCCCATTATTATTATTATTATTATTATTTGATCCCCCATATTATTTTCCACACTTTTGTTTCCATCATATAAATTCTTTTTCACATCCATCACCTCTTTTTCTTCTTCATAGATCTTTGTTATTTTGTCAAAGTAAATAAAGTATTGTTTTTTTTTATTGGTACTTATTGGAATTGGACTATGTGTAATCAAGAAATATATAAACTATTTTCTATATAGTATGTTCTTTTGCTACAATTGAAGATAATTTTGTGGGGGACCTTGGAAGTAAAATGGCCAAATTTCTAGAAATATATATATATAGATTAGTAAGATATAAAAATATTGTTTTCTATATTGACATACTTTGATAAATTTCTTTATCTGTGATACTGTATAAACAGAAAATAAACTGTTTAATCTACATGCGAATGATATGAAATGAAAATCCAAAATGAGTCTTTTTTTTTTTAAGAAAAAAAAATAATTGTTTCTTATATTTTTTCTTTTACCTGATCGTTTGCATCACTGGCAATATAATTGCGAACTGTGGATAATGCGATATGAGCAGCCCTTTCTTGATCAAATCCTTGAACACCTGTACCCATACAAGGAAACGCGATGGATTCTTTTCTTTGTCCTTCCAGTTGTTCCAAACATCGACGATAACAAGATCGTAAAGTTTCTTCACCTTGAGTAACATGAGGGACAGCAGTATGAATCACATCTAATGAAAAAATATGATAAGTATCTTTAATGCATGATTGACAACTTACAATTGCATGGTAATAGGTAACTTGGCGTAGTAATGGCGTCCTATGATTAAAATAGTAAATAAGGTTTAAAGTGCAGTTGTATTTTTTTTTGTTTACCCCAAATACAAGAGTTGGACGTTTTAGTAAATCTTGTTCCAATGCATCGCCTGCTTCTTTCAAAATTGCTGCGGAGGCAGTACCACGACCACCATTGGTAAGATTTGGATTTGTAGGGTTAACTATAGAATAAAATTTTAATAAATTTAAAAAGAATTTATATATAGATATTACCTATAGCATCCACCTTTAATTCAGTGATATCACCAACACTAAAATATAAAATAATAAAAAAAAAGAGATAGTTATATAACGTAATAGTCAAATAAAATATCAACTTACTAAATAAACACTTTTTGAGATGGTAATAATTGATTTTGTTGGAAAGTAGCAGGTAAATAACCCATAATGTAATTTAATGAAAGTTAAAAAACTGATGTAAATAAGAAGAAGAAGAAGAAAGTGAACTTTTTTTTTGCCTAGATTTTTAGTTTTTTTTTTTTTTAAAAAAGTCTTGGGCGGAGTTCCTTGTGTCACCATTTCAGGACTCGAAAAGAAATGAAATGTTGAAAAGGATTGCACGGTTTTCTCTTCTTCTTTTGTTCTTTTATTTTATTTATTATACATTCTAAAATATATTTATTATTTTATATTACTTTATCATATATTCTATGGATGAATTGAATAAACTTTCCAAAAATAAGGTAAGAAACTATTTTCAATAAAATAATAATAATAATAATAAAAATAAAACTATTTCTTTTCTATTAGAGACAAAGTCGACGACCCATGTGGCGTTCCCTCAAGATGGCTAATAATGTTAGTATGTAAATAATATATTATTCTATTATAACTAATAATGTTATTTATTATTTAATATAGGTAGGTGGTATTACTGAACCTAATAACTTGAATGTTACAACTACTACTACTGCAATGGAACATAATATGAACACTGATAACACTTCAATATCAACTATTGACTGTAAAAAATCACGCTTGTCTACCTGGCTCAGTCAACAATGCTATGAACATGAAAACCAATCTCATTACTCACCATCATGGACAGAAGAAACAAACCCAGCAGCTATATCCAACCTCTCTTTAGTATCACATGTCTCTTCTATCAATAACAATATTATGAAAAGAACACGATCATCAAGTGTGCCCACAACACCTACTTCACCTATTACTCCTCGAACACTAATGACATCAGTCACTCCACCACCAATGAAAGCTACCGTTTCCAACAGGAGGCCATCTTTATCAATACCAACTTCACGTACGATAAATATAACGACTATGATTCCACCTACTTCTCCAACTGTATCCATTGTATCTGAAAAATCATCTGTTCCCATACCAACTGTAATAGAAGATCATCCACACAACCAATCTTTCGATACACTTCCTTTACCATCAACAACATCCATTCATCAAAATTATACTTTTGGAAATGATAAATACGATAGTATCAATAATAGCAACTTGGATAACAAAGATAACATAAGCAACGATGACGAAGAGGATGATGATGATGATGCATATGAAACAGCCAGTGGACCAAGTGATTATTCTCTTGACATGTGTGACAGATTGGATGAAATTAATGACAACTCTGATGACAGTATTTATTATATCAACCATCAAAACAACAACATTATCAAGAACAACAACGACGTTAATAACATTGGAAATATCTTATTGACACGTATGGATAATGAAAAATATGATAGACCAACTTCTCCTTCTAGACCATTAGGACGGAGTAGTAGTACGAAAGGGATATATGTCAATTCCATTTTTGATTCAATGGATCCTGAAGTGGCTCAAGCATTACTAGAATGGCGACGACAATCCTTATTGAAAATTGATTGGTCTAATATGTTTGCTGTCAAATCAGAACTATGGCGATCCTCCAATCTTTTCCACTTTCTTTCAATCGAACAACAACAACAACAATCACCAGAACATTGTCATCAACATCAACTTCTTCAACCACAACAACAACATCATCTTGATCTACCATCATCACAGTCATCGATAGCCACAAGTCTTATCAGTTTGGATTTCAAAGGTGTCTCATTGGACAAGGCCTTCAGGTTAGTAAGAGAACTTTAAACAAACAAACAAACAAAAAAAAAAAAAAAAAAAAAAAAAAAACTGATTAGATCATTTTATTCTTATCTGACTTCTTTTTTTTTTAAAAAAAAATTAGATCTTATAGTACTAGAATCGATTATGCCAAAGCTAGTGTACTAGAAATTGATCAGGCTTTACAAGTGTTCGCTCAATTATACTGGGAATGCAATCCAACAAAGTTATTTAGATGTGCCGGTAAAATAACGAATATAGTGATATTAGTTAACTTATATATTTATCCCTAATTCTTTTTTTTTTTTTTTTTTTTTTTTTTTTTGGTTAGAGCTGGTATATATCGTGATTCATTCTCTTATGCAACTCAATACAGATATTCATGCCGGAAAAGAGCACATTGCCATGGATAGTTTTTGTGATCAAACTATTCAAACGATACTTAGTCATCAAGCTTCTATTCCTATCATGCTTTTCGATTCTGATGGCGAAACTACATGGCAACAACAAATGACTGATTGTTTGAAGGTAAAATATAAAAAAAAAAAAGATTTGGCGGAGTGGATTCCAATACCGATAATAGAGTCTATTTAACAATTTTTTTTTTATATATTTATATAGTTACTGTATAAATCAATCCAAAGATCAAGTTTACTTCCAAAGGAACAGGTTCAACCAACCAGTACTGTTATTGAAAAGGAATTTGATGATCAACCAAATGATGAACAATGTTTAACAGAAAATCAACTTGATGTAAGCTATTACTAAAAGATATATGCGATAAAAAAAAATAAGAAGGTGGGAAAAATTGGAATAGATAGATAGGTAATAACTTGATCATATAGACTGCATTCGACAATTTATTCATTAGTGTACCAGAAACTTCAAACAACAACAATGTGATATCTAATCCAACTATGTCAACAACCATTCTTCAAAAACAACAACAACAACATCGCCGACGTCGATCAAACTCATTATATTCAACACCATCATGGACATTATTACGACGAAGAGATACTTATCGCACTAAAATTGGACCTTATAAGGAAGGACCTCTCTCATGTCAAGTCAACGACGAAAAATGGAGAATCTGCTGGGTCATTTTGCAACAAGGGCATCTTCATATATACCATCAACATGAAAAGACTGAATTCCCTATTCATACAACTACCACATCAACAAGTTCACTTACTTCTGATATCAACAACAAAAATAAGATCAAGAAAAAATTTATGCATCATATAGCACCATCGAGTACCAGCAGCAATAACTCAGGTGCTAATGCAAGTCATGGTAACATTCACAACAATGGTCAGCTGAAGAAAACGGTAACACCAAAAAAAAAATCGAATAGATTATCAGTGTTAAAAAGGAAACTGTTCATCAATCTGTTAGATCCTTATATGGGATTTTTAATGCATTTTCATTTTTATACTTTTTTTTTTAGGAACCATATCAAGAGGTAGATATTCATCTTGGGAATACATTTTGTGAAAAGGCTGGAGCACATGTTTTTATACTGAAATTAGCTAATGGCAGTATATATATCTTTGATTGTGGATCAGAATCTCAAGTTAATTTATGGATAAGAGATTGTAATTATTGGGCAGCCATAGAAACGAAAATTGTACCATCACGGGGTATATCATCTCATTCCTCTCTTTTGGAATCATCATCCTTATCAATATCATCATGGAAACGACCACCACCACCAGCTGGAGCCAGTGTTTTGGATAAGATTGGACAACAAAAAGCGATTGATGCACAACTGGATTATCTTCAAAATGAACTCAAATTACATCTTCAACAACCTGGATGGTCAAATAGTACTTGGCAAGATAAGAAGATGTATTTGGAATTAGAAATTAGAAAATATCAATGTTATCAAAATGTCATCTACCAATAATAAAAACGTAATTTTTTTTTTTTTTTGTCTTTTGTTCTTCTTTTTTTTTTTCACACGTATCTTTATTAGGAAATCAAATCGTTTAAAAAAAATGAACGTGACGAAAAAAATCAATAGTACCAAATCAAAAAATGTCAAAATTCCGTGCCCTTCAATGATTATGATTGGCTGAAAATGGTTAATCAATACCATCTTTTCTTTTTTTCCTGGTGAATCATTGATCAATGTGTGGGAATAGATGGTGAGAAAGTTCAGGGTACTCCGCTGGAACACACATGCTGTAAAAAAAAAGAAAAAAAAGGTTTTTTTAAAATGCCGCATACATTTTTTTTTTCTGAAGACTCCTTTTTTTTTCTTTTTACTTTTTTTGTCTCCTCTTTTTCACTTTCCCGTCACTTTTTTTTTATTTATTTATTATTTTTCATTATATTATGGATTCACCACCACATTCTTCTTCAACTTCAGCTGTTATATCACAACAAGTTTATGGTTCTAGTAAAAAGTTACAGTTCATTGGTATTAATCCTATGAATTCTTTACTAAAGGCTATTGATCAACAAACTCAACAAGCTACGAAATCAACTCAACAGACAATGTCTATAGAATCACTTTTAGATTCAAACGGTGAAACACCAAACAAACGTCGATATGTACAAGATAGTCCTTCTTTGAAAACCTCACGTCGAAAACCAAACCCGGAAACTATCACAACACCTTCCTCAGCAAATTGTCTCAAAACTTCTCAAATGACCACCATCACTTGTTATCACGCTGCTGTTGCCCAGAAATCTTACGGTTCCGAAAAACGTTTTTTATGTCCTCCTCCAGTGGTTCGAATTCAATCTCCCAACGCCAACATCACCTCTCCTTCTTCTTCTCCTTTTCAATTGACCATGGCTGTCGTCAATGATAATGATGATAAACCTTTGGAACAACATGCTATTTTGGATGATGACCAATGTACTTTCAAATATCTTCATGTCACTGGTACTGCAAAAGCAAAACAATTTTCTCTTCGTGTCAATATTACAAGCAATACATCCGATCTACCTAGTCCAGCTCCTTCTAGTAACTCATCATCATCATCATCGCCTTCTCTATTACCTTCATCATCCATTCAATCTTATGCCACCTTTTTATCCAATCCAATCTCCATCATTTCCAAACCATCCAAGAAAACTGCAAAAGCTAGAAATGTATCGACCTGTATATTGACTCATCAACCTGTCTCATTATTCAATCGTATCAATTCTCAAACTGTACGCACCAAATATATGACATCCGAGAATAATCAACTTTGTGCCAAGAATTCAACATGGTCACCTTTTGAAATCATTGTACTCAGTCAACCATCACAATATCAATCAACACAACGACCTACTTCCACCAACAGCAGCAATAACAACAACAATAACAATGCCAAGCCTTTAATATATGGGTCGGAATTGATTCTCCGGGATACTCGTACTGGTGTTCGTTCACAACCTCTATTGATTCGCAAAGTGGACAAGGGTCGAATTGTACCTGGTGCTTATGGTCCTGTTAGTCAAATGCAAAAGGTCGCTTTTCAACTTGTGTCATCATCGAAACCACCACGAAATCGTACTTTGTATCTTAGCGCTATTGGTGCCACTGAAGCTAGTGAATCTGGCGTGACTCCTGCTCATTCTCCTCATGTCTCCTTATTGGATTATTCACCCTCTCGTATGATTCCTGAAGGTTTGGATGCTTATGAAAAAGTGGATGATTATATATGTTGGACCATTGTGGGAATCGCTACTTTTGAATATAGTTTCTATGACAACAAAGCATCACAACAGCAAGAAGAAGAAATACAATCAACAAAATCAATCTCTTCTCTTTCAAGTCCAATATCAAGTCCATCACCTTCTCTATCAAATTGTCAGCAAACAACAGAAGAAACAAATGATTCATTAACGACAACACCTATTTCATTACCACCACCAGCGTCACCATCATCATCATCATCATCATTAAATTCAAGATGCATCACTCCATTTCCAGTACTGACATCCATTCAATACAAACCATTGACACATACTTTGGATATTGTCGGACAACATCTGATGCAAGCAGTACCATCACCGAAACTATTACAATTTTGGTTGGGTTCTCATCATGGTCCTTTACGTACAACGGTACAACCTCAACCATCTATCCCTCATCGAACTCATCTCTTACTGGATATCCCATCAACACAAGATTTAGTAGTGGCTAATCATGATCGTTTGATTAATGACAATTCAAGTCGTACTTTGGAACTGCCTTTATTTTTGGTTCGTGAAGATGGTGTGGTATATCATTCTGGCAAGGCACTTGTATGTGAAATGTTGATCAATAGTGATGTTGGACGATATTCAATAGTAGATGTTAGGCAATGAACTTGTCATCTCCCCTTTTTTTTTTTAGTAGTTTTTTTTTTTTTATCATTATCATTATATTGGTTTTCACTCCTTATATTCTGTTCATTGTAAATAAAGCTTTTTTTTTTTGGGAAGAATTCATAGGGAAAACAACTGGATGAAAATCATTGTGAATCATGCCGATTCCAAAGTTTTGATTGGCGGCGGAGAGGAGATAATGTTGAGTAAAATTTTTTAGTACACATGATTTTTAGACTCATTATTGAATAAAAAGTAAAAAAAAAAAAAAAAATGATAGGGAGGTATAAGATCAGAAAAGGAGATTTGCCTCCCCTCGTGAGAAAACCATGATGATTGTTTGTGTGTCTTGTTATTTTCCCACGTTATCTTATTCCATCCTTTTTTCATTTGATTATCTAAATCCAATGACCATTAATGATAGAAAAAATAATCGTGCCACTTTTTTTTTCTATTTCCTCCTTTTATTGATAATTCATCCTTGATTTCCTTTTTTTTTTTAAAAAAAAAAATCTTTTTATATAATTTATTCTTTCGAGAGTGCTTTTAGAAAAAACGGACGAGGTTGCCGTAAAAGGCAGGTGATACGATCTGGTCCGTGCGCAATTTCCTCACTCTTTTTTTTTTTTTTTCTGTTCACAAGATCGTATTGCTTTCATTCTTCCTGTTCCTGTTTTTTTTTTATAGCAACCATCGTGATATTCACTTTCCCACACATGATCATGCATTTCTTTTTTTTTTGGTTTTCTATTTTTCTTTTGCATATGTGTCAGATCTCCTTACATAGCAAGAGCAGTTCATCTTATCAACATACATTGATTTAGCAGGGTAAGGATATTTTACGGTATGAGGATTGCTTGGTACATTTCATGTCTTATGCTTGGAGAATGAACTTTAATGATCATGCGACGCTTGGATGGGTGGACGATGATGGTGATGATTTTCTTTTTTATGATGAAAGGTGATTCCATTATGTCATTTTACAATGCTTTTACTTTAATAATGCTTATGCTCCTTTGATGATCTCTGTAATAATGATGATGGATGATACCATTAGTGAGGATGATGATCACGTTTTTTTTTAATGACGCAGGTGATGACCAAAAAAAAAAAAAATGCTGCCTACATAATGATGAAAGGTTTTATTCTGATGACTGTATATGGTGATGGATGTCATATAAAACACCAGATGCTATGATGAGTAATGGATGATGAAAAGTATGCACTGTAGAATACGCGACGCTGGCTGATAGATGATAACTATTTCCGATTTATATATTCAATCATGTTATTGTTTAACTATGATATTGTTGGTGATGATCGAGAATATTGGAGATTGATGATGATGACAATTTCATAGATTATCTTGTCATTTAACAATGTATGTACAGTGAACACCAAAAAAAAAAAAAAAAGGTCATTGATTTCTTTTTTTTTTAAAAAAAAAAAATCGCATGGCAGGACAATCTATTTGTACAGCTAATTTGTTAAAATGTAGCCTAAAGCATGACTAGTCGCTTTTCATTGGTCAGCTTGCTTCGTAGCAAGCAATATCTGATCGTGTAGTAGACGTGCAACTTTTTATACTTTTATAATTCACTCAAAAATCATCATCCTTGGACTGAACATAGATGAAATTATTCTCTTTCGTTTTCTTGATAATGATTTATCTCATAGAGTAAACTAAAAAATAAAAATCAATTCAATCTTCCTTCACCAAAAAAGCTACCACCGTTTTTTTTTCTCAAGAAAGGAGTCTAACATCATCAAATGACATTTTATCCATTACCTCTAATGAGTGATATATATATTTAATGATTAGATGAATGGATGATGATCATTGTACGTTGGAAGTTGACGCAGCGAATGTATGAACAGGATGATCAAGATGATAATCATGAAAAAAAAAGTGATGATGTTTCTGAAAATGATAACCTACGAATCGACTTTAATGAGGATTGTTTTTGATGATACCATCATGACAGAGAAAAGTGGGTTTATACTAAAATTCTTACCAAGTAACAAATAATACCAATAGCTATCTTTCTTTTTGAAGAACATCATGAAAATACTTAACTAGAATTCATTTCATCAATGATGACTACTTCTACTCCTGTTATAAAGTAACACTACCCATTTCAATCAATATCAGTTCAACATCGTTGTGTACTTCAATCATTGGTTTTGTTCACACTTTTTTTTTATTGTCATATATATAGTAAATCAGCCGGTAACAATAAAACAAGAGAAATAAAAAAAAATGAGAGGTGGTAATAGATAAATGACAAGAAATTGTCTTGCGTGTAAAAAAAAAAAAAAATTGGATGAATGGATAAGTTGGAGATAAACTATTTCAAAGAATAAGAATCGCAAAAGATGAAGAAGTAAAGGGGAAAAGAGAGTAGTGAGATCTATATCTAATTGTCGTTTGCTACAGCTTGAATTAGAGTGATATTATCGCCTCGTAACATGATTCGACCTATTAAGAAATCATACCAAAAAAAAAAAGAAAAACGCCATTAGTATTATCCATTCTATACTCTTCCAATAGCCAACATACCAATAGGACGTCTTGTTTTTTCCTTTGTTAACACTTCTTCAGCTTGATCCAGTACCAAATTCATGAATTCGTCAAAACCCTAAAAGGAAGGAAAAAAAAAAGAAAGAAAAAACACGCGTCAGTCCATATCCCTTTTATCCTGTGAATTCCCTCTTAGAAATTAAATAACATAATAGTATAATGAATGTGGTCCCTAAGATTGTTCAATATACTTTTCCTAACTTTCTTTCATACTTACAATGATTTGTCCTTCAATTCTCATATCCGACTTTTCAAATAACCAGATTTGTACTCGTGATTTCTATATACATAAAGAAAGTAAAATAAACAAATAGAGTAAAAAAAAATAAAAAGTTGGAGTTATATATGCATATAGAAAGATTGAATCATTGATAGTTGTAACTTACATTTTGCAAGTATCTGAAGATAAGATTCTATATAATAGAAAAATAAAAATAAAGAATGAAGACGTATGAATATAGATAAGTATATATATATATATATATATATAAAAGAAAAAAAGAAGTTTTCACCAATACTTACAATGGGTTGAACCATAATCTTTTGAACTTTACTCGACATTGTTGATAGCTGTATGTATTTTTTTTTCGGAAAGGATGAAGTAAAAAGAGAAGAAAAGAATAATAAAAAAAAGCAAAAAACACTCTACCACCATCTTTACTCCTGGGACTCCGCTGCTCAACTTCCATTTACAATTTGCAGTTTGTCAAAAGTGACGTGGCTTATATTATTGTATTCAGATTGACACGGACCATTTTGATCATCTTAAAAAAGAGTTTTTTTTTTCTTTTGTCTTTAAAAAAAAAAAAAAAGAGGGTGGATCTTTCAATAAATTATAAATCTTTATTACTTATATTTCTTCATAAAAAGAATAGTTACTATAATATCAGAAAATCGGTCGTTTAAAAGGCTACAAATTACATTGGATAACAAACAAATGTAAATGAATGGAATTTGTGTTGGTTCGGAATAGTTTTTTTATTATATCTAAAATATGATTTGATCATTTCATATTATATGATTTAATACTCAAATATGTGAAATCTCATACAAAACATATCAAAATTTTTTTTTTACTTTAGGGGAGTTTGATTAACCCAAAGATATCCAATGACATTGTCGCATGAATTTGATGAGCCGCTACCAACCAAGAAAAAAGACAAAACCGTCACCCTAAAAATTTTTTCTTTTTAAAATAGTCGTCAAAATTGAGAAATCCATTGCTCTTTCCTTTTTTCCCCCTTCTTTCTTAAAGTTTTTACGTTCTATCAATCATGTCTGTCGAATACGAAGGTGCTATTGGTATCGATTTGGGTACTACGTAAAGTATTATGTTCCAAACAACTATTATTTTTTTCCTTCTTTCTTTTTTTTTATTTTTTTATATATATATTTTTTTAACCATCCCCTTTTTTTTTTATTATTATAGCTACTCCTGTGTTGGTGTTTGGGAATCCGAACGTGTTGAAATTATTGCCAACGAACAAGGTAACCGTACTACTCCCTCTTACGTTGCTTTCTCTGACAGTGAACGTTTGATTGGTGATGCTGCCAAGAACCAAGCCGCCATGAACCCCAAGTAAGTAATTTTTATATTTTTTTTCCCTGAATAGTCAGGTATTTATCATCATATTTTTTTTTAAAAAAAAAATAGGAACACTGTTTTCGATGCCAAGCGTCTTATTGGTCGTCGTTTCGATGATCCCGAAGTTAAGGCTGACATGAAGAACTGGCCCTTCACCGTTGTTGACCAAAACGATAACCCTTTCATTCAAGTTGACTTTGAAGGTGAAACCAAGACTTACTCCCCTCAAGGTAAATTATTGATGATGATGATGAAGAGAAAAAAAATAGAATAGAGTGATAGGATATATTATGGATGGATGATTAATAATTTTTATTTATAATAATATAGAAATCTCTTCTATGGTGTTGATCAAGATGAAGGAAATTGCTGAAGCCAAGCTCGGCAAGAAGGTTACCAAGGCCGTTGTCACTGTTCCTGCCTACTTCAATGACAGTAAGTTATCTTTTTATGTTTTGTTTTTTCAAAACAAAAAAAAACAGGACAAAAATTTTTTTGTTTACCGACACTGAAAATTTTTTTTTCTTTTTTTTTTTTCTTTTTATTTTCTGATAGGTCAACGTCAAGCTACCAAGGATGCTGGTACCATTGCTGGTCTCGAAGTTCTCCGTATTATCAACGAACCTACTGCTGCTGGTAAGTTTTTTTTTTTAATGGATAATAAATGATTTGATCTGAATTATGTATATTTTTTTTTTATTTGATAGCCATTGCTTACGGTTTGGATGCTAATGACAAGAAGGAACGTAACGTCCTCATTTTCGATTTGGGTGGTGGTACTTTCGATGTGTCTCTCTTGACTATCTCTGGTGGTGTCTTCGCTGTCAAGGCTACTGCTGGTAACACTCACTTGGGTGGTGAAGATTTCGATTCTACTCTCGTCAATCACTTTGTCCAAGAAATCAAGCGTAAGCACAAGAAGGATATCTCTGGTGATGCTCGTGCTCTTCGTCGTCTCCGATCTGCTTCCGAACGTGCCAAGCGTACCTTGTCTTCTTTGACTCAAACCACTGTTGAAGTTGACTCTCTCTTTGAAGGTATTGATTTCCAATCCAACATCACTCGTGCCAAGTTTGAAGAAATCAACTCTGCCTCTTTCAACAACACCATTGAACCTGTTGAACGTGTCTTGAAGGATGCTAAGGTTGACAAGAAGGATGTTGATGAAGTTGTCCTTGTTGGTGGTTCTACCCGTATCCCCAAGATTCAATCTCTTCTCCAAGATCTTTTCAACGGCAAGGAATTGAACAAGTCTATCAACCCTGATGAAGCTGTTGCCTATGGTGCTGCTGTCCAAGCTGCTGTCCTTACTAACCAAGCTGGTAACGAAAAGACCCAAGATCTCTTGTTGTTGGATGTCGTTCCTCTCTCTCTCGGTGTTGAAATGCAAGGTGGTATCATGGCTGTTGTTGTTCCCCGTAACTCTCCCATCCCTTGTCAAAAGTCCAAGGTGTTCACCACTGCCTCTGATAACCAAACCACTGTCACTTTCCCTGTATACGAAGGTGAACGTCTCTTGACCAAGGAAAACAACATGTTGGGTGAATTCTCTTTGTCTGGTCTCGTCCCTGCTCCCCGTGGTACTCCTGAATTGTTGTGTACTTTCGATCTTGATGCCAACGGTATCTTGAAGGTTACTGCTCAAGATAAGACTACTGGTCGCAAGGCTGATGTCACCATCTCCAACTCTACTCGTTTGTCTGCTGCTGATATCGAACGTATGGTCCAAGATGCTGAAAAGAATGCTGATACCGACAAGAAGCGTGAAGCCGTTGTTCAAGCCAAGCAAGATCTTGAAGCCTACGTCTACCAAGTCGAAAACAACGTGTCTGATCCTAACGTCAACATGAAGCTTCGTCGTGGTGACCGTGAAGCCATTGAAACTGCTCTTGCTGAAGCTATGGAATTCATGGAAATCTCTGAAGAAACCACTGTCGATGATATCAAGGGTGCTCAATCCAAGTTGAAGCGTGCTGCCACCCGTGCCTTTGCTCATGTTTACTCTCAACGTCGTTAAGTCTTTTTCTTTTTTTGAATAAAAGGGAAATTTCTTATTATTGTATAGCCTTCTCCACTTTCATCACCATATCATCATTATTTTTTTTGAAAATTCATTAGTTTATTGTTTTAGTTACTGGATTTTGTTTAGTGTTTATTTTTTTATAGAGAACTTTTTTCTTATCCCTTTGAAAAATAAAAATGAATCTACTTTAGGAAAGAATATCATCCACTGATTTTATTTGAAACACCGTGTTTTTTTTTATAAAAAAAAAAAAAAGAAAAGTTGCATTTTTTTTTCTTTCTTTTTTTTTTTTTTTTTTCATTCAATATCACAACAATGTTACTTGGATTTCGACGTATAGTACCCATCAATGTAAGAAAATATCAAAGATACCTTCATAGTAGTACAGTGACCTTTCGACCCATCAAGGATCAGTTGGATAATACGGCAAAAGGGAAACCTTCATCGGATTACTTTGTCAATTTATTCGACCGTGGACCCAATGTGGGCATAGAAGTGATCACCAAACATGGTTTTGTATTATCCAACAATGTCCAGATCGAACATCCTTTGATCCTGGTCAATGGATCCCCATTCTTGTGGAAAGTGCCTTTAGATTGTATGCGAACTTCTACTTGGGATATGGCTTCTCTTTCTATCTTTGATCTTGTTTCTCCAAAACCTGGTAATAATAGGATGGATATAAAAAAACATAATGTATTCATGTATTTTATTTTCAATTAGAATTGATTGTCTTTGGTACAGGTTCTGAATTCTCTCCTCTTCCTGCTGATGTTCGAAAACATTTTTATCAAATGGGTGTACAAGTTGATATCATGTCAACGGTAAAAAAAAAAAAAAATCATAGTTTTTTCATTCAATGGAATTCATCCTTTTTTTTTTTTTATTTTATAGAAACATGCAGCTGCCACATACAATGTATTAGCAGAAGAAGGTCGAAGGGTGGCAGCGGCTTTATTACCCAATAGTGATCATCCTTAGTATAGTTTAGATTTTATCCTCTTCAAGGTTGAATAAAAAAAATAATTCACAATTGAGATTGATAAATAGTTTGTTATATTGTTAGTTTATTTGAATTTAATTATTGGGAAATATATATGTTTGTTAGTAATATAGATTGTCTTAAAAATCAAAACAATCAGCATCTTCCATTGCTTTTGAATGTATAAATGAGTGTTCTTTTATTATTATTATTATTTTGTTCATTAAATGCTAGTTGAGTGAGAGTATAAATAATAAAGAAATAGATATAAAAAAAAAACCGAAGGAGGAAATATGCTAAAGTGGAAAATAAAATAAAAAAGTGATATACATAAAAAAAAAAAAAAGAAAAAAATAGGAATCAAAAAAATGGATATAAAAATGCTACACTAAAGAGAGAATCATCAAGTTTGTACAATGTTCTGTTTCTTTTTCTTCATTTCACGTTTCCTTTTCAAGATGACACCTTCAATCAACACCCGTAAGAACCGTTGTTCATCGATCAGTTTAAGGTTAGATTCTAGTTGTTTTTGACTAAGGACATGAACGAATTCTTGTAGATTCCAAGCCGAAATAGTGAACAGTCGTTTAGTGCTAAGTTTGTTGTCTTTCATTTGTCGATAGATACTTTTTCGTACTTCCTTTCCTAATTGTCCACATGCCTCTGCCCATAATCGATCATTTTCTGCTTCGGTGAGTTGATGATCGGATGTTGGCATCACAGTTGTCCTTGTCAATGGGTTCGATGAGTCCAAAGGAGGGATGGATTCTTGTTGATTACGTAATTTCCTCATCTTGGCATCAATGGCTTGATCGGCTTTGTTTCGTACTATCAAAACTGGAATTTGGCAATGTTGAGCCTGTTTGGCAATCTTAATATCAGTTTCCATTAATCTTTAAAAAAAAAAAATGAAAATGTCAGTTATATGTTTATATTTATTTATTTTTATTTTACCTTTCCGCAGTGACAATGATGAGAGAATCAAAAGCACATAAAAATTTGTCTTCAAAATAAGTACTTGCAGGATGATTCATTGTATTGGCACCAGGCATATCCCATAATACCATGGATCGTAAATCAGGATGTCGATAAGCTCTTGGCTTCTTGGTAGTTTCACTTTCTCCTGTAGCAGCAGCATCCTTGTCATGATCCCTATAACCCATAATCCCATTCACTACTGAGCTCTAAATAAATAAAATATAAATATATATATATATATATATATATAGATTATATTGATGAATTACCTTTCCAGTGCCTGAGACACCAACAACTGCCACATTATAGAATTGTTCACAATTTAAACCAATGGATCTTTTGGCAGCTTCTTTGACATGTTGAGGAATAGGTAATGGTTCTGAAGGTCCTTCATTGAATAATACTTGAAAAACACCATAACATGCTAGAAAAGGAGCCAAAGGCCAACCGATAACTCCAAGTAGTCCACCTATCGCACCATCCATAAATTTAAAACCAGTCAGTTCTTCTTCAGTAAACGTATAAGCATTGAGTAGAGGGAAGGCTATAATCACCATAGGCACTGCCAAAGTAGAAAGTGTTGCCTTAGTGAACTTGTTGTTTAAATCTTCATAATCATAAAGTGCATCAGGTCGTACGGATTTCGATGTTGCTTGACCCATTGCAAAATAGTAATGGAAGAAGAAAGGAAAAAGAAGAAGAAAAAAAAAAAAGAAAAAAGAAAAAAAAAGGAAGAAAACCTTTATGTCGGAATGGCAAAAAGGGGTATTTCCCTTTTTGTACAAGCATGTGCAACCTTCAACATAGAAGAAGGAAAAAAAATAGTGAAAACGACCACCTAGAATCAAAAGGAAAAAAAAAAAAAAAAGAACTACCTTTATATCATGTGGTATTTCATCACCCCCTTTTTTTTGGTCGGAACGACCTTTAAAGCATATGAAAACTGAATGGGTGTTAACTGGGTTACCTGTATTTGGATGTCCCCATGAGCAACACAAAAAGAAATCAAAGTTTATCGATTGTCTACTATTTTTTTTTTGTTACTCACATGATGATTAAGTCTTTTGTTGCTTAGATATTAAAGCCTTAACAGATGATGATCATGATAGATGAATTTATTTCATGAAAATAGTATGAAAACCATGTTATTGTGTTCAATTTCTCTCATTGTCATTCATTAATATCATCATTTTGAAATCATTATTTATAAAATTGTGTTCAGAATGTGATCATCCCTTTTCTCTCTTTCTTTCTTTTTTTTTTTTTTCCTCCTTTTCGAACGCACTGATCTTTTTTTTTTCTTGCTTGTTTGGATTACTGTTTATGGTAGACTCCCCCTTTTTTTTTTTTTTTTTTTTTTTTTTTTTCTCTCTGCCAATAGAACTGGGTGCTACCCACAGCGAGCGGGGGTTCAATATTCAATGTGGGTCATCCATATCCTAAAAAACACCCTTATTCTCATCTCTTGTTCTCGTTTTCGTACATTACAGATACCTATTCGACTATAATGGCTGATACTGAAGAAAAGAAAATTGTCCAAGAAGAAAAGGTAACGATACGAATGATTTAGGTACAACAACGATTGAATGGATGGATGGATGGATGGATAGTTTTATTTTTTTACTACAATCCTATTGAATATCATGATGACGCGGCCATTGTAACTCTTAGATGACAACTCATGCTTTTTATTTCATATAGGAAGAAGTTGAACAATCTCCCGATGTTCATTTTGAACCTGTTATTCAATTGAGTGAAGTAGAAGTCAAGACAATGGAAGAAGAAGAAGAAGTTTTATTCAAAATGTAAGTAAAAAAAAAAGAGATAAACGTTTGATTAATATATAATTATTAGGCGCGCAAAGTTATTCCGTTACGATAAACAATTGAAAGAATGGAAGGAACGAGGAACTGGTGATGTCAAGTTTTTACAACACAAGGAATCCAAAAAGGTGCGTTTAGTGATGCGACGTGATAAAACTTTGAAGGTATGTGCCAACCATTACGTGAACAAAGATATGAAATTATCTCCCAATGTTGGATCTGACCGTTCCTGGGTGTGGAATGTTGCTGCTGATGTTTCTGATGGTGAAGCCAAACCTGAAACTTTAGCCATTCGTTTCGCCAACTCTGAAAACGCCAATTTATTCAAGGAAAAATTCGAAGAATGCCAAAAGATCAACGAAGCACTCAAGAAGACTGATACCGAACCTAAGAAGGACGAAGCTGAAAAGAAGGATGAAGAAAAGAAGGATTAATTTTATCTCTTTAGTTTAGTTTCACCTTTTTCTCACCCCCCTCATCTATCAACTTTTTTTTTTCTCTTATCTTTTTATTGTTAGTGATAGGTAGTGTTCATAGCTTTTTAGTATATTAAAATAATAAAAGAATAGTACAATCATCTTCTTTTGTTCTCATTGGTGAATATCTGCTGTGCAACTGACTGCGGTTAGGTGATGCAATTCCGTGGAGTATCAATACACTTCTTTTTTTTTTTTGTACGACCCCTTAATACCCCGTTGATTTCACAAAATTCTTCTTGTTCAATTGGGAATTTTTTTTTTTCTGTTCATGCAATTCCCCCTGGTGACAACCTGAACCAGCTTGTTACCCCTTATCCAATAAAAATCAATACTGTGTTTTAAATATCCAAGTTTGCTCTTATGACAGGTTTGTTTCTTGTTATTCATCAAAAGAACATCATGATGTATTGATGATTCTTTCCTTTTGATGATTGAAAATATCAAGTAATAAAAAAAAAAAGGTCGAATCCATGTATGATTGTAAGGTGACGATGATTGTATGGTGCTATTTATGTTAAAACTTGAGATAATGAAAAGCAAATTCAATTGATATTTCCAAGACAAATAACTACAGTATGTGATGTAATATAGTTTTTTTTTTTTTTTTATTTGATATAAAGTAATGATGATTAAAATTAAAACTATCCTAGAAAAATGGTTGCCATCCCACCCATGTCCTGCCAAGTATATTAGGATCTGTTGCCAAATTGATCAGACATTGTACTTGTTCCAAAGTATCTTGACATTGTTCACCCACATCAGCTCTGATATCAATTCCTGGGACTCCCTTGACAACTTGTTGTAATCCTTGTAAATAGGATTTTCCTCGATGTCCGCGTTCAAGTTCTTCTGATACAATGACTATCCAATAAATAATAATAATAATAATAATAATTAAGCATATACGTACAGACATCAAAAATAAAAATAAAAATCGTCAAGTTCATTTTTCCTACTTGATGTTTCTTTCCATTCACTTCTTCTTACCTGATGGATTGATGCTATTCAACTTTTTTCTTGCTGTTTCTAATTTTTGTTGAGGATACCATTGATATTCATTTGATGACCCTGTCGATGAAGCCGAGCCCGCCATAAAATCAGAAGAGTTAGATGACTTATTGTCACCATCTCGTTCTAAAACATAAAAAATAGATTTGATTTGTCAATGTTCTGTTTTGCACGACATGTCAGTCACTTACTTTGCGCTTTTGCTTGTTTTGCGGCCGCTTTCTTCCAATCCAATAAAGGTTCCTTGACAAAGACATCCATGACGTTAAGTAAGACTTGTTTTTCCATTTGAATTGCTACGAAATATTGACCGATAATTGTAAGTTTATCTTTCAAATTATATTCTATCAATCATTTTTCTTACCATCAAGAGCATGTACCATAGCAACTTCAAGGATTCCTTTAATACCCAATGGTTCCAAGGCACCAACAAGTTGTCTAGTCAAACGGAAAGGTACCATTTCTGGAACAGGTAAAAGTTCGGTAGCAGAACCAAATGCATGCCCAAAATCGATAGCGAGCAAAGTTCCTCTTTTCTTGTCCACCATAATATTTTCTAAATGTCGATCCCCAATACCAAGTAGATAACCTGCAATACAAATAGCAGCAAGACTATGTGCAAAATTGTTGCGCATGAAGATGAAGCTTTCAGGGGTAGCAGCCAGTCGCATAAGATATTGTTTGAGAATGTCATCGGAGAAGGACCCGGTCAATTGTTCAAAGTTTTTGACCACAGAGTCTCTTGATGCCTTAAATAGATTGTGATAGCCTGGAAAGAATGGAAAATAAAAAATGAGTAAGAGTAGTGAAAACAATATACATATTGCATCATTTTTTTTTTTTTACCCATGACTTCACCCTTATGTCTTGAGACAAACAAACGATAGTTTTCTTGCACACGAACAGTCAATCCTTTGTTGTTCAATTGTTCATCAATACAGTTTCGGAGTGGCACAGTATCTTGTACCCATTCGATCATACCAAGATTGGTTGACATAGGAATCACATTGTAGGTTGTAAGATGAACATCATGTCGAATACAATAAGATTCTTTTTGTATCAATTCATTCATCACTGCAAACAATTGTTGTACACGCTGATCTAACCGTAAATCTTCACCACCCTAAAAGATCAACCATAAATCCAACAGAATAACATAATGATTAATCATCATTGACTTCTTTTCCGCTATCTTTTTTTTTTTATATATTTACCTTGACTAAAAACATCGAGTCCTTTCCGTCAGTGCCATAAATTCGTATTCTTTTCGGTTTGCGCAAAGAGCCCATTACTAGTAATCGATCATCAAAATTTGCTATCTTCACATGGGATTCAGGATCAGGTATACTTCTTCCATGATATTGCCCTGGAATTTCAATCTGTTCTTTATAGTTTGTACTTTGGAAGTTGGCTAACCATGGAGAGTAAGAACGGAGAAGATCAGAAGCACCGGGGATCTTTTGGTTTTGAATGTTTGTTTGATAATACTTGAGTAGTTTGCTTTTTTGTTTGTCAGACATACTTCGAATACTAGATCCATCTTTGCCTATTAAAAAAAAAAAATCGATATCGGAATCCTCTTTCAATGACTTTTTTCATTATATTACCTAAGATTTCACGGAGCTGGCTGGCATGCTTCACAGCAAATGCTTTTGGAATGGTTCCGAATCGAGAATCAGTAGGATTCAATAGCAAATCACTGAATTGTTGATAAGCATCATCCAAAAAGGTATTATTAACATCTACCCTTTGGCCCATAGACTAACAAAGTGAATCATAAATTGTCAGTATATGAAGAAAGATTTCAATTTTTTTTTTTTTTTTTTTTGCTTACCATGATAAAGTCGATAAAATCTTTGACGATATGTTCCGGATTTGTAAGACGTCGTAATTCATTTGTAAAAGTTTCCATGAGAGGTGATCTGATAATTTCCTTGATACGTGCAATCATGTTCCTATTGGTTGGATCCAGTTGTTCTTTGTAACATTCGTAATGTTCGTTACTAAGTTGGAAAGGATAGTATAAAGCAGAAGGATACTCTTGCGCAAGCTTCAGGATAATGGGATAGATGTATTTCGCAGTTGGCTTATCCAATATAGCAACAAGTTGAGGAATCCATCGAATATAACGCCAGACGACAGAATCTTTTTCAGCCTGAGAATAATAAAGAAATATAAGTAAACCCATTTAATTTCCTATCATTTTATGTTGTATGAGTTACTTACGTTGGCCTTGAAATCAGTACCTGTTTCAGGATATCTTTCAATCAATTCTAATAATCGAGGGAACCGTTCAGCAGCTTGTCGATGTCCAAGATGAATAGCACGGAAAAAGTTGTTGATCACTGTTTGACAATATTGTGCGGTATTGATCATTACCTAACAAACAAAAGAAGGATATAAGTATATTATTCCACAGATTCATTCATTTACTAACTTACTTGTGTTTCATTAGACTGAGTTTCGTTTGATAGAAGAACATTATCGCAATAATCACCAAATTTCCATAAGCATTCAGCCTCCAATGTTGACTATGTATATATAAATAAGTATAAAATTTAAATTGTACAATTGGTAAGATTTCTTTTTCTTTTTTTTTTTTTTTTTTTTTATTTTGATTCGTTTACCATATCATCCGAGATCATAGTATATGCAGTACGAAGATGATTGTATCCTTGTAGAGTCAAATAACTAATGAATTCACTTTTATCCTTGAATTGCTTCTTGTGCATTTGTTTGGTAATAGCTTTGTTGGCCTGGAATTCTTGGTAAGCAGATGTATTCGTTTGAAGTTGATTTCGTGCTACCTCCATCACTTGGCCAGCCGTCATATGAAATTCAATGGCGAAGTTATTGCTCACCCCCAACTTGTCATCAGGTAACTATATAAAATAATAATAAATATAATAATAAAAAAAAAGATGCGATCAGGTAATTGTATACATTTCTCGCATTCTCCTATTCTTATAACGTCTATTTTATTCGTACCTTATAGTTCAGAACCAAGCCAAGAGTACGTGCTGCCATTTGTACTTGTTTGGAGTGATCATCGGTAGCTAGTGATCGTTGAAGTTCAATGGTGATGTAAGCATAGTTTCGTTGGTACTGTTCGACATTTCCCAATTGAAGCAATCGTTGCCATCGATCAATTGCTACGTTGAAGTTATTTTGTTGCCGTGCTGCTGAGATCATTTCCAACAAGAACGTTTTCCTCATCTCACTGAGCTGTGGTTTCAGTGTGTAGTTTGTCTATATCCAAATCATCATCGAGTTAGCCCTTTTGTTCTTTTTTTTTTTTTTTTAATATAAATATACCTTATGTTTCTTCAATAGTTCGATTAAAGTTTCCAAAAACACAGTACGAGAGTCAATGATATCATCCCAAAGTTCCATTCCATCCAATTGAGGATCAGGATACCACCGTTCAAGCGTTCGCGTATAACGATTGAGTTTTTCATCTATAACCTCTGCCCGTTGGATTTCTCCCACTACTTCCAAAAAATCTTCCAATTCCACAGTCTATTAATAGGGGGGGGGAGTAAAATATTAGTGATCATATATTTTCCATTCATTCTATCCTTTTTCTATCAAAATATAAATTACCTTCTGTAGCAAGGATAATGCCTTCATGCGTGTTGGTTTCGATAAAGGGTGCAAGTTAACCCAGGTGATATGAAGTGGATCATAAGATTGACGTATATAGTGACGTGCCCGATCGAAGTCATCTTCATAGATAGCAGCCAATGAGATTTCTATGACAGTCGAGAATAAGGAAGAAAAAGAAATGAGACGAATATTAGTTAGAAAAGGAATATATGATGATATAATTCTTATTTTCTTACCAGTAGCATGGTTATCGATCAAATATGTTAACTTATCATTGGATTGGATGGCGTCCTTCATAAATGGGATAAGCGGATTGGGATTGTCGGATGTCCATGGTATCAAATTATTGTTTTCATCGAGTATACCTTTCCTCAACTTGACATTACTTCGTAAAAAGTAATGCATATAAGGGACCTAAAGTATTTTTTTTAAAAAAAAATAAGATTAGTTGTTCGTACATTTAGTTTTTGTACATTTAGTTTTGTTCCAATTCTTTTTTCTTTTTTTATTTCTTACCATGTATTCCTTATTCCAGAGTTGTCCAAAGTTGCCAGATAAATCATTCGTCACATTGTATGAAACATCATCCCATTGAGTTAATTGTTCAAAGCATCGTAATCCTTCTTTTGCCCATAGATCGTACTATTCATATAATAATCAATGATTCAGTTAATTCCCTTCAATCTTCTGACATTTTCCTTTCACTTGGTTATATATGTATATATGTAATTACCTCTTTCGGATCAGTATCTTCATGGTGAAGGTCCATTGCTTCTTGGAATAAGTTACATGATAAGGCAATATCACCACTGAGTTTGGCATTCACCGCTCCTATAAATATGATTCATATATAAGTTTTTTTTAATAGTACATTTACTGATCATTAGACATGATTCTTACGTTTGGGAAGTTCCTTTGATGCCACATGAGTTCGATATAGTCCTTCGAACATTTCTGGTTCATCAATGTCTTGATAAAATGAGGCCAACCCAATCCATTCTTGTAAGCTTGCACGTAATTTTTGATTTGTGGTAAGTCTGGCACGTTTTGAAGCTAAATAAAGAAGTCAGATATATCATTTATTCAGTTTCATCATGATAAAAAAATATAATACCACTCATATATATATATATATATATATATATCATACATACCACTTTCAACACCAAGTGATGTTCCTTGTCCAATTTGACGTTCCAATAAAGCAATTCCCAAGTAATGATTAGAACTTCGTTCACTAACAGACTTGATCAATTCACTATCCAAAGCATGGGTTCCAAATTCAAACACAATACGAAGAAAAGATCCAATAGTTGTGGGGAAGAATAGTTTACTTGAAGCCAAATGATCTGCTACCACTGCCACCATATCAGACTTGTAATTCTCTTTTGAAGCATTTCTTTCTGCATTAGTTCCAATGGCTACTATCAATTGAGAATAGAGTAAACGAGCGATACCTAGATCATACCTTCCAAGAGCTTGCAATGGTTCTATCAATTCTCTGTACTTGATTTGAATATCTGGGAGTTCGCCTTTGGATTCATCCCCCCACGACGAGAGAAAAAAAAAAAAGAAGTATAATGTTAATTCATTCCTAAAGTATTTCCAATTGTTATGCACATACCAACACGATACTGTCGATACATTGTCACTTTTTTTTCTCGCATTTGTTTCTGTAAAAACATGTACTTTTGAAGATCTTTCTTTAATCTTTCTTGACGTCTGATAAAAAAGGATGAAGTTGATTCTGGTGTAGATCGAACATATCGGCGTCGAAGCTTGGCATATTGTTGTTGTCTATAGAATATATCCAGGATCATCATATAAAGAATAGTAATAAAATGGTCATCAGTCGAACCCTGTAAAAAAAAAAAAAAAAAAAAAGGATCTTTCTTTATTATCACAATCTTTTCTGATTACCTTTTTCGATTGTCATCATCACGTTGAGATGTTGGTCCAAGAGATTGAGTTACACCAGTATCTATCGAGGGAGTTATAGAAGGAGATATAGATGATCCACCATACATTGACATCAACGAGGCTCCTCCACCTAAGTAAAAATAAATTTATATCATGAACAAAAGAAATTAGTTCCTCCATTTTCTGTATTATGCTTTCATGACTCACCAGCTTGGGTTTGGCTGAATTCTAAAGTTTGTTGCGTTTGACGAAGTTGATTTTCTAAACGATGAGTAGACTGGGATATCTGATCTTGTGAGGCAACAAAAAGGGGTGTCATCGACATATTGCGTCTCCATGAAGTATTGAGATCTTGAATATGGTCATCAAAATGTGCGTTTGGCAAAGGATTTTCAAATATGGGTTTGTCATATTCATAGCTGTCAATTGTTGTTTGTAGTAACATCTGGATTGCATAATTGATATAAATATCTTCAACTTCAGGTGAATACAGTTCCTTGAGAATAATCTTGGCCCGTTCGTAAATATCGTTAGTCATATTCGTTTTGTTCTGCAAGTACAGTCCCATACTGCTGCGAATGTAGTCATCATTGTCGATGAGCCCACGTAACAGTTGTATCTTGAGTTGGTCTTTCAATTGGGTAGTTCCACTCAATTTATCATAAAACGTTTGTAGAATTTTGTAGTAATAATCCTAAATGATATGATAGTATATTAATAACCAACCTTTTTTTTTTTTTTTTTTTTGTTGTACAGTGAAACCTACCCTGCATTCTCGATTGCTATGATTTCCAAAGGCCATAACCAAATCATTGAGGATATATACGGCTTGATCAGAGGTCAGTTTCGCTGATATTTTGTATAATAATTTCAAAATAGCTATCTGTGTTGCATCATCTCTGTGGAATAAGAAAGATGGTGAGTACGTAACTGATACATTTAAAAAATGGTTGCTTATAGCATCCATTGTATTTACCTGAGATTAATGATTTTCAATAAACCTTTCGCTTGTAATTCATGAAAGACATCACCTGCTGTTTCATCCACACATCCCTTGATAACTTCAAGAGCATAAACCAGTGCTTTATCTTTCAATTGCGGCAACAAATAATAGACCTTGGGAATAGAGGGTCGACAAAGATCATCATCGTGGAGGTGTAAACGGTATAATACAGTAACAAATGGAGAAGGATCACTCATATTTGTAGAGGTAGGATCCAATTTTGATACCTAAATATAATGTAAGTTACATCTATGAGCATATCATGTTGACAAAGCACCCTCAGTAAGTGTGATTTACCATTCGTAAAAAGTAGTCCTTCAAATCAATCGCTATTGTGTCCTTTCGTCCTTGTTTTTTCATTGTCGTCAATGCCCAAGCAGCTACCTATTTCATGAACGAAGCAAAAAAAAAAAAAAAAAATTCAAATAAGATTCCACTTTTTCAAATATTTATTTCCATTCCCAAATGGATATTACCTCAGCTGTAGCAGCACGAACTTCTGTATAATGATTAGTGAAATTGGCAAGTAGGGCGTTGTAAAATTCGGTTTCTGTCAATCCATCCAAATCTACTTCTGGTCCAGAATGATATAAATCAAGTCCGTTGGCCAAAACGATCCCAGCTATTTGTAGTCCTACTTGATTTCGTTTGCTTTTCTTGTCAGTTGATGAAGATAATTCTTGATATATGGCTCTCTACAGAATATACATATCAATAAACTAACATCTAATGACATTTTTATTTCTTTTTCTAAACTACTTACTGTCGGTACAATAATCCACTTTTTCCAGTTTTCAAATACTCCTTTCAAAACTTGAATATTGTTTCGAAGTACACCATTATTTTCATGATAGGAATATCGGCATAGATACCTCTAAAAAGAAAACATAACGTTATCTAATTACCATCATTATCATTCAAATCAAATATCTAAGTTAATTTACCACAAATTTGAATAAAAGGTAACGGTCATCTTGAGTATCATTGAACAACACCATTTTCCCCCATATGACAATAATCACACAAAGACCCTATGATCATACAAAAAAAAAAAAAGTAGATAAGCTTGAGAAAAACTCGTCATTATGTTTTTTTTTTTTTTTCAGTACTTGGACAAAATAATTGAGAGGTTGACCATATTCATCTCCACGGATAGCCAATTCTATCAAAGGCCGAATCCAAAATTTTGCATAAGGTTCAAATACATCAGGACAGTTGATGATCAGTTTTGCCAAAAATAATCGTTGCATCAAACTTGCATCTAAAACAAAGAATAAGAATTGTAAGTGCAAAGATATCTTTTTTTTTTTTTTTTGAATTTACTTTCAGCAGTAAATGCTCGATTAATTTCTAACATCCATAATGGCATTTGAGTCACATTTTCATCGGGAGGAGTGATTGATGTATGTAATCTGTTGATAACCGCTGTCAATAATTTCATACAAGGATTAGAGTTGAATATGTCCAATTCCAATTCAGAAGCATCACTAAATAAAAAAAAAAAAAATAGATCAAAGTTAACATATTTATGTAGGATCTTGATCATGTCAATATAAGTCTATATTCACAATAACATACCGAGTTGTTTCACCTTCTTCCGCTTCAAGTTCCTCCATTTCTGCTTGATCGATCGTCGTAGTTTCTTGAGTAATGGGTTTTGTTCGACCAAGAGACTCCAGTGCTAACTAGAAATAGAAGAGAATATAGTTATTTTTCTAAAAACAATGATTATCATCAAATATCAAAAAAAAAGACATACTTCGGATAATGATGCTTGGCTTACACTATTCAATATAAATAATATTAGCTTCTTCTTTTTTCTCTATCATTTGGGTTTCCCTATCCCTGATTCTCTATCCATACCTGCTGCCAGCCAAATTCACAGAAGCCATATAACCCACATTTGAGGAAGAATCACTGTTATTGACGTTTTTCTGACCGAATTTTGTACGGAATTCCTTGATACGTGTTTTCATAAGAGGTTGTTTCAGTTCTACCGTCAATGCCAATGTAGCAGTTGGATCCAACAAGTTTTCCCATAAAGGTTCAGAAGGCTTTTCTTGAAATAGGAATCCAACAAAGAACTTTTCACTTTTTTGTGTACGTAGGATAGACGAAGCAGCCGAATTGTAAGCAGCTTGTTGGTACTCCAATCTTGTTTTTGCCAAGGACTCATTTTCAGAAAGATGCTATGTTCCCATCAATAGGTATTATATACAATAACAAAAGTATTAGTTCATTACTTGATATTTCTTTCTATTGTTACCTTTTTGCTTTTTGCTTGATGTGCTTGACTAACAAGATCAATGGTCATTTTGCGCCCCTGGCTAGGTTTGTTTTCAGATTGTTCCCATATGGTACTGATTTTGCTTTGAGGACTATGTACAAGTCTAACTGGCAACAGTTCATACAAGACGTAAAAACGATAGAATAAAAAAAATCAGAATAAAAGGTTAAGGATAATAGTAATAATAAAAATAAAAAAAGGGGGTGATTTTGATAGACGCTGAACGCAATAATATATAGATGTAAAAAAAGGATATTTCCAACAACTTGAAGCAACAAGTCTTTTCACGTAGATCCATTATAATTTCGTCATCCGAGCCACGTCGTAATTCTTCTTGTTTGAGTGTTTCCATAATATAGATAATGTTTGTTTCGTAAAAAGCAATAACATGGTCCCATGGCACCAGCATAAGAATAGATATCACCAAATCAATAGCCTTCATTCGATGTTCACTGTAGAGATTTTTATCCTTGAAATAACTATAATGATAGACAGAAGGCGTACAAGTTAAAAAAAAAAAAAGGAAAACAAGAGCAGAGCATGATGATACTAAATTGAAAGCAGACGTTTTTTTTTTTTGTACTTACTCGAAGCAGGTTTGAGATACTTCCTTGAAACTTGACAATTCTAATCCATGAGCAAAATCACTAATCTTTGGAGCAATCATATCATCATAAAGTTGACCATTATCTTGCATAAATGTTGGTACTAAAGCATTGAATATAACTACCGAATGGAATGTAGACATTATAGTGAGTAGTTTGTCTAGTGCAAGAATAGCTTCGCTGTATCTACATTTAACCGAAAATAAAATGATGAGTCATATGCTATATTCTCTGTGTTCAACATGTTAGTAACTTACGAAGCAGAACCAGGAGTCATTCCTGAAAAGCAGATAGGCATTTGAGAGTTTACGATGGTTCTGATTTGTTTGGAAATTCGAGTAGCATAAGGGTCATCCAATTGTAAGAAAAATGGTAGTAGATCAAAAGCCTCGCTCTTGACAGACAATGAATATGATCCATCTAATAAATGTTCCATAATCGTGATAAGTGTTTCGTATACGGATGTTGACTGTCTGGCTTGCAGTAAAATGGCAGGATTTGCACCGAAAATCCCTTTCATCACTTGCACCAACGAAGTATAGTTTTCCAAGTTACTCCATTGCCGATATCTAATGCAAAAAAAAAAAAAAAATGAGATCATAAATAAACGTATTCACCTTTTGATATTTATATCTATTTTGTTTTCATTTTCTTTCTCACATTTCCGTCAAAAACGTTGGATCAGATAACAACTAAGAATAAAATCAAAAAAAAAAGTGAGAAAGGATGTATTTTATCTTTCAAGTACTCAAGTTTTTTTTTTTTTTTTTTTTTTTTTTTTTTTTTTTTTTTTTTTTTGCATACATCTTTAGTTAGTTGTTTGTTCTCCATTGCATGACGATTCTTATCCAATTTCAGATAATCAAATAGACCAATGATGGTTTGTTTGATATATTGGCTATGGAGGTGTTTCACAATATAAGGCGCAAAGGATAAAAAGTTCATTGAAATGCAGTTGTTGATCTACCAAGAAAGATGAAAAAAGATTAGTCAAAAATAAGAAACCATTTATTCAGAATCTCCGTAGTCATATTGATTTACTTACAGTGCTAGAGTGGCGGTTGTATATAGTGAGCAGTTCCTTGTCTGATTTTCTATTCGAATCATCCGCACATCCCTAGAATCCATATAAAGAAAACACATATATTAGCCAGACAAAAAAAAAATTTTTTTTCTTTTTTCATTTCCATCATGTTCTAGTTCCTTACCAAAAGTTCAAGGGCATGGTATTTGACAAAATAAGGTTGATTGAATGCAATTTGGACCATATTACCCAATAGATCCACCAGTGTAGGATCATCCATTTGTTGATAATCAAGAAATTTGTCAAAAAGAGATTGGCAAAAGGCATCGGATGAAGTGGGCCCACTAGCTCGATCGATTTCATTCCATTTTTTGCATGTTAAATCCAACAGTCCCATTCCTTGTAATTGTTTGATACCTTGTAACATTTCCATTGTGTCTCTCAATGACGCTATATTGTCAAAAATTTGACAACAAAATAATAAAAAAAGATTAGTTTCTTCTCAAAATCAAATTCTTCTTCCTCGTCCTTTTTTTTTTATTCTCTCTTACCTTGATGACTATCCAAAGTCAACGAATTGATATTTTCAGAGGACATCAATCCTCCAAGTGCAGAACAGCAATGTTGTAGAATAGAATCGGGTAAATACTTTTGAACCAAATCAAGGAAACGAACCGCAACAGAACGCACACCAGATACGGTGACCCATGTTGAGAAGGATATTTGACCAGATTGAATAGTATCAACCAGTTGATGAGGTAGCAGCAACATGCATGCCAACCATTTTGAGAATTCTGGAAGAGTCACTAAACCAGTATTTTCCACCATTTGTACCTTTTTGTCAAGATCAGAACTATCATTTGAATTTGTATTTTCCAAGAGACGAACTAATAAACATACAGTGCGATACAAGTCGTATGTCCTGAGAGCATTGATCCTCAGCATACCATTCAGTGTCAGCTTGTCGTTACCACCTTTCAATTGAAAACAGGAAGAGCAGGCATCCGATAAAGAGAAGTCATTTTCATTCTTTTGAAGAATAAAACACATAGAGGGCGTCAAGATATCACGTTCCAGTAACCAAATATAACCATCTAGAGAGGAGGCAAGACCATTCAACCAACCTTCATTGAACATGCCTTCTGATGATTTATCTCGAGAGAGGAATGATGATAATGGTGAAGGAGGGCTATAGATTTCCATTAAATAATTGTTATTATTGGATATACGTTTCATCAGCCAACCTCTGCCATTCTTGGAATCTAATTCATAAAAGAGAGAAGGAAGTTGAATGAGCCGTTTATTTTTGCTCTTTTTTTTTTGCATTCCTTACCAGGTAGTACCAATACAAATTCACTAAAGATATCCATGCATGCCTTTGCATATTCACGTTGAGATTTTCCAGTTTGTTGAAAGCACCATTCTACCAAAGAAGGAATATCAGCATGTTCGATACCAGGGAATGAACGACGAATAGGAGATTCAGACATAAAAAGATTTGATTTGACACGAAGTATTCTCTTAATATGAGATATAGATTCCTTAGTTTGTTGTTGTGTGCCTAATCAATCAAATAAATATATGTTAGACCTTTACAGATCCTTTTTTTTTTTTTTTTTTTGTTTTTACCTGTTGATGGATGATCATTTTCAGCCAATCGTAAACTGAACAAAAAGTGATATAGTAGTTCAAGAGTAAATTCATCAACCAAAGGTTGTTCTTCACGGAATAAACGGTAAATACGGTTGAATATCATAGAGGCTCCAAGACGTTTTGAAGTACTAGGATGTGTTGTAAGATGATAAAGTCGTTTCAGTAGTGATTTCATATTCATTGGACTTTGAGTAGCTTGTGCACTTGTTTGCTTGATAGACCACTTGACAAATTCATATAAACAAGTTGCACCATAATCACGAAGAGCAGCGTTAGTACCACAGGCAGCCTCAAGACAAGTTTGAAGAAGTATCATTGTTTCAGGGTTTTCGTATTGAGCATTATTTGTCAACCAATGAATCAATTGAGCCACCAGAGCACGAAACATATCTCGAGTTACTTGATCCAAATCAATAGCCAAACGGATCAACACAGGAAATACACGTTCATAAGTCTTATGGTATCTTGAAGCAACAGCACCTTTTCTGTCACGAGCTTGAAAAGCGCTATTTCCAATCATCACCAAGACAAGGCCATGAAGAAATTCACAGGATACCACTTTGACTTTTCTATTAGGAGAAGATTCCGCAAGTTCACAGATACGAGGTAAAAGTTCCTCTAAAAAGATGATAATGATGAGATCATAAATTCGCTTTTTCTTTTTTTTTCCTTTTTTTTTTTTTTTTCCTTTTTTTTTTTTTTTTTCTTTTACCAATAGATAGTTCAATTCCTGCATTAGGGAATGGTACATGGATTGCTAGTTGTCTTTCAGGATCCCATGCTACAAGTCGATTTCTTTCTTTGTGACTGATTGCTTCCGATTGATTGTCATCTTCTAATGTTGAATCCCCATTTGCAGAATGCAATATATACTTGTTGGCACCACCCAGACGTCCCAAGAATCTCATCATATCAAGTTGAATTTCACGTAATCCAATGTCAGCATCTTCGTCCTCTACTGCACCCAATTGGTCATTGGTCAAATGGTCATGAATCATTCCACGTTTCCGAGACGCTGCAGTTGCCATTCTATGTTTCATTTTCTCCAGTACTTGTGCATCCGATTTGCTGTTATACTTTGAGCCGAGATCCATCATAAGATATTCATTGAATAAGGGAAGTACTGATTGAAAAAAGGTCGGATGAGACTGTATTGCCGTATGTGTTGGTGAATCCACATCCACAAGTATTTCCAAAGTCTTCAGAGCCAACGTCGCCATTGGATAATATGTCAAACCAAATCGTAATGCTGCTTGTAATGGTAATACCAGTTCATGAATGTCAAAAAAATCCAATGGGGAAGCCAGAATTAATCGAAGGCAAGATACCAATAATTCATCCTTGAATTGTTTCATTCTGTGCCATACTTGATGTACATAATCATAAAATATCTCGTATACTTCGAGCAAAGGTGTCTATAAATAGGAACAATGATCGATTAGATTATCTTATTCACCGTTGTAGCTTATTTTCGAAGATATTACTTTCATAATTTGTTTCTGATGCCGATTTTCCCGAGACTTTAAGATATCGTGGAAGAGTCCAAGTTCATTGGTGATTGTTAAAATAGTAGCCAACATTCGATAAAATCCACTAACAAGAGGTTTTTGTAAACTGGATTGAATAAGAGATGCCCCAGCAATTTGAATCCATTCTTGCATACGTTGATTGTCAAGTTGAGGAAGAAGAGTACACCAAAATTCCACTAAATTCTGATATAATATGAAATCCTTCTGGTTGACGGGAGCTAGATTCATTGATATGGTGTGGATATAATCGATTGAGCTTTGATCCTGTTGCTGTTGTTGTTGTTGATTTGATACTGTTGTCAAAGTATCATCCGCCATATCATCTTCCACTTTTTCAACATTGAGATTAAGCACCCTGATCATTCGAAATATGGCTGATAAAAATTCATCATACACAGCTGAATGTATTTGTTTTCCGATATCTTTCATTTGGCCTTTGTGTGAGTATTCATTATTGAGGATCGATTTCCAAAAATAGAGCATTTCTTTGTAAACAGGCCGATCATCATCAATGATTGTATTGGTATAAAAGTTGCTACTGTTGCAAGTATATATAAGAGCATTGTAAACTAATAATTAAAAAAAATGTGTGAGAAAGAACTTTTACATATAATAAGTTTTACTTACAAAAATTGGACAAAAAGTGACGTAACATTCCTTCTCCTTTGGAGTAAAGAGTCCTGATGACTGATTCAATAGCAAAAATCCCAGGTTGTCGAGTATAAGCAGATAGTCGATAATAATTCAAAACAAAAGCATCTGCCATTCTGTGGAGAACAGATAATAAAACTGGTTGAATATCGTCATAGTATCGGATGAATTGGGTATAGGCTTGTATAAACGATGGTAGATGAGTCGTCAATAATTCTTGATTTGTATTGGCCCTAACAAAAAAAAAATCGTAACTTAGAAAATCAACTTCATTTTTTTTTTCTATTATTTTCTTCGTATATAATATTTACTCAGAACATATCCAGGTGCCCCGTTTAATAAGTAGATCTTGTAATGTTGTCACTTGATCAGGTTGTAGTTGTTGTTTACTTGCCTTTGCAAAATAGCCAATACCACGAACGGAAATTGAGAATTGTTGAAAATCAAGTTCGGCGTTTTCTTGTTGTAAGTAATTGATAAATTTACCCATGAAGAACTACAAAGATAAATTATATAAATAAATGCTTCAAATATTATTGATCATCATCTTTTTTTTTTTTTTTTTTTTTTTTTTTTTTTTTTTTTACCTTGAATACAGCTGTTTCTTCTGTGTCATGTTTTTGAGCAACTGTGGTTCCCAGCTGAAAAAAAAAAAATAAAATCATGTTAGTATGTTTATTGTATCGATTAAAAGGGCTTCAAATAAATTTACCTGCTTGAAGAAACTTTCCAAGGCACGAAAAGCCATTTTGCTAACATCCCGATTTTTGAGTTCGCATAATTTTTGAAGAAGAGTATATATTTCAGCATAATCATTCACAATAAAAGAGCCAAAGAGTGACATATGTTCAGTGAAGAGATTGAGTCCAGCTATATTTATATATATAATAGATCAATTTCGTTGATTTCGTTCCTTTTCTCCTAATACTATTTGAACTTACCAATTGGAACAGCATATCTTGCCAAATCATCAGGAATAGCGAGCACTGTCTTGAGCATAGAATATATAGTTTTGATATCTATTGACACTATTTCGTTTTTAATAAAAGGAAGAAATGATAAGTCTAATCAATATTTATTTATTCTATTTTTTTTTTTTTTTTTTTTTTTTACATGTATTAGCGTCATATCGTTCACATAATAATAATGCAGTAAGACCATTGAGACCACCAACAATGATTGCATTGTCACTGTTTTGTTTTTGATATAGTTCATTTGAGACCATATTGATACAGTTTCTTGCTAATAAACTAGCTTCCAAGGAATCCACTTTATCAGGACAATATTGTACAATCGTTCCTAATAATGTCAAAATAGAGCCTTTCACCGAATTTGGTACGGTTGTTGTTGGAAGTCGTAGTTCGTATGAAAACCTGAAAATAATTAGTAAGTTTCTGTTTGAATTTATTCTTACTGAGTACTTACTTTTCGTATAAACCTTTGCTATCAAGTACAGAAGTATCCAAAGAAGTAGCACTTTTGACGAGTCCAGTTAAAACTTCAAGAGCTGCGCATCGCACCTTAACTGATCCAGTACGTGTCAAGGTAATACAATATTGCTATAATAGAAAGAAAGACAAGAGAGTAAATTAGATCAATAGAAAAAAAAAAGTAGTACAATGAATAAAAGAATATTTTACCTCTAGTAACTTGATATATGGTTGTATAACAGATTGACCCTTGTGAATAATAGAGAGTATAAGTTCTAAGATAATGACTTGCCCAATTCTGATAGAAGGGTCACTTGTAGATACATTCGCGCGTAGGAAGTTCAAGACACCTTGTTCCCGGTGGAATAGTAATGAATATACATAATCTATTCGTAGGTAGTGAGTTATTAAACTAGTCACAAACATTATTACATTCAATGAGTCATATGCTTACCATAATCTGATTCTGGAATATCTGTCAACACGGTTGTCGCGATACCATTGGCTAAGGATTTCACATCAAGAGCGGTACCATTATTGGAAGATCCTTCAGAAGCTTTTTGTTGAGGTGTATATTTGTTTAGATCTTTCAGTGATGTTTCAAACTGTGATAAAATAGACATTGTATCTTTATAAAAAAGCAAATACCCAAATGATACACGACTTGAGAAGAGAAAGAAATAAAAAAAAAAAAATATGCTTTATTCTCGAAGTTCAATGTCCGAAGTAATCTTATTTTATATAAAATTCTCCCTTGTCTCTTTTTTCTTTCTCTTTTCAAAATAAAACAATGTTTCTCCCAAAACTTCAACAAAAGGTATCTGATGTATTAAAGATTCATATTGAAGGTCAAGTGAACCGAATTACGAAACGTATGGCGTCTTCATCCAATAGACGCAAGCGTACTCTGGATGACATTACCAATACGTCTGTTCTACCTCTTGAAGCATCTTCTGTCTCTATTGTCTCTACTGATAGTATCAATAATGGACAACTCGATGATTCTTTTATAATCGAAGAAATCAATCAACTATTGTCATATACTCATATTTGTAAGTTGTTAAATCACGTGTTGAAAAGATAAGATCAGTTAACTGCATTTTCATATAGTGAAACAATGGTATCTCGGCATTCTCCAAAAAAGGTAAAAAAAAAAAAAAAAAGAGGTGGACAAAATGATGACCTCATTTATCAAAATTTGACTGGTGAAGTGATGATTTAAGTCAAGCCAAAGAAGATTACTTACATTGCAAGGTGGTTCAAAAAGGTGTACATGATGCAGAGTCTCAAGCAATACGTATCCTGGATTATATACAATCACATCATATTCAATTACAAGCCTTATCATCATCATCAAAGTCATCGAACTCAAGTCAACACAAAAATGATACTCATGATCAAACAAACATGTACAATTTGAGTTTTTTTTTGACAAGGGGATAAGTGTGAATTCTTAAAAAAGATAAGCTCACCTTTTTTTTTTTTAATAGAACACTCAACATTCTCAATGCGATCTACAATGTCAAAACGAAGCACATGGTCAATGAAATACTGAATACATGTAAATATAAGATCTCTCTATCTTCCATTCTGCATGAATCTGATGTTAAACCGTCACCTTTTTTTTGTTAGATGTAACATTTTTGGATATTGCTCTGAAACTCTATGATTCCCAAAAAGAAGATTGATCAAAAATAAAAATATAGCGACTTTTTTTTTTTTAGTATATACAAGATTATCTCTTTTATTCATATAATAAAACCATATTCAAATCATCACTATTTTGACACTTCCGATAAAAAAAAATATTAGATAATACAAAAAGCTCACCAGTAACGTCCACTTCTAGCATATGCTGTTTGTCCTTGATCATCCCCTCCATAAGTATTGGCTTGTCCAAACATAGCAGTTGGTGGCGTATATTGTTTCAATTCCAAAGCACTACGTCCACTGGGTATCATCCTTTGTAAATCCTGACGAGAAGGTACTTCTTCATAGGCAGCCTAATAATACCATGACAGTCAGTCTCATCATCCTTTTTTTTTTATAATCTTCTTTTTTTTTTTTTTTTTACCGTATCGTTGATCATTGTGAACCGTTGTAAAAGCTCATTCACATTTTCTTCTTCTTTCATTGCCCTTGCTGCCACCGCAGTTGATTTTCGAATATGAGGTTTAGTTAAACTTGAATGTTGTACAGATCGTAAATCAGCTTTGCAGTCTCGTAAAAATCCAACGGCAACCCCAGTTTTGCTACAAAAGGACATAGAAAAGATGAAATTTCTTTCCTACTATATTTTTTATTTTTTTCATTTTGAACACTTACTGATTATCCATTGCATCCAATGCCAAATACTTTTTCGCCATTCCCTAATTATTTTTTTTTTAAAAAAAAAGGAATCATAAACATGATGAATGATAATTTATTTTTCTCTTTATGACCTTTTCCTTTATTTACCTTATAAAAAAGAATACCATCTGAGAGATACTTTTTCAATTCTGATGAAATTTCTTGACCACTTTTCCTAGCAGATAATAGCCCATAAGCCATTTCATATTGACCAGCTACTCCAATATATAATTTTGCTGCCAAAGATTTTGATAACTTTCCATGAATCAATGCTTTACTAATAGCCACCGATTGCGCATCCGCTAGAGCCATCCTATATAGATTCGAATATAAAACAAATCATTTCATCTTTTTAGTATGTATTAATGTAGTTTATGGGATGATACTTGCTTTGATAATGCTACTGAAGTTTCACGAATAGTTTCTACTGGTCGAGTATCAGAAGGAGTCCATTTTGGTATCACTTGGTCAGCCACAAATAAAAAGACACTAGCAGCAGTATTTAATGCATCGGCCGTCTTGTTATATACATTCGACATATCGGCCCCATTGGATTGAAGTGCTTGTAGATATTCATTTCCCTGTAACGACCGAGTGTAAGCATATGTCATTAGAACAAAAATAAGTTCATAATGAATATCAGTTCCCACTATCCTTGGTGCGTTACTTCCTGTATGTATGATATGATCGCTAAGGGTTGATCGCCATGATGTTTCTATAAGCAGATAATAATAACAATAATAATATTTTAATATTAGAGAAGCGTATTAAACACCTTGTTGTATATTCTTTTGTCTTTTTTACCGTCTCACCTATATTCTTTCGTAATGTCAGTTCCCCATTTTCCAAACAATTGACGAGACTGAGCAAATATGGTAAATAGTCTTCAATCGCCTAAAGTCATTAAGAAAACAAAATAGGAATAGTTAGTTCACTTCTTGAGATATTAATTATATAATGATATATACGTTAATAATAGCGGCCAAGTCGCGAGATTCTTGAGATTCCTTCTTGTGACCTTTCAAAACAGTCCTAAGCCTTCCTCGTTGAGCAGTAGCATCTGATATTCCAGAAGAATAGTTTCCAGTGGATTCCAAATAGTCGGTAAAGGAGACAGCACCTGTGGTAGGTAAAGAATAGTTATAGCTCATTGAAAAAAAAAATTATAGGGGAAAAATAAAAAAGGAAGAAAAAAAAGAGAGTAGAAGAGAGAGAGACGAATAAAAAAAAATAATGGAGAACAGAATTAAATAGGAATAAAATACCGCTTCCAGCAAAAATTCTAGATAACGATTAAAAAAAAAAAGAATGCTTTATTAAACTAGATTTGGATAATACTAATATACAACAAAAGATCTACAATAACTAAAATTAGAGTGGGAGTTCTACAATGCTGTGTTCATAAAGATGCTTGGCGACTTGGCAAAATTGGTTGGTGGTCAAATCTTCAGGGCGTGCTTTGAAGTCCAGGATGTCTTCCAGCTCAGCAAGTACTGATTTGGATTCAGGCATCTCTTTCATCAACCGTCTAATACAAAAAATAACAAAATGGAAGTGAGAAAATTTTTATATATTTGTAAGATATATCCTAATTGCATTTCTTACCTAGTGATATGTCCAACAGTTTTTCGTCGTTTTGTAAAGTAATATCGAAGAATATTTTCCAATATCAAATAAGCATCTATGAAATAAAAAAAAAGATCAATAAATGTACTTACCACTATAAAATCCTGCTTTTTTTTTTACCTTGTTGTCCATCAAACATGTTCATTTTAGGCATTAATTGGATCACACTTGCATCCACCTAATAAAACGTAATTTAGATTTGTAATAAGATGATTTGTATATTACTTTTATTATTACCTTTGGTTTAGGAACAAAAACAGAAGCAGGAACGTGATATACTTCTTGAACGTCACACAAACTTTGAGCCATGATTGCCAATCTTCCCCTATGATTTGTAGATTCTTTTGCTATCAATCGCTAAAGAGAGAGAAAAAAAAAAGGTAGGTTATAAGGTCATTATCTAATAAAAAGGTTGAATTTTACTTACATCGCCAACTTCCTTTTGAAACATCAGTGTCATACGAGCACCTTGAGAAGAAACACCAAAAATCCCCTGTCGGCCAGCAAGCAGGTGAAGCCATTGTAATAAAAGTGGTGTGGCGATATTAAATGGTAGATTTCCCATAATATGTAGTGGTGATATTGTTCCTATTGATGAGGTATCTAGTTGTGCTTTGTCGAGAATTGTTTGATGTGATAATTCCAACATATTGCCCTGAATCACTTTTAATCGATCTTCGGAAGCTTCTGCCAATTGCTACAGTGATAAATAAAGTCAGCAATAATAATAATAATACTAAAAATGAATCTATTTCAACATTACCTTTAATGTCGGTTGAAAACGATCATCCTTTTCCACAGCTACCAAGTTTTTGATACCAGCATCTAGTATAGATCGTGTAAGTAAACCAGGACCTAATGACATTGAACAGTTTTAAAGTAAGATCTTATTAGAGAAGGTAGATCACACATGACTTGCTTGAATCGTAACAATAACAGTAATGTTGGTGTTATTACCTGGTCCAACTTCAACCACCAATGGAGTACTCTCAGATAAAGAAGCACATCGTACGATTTTATCTATAAGACGAAGAATAAGAATGACTGATAAGTTTTGATCAAAAGGGAGAAAAAAAAAAGGTTTATCATACCAGTGATATTTTTGTCTAAAATAAAGTTCTGACTTAATTGTGATCTCGCAGACAATCCATAAAGTTTAATAAGTTCTCTAATAGATGGTAGGCGTGGTATCGACATAAGTAAAAAAGGTACGAAAAAAAAAAAAGAAAAGAAGAAAGAATGTAATCGAAAAAGTGGTAAACAAGTGAGTGAAATTTTCTACAGCCATGACATTCAAATCCCCGCTCCTTCTATCTTCAGGATGCAATAACATACGTTATTTATCATAGTAATCATATAGTTAGGAGAAAAGAATAAATAGTTTGCATGGGATAAAAAAAGTTATTTGCATTGTGTAAAGGAGAAGTTTGCGTGTAAGGAAATGAAGAACAGGACAAAGAATGGCAGTTTCAATGGATCACAGAGGGGAATGTCGCACAACAGAAACAGATATTGACAGGAAAAAAAAAAAAAGAAAGAAAAAAGAAGAAAAAAGGAAAAAAAAAAAAAGAAAAAAGAAAAAAAAACAATCATCATCGTGCAATATCTTTTTTTTTCTCTGTAAGTACCTGTAAGAAGATGATACATAGTTCAGACAGTGGGAACAGAAAGTTAGGACCTGCGATGTCCAATATCGTCATAGCTCACCTAATATCCAACACTAACCAATGAAATGACTACCAGTAGATAGTTAATTAGATTAGAAAATAGACGCATACCCAAGTCAGTGAGATTCCTTTGTATACTTATTTATTTAATAGAAGAAAAGTTGGAGAAGATATCGACATTTGAAAAAAAAAATATTAGCTATTACAGATTCATCAACGTGAAAAAGAAATTGTTTATCACTATATATTAAATTATGTATTTCTTATTGATTTACTCCATTTCCATTTTTAATATCATGTATGATACGTTAGGAGACATTCCTTGTTAAGCATGTTGCCGTCACAACAGTAAGACTATGGTTATGATTTTCGATGTCCATTTTCTTTCTTTATCTTTTGCAGTAATCTTTCTTTTCTTTTCATTTCTTTTCTGTCTATTAATTTTTTGGTTTTAGTATGTCAATTAATAGTCGTTAGTGATTATAATTTTTATTTAATAAAGTTTTTTATTTTAATTAAACTACTTTGTCAATGGAATTGGCTTTATTTTCAGACGTATTTTTTTAGTTTTGTATTTGAAAGCGTTTTTTTATAATTTATTTTCATAATCCCATGATCTACTGCATGATATCAACAAAAAAAAAAAAAAAAAAAAAAAGTAAATAATGATCTCTGTTATTGGCTACATGGAAGAAAGGAAATTGCTTTTTATATGGTTACAATCATTCATAATCAATTGTTTTAAATGATGTGATGCCAAGTAACAATAAAAGCATGATATCCAATCATAATCATTTTAATCTGCAATGTTGCACAGTCTTTCTTTTTTTATTATTCCTATGCTTTGGGCGCAAAAATAAATCATCTATCGTCAATTGAAAAAAAAAAAGTAGAAAGTTTCTTTTTTTTTTTTTTTTTTTCTAAAAACCTTCTTTCTTTTCTTTTTCCCTTTTTGTTTTTTCCTCATATAGTTAAACAGAATAACATGGATTATCAAAAACAGCTCATGGAGTTATTAAACCAATGTCAATCGACTTGGGTACAACTACAATCAAAAGACGATAGTACAAATATCACTTATAGAAAAGAACTTCGGGTGGCTATTAAGCAATTGGTTCAACTTCAAGATGATTATGATGAATTGGAAAGCCAGGACAGTAAATTAGCCTGGGAAGAACGAGCTCAACAATTACTAGATCAAATATATGATCGATTGGAACCTATATTGAAAGGTAATCAATAAGAATGTTGCAACTGGACTTGACCGAAATTTATTGTGTTTTCTTTTTTTTTTTTTCTTCTTCTTCTTTTTCTATTTCTTCTAATTTGTTTTGACCTTTTCAGTTGAACAGGACAATAAACAACGACAGACAGAATTCACAAGTGACAACAATGACTTAGTTTCGAAATCGACAACATTAAAGGATTATCACCATGGGAAAGAATTATCATCTGTAATGAATAGAGAAGACGACAAAATGGAACAGAAACAAGTTGCGAATAAACAACAACGTCCACCAGAGATTAGTATTTTCAATAGTCCATTCAGCCAATCTCGTTTTACTGCTAGACCTTCACCATCTTCATCTACACCTTGGACATCCACTATCCATCAAGAATCAACCATTCGAGAATTTCAAGCATTGTCAATAGGTGAAGCTCCAAGTCCTCCAGAAGATCCTCTTAGTTCATCCAACGAATACGGTGCTGCTCGACTTTCGAAATCCAATAGTAGTCTCAGTATGTATTCTCTACCATCCAATGTGATTGATGCGCCTAGTCCTCATCAAACAAGAATGGAATTGACACGACAAAAACAACCTCAGACGGTAAAGAATAGTAAATAATATAAAAACATGTACAATTGATATCTGATTATTATTATTATTATAAGGTGGAAGAAATACCAGAAATTCGGAATGAACGACGATCCAAATTGAACATCCCATTGTTTAAAAACATCAGCTCATCTTATTCATCGCCTGTTCCTGGTGCTTTGGCTCAAATCAACTTTTACAAGAACGACAATGATACGGATGACAATAAAATTTTTGCTTCAGATGCTGTTGTGAGTCATCCTTTACGAATTGGGGTGGGATATGGAAGTTATATATGTTATAGTTGTACTGTATTCAGCAATAAGGTATGTATAATGAAATTATATCTTATTTTACTTATTCCATTTCATGATGACTATGTATTAGGGTGCACCAATTACGATACGAAAACGATACTCTGATTTTGTGGATATACGACAACAATTGATAAAACGATACCCTAATATGAAATCAATACCAAAGTTACCACCCAAAAAACTGGTCAAGAAGTTTGATCCCACATTTATTGAACAACGACGACGTGATCTAGAATACTTTTTCAAGTATATTGTATTACATCCCAATTTAGGTTCAAGTAGTATTGTCAAGCAATGGATTGCTCCTTAGTTTAGATTTTTTTTTTTTATGTTTTATGGCATATATATACAATATTTTCTTTTCTGTATTTTTTTTTTTTTTTTTTTTTTTTTTTTTGGACAATATCCAATAAATGATGAATTTTTTCTGAAATGAAACTTTTTCTTTTTCCGCCGGAAGTCAATTTTTTTTTTTTATTTTTTTTTTTTTCTTTCGTTTTTTAGACTTTTTTTTATTATTATTATTTTCTTATTTTTCACAACTTTTGTATATCCTCATCATTTTAAAAATGTCTTCTGCCATGGATTTAGATGCTTCTCTTGATGATATCATCAAGAAAAAACGACCTCAACAGCAAAAAAAGATTAATAAGCCTCAACTTAAAAACAATAATAAACAGAACAAAAACACCAACAATAACAACAAGAACAAAAAGAAAAATACTGGTAAACAAGCCCAAGTTCAACAAAAAACTACCAAAAATACAGGTATCCTTAGTCGTTTGGGACGTATTGGAGTTCAACAACAATCAAAGACCACTATGAAACAAGGCAACCGACCTGCTCTCACTACACCATTGGTAAAACTATCATATGATTAATGAAGGCAAAAAACGAAAATCTCATATGCTTCTCTATTTATAGCGAACAAATAAAGGACGAAACACAATCTTAGCAAAGGCACTAAGTAAAACGGCAACAAAGGCCTCAACACCTTCTGCAGACCCATCCAGTATTGTGATTACCAAACAGATCTCGTCAAGTCGGAATTCATCAGATGAACTACAACGATCTTCTGGCTCTTTTGCTTTCCAACAAAGATACCAATCCCCATTCTCTATTGCACAACAACAACCATCTTTTCGACAGGAACCTAGTTTTTCGATTCGTGGCGTGTCAAGATCACCTTCTTCATCTTCTTCTGGTATTTCGATTCGTGGCGAGTCTGGTCCTGCAAGTGTTTTAATCAGCAACTTGGATAGAGAAGCAAATGCAGATGATATCAAGGTAAGAGGAATACGACTGGATAAAGAAATATATATGGATATTAACCTCTTTTTTTTTTTTTTGTTTATAGACGGCTTGTTCACAATTTGGTGAAGTGATTGGATGTGAAGTATTTTATGACAGAAATGGACGATCGGTAGGTGAAGCCGAGGTGGAATTTGCAAGCAAGGCATCTGCATTGGATTGTATTGCAAAGTTAGATAATGAAGAGGCTGATGGTAAGTGATTAGAACAGTAAATATAGTTTGTTAATCAACTCATTCTTTCTGTTGAAATTAGGTCAAATCATTAGGGTAACATTAAGGGAACGACCTAATAAGTACCTTCGACAAAGCGATACACGACCTATTATTGCAAGCACAGTTGCTTATCCTTCAACGTAAGTACTCATTATTATTATTATTATTATTATTATTATTATTATTATTATTATTATTATTATTTGTAATTTTAGATAACATGAAATAATAACGTTTTGTTTTTTTATAGTGGTAAAATGTATGCAGATCAAATGAACACCACGTCAAGATATGGTGTACAAAATGGAAGAAGATATTGACAAGGGAAATAATAATTCAGTTAGTTAGTAGTGATAGCGGTGCTTCAATAAACAAAATAAAAAGTAAAAAACTAGTTTGTTCATTTTTTTTTTTTTTGTCTTTTGTCTTTATTCTTTCTTTTGTTTAAAAAAAAAAACTTTTGGAAAACAGAACTTTTTGATGTCTTCTTTACAACAGTTCGCCAACAATGTTGCTTCAGCCTATCAAACACAAAACTCTCTAGCTTTTGAACAATTATTTACCTTAGATCCCAATGCTTCTAACATAACCTTATTACAACAAGCACTCTCTATGGTATAGATATAACGCGTAGACAACAAACAAAAAAAAATATTCACCTATTAACAAAAAAAAATTATGTTCAAGTAGTATCAAGATGAAACGGCCTTTGAACAAGACATTGAAGCTATTTTAGAAGACTCATCAGTAGCTCTCGCGAACTTTACCAATAAATATTTGCATTTGATCTATTATATTCAAGATAATGACTTGCTCTTGGTATTTGATCTTTTTGAAAACTTTTACAGGTAATTCATTGAAAAAAAAAAAAGTTGGATACTGAAATGTTTTTTTTTTTGTTTTAATATAGTGCTCTTATACCTGTCTTTAATGGATCTGATAGTGCGTTTCAAGTACCTTTAGTTAAAAACCTTTCTTCAGCATTAGTAGATTCGGCATTTTTGGTAGACAAGACACTCCAGTTACGAGGAAAATCTCAAAAAGCTAATGTAGCTGCTCGGCTATTATCCAAAATCTTCAATATTATGCTTGCCGATAGGTAAAACTAAAAAGTTTTGTATGTTGATGATATATAAATAATGTCTTCTTTCGTTTTACAGGTCTGGTGTAGAGACAAACAGCATATCCAAACGTGCTGGTATTTTTCATATCACCAATCTTGCCTTCAAAGTGTATTTTAAAGTAAGTGATACAAAAAAAAAAGGGCAAGGATGATTAGGAAATTGATTTTTATGGACTTTTTTAGTTGAATACAGTTAGGATGTGTCAAACATTCATTGCTAATCTTCAAACTGGTGGTGTAGAACTCAACCAATACCCGATCTCACAACAGGTCACATATCAATACTATCTAGGAAGGTATAGCTTATTCCAAAATCGACTACGACTGGCAGAAAAATATCTTTTATTTGCATTTGAAAAGTGTACTTCACATCATTGGCACAACAAAAGGTAATAATAATAAAAAAAAAAAAAGTGATATGAGACTAAAAGATAGTTATCAAAATACTCAAACATATGTTTTCCTTTATGTATTTATTAGATTGATCTTAAAATACCTCGTACCAACACGACTTTTACTTGGCAAGTCAGCAAAACCTCAATTACTTATCAAATACAATTTACTCGAACCCTATGGACTACTAATATTGACATTGAAGAGGGGCGACTATTATGGATTTCAGCAACATTTGGAAAAATATTTTGATTACTTTTATGGAACATTTACTTATGTATTACTGCGTGAACGAGGAAAAGTATTACTTTGGCGATGCTTATTGAAAAAAGCGTAAGAAATAAATTAAAAAAAAAAAAAGAAGAAAATCATTCGATAACCTCTTTTTCTTTTATAAATATAGATATCATTATCTGTGTATAATAGATGAAAAAACTGGAAATACTATGCCATTACAAAAGTGTCTTGAAGCCTTACAGTTTGCTATGCATAATAAAGATTTAGATTTGGCGGATGCAGAATCGATTGTAGTATCTTTGGTTAGTCAGGTAAATATATATATATATATATATATATATATTACATAATAATATGAAACTAAAAAAAACCGATTCTTTCTTTTTTTTTTTTTTTTTTGTTTATTATTTGAACTAGGGTTACATCAAAGGATATATTCATCATCAAATGAAAGTATTAGTACTCTCCAAAGTGAATCCCTTTCCACGTTTGGCCGATGTCCTGATATATACGGAAGTCTATGATGAAATGGCGGAAAAGAAACATCAAGCTCTAAAGGAACAAGCAACTACCAATGGAATGTTTGATTAGTATATAGATTCAATGCAAATAAAAAAAAATCTCACACACATATTTCAAATCGATGATGTTGATTGGTTCAGAATTTATGTCTTTGACTGGTGCATGACTATGTGATTTTTTTTTTTCGTCATCAAAGTATTTTTTTAGAAATAAACAATCCTTTTTTTTTGTTTCTCTTTCGCTTTTTGATTACTTTTTTTTTTTTTATCTATTTCAAACTATGGCTCGTACAAAACAAACAGCTCGTAAATCAACTGGTGGCAAAGCACCTCGTAAACAATTAGCAACCAAAGCTGCTCGCAAATCAGCACCTACTACAGGTGGCGTTAAGAAACCTCATCGTTACAGACCCGGTACCGTTGCTCTTCGAGAAATCCGCCGATATCAAAAATCAACTGAACTCTTGATCCGCAAATTACCTTTCCAACGTCTTGTTCGTGAAATTGCTCAAGATTTCAAGACTGATTTACGTTTCCAATCATCTGCTATTGGTGCATTGCAAGAAGCATCTGAAGCCTACCTTGTTTCTTTGTTTGAAGATACCAATTTGGCTGCCATCCATGCTAAGCGCGTCACCATTCAACCCAAGGATATTCAATTGGCTCGTCGTCTTCGTGGTGAACGTTCTTAAATATTGATATATAGTGTTTCTCCTTTTTTTCTCCCTACTTTACATGTCTTTACATATATGGATATATATATTCTTACTTTTTTTATTTTCATTTTTTTTGTTTATGCTTCCTCCCATTTTCCCTCTCTTCTGTGCTCAACTTTTTATAACATTATCAAATAAAATGAATGATCTATTATCAATGATTCTATAGTTGAACTACATTTTATTAATGGTAGATGAATGAATTTTATATTCCTTTCTTATCGTCATCTCCTTTTTCTATTTACTTTTTTGATGAATAAATGGTTTTTATTAAAAACATTGGATGTGATCATTTATATTATAGTAGTCCTTGTATTTTTTTTTTCTAATCATCTTCCGGCGTAGATAACGGAAAAAGGACAATAACAAGCCGCAATTAACTTGATGCTCACCTCGCTTTTTCATATAGACCCCACTGGTAATAGACACACAAAAAAATCACTTTTCATCCGTACTCAATCAAGGAAATGATCTTATTATCTGGATGATGAATGATATGTAGGATGTTGTTGATAAAATATTGTTGGTTCAAATAAAAATGTATTACTGCTCTCAAGCATCAACATCCAACCGGAATGGTGACATATTTAAAAATATTAGATGATAACCTCTTTTCTTTTTTCTCTATCCAGAGGATGATCCATAATGGAAATTGACCATTTCGAACAACAAAAATATAGTTTGTGGCAAAGTCGACAAAACTCTATCTTAAAATGTGTCAAAGTTGTATCATACAGGAAATTTCCAGATGCGGTCTTTGAAAGCCCTTTTTTTTTTCTTCGCCTTTCTGGTGCTTTCTTTTTTTTTTCAACTTTTTCTTTCACCTTTTTTTTTTTTTTTCTCAAAGTACCCCTCCCTCTTTTCTTTTTTTTTATATACAATGCCATTGGACTATAGCAAATGGGATAATCTTGAATTATCAGATGATTCTGATATCGAAGTACATCCTAATGTTGATAAACGGTCAATGATTCGTTGGAAACAACAAGCAATTCATCAAGAACGGGCTGAACGAAGAGCCAAGATGGATCACCTGGAGCAGCTTATCCCTCAACAACAACGCACCATGGAACAAATCCGTCATCTGATGACAGTTTTGACAACGCAAGGCGTACAAGCAGTATTAGCCGCCATTGGTGAACAACAGCAAAAGGCACGAGAACAAGGCATCTCTCAACAACAAGCAAAGGATGGTATGTCTTTGGATCAAGTCTTTGACACCATGGTGCAACAAATTCAAACAGGCTTACAACAGTCTTCTGAAGATACCATCAAGCAATCTCTTTTGGACCGTTTACAACAAACTCTAGCCGCAACTAAAAAGGTGTGTGATGATGCCCAAGCCGAATTGGCCAAACTGACAAAGGAAGCGAATAAGAAAATGACAAGTGAAAATATGTTCCACGAAACTTCAAATCGAACGGTAAGTATGACTATATATATATATCTAAAGAATAGAAGTACTGATAATATTATATATATTTCATTAGGTGATGAATAAATCTACTTCCTCTAAACCAAAGAAACTTACCAAGAAGAAAGAAACTGTGACGGAAACTTTGAATCCACATGCAAAAATGAAGGAATTGGTATGAAAAAAAAAAAAGAAGAAGAAGATTCTTATTAATATGTTTAATTTGATCTAGTCACTTGATGATGCACCCAAGAAAGAACAATCAACGACCATGGATACCACTGTGGATGATGAAGAAGATGAATCTGATACTGATATTGAATTATCACCCAAAGCAGCAGCATTTGCCAAACTCGAAGGCTTTGGACCCAGCTTAACATATATTCAAAAGAACAGTGAGATTGTGAAGGAAGCAATTGCTGATCAAATCATGGCAGAGGCATTCTCAGCTCAACTTCGTGGGGAAGCTCGATTTGCAAAGAATTGTGTGATTCAATCATTGACATTACAATACTGCGGACAACTTGGCTCTGATGGTGTGAACGTGTTTTTCCAACGAATGCAAGGCTCAAATGAACAAGCACGACGTATGTTTGCCGATGATGTGACCAAAACGTATGAACGAATTGAACAACGATGTCAAGAATTAGCACAAGAACAAGAACAAAATGCTGAAGTTGAAACCATTCAATTACAACCACTCTCAGAAGGATCTCAATTGACTGTTCGTATTCCCAAAGAAGATGATCCTGAACTCAAATCATCAGAAGAAGGTGCTCGTATTTTGGAAGTCTATCGTTCGTTACCTCCTTCATTCCGTACCGCTTTGGAAACAGGTAGTCTGGAGAAGATCAACAAAGCTCTGGAAAAGATGAAATTACAAGATGCTGAATTTGTCGTGGAAGTATGTTCGAACTATGGATTTTTGGATTTGGATGGACAAGTGATCGATCAGACGGATCAAGGTGTACAAAAGAATTAAGTTATAGCATAGTATATTGTTTTTTATTATTATTATTATTCTGGATTCAATAAAGATATATTGGGGGTATGTTTTATTTCATGATGATAGATCGGGCTCCTTTTATATATATATATATATATATATATATATATATATATTCTAATATAGCATACCTATGATAGGGGATATTCTTTTTTTTTTTAAAAAAAAAAAAAAGCAGGAGATGCTACCAGCTTGGACCAAAAAAGGAAATAGCGTATCACTCCACAAGTATGATTGGAATTGTGTATTAATAAAACAGAAAAAATGTATCATTTGATCCATTTACCAATCCATTTTACAAAAATGAAAACTCTTTTTATCTTCTTTTTACTTTTTTTTTTTTTTTGTGGTAAATAAATAGATGATGACTCGATCATCCTTACCAACGACTTGTCTTCATCCACCTTCATTACAAGATGTTTTCTTTCATCCTCGTCGACCTGATACATGGCCATCTTATTTCACACATGCCGCCATTCAACTGGTGACCAAGTTTTCCAAAAAGCCCACCTTACCATTATTTCTTCAACAAGATACATGGAGTCTCTCATCATTAAGTGAAGAAGAGGATATGTCCAGAAAATCATCTCATCATCCAGATCCCAACCTTCTTTTTTTCCAACCTTGTCAACATCATCATCATCATCATTATCATTACCATTATCATTTCCAAAAAACATTCCATACACAATCTCTTTTATTCTTATTTGGCTTTCTCTTCTTTCCTTGTTGGTGGTATGGTTGGTATCTCAGTGTACATATGCCATTATCCGATGATGATCCTACTAGTTTATTCCATGATGTGGATTGTTATGCTCGCTTTAATCGTTTCCTTAGCTTCATTTCCTTTTTTTTTCTTCTTTTCATTGTAGCATTATTGATTTGGTTACATTGGGGTTCCATCCATCATTGGTGGGCTTCAGTATAATAAATTTTTTTTTTTTTTTTACAAAGCATGTGATTCTTTTTTATTCAAATGGACATGACAGATCAAAAAAAAAAATCTTTTTTTTCTTTTTAAAAGGGAGCGGCTTTCTTGTCATTTTTTTTCTTTTTTTTTTTACCGCTTCCGTGATTCCGATGCGGATAAACTATACCCATGAATTAACAATCAAAAAAATAATAACGATCATGTTACACAGTCGGTATCGATTCCATGGGGGGGGGATATGTCATTGTCATTCATGAGTAAAAGGACGATTTTTTTTTTAAAAATAACTTCTAGAAGGCTCCCAACAATGAAGATGTTGATGACGAATCTTATCCTTTTTACATAGACAACTTCTCCAAAGACTTTTTTTTTTTGGGATGACAACGTCTGTGTGACCCTGCTTGCAGACGGAGAGAAAGAAAAATTGATAAACATAATTCATTTTAGTTCATTGTTATGAGATGATCATCCCTATCTTAAAAGGAAAACATAATGTCATCCGGAAAGGAGGTCCATGCACCCATTTCATAATTGAAAAAAAAAATATCCTTTGATCATCACTTAAGTCAACCATCATTTTTGAGTCATCATTAACAAAATCAAATTGTACATTCCATAACAAGTACCAAAAAAAAATAAATAAACAAAAAGGAAGGGTTTGTAATTTTTTTTTATTTCCCAAAGAAGATATCATAACAAAAAAAAAAAAATAATAATAACAAAAACTATGTAACAAAAAGAACAAAAGAGAAAAAACAAAAAAAAAATCATACAAAATATAAAAACAAAGAGAAGTAAAAGAAGAAGAAAAAAAAAAAGATGTTACATGAGAGTGAGGGAAGGGAGAAACTACGTACAAGATCATAAATATATATAAAAGAGGATGATTATGATGTATACTTGGCCAGGAAATCTGATTCACAAGGTGTATTGTCCATCATCAATTGTGACACAAAAGTGGAAGAAGTGGTTGAAGTCATGATAGGTTGTGTAGAAGAAGGCGAAGAAGCATATACAGAGGTGTATGAAGTGGTGGCATTGGATGGGATGATGGTCATAGGTTGTTCCGAGAGATAAGGTGGTGATGATGATGGTGAAGCCACAGTATAGGAGGAAGAGGATGTTGAAGACGAAGTAGAATATGGTGGCGTATATGAAATTGACATCCTTGAGCGAACACCAGGTTCTTGTTGATACCCATAAGTCATTGTGGTTGGATTATAATATAATGGCTGTTGTTTGATAGGTTGATGAATAAATTGATCATGTTCTGTGACAGGAGGAGTGGCGAGTGTTGCTGATGATGGCGAAGAAGGTGAGGTTGTTGATGTTGTTGCTATAGAAGTTGTTGAAGATGATGTGGATGGCATTAATAATGAATGATGATAACTGTGTTGGGGTGATGTATTGCTTTGAGTAACCAAATGAGATGAATAGAGACCAGAAGCTGTATCAGAGGTAGAGGAGGTAACAGAATATTTCATGATGATCTTTTTGAGAGCATAAGGTAGAATTTTCCAAGTGAATGCCTTGATATCCTTTTCAATATTTCTTGGTTTTGGATGAGGGAAACCCATGACACGTTTGAAGAATTCAGCACTGATAGGTTTGCATTTGGCCACTGTCAATGGACGAAAACCTTCCAAATTACGACGGATCCTATTCTTTTCTTCCACACCAAAATGAGTTTTCATCAAACTTTCCAAAAGGTAGATGCAGTCCACAGAGGTGATAAAATAATCATTGTGTTCAGGCCAATAGATACAGGATACTACTGTATTGTTGGTATCAGTTGCTGCAGAATCGTTTTGAGAGACGGATTCGAAACAACATTGGATAAGATCATGTGGCTTGTCTTCACGCCAGAAACGCACCAAACGTCGACCTTGTTGTTGCTCCAGTGCATTCCAATTTTGAGTCATGGTATGTAAATCATCGATTAGTTCGAAATTGCATTGACTGACAAGACCAGGGTAAGGTTGATAATTATCAACAGAAGTGGATGGTTGATGTGATGTTGATTTCAAACTTTGCACGTTAGGACGTTGATATGATTTTCTTCGTTGTGATACTGATGGTGAATACAAAGTAGGTGATGAATGATTAGATGATCCACCGTAAGATGATTGATAAGATTGCATATGTACAGGAGATTCCATGATCATTGGTAATTGGTTTGGATGATAGCGTTCAGGTAACGAAGAATAAGTATTGGTACCTAAATATATAAAGTAAATGTAAGTATCCAGGAAAAAGCAGGAACGGACAAACTATTTTGCCCTAGTAGCATCTTTCACCCGGGTGACTGATTCGACCGGAAATAGGGTAAAATGTCTTTTTTTTTTTTTTTTTTTTTTTTTTTAGATTGCATAATTTTGTTTGAATTTACCTCGTTGTTGTTGATATTGATAATAGGATGAGTAAGGTGGAATTTGACTATAGGGAGATGAAGTAACAGATGTATCGTAAGGATATTGTACGTCTAAAAATGGATAAAAATTATTATCAGCACCAATATTCCAAAGTAGAAAAAAAGAAGAAAAAAAAATTCAAGATGAGTAACACAATATCTTTTTTTTTTTTTTGACAGTAATCAATATAAGTATTTACCTTGATGCACACGCTTGTTTGTAGAAGAAGAATAATCATCATCAGATAGAGAAGCAAAAGACCTTTTTCGATCATGTTGATAATGTGGTGAGTAATCATTATTGGATTGTCGATAAGTAAAGTTTGCCAAATAAAAAGTATCTTCCACAATATCTTTTTCATTCAAAAAACAAACTGAGGTTGGAACAATATTTGAGGTAGATAAAGTCATATCAAAGTTGGGGATAGTAGCCATCAATGTTGTAGTTTGTTGAGAACGAATTAGTTTTGTATCGACCACTAGACTATTGAAGGCAAGTTTGACAGGTTGAATAGGTAAGCCTTCCAATACGATGGTGATTAATGTTCCTTCTTGACCATGATTTGGAGTAAAACTTAATAGTTTTGGCATAGATGGTTTTTCTTGATGATGATAAGTTGTTGAAGGTGACCATTTGTTAATATCATAAGAATTATGTTCATAATTTTGAAGTTCTATTCATAATATATATATATATATATAAGAATAATGATATATATAAAAAAAAGATATTTTACTTACGAATCATATTGTTTTCCATACTTGATAAATAAAGAGGGAATCAAAAGAATGATATGATGGATCAAAGTATTGAGCTTCCTGAAGAACAAATAACAAGTTAGTTTAGTGAGAAACGCTTAGCAAAAAAAAAAAAAAAAAAAAAAAAAAAAAAAAAAAAAGAAAAGTGGTTTACGTTTTTCTTTTTTCCTTTGTGTAGTAAAATTACCTTTCTACCAAAAAGGTACTAAAATAAAAATAATAATAATAATAAATAAATAAAATTGAAGGTAAAAAAAAAATGAAATCAAAAAAAAGGGAAAAAAAGAAAAAGAAAAAAGGTGTAAAAAGTGAAACTGCGAAAAAAAAAATCAGTTTGATCCTTTTATAGCAACCGATCCTTGGGGAAGTTTTTTTTTTTTTTTGGGCCTCTCTCCCCCCATTGATTTCAGTTTCCGAACGCTTAATCTCCTTTTCCTTTTGTTCAAAGATTGCATGCTGTCATTTCTTTTTTTTCCAAGAACGACGGTGTTTGCGGGATGATACGGCTTTCTCTTCTTCTTTATTCTAGTGCATTGACAATTTTTTTGATTGACTAGGTTTCACGGCTACTTTTTTCATTTTAACAATTTTTTTTGATTTCATATCACGCCATTGTTGGCTATAGCGTTTTCGGTTGATATATTCATCTATATATGTATTTATCATTAGTGATGACCTTTTTTTTTTATTTTTATTTTTATTATTATATTTAAATTTGAATCTCCAATGTTTATTATGAAAAAAATTTATTCATGTTGTTTTATCTCATGATGATGTAAGAAGAAGAATCATCATTATATTATTATTATTTTTAATATCTGAAAATGGTGAGAGAAAAACAAATTTCTCACTTGACAGATGACTGGCCAATCAAACTCAAAAGAACAATCTTACAGATTCAAATTACCTTTTTTGGATCCATTCGTAAAGAAAAGGGAGAATGAGTATCTCTCTTTTGATAATTCCTTTGACAAAATTAAATAATAAATGATGATAATAATAGGATGATGAATAAATAAATAAATGATGATTTTGAATTATTCAATCTTTTCATATAAAAGAAAGATAATCGATTGAGAAAAAAGAGGGAAAGGGCGGAGCGGAGATGAAGCATGAACCAATTAAATGATTTATATTTCCCGGATTACCACGGTTATCAATAGCCATTGATACATCTTTTTTTTTTTTTTTTTTTTTTACACACAGATATAACTCAATAAAAAAAAAAAAAGAAGTTCAGTAGTAAGTAGAAGGATGGTCATAAAACAATAAATAAATAACATATATGATAAATAAAATGATATTCAATTTGAACATAATAAAAAAAAAGAAGTATTTATTGTATATTATAGAAAAAGACTGGGAGATTTAGCCTGGTGACGTTTAAGGGGAGAGAGGATAGACATATTCCGACGGACGTTATTTTTTTTTTTTTTATTTACACTACTTTCTTTCTTTCTTTTTTTTTATATTGTATTGTATAGTATTTGTTTATAGTCATCTATCATGTCAGCCTCTAATCAAGCCAAAGCAAGAAGAATTGCTGTTCTCGGGTCAACTGCTGTTGGTAAGTAAATAATAATAATAATAATAATAATAATAATAATAATAATAATATTGGATTAAACATTGACATTATCCCCACTGTTTTTATATTGTATTATAATTGAATAGGTAAATCTTCTCTTGTCATTCAATTCTGTGAAAATCATTTCGTCGATAGTTATTATCCTACTATTGAAAATACATTTACAAAGACTATCAAATATAGAGGCCATGGTAAATAAATAAATGGAAAAAAAAAGATCCTTTTGACACTAATTCATTATCTTTTTTTTTTTTTTTTTTTTTAGAATACACTGTAGAGATTATGGATACAGCTGGACAGGTAAATAAGTAAATAAGAAAAGAAAGAAAGGTTATATTAACTTAATTTGATATTATAGGACGAATATTCTATTTTATCATCTCATCATGCTTCAAGCGTTCATGGATATGTATTAGTATATTCGATATCATCAAGATCTAGCTTTGATATGTTAAAAATCATTCGTGATAAGATCTTGGATTTTACAGGATTGGAAAGTGTACCATGTGTGATTGTAGGAAATAAATCTGATTTAAATATCCAGCGACAGATATCCCAAGAAGAAGGTCAAGCTTTAGCACAACAATGGAATTGTCCTATGGTAGAAACTTCAGCGAAACACAATGAAAATGTTGGTAAGTATATATATATTTATATATTTGTATATTATTCGTTAATATCTTTTTTTTTTTTTTCGTAGCCAAAATCTTTGACGTTTTGATTGCCACTATTGAAAAAGCCCACAATCCTCCACCTGAAGAAAAGAACGCTTGTACCATATCTTAAGTTTAGTCTCAAATAGATAATTGATGATCATGATGAAATAAATTACGTTTTATATTTGATGTTGATTATGCATAGTTATTTGATCTACTACAAAGATGATTTACCTTTTTTTTTTTTTTTTTGATTGCCAAGACTTATGATTCCACAATTTCTGTTCTATCCCAGTGATTTGTTAATGCATTGAACTATTTTTCCTTTATAATCCTCACCAAACAGGGTGGGAACAAAGATAAAAATAAACTTGTACCCATTTTGGGAGATAAATCCGTCAGAGTGGTACCATTCTTTTTCTGTTTAGAGAGCCGCTTATCACAGTGCTCGGCATTGATCCATGCCATATGTCCCCTTCGTACACCACATAAATGAGATGTAACCTATACATCCTCACTGTCCTTCCTTCACTTAACATGAACCAAATATGATCCTTGCTTGATTAAAAAAAAAAAAAAAAAAAAAAGGTGGTTTCTAACAAGGTTCTCTAAATGAATCCATCGATCATAATAGATTGAAAAATCTTGGTAAGCGGTGATTATTTTATACAACTTTATGTAATGATGGGTGCTTCGGAAATATAGTTCAGCTACCGCCTCCCAATTTTTTTAGTTTTTTTTTTGGGGGGAGAAGAGAAGTGAGAGAGAGAGAGAGAGAGCGCGCGTGCTCGCCTTGTTACCATAAAAAGTAAAGGCAAGGCCATATGTCTCGCAGAATATTATCCATAAAAAGTAATTTCTGTGATCATAAAGTTTTTTCTTTCTCAATTTTCCATTTCCTTTACACAACATAGTTAAAGTGATGATGAACCTATCACATTAATAGAATTGGTAAGAATCATTCGTTTTTTCTACCTTTTTTCTTCTTTTTTAAAATTAGAAGTTTTCTCACATGTGTTGACATGATCAAAAAAATCAAACCAAAAAGGAGTGTCATTTTTTTTATTTTATTTGTAAACTAAAAACCATAGGTAACCATAAAAGGATGACAACTATGTTACCAATTTTTTTTGCTTCCATTGACAAATGATAAGTTAATCGTGAGACAAATAAAAACAACAAAAAAAAAAATCAAAAAAAAAACTGTTTTACTCTTTTAATATATAAAAAATCATTGTTGCACAAATAAGACTATGCAAAAGGATGGGTGATAATAATAATAGTATTTTAAGGGAGTAAAAAAAAAAAAAAGGTGCGGTAAATAAAAACAATGAAACAATAATGATATATAAGTATATATATAATATATAAAAAAGAAGGGTCCAAATGATAATAACTAATCCTATGCCTTCAAAGGTGCTTCCGCTCCAACCGGTAATCCAAATTCATCCAATTCGTCCTAATAATAAAGAAAATATTTAATTTCATCAATTGAATACAAACAAACTATTCTTACGTGTTTATTAGGATCAGTTTCAGCCGCCTTTGGTAAGTCAACAGGTTGTTCTTCTTGTAAATAAGATGGTATTTCTTCATCTTCAAAATTCAATTCATCACCAAGAGCATCCAATTCTATTATTTAAAAAAAAAAAAGTTTGTGTGTTCATCTCAGTTTCTTTTTATGGTAATCCATTCTCTTACCTGCTTCCAAATCCTCTTCATCAACGTCATCTGGTAGATTATATGATCTTCCAAGAGTTTCTTGTACTTCACTTGCTTGTGCTAATAAGTCTTCCATTTCATCTTGTAATGACTATAATGAAACAAAAAAAATATAAGATATAATTCATTCATTCATTATTTATTTTCACTTACATCAATTTTATCCAAGTTCACGTTCTTGTATTGTCGTTTCATTTCTTTGTTTGCTGTTTGCATCGCGTCCACAGTAGCCATTACACTTCGTAAATTCTCTGTTGTCATTTGTGCTTGTTCCATATTAAAAGATTGTTGTTGCAGGTTCTCTCTTTGTGCTTCATACCTACATTATATAATAATATATGTATTGAGTTCTCTTTCCTTCTTCTTTTTTTTTTTTACTCTTTACTTACAATTTTCGTTGTTTTAGAACACGTAATGCTTTTTGTTGTACCGATTTCTGGAAAAAAGAAAAATAGTTTTTTTAAGAAAAGTCATATTTATATTTTTGTATTTCTTTTTATATTTACCTTTGCTGGACCTTCTCTCATTTTTTTCATTTGATCTCTATACCTTGTCAGTTCTGCATCTAACTTTCTGATTTTGACTTCAACAGCATCAGCACGTACATCAGCCTAGACAAATATATGGTCAGATATTATATATAAATCTTATACTTTTTACCGATGAGATAGCGTCATTTAACGTCGGTTTGGGTGCTTTCTTTGTAGTGCCAAATATTCGATTCATGTTTTTTTTTTTTTTTTTTTTTTTGGTGAAGAAAGAAAAAGACTTGGCAAACAGGATAGGTAAAACTTCACTTTATTTTTTTTTACATCTCCGACTTGCTTTCAAAACGAAATGGCTGCGACTTCTTGCTTTTTCTTTTTTCTTCTCGCTCGCTTTTATTTGACAGATTATCTAGTATTAGATAAAGGAAATCTATCTTACCTCTATTATCTTTTATCCAAAAAAACTCTTTTTTATTTTTCTCCCTTCCCCCTTTTCATGTCTCTTGATTCTCATACTGAAACCAACGAATTGATTACTACTGATATTGAACAAACAAAAACGACTGATAGTACATTACCAAACTTAAAACAATCAACTCAACATGAACCAACATATATTCACCAACTCTCTATTGAACTGGTCGCTCATATATTCGCCAGATTGGATCCTACCAGCTTAACTACTGTGGCAAAAACATGTCGATATTGGAGACATATAGTTATGGACGATGTTTGTTGTAAGTTTACTATTTCTGTTTGTCAATAATATAAGAATAACTCACACTTTTTTTTTTTTTTTTGATAATCTTTTATAGGGAAGAATGCGTTCTTGTCTTATTTCGGTCAGTTACCTTATAAAAGAATACGAACAGATAGTTGGAAATCAGAATATATTCTTCGAACTCATTTGCTCAGGTAAAAAAAAAAATAGATAAATAAATTGAAGTATCTGCTTTTTATTTACAAACTCATCCTTCTTTCTCTCTCTCTCTCTCTCTCTCTCTCTCTCTCTTTTTTTTTTTTTTTTTTTTTTTTTTTTTGTTATGAAGAAAATGGGAAAAGGGACGTGGGACATTGATGACATTCAACCCAAAAATTGGATCCATTGATCGTATTTTCGTTGATTTTGAAAACAGTTTTATGATGGCTGCAAGCAAGGAACAAGGTAAAAGAAAAAGATATCAAAACAGAGAAAAAGGGGGATTCATTTTGTGTATGTGGTGTGTTTTTAGGTGTGGCTGTCAAATGTAATCCTTCTACTGGAAAATTAGACCGCCATTTACTCTATAGTACTGATGAAGGCATGCCAACTCAAGTGAGTGCAATAAAAATGGACAGGTAAAATAATAATAATAGTAATAATAATCATTCTTCATGAATTATCGCTGATTGTCTTCTTTAAATATATATGATGCAGTAATCGCGTCTTATGGGGGTTTTCACCTGGTTACATCACTATGACAACAAGGGCAAAAACATTGGTTCGAAGACAACTCAAGGTATTTTCCGACTTTCATCAAGGTGCTGTGCGTGTATTATGTATGCCACCTTTTGCTCCTGATATTGTATTGAGTGGAGGTGATGATGGTATGGTGAAGATTTGGAATGTAAATACTGGATTATCGATATCTGATCTTTATGGTACGTATGAAAGATGGGAATTTATTTATGATCTTCATTGTAAACTCATCATCTATGATCTTCATAGGATCAACAAGCTCACCTACTGCTCTTGAAGCTACTTCGGATCATCATGTTATTGCTGGATATACCAATGGAACCATTGTGATTTGGGACATACAACTAGGAAAGTTAATTAATCAGCATCGTCAACAACAACATAGTGATGATGATGATGATGAAATGACAACTACTAGACGACTCATTCATGCTCCACTGATCGATAAAGAAATTTCTGTTCAATCCATTCATTATGATACAGTGACTCAATCTTTCTTGGTCGCTTACAACGAATTGAGCAAACTCTATCAATATAATGTCAACAATGGTCAACTTGTAGCAATATTTGGCGGAGGAGATCAATTAGTGGAAGGACATAGTCTAGGTACCATTTGTGCAGTGACTTTGGATATTGAATCATCTTTAGGTTTTACGGATGAGACTACATTGGACTCTCGAATGACGTCAAACAAGAATAGCCAACGTCAAGGATACAAGAAACAATACAGCTCTTTGTATAGTCCTGCTTCTTTGGGATCTGGTACGACCTCTCCTACAACAACATCATCATCATATGAACGATTGGTAGCCACAGGTGATACTTTTGGAACCATTTGTTTATGGTGTTTAGATAGAGAGATTGAATGTGACAAGTTGAAAGTGGTGCGACCTTTACGACAATTCCATGGTCATCAATCTCCTATTAGTGTGATTCACTTGGATGCATTCAAAATTGTCAGTGGTGCAGATGATGGTTGGATTCGGGTGTGGGATCCTTTGACTGGTGAACTACTTCAAGTTATTGGCAACAAAATTCCTCGTCATGCTCCTGTAGATAGGTCAGATGTATCTGTGATGCGTGTCAAGAATCTGGTATGTGATGAATATAGAGGAGTGGCTACCATTGGACATCAAATCAAATCATGGGATTTCTCAAGTCAATATTTACTTAGTAAGTAACATAAATTGTTCATCAAAAAAAAAAAAAAAAAAAAAAAAAAAAACCGGACTGATGAATTTTCTTTTTTTTTTATTGTTGTAATAGATCGACGAACTCTTCGAGGTAAAGCCAAGGCACCATCACCAGCGATCCGTGATGAATTACATTATGAAATCAAACAAGAGGTCAAGGCTTCTCAACTAGTTTTAGCTCAGGAAAAGAAACAACAAGAATTGGCAGCAAAGGAAATGGAAAAATGGACTATGGGTGGATTATCGGATGAAGAAATAATGGCTTATGCAATGATGATCTCTCAAGAACCAAACAACATTACAACAGCTTCATCACCATCACCATCTTATCTGGAAAATGGTCATACAAATGATAATTATGATGAAGATGAAGCTTTATTACAAGCAGTGATGGCAAGTTTGGAAATGTCAGATCCTCCTTCTTCTTTATGTGATCAAGCCTCTTCTATTACTACTACTACTTCTACCACCACTACTACTACTATGGGGATACCTCAACTAGACGCTGATATGGAATGGCCAACCATCGAAGAAAGTCATAGTACTACTGCAACGACGCATAATGGCAACGGATCAACTTGGAATGATGAAGACGATGAAGAACTCCAATATGTACTCAAATTAAGCCGTGGTGAAATATAGATTATTAGTGTAGAAATTTTTTTATTTTTATTTTTGTTCTTTGACATGAAAGGAAGGGGATATATTTACAATCAATAATAAAAAAAAAAAGTTTGGACTGTCAAGTATGTTTAAAGAGGGAAGAATATGAAGAAAGACAAATAATAATAAAATGGGATGTATGCTGAGATCAGTATAGAGTTCAATATGAAAGTGAGAATAAGACGTCAATCCTTTGAATCAACAAACTATATAAAAAGAAAAATGTGAAAGACATAATTTATCGAGCTTCGAATTGAACCACTATCATAAAAAAAAAAAAGAGATCAACATCAAATAATTTATTTCATTCACCCACTTACTTCTCTTGGTACGTTTCTTGTACATGATTCTGTGACCACAATCTTGACAACGGATAGGTTCTCTAGGCTTAAGTTGGTTTTCTGCGCCACAGTCTATATCAAATCATATGTTGAGTGATCCTATTTTATTGTTTTTATATTTTCTTTACCAGCACAAATATAACTCATAGATACAATAGGTTGACGAATAGGAGCACCTTGATAACCGTCCATTTTTTTTTTTTGATAAAGGAAAAAGATCTAAACAAAAAAAAAAAAAGAAAAAAAAAAAAGAAAAAAAAAAAGAAATAAAGACACCGCCTTTTGATGATGAAAGGAGGAGATTTTCTAAGTCACGGGTGAAAAAAAGTACGGCAAAAAGACTCCAAAAAAAAAAAAAAAAATTGGGCGGCACCAACTTTTTCTTTTCTTCTTCTCCCAATTATAGACATGTTAAACCAACAACTGGAGGCTTCAGTAGAAAACTTTATATCAAGACTTAAAAGACGGTAAGTATACAATTTTTTTCTTATTTTGTCGAGTATGTTTATTTATTCTCTCTTTTAGTCAAGTGATTGGGTCTTATGAAGTAGCCAAAGAAACCGCTGTTCTTTTACGTCAAGCTGTATCGACTACTCGTTGGCGGGATGTCGATACCCTTTTGGATCTTATCACAGAACTAGGTGGACGATTGGCAGCAGCACAACCTAAGGAACTTGCGGTAGGTAATATTGTTCGACGTGTACTCAAAGTGATTCGAGAAGTAGCTCGTGGTGAATTGGAAACCGATGCACTTGATATGGATATGGAAGACGATATGGAAGACGACAATGATGATACAACAAGTACCAATAATAGTGTTACTGGTGAATTATTTCAAGATAATAATTTGCAACCCAAATTACCTTCCAATACAAGCAGCAATGTAGGTTCTGTCGCTGGCAATGACCGTCCTTCTTTTACACAATCTTCCATGTTTCATTTATTATCTGATGCTTCCAGGCTCCGTGGTAACCATAGCTCTTCCGATATTGAACCTCAACCTCAGAAAAGTGTCTATAACCTTAAACCTTTGATTATTCAAGAAATCAATGAAGAAATCATCGCCGATTTGGAAAGTGTTTATAAAGGAATTGCTGATCAAGCTATTGACTATATTCATGCAAAGTAAGTAAAAAAAAAAAAATTATGGGAAAGGTTAATCTAAAGTTCTCTTCTCTCTCTTTTTTTTTTTTTTTTTTTTTTTTTTTTTGATACATAGTGAAGTGATTATGACCATTGGAAAATCTCGTACTGTAGAAGATTTTTTGATTCGCGCTGCCAAAACTCGTAAATTCCAGGTCATTGTGGCCGAAACGTCTCCTACGTAAGTTTTTTTTTTTTTTTAATAATAACATCCATGTTTTAATTATAATTTTCATTTTTTAAATTAGATATCAAGGTCATGATATGGCTGCTGCTTTGTCAGCTGCTGGTATTGATACAACTGTGATGGTAGACTCTGCTATATTTGCAGCTATGCCTCGTGTGAATAAAGTGGTTGTAGGTGCTCATGCTGGTAAGGAAATAAAATAATTCATTTGTATACAGTATGACTCATTATATAATATTGTTATTAGTCCTTGCTAATGGTGGATTAGTAGCCGTGACTGGAACTCATCTGATTGCTGCCGCAGCTAAACATCATTCTACTCCTGTTCTTGTGTGTACTGCCTTGTACAAATTATCACCTCTATTTGCTTATGATGTCGATACATTCAACATTACTGTGGCTCCCAATGGTATCTTGGACTTTCAAGAAGGTGCCATTATTGATAAAGTCGGCTTATCCAATCCTTATTATGATTATGTTGCTCCTGAATTAGTCAGTTTGTTTGTCCACAATTTGTAAGTGTTTTACTTATTAGAATAATATATGATTCATTTTCTGAACATTGGTTTTTTTTCATATATTATATAGAGGATCTGCACCACCCACTTATGTTTATAGGTAATATCCAACTTGAATTATTTTTGTTTTCGTATTCATCTTTTCTTTTTTCTTTTCTTTTCTTTTATAGATTAATCAACGACAACTATGACCCAGAAGATACTACCTTATAAACTCTCATTTTTTTTTCCAACTTTTACATGCATGCCCTCCTTTGTTCCAATGTCATTTTATAGTTAGTTTGTTTTAGATGTTATGTATTTCTCTCATTCACTGTTTTATTTTGCACCTATTTTTTTTTTTTTTTTTTTTTTTGTCATCTCGATTTTTTATCCCAAATAAATGCTTGGATCATTTTTTTTTAAAGTTAAAGATGCTCGTATCTGTGCGGATGTTACTTTTTATTTCATGGATTACGATAGATAGTTATACTATGTTATGTACATGATGAAAAGAAAGAAAAAATGCTCACCACTAAATATGTTCGAATCCTTACATATATAGTTTTTCTAATTACAGTACAAAAAGAAACACAATCTAGTGTATCGGTGTTCAAATGAAAATAAAGAGAAAATCAAAGAAAGCCTGGTCAATTTGTTTTTTTTTTTTTTTTTTTTTTTTTTGCATTGACCAGCCTTTTTCTACTTGTTGGAAAATTTTTTTCATTTTTTTGTGCTACTCTTTTTTTCTTATATATCTCCTTTGACTCTTTTTTTTTTTTTCTTATCTCTTTTCTTATTATTATTATTATTATTTCTATACTCCTCATGTACTCTACTTTATAATGCTTTTATCCCCTTTACGATCTGTTACTACTACTACTCGTACCCTGGCAAGGTCACTTGTTTACACGAGAGCATCCATTTATTCGTCTAATATTACCCTGAATAGATTCACAACTCAAAACATTATTCGACAATTCAATCAATATACCCGTGATAATCGACCCGATGAATATGAACTTCGTATTGGTTATGGTAAAAGTATATCAAGAAGTTTGTTTCCTAACAATACATATTTATTATTATTATTATTATTATTATTATTATTATTATTATTATTATTATTATTATTATTATTATCTAGCCATTACTGTACTTCAAGACGAATTACCTCGGTTCTTTGATCAAGGATTACAAGTCCAAGATATTTATTCACAACAAGTAGTTCTTTCGGATCCTCATTACACTCGTCTTTCCATCAAGGGTAAAACAGCTTATATTGGTATTGCGGAAATGTTACGATGGAGTTTAGGCTGTTACTTTGATTCTATGAATTTGGAAATTATTCGTATGCGTGTCTTACCAGATAGACCCAATGGCGACGATATCACTTCATCATCATCACCTCCATCATCACCATCATCATCCTCGTCCTGTTCATATATCACATCCTTCCGTCATCAACAAATATCCTCCAATCCTTGGTCTTTACATCTTTTGTCCAAACCCATGGAGGATGGATCCTATCAGCGACATCATCATTCTCGTCCATACGCTTCTGTTGCAAACAACATAATGTCATCGCATATTAGATCATTAGAAGATGGCTTATCATTGTCTTCTTCAGTGTTACCAACGTCATCATCATTATTATCATCTTCTGTATCTACTAACCGACCTTCCTCCAACGTCCGATCCTTAGAAATTCGGTGGCAACTTCAAGCAAAACCTCATTCTTTCTTTTTTCAAAGGCAAGCTGCTAGCAAAATCCATCAAGTAGAAGGTGTCTTTATTTATACGTTTGATCAACAAGGCTATATATGTGAACATAAAATCCAACGTAAGTCAACATTTAAAACCCTATATTTGTTATAGAAAAAAAAAAGAATAGTGCGACTTATCTATTATCATTATAGGGATTGAACCATCACCAAGTAGACGGATATTATTGATGCATTCTTATGGTGGAAGATTACGGGCCTTTTTGGAAGCATTGAAACGACGAAGTGAACCTGAATTACGACCTGGCCTGGGATGATCCTATTTTTCTTTTAGTGTTTAGTTTTGTCATTCTGATCCATTCATCATCTCCTCACTATTCTTTTTTTTTTTTTGTCAATAAAGTCTTGTTATATATATATATATATATATATATATATATTTCTCCTCAATGATTGTTTATAAAAATATTGGTACGTTTATTAGGTTGATTAGATCGAGTATTGCAGGATAAAAAGTAAATTGTAAATAGAAAAAAAGAAGTAGCATTAATGTAACTATAAATATATATGTATGTGTATGTGTATAAATAGAGAACAATAATAACAATGATATATGCGTATAAAAAAAAAAAAAGAGGAGGAGGGGTGAAAAACTATATGTCAATATATACCCAAATCTATTATTGTACCTTTTTCATTTTCTTTTCTATAGCTTGACGTTGACGATAGGCTCTGTACTTCTTGTCAGTTCCAAAAATATAATCCCACCAACGGAAAGAGGAGGCATAGTTACCAACAAAAGCTTGATGATGATAATCATGATGATCAGCGCCAGCCCAGAAAGGAATAAAGTGACAGAGTGACCAAGGGAAATCATAACCAGAATGAGCATCCACTGCTTGAACAAGACGAACAACAATCCAGACTAACATAGTAAACAGATGAAGATGCCAATCCTTGGAAGTTTGCAAGTAATAGTAAGTGATCGCATGATAAAACAAGGGACCACCAATGGTGCCAAGACCAAGAAGCGATGTTTCCAAAGGATGAGCATATTCGGCTGCAATGCCAATCGGTGCTGCATATTCATGATGAACTTTGTGAATCTTCTTATAAAGTGGTGGCCAATGCATCAGGCGATGAACCCAATAATGATATGCATCTTCAATCACAAAAAAGATAGCCAATTGAGGAAGAATGTATTTCCTATATAAATAAATAAATAAATAAATAAATTATTTTACCACCTTTTTTATATTTACCATTCAGGAAAGGGTGCTGCCACGTTCATACCCAAAATGGATGCCATGGGATGGAAAAGGAAAATTAAAGGACCTTCATATAAAAAGTGTTGATAGAGTACATGTTTGGTACATTTCCAATAATCATCACCAGTATTGACATGTTTCTATATTATCATCCATCAAGGAAGTACAGTGATTAGAAAAAGAAAAGTTCAAAATAGTTTTTTTTTTTTTTTTTTTTTTTTTTACTTACAGGTTGTAATTTGTATTGTTGAAAGTAAGGAATAAAATCACATAATAAAAAGGGTAAGAATCGACCAAAATAAACCAGTTCATGCATAGTAAAAGCAAAGAGACCTGTCACCAATAAAGGGTTTTGACCTTCATACATTTGTTCCCACTTGGTTTCCATCCAAGACATGGTTGTATCAGTAGTATTCATCTTATCCTATCAAAAAGATAAACTAATCAAAAAAAAAAGAACAGGGGATGATTTTTTTTTTTGGATATGATAAGTAACGGAAAGAGAAGCAGAAAAAAAGAAAAGATCTGGTACCTTGTACAAAAAAAAAAAAGAGTTCTTTTTGTGGCCTGACAAGCAAATTTTAAAAGAGCGATGATTAATCCTTTGTAGGCTGTCAGATATTCCGGTGGATGGGAGAAAAGAAAAAAAAAAAAAGCCACCATACCAGACCCAATTTTTTTTTTTTTTTTGACTGAGATTAGTTTTTTTTTTTTATTTTGAACTAACTTTTTTGTACACCACCCCTCCTCCTATTTCATTAACAGCTTCATTTTTTTTTTCTTTTTCTTTTTTTTTTTTTGTAATAACAATGTCTTATATTCAACGGTTCAAAACAGTATCAACAACTTGTCGTCAAATCGAATGGAAACAACGATGTTTCTCCACTTGTACTTTACAAAAACAACAACAATATGGTGAAGGATTTGCACCACCTCAAGGTAGCCGTGACACTATCAAACCAGTACATCGACGACGACGTATTGCTACATCGATCCCTTCTCACCTTGGCAATCCTTCCAAAGCTACTTCTGATACCACCAAGTTGAGTCCTAAGAAACAATACCGGGAAGAATTACGATCAACTCGTCATCAATACGCACGGGAATTATTACAATTACAAGGACAACGAGATGCTGCTGCTGCCACAAAGCGTATGGAAAACGAAGATCGACTTCAATCTTTGAAACATCAATTGGAACAGGAAAAATTGGAACATTTACAACATGAAAAGGAAGTCGTGGCCATGTTAACTAACACGAATAATGTCATTGCTAGTGATCAAGAACTCAAACAAGAAAACGTACGTCAACAAAACCGTCTCGATCACGAACAACGTATTCGATCCACTCGTTTACGCCATTTGATCAAAATGTACCATGCCACCGAAAACTTTGTCACCTTGGAAAACTTGGATAGTCGTATTGATATGTTGCTGGCTCACAAGGATCATCCTCCCATGTATACCTTGGCTGAATTGATGGTGACCCCTGCTGCCGAAGCTGATGAAATCAAGAACAGAAAAGAATTATTAAATGAAGCTATGGGTTTATAGATTAGATATCCTATTTTTTGTTATTTTTTATTATTTAGTTAATTTGTTTAGATATATTATTTCATAAAAAAAAATAAAAACTTTGTATATTTAAATATCTATCATCATCTATTATTCTCAGTACATAGTATCCATGAAATAAATCACTAACAAGAAAAAAAAACACTATAAATCATACAACCATCATTGTCTACTTTTTATTATAATAAACAAATCTAACTAAATCTAGCAACGGAATCTATTTGATCTAAACGAATTCTTTGCAGATTTCATGACCACCAGAATGCCAGTATGCCATGGCTTTCATTACACCAAAGTAGTGACTAATCAATGCAATCACTACACACACGTGAAAGATTTGATGAGAGGCACCCTATAACAAGGAAATAAATGAATAGTCTGATTTCTCATTTTTTATTTTGTTAACTTTACCCAAATATTAAAAGAACCAGGAGACCACCTTTCAGGAATTCTATCATCAAAAAGAGAGAGAGACAGAGAGAGAGAGAGAGAGATTAGGTCAGGTATATGAGATCATCCTATTTCATCGTCTCGATTACCTTGCACCATAAATCAAAGCACCTGCTACATAGCTACCACCCATCACTAACATATTGATCAAAGAGATAGTATCGAAAGATCTAGCAAACTAGAATGATCACTATTTAGTATCATGGAAATAAATACTTATTTTGATTTACTTACTCCATATACATATATACCATGTAATGCAGGTACTACGCCAAATAATCCAAGAGCCAAGAATGCACTTGTTCGCATCCATCGATAAGCAGGTGTACGGAAATGTTGTAATAACACAACGGCAGCCTATTTTTTTTTTTTAATCCATAAATAAAAAATGGGAATATCAAAATCACATGTCAAATAATAATACTGAATAGATTTACCGTGCACGCGCCAAGGACAGAAATGGTTACCAAATAGACCACTATAGAAAAAAAAAAAGTGGGTGTATGAATAAAATATAAATAATGATATATATATATATATATATACATTTTACCTTGGAAGAGTTGATGACAATGAAATCCATAATAAATAACAGGAAAGAAGGAACCACTATGGATAGAAAAATGAGATTAAAAGTTTTATATATTATTTCTTTAATGATTTACACAATTAAAGTGGTGATCCCAGCATAATCACATCGATTCCATGCAGCTGCAACAGGTTCCGAGTGACAAGAAAAACAATGAAACAAACTACTGAAACCTAGACAAGTCAGGGCACCAACAATAAATATAAAAAAGTAAATATAATCAAACCAAGTCAAACGATCAGGAAAAGGTTGTGTCCAAAGAAAGTGAATCCCAAGTCCAACAAATAATAAAAAACCAAGTAAATGAGACCAAATATTAACTTACAAAAAAAAAAGGAAGAATGAGATAATAATAATAAATAATAATAAAAGTATATTTTACCATATTCGTTATGTAAGTAAAAGAGAGTTTTAATACATTCAAGATAACTATTGGTTGGTCTTCGGTATCCTTCGGTAATAAAGTGATTATCTTGCATCCAAGACGGTAATTCTTCCCAACGCAGGATCTTATTGTTTGTTGGTTTATTAAGTAAAGTAGTAGTAATAGTAGTATCAGAGTCACGTTTTCTTATAGTATGTCGTTGGTGAGGAGTCATTATAATCAAGTAAGGATAAGAAAGACAAAAATAAAAAATAAAAAAAAAGGGACAAGTTTTTTTTTTATATAATTAAAAAGAAGAGACTTTCTCAACGATTGGGGGTTGTTGATTCTCCGTCAGCATGATATGGAAAGATGAATGTGAAAGTGCAGATTGTAGACACCACATCCAAATTTGGCAAATAGGACACTCCGCACTTGTCAATTTGCCCTTTTTCACACACTCTTCCTTTTTTTTTTTTCCTTTTCTTCTTTTTTATCTATTTTAACTCAATTGACAAGAACATCCTTTTTTTTTTATTGTTTTCAATGTTACTAACTTTCCTTTCAAACTTATAAACTTTATAACTTTTATGACGACAATTACGACAAATTCATATTCTCCAAAGGTATTTATATATATATAAAAAAAAAAAAACTTAAAAGGATGTTTTTTTTAGCTTACATATTTATTAGGCGGCGCGGGTATTTGAACCTGTCATATTATTTCATGATCATACTTATTTTAAAGATGGGTCACAACGTTTAGAACATATCCGTATATCATCTAATGATCCCCATAATTTGTCACTTATTGAACAACATAAACGAAAAATACTAAATATGTTGGATATCAATGGTAAATTATGGACTCAACGTAAGATCAACTTTTTTTTTTGGAACCTTATTTTGATGATGACTGAAAAGGTAGTATACTGATGAATCGAAATTGATTTTTTTTATTAGAACCATCAACTATATCACCCATTCCTTCACCTATTCCCACTGCCGTCATGTCAACTCCTTTACCGACTACACCTTATTCACCTCCACACACACCTACCAATAATCATTATATAAGAAGACGATCATCTACTTCTCATCCAAATACGACAAAGAAACGACGTGGAAATTTACCTCGAGCTGTCACTTCTGTATTACGTAGTTGGTTATATGAACATAAAGAACATCCTTATCCTACAGATGAAGAAAAGTTGACTTTATCTAGACAAACAAATCTTACTCTTAGTCAAGTTAGTAATTGGTTTATCAATGCCCGAAGGCGAATTTTGATCCCAATGTTAGAAGAAGATGCCGCTCGTCGTCAACCAATGACCTTTTACTATGAACATCAAGGTAAAATAATTCTATATTTAAAAAATAGTATACTAACAACATACATTTTTTTTTTTTTGATTAATATATAGATATATAGGATTTTTTTTATTGATCATTTCCTTTTATATATATATATATAATATTATTACTATTTGAAAATAAAAACTTCATCATTCTCTGCAAAAGATAACCATATTCTCTAATTTGATTGGCTCAAACAATATGGGGTTGAAATTTTCTACTTCCTCCTCTTTTTTTTTTTATCCTTTGATTCTCCTTTTTTTTTTCTTTTTCTTTTGGTATGCATCATTCTTTCTTAGTTGAAAAACGACAACAACCTACGTGTCCTCCTTGTTTTAATTGTCAATTACAATCTAATCCATGTACAAATGGTGGTTCATGTGATCCCAGTGGTATATGTTCCTGTCCTGCTGGCTGGGGTAAAATATATAGTATAAAAAGAAAAGTGATATTCACCATTCAACTATTTATTTCTTTATATATATATATATATAGGTGACGTCGACTGTAGTACTCCTTTATGCGGTTCTCTTTATGATGACAATCGACCCCAAAGACCATCATTAGATCAGTCTTGTTCTTGTGACGATGGGTAAGTTCTTACCAAAAAAAAAAAAAGGTACCTATATTGAACAAGATTCTCACGATACTAGGTGGGCTGGTGTTAATTGTAATGTATGTCAACATGATCTTGCCTGTCAGTCTGGTAAAAGCGGAAACGCGACATGTATCAAATCGGCTATTGGACTCAAATCAATGCATGCTTGGTGTGCTACTACAAGTAATGATGAAAACAAACAAAGCCTTCATTGATTCATATATATATATATTTCTTGTGAATAGATATTCCTTGGATTGATAATACCAAAGTATCTTTACAATGTGATTGGGGAACAAATCAATGTGTTTTTCAATTTTGGAAAGATCAAGAAGAACAATTTTACTGTGAAATGTCGGAATGTACTCAACATAGTAAGTAGATCAAACATACAAAAAAAAAAAGAGTGGTGGAATTCATCATTCTATGCTGTATAGTTTTATCATCAGGAGATTATGATGTTCATGGTCAATGCGCAAAATCAAAATGTGGATGTATGAAGGATGCCTTTATGTGTGGTAGGGAAGTCGATATGTCAGAATTAGTCAAGAATGTCAAAGGACCTTCTGAATGGTACTGTAAAGATGGACAAGATTGCTGGTACAATGGTAAGAGAGTAAACAAGTAGAATACTGTTCATCCTAACTCTTTTTATATATATATTTATTTTGATAGAATACTCCACTCTGGTCAGTGTATTTCCCGATAATATCAACTTGGCATGCGATGTTGGTGAGTGTGTTAATGAACAAGATTATTTGGATGTTCAACCTGTGGTACGTTTCTGGTCAATGAACCAAGAATATATATATATATCTTATATTTTTTTTTTTTTTTTTTGATTGGAGGTAGGATCGATCATTTTCACGTTATACAGAATCAATGATTGCTCTGGCCATTTTATTAGCCTGTGTAATTATCTATGTGGTGACAAGATTGACAGCAAAACGACAAAAACAACTCTTTGGAACTCAAATTGAACTGACAGATGATAACGATGATGATGTCAACATGTATCTGATGGATCAACAACCAGTACAATTGACTTTTGAAAATATCTGTTATAATATTGGTAAATATATATTATTTATTTTGATACGTGGTTGATCTATTTGTATGAATTAGGAGGTGAACAAGTGTTATCCAATGTGACTGGATATACAGAACCTGGACATTTAATGGCGGTGATGGGACCTTCTGGTGCTGGCAAATCGACATTATTGGATATTTTGGCACGCAAGCATAAGCGTGGAGTAACGAGTGGACGTGTATTGGTGAATGGAACTTTACCTGATCGCAAACTCTTCAAAAGGATGACGGGATACGTGGATCAAGATGATACATTGATGGGCACTTTAACAGTTAGGGAAACACTGATGTATTCAGCTTTACTTCGACTTCCTCGAAAAATGCCCATGCGTGCAAAGTATCGACGGGTGCAAGATGTCATGAAGGAATTGGGAATCGATGGTATTGCAGATCATATGATTGGTATTCCAGGACAACAACGAGGGATTAGTGGTGGAGAAAAACGACGTGTCAGCATTGGGAAGGCCTTGGTAACAAATCCACAACTACTCTTTTTGGATGAACCTACAAGTGGATTGGATGCTTATAATGCAAGTATGGTGATGTCTTGTCTGAAACGCCTTTGTCGACAAGGATCTCGTACCATCATTTTGACTATTCATCAACCTAGGTCCAATATCTTTAAACTATTTGATTCTCTTTTGTTACTTGCTACTGGGAAATTGGTCAGTCTATATATATATATAATGGAATGATTTGCTAATTGATTTTTTTTTTTTTGGATACTATAGGTGTACTTTGGTCCTGCCAATGCAACCTCTCGTTACTTCAACAGTATTGGCTATTCTGTTCCATCTGATTATAACATTGCTGATTACTTTAGTAAGTTAACCTAATATATAGAGTAGATGAAGAATTAGAAACTTATATTTTATTTATTATTATATAGTCGACTTGACAATGAAACGACCTGATGACACAGTACAACCAGTACGATCATCATCAAGCAGTATATATCTTCATGAAACAGATGAGCAACTAGACGATTTACAACTGACTACATCTACTACATTACCATCCTCTTCTTCAGCAACCGTATTATTGGACGGGGATACATCACAAGGGGAGGAATATGATTTATTGAAAGATGCCAATCATACACACCATCTTTTTGAATCCTATAAAAGTTCGACTGTATGTAAACGAACTTTAGCTTATGTGCAAAAGGCAAATGGTTCTCGAGACTCATCTTATTCTGTCTGGGTAAATTCCAATCATCAACATACGAATTCATTTTCTCTGATACAATTTTGGCATGAATTGGTAAAAAAAAAAAAAAAAAAAAAAAAAAAAAAAGGCATCTCAATTTTTTTTTCTTCTTCTTCTCTTGATCTAGTCGTTATTGTCATCTCGTACGTTTATCAACCTATATAGAAACCCATTTTTATTCTTTGCACATTTTGTGTGTTCTCTTGCATTGGGTGTTCTTTTGGGTAGTTTATTTTGGCAAGTGGAAGTCGATTTGACGGGTGTACAGAATCGATTGGGGGTACTCTTCTTTATGTGTGCTCTACTTGGGTTTGCATCGACCAGTGCATTGGACATGTTCAGCAAGGAAAGACTTTTATTTATGCGTGAAAGGGAAAATGGATACTATAGTCCGGCCAGTTACTTTGTTGCCAAGGTAGTGTTTGATGTGATTCCTTTGCGTGTACTGCCTCCCTTGGTGATGGGTGCGATATCTTACTTTATGATTGGACTTAATCCTACCTTGTCAGTATTTCTCAAATTCCTTCTTGTATTGGTTCTATTCAATTTGGCTGCTGCTGGGCTTTGTCTTTGTTTTGCTACCGCCTTCAAAAATCTTTCTGCCGCTAATCTTTTGGCCAATCTCGTGATGCTTTTCTCCATGTTATTCGGTGGATTTTTATTGAATAAAGGCAAGCCTCTTTTTATTATTTATTATTCAGAAAATTGATTTTTTTTTTTTTTTGCACTTTCTTTATTAGAACATATTCCCGGTTTTCTTAGGTAAAAAAAAAAAAAAAAGAAAAAAAAAATAAAGGGATGGAAAATCATGCATCTCATACTCATTTTCTTTTTATATGTGATCCACGTGTGATATTAGTTGGCTACAATACCTTAGTTTTTTCAATTATGGATATGAAGCATTGATTGTAAATGAACTTAAAGATATTACGTTAAGGGACAAGACAATTGCCGACATACAAATTCCTGGACCTATCATTCTTGCTAGATTTGGATTCAATGGTCAAGCGTTCTGGCGTGATGTTGCTCGATTGGTCCTGTTTGTTCTGGTGACAATGACAAGTGCTTTTTGCTTCTTGAAATATATGGTCAAGGAAAAACGATGATATCCCACTATAGATCGATGATGATTTTGAACCTTTTTGATTTTGAATCAATAAATACTTTACTTGTTTGATGTACCTTTTTGATCATCTCTTTTTTTTTTTTTTTTTTTTTTTTTTTGAGCTAGATAGAATGATGATATCATTGGAATATTCTTTGTAATAATGGTTTTTATATATGTGAATGCCAATGATACTCTAGAATCGTCCATAAAGTGAAGACATGGAAAAGAAAATAAAAATAAAAAATAGAATGGATGTTTGCTTTTGTTATTTTTTTTATTAGTGTGTATATAATGTATATTTTCAATATTGATTACTATCTAACTAACAAAGTCTAACCTATCTCTTAAAAAGTGCTTTGATCCCTTGAGTGAACGAGGAATGTTTACTATGATCATTTGTTGTTGTTGGTATAGAAGCCGATGTAGGTGCTGGTAAGGATGTTGCTGGTGCTGTTGCTGGTGCTGTTTGTTGTAAATGAAATGTTGGTTGTGATATAAGGGTGGTAACATGAGGTACAGAATTGGATGGATTGAGACTTGATAACGTGATAGCATCCTTCATATATTGTCCCTTTACCACCAATAAAGCTTCTTCAAAAGTATACTATCATAAAATATAAAGATAATGAGTCCTCTATTTCTGTCCTTCAGGAACAACCGTTTTTTTTTTCTTGGCAATTTTGATTTCCTTACCCATCGACGTTCTCGTTTTTTCTTTTCGGGAAACTTTTTGCATACTTCATCAATTTCCAGTTCAAAGATCCAATGATGAGCCTTGATTTGTTTCTTTGTTGCTTCTTCAAAAACACCGAGTTGTCTTGTAATTCTTCCCTTGATCCCAGCTTCTTCCCAGGTTTCACGTAGAGCTGCTTGAGCTTGGGTTTCATCCTCTTCCCAACCACCTTTTGGCTACAAATAGAATATATATATATTAATATACAATTATATAGTCTAGTCATATTTTTTTTTTTTTACTTACTAATACCCAGTTATCATTATTCTTATTGGATGAGGTGATCAAAAGGAATTTTTTATTGATAGGATCAATAGGTAAACATCCTGCGACTTGTCTAATATTGTTATCATCTACTACATCTTGAGCATGTCCATGTCTTGCTTTTTTGGTGTATTCTATTGAAGGTTGTTCCATCATGTATGAACAGTAATAATAATAATAATAAGAAGAAGAAGAAGAAGAAGAAAAGAAATGGAAAATTATGGGGAAAATTTATTATAAAAATACCATTTTCAAGTACCGTACTTTTTTTTTTGGCTCTTCTGCTCAGCAATATGAGCCAATGGTAATCCAGGCATTGAAAAAGAGACATTTTAAAAAAAAAAAAAAAAAAACAAGACAAATGAATAAAGTCAATAGTTTAGACTCCCTCTCTATAAAAAAATAATCTTCCTTTATTTGCATTACAAAGAAAGATGAAAAAAAAAAAAAACTTAATCATGAATTATCAAGCATGATGATTGGTCGAGAGTCTCAAAATTCTTCCTTTGTAGGTTCTTTGCAAAAATGATGCAATCCTAGTAGTACCTTTTAATATTGTATTTCTGTATTTTCCCCATCTTTTTCTTTTCTTGTTTCTTTTTTTTTTTTTTTTCTATATTTTTCTATTGATTCCATTTTCATACCTTTTTGCTTCCATGATTGAGTTGATCATAGCTGCTATTCAGGTAAAAAAAAGGAAAACACTTATTATACCAGTTGGGTAGAAAATAAAAGCACTCCGACAATCACTCCTTTTTTTTTTTCTTACTTTTTTTTTCTTTTCTCTATTCTTTTGTCTCAATACAATGGATTAGGCCATCTTACAAGTCATAGTTATCGCTGGGTTTGGTGTTCTTTTAACAAAAGCAGGTTATTTCGACCAGTCAAAACAAAAGGTAAAAAAAAAAAAAAATAGCCCTACTTGTCTTGTCACTGACCTTAATATATATATATATAGTGGTTATCCAAAGTCAATATGACCTTTTTCACTCCTTGTCTACTTTTCACCAACATCGCTTCTACCATCTCCTTGGAAAAACTCATCACATTATGGCCAATTCCCATGTTTTTTATATTATTCCTACTGATCTCTTGGACGACTAGTCAAGTCATTCTTCGTATTATGGGTGTTCAACATAACTATCAAAGGTTTGTGATTGCTTGTTCCATGTTTTGTAATACCAACTCTTTACCGGTGGCTATTATCAGCAGCTTGGCCTTTTCAGAAGCTGGTCATCTTCTCTATTGGAATAGTGGCGATACACCTCAAGATGTGGCTGCTCGTGGGGTGGCCTACTGTCTGTTCTTTGCCATGTTTTGTAACGTTATCCGGTGGTCCTACGGTTATCATCTGCTTCAACCTGATGATGATTTGGAAGAACATACGACGATGAAACCTTTTTTTGAAAACACGATCGATGTCTCTTATACTAACAAGCAACCACCTTCATCTTATTCGATTCAGTGCCCTCCTGAAAATGATACTCCTAACGAATCATCACCTCTTTTACCTATACAATTCAATGATCAACAACCATTCTATCGTCGTCTAACACTTGTTGTCAAGCAATGTCATCGTTTCATGTCGCCTCCATTGTATGCCGCCTTTCTAGCCTTAATGGTCGGCCTCAGTCCTTTGCAGCCTTACTTGTTTGACAAGGATGCGTTTCTCTATCCATCGGTGACAAAAGCGATCCAAAGCTGTGGCAAGGCGGCGGTGCCTTTGATTTTAGTGTGTCTTGGATCGCAGTTGACTTTGATTGCTCAAGAAGGTTCTATTTTTTTATTCACTCAAGGATCCCGTGCTATTCTGGCCTCCCTTGTGAACCGCATGATCATGGCTCCGATGGTCGTCATTGGTATCGTATTTGTTTTACTCAGATATACCCAAATCAAGTTGATGCAAGATCCTATGTTCGTAGTCACCATCCTCATCTTGGGTTGTACACCTACGGCTATCAATCTATCACAAATCACTCAAGTCAGTGGTGTTTTTGAACAAGAAATGATGCAAGTCTTATTTTGGAGTTATGGTGTGATGTGTGTTCCAATCATGACTCTTGTGGTTTTGATTGCTCTGACCATGGTTGATCTTTGGATGTAGATACCCCCCTCTATCACTTATATCTATTTTTTTCATATATATATATACATACCCACTATAAAAATAATAATAAAAAAAACTGATTTTTCTTTTTTTGTCTTCTATATAAATAAATCATCTTTATTATAAAAAAAAAATTAAATCTAACTAGTCCATCATATCAAAATAACTAGGTACCCAATATTGTTTTGTATCGCCTTGATCATCCACCCAGACAAGTCCATCTTGAATCAACTGATCCTATATAACATGTTATCAGAACATTTCCCATCTATTTATTTCATTTTTCTTACCAATCCATGTTCAATCCGAGGATCATCCCAAGCTAATTCTTTTTGAATCATGCGATAGTCTACGTATCCCAATCTCTAAAAAAAAAAAAAGCATAAAAAATCATCATCATCATTGTCAATTTATCTTACCTGAGCCAATAGTAACAATCCAGCTTGATCTTTATCCAATTCATTAGGAACAGAACGAACCATTTTTTTGGCACCTAATGTAATGACTTGAAATCCACCATTTAAAGGTTTTAAAGTTTTGATGGCTCGAATAATATCATCCCTGAAAAACAAGAAGAGATGAATGATCCTTTTGTTTCTATTCTATAACTTACTCTATGATTTCTTGATGTTTTCGACCTTCCTTGCTTCGCATTCGATCTAATCGTTTAGTCAAATCTTGTAAAGCCGTCAATCCACCATCTCTTGATCTTGTTTGCATACATGCTTCAATGATTTGAATCCCAAGTTCATAATAAAAGTCCCCTACCCCAAGCATATCAGCCCAAAACCCCTTGTTCGCTTAAAAAAAAAAAAAAAAAAAAAAAAAAAAAAAAAAAAAAAAAAAGAGAATGAGATATCCCATTTACTTATTATATAAACTTACATGCCAAAGGATCCACTCCTATATTTGCACACATTCGTTGGAAATGAGACCGAAACATGGGATCCTTCTTGATATCCTTTTGATGCTTCCATGCAAATTCTTCCAAGTTTTGTTTGAATGTTTCGAGTTGTCGTTGAAGCTATATCAATGAAAATAAAGTTTAACCCCAAGATTGTCCTTTTTTTTGAAAAAAAAAATTTACCTGTTCTAGTTCCTTGGCAGCTATGGAATCCCCAATTTGTTGAAAATCACGCTACAAAAAAAAAAAAGTTGAATACCGCCCACATTCATTCTATTATAACTTACGCCAAGTCTGTCCTTTTGTTGTGTATGACCCACACCTGCTTGCCTTCGTCGCATGCTTATTTGATATAGTTATATTATATAAACAGATGAAAGTTAAATGGAGGGTATAAGAAATAAGGAAAAAAAAAAAAAAAAAAAAAGAGTGAGAACTATCATTTTTCAAGACGACGGCGTTTGAAAAAATGGACCATTGGTTAGCATGATGTTCAATGAGATAACATCTGTCTATGTATACTTATCATATCATCGTTTCTAACAACAGACTGGTATCAAACAATCCAGAATGACAGAAAAAAAAAATGAATATCTAAATAAAAAAGTCAATGCTTTATTGATAAATAAAAAAAAAAAAAATCATGTATCACCAACTACACTGGTTCTACTGGCAAAGATCAAGATCCATTTCATATTGGTCAGCATATACTTGAGAGCTCTTGTCCATAATTCATCTTGATTGAATTGTAGCCTAATGGACAGTTCACCAATTTTTTCTTTGTTGATTCTATAAGGAAGTCGAATACTACGATCCTTTTGTTCTGCATAATCCGAAAGTTGTTTGAGACAGTTAAGCATAGCTACCATGGCTAGATCAAATCGTCGATTGACAAAAAGCATTCGATTCAGTCCATAATCACTAGATCCATACCTTATATAAAAACCAAATAGTTTAGTTATTCGTCATCATCCCATTATATAAACTTACAATTCATAGGCTACAACTACATCACCATCCACCTTTTCCACTTTCGAGAAGGATCCCATTGGTACAAGACGGTATCTAAAAAAAAAAAAAGGAGTAAGGTCATTCATATTCACTTTAGTATTATTTTTTTTTTTTTAAAAAAAAAAAAAAAAAAAAAAAGAAACAATGATCGATAACTTACGATTGAAATTGAAACTTGAGTTTATTGGCCACTGTATATAACAAGAGTAAAGCTTGACCCCAGGCAGCATTGATTTCGTTCCATTCCACCTAATCAAAAAAAAAAAAAAAATGTGAGACTTAATGGTATGGATATCAATTAAACTTACAGGATGAGATGGCAATCTTCCTAATCGATACCCATTGATTGTACCAAAAGGTCCATCTTGCATAATACAGAAAGCATCATTGTATACCACTGTTTTTTGTAATCGTTCCAGTTGTCGAGCATCATGATCATATTTCAGATTGATAGCATCACGTTCGTTTTGGAAATGCTGATATTGAATTTGATAGGCATTACATTCATCCCAAAAGTCCTGTTCCTCTTTTTCCAGTTCCTTCTCTTCTTGTTGTAAATCTTGATATTGTTTGTCCAATAGCTGTTGTTCTTTTTTCATCTGTGCCAGTGTAGATAAAGCTTCTTGTTCCTTCTTGATCAATAGATCCACCTGCTTAGTCAATTGTTCTTCATCTTCCGCCATTGTTGGTATTGTTATTGTTGTATTAGTATCTTCGGTTTTTTCACCTTGTTGTTTCACCTGCTTCAAAAAATCCAAATAACAATCCCGTTCACGTCCTACATCATCCAATTGTCGTTCCAAACTTTCCAACATCATATCAGTACATTCTTGACACATAGGATGATCCACACTGGATTTGGAGGACATGACATCAAATAATCGTGTGGCTACCTTGAGTCGATGCGAGAGACTATTGTTGCGATCAGGTGATGCGTTTGAAATAGCAGGGTCAGAAGGGAATTTGCTGATACTATCGGCCTTCCATCTTGTTGCATCTTTAGTATTATCGATACCGTTGGTCTGAGATAATGTGGAACGAGCATGCTCGTTGCTTGTACGTTGAATCTGGTTTTGTTGGTTCAAGAGACGAACACTTGCTGCAGGAGATAAGGATGAACCTATTGGTAAGTGAACTTGGGAATTAGAAAGCATGACAAACGAATCTGAAACTGGTGGCATTGGTCGTTGTGATGGACGAAGAATATGTTTTTTGGAAGCAAGTGAGGTATCTAATGTCGTTGTTGAAAAGGTTTCGTGGGTATCATTATGTAAGGAATGTGTTTTTCTTTTGCTTTGTTCTTCAGAAGTTAACGGTGCTTGATAATAAAAAATAAAAAAAGTCAATGATATGAGATATATATAAAAAAAAACAATAGACTCTTACCTAGTAACAAATCTACAGACGATTCATCTAAATCAACAAGAGAATCATCAATACGTAATGGTTGTTTGCAACGTTGGCATACAAAAGATGGCATGACGGTATATATATATATTTATAAAGTTGAAAAAGAAATAGAAAAATAGCCGGAGTAGAACCAAAAAAAAAAAAAAAAAAAAAGAAATCATCACCCACAGGAAGCGGAATCCAATTTTCAAACTGAAAAGGGAATTCTATGCATCTTCAAAAAAGATTATCTTAAAGTAGAATGATCTCCTTTATATCAAAACCTTATTTAATTGTCTTAGCTTTTCCTTTCATTAGATCTGTCATCTTATGACGTATAATGACTTGTCAAATATCACTAAGAATCATCCATATAGATAAACGAGATTTTCTTTATTGCAATATAAAAAAAAACGAATTTTGTTTTGTTTTAGGTGAAGTAAGAAATGAGTGCATAAAAGGAAATGAAAAGATGATCAATGAATATAAAAAAAAAAAAAACTAGAATTAAAAATACAAACAGGAACGTAGACAATATAAAACTAAGTGTGTGTGTAAGAATGTTGTGTGAGTAAGTGAGAAGGAAAAAAAAAAAAAAGAAATCACCAACATAGTACAGGTATACAAAAAAACTGGAATCATAATAATAATAATAATAATAAAAGGAACTAAGCGAGCCATTCCACTGTTCTTTCTGTCGATCGATGAATCATCATATCCATTGCACCATCCATTTGTAATTCCTGTTGATGATCCATGATTTCCCCCATTTTCTTTGTTTGAGCCAAATCGAATCCACCAGCAGCAGCAGCAGGGAATAAACAAACATGATGAAGTGAAGGACAAGTATCAAATAAAGCCATGACATGTTCTGTAGACCAAGTTCGACGAGTAGCCAGAGTCAAACGTTGTAAATGAAGTGGTGGTTTTGTTGTTTTTGATTTGGTGAATAAAGAAAGATTATGTTTTTTAGAAGATTTATAAGGTAATTGTTGTTTATTTAATTCCATCAATAAAGTTTGAGCATGAATATGAACTTGACAACCAAGAGAAAGTTCTTTGAGAGGACATTGCATCAATAAATGAGCCAAAGTGGTAGCATCCATAGCTGTATAATTTGGTTGTTCTTGAGCACCTACCAACATGAGACGATGTAATTTCAATTCAGGATGAAGATGTTTGAATGCATGATCCGATAATGTCGCCCACCCACATAAAGTCAGATCAGTCAAGTTGACACAGTGTGATAAAATATACCGTACAATGTTGTCACGCACTCCCCAAATTTGGATAGATTCAATGATTCTTCGGTGTGGCCCGATCAAACGCTGCAGGTCCTTCAAACTCCATAATTTGAGTGAACTTGACGAGAAGGAGACGACTTTTTGTTCTTCTTCATATTGTTGAGGTGGTGCCAAATGAAGGTGTCGCCAATGAGAAGGATGGTCAGCAAATAAAGCTAGCTTTTTACTTACTAACCGTATACAAGAAAGATCGTGAACTGTAAGATAAGATAATACCTGCCATAATGTTTCTGATGGTAAAATAGAAAGTCGATCCATATTATTATTATAGAAAAAAAAAAAAAGAAGAAAAAAAAAATAAAGAAAAAAAAAAAGGAGAAAAAAGAAAATAAATAATTATGTAAAAGAAAAAGGAGGAAAAGAAAAAAAAAAGATTATTTTTTTTTTCTTATTTGATATTTTAAAAAATCTCTCTTCGGGGTAGTCCCCGCTCATCTTTTATATTCACACTCTTTTTTATACGTCATGATGCACTTGATCCAATCATCACTCCCCCCTTTCATTTTTCAACTCTTTTTTTTTTCTTTCTTTTTTTTTTTTATTTAAATAAAAGGAATGTAAAAACCGAATATTTTATTTTAAATCGTCATGACTCAAATGATATTTTAGTAATTAATTTAGTAGTAAAAAAAAAAAAAAAGAAAACTTTTTATTTTTTAATGATAATGATCCCATTTTATTATATATTGATTTCTTTCCCGAGATTAATGACTTTAGCGGTTCTCTCATCGGTGATAAAATGCAAAAACAAATCATCATTTCTCTACCCCCCCTCAAGAGTAACAAATAATCATTATTTATATATATATATAAGCATCATGACTCGTATTATTCAAAACACTTCATTCATTGGATCTGAACAAAAGTTAAATCCTCTCCCCCCCCCTTTTTTTTTAAGTTACCCCGCTATACCGCGCGTGGAAATATTGACTGATGGCCAAGACATTATCCATTTTTGGTCACTTCTTTTTCAAAATGCTTCAGTTTCATCAAATATCGCCACTTTTATTCAATTTTTTCTTTTTTCTATCCTTTTTTATTAAAAAAAAATCAATCCATCAAGAAAAGAAATAACAAAAAAAAATACTTTTTTGTATATGATGATTGAATAATAATAATATGATAATAATAATAAAAGTGTATAGGTGCGGAAGAGCGGTCAAAGAAGAAGGGGGACATGTCATGATACCATGGTCACTACTTAAAAAAACTTATTTTCTTCTTATTTCTACTTAATAAGGCGCGGCACCCACCGTTTGGTTATTTGACGACAAAATGACGTGGTTGGGGGATAGGCTTTTTTTTTTTTTTTTTACATGTCACTGAATTATCCTCACTATTCGATGCAAGATGGATCGGTTGGTTGGCTAGTCAATTCATCAAAACAACCGTGCTTATTTTTTTTATTTATTTATTTTTTATTTACAGTATTAGGTTTGTTACTCGATGTTAAGTAGTGATGAATGTTAGATAGAATATGAATTTAAAAACCAATAAAAAAGTTCAATATGTATATTATTCATGATCGATATGTAACTCTTTCTTTATATGCCAACCAATCTTTCTTTCCATATTAAGCTTGTATTTCAATGCCCCCTCATTATATAGAAAGTACACTTCTTTTATTATTATTATTATTATGAATGGATATAGAATGATGATGATATTGACATCTAATAAAACAAATAAAAAATATAGATGATATTGATGGTTCAAATATAAAATATAATAAAAAAAAAAAGAATTGATTTTTTCTGCATGAACTAGTGAATAAAAACGATCATCCTAACTATTTTTAGTAGGATACTGTTGATCATTTTTAAGAACCAAATGCATGTTTGATAAAGAAAAATAATGTATCCATAATGTTTACAAACTTCCATCTTCATAGCAATCCATTTCTTGGTAGATTTTTCTTTTGCTTGATTTCAACTCAGATTTACTCATTTCTGACAAATTCAATTTTTGCTTTTTTTTTTTTTTTTTTATCTTCTCTTAAAATACTTTGTAATTATATTTAACTATGTTTACAGGATTAGTGGAAATTATAGGAACAGTAACTTCTGTCATTGAACAAGACAAGTCTGAAAGTGGTGGCAATGGTTGGACTATTACAATAGGTGGAGCTGCCAATATTCTTGGTGATTGTCATATTGGTGACAGTATTGCTATCAACGGTAATGGAAACAGTAAAAAAAAGTAGTTTTATATTTATATCTTTTTTTTTTTTTTTTTTATTTGAAGGTACTTGTTTGACAGTCACTGAATTTGATCAAGATAGTTTTAAAGTGGGTGTTGCACCTGAAAGTTTACGACGTACTAATCTAGGCAAGTGAGAAAGGAAAAAAAAAAAAAAGACCATTATTAAACTATTTTTTTTGTTTAGGTCAATTACAAGTGGGTAGTAAAGTCAATTTGGAACGTGCCATGGATGCACAAAAACGATTTGGAGGACATATGGTACAGGGACATGTAGATGCAACAGTAGAAATCATTGCTATTAAACCTGAAGGCAACTCACTCTGGTTTACATTCAAGGTGGCGGATCAAGACAAGGATATCATGCGTTATATTATTCCCAAGGGCTTTATCACATTAGATGGCACCTCTCTTACTGTATGTGATGTGGATGACGATCTGTTTACCTTCTCTATCATGATGATTGCTCATACTCAAGAACACGTCATCATGCCTACCAAATCTATTGGAGACCGTGTCAATGTGGAAGTCGATATGTTGGCCAAATATGCTCTCAAGTCCTTGGAAGGTGCTATCAAAGAAAATAATGGATTGGAAGCTTTAGTTAAACGTGTCATCAAACAATAGATTCTATCGTATATTATACATTCAAATAAAATGCAAATATAGTTTATTGTTATATATATAAGAATAAAAAATGGAACTGTACAAAATCACAAACAAAAGAAGCGTATGGATGGATGATAAGAAGTAAATGGAAGGGGATAGGATGATAGATATAGTTGTTATGATAAAATGTGTATGATGTTAATCTATGACAGAAGGAGGATGATCTTCTTCTCCTTCTTGTTGTTGTTGTTGTTGCTGCTGTTCATGAGCATTTAAATCATTGTTATTTTCATACAAGTCAGGAAAGGATTTGGCAAATTCATCAGATAATAAGGATCGGAAATTCTAAAAGAAAAGAATATATGATCAGTCAATAAGATAATATCCACAATTTGACACTCTTCATACTTACTTCTACAGCCTTGATTTTACCATGAGTAAATTGATTTTCACTTGCTGTTCGACTTGTGAAGGCTTGAGTAAACAGATCTGGATTTTTACCATTCTCAACATAACTAAACAACAACATCATATCAATGAGCTATCCTTTTTCCAACTATATATATGTGCGTGTGTGTAGTGAATATTCTTTTACCTAATAACTTCCTCTGGTATAAATTCGTTCAATCCATTCTTAAGTTGATCGATAGTTTTGTAATGGTCAAGAACAGAATTGCTATATTTATATCAAAAAGAGAAAAGTTAATATATATTGTTTATCATTATATTCCACATTTACATTTTGTTCCAAACAAGTTTATTGCCATCAGGTTGAAAATCATATACCATGACACTTAATTCAAATAAGACTTGAAGCAAATCGTGTAGTTGTTCTTCTACTTCTTGTCGAGTATCATCTGTTGTTTCTTCTTCACGTTCGTCGTTTCTATCATTCACTGTGTTAGGTAAAGTTTGAGAAGGTGATTGGGTATCATGATGTTGCTGCTGCTCTTGCATGACACTGGAAAGAAAGAATAAAAATAAAAAAAAAGTAAAAAAGAACTAAGAAGAAAATATATATAGGGCAACTGGAAAAATAACAAAAAAGAACATTGAAGCGGGAGGTGAAAAATCCTATTATTTGGTTTTTTGTCCAAAAAAAAAAAAAAAAAAAAAATCAATGAATGTAATTTTCATTCAATATACAAAAAAACGAAATATGAAAAACTAATGATTACCAAATAACTTTTTGCCTATTTTTGGTCTCTATGCTACCTATCAACCTTCCACTCTTAAAAAATCTGTTTCCAAAAAAAAAAATCTATAGACTACTACTGTCCACATCATGTCAATGAAAATAATCATCCACGCGAGAAGAGTGCATCTATCCCTTTCCATCAAATCTATAATCCTCATTTGATATTTGAAAAGCTCCAACAGAACGCCAGTGCATTTATTTACCAAAAAAAAAAAAATGTGTATAATATAATAACTATACTAAGATTCCTTTGAAATAACTAGAGCTTGTACGACGGCACCAGCGCGTAACTTGACAGTATTCTTTTCCAAAGGAGAAGTAGTGGTGAGAGTAAAATCGCCAATGATAGAAGTATGATCATCAAGAATCTTGCCAAGATAAATGAGTCGCAAATGATGGGTATCAGGAGTCAGGTGAGCATTTGGATCAGCAAAGATACGAGATTTTAATAATGGCACAGTTTCTTGAGTAGCACTAATCTTCAACGGGATATCTTTGCCAGTTGATAATCGAATAATAATAGGATGATCACCAGCATCTTGTTGTGTTGGGAGTTGACTGTCATTATGATGTAATGATTCTTTTGTTGATGATGAATCAATCATGGATGAAACACTACTAATTGTTTTTTGAAGTTTTGTTGATGTTGCTATTGGTGATGAATGTTGAATCATAGATGATACATCATGTTGTTCTTCTTCTTCTTCTTCTTCTTCATCAGGTAAAAGATTAGTAGGATCTACTAAACAATATAATGGAATATCATAACGAGTACCAAGTTCTATATTATAATAATAATAATAATAATTAAAATGGAGAACGAGTTAAAAAAAAAAAAAAGAAGGATTCTTGACCCTTGAAATATGTAATTTTTTTTTTCTTATTACCATCATAACAACCATCTGCAGGATTTCCAGTAGGTAGCTTAATATTTGCAGCATCTAAAATGGACTGTGCAAGAATAATATCATCACAAGTAATAGCTGCTTGAATAGCTTGCCATATTTCAGGTCGACCCTATATAAAGAAAAGAATTAATTTTTGTCAAAATATATAAAATAGAACTTACTTCATAAAACGGAGCCGTTTCCCAAAAAGTAGATCTTTGTTCTAATAGTCGTGTATGTGTTATAGGAATGTCTGAAGTCCATTGTATATTATTACGTCGAAAAGGTTTCCCTATAAATAAAGAAAGAAAGGGGGGTGAGAAAAAAAATATGTTCTATGAGAATCAACTTTTGACATTACCACCAGTGACAGTAGTTCGATTTGAGTTAGATTGACTAGATAAACAGCATCCCATGAGTAACTATATATATATATATTTTTATATTTATATAAGAACGAGAGAGAAATATGTAAAAGAAAGAAAGAAAAAAAGAGAAATAAAAAAAAAAAAAAAAAAAGAAAAAAAAAAGAAAAAAAAAAAAAGAGAGAGAGCCATAATCCGATTTGGTGATACAAAAAACCCAATGTTTTTTTTTTGAGTTTCCTCCTCCCCACTATTCGACTTTCCTTTTCGGGATTTGGTCATTTGCGCTCAGTCACAACTTATCTATTTACAGCATCTTCATATTATTGGTAATGTTTAGATATATAAACAAGGAGAATATAAACAAAAAAAACTAAAGATTCACCATAATGGGTATAAATCATTTATTTTTTTTTTATTAATACATAAAACTAAACTAAGGAGGATAATAAACTACATAAATCCATTCTTGTAAATATATTTTTTGGATGTTTTTCGTCAAACTTTTCACCCAATTCCAATGTTGTATGTCCGAGTGCCACGAGATGATTGTCCAATGGGGACTTTGCATTTGAAGATCCATAACAAATCGTACTGATGGACTGAGAATCTAAATATCCTAAATAAATGCACCAATGATTTTTCTTTTCTTTTGTCTTGAGTTCCAATGTTGTTCTTCTTTTTTGAGTTCCCCCTACATCCACACGTGAGGTAACCTGTTGGATACAAAAATCATTCAAATCTAACCCTAGTCCTTTGCCGATCGCTTTAATATAACTTTCTTTTACTCCCCAGATCTGGTAAAATGTCAATAAACGATCTTGTTCATTTTCAATTTGTCGTAAAAGGTCTTGTTCTTCTATCATTAACTATAAAAAAAGGAAATGAGTTTTATTAAAAGTACGATAATAATAATAATAATGCATATTAAGTGGCAATCCCTCCCCCCCTTTTTTTTTTTTTTTTTTTTTTTTTACCTGATCACTGAAACTAAAGATAAAATCATTGATAGATCCAAAAGTAGTTTGATTCATCCATACAACATCTACACCAATACACATATCTTGTTCTTCTGTAGCTCCAAAAATCACCCAATCTCCATCATGAGAAATATTAAAATCTGTCCATTTTCCTTGAGGATGTATCTATTAACAAATTAAAAAAAAAAGTGAGTAAATAAAAAGTTTTTTTATCAATCACTTTTATTATTATTACCAATGCTGGTTTCCCATGTTTTTGGAGATAAAACTTGAGACTGTCCCATGGTATATTGAGTTTTCTTGAATAATAATATCGTCGTAAGAGCCGACCTACTAATGCATGTCGACGATCACTTTCAAATTTGTATCGTAACACTTGTTCATGTTCATCTTTTGGCAATCTTTCAAGAGCTTGGTCAAACTATAATAATAATAAAAGACAAAATCTTGCTTCATTGTTCAGACTTCTTTTTATTTAAAAACTGTTTTTTTAGTTATATATAGATAGTACCTGATCACCTATATCATTAATGTTGAAAGACAATAATGTAACTGGAGAATTCATGGAAGAAACAGAGGTTGAAAAAAAAAAAAAAAAAAAAAGACAAGAAATATAAAAAAAAAAAAGTTCGAAGTTTTATTCAAAGTCAGAAATCTAGCATACAGAAGGACCACATCGATATACAAATTGAAGATGTTCTGAATTAGGTATGCAGGCCACTTGTAAGGAAGCTACTTGATCATCAGGTAAATGAGAAGCGGAATAAAAACAGATTTGACGTTTTGGAATCACTAGAATAGGGAGTTGTCCATGACGAATATGAGTATCAAATAATTCAATCCCTTCATCATTTTCACAGTGTTGAGAGAGCATCAATTGGTTTTCGTAATCAAATCCAGTCCATATAGTCGAGATCCCTGAATCTTCTTGTTGATTTTGACTTGTTGTTATACATCGAAATACCCAAATATGATCCAGTTCTGCTACTTTGGTTGCGTTGTCGTGAGGTGTAGGTAGATCAATTCCTTCTTGTTCAATACCACTTGATTTATTGAATTTCTTTTTACTGAAAGGTGAGTTTGATGACCGTGATAACATATCCATAACCTCTTGCTGTTGTTGCTGATCCATCACATCGCCTACTGGTGCTGTTACCCACATTGTTTGAATCTTTCGTTTACGTTGACCATTTTTATCTTGTTGTTTTCTTGATCTCAGTTTCCGAAAAAATGATATCAATACCCTAAATGCTTTATCATGTCGTTTTTTTGTCGGTTTTCCTGTTACTACTGTTGCTTCCTTTCTTGTTGTTGTTGTTGCTGTTGTAGATTCCATTGTTGAGGTGAGATCTATGTTTCTCAAATTGGACGACACAAGGTCATTCATATTATTCTTCCATAAAGTTCCATTGTTGGACGAATGTTGTTCAGATATTGTATTCACTTTGACCACCTTGTTAAGTTCAGCATTACGTAAAGCTTCTTGTTCCTGAGGAGTAACCTCTTCTTCTTCTTCTTCTTCTTCTTCTGTAGAATCTTCATGGCCATTGTGTTTTATTTCTTCGTTTTCATTGAATTGTTGGTTTGAAGAGTAGGCATTATTATAGTTGACTTGGTAATAGCTGGCCTTACCATCAAAGTAGCGAGGTTCTTGGGCAGATGTATGGAGCTGTTATAAAACCAAAAAAAAAAAAAAAAAAAAAAAAAAAAAAAAAAAAAGACAAAGAAAAAGAAGGTTAAAGAGCCGACTTGCAACAACAATAACATATCCTTTTTTGGAACAAAAAGAAAATTCAATCCTTACTTCACTTTGTTCATAATATTCTATATCATCATTCTGAATATGATGATACCTTGGTCGTTTGGAGGGAACAACATAAAGTTTTCTTGATGAGGAGGATTGTCGAGGTGAATGATGATAGCTTGGTGTCTGTGGCCAGTGAGAAGAATTGATACGATGGTGTCGGGAAGAATAGTCATAATATGGATCCAGTGATGGGGGCAAAGCTCCTCCTTCATGTTGACGACGTCTACGTAACTCATTCATCATAAAAATATCTATTAATTAGATCTAATACGTTAAAAAAAGAAAAGAAAGGGTAAAGAAAAAAAAAAGAAAACGAAAAAGAAAAGCAAGAAGATGAAAAAAAAAAAACGTTGGTTTATTTTAATATATGATCCGATGGAAATAGCAAAAAAAAAAAAAGAGATAAAAAAAAATAAAATAAAAACAATTCACCATATCAAGCTTTGAGTCGGTCCTACATGATGATACAACAAGTTTCACTATAATCTTTAGACACCATGTCAGGATTTCTTGGATTTACAAATGACATCTCAGGTGCATACATACGACGTCCTCCTCTTGGTTGGAACACTGCCTTCATAAACCCGGATGCATCTTGAACATTATCGAATTTGACATTGAGTGATGCTAAAAATATACAAAGCGAAGATCAGTAGAGATGAAGATGATCATCTGATATATTCCCAATCTTGTTTTTATTATTATTATTACTTACTATGCTGTCCATGATGTTGATCGGCAATAGCTGGAACCACAGGATGCTTCAAATTAAGTGCTGTTTTGTAATCATACCATGTATCTTCGTGGAGCATATCTAGTTAAATGACTTGAATATATAAACTATATAAGAAAAAAAAAGGGATTTACAACTTCCTTTTTTTCTTATCCTTTTTATACATTTGTCTACTTCAAGTTGATGTTTTTATTATCTTCATTTCCTTTTTAAGGTATAATATATTAGACAATGAACCATTTTTACTGCATTTGTAGAGCTTCGTCGCAATAATACCATCTATCATCATTATAATCATCATCAGTATCATTTTGTTCCATATCAACATGTTGTCTGTCATCCAATGAATCATTCTCACGTACATGCTGTATAGTTAGCTGAATATGATATTGCATAAAACAAAAAACGTAAATAATAAAAAAAAAAAAAAGAATGGACAATAAAAATCACAATCAAAATCATTTGATTTTTTTATTTCATACCATATTCAAAAACAATAACAACAAATTAATTTTCTAAAACAATACGATATCTAGGCTTGCCATTACGGAAGTCTTGAACAGCAGTAGGAGCATCGGTCATCTTGTATCTATCAAAAATCAAACATATTAATATCTTTCAACTTTTTTTTTTTTTTTTTTTTTTTTTTTTTTTGCAATCCGTTCATATTTTGATAGAACTTACTTGTTAATCCAAGGCTTGACATTGTGTTTTTCAGCAAATTCCAACATTTCTTCAATTTCAGCGGGAGAACCAATGGCTGATCCAGACAATTGAATTTGCTAGTTAAGTTTAAAAAAAAAAGGGGGGGGAAGAAGAGAGAAAGAATTTAGTATTCTATATTATAATTACTGATGCTTTTCATTCATTACCTTAAAAATGAGACTGAAAGGAGGGATACCACTCAAAGCAGTTTCAGGTGCAGCCACCAGAATAAAAGTACCATTGTGTTTGAGCAAATCCAAATACTTGGGCCAATCAAAATCTTGTTGATAACTTGTACACAGAATATGAGTCAAAGAACTTCTGTGTTTGGCATATTCTTCATCAGTGGCAGCAAATTCATTGCAACCGAGATCAAAAGCATCTTGTTTCTTACGTGAAGAATGAGAAAGGACGACTACTTCAGCACCAAGTGCTTTTGCCCAGAGTACACCAAAGTGACCTAATCCACCAAGACCAACTACACCCACTCTATCACCTTTCTTGACATTGTATCGTTTGAGAGGAGCATAAGTAGTAACACCAGCACAGAAGAAAGTAGCAGCGATTTCATTTGTCATATGATCAGGTACTTTGAAAACAAAGTGTTGATGACCACGCCATTTGTCAGCATATCCACCAAAAGTTTTATCTCCATTAGGCCATTTACCATTGTAAGTACCAATCTAAAAGTGATTGGAGAAAAAAAAAAAAAAGAAAGAAAAAGTTGAGTTGGAGGAAAAGAAAGAGAAAGAAAAAAAAAAGTGGAGTTGGAAAAAAAAAGATGACTTACCAAACCATTTTCGCAAAGATTTTCATAACCATCCTTACAATTATTACAATTTAAACAAGAAAAGGATTGAGCACCCACACCAATACGATCACCAACCTTGAATTTCTTAACATTTTCACCTACACGAGTAGCTACACCAACAATTTCATGACCAACTACACAAGGATAGTTTGTAGGACTATATATATAAAAATCATGGGGATTGAGTTTTAAAACAATTGTCTTAGTTTTTGATACGCATTGTGATACGAAGATCTGTCAAACATCATCACTTACCCCCAACCACTATCCATTGTATGAATATCAGAACCACAAATACCTAATCATAAAACGATGTTAAGAAAAAAAAAAAGAATAGGATTAAAAAATATGACTTACCACAATGAGAAATCTTCATTTCAACAGAATCAGCATCAAATGCCTTCAAAGGTAATTCGGTCCATTCAAGTGGTGCATCTAATATTATTAAAATGAATAAGTAAAATCATCATCATCCTATATAAATATTACCTTTGCCTTTGCAGGCCCATCCATGGAAAGAATCAGAAGCGCTCATATTTGTTTTTATTTATGGTTTAAAATAAGAGAAATTAAAGTAGAGAAACAAAATGCAATGGCATTCAGTCAGCTCTCTTTTATATTTTTTTTTCTCATTGACATTAATTACTAATACCATCCTTCCTTAGAAACAAGGAGCATCAAATAATAAAATCCAGCGGCATAAGAAACATCCGCTAGCGTTTCTTTTCGGAAACCCAATAAAAAAAAAGCATTCAACGTTTACTATTGCTTATTCCAAAACCAGAAAGACGACGCAAGCGATTACCAACTATGGAAGGAGTTTGACGTTAACGAGAGTAGCAATTGAGTCTGAGCTTTTCTTCCCTCTCTCCGTTCCCTTTTTTTTTTTTTTTATCGTGCTCTCTGATCCAAAGGATCTGATCACGAGTTAGTCCATTACTTTATAGTATATCGTATAAATAAAATAAAAAAAAGAGTGAGAAGAAAAAAAAAACCGCTGTTCCTTTCACTTCTGATGCGTTACGCGTATCTTTCATAAACACATCCAATGATTAAAAAAAAGAAAAGGAGATGATCAAAGTGAACTCTAACTAAAAATATCCCCTGTGTTGCCAATACTGTAAATGGTTTATTAATATATGAAAAAAAAAATATGAAAAACTAACGATTAGCAAATAACTTTTTGCCTATTTTTATATATATGCAAATAACTTTTTGCCTATTTTTGGTCTTCTATGCTACCTATCAACCTTCCACTCCACCCAATAAAAAATCTGTCTTTTTACTCTTTCCAAAAAAAAAAAAAAAAAAAAAAAATCTGTAGTCTACACCTTCATGTCGAATCTATCGTCCACATCTTTTCAGCAAACACAATCATCCACACGAAAAGAGTGCTTTGTATAGGCGATGATGGTTGACGAAGCAATGAGATGTATAATTACAACGGTAATAATAATATTAAGGTGACGATTAATAGCGTATTGTATACAACGAAATATGATAATGATAATAAAAATATGAATATTAACTTTATTGAAGAAAAATATAAAAAGGCGTTAGTATAACGAGACTAAACTACAGCGCAATGAAAGGATCAGACGTTCGTGTATATGCGTGTGAGAGAGAAATACAAGAATAACATCCATTTGTTCACAAACTGATTTCTCTTTCCAATACATCCCTTCTGTCCGTCGTATATCGACTATCAGTTGATCCTAGTTAATAGAGTTGTTTCCCATTGCATCTTTTTGTTGTGTCCGTTCCGTTTGGTTCTATGGTCCATATATATTCAGGATGATGCTGTTGATAATGATGCGCCAGAAAAATAATAACAAAGAGAAAAAGAAAAAGAAAACGAGAATCATATTGTAAATATTTTTTTTTTATGTTTCGTATCTTACTCTAACTAGTCACTCTTGCAAATGACCGTGATAATTGAATAATAGTACATAATGAGATCGATGGAGGACGTACCATGACTACCTATCTATTTAATAAATAATGTTAATGGTTGACGTTTAATGGATGATACTGAAGTTGGTACCTATACAAATAATAATTGATGGATGATGATGATAGTAATGGTGATGCGACATGAGATCATAATGATGTAGTTATCTATTCCACGAGGATGACGGTCATGATGATGATGATGATGATTCAAACTATAGCCTTGAGTAAAAAGGACAACTTGAGAATGAATAGGGAAACACACAAGTAACCCAACTTGTATTTGTGATACTACTTATCAAAGAGTATGTATGTATATTAGCTGAAAAGTCCTTCATTATCATATTATAGATCCTACCTTTAAATATAATATCCTTGATCGTTTTCCACTTTTGCTTATAAGCATGATTGATAGATGTGTTCAATAACCTTTCCCTTGGCAATATACTGGAAAAACACTAGGAAAAAAGAAAAGAAAAGAATCAGAATCATAACCCTAATCATACCTAAATCACTTACTATTTCTCTGTTTTGGAATGTGTTCTAGTACCTTTGATAATGATACTGTAGTTCCATTGTTATAGCTTTGCGATCCATTGAATACATGTTGAAGATCTAGTTTGCAATAAGGGTCAAGAGAGATGGAGTGATAGTATTTCTATAGCAAGATAAAAAAAGAGAAAGGTCTAGTTAATATACAGTGAATATATAAGGTTTCCATTTTATTGTATATGTATTCACTTACTTTTTATACAAAATAAAAAAAAAGATGTTTACGAAAAAATAGTGATAAGAAAAGAAGAAGAAGAAAGTGTGAGAAAATAAAATAAAGTTGCTGTCATTTTACATAACCCTGAGCCTTTCCTTTTTTGGATGTTCAAATACCGCGTATAAGCAGTTTATATTCAGGTAATCAAATTGTTTGTTCAAACGTTGATTTAATCTAGAATAATGTGATTGTTAATTCCATCATATAACAAAGTTGCCAAACTATTAATGCATAAGATAATAATAAAAATAGTAAAGTTGTTAAATTAGTCTAACCTAGATTATTCTCAATTGATAATCCTTTTTTTTTTAACCTTTCTTTACTACTATATAATATTATATGAATACAAAGAATATAATAAAGAAAATTCAAGATGTTCATTCATTATCATCAGCATCATATTAATCAACAAAGAAATTCAAGAATATATATATTATAAAAAAGGAACTAAATCTATGTGATTCCTTATGATTGGCTGGTGTGATTTGCAGGATTTTTTAAACAGGCTCCGATCAGGTAGACATATAAAATATATATTTTCTTTTTTTCTTTCTTTCTCTTTTCTTTCTTTCTTTCTTTCTTCACCTTTTTTTTTATTCTTTATTAATTAAACAAACATCATGGCTCAAGCATACAACAGAGATTTGACTCAACTTATTATGCGTCCCAATGTTGGTAAAGTTGGTAAATTAGTACGTGTAAGCAATTTCTTTGAAATGACAAGTCTTCCAGCTCAAAATATACAACACTTGAATATTCAAATATTACCTGATGGTACTCCTCCTGTTATTCTCAGAAAGGTGTGGCAATCTTTTGAGGATAGTCTTAAAGGTCAAGCTTTTCTTAACAAGGTCAAACCTATCTTTGATGGTCGTGCAAATCTCTTTTCTCCAAAACCACTCAAATGTGGTGATGATAATCTTGGTATTTCTTTTGAAGTAAGTAAATAGAAAAAAAATGACGTATATTTTATCATATACCTATTACTTCATCCCCAACATTATTATGTTTTTTTTTATCACTCTTTTTTTTCTATTGGTTCATTTATATTCATCATTTTTATTCTTGTTTATAGGTCAATCTTCCTTGGATAAGACTTACAAACCTCCTTTCACCTTTGTGGTTTTTCAAAAACGTCATCATGCTCGATTCTTCCCTGTTGAACCTCATGATGCTGATCGAACTGGTAACTGTCAACCTGGTACCGTCGTGGATACTGATATCGTACATCCCTTCGAATTTGATTTCTGTAAGTATTCAAATGATTATATGTATTAGGATGATATATTGATTTATATATGCATATATCTATTTTTTTTTCTTAGATTTGCAATCACATGCTGGTATCCATGGAACCTCTCGCCCTGCTCACTACCACGTACTTTATGATGACAATTATTTTTCTGCTGATGCTCTCCAAGAACTCACTTACAATTTGTGTTATACATGCGGCATAACGACCAATGCAGTTTCCATCTGTGCACCACTTTATTACGCTCAATTGGTAGCAAAAAGAGCAACATTCTACCAATTGGGAAAACAATGGGACGGTATTACTGGCAGTACGAAGGAAACTGAACTTGCATCTTTTGGCTATGTGAAAAATGAATTGAAAAATGTCATGTACTCTATGATGACAATCATTTTTCTTCTGATGCTCTCCAAGAACTCACATACAATTTGTGTTATACGTGCGGCATAACGACCAATGCAGTTTCCATCTGTGCACCCTTATACTCTCCAAGAGCTCAGTTACAATTTGTGTTATACGTGCGGCATAATGACCAATGCAGTTTCCATCTGTGCACCACTTTATTACGCTCAATTATTAGCAAAAAGAGCAACGTATCATCAACTGGGAAAACAATGGGACAGTATCACTAGCAGTACGAAAGAAACTGAAGTCACATCTTTTAGCTATGTCAAAAATGAATTGGAAAACGTAATGTACTTCGTATAAGTGATGTTTTTTTTTTTTTTTTTTTTTTTTTTTTTTTTTTTTTTTTTTTGTATATATTCAACAAATTAGTAGTTAGTTATTTTTTATTCTTTTTTGTACATATGTTTCTTTACACTATGGGAAAAGATCTGAAATAAATTTTATTTTTCCTGAATACGTTTATTTTTTTTCCTGACTCGATTTAGTACAGACGTTCTTGATTTCTGATTTTTCTTAAATACATTACGTCGCTTTCAAAGTAAATTAAATGCGAATTTCGGAAAAAAACGAAATGAATGTCGGATTTCCGAAATTCATTCAGTATTTTCATAATCAAACTTCATTTCTGATACAATATACAATCATCGATCATTATAGACAAGAAAGGGACTTTATTTCATTAATATAACTATACTACATAACTATACTACATAACTATACTACATAACTATACTACATAACTATACTACATAACTATACTACATAGCTATACTACATAACTATACTACAAGGATAACGTTCACCAGTATGACTAAGACCAACTAATGCCACCTCCAAGATAATGATCATGACTTTCACTTTGGGTATAACTATTGTATTTGATATGGATACTTCAGTTGGCAGTCTAACAGAGTCATTCCAGCGAAGAAGGGAGTCGATCTTGGCTTGATTGTATAGTTTGCAACCTACAGATAAAATTAACAAATAGCAATCCATCAACATCACTCTCTTTTCTTTTTTTTTTTTTTTCCATGCACATGTTACCTTGGCTATATCATTGAATGTTTGCATCACCATTATTGTATAGACGATAATCTAGCAAACTACAGATAAAATCACCAAAATGAGTAGTAATCCATCAGTGTTTATTTCTTTTTCTTTTTCTTTTTTCTATGTACAAGTTACCTTGGCTGCACCATCGAATGTTTTGTACCACCAGTAAACCCAATGTCATCATAACAGTTGGCTCGGAGAGAAATAAAGGCTTGCCACATGCAGATATCAGACAATTTCAGATCATCAAGAAAGATAGTTGTATCGTCTTACGTATAGCGCTCCACTATCAGTCATTGATATGATCCTCAATAATCTTCCCAAACCAAATACCGCAAATGTCAGGACTTAACAAGGACTCCAGCATGAAACAACACGATCAACAGACAATAACTGAATTTCCTACGTGTTGCATTTTGCCCTCCATCTACTTGAGCACAAAATTCAGTCACTAGATTCATAAATGATTCTAGAGACTGATCATCCTCGACCAAGTCCATTGCCCGTAGACAAACAAAGATCAATACACCATGATCTTCGTCTGACCAAAAGCTAAGTATAAAGTAATGATGACCATCCGACATTTGACTGTATAGACCACTATTCTGATACCTATCAGATAACAAAGAATCAGTAAAATGAGCAGTAATCCATCGATGTTATCCACTTTTTTTTTTCTTATATATATATATATTACCTTAGCTACATCAGGTGCCGATATTGATGTACCAATCATAAAAACCAATACCAAAGAGATAACCAAAAGCACTTTACGTATAGTATACTTTGTTGACTTTTTGTCAAAGAGAATGGAGATAACCAAAAGAACAGGAGCAGTAGCCTAAGACCATGAGAAAGAATGATAATAGGGAAATGCCATATCAAGTGGGAAAAAACAAAGGGCAAAGACCAACAATGCAGGAAAAAGATCTTGAAGAAATCACCAACCACAGTAGAGACAGACAAGAGTAATAGAGAGTTCAACCACCTGTGAAAGAAATATTGATGAAAACATCATTACAATAAGAGGCAGATGAGAGAAAGGAAAAAAAGACTAACCAAGTATGAAAACAGATATTGAGGAAGACACCACCAGAATGAGAGAGATCAGTGCAAGAGAGTCCAACCAAGAGAAAAAAAAAAAGGATAGAGAAGAAAGTACCATGTTGGAAGAGAGATGAAGTAGAGAGAAAGACCAATTACGTAGATAAGAGATTTGATGAAAATACCATTACAATGAGAGACAAATGAGAGAAAGAGAGTCTAACTAAATAGAAAAAAAAAATAAAATAAGATGAGCCACCTCTTGTACTTTTTGTTTCAAGATATTTTTGTGAATTTTACCACTTCTGCGCTAATTCTTTTAATTCATTACTAAACGGTAATGGTATCCAAAGTGTTCTTCAACCAATATTTGGCTTGATAATGCTTGTGGGAATATGGAGGGCACAGAATGAGCTACAGCTTGTCATGTTAAAAAAAAAAGTGAATTAAACAAGAAAGAAAAGCGAAGAAAAAGGAAGTAAGTGGATTTTCCCTTTATGCTAATGACTGACTTTGAATCGACAACCATTTTTTTTTTCTCTTTGATTTTGTACCTGAAATGCATTTCATTTTTACGAAATCTAATTCGATTCAAAATTACATTAATTTTAGATCTTTTTCCCATAGTGAAAGGATTTGCGAAAAGGATACGGGTCTCAAAAACATAGGTTTAGTTTAGGATTTTTTATTTTTAGTCTTTTTTATTACAATAAACTTGTTTCTTTTTTTTTTTAAAAAAAAAAGTTGACTTTGGACGATATTCATTTCGTATTAACGAGATCCATTTAATTTCAAAATGAAATCAATTTAGGAAATGCGACATTGGTTTCATTTTGGAACGAAATGTTTCCGGAATCAGTTTAGAAAAAAATTGGAAAACGAAATTAAACGAAATTCATTTAAGAAGAATACTAAATTAATTTAGGAAATACGAAAAGGATTCCGTAAAATGTCGGAAATCTGATATTTATTTCGGAAATCTGATATTGCTTTTCCCATAATATATTATTTACTCTGTTTATCTTCTTTGCATATGTATATATTTCTTTATCCAATAAACCAAAAATTCGTTTCTTTTTAATAATGATGCCTCTTTTATAATTACGAGATAATGGAATGAAAGTGATAATGGTAATAATGGACGATGGATGATTGAAGGAAGGTTAGTATATAGAGAGTTTAGACTTCTAATTATGAAAAATTAGTTGTTCAATTTATTTCAATTTATCCATCAACATGTTTCTTCCCTATGTCAAATCCATCAAGCACCATTTCCTTAATCACATGTCCTGCTATCAAACACCAAATTTCAATTGTTCTATGTAAGCCATTACCATGAACAACATCAGCCTCCTGAGGGCTTATCGGTCCAAATTCAATGAATAAAAATGATGACTTTTAAGTGAATTACAACAGTTTAAAGAGGTTCCTTGTGACTCCATTTCGCGTTATAGTGTAAAAGACAATGGTTTAAAATTTTCAAATGGCTTTTTCTCCCTATCGAGCAAGCTAACCAATGAGAAGCTATAATCTATGCTGTAAGGGCAGGTAATTCTATCATAAATTCAACCAAAGATTGCGTGTAAAGCAGACCAGAAATCGTTTAGGAAGATCATCCAACGTGGTTTATGCTGATATTTGTTCCTGAATCCATATGATGATAACATTACGATGCAGGGTAAAAAAAAAAAAAAAAAAAAAACCTGAATCTATTGATCAATGCACAACCAGTAGTAAACAATAGAGAGAGTACAAAAGTAATAATAATAATAAAAAAAAAAGGGAAGATTTTTATTTTCAAAAAGTATACAAAGATTCTATGTCAACTAATCTAGAAATGACATCCAAAATAAAAAACACATATAGAATATAAATATAAATAAAAAAAAAGGATAAATAAATACTCTATGTATAGAATTTCCTAGCGCATTCTAATCCATGATAATAATTGTGAGGAATATGATCACGAAGAACAGGTGGGTAAAAGCATTCCAGTAGTTGAAGGGGATTTCTAATTGTTTTTGTTGGGTATTCATCAGAGGAAGCGGGTATCCAGCTACGGTAAAAAGTATGCCAAGAGTGTATCACTTGCATCCATTTGGGTAAGCCATTGATATCAGAAGGAGGAGTTGGTGTAAGGGCATAAGGTCTATATAATGTCGAATTGACTTGGTCATCATCATCATCATTGTCATCATCATCAATAAAACAGACAGTCTCATCAGAAGTGGAAGAGGAAGAGACAGTACTGGAATAGGAAGATGGAAGAGAAATACAGAGATCCTTCAATATCTTGTCGTAAGATGGTAAGATAGCATCTTGCTGTTGTTGTTGTTGTTGTTGTTTGATTACGAAATCACCTGTATATCCACTTGCAATAATTTGCATTGATCCAGGAGATTGGTAACTTGATGGTTTGAGAGTAAGAGGCCGTTCAGGGTTGTGAGGAATCAAAACTCCATGACCAACATGTGCATAATTGAAGAAATCCCATTTGGAGACAAAACGACCAAAAATACGATTATCATAACCGACTGGTAATCTACAAACCGCATCAAGTTTGTTGACCACGCGCCACAGAGTAGACCGACGTTTCACAGGAGTATTACTATGACTAGCAAATAAAGAGGCAAAATCATCATCACCAACAGCAGGAGTGCCAATCACGTAGCAATCACGCAGATGAAGCGATTCTTGTAAATCTTCAGGACATTTTAACCAACGAGAAAACAAGAGACAGCTCATAGCAGCACCCAAAGAATGACCTGTTACCCAGACTTGTGCCTTTTTTCCAGGATAAAGTAATTTCGCCTTTTCGTGTAACGCATCTAATATAGCTTGGTAAGGATCCCGCTTGTCATCATCGCCAAAATCAGTTGTAGGAAACACTGAATCATAAAATCCTTGATGAGCAGCTCCAAATAGATAAGGTCTTGCATCAGCACGTTGAATAGAACAATCAACAAGGAATTCTATTGACAAAAAAAGCAGTAATAGGATCAATGTCCATTCTTTTCCTTTTTTTTTTTTTTTTTTTTTTACCTTCATAATTGGTTGGTGTAGTGCCTTTGAAACAAACAATAAAACAGGGATAATCTTCAGCCCAAAAAAGACCACAAAATGGACCTCCCAATGATTTCAATTCTGAAATGCCTGTGATCAAAAAAAAAAAAAAATCAATATAAACAAAATATTAGAAATAAATAAAATTTGTTGACGCTTACCTTCAAACTGTAATCCCATAGGCTTAGCGAATTCACGAATTCGTTTTTCAGATTCCCACAAAAGATGGCGTACAGTTCTTTCGGTCATAGTCTCTATTCCATCTGATGCATCAATATCATCTGGATAATCCGTCATCACATCATAAGCTTGCTTGACTAAATCATCATTTCGTTCATAGACCAAGGCAGAAAGTATTGTCATTGTTTGAGCAATAGAAATATCGAATACATGGTCCATATGTTCAATCTTTGAAGTATCAATGCCAAGTACTGGTAACGCCATTCTAACACGATTACGACTTTCATCAGACATCAATAAAGAAGGATCACCTATTTTTTTTTTTTTGTAGCAAAAGGTTAGTATCAACTAATATATATATATATATATATATATATTCTTGTTATTGTATCACTGACCCCAATTGATAATGCTAAGCCCTACATATATATATAAAAAAAAGGATAAAGTGAACCAATAAGTTACTAATCAATTGGTCATTTACCTTTTCCATATCGTGAAGAGAGATATAAAATCAATTGATGACCACCCATTCCTTCCAAAAAGAGTTTCAAAAAGAGTTCAACAAAAAGAAGAGCAACCATAAAAGTAGGATAGACAATAACGGTAGCCAAAGCACTGAGAGGAGCAGAAAAAATCATTGTCCAGTTAAAATAAAGAGTAAGTATGAGGTTCTTTGCCATTGTCATAGCATATTGAGAATAAGGTTGAGAAAAAGTACGTACAGGTCGTAGTTTTGAATTCTTGTCCTTGGTCCATCGCCGTATAGTGGATCGTCTTGGTTGAAAATAACTTTCATCTTGATCAGTAGGATGAAGTGACCTCAAAGCCTCCTTCCCAAGAGCCTTTATTTCTTCAAAGTGGTGTCGTCCATATCCTTTGGATCTATGTAAGCGTGTCATAAAAATTTAAAAAGATAAAGAAAGAAAGAAAAGAACGAAAAAAAAAAGGGGAAAAAGCAAGCTTAAAATACACGATTTTGAGTCTCCGCACACACGTTTCTCATGTGAAGAAATCAACATTTAATCGATAGCATGACATTCATTTGATGGAACAGATGTTAAACCATTAAAAGAGAAGATAATATTCTTTTCCGATCTTAATAGAGGACCCTGAATCATTGCGGCGTCCAGAACCAAAAAGGAAAAAAAAGATTCATACTTATGCCTGAGATGACAATAGATCAATTATGATATTTTATTTATAAACACGATTCAACAGAATAGTAATCTTTCATTTAAAAAAAAAGAGAGAGACATGTACGATGCAGTATTTACCAAAGTCAATGAAGAAAGTTAACATTCTCTTTTTTGGCTGCTGAGATTGAAGATCCCTATACATACGCACACGATATTTACCATTTGTGTATTTTCTTTTTTTTTTTTTTTTTGTTATTTTTTCGCCTTTTTTTTTTTTCTCCTATTTCATGTCCCTCTCTCCTTTTTAACTCCTTCCTTTCATACTTCTTTTTTATTCTTTTTTTTTTTTCCTTTGATAGTATGTCCTATTCAAGAAGGGATCGCGATAGTAGAAGACGTGATGGTGGTTGTAGGCTATATGTTGGTAAGATTCAACTCAATATATACTTTTAACATCTATTTCTTTTTCTAATTCTCCTTCTTGTGTTGGTTTGTATTGATGATTCACTCACAGGGAAGATTAATCGTTATGTTCGTCAACGTGACTTGAAGGATCTTTTTAATCGTTATGGTCATATCAAGGATTTAGCACTTATGGTATGCTGCCTAAACAAGACAAAAGTTGTTGTAAACTGACTCCCATCTTTTCTTTTTTTTTTTTCTTGCTTTTAGGACAATTATGGATTTGTTGAATTTGATGTAAGTATGAAGAACTTATTTTTGAAACATCTTGTAAGCTCAAACTAATGTTATTTCTCTTTTTTTTTAAAAAAAAAAATAAAAAATAAAAAATAAAAAGGATCCTCGTGGTAAGATTGCAAAATAAATATCATAATTGTCAAGTACGATCTAATTGTTTCTGGATATAATATTTATATATAGATGCTGATGATGCGATACGTGGATTGGATGGCTATAGACTAGAAGGTGATCGCATACAAGTGGAATTTGCGAAAAAGTCAAGGTATTCTGATCGTGGTGATCGTGGTGACCGTGGTGACCGTAGTGAACGCGGCCGTGATCGTGATCGTGAACGCTGTTGTTATAACTGTGGGGAAATTGGTAAATTGAAAAGAACTATACTTTTGGACGAGAAGATGAAGGTTGGACGCTGAAATAGGTTATTCATACCCTGTTCTTCTCTTTTTTTTTTTTCTATATAGGGCATTTGTAAGTTGATTGACATGAAACATTTCCTTAGGATGAACCTATCTTACTAATGAAATGATATTTCTTTTTTTTTTTATTGATATACAAAATAATAGTGCTAGAGAATGGTAAGTGGTTCAATAAATTTTTTTCTCGTATGTATGAAAATACCATAAATTCATTCTTCCTTTTTTTTTTTTTGGAAATATAGTTCTTTGCCAAAGGGTAGTGGTGAACGTGCTCAAAGATTCTCAGAAAATCGTTGCTTGTAAGTTACTCTATCTCTCTTTTTTTTTTTCTTTTTTGTTTGAAATGGATGACAAGTGGACTTTAACCTTATATGTATTTGTTATTGATAGTGAATGTGGTGAACCTGGTCACAGAGCTCAAGATTGCCCGTAAGTTAGGTACTTGATTGGATACAAGTAAGCTGATTTTATTTTTATTTTATTTTTTTATGCTTAGTACTCGTCGCAATGGTGGTGATATGAGTGGTCGTTCCAAGAGATATAGATCTCGATCTCGGTCTCCTCGTCATGATCGTCGCCATGAACGTAGTCGCCGTCATCGATCATACTCACGCTCTCCATCTCCTCGTCGATCTCGATCTCCTTCACAACCACGTCGCCATCGGTCTCCTACACCGCCCTCACGACAACGGGAAGAACGTGAAGATTCACCAGAAAGAAGCAACGGTATTAGTCCTCGACGCTCACTTAGTAGAAGCCCTTTAGTAGAAAGAGAATGATTTAGTTATGGTTAGATGTTGATATTTCATTTTTATTATTACATATTATCTTTTTTTATACTGTGTTGTCAATAAAATTTATTTTTTGATGTCTACATTTTATGCATGGGATGATGGAGCTGCCCCCAACAACTTTGATAGATGAAAGAACTCCGAATCTTGTTTTTTTTTTTATCAGCGCGTTTTCATCTTTTTCAATTCTTTTGTTTCTTTACTTTTTTACGTTATTATATATATATATATTTTAATACTATGTCTCCTACAGTTTATTCATTCCCTACCACGTCAGATTTATCCAATGGTTTGAACTCATTTGTTGAAAAAGTATCCCGTGAAGCTATCGAAGATCATGGTAGTCTTTCCGTGGCTATTTCTGGTGGATCGTTACCCAAGTTGTTATCAAAGGAATTGATACATAACAAGCAAGTGGATTTCAGCAAGTGGCACATCTTTTGGGCAGATGAACGATGTGTTGGTTATGATAGTGATGATTCAAACTATAAGGAAGTAAAGAAAACATTATTGGATCATGTTCCCATTCCTGCGAACCATATTTATCGTATCCATGAAACATATGGTATCAACAAACAAACCGAACTTGCCGCTAAGGATTATCAAGAACAATTGGTATCATACTTTGGCAAGGATGGATTCCCTCGATTTGATTTGATTCTTTTAGGTATGGGTCCTGATGGTCATTGTTGTTCTCTGTTTCCAGGTCATCCTTTATTGCAAGAACGTACACTCTGGGTGGCACCCATTGATGATTCTCCCAAGCCTCCTCCAGAACGAATTACTTTGACATTACCAGTGGTGAATCATGCTCAAACAGTGGTATTTGTGACAGCTGGTGAAGGAAAACGAGAGATGGTACAAAAGATTATTGAACAACCTCAATTGGAATTACCTTGTCAACGCGTACAACCTGAAAATGGACAAGTTTATTGGTTTGTGGATGAACCAGCAGCTGGATCATTGAACAAGTCATCCTATGCATCTTACAAGTTGTGATTATATATATATATATATATATATACTAGTATAGTAGATTTTATAGTATAGTTGAGGATGATTTTTAGGTGATGTCAAATAAAGTATATTTATATATAAAAAATAATTAAAAAAATAAAATAAAAAAAGACTTTGTGTATTTGCCTTTTTTGAAAGGTGGCTCAAATGATCATATTTTTGGTTATATATTCAAAAAAAAAAAAAAAAAAAAAAAAAAAAGGGTTGAACTATTCTATTTGTAGCAATTGTTAGAATTTGAAAGTAAATTGCCTAAGCATTAACTATGTGTGATACAAAGTCTTTGGTAATTGGTAAATTTATTTTTAACCTTCTAAAAAAATATGATGATTATATTTCATCAATCAACAATCATAGTTATCATCCTTTTTTGGTATCTCTCACTCATAAGATAATATATGTACTATACTATCCCTTTTATTTCCTAAATACAGTAAAATAAGCATGCAAAAAAAAGGGACCTTTTTCAATGTCCTATACAAAAGTGGAATCAGCATGGGGGAGTGTTCTTTTTCTCTTCTATTATTATTATTATTATTACTCTTTTTTGCCCTTTAGTTTTTTCGACCAATCAGAGACCGTGTTTCCATTCACAGTTCGTGTTACATTGAAATATTTTAAAGTTTGCTCAAATAAATTAAGTATTCCTTTTATTTCATTTTTTTTTTCTTTTCTCGTTCCTTTGTTTCTTTCTTTCTTTCTTACTTTTTATATCAATATCATTTTGATCTGAATAAGATATACTATAATTATTGAAAGGTAATAAATAAATAAATAAATAAATAAATAAATAAATAAAAAACTTAAATAAAAAAAAAACTAACAAGTCATTTTTATAGTTGACAATAATGGCGTATCATGATCAATATCATCATGATCGGTATGGAAATAATTCTCCAAGACCTCCACCAGTAACAAGATTCAATGATCATCCATTACAATCCTATGATTCTGGTTATCAAGATCATCGTGAAGGAATGAATCAGCCTTTATTAGCTAGTGGTATGTCTCCTGCACCTACTCCTCCTATGAATCGACCTAATCATATTCAATTCAACAATTCTTCAACTATGATGAGTGGAGGTGCTCAACCATCTGGTGGTTATATGCCTTTTCCTTCTGCTGGTGGTGTACCTTATGTAGGTGAAGCTCCTCGTAGACAAGCTAGACGTTACAAGACTGTTCGAAAAGTGAAATTGACAGGTGGAAACTTGGTGTTGGAAAATCCTGTACCTACCAAATATTTACAATATGTCCAACGACGTGATGCTCATGAATTTACTCATATGCGCTATACTGCTGCTACTTGTGATCCTGCTAAATTTGTTGCTGAAAAGTATCAATTACGTCAACAATTAATGAATCGTCAAACTGAACTATTTATTGTCCTTACCATGTACAACGTAAGTATATATATATATATTATTATTATTTTTTACTCATGATATCTTTCTTTTATTTATTTATTTATTTTAAAAAAAAATAATAATAATAGGAAGATGAAGTTTTATTTGCTCGTACTATGCATGGTGTAATGAAAAATATCGCTCATTTATGTTCAAGAGATAAATCCAAAACTTGGGGAAAAGGAGGCTGGGAAAAGATTGTTGTATGTATTGTATCTGATGGTCGAACCAAGATTCATCCTCGAACCCTTTCTTTATTGGCTGCTTTGGGTGTCTATCAAGATGGTATTTAAAAAAAAAAATAGGAGTATAGTGATCTGTATGTTAATTTCCCTTTTTATTATCATGATCATCATTCTAGGTCTTGCCAAAAATATCGTGGGTGACAAACCAGTGACAGCACATATTTATGAAGTAAGTCATAAATCATCTCCAAAATAAGTACTTATCCATGTCCTTATTCTATTTTTATTTTATTTTTTTATTTTTTATTTTTTACAAGCACACTACACAACTATCCATTGACCCTGAAATGAAATTCAAAGGTGCAGATAAAGGGATGGTACCTTGCCAAGTATTATTCTGTCTCAAGGAAAATAATCAAAAAAAGATCAATTCTCATCGATGGTTCTTTCAAGCCTTTGGTCCATGTTTGAGACCTAATGTATGTGTACTTTTGGATGTCGGAACAAGACCTGGTCATACATCTATTTATCATTTATGGAAATCCTTTGACATCAATACCAACGTGGCTGGCGCATGTGGGGAAATTAGAGCCATGGTAGGTCCTGGTGGTGCTTATCTTTTAAATCCATTGGTGGCTGCTCAAAACTTTGAATACAAGGTCCGTACCTTTCTTTTTATTAAAAAATCATCACTCATTTTTTTTTTTTTTTTTTTTAGATGTCGAATATTTTGGATAAACCATTGGAATCAGTATTTGGATATATTTCAGTCTTACCAGGTGCGTTCTCTGCTTATCGTTATGAAGCATTACAAAATGATATTAATGGTCATGGTCCTTTGGAAAAATACTTTTTGGGTGAACAAATGCATGGTGCTGATGCTGATATTTTTACAGCTAATATGTATCTTGCTGAAGATCGGATCTTGTGTTACGAACTGGTTGCTAAAAAGGATGCATCTTGGATTTTACATTATGTATCAAGTGCTTTTGGGGAAACAGATGTGCCTGATAATGTAACGTATAAATAAAGGGGGAGGGAATATTTTTTTTTGAATAGCCGCGACTTATACTTTTCTTTTCTTTTTCTTTTTTTTTTTTTTTTTTATTCTCAATAGGTACCTGAATTTATTTCACAACGTCGTCGATGGCTCAATGGTTCCTTCTTTGCTGGTATCTATTCTATGGTTCATTGGAGAAAAGTATGGTCATCTGATCATAATATTATTCGAAAACTCTTATTCATGGTAGAAGACTTATATCAATTGGTCAATCTATTCTTCTCTTGGTTTGCATTGGTAAGTTCAATTAAAGATTATCAGATCATATACCTTTTTTTTTATTTATTTATTTATTTCATTTCTCTTAATATAATAGGGTAATTATTATCTGGTCTTCTATATCATGAGTACGGCTATTTATGATCCTCACTTGACCAAGAAACCGTTCTCTGATACCGTTGGTCAAATCATTCATATTATTCTTAATTATATCTATCTCTTTTTGTTGGTGGTTCAATTTGTAAGTTTATTCTTTACATAATATTTTTCTTCTCTTTCTTATATTGATATATGTTATGAATAGGTATTAGCTTTGGGTAATCGTCCTCAAGGGTTTAAACTTGCTTATACTGTCATCATGGTGTGTCTTAGTGTGATTATGGCATACGTAAGTGTTTATTATTTATAAAGTCAACATCATTACTAACATTATTATCTACTAGTTATTATTCTGTACAGGTTGGATTACATATGTCAGTATCACCACAGTAGTGACGCAGTGGCATGACGCTGAAGGGACCTTCCTTACTCTGCTCAAAGAATCAACTTTCCGAAATATCTTGGTATCCGTATGTTCAACCTATGTGATGTACTTTGTTGCTAGTGTTTTATTTTTGGATCCATGGCATATGTTCACTAGTTTGATTCAATATGTCCTTATGTCTGCCAGTTTTGTCAACATCCTCAACATTTATGCTTTCTGCAATACTCACGATGTGTCTTGGGGTACCAAAGGGGATAATGGTGTAGCTACAGATCTTGGTGTGGTTAAGACGAAAAAAGACAAGGATGGTACACATACAGTAGAAGTGGAAGCACCAACGGAACAAAAGGATTTGAACGAACAATACGAAGAGGCTATCTTGGATTTGAGGAAAGTCGTCAAGGCTGAAGAATCTCATCGGGATGCTAAAACCAAGCAAGAAGATTACTACAAGGCTTTCCGTACCCGTTTGGTGTTGGGCTGGATCCTCTCCAACATGATCTTAGTAGTGGCTATCACAAATACTTCAAATCTTTGGAGTGATAGTCTCAAAAACTCTCGCGCTGATTATTATATGGTAAACCAAAAAAAAAAAAAATGGATGATGGATAATTGACGCTTTATTTCTCTTTTTTCTTTTTTTTTTTTTTTTTTTTTTTTTTGGTTTAGGGTGCATTATTATGGAGTGTTGCTGGTTTGGCTGCGATTCGTTTTGTGGGCTCTTGTATCTATTTGGTTTTCAAGATTTTCACTGGATGACGATCTTTTTTTCCTATGATACATCCCCTTTCTTTTTTTTATTATTATTATTATTTTATCATTTTACCATATGCATACAAATATTATTATTCGTTTATCATAGTTTTATTGTATTTACTTTTGATAGTACACAGATCATATTTTACCCTTCTATTTACTATTATCATTGTTTGTTTCTTCAATACAGTACATACTACTTTTTTTTTGGGTCTCATTTCTGATTGTCAAGTTTCATACATCTTATATGTACGATAATTCTTTTTTTTTATTTTATTATTTCGTTCTCATGATATTTTGTAAACGATAGCTTTCTCAAATAAATTATTATTTTATTATACCATACAGTATTCCTTATATGCTGGATGGATGCCAGTGGTGATGATGGTATGATGCTATACTATATGATACAGTAAGGATATGGTTTGATGACAATGATACAGCATGAAAGACCTTCATCAAGCATGCCACTCTCCTCTGCTTTTTTTTTACATCATACCATCGATAATTGTTATATGTTGTATAATCAAGAATAATCAATAAAGATGATGCACATAGTTAATGCAAGTTGATTATCATACTCAATTTTACTATTGTTTTTTTTTTTTTTTTTTTTTTTTTTTTTTTTTTTTTTTTATATATAATCTGCCTGTTATCCATAAAAGGAAGGTCATGCCGGGCGATCGGCGAATGAAATCGATGGGTAGGATTGAAGAGGGTTGAAGGATGTCTCTGGATCATCGCTATAGGGCAATCTTTCTCTTTCTTTGACTCTTAACTATATCAACCATGGTGGTAAAGCTCAACACATGATAAAATATAAAAAAAGGACGAAATCGGATGATCTTTAGGAAGACGATAATATCGAATCGTTATATAAAATGAATGAATGGATGGATGGATGGATGGATGGATATGTCTTCAGTCATGTAACGAATGAACTTTTTTAAGATTCAGTTACAGTGAATGGATGAAAGAGTGGATGGGTCATCATGGAAGGAAATGATAATGACATTCTTACTAACTGGTTCATTCTTTCTTTTTTTTTTTCTTTTTTCTTATATAGCAAGGTGCATTCAAACGTGAAGTCCAAGTTGGTCGTATTGTTCTCCTTAACTCTGGTGCCGATGCCGGTAAATTGGCTGTCATTATCGATATCGTCGATCACAACCGTGTAAGTGATGGATAATTAATGTTGTACTTGGAGAAGAATAAGAGGAGGAAATGATGACATACATGAACGATATATGGAACAAACAATAGACAAATCAACTGAATCCTTTCTATTATTATTATTATTATTAGGCTCTCATCGATGGTCCTACCACCGGTGTTGCTCGTCAAGCTTTCTCCTACAACCATTTGACTTTGACTCCTTTGGTCGTCAAGGAACTTCCTCGTGGTGCTGGTGAAAAGGTTGTCAAGAAGTACTTGGCCAAGTCTGATGCTATTGCCAACTGGGAAAAGTCTGCCTGGGCTCAAAAGATCGCTACTCGCAAGACCCGTGCCTCTTTGTCTGACTTTGACCGTTTCAAGGTTCAAAAGTTCAAGGCTCAAGTAAGTAGAAGCATAAAGCTATCATGAAACCCATTCACTTATTCTTTCTTTTCTTTTTTTTTTTTTTCTAGCGTCGCTTTGCTGTCGGTTCTGCCATCCATCAAGCCAAGAAGCAAGCTGCTTAAATTTAGTTTAGTATGCTTATCCCATTTTTATATGATTCATTATTTGTTTTATCCTTTGGTTATTTCATAGTCTTATAATAAACAAGCTGTTGTATTTCAAAGAAAAGAAAAGAATGATCGTCGTATATGTATATTGTCAAGGATTACAATTGGGCCCTTTTTTTTTTTTTTCTGCTTGAGATGACTGTGTTTGAAAAAATGACTTTGGTTGGCTCACTGTTTTTAATTTTTTTTTTCTTGTATTTACAAAATAAACGCGCTACTTCAACTAATTTCGTACCTCTTTCCTGTTTCTTATTTCTTTATACTGATTGTTCAGTTTCACACTTCACACCCTTTACTCAATGCCTGAAAGACAGCGGCAAACAGTAAGGGCTACGACGCTTGCACATCAACGTGCTTTGATACCTTCATCCTTTATGGATTTCCCTCTTCAAAGATTGGTGGCAACTATTATATTTGGAACTTTACAAACAATCAAGATCTTTTACGCATTTCGAACCTACACAGCTACTTACCCTGAACAATACAACGGCATCTTATTATGGTGGTGGTTTTTGGATGCAACCTTTATTTTTGTATTATATGTATTCCGGATTCCTTGGTTACAGTTCTCTTCTTTGAAATCCATTCTTTTAGTGATCTTTCTGTCAACCATTGATGTTTTGATCTTTGTTGGACCACAGGTAAAGTATAAAAACCTAGATCAAGTTTTGAATTATGATTATCATGACTGACATTTTCTTTTATAAAAGTTTCTCTTCGGTGGTGGACTCATCAAGCTATTATTAGGTAATTGAAAACAAAATCAACTTATAATTTACTTTTTTTTTTTTAATATGTATTATATTCCTTTTTTTTTTTTTTTTTGAATTTATAGGTGAATCCTTGGGCAAACAACTCAGTGTATCGCGCGCCAAAATGATTGATATCAAGGATGTTATTTTCGACCCTACGCATATTTTGGGAAAGCATACTGTACATATTTTACCATATGGGTAAGTTTCTATGAAAGAATATCAAACTATAATAAAATTCTTACTTCATTTTTGTTATTATTAGTACTGCAAAATTAAATCCTAATGATGAATATTTCTGCTTATCGTCTAACGAAGTGGGGAAAACTGATATATATATTCCTATTGTGCTGAACAACACGATCCCAAAATCAATCTCGGTATCACGATACGACTTTGACTCTCAAAGAACCAACAAACACAGCTACTCTGAAGATAAGATTCAACGAGCAACAGAAATTGGTCAGGGAAGACAAGGTCTTGAATACTACTATATACGTGTCAACAAACCTGGTGCTTACTCATTAGATAAAATTATCAGCAAGGATGGTGCTCATGTTCGACTTTACTCTAGAAATGCCTTTGTATTCACTTGTCCTATGGCTCGTCTTCAAGCTTCTGGCTATTCGGATTATTGCAAAGGTGATAAAGACTCGGTACAATTGGATGTAACAGGTGTGCCACCTCTCAAGGTTGAATATACTCGTCGCATTGGTAGTTCTGTCTCGGATTTGAAATTGGATCATATTCAACCTACTGCTCCTTCCTTTGACTCTCCATTGACTCGTTTCACTGCTGGTTTACAAGATGCTGATCCTTCATTCTTTACTCCTTCTTATCATACAAATTATGATTGGGCATCTCGTCAACTTCTTTCTATTCAACTCAACTTAACATTCGATCAAACACAACAGTACGAATATCAACTTAAACGTGTAGTGGATGGTGCAGGTAATGTGGTTGATCTTTCATCCCTTCCTAAGCAAGTGTTCACAGTCCATGGTCCTCCTTCTATCCAATTCACTTGTAATGTAAAAGATCCAGTCAAGTTACTCATCGGGCAAGATTCTGTTGGTGCACCTATACAACTTAAAGGATCTGGTCCTTACTCTGTGTCCTATGAATATGTCAGTGATGATGCAACAATGGATACCAAGAAAGTGGAAACAAAGCAAATCACAATCAAGAATGATGGTACCTCTACATTAGAAGTGAAATCTCCTGGTGAATATAGACTTATTTCTATCAGTGATCAATTCTGCAAAGGTGATGTACTCTTCCCTTCTACTTGTCAAGTGATTCAACCTCCTTTACCTTCTGTCAAGTTACAACATACTCCTATTCCTTCTGAATGTTCCAGTGGTAGTGAAATTGGAATGCGTTTTGTTGCTGATTTCCAAGGTGCTCCTCCTTACACATTGAAATACTCTGTGATCAAGAATCATGGTCGACGTAAACAAACTGTGGATCGACAAATCTCAACTGATCGTTCTCGTCATATTTTCACTTATTTGCCAACATCCAGTGGGTAAGTATCAAAAAAAAAAAAAAAGATGTGGAACTGACTTTTTTAAATTAAAAAAAAAATGATATAACTATAGTGATTATACATATGAATTCAAGACATTGATTGATGGTCATTACACTAAGGATCCAAAGATTCCACCTATCAAACAAACTGTTCATCCCCAACCTGATGCCAAATTTGATGAAAAATTAACTAGTAAACGTACTTGTTTAGGTGAAGAAATGAATTTGTCAGTCAACTTGGCAGGTGCTGCTCCATTTACTTTGGTCTGGGCCTACGATAAGCAAGAACATTCTGAAGTTGTCACAGGTGATCATTATGATATTTCACTTCCTCCATTTGAAACTGCTGGTCGTCACATTGTCTCATTGATCAAGGTATGTAATATATATATATATAATTAATCAATTGTTTAATTATTCATTTTTTTATATATACTTCTTATATTATAATAGATTGAAGATGCAAATGGATGTAGCAAGGAGTTAGATTCTAGAGATGTTGTGATTGATGTTCGTCGTGATCGCCCCATGGCTTTCTTCTACTCAGAAAACAAACAGGACAAAACGGTGTATATCGCGGAAGGAGAAACTACCAACTTACCTTTACGTCTGACTGGTGAAGGACCATGGGAAATTACCTATCGTCATATTAATGGCAAGAATGACAATACTTACACCAAATCATTTGTTGATCCAAACTCTGATCTCACTGTCAACAAGGTTGGCCGATATGAACTATTGACGGTAACTGATTCTATCTGTAAAGGTGATGCCTTACGACCTGATTATATTGTACAATGGATGGAAAGACCAGCATTGATTATTCCTGAAGATCAAGCCACTCTCCTTGCCAACGATGTTTATGAACGTCCTGCTATCTGTCAACATGTGGATGATACCATCAATGTCAAGTTTACTGGCCATGGACCCTTTACCTGTGCATACGATACTTTCCGTCGCGATCTCACTGTTTCTTCAAGTATGTTTAGCCGTCGTGATAATGGCATCAAGCTGGATCCTCAAGAAATGACCACTGGTCTGACCAGTACTCGTATTCCTCTTCGTACAGATGTTGCTGGCAAATACAAATATGTCTTCAATAAGTTATCTGATCAACGATATCAACATCCCTTCACACCTTCTCCATTAGTGCAATTGGAACAAACTGTTCATGCATCACCTACTGTCAAATTCTCTGGTAAGCCTGCCACAGTATCGTCCCCTCGTATGATGTGTGTTGGTGAAACGTTGACGTCGGCTGAAGATCCTATTTGGGTGGAAGCCACAGGTCAAGCGCCTTTTACAGTCTCTGTTCGAGTGAGCCAGCAAGATAGCAAGGATTATATTGTATTGAAAGATATTGAAAACTCTCGGTTTGCCTTGGATTTACCTGGTGTTTTGGAAGTCTCAGGAAAATATTATGTGGAGTTGATCCGAATTCAAGATGCGAATGGATGTTCTTCTGATGTGGATGGTCTTCCCAATACTATGATGGTGATTGATGCTCTTGGCATTGCAACTATTACTCCTCTTGATGCTTGTGGTGAAGTTTGTGTGGGTGATCAACTAGAATATAGTTTATCAGGCGAAGGACCATTTACCATTGGTAAATTTTTATTATTATTATTTATGATTTGTGAGAAAAATAGCCTAATTTTTTTTTTTTGTAGCGTACGAATTTAATGGTCGACAAGAAAAAGTGAAATCACCTACTACCAAATTATCGATGATTGCAGATAAACCTGGTAACTTGACGATTCTTTCTGTTGGTAATCAACGTAACAAATGTCAATCGTTCCCCAAACAATTAAGAAGTGAAATCCATCAAGTGCCTTCATCTCTTGTCAGTGGTGGTCATGATATCATTGAAAGTATCCAAGATGGTGATATGGTTCAGGCTGTGGTTGATCTTGTCGGTACTCCTCCTTTTGATTTTGAATGGCAACGTAGTGAATTGGTTTGGGATCATGCAAGAAAACATCATTATAAGGGTAGGGTGCTGGAAAGTCATGTTGTTCATGGTGTCAATGAATATCAATATCATATCAATACTTCCATTGAAGGTGTTATAGAGGTAAATTATATTTCAAAGGATGATAGGAAAAAAATATTAACTTGATGTTTATATATATATATATAGGTGGTTAGTATCAAGGATCGTTATTGTCAATATCCCCGTGCATAAACTTTTTTTTTATTTGTCATTTTTTTTTTTTATTTTTTTTTAGTTTTATTATTCTTCTCCTTTATATATTTATACATTTTTATATACACATGTTTTTTTTTTTTTTTTTTTTCCTCCCATACACAATTTGTCATCATCAAACTATCGAACATCAATAAAAACTCCCCAGAAAAAAAGAAACGATTGGTTTTTTTTTCTTTTTTTTATAAATGTAGCTGTTAGTTTGTTTTATTTGACTATAGAAGATTTTTTTTTTTTCGCTTGTGATTCTACTTAACACAAATGGAGGAAAATTGAGAGAGAGAGAGAGGTAGACTAACTGATAACTAAAAAAAAAAAAAGTATATAAGGTAATATGATGGAATGAAAGCAAGGTTAAGAAAGATGAGGGTATGGATATCGATATTGAGAAGGAGGAGGAGGAGAATGATAAGAAGGATGTGAGTGATTCAATGGAGGTTGCTGCGGTCGTGGAGTGGAAGGAATAACATGAGGATCGACATTATGTTTTAAGAAGGCAGTCAAAGGTGGATGTTGTTGCATGGTGTGTTCAGTATGCTGCTTTATAGGAGGATTGGCATGCGGATAAGATATAGATCTCTATATTAAAAAAAAAAGTAAGTGACATGATGATGATTATTTATTTATTTATTTATTTATTTATTTGTTACATTTGATTTCTGACGTGCCATATCTGAATAGGTCATGTAGCTGATGAATGCATGAAGCATATTGCGTCGAATTTTGGGATTGTTTTTCTATCAACAAAGAAATAAGAAGAAAAATACAAGGTGATTGTTTATATCAGATGTTCCCTCCTTTTTTTTTTTTTCTTTTACCATAGATTGAAATGATTGTTGAGAATAAGAAGGAGGTTGATTATATTGATGATGTTGTTGTTGTTGATGATGATATTGCTGTTGATGATATTGATGTTGATGTTGATGACTTTGATACTGCTGTTGACATTGTAGATGATGTTGTTGATGATGTCGTTGCTCCTGTTGCTGTGTATAATGAGTATGCGCAGGAGACCGTTGTTGCCAAGTAGAACTAATGCATAAAAAAAAAAAAAAAAGAGGGAAGAAAGAGTATGAGAAAGGGGAAGATTATGTAATTTGACTGCATATAATAAAAAAAAATTTTTACCTTTCTAGAGATGTCTGTCCACTAAAGTTCCTGGCAAGAGAATCCGATTTAATGCGTGTAGATGCGATGGGGAGAGAATATGATGCTGCATGCATATCCTCAATACCGGATTGTGATTTTTCAGGATATGCTGGTGGTACTTTTTTCGAAATAAGAATAAAGGGTGAGTTTACCTGTAATGTATGTCAATGAAAGGCATATATTCTCTTTTTTTTTTTTTTTTTTTTTTACTTACTTTGTTTGGTTGTTTCAGGGTACCGATGCATATCTTTAAAGGAAAATAAAGTTTAGTACATCTCGAACAAGCCATCTCCTTCTTTTCATACATTGTACCTTCCGTTGGTGTAATGATGGTTCGAACTGTTGGTATGAAGGAATAAGTTAAAATCGATGCATTTCCTTTTTTTTATTATTTTATTTTATTACCATCCATTTTTAGCTATAGAATATAAAACTTGTTAATAACAAGATAAAAAAAAAAGGTTATTATGTATTTTTTTTTTTTATTATTTACCTGAGTACGATTGGAAGTTTCTACTTTTTCGTCGTCGTTGTTGCCTGCATAAAAGGGGAAGGGGAAAGTGAGTGATTCCTTCTTTTTCTCTTTTTTTTTTATTATTTTATATTATACCTAATAAGTTACTAATAGACATAGTATTAGTTATAGTAGTTTGTTGAGTATGTTGTTTATGTTGAGACAAAGACATTAGAATAGAACCAGCTTCAACTTCGTCGGGATTGATATCCATATAGTCGGGATCTTCATGCTGTTCGTTTTTAATAGTTGATGAAGTATATACTGAATTGGTCATGATGACCATATAAAAAGAAAAAGCAAAAGTGAAAAAAAGAAAGAAGAAAAAAGAGAACGAAAGAAAGTGTATAGGAGGTGAAAAAAAAAACTTTTTACAACTTTTTTCACCTTAAAGAGTGGAAATAGCGGTTTGTGAAATTTTCCAATCCACCCATATTTGTTCATGGACACACTCACACTGTCTTTTTTTTTTCTTTGTTGTCACACAAATAAGGTATTCTTGTATACCTTGATTACCTTATACTATTCAATTCCTAGATCATTTTTCTCTTTTTATGTTATATATATATTATGATTATGATTATTGATCTTTTTATATTTAGATGCCATTTTTGAGGGTAATAAAACTTATAGACTCACCATTTTGTACTACATAAATGCAGGAGTAAAAGAAGAAAAAAAAAAAGTTAAGGCACATGGTGTGTGTGTGTGTATGTATATAAAAACTATCACTTCACATGTCTTGATATGATCCATATGGTAAACTGCACGGCCACATGCCAAAAAGCGTCTATTAAAATCTCGGATTCTTGAATAAAGACATTATAAAGGCGAGTTTTACTTTTTGATATACACATCAAATGTCCTTTATGCATAAACAGAAAAAAAACATTGTATTTTTTTTTTATTGAGATAACAAATAGAGGTAAATATATAATATGTATATAGATATAAACAAAAAAGATATATATAAAAAGAGAAAAAAAGAGGTGATCAAGGATGATCCCCTTAATCAGATCCACGACTTGTTGGATGACAATAGAAGGCTAAAGCAACAATAGCATAGGATGACTATATTTATAAAAAAAAAAAAGACCATTAATGGATTGCTTCCCCCCTCCTTTTTTTCCTTTTTCTGTCATTTACCAAAAGTAGAACACCTTCCAACCAATTGGATCGACCATCTTGAATAAGATAATTCACAATCAATACACTAGAGAAAAGAATCACGGTTTCAAAGTCATCAAAGAATAAAGTCATGGGTTGTCCAATAGCCCATCCAGCAATCACTAATACTGGTGTGACCAATAATCCAATTTGAAGAGAGGATGATACTGCAATACCAACTGATAAGTTCATCTTGTTTTTCATAGCAAATGTCACTGAACTAACATGTTCTGCAGCACTATAATAATATAATCATTATTTATCATTAGTATTATACTTATTATTAAAAACAAAAAAGGAAAAAACTTACTTTCCGACAATAGGTAAAAGAATAATACCAACAAATGTTTCATCTAATTATATGAACGTTAGCTACTTTGCATGATTTCTTTGACGATCGTCATTCTATATATTTACCTATACCCCAACTTGATACAACACCTTCAATACTAAAGAAAAGAAAAGAGGAAAAAAAAAATGAGCCAGATGAATCTGAAAGAAAAAAAAGAGACAAACTTACGCTCCTACTAGAAATTCTGCATGAATGGAAACAACAGCAGCGATCACGATTAATCTATAGTCACAAAAAAAAATAATTAGAACAAATATATCTATTTTTTTCATTGGATAGTTTAACTTACGCGAAAACAGAAAAAGACAAAGATGTAGTTGGTTGTTCTTCTTCATCTTCTTCATCTTCGTACTAAGAAAGAAAAAGAATAGGTTGAGTAAATAGATACAAAAAAAAAAAAAAAAAAAAAACTCAAGGTAATTCTTACCAAATGAGAGTGAGTTTTGAGCTAAAATGATGATAAACAAAAAAAAAAAAAAAAGATGAAACGTCAATATATATTATTCATTCCTCACTTTCCCCTTTCTCGTTTCATCTTCTTACCTGGAATATCAAAAACAAGACATAAACTACTAATAAAATCAAAGCCGTACCATGACTTAGATTCAACACGCCCACTTCAGCATCTTCTTCAGTTTCAGCTGTAGCACTAAAAGCAGCAGGGACCAATAATGACAACGTAGTTAAAGCAAGAAGAGAAGAAGAAGTTTGCGCAGCTGATTGACATCAAAAAAAAAAAAAAAGAATAATGTAAGTAAAAAAAAAAAAAAAAAAAAAAAATCATCCTACTTACCAGTGATATTGAAACTTTGTTCACTACGACCAGCTCCTCCAAGTAAAAAGCAAAAACCAAGTACCTATTAATATATATGTAAATGTCATCATCATTCAGTCAGTTTCCTTTTTTAGACTCTTTGGTGCGTCTTTTTTTTTTCTTGCCATACCAATAGAATGTTCGATAAGATGGAGCCAAGAACAGATGCTAAGTATAAAGTAAGAAAACAAAATTTTTAAGTATTTTTTTTTTTTTACGCCTATCCAATCTAAAGGGAGTATTATTATTTTTTTTTTTTTGCCCTACCTTGAACCACACGAATCAAACCTTTATCTAAAGCAACTACACCAAGAATCAACTCCACTGCGTTACCGAATGTTGCGTTCAATAACTAAACCAAATAAAGAAGGAAAAAGGGACTCCGATCAATGCCTGATGTTCTTTGATTCTTTTTTTTTTTTTTTTTTTTTTTTACCGATCCAACAGTACTACCACAACGTAATGCAATTTCTTCCGTTGCTAATAATAATAATAATAATAATATGAGTATGATAATGATGATCCTTATTGAATATATGACGTACCAAAACCTAATAATTTAGCCAAAGGAATGATGGCCATAAAATTTAAAGAGAATACCACAGGAGCTGATGATCCCATAAATGACACAAAAAGGGCAATAGGAACAAAGACCAATAATATATTAAACTTGGATGATAAAGTGGTGACTTTTAATGAAGTCCAAAAATCCAATTTCTTTGTTCTTTCATTTCCTCCAAGTAATGGTTGAGTTTCGGTAATCATGTTAAAATATAAAGTTTGAAAGAAAGAAAAGATTTTTTTTTTTTTGATCTTTATTTATACTCATATTGTGTCATCGGATATTGAAAAAGATTAGACTACTTCATCCATCTTTTTGTTTTGATTAAGTGTTACCGAATCTGACGATCACTTCGATAAAAGATTGTTCTAATAGAAAACATCAACAATAAACATATAACAACCCTTTAGCCATCCGGAAAGGAGTCACACGTGTTACTTTCATCAAAAATCACTCTTTTATCTTAATGATGAAACAAGGAAAACGCATGATCTTGAATATTCTATAGAAGACTTTTATCACTATGCTTAATTGTTTCGTTTCATACTAAATGGACGATCATCTTTAGTTTTATTTTATGTTATATCTTTCTTTACAACACTTGGCATCAACTCTGCTGACATTCAATCTTTACTATCACTCCACATTTTTTTTTTTTTATGGAACTCCTTGATTTTTTTATTTTGCTTTGTCATTTGCACTGGACTATCTTTATTTTTCAAAATTACACAAAAAAAAAAAATAGAGGAAAAGTTTAAATTAAAAAAAAAATTGCTTTACTGTTTTTTTTCACTTTCAATTGGGACGGATTACAACTTTTTTTTTTTAGTGGACGAATTGAATTTCGAATTTAGACATCTCAACTAATCAAAGGAAGTCATATTTGGAAAAATTCAGTGTTAATATATCATCATACTAAAAAAAAAAAAAGAGAGATTTACGAACAACAAAGGAGAAGTCAAATAACGTCTATGCTGATATGGATTACTTCCGTTGATTATTTTCATCATCATCATCATGTTAACTTATATTTATCAATCTATCCTATTTGGCTACAGTAGTAATTATTGAAACTCTTTTTTTCCTTTTTTATTCTTTTCTACATTCATAAATATTCGTTGGGGAACTTTTTTTTTTATAGATGACACCTTATTTATTTATTTATCTTTTTCTGTCTTTCTTTTTTAGACGACATTGATAAGTCTTTGTTGGGGTATTTTTTTTTTTTTTTTTACTTGTTCCTGGGCACCTGCGCGGAGTCTTCAAATTTGCATAATAACTTTTTTTTTCTTGGTGTAATCCCAATTCTTTGATTGGTTCTCTTTTCTCTCTCTTCTTTTCTTTTTTTCTCTATCTCTTTGTTTACCCTTTTTTTTTTTGTCTTTATACTGTTAGTTTTCTCTGAATCATTCTCGAATCATGGAAGCAGAAGAACTAGTTATCGCAACCGGTCTAATGCAGATCATGGGACTCATCGATCAAGATGTGATTCAACCAAAGTCTGACTACGAAGGAATGTCCGTGAATGCTATCATTATGTACAAAAAAAAAAAAAAAAAGACGATGGAAACAGCAGCACATACGGTTACGCCATGGTAAGTGCTGTATATTTTGGGAAATAAAGAACGTAAGTATTTTGCTGACCTTTTTTTTTTATTTTTATTTATAAAGCTGAGCAAGAATTTCGACGTAGACTATTAGTTGGTGATGATGAAGCTTCTTCCGTGTCAACCCGTTCATCCTCTTCAAGACAATTAGCTGGAAGCAAACGAAAACAAAAGCGGCGAAACGATGCTTTGGAAAGGAAAGAAAGAATCTGGCGTAAAAAAAAAAGTCTTTGATACCATGCAAAGCCTGTTTGGCAAATAATCGTCTTGATATCCACCAAAAACTGATGAACTTCCTCCTCCATCAAAGGAAAAGTAAGTTTAAAATAATAATGCTATTATGATGGATGATTGGAAAACTGGTGCTGATTTTTTTTTTGTGATATTTATGATTAATAGCAAATGGCGAAAATCAAGTACAGATAACGATCCAGCGAATGTTCCTGTAGTAGTTTATGGTGCCGCTAGTTTTGGTCGGAAAGTGTTCAAAGGGAAACCAGGAGAATTGGCTGAAAAGTGTGAAACGCGCTGATACTTTGGGTCAACTCGTTTTTATCAACATGGATGAATTTAACACATCGAAAGTCTGCTCACGGGGTGGTGTCAAATCATTGGAAGGTCTAGAATTACAGGATCATCAACGTATGTATGAAATATTAGCTTGTTCTAGCTGTAATACTCTGTGGCAACGTGACATAGATGCTTCAAGAAATATCCGTGGTATCTTCACAAGTATTATTCGACATGGACAATAACTTCTCTCCTCAACAATAACTTCTCTCCTCAACTCTCCGCATGACAAAAGTGCATGATGTTTACAGTTTATATAAGAAAAAACAATCTTTTTTTATTTATACCCATCATTATTTTTTTGTTATTTATATCTTTTTCACTATACTTTTGTTGTCATAATCATCATCTATCCATCCCAATTTTATTTTTGCCTCCTTCACAATTTTATCTTTTCCTTCTTCCCATTTTATTTACATTCCGACTCAATTTCTAGTGGAAAAACTGGGAATCTTTTTCAGAATCTTCTATGCTTATTTTTTTTATTTTATTTTATTTTATTTTTCTTTTTTATTTTTCTTCTCATTCTTTACCTTATTTTATTCTATTCTAATAAAATATGACGGATAAGAAAGATCCACAAATAGAATCTTCTTCTACTTCTTCCTCTTCAAAGCGAAAACATATGGATATATTGGATGGATTGAATAATTTGGAAAACACGGATGATCTTGACGGAATGGACTTTGACATGGCTACTTTGGGTATGGACGAAGAGTTTGAAGACTTTGAAGACTTTGAAGAAGAAGGCGAAGAAGACAACGATAATGAAGAAAATTATATTGATGACGATGAATTAAAGTAAAAATAAAAGAAGAAGAAGAACTAGTTCCGTTATTCATTTTTTTTTTTTTTGAATATATAATTAGATCCATGTTGGACACAGCCAAAGATTCGCGTCAACGATTGAAAACCGGTACGTTGGAAGAAGTGACTCAAGACTTTGCGGATTTCGAAGATAATTTATTAGCATCGGCAAGTATTGGGAAAGGACGACATCGAGCATTGAAAAAAGTAGCACCTGGCGAACAACGATTACCAGATGCTGTCAAAGATCTTTTAGGACAAGCCAATAGTTATTATGTTGATCAAGATTATGGAAAAGCTATCGATCTACTTCAAGAAACTATTACTCGTTTTCCTAATTATCACCAACCTTGGAATACTCTTGGTTTGATTCATGAAGAAATTGGAAATACTACAAAAGCTTTGGAAGTACGAATGGTTGCTGCACATATGAGTGGCAAGGATGCATCTTTATGGAAAGAACTTGGTCTCAAATCAATGTAAGAAATAAAAAAAAAAAAGATTTGACAATTCATTTTATTAACACCTTTATATATATATATGTAGAGAAAACAATGCTAATCGACAAGCTATTTATTGTTTTGATAAGGCTTTGGCTTTGGATCCTTTGGATGTGGATGCTTTATGGGATCGGGCGTTTTTACAAAAAAGTATGGGATCAAATGATGCTGCTATTGATGGATTTCTTCAAATCTTGGATATTTTACCTTATCATTTCAAGGTCATCAACGAACTAGCTCAACTCTACCTAGTCAGAGGTGATGCAAAAGAAGCCATTCAACTCTATGAAGCTGCTATGGAACATCATATCAAAGAAGCAAAAAATAACCCTGAACACATGGAAGACAACAATGCAGATGACGACAATCCTTTCAGTGAAAAGTTGGGTTATTCTGAAATCAATATGCTTAGTGAACTCTATTTGACCCTCAACGATTATCGGCATGCTCTCGATTGTATCAAGACTGGTATACGACACGTACAAAATCGGCAACATGAAACTTTGTGGTTGGATAGACCCAATGATGACGATGAATATTTACCACATCAATCACGATCTAATCATAAACGAAGGAACAATAAGGATGACAGCGATGCAAGTGATTCTGATTATGTACCTGAAAGTGATGATGAAAATGAAGATAATGATGATAATGAAGAAGATCCTTACCCAGATACTGTTTTGGAACGACAAAATATACCTTTGGAACTTCGTGTGCGAATGGGAGTATGTCGGATCTATCTCGGTCAAGCGAATATTGCAGCCAAACATTTTGAATATTTATACCAACAACATCCTTCCAATTATTCCGATCTTTATCAAGATGTAGCTTATGCGTATATGGACCGTCGGTTTTATGACTTGGCTTTAGTTATATTCCAAAAGATCATCAACACTATAGAAGAAGTGGAAGTGAACCTATTGATCAGAACGGCTGATTGTTATCGAGAAGTGGGTGATCTGGAAACGGCTGTGGTATTTTATGTGAATGTATTGGATGAACAACCGGAAAACTTGGAAGTCATGACCTCTTTAGCAATGGTGTACGAAGAACAAGGAAAGGAAGATGAAGCTTTGGAATTGGTGGACTTTGTGATGAAGAAAACAAGGGAATTAAGAAGGCGTGCGAAAGCAGAAGCGAATGACAAGAGTCGTACAACAGCGGATGCATCAACAGCAACGGAAGCACTCGCCATGGCTACTGCTGAAAGACTTTCTGCTCGACAAAAAGGCTCACTCTTTGATGAAAGTACTGAACGACAAGCACTCAAATCTGAACGTGAACAAAAACGAGAATATCGACGCCGTGAAGAAAATGAACGACAGACAGAAGCCCTGACTCTACACGATAAAATATTGGAATTACATGGATTGATGGCACCTTGTGTTGTGGATACAGATAGAACTGTTATGCGAGAATATATACGTGTGGCTCAACGATTATGGGATAATTTTAGAACGGCAAGAGTTCTTTTTCCCAATAAAAGAGTAAGTGAATGATGATTTATTATTTTATTTTATTAATAACTTTTTCATTATAGAAAGTGCAACATGATGGACAAGGATTTTATGCATCTCGGAAAAGAAACACTGGGAATTTTGGTCTTCGCATTCATGAAGCTAAAAATATGGCAGTTCGATTACGACAACGACAGCGCACAACAAGTTCGGAACCCCAGGAAGAAAAGATGGCTTATTCTAGTGACGAAGAAGATGATGAAAATGCTGAACAAGAAGCTTATACCAAAAAACTCTTGACTTCTGACTCATTTAGAGGCATTTTACTTGATGATTGGGTGGATATGTTTATCAAAGTAAGTAAAAAAAAAAAAAAAAGGACATATATGATTCATTGATACTTACTTTTATTATTATTATTACTATTGTAGTACGCCTATGTTCTAACTGTTCTTCATCGTAGCGATGAAGCTTTTACTGTATTACGCACTGCTATTGTTACTGATGTTATTTATAATCATTCTGATCGAAAAACTGCACTCAAGCTGGCCTTGTTAGGTAACAAAAAAAAATGGGATAGATGAATACAAGTAACTCATTGATTTTTTTTTAATAGGATGTGGAATGATCGCCAATAACCGAACGACTATTACTGATGTTACTCGATGGTTTTGTAATGTTTATCAATTCCAAACGGATTCATATCGATTATATGGGGCTGTTCTGTCAAGGTAAAGACAAAAAAAAAAAAAAAAAAAAAAAAAAAAAAGGAATGATGATATTCATTTAATGATCTAAACTATTCCGCTGATTTTTTTTTTTTATAAATATACAGTGGGTTACAAGATATGCTCAATTATGCAGCTGCTGATACAGTCAAATACTTTATTCGAAGTGTCAGATTGATGGATGCTCTTCACGGTTTATACTTATCAAAACAAAATGGACAACTGATGAATGAAAAGGATGAAACAGAAAAGATCAAGGAACTTCAAGATGTGATTCGAACAATGCGATCTGGTACGACCGAAAATGAGGATTATGAACGGTACGATAATGCGATCGAAGATTTGATGGAAGAAGAGAAAATTAAGGATTGGATGCAACCATTGGAAAAGATCAATCCTGGTTTACTTTCCTTGTTTGGTCATATCTTGATGATAGGATCGAACTATATTGGTGCTAGCAGTAAGTAGATTAAATTCCAAAGAAAAAAAAGACAACGAGTATACTCAACCATCCTTTATTTTGTTTTACTCATATGACCAAAATAGTCTTTTATATGCGTGCATTTGCTTTGGCACCAAATGATCCTCTCAATACATTATCATTAGCTATTGCCAATTTACATCGATCGACTCAACGAAAAACGGACAATCGGCATTTACAAATCACCAAGGTAAAAAAAAAAAAAAAAAAAAAAAAAAAAAAAAAAAAAAAGTGGAAAAGAAAAAAAAAATTCATACCCAATTTATATATTGATCATACTGATTTCTTTGATGAACATAGGGTATGCAAATGCTTTCACATTATTGCCAACTTCGAAATCATAATCAAGAAGCAGAATTCAATATGGGCCGGGCATATCATCTCTTGAATTTGACTCACTTAGCAGTACATCATTATGAACGAGCATTGATTCTACCTTCAGCAGCAAAGCAAGATAGTTCTTCTCCTAAATCCATCGATTCGATTTATACTTGGCCACCAACGGAAATGGATTGTGATGATGATAATGATGATGATGATGATACAGATTTGAAAAGGGAAGCAGCATATAATTTGCATTTGATTTATATGACTAGTGGTGCTACTTCCTTGGCTCAAATCTTGTTGATGAAATATTGTAGTATTTGATTTTAATCTAATGTTTAGTGTTTATAATTGTTTGTAATAAAAGTAAAAAAAAAAAAGAAGTATTTTTTTTATCCTCTATTCTTGAATTGTGTTCTCTCTCCCTGTCTTTATGCTTCTGTAAAGGTTGAACAATGTGGGATGGAATGAGTAAAATTCAATAGCCGCAGATTCAGTCAAGGCAGGCGTCAAATATATCAAACTTTCCTGACCCTTTTTTTCTTCTTTTCCTTTTTTTCGAAAGATCTTTTTTTTTTTCCCTGCGATATGGGCATGTTACGGTTCAAGCAAGCCATTGTCAAGTCCATTTCACCGTATCTATCATGTCCAGAGTCTCAATTACTACCATTACTACGGATTCCAAAACATCAAAAGGAAGGTCAATTTTCTTTGTCTATTCCTCAACTGTTGACAGCTACGAAGGGCGATCTCAACATAAAACAACCTGCCATATGGTGTCAAGATATAGCCAGTAAAGTATGTTTTATATTGAAAAGAATCATTGCATGTCTAACTTTTTTATGAATTAGATTCAAGCCAATACAGAGCTTGCCAACGTTCAAGCTATGGGACCCAAACTCTGCTTTCACCTACAACCAGGAGCATTCACTCAATCAGTTTTACAACAAGTATTTGAAGAAAAGGAACAATATGGTTGGGCTCATCAAACCAGCAAGAATAAAACCGTACTTATTGATTATAGCTCACCTAATATCGCCAAACCTTTCCATGCTGGACACTTACGAAGTACTATTCTTGGCAACTTTATTAAACGTATCCATACTGTCATGGGTTATCGTGTCATTGGGATCAATTATTTAGGTGACTGGGGCAAACAATATGGTAAAATGAATATATAGTATATATAAAAGACAGCTCATTTCTAACATATATATATATATATATATATAGGATTACTGGCGGTAGGATTTGAAAAGTATGGTGTACAACAATTGTTAGAGTCTGATCCTATTCATCATCTTTATCAAGTCTATGTGAAAATCAATCAAGAGGCAGAAATGAACCCATCCATTCATCAACAAGCCAACAACTACTTTAAAGAAATGGAACAAGGTAAAAAAAAAAAAAAATACGTGGATCTTTATATACTTATCATCCTTTTTATTTAGGGAATAAGGAAGCTTTAAGTCAATGGCAACGATTTAGGGATCTTAGTATTGCATCGTATGAAAAGATTTATGACCGATTAGGTATTGAATTTGAAGATTATTCTGGTGAATCACAAGTGAACGATTATATTCCCAAAGTGTATGAATTACTACGATCTAAAAACAAGGTGATAGAAATGGATGATGGTGGTTTGGCAGTGGATTTGAGCAAGGAAGGACTAGAACCGGCCATGATTCAACGAGCAGATGGTACATCTTTGTATCTGACAAGGGATTTGGCAAGTATACTGATGCGGCAGGAAAAATACAGTTCTGACAAAGCGATCTATGTGGTGGGTACAGAACAACAACAATACTTTAAACAATTATTTGCATGTGCATCATTGATGACTGGATCACTTGGATTTTTACATGCATCATTTGGCAGGATCAATGGCATGTCGACAAGACAAGGGACCGCGGTATTTCTGCAGGATATTCTGGATACAGCTCAATCTACCATTTTGGATTATATGCAACATAAGGATATGGATCAAAATAACAACAACGAGGTGGCTGATCAATTGGGCATCAGTGCTATCTTGATTCAAGATATGAAATCAAAACGCAACAAGAATTATACTTTTGCATGGGATCGAATGACAGATGCTCGTGGTGATACAGGTGTCTTTTTACAATATGCTCATGCACGCGCTTGTGGGTAAAGTATTTTTTCCCCCTTTTTTTTATATTATTTATTTATTTATTTTTTTTTGATTTTAGGATTGAACGACATACAAACATTCAAGTGACAGATCAATTTGATGCTTCATTATTGAAAGAACAAGAAGCTTTTGAATTGATACAGACAATCTCTTATTTTCCCGAGGTGGTACAAACTAGTTTTGATACTTTGGAACCATGTACTATTGTCAACTATTTATTCAAACTCTCGCATGCAACCAGTTTGGCAAGTCATACGTTACGTGTCAAGGGCTCCGAACCTGCTTTAGCCGAGGCTAGAATGGCCTTGTTTTGGGCGGCAAGAATCACATTGTACAACGGCATGACTTTATTGGGGATCCGGCCTTTGGAAAAAATGTAGTTAGATTTTTTAGTATAGATGATAATAAAAATTATGGAATACAAAATAGTTCTATCCCTTTCTTAAAAAAAAAAAAACGGATGATTCTTTTTTTGAAGATGAGATATCAGGAGAATCAAGATGAATGCAAGCAAGAAAAGTTTATTTCATCAAATATTACTCAAAACATGATCATCATCATAAAAATAAAACTAGTTGTAAAAGAGGAGATAAAAGGAGGGGGGATAAGTTGAATAATAGGACAAAGAGAAAAAAAAAAAGTAATTAGGGTAAAAAAGAAGAACTAAAAAAAAAGAAAAAAAAGGAGAAGAGACTGAGAGCATTCATGCAGAAGCGTGCACTGGCAGGATATTTTCATTGTTGTTGGTCACTGGAGCTTCAGGAGTTGTGATTGGAGATTGTTCAATGATAGGTTCTTGAGTAGTTTCTTCACCACTACCTTCTTGTGTTTTTTTCTTGTCCTTGATACGTGTCGTCAAGTTTTGTGCTAATTTACTAAATCGACGTGAAAGTGAGGTTGGTTTAGTATCTTCAGTTGTTTCTACATAAAAAAAAAAAAAAAGAAAAAATTGAGTTCTCCTTCCTCCAAAAATGGTAATTGTAGGCGTAAAGAAAAAAAAAAGGATATACTTGTTTGTTTATTACCTTCATGATCTGTTGGCTCGGTCGGATGATCATCGTCAGTAGTAGGTGTCACTTCAGTATCATCACCAGTAGTCCCTTCAGTAGATTTTTTGGTAAAGAATTTGTTGAATCGACGTAAATGATCCATGATAGGCTCCTTAGACTCCTTTGAAGGTGAAGCAGGTTCATCAGCAGTAGCTTGTGCAGTTTCATGTTGTTCTGTATACAAAAAAAAGGAGGTTATTCCAAACATATTCTATATTGATCATTCTATATAACTTACCAGGTTCATCAGTAGTAGTAGTAGTAGCAGTAGCAGCAGTAGTTTCATTATGTTCTTCCTTTTTTGCATGATCATCAGATTTACCCACAGTCTATAAGATATATATTATTATTATTATTATTAATATTTTCTATCAAATTTTAAATATATATTACCTTGTGATAGAGATCAATAAGAGTACGAGATAACCGTTTTTCAGGACTAGCAGGAGGAGTGGTGGGCGTATCTTGAGTAGTTTCAGTAGCGGCAGTGGTTTCACCTTCCATTTCAGTAGTTTCTTGTTTCTTTTCAAATGTTTTTTTCAAAAAGTTTGGAAAATTGGATAAAAGAGTAGAACCATGTTGTTTAGGAGAAGTACCAGTAGTATCCGTAGTTTCAGCAGTAGTATCAGCAGTAGCAGTAGTAGTATCAGTAGTAGCAGGAGGGGCAGTTGTACTTTCTTCTGTAGCAGTAGCAGTAGTAGTAGTAGTAGTAGGTTCTTCAACACCAAGTGTATCAGCAGAAGTTGGATTCACTTCAGTAGTATCAGTAGATTCAGGAAGAGGTGGTACAGGTTTAACTTCAGGAGTAGTAGTTGGTTGATCAGACATATTATAAGTATATATATTAACAAATAGGCTAAACAAAAAAGAAAAAAAAAAGAAGAAGAAAAAGAAAAAGAAAAGAAAAGAATAAAAAAAAAAAGAGGTGTTTATTGAGAAAAAAAAAAAATAAAAGAGTGGGAAGGGAGAAAAAAAAAAAAGCTAAAAAAGGACAAGCGGAAGTTTAAATAAGATGTCAAGTGGTGTATCAAGGGCATCAAGGAGGACAAGTCTTGCATGCAATTTGATCGTCGCCAGTTTGATTATTATTGTTGTCTTTTTTTACATCCGAATGACCAAGAGATTTTTGAGGTGCAATAAGATCTCTCACCTTTTGTTTCTAAATAATCATTATTAGAAACATAAAACATAATGTGCACATGATTGATTTGTTCCACTTTTTTTTTTTTTTTTTGAAAAAACTTACTAATATTTTTGCTTCTGGAAATGCTTGTTCCTGTTTTCTATCCCAAATCACAACTATATAGATATATATATTATTATTTAATCATCATCATCATCATCATTTTACCATCATTCACTTTAATTAAAAATACACCAGTATCACCAGGAATAAGACTAACTTGTCCAAGTTCATTTTCAAAAGTTGTAAGTAATTCTTGACTTAACCATGCTGTCATTATCATTATTAAAAAAAAAAAAAAGGTCAGCAGGTTCATTTGTTCCATGCATATTATATAGATCACGCGATTTTTATTTTTATGCACACTTATCTTTTTTTTTTTTCTTCTTATTTTCCCATCACCACGTCATTCCCAAAAAAAAAAAAGAAAAACTTACAGGCTCTTAATAACCACCGACATTTTGGACAATACTAATCAACAAGAAAAAAAAAAAAAGGTAAACTGTATAAAGGAAAAAAGAAAAATGAAAAGATTTTTTGTATACTTACTTCAATAGATACTTGAGGTTTATTATTGATCATGGTTGACATTGGATAGAAATAATAATAATAAAAAAAAGATAGAAGGGGTGGAACAGGGAAAACAAAAAAAAAAAAAAAAAAAAAAGAGGCTATCGAAGAGTCATTTTTTTTGACTGACATTGAAAAGAGAATAGCCTTAACTATTGATAGTGAAGATCACAAAAAAAAATATAAATCTCATTCATTATTACTTATCATCATATAGAACAAAAAGAAGGAACAAAAATCATAAAAAAACAGTACTTTCTTTTTTTTTTATTTCATTTCAAAAAACAATAAAAAATTTAAGCACGAGCCAAACGAGCATTGCGAGCCAATTGACGAGCGTTGAGACGGAGAACCTTCTTGTCGTTAGCCTTGGGAACAACAGCATCCTTTTCAGTAAGAATCACTTCAATGTGAGAAGGAGTAGTCATGTAAGGGTTGATACGACCATGAGCACGGTAAGTACGACGACGGTGCTTGGGAGCTTGATTGACAACAACACTGGAAATATAGAGTTGATCCACATCCAAACCCTTAGCCTATTTTTTTTTAAAAAAAAAAATTATATAAGTAAAATGGATATTGACCTCTTTTTTTTTTTTTTTATTGTATACTTACTTCAGCGTTAGATTCAGCATTCTTCAACAAGTCAGTGATGAACTTGACAGACTTGACGGGCCAGCGAGCTTGAGTAGTACCGAATTCCTTGGCTTGAGCAGTACGACCAACACCACCGTTGAAACGACGGAAAGGAATGGCTTGCTTGTGTTCAGTCACATTGCTCAAATAGGTGTAAGCCTTGGACAACTTCAAACCTTGGACAGCAGCAGCAACTTCGTGAGTGTTCTTGAACTATATGTATAAACATAAACATGAGTGAGTTTCCTCATCTTTCTTTTTTTTATCTCCTCTTCCTTTTCTCCATGATCCTATCGATTGTCGTGTTTTATTAAACTATGAAATACGTACGTGGACACGGAGGTAAGAGCCTCGAGACTTGGCAGCTATAGAATATATATATATACGTTAATATAATGCGATCGTGTACGTTCCATTATTATTATTTTTTATTTACCCTTGGCAGCGTTAGCAGGAGAAGCGGCGTATCTGACCATGGTAAAGTCTATATATAATTAATCCCAAAAAAAAAAAAAAAAGAATTGGTCAGTTCATGAATCTAGTTCTTCACTCTTTTTCTCTTTTTTTTTAAAAAAAAGATAATCCATCCATCCATCCATTCATCCATCCATTGATTCCATTTGTTGTTAGATATTGATAATCGATTTGTGTTGATTTATATGATGGATGGATCATCCTCTGTTTTATTTCTTCTTTCTTACCTTTGAAAATAATACGACGTTGAAAGAGGAGGAGTCTTTACAAAAAAAAAGTTCCCAATTTTTAGAAATCTGCCCTTCTGGAGACTCTGATCATCCACAAGCCCTGAGGATTTCACGCTCCGTCTTCCGGGTCGTCGCTGACCAATCATCATCTCATAAAAAATGCAAAGGAGCTTTTGACTCTTTCTCAATTTCTCTTTTACTTTTGATTTTCTCTTTTCTTTTATATATCTTTTGAGAATAGATGATGGCTATTTTGGCATATATTTGGTTTGTAACGAATTGAATAATGGACTCTATCATTCCGGTCATGTATGTAGATCTTTTTCTTCTTGAGGCATACTTTATTTTATACTTTATATGACAGTAATAGATTTTATTTTATTATTCAAAAATAAAAACGAAATGCTGTTGTATTTGTATTATGACCGACTAACCACCTATGATGGCAATGATATTCTAGATGAAACAAAGATAATGAGGATCTGAATAACATATAATGAAAAGCGACGATGATACGGTTTTTATTGGGAGCTTCAAAAAAAAAAAAAGGATTGCATATATATATATAATAAGAGTGAGAAAAATAATACAGAATGAGAACAATTGGAATAATGAACATTATACAGAAAGGAAAATATTGGGAAGGGGGGAGGTAAAAGAGAGGGGGGATATCAAAAGGAAGGGATAAATAGATCTAAACTTGACAGGCACGATTTGTACATTCTTGACACTTGATATATTTAGAGTTGACACCAGGTTTCAAAACAAAATAACCACGAGGAAGACCAGTGGAAGGATCTGATTTTAACATGGCATGATAAAGATCCCTGGTATTGACCCATACACTTGGATGATGTACCCGATCGACGTCCATAATCAAAGTTTGCTGCCTAGAAGCATTATGAGCACCAACAGGACTATAATGAGCATCTTGTTGTCTTCCTTTTTGGCCTAAGGCAGACCGGGAATAATGAACAATCATTTGTGAAGAGGCATCAGAGGTAACTTGTTCCAAAGTTTGTAGAAATTGTTCGTAGCTTGTAGGGGCGAAGGACACACGAAATGAATCTACATTACAGTGAGGTTGTGCTAAACAGATGAACTCATCAAAAGGAATTCCATGTTCTACTACATGTTCTTTTGGTGAACAAGGTTTGAGTTGATCACCAGAATACTATTTTTTTTAAAAAAAAAAAAAAAAAAAAAGAAAGAAAGGATGAGAAATGCTGACACCACGAATATATATATAAACATTATTCTTACCCATCGCCAATTTCCTTTCCAGATAGTTTTGGGATCGATTTCTAGTGCATTCAACGCCATGGTAACTATCGTAAAATTAACAAAAAAAAAAAAATCAGTTAGAGCTTACTGTATTTCTTTTTTTTTTGTTTTATTCTATATGAATTTTTTTTTTCTAAAAAAAAAAAAAAAAAAAAAAAAAAAAAAAAAAAACTTACGAGAACTGATGCCAGCCAAGTCGGGTGATGATTGAGCAGAAAAGTTCCCTAGAAGCTTGAAGAAACTTTCAGTTTGTCCTTGACTCATTGCACTACGAAACAAAGATTTGCCTTCGGATGATGTAAAAGGTATCAAAGTAGGTGTACGCCTTGAAAGAGATGGAATGAGAGCATGAGACCCAACAGGAATGGTAAGAGATGAAGGAAAGGATTGTTTATACCAATTAGGTCTATGAGAGACTGTAGTAGTCATATACCGAGGGAAACTTGATATCATACGTTTCAAACTGGAATGGACAGGTATCATGATGACGATAAAAAAAAACAATGAATGAGAAAAAAAAAATAGAAAGAAAAGAAAAAAAAAGGCAACCCTCCATCTGATAAATATTTTTTTTTTTTGATGATGAGAAAAATCTTTTCAACTCCGTTATCCAATCATGATGACAATCTTTTATCAGATAGGGTTACGATGTTTATCAGATTTATTCACAATTTGTTATCATTTTTAGGTTAGAAAAAAAAAAGCGTGGGTCCTTTTCTGCTAGAACATGTGATTCACTGTTTATTTATAAATCTGAATGACATTCAAAGAAATGGGCGTCATAAAAGAGTAAATAAATAAAAAAAAAAAATTAAATAAATCAGTTGACTTTTCCTGATAATTTCTTTTGTTACTTGGATTATTTTTGTCGGTAAGTAAAGGTAATTTTTTTTTTTTTTCGAGTGATACTACAGAAAGAGAATGTGATTGTGGATAAAGTTTGAATAGTATCTGATGATGATGTTGATTTCAAAAATAAATGAAAAGAAAAGGTTTAAATTGAAATAATTGGTAAATGTTGAAGAGACTTCATTTATACCTTAAAACCTTCTTTTTTTTTTTTTTTTTTATTGTCTGTTTCTACTGAGTAAAATGAGATCACTCAAATTTTTGTACGACTAAAATACATGCCCTAGCGATTACTATATATGTATTTTTAGTTTTCCCGCGGCAAGTGAATATATCGATTTTACTGCGGATAAAGGTGCTTTATTTTTTTTTTTTTTATCTTTTTCTTCTTTTTTTTTTTTATCTTTTTCTTCTTCTTTTTTTTTCTTTACCACTTCTTTTTTATTATTATTATTATTATTATTATTATTATTGTCTTATTATATGTCATGATTCTTTGAAATAACATAACTTTATACACATATACATAAATATATATATATTTGCATTATTTACATTTGCTCATTCCATTCTGTCCATTTTTTTTTTTTTTGAAATCATAAAAACTCTTTGTACATATATTTTATATTCATTACTTTTTTTACATACTTTTACTTTTTAACATGCCTTTCCGTCAACGTAAACTTCAACAACTTTATCATACTTCAACAACATTACAACAAGAAAAAGAACGCTTTAATGATGTCAAGTTATCATCAACATATCGTAAGTCAAAAAAGTATGACTACATAACCCACGATCCTTTTGCAAACATGGAATCTTATGTTGATTATCAAGAAAGAATTGAATTACTCAAATCAACCATTATACCCAGTAAAAATAAGACTTATTATTCGAAGAAACAATCATCAGGTGGACAAACAAATGATGATGATGATGATGATGATGATGGATTCACAAGTTCGGCAAGTACTATCTCTTCTGGCAGTAGTACTAGTGGCAATGATGATATCATCCTATCAAGATTGGATTCACTCTCCCCCCAAGAAAAGGATGTTAACAATGACATGAATGGTAATGATGATGTGGCAAAACAAGACAAAATCCGGTTTTTGGCATTTGTGTGCAATAGAACAAGTTGGGGATCGTGTCGAGGAATGGATCTAGCCTTGGATATGGTAGAAAACTCTGGATCTTTGTTTTGGTATAATGGATTTTCTCGTACTATTGGTGATGGTCGGAATGGTTCGTGATGATTTGAATATGTATTTTAGTATAAAATTAGTTAGTTAGTTATTATTATTATTATTGTTATTTTTATATATCTATACATACATAATTACATATTTTATTCTTTTTTTTTTGGGTGATCGACACTCATATTTTTCTTTATATTTGGTTATTCAATAAAGCATTTTTACTTTATAGTAAATAAACGAAATTAAAAAAAAAAAAAGGATAGTGATGATGAGTGTTGATCATCATTTTATAAAGACTAGAGACCAAGAAAAGTATACTGGTTCCATTCTATTGGTTCAGGGAGGGAAAGTGTTGTGTGTAACAATATCTCATAGTATTCATTTTTATTTTTATTTTATTATATTTTTTTTTTTTGGGATGAGTTAAGGGATTATTTCTTTTTTTTTTAAGTTAATAAGTCAGGGGAGATAATGACTGTCATGAAGTTGTTATATTGAACTTAACGGAAAAAGGGGATGATCCTCCAAAAGATGAATGAAAAAAAAAAAAGAGGAATCCCACTCTATGTTTCATTTATTTGGATCGCCGAGTTTTACTAGATAAAAAAAGAAAACGGGAATGGCTTTTAACTCCCGATGTGAATCCCCACCATACTATGATGATGATGTTGATGATTGACGACGATAATCTTGGATTTAAGGGATATCAGGACAAAAAAAAAAAAAAAAATCCAATGAAATGAAGTCAAGATGACGAATTCAAACGCACGAGTCTGTTCGCCGGATTATTGGAACGAAAAAAAAAATCATTCGGATAAAATTCAAAGGGGAGAAACTAAAAAAAAGAAAATATATTATATTTTTTTTTTTATATTATATATATTCATATAAACCAACATATACACACACGAAAAAGTATATATACTATATTAAAGAGTTCTCGAGCTTGCAGACAACAAATTCAAAGTCCTATCCAGTATCAATTTGAGAACTTTTCGCTCCAGGAAAAAAAAAACTATTATTAAAAAACGACATTCATACTTTTTTATCTTTCTTTCTCTTTTCCTTTTTTTTTTTTTTTTTTTTTTTTTTTTTTTTGGTCTTTTTTGGTTTTTTGGGTCTTTATAGTAACACACGCGGACACACTTCCTATTTATCACATTATTTCCACCCCGTCAATACTTTTTCTCTTTTTCTTGTTATTCCCTCCCTTTTTTTCTTTTTTTTTTTTTTCGTTACTCCACTTCTAGTTTGCTGTACCATAAAAAGAGGATAATCATTCCATTCTTCTTTTTTTTTTCTTCTTTCTTTTTTTTTTTTTTAATCCTTCCTTTCATTTATTTTTTTTATTGACATGTTACCCTATTATCAAGGGGGTTACTTATCGAATGAAAATCAACAATCTTCACAGCAAGAACAAGAAGAATCATTTGATACTTATGGTCAAAGACATCATCATCAACAACAACAACAACAACAACAATCACCAGAAGAAGAAAGTAAAAATCATCATCAACATCATTCTGATCCAATTAATCAAACGAATTTTTCAACATTACCTGTTACTACACAAGAGACTATGCAACAACAACAACAACAACAACAGCAAACATCTTATCCACCTTTCGTTTTAATGCATGATCAAACGTATCCTGAATTCACATATGATAATTCAATGTTAAACGATCCAGCCATAACACCTTTACCGGCACCCTCTGATTATGCACGCCAACAAGAAGACGTATTTAGAGAATTGATTACTTTAGCAAGTCATCGACAACAACAACAGCAACGCCATCAACCATTACCACTTCACCAACAACAACATAATCATCATCATCACCATCATCATCATCATCATGCTTCCGATCCTTTTCCTTATGCCACCAATTTACCCTCAACATCATCCACTACCAATACTACTTCTGGACCTTTACCATTACATACAGCAGCATCTTCTTTATCATCATCATCTTCTTCTTCATTAGCACCTATCGCTTGGGATCATTTATCACAGGAACGAATTTATGAGCTGATAGTAGTTCAACAACCTTATCGTGCAAGAATGTGCGGATTTGGGGACAAAGACCGACGACCTATATCACCTCCGCCTATCTTACAACTAGTAACAAGAACAAAAGATGGACAAATAGTCAAACCAGAGTAAGTAAAAAAAAAAAAAAAAAATAAACAAAAATGTATAAAAAAAAAATAAACAAATAGGAACACAGACAATGATCTTATTTGATTGATTCCTTTTTTTTTTTTTTTTGTTAGAACTATAGATGTTTCCTTCTTCATTGTTTTATGTGATAGTTGGCATGAAGATGGTACCACTGAAGCCAATCTTGTTTATCATTCTTTTTCCTCACCTCAACAACAACAGCAACAGTTATTATTACCATCATCATCATCAACAACATCAGCATCATCATCATTATCACCTTCAACTATTCCACTTTCATCATCTAACGAAGAAATCACCAAAACTTTACAAATGCGTAACCTTGTTGGATCATCAGTCGCATCAGCAGCTAAATTATATGATCTTGATGGGAATCTTGGTATTTTTTTTGTCTTTCAAGATATTAGTTTCCGTACTGAAGGCAAATTCAAATTGGCTTTTTCTTTGATTAATGTTGGTTCGTAAGTGAGGAATAAGTTGGGGTCAATCGGATTTACAAACTTCTTACTGTATTATGGTCTCTTTTTTTATTGGGAGCCCATACAGCGGGAATTGTATCGCCGACTTTAATCATCACTTTATGTCAAACCTTATTCTTACACTTTTTTTTTTTTTTATTAGACCCTGCGGAACCACTGTCAATACCAGTACATCTACTCATGTCTTGACAAGGGTATTTACAGATCTATTTACAGTTTATACAGCAAAGAAATTCCCTGGTGTTGTCAGTAAGTGATATATTTTTGTTATCTCCTTTCTTTATGATTGACTCCTTTATTTTGTTAGAGTCTACTCCATTATCTCAATGTTTTGCAAAACAAGGTATTAAGATTCCTATTCGAAAAGATACTCAAGCAAAAAGAAAAAAGTCGACGAAACAATCTACTATTGGTACAAGTCATCTTGATGAAGAAGAGGAGGAGGATGATGGTGATGAATGAAATAGATTGGGCATAGTTAGAAAACAAAAAGTTTTTTTTTTTTTTAATTTTTTTTATCATAGTTTTGATCTATTTATTTCGTCTCTCCTTTTGATCTCTTTTTTTTTATGTATATTCTTTATTATCATCCATTTATTTTTATTTTTTTTTTTTTTTACTTCAGCATTTCATGTATACATCTACTCTATTTTTTTTTATATCATCTTTTTGTTTATTTATCAATTTTTATGCACATTCCTTTTGTCTTCACACTTTTTTTTTTTCTATCTTTGATCATTGAACCCCCGCATGATCTCATTATTATTATATATATACATTTTACATTACACACACATGCTTATTGTCCTTTTTTTTTTTTACTGCCATTTACTTAATGATCTAATGTTATTTATTCATTCATCATCACCTTTTACATGTTTCTTTTTTTTATTTTTATTATTATTATTATTATATATAATATATGAACTTATATTTACTTCTTTTTTTTTTTCCTTATTGAATAAAAATAAATAAATAAACATTTGATCTATGATATTGAGTAACAAAAGATCCTTTTTTGAATATGCGCCAACAAACAACAATGGCCCTTCTTTTACTATCTGGTCGATTTCCAATTTAGGCCATCCTGATGATGATGATTGGTGGGTACTTCTTTTTTCCCCTTCTCTCACCTTCTATAGAAGACAATCATCATTCTCTTTTTTGCCTACTAATTTCTTTTTTTTTTTTATTAGAGTATTAATATCATATTAGTATGAATAGGATAAAACACTTTTACCCATGGTACCTTTTGTAAAAAAAAAAAAAAAAAAAAAATATATAAAGAAAAAAGTGAAACTTTTTTTTTCGACCCTGAAATTCTGAAAACCACCTCAAGAATGATCTATGATTTTCCTTTTATGGATATCCCTCTCCTCTTTTAGCAACACTACTTTTCTATTTTTTTCTTTTCTTCCAACTTCTTTTTTTCTAAAAAAAAAAAAAAAAAAAAAAGAAAAAAAAAAGATAAACAACAATCTAGCATCATTCAATTTACTATAAGTTTAAAATCAGGAGAATGAAAAAACAAAAAAAAACAGTCAGTCATGTCAAATATAGTAGAAAAGAAGAAAAAAAAGATGGTATGATCATAGATTGTATATATTTATCCTTATTATTGTAACATATATAAAACGATCATATATTACGATATGAAGAAATGATCATAAACGAAAAAAAAAGAGAGAATGAATAAAAAAATATCAAGAAAAACCTGTAGAAAAGAAGAAAGAGGAGAATGATGACTTTGCCTCCTTTCCCTTTTGTCGCGTTAAATGGGTATGAGACAAACCACCACCACATTTCAATCCCAGTTAGCCATCCTACCCTGATTTTTTTTCTTTCTTTCTTTTGTAACCCCCATTTTCTTTTTCTTTTTCTTTTTCTTTTCTTTTTTTTTCTTTCTTTTTTTCTAAATATTTTTTTTTTTTTCTTTTTCTCTAGTCATGTCGACAAAGACTTCTTCAAAATTTTGGAAAAAGCTTGGTTTGGGAAAAAAATCTTCTTCTCAAGGTAAAGAACATCTCCTTTTTGAACTTTGTTTAATAGTATTTCTTTTATAGTGTCTCGTCCAGCTTCCATTCAATCTCATGCAACTATTACTACTACAGCTTTACTCAATAATGACGACGATAAGTCTATTAAAAGCAAACGATTTAGGTAGGATAAATAATAGAAAAAGGAGAATTAGAAAAAGAGAAAAGTTCACTTAAGTATTATGCTATATCTCATATTTCTCTCTCTCTCTTTATTATTATTATTATTACTTTAGTGGCGTTTTGTCAAACCGTAAACAAAGTGCAAATTCATTACGAAGGTTACAACAAATAACAACTAATGAAGATCCACCAGCATTACCTAGTAATGGAAATAATACAACTACAGAAATCAAATCATCACAAACTTCAAGTCTACCTCCTGTTTCTACATTGAACTACGATGAAAATACTCTTCCAACAAACCACGTGGAATTAAACACCCCGCCCTTGGATCCCGATCTTGGTAAACAACACGATGGTAAGAAAACAAAAAGTGAATGTACTCGTGATTTATTTAATTTTTTTTTCTTTTTTTGAAAAATAAAATATAGAACTTGCCTTTGATGTCATCACTCATAATGAAGCTCGTACTGACGAACAACCTGATTGTATGACAGTCGAATCAAATTCACGTAGTACAGCTAATCAACCTATTCCTTCTTCCGCAACAACACAACGATCCAATATGACACCCTCCAAATTAATGAAACCAAAAAGTGTATCAAGTTTGAAAAAGAAATCTAGCCAGGCTGACTCTCTGACCACATCCTCTCCAATTCAAAGTACAATCAATAAGGAACCCAGCAAAAGTAGACTTCGTCAACCCTCTAGTACACCTGGATCAGCTCGTTCTTCAACACCATCTGCTTCGTCATCGACATCTTCATTGAGAAAAGATTCCACCACGTCACGTATACCTCATCGTCCTCCTATACCTTCTAACAATACTGATTTATCATCAGATAAAAAGGATGAACTTATTCAACAATTACAAGAAGCTTTACAAACCGAACAATCCATCAATCGCGTGTTACAAGGACAAAAAGAAGGTATATATATATATATATATATATAATAGAATGCATTTATCTTAGTATTCTTTTTTTTTTTTTTAGCCATTACTCGGGATTTGGATTACTTTAGTCTGACCGTGGACGAATTATTAGAAGAAAAAGAATCATTATTACAAAAATACGAAGAAGAAAAGGTAGTAATATTATTTAAGTTTTGTCGATTTTTTTTTATTCATTATCTTCTTTTCTTAATATAGTCAAAGGCCCTATCAAAAGAAGAAGATCTAAATGTATTACTGGAAAAACTCAAGACAAGTACCGATAACGCTAGAGAACGTAGTATGGAAGTGGACCAATGGAAGATCGAAATTCAGGCAAGTGAAACGAAATAAAAGAACAAAACATTATATTAACATTCCTTTTTTTTTTTTTTTTTTTTTTTTTTTTTTTTTTGTAGAATATCAAGGATGAAGTATCGTTAGAACAAGAAGAATTGAAATCAGCTTTGAAACGCAAGGATCAAGTTATCCTCCAATTAAAGGTATTTGATAAAAAAAAAAAGTGACAAGAAATATAGATACTGATGGATTGATTTGAAATAGAATGAATTAAATCTTGCAAACGAAGAAATCAATACATTATCGTCAAGACTCAATCAACTTGTACAAGAATCAGTCAATCGCAAACCAACCAATACTCAAACATCTCTACAACAACAACAACAACATATGAACGAGAATATGATTATTGAAACACCGAGTGCCTCTCCAAAATTGAATGCACAACATTACAACGAAAATGATAAGAACGTTGAACCACGATCTCAAGGATCGATTCATAACACTAATATCAATGGACAAGTATCTACTACAACAACAACTCGACGTCATCCTTCATTATCAGTGGTCACCACCCCTACATTGGATGATGAACTGATGATGTTGACCAAGGAAAAAGAAAAGGTAATCATTTATATCTTTTTTTTTCTTCTTCTTAATCTTCTTTTATTATTATTATTTTTGTTATAGCTTCAATCTGATTATAGTAAAATACCCTTATCAGGTGGCGGACCGACTTCAAGACGACGAAAAGAACAATTAGAAGAAATGCTTGATGAAGTGGATAGTCAACTTAGCAAAGTCAAACAAAAGATTCGTCGATCATGAATTAGTTTTAATTTTTTTTTTTTATTGATCTTCATTCTTTATACCCTATTATTATTTTTATTTTTATTATTATTGCTACTTATTACTTATTATTCCAATCTATGATGATTTGTTTGTTAGTCAACTTTCCAAAAATATATATCTATATCTGCATTTGATCAATAAATTATATAAAAAAAAAAAGACATACAACATATATATATTCTATCTTCAGCCTATTTGATAACAATAGAATAACAAGAATAAGAATGAAATTAAGGAGAAAACATGCTTTTATTCAATAAGATAGTTTTTTTTTTTTTAAAAAATAAAAGTAAAATAACTAAAGGTTGAAGTTGGTCAAAAGGGAGGGGGATGAAATGAAATAAAGAAGAGGAACTAATAACCCAAAGTGGCAAGAGAAGAGTTAATATCCTTGATAGCATCAGCCTTAGATTCGACAGCCTTCTTTTGGATAGCAACCAAAGCTTGTTTGCGTTGATAGTAAGCAGCAGACTTGGCCTTACGCTTGTCTTCAAGCTTGGCAACGACATCTTGGTACTTCCAGCCGACTTCATGAGAGATACGACCAATGGTAGTGTACTTGCGTCCAGGCTTGAGCTTCAAGACACGGAGAGCATCAGGCACAACAACACGCTTGACACGGTCATAAGGAGGAGGAACACCTTCAAACAACTTGATACGATCCAAGGCAGCAGCACCACGGGCAGTCTTGTGAGGAACCATACCACGGATAGCCTTGTATAAGATGCGAGAAGGAGCACGGAAATGGAAGGCACCACGGTTGGGGTTGACAATACAACGCTTATTGAGGTAAGCATGGTACTTCACTATTTAAAAAAAAAAATTAGGGTGAATAAATAAATAATGTCACTTCTAATATTGAACTTACACTTGTTACGGAAGAATTCACCAGAAACATTGAGGGCTTCACAACGGACCACAACCACCTTTTGACCATTAAGGGCTTGCTTAGCAATGATAGAAGCAAGACGACCGAGAAGATGACCTTTACCGTCAATGACAACAACCTAATAAAAAAATAAAAAACATGTTGTTTTAGTTTTTATTTGTTCGTAAATAAATAAATAAAAAAAAATATCATTTCGTCACTTCCAAAAAAAAAAAAAGAAAAAAAAGGAAGAAGGTGCATCTTGTGACATTCACAATACATTTAAAAATATTATATACCTTTTCAAAAGTGGACATGTTTGATGGAATTACAAAGGGAGGGAGGGAAAGAGAAAGAAACAAGAAAAAGAAAAAACAAGAAAAAAAAAAAGTTCTGTCACTCTATTTTTTTTGTCGCAAGCCACCACTTGCCTCCCCTTTTCTTTTCAGCAACAGTAAAAATTTTACTAGCTTTCATGTTCCGCTCAATTGTTGAAATATTTTTTTTATTCAAATTGGGATATTCAAGAAGGATAAATTATCTAAAGGTAACCAACAAACTAAAGGAGTAGAACCTGTAATATATTGAGTTTGTCTATGATAAAATAATAAACCATCCACATCATAAGGTATTTGATATTGAGTCAAGTAAACTTTTGGATCTTGAGTTACTTTCTTTATTTCTGTTGTTGGCACAGGAATCAAAGGTTGAAAATGATAAAGTTGATTCTTATTCGTATCACCACCATCAAATTTTGTTTGTAACCAAAAGTGTCTGCATAAATAATAATAATAATAGAGATTATCATCTTTTTTTTTTCTTTTTTTTTTTTCTTAGTTCTTTACCTGAAATCCGTATCACAATCATAAATTGCATATCCATTCCAACACATCATATCCAATACATAAAATGTCCATTTGCTAGCATCATAAATACAATCCAAAATACAATAATTAGAGGATGATCCATGTCCACGTTGAATAGATCCATTAGGTAATCCTGATTGAAATCGATTAATAATACGTCCTATCAAAAAAAAAAAAAAAAACGGTAATCAACAATCTATTCTTATTATTATTATTTTTTTGTCTTTCTTTATTTACCACTTCTTGCTCTTGCTACAGTTTGTCCATTTCCAGAAGTGACCAAACATCGTTTCCCCTTAGGACAAATCATCATCACCCAATCTGTCAATAAATCTGAAGGAATATTTTCCATTGTTTCCGCATACATCACTTGATTTCTATTCCAAAATAAATAGAATTTCAATCTTTGAAAAGATACTATATATATATACTTACGCAAATTTACTATAATCTTTCTTGCTTGAGGATTTATTTGGTCGATCAAGGCATCTAAATTTGGTATCTTCCATCACTATATCTTCATCCATATCTCGATTTCGTTTTGATCCTCTACATTGATTTTCTAATTCTTCGTCCGAATCCAGTTCTCCTAAAGCTATTTGTCGCGCTTTTTCAGTTTGTTGATTCCTATGCTATCAAATAAAATAATAAAAAATAAATAAATAGAAAAATTGGAATGAATATACCCAACTTTATTTTTTAATTCTCATTACCATACGCTGCCAAGCCAATGCTTTGTTGATACGTAATTGTGTTTCATTACCAATAGCTGGAGCTTGGAAAGACCTCAAAACACCTTGTCGATGAGCATAATCATGTTGCTGTGTTATCGGTGGACTAATGATATTGGTTTCAAACTGTACTGTTAAATCCTTAATATTAATATCAAAAGTATGTTCATCATTATTGGTATCATTATTGGTTTTGGTATTTTCATCTAAATCGATTCCATCAGACATAGACATTAAGCGTGTTTTATTAATAAAAAAAAAGAAAAAAGAAAAGAAAAAAAAAAAAGACCAATTCTTTCTCCTTGATGCCCCACAAACCTATTCGAAACCGAAATCTTCGGGTCTTCAATGTATTTTTGTGTGGATATTTTTTATTTTTTGTTTGTTTCGCTGAATTTCTTATTATTTTTTTCTTTCTTTCTTTTCTTTTTCACTTACTTCTTTTATACAAAAAAAGAACGATCCTCTATTGAAAAAAAAAAATGGTATTGTCAAAAAATATGGGAACCAACTTGGATACTCTTTTTTTTTTTTTTTTTAATATTGATTATATGTTGATATTAGGGTAAAAGAAAAGTCAAAAGAAAGGCCGTCAAGAAAGTGAAGGACAAGCTGGATACCCAATTCAATTGTTTGTTCTGTAACCATGAAAAAAGTATTGAATGTAAATTGTAAGTATAAAATATCCATCATGATAACATTTTTTAACTTTTATTTACTTTGATAGGGATCAAGCAAACAAAGTAGGACACTTAAATTGTAAAGTATGTGATATCGCATGGCAATGTTCTATTACTTGTAAGTTGATGATAAAAAAAAGAAAGAAAGAACAGTGACATTAATTAGACTATTGGATACAGATTTAGATGAACCTGTGGATGTTTATTCAGCTTGGATTGATGCTTGTGAAGAAGTAAACAAATCAAAGAAACAGGCAGCAGCAAGAGCAAGAGAGCAAGAACGGGATCGGGATGATGGCAATCCAACCTATTCAAATCAAGTGGATCAGGGTGACCCTTATGATGATGAAGACGATGACGATTATTGATACTTCCAGTAAACTTCACTCTGAATAGATTAGTATAGATACTTTTTTTTTTTTTATTATTATTCGAATTGCTTTTATCCCTCCCTCCTTTGTCTACTTTATTTTTTTTTACCTCTCTTTTGTACATATCAATCCCTTCTATTACAAATAAAAAAAAAAACATCATTGATACAATTTTCACGCGTTTGTTACAATCTTTTTGTTTCGAGACTGGACCGAAGTTCCGGCAAGCGAAAAAGTTTTTCCTTTTTGACTATATATATATATTATATAAAGTTAGGTCCCCATTTTCTTTTTCTTTTTCTTTTTCTTTTTCTTTTTTTTCTTTTTTTTTTTTTTTTTTTCATCGTCTACATTCACTTTTTTTTTTCTTATCCTCATAAACACATATACAGCATGTGGCGACCTCATTATACCGTTGATATTGTGGGACATTACGATCTATGGCAATATGGATACACTACTGATCAACAAGAACAACTGCATACTACACTTCCGTTGACTAAGCACTCCAATGTACGAACCACACCAAGTGTTTCCTTGTTACAAAAGAACCCTGAACAACCTTATGCTCCCAGTTTACGTGATCGACCCTATAGTCCGTTTTCAGGATATTATGACCAAGATGATGTTTATCTTGGATGTGAATACGATATCTTTACTCCTCTTTCTTCTTCTTTATCCTCCTCCTTTGATGCTTCGTTCTTTTGTGATGATCCATCTCCCATTGCCCCTACTCCTTGCAAACGCCAACATATGGATACCGATTCTAGGCAAAACAAACGACAAAGAAAGAACTCTCATGATGATATCGGTCCTTCTTTAGGTATCTTTTCTCCTCCTTCTACTCATCCCCCATTAGAAATATTAGAATACTATTGATCACTTTATCTTATTTCCCTCTATACCATTGTCTATAATAAAAAATATGTTGTTTATAATTTATTGTCATACAAATCAAATCGGATTTTACCGATCCTTCACCCCCTGACGGAAAATGTTTTCCCCCCGAGAATATTATAATTTTTCTGCATATAAAAAAAAAAAAAGATTTTTATTCAATCATACAATAATACTATATCAAAAATCGCCAAGAATGATGCATTCTAATGATGGTTTCTTTTTTCTGTTGTTTGTCAAGTCGTACTGCTTCCAAATCACGAATATCTTCAAGAAACAATTCTCGTACCGAATTCCTTGTGGGTAAATACTGGGCATAATTGCGCAATAAGAGTAATTCACAAAGTAGCACACCTTGAGATTCACACGACAATTCCGTTTTGTTTGTATCCAATGTAAAAAGTCGTTCTATCCGTCTATTTTAGAAATATAAATCATCTAATTTCTTCTACATTGAATTTTTTTTTTTTTTTACCTTAATGTATCCTTCAAAGGTTGTCCGATTTGTCGTACTCTATTGCCACCACGTTTTTGATACATGTTTTTTATCCATGAGAAAGTTGCCCAAGTAAGAAGCATCGATGGAGCCACAGCTAAAAAAAAAAAAGAGGATTATTCAGTAATCAAATAAACATCAACATGCATCTTACCCAGGAATGCAAAGTTCAATTCATTGGATTTCAATAACTTGTCTAAAGCTTGCATGGCAATATCAACATCCACCTTAGTTTTTTGTATTTGGATCAATAACGTTTGAATCAAATCACCTATATATATATATATATATAATGAGAAAACAGTACATATGTATATATACTCCATTATTTACCTCGAATAGCATTTCTAAGTGGATTCTATTATAAAATAAGAATTAGAGTCGATTCATCCATCGTATTCTTTTTTTTTTTAAAAAAAAAATACCTTGATTTCATTTTCATATGCACGAAGAACAACAGATACATCACCATCACGGACTTGAGAGGCTAATCGAATGATTTGATCATCAGACAAATGGTAATGATCTCTTGCAAATTGAGTCACCATACGTTCCAATGACTAATAGATAGAATGAGTCATCTGTCTTTTCCATCAAACTATTTTTTTTTTTTTTTTTTTTTTTTTTTTTTTTACCTGTAAATCACTTTTTAATCCTTCCTTGCTTGATAATCCAATCCGTCGATCTTTGAATCGAATGGTATCCAATACACCAAGTGTAGGTTCCCAAAGCCAATGTACAAAGAATTCACGTACGGTTTGTATTCCTTCTTTTGTCCATGTCATAATATTATCTTTTCGTTCAAATAAATAATCAAGTGTCATCTTGCCTCCAAATACAATCACCAATCCAGGAACCCAATATCTTGTCCATCTTGTTGGTGGTCCATAATCTTGTTTCCACACTTGCAAATCATACAATTTTGGTTGTTGGTCAATCACTTGTTTCAAATCCTTAGCTACTTGATGTGGAGGTATACTGATCATACTGAAATTCTGAATAGATTGTTCAATCGCATCTATCAATCGATAAATTAATGAGTTTAAATTATAACTTTGTATTTCATCCATTTTACCTCTTGTTTCTTGAATATTGATAACGGAAGATGCTACAGATGATGATGATGATGATGGTGATGGTGAAATATCCATTCTATTGGCTGCTGCTGATGCGTCAGAGTTATTTCCAAGAAGACAGGATGACAAGGCCTTTACACATTGAGTCGTACCACGAGCCACATAATGAAGGGATACCAGTTGAGATTGTTGATCAGTTTGGACCAAAAAACCATCATTACTCACATTCCGATTGTCCAAAACACTACCGAAATCAGGTGCCATTTTGATCAATAATCCAAGTATGGAGGCTTGTTGTGTGCGGAAAGTACGTAAGGCTATTCTCTTTTGTTGAATTTCGTCACGGATTAAAGCAAGAGGTAAAGGTGCACTGTAAAGTTTTCGAAACACACGAGCCAATGATTTGCCAGGATGACCATGATATCGAGAGAATGAGTGTTGACGTTGCTTGATTCTGTTCTTGTTGGCATCTCTTAACGCCATAGGGAAAAGACTACCAAGAATATGATCCGATGAGGTTAAGACATTTTTGATACTTGATGTGGTGACGTCTGAGGTAATAGACGTATCTAATAGAGCTTGTCGTGTGTTCATAACCAAAGAATATAACCTTCCAGGAGCAGCTACAAGTAAAATAAAAATAATAAGCAAAAAAAAAAAAAAAAAAAAAAAAAAAAAGGGAAAGGTGAACTTACTTTGAATACCATAATAAGCTTCATACCAAACATTTCCTTGTATATTATCCCAATAAGTCAAAGATTCAGAAATTGGTAAAGTAGAATGAAGAATGGAGGATATAGTATGACCATAAACGGCAAGTGTGCACTTGGTGACAAATAACCAATCTAAAGTATTATCGTCTGTTGTGCTGTTGTTGAATGTTGCATACCAAGTCAGATAAGTCCTAATATCATCCATCCGAGGAACTCCAGATAAAGACGCGTCTAAAGCTTGAATAGCCGCTAGTAGGAAGTCAGTGTTATTCTGGGTTTGCCAAGCCTGTTTTGGTGTCAAAGTAGTATTTTCTAATGTCGTAAGGTGACTGACACTACATAGATGTTCACGTTGTAGTTCCAAAAGACTGCCATTCAGTCGTTGGACTTCTTCAATAGCATATGTCGTCATTCTATTTATATAAAGGACAAATGTCAATCTCGTGGAAGGGGAAAAGGAAAAAAAAAAAAAAAAGAGAAACAAAAAAAAAAAAAAAAACCTAAAAATAGTGAGAATACCTGGAAAAAAAAAATAGACAGCGGGAATTCAAAAAAGACCACGTTATAAAAATTATTTGCTTTGGTCTCGTTCCTCACTTTTCCTTCCTGTTACTACTTTTTTTTTTTTTTTTTTGTTATCGCACATAATATTATCATCATGTCTACTTTCACTTTGGATACTCTTAATAACAACTATGTTGCTCACAAATATGAAGACTTTGTCTATGCTTATGGTACTGCTGGCTTCCGGTCAAAGTAAGTATCACGATAAAAAGAAGAATAGACACGTCATTTACTCATATGTATATTATTTGTTATACTTATCATATTACTTTCTTTGTCTTTTGTTTATATATTAGAGCTGAAGTTCTTGACTCTGTTATGTATATTGTTGGTATCTTGGCCACTTTACGTTCTAAAAAGTTGAATGGTGCTACCATTGGTGTGATGATAACTGCCTCTCACAATCCTGAAGAGGTAAGAAGAATGCCAAAAAAAAAAAAAATATCAAGTACGATGATGATGATTTGATTTTTATTTATTTATTTATTTTTTATTAGGATAATGGTGTTAAACTTGTGGATCCTCGTGGTGAAATGTTGGAACAATCCTGGGAAGGTTATGCTACCAAGATGGCCAACGCCAAGGATGGGGATAGTTTGGTACATGCTGTCAACGAAATCATTGCTACTCAAAAGATCAACGTTGAAATTCCTGCATCTGTGATCTATGCTTATGATACTAGGTAAGAATATCGAAAGAATTTGCATAAAAAAAATATCAGTGTATTGATTCATTTTTATATTTTATTTTATTAGACCTAGCTGTCCTGAACTTGTCAAATATCTTGAAAGTGGTCTTGAAGCTGCTGGTGCTCAAGCTAAGAGTTATGGGGTATTAACCACTCCTATGCTCCATTATCTTGTTCGTTGTTTGAACACTGCTGGTACTGGTGATGCTTATGGTGAACCTTCAGCTGAAGGTTATTACAAGAAATTATCCAATGCGTACAAGACTGCTGTGGTAAGTTTAATAAACAAACAAATAGATAAATATAAACAAATGACTCATATTTGATCTTCTCCGTTTCTTAGAAAGGATATGCTCGCTTATCTCCTCTGTCTGTGGATTGTGCCAATGGTGTTGGTGCTCTCAAATTACGTGAACTTGTTCAACATATCCCTGAAGATATCCTTTCCATCAACATCATTAATGATCAAACCACTACTAAGGGTGCTTTAAACAAGAATGTAAGTCAATGAAAAAAAAACAAGAAATTGAGTATGTAAATAGATATTGATTCTATGGTATTGATATAGTGTGGTGCTGATTTTGTCAAGACCAATCAACGTGCTCCTCCTAATGCATCTATTGCTCCTGGAGATCGATTCTGTTCTTATGATGGTGATGCTGACCGTATTGTTTATTACTATGTGGACAAAGGTAAAAATAATAATAATAATAATAATCTTGTATTCATAAACACTTTTTTTATAGATAATGTATTCCGATTATTGGATGGTGATAAGATTGCTGGTCTTGCCGCAATGTTCATTATGGAACTTGTGAATGATGCTGGTATCGACTCTATCAAGGTAGGCGTTGTTCAAACTGCTTATGCCAATGGAAGCTCTACTCATTACTTGGAAAAGGTCTTGGTAAGTCCTTTTATTTATTTTTTTAAAAAAATAATAATCAAATCTCATTCAAAATATCTGGAATAGAATGTACCTGTATCTTGTGTTGCCACCGGTGTTAAACATTTGCATCATGAAGCTGAAAAGTATGATATTGGTGTATACTTTGAAGCCAATGGTCATGGTACTGTGCTCTTTAGTCCTGCTGCTTTGAACACAATCAACACCACCGAAGCGTAAGTTACCCAAAAAATATATATATATATATATATAAAATAAAACTGTATTAACATGTTGAACAAAATCTATAGAAAAACCCCTGCTCAAAACCGTGCATTGCAACAACTTTCAGCCTTGACAGAATTGATCAATCAAACTGTAGGTGATGCTATCTCAGATATGCTATTGGTGGAAACCATCTTGACCAATCGTCAATGGAGTCTAGATGCATGGGATCAAGCATATACTGATCTTCCCAACCGATTGGTTAAAGTGGTGGTGGCCGATCGTACTGTATTCAAGACAACCAATGCTGAACGTCAAGTGGTAGAACCTGTGGGTCTTCAAGCTCAAATTGATGCCATCGTCGCTAAATACAACAATGGTCGCTCGTTTGTTCGTGCTTCTGGTACCGAAGATGCCGTACGTGTTTATGCTGAAGCTGCTTCTCGTGCTGAAACCGATGAATTGGCTTACAAGGTCGCCCAAGCTGTTTACGATTCTGGCAGTGGTGTTGGTTCTCGTCCTTTGAAACCATAAATGATTCTTCATGATATTTTTTTTTTAGTGTTATCATCATCATCATTATTTTTTTTTGTTGTTACATCTCTATGCCATTTTTATTCCAGTTGTTTTTATTTTTATTATTGTATCTCCCTCTTTTTTTTTTTTGACCACCAATAAAGTTTTATTTTTCTGATATTGTCTTATTTTGAACATGCTTCTGTCAAACCTCGTTTGAATCTTTTTTATGCATCATCATGTTGGCTGATCTTTTGAGAAAAGTGATCAGGACATGTCCATATTTGGCCTTTTTTTTTTTTTTTTTTTTTTTTTTTTTTTTTTTTTTTTAGGATATAATTAACGACATCCGTCTTCACTAAAACGATCTTCATGCTTTCATTTCCATCATCATCATTCTTGGCCATTGATTATTACATATCATCCAACCAGTAATAAAACTAAATAACAAGGTATCCTTCAACAAATAGTTGATTTTACAGTATCAATCTCCAGAGTATTTATCAGTGTATAAAGAGATAATTTTATTTTGAGTGGTATAAAGAAACATCGTACAGTGTAGAGTCAACAATAGAATAATAATAATAAAAAAAGTAATAAAAATAATAATCAAAAAAAAAAAAATGTAATCAAGTAAAACAAGATATATCTATATCAATGAGAATGACCAAGATTGAGTACCACGGGTAAGAACATACCAAATAAGATACAAAATATATGGGATCGCTCTAATTTGTCATGATGATGAGAAGGTTGTAATTCTTGTAAAGCATGCATGGCCACATATAAAAAGGTCCCGCCCGAGAATAAGAGAAGCACACCGGTCCAGTATTCCAACGCCATATCACCAGGAGAGGTCAGAGAGAGCAAAAGATAGGTAACAAGTGCACCAGTAGGTGCGGCCATGGAGAATAATAAAAGATGTTTCCGTACTTGAAGTCGTGAGAAACCTTCCGCCAGAAGAACAGTGGTCAGTGCAAATGCTGAGGGACCTTTGTGAAGCATGATGGCAAAAAAAACGACCATAGAAAGCTGTGGATGACTGGCTGACGCTCCTAATGCTATACCATCCGCTGCCGCATGTACCATCAATCCAATCGTCGGTGTCATACTTTGTGCATGGTTGGCGGAAATACTATGATTATTGTTATTCCATCGTTCTTCCACTTGGTCATCTACTTGATCATCATCCTTATCATTGTCGTCAAGATCGTCATCCTTGGCTGATCGTTTCGTTGATGTTGTTGCCAACATGCTGTCCAGTTCGTGATCATGTTCCAGTCGACCATTGTTTCCATGAACGTGAAGTGAGCTGAATTGATCAATAACAAACATAACACCAAAACCTAGAATAAGTGCCCAGCCAACTGAAGTATGTTTAGGAGTTGCGTCTTCGTGATGATCATGTTGGTCTGTCGTTATATCTGCTTGAGGATGATTTGGATCTTCAATGGTATAATGAGAAGAAGGTTTTGTAGTGGCAGTTGTAGTGGTAGTAGTTGAGGTGGTTGACCAGGGAGATAATGCCATCGGAACATAGGTATTTGCCGAGCTAGTTGGTGTTTCCATCATGCCATTATGGGACAAGTTGTTTGCAAGTGTGGTAGATGGTACTGGACTACTATATAATGTTTCTACACCTTCCGGGATAATGACTACCAAGGAAGTACCGATGAGTAAGCCCACACCAATCGCTGTAAGTTGACGTAGTTTAGTCGAAGATAGTTTAGTTGCAAGAGGAATACAACCAAATACAAAACTACCTATAAGCATGGTAATGCTTAATAGTAATAACCATATAAACGGATTTAGCATGGGAAATTCTAAAATTTCTATAGTTGGTAGAAATAATGTAAAAAAAAAAAAAAAGGTATGTGAGAAAGAACAAGGAGAAAAAAAAAAAGAGAGAGAAAAAAAGAAAATTGAGTGTGAAAGTATACCAAAATCATTTATCAACGCTTGGCCGGCGCTTCAAAAGGAAAAAGGTGGGGCCAAAAAAAAAAAAAAAAAGTAAGGAAAGGAGAAACATCATCCCCTTTTTTTTCAACAGAGAAAGATAGAGGCAGATTATACATGAATCATAAAAAAAAATAGTTTCCGTTTTCTACATAAGTATCATAGTTTTTAAATCAAGAAATGATCATTTTATTTGATTGAACAAAAAACAAAAAGATCTAAACTAAAACTATTGAGGGTTTGTAGGAGGATAGATACCTTGATCCTTGGGGCCATCGGTACGCATATAAGATTCACCATTGACAAACTTGTATTCATAGTTAGAATCAGCTTCAGGGGTAGTATGAGAGTAAGTGACACCGGATGGTTTATTGACCTTGCCAGCTACGTTTTTGATGGTAAAGTTACCATAGAAACCTTCTCTGATTTCCGATCTATCACCACCAAAGTTTTCCAAAAAGCCATAAACTCCAGATAACCATTTTGTAATGTCAAAGGCACGGAAGGTAGCAACCAAATTCCACTTGTTGTTATTCACACCTTCAGCACGCCAGTAACCGGTATAATCGGTGTATCGACTAGCATAATTAACCTTGGCAGACACACGGAAGTAGACAGTTTCACCGGTAGTCCAGTTGTACAAGTAACGAGCATGAGATCCAGTACCTTCACCACCAAAGCCTTCCACAAGCACATTCTTGCCCTTTTTAATACCTTTGACTTGACTGCCATTGCCATCATCCCATACAGCAAACAAAATCCTGCGTTCAGTACCGGAATTGTGCTGCATGCCCATATAGCCACCGTCCCATCCATTGGCCATCCAATAAGTATTGGTAGGATCAGAACCTTGAGGAACACGGATGGATGATTCGATTTGAGAAATATTGCCAAAGTTGTTAGGAGTATCCCACCAATTATGGGTTGATGTTGATGACACCAATTGACTTGTGGCTAAAAGACTGGCCACCAAAGCAAAAGTAGAAGACAACGAAGCATACATATTGTTCAGGATTGAAGATAAAAAAAAAACGGATGATAATTTAAAATATAATAATAATAAAAAAAAAAAAAAACGAAAAGAAAAGAAGTAAAAATCCAATTTATATAATTTTTAGAGATCGGGATCAAATCGTCGGTGATTGATATTCCCTCTCATGCCTTTAGTCTATCAAACTTTCAAGGATGATTATCTACATTGATCGATTGTAACCAAAAAAAGGTTGTAACCAAAAAAAGGTAAATCGATCACGTCAAAAAAAAAAAAAAGGTCAACAATTGGAAACATATCAGATATCAGATATCCTTTTTTTTTTTTTTTTTTGTCAATTCAATCAAAGAAGTAATTATAAGATCATCCAGACTATGAGACGGTGAGACAAACTTATATTTGATTCTTCGCATAATTAAACTTAAATAATCACAATAAAACAGAATTTACATATATGAATTGATTTTATATTGTATAATCTTAACCGGTCGTACGTTCTCCTTCCTTTTTTTTTTTTTTTTTTTTTTATGATTATTTCAATTGTAGTAATAGATGAACGCGGTACAAATAATTTCATGGACCAATGATATATCAAACCAAAGTTATTAAAAAAAAATTAGAAAAGTAAAATAAAAAATTAAGATTCCGGTGATCATGACATTTAATGATTATGCAATCATGACCAATTGATGATGACAGATCCCGCATTATTCAATGGTAATCTGGGTATAGAAAATAACAAGTAACAGCCCATAATCAATGATTAAAATTGATTAAAGACGTCAAAAAAAAAAAAGATATCATCGGTATCAATTTCCATCTCTGACACGAGGTTTCTATGGATTCTACTTTTTCTTTTTTAAGTTGCAATGATCTTACTTTGTCTTTATTTTGTGACACATCCCTTTTGGTATAGAACAAAAAAGAAGGAAAAAAAAAATGTCATTGAAATGTTTTTCCCATACTGTGCAAGGTGATTCTTATTCAAATAAAACTGTAAAAGATGTATTTTATTCAATGAGTATAAGAAAGAAAAAAAAAAGGAATCCCAAGAAATCAGTAATCTATCATTGTTAAGAAAAAAAAATAATATTGACAGGGTAATAAAAATGAAGATGTAGATATAAATAATATGTATGTATATAAAAAAAATAAAAAAAAAAGAAGAGGGGATAAAACTACACCAGAATATAGTTGATCCAACTAGAATTCCCACCATTTCTTTTGTGCTTGTCGTTCATTGTAATCCTTGACAGCTTTCAAAAAATCACCAGAAGCATCATTCATATCAGAGAATTTCTTGCCAAGTTCATCCAATCGTTCACCACGTTCGTTCACTTTATCTCCAAGTTCTTTGAACATACCAGTCTTTCGAATACCTGTAGACGATGATCCAGACCTTGATGGTGATTGCTGTTTCGATTGATTGTTTTGGTCAAATCCAGGATGAATGCGTCCCACTAAAGTAAAATAATTAAATAATAATAAAAAGAAGTCCAAATTAGTGGAATCAAATAAAACCAACTATTTCATACTTAATGTATCCAATTCCCCAATGGATAAGGGTCCCTTCTTGAACGCGCCAGCAACAGCTCCAAACCATGTTTTCTTGTTGGGTCGTTGAATTGTTTCCATTGGATGAGGAGGCATTGATTTTTGATCATCAAATAGATCTACAGAATGACCAATGGGGCTATGGTAGATACCAGATATAAAATTATTTTTTTCAGTCAACTTCCATAAATCTTTTTTTTTTTCCAAACTTACAGTGAAGTTTCACTATGAAGATACATCCATTCTTGCATTTCGTATTGTCCTGTCCAAAATAGCACTCGACCTTCCGTAGTAAACATGGCTTCGTTCAATCTACATACATTTTCTGGTAATGATGTCTTCGCAATAGGCTGTAAATGTGGTAACGACAGAATAACAAGTTGTTTTGATTGAAGTAAAATCGACAAACATGCCAAACCTAACAGATGAAAACGTACAAACAATTGTGAGATTATTTTTTCGTATTTTCAATTTTTTTTTTTTTTTTTTTACCGTCAATTTCAATTGGTGTCGTGCTAATGATAGTATCTTTCTGAAGTTTGCCATCTTCTAGGTCCTGTAATCGACATTCAAAAAGCTTGATACCAGTACCGCTAAGAATGACACAAATGGATTGAGGTTTGGTGACAGTAACAAAATGAGGATTTTCATGGTATTGGTAATCAAATGAAGGTAGATAGCGACGACCCGAGGAATACTTGCTATTGTTACTACCAGTACTAGAAGTTGTTGTGGTGGTGGATGTTCTACTGAGTGCTTCCCATGCTTCTTCTTGTGAGTCAATAGATACATTGCTGGATGGTCGCGTAGTTGTACTCTTTGCTGATCTTTTGACAGATTTACGCCGGAGGAATGATTTGCTTCTTTCCATAGGTGATTGAGGACTAGATGGTGGTGATTTTGTTTTTCCCTGCTGCTGTTGCTCTTGCGTGGAAGGTTCCAATCCATTGTTTTGACCAGAATCATATATCTTGTTTTCACGCGTAGTTGGTACATTTTCCTCCATGTTGTATTTGCTTGGTTCCGGAATTGTTCCAGTACTGATGATACATTTTTCAGCACCTTGAGATTTTCCTTTCAGATCGATCACATGAATATCTTGAATTGCTGCTTCACGTTTGTCATTGCGATGAAGTAACACAGGAGAGACATAACTCGACGATAATACATCACATTGATACAAGTTGCCATTATCTAAACCTATGAATAGTTGTGTGGATATCTGTGCTACTGTAACAAAAAAAAAAATAAAAGGGTCAGTAATAGTCCCATTCCTAAATGGATATTTTGCAGCAAGTTTCTGTTACTTACTATCCATAGTTGTATGTGTATTGATAAACTTGATACATGATATAGATGGACTATCAACAGGGTGCGTTGGATCTTCATCTTGGACAGCATCTTTTTGTGTTTCATGAATCACTAGATCTTTTCAAAATGAATAGATAGAAAAAAAAATAAGTTTTGCGTAATTAAAAATTTTTACTGTTGTTTTTCTCTTCTCCTTTTTCTTTCTTTCTTGTTTTACCTTTGATATCAATAGTATGATATAGTTTTTGTATAGTGGTGTTGATAATGAATATTTGACCAAGAGCGGTAAGGCAGGCAATACTAATATCAAAAAAAAAAAAATCATCAGCTTTCGATGTTCCATTTTTCTTTTTTTTTTTATTCGACTTACATATCTGTACCCGCGCTTACTATTGAGTGAATAGCCCCATCTAGTTTTATCTTCACATCAGGAGAATAACCAAAATCTTTTGTAGACCTTTTCAGAGCAACAATCTGAACCTCCAAATCCCGAATATCCTGATCGTCAACTTTGTTTCCTATATTATCTGAGTGGTTGGATATCATATCTGATTCTGGTTCATACGCATTTTGGCTGGTCACTTGAGCTGGTTCTTGGGCAACCCCTTGAACAGAGACGAAAGGATTGGTCGAGTCATTACATGCTGAGGATTCCTGTTGAAGAGTATCGTTATCACAATTAATGTTGGTAGCATTCGATAGAGCGGCGTCAGTATCGCTGTTGCCATCGTTATTGTTCGTATTGCGAATAATTTCAGTCTGTTGTTCTTCACGAGATTCATCCATTGTAGGAGTCGATCGTTGCATATCGCCCAAAATTTCGGCCAACTCGTTGATAGTTTCATCGCATTGGGATATAAATTGAGCATTCGTATTTTCCATCTTTGAATATTCTTCTTGATCTTGATTTTTAGAGGGTAGATTGTCCACAATTTCATATGTCAGTATCGTCCCATCGTTGAAACCAACACAAAGTGTTCCTGAAACAGCATTCAAGTCGATACAGCAGACATAAACAGTAGGATCATCCAGATCATCATGACAGCGTATCACAAGTTGAGATAAAGGTCGTAACGAAGTATAAGAAGCATCCCAAAACTGAATGATTTCACCTGCGTGCATAGTCAAAAGGATATCATTTGAAGGAATCTTATAAATATGACCGGGTCCAACCACACCGCCAGTCAGAGGTAAATATCTTGTTTGTAGATCCGCATCAGTTAAGGTCGTCATCTTTCGATAGAGTTGTTCATCCACCATAGGAATAAAACATGCATTGGATACAAAAGGATGAACCATAGATAACGAAGGAGGTAGAGTTAATGTTGGATATCCATGATCTAAACCATGAGCAGATATTGCGCCGTTGCATCCTAGAAGCATAATACCAAGTGGATTTCGAGGTTGATAAGGTTCACTCCATAGTAAGCTAAAATCCATCAGTTCCATATCAGAGGGTATGATCGATTGTTTGCGAACATCACTTAGATGATTCAGACTAAATTCCAATACGTGTAAACCATGAATATCCTTGATTGCCGATCCACCACAAACCACCAAATAACTTTTCTGAGCATTGTCATCAAAATACCAAGCAAGCTTGTACACAGGTTCACAAGGTTGGGATTTATCCAAAGATGGGAATACTTGTCGTGACAAAACAGGTCGATGTTCAGAATTGATTGCCCATAAATGCAGATATCCATCATCGTAACCGGCCATAAAATGATCACCTTGAGGATTCCATACCAAGCTTGATAGTCGAACATCTGAGTTTTTCAATTCATATGTAGAGTGAATCATATTTTCACGGATATCCCATAAAAATACCGTTGATTCATAACCAATAAGTAACCAGTTGATATTATTTGGGTGCATTTCGAGAGCGACTACTATATTCCCAGATTCATGTCGACGTTCTTGCTGTTGTTCTTGTTGTTGTTGTTGTTGCTGTTGACTAGCTACCAAATCAGGAATACCGTATTTTGCCATTTGTCCCAATCGAGTGTCGAAAACATCTATACAACCATCAGCAAAACCAATAAACATCCAATCGGTTCCAGTACAATAACAATAACTTGTGATGATTCCTTGAGTTGGTAACATGTGTAATATCTGTTGTCTTTTTAGATCGATGGTGTAAATGATATTTTTCTTGTCGATAAGTATTAATAAAGGGCATCCAGTCTTGAATTGTATATACTTTATGGTGTCGATGTTGGGTAATGGTAATATTGAAGATACACCTTTTCCAAATATCCGTAACTGATTCATACCTGTACCATTGCTACCGCCAGCTATGTATATAACAAATATGTGGTCAGTTCAATCACGAAAAGGAAGTAAAAGAGGAACTTACCGATTGCAAGAAGACCAGCTACAGTATCGAATGCCATGGCTGATATTTTTGATTCAAGACCTACATTTGTCATCTATACATATATAAGAAAAAAAAAATAAGATAATAGGCATTAGAGAAAATAATAATAAAAAAAGGTTGTCGTCGAATGTTTTTACTTGAACAAAGTGAATCATATCTGTTCGAATGATACTTGATAACGAATGGTCCAACCTCTTGTCTTTTGATAAAATACTCTTGGAAAGAGCATGCTCTTTCGCCTTGTGAGCTATATTCGAGAATTTGTTGAATATTGTCATATTATACTTTTTCAATAAATTCTCTATATAGAAAAAAAAAAAAAGAAAGAAAAGAAAAGAAAAAGCGCGCGATCCAGAAGTACTAGAAAAGAAATTAACTTTGGCTTTAAACACCGACCTAAACCATTTTTGTTCATCACGTTAGAAATGGTCTTCCTCTTATTTGATGATAATATGATTATGGATTATCATTTGATAATATATAATGATTGAATAATGGATGATATGATGACTACTTTCTATTTCTTACATTATTAAGAGAATAGTTGACCTATGATTGATCAATATGCCTGAAATACTTATTTTTTTTTCTTTAACGGATTGATCATGGGATATGACAACCTGTACACTATCAAAGATCAACGTTGTTAAATTAAAATATGATACTTAAAATCATTTCTATATGAACTCTTCTTTTGTACGAATCATTTATGATGTATCTAGTATTCAATATATCAACACGCAGTTAAGATAATGTTATCCACTTTGAATAACCTTTTTTTTTTTTTTTAATTTAGATATAAGTTGATGTAGTCACCAATAATGATGACCATAAAATAAAAACACCATCATTCAGTCCCTCTTAAAACAAAACACTCTAATATTTAATTTATCAGTTAGCAATCTGACTTCAAACGCAGAATGTGAGTGAGTAAAAGGATAGGAGGAAATAATCACATGACCAATTGGAAGATTTTACGATTTCGCGAGGAAAAAAAAAAGCGAGCTTTCTTTTTTTTTTTTTTTTTTTTTCCTCGTCCTTTCGTCTTTTACTTTCTATCATCTTTCATTTATAGGATGGTAAGAATATAACGCGTTTCTCTGATAATCCTGAAGATACCATACAACCGAAACTTACATCGATTAATCTTTTCTTTTTCTCATTGTTTGTTTTAGGCCAATGCTTCATCCAAAAAGATTGCAGCTGCCAACACAAAGACACTTTCTAATCTACAAATAGGTTTTGCTTCCGTCAATGTAAAAAAAAAAAAAAAGAAAAGAAAAGAAAAGATCTTTTTATATTGATCCTCATTTAAATAGTGTACTGATTTCTTTTGTTTATTTATTCTTTTCTAGATTGTTTATATTCTTTGGAGAGTGATATATCTTTGGGGATCATTTTCAAAATCTCTTGGTTTTTTGTACATCTTGACAACTGGACTCACTTTGCTTTTTTATTCCATTCTGAAGTCTTCAGGCACACCTACCTATAATATTGACGGAACATTACGATCAAGTGGCGATGATTTGAACTCTGAAGGTCTTACAGCGTAAGAATAATACAGTTATTGAAAGGCATTCAACCTGATCATACTATACTGGATAGATCTCTGATTACTTACTTACTATTAGATATATGTTTGATATCATCTATATTACTTGGTTTGTTCACATCTCCACTGCTTTTATTTCCAACAAGTTTTGGTATACCTATCTTGTGGTAAGGATAACATATCTTATTTATTCAAAATAGATAATGTATCAACAAAAAACAAAAAAAAAAATATGACGATATTTTTTTTTTTATTCAAAAATAGATTCCAGGATATGCATTATACAAAGGTCTACCGTTGGTGATGAAGTATTTTGGAAGTACTGGTGGAAATGGTAATGAATCAAATGAAGCTAATACTAGTGGCAAATCCAAACGACAACAAAAGATGGAAAAACGTGGTGGCAAGGTCAAATATGTACGATAACTATTCTAGGGTTGTTGTTGTTGCATAGTCAATTGTGCCCTCTATAGATTTTTTTAAAAAGAAAAAATCCAACATAGTGATTAGTGAATATATATATATATATATAGTATAGTTTCCCAATTTTTTTTTTTTTTTTTTTGAATAAAATTGATTGATTACTTACAAGCTGTCGTACTTGATCCCTATATTCTGGTTGGAGGTTGTTGATTTGTTCCTCAGACAATTGTAATACTTGCATCAATAGAGCTTTTTGTTCAGCAGCTGCAGCGTCTAAAAAAAAGGAAAAGAGAACAAAAGGACGTGATATTAATTTTACCAGTATAGATGATATATGATAAAGTGAATTTACATACCACTAGCTTGTTGTGGCGGCATAGTTTGTTGCGAAGGCATAGCTTGCTGTGGTGGCATAACTTGTTGTGCTGGCATATATGGAGGTTGTTGCTGTTGTAAACCTTGTGGCATAGATTGCATTGGTGGTGGTGCCTGTGGTACTTGTGGCATAGAAGCTATTAAACGCTGTTGATAATAAATAATACAAAAAAAAAACAAAGGTAATGATCAGAATGCGTTGTATATAGAGAGTATCATTCTGTTTCTCTTTCCTTACCGAGATAACATTTGGATCCACAACATTCATCATAGTCATTGCTTGAAAAAGAGCGTAGGTGACTTGTGGATTGGCTGTAAGGAATTCTCGTGCATGCTCAGGACGTTCCATAGAGAGTTGCTAAAACAAAAGGAGGAAAGTAAGTTGAACTTGTTCTTTTTTTTTTTTGAAGTCTACATATATTTATATTCATTCATACTTTCATTTGTCCCATAATGGTCAGTAAATCTTGCGGTGTCATGGTATTCAATACCTTAGGAATCTCTTCTACAGAAGAAACTGGTCCTGTTGGTCTAGACATGGGTGGAGGTTGATTCATAGGAGGTGGAGGCTATAATAAAATACATATATATTCATACAAGACAATCGAACATTAGTTTCTTTTCCATGTTTTGTATAATTACCGACTTACAGGTTGCTGTTGCTGTTGTTGTGGAGCAAACTGGTTGCTGTTATTATGTGATCCATGTGAGTTTGATCTATGATTGTCGTCCATGGAGGCATAATCTACCCTTAATTGTCGTCCACCAATTTCATAATCATTCAAGTTGCGTACTGCACTTGCTGCTGTCTCGGCATCTAATAATAAAAATAATAATAATAAAAAAACAAAGAAAAAACAAAGAAAAAAAGAAATGATGAGAATATTGGAATATTTGAATCAAGATAATTCACAAAGTATTACCATAATATTCACAAAATCCATAACCTTTGGGTCGACCAGAGTCTCGATCAAAGAGCAATCTAAATAGGAATAAAGTATTATACCAATTAATAAAGAAGTTTCAAAAGAAAAAAAAAACAGTAGAATATTTTTATTTGACATACCTAAAGGAAGAGACAGGTCCAACTTCTTTAAAGACATCGATAAGTTGTTCTTCAGTGTACTCAAATGGAATATTTCCAACTGTAAAAGATTAAAATATAAAAGGAAGACAAGTTAACACAATCGTATTCATAATCATTCAGTAAAAAAAGGAAACGTACCAAAAACTGCGCGTGAACCTCTGGAAGCTTGATTCATGGCACAAAAAGTGAAAAAAAAGTGAAAGAAGTGTAAAAAAAAAAAAAAAAAAAAAAAAAAGAAAAAGAAAGTAGGTGGAATTTTAAAAATATAGGCAGGATCGCTTGTCACAATCAAAAAAAAAAAAAAAGTACCATGATAAAAAAAATCATATAACAATCGAGGCAAATTCATTATTATAAACATATTTTATTTCATTCTACAAAAAATTAAACCTTTTTCCAAAAGCTAACATAAAAGTAACATAGGTTCCCATTCCCATCACAATCCAGAAAAACCAAGCCAAATCATGTTCTTCGGAACCAGGCACATGGACGTTCATTCCGAATAGACCTGCCACCAAATTGAGAGGTACCACCAAGGTTGCCAAAAAAGTCAGTCGATTAATCACTTCGTTTGTATTATTACCAGCTTGAGATAATTCAATAGAGATTTGTCCTAAATAGTTTCTATGAGCTCTACCAAGTACTAGGTCATAATGATTCACGTTCTGTAACATGGTATGAATATGATCTATATAACAAATATATATATATTTATATTAGTATTTTTTTTTTTATTTTATATTCTATTTCTTTTTTTTTTGTCTACCTTGGATATCACCCAAAAAGAGTATAATTTCATGCTGGAGATTATTTTCATTCACATGAGGATTAATCACTGTTTTATCTTGTTGCAAGTTTTGTCGTCGCTTGTTGAGGAATTCGATTTCTTTAGTCTTATCATCATAGCGTTTGATTAAACTTCGTACTACATCAGCCTTTGGTCCCAATAGTCGTAAAAGTTGCATTACCATTTTTCGACAACTACCAATCCGTCGTAACATATCAGTTTGTTCTGATCCATTCAATACTAAAACTAAATCGTCAATAGAGTCCACTTCCAATTCCGTGTGTTGAATCAAAGGAGCAAAACTATCAGTGACATTGTCGATTAGGGCATAGTTAATCCATTCTGGTGTAATGGTGATATAATCTCGTAAGAGATGAATACGTTTGCGTACATTATGTGGATGAGGTAAAGGTTGGAATCGAAACTGTTCAACAACAAAAAAAAATCATAATGTTAGTCTTTTTTTTTCATTCTTCAACGAAAACTTACAGTAAGAACACCATCCTTAAAAACAATAATATAAAAGTTCACAGCTTCCAAATAATCTTGACTAGAATAATCGTGGTTGAAACTTCGAAAACTAATAAACATATAGTTTTGAAAAATTTCACACTTTTCCCTAGATTCTTGAGCTTGGATATCTTCAGTTGTCAAAGGATGTAGCCTAAATATCTATTATATATAATATACAGAAAAAAAAAAAAAGAGAGAGAGAAAGAATGAGGAAGGGGAAAGGTAAGAAAAAATAAAGATGATTATCATATATATATATATATATATATTCATTCATTTTTTTCTTTTTATTTGTTTACCTTGCTGATGATCCGCATTTCCTGATCTGTAGGAGCAAAGATATCAATCCACCAACAAGATGATTTCACTAATAAATTTGCCACAGTTTCATCATCAGTGACTGATCTGCTCAGCAGTTCTTTCAATGATGTATTTTTCAAGGAACCAGTAGATGCTTCATAATAAGTGTATCGATCTGTCTTGTTTTTAACTTTGGATGGGTCCTTTTGAAGATAGATAAAAAAATTAGTCTTATACGTATGATGTTATTCTATTTTATCACTTACATGGATATTATCACCAAAATCACTGAATCGACGGGAATATTTGTCTTGACTTGCCTCTAATAAAAAGTCTAACTTGATATCACTTTTGGAGAGAAGGTCATCATCATCATCTGTATGTAAAAAGTTGTCCAGAGATTCCTTGTCTATAGTTGTTTGGGAACGAGTTGTAAGATCAGTAGTATGAGGATAGAGTACATCTCTTTCAACTTGAGTTTCTTGATTAAAGTCAGTTCTATTTCTAAGGTTGGTAGATTCGATATTCAATATACATGAGTCAATTTCTGGATAAGATAAAGAAGGTCTAGGGGAATTAGAAGTAGTATATTCCCCTTCCATAATCGTTATTCAATGGTTATTTCAATGATAATAAAAGTTTAGTCAATTTGACATGGAATCTTGAAAGAGTAAAAGAGATAAAAAAAGAAAAAAAAATTCAATCTATTACTTTAAAAAAAAATCTTCTCGGCTGAAATTAAAAAATAATAATTGAGACCTGTTTCCACTTACAGCTTATGAAGATCCTTTCAAATAAGAATATTTTATTTATTCGCTTGCTATTTTACGAGAAGATAGCATAAAATGAGCACACTTTTGGATGATGGAAAGTTCCAGTATAAAAAAGAGGTAAAAGATCATCGATAATAATCAGAGTCAATATTACCATCACATTCTTTAATCATCATTCAACTCAGCATCATCCATCATCAACATACCCATTCGTTATCCATCAAGTATCAAGCATCAAGTATACATCATTATTCAATATACACAATGTGACAAAAATGTTAAGTACTTTTGAGTCGCAAATATCTCATGAGGGGTTTATATATTTCATGTTGAATAACATGCATCTGAGAGTTAAAAAAAAAAAAATAAAAAAAGAAATCAGCATAGATTGATTACTTTTGTTCTGTTTTGATATGTTCCTTGACGTTCCTTTTTGCGATTGTCCAATCCAACCTACAAAAAGGACCAATGTATTTCAACTCCGCCATTTTTTTTTTTTCCTTTTCTTCTTGTCAGCCATGATCAAGTTACCTGAAAGCGTTGGCATTTTGCAAGTGACCACAACAACTGTTTTAGCTTTATTAACTGGTATCTTTTTGGGTCGTCACTTCTCCGTAAGTATTTAAAATGGTTTATTCAAATGGTATTGATAAAGGTTCTCACAAGAAGATTGGTATTTTTTTTTTGGGGGGAGGTGGGAATAGAAACAACAAGTGTCTGAAGAGGATGTAGATGATCTCGATGAACTACCTGATGGAAGTATTGATGCCAGTAAATACGATGATTACAAAATGGTTCTTGTTGTTCGCACTGATCTTGGTATGACTAAGGGGAAAATTGCTGCTCAGGTACGTCTGTTACGCGTGTAAAGATATCTTTTTCTTTTGTTGTCTAAACTATTTTCTTTTCTTCTTTTATATATAGTGTGGCCATGCTACCTTGGCTTGCTATAAAGCTATTCAAAAATCAAATCCTGCTGTAAGAATAGTAGAAATATATTTATTGTTCATTTACACAATTAACTCTTCCAATTCTTTTTTTTTTTTTTTTTTTTTAGGTTTTACGAAAATGGGAGCGATCAGGCCAAGCTAAGGTGGCTTTGAAAGCTGTCAGTGAAGAACAATTGTAAGTTATAAGATAAGAGAAATTCTAAAACGTTTAACTAATTCTTTTTTTTTTATGTTTCAGACTTGAATTGCAAGCGATGGCACTTAGTTTGAATATTACTGCTCAAAGCATTTGTGATGCTGGTCGTACTCAAATTGCTGCTGGATCTCGAACTGTTCTTGGTGTTGGTCCTGGTAAAGTTTTTACTTGTTTCAAAATAATCATTTATACTCATCTTCTTTATTTACTATTTCAATAGGTCCCGTAGAATTATTGAATCAAGTTACTGGACATTTGAAATTGTTATAATATTAGATTTGCCTTTTTTCTTTTGTATTAGAAATAAAAACAACCATGCATATGAGACTCAAACGTAGCGGTGTTCCAAAGAGAGTTTTATAACAGGAATCTTTTTTTTTTTGGATATTTCTTTTTTTCTTTTCCCACTATCTTCTTTTCCTAATCATCAATTCTTTTTTTTTTTTATTAACAGTGACTCTTGTATTCCATTTGAGTTCATGGTTGATGAAGCATATGTAACTTTAGTGGCTACTGATAGTTACGCTGCAGGTGCTTTGGTACTTGGACATCGTTTACGTGATCTTGGTTCACAAAAAGCTTTGGTATGTCTCGTTACGAGTAATGTCTCTGCTACTGTTCTGGAACATTTATCACAACTCTATACGCTGGTTTCAGTGGATACACTTATATCTTCAGATAAAGATAACTTACGTTTACTTGGTCGTCCGGAATTGGATATCACTTTCACCAAACTTCACCTCTGGAACCTAACTCAATACAAGAAAGTAGTCTTCTTGGACGCAGATACCTTACCTTTACGAAATGTTGATGACCTTTTCTGTCGGCCAAACTTTTCTGCTGCTCCGGATGCTGGATGGCCTGATTGTTTCAATTCTGGCGTGTTTGTGACGGAACCTTCTGCAAAAGATTATCAAGGATTAAAGGATATGGCCTTAGAGAAGGGCTCTTTTGATGGTAAATTGATCATATATATTTTGACTTTTTTTTTTTTTTGGTTAAATGCTCGTCTAATATTTAATTTCTTTTGTTTTAGGTGGTGATCAAGGTCTTTTGAACAGTTATTTTAGTTCTTGGTCTACTTCTCCATCCAGTCACCGTCTTCCATTTACTTACAATGCCACTCCAACAAGTCAATACAGGTAATACAATTATAACAGTAACAATAACAACGAATATCAAGATTATCTATACTAATTTTGGTTCATTTTATGATGAAATAGTTATGCGCCAGCTCATCAATATTATGTGAATGACATTGCCATTTGTCATTTTATTGGTACTGAAAAACCTTGGAAATATCAACGTTTTGCCGATGGAAAGGTTTTTTCTCAAGCATGGAAAGGATTGACAGATCTGATACAATCTTGGTGGGATACTTGGAACTTACATTATGGACAGGTATAACTCTAATGGATTTAAAAATGTTGGGGGGAACGGCACTTTGTATCACAAGATCAATGCTAATGTGTCACATCTTTCTTTTTTTTTTTTTTTTTTTTTTTTTTGTTGTTGCTGTTAGAGTCTTCCTCACGTACTACTTTCTAAAACACCTATGGATTCTTTTGATTATACCCTTATGACTGGACCTATCAATCTATTCAATATTCCTATTATCAATGCCTGGGATACATCAAATGTATATGACGATATTGAAATGTATGAAAAACATCGACATATTGAAGCCATGCCTCCAATTGCCAATATCACTATCAGTACACCAAAGTGGCTCTCTCAACAAACTTCTTCCTCTTCCTATCCGGGTTCATCCGATATGCATACACTTGATTCCTTGTTTGATGACACATCTCAGGTAATTATGAATATATGGGAAAATAAAGGCTTGGCATACTAATGATTATTATTATTATTATTATTTATTACTTTGTTGATAGTATTCAAGCCATATTAACGACGATGAAACATTAGATGATGTGGTCTCGATTACTGATCAATCCTCTTTCACTTCACCATTACCTGAAGATACAAATGTAAACAACATCACTCATCACCAAGCTGCCTCTCATACTGACAACAAAAAAGATGGTTGCTACCAAATTATTGATTGGAATCCAGCTCATGATTCTCCACCAAATACTGGAATGGCTGCCAATATTCCTGATCTATCGAATTTTGTCAATGCCTGGGATCAACCACTCCAACATCAGACTATTTGGATCGCACCAGAGCCACAACCCATCCCAAATATGGAACATGATTATGGTTTTATACACGAACGCCAACGCCAACATCGACAATACTACCCACCTGTCTTCCCCTGGGAATCTGAACAAATACCTGAACCAACTCGCATATGGCTTGATGAACATGTTGAAATGGTTACCAAAGAAAACAGCAAACAAAAATCACAAGTGACTGATGGATATGGGAACACTACACGACAATATATTGGAGAAGAATACAATGTTGAGACAAGGTAAATGAAAGAATTTTTCTCTTTATTTCTATACACCATTTGTGAGAATCGATCTATTTTTTTTTTTTTTTTTTACTCAAACTTTGTATATTATATGGTATTACTTTTGATTGATAGATCTATCCCTTTTGATGAACATCATGGACAACAACAGTTTATACACCATTCTGAATCAATAGAAGAGGTAGATAATGCTTCTCCTACTTATGCAATGGATCTGATCACACATCCTATAATGTCACCTGGAAAGTCACCAAAACGGTCCCACTATTCGCCAACTGAAAGTATTCAAACTGACAACGACTGGAGCGATAGAGATCTTATACCCATCCAACTTAAGCCATCCAGCAAACTCAATAAGGAAGGTCTCTCACCAGTGATTCCTCAGAGTCCAATAGGTAGTCGGCGAAGTAGTATCTCCAGAAGTAGACGTGCATCTGCTTCTTCCAGTAGATCACAATCACGAAGTGTTACTGCACCAACTTCGCCAGCAGCATCCTCATCTCCAACACCAACATCAACCCCAGTTTTTGGACCACGACTTGCGATGGATTATTCTCAGGAACAACAGCCATTACCTATGTCTTCACGCATGTATTATTCAAAGCAGACACCTTATACATCAGCCGCTGCTACCCCTGTTCGTGAAAACCAAGGATTCTTTGATGAAAAATATGTATTGCAGAATTATATGTACGACGGTAGTCACAGTCAAGAAGTGGATGATGGATTACAAGAAAATGATCTTGGTGACGATTTTTATTGGAACTATTCTTTTGATGAATCTCTACAACGGGCTACATACAGAAATCGATCATCACAGCAGCATTACTCTGATATCAAAACGGAATGGGATCCTCAAGCGGCACTCACCCAACTCAAATCTACCAGCGAATCGATTTTGTGTAGTCGGGAATATGAAGAAGCTGTGGAAAGAACCAACCCAGAAGATAGTATCGACAACAGCAACAACAGTAGGGTCATATCAGCAGAAAATCATTATGCATTGGACAATACTACTACCGATATACCAGCTCATGACAGCATTCGAGATCAATTCAACGCAAGCGGCAACTCTTCTCCAAAGACACCTGTGGCTCGTGGTATGGATAGTAATCTCACGGGAGAGATTGAAACAGCAAAGGAACAATATCGACAGCAACAACGTGCAGCACTTTCACTCGTCGAACCGCAAACAGCCATGGCAACATTATTGGAGGTTGAACTCGATTTATCCAAAAGTAAACTCTTCAATCGTCGCTCGGACAACACCAGAAACAACATATATCAAAGTACTGATATCACAGGTGCTTCTTCATCGTCCTCTACTGCTCCTACTGCCACGATGGTTATGGAAAGTGGTTCCAGCAGTGAATTTGAAACTATTCACGATGTATCTACCTCTACAATTGACAACGAAAACGACAACAATGAAGAAGAACCTCCTTCTATGGATCAACAGCAAGATCAACAATGGATTGAACAACATCATGATGGAGATGATCAGCTCGTACAACAGGATGATGATTTTGTAGCCTACTTTGATTCTTCGATCATGGAAACAGCAAGACGCAAACTGAACGCACTGGCGCATGATGTTTCTGTTACGTCAATGTCCTCCACAGCCACAATGAATGATGTATTTCTCGATGAAACAATATCCACGACTTCTCAATCGGAACCTTTACAAAATCTATCACGGTACAGTTTCCCTGATGCGTCATTTGAATATACGACATACGATACCCCTACGATGGACCCTGGATTGGAAACTGTGGAATTATCGTCTTCATCAATATCTTCATCTGTACAAGATATGAGCCAAAGGGTAGATCACAATACGGATGATTCTGATACTTTATTGCAATCAACGGGTGAAGAAGTAGAATTGGAAGAAGAAGTAACTGAAGGTGATTTGAGGAGCAACGAAAGTGATTTGAACAACAATAATGTATCAACATGGCTGTCTCTTACTACGGATGAAATGATGCACCACTCATTACAATCGACGGTTTACAACGATGATGACATCCATCACAGCAACATTATTAGGGGTGATGATTCCCAATGTAGCGATGGCAACTCTGATGACAACAGTATTATTATTGGCACCATTGATCTTCTCACTGAAACTGCTGATGATACTCTGATGGATACTCATACGACAGTGGAATACATGGAACTACCATCAACATCCATTTCAGCATTAGCAAGCTCGGAAAACGAACAAAAAGCAACAATATTTTCGCCTGCACCAACAATTGACAAACAAGGATCAGCTTACATACTCTCTGGGTCTGATGACAACGATACCGTCTTCTTATCAGCTGCAGAAGGAACTCTTACTAGCGCCAGTGGATCATCATCCGTCAATAGTATGTATGATTGGTATACAGTTGGATCATCTACGCCTATACCAAACGATGATGACGAAAATGATGATACGGTATTGAATTTATTAGGAGAAGACGACATGGAAACACACACTGCTACAGCACGTTCGTTTGTTACTGAAAGCAGAGGAGGAGAAACAAGTGATGAACCAATCATTCCAGTCTCATCATTCACATCAACATCAACATCATCATGGTCATCTTCCTTCCCACTGCCAGTGATGGGTCCAACCGAAAACAACAATGACAGTTCATTCACATACGAATATGTTGTTCTGTATTCCAACAACAACGACGACGATGACGATGAAAACAACAGCGATTTTGACGATGGATCAGACGTTGCATCGGTGGAATCTGAACATACAGCGAAGGCACAAGATTGATACCAATATTTAGTTAGTAGTATTATTAGTATTTTTTTTTTCTCCTCATTCATATTTACCCTGTTTAGTATTATTATCCTTATTACTTTTGTTCTTCCATATCACATTTACCCTGCATATTTATCTTTGATTTTTTTTTCAATAAACTTGGAACAAATGAAGAATGGATCGTTTCTCTTTTTTTTTTTTTTTTTTTTTTTTTTTTTTTTTTTTTTATTTTTATCAGGATAAAGACGTTCTCACCTTAGACATATATCACACAAAGGATATGTTGAATAAAGCGTTATCTATTGCCGCTTTTGATATAAAAACCCCTTTCTTCATGAATATGAGATGATCGTCATAAGAAAAAAAAAAAAAAAAAAGCACAACAGGGAACAAATATGAATTGATTTAGTATGGTCATTGGGGATGGGAAAAAAATCGTTTCATCAGATGAAATTAGAACATTCAAAAAAAAAAAAAGATATCTTTATTGATGAAAAGGATAAAAAAATGAATAAAATAAATAAATAAATACAATACTGCTATTACTACGACTGAAGTTAATTCACTTGAAGCGTAGAGGGTCGTTGTTCTTGTCGTGAGTGCATTTCCATCTTCTTTTTCTTATAGCTATCATTCACCCATTTGCTAATGCGTAGTACAAGTTGTTGATGTTGCTCTAAGGAAGTCGTTGTAGAGCTGGTATCGTCAGGATAAAGGGGATAGCTCTTTCTTGATTTTGAAATTGATGGTAGGCGTGTATTCGTTTTACTATTTCTGCTATTCTTCTTATTGTCATCATCATCATCATCATCATCATTATTCACAGTAAGTTCTGACATGTCGCTAACCAATAAATCCAAAACATCCTTGTTGATAGCCGGACTAGACTCCTTCTTCCCAGTAATTATCTTGTCGTCACTTATTTTGTTGTTTTTGTTATCATCATCCTTTGTTTGTTGAGTCTTACTGTCGTCATTGGAAGTCATTGATATTTTGGTAATGTTGTCAGATGAGCTAGCGAACACATTGACAAGGGTTGTCAAATTTTTCTTATCTTCATGAGCACTGTTCTTGGCCTTGCATGGAACAAAAGATTCTTGCTGTTCCTTGTCCGTTTGACCACTTGTAGGATTGCTATTTGCTTTGCGTGATCGATTTGCGCTTTGGAAGGCCATAGTAGATTGAATTTCAGGTACAAAGTAACGAGTTGCAATGTCTGGTGTTGGTTGATAAAAGTGTCGTAATCCTGACATGGTAGATGATGGTTGATACACTTGTTGTTGAGGTATATATTCTTGTTGTTGTTGTTGTTGTTGTTCATAAAGATTTGTTTGTATGTTTCCATACAAATGAGAAGGAGAAATTGTATCATATTCCATTGGAGGTATTGCGCTGGGTGGAGATGGAGCATGAACTGGATGTGATCGTACATACATGTTAGATTCAGATGTCGGATAGAGTATGGAAGGATCAGAAGAGTTCAAATTGAATGATTGTAGCATGATATCGGTATAATTATTGCTATTATTGTTGTTTGGATAAGTTTGTTCCTGTTGTTGTTGTTGTTGTTGATAATGTTGTTGTGTCGAATAGTCGTTAGGTTGAATATTGTTGGATAAATCAGCAAGCCATTTGTTAATATCAGATAGCTGATCATCATTGGTAATACCCATATCAAAATCACCAAATCCAATTCCAGAGTCCATCATATTTTGTAATAAAGTCAATCGATCAGCAACGTCTAATATGAAGAGAGAAAAAAAGAAAAAAAGAAAAAAAAAAAAGGAAACGGATGAATTCGGAAGAACTTTTATATATGTATCTATATTTATATACATTACCTGTGTTATATTCTGGTTTGATATTGGTATCCAGTAATTCAGTAATGATTTGTTCAGGAGTGTTAAAGGGATCCATTTGATCGAAACCATAACCATTCATTTGTTTTACTTCTTGTTGAGAATAAGGTGTAAATTGATCTTCAGTATCAGTATAAGGTGATATATTAGAACGACCAGCCCAGCTATCACGAGTAAAATCTATATAATAGAAATAAAAAAAATGAGTATAATATCATCTGAAAATAAAAATTAAAAGGAGTTACCATCAGAGTACATGCTTTGGGGTGGTGATATCGGTACTTGTTGTGGAGTAGCTCGATATGAAGGTGAATTATTATTTGTCAATAAAGAATCATCGGATTGTAGCGGTCTTGGAGGAGTCATTGGATGCTGGACGGTATTAGAAGAGGGAGTTGTTGCCATTAGTGTATCTTCACTATGAATTTTTTCATGTTTTTTCAAATCTTGAGGTCGTTTAAAGGATTTTTCACAATACTATTTAAAATAACAACAACAATAATAATAAAAATAATAAAAATAAAAAAAAGATAAATCAATAGTTTATAAGAAATAGAAAGAATATGGACTTACATGACAATGATGAGGTTTCAAAGGTACATGAACTCGAAGATGGCTAGTAATATGGTCACGTTTCACCACAGTAACGTCGCAGTTTTGCCATTGGCAAGTCAAGCAAAGATTTCCAGTTGACTTTCTACCCACATGATCATTAGTCAAGTGAAGATATAGTTTCTCAGGATCGTTGTATTGTTGAAAACATTGATTCCAATAGCAAGTGAATACTTCGTGGTTGGATTCCATAAATGCTGATAGAGAGTGGGAGAGAGAGAGAAAGAGAAATGTTGTTCGTAAAGAAAGGTAAAATAAGTAATAAACTGAAACAAAAAAGATAAAAGGAAAAAAGGAAAAAAAAAAAAAGAGCTACGCAGAAAATAAAAAAAAAAGTTACTGAAAAAAATATTCAATTATGATTGGTTAAGAGACATAATCGGTATATAAAAATGGAAACAAAGTTGGGGACATCAAAGAGAGAGGAAGAGAGAGAATGATCGAAAATGGTTCATTATGCTATGATCAAAAGTGAAAAATCTAATTTGTACAAATCAGCATTTAAATATATGCTGGTTTTTTATAATATATTTATTATCAAATAAAAAAGAAAACAAAAACTATACACATAATAAATCTAAAGAGTTTTGTCAAAGACAGCGTTGATAGACAACCAAACGGATTTCATGGATTGAGCAGCATCAATACCATACCAGATACCCTTCTTCTTGTAATAGTCAACAACAGGAGCAGTTTGTTGATGGTAAGTAGCCAAACGTTTCTTCAAAGTTTCAGCATTGTCATCAGAGCGTTGAATGAGAGGTTCACCAGTAACATCATCGATCATATCCTTCTTGGGAGGGCTAATACAAAAAGCTGTTAGTCCAAAGAAAAGAAAAACAAATATATATATATATATATATATAACTTACTTGAATTCCTTGTGATAACTTCTACCAGAACCAGGATGAATCAAACGACCAGTAATACGAGAAACGAGAAGACTATCATCAATAATCATTTCAATCACAGAGTTCAAAGGCTTGTTTCTAGATTCAAGCATATCATCTAACTTTTCAGCTTGAGTCACAGTACGAGGAAAACCGTCAAGAATGAAACTAAAACACGAAAAAAAAAATTAGATAAGCATTCAAAAAAAAAGAGAGAAAATTGTATGAAGTTGCCCAAGGGTTCAAGCCATTGTACTACCATACATATCCTTCCTTTAATATTCTTACCCATTCTTGCATTCAGGATTATTATCCAAGTTTTCTTGAATCATACCAACAACAATTTCATCAGAAACGAGACCACCAGCATCCATCACTTTCTTTGCTTCCAAACCAAGAGGGGTCTTAGCAGCAACAGCGGCACGAAGCATATCACCAGTAGCCAAGTGACAAGCACAATACTTTTCCTTGATACCAATAGCCTAAAGATAAAAAAAAAAAAAAGATAAATATGTATATAATTTTTATAATAAAGTCGTGTTTATATTACGTTGCTTCCTTTTCCGGAACCTGGAGCACCAATCAAGATAGAACGAAGTTGTTCTTTGGGAAGACCAGTTTGCACTTTCTTTTCAAGAGCTTCAAACTTAAGTTGTAAGTTTTCAATGTTCTTCTTGATTTCGTCAATGACAGCAGATTGTTGTTCGGCCATGTTAGAGAGGGGTTGTTGGGGGGAGAAAAGAAAATAGAAAAAAGGAAAAAAAAAGAAGAGTCAAAAAGTTAGGAAAAATAAAAGAAAAGGGAGTTTGAAAGTCACGACTAGGGCAAGATGTAATCTCTTTTTTTTTTTTTTTTTTTTTTACTTGTGAATTGTAGATCCTTCAGATTTCTATTATTATTTTTGGGTTAAATTTATTATTATAAATCATCACTAATGCTATACATATGTGGATGACCCAATTTTAATGGTAATACTTCCTTTTTGTCATAATCAAATGGGAGTACATGTTTACATCATCTTCATCATTTATGAATGTATCACTCCGAATGTTCAAAAAAGTTACACCTCCGCTTTTGATATATTATAGACGATAGTGGCTTGTTTTTTCATCCATCCTTTAACCACCGCATTTACCTTCATCCCTGATCATCCTTTGTTTATGAATGTTCAAATAAATTAATGATGACATTGGAGTAATGATAAAAGATATAAAGTTGACATCATGAACATTTATTGTGAATCAATCGTAATTACATAAGCACTCTTTTAATTTCTTGTTTAGAGAAAGAAATTCTAACCATTTATCATATAGTAAAAAAAAAAAAAAAAAGATATCATGCATGCATAGTACTTAATAGAAGAAGTATGATTACCTACAAATAGCATCCTGTCTTTCCTATGCTGTGTAATGGATATCATTTCGTGTAACAAGCTACTGAGATAAAAATAAAATAAGAGGATATCTTTCTTTTGACCAGCCTGTCATTACCCTACGTTAAGCTAAAAATATTTATCAATCATTGCCACCACCCCAATATGTATTTTTATTCTTTTCCATTATAGAGAAGGGAATACTTGCATATAGTAGTTGCTGCCATCCAGTTGTCGTGGTTACTCGGAATTTCAATTTACTTAGCAAAAGTGAGACTTGGTACATCGATGACAATGAAAGATGAATGATACGTGTAATAGAAGATAGTATGACAATATGATGGTATGATGAATGATATAAGATGCATGGATGATGAAGGATCATTGATGTAGAGTAAAAAAAAAAAAAAAAAAAAAGGTGTTTTGATGAATGAAACTGATCAACCTGTTAATCATGATCATCGGTTCAAATTTACAGATGATAAGAAAGATCATCATCGTAGCAAACAATAGTGAGGCATCGATATTATTGGAAATCATCATCCGTCGTCATCTAAGGTCGCATATCAAGAATCATTCCTCACTATTAATGTGCCAAACTTGTATCATCCACGATTACTGAAAGAAACTAATAATCAATTGTAAATAAAGCCCATATCTAACTGTTTAGTTAACCGATTTCACTACCACATTGCTCAAAAAGACCGTTTGTTGGTTCACACTCAGCGGAGGTCTGGTGGGTTGACGCAAAAAAAAAAAAAAAAAAAAAAAAAAACTTAGATTTTTTATATACTTTCTCTTTTTCATTCTCCTTACCTTCCAACATATATAGACCATGGTTTTAGCAGATTTAGGGAAAAAGATCAATTCTGCCCTGGCAGAGTTGACTAAGGCTCCCGTAATTGATGAAAAGGTAATGATAACCATGGATTTGGAAAAGATGGAAAAAATGAATTGTATTCTAACTTTATATACTTTCGAAGGTTCTCGATGCCATTCTGAAGGATATTTGTGGTGCTTTAATTACATCAGATGTTAACATCATGTTGGTTGGCAAACTACGAAACAATGTAAAGAAAGCAGTCAATGTCTCTGAACTGGGTGGTGGTGTGAACAAAAAACGAATTATTGAAAAGGTAAGAATAAGTCAATATAATGATCCTCTATTCATTTATCAAGCACTATATTCATTATTCTTTCTCTCTTTCTCTTTTTTTTTTTTTTTTCTTGGAATATGATTATTAGGCGGTTATGGATGAATTATATAATTTGGTAGATCCAGGTGCTGAACCATATAAACCAGTGAAACGAAAAGCGAATGTATTTATGATGGTGGGTCTTCAAGGTGCAGGGAAAACAACAACATGTACCAAGTTGGCTTCTCACTATTTACGCAAAGGATGGAAAACAGCTTTGGTATGTGCAGATACCTTCCGTGCTGGTGCTTTTGATCAATTGAAACAAAATGCTACAAAGGCCAAGATTCCTTATTATGGCAGGTGCGTCACTAAGGTCCAAAAAAGAACCAAATGACCTTCATCACTAATCATGTATTTGTTTATTATTAGTTACACTGAAACGGATCCTGTTGCTATTGCTTTAGAAGGTGTTGAAAAATTCAAAGCTGAAAAATTCGAAATTATTATTGTGGATACCTCTGGTCGTCATAAGCAAGAAGCTGAATTATTTGAAGAAATGAAGCAGATCTCAGCAGCAGTGGTAAGGATAAAGATAAAAGAAATGATATGACGATTATTGATTCTATTTTTGGGATAGGAACCTGACTCGACTATATTCGTTATGGATGGAACAATTGGGCAAGCGGCTGAAGCACAAGCAAAGGCATTCAAAGAGGCAGCTAATTTTGGTTCTATTATTATGACTAAAATGGATGGACACGCAAAAGGTGGTGGTGCTATTTCAGCGTAAAGTTAGACAAAACGAAAGAAAGGAAAAAAAAATACTATTAAATGCACCATACGGAAAATGACTGATCTATTATTTTGTCTTGAGATTAGTGTTGCAGCAACTCATAGTCCCATTATCTTCATTGGTACCGGTGAACATCTCCATGATTTGGATCGTTTTGAACCAAAACCATTTATTCGCAAGATGCTTGGCATGGGTGATATGCGTGAACTCGTTGAAACTGTACAAGATATGAGTTTGAATCAAAACAAGAATTTAATGGAAAACATTAAACAAGGTAGATTATGAATAAAATTAAAGGAAGGGAATGGAACATGAACAAAAAAGCACATTACTAACTTTTTTTTTTTTATTTCTAAATTATTTATGAATAGGTCAATATTCTCTCCGTGATATGTATGAACAATTCCAACAAATTTCAAAAATGGGTCCATTATCAAAAGTAAAAATAAATAAAATCATTTCCGTATGTATATGTTAATGTATTTTTATTTTTATTTTTATTTTTTTTTTTAAATAGATTATGGGTGCTATTCCAGGTATGCCAACTGAAATGTTAGCAGGATCTGAGGAAGAAGGTAGCAAAAGAATCAAACGAATGATGTGTATTATGGACAGTATGACCGACTTGGGTAAAAATAAAAATAAAAATGACTTGGATACGAGAAATACATTAATAGGAACTGATCATTTACACTTTTTTTTTTGTGGGTGGGAATGACCTTATAGAGTTAGACAGTGATGGTACTCCTTTCCAAAACAATCGAACGAGAATTATCAGAGTAGCTCAAGGATCTGGTACTAGCGTACATGAAGTAGAAGAAATATTATCACAATATCAACGTTTCAGCTCTATGGTTAAGACAATGGGTGGCAAGAACGGCTTAATGAATAACTTACCAACAGATCCAAAGAAAATTAATCGCAACAATCGTGCTCAAATGCAAAATATGGCCAAAGCTCAACAACAAATGGCGAATATGATTCCTCCAGGCATGTTACAACAAATGGGTGGCATGGAAGGATTACAGAATATGGCAAGAAGTATGATGGGCGGTGGTGCTGGTCGTGGCCGTGGTGGTGGTATGCCTGATCTCTCTCAACTTATGAAACTAATGGGTGGTGGTCAATGATTGGGTTCAACAAAAATAAAAAAAAATAGCATAGTAGTAGCAGTAGTAGTAATAGCTTTTTATTATCATTATTATTACTTTTAAACTATTTTAAATATACATTCTTATTTTATATCATATCTCTCTCTCTCTCTCCATCTCTGTTATTTGAAAAAGAAAATCTCCAGCAATATTTGAACTATATTAATAGGATCAACATTATTAGCAGCAGATTTGACGGGGCTTGAACGACAAAAGAAATATATAAAAAAAAAAAATGTATCTGTTTTTCTTTTCTTTCTTCTCTTTTTTTTTTTTTTTTTTTTCTTGTACTCTTTTACTTTATCTGTATTATAAATGTCCAAACCAACTACGTTACTTCAACGATTATCATTAGCATACAAATTGAATAGGTTTCCTTGGAAGAAGAATGTACTTGTAGGGACCGATCTCGATGGAAACGAATACTGGGAAATGCCTAGTCCATTAGGTAAGAATTATATTACAGTACCGTCAACAGACAAATTTAACGCACTTTTTTTTTTTTTTGTTATTTCCATAGGAGGTAGATACAAACGATGGGTACAAATGAAGGAACATGACGATTATGCTGTTTTCAACCAAAATCAACTTCCAGGTAAAGTGCATTTATTTCAAACATATTCCTTTTTTTCTCATATTGATTTAAACTTTATTTTTATAGTACAATGGCAAGCTTGGTTACGGCACACCCGAACAGAAGCTCCTTCTCTTCAAGAACTAGTTCAAGAACAACGACGACGCTTAATTATACAGGAACGAGCAAAGAAATTAGACGAAGAATGGCAGCAACGTAAGCTTCAACTCAAGGCAGAACAAGAAGAAGCAGCTCGTATTGAAGAATCAAGGCAACAATCAGGTAAATTTTATACCCTGTATGCAATTATATGTACATGTCACATAACTTCCTCTTTCCCTATCTCTCTCTTTTTTTTTTTTTTTCTTTTTTTAGAATCCTCAAATTCTACGGAACCTACAGGACAAGGTGATACATTCGTTCCTGGTGAATGGACTCCAACTAATGTTCGACGGTGATTATTGCTCATTCATATCTTCTAGATCAGATTCATTCCCAATTCATTCATACACATATACACCTTGTTTATTGATTTTGATAGCTATACATAGTTATATAAATAGATGGACTTTTTTTTTTTTATTTTGTCGATAAATAGAACGAATAAAGCAATAATGAAAACTACTCTAAAAATTGTAGATAAAAATGATGATTATTTAGATAGTTGTGCTTGCAGTTCTTGATTTTGACGACGTTCATCTTCCAATTGTTGTTCTAATAAAGCCCGGGCTTGCTTTGATTCTTCCAATTGTTTTATCAATTCCTCGACTTGTTCTTCATTGGTATATGATAATCCTTTCACTACAGCATCCATCACCTTGACTATACGCCATAATCGGAAGATGATCAGGAGACTATATATATATATATATAAAGAAGTTCAGAAGAGAGCATTATCATTGACTAGTTATTTTTTTTTCTATGTTAACCACATACCCTGCCACCTCACGTTCCTTGCCTCGTAAAACAATATCCAATATAAATGTAGAGACAACCACTAAAATAGATAAATAAAGATGTTATTAATAAAATAATCGTCATCCCATCCTTGAGAAAAAAAAGATAAAGTGAACTTACCAGTTACATCAAAGATATGAAGTTTCCAATGTTCAGTACCTGGAAGATAGTATTTGGGACCAAAAGCTATAAAAGAAAGACAACATTCCAGCATGAAGAGACAGGTGATAATAATGGAGATAGTTTCAGCAAGTTCAAACGAGATAATCCAGCCTTCACTGACGGGCTTATACACTAAAATAGACACTTTTGAAGGATCGGCTTGGCATTCATGGAAGAAGGTATATAATATTTGAAGTAAAACACAAGCGGCATCTAACATTGTTAATCCTAAAATAGTCCAGTGAACCTTATCACTTTCAAGTCGGGCACCAAGATGCTTTCTCCAAGAAGATGGTTGCGATGAATGGTTATCATTGTTAGTGATTGGTAAAGAACCATAACTGGCTGACATGATGTAGACTCCAAATATAAAGGAAAAGAGAAAGAAGAAGGGACAAAAAAAAAAAAAAATAAAAATCTTCTGGCGTTCCTTCAAATTTCAAAGTTGTACAGAGACGATTGTATACGCTAAAATATCGAACACTTTATTTCAACCAATACAATCAAACAGTAGATTTGCACTGAAGAGTTTCATAGATCAGTGAGTTATTCAAATATTGAGTACCATCCATTTTATGTATGGTAAATGTTAATATATAATTAATAATTTCCACCTATGGTTCCAAATTGGTCACAAGCATGAAAAAAGGGGAAAGCGGCTATTGAAACCTAACCCAGGATTTTCGAGCATCAACTGCGGTCCACCTTTTTTCTTTTTTTTTTCCTTTCTTTTTTTTTTATCGGTTGTCTACTCGTTTGTCGCTATCATGAGTGATCAAGACTCCTTCTTTTCTGAAGGCTCTTCACTCTCTGAAGAAGAACATATTCATGAACAAAGAAACGACAATGCATCAAAACCTAAAATCAAATCGGAATTAGAAGAGCTAGGTGTAGGCTTGGTAGATCAAACTACTTTAGAAAGAAAGATCATGGCCAAGGTAATAAGTTAAATTATATATATATATGTAATAGAAACTAAATCACTATTTTTCTTTTTATTGTTATTTAATATATAGGCCGATAAAGCTATGACTGACCGCGATGAAGTTCTGGATCAAAAACGATTGGAAAAGGCTCAAAAACAAGCAAGGTATTATTACAAAATATGGAATTGACAGCTTATCATAATACTACATTGTATTTTTAGGAATGCTCAAGATCTATTAGCACAACTGAAATCACGATTAAACGATGCAAAGGGTTCAACGGTGGAAAGAGATCGACTTGCAAAGAAGATTAATGAACAGGTAAGAGAATGTCATGTGGTTAAAATTGAAGATTAGGGTTGAACTGATAACCTCTTTTATAATTTTTATAGGCCACATTGCTCCGAAATGCTACTAGGGATGAATCTGACATTATTCAACGAATGAAAGATCGTGAACAGCGAAAACGATCAACTGATGGTAATTGGAATATACCTATATCTTTAATGATGACTTAATTTGATCTATACTTTTTTTTTGAATATAAGGACTTGATATGAGTAAACGACAAGCAGATGAAACCCAAAAAGATTATTTGATTCGAACAGGGAAAATCACTCCATTTGCCACCTTATCTGATATACAAGATCAAACTTCAGTAGACCATTCAAGTAATTATTTTTCATCATTTCTATCTTTTTTTTTTTTTGATTGTGATTGTGCAATCATTGATGGACTGGTTGACTGAATGATTTATTTACTTGTTTTGTAGCCAACGTCATATTACCTGGAACAGGCGGTAGTTTTATGTCACATCGAAATTTGAAACGACCTCGAACGACAGAGGTGGTCAATGTTAAAAAGGAAGACGAAACCGAGATTGAATCCCATTGGCGACAATCAATACGAAAGCAAAAACAAAAGAAAACTGATGATGATGATGATTATGTGATGACCGATGAAGACGAAGAAAATGATGATGATCAGTATCAACAAGATGAAATGGATTTGGATCAAATAGATGAAGATATGACAATGTCGACTAGAACAAGAAAGGAAATTGAACAAATCTATGAAGATGATGGGAATGATACAAATTATCAGGTAAGTTAAAAACAATAGATGACAATTGAAAAGTTTCTTATTTATGATGATTTTTCATATCAATAATCCAAATAGAATCGATTACAAGACTGGGTCTACAATCGGAAACTATTACGATATCGGGAAACTACGGTAAATTGAAAAAAAAAAAAAAAGAATCAAACCATTTGATATTTACATCTTGTATATTATTGTTATCCGTAGGATGAATCAATATCTTTGAGTGAATTGGAAAAACGTCTGGAAAAGCAAGATATAAATCCTGAATCAGAAATATACGAACCTCATCCTGATTATGAAGATGCTCGCTTTGGTGCCATGAATGTTCCTGGAGAAATCTGGCAAGATCTATTTGATTATCAGAAAACATGTATGTTGAAAACAAAACTCATTGGTTATTTACTCTAACTCGGTTCTTTTTTCTTCTTTGTTATTTCATTTATAGGTGTACAATGGTTATGGGAACTTCACAATCAAAAGGTCGGGGGCATTATTGGCGATGAAATGGTAAATTGAATTAACTAACATGTTGTGTGATAACCTACTGACATGTTTTATCTTTATAATGCTAGGGACTGGGGAAAACAGTACAGATCATAGCCTTTCTATCTGGTTTATATTATTCAAAAATACTTGGACCTGGTGTACCATCTCTTGTGGTTTGCCCTGCAACGGTTCTAAAACAATGGGTTGAAGAGTTTCATCGATGGTGGCCTCCTCTACGCGTAGCTATTTTGCATTCTAGTGGTAGTGGAATACGATCGAGCGATATTGACAACACTGACTTCTCTATAGATGACGTGGAAATATATGACAGTACGGATGAACAAGAATATGAACCTGATCGACGTGGACGATTTGCACGGAAGAAGAAATCGAAGGGGAAACCAAGTTTGTTATTTACAAAAACTGGAAAAAATGCAGCAGCTGTTGTGGATAGATTTGTCAAATCTGGTACGGAAAAAGAAGAAAATCGAAAGAAACAGTCTAAATAACAGACAGTATCACTCACACTATTTTTTCACTTTTTTTTTTGTTATTTATTTTGTGGTTGCTAGGTGGAATCCTGATCACAACTTACAGTGGAATTCAAACATATAGAGAAGTCTTACTCAAACATAGATGGGGTTATGTTATTCTAGACGAAGGACACAAGATTCGGAATCCAGATTCAGAAACAACATTGGCATGTAAACAATTCAAAACACCACATCGAATTATTCTTTCTGGTACACCCATTCAAAATAATTTGAAGGAACTTTGGTCACTTTTCGATTTCATATTTCCAGGTCGATTAGGGGTAAAGTGGTATATATATTGAGAAAAACGTTTCAACTCAATTTTTTTTTTTTTTTCGATAGACTCTTCCGGTATTCCAAACTCAATTTTCAGTACCTATCAATATTGGTGGTTATGCAAATGCATCGAATGTTCAAGTACAGACAGCTTACAAATGTGCATGTATGCTTCGTGACTTGATCAATCCTTATTTATTACGAAGAATGAAAGTGGATGTAGCGACTGATTTACCAAAGAAAAGTGAACAAGTTCTTTTCTGTAAACTGACTCCATCACAACGACAAGCTTATTTACAATTTATTCATTCCAAAGATATGGACTCCATTCTCGAACGGCGACGACAGGTGCTTTATGGTATTGATATTGTACGCAAGATTTGTAATCATCCTGATATTGTCAATTTGGCTGCTTTACGATCGGTAAGCTTTAGATTTTTCTTTTTTTTCTTTTTTGTTAAGTCAGAATATTTTTTTTTTTTTGTATTTGTTAGGAACCTTCTTTTGGAGATCCTGAAAAAAGTGGGAAAATGGTGGTGGTTCGAGCACTTTTAAATTTATGGAAAACGAATCACCGAGTGTTATTGTTTTGTCAAACCAGACAGATGCTTGATATATTGGAACGAATGATTGCAAGTCTTGGATACAGATACCGACGAATGGATGGAACAACACCTGTTCATCATAGAATGACTCTTGTGCATGAATTTAATACTAATTCTGATATTTATGTATTTTTATTGACAACCAAAGTGGGTGGGTTGGGATTAAACTTAACAGGCGCTGATCGTGTTATTCTCTTTGATCCTGACTGGGTAAGATGATTAATTACCAAATGAAATACATATTTATTCCTGTTTTTTTTTTCTTATAGAACCCATCTACTGATGTACAAGCAAGAGAAAGAGCCTGGCGACTTGGACAAAAGAAGGATGTAACGATCTATCGATTGATGACAAGTGGAACTATTGAAGAAAAAATATACCATCGACAAATCTATAAGCAGTTTTTAACCAACAAAATCCTGAAAGATCCAAAACAACGGCGATTCTTTGATGTATGTTGGCTACAAGATCCTTTTTTTTTTTTTTTTGTCATTGATTAAACATTTTTTTTTTTTCGTTTAATTTGTAGTCAAGCAATTTGAAATCATTGTTTACACTTGGAGCTGAAGATGCATCAACCACAGAAACTGGACAACTTTTTGAAGGAACTGAAATCAAGTACAAAAAAAAGAAGAAGAAACGACAAAATGATGATGATCGAGAACAAGTCCAAGCTCTACACGGTGTTAGTAATATAGAGCCACTGTAAGTATAAAGTTTGATATAACTGGAATAATACTAATTGAATTGATTTTCTTTTTCAACAATAGAAATGAGGAAGATAAAACTCCATCAAATGAAAAAAGTTCTTCTGGTATGGATGACAATGTTTTATCTAGTTTATTTGAAATGACTGGTATACAAAGTGCTTTGCAGCATGATCGTATCATGGAGTCTGGAACTCAAGATAGCTTTTTTGTGGAACGAGAAGGTAATATATATTATTATGATGATTAAAAAAAAAAAGAAAGTATAAGAATAATAACTAATTATATGATGGTATAGCTACGATGATTGCAGAACAAGCAGCAATGGCTTTGAAAGAATCAAGAAAACGTACTAGACAAAATGGTATTGGCACTCCTACATGGACGGGAAGATCTGGTAAATATATTACTATTTGATAAAGGGTAAAACTTTTATATATTCACTTTTTTTTTTGTTATGTATGATATGGACAAATAGGATTTGCAGGTGCACCAAGATCACGATCACAAGCATCATCATCATCTTCAACACCACCACCACGATTCGGACAAAGATCAAATATCACAGTTTTTTCTTCTGGATTAAAATCTGATTCGACACCTGTTTCACCTTCTGGAAATGCATTTGGAAAAGGTCTGATATCAGGATTCAAGGGATCAAGTGTAGTTGGATCAAGCATTCTTTTAGCACAGATGCAGCAAAGAAAGGCTATGGAAGCTAATATTGATACCAATGATTCAAAATATTTATCAACTGGTAAGATTCTTTTTTTTTATATATAAATAATTTATTTTGATTATATAATTTTGATAGGTATTTTGAGGGATGATCAAAAACAACTGATGAATCAAATTCGAGATGTGATTGCAGCCAACGGTGGACGTGCTCCTACTTCTGATATTATGAATAAATTAGAAATAGATATTGAACAAAATGATATTTTAGTATTTAGAAAAATGATTCAAGCCATTGCTAAATTTGAAAAGGATCAAACTGGTAAAGGTGTTTGGGTATTGAAAGATGAATTTCTGTAAAATAATAATAATAAAAATCAAGATATTTCTGACATTGAAAAATTTAGTAATGCCGCGCTTTTCTTTTCACTTATTTTGTGCCCTTTCTTTTATTCTTTTTTTTTTTCCGGTGCCTTTTTTTTTTTTTTTTACTTCTCTTCTCTCTTTCATACGTTTTATTTATCATCGGTAGAACTATCTATTTTACTCTTTTTTTTTTTTCTCTCTTTTTATTTTTTTTTTTCCAATCCCTTTCTTTCCTTTTTTTTTTTTTTTTATCATATTGATTCGCTCTTATGACTATCGACGAATTTGACCCCGATGACTTATTAGTGGAAATTAACCGCAAACTAGCAAATGTTTCTATTCAATCTGCCAACTTGACAGATACTGTCCATAAAAACGCGGTAAAAAAAAGGAAAAAGAAAAGAAGAAGAAAAAGAAGAAGGAAAATATACGTGAAGGAACTCAAGTCTTACTTTTCTTTCCATATTTTTATGATATTTCAGTTATCTTCTTTACGATATTATCTACATTCTGACAATATAGAAACTTGTTTTGTTGGTGCACATAATCTACGCAAGTATTTAACCCAAGGTATATAATATATGAATAAATAAAAAAATTCCAAAAAAGAAAAAAAAACTGCGACACGCGTCACCGTTTCAACTTTACAACTATGTTTAGTTAATCTATTTTATATATATATACACATGTCCTTTAGCAACAGAGCCAGGTCATGTTGATGATCTATTGGAATTGGATATACTGCCTCGAATTAAACAACTGTTATCTTATCATGAACATTCGGAACTACAAGTAACGTGTTTTTTCATAACTTATATAAGGAAACTCACTCATTTTTTTTTTTAAAAAAAAAATGATATAATATAAATAGTTTGAATGCGCATGGATCGTTACTAATATAGCCGTAAGTTTTTATTATTCAAAAAAGAAGAAAAAAAAAAAGGATATTTCCAATATGAATAAAAGGTTGATCTTATTTGATTTGATAGGCTGGTACATCGGAACATACAAATGCACTAGTAGAAGCTGATTTTATTGGAGCACTCTTGGAAATCCTTTATTCCAAAATTAGTACCACTACTTCAAAAGCACAGGTAAATAAAATAATTCATTCCAAATATCCTTTTTTTTTTTTTTCTTACTTTCTTTTTCATATATATTTTTCAGGCTGCTTGGGCTCTTTCTAATTTTGCAGGAGAATCGCCAGCTTTACGTGAATTGCTTTTGACAAATAGTGCTATTGGTGCGGTGGCAAATGTTCTGGATAGTGTTTGTGATGAAATTATGGATGATGCTATTGAACGATCTTATTCAAGTGGAAGAGTTACTATTCGAGATCATGATTTATGTATCGATGTCAAAGCTTTAACTTGGTCTCTCTCAAATATGTGTCGAGGTGGCTTCCGTACTGCTGATTATTGGGATATGGTAAAAGAAAAAAAAAATAGAAAAGTTAAATTCCAGATTATTTATTGATCTTTCTCTTTTTTTTTTTTTTCTTTAAAAAAAAATAGTATCTTCCTGCATTTTATTCCTTATCTCAATGTGCTATATTTGATCACAAAGATATATGGATAGATTCATGGTAAGTTTTATTTAATATAATTTCTCTTAATATTAATATGATTTTCATTTATGGTAGTTGGGGTTTATCTCGGATTCTATATAACATGCATGAAGTGACAAGTTTTTATGACGCGGTGCCTATTTCTCCTCAACTTTGTTCAAGATTAGCACAACTGCTTACGTAAATGCAGACAATCTAAAAATTATACCTAATAATCTTATGATCTTTTTTTTTTTGGTTTAGTGAACGAACTATCTCTATCATTGTGCCTGTGTTAAGATGTATCATCAATATTACTTCTGGTCCAAATGAATATTCAGCTTTATTACTCGATACACCTCTTCTTACAAACCTTGGAACTCTTACTCCTACCAGTATTCCTATCCCTATTCGACGTGATTCCTTTTTAGTGGTATCCAATCTAGCAGCAAGTAATGAGACTTTGGTGAATCAAGTCATCCAATCTCACGAAATTATGGAATCTGTTGTTGCTCATGTCCATGTTCCTGGTCATACCTATCATGAAGATACTATCCAATGGTTCCCAACTGTATCCAATGCTTATTATAATTTGGCGGATGAATGGAAGATTACAACTGAGGCACTCTGGGCATTAAGCAACTTGACAAATTTGGCTAGTGATGACTCCATCTGGTAAGTTCAAAAATGACGTATTATTTATATGAAAACATTGATTTTTTTTTTAATTTATTGAATCCTTCTTAGTACCATGTTAGCATCTCATCCTCAGATACCAAAATCACTCTCAGCACTTTTGAATTATATGAATATGCCTTTATCAACTTGCATCAAAGGATTGGATGTGATCATCACCATTATCGGACGCACCAACAAGATCGCCTATACGAGATTACCATCTTCAGCACGTTTAACTGACCAAGAAAATAAGGATTCACCATCCATTCCTTCCTCCAGCAACCCATACATCGAACAATTCATCAATCAAGGCTTACCCACTTTACTACCATGTTTACGCAAAGTGCATCAGAAATCGATGGAACTACAGAAAAGATGTGTTATCCTGGCGTCGTTATTAGAAACTGCCGTGAGTTCAGATCAATCATCCACTTCAGGAGACAAATCCACAATAACAACAACGACAACAACAACAACAACAGCAACGACAACAACATCTTCATCATCCTCTGGATCTACTCCATCAAGTTCTACATCGTCCAATTTGGCAGCTATGTTTGGCTTATCACTTCCTCCTTCTTTTATTACGACCGGAGCCAATAAACGTCGGGTCTTACGGGGTCATGAAGATGGTGATATTCGATTGATTGAAAATGCAGTTGGGAATTTGTCTATTACTGAAGGCGTTCAATAGTTAATAGTTTATAGTATTACTTCGTATCTTTTTATTTTTTTATTACTATTAGTATTATTCTTTTTTTTTTTATTATTATTACTATTATTATTAGTCATACACGATACTCTATTTTTTTTCGATTCCTTTTTTTTTTCCAAATACCTATATAAAAATGAATAAAAATCAAATACAATGCAAATACAATTAATAACAACTTGTTCCTCTTTCATCGCATCCCTATAATAAAATAAATCCTCCTATCTAATTTTACAGCTACAGTATAATCTTTGACTTCCAAACGACAAAATTCGGCCTATCCTGCATTCAACTTGGGTTGCAATTTCTTGTCTTTTCATTTCTCGCTCAGAAGTGATCATCATCTCACACTCTAAAAACAGGTTCAAATCCATTCTGACGTTCAAACATACCATAGAAACAAACATCACTATGGTATTATTATTATTTTACAATTGTACTATTATCATATATTGAGCCACGGCTTCACCCACTCCCCCTGTCAGGCTTTGTCTTTCGGTATCTTCAACTTCCTTTTTTGGTAAGTGCTTCCTTGACTTTTCAAGCATTTTTTTTTTTTCATAATTATATGAATTTGCGTCTGGCAATTATTGTAAGATGGTTCTCCTCTTGCTTTTTTAATACAGTAGTCATCGTTTTTGATGTATCACCATCATCCATTACCGCATATCATTTTTTTTTAATTGGGTATCATCTGTCATATCACATTATTACAGTATTATTCAAAAAAAAAAAATCTAATCTTTATTGAGTCAAAAAGAAAGGAAAAAAAAATCTAAGAGGTAACCTTGGAAACAACGCCTTTGACAAGAAAACAACCAGGATGAGGGGAATCAAACAACCAACCTTCCGTTCTAAGTAATTTCTGAATACTTGGTAATAAACGAGCTTGACCGTATTCGGAATGTGTGCCTGTTCCTGTAACAATTTGTAATGGTTGAATCTTCCTTCGAGCTAATAAGAGTAATAATAAATAAACAAAGGTTAAACATGTATTTTTCTTTCTTGTCTTTGTGAACTGACCCATCTGTATTTGACTTCTTGACCACCATTGCGTCAGACCTTCCTTGACCAAAGTTTGAGCTTCATTTACTGTCAATCCATGTAAATCCAACAAGTGATCATCGTTTTGTTTCAGTCTATAATGAGATTATCGTAATTAATAAATCAGTTTTTTTTTTTTTTTTTTTTTTTTTTTTTTTTTTTTTTTTTTTTTTTTTTTTTTACCTTTTATTCCGGACATAGGCTCTTGCAGCACGCATATTCCATTCTCTTGCTTTGGTATCCAACTGTCGAGCTTCATCCGAATAAAAAAATGCCACACCTTGTTCACCCGTTTTCTTGTTTTTGCCAGCACGGTAGGCTGCTGATGCTTTTTGAAACAATTCATTGCGTGTCAGGATCAGATCCATAGCCATAGCACGACAGAGTTCAGGATCATCTTCGGTATAAGTTTGTTGATTTGTCATTAATAGATATTCAGGAATCACAGGCATATCATCACCAATAGTAGTAGTAGTAGTAGTAGAGGGAGTTTGACTCAGTTTCGCCATTCTTGAAGCCAGATCTTGTTGTTGCTTTTCATATGTCAATGCGAATTCAATCCCTTGCTGTACCATTTGATTCACATCATGATCATTTTGGTATTGAATCACCACACCGATGGCAATACGTCGAATTTGTTCCGCTGTTCTATCCACAAGTATCACCGCCATACCTTGTTCTACTTGATCCAAATTGGTTGCCAGTTGCCAATGTAAGACAGGCTGCGCCTGAGGAATCTTAGTCATCAACATCACCACCGAAGCAATCGTATTGCCCTTGCAGCGTTGAACACATCCATGTATATTAGAGCGAGACAATGAGGGAAATACTTGACAGATTTTTCCAATGGTATCATCATATTGGTGCCAATAGTTGAAAGGTATCGTAGTAGGGCCATCATCATTTTTGTTGTTGTTATGTAAAGGTTCCATATACCTCGAAGTCCATAAAGTTTGCTTGCCTTTTTTGTTTTCCTTGTTGTTGCCACGCCTACCAGGTTTCTTTTTTTTCTGGATGCCATGGTATAATATATCGTCATTGTCTTCTTGTCTTGTCGAGTTGGAATAGTCATCAGATTCAAAATACGCGTTGTTCAATAAAACATCGGTTGCTCTTTCTACATCACTACCTTGAGATAAAAGTACATTCTTCAATTGTTGAAGATCCATATTGGGGAAACATCTAGCAAGAAAGTCAAGGTCATCATCCATAGTATCTTGACTACTAGTATCATAACTACTAGAATCAATAGAGGTAGTACCAGAAGGAGTGGATAAATGAGTGGTTGAATTTGATATTTGTGATGATAACGTCTTATTATTGTTGTTCGAATCAGTTTCATGTATAGTCATTAGATCAAGTTGGTCTTCAAAGTTATCCATATTTGATTGTACCTCGAGTTCTGCCGCATTCAAACTAGCATCCGCTTCCTTTGCAAGCTCCCTCAGAATATTCAAAGATTGAGCATAATCGTATGTATCTAACCAAATGGCCTCAATAAGAGATGAGTCAAGAGGAGGACAAAATTGTTGCTACAGAGAAAAAAAAAAGTCAATCGATGAAAGAAAAGAGGTATATTATATTTTTTTTTTGTCTTACATATAACAAGTCTTTTTCTTTATTCAAGTCAGTCTTGGTTTGTTTTTTATTCTTTCCAAAGGCATTGTATTGATTGTCTTGAAGTTTGCCCATCTCCACGTAGACATTTCCCCAAAGTATATGGTTAGCGAATATTATATATTAGAGGTTTGAGAGAGAGAAAAGTAGGATATAAGAAAAAAAGAGGCTGAAAAAGCAAAATTGAGGTGTGAACGGATATTGAATATTTGCAGTTCCCAAAAAAGGAGTAAAAACTTATTACTATCATCTAAACTTTCTCAATTATAATAATATATAATAACAGTAATAATACTAATAAAAGGGTTAGAAATAAGTACTTATGACCAAATACACACTTTACATGACAAATAGAACATGTATTGATTTTGGGCTAACACTATTTTGAATTCTATGCTCCGTTTTTTTTTTTTTTTTTTTTTTTTTTTTGGACGTGACAGCCAATTAGATGGGAAGTCTTTGTTTGATTCCCCGCTCGGATTCGTTGGACCTCGTATTTTAACTTGTTGAGAGCTCCATCCCCTTTTTTGTTCTTTCCTTTTATCTCACCTTAGATATATCAGTTTAACATGGTAATGCATACAAAAAGATATTATATCCATCATATACGATTTAGAATTCAATCTACATAGATAGATGAATGGAATAGATCAATAGAGTAGAATAAATGGATGGATGGATGGATGGATGGATGAATCGAAAAAAAATATATATATTAATGTACTTTATTGATGATTTTAGGGTCGTGGTCCTAAGAAGCATATGAAGCGTTTGGCAGCTCCCAAGCACTGGATGTTGGACAAGCTTTTGGGTTCTTATGCCCCTAAGCCTAGCTCTGGTCCTCACAAGACTCGTGAATGTTTGCCTTTGATTGTCTTCATCCGTAACCGTCTTAAGTATGCTCTTAACGGTCGTGAAGTTACCAGCATCTTGATGCAACGTTTGGTCAAGGTTGACAACAAGGTCCGTACTGATTCCACCTTCCCTGCTGGTTTCATGGGTAAGTAATTTTTTTTTTTTTGTTCAAGATCTATAAAACTCATTTTACTTTTTGTAATGAATAGATGTGATCTCCATCGAAAAGACTGGTGAAAACTTCCGTCTTGTCTACGATACCAAGGGTCGCTTTGCCATCCACCGTATCACTGATGAAGAAGCCAAGTACAAGCTCTGCAAGGTTCGCAAGGTTATGATTGGTGCCAAGGGTATTCCTTACATTGTCACTCATGATGGTCGTACCATTCGTTATCCCGATCCTTTGATCAAGGTCAACGACTCTGTCCGTTTCGATATTGAAAACAACAAGATCCTCGACTTTGTCAAGTTTGAAGTTGGTAATGTTGCTATGATTACTGGTGGTCGTAACGTTGGTCGTGTTGGTACCATTGTTCACCGTGAACGTCACGTTGGTGGTTTCGAAATTGTCCACGTCAAGGATTCTTTGGATCGTACCTTCGCTACCCGTATCTCCAACGTCTTTATCATTGGTCAAGGTAACAAGCCCTGGATCTCTCTCCCCAAGGGTAAGGGTATCAAGTTGACTATTGCTGAAGAACGTGACCGTAGACGTGCTGCTGCCGCTGCTGCCCAATAAGTTTAGTCTTTTGGAATCAGTTTAGTTCTATTTTGAAATAAAACTTATCTCTCTCATTTTTTTTTTTTTTTTGTTTTCATGTTGATTTTTATCTGATGGTATCGGTATTTGTATGTCTATTTTCAATGAATGAAATTAAATCTTTCTCTCTTTTTTTTTTTTTTTTTTTTTTTTTTTTTTTTTTGGATTACTCTTCTATTTGTTTTGATGCCAAAACTCATCAGTCTTGCTTCAAAATGGACACCTGAACAACAAAATTTGTTTCGTACATCTATCACTGGACTTGCACAGGTGAATATTGATGATGGTAAAACTCTGGTTATGAAATAAAAGCGCATGTAAAAAGGTGAAGTAATGTATATTTACTTTTTGAGATGTTAGATGCGACCTTTTTATCAAGTGACTTGGAAGAAATAAGCCGTACTACAGGGTTACCACTACAGGTAGAATCAAAGAGATGCATAGAAACGGAAAATAATGTTAATGTCTATGTATATATATACACCTTCGTTTATTATTAGGTCCTTATTGCGTTAAGACAACACATCGTGTCTGAAATGATGATATCTAGTTTTCATCCCAACATCATGGTCAATTATATCTCCAGTCATTTTGATCCGTTAGATCGTCTTCTTGGTGGTGGTATGCGTATAGGGGATATGACCGAACTCTTATCAGAACATCCTCATTTATTAGAAAAGGTAACAAAAAAAAAAAATGAAGTACATGATACGATTGACCTATATTTATTTATTTATTTATTTATTTTTGTTAGTTGATGGTACAATTCATGCAAGGATTTTTGAACCATTGCCCTGATGCTCATATCTGTCATGTTGATACCAACGGATCTTTTCAAACAAGAATTCTACATTACACAAAAGTAAAAAAAAAAAAAAAAAGCGATGGGATGAGCTCATCTCTATTTCTCTTTATAGGTCATGTCCTTATCCCGAATCGAATGTCACAAGGCTTTCACAGTACCTAAAATCAATCAAATCATGGATCGTTATGGTGCTTTACAATTGGCTTCTCAACAAGTTAAGGATAAACCGATGTTGATTGTGATCCAGGATATAGGATATTTGATGGATTCGGATTGGAATGTCACTTTGGATCAAGGTAATTTTTTTTTTGTTTGATCCATTTTAATTTTACATTGTCACTTATTTTATTTTTATTTTTTTACTTTTTTTTTTTTTTTTGTCATGGATCTTACTAGTGAAGAAATTGGAAGATACCATTCTACAATTAAAGTTAATGAACATCACTATCTTGGTAAATAAATTGAAATTGAAGAGAACCGAAAAATGAGTAATTTTATATATCATTCTTTTTTTACTATGACAAACGACTTGACCAAAATAGGTTAGTCATCATTTAGTGCCTACAACACCCAGACGATATGAACTTACTTTGGATAATATAGTGGATCTTCGATTGAATTTATCTTCTAATCATCAAGATTTACATATAGACATCACTAAAGCAAGACATGTGGTAAGATAGAAAACAAGTAAAAAAAAAAAAAAAAAAAAAAAAAAAAAAAAAAAAAAAAAAAAAAAAAAAAAAAACGATGATATATAATTGATCAAATTTTTGAATTGAATAGAAAACTCCTCAAAGTTGTAGTGTATCCATGTAATTTAGTCATATACCTTTTTTTTTTTTTTTTTTTTTAGTTTATCTTGTAGTACAAAGTAATAAAAAAAAATAGTTAGTTAGTTTGATGAAGGCAGAATGTACATTGTTTTATTGATATAATAATAATAAACTATAGATATACATATAGAAGAATACGAATAAAAAAAGAAAAACAGGGTAGAAAGACTATATAGAAGTAAGGGTATCGCTGATGTTTGGGTTCCTTCATTCCATAGTTACCATGGGTGGACTATATATAAAAAAAAAAAAAAAGAATGATCGTCATACAATGCTTCTTCTAACCTTTTTTTTTTTTTTTTTTGTTGGTATCTCCCCTTACCTTGGTCGTTTTGATGATGATTGGCGATAAGATCTTTGTTCCTCTTCAAAGTCATGCTGATATTGTAATTGTCGTTGATGATGATCAATAGGAGGATGATGTTGGTAAGCATCGGTAGGATCATGGGCAGGATAAGGAGGATGATTGTGATGAATAGGATGATGTTGTTTTGCCAAAGGATGATCAGCAGGTGTCAGCAATTCAAATGAGCATAACAGATCTTCGTTAACGGTCATGATGGCACCAAAATTATCGAATTCGCCACAATAGTTGGGAGCCGAAAACACAGTAACTAAGGTTCGTTCGTTGAAGAATTCATATCCATCTTCTACTACCATATGAGCACGACATACCAGATCTAAATCATGTTTGGCCAGAAATTCGTTCACAATCCTTCGTCCAAAACAATACGATACACCGCGTTCATTCTCTTCCCATTCCACAGCCGTTTCCGACGGGTCAGACCAGAGTAAATCATTCAATAGGCCATAATCAGGTACATCACAAGGTCGTTCAATCATTCTGATTTCATCTAAAGAGTTCAATAAAGGACTATCCAATATATATATATATATATATATATAAATCAGCTCTAGATATATATACAATTATATATATATGTGTATATTACCTTAAACCACCATGGACACAAAATATTTTCCCAGCAACTAGTGCAGCAATTGGCATTGTATTGAAAACATCCACAAAAGTTTTCCACATTTTGATATTTGTTCTTCGTTTACATTCATCATAAAAGCCATACACTAAAAAAGGAGGGAAGGTCAGTCAGCAAAAGATCAATTTTCCCGATGGTTCCTCCTTACCTCGAGATACATTATCGGTTTCATGATTTCCCCTTAACAAAAAGAAATTGGCTGGATATTTGAGCTTGTAACATAACAGTAACAAGATGGTTTCTAAACTTTGTTTTCCTCGATCAACATAATCACCCAGAAATAAATAATTTGCATTAGGAGGATATCCACCCATGTTGAAGAGCCGCACCAAATCCGTATATTGTCCATGAACCTAATGTAAATCAAAAAAAAAAAAGGATAATAATAATAAAAAAGCGTGAGTAAAAAAAAAGAAAGAAATATAAAATTCATAATAATAACAACAAAATAAAATAAAATAAAAAAGCATACACACATCGCCTACTATCTTGACATTGGGACTTAATTCAATTAGGGTCTAGAATTCAAAATTAAAAAGTTAATCATCATTAAAAGAAATCATCATATTTTTTTTTGTATCACTATCTCCCCCCCCTATACCACTATTTTTTTTGTAACTTACAGGTTGAGCTAAAAAGAGTTCTTGGGCACGATGGCAAATAGACACGATTTCCGATTGTTTCAAGCATACTTGTCTAGTAAACGTATTTGTTTGACCAACTTGAATCAAACGAGCTATACAAGCATCCAAATCTAATGGTTTATCACCCAGTGATTTCAATGAAGTGGCTGTAAGTTGATTTTGAGAATGAACAGTAGATTGATGATCGTTGTTATTGTATTTTTCATAATAATCATAAGACTGATTATTATAAGTATCTGTAGAGGATTGATTATTTGTTGAAGTATAAGGATTATGCTGGTATTGTTGATATTCTGTAGGAGGATGTGTTTGATTGTACTGGTCAGTAGGTAACATCCCACGACTTGTTTCTGCTTGTCGTTTAACCAGGGCGCGTTTACGTTTGGAAGGTTGGTTCCCCATAAGAGAAAGTAAAGAAGTAGAAAAGAAAAAACAAAGGAAAAAAAAAAAAAGAAAAAAAAAAAGAAAAGAAAAAAAAAGAAAAGAAAAGACTGAAGTGAGTCTTTTTTTTTTGATAATAGGGAAAAAAAAAGTCTTGGCCCCTTTTGTCCATTGGTACCACTTCCTAATTTGGTCAAGCCTTAGTCAAAAAAAATAGATTCACAAAAAAACAAACGTAAGCTCCTCCACAAAAAAAAAAAAATCAGAAATTGTTGAATCACCGACTATTTTAGTTATTAAAGATTCCAAAATAAAAATAGACTATAAAAAAGAAATATCACACTTTAATTTCATTAAAATACTTCCTCCTTCGGATATAAGAATAACCTTTTTTTTTTTTTTGTCACATATTCCATACATGACCAACGGAGTGTGAAACCATTCATGCAATTGAGTGCTTTTGTTCTCCAACTGTATGCCTGCATATCCACAAACCTACTTGTTACGAACAAATAATGTCTTCATTGATTCAACATGCCCATACGATCCTTGAAAAAAAAAAAAAGGGAATTGTAAGAAAAAGTTTATAGTAACCGGAGTACTCAAATAAAAAATAAACACGAAAAAGTATAAATAAATAAATAAATAAATAAATAGAAGGTGAACCATTTCTTTTCAGTTCCTGCCTATCGTTTTTTATTTTTTCAAATAGCTAAATTAGATAACATAAAAAAAAAAAAAAAGAGAGAGAGAGGGGAATACACAAGTATAAACTATAATGACTAGATCTAAATTATACTTGATGATGATGATGATTTTGCTGTTGCGAAGTTCGACCTCCAGTTGCTTGAAAGGATATCTTTCGATCAAATAAAGAGAAGGAAGAAGCGGAGGGTTGTTCATAGAATGTTGTTTCATCTTGATCTTGACGCGCCCTATCATCTTGACTACCTGATACTTGAAGCTGAGATACTTCCGTTCTTGGTCTCCATGGATACCATATGGAAAAAGGAAAAGTAGCGGCTCCAGTTGGAGTTGTAGTTGAGATAATAGGTGGTGCAATCACAGGTGATGATGGCATGGGTGGAGATGGTAAACGAGCTGTTGTTGTTGTTGTTGTTGTACGTGGTAATCGAATTATACCTGATGATGATTCATGAAAGTGTGATGGTATTGTTGCCGAAGATCCCATTCCATATACAATTTGATCATACGTGCTGCCTTTTGCTATATGTGATTGTTGATAATTTTGAAGATGAGGTTGATAATGTTGCTGTGATTGTTGAATATGATAAGTATGATGATGATGATGTTGTTGTTGTTGTTGTTGTTGTTGTTGTTGTTGTTGTTGTTGTTGTTGTTGTTGTTGTTGTTGTTGTTGTTGTTGTTGTTGTTGTTGTTGTTGTTGTTGTTGTTGTTCTTGTTGATGATGATGTTGAACAGATGGTAAATGAGTTGTTTGATGATGAGACTGTTGTTGTAATTGATGATGATATGCTGTCGTAGTAGGTCGTGATGATGTGGAATCCGTGAATAAACGATAATCATTGCAGTTCAAAGACGAAGAAGATAAAGGAGGAGAAGAAGTCGATGACGTTGAGACACAGGTATGTGCAGGTGAAGGTGGCGATCTTGATATTATATCAAACTCAATTCCAGTGTTGAAAGGTGAATACCAACTTTGCCGAGTATTTCCATTGAATACATTTGGAGTTGTAGGTATGGTTGAAGCATATGTCACTGTGGATGGTGGCGTAGCAACAGAGGTTGACGTATCTTTCCGATTCGATATGATCTTAGTCACCATAGGAGTAGGAGATGTAGGAGATGTAGCTGATGGCGGTGTTGTAGGACCTTTTACATAGTTGGATGTTGTCGATGTTGATATATTTGTTTGCTTTGTTGTGATTTTTGGTTTGGACACTACAGGTTTTGTTGGTGATGGAGGTGAAGGAGGAGATGAATCTATTGCCGTAGTCATCATGCTCGATGCTCTATGAGAAGGTTGGGTTTGTGTAACATTTGTGGATGATGGTTTGATTGTAGTGGTTGTCATTGATGAGGCTGGTGGTAAGGTATGATGAATGTCCGCAGATGGTGGTACAATGATCGCCGCCTGCTGACTTGTGATAGATTCTCCTGCTGTTGTCATTGAAGATGATTCACTTTTGACAGTTGTTTCCTCTTCGTTCTTTTCCAATGTTGAATGTCGCTTATTTCCACGTTCTTTCTTTTTCGATTGCTTGGGTCGTTTCTTCCTTCGCTTGTCCACTGCTGTTGCATTTGAATGTGTCTTTTTTGATGAAGAGAAACCATCTATTGAACACTTTTCAATAGTAGTCGGTATTGTGGGCAGTAGAGCTGGTATCACAGGTGATTCATCTGCAGTATCAGTTGTTTTTTCAATAACAGGACAAGATAAAGAATGTCGTTCTTGTTGATAATCTCTAGGTGATATGGGTGATGAAGACAAAGTTGGTGATGATGATAATGTTGATGTTGGTGTAGGTTGTGATGGCACGTCTGTTTTATCATCGTTGAAGTCCTTTGATTGTTTCCAGGTATAGTGATCAAAGTAGCCATAGGGTATCTATTCCAAAAAAAAAAAAAAAAACGCACGTTAGTCATCCTATTCTAAAATTTTCCCCATTTTTATTCTTTTTTTTTTTTTTTTTTTAGTTTGCTGAGAATAAAGTTTTCAAGTACCTTGTCAAAAGATCGGCTTGCCATTATGGAAATACATATAGCCAGGGAAAAAAAGAACACCATTGTAATAAAGTAAAACGTATGCTGACAAAGATATTCCAATATTGATGTATGAGTTGAAGAACTATGGTGTGAATGGTCAAGAGGTTGTGTCGAATAAGGGATACCCATAGAAGAATATTCATCCGCAGTAGAAGTCCAAGATCCAATATTATCCTTGACTTTCAATGTAGTATCCAAGGGACATACCAACCGAGAAATAACAAGTGCTATCCATAAGACCACTGCAAATGTTAAAGGGAAAAGGACAAGGAATGTCGTAAGGTGTAACGTCCGTGTGCGCATATGGAGTCTTTTGAAGGTGTAATTGGAATAAAGTTAAATGACACAAGAGTAAAAATAATGAAGAGACTCGAAAAAAAAATATGTTGATATATATATATATATATATATATATATATATATGTGTGTGTGTGTGTGTGTGTATAAAAGAAGAGTATGGGAGAGAAGGTAAGATCAAATGAAGAAAAAAAAATAAAATAAAGTTGTATTATGAACACGAAAGAAGTAAAAGAAGAAAAGAAAAAAAAAAGGGGGGGAAAGAGTTAAGTAAAAGACAAGTTCAAAGGAGATATCATGTACAATAATTGTAGTTTGATAATGAGTACTACACTGAACAAGTCAAAAAAAGACTATCCTGTATAATGTAATATAGGAAACGCCTTTGAAATAAATAGATAGATAAATATATGACAAAAAAAAAAAAAAAAAAAAAAAAAAAGCAGGAAAGAGTGGCACTTTTTTTGTCAGAAAAAAGAAATGATAGCAAAAAAAAAGTAAATTTTTAAGTCACATCATTTTCATTTCCGACTAAAAAAAAAAAAGAAATTACAATTGCATTGATGATGATGTACACAATGATGTTCATATAAAAGTCTTTTTTTTTTATTTTTATTATTTTTATATAATCAAAAGTCGAGAAATATTCAAATAATCAAAATAATCTACTATTCCGTGTCTTCTTCCATATAATCAGCATTCTTTTTCAAAAGTACAATGCCTTCCAAAATAGGTGCCAATGAGATGACTATTATGAAGTATAAAAACAGTTGTCAGTAAACCACTCCCAACTTTTTAATTCTATATCTATTTTTTTACTTACATTCTTCAGTAGCCAATTCGGCACGCTCAGAATGAGCCAATAGTACAGGTGTAGAATGAGTTTGGAAACCAGTGATTGTCTTTGGTCGACCAGCTTGTCCCACCACGTCCACTGCTTGACCTACACGAACGGTCACTGGTAAATTATTCAATTCACCATCAAATGTAATTAAGAATCGAGGATACATCGCTGTCACCAAAGAATACAAAAGATAATGCCATTTTCCAAAGATAACTATATATATAAATGAGTCAATAAATGCATGATCTTCCCAATTTCCAGAAAAAAAAAAAAAACTTACATGGTTTATGGTCAGTGAATGTGATAATACTTGTCATTAATCCTGCCAAAGCCACAGGAGACATGATTTGTCGATCAGAATGGAATGGATTCAATGTCATTGTACCCTTGGCCATGTGTAATAAACCTTGAGCGATACGCACCATAAAAAGGCTAGAAGGTTCCTTGTGATAATAACTGGCTAATTGACGTAACATTTGAGCAAGTCGAGCATTGTTAGTACCAGCACCCACTAACCCCATGGCAAAGATGGCACTGATTGCTACTTCTGTATCATTATCATGAGAATATTTGCTGAGTGTATCCAATACTGACACCATAGGATTTGAAGCACATAATAAACCAAGAGCCAAAGGAACTGCCTTACGAATAGAAGGTTCACCATAATGCATCTATAAAAAAAAAAAATAAAGATTAGAATTTAAATATTATCGTTTCTTCACAAACTTACCAAATGATTGAATGTACGCAAAGACATTTCAGTACCAACATCTTCACCCATAGCGATCAATGCCACACCAATAGTTGCAAATGCTTGATGAGTATCATCTTCTTTTTCCTTATCCAGATGATCATTGCAGATATGTAGCATCTTTTGTACCTTGAGTACATTGCCAGTACCAGCATATGAAAGAACTTCTACTAATACTTCAGCTTGCTTGCCAAGAGGATGTTCAATCGTTTTGAGAGTTTCCAAAGTAGCATCAGAAGCATCTTGCTTTCCAAGGAATAATAAACCAAGACCAAGTGCCATGAAACGAGACCAAGTTTCTTTCAGATATTTATCTTCACGTTCCATCATAGTTTGTAAAATCGTGCTAGTAATATCACCATGACAAGTACCAACAAATACCATACCTAAGGCCAAAGCAGCTACAGATGATAATTCCATAGATAATCCAGTATCACTAACAATAGGTAATAACAATTCTGCTACTTCTTCACGAGCTGATCCAGCATAAGCAAGTCCAAGACTATTATCAAAGAAAAAAAAATTAGAATATCAGTCCCAAATCACTATTCTTCCTTTTTTTTTTTTCTTTTTAGTTACCCAAAGATAGCAGCATGTCGAACATGAACATTTCCACTTTCAATAGATTCAGATAATAAGGCCAAAGCAGGATCGGATTCTTCACGTACACCAGTATTTAAAATACCAATTGCCAGTAAAGCACCAGCCTAAATAAATATATATATATAATATTCAGTATTTTTCCAAATCTATTTCAAGATTACATCATATTCTTATTTCTTTCTTTTTTTTTTTTTTTTTTTTTTTTTTTTTTTTTTTTTTTTTTTTTTTTTTTTTTTTTTTTTTTTTTTTTTTTACCTTGATATTGTCATCATTTGAATACATATACTTGTCGATCAATGTAAGACCCACTTCAATATCCCAAAGAGAAATCATACCCAAAGAAGCAGTAGCACTAGTCATACCATGATCCTTTGTTTTGTAAATCCATGAAGATGAGTTTTCTTCATCGGTAATCATTAACTTGTCCTTTCCGAAAGCCGCGTTCACAAATGCATTGACAAAAGTAGAAGCCAAATTGTTGCGTGCCGAATCGACGTTGGTGCTAAATGATGTGCCTATACGAATACGGAAATATTATTATAAAGAATGAGATATATATAATATAATTATTTTATGCTACTTACGATGATTTTCGAGATGACTTTTGTAAATGTCTTCTGGTGTTTTTGGTTCCAATACATCCAATTCACGTGCAAGAGATATAAAGTATCGAGATAGATGAGTATTGTTCAAACATTCGCTCAATTCCACATCATCAGTTTCAATTTGGATCTGCTGACGTGCCAATTGGAAAGCCATTTGTTTCTTGAGAAGACTAAAAAAAAAAAAATAGGTATATTTTATAAAAGTTATTACCTATTCAATGTCTTTTTTTTTTTTGTTGTTATTATTATTATTATTATTGAACTTACGGATCAGGACAACATTCAAAATCTTCCTTAATAGCATCTTGATCGCCCATACGAATAGACAAATTCAATGCTTGAGCATACTTTTCTTGTTGACGATAAATGGTACGAACAGTTCGAATGAAGGATACATCATCAGGAGGTGCTAATAAATTGACACAACTATAGAAACAAAAAAAAAATAAATAAATGATCAACGATTGTAAAAAAAAAAAAAAAAAAAATTGTTTAAATACTTACCCAACCATGTATAAACAAACTCGTTCATAAGTATCCTTGTCGACAAAACGAGGTAATTGATCAATGGCTTCGAGTTCAAGAAGTAAATCTACAGCGTCTGCTTCACCGTTGTGCTTCAAAAAGAAAGGTACAAGTTTCAAGGCCAATTCCAAAAGATCGTTTGTAGATTGTTCTACTGTATTACGAGCTTCATATTCTTGCATGATTTCCCCAGCTAAATGACGGACATATTCGTGACCCCATGATCCAAAATCTTCTTCAGCTGTTCCATGTAAACGATATTGTAAACAAGCTCTTTCACCTTCTTCGGCATAAGTCATAGATAATACTGAAAGGATATCGGAAAAGAGATTCTAAAGTAAAATAATAAACGAATATTAGATATATATATTCCCTCTTCATTTTATCCTTTCTATTTATATATAATATTACCTTGCTGTCAGAGGAAGGCCAAGAGTCAAAAACTTTTTTCAGAGTTTCATAATGAGAACTGAGGAACTTGAGTGGTTTTGGTACCGAAGTCATCGAGCTAGTAGATGTTCGAATCAAAGTACGAAGTTGTTCCAAAGCAGGACGATGAAGATCAATTTGATCCCCCTAAGGCAAAAAAAAAAAAGAGTTATGGATCAATCGAAACTTATCTCATATATCTATTGTATTGTCTATCCAAACTTTAATACTTACTTCTATTCTATCTACAAGCAATTCCAATTCACTTTTCAATTGTTGATCTTCCTCAGACTACAAAATGAAAAAAAAATCAATAAAAGTTAGTTTACATTACTATATATTTCGCACACTGTTTGCTGTATTGATTGTTGGTTATTTTTACCAATTCTTCTTCCTGGTCCTTCTTGTCTTTGGTCTTGTCATCAGTAGGTTTCTTTTCAATATTATCAGAAGGAGTGTCCTTTTGTTGTTCGGCCATTGTTTAATATATATAACTTGTAAAGAAGATGATAACACAAAAAAAAAATTGTTGATATAAATAAAGGTAACGTCCAAGTTCACAAACAAAAAGCAACGAAAGAAGAAAAGAAAATAAATAAAAAAAGAAGAGGTCAAAAAAAAAAAATAAGTCCAAAGCTATTGCGCGTACTAAGTTATTGCGCGTACTCCTTTTCCCAATAATATTCAGACAGCGAGCGGGACGGCGACCCAGTGACTGGTGACATCGACATCATGAAGCCCTTTTTTTTTGGTATTCATAGGACGGCATGCAATTGACCGGGACTTCAAAGCTTGATGAAATTTGACAAGAGAGGAACAATCAAGAAAAGAGTAAATTAGTATAAAACCTTACGATAATAATAATGAATGATAAATGATGATGATGATGATGACATGTAATGATAACGCTAATGATAGTCATAATATGGTGATAATGATTATGGTAATAAAGGAAAAAGATCATCATCATTGCTTCTCATAATAAAAGTCATTATCAAAGACATTAAAAAAGATCATGTTACGATAGGAATCATTATAGAGATCATCACACAAACCACTATATAAATTATCATATAGTCAAGCAATATCCTTGATTCATCGCAAGAATCATATCAATTACTCCTTTCAGAACCTTATTTCCCTAAATTGCAACCATGCAAAAAAAAAAAAAAAGAAGAGTTCCCATTTTGGACATATAGATCTATTCCCGGAGAAAAGTACCCTGACTACAATTTTAAAACAATTTTTGTTGTTGGGGGGAGGAAGCAAATTAAGAAGAGGGGAGGGTTAATAATCGTATGACTGATAATGAGATTTTTATTATTCAGGATAAGGAAAGACGGTCGTATACTATATAAATAACTTTTATTGGATGGGAAATAATACAAATATCTAACTTTGACTAATATAACGTTGATGATAATTTACAAAAAAAAAAAAAAAAAAAAAAAAAAAAAAGTATATAAATAAACTAAACTAAAGTATACTAAACTAAACTACTTCATGAACCAGCATGATGATGTTTAAACCCCTAATTTGATAACCGTTGTTTCCACCCTTTCCAAAATGATTTTTGTCGAATAACTCGTTTATCAGAATAAAACGAGGGGTCGCCAGAAGTGTAGCCATGATGATGTTGATAATGTTGGTAGTGATGATCATTTAACGTGCGAACATCCTGTAAAGATTTTTGGTGAGCAAGTAATCCATGTATATCGCCACTGCTGGATGATGATAATGATGATAGTGATGATTGCGAGTTTATTGAGGATGCTGAAGATGACAGTGCCAGAGAGGATGGAGTTGAAGGAGGCATAGGAGAAGAAGGGGCCAATATAAATGTGGATCGAGGGGATGATGTTGTCGTTGCTACTGATGCTATTGTTGAGAAGGATGATGTTGATGATAATATTGATCCTGATGTTGGTAATGGTGGCAATCTCTCCTTTGGAGGCGGAGTCTGAGGAGGGGAATAGGGTCGTGAAGAAGGAGAAGATTTTGTGAGGGAGATCGACAAAGGAGTAGATTGATGTTGCCTATCGTGAAGTTGGACCCAATCAGATATTGATAATGTTGAAGAGGAAATTGTTGTCTCATAAGATGAAGTTGAGCAAGATGATGATGATGATACTGTTCGTGGATGATTTCTCTGTCGTCGACTTCCGCTTTCCATTTGTTGTTGTTGTTGTGTGATTACTGAATCGGATTGAAGCTGTTGTGTAAGTTGATTAATTTTTTTAAGCATGATTTCCCTTTCATCCGCCATTATATTCAACATTTCTTGTTTGTCTTCCAATTCCATACGTTGTATTTCCACTTGTGATTGTAACAAAAACGTTTGTTGTTGTTGATGATAAGAAGTAGACATGATTGAGGATGGTCGACTGGTACTGATTTCTACGGCGTTGATCAATTCCTCTTGATTTTTGACAATGGCATTTAATGATTTTGTATAAAGTCGTTCTTGTTCCAATTCACCCAAATACTTATTGATCATCCAATGAGTACCGATTTCACAGGCTGCTAATTGACTCTGAAGAGATTTGACTTGTTGTTGTTCTTGCATCTTGACAAAAAACTGATGATGATAATCGATCATCATATCATCATAATCTTCCTGATATTGCTTGTCTTCATTATGATCATCCATGTCAAACCAAAAGGGGGTAATTGGTGGCGTCAATGTTGAAGTCAATTTTTCATCCGAAATTTGTCGCTTTAATGTATCCCGTTCTAGTGTCACTTGTTCCAGTTGTTTCTTCAATGATTCTATTTTGCTATCGTTTTTAACACCAGTAGATACATCCGTGCGAGAGTAACGTCCATTAGAAAGTGGAGATCGTTCTGATCGATATGGTGATGCTGATGATGATAATGGTGATGGAGGTAATGATACTCTATTTAAACTACTAGTTCTTTCCTTGATGATAGATTTTTCGATATTGCTTGATCTTTTTGGTGTTGAAGTCGATTCGAATTTGTTTTTAATGGAGGAGATATCGGGTCTAGATCTTGATAATCGACTTGTTGGTTGTGGACAATTGTTTATAGCACTTTGTTGATTTAATGCAGCGATAACAGCTTGTACGCTACTCATGATGACAATATAAGTATCCGTATTATTTGAATTACAAAAAAAAAAAAAAAAAAAAAAAAAAAAAAGGGAAAGAAATGAAAGGTAAAAAAAAAAAAAAAAGGGAAGGAAGTTGTGTATCCATTCATTTTATATTCAAATATTTAATCTCAGCCAATTGACATGATTTACCTACTTGCTCAAAATAGATTGAGAAAATTGACGTTATGGATTAACATATGTAAACCAGTTTGAAGCCAAAAACGTGCATTGTTGGCGTTTCATTTTTTTTTTTTTGAAAGGAAATGACAATCATCATACAATTGAATGCATTTCATAAAAAATGATATGCATCAACCATCATTTTCTAATCATTACTGTAATAAATATTAATGTCAAAAATAATAACAATCTTTTTTTTTTAAGAAAACACTTAACGAGGAGATACATATAGGGATATTATTATTATTGTTTTCTTGATAGAGTATAATATTGATACAGGGAGTAATCAAGTATGTTTATATAGAATAATCAGGAGAAAAGGGAGTTTTGATCCATTATTATTATTATTATTATTATTATCACTTCATTTTCTCCTTATTCTTACTGTCATTCCCTTCACCACCCCCCATGAATTTTCTCATGTTGTCAAAAGAAATTAAAACCCAGTTCTATTTTTACCTGCTCTTTTTTTTTTTTTTTCCTTCCAAATCTTTTTGTTCTTTTTTTTTTGCCACTTTCTTTTTTTAAATGTCTTTTGATATCAATTGGAATAAATTAGATGATGAACTGGCTGGATATGTACTACAGTTTCTCAACCGTCATTTTCAAACCATCAATAAACCTGCATTTATAGGTGATATACACGTTACATCCTTTGACTGGGGAACAACTGCGCCTACAGTGGAAATCATTGATATTACAGACCCTTTCCCTGAATTCTATGAACCTGAAGAAACTGAAGATGACATGGATCAAGATACCCCTAAAAAACGAGAAGGTAATCTTCCAGTATCTGCCACAAATACAACACCAACTACAACATCCGCAACACCAGCACCAACCTCCACTTCCAATTTATCAACCATGTCATCAGCAACAGGTTTGCCCTTATCGTCATCTCCTACAAATACAAGTGATCCTTATTTTGACTCTTTAGAAACTTCAATCAAACATCATTACCCAGATCGACCTACTTACCCCTGGTCACAACAACAACGTATTCAACTTATGCATTCTTTTCATCGTTCCCCCTTGGTAGCACCTCAACATCCTTTCAACAATACCATGAATCCTTCCAATCGAAGTGCTAGCTATTTTTCACCCGGACCTACTTCACCAACGACAAGCAGTACTTATTTTGATCAACGATATACGACTTCTCAGGGGGATATTCAGGATTGGATTGATGATGAAGATAGAAGAATGAGTTCAGCAGCTGCACCAACATCAACGACAAACACAGGTACTCCACTAGTTCCACCATCTTCAGAAACACTACCTTCACAAAATCAACAACAAGATCCTTCTTCAACTCAAATGGACTTTCAATCTCATCTATTGATATCTTACAAAGGGGACATGAGTATGACCATTTTGACCGAACTACGTATGAACTATCCTAGCATGGTGTTTATGTCTTTACCAATTCAACTTTGTGTCCGTAGTGTGGAATTCGAAGCAACTGCTGTAGTAGCTTATATCCAAAGTATGAAACGTGTTTGTGTATCCATGTTGGAGGCAGATGATGAAGAAATCGTATCTATACGGGGAAAAAATGCTGTGGGTTTGGAAAGGTAAAAAAAAAAAAAAAAAAAAAAAAAAAAAAAAAAAGACAATAGCATAAGATTTTTACACTTATTTTCCTTTCGTTATTAGTTTGTTAAGGCAAGTACAAATCGAATCGGTTGTTGGTGATAAGCAAAAACATGGTATGATGAAAAGGGAATAAAAAAAAACAAATAAAAAAAATATTGATTACTCATGAGGAATGATTTTTTCTTTTAAATATTAGTATTGAAAAACGTTGGCAAGATTGAAAGATTTATTGTTGATCAATTACGTAAAATACTGGATGATGAACTTGTGTTCCCAAGTTATCAATGTGTGGAATTAGGATAATGTTTAGATTAGAATATCGTATTATAGTTAGAATAGTATGTAAATAGAATAGTGTAATGAAATCTAATAAATTTTTTGTTTTGATACTCTTTGAAAAAAAAAAAAAAAAAAAAAAAAAAAAAAAAGTTCATTTGTGATTCTATCGGGCAAAGCGTTAATACTTTATATATTACCTGTTATGGAATACAATTTAAGAACAATAAACCAAGTTATATGATAAAGTCCATTATGCTATCAAATGTAAGACGATGATCATTTTCATACAAAAACTTGTTGTCATGTTATCATTGACAATACAATAGGGAGAGGGTTCAAAGTAGTTTAAAAAGTGACTTTTAACTTTTATTATTTTTTTTTAAAAAAAAAGGAGTGGGTATGCAAAATTTGGATATGCTCTTTATCAAAGAATAGCTGTGATAGGGATTGTTGATGGAGGTTTATAATGATTCTTTTCTTCATGACAACTACGATGATTTCTCTCTGAAAAAGGTGTTGACCATAAAAGGAAGGGTGGAGTTTGTAATAGATTCAAAAGAGACCATTGGAACTGAAGAGTTGATGCCAAAGTAGGATTGATACATGTTTGAGATGATGATGATGAAGAGATGGTATCAGATGGAATAGATTTTGGTAATGATGGCATTGATGATGATATAGATGATGGTGAACAAGGTGATTCTATTGATGATGATGATGGTGTTACTGATGATCCTAATGACGATAATGATGAAGATGATGGTAAGGAGGATGTTGGTAATGGAGAAGGAGGTGGATAGTGTTGTTGCTGTGTAACCATCACGGAAGGACACTCCCAGTCAAATGGATCTGCAATAATAATAGTACGGCAGGCTGTTGTTGTTGTTGATGATGATGATCCATTGCTTAGCAAATCTTTTGCTTTGCGCATCGTATATTGAATTAATAGACGTTCTCGAATATGATAGTGATGTTTTTTTCTTCCATTATCACAATTTATCTTTTTCGTTGCTAGATTATATGCTTTGTTGGCGATTTGACGTGGTGAACGAGTTAAATATGAGTTCCCAATACGTTTATATTGTTGATGATTCATGATATGCAAAGTAAAAATAAATAAATATATGTTACAAAAAAGTTAGAAAAAAAAAAAAGAAAAGGATGAAAATAGAACTTTTTCATAAAGTTTTATTGTACTTTATATATGTCACCCACTGCGGATGGAATCGGAACAATGGCATATGAAATAGTACGGGCGAGGATGCCTGTTTTTCCTCATTGATCCGCTATATCCTATTACCCCACTGACGATGATGATGGTACTGATGATGGCCATTCTTTGTTCTTTGCATCCAAAAATAAATATATCTGTCAAGCAGTAAACTTTGATGATTGGGAGTAGATCATCGTTCTCACAAATAAGGTACGGGACGGTATTTAACGCCTTGTACCTGTCTTATCATTTTTTGCACTACGTATCAATGGATTTAATTTGCTATCAAATGTTGATCAAATGGTTGACTTTTTTTTTTTTTTTTGAAGAACGATTTCTTTTATTACTAGATTACTTTTTCCAAATTGAGATGATTCTTTTTTTTTTTTTTTTTTTTTTTTTTTTTTTTTTTTTACCAATGTGCATGAAAAAAATGACTGTATACTTTTGTAATATGCTCAAAAATCATCATCATTGCGCCAAATTTAGACTGAACATAGAGTCAATGTTTCTCTTTCAATTGCATTAATAATAGTTTACGCCTTACTTCTCAGTTTATAGAGTAAATTAAAAAATAAAAGTCAATTCAGTCATCCCTCATCTAATAATGATCATCATCCAATAAAATGACCGCCATTGGATTCCTCTCAAAAAAGTAAGCTAACATCATCTAATATTATTTTATAGCTTATCTTGCTACCTAATGTACAATTATCACTAAAAGGATTTTGTCAATTTTTTCGAAAATTGCCTGATGACCCCTCGACAATTTATTTCTACAGCTAAAATTTAGCTGAGGAGTTTGAAAGTTTTGGCTGTAAAAACAAAAAATAGATCTCTTTTTTTTTTTTTTTCTATCCTGCATACGGAGGTAGTCAATTTTGTCCTTTTTCTTTCTCGCTGATCATCAGCATACCAAGTTTGGATGGAATATAGAGTTCAATCTTTCTCTTTCTATTAGCCTAATGACAGCAAATAAATCACCCTTGCAGTTACAAAGCAAATTAAAAAAACGTGGATCCATTTTGCCATTCTTCTCCTAATAATGACCATCAGCATATCAAATTTAGAGTGAACATAAAATAAACCATTGTTTTTCATTTGGATTAATACTACTTTGTACCATGCCTTCCAATTTATAAAGTAAATTAAAAAAAAGGAAGTTAAAATAGTCATCCTGCGTCCAAAGTCATCATCATCCAATAAAAAAAAATATCATCCTTCGATTCCTCAAAAAAAAAAAAATAGTCTAATGTCAACTAGTCCCATTTTATCAGTTACCATGAGGGTTTTAGAGGATAATCAAACTAAAATGGTCATCATTATCAAACAAAGACGAGAAAAGGGACAAAACTTTAGTAGGAACACAAAAAAAAAAAAAAGGAAAAAAGAAAACTAAAGCGAAAGCACTAAATTGTTCTATTTGTATGATTCATATTAGATAAGAGCATCTGAAATCAAACTTAACATGTATAAATTGAGACTAAATCACTATTTTTTTTTTTTGTTTCCTTACTTGCTATGGTAAAGAACTTGCAGCAAAGGTCGTTCAAAAAAAAAAAAAGGGACCGCGCGTAGATCTTTTTGGCGTATGACATTTTGGGTGTTCTCGACCATTGTTGTCCAGTTGAGGATGTCAAACGGAGATCACAACTTTGATTGAAATTGTACTCTTTTTGGCAACTGCTAATGGAATTTTCAAAGCCAGTGTTCTGGTAACTTTTTTTTTATTATTGTCTTTTTATTTTTATTTTTTATGATTTCTTCTTTTCTTTCTTTCCTTTTTCCTTTTTTTATAATTTTTTTTTTCCTTTATCACTCTTATTATTTTTTTTTTTTGATTGTATCTGTCATGGTAATAGAAAGTGTACATACAATTCAGGATAATATTGCGTTGCTCTGCATATATACTAAAACTTTCTTATAATTTTTTTTACTGGATTCATCTTAGTCACAAAACGAAAAAGGACCCAAATGGAAAAACGAGGTGACTGTAAATCATAGTTTCGATTATGTAGATCTAGATGAATTCTATGATAGATCTTGTTCTACACGATTGGGATATTTGATGGTGTATGTTTTGGTAATCAAATCATTCTTAGTTTATGTTGCTGATTTTTGGTCTGCTGGTAAGTAATAAAAATAGGGCAAAGCCAATAATATCTGACATTGAATAGTTTACTTTTATAAACTCTCTTTTGATTGAATGAATTTCATATTTTTTTTTTTTTATTCCTCTTCCCTGAATAGTATCTTTGCTGGTACTTGGACAACAAAACTCAACCTTGGATTCAGCCATTCCGACTGAAGTATCAAAATGGATTTTCTTGGGTGCTATTATTATATCGTTTCTGTTACTCATATGGGATGTTTACAAATCAAAAAAGGTCATTGCTACTCGTGATATCGCTTATGCATTTACTTCAACCCTTGCTCGAAGATACCTTTCCTTACGTGACTATCGATGTTATTCTCTCTTCTCTCGTATCAACGAAACAACAAAACGAATCGATAGTTACGCCTTTTTTGTCTTTTTTACTTTGAAGGGCTGGAAACGACTTTTACTAGCTGAAGCTCCTCGTCAAATCATCAACATTGTCACTTTGAAAGCACTTGTGCCTCAATGGATTCAAATCAATAAAGGAACTCTCTCTTTGGACAACACTGCTCTTGGTCATAGCGTGATTCAACAACTTTTGACTATATCAATGGCCTTCTCTACTTTGGTATTCGCTATTTCCTTTACTTTGGTCTGTATTGCTGCTACCATGTATCTTCCACTCTTATGTCATATTCGAGGAAATCTGAAGGAATATGTCTGCCATAAGGTAGATAAAAGGTAAGTATTTCATTGTCTTTTTACCTTTTTTTTTTCTAAGGCTCTTTGGTTTTTTTGATAGAATCGCTGCATTACTTCAACAACAAGTCAGACGTCGTCAACTCGGTCTAGGAACTCGACGACGTGCTCACAAACCAACTGTTGGAAGATCAAAAACTTTAAACGGACAAAAACCTACTTTACCAAAAATCGACTTGGAAGAAGAATCAATACAAGGTACTCCATTTTTACCTTATCATCATCATCATCAACAACAACAACAACAACAATATCATTATCCATCACCCTATATGTCACACTCTCCTTATATTGGTTATTATGAAGATAGTGATCGGATAGGTTTGACTTCCAATTACAAGGTATAACACGGATTATAAAATGTGATGGTGTACAAAAAAAAAAAAAATGGAAACAAGCCCAAACAACAATAAAAGACAACAATATGACTTCCCATGACCCCAGTATGATGTTATTATAATCGATGCACAATTCAACAACAATGGAATCAATACCCACTCGCCACTGTTTAACTTTGGTGATAATGACGACCAAATCAACAACCGTATCTGCCAACATCGAACCTACCAAGCATTGGACTTCACCTTTTTGTGCGATCAATCAGTTCTCGTTGTGACTATAAGGACTTTAGTTTAGCTTGATGCGTTATATGGATATATAGATTAATCAATAAACAACTTTGTTATATATTATATATGGTATGTGGTGAGAAGACGATCTTAGTTAGTATACAAATGGACAAAATGATTGTATTTCGAAAAGAAAAAAAAAAAAAAGGAAAAAAAAATAACGGAGGTGCCTCATAGTGATAAAAATTATTATCTCATGATTAACTATGTTGTTTATTTGCTTGACCGAGTTCTCTTTATTATTATTATTATTATTATTTTTGTTTTCCTTTTATGTACAAGGTAGAATGCAGAATTTACAATGTAGTACAGCAAAAACGATTTCGTTCATCATGATCGTCGTATCACCATCATCATTTATAGTCATCATCATCCTTTTATTCGAATAAAAAACAATAAAATAAACAAACTAGATATATGTTTGCCCAAAAAAAAATGATGATATAATACATAAAAATGTATTGGGGGTAAAGGGGGAAAAAGACAGGTTCTATGGTACAATTTGTGCTGTTATGTATGCTATTGTAAAGTTTTTGAGGTGATATAGATAGGATTGTTTGAATCAAATTTCCATGGTTTCTTGATATTGATTGTCATTACCAGAACGCGCACCTAAACGTATATAAACGGCAAAAAGAAAAGAGAATATTTTCGATGGTGAGTGAATCATTCGATCATATCCTTTACAGTCATCTATTCTTACCATCCAATATAGCATTGACATAGATTTTCAAGAGAAGTGGCTTGTTGAATCAACTTGTCTACTTGAGTTGGAACATCCAAGGTTACCCTAGGGTTAAAATCACGACCTGTCAATTTGTTGGAGACTCTGTTCACTACTACTACAGCCTTAGAGTTCAGCATTTCAGGACCAGCCACATTTTCTACATCAAAAAAAAAAAAAAAAAGATGTAAGAATATATCCTATTTTATTCATTTCAATCTTCTTACCATTTGCCACAGCCTCCACTTCGATACGATTCAATCGTCTACTCACTGAGAAGTTTCGATGTCCATCTTCAGCCATATCTTCATTATTCAATCGATCCATGCCAAGCAGACGTTCATCTATTTAATCAACGCATAAATGATTAGTTATACTTTATCATACATGGCAAATTTCTTACCTCTGTTTTGTACTGGACTAGGATTTGTATTATTCAGTAAACGCCAATTGATCAATGGATCATAAACAAATGCTTCCAATACAGCCATCAGACTATCCTTGTTTTCCCTTAAGACGCGCATGACATGTTCACATGTAATTCTAAAGTTGCCTTCAATACCAGAAACTTCCATGGCCTTGACCAACATACGAGTCAAACGGAAAGGAATCTTTTCAGGGAATTTTTCACGATGCATGGCCACTTCAAAACAGTCGCCAAAATCAATATGGACTACCTTGCCAGTCACCCGATGAAGCATCAAATTGGATGGATGACGATCACCCAATCCCAAAATATAGCCAACCATAGACATCACAGCCAACGATCTAGTATAATTCGTACGTCTATCTAACCAAGCTTCTGAATTTCGACTCTTGAGCCAGAGAACCCAATAAAGATCTTGACCACCAGTTTTTTCGAATGCAAATTGAAATACTTCCACTTTTTGAATAACTGTAAGATTATCATAATCGGGTGCCATCTAATATTTTTATATTGTAAATTAAAAAGAAAAAAAAAATAGGTTAGTTAGATCATTCGATATCCTTTTTTTTTTTTTTTATTTATTATTACCTGGAGCATCAGTCGATGTTCAATGTTGAGTAAAATTTTCTTGCTGTCACGGTAATCACGGATCAATGTATGGAAAGTATCTGTATCAGCAAACCAGCCAATCAAACCAGAGTTAGGAGACAATGGTACAACAACACATCGTTCAATACTGAGATGACGTTTGAATGTTTCGGCATCATTCTTGAGTAAAGTGTTAACCAATCCAAAGAGTTGCATGACACGTTCATCTTGTCGTAGATCTTCATGTCCCTTGAGTAAATACATATAATCCTTGCCATCACTACCCACAATAGTCAATTTCCTTGGTCGTTGCTTGGACGCAATCACTGATAAACTAGGATTGAATTTGGCAATACGAATAATGGGTTCATTACTACGATAATATCCTGGTACACATAATTCCAAATTCCGGGCTTCCAATAGACGTGGTGAGATGTATTGTAATTCCAAACTTGTCAGTTGTGGTAATTGCCTTTGAATACGTTTAAACACTTGGTAATATAATTCCCATGCCTGATTCAGATTATTGAGATCTCTAGTTTCTTGATATCGATGACACCATTCTTGAGCTTCTTGTAAGTCACGTCCAAATGCCTGTACAAATGATTCTTCACGCATTGTTTCTGGTCCACGGTCTAGCATTTGATGAAGGGGTTCCAAAGTCGCAAACATGGCTTCCACATTTCGTTCGATAAAATGAAGTCGTGATGCTTCTTCAAGACCTTCGTGCCACATTTCATGCCAAAGTATAGCTACACGAATCAGTTCCTGACTAACCATCAAAGCCTAATCAATAGAAAACCAAAAAAAAAAAAAAAAAATGAGGATTTTCATATTCCTTTTTATATGTATATATTATATACCTGGTCCACCAAAGCAGCACTATGCATACGCATTCGATCAATAATAGCAAAAGTCGCTCTCTTTCTTGGAACACTTTGAGATTTGGATGCCACAGTAAGAGAATAGACAAGAGCTTGAGGATGTTCTCTACCAATATCAGTAAGTAATTGATGAATCAACAGCCGTACTGTAGCATTGGGAGCATGAATTCGGGCAATCAATTGAGGGATCACTTGAAGCCAAACATCAATACTAATGGTACCAAAACCTTCACTGATAGCAGTACTGACTTCCGCTTGATAACCATATTTGAACCATAGAGTAAGTAAACGTAAGGTATCTTGTAGTGAATTTTCTTTAGACAGAGCAATAGAACGGAAGAAACCTTGTACGGCAGGAACTACATGATGAGTAAAGACTTGAGGAGGTAATTGATCTTGATGAAGTTTTTCATGATAATCAATAATATTGAAATTCGCCAAAGCCCAAGCATGCCATGCCTTGTACCAGTTTTGATCAAATCTTGTAGCCAGTAAAAATGAGCGAAGGATATCAGGTATTGTTTCTTCAGTCAGTTCGTAAGACAGAGCACGTTGCCATTCACCTTGTCGTAAGTAACATCTTGCAAGTAATCGAGTATATTCTGCAACATCATCTGAGATTCGACTTGGATCAATTGGCATACTGACTGCCATTTCGTCAGGATTCAGTCCCAAATCTTGAGTTTTCTGAGCTGTAAAGTCACGAAGGATGCTAAGTGCCTGAGCTTGTCCATTTGCATTTTGATCTGAGGAATGCCACATATGTTTCAATTGAGCATAGACAATCTTGGGATGAGGAGAGTTTGTTCCTTGTTCACCATTATCCATTTCCATCAAACTTCGTAATGTTTTTTCAGATAAGGAGAATCGTCCACTCTTTCGACAGAGGTTTGCAAATTTGATCCACATTTCCATATCACCTTGAGGAGAGATCACCATAGCACGTACACGTAAAATTCGTTGCCATACTTCAACATTTCGTTCACATCCTTCCAATCGTTTCATCCATGTTCTTCGAATTACATTTTGCCGTTCAATGTCATTTGTCGATTGTTTGTAAATGATCATTTCTTCCAGTTCCGCTAGCATCTGTACTCGTACCACAATAGCATAAGCACGATTGTAACTTTCACCTAGTAAAGCAGTTAATTCTGTGTCTAATAAATCCCGAGTCTTGTTGATGAATTTTTCCGCTTCAGCATATCGATTTCGATGAATAGCAAGAATAGCTCGGAAAAACGTACGATCAGGGCCTTCAGTCTTGAGCAAAGCGATATATTCTTCCATTTGTTCAAAATGTCCTAAACCCCATGCAGCAGCAGCGGCAAATGGTGCCATATTCTTTCTATTTTCGGGAGGTGCATGAATCCATTTCTCTTGAGCCAAGGTAGCTAGTTGATCCCATTCACCAAGAGCATGTAAACATCGCATACGACCAAGAGTAATTTCCATTGAGTTGGGGTTTTCTTTTTGTTGAGCTTCGTAAGCATCCAATGCATCTTGATATCGATGAAGTTTTTCATACCATGATACCTTCCTTTCTAGTTTGAGAGAATCTTGCGCAAATGTCAATATACCCATGGCAGCATCCGGTTGTTGAAGTAAGTTGTTGATTGACATGAGCATTTCCACGGCTTCGAATGATTGTTCCAAATGAAATTCAGTTTCCTTGTAATGAAGAGCTTTAGCATAAGCATGACACTTTTGAGCATAGACAGCCAATGTTCGGATATCAATAGGAAGCATTTTGTTATCGTGTTCCATGAATTCGGCCAAATGTAGAAGGATTTGAATGATTTCTGGTGGAATGTTGGGAGCCTTGAGAGCTGTTTCCAGAGAACGGACAAGTTCTTCTTGATATTGATCATATAATTCATTCCAACATGACACGAAAGCAGCATTGAATAGTTCGCGTGCAAGAGGAGGATAATAGCCTGCCAAAAAAACACAAGCTCGTAGAGCATGAGATGGAGATTGCTTAAGAAGTTCCAAGCTGAGTCGTCGAATCCATTCCATCCAATCTTCTTTTGTAGACCGTTGTGAAGCTTCCCACGCCTTTTTCAAATGTTGTTGATTGACTGGTTGCTTCTTTGATGTACTTAAATCTGCAGACGGTGTTTCATCACCTTTGGTATCTCGATCATCTAGTGTCTTGCCTAACTCTTGTGGAAGATTTTCACCCTTGAGGAGTTTTCCAACCAATAATTCATAATTTGTATGTGTGATTCGATATTTCATTAAGACCTATGTATTAAATCAAAAAAAAAAAAGGAAAATGAGATTTTCTTCTGATACTATTGGATACTTTAGAATCGATTGTTTCCTTTTTTTTTTTTTTTTTTTTTTTTTTTTTTTTTTTTTTTACCTTATTCACCACAGGAATAAATTTAGCATAATCGGTCCCCAATTGGAAAACAAGAGCACAAAGTAAATCCATAGCAGAGTTTCTAGCGTCATTTGGTAGAACCGGTAATATGCGGGCCAAAGGATGTATGATACGAGAAGCATAATCAAACATATTGACCTTTTTGCATAAAGAAGTAATTGTGACCATAGCTTGTCGGCGAACAGCAATAGGAGCATCGGGTTTTTCAAAGAATTTGACAATGGCTGGTATAACAAGATGCATATATTCTTCAATATTGGCACCAAAAACAACGAATGCATGAAGGACACGAATAGTTGGTTGTCGTCTTTCAGAAAGATCACCATCAAAGATTTGTAACATATGAGGTAACAATCGAGGTAAATAAACCTTTAATTCACCATCCAAAGCCTTGGCAATAGATTCAATCAAAGAAATAATGGTAATTTGAATCGATGATTCAGGAGTCCAATATTCATCAATAAGGTCAAAGATATCCATGAGATAGTTTCGAACATGTTGTTTGACTATACCAACCAATTCACTAAGTTTGTGAAAGTAAGAACCCAACATATTTGGAGTACAAGATCGCATCAGAGATAAGAATCCAGGAATCACCAGTGGTAAGAATTGAACAACCTTGAGACCCAAAGTTTTGAATATAGACATAATGGCTTCAATGACTGGATAATGATGTTGGCTAAGTGATGGATCACGTAAAATCTTCATCAAAGAATGCATCACGACTTGAGGATAATAGTCTTCAGAAGAAGGTCCAACACCCATCATAAGTAGAGTGACATCATTACTTGCCAATTTGGGATCTACCAAGGCTTCACTAAACCCATCAACGGCATTCATCTAATTGAACAAAAAAAAAAAAAACGTTTATATTAAGTCTGAATTTCCTTATCGTATCCAACCTGTTTTTTTTTTTTTTTTCTTCTTTGTCTTACTTTGTGTCGATAAGGATCAAGAGCTCCAAGAATACCCATCAGTTTCACTGTTTCACGTCGAATGGCTACATTTTGTTCTGTCTTGAGAATGTTGATAAGGATACTTAGAAGGGCAGGATATTTGGTGTAAGGTTCAATGACAAAACCAGTATTGCTTGCAAGTTGACCTAAGGTTTTCAGAGCAGCATCACGTTTGGCACTTGAACTTTGATCTTGTAAGGTTTCCATAATCAAAGGCATCAGTTCATCCAAATGAGGAATCATGTCTTCTCCACTAACAGCAGCCAGTTCGCCCAAAGCACCCAAAACAGCAGATACTACACCAGGAGAAGCATCACGAGCTTTTGGTAATAATACTTTCAAGATTGGTTCAATATATGGTTTAGTTAGTCGTTGAGCAGCACTAACCAATAAAGAGACTAATCGAGCGGATTCTTCCTTGTGTCGACTCACCACAGAGTATTCCAATTCTGTCAGTAGTTGAATCAAAGTTTTCCTTAGAGATGGCATAACATAGGCAGGATTATATGTTGTCAGTCGTCCAATGATTGTAATGGCGATTTCACGAATAGAGAATACCTCATCATTGAGTGCTATAAAGAGAGATCGGACATTATCGGCTTGCGCAAGATGACGATCAAATTTTATATCCAAAGAAGAAAGTACTGTTTGTCGAATACCAGCATCAGGATCGGCTATACCAACAGTTAAAAGTTTTTCTAGTACTTCTCCAACAACTTTGATAGCATGAGCACTTGTTTGATTACAAATAGGATCCCGAACAAAAAGTTGACAACATGTCACAGCAGCAGCTTTACGGATTTCTGGCATATCATCGTCCAAGTAATTTACAATGCAATCACGTACAAATTCGTTGAGGATATGACTTGAGAAATCAAATGAACCTAGTGTTTTCAGAGCAAGTACAATAATATAGTTGTCTTTGGTGTCATTCACTGTGCCTTCACGAAGAGGCCGTTCAACTGTTTGGATGATGTTTCTATTTGTCGGTGCGCCAGGTTGTTTATATGGTTGTCCACTGAGAGTAACAGATATAACATTAAGCAGACGACCTAGTAAATAAAAAAAAAAAAGGATTAATATATTTGATATATGATTATAGTTATTCTGATGTTACCTTGAATGACATGTGATAATGGTTTAATTCGATCAGCAATATTGCTTAAAGCAGAAACCAAAGATTCAGATAATCCACAATTAAACATCAAATCCAAAAGATCGTGCATATATTTTGTAAGGGCTTGTCCAACCGCTGTGGCCAACATACTAATACAGACAAATATAGGAGCTTCGATTTCTTTTCTTTGACGACTAAAAAAAAAAAAAAAAAAAAAAAAAGCGCAATAAAGTAATGTTTAGCGACTTGCTTGTTAATATGTTCTACAATCTTCATTTTTTTTTAAAAAAAAAAAAAAAAAATAAAAATAGAAATAAAACAAGAACTTACCCTTTCACAGTCAATGTTTCCTTGATGCATAACAAAGTAGCATCCAAATAGGGACCTATATTACTTTTAACTTGTATAGCGATTTTTCCAATGGTAATGAATGCTGATAATAAACAAAGTAAGATTAATATTACATATAAATGTATATTCCTTTTTTTTTCACTCACCATCACGCTTGTCGCGATCTTTCTTTAATAAACTGAGAAGATGACTCATGGATTTTCGTAAATATAGTTCAGCAAAGGTAGTTGGGTCATAGCTTGCCAAGGTGGGTATAATAGCCACTACAGTTTTTCTAATCAAAAGATCTCTTGAATCCTTGAATCGAAGTGTAATATCACATACGTCTCTGTACATATCTGTCATAAACTATTTCAAATATATAATATATATATATATATATATATATATATATATATATATATATCATGAGATTATTTTTCTATTTTTTTAATTTTTTAATTTTTTTTTTTTGTTACTTACCATGCCTGCATGTAATAATAATTCGCGCATCACCAATAAACTTCCATGGATTGTTTCAGCACTACCATTGCGTAGTCCACGATTAACTTCTTCCCAAATACGAGCATACCATGTTCGACGTAAGGGAGTTTCACGTTGTTGTACAATTTCCAAACATTGACTTAAACAATCAGCAGCATTTTCCCGAATGATAGGTCTTGAATCACGTAAAGCCAACCAGACTAATTCCAAAATACGAGGGACATAGGCATATATAAGAGTTGGGGCATTGATAGCAAGTTCACGGAGTACCAGAACAGCAGCTAAACGACTTCGGTCTCCTTGTAACCATTCTAAAGCATGTTCTACTTGCGTGTCGACAAAATCTGCTGTAAAAGTTGAAGAACTAATGGCAAGTCGACCTAATGCACGAGCAGCTGGTATCATCACCAAAGGATCATTATATGGTAACATCAAACTAAGATAACTATTGTATCGACTTGAATTTCCTTCAGGTTCCAAGTCTATCAGACGATCTATTGTTGTTGGCAATACATAAAGTTTAGAGAGAGAGAAAGATATTTTTCGTTTCGTTTCTTTTCTTTTCTTTTCTTTTTTTTTTTTTTTTACCTATGGCTATGATGGCACCTAATTTTTCATGATTGTCACTACCATGAGCTAATTCAAATATACGTTTGTTGACATCATTGGTTAATCGTATGAGGTTCTCGTCAGAGAGTTCTCTAGAGGCAGTGGCGACCTAATTTTGAAGAAAAAAAACATAAAAAAATAAGTTAATCTTTTCTATATTTTGAAACAATCCAATGTTTTCTCCCAATCAATACCGTTTCACGTAATTCATCAGCAGCTTTTATTCTTCGTTCTTCATGTCTATTGATTCATAGATAAAATGTTATTTAAAAAAAGTCAAAGTATAAGAAAATCAAGTTGTTATATCAACTATTAGTTTTTTTTTTTTTTTTGTTCTTTTGAAACACTTACTTTGATTTCAAGTCACTGAAGATTCTTGTAAGGTTCTCCTGACTGTTCAACATAGCCACATGTGCCATGATGATATATATATGTCAGAGAGGAGTGTAAACAGTAGTAATAGTAATATAAATGTAAAAAAAAAAAAAAAAAAAAAGAGAGAGAGAGAAAGGGAAGTGATTAAAACGAAGAAGGAAAAAAGAAAAAAAAAAGCGAAAGGCGAAAGGAAAACAGCTCCTTTTCCTGCGCTAACAAATACAGAATTTCCGCGGTATTTGAAAATAATCAAACATGACGTGCCTGACCTACGTGAAGATAAAGAGATGAGAGATCTTTGCTGATAAAAACGAACCAATCCTATTCTTTTTTACCATTCAAGGTAAATCACAAAACAAAGTAATCGATAAAATCTATATAGTTTGTGAAAGATAAACAGATCATGAGTCAATATTTAAAGAACTCTGGTGACATGATTGACATTTTGTTTCTTGAAGAGTTGACGTTTCGTTTGAAACTCAGTTTATAGAAAGAGATCAAAAAGTATGTCATTACGCGTGAGAGGTCTACTTTCAAAAGATGAAAAAGAAAAAGCCTAACGTAGTACAATAGGTAAGGCCACAAAGGGGGGAGAAAAACAACTCTTCTAAAAGCTGTGTCACCAATTGTTAGAACAAGCCAAAAATATAGGTAGAGAGAAAAAAAAACCTTTTTTTTTAATAAGATAAAAGGGGAAAAAAATCCCGGTAGTCTAATTTTTTTTTTCTTTTTCCTTTTTCTCCTTTTTTTTTTTTTTTTTTTTCCTCTTGTTGAAAGTTATGGATTATAATCAAACACAATATCAACCTTCGTATACTACAAATGACTGGCCTATATGGAACAATGAACAGCTTCATGACGACAATAGTTTTATGAATAGTTCTACATCAACAGGTATGATGAATACAACTTACCAATTAACACAACAGCAACAACAACAACAGCAATATAATTCGGACTTTCAACAACAAACTACACAGCCTCAACACCAATATGAACAACTACAGCAACAACAACAACAACAACAACAACAAGAACAACAATATCAAGAAGGTCATCCTTTATATCCTTCTTCTTCAACTCTTGATAATTCCACTATGCATAATGTAAGTCAGGACTTGTCAGACGCAGTATCTCGTTTAGAACTTCAACATCCTTCGTTAATACCTACTGCATCACCAAAAAGAAACCTTCGTCTTAGTATGGATATTCAACCTTGTATTTCGATTACTGAGCCTACGCCCGTACAACCATCACGACGTCATTTTATGCTAGATTCATCTGTTCCAACTCCACCAGTTCCATCTCTTCCACAGCAGCATAATAATATTGGCACTTCACCAGAATTGACAATGGTTGATGAATTCATAGCGCAACATGTGGCACAGTTAGAACAACAAAAACAGCATTTCTCAATCAACAACACCAGTACCACCACCACTACCACTGCGACTACTGCTGCCAATATTTCATCGACAACAATTATTTCGAATTCTCATGATGATATGCTTCCTATACATCAAGATATATCTATTGATAACAGTATGCTTTCACTGGATCAACACTCAATTGGCCCTGATTGGCTTAGTTGGACACCTAATCGTGGAAATTCCCCTGTGACAAGTGAATTTGAACTTGATATGATGATGCAACCTACTACAACAACAACTGCTACAGCAAATACAATGCCATTCAATTGTTACACCACTGATGCTCTTTTATCTTTTACAAATGATTTTCATTTCAACAATGATGATCATGATGTTAGCAAAATCGACACGAATAGACTCAACACTGGAATAACACGACCTAGACGAGTTTCGGAACCACCACGAATCAGCAATCCACTGGAATTATTTGATCCATTAGACTCACCATTGAACCTCATACCTTCCAGACCCGGTAGTGCATTTGACTTCAATACAACTTCCAACGTGAATTCAGCATCGCCATCTCCTACTTTGAGTGCTAAGAGCGTTACAGAACCATCATCATCACCTCGACCTATGCGACGCAGTAACAGTGATCGTCGAAGTAGCCGTGGATCAGCTTCCTTTCCATGTCAACATCCTGGCTGTCAAAAGGTGTTTACAAGACATTACAACTTGACTTCCCACATGAGAACACATACTGCCGAACGACCTTTTGCTTGCACTACTTGTCAACGACGATTCGCACGACAACATGACAGGAATCGACATGAAAAATTACATTGGGGAATCAAACCTTTTTCTTGTGGAAATTGTCAGAAGTCATTTGCTCGGATGGATGCTTTGAATCGTCATTTGCGAATGGAAAATGGATGTGGGACTGTGACAAGCAATACGACCAATCAAGCTAATGATGACGGTGAATAATCTCTTTACTTTTTGGCCTCACTTCTCTATATTCTTCTATATTCTTCATTATCATTATTTTGTATATTATTATCATTTAGTTAGTTAGTTAGTTAGTACTACCTGTATACATTTTATTCATTAATAAATAATTTTCAAAAAAAAAAGGATGTTGCAAAAACAGGAAATAAAATATCGTAAGGATAGAAAATAGGTGACAGAACAAAAAAAAAAAAAAAGAGTTGACGCATAATCCAAATTGAATACAAGAAGAAAAAGAAAAGGAATGGCAGTAGTTCCATTGTGTATAAGAGATTTTGAATAACAGAAATATATATCTATATATATTTAGTCAACATATCCATTTTTTTTTTATTATGCTTATTTTAACTAGTACTGCATCATCATCAACAATCATCAATCAATGTGTTTTGACATATTCTAGAGCAATATCTAAAAAAGTGGTAACGCAACATCCATTTTGAGAGACTGATATTTTATTTTGTAACATCACGAAATAACCTACAAAATCAATCATGACCAATAAAATATAACATTCACATGAATGATTTATTTTTTTTAGAAAAAAATCAAGTAATCTCTTGTTATAAAGAATCAAGTAAAGAATAATAATCACTATCTATCCTATGACTAACTACATCCTTCATCATTCCTATACAATCATCCAGCTCATTCATCTGCTCTTGATAATCTGTAGGAGATACTTGATTTTTCAATTGTTCTAGATGAACTTTTGCATTCTGTAATTGTTCTAAACAGTTATCTAAACCAAGAGTAAAATTGAAAAAAAGGTAAGCATTAACAAATAGCCTTTCATCATACAATCAAAAAAAAAAAAAAAAAAAAAAAAAAAAAAAAAAAAACTTACCAATATGCTTTAGGTTTGATTGATTCTTTTCCAAATTCAATAAGGATGCCTCCACAGGTGCTAGATAAACCCGCTTGATTCATTATACATAGATAAATAAGAATAAATAGCAAAACATATTAGAATAAGAAATGATTGCCTTTCCCGTATTTGTTACCTTCCAATCAAATAACGCAGAGCTTGTTGTTAATAATGATGATGGTGATGTACTATGAGTTTGTGAATTGGAGTGTGGTCGCTTCGATCTTTGATATGTTTGCTTGACTGTTTTCAATTGATCCTACAAAACCCAAAAGATAAGTATGTCATCCATCAATATTTATCCGCAATATCAATCTTTTTTTTTTTTTTTTTTTTTTTTTTGGATAACTTACGCGAATCGTCGATGTCTGCCATTGTATGGTCTTTTCTATTTGAATGGCTAACCATTCCCATTGAAGATACCTTGCATAAAGTTTGGTCAATAAATCATTTTCTTGCCATCGCCTTTGGTTTTCCACTTGATTGTAGACTTCTAGCAAAGAGAGGGATGCCTGCCAATTGAAATATAAAAATAATAAATATAATAAATCGCAATATTCCATTTTTTTTTTCTTTTTGGTATACTTGTAATTCTGCATGTCTATCATGATGATGCGATGGAGAGCTTTTGTTGTGTATATTAGAAGTCATATCTTTACTATTGTTTCTTAATATCACGCGAGGAGGTGTTCGATGTTGTAGAGAAGCTGCTGTTGGTAACAAGTAATGGGTGGAAGGGACGATAGAGCTGCGTCGTTTTTTTCGTTGGATTTGGTGTTGTTTGTCTTTTGAAAGAGTAACAGTTGATAAAGTACTTTGGCTAGTTGGTGAGTCACGTTGTCTCCGTTCATTTCTTCTATTGTTAAAACCACGAAAGCTTGGGGAAGAAGCTATGTAATAACTGGAAGATGGTGTAGATGATCGTCTTCTATTATATACAAAGTAAGATTATTACATAATAATAATAATAATAATAAACAGTAAATACTAATTTTTCACTTATGAGATTGGTTTCATAGTAGTTCACCTTGAACGGTCAATATCTGATTTATCATTCATTTTAGTTGGTTGAAAAGGAAAAAGAGAATAATGAAATAAAAAGGTACGCATTGGCATTGATTTCATACTCCCCGCTTTTTTGAGGTCACAAGTGTGGCTTCTTTTTTTTTTTTTTCCCTCTGACCCCTTCCGAAAAAAAAAAAAAAAAAAAAAAAAAACTCCTCTTTCTTTTTCTCTTCTTCTTTAACTATAATTTAAAATATCATGTATCGATCTTTGACACGACTACAACGGAGTAGCAATGTCACACTTTCAAAGATCGTTCGTCAACCTTCTTATCATATGAAACTTGGTAAGTCCTACATTGAAATCCAACATAATTATATTTAACCTTATTTGACATGCTTTCTTTTCTTTATATAGTTCCACGTTACTCAACCACTTCAACTTCTACAACCACCAAACCAACTGGATCCAACTACGCCAATGAATTCATTCGAGTTAGTCATCCTACTACAACTCTTAGTGTCTATAATGATCGTTTGACTGCAGCTTTACGGAAACGTTCTCATCAACAAGGGTTGGAACAAGTGCAAGCGATCGTTCAAGAAATGAAAGATCAAAATATTAAGTTCGATGCTCTCACCTACAACTCATTATTGCTTGCCTATACCCGTGCAAAACAACAAGACACCGCTATGGATACTTTAAATGAAATGACAGAGAAGGGTTTCAAGCCTACCGTTGAAAGCTACAATATTGTGTTACAGGTAAAAAAAAAAAAAATAAAAATAAAAACAATATAAAAAGTGATTAAAATCTAAACTTTTCTTTTCGATTACAATAGTCTTTAGCCAATAAAACCAATGCATCAAAACAAAACAAAGTAATCGCTATGATGGAAGAACAACAAGTACCTTTGACAGCTATCTCCTATCAACATTTGATTCAAGGCATGTTATCAAGGAACAATCTTGACTTGATCATGGGTACTTTGGAAACTATGAAGGAACGTGATATTGAACCAACCTTATTATCATATAATTATGCCATTGGTTGTTGCCTTTATGTGAATGGACCTGATACTGCCTTTAGTTTGATGAAAGAAGCTGAAGAGAAAAATTTAGCTTTGGAAACTGAACCCCGGCTCTTGATGGATGTTTTACGTGTCAATGCTTTGAATGACAAGGTAAAAAAAAAAAAAATGAATTGATGAAATAATATTTTTTTTTAAAAAAAAAATCTTTGACTATTTGGACTCTAGTTGGAGGAAACACAATACTGCTGGAACAAAGTTGTGCTTGAACATGGTATTCGACCCGATGAAGGTACTTGCTTACAGGTGTTACGCGTGGCGGCCAATTCTGGAGAAAGCAAATTAGCAACTGAGGTGATTCGACAACTTAGCAACAATGGATATCCTTATAAAGAACATTACTTTATCCCTCTGATGGAAGCATTTGTGGTTAAGGATGATTTGAAGAGTGCCTTCAACGTATTGGATATCATGCGTGTATCAGGTGTGATTCCCACTATGAGATCTACTTTGGCGATCAGCAACAAGATTAGTAGAGATGTTGAATCTGTTGACAAGGCATACTATTTATTGGAAGAAATGAAAAAGGAAGGCAAAACGGTAGATGTGACGGCATTTAATATTGTAATTGCAGCATGTGGATTGGCAAAGGATATTGGACGTACTGTGGCAACCTATCGGGAAGCTAGTAATTTAGGTGTTGTACCAGATGTTGATACTTTCAATGCTGTATTAGAAGCCTGTATTCAAACTGAAATGAAAGGAATGGGACAAATTGTGATAGAAGAACTCAAGAAGGCCAAGGTGACTCCTAACGTGGAAACGTTTAGTAAAATGATAACTTTAGCTTGTACTCAACCAAATTATGAAGATGCTTTTGTGTACTTGGAAGAAATGAAATCTCATGGTATAATTCCTCCTCGACAATGTTATGTAGTTTTGGCCAAGAAGCTTGCTTGGGAACGTGATCCAAGGTACCATATTGCTCTGGAAGAAATGGAAACTTATGGTTATAGACCGGGAACTTATGTCAAGTCTTTATGGAAATGATTAATAAACTCCTTAGATTAGATTATATATATAAATATATATTGTTTCACTTGTAATTTTTTTTTATATATTTCTTGAATAAATAAAAGTAAAAAGATAAAAAGATAAAAAAAAAAAAAAAACTATTTTTATATATATTAGTTTGAATTTGTCTCACATCATTAAGCTGTCATTCAAGTATTTATTAAGCAAAGATCGAATGATCTTTATCCGAAACAGTTTGATATAAAGTTTTGATTCCTTTGTCTCCCCTTCTCCTTATAATACATATATTAACCCCTAATATGTTCTTTTTCATTGTTTCTTAAGGTTGTAAGAAGAGGAGTGACCAAGGGAAAGGGAAGGCGGAGTTGAAATGGTGAACACTATAAATGACAAGAAAACTATTTTTGTTTCTTTTCCCCTTTTTCTTAAAAAAACCATTCACTTGGTTTTTGCTCTTTTTGGCAGGGCGACTAAAATATAGATTCTTTACCACTTTTTTTTCTTTTCTTTACTCCTCTTTTTTTTTTCTTTTTACTCATTATCTTAAAACACTTGTTTTTATTCTTTCCCCTTCTTTTATACCTATTCTTTCTCCCTAAAAGTCTTTTTTTTCCATTGTAAGACTTTATATACTCCCTTGTCTTTGTGTATACCCTTCAAACTCATCCATACATTCATTCCCTCATTCTCTCTATCTCTCTCTCTTTTCCTCTGGTTTTTCTTTTTTCTTTCTATTCTTCTTCTTCTTCTTCTCTCTCTCTTTCTTTTTTTTCTTTTTCTTCACCCCTTACTTGATAGTTGTGATACCCTTTTTTTTTCCCTTTTCTTTATCAATATACTTTTCTTCTTTCCTTCCTCTTTCCTTCCTTCCTTATACCTATATTTTTATTATTATTATTATTATTATCCTGTATATATTCCAAACTTCAAGTTACAATGAACAAATTATTACTAGGGTCTTCTGTTGATTATTATCCCAACATGTATTCAGGTAAACTCTATATATGTTACTAGTTTTCATTTTAATATATATATTTTTTTCTTTAACCTTTTTGACAGATCCTTGTTTTTACACTACACAACAATCATTCCCTTTACCCAATAGTCCAGAATCATTTTCATCCAACAGAACACCTATCCCATTATCTCCATCAACAGCAATGTGTTCTATGGATACACCACCTGTTCTTCTCGCATCTTCCTCTACAACTACAACAACGTCAAGTACTACTGCTGACTCTTCTTCCGCTCAACTACTAAATGATATCATCAAATCTAGTGAACCAACCACATTTTACTCAGAATTTCAAACTACTACAAACCCACAACAGCAAAATCAACAATTTCATCAGCATCATCAGCATCCAATCAATCATCAAGAGCATCAACAACAGCATCATAAACAGCATCATCAACAAAATGATCATCAGCAAAATCAACAACAACCGCAGCAACATCAAAGAAAAAAACAGAGACGTCAAGCATCCATTTCATCTTCAACATCAAAAACACTTGATACTTCTACAGCATTGACTTCTCCTTGGTCTCTGACTTCAGCATCTCCCTCTTTAACAGCATCACCAGCAACTTCTCTCACCAATTCATCAATGCTACCCTATGAAGAACTACCAGCATCTACTTCCGCCGTTGGTTTTACCACAACTCCACATTTATCTCAAGAAAAAGATCATGAGCTGGATTCATCATCTTCACCATCCTCTCCTCCAGGTACCTCTTCTACTACCAATAACGACAACAATGAAAAATCCAATAACAATACATCCGAACTTCGGCGTCAAATCCATATACAAAGCGAACAAAAACGAAGGGCACAAATTAAATGTGGTTTTGAAGAATTGCGCAATGAATTACCTACATGTTTGAATAAGAAAATGAGTAAAGTGGCCTTATTACATCGAAGTAAGTTTTTTTTTTTTTTTTTTTTTTTTTTTTTTTTTTTTTTTTTTTTTTTTTTTTTTAAGAAAACAAGTCGATATCAAATCATTCATTGATTATTATTTTTTTTTTAAATCAGCTGTGCAACATATTCAACATTTAAAATCAACTCAAATGACCATTTTGGCTGAATTGGAACGACTGGTACAAGAAAACGAACAACTCAAACGATTTCAACAATCAGTTTTACAAAAACAAGTCATGGAAAATATGTACCCAATACAATAGTCTCTTCCTCCTCTTTTTTTTTTTTTTTTTTTTTTTTTTAGTCTCCTCCAATCTGTTTCCTATTTTATATCCTTGATTGTCCATTGCACCTTACATTTTCCCCCTTATTAGTTTCTTTTTTTTTTTTATCTCTCTCATCTTTCTTTTTATTATCCTCTCTTCTCCCTTTTCATTTCTTTTTTTCTTTTCTTTATATAGTTTCTTCAATATCACCTAGTATTATTCTCCTCCTTCTCTTTTATTGGTATGCTCGCTTTAGGATCGCAAGCTACCTTCAATAAACAATGATTTTGACTTTTACCTTTTTTGATATTGTTCTTTCAATGATTTGACTTGTCATTTACTATTTTCAAGTGAGAGAATTAAACTTTGTCGATCACGATACAAAAAATCATCCGATGATCATCCCTAATCATCATCATTTATATGATCATCCAGAGATCATCATTCCAATCGTCAGCCTCTTTCTTCAATGCGTATGTGACAAATGGACATAACCAAATTAAGTAAATTGAATATTTATTTATTGAGATATATACAAAAAAAGAAAAAAAAATGATCAATCCAATCAAGACAAATAATTACAATATAGATAGGAATACTAACTAACTAAAAGAAGAAGAAAAAAAAAAAAAAAGAGTACAAACTAAATAACTAAATTACCATTTGAATTCGTCATTTTGTCATTTTCTGATTTGCTGTTGTTCGACGTTGTATCATCCTCCAATGGCTGCTGGTGTTCCAAACTGGCGTTTTGAAGTCCACATCCAATGGCATCATCTAATAATTGTTGTTGATCCATTTGTTCTTGCATGTTGAGTTCACTATTGTTGGTCGCTTCATTGTCTGCATCTTGACCAATTCTATTGTCCACAGTAACGACATCACCATCAACAAGATCACTAGCTTCTTCTTCTTCTTCTTCTTCATCACCATTAAGTTTCAACAGACGAGATCGGGTAGATGACCAAAAGGATGCCAACCAAGAAGAGTTGCTACATGATTGTTGGAATTGTCGTCGTAGGTAATCAGGATGTTGAAGTTGAGAAGTTGAAGGATCACGTCGTCGACTGACAAGTGCAGGTGTATGATTGGTATATAAACGGTTGTTCACCCAATAGAAACCTTGACCATCACGTCTTATCTGTACAAAGGCGACACCAGTACGATGTATATATTGATCATACTTGTAAGGACATTTGATATATGGATAAGTCACTTGCACACCTTCATTGATTCTTGCACGTTCAAATTGAGCATCTGCTTCCACATCCAATACAAAACCCAAGTGTCTAACAAGTGCGATTTCGTAAAATTGATCAGGTACATCGTAAGAGCAAACTGACTTGAGATCATCAATAGGAGGAGGAGGTAATGCCAATGGGATAGGTACAGGACATTGGAATGGATTATTGTTTTCAGAATCATCATAAGCTTGCTCCACTGACCCTTCAACCACTTTGAGTCCACATCGATCTGCTTGTAAACTCCAGCTTCGTAACAATTCTTGCACCAGTTGCGCCGTACATCCAAGCCAATTGAGTTGAAAATGATAACAATTGTTCGGATTGTGAATGGTATCATAATGAAGGATGGCTGTTTCACGACGATCGCTTTTCTTATAAGGGTCCACATCAATGATCATAGATCTTGCCATTTCAAATTCAGTTGTTGGTTTATCATGTCGTTGTTGTAGATTTGATCGTGTTTCATCAATGTCTTTCGTATCTGATCCATCATGATCATCCTTACTACCGCCGTTCCCACTAATGATATTGTTCAATGATGATATAGATGAAGCTGCCGTATTGTTGTTGCTGTTATTGTTGCTATCATGACTAGTGTTGCTTGCTTTTCGATGAGAGGTTGTCAAGAACCAAGATCGCTGATGACCAGGAGCAAATTCTTCATGGAATTGATAAAAATAATGACCATCCAAAAACCCATGTCTATTCGAAGAAGATACAAATAAAGGAGGTGATCTTTTCATCAAAGCATTCCCAAATGCAACCGCATCTTCCCTTGAATTGATATCATCAAAATGTCCAATAAGCCAATCCACACATTCGGAACCAATAAATGCCCCACGGAATACTTTGAAATGCCATCGTCGATCCATAATCTTGACACCAGTTTTTGGATCACGCATTGCATTAGCAATATCTTTTGACTTGGAATCACGAGATAAGCTAAGAGATTGACCAGCCAAATTGCCAATAGAGGAAAATAAAGTACTGTTGTTATTGTTGTTATATCCGCTACCCGTACCTTGTTGTTGCTGTTGTTGTTGTTGTTGTTGTTGTTGTTGTTGTTGTTGATGTTGTTGTTGCTGTTGTAGTTGCTGTGATTCCCCTGATTTTGAAGCCTCAACAGAAACATAAGCAGATGGATCCATAGTAGTGACTTTGAGTCCAAAATCATAGCCAATTTCTTTCTTTTTACGCCGTTGCATCTCTTCTCTCTCGCTTGGTGAGAGCCATTTTGCTTTTCGAAGATTTTGAAGCCATGTATCAAATAATGCCAATCGTTTTTCTTCTTCGTTGAGATGATCTTGAGTTGTTCCAGCAATAAAAGGTGCATTGACAGGTAGTTGTTCCCTGGGAATCACAATAAATCTTGCACGCCAAAACCGTAGATTATCCGTCAATTCTTCTTGATATCCAGCTACCAGATGATCCAAGTAATTCCAAGCATAAAGTAAACTAGGATAGTTGAAGGTCACTGATTTACTTCTATAACCAGATATATTCTTTGGCCAAATTGCGCACTTGTATCCCATCTTCTCATCATCAAAATCAATCAATCGTACATAGCGACGTACTTCCACATTTTGTCCCGAAGAATCAAAGGTAAGCTGATGTACTTGATGTCCCATTGATAGCCACCATACCATATGTTTCCATCTCATCTTGTCGCCATCATCTTGAGTACCACCAATACCAGTTGTGATATTAGTGCTTGTCTGTCCAAGTGTTGTAGAAAGACCAGAAGTAGGTGGAAAACCAGTAGTCGAGGATCCAATTGTCATTGCGTTTTTGTTATGTATAATGGATGACGTTTTATTCAAAGAAGGTGTATGATGCTTTTGAGTAGTTGCTGCTTTTGAGAATGCATTACTGATGCCACCTGTTGCCGGAGGTCTTGAATCCTTATTGCTGAACATACTATTGCTGAAATTGCTGGCGAAAGTACTACCGGGGGATTCATTGGATACTGGATTGACCACTTTGCTTGCTACCGCTGCCGCTGTTGTCATGGATTTTTGGTAATTGGAACTGCCAGTGATGTCTACAATGATTTGAAAACCTTGAGCCAAACGTTGACTAATCATTTCAGTAAGTAAGATTTCTGTTTTTTTGAGTTCAGATAGGTTCCGATCGCCTGCTTGATACAAGTTGACATCTTCACTTGCTGACACTGTATACATATAATGATTATAAAGTAGTTTCAATTCTTCATTGGAGGGAAAGTAATCCGTTGTCAAAGGTAAACATGCAGGTGTTGCCAAAGATTTCCAATAAACCACAGGACCATCATAACTATCGTGCTTAGGAAGAGCATGTTGCCAACGCCGTAAATGAGAGGTAAAAAGAACAGCATGTTCGGATGGATTACAAGGATTGACAGTAGTTTGTTTTGCTGATGATCGACTACCCCACCCATGTGAAGGAGAAGATCGATTGGCACCAGTACCACCAGTACCACCACCACCACCAAAGCTAGTACGAATAACATCACTATTTCCAGAATGTTTGTGAATAGAAGGAAGGCTACCGGATACGATGGTTTGACGAGGAGAATGATTGTTTGACTTTCTTGAATCTGTACGTCCTCCAAATCCTCCTCTATTGTTGTTGATAGGCATAGGATCCACTGTACTTGAACTAATCAGGACGGAATCATCATCATCACCAGTATTGCCGCTACTCATTGTGCTGAATTTGCTTCCATTTTTGATAATATTGTTATTATTGTTATTATTGTTATTTTTGTTGTTGTTAGAACTAGTGGTATCGCTTGCTACTGTTTGAGATGTCATCACCTTTGCTTCGTTATTATTCAACGTATTTCGTCTTGTTGGTCGATGTCGAGAATCATCGATAGTAGTGCTATTGCCGCCACTATTTGGTCTATGATGAGTAGGTGAGCTTTTGAATAGGTCAGATATCTTGGTGGTGCTACTATCATCCTTTCGTACATTATCATCAAATGTGATTTTGTTGCTAGTCTGTTGAGATTGTGATAAGATGGAAGTAATACGTCTTTGATCATTATTGTGATGCCAAGTCTAAAAAAAAAAAAAAAAAAAAAAAAAAAAAAAAAAAAAAAAATTAGCTATTACAACCTTCTTTTTCATTTATATAATTTATACTTACCGAAGTTGCATGTTTCATGATATTGGTTCGTGTATAATCACTTTCTGGACCATCCATAGAATTTTTCGAGATTCCACTCTTGTTTCCACTGCTTGCAATTTTGGAAGATTGTACAACAGCGCGTTTGCTGAAGCGAGGTTCTAGGGTATCCTTAAACACCAAACTGTCATATTGGTCTACATCGATAGTACAACCATCCGAGTTTTCATTTAGTTGTTGTTGTTGTTGTTGTTGTTGCTGAGTTGTATCATTTTGTCCATAATATGATGATCGTCGAGTCATTGTGAAATTGGCTGATCTAGATAAATAATTGTCATCATTTCCAAGAGAACTTTTCTGTGGAGTTAATGGTCCGCCGTCATCTGTCTTTAGTGATGCCCTTTCGTTCAAACTGCCGCTACTCTTTTGTGATCGAAGTGTTTTTTCCCTAGTAGATATCGAAGACCGTTGTTGTAATAATCGTTGTTGTTCATCCGCTAAGTAAGGTACATGTACACTTGCAATATCACTTTCCATAATACCCATCATTTGAATTTCATACATTTTACACCGTGTTTTGAATTTGTCTTGTTTAAGGAATCGACCAGTTTCATGATGATAAAAGCTACAATCAATCCAATGAGGAACAGAGTAATACCATTGACTGGGAGCCATTTTGTCATCGTGATAGAGAGGATCTTGATAACCAGAAGCAATCATACTTGCTGTAGGACCAAAATTAGTTATCTTCATATCAGGTGAATTTGTAGTAGGTTTCGAATGTCTTGATGATAATGGTGGTGGAGCAGGACCGTCGTGCCAATCATCAGGAGGAGGAGCAGATGCATATCGTAAAAGAGGTGTGATATGTAGAGGAAGTCTCGATAAACATACCAAATCCATAGCAATACCATTGTCAGTCATACGTTCATTAGTGAGACGAAGTAACTTCTTATTTACAGTAAATTTTCCAGCACCAGGAGTGACTAAAATAATAGATAAACCAGTTCGCATCAAATCACGATCCACGAAGTGACGATCAAAAGGATTCAAGGCCAAATTGACAGACTCAAGAATGTTTCCTTCGAATGCCATTGCAATTTGACCATTCACAGTAGTGATACCATTATCTGTTCTTGTTAGTACATTTTGTTGAAACTGTAGTTGTTCTTCTTTAAGTGGCCCAATAATCGATGTCCAATCATCTGTTGTTTCCCAGTCTGCTAGCACCTTGTAAAAATCTTTATAAAACCTTCCATCTTCCCCCTGGCATATCGTATCATCGTCAAGATCGTTCATTGTATCATAAAACACTCGGGTAAATAAAATAATAGATACAACATGGTTGGTTCCCTGTTCTTTCCACCGATTGAATAGCTGAGGTAAAAAATTGTTGACGACTTTTTCATAATAGAGTTCACCATCTTCATCGAATTCCCACATTTCACGAGACATTTGAATGAATACAAAATACTTTGCTGAAGCTGATCTGAATATCAACCGAGTTGTATCACTGATATATCCAGAAGTGACCTTATTTTATAAAAATAAAAATAATAAGATATATTTATCCTGAAAATGCAAATAATCATCACTTTCTATTGTTTTACCTCTTTGTCAGCAGACCACATTTTCTTGACAGTCGTTTTGATTGCACCAGCAAATAGTATTTTCTTTTCTAAATAGGCACAAGTTCCAGCCAAACTTTGTTGTAATCGCCACATATCACTTCGACCTAGATATTGTTCTTTGAAAGCCAGTTCTACATGATCCAAGGCAACCATGGGTAAGGAAGGATCAATCTTAAAGAAAAAAAAAAAAAAAACATGTCAGATTCTATTCAACAAAATAATAATAATAAAAATATAAAACTTACAAGTTCAATACATATTTCTGGTCGAAATCGTAGTTTGAGTCGTTCTGCAATATCTTTGCATATAGATATCTATGGAAAGATATATATAGAGAGAGAGAGAGAGAAAGAAAAAGTGAGTTTCGTGTTAATGTATGTTCGAACTCTTTTTGGTAAATACTGATAAACCGGGGTTCATTGAACTTACTTGTAATTGGTGTTGTCGTCCTAAGGATTCACGATCAGCACAAGTTGCTTTGACAATAAGAGGTTCCAAAATGGTGTTGTTTACAAAATGAAGTCGTAAGAGTTGACCATCTCTAATAGTTGGGAAAGCTTCCGGATTGATAACGACATCTTGAGTGAAAGAAGAACTTGGGTCATGTATCCACAATATAGTTGGTTTGGTTGATAATAAAGGACCCAGCGCCACAGTATCTGATTTGGTCAATTTAGACATTCCATTCGTTTTGATCAACAAAAAGACACGAAGTGAAAGAAAAAGAAAGGAAAGAAAAAAAAGGAAATTGTAGAGTTCGATGCTCAAACTTGATTTATGGAAAATACACTCCGACGTACTATGAGTTTTGGATTGAGTATAGTAGCGTTATGATAGAATTATCATTATAACAATGATAGATAAACAAGAAATATGTTAATTTATTGTGTTGATATAGTATTTTTACTGATTTTTAATACTATAAAGTTTTTACTGAGATAAAAAAAGAAAAAAAACCTCTTTTTGTGAGCATTACTGCTTCAGCTAACAAAAATATGAAGAAAAAAAGTGATAATGATTGATGATTTCTATGATAATTTCTATGATGGTTTCTATGATGATGATGATGATAATGAATACAATAAAGAGGCATTGATTGATGATGGATATTTAATAAAATGAAAGCAACATTGTAGAGCATAGAAGTACAAAACATGGATGCTACAGAACCCAAGGTTGTTATAAAATTCAAAAACAGTTCCCTTTTATGGTGTAGCGAAGTAGATTTGTATGTTTGTTTGATAAAAAAAAAAAAAAAAAAAAAAAAAAAAAAAAAAAAAAAAGGTAATACAATAGAATGTTTATTAAAATGAATTTATACATAATCATAAAAACGTTAGTCTAACGGTCTGATTTAAAATAATAATAAAAAAAAAAAAAAGGTTCTAAGCTATACATTGTAAAACATATATCATTGATCCCAAAGCAGATTCCATCATGGTACCAAGTACACCTGAATGATGATTTTCTTTTGAAGAGTTGTTGATGATAATTGGTATTTCCAATAAAAGTACACCCATAGAGATTGAAAGTTGAATCCTTTTTTTGATATCAAATAAACCAAGTAGACGCATTTCCTGTTGAAGATCATAGAGTCGAATCAATTCAAACTGTACCACTTTGTAATATTTTTGCGTTGCTATGATATCAAAAAAAAATAATAATGATAATTTTAGTAACATCGTCGTCCTCTTTTCCTTCATCTACTTACAAAATAACAATCCCCTAATCATTTTGAATGCATCTTCAGTATGATTGATAATTTCATTGGATAAGTTCAAGTAAGGATGGATTTCATTGATAGCACCTAAATCAAAACAAACAAATAATAAGATTTAATTAATATATATATATATATATATATAGATAGATAGATGCAAACAATTATATCTTTTTTTTTTGTTACATACTTAATATGACACGCATGGTTTGAAATTCACCATCTATCATCTCCGAATACAACTAAGTTTGGGTTAAACATACATGATCCTATTCTTAAAAGAACTTACCTGATGCACAACCCTTTCAAAAACCTCCTGGGTAGATTCTTCATCTTCAACATGAGTACTGATATCATAATTATCATTATCCTCGGTGATGTCGTATTTTAGTCGTGCTGTTGGATTGATCAGAGTTTCATGAGCTAAAACAAGACCTATATATATATTATATTGTAAGTATCTCTCTTTCATTTCCTTTTTATTATTTTATTTCTTACGTTGAAAACATTCAGTGGCTCGAGGATCATTTGGTATTTTATCAGGATGACATGCTCTACTTTTCTATAAATATAAAAAAAAAAAGATAAATAAAACACTTCATTATACTTGCAAAGGGAGGAAGATCAAACTTTGCATAAATTTGGATTTATATCGTAACTTGTATATATGCTTTTCGTATTTCATCTGTTGTAGCAGTTCTATCAACATTTAATACGTCATAATAATTGGATGCTGATAAGATTTCTTTAACAATACTATGTTTGAAGTCATAAACTTGATGATATTGAGAATTGATAGCAACTGGCATTATAAAGGGGTATCCAAAAAAAAAAAAAAAGAAGAGTGAAAAGAGAGTTCAAGAAAAAGGAAAGAAAGTGTGTATTTTTTAAAACTCAATCTCGGAAATATTGTACCTCTTTTATGGATTTTCGTTAAGAAGTGCTTTTTGCATCCATAATAGGAAAATCTAAACTAACTTGATATTTAAGTATTTTTTTTTTTTTTGGTACTTCTTTCAATGATGGATCTACAACGCCTTATCTTTTCTCCCCCTGATTATTGAAAGAGTCACAACTTTTTATGGTAAACAAAATAATAACACGCCCAGTTCAACAAAAAATACAATATCATCTTATCCTTTTTTTTTACATGATTTCTACTTTATATTAAAGTTACCAAAGTGGAATATTATAATCTTTGATGAATCAAGCGATGTTATATTAGGAAGAAAAAAAAAAAAAAAGAAAAGATTGACTATGATACTTCTTCACTCAGCAAAAATTATGCGCAAGTGGGAAACAAGCTGCTGAAATTGTGTTTAAATCTCAGCTTAACAATTTTTGTGCCATTCCTTTTTTTTCTTGTTCTTTCCCTTTCCATTGAATAATAGACACTACAGCATGCAGTTTGGTCACTCATTCTCTATTTTTTTATTCTTACTTTGGACTAGTCTAATAGTTTATGTGACAGCCACTTCTTTAACATATAATGTGGCTGCTAACGAACAAGCTTGCTTTTATACATGGGCAGATACACCTGGAAAGAAAATTGGATTTTATTTTGCAGTAAGTACTTTTTCTTTTTTTTTTTTTTTTTTTTAAATTTGTCTGGAAAGGGTGAAATTATTTTTACTTAACTTTTATTATTTTTCTTCTTGTTTTATCTGCATATACAAATCACTTTTTTTTTTTTTTTTTTACTATTATTAAAAAAAAAGGTACAATCTGGGGGCTCCTTTGATATCGATTACAAAGTAACGGATCCAACCCAAAAAGTTATTTTAGATGGTCAACGGGAACGTCAAGGGGATTTTGTATTTACAGCGCGTCATGTTGGAGAATATTCATTTTGTTTCTCTAACGACATGTCCACATTTGCCGAGAAGTTGATTGATTTTGAAATTACTCTGGAACAAGAACTTCGTGAAGCAGCACAAACAACTCAAAGCTCGTCATCCTTCTCTACTGCCTCTTCTGCTTTAGAAGAAACTCTTTTCAAGATATCTGAATCTTTAGCTCAAATATCTCGTGTACAACGTCTTCTTCGTACAAGGGAAAACCGTAATGCTCATACTGTCAGTTCTACGGAAAAGCGTATCCTTTGGTTTGCTCTTTTGGAATCTCTAGCAATCGTTCTCATGGCCTCTGTTCAAGTCTTTGCCGTCAAAAGCTTCTTTACCAAAGTAAGGCGTGGTGGTGTCTAGGTTTTTATTTTCATCATTAGTTTAGTTATCATATCCATTCCTTATTATTATCATTTATTTATTACTTTTTTTTTTATATATACTCAATATGTAACGTATTTCTTTTGGATGCAAATAAAGAATTTGAAATATAATCTGACATTTTTGAATTTTGAGGATCATTATAATAATAATAAAAACAAAATCTGGTTTATTTCATAAAAAAAAAAAAAAAAAAGAGGATGTCTACATATCAATTAAACTAAATCATGCATTCTATTTAAAGGGGAAAGATCAATTTAAATAATCTAAAACGCACGCATGCCACCACCGGAAGGCTTGTACTTCTAAAACAATCATATGTTAAAAAAAAAAAAAGGAAAACAGGTGAGTTCAGTATAAAAATGGTATATTTCTTCTTTTTTTTCGTTTTTGTTACCTTTTTTCCACGGCCTTTGAAGTGAACATCTGGATCATCTGGAAATCTTCGTTGTCGTTCCCAATCCGGTTTTTCTTCTTCTCTACGATCATCCAATTCATCATAACTGTATCGTCGTCGTCGATCGTAAGGTGATACAGAACGGCTATGTCGTCGGGTATATCGCCTTGAACTTGATCTAGAATGATCATTATGCTTTTGATCAGGAGACCTTGATCGAGATTGTACGTGGTGAGATGGTGAGCGAGACACGGATTTTTGAATAGGAATATCACCATCTAAAGATCCTCGTTCTTCTTCTTGTACATCGGGTGATGGAGATCGAGAGGTATGTCGTCGTCGTCGTCGTCGATGTCTGTCTTCATCCACAGTAATATCGCTTTCATAAGAGTCTACACTTGGGCTACGATGTCGTCGTTTGCTTTTTTTCTTCTTTTTGCTTTTTTTCTTCTTATCTTTCTTGGATGATTTCTTGTGTTTCTTATGTCGACGACGTTTTCTTTCTTCTTCCTCTTCAGAATCAAATGAATCGACAGATGATTTGCTATTGATTGATTCATCTGATTGTTGAGAAGTAACAGAAGTTGATCTTGATCGTTTTTTTGACAGAGTTTCAACCTTGTTTCCTATGTGTATAGATAGTCGTCAGCTCATACTTTCCAAATAAAAAAATAAAAAAATAAAAAAAAACATCATCCCTATCTAGTAAGTTTTTACCTTGAGGAAGTCGAAGTTCCAGTTCACCAGAGTTAGCAATCATAACAGTACGTAAAGGTTTGCTTCGCTCATCCACAGGTTCACTTTCTACCATTTGAACAATATCATAACCATGGACCACCCGACCAAATACAACATGTTTGCCATCCAAATGAGGTGTAGGACGAGTAGTGATAAAGAATTGAGAAGATTGAGTGTTGGGACCACGATTGGCCATACTGAGTAACCCTTCTGTTGTATGTTTCCTAGCAAATGATTCGTCAGAAAATGTTGCACCATAAATACTTTCACCACCAGAGCCATTACGTCTTGTAAAGTCACCCCCTTGAATCATAAACCCTTTGATAACTCTACATAAAAAAAAAGAAGAAGTTAATACCATTTATTTTATATACAGGGAGAATTTTTATTATCATGGATACTACCTATGGAAGATAGATCCTCTAAAGTGAAGAGGCATGTTGCTGATCTTGCCTAATCCAAGTTCACCTATCAAATAAAAAGAGTAATGAGTTTTTTCTTTTTTTAATTTCTTTAAAGTTGAATCGTATTCAAGTCATAGAATCATGTTCGTACCTGTACATAAAGCTCGAAAGTTTTCAGCAGTTTTGGGTACTTCATCAGCAAAAAGTTCGAAAATCACTCTACCAACTATTTTTTTTTATTATATGTATCAAAAAAAAAACATTGTTGTTAGTATCCATATAAACTAAATTATTTGATTTTACTTACTTCTCTGACCATCAATATCAATGTCAAAGAAGACACGAGGATTGATTGGCATCTTTAATGATAGATCCTTCAAGAAAGAAATAAGTAAACATTCGTCTCATCAGCTTTTTTTTTTTTTTTATCCAGTAGCTGAAAATCAATTCCAGCCAATCATATTTCTTCTGCTTTCAATTTCTCAAAAACGCGGTTCCCAAACATAAAAAAAAAAAAAAGAAAAGAGAAAGCCTAACATTTTGTTCTTTTGTCTTTCAATTTTTATTTTTATACACATCTACTCAGTCGACAAAATGGGGAAGACTCAACAAGCTAAAGATTCATCATCAAAAGCAGAGATTATAACCGATAAAAGAGAGTCTTCTACTCGACCATCGATCAGTGCCAGTGTGATATTCAAGCTTTTAGGTTTTTCAGCATTGTTATTCGTTGGACCTATTGCCACGTACTACTATACAGTGGATACTCTATTTAGTGGTAAACATCACACAATATAGCACATTTGAATCTTATCATTATCTCATCCTTTTCTTCTTTTTCTTTCTCTCTTTTTTTTTTCCTATCATAGGTAACAGTAATTATGCTGCTGGAGCGGCAGCTTTGGTAGCTAATCTTGTTGTTATAGCTTATATTCTAGTAGCTATGGTGGAAGATATGCAATCAAACAAAGCTGAGAAGATAGAATAGAATATGATTCCGTTTATAATTCTTTTTTTTTTTTGTTTCCTTTCCTTTTGTACTTTATTACCTCATATCTATTACTATCCCCTTTGTAGTTATTTTATATTTTATAATGAAGAAATAAAATAAAAAAGAAAGATTGATATTAATTAGTATCATATACAATAACATTATGACAGGAAGTTCGTTACAAACTTTTTTTTTTTGATAGGAGTAAGCTTGAATTTAAGTGATGGAACCATATATGGAAAGTATATGCAAAAAGGAGAGAAGGGGTCTTTGGAATGATTTTATTGTCAACGTAGTGCATGGGATACATATACAAATATGGTTTTAAGAGAAAGATAGAGAGATCATAAATTGTAAGAACATATTACACAAAAACATCATTAACAAAACAAATAAACATGTGATTTTCATTTTTCTTTTATTGATAAAAAAAAATAAAATCTATTTCTAATTGAATGACATTAACCCCATCAAAAAAAAAAAATAGGATTCATCACTAAACTTTTTTGGAATGAGTATGGACATAATTGTTGAGGTATCTGGTGATAGTAAATAATATATCATGAAAGGTATCATCTTGATTGGTTGCAAAGCTTGTACCTGAGAAGGAATTATATTGATGTTGTTGATGATTGTACCAAGAAGTGCGCTTCTGTTTTTCCCATTCAGCAAGATAAGTCAGTTGTTCACTAAGTTTGCCAACCATAAAAGGCCAATCCAATTGAAATCGATTCTTTGTAAATGTCCAAACACGATGTGGAGCAGCAATACGTAAAACATCATCCACCAAGGTCACAAATAAGAATAGACAAAACACAGAGCTTATTACCACCAACGCCACAGTACACATCGTCATGTAGGAAGCCATGGTAACCATAGTATATTTTGTATGTGGTGATAAGACATAAGAAGATAGTTGGTTCCATGATTCTATAGGTATTCGTTTGCTTACTTTTTTATCAGTCATATTTATAAAGAGGGTATATTGTAAAGGGAAAAGAAGGAAAAAGAAAGGGGGGAAAATACCAAAAAAGCAAGTTTTTTTTTTTATATATTTGAATGACCGTTTCATATGTTTTTTCTAAGCTGGGCTAAAAAAAACATAAAAAAGCACGTTTTAATTTCATTCGCTCCTTTCTTTCCTTTTCTTTTTTTTCAAACAATGGAGAAATTTCGTGAAGTATGACATTATTACATAGTTTGAAATAAATCTTATTTACACTTATTATTATTATTATTAGAAAATCAATGCTGTTCGTGCTGAAGCTGATGCTGCCAAAGCTCGTGTACTAGAATTAGAAGAACAACTGAAACAGGTGGAACAAGAAAAGATGCAACAAGAACATGAGATTATTTCATTGGCCAATCGTAACAAGAATTTGGAAGAAGATGTAGAAACATGTAGAGAAAAGATTCAACAACTTAAGTCTTTGGAAGAGGATGGGGATGGTTTGAAAAAAGATAACGATGCTGCGCAACGTCGTATCACTCTCTTAGAACAAGAATTGGAAAATTCGGATAGATCACTACGTGAAACAACTGCAAAGTAAGTTCATCATATATTTAAAATATATAATATATATATATTTATTTCTTTTTTTTCTTTCTTTTTTTTTTTTTTTTTTTTTTAAATAAAATTATTCTTCATAGCTTCCGAGAAGCTGATGTCAAGGCTGAACACTTTGAACGTAAGGTACAACAATTGGAATCTTTACTTCAAGCACAAGAACAAAAGACTGAAGAAATGAAACTCAAGAATCAAGAACTACAAGCTCAATTAGATGAATTCAATGCTCAATTGGATGATATTTAGTTTAGATTCTTTACCATTGATACCTTTGATTTGATTGCCCCCACTTCCTTATTGAAATACCGCAAATAATAAAAAAAAATGCCTTATTTTCACTTCCTCCGTTGTTTCTTTCCTTTTCTTTTTATTTTCTCTTTCCTCATCAATACTTTTATACATCATATCTGAAACTCGAAACATGATGCCTGTAGATACATATTACTATGACGTACTTGAAATCCCTACCGATGCTGAATACATGACCATCAAGAAAGCTTACAAGTAAGTATTGGAAAAAAAAAGGCGCAGTATTAACGTTTTAACCAACTTTTTTTTTTTTTCCTTTTTTTTTCTTTTTTGTATAGAAAATGTGCCATTGTATGTATTTTTCTTCTTTCTAATATTAACATTCAAAATTACTTATCGATTTTTTTTTTTTTTTTTTTTTTTTGTAGAAATACCATCCTGACAAGAACAAATCTCCTGGGGCCGAAGAAAAGGTAGGATTTATCACTTATCCCTGATCAACTTTTAACTTATCTTTGTTATTATCAATAGTTTAAAATCATCTCTGAAGCATATCATATTCTATCAAAGGATGACTTGAGGAAAAAATATGATCAATATGGGCGTTACAAAGGACTTGAACCGCCTGAAGGATTCCCTGATCCTTATAGATTTTTCTCTCGATTATATGGTGGTAAATCATTTCAAGGTAAGTAACCAAAAAAATATATATATATATATATATAACTTATATTAACCTATGTTGTATTTCACTTAATATAGATATTATTGGCGAACTGAATGTGGGCATCTTCTTGCAACAAAGTAGCAAATATGGAGAAAAGGCACCAACAAAAACAGAACAGGAAAAAGAACAACTTCTCATGTCTCAAGCGGAAAAGCAACAAAAAGAACGGGTGAAACTATTATCAGCACGATTAATAGAAAGACTTTCGATTTTTGTGGAAGCAACTCAGCCTTCTTCCAATCAATTGACACAAGTAGAAGAACAATATCAAGAACACACAAAACCACTTAAACAGGAACCCTATGGTAACGCTTTACTTCATGTGGTAGGCCGGGTCTACAAGGTGAAAGCAAAGGAACATATTGGAGTCAAAAGTGGTGGATTACCTGGGATATACTATGCAATAAAAGAAAAGAAGTATATTACAAAAGAATTATGGAAAACAGTCAAAATCAATATGGATGCACAAACAGCTATGGAAAGTGCCAAAACTGCATGCGAGCAAGACAGAGATGATAAACTGGATTTGGAAGAACTGTCAATAGAGAAGGTAATCACAATTAGAATATAAAAGGAAAATGACTAATTAAAATCAAAAAAAATATTATCATATATATAGTCTTTTGAAGCTTTATGGCAAATGGTGAAGTTTGAAATTGATGCAACTCTACGAAATGTGTGTGATGTGGTACTTCAAGATAAATCAGTGGACTCTAATGAACGATCAAGGCGGGCGGAAGCTTTATTATTATTAGGTACTATTTATTCAAACAATGCTGAAATATCCAAAGCGGAAAACGACATTGTTCATTTAATATGATGATGATGATTAGTTTATTTATTTTATATTTTTACATATATTAGTACCTATTTTATATCAATAAAAATTTCATTTTTTTTTTTTATCTTTTGTCCGCATGTGAAATCGGATGAATCATCTTTGTAAACCCGGTCTTCTCCATACTTTTTCATTTTTTTTTCTTTTCTTTTCTTTTCTTTTCTTTTTTTTTTTTTTTCTCTCTTCTTTATAGACATGCGAACAAGTCATACTGAATTGACAGAACAGGAACTGGTAAGCAACTGATAGAATAATAATAATAATAATAAAAAGAAAGAAATACTTAGCGACTTATAATAATATTTTTGTTGTTAGACTCTTCTTGAACACCAGTATTATCACTCTCCTTTGGGTCAGCGTCAAAACCAAGTCAACAAGGAAACGTTAACAAAACTCGTTATCTTTGATTTTGATTCGACTTTATTTCTATCGCCATTACTCAGTAGTACTCTTTGGGATGATTTCCTTGTGAATGCAGTAACGACGGAGAATTTATTTGGACCTGGTTTCTGGCGGGACATTCGTTCTTTGCAAGTTGGAAATGATGGTTTGGCTCAGTGGGAAGGTTGGTGGAATGAAGACGTGGTACTAGCAGCAAGACAAGCAATACAAGACCCTCATACTGTCACGGTTCTTTTGACAGGACGACGCGCTCATCCTTTTGCGGCCCTGGTGGAACAAATGTTATGCTCTAAACAATTGACATTTGATATGGTTGGTTTACGCCCCGATCCTTCCTTGTCTGTTGATATGTCTTCTACCAAGACGGATTTAGGTTTCAATGAACAACCCGATATTTTTCCGACAACAATGGATTTCAAAGCCTGCTTCATCCTGCATCTACGATCCCGGATACCGTCATTGCAACATATCATTATGTGGGACGATCGACGATCTCATCAGTTAGCGCTACAGGAATTCATATCAACCCTGATTAACAATGGTTATTTTATGGATGGTCATCTAGAATCGGTGGAAGCAATACGTCCAAAATACAACCCACAATGGGAACTCGCTTTGGTGGAAAACATGTTGGCTACGCATAATCAAGCTCTTGAAAAAAAATGTACAAGTTCAGCCAGTACGATGAGAGTGATGGTGGACACGAAAGGTAATATGGTGGATTCTTATGACCCTGTTCAACTGGTACGCCGACCGTACGCCATGTCCTCCGATCCTTCTGTTTTACGATTGACACCTTGCTCTGTGGATAGATTAAAAAAGACATTCGACTCATTTTATCAACAGCATATGGAAACGATGAAACAAACGCAACCTTCTTGGCGATATCTCCATGGTGAACAACCTGTCTTCTTTGGTGACATTGTCTTTGATACTACTGTGCCATTTTCCTGTTCTTCGCCTACAATACGAAAAATAACAACAATGGATGATACACAATACATTACTTTAGTTGTGACTGGATGGGATATAGGATCAACGATGGATAGAGGAATCACGTTACGGGTAGAGGTCAAGGAATCATCATCATCAGACAAGCAACAAGATAGTCCATTCATTCTTCCACTTTGGTACAAACCTTCTACTTTCCAACGATTACCCAGTTTACCTTATAAATGGACATACACTCATGGTACTTGTGATGATTTGTATTTGAAGGCTTACTCGGATCATGTTTATTTATATGGAATAGAAAAGAAATAGACCTTTTTTTTTTAGATAGAAATGTAATATTATTATTTTGTATTATTATTTTATTAATATCTTGTATTATTATTTTTTATTATTATACGGAAAACAATAAATTTACCAAATAAAAATTATTTTTTGTTATGATCATGTTCTGAAGAAAAGTTCCTGCTCAATATGCATGAAAACTAGCGCCATTTTAAAAAAAGAAGAGGAAAAGCCACACTAACCACTTAATCGAGTTTTTTTTCCCCTCATCATTCTTTTTTTTTTTTTTATTCTTTTTCTTTTATCTTTTATCCCTTTATTGAAATAGACTTTTTGATAATGTCCTCTGATGAAGAAGATGGGTTTGCTGGTGACTTGTTTGGGGTAAACGAATAATGAACTTTTCTTTTTTTTAAAAAAAAAAAATGGATTGTTATTGGTCAATGTATATACTCATCCTTTCTTTTCTATATTAGGAAGACGAAGAAACTATCATTCAAGTACCCAATTCTACTGAAACTTACCATCGTGATGTTGCTTTTGTAAAGGACAATGGTAAAATTCTATTTTTTTTTTTTTATTAATTCGAAAAAGTCATATGTGTATATTTTTTTATTCACTTTTTGTTTCTTTATGTAGATATTGTAAAAACTTTTCATATCCGCCTGGTGGGCTCACACCCTTTATGGGCACACCATCTTTGGAATGCTTCCAAAGTGTTTGCTTCTCTATTTGATCAGCGACCACAACTAGTACAGAACAAAACCATATTGGAACTTGGCGCTGGAGGTGCTCTTCCAAGTTTAGTAGCTGCTATTCATCAACCTACCAAGATTGTCGTGACCGATTACCCTGACTCTGAACTTCTCGAAAATATTCAATACAATGTGGATCAAAACCTGGGATCACTTATACCATCTGATACTGTCTCTGTACTGGTATGTACTAAAAAAAAAAAAAAAAAAAAAAAAAAAAAGTGTTAAACGTTGTTGGTATGGAAGCATTAATGAATGATTTATTTGTAGGGATATATTTGGGGCACAAGTACGGATCAACTCGAAGCACAATTACCAAAAGGACGTACAACTTATGATGTAATTATTCTTAGCGATTTAGTCTTTAATCATTCACAACACCATGCTTTATTGAAAACATGTCGACAATTACTCACTCCAGTCACCGGTCGAGTTTATGTATTTTATACTCATCATCGTCCTCATTTAGCCCATCGTGATTTGGAATTTTTTAAAATTGCTGAACGACCTGTACTTGAACAAGTGGATCCAGATGATCGTGACGCTATTGGCTATGGATTCAAAACAGATCATTTTATCACCAAAAAAATGCATGTCATGTTTGAAGAAGATCCTGGAGATGAACAAGTACGTGCTACTGTACATGGTTGGCAAATGTGGCTTCCTTAAATTTCTCTCTCTCTCTCTCTCACACATATATATATATATAGTTAGTTAGTTAGATACATTCTCATTCATTCCTAATCATTCCATTTTAATTTTATTTTCTCTTTTTCTATTTAGACATCTATTTTTTTTTTTTTGTACAAATATTCTCATCATTCTCTTATGTTCCTTTTTTTTTTGTATCATTTTACAATAATAAACGACTTTTGTTTACATTGATACTTTTGAAAGATTTATGTGAACATCAAGTGTGGAAAAGAGCTCAGTGTCAAAAATCCTTCTTTTTTATTTTGATCATACTGCCGTTCCTTGGAATCATAAAAGAATTATTGAATAGAACGATTGAGTGGTATTGGGCTGATCGTATGATGGAGAAGTAATAGAAAATAGTGAATGACAACGATAATGCCTTCTTTATGTTCACGTTGGAAAGCATCCTCGGATTGAGAAGGGTACCTTACTATATATATTTCAAACTCCTCTGTCAAAATTATCATTGTTCTTTTTGACTTTCTCTCTTTTTCTTTCTTTCTTTCTTTTTTTTTTTTAATGAAAAATTGATATGACTCGGCCAGTACCCCGTTGGACGGTTGGATTGGTATTTACACGGAAAAAAGTGGAACGATCTGGATTCATTGGTATAGAAGATTATGCAAGGTAAATCCAATTTTCATAATGTGTACATTTCTTTCTTTCCACCTTCATAAACTCAATTTTTTTTTTCTTCTTCTTCTTCTTAGTCAACAAGGTATACGGATTATACACTTGGATATTTCACAATCAATGGAAGAACAAGGACATGTAGATCTTATAGTGCACAAAATGACCGATGTTGTCTCCAAGATGAAACGAGGCGATGATCAGGCTCGAAAGGACTATGATCGATTTATGGTAATGTCGACAATCAATATTGAATGATATGTTATGATAACTCTAAGGATTAATCATTTATTTTAATGTATTTTTTTTTTTTATTTCTTATATAGGCATACTGTAGAAACCATCCAGAGGTGATTGTGTTAGATCAATGGGAAAATATAGAGAAAGTACTGGATCGACTGATGGTGTTTAACCATTTACGTTGCTGTGTCACCGGAGAACGTAAGAAAATAACAACAAAGAATAATAGATTATATAGATCTTTGATTTTTGTTTGACATTGTTTTGTTATTATATGAAATATTAGATCCTCTTTTCAACATTCCTCGTCATATCGCTTTAGATTCTATCAAGTCCATCTCTCAAGTAGTAGGAAAATTGTCATTTCCGGTAAGACACGTCAAAATTTTATATATCTATTTGTACTGGAAGGTTCAAATCTAACTGACTTTTTCTTTTTCTTTTGGGTATATGTATAGATTATGTGCAAACGCAGGTCTGCTTGCTCATCCACCGAAGCCCACCAGATGACTATTATACCTTCACCTCGACATTTAACGACAAATTTGATGGAACATTACCAAGACAGTGAACAAGTAATTATCCAGGAATTCATTCAACATGATGGGATTATTGTTAAGGTATATGTAGCTGATGGAGAAATCCATGTATCAACTCGACCTTCATTTATCAATATCACGGAAGATGCCGGTAAGTACATAAAAAAAAAAAAATGGCGCTTGATTGATATCATTCGAAATGGTTTTTCTTATTTATTACAAATAGATATAGTGCATTTTGATAGTCAAGCCTTACCCAAGCAATTCAATACCTCATCATCAGCAGTAACTCAAAAGCCCAGTAGCACATTGGATTCTTTTCGACAATGGTTACTCACTACAGATGATCTTCAAACACAGAAACAAGCACATATAGATCATGATCGATTACAAAGGATAGCAGATTTATTACAGAAACAATTGGTAAGAAGTACAAATCAAATGTGTATAAGGAAAATAACATATTTTATTAGGGATTGACGTTTTTTGGTTTTGATGTTTTACTTGAATCTGGTACCAATGACTATTATGTTGTAGATGTCAACTATTTTCCAAGTAATGAAATATAAATATATATTGTCATTTGATATTTCTAATGTATGTATATTCCATTCATAGGTTTCAAGAATGTTCCTCATTTTCAACCAATGTTTATCAATATTTTGAAAAAGGTACTCCGTTCGATTTGATGATTCTTTTACATATATTCCCCCCCCCCATCCATTCATTTGATCAAGTATAGCTAGTGTAAACAATAGACAGAGTTTTATTTTTTGTATAGTCAATAAAAACAAGTTTGTTTTTTTTTTATTATTATTATAATCACATATGTAGTAGTCAAGGCTGTTTTTTTTTTTATTGATTCATTGTTTTGATAAAAGGTAAAAAAGAATAATAATAAACAAACTATATTATATATACAAGGGGGGGGACTAGCTAAGTACTGCTTTGAACAGGCATAAAAGTATTCAAGGAGATGACACATGATGCAATGCTTCCGGAGCATTGGTAGATTTTGACACCCAGGTGTAAGATGAAGAAGGTGTAGGAAGAATGGAGGAATGACCAGAATCCAAAGTTGTTGATTCGCTTGTGTTGTTTTTGTTGTTCAGATCATTTTCCTTATTGTCAATGGATTCATCAGAAACTTGATTGGATCGAAGTGGGGAGCTTCCACCTGGCAAATGAGTAGTGGCACTGGCAGACTTTAGTTTGTCAGAGTCTAGTGTTGTTGTAGAAGGTGAGGTGGTATGAGGGCGAGAAGGTACAAAATATTCCAAAGGAGATGGTGGTAATGGATCGACAACAGGTTCCAATGTGGTTGATGGCGTTTTGGTTGGTAAGGAAGAGACTTCATTTGCCGAAGATCCCATGTTTGGAGTAGCCGAGCCTTGTCTGTTGCCGCTGCTTTGCACGTTGTTTCCTAACGATCGTCTTAATCGATCCAATTCACGTTTCAAGCTATCATTTTCCTTTTGTAGTTGTTCCCTTTCCTTGCATGATACCTGAAGCAAATATTGAAGATGATCCTAACGAATATAATACAAGTTAATACATATGATCAGAAGAGACAAAAAAAAAAAAAAAAAAAAAAAAAAAAAAGCTTACAAAAGTATGAGAAATTTCATTACTGAGAGAGCCAGAACGTGATCGCACACCATCATGAACCTTGTTATCATTTATATTGAATTTCGTGGTGGATGAAGAAGAAGAAGGAGGCTGTTGTCCAGTGAGAAGTGACAATCCAGATAGCATATCGTGCAATAAAACTTTTTGAGCTTCGGCTTGTTTGTAGAGATTTTCCATATGATAGTAGACCATTGATGGTACAGAAGGATCAAAGAATCTCGAAGATTGACCACGGGAAAAAGAGGAGTTTGGAGAGTAAGATGATACAGATGATTGAGGTGATTCCATGTAGCCAGTAGAATCCTTATCGAACTTCATATCACCAATACCAGATAATTGGAAACGACCTTTCTTTCGACCTTCTGACAAGATAGTAGAATTGGGAGTATCGTGGGATAATAAACTTGATTCTCTTGATAAACTAGAAGCTGGTTCTTGTCCATGCCAAGTGCCTTCATTTTTAGTTCCAGAATCATCTTTTGCTACAGAGAATCGACTGACTTTACCATTGGGTAAACTACCACAGACGGATGGATTTCTTGAAAGAGGTAAAGACTCAGGTAATACTACTTTTTCCGTAGTGGCCATAGGAGAATGATGCACAGCAAATCTTGATTTTCGTAAACTGTCACTACTACCAACACGAGCGACTGGAGTAGATTTGATATCATGTGGATCCATCGATGGCGTTGTTATTGGCGTAGCTGTTGGCTTTGCGATGACGGCAGTTGTTGTATTCCCACTAGGTATAGATGAATCCGAATTACCACTTTCCAAAGAAGGTGTTGATACCGAGGCTGTCCGTTGTGAGGTTTGATTGACACTAAATCGACCTTTCTTAACTTCTTGACCAGAAACTGATGATGTTGATGATGATGATATAGGTGGAGTAGCAGTGGCTCCAGAAATACCTAAGCCAACACCTTCCTTTTCAGTTGGACTAAATAAAGTGGCTGAGAGTTGTGGTATTGATTGTTCGTTGATAGATGACATGGAATGTTGATTTGTTGGAGCTGCATTAAGCTGTTCGATTTGATTTTCGCCAACGACAAACCTTGATTTTCTATGAGGTGTAGGTACAATAAGATCAGGAGAAGTGGATTTGCTTGATGGGGAAGTGGATGAATCAGGTACTTCAATAGGAGATGATTTATCATTGTGTTGAGGTAATGATTTGATAACAACGTTTCCAAAAGAGATATGCTTTTTGTTTCCAGGTGTCGTTGGAGAAGTAGAAGTATCATCTGTTGCAGTTGCAGTTGCAGTTGTTGTTGTTGTTGTTGGTTGGGGCGGTGGTGGTGGTGATGTTGTTGTTGTAGTAGTAGTAGTTGTAGGAGTCGTTATGTTTTTGGTGGCATCTTCATTGTCAGAAAGGGTATCGAAATCCCATTGATCTGTTGATTCAAAAGTGATATGTTTTTGAGGGACTTTTTTATGTGGTCGACGATCCAAAGCTGGTACATGAGTCAAAACACTTTTCATCAAAAAATCCTTTCTTTTGGCTTGTCGAAAGAATGGATGTTGTAATAATTTTTCGGCTGTAGGTCTAACATCATGATAATGATAATAATAATAAAATAAATAAATAAATTGGAATGATACTATTACATATATATATATATATATATCATTAGTTACCTTTTTTTGGGATCTTTTTGTAAACAAGTATCAATCATTTCCTTGATCATTTTGGAGAACTTGTGTTTGGCATTTTCACGAGACAGAGTGGGAGGATCTTGAGATAGAGTCATCATAAGTACCTTCATGGGAGAATATTTCGCAAAGGGCGCGTGACCAGTAGCTAATTCGATAGCTGTAATGCCAAAACTCCATATATCTGCTTTGAAATCATATCCAGCTTGTTCCATCACTTCAGGTGCCATCCAACAGGGCTTTGTAAAAGAAGAGAGTATGATTTAAACTAAATCCATAATACCTTTTTTTTTTTTTTTTGTAAACTTACTGTGCCAACAAAGGTTTTCCGAACTTCATTATTTTCAGTTAAAGAACTTGAGACACCAAAATCAGCCAACTGTACCAAACCATATTCATCCATCAATAAATTTCCTGCTTTGACATCTCGATGAATATGACCATTCTTGTGTAAATAGATTAATCCTTCCAATGCTTGTTTCAAAATTGTGGCAATAGTGATTTCATCAAATCCATCAGGGTAAGAAGTTTTCATTATATCCAAACAAGATCCAGCAGATAAATAAGGTGTGATGATATATAATTTGGAACCACTAACAAAGGAGCCATAGACACGTAAAACATTAGGGTGTTTCGATAAAGCCATCAAAGCCGTTTCACGCTAACAGGAAAAAAAAAAAAGAGAGAGAGAGAGAGAAAGAGAAAGAGATTTAATAAATAAAGGAAAGAACTATAGATTGATTTTCTTAAAAAAAAAAAAAAAAAAGAAAAGAAAAACTTACTCGAAGTTCGTCAATTTGGTTTCTTTCAAACATGTCCAGATCAATCACCTTCATTGCTACTTTTCTATTGCTTGGTTTGTAAAGCGCAGCATATACGACAGCAGAAGAGCCATAACCTTAAAAAAAATAGAGAAGAGATTAAGTAAGAGTAATATGAAAGTAATAAAAAAAAATACTTACCAATCGGTTCTTTAAGTTCATAGTCTTCAGGTTTGTTTGATAACTGGGCATCGGAGAGTTGGTTCAAGGATTGAGCAGATAAAGGAGATTCTTCGTGATGGTGATGATGATGAAGACTGGGCAAACGAGATAAAAGATTATCATTGGTGGTATTTCTTCTGGTAGGAGTAGGTTGTTGAGGATTTAAAGCGGGAGATTCCAATAAACCTCTCATAATACTGTTGGATCTAGAACGACTTGGGGTATGAGGAGGACTATTTGCCCTACTGCTACTACCACTATTATTCACCTGTGCCATTACAAGCGATTCTTTTTTAGAAAAAAAAAAGGAAGTAGAAGTTTATATATATATACAAAGGAAGGTGTAACAATGAAGAATATGCTATGGAATTTTGTTGTGGAACAAAGAGGAATACAATAGAGAGAGAAAAAAAAAGTTTAAGATGTTGGAGAGAAACAAAAAAAATATTTTTTTTTCTTGGTCCGTCCTTCGTCATTTCACTTTCCGCCTCGCTTTCTTTTTTTCTTTTTTTTTTTGCTGTAAAAAAAAAAAAGGGTCATCCGATCACATTCATCAAAAATATCATCATACTGCCAAAAAAAGACATTCACGAGACAAAACCAAAAAAAAAAAAAAAAAACTAATATTTTATTGAATTTGATTTTGATTGAATTTGTATATATTGAGGTTGTTGTTGTACAAGGGTGTCATCACTTTCACTATGAGATCTTTTTAATGATCCATCTTCTTGTCGATCTTCATCCCCCCATCCTTCAGTCAATCCAAGTTGAATAGTCACTCGAGCAAATTGATAAGGTTGATCCACATGTAAACGATTCGATCGATCATGTATAGGAAAAGAAGCTTGTTGAATACCCAATGGACACCATCCTTTCAATCTTACCATAGCTTTACCAATTGTATGTTCCAATTGTGTTGTTTTATCCATTAATACTAAACATATTTCAATCTGACCTTGATGAGAAAGCCATTGTTGTAAATCGTGTAAATGACCTTGTAAAGCAAGACACATGGGTGGATCTGTGATTTGCCATGAATTTCCTGTTGTATACACATGATGCTTCACTTGCCATTCTGAGAATGTATATTGTAAAAAGTTCCGTGTATCGAGAGTACGAAGTTTAGATGGTATCAAAGACATAACTGCTGTAGCTTCCACAATCCGTAAAACAAAACTATATCTCTGTGATCCATTCCCAATTTGAAGATAAGTTAATTGATCTTTTTTTCGATGACAAACTTGAAGAGAGGTAGTTGTACTGGAAAGTGATGGTGTTGGAGAAGGTGATGTTGATAATGGTGATGTTGGTGTTGATATAGCATTGATCCATTGTTTCTTAACATGATGATGATGATGTAGTAAAGAAGAAGTTGGTGGTGGTGTTTGTTGTTTTACTTGGTGAGAATCATCATCATCATCATCAGTATCCCTTGATGATGAATTTGTTGTTAAACAATCACTTGTATCAGCTGAATATATTTCCAATCCTAATTCATCTTCCATTTGTTTGTTGTGTATGATTGGATTCCTTAGAGGAGTAGCTACTTGTCTATGTCGTTCACCAGCAGGAGGTGGCATGTCAACAATAAATAATCCAGCCTTGATCTGTGCACGACTCATCCCTTCTTTTGTAATTGGTTTCCATTCCCCTTTGTCGACTACATAATTCTTGACTATACTGAGTGATCGTTCACCTTGTACCATTTTAATGATTTTTGCTTGATCCACTCGTAAACTTGCTAAACCTATTTCTTTTGTGTCGCCTTGTTCTGCCATAGCTCTTATCTGTAAAGTCACTTGAGCTTGTCGTCGCCTTAGTCGTCGTAGAAGTTTTGCCGATAAAAAGTAGACTAAAGTGGTACGCCATTGAGGATCGGATACGAGTTTAGTTGGTTTGGTAGAAATAATAGTTGGTGGTGGTATGAGGTCGCCTACTGTTTCTGGTAAGTGAAGTTCTAAACGACTATGAATAAAAAGATCACGATCTCCAAGTGAAGGAAAACCAATACCTAATTAGAAAAAAAAAAAAAGAAGACTCAGTAACTAAAAAAGAAAAAAAAATCCATCTTGTTTCATATTAACTTAATAATATGATTCATATGTGTACCTTCTTCAATAGCCACTAATAACGCATGGTGACACGTTTTTGTTAAGATTAAAGTCATGAATAGTAAAGAATGGTGGCAAATAAAAATAAAGCAAAAAAAAAAAAAACAAATATAGATAGTTGCGGAAAAAAAAAAGATAAAGAGAGAACAAACAGCGAAAACAATAATAATAAAAAAAAAAAATAAAAAAAAGTGAGAGAGAGAAAAAAAAAAAAAAGTGAGGAGTTAGAAAAAAGGGGAAAAGGATACACAAAAACATTGTATTGACACACACACATACAAAAATCTATCTTACCTATTATTTCATTTCATAGCAAAATCATCCTAGTTTAAAAGGAGAAAAAAATAAGTTTTAACCTGACTCAGTAATTTCATAATGAAAATATGGAACTTACTTACTTAATCCCTAATGATATCTCTTAATTGGTTACTTTTTCTATAATTCACTACCCTGACTAAATAACTAAACAAAGAAAAAAAAATATCAAAATGTTTTAATATTTTTTAATGCACTACTTTTTTTTTTCTTTTATGCATGTAGAATTTTGGACCCTTTTTCATATTTATATAATATAATTATCTAAAAATCTTTTGATAAAGTTGTAATTGCGGAGACCCAATAAAGGATGATCCTTTCATACTATATCTTTTCAATCAAAAAAGAAAAAAATATATAGTAAAATTTATTATCATTATTCAATATTTATTTCCATACATCATCATTATCTCTTCTTTTAGAAATATTTTTTTTTTATTCTATTTATTGATAATCTTTTGATTTTGTCATATTATTCACAAATTTTGACTTTTATACAGCCTATCTAAATCCAATATATCAAATTCATCGATTTCACATAATAAATATAAATCATCACTTTCATACCTTTAATGTCTATTGACATCATCCATCAGTTAGTACAATATACTGCAGATAGGTGATTACCAATTACAACCAAAAGAGGATTTAATCCATCAGATAATAACATCTTTTTAGAGTATAGAATGAAGAAAATATGAAAGAAAAGGGAAAAAAAAAAAAAGGAAATTTGATTAGCACAAAGAGAGACACATTTTTATACACATTGTAAGCTACTATATTTGGATGATGAACAACTTTTTTTATATAAAAGAAAAAAAAAATTACAAGCACAATCATCATCCATCATCTTCTATCATCATTATCAAATGAAACATTTGAATAAAAGTAAATCGTGTCTTTAGACCTCTTCGTACATTTCCATTTTATGAACAAATCATTTTGGTGGCGATCTGTGGCAAATTGACAACGAAATCCCTTTGTCTCCTTTTTCAAATTCACTATGACATCTTTATGTATCTAAAAATGATCATTCAAGTGTGAAGAAAAAAAGGCCACATATTTCTTTTTTTTTTTTTTTTGAACATTGATAATAATGATATGGATTATCATCATTGAAAAAAAAAGAAACCAATGATATGGATTCATTATATGTTAAGGTCAATTGGCCATAATGAAAATCCACAAAAAGACGCAGGGGGGAATCAATGAATATGATGAAATGTCTAGAAACTATCATTATGTAATATGAAAATGACATTTATTGCCTTTTTATTTGGCGCTTCACATCAACATTTTTACCTGTGATCTCCTCCCTTTCCCCTATAAGTAGGTGAAAACCTTATTTGATTTAAGATGTTCACTCGATGATATGTTGTAACACTCAAAAAAAAAAAAAAAAAAAACAAGGCAATCAGGCTAAATACAATTGCAATACAAAGGGAAAGAGTTACCATCATCCCTCCTCTCTCATCATAATCATTCATCATTACTCTTCGACCATTGTCACACATCAGATATCATTTTGCCATTCATATGATATCAACATCATGAATTACAACACATATAAAAAAATGATTTTTATTCATGCTTCCGATAAAAACCAAAACTAACACAGGCTAAGATAATAAAAGATTTCTACATCCATATATGTAATTCAAGACCATCCACATGTCTAAAATGTAATCACCATAAAAGAAACAACAACAACAAAAAAGTCATCCAGAGAAATTCTATCATAATTCAGTTCCAAAGTACCGATCTATTGAATAATAATAATAAAAACAAGATAATAAGTCTCAAATATATCAATATATATATAATATATATATATATATATATATATATATGATGATGAACTTACCCCCAAAGTTGCCAATACCAGGTTCAATCCATAATTTTTCTTTTGACAATACTGGATCTACCATTGAAGTCACAATTTTAACCTTAGGGAATGCTTTCTTGATCACATTCAAACCAATAGGGGCGGATAAGAAGCTCAAGAAGATAATATTTTGCTAAATAAATAAAAAAAAAAAAAAAAAAGAAGAGATACATGAACTTTTCATGTACTTCTGTTGTTATATATAAAAAGTTTCTTACTTCCGGCACTTCATGATCTAATAAAACTCGAATGGCCATCAAACCTGCTGCACCAGTACCAATAGTTGCATCCTATAGATAAATAAAAAGTTGAATAGAATTAGGAAAGAACAAGTTAAAATAGGGGTTTTTTTTTTTAATTTACCATAAGTAAAACATGACGTTGTCTGACATCCTGTGGTAATTTGCAGTAATGTAACTATAAAACAAATCAATATCAGTTATTGTAAAATCCTCCTTGTTGTTTCTTGAGGGATAATAAAAAACAAAAAAATACCTGAGGTTCTCCAGTACTTGGATCAGTTTGAATCAACAATTTCCCAATGATCACATCATTGCACACACGTCGTAATCCTTCTTCCATGGTACCACCAGCACGTAAAATAGAAACACCACAGATTTGAGATGTAAATGCTAGGCCATGATATGGTTTACCTATAGGAGTTGTCACTGTCGTTTCTTCTGAAGGCAGCAAACCTAAACCACTATTTTCATATAATTCAAAAAAAAAAAAGGATGAGACATTCTATTCATTGTTTTTTTTTTCTTTTCTGTATTTACCATTCCACAATCAATTTTGATAATCTCTCAGAATAAAACACAAATTCGTCTCTTGGAGTATTCTTGTCACGCAAAATTGTATGCATTCCCTACATCCAACAAATATATTTATGAATCTATATCACTGATTATATCTATATTCTTTTTGTACTTACTCTAATTTGATTGGTAGGAGGTAACACGGTCACTTCTTCGGGTATTTCATGACTAAAGGAAGAATTGGCCAAGTCCCACCGTAAATGAAGCTCTTTTTCATTCAATTGGCGTTGTACATGTTTGGTAATCAAATCGATAGCTACTACATTTTCCAGACCACGAGGAACGATCTATCAAGTTTTGAAACAATAGTGATCATAATTAGTTTCAGTCTTTTTTTTTTTTAATTGAATTGCTTGATATACTTACCACATCTGCATATTTCACAGTAGGATGGACATGATCATCATAAGATGGCTTGACAAATCGTGTATATTGCTATTACGATGATGAAGAATAAGAAAAGAAAAGAAAATGGTTAGATTTATATGTACAATCTGTTAAATAAAACTTACGTCCAGAATGCCCTGAAGATCACGACCACGTTCAGCAATATCTCGTTGTACTATAATAATAATCAACGTCATTAAATGATACCAAATCTCTACTTTTCTTTTCTTATCATTCATCTTACATCGTCTAGCCAAGCGGATATCAGCATCGGTATCAACAAAGATCTATGAATTTAAAAAAAAAAAAAAAAAAAAAAAAAAGGATGAACATACTGATCAAAGGGTCCATTTTTCTTCCCTTTACTTTTAAATCCATCAAGTCACGAATCTTTTGATCATAAAGTGCAAAAATTCCTTCAAAGATAATAACATTGGCACCATAGATAGAAGTTGTCTTGTCTTCACGAGCATGTTTTGAGAAGTTGTAGATAGGAAGTTCGATTGATTTACCATTTTTCAATTTGCAGAGACATTCATATAATAAATCATAGTCAAAAGCAGAAGGATGATCAAAATCAAAATTACTATATATATAAAGAAAAAAAAAAGACAATGTTTGGATGTGTGAGTATAATTCAATCCTATTCTATTTTTTTAAACTTACTTTTGGTGAGCTAAAGCACTTTGTTCTGCAGTCAAGACGTTGTAGAAAGAATCCATAGAGATAATAACCACCCAAGGTACATTCAAATTCTTCAAGATACGTCTTAGTCAAAGTGAAAAGTTGTTAGTCCATTCCTCCTCTTTGTACCTTTCTATATACTTACTCGGCTACACTTGTCTTTCCACTTCCACTACCACCTAATTAGTCAAGTAGAAATATATATATATATATATATATATATAAATGAAGTACTTTTTAGTCTTTCTCGCGTTCCCAAAGTCTTATTCTTCTTTGTTGTTGACTTACCGGCAATACCAATGACATAAGTTTTTGTATTGGATCCATCCGCTCTAATCATGAAAAGAAGAAGAACGTAATAAATATCAAAAATAGTTTTCGATTTTTCTTTTATCTCACCGGAACCATGGGCTAATCCAAAGAGAAAGTTTAACCAAAATAAAAGGAACAGAGTATGAGTAATTAGTTACTTCTTTATATCTTTTTTATTATTCTTATTATTATTCACTTGACAATACTCATATTGAATTTGATTACCTTCTTCCAGAAGAGCATATTTGAAATACCTTATTCTTTTGATGATTCATACTACTATTGGAAGGTAGATCAAAGTTTAAGGAAGAGAAAAAGAAGGATACTCGATTTCATGCCAACATCCCGCCACTCAAAAATTTTTTTTCTCACTGCCAAAACAGATGATTGGGCTTCGCTGAGTTTTTGTGCTTGAAATACTTAATTTTGTATGTTATAAATAGAAAAGATATAAACAAAAGCAGAGAAATACATAAAGATATTGACAAAAGGAATTCAAATAGGTTTATTTTATTTTATTTGATAGACGAGAATAGATATGATATATATATATATATATTATAGTGCTTTTCCTAGTTCTACTTTGCGTTTGAATGATCGTTCGGCTCGATAGACCACACTATCTACCAAGCCTGCAACAGTAAAGATGCCACCTATAATACCAACAAGACTTGTGATAAGACTAATAAGTGATGGTTGATTTTCCCGGTAAATGATTTGCATTGGTGATATATCCATCATGAAAAACACACCTAAAATAATAAATAAATAAATAAAAAATGAATTAGTATATATCATTTCTATTTCTCTCTCTCTATATATATATATTTACCAGGAAGATCTCCAGAGTAAGGAGCAAGGACACGTTCTTCAGAAGTAAATGAATATTGATTAGTGTAAATAGAGTTGCCTCGCAAGGGTATCAATTCAGTTGAGACAATTTTCAAAAAGTATTGGTAGCTAGTTTGTACTACAGAAATCAAAAAAAAAAAAAAATGCATATATGAGTACCAAATAAATAAATAAACAAGTATACTTGCCTTGATCAGTTATTTTTGTTGTTCCACCCAAAGGATTAGTGATTGTCAAAAGGGATTCAGGAATATCACCAGTCTCAATAGGACCAAATTTGAGTTGATGAATTTGATGAGATAAATCAAAAGAGTGACCATCAGGAGCACCAGCCAAGAAGGATTGAATATCATGAAGATGCATATGATCATTTGTAAATGCTTGACCAGGAGCAATATGGAAATTGCCACGAATCTTGTTCACTGATAGTCGTCCATTCAGATTACAACCTTCATTGGAGTGATGTTCAAATAATTCTTTCCAATTTTCACGTACACATTGTTCAATTTTATCCGTATCACCAAGTCCCCAGCCCATCTTGACATAAGCTTCACGTACATCCCCACATGTAGGACAACATCCATCTTCTCGTACAGATACCGCACCATAACAACTTCCACATTCATCCTTTGCTTGTAATGCTTGTTGTAATACATGAGTTTTGTCACCCAATTCTAACCAAAAAAAAAAAAAAAAGAAGGTATCTCAATACTATTATCTAACTACCAACATGTTTTTTTTTAGTGTCACTTACGGTATTCTTTTTCTGTATCAATGATTTGACCCATGGCATCTAATCGTACCTTATAAACATTATGTGTAAGTCCAGAAAGATGTTCACCAGAATCATCCATGACATCCAAACTCAACACTAAAATAATGAGAATAGATATATCAGTTTAAGAAGTTATAACTAGCAACCAACTTACTATGACAAGGCATATGAGGAAAGGTCACATTGAAGTTGATGGTGAGTTTTTCTTTTCGTCCTTTATCCACAATAAGACTTGGTCGCCAAGTAGGTGTTGTATATGTCAGGATTTCGGAAATGACAAGGTATCCTATCAGTAAAATGCTAATAATGGTGACTGGGAAAGGAAAAAAAAAAAAAAAAAGAAAAAAAGATATAGGTTTGTGTAAATTATCAAGATGGGAAGTTTGTAGTTGTCTTACCTGTGGCTCCTGTTGTTGTTTTGACACGAAAGTCATCTAATGTCTTTGCATAGGCATCGAACTGACGAAATTTCAAAAATACAGATCCCTGCTTCGCCATGAACAGCCACCAAATAAATATAGAAATAAAGTGAACGGAGAGAGTAAGGGAAGAGGGTAATGAAGAAAGAAAGAGAGAGAGAAAAAAAAAAAAAAAAAAAAAAGGAATGGGAAAGAACATTGAAGTCCAATGTCTGGATCATTTTCATTTCCCGCCTATTCAACAAAATTGATCACCATAAGCAGTATACAGTTTGTTCATTGATAGATGACAAAGTTTCAGAAATAAGCAAAAATAGGAAATAAAATATAGTAAGGATAGAAAATAGATGACAGAAGAAAAAAAAAATATAGTTGTCGGATAATCCAAATTGAATACGAGAACAAGAAGAAGAAGAAGAAGAAAAAGAAAACAAGTGAAGCATTTTATATAAAAATAATATCTAAAATAATCTATACTAAAGTTTCCAGAATAGCTTGAAGTTCGTCAGCATGGTATTGAGGTTTCAATGATAAAGAATCACCTTCAACTGAAATACACTTAATTCCCAATTTTTCGACTCTTTCTACATCGACAGGTATTTCTATGTAAATATAAAAGAAAGATTAATAGGGTGGAGATAAATATATAATAGATATTAAATAAAGCTTACCCGAGTTTTTCAAATAAATCAGATGAGTAATAAATGAATTGGGAGGACTATTGGGAATAAGTTGAGCTGGAAAAGGTGGCGTACGATAACCAGAAGTAGGTGTTGAATCTGATGTTTGCAAAGGTTGTAAATTGGGTTGATTTCGTTTCATTTTGGAGTTTAACATTCGAGATAGTGATTCAGAAGTATTTTCTTGATATAATGTTGATTGTTGATATAAAGATGTTGTTGATGACAATGAAGGTGGAGGTGGAGGAGGCCATTGTCGAAATCCATGATCTACTGGTCTAGGACAAGCATCTTGTTGGTAATAATGACCTGATGCCAACATTGTTTCATCCACATGAGTATCATAATAATCGTGTCGTGCGTCGATCAATTGACTTTCGTTCAATGCATTAGTGATAGTGCCAATAAAGTCCATAGCTGTGTAACCATCTGTTTCCCGATCAGGTGTACCATTCAAAAGCAGAATCTTGTATTTCAGAGTTGTTGATTCTCTGATGGCATTTCCAACTCCACGTAAGATAAGACAAGGTAGAATAGAGGTATATAACGAACCAATTGAATAGACAAGTGTATTCCCTTCTGATAAATGAGCGATCACCTTTGGATTTGGTAATGGATAAATTTCTTGACCGTATTCATTCATATAATAGATTCTTCTTATAGCTGCAGGTAGCTTTTCTTCTGTCACCTTGGAGAAGACCAAATTTTCATTTTCATTTCCATCATCACCATCAGCATTGGCTTGTATGGGCGAATTTGGTAATGCCAATTTGGAGAATGCGTCGATTGGATTCATCATACGTCGAGAATGATTGGAACTATGTTCACCTGGATGACTGATTTCACATTGTCCTCGAAGGGTTTGTCCATTTTCCAAAATAGCTATAAAAAAGATAATCCGTCAATAATTATGATAATGATAATAAAAACTCTTTTTTTTTTTAATCTTTACCTGCAATTGCTGCTGTATGATTGGTATTGATTACCTACCAAAAAAAAAAAAAAAAAAAAAAAAAAAGAGTTGGGCAATCAAACATGAAATACATTTAGACAAGTGAATATAACAGAAAAGTAAAGCATCCTCTTTTTTCTTATTTTTTTTTTTTTTTTTTTGCTTACTGGTACTACAGTCGTGGGTTCATTGATGCCAGTGATGGCAGCAAATAAAAAGATAGCAGCCTCTAATGAGCCAAAAAAGAGTCTTGCACCAGTCAAAAAGAAGTTACCAATGGAACCATTCCGAAAGTTGAAATGTTTATGAGCTCGTTTTAGGATTTCGCTATTGAATGCTACCAAAAATCCACGTATGGTTTCCTTCTTTTCAATTGATATTTGATTCCAAAGTCTAAAATTCAAAAAAAAAAAAAAAAAAGATATAAGTATATGAGATGGTATTAGTAAAGTCAATTATTACCTATGTCTTCCTTCAACAATGATAGACCATTCGTCACGAATACTATGTTCATCACCAAGACTAGGTAATCTATAACTCATAAGTTCCTTGATCGCTAAACGTTCTTGTGCATGAGGTCCATCCGTCTTTATAAGTCTTGTCAATCTAGACCGTAAATCGCCAATACTTGGTCCTCCTAAAACACGTAAAAGTTCACTCTAATATAAAACATTAAGGTCAATAAAGAAAAATTCATATGTTTTTATTATTATTATTATTATTATTATTATTATTATTACCGTAGAGCCTCCATTATCACTAACACCTAAGACAAAAACAGTTTTTGAAGTAATAGCTTGGAAAGTACTTGCTATCAAAGAATAACAAAGTAGATAAGGATATATAATTCAAGTTTAAACATTCTCTTTCGACATACTTATGGAGTTGCAAGCTGATCCACCAGAGAATATCACAAAAGAAGGATCGTGCATCGTTCCAAAATATATAAAAAAAAAAAAAAAAAAAAAAAGAAAAAAGTTTATATTATATAGATATAGATAAATTCGGGGGTAGAAAATACGTGGCGTGGTTGGAACAACCCAACGCATAACAAGGCTATTTTTATTGATTTATGAGCTAAACTAACATTGATAAACTACAAAACTATAAACATAATAATCAGAGATAAACTAAAATTATTGATTGATTAACTACATAAACATATCATTAAAACCCTATTGGAGTTATATATAAAAAAAAAAAAGAAAAAAAGGATTTAATAAAAATGATCATTCATAAATTTGAATGTACTTACAGGTGGAGGAAGTTCATCATTATCAGGTTCACCAGGGAATTGACCACCACGACCTTGACCACGCCCACGACCAAATGCACCTCGACCTCTTCTTGTAGGATTTGCACCAAAAGGACCTATAGGATCAAAACGTGCTCCAGGTGGTACAGATCCTCTAAATAAAGAAAATAAGTGTGAATAGAATATTTTCCTTTTCTTTTTTTTTTCTTTTTTTTTTCTTTGTTACCTTGGTAATGGTTGAGGACCACCAAATATATCTGCAGAATCATTATCATCATGATGCCTACCACTAAAGATAGGATGATCCGGACCTACATACATACCACCACCAGGACGACGAAGTGATCTAAATATAGATATTTAGTTAGTTCATTTTAATAAGAAATATTATAATTTACTTACTCTGGTATTCGTACAGGTGCTCCTAGTGGGTTAAGATCATCATCACCTACACTTGGTATGCTATATAATAATAAGTAAGAATAAATAGAATCATAGTCAAATTTATAGTAAATTTTTTTTTCAACGGTTACCCTGAATATGGTTCATCTGGTGAAGTTGGAGTATCAAAAATAGGAGGCCTTATTGGAGGAGGTGACTGGGAAGGAGCCGGTTGAGATGATGATGGTGCTGATTGGGTTGATGTGCTACAAAACAATAGATAAGTAAAAAAAAAAAAAAAAAAAAAAAAAAAATTGATAACTTACGTTGATTGTTCTTCTGTGTAACCAGGTTTTGTTAAGCCAGGAATCAAGCGTTGAATAATGTTGATCTTATAAAGAATCAAAAAATCATTGAATCGAGAAGTAGAAATGAATCCATGAACAAGAGGCTGATCAGAATCTTTCGAATAAGGATAAAATGAAGAAGAAGTATAATCTGCAGGGTTTAATTCCAAAGTGGCTGTTTTATCATCCTAATAAATAATGAAATAAATAAAAATAAAAAAAAAATAAAATAAAATCATCCTTTACTTACGCCAATGCCAAGACCATGTAAAATCCATTTTTCACCTAATTTTATACTTTTGATAATAAAAGTTAAACTTGATTGAGGATGACTATATCGAATTGAATATACGTGAGGACCATGATCATTCCATTCATTTGGTAATATAGTTTTGGTTCCATCACCCTCTAATGCGGAAAGAAAAATAAAGTTTAGACATTAGAAAATGTAGAAAAATTCATGCATAATTATTTTAAAAAAAGAAAAAAAAAGGCTTTGTTACCTTGTCTAGCATCATCACCTAGACCAGCAAACTTGAAACCAACAGCAAGCATAGCACTATGAGATGCAGCCATTAAAGCATCGTACGGTGATTGTAATGAATTTGGTAAGTTTTGTAATATATTGTGCAATATAGAAGAAGGATCTAATACATTAGAAGACATAACGGAATACAGTTTGAAAAGAAAAAGAAAGGAGAAAAAAAAACAAGAATACGCAATAAATGTGGACTGTTTTCAAGCGTGGGACTTTTAAAATGCCGCTTTGTTCCACATAAATTGGCTATTTTTTATTATTATTATTATTACTTCTTTTTTTTTATTATTATTACTTCCTTCTTTTTTCCTTTTTCTTTCCTTTTTGTTTCCTCTTTCCTTTATATATATATATATTGAATAAATTCACTTATTTTCGTTTTATCTATGGTTTTTTGATTAAATGTTTTCTCTCAAACGCAACAAAAAATATGCAACAAATACCATCGAAACTCAGCAAGTATCAAGCAACAAATTATCACGCTTCTTCAACAAACTTACTCATTCCATAACACCTCAACATGAATTAAAAAAACCTTCTATTACCAATCTATCATCATTATTTAAAAGTGATAGTTATATACCAGTGATAAGGCAGGATTCTATATTGGACAAAGACAAATGTTTTGAACGACAACGTTATCACAAAACCAATCAAATAAAAGTCAAAGAAGAATCAACATCATCACAAACGATACCTAGTATTTTAATAAGAAGACCTTCTCTCACAACATCATCATCATCTTCTTCTTCTTTGGTTGAAACATCAAAATACTTCTCATCATCTAGCATTGACAACAAAAACAATAGTAATATCACCAATCCTTCATCAATAAATGGATCATCTAATCTTACAACACATTCTGGTGATCTTACAGCTAAACAATTTGCTGATATTGCCGGTATCAAAATTTTATCTGAAGATGACGGCACTGATGACTCTGAATGGATAAATGATCAAGATGAGGGTGATGATCTATTGGTGGGAAAAGTATCTGCAACACATTTGACCAAAATGACGGATCAAGACAAATCCTCATCCATATGCACTTATTCAACTTTACTTAGTCGAAATGAATCAACTGCATCTAGTCAGTTACGAAAACAATCTTCACTTCAAATTTGGGATTCTGCTTTTTGGCATGATGGATTCAATGAACAATCAAATTCATTATTAAGAAAAACATCTGCTCCACCACAACGACATAAAGACAATCCTATGCCAAATATTATACATGAATTACGAAGGATCAATACCATATCAAATGAATATCTTACAAACCAATATCATCATCAATCTTCTTCTGTACAACACAAACGCTCATGTGTTATTAGGAAAGGACGTTTTGAGATTAGTCTTGAAACAACCGATTCAACCGAACCTGCATCTACCACAACCTCTGGGATTCAATCAAATTAAAGTCAATGGAATCAGATGATTTACGCCCTGGATCATCGGTTAGTCAAGAATTAAATCATTTACATTCAAGATTATATTCTCTTTTCTTTTCTTTCTTTCTTTTTTTTTTTTTTATCTCAACTATATATATATATATATATATATATTGATCACAAATTTAATTGACATTTATATCCATTCATCAATATTATAGTTTAGTCTTTTTTTTTTTTTGTGTGTGTATATCAAATATAAATAAATAAAAAAAATAGATAAATAAATAAATAAAATGTGTCATTTTATACTTCATGGAACAAAAGAATCAATTTAGGATGATTTATCAGTGCTCAATGTTATTTCTTTTTTCTTCTTTAAATAATCGATTAATCTTTCTTTTTCTTTTATTTGATCGTACACACACTATATATATATATTGTCTAATAGAAATAGCACGTTGAATGGCGCCATCCATTTGATATAATATTGTTTTATCCAACCCCTCTTTCTTTTTCCATTCATTAAACTTCCTCCTTTCTTTCCTATTTTGTTAATTTTCTTCTTTCTTTCTGTCTCCTTATTCTATCTAAAAAAAAAGGGAGGAGTTGAAAATTTGGATAGGTTGTCTTTTTTGTCTCTTTTTTTTTTTTTCTTTCTTTCTTTCTTTCTTTCTTTTAACCCATTCCTTTCTTTTTACTATTACCTTGTACACCATTATCCCCCCTCACATTCCTTTTATTTATTTATTTATTACATTCATTCATTATCAAAACTCATTTATTATGTCAATTAACAATGATACAACTGATTATGCTTCTGTCACTTCCAAACTCAGTCCCGAGACTTCTCCGTCTACTACTACCATTACTGCGACTGTTATCAACATGACCCCATTACCTCATCGCGATCCTAACAATCCTTTTGCTTTCACTGTACAACAACTCACTTCTCTTGTCGATCGAAAGGATTTGACTTTTTTACAACAAATACAAGGAGTGGAAGGACTTGCTCGTGGACTTCATTCTAGTTTAACGCGTGGTATTATGATTGATCAACAAAGGAACTCACTTTCAAAGAAACTTAATGAAGACTATAGAATCAATGATATCAAACAACTTCAACAAATACTCTTTGATGAATATCCTGACTCAACAACACCATCAACAACTATACCAACTATTCATCAACGTCAACATGCCTTTGGTGCCAATATTTTACCCGAAATGGATAGCAACTCGTTATTACAACTGATGTGGATTGCGTTTCAAGATAAAACATTGGTAAGTTATTTTTTTTTTTTAAAAAAAAAAAAAAAAAACGACCATTTTTAATTAGGTAAATTGAAATTAATCTTCTTTTTTTTTTATATATATCGAAAACAAAATTAATATTTGATATAGATCCTTCTTACAATTTCAGCCATGATTTCATTTATTGTTGGCATCTATGAAGATATGACAACTGTTGATCTGGATAATAATGGTAATCCTATTCCTGGAGTCAAATGGGTGGAAGGTGTTGCTATTCTTGTAGCTGTCTTACTTGTCGTTGTGGTTGGAAGTGTCAATGATTATCAAAAAGAAGAACAATTTAGGAAATTGAATGCAAAAAAGGATGATCGACATGTCAGTGTAAGTAGAAATATCTTTTTTTTTTTATCTTGATCAAGAACTAAAATATTCAAAGTGGGATATCTAACTCTTTTTTTTTTCTTTTTTTAATTACAGGCGATTCGATCAGGTCAACCTTGCTTTCTCTCCATTTATGATATTCAAGTTGGTGATGTTTTATCTTTGGAACCTGGAGATATTGTTGCTGCTGATGGTATATTTATTCAAGGCCACAATTTGAAATGTGATGAATCTGCTGCTACTGGTGAATCAGATGGAGTACGAAAGGCTTCTTGGCAAGATTGTATCAAGGCAAGAACATTAGCCTCCACGGATCATGATACTTTGGAAGAAAAAATATCTCTTATTCCTAATGAAACATCTAATCAACATTTTGAACGAAAACAGTTACCTGATCCTTTCCTTGTCTCTGGTAGTAAGGTATTAGAAGGTATCTGTACTTATATGGTCACTGCTGTTGGTATTCATTCCTTTCATGGACGTACTCTTATGGCTTTACGTGTCAAATCTGAAATTACCCCTCTTCAAGAAAAACTCAATGTTTTGGCTGAAAATATTGCAAAACTTGGTGTGACAGCTGCTGGTTTCTTGTTTATGGTCTTATCTATTCGTTCTGTTCTCGCTTATTTAAATGCTGATCCATCTACTGATCCTACTACTGTTATCTCTCAATTGATTCATATACTAATTACAACTATTACTGTTGTTGTCGTTGCTGTGCCTGAAGGTCTTCCATTGGCTGTTACTCTAGGTATTAAAAAAAAAAGTTATGCATAAATATAGGTATGATCATCATTCAAATATGGAACTGACCCCAATTCTTTTTTTTTTTTTAAAAAAAAAAAAAATAGCTTTGGCTTATGCAACTCAACGAATGCTCAAGGAAAACAATCTGGTGCGTATACTAGCTGCATGTGAAACCATGGGAAATGCCACCACTGTATGTTCGGACAAAACTGGGACACTAACTCAAAACAAGATGACCGTTGTGGCTGGTACATTTGGCTCATCATTTCGCTTTCGAAAGGATCCTCCTGTTTATCGTACAGACTTGATTGATCTTGACAACATTCGACGACGTATTCCTCTCTCAGTACGATACTTTCTTAATCAAGCTATGGCAGTCAACTCTACAGCATTTCGACTTCCCAACAACAACAACAATAATAATAATAATAGTGATAGATGCGATGTGACACTAGTTGGCAACAAAACAGAAACTGCTATGCTCAATTTTTCTCGCGATCATTTGGATTCTGAACCTTTTGAATGTCTTCGTGCTTGTTGGCCTGTGGAAGTGGTATTTCCTTTTGACTCCAAAATCAAAGCTATGGGAACAGTGATTCGGGTAAATTATGATCATCCTACTGAACGAACTATTTATCGTTTACATATCAAAGGTGCAGCTGAAGTCTTACTTTCACGGTGTTCACATTTACTCTCGATGCATGATCATTCTTACGACACTCATCAAGCAATGGAAGAAAAAGAATCATGTCGATATGATATTAGAACAAGGGTTATGACAGAACACAATCATGCAAGGATGTCAAAAATTATTCAAACATATGGAAACAACAGTCTTCGTACTATTGCAATCTGTTATCGTGATTTTGATTCTTGGCCTACCAACTGGACTCTTCAAGACGTGCTCACATCTGGTGGATTGACAATGCTTGGTGTTGTTGGTATTGAGGATCCTTTACGTCCTGGGGTCAAGCAAGCAGTGATGGATTGTCAAAATGCAGGTGTTTGTGTTCGGATGGTTACTGGTGATAATATGATGACAGCAAAAAGTATCGCAAGAAAGTGTGGTATCTATCGCTATGGTGATTTGGCAATGGATGGCGCTACATTTAGAAAACTTTCCCCTGCACTACGAACCAGTCTTCTCCCTCATCTACGTGTTTTGGCAAGATCTAATCCTGAAGACAAACGACTCCTAGTACAATCTCTTAAATCACAAGGCGATATCGTGGCAGTAACTGGTGATGGTACCAATGATGGACCTGCTCTCAAAGCAGCGGATGTTGGATTCAGTATGCAATCTGGTACAGAAGTGGCCAATGAAGCATCCAGTATTATTCTTATGGACAATAATTTTTCAAGTATAGTACGTGCCATCTCTTGGGGTCGATGTGTCAATGATGCAGTTAAAAAATTCCTTCAATTTCAACTGACGGTGAATATCACAGCAGTTCTTTTAACCATTGTATCTGCACTGACAAGTAGTAATCAGAAATCAATTCTGACGGCGGTACAACTCCTCTGGGTGAATTTGATTATGGATACTTTTGCTGCCTTAGCCTTGGCTACAGATACACCTACACCAAAACTTCTTCGTCGAATGCCTGAACCTCGATCTGCACCTTTGATCAATACATGTATGTGGAAAATGATTATTGGACAAGCGATTTATCAACTGGTTGTTATGACTACGCTCTTATATACCAATGCTTTACAAATTCAAGATCCGGTTATATTACAAACAATGATATTCAATTCCTTTGTCTTTTGTCAAATCTTCAATGAACTCAAGTAAGTGTATAAGGTTGATGATTATGAACAAAAAAAAAAAAAAAGGAGATTAACTGACTTCTTTTTTTTTTATTTGTTACTAATTAGTTGTAGAAGAATTGATAATGGTCTCAACATCTTGAAAGGAGTAATTAAAAATCGATTCTTTATGGTGATTTTCACGATATCTGTTTTGGGTCAAGTAGCGATTGTGGAATATGGTGGCACAGCGTTTCAAACATGTCCATTGAATGGATCACAGTGGATGATATGTATATTACTTGGATTTTTGTCTATTCCCATTGGATCAATGATTCGATTAGTACCTGAACATAGTCTCTTCTTTTATAATGGTGGTGAACACTTATCTTCCCCTTCTCGGTATACATCTTTGGCTGGATCTTCCTATGACTTTATTGATGAACCTATTAATTTGATTGGCTATGGTGCAAAGGATTAATTTAATGTCAGTTATAGAAAGGCCGTGACGGCATTGTTATTATTATTTATTATTTTTGTCTTATATTTTGAAAATAAAAATATTCCACTGGTCGATTTTTTTTTCCTTTCTTTCGTCATTTTTTTTCTCTTTTTCTTTTCCTTTTTTTTTTTTTTTTTTTTTTTTTTTTAAACAAACATCATGGCTCAAGCATCCAACAGAAATTTGACCCAACTTATTATGCGTCCCAGTGCTGGTAAAGTTGGTAAACCAATACGTGTAAGAAGTAATTTCTTTGAAGTGACCACTCTTCCATCCCAAAATGTTCAACACTTGAATATTCAAATATTACCTGATGGTGCACCTCCTGCTGTTCTCAGAAAGGTGTGGCAATGTTTTGAAGATAGTCCTAAAGGTCAAGCTTTCCTTAACAACACCAAGGCTATTTTTGATGGTCGTGCCAATATTTTTTCTCCCAAACCTCTCAAGTGTGGTGATGATAATCTTGGTATTTCTTTTGAAGTAAGTTTGATTTTATTTTCCTTTTGAAAAATTCTCCCCCCCCAAAAAAAAAATAATATAACGGGCATACTTCACACGACTTTCTCTTTGTCTTTTTTTCTTTTTTTTTTTTTTGTTCTACCTTCCCTCATCCTTTTTCCTCCACTTAGTATTTAATATACTCTAGTGTTTTTATTTATCACTTTTATTTATCATTTTTATTCTCTCCTATATATGTATATTATTGATTTAATGTATATTTATCATTTTTATCCTTATTTATAGGTCGATCTCCAAGAAGGAAAACGTTCCGGTGGTGTTTTCAAGCTTAATATCAAGCCTGTTGGTGTAGTCAACATGAGTGAACTACAATTATTCTTGGATGGAAAGTCTGGTATTACCAATAACTGCTTGACTGGTAAGCAAAAAAATAAAAAAATTCACATTTTAACTCTCTCCCTTTTTTGTTTCACTAACTTTTTATCTCCTTTTTTTATATGCGCGTTTTTTTTTCATGCTGCAGCCATTATGGTCCTTGATGTATTGATTCGTCACGTTCCTAGCATGCAATATTCTACTGTGGGTCGTTCCTTCTTTACTCCCCAAGATAAACGCCCTTTGCCCAATGGTGCTGAAGTGTGGCAAGGTTTCTATCAATCTGCTCGTCCCACTCAAGGTAAATATATAAAAATATCCTAAAACTTTTTTTAATATTTGCTTTTTCACCATTTATAGGCAAAATGATGATTAATATTGATGTTAGTGCTACCGCTTTCTACGAATCTGGTCCTCTTCACGAAATGCTACCCAAACTTCTTAATCGTCGTGGTCTTGATGATCTTCGTCGTGGTATTCCTGATCGTGAACGCGTCAAGGTCGAAAAAGTTTTGAAGAATTTGAAGATTGTTGTTGTCCATCGTGGTGCTGAAAAGCGATTGAAATACAAGATCAACAAGCTTACTCCTACCTCTGCTGAAAATACTGTATTCAAGGATGATGCTGGAAATGAAATGACTGTTGCCCACTACTTCCAAAAGACTTACAACAGACGTTTGGCCTTCCCCTTCTTACCCTGTGTTGTTGTCAAGAAAGATATCTTTTTGCCTATGGAAGTTTGTGAAGTCGTTCCTGGTCAACGCCATATGAAGAAATTGAATGAAAAGCAAACTGCTGAAATGATCAAGTTCACTTGCCAAAAGCCCAATGTTCGTGCCAACAAGATCAATCAAGGTGTCAATCTCCTCAGATACAAGGATAACCCATATATTCAACAATTCGGTGTCAGCGTCAAGCCCGAAATGGCTATGATCAATGCTCGTGTTCTTCCTACTCCCAAGATCTCCTACCATGCTTCATCTCAAGATGCTACTTTTGCTCCTATGGGTGGTGCTTGGAATCTTCGTGGTAAGAAGGTCGCAAAGGGTGCCAACTTGGGTTCTTGGTCTGTCGTCAATTTTGCAAGCAATGTTCATGAAGGTATGGTCCAACGTTTCATTCGTGAATTGTGTCAAACTTTTATTGATACTGGTTTGGTAAGTTGGCTTTTTTTTTTTAAAAAAAAAAAAATCATGATTTATATTAATTTTTTTTTTAATGAAAATAGAACGTTATTAACCGCCAACCTCCTATCACCAACGCTGATCCTCAAGGTAATATTGAACGTACTCTCAAGGAAGCTTGGTTGAAGGCTGGTAACGCTGCTAAGGCTCAACCTCAATTGGTTTTCTGTATCTTGCCCAACACTGGTGTCCCACTTTATGCTGAAATCAAGCGTATCTCTGATACAGGTAAAAAAAAAAAAAAAAAAAAAAAAAGATTTTCATGACATAATCTCATATCCTTTTTATATAGTTATTGGTGTCCCTACTCAATGTGTGCAAAGTAAGCATATTGCTGATGCCAAGAAACAATATTGTGCCAATGTCTGTTTGAAGGTGAACATGAAGCTTGGTGGTGTCAACTTGTTCATGGATGGTTCTCAAATTCCTTTCATCTCTAGCAAACCTACTATTGTCTTTGGTGCTGATGTTACTCATCCTGCTCCTGGTGATATGAACAGACCTTCTGTTGCTGCTTTGACTGCAAGTATGGATTCCTTTGCCTCAAGATATGCTTCTGCTGTTCGTGTTCAAGCCAACCGTACCGAAATCGTGGCTGATTTAGCTAACATGGTCAAGGAATTGTTGAAGACTTTCTATCAAAGCTGTGGTCAAAAACCTCAACAAATCTTGTTCTATCGTGATGGCGTGTCTGAAGGTCAATTTGATCAAGTGCTCAAGAACGAAGTTGCTGCTATTCATGCTGCTTGTGCTTCTTTGGATAAAACTTACAAACCTCCTGTCACCTTTGTGGTTGTTCAAAAACGTCATCATGCTCGATTCTTCCCTGTTGAACCTCGTGATGCTGACCGAACTGGCAACTGTCAACCTGGTACTGTCGTGGATACTGATATCGTACATCCTTTCGAATTTGATTTCTGTAAGTGTTCAAATGATTATATATATTAGGATGATATATTGATTTTTATATCTATTTTTTTTTCTTAGATTTGCAATCACATGCTGGTCTCCAAGGTACCTCTCGCCCTACTCACTACCACGTACTTTATGATGACAACAACTTCTCTCCTGATGCTCTTCAAGAACTCACTTATCGTTTGTGTTATATCTATGGTCGTGCCACTCGTGCTGTTTCTATCTGTCCTCCTGCTTACTATGCTGATTTGGTTGCTGCCCGTGCTCGATTCCATCGTAAGGGTGAAAACTGGGAAGACACTGATGCTACCAGTGAATCTATGGATAGTGATGCCCAAATGGCCAGTTTCGCTGTTGTCAAACCTGATTTACAAAGAGTCATGTACTTCATGTAAATGGATAGTTTAGTTTTCATCTTTTATTCTTTACTCTTTTTTTTTTTTTCTTTCTTCATTTTTATTTTTATTATGTGGTACTCCAATTTGCCTTCCCTTTTTTTTTTTTTCTTTTCTTTAGTTTGAATCTCTTTTCTTGATATATCTAATCAAGGCACAGTACATACCTTAGTGTTTTTATGTTTATTTTTATTTTTATTTTTATCAATTTTTATCAATAAATAAAAAAAAATGTTTTACTCTTTTTGGTGATAGCGTCTCTTTTACGATGATGAATAAATGGATGAGTGATGTGATGTTACGTGATGTGCTGAGGATGGATATTCAAAGATGACAGGGATTGCCTCTTTTGGAAACTTCAACATGAACAATAGATAGATCCTAACCGCATGAATTTTTAAGAAAGAAAAAAAGAAAAGCATCCTATCATGTGAACAAGTTGACCATCATTGTCAAATATACAGTAAAAATACAATATAGAAAGTGTTTATTATTAAAATGAATACAATGAATGAATTAAAATAAAAGATATGAACAAATGCTATACTAAAAAAGTATATAAAATAAAAAAAAAGAGATCATTTCTTCCTTGGAATACGTTTATATGTCTTCTTTCCAGATAACAAATCCACATAGTCAGGTTTTTCGGGTTGTTTTGGTTCTTTGTTCAATTTTTTGGTAGGGGTATCGATATCCATAAGGACAGCAGCAGCAGCTTGTTGGGCAATAGATTTCTTGACTGTTGGTTTCTTGACTTGACTTTGTTCAGTCTTAGGTAATGAATGAAGATGTTCCTTTTCTTTCTTGGTAGGTCGTTTATAAAATTTGGCACTTCTACCCATTATATATTATATAAAAAAAAAAGGATCAAACGTTTGGGAAAATGTGAGAGAGAGAGAGAGAGAAAAAAAAAAAAAAGGGCTAAGCCTCAAGACGGAGTTGGCAAAAATCATAGTGATAGAGGAAGAAGAAAAATGGGATTTTTTTGGCGTTTGACCGTAAATCTTTTCGCGCTGTAAAATTTTACTAAAGTGTTTTTTTTTTTTTCTTTTTTTTTTTTTTTTTTTTTATTCTTCACACAACTTTATTTTCTAACGACAATGTCTTTCTCTCTCGAATCTGGTTTGGCTTACAAGATCCTTAACGGTTTCTTTGAAAATGCTTCCTATGTCAAGGGGTAATCTATAGAATACTTCTTTTTTTTTTTTATATATGACTCACTTTTTTTTTATTTTGTTTTTTTATGGTTTATAGTAGCGATGCCTCTGAAGCTGATAAGGCTGTCTTTGAAGCTCTTCCTGAAGGTCCTGCTGCTGCTACTTATCCTCACTTGGCCAGATGGTATAACCACATTGCTGCTGTTCAAGGTTTGACTGCCAAGTAAGTATTCTTTATTTGTTTTTTTTGGAATATATGATGTCTTATTTTTTTTTTTTAGGGCTGCTGCTGCTCCTGCTGCTGCTGCTGAAGATGAAGATGACATTGATCTCTTTGGTTCTGATGAAGAAGAAGTTGATGAAGAAGCTGAAAAGATCAAGGCTGCTCGTGTCGCTGAATACAATGCTCGCAAGGCCAACAAGCCCAAGCCTACTGCTAAGACCACCGTGACTCTCGATGTCAAGCCCTGGGATGATGAAACCAACATGGATGAATTGACTCAAGGTGTCAAGGCTATTACTATGGACGGTTTGTTGTGGGGTGGTCACCAATTGGTCGCCATTGGTTTCGGTATCAAGAAGCTCCAAATCAACTGTGTTGTTGAAGATGACAAGGTTTCCATGGATGACTTGACTGAACAAATCGAAGCTTTGGAAGATTACGTGCAATCTGTTGATGTTGCTGCTATGCAAAAGATCTAAGTCTTGTACTAGTTTATTCATACTCTTCTTTTTACATATATATATATATCATTTGAAATAAATAAAAAAAAATTATTCATTATTTGATTCTAAATAGTTATTCATCATTTTTACTATTTGAAATATGATGATTTTGATATATTCTACCTATCCATCATCTATCAATTTCGTTCATAGCGTTATCCTCATCTCGCATCTCGTGTTCATCGTTATTCCAATCTATCCCAACAAATTCCATCATCCTAACTGATCAGTTATCTTTTATCATCATATTTATCTACCGTCCTTTTGCTTCAATCTACATATCACGTCCATCCATCATTTGTGTTCATCATGATACATCTGTCAAGCTTATTTGTCCATCCATACCAGTCGTAACCTATCACTAGCTAATATCTCATCCTATTCATCATCATTTACGCCTATTTATCCATTTCATTTCTTATATGATTAACAATACTATCCTATCTATTTGATTCATCTTTATTCTAAAATCACCATAATACACTAGCTGATAATAAACATAATGACTCTAATAAATCATTCATCATTATATATACATATATCTAATCATCTACAAGCGTTGTTTGACCCAGCCTTCCAATCCATTATCCAACCAGATTTCTTGGACACTCTTACCAAGAGCACCAACCTTGTATGAAGTTTGGGAACCATCTTGCTTTTTGACATTGACCTTGCCTTGAGCCACATGGATTTCAACTTGCCAACCTGTGCGTTTTGTCAATTGATCAGTCCCGACTTGTTGTTTAAGATCATGGACCAATTCAGGTGATTCGATCAGTAGCAGAGCATTGTTGATAGAGTTGCGTTTAAAGATATCCGAATACGAACCAGCGATCATGATAGAAATATCACGCGACTTGATGGCAGTAGCAGCTTGTTCACGCGAGGATCCAGTACCAAAGTTGAAGCCGCCTACTAACACATCTCCTTTTTGCACCACATTCACAAAGTCAGGATCATAATTCTCCATCACCACTTTTTTCATGTCGTCCAGAGTCATATCATCATTGTACGTGTACTTGCCAGGATAGATCCCATCTGTATTCAAATTGTCGGCAGGGCAGAACAGTAATTCACCACGGATCACAGACGGAAACTTGGGAAGCACCTCTGCACTACTTGTATCTTCTTCCTTATTTTCTGTATGATCTTCAATACTGAATTTAGGTGGACTTGTTGTCAATACATCCTTGCCAATCGAATTAGGTGAGGCAATTTTACCAGCCACAGCAGATGCTGCCACCACAGCTATCCAAAAAAAAAAAAAAAAAAAAAAAAAAAAAATCAGTTCATCATTCATTCATGTCATCATGTTGATATTCTTTTTTTTTTTTTTAATTACCAGGAGATGCGAGATATGCCAAAGCTGAAGGAGAACCCATACGACCCTTAAAGTTTCGATTAGTAGCAGAAATTCCAATTTCACCATCTTTAAGTAATCCAGTACCAAGACCTAAATTTGTGGGGGAAATAATCATTGAGAAAAAAAAAAAAAAAAAAAAAAAAAAAAAAAAAAAAAAGAGATCTTTCTTTTATATATATACTTTACCAACACAAGGACCACATCCAGCAGGTAACACTTTGGCGCCAGCTTCAATCAAGATATCCCAATCACCAGATTCCTGTACTTCCTTTTGCACTTCAGAACTAGCAGCAGCAACATAGAATTCCACACCATCCTTGACTTTGTTTCCTTTCATGACGGCAGCAGCTTGTCTAAGATCACCAGCACGAGAATTGACACAAGAAACCAGATAAGCCTTATCAATTTTGATATTTTGAGTTTCCAATTCGACTAGAGGAGTAGCGATCTTGACCGAGTTAGGACCAGACACATGAGGAGACAATGTAGCAAGATCCAATGTTAGAGTTTTTGCATAAGTGGCATTCTTGGCAGGGAACAGAGGATTATCCAAAAGAGCTTGAATGGTATCATTGTTGATGCGAGGATGTTTGAAATCCTTCTTATTATTGTTGAATGCAGAGAGTTCTAATCTTGCCATACGTTTACGAAGGTAGTCAATGGTCAAACGATCAACAGAGAATACACCAGCTAGAGCACCCCATTCGGTTGTCATATTAGAAATAGCTAATCGATCTTCAATAGATAATGCATCTTCTTGATCCATATGGAATTCAATGGCTGTATTCAGTACTTGATCCTTATTGAAGAGGCCACATAAGGTCACAATCACATCCTTGCCTGTCACACCAGCTGGTAAATGATTCTTTAATTCTACCTTAACCACGGGAGGGATTTGCCACCAAGTTTGTCCAGTGGCCCAAATAGCTGCCGCATCTGTTCGTACAATAGGTGTACCCAAAGCACCAATACCACCATACATGTTGGAATGAGAATCAGAAGCTACTGTCAATGTATTTGGAAAAGCATATCCTTCTTCAATCATCACTTGATGTCCAATACCACGTCCAGCAGGATAAAAGTCAACACCTTGTTCCTTCGCGAACTTTTCAATATTGGCATATTTGGCAAGATTCTTTTCTGACTTGTTTTGTACATCATGATCCAAAGCATAAACTGGTTGACGAGGATTGTATATCTTGGTAGCACCAATAGACCTAAACCTAATCATAAAAAAAAAAAAAAAAAAAAGAATAAAATATAAATATATATGAAAAAAAAAAGAAAAAGAAAAAAGAAGAATATAAGACTACTTACTTTGGTATGACGGCCCCAGTATTATCATGAGTCAAAACATGGTGAGGTCGAATAGATACATAATCACCACTTTTCACAAGTTTCCCAGCAGGTAAATCCAAAGCATACTTTTGAACGATCTTTTCAATAAGATTTTGAGTGTCCTTTGCATCACTAGCATAAAAGCGACGTCCAAAAGGAGTCCATTTCATAGTAGACCGTAAGACATTGGGTTTTGAAATAGTTAACAGCATAATATAAGAAAAAGAGAGAGGGGAGGAACAAGATAAAAGAAAAAGAAAAAAAAAGAAGGAAAGAAAGAAAGAAAGAAAGAAAGAAAGAAAGAAAAGAAAAAGGTTCAATGAGGAACTTTTTTTTTTTTTTTTTTTGATGAGCGATTTCAGATTATCATATAGATTTTGATGCAGAAGATTTCCTAATTTGATCGATTCAGTCACTGTCGGTATTTGAATCATCTCTAGACTAAGTGGGGAACAATATATATACTTTTTTCATTTGTTTTTTTATTTTCTTTCCCCCTTTTTTTCAAACCTTTTTCAGTATCATCATGGCAACGAATCCCAATTATACCCCAATGACCACTCGACGTGCTCAAAATATCTCGGAAGCAAAATTACGAAGATTGTTAGAATATAACCAACGTTTACGTGAACAACTAGATGTTTCTCGTATTACTGTATCTGAGGCATCTACTGGGTAAAAATAATAAAGAAACAATATTATATTTAAACTGAAACTCCCCTTTTTTTTTAATAGCTTAATTGAATTTTGTAAAACAACAAAAGATCCAATGTTACCTTCTGTATGGGGTCCCATTGATAAGAAAGAAGATCCTTTTGCTCCTGCTAATGGTGGTGGTTGTTGTACAGTCATGTAACCTCCCTTTGTTTTTCTTTTTCTTTAATATTATATATTCACTTTTTTATGATATCATATTCTTAATATTGTGCACATTTTATCCTTCTTATTCCTTATTATTCTATTTCTCCATTTCATGATATCTTCCTACTAGTTTCCCCATATCTCCTCCTCCAGTTGACAATATCATTCTTCTCCTTGTTGTACTTCTTTTTTTTTTTATTTTATTCCTATTTCCCAACCTTTTTTTTTTTTTTTTGTAGTATACTTTATCGAAAATAAAACAAAGGATGATGACACTTCATTCACATATATACACACGCGCGTACAAGCTTTTTTTTTTTCATCAGATGGGAACGTGTTGATTGGTCAAAAATGGTATGTCCTTTTTTACAGTGTTTTCAAAGTTTTTTTGTTGGGTCACAAGAAAATAGGTTCGTGATATTATAAAATAAAAATATCGGTCTTTCCCAAAATGGATGTAGCATTACACACTTTTTCAGATATCTCTCCAGAGTATGTCAAAACACATTGATTGATGATTGATGATGATGATACAGTATTAGTTAAAATAAATATATAAAAAAAATGGATATGTTGACTAAATATATATATATATATATATATATATATATATATATATTTCTGTTATTCAAAATCTCTTATACACAATGGAACTATTGCCACTCATCTTGTATTCAATTTGGATTATGCGTTCAACTCTTTTTTCTTCTGTCATCTATTTTCTATCCTTACTATATTTTTATTTCCTATTTTTGCGATTATCTTATTTTCAATTCCGTCGTTTATTATTGAATAAAGTGTAGCAAACGCCTCCCTCACTCCGCTGTTGATCTTTTCCTCTTTTGTGCAAAGGGGGCTATGGATCGTGCTTCGGCTTTGTATGATCTCACTCTCATGATGATTTGTTTAGTCTAGATAATGTAATGGAGAAAAGAAACAATCATATACATATACTATATAACTTTAATTTGAACCAAGAATTTTATTTATATACTGTTGATTGCATTCTTTTTTTTTTTTTTTTTTGATATCATCGTTGAATAGTCGTTTTGAATGACAAGTCATAAAGGATACAATCATGACATAGATGTCATCTTCATCAACGAAAAAAAAAAAAAAAGAAGTATGTCTCTTCTATTGTTCATGCAGTGCGACATGTTACTATATTCTTTAAAATGTCCATGATGGTTGTACAAAAACTTCTCTAAAAAACAGTTTTTTTTTATTTTTATTTTCAATATGATAAATCTTCAATGATAAAACAAAACCTTTTTATTTTTTTAAATCAACATGATAAAACTGTATCTAATATATATCTAATATATATATATATATATCCTACATATCATTTTGTTTGTTGGAGTTGTCAATATCGGATGTATGATTGTCCATGATCTGTTGTTGTTGTTGGTTGTATTCCTTAAGCCAGAGAGGTTCTACTTTCTCCAATGTTTCCAATTCATCACCAATCTTGTTCAAAATTTCAGTCTTGAATTGATCAGCTGTTTTCACCACAAAGCCATCTGCACCCATGCCAAAAGTCCGTCGATTACCATCCATCCCTTCCAAATGACTAAGCATACGTTGTTGAGCCCATACCTTGAACAGCTGCTTCAAATATGTTTTGTTGTCCTTTTCATATGAGACATAAGACTGAATTCGTGTATCATCCCATTGGATTGGTCGTCGAGATGTATTGGCCAACGTAGGATTACCATCTTCATCCATCTTGTTGACTACTTTGTCCATAAAGATCTTGCATAATTCTTGTAAAGGCGAAATAGGTGCACCAACACGCCATGAAGGATCTGTCACATCCAATCGAATCCAATTACCACCATTTAACCATTGTTTTGCCCCCTTGTTGCCAGGTGTGTGTTTGAATACCGGTGGATTGTCGCTATGGCCAGCCACCACAATCACTTGTTCCTTGTTGTCGCGCACCTGACCAATATATACAGGGAAATACAAAGGATACGCTGCACCAAACGCTAATGCCGCCTTGCCTATAGTCATCGCTTGTTTCAAATGACCTACATGAACACCTTCAAGTGCTTTTGACACATGATCGCCAAGATCTTGGAAAGGATCTGTTGAAAATGGAATCACTTCAATATCTTCCTTATCATCCACATTATCATACATGCTTGTAAAAGGTCGCAAGGTTGTCTTATCCAATACTACAGGAAAACCAAAGCTGAGATAACACATGGGATCCCACGTATGACCTGTCCAAAATCCATCCAATGCTACACCCAACAGTTCACGCTCCTTGCCATCGCTATCCCTAGTTACATTTGCTGTGATCGCCATGTCGTAATACCAAATAGGAAGATATGCTTTTCGAATTCGAATATGTGAAGTGTCACTCACCGTAGGTAATGATTTGAAGAACATCTATAATAATAAAGAGTCTTTTATTAGAATCCATATAAAGATATTTATTTCTTTCTACTTGCCGATTTCAGTAATTTAAAAAAACCAAGAAGCTTGTGTTCAGTAATATAATTAGCGAATTCTACCACTTGAGGTGCGCGTTCAGCTGAAAGTTTGAAGGGAAGTGCATATATTTTGCTGTATTCCGGTTCATTGTTTGAAGACGATGTGGAAGTAGTAAAGGAGAATGACCGTGCTATCGAATATCCAAGATTTCTTCTACATACTGGTAAACCATGATGTCTTATTATCTTGACCAATGACCGACGATACATGAAAAATAAAAAACAAATAAAAAAAAAAAAAAGACAAAGGAAGAAAAGAGGAGGTAAAAAAAGAAAATTATTCACTAAAAATCACTGCGCGGTATCTGAAATGTACTTCAAAGAAAGGATATCGTAAACAATGCTGACAAACAATCCAAAGACAACATGATAAAAGAGGGTGATAAATATAACATATTTTATTGATTAAATGAATAAATAGCTAAACAAGATAAATAATAATAATAATAATAATACGAAGAATGTAGAAAGTATAAACACAGTACAAAAAAAAAAATTACAACAGGATCGAGTTGATCCAATTAATGAGTTCCGCTTGCCAGTCTTCCTAAAGGTTTCTTCTTCTTCTTCTCATCCAGTACTAAAAGTTTCTTGAGAATCCAGATTCTTTTATAACAAAAAAAAAAAAAAAAAAAAAAAAAAGAAGAAGAAGATCATATCGATTAGTGTCATCGATTTAAACTAACATTGTATCCTACTGTTTTACCTTTTTGATGAGGACTTCTGATGGGCATATTTGGTAATGGTCTGCGTCTTGATTCTTGTTTCTTTGTATCTTCATTCGTCATCCAATATGGTCTTCGGTGATATCCTTGTGAAGTAGGTGATTCGATGGCATTGCTGGAGATAGATGCCAACGTTGCGAATGGGTCAAAAAATTCTGGTGTGGTGGAAGATTCTTGCAAAGAGGAGCAATCATCTGACCCTGCAATAATAGTAGATGATCCATTGTCAGTGTTGATAGATGAAGATCCAGTCGATAATTTTTTGAGTAGGTGCTGAGTAGAATGATTTGGACGTCGTTGTCGAACACCAGATAGCCTAATCCGTCCAGATGCACTGATCTTCAAACTGGTGTTATGTTTGCGTGTTGATGTGTTGTTTTGCTGTTCTAATTGGCGTAACATACTTTCTAATTCTTCATGAACTCCATGACCAGCTGATGATTCCACTTTGGATTCCATTTGATCATAGTCTCCTTCTTCTTGTTGTTGTTGTTGTTGTTGTTGTTGTTGTTGTTGTTGTTGTTGTTGTTGTTGTTGTTGTTGTTGTTGTTGTTGTTGTTGTTGTTGTTGTTGTTGTTGTTGTTGTTGTTGTTGTTGTTGTTGTTGTTGTTGTTGTTGTTGTTGTTGTTGTTGTTGATGTTGTTGTTGTTGTTGATGATGATGACGATGATGATGATGAGGTGGAGGTGGTGGAGGGGAATTTTCCATTATGACAGTGTTGTCTGCAGGTAGTCGAGGTGTTGTTTCTGATTCCTTAAGTGGTGATTCATTTTCTGCTGCATGGATTGTTTGATTGTAAGTAATACTTTCGTTCACATCATCATGGTATATACTATCTCTTCCAAAGTCCATATCTAATTGCTCCAACAAGGCCTCGGTTTCAGCTTTGGTGAATTCCAGTTGCCGATTCCTTTCCATCGTCATCGCGCTGTTCGATTGTTGTGTCGATGTTGAATCAGATATGACGCTGTCGTTGTTGTTGACATTCTCAAGGGTATTCAAGTCATTGTTTGTATAGATTTCCTCGTCATCATGGTTATCCTGGTGTTGTTGAGCAAGTTCATTTGGATTCTCGTCTGGAGTTATGTCATATTGATGATTTGTACCCTTGTCTTCGTTGCCAGTCACCGATTGTTCACTGTAGTGGTTATAATCACCGCTTAGTTCATCTTCATCCTCATCAAGAGAGACTTCGCTATCAGTATCTTCATCCTCCGAGTTGCAGATTTCCATACGACCAACCATGAGAGATGTCACATCATCCTTTTGATCGTTACAGTTGAGTTCCATTTGTCCGTCGTATTCCAATGACTCAGAAAATGCACCATCAATGTTGTCATTATCTTGATAGCACGGTGGGGCATCCTTTTCAGTCAAGCTGTCTTGTTGCTGATCATCATCATCTTGTTTCTTGGTTTGATCTTGTAGAACGTACATCTTGATATAGTCCATGGCATCTATATTAACAATGATGTGATAAAAAAAAAAAAAAAAAGAGGTAAGGAATCAATATGCGATCGTCTTCGTACACTTATCTATATTTTTCTTCTTTTTCTTTGTACCTGGTATAATATTACTTCCGCCATAGGTTTGTACAAAGTCGTCCAAATCGGTATCTATATCGATTAAATCCACGGTGGACTTGATTTTCTCAAGTGCCTATATATGTATATATATAAAGTGAGATCATCTTTTCATTTCAATATGAATTATATCAGTTTTCTTAGCTTACGTTTTCTGTCGTTTCCAATGATTGGAATAAGAGGTCATTGCCATCATGGATATTGGATTTGAGAAACGTGATTCGTTCAGTCTCCAACACGTCGAATTGCTAAAGAAGTATATTTTAATTATCTATTTATTCTAATTGCATAAATTACTTACTTGACAGGTATGTTGCCATTGTTCCGTCCACTGATTAGTAACCGTTTGAAGATCTGCCATAGCATCGTTATACGCATTTTCTATTGATATAAAATATAACTTATACAAGTTAAAAAAAAAAATAGACAACTACTTTGATACTTACGATATTTCTTGATAACCGCTTGTGCTCTTTTGTAAGATATCTGTTTCTCCATACCAGATTTATGTTGCATCATTCCATTTGCTTTGGTGCATTCTGCATTATAACGATCACGAGCCTTAAAAAAAAAAAAAAAAGAATCATAAATACAATAGGATCAGTATCTGCATAAAGTGAATCATAAATATATAGTATATACTTACACGTAAAACGCAGTGAGTCTATGTGAAAACATAATGAGATAAAAAAAAAATCAAATAATGATTAGATCAATCAAGTGTGAATATATCTTATTGTCTTACTTGTAATTGGCGGTTATTATAAAATTTTGTAACATTAGCTTGAAGCTAGTAAAAAGAAAAACAAGTTGATAAGTATTGAGATGTCCTTTTTTTTTTTTTTTTTATTGAGTGTGATACCTCTTTCCGAAGTTGTTTCTGTTTGGTGAGTAAAGTCGTCAATGGTACAAGAATGTTGTTCTTCCAATCGCTTGCTAATTGCAAATGAGCATCAGCAACATGTACCCATTGTTCTTCCAATGTAATCAAAGTATGTCCTAGTTGACCAGTTTCTTCACAGGTTTGTAGATTTGCAGCCATACGCAATAGAGTTTCTGCATAATTTTCTTCCAAAGCAACCCTTTTTTTTTTAGGAGAAAAAGAGAGTTAAATAAAAAGGGCGGAATAAGAAAATCAATCCATAAATAAATGATTTTTTGGTGTACCTTATTTCATAAACAGCTTTTAATTTTTCACAGGTTTGTTTACCCATACGTAATTTGTTAACGAGAGTAACTACTCCATTATTATTTGGATGTTCCTATTTGTAAAAGAAAAAGATCATCAAGGTCAATTTGAATGATACTGATTGATATTGGTTGATATGATTGTATGATAAATAATGGATGATGATGATGTTATTGTAATGAAAGAAAGTGTATAAGTGTCTTACCCAAAAATGACCAGAGAATGAATAACTACGGGTCATTACAAATGATACAATAATAATAATAAAATAAAAAAAAAAAGAAAAAACAAAACAAAAAAAAACAAAAAGAGAAACAATCCTCTTTATATATATATAAAAAATGTGGATCTTTGTTTTTATTATCAATGCCGTAGTTACCAAAACCAAATAAATGATTCGGGCAAAAATGAAACAATAAGCAATAACATACTACCAAATTGGGCAATTCCCTTTTTTTTTTTTCAAGGTTTATGGGATGATATTCGAGTCGAACTGACTGGCCAGGGAGAGGGAGCAAACCAGCACAAGCAATTCACTTTCCGCCAATTTTTTTTTTTTTTTTTTTTCGAATGGGGTTGAAAACTCATCCATCCGTGTAATTGAATTGAAGCTTCCTCCTTTCACAAAGGTAATAAAAAAATAATATAGTGGTAGAGCGAAATATACGATGGGAATATGATCATTCCATATATAACAATAAAAAAAAAAGACGAACGAAATGGAATGAAATGGATGAATCAATAGATGGATGGATGGATGGATGGATGGTTGAACTGACTATTGATTTTTTTTTCACCCATGATAGAATTTATCACCATGGTTCAACGTGTCACTTACAGACGTCGTCTCTCATACAACACCCGTTCCAACCGAGTCAAGATCGTCAAGACTCCTGGTAAATAAATCATGACCTTTTTGAACAACAAAGACATTAGAGATCAATGACAATGGAATTGAATGTATTCACTCAAATCTCTCTCTTTTTTTTTTTTTTTTTTTTTAATATTATGACTATTAGGTGCTAAGCTCGTCTACCAATATCAAAAGAAGCCTGTCAAGGGTGCTCGTTGTGGTGACTGTGGTAACACCTTGTCTGGTGTAAGTTGATGAAAGAAAATATATATTTTTATTAGTTAGATTACTAAAAGGAAGATATGTATATATATAATAATAGATCAAGGCTCTTCGCGCTCGTGAATTCGCCAACATTTCCAAGACCAAGAAGACTGTCAACCGTGCCTATGGTGGTTCCCGCTGTGGTCTCTGTGTCCGTAACCGTGTCGTCCGTGCTTTCTTGATCGAAGAACAAAAGATCGTCAAGCGTGTTCTCAAGGCTCAAAAATAGACACTTTTTACTTAGTAAATAAACTATTGTTTTGACTATTGTTTTTTTATTATTATTGTTGTCATGATTTGAATAAAAGACGTTGTTCGATAGTGATTGATAATATACTATTTATGATGTGTGTGAGAATGATGATAATAATATGTGAAGTATATAATAAAACAATGTAATTGTGTATATATATATATATAAAAATGAATGAATGAATGAAGTGAATATTCTATTGAAGGGGGGGGGATCTAAACTTTTTGACGTTTTCCAAGCTTTGGTTTCGACAAGGCACCTTTACGTTTGACAGCATCTACCAATTGTGATAATGAACCAGATTTATTTGATTCTTTTTCTTCAGTATTCGTGGAAATCTATCAATAGGTGAAAAAGTCAATATATATATATATATATATATATATAATATATTCATGATTTCAATCGCTTACCTTTGAAGGTGTAGTATCCTTTTTCCATTCTTCAGTATCATTCAAATTCTGATTCAGCTTGGATTGTCTTGCTTCCATCAACTTCTTCATATTCTTAGTCTTCTTGAATTGAGGATTGGTAGGATCAATAGCAAAGTGATGAGAGTCTTGTAAAGCAGCAAATCGAGGATCTTGTACATTGATTTCAAAGTCATCTTTGGTTGATTCCAAAAGTTCCTTTTCCTTTCTTGTTTTCTTGCCCTTTTTCTTTTCCAATTTTTCTCGCTTCAATACAGTCTTCATATCAAATCCTTCACCTTTTTGATCATCCATCAGTAATTCCAATTCTGCCTTTTGTCGTTTTTGTTCTAATCGTTCTTCTTTAGTCAATTTCTTCTTCTTGTTCTTCTTCTTTTCCTTGACTTGTTTCACTAATAAAAAAAAAAAAAAAAGAAAAAGGATTTAAGTTTTTTAATTATTATAATTTCTTTTCATTCCTACTTACCAGCAGGAGTGGTACTTTCTTGTTCCATTTCATCACGAGCTTCCTTGAAGAATGCATCATTGTCCAAATCTTCATCCATATCAGATTCACCATAGGATTCAACCAAATTGTTCTTCTTCTTGTTCTTCTTTTCAGTAGAATTTTCAGTCATGGCTTCACGTCTTTCCTTCTTAGCCAATCGCTTTTCCTTTTGTTTCCGCATATATTTTTCAATACTTGTTTCTTCCTTTTCAACTTGATCCTCATCATCAGTTTCTACAGCAGCCGTCTTTTCACTAAGACCAGGAGTGAACGTAATTTCCATATCGCCATCTTCATTATCGCTACCCTTGTCATCATATACATTGGTATCCACATTTTCTAAAAGTTTTCGATACTTGGCACGCATGGCTTCCACATCATTATCATCATCCGAATCTTCATTTTCAGAAGAAGAGGCCAGATAAGCATCAAAGTCCAACTCCTTCAGATCATCTTCAGTAAATTCACGACGGGTCATTTGAACACGTTCAGGTTGATCTTGATCCCAGGTTAACTTGACACGAGTATGTTGTAAAGCTTCAGTGGTGAATTTTAATGGTTTGTAGCTATCAGACACTTGAGTACATGTATCACGAGGACAATCATCAAAAGTCATATCATCAGGTATATATCGCATATCAAAAAAGTTGGCACTGTTTTCGTATTCGTTTCCATCGCATGATTGATAAATAATCTTGGCTGTAAATGGCGAATCACATTCAACGACGGCATAGTAGTATCTATAATAACAAAAAAAAAAGACTAAGTCAATTCATCCTTTTTATTTCAACACTAATAGACATTACCGTAATCGATCCAATTGATATTTTCGAAGTGCTTCTTGATCAAAATCTTCACCCATACCTTCTTCCAGTTGATCTCGAATTATTGTTTTTTCAGTGACTTCTTCATCATCATCATCACTTTCACTATTGTTATCATCATTGTCGGTTGTTGATTTGAAGATATCTTTGGGTGGACCTTCACGTTCTTCCTTTTCCAGTCTTTCTTTGCCAAATTCAGAAGGGTAGATAGATACACGTTCAATAATACCAGTCTTTGGTTTGAATCCATTCAATACTTGGAAAATATCCATTGATTTGACCTTATCCCAGTCCATATTTACCAAAGCCAAACGACGAGTTTCTTCTCCTCTTTCAATATGCTAGTTTTTTTTTTTTTTTTTAAGAAAAAAAAAAGAAAAGAAAGGAAATTAATACATTGTGATACTTTTTTTTTGGTTTACTTACAGGTATTTGATCATCTTCTTCCTCAGATGTTTCTTCAGCTTCCAAGTCTTCATCAGAGGTATCGGATTCATCAATGATACCTTTACCACGCATAGGATCATACCCTTTTTGTCCAAAAGCCAGCTTGGGTTGGTCTTCATCTTCAGAGGATTCCTCGTCTTCCAGATTACCTTCATCCGCCAAGAGTTCCCGTTCGAGTTCAGTCACTGATTTATTGTCTTCACTATCAGATTCCTCTTCATCTTCAATATGATAAAATCGTTTCAATTCTTTTTCCGCAGTATCAGCTTGTAAGGGACGACCATACTTGTCCACTTTGGCTATAATAAAAAGAAGAAGAATAAGTCTCATTGTCTTTTAAGAATTGATCGCTTTTTTTTTTTTTAATGGTAAAAATAAATATACTTACGTCCTGATCCAGTACCAAATTCCTTGGATGTCAACATGGACTGAAAACGTTTATCGATCTTGACTTTGGTATCTTTCTTCTTGGGACGTAAAAAACGAGGATCATTGTGTATACGACTGAATCGAGGATCGTTAATGATTTGGCCAGATTCATGGGTAGATTGAGGTCTTTGATTCTTTTTGGGAGGCATTGTCGAGTGAGTAAGAAAAGAAAAAGTTACAAAAAAAAAAAAAAAAAAAAGGTTGGCAGGAAAAAAAAAAAGTAAGCCACCTGCGGTGAGTAAAAAATGATTTTGATCTTTTTGGCTTTATCATTTTTTGAAAATGCCCATATTTGGATAATCATCACTCATTACTACTTATTTGCTTCTCTTGGTGCATATGTAAATTCCTTATTCTTCTCTTTCCTTTTTTTTTGGTATGATATTTTAAACTTTTCTGCTCGAATTCTTTTATATCCAAAGCAAAATGTAATAATTGTAATTGTCGATTCATCATCTCCTTATCTTTTTTTTTCGGGATATCTATCGGTATGCTATATCATTAAAAACAGTTGTTATCAAGAAGAATACCAAATAATAATAAAAATATCAAATAAAAATAACATTGTAAATATGATAAAGAAAAGGATTTTATTGACAATTGATTAAGGCATTGTATATAATCTTTTGTTCGAAATTTACATGCCAGGTAGACCATCATAACGACCACTAGTATATCCAGGTCGTAATCCAGCTGCCAATTCCATATGTAAATGAGATCCAAAAGGAAGACAACCCTCCAAAGTAGCTTCTGATACAAGAGAAGTGAAGGCATCAGCTGTATGAGTATCATTTTCTATCAGGTGATTTGTAAGACGACGTAAATTATTCCATATGGCTGATAAAATAGCAATAGATGTGAAAGTACCAGTAAATGAAGGATGATGAGTAGGAATACTATTCAATCAAAAAAAAAAAAAGATCATTCGTTTTTAATACTTTATATATATATATATATATATATATATATATTATTTTACCTGTCCAAATTTCTTCGACGTTTTCGAGTGAATTTGATATGATCAGCAGATGAATGAGTGGTAGCACTATTATAATCAACATGACCATCTTTTTGTTGTAGAGGAAGTTGTTCATCCGATGATACCATAATATCCTTTGCTGTTGGTTGGAAAGTAGGGTGTTGAGCAATGGAGTGATATAAGGTATCGACAGAACCATCATCATTGGTTTGTTTGACAGCAAAAGAAGGTAAATGAATACCACCATAAGGAAGTAAAATATTTGGCATACTTGGAGAAGAAGGATCAAAGTCACCAGGACTTGTACGTTGTACTAGAGAAAGAACATTACTTGGTGTCAAAGAGTCAGGTAAAGGAAGTTGTTGTACTTGTCGTGTTGATTCTTCATCTGAAGTTTGGTCCATATCTACAAAAGCACCAGTACCATCATGGGCAGGTAAAGTACCAAAAGCAAAGTCAATATCCGAAAAAGATTCAGTATCAGAAGGTCGAAAGGAAGAGAAAGATTCAGGTTCTGAAGGTTCTATGGAATCATGTCGTTCTATACTATGTGGAGTGGAAGTGGTAGAAGTAGGTGAGATACTGGAAGAAGAAGACCGAAGTACTGAACTGATAACGTGCCAATCTGTTTCCGAGTCTGAAGTAGTGGAAGGTGTAATATGATTATGCTCGGGTGATATGACATTAGGTGATGGTAAAGATGGTGATATGACTTGATCATCTAAAGAGGGTTGTGAACGATGTCGTGGTCTTCTTTGTTGTTGAGCAAATGCCATTATTCTAAAAGATTAAAAAAAAAAAAAAAGAAAAAGAAAAAAAAATCAGAAAAAAGAAGAATGAAAAAATCTATTTGGGGGGCAAGACAAGGAGAGAAAGTCATCTGCCAATGCTGATAACGCAATCTGAATTTGAAAATTTGCTTTTTTTTTTTTTCGTTGCTCTTGTTTCTTTCAAAATGGCGTCAAAAGTATGTCTTTGATATAAAAAAAAAAAAAATTCAAAAATCTGCATGAAATAAAGATTTTTTATGTCTTAATTCATTTTATTAGTATTTTATTATAAAATATTTCTATAGATTATTTATTATAGTCTCCTTTATATATAAATTTTTTGATCTTTTAAATTGTCCGAGTTCAAAAGTAATTTTCTCTTTTTTTGTTATAGAAAAAAAAAAAAAGGGGGGTGGGTGGGCAGAGGAATGTGTGCGTATGGGTCTTTTTTGGTCATATTTCAAGATCCGCAGTAAGCAAAAAAAAAAAAGAGACCAGGACCCGGCATTTCAATTTGGTGCGACGTATCTTTTTCACTATTGGGCTTTTTTTTTTTTTTTTTGGTTCATAATCATTTTCTCATTCTTTTCTTTTCTTTACATCCTTTTCCCTTTTTTTTTTTTATATCTAAACATTCATAGGTAATACGATCGCATCCATCATTCTATCTAACGTTATCCACTCTTTATTTTATCGAAAAGGATGGATGATTCCTTAAAAAGTCGATTTTCAGCTAACTTTTTTTTGATTGTCTTCATCTTATTCTATAGTCATGGCTGAGATTCCTACTTTCAAATTAGTGCTTGGTAATGCAACTTTACTTTTATGACGCGTTCTTTTTTTTTTTATTAATCTTCTTTCATTCAATACTAAACCATTTTCATTTCCTTTTTTTTAATTATAGTCGGTGATGGTGGTACCGGTACGTAAACAAACAAAATTCAACATTTAGTGGAAAAGAAAAATAAAAACAATGGAACGAAATATTTATCATCATCTTTTTATTTAGGTAAAACTACTTTTGTCAAGCGTCACTTGACTGGTGAATTCGAAAAGAAATATATTGGTAAGTTTATTGAAAAAGGTTTAAATGGTAATGAACAATAAATTCATATTATTTTATATTTTTTATTGTACTTAGCTACTCTTGGTGTAGAAGTCCACCCTCTTACTTTCCACACTAACTTTGGTGACATTATCTTCAACACTTGGGATACTGCTGGTCAAGAAAAATTCGGTGGTCTCCGTGATGGTTATTAGTAAGTTAAATAACATAATAATAAATAGAGAACAATAAAAAAAAAACCATCATATTAAATTGACAACTTCTCTTCTTTTTTTTTTCCCCCACTTATAGTATCCAAGGTCAATGTGCCATCATTATGTTCGATGTTACCTCTAGAATTACTTACAAGAATGTCCCTAACTGGCATCGTGATCTTGTCCGTGTTTGCGAAAACATCCCTATTGTTCTTTGCGGTAATAAGGTCGATATCAAGGTAAACTATCATCAAAAAAAAAGAAGAGAAAGAAAAGAAAGAAAGAAAGAAAAAAAAAGGAGAGAATGTTAGGGTACCCAATATCTACCATCATTTTTGTCTAACAATGTATATATTATTTATATAGGAACGTAAAGTGAAGGCTAAGACCATTACTTTCCACCGAAAGAAGAACTTGCAATACTATGACATCTCCGCCAAGTCCAATTACAACTTTGAAAAGCCTTTCTTGTGGTTGGCTCGCAAGTTGGTTGGTAATGCTAACTTGGAATTCGTTGCTGCTCCTGCTTTGGCCCCTCCTGAAGTTCAAGTTGATGCTAACTTGATGCAACAATATAACCAAGAAATCACTGAAGCTGCTAATCAACCTCTCCCTGAAGAAGATGATGATTTGTAAAGAAATTCCATTGGTCCCTTATTGTCACCCTATCTTCTTTTTATTTTTTTTTTTGTCATCTTACCACAAATCACATCCCTCTCCTTTTTCCTTTTTTTTTTTCTTTTTATCAGAAAATGATATTCTTCCCTCATAATAAAAGACATTGATCTCCCACTTTCCCCTCTTTTTTTTTTTCTTTTTCTTTTTTATTTTTACATATATATATATTCATTATCTTTTTCTGAACCATACATGACACTTTGATATACATTTGCCCTCCTTTTTTTTTTTTGTTAAATAAAGTATTCTTTTTTTATTTTACAAATGATACGATGCGACCAATAAATACTATTAGAACAAACATTTATAATGTTGATACTACAAGAATGAATAGCATCATATAATGTCTACTCTATCGATAAAACATGTATAATATAATCCATCTATTAAATAATCCTACAATGATGAATATTTCGAAAATGAAGATATAACCACTCACATGCATACATACATCCAAAGACAACAATCATGGTATGCAATTACTAGATAGTACCAACAGACGGAAAAAGGACAATTTTGAATTCAACATGATATTTTTTATTTGCACCACTCAAAAACATGAACGGCATAAAGAATAAAAAAAAAAAGAAGAGAAATAATATAAAATAACGATACGTTTATTTGAGCTATATAGGAAAGAATAAAAAAAGTATGAGTTAATGATTGTGATATCTTCCATTTTTTTTTTTTTTTTTGATAATTCTTACCTTCTTCTTGATACGGAGTTGGTTGGAGTGACCACACTTTCTCTTACGACAGTTAGTAGCACGAGGAGGAAGACGAGCATAACACTTGCGACAAATCATCTTTTCGCAGTTGTACTTGGAAGCCAAAGCCTTCAAGGAAGGTTCAATGATACCACCACGAAGACGGAGAACCAAGTGAAGAGTGGATTCCTTTTGAATGTTGTAGTCAGACAAAGTACGACCATCTTCCAATTGCTTGCCAGCGAAAATCAAACGTTGCTGATCAGGAGGAATACCTTCCTTATCTTGAATCTTTTGCTTGACATTGTCGATAGAGTCAGAGCTATTAATAATAATAATAATATTTAGCAAAAAAAAAAAAAGGTTTCTCATGAATAATTGTTGACCTAATTTTTACCTTTCGACTTCGAGCGTAATGGTCTTGCCGGTAAGGGTCTTGACGAAGATTTGCATCGTGATACTATAATAAATGAGAATTAAAAAAAGAAAGGCATGATGAGCATTTCTTGTCTTTCTTTCTATATATTCGTTGATTTCTTTTTTTTTTTTTGGTCCACCCATGCATCCATTCTATCTAATAGTTGGTGATTACAATCATTTCAAGTCATAATAAAAATAAATCGGTATGTAGAAAAAAAAAGGATGGATGGATGGATGGATGGATGATAATAGTGAGTATCATTTACCTTTGACAAGGATTAGAGGAAGAAGAAGAAAAAAAAAAAAGGGAGGATCTGTTGTTCCGTCAACCAAAGGGACAGAGAGAGTGTGAAGATGGGCATTGTTGAAACACCGCAGTACCCGGCTTGATTAGCCAATAAGAATTCTTTTTTTTTGGCCATTATCTTGTCAATTTATATAATATTATTATTATAATAGAAAGAAAAAGGAATAGAGAGAAAGTAATGGTGACATTGATTATCAATATTGAATGATATATAAGATATATTATCAAGGTAAAATAGTGATTGCTTCGTTGACACACCATAAAAAGAAACAATCTCGGGGAACACGAACGAAATTTGGCAAATTCATTTTTTCTTTTTTTTTTTCTTTTTCTTTTTTTGTTATATAAACACTTTTATCTTTCATTTCTTCTTCTTCTTTTTTTTTTTTTTTAATCTTTTTTTTTTTTATTTTTACTTAATGGAAACATCTAAATATCATCATCATCAAAGACGATACACTGATACTTGCCTCTATCTTACTCCTCCTTCTCCTCTTTATGCTATTCAATCTACTAAAAGTAGATTCTCCTGTACAGCCGCACCTACTTATCATCCACTTGGCCATCACCAACCAACAGTATCATTAGATAGTAGTGATTCATTTGTACAACAAATCAATCATCATAAAAAACGGTATAGTTTATCAGATACATTGACTCCTTTAGATGGTAAAAGTTATATTAATATATTTTATATAGAATCTTGCCTATAACTAACTTTTTTATATCTTTCCTGATTCCATCCATTCTCTTTCCTGTTTTGACTATTTCTCACTTTTTTTTTAAAAAAAAAAATATTTTCCCTCCTTTTTTTTTTTCTTTCTCCCCTCTTACTTTTTCCTTTTTGTTTCTTTCTTTCTTTCTTTCTTTTCTTTCTTTTTTTTTTTTTTTTTTTTAATATTTCTTACATTGTATCTTATTTTTGTAAAGGATTCAACACTAACGAAGGCTCCACCATTGACGTGACCGATTGTTCAGATAAGCAGCAGCACCAGCAGCGGCATGCCATGGCAACCACTACAACCACCACAGTAACAAAATCGACAGGTCTAACCAATAAATCCCATACGTCTATTGATATCACTCATCAAGTACCAACTAAAACTGTACGAATTGAACGAGACTATTCAAAGGGAGATGGGATCACTCAGTTTTGTACGGAATTACCTTTAGCTTTGGAAGGAAAAGTAAGAATGTCGTCAAAACTGATGAATGATGATACTTATTATAACTTGATATAGATCACTTCGGAACAATTCTCTCATACCATCAATACCATCAATGCACTATTGAACAGTGCGGAAAGGTTAACTTGGTCTGGAGTGTTTTACAATATGATGGAAATAGCTACGATCTACCTTTGGCCTATTTTTTTTAATTCTCATTATCAAAAGGTAAAATATAAAACTACTTATATACTTGATGATTCAATTTTTTTTCTTTTTCTTTTTTTTTTATAGACTATTCACAAGTTATTAAAGTTTATTGAACAAGAAAATCATCAAGTATATCATCAACAACGACTCTCCATACGCAATCCAGTCAAAACTGCCTTTCTATTTGTGAGTATTTAAAAAAAAAAAAAAGGGGAAGATCAATGTATGTATAATGTCGTCTGGGTCTAAAACAATCTCTCTTTTTTCTTTCTCTATTAGCTTGAAATTCAAGTATTCGATTAGATATATCGTTTCTTTTACTTTTAATTCATATACATACACACACACACACACACGCAAATATATACATTTATTTTGTCTTCCCTTTTTACATTTTTTTTTTATTTGAATCCATCCTTTTGTACTAGTAATTTATATACTTTTTTTTTTTATTCTTCTTCATTGTTACACATACAAATAATAAAAAGCAATCCTTTTTTGTTTGATGTCACCACACTGGACGAAACAGAAAGACAAAATTTCTACCTCCGCTTTTGGCGCTACTGTTATTTGTTTTTTCCCTCTTTCCTCTCTACTTCCCTTTTCTCTCGTTTTTTTTTTTTTTTCTTACGTTTTGTCTTTCTCTCTTCATTCTCCCTTTCTTTTTCTTTGAAAAACAAATTACATAAAGTAAGTTTTTTTTTCTATTAAACTTTTTTTATAGTAATAGAATAAATTATTTTATTGTTTCCTCATCTCTCCTTTTTTTTTCATAGTTTTACAATGGCTGATTATTGGTAAGTCTTAAGTTATACAAAATATGAAGCAAACCATTTCAATATATACTACGAAAATGACTCATAAAATATATACCTTTTTTTTTATATCAACTAGTCCTGTTTATGCTCCTTTCTTTGGTTCCATGGGTTGCACTGCTGCCATTGTCTTCAGTTGTAAGTTTCATCATCATCTGGGCGGGGTCAGATAAGTGGTCTCTCTTTTTTTTTATTATACTTTTGGAAGAAGATGCGCGTTGTCTTTTTCTTTTTTTTATGGTTGGGGAAGGATAAGTTGGTTTAAAAACTTCATTTCAAAATATATTTTTGAAGGATTGATTGGGAGAGATTTTTTTTTTTTGTAATGTTTCTATGCGGAAACGTCACAGGGGAAAAAGGGAAATGGCGTAGATGAAAAGGGTGACACGAACAAACCTTGGATTGCTGACTTCTTTTTTTTTTCTTTCATTCTTTCTTAGGTCTTGGTGCTGCTTATGGTACTGCCAAATCTGGTGTAGGTCTTTCTGCCATGGGTGTTCTTCGTCCTGATCTTGTGTTGAAGTGTATTGTGCCTGTGGTTATGGCTGGTATTTTGGGTATCTATGGTGTGGTCGTATCAGTTTTGTTATCTGGTGGTTGTAAGTATCAAATAACATTCAGCAATGTTTACTGGATGATTGATCATCCCTTTATTTCCTTATTATCATTATAGTGGCTATGAAGCAAACTTTGTATAGTGGTTTCATTCAATTCGGTGCTGGTTTGAGTGTGGGTCTCTCTTGTGTAAGTTTTTTTTTTTTTTTTTTTTTTTTTGTCAGATAATAATTGAATATTCATATATATATATATATATTTTGTTTTCTTATCTGATTTCTTCTAGTTGGCTGCTGGTATTGCTATTGGTATTACTGGTGATGCTGGTGTCCGTGCCACTGCTCAACAACCAAGAATGTTCGTTGGCATGGTAATATAGAAAAAAAAAAAGTGATCATATCCATATGTATAATGACTGTTTTTATGTTTTCAATAGATTTTGATTTTGATTTTCGCCGAAGTGTTGGGTCTCTATGGTCTTATTGTCGCTTTAATTTTGAACACTAAGGCTTCCGGTGGTGAAAACGCTTGCAACTAAAGAAGAAATTGGAAACCATTTTTTTTTATTTGATTGAATAAACTAGTTTACCCATGTTACGTTTGTATATCTTGCCATTATTGTTGTTATGATGAATATTGTGTTATGATGCAATAAAAAAAAAAAGGAATATTTTTATATATATGTATGTGTATATGTATTGCCCACTATTATACGTGTTTATGATTGATTCTGACTGATTGGATCTTTATGTGATGATGGATGATTAGTATGATATATGGTGATTGGATAATTTGTGATGATGATATGAGAGATAATATGTGATGACGGATGAAAATTCAATAATGACAATGAATGATAAAATGATGATGGCGTGTGATGACAATAATTGATGGGATGATAGTTTGTGATGATTTATCTTGATGATGAATGTTATTGGGATGAATGAAGTTTGTATACGAGGTTGAATTTGTTTCTGCAACTGACAGTGAAGTGAACAAAAAAGAACGAGGAAGATCAACATATACAGAATTCCCAAACTGATTACTTGTGCAAGTTCTGGAACCCGTCCTTCATGTTCTCCTATTAAAAGTAACCCAGACGCCACTGTTTGATTTCCTTATTGATATCAAATGAATGTACTATTTATAACTAAACAAAAAGGCAGCTCTCCCCCGTCTCCCTTTATACATATGTATTTATATATAAATATATATATATATATATATTTATATTGATCAAGCCCTTGTTTTTTTTAAAAAAAAAAAAAAAAACTTGAAAAGTCAAAAATAATTGATTATTTATAAATCATCAGTTTCCTTACTTTCTCTTTTCTTTCTTTCTTTCTCTCTTTTTTTTTTCTTTGTCTCTTTCGGTTATTGATTATTCGATAACAATAAGAGCATATTTATTAATAATAAAACCACCTTTCAAATTCATCCGTCAAAACTCTCTTTCTTTCACTTCTTTTTTTTTTTACACTCTTTTGACTTTAATTTATCATCATGGCTGTAGAAAATCTCTCTTTACAGTCATTATCTTTAAATTCAACAATCAATACTTCTTTTACTCCATCCATCACTCTAACCAAAGGTAAAAAAAAAAAAAATAATTATCATTTTATCAAAAGTCTTTGTTAGTGGCATCCATTAGTTCAAAAATAAAAAAAAAAGGGGGGGGGAGGGTTTTTTGATCTCAGACCTTATTTTTTTTTCTTCTTCTTCTTTAGAAACTACACGTCCTCGGAAAACTAGAAATAGAAAATATGTACCTAGTGATGATGAAGATGATGATCAAGACGACGATGAAGATCTATCTGATGAGGAATTTGATTCTCCCAAAAGATCTGGTATTACTGACACAATCAAGATACCTGTACCTTCACCTTCTTCCTCTACCAAATCCTCTAAACAACACAAAAAAATCCAGCCTTTACCAAGCGATGATGAAGATGAAGATGATGATGACGATCTGGATGATTCTGAAGGTAAGTTTTTTTTTTTTTTTTTTTTTTTTTTGAAATGATAAAATAGAATATTGATTTGATATATTATAAAATAGATGAAACTGGTGATGACAAATCTGGATTGAATGATTCCAAAAAAAGTCTATACCGATTGCAAGGAGTACAATCAACAAGTCAACTAGGTAGTTATACAGAAAAACCTATGATTGGTCAACCACAAAGACATTCTGCTGGTGATTCCAAGTCGTTGATGCCTCCTCCAGCCACTTCATCCATGGTATCTACTTATGATTCTGATGATGATCGTGTTCTTGCTCAACAAGGTTATAATCATTATAATGGAAACAATACATTCTTAACAGATGGAAGTCAACTTCAACAATGGCAATATATGCAACAATATCATCAAGCTCAAATGGCACAATTCCAACAACAACAACAACAACCATTGAAATCTAAATCATCCTCTTCTCAACTTAGACAACAACAAGGTTTATCTGGAATGGAATTGATGACTCAATTGGAACATGATAAAGCTGAAGCCAAACGACAAAAACCAAAACTTAATCCATCTCAAGCAAAAATTGAAGGTTTACTTGCCAAATTACCTGAACCTGGTGCTCATAGTATTAGTTTCCAACATGTACAACAACAACAACAACAGCATCAACAACAACTTAGACAACAACAACAACATCTTAATAACACTACTTGGATACCCAATCGATCTCCTTCACCTGCCGGTGTACGATCATCTCATATCATGGTCATGCCATCACAACCTTTGGCCCCTATGATGGGTTACAATATGTATGGATATGGTTACCCTGCGATGCCCGCTTCTTATTACCCTTCTCAACCGGTTCCTCAACAACACATGATGCGTCAACCCCCAAGATCTGCAAGTGCAATGAGTATGAACAGACGTTGATCTCCCTGATATACATATATATATTTTTATTGTTCTTTTATTCCTTTACGTTTTATAATACCTTCCTTCCCTCATGATTTTCCACACAAACGCAAGCATTGCTCACCTTTTTTTTTTTTTTTAATAAACAATGAATTTTTTTTTATACTATTTTATTTATCATTCTATTGTCTAGACCATTCAAGTGGAAGATCTTTTTATTTGTGTGACCCAAAGGGGCTTTTTTTTTTATTTTTCTTTCAAAAAAGTCTAATGAATTAAGATTGATTGATCATCAAATTAAAAAAATCAACAAAAGGAATCTTTATTTATTTCGAAAATATCACAGCCGAACCAAAAGATATCATATTAAAAAAGATGGGAAGTTGAGTATTAATAATAATAATAGATAATAATAGTAGTAGTAGAGAGGGGTGATATACAAAAAAAAAAATAATGACAAATCATCTAAAGACAGGAGACATAATCAAATAAAGGATGAAAAAAAAAAAAAAATAGAACACCAAGTAGAGGCGCAATGTTTTCATTGTGTTTCATCCAGAAGAAAGGAAGAACATCGTTGATGAGATGACTTGCTATAAAGGGAATATTCTATCGACTTGCATAATAATCTGTACCAGAAAAAAAAAAAAGTTAGTCTAAATCCAATTTTTTTTTTGTTTTTTTTTTCGATTACCTCGACATAATTCTTGAAAACAATTGGTACATTCATCCAAAGTATTACTACATCCACAACCACAAAGTAATGATCCATCTTCAGCTAAAATTGATGTTGGCATTTCTTCATCTTTTCTTGTTTTTGTCATCCATGAATGTGTCGTGGTATTATCTTGTTCCGATGAACATGATGGTTTTGTAGATGATGTTGATGCAGTGGATGAAGAAGTACTTGAAGAAGGTGATGTCGGTAAAGTATCATTTATTGTTGTTGTTGTAGTTGTTGTTGATGTAGGGCTACAAATGGCGGCAATGGATAAGCGTCGTCTTCCAGCAGAAACATCCGTATAACCAGCATAAGGATCTTCAACACTTGGTTTCATTGCACGTGAAGGATGAGCATCACAACCAGGACAAGCACAGGAATCACCACATCGACATGTCACCACACGAATTGTTTCTCCTCGAGCATTCCGTTGTTTGGAAGAACAGCATGATGTTTTGCCTATACCATCAGCACACATGACTCCAGCCGTTGTTACTATTGTTGTTGGTGTTGTTGGCGTATTCGTTGATGTATCCATAGGTGTATCCATAGGTGTTCGTGATGATATCAACACAGACGAATATACCATCGATGGTGGTGTCTGTATCTGTGTATCCATATTACTTGTATTCAGTGATGACGGTGATGATAATGATCCTGGTGAAGGCGTAGAGTAATCTGAATCGGATGGTGATATCATAGAAGACTGTGTAGTGGTAGTATGAGTAGTGGAAGATATAAGCGAGGTCATACCAGATGAAGATCCACAACAAGATGAAGTTGAACGGTTTGTTTGTCCATTGATGGAAGATGATAGATTGTTTATTGAAGACCCACAACAAGATGAAGAAGATGTCGAGTATTTTGTTTGTTCATCGGTGGAGGATGATATATTGTTCGTTGAAGATCCACAACAAGATGACGAAGATGCCGAATGATTTGTAATTGGAGTGTTAATGGGAGATGATATACTTTTCGGTAAAGATTCATAATATGCAGGAGATGATGATGATGATGATGATGATGATGATGAAAAAGTAGGTGAAAAGTTGTCAGATTGTTGAGGGTTGGTTGTTGCTATTGCTGGTGATGATGAAGAAGAAGAAGAACAAGATAATGATGATGATGCTTTGTCAAATGAAGAGGAAGAAGAATCAGGTGTATAGACGGTTTGCCGTATTGATTTTGATGATCCCCTACAACAGTTACTGGATCCATTCATATTATTACTACAAGGACAGGAAGGGCTGGAACAACATGATCCAATAGATGACGTGCGAATCGAAGAAGAGGTAGATGATTTGACAATCGTTGGGGAAAATGTCTTTGGAATGTATAGCGCAATTGGAGGAGATAAGGAAGGTGATAATACTGGAGCTGATGGACTTATTGGTGAAGAAAGTGTATGTGATGATTGATATGTCGATGATGAAGTAGAAATAGGATGATTTTGTGGTGATATTGGTTCATCGTGTTCAAAGTCATCCGGTCTTGGAGCTATGGCACGTAAGTTCGCCTTGGAGATATCAACCACAAGTTTCTTGGTCATTCTTCCATCACGATCTATCCACATAAGAATATATAAATAAAAATAAAAGGCACGTGAGTCTTTAGTTTTTAAGGGGGAAAAAAAAAGAGAGAGCAATTTATTTCTACACAAAAAAAAGTCCATTTTCTCATAAACCATTGCTTACCAGTAGCTGTAAAATTCGATAGTCTTGATTTTTTTGTCACCTTTTCATCGTTGCAATTACATTTCACATGAAGTTGTCGTATTAACCGAAGCTCGCGACAGCGTTTGCATTGAGTGGCTGGTCGTCCTTTTTTCTTGATTTCCACCATAGGTCGATCTTTATGGTTGCAATGTGTTGCTCGATGTCCCTATACATAGTCAATAATAATAATAATAATAATAATATAAAAAAGAGTGAATGGAAATATGAGATAAAAAAAAAAAGAGTAATAATAATGTGAATAGGAAGAGTCATCTTTCTTACCTTGATACAAGTAGCTAGAATCATGAAAAAACAAAAAAAAAAAAAAGATATATAAATGAGAACAAGATCTAACAGCGATGTTTTCTTCTATATTTTTTACTTACCGCAAGCAACTTTTTTACCGTCGATGAGCATCAGACTGTATATATAAGGAAGTAATAGTAATAATAGTCAAAACAAATCAAGGGTAAAAAAAAAAAGAGAGAAAGAAAAAAGAGAAGTTTATTTTGCCAGGCTGGGAAAAGAAGGAAAGAATGGGAAATCATTCTTTTTTTCTTTTTTTTTTTTTTTTGATGGCCCCTCCCCTTTTCATTTCATTGTAGTTTAGTACTCCGCATGTTGTTGTTGCTTAGTTGATCAAACACATCTAGTTCAATATATTCTAAGTCAAAAGAACATACATACATGCATACAATATATACATAAAAAATGATAGATCAAATTTATAAACCAATGCTAAAATTACTCTTATTTAAGAGATCCTCTCGTCATGCAAAGAAGTAAACCCTTCAGATGATAATACCACTACCTTAACACTTTCATTCCAATAAATATATACATATATCCATATATATATATATTCCAATGATTTTTATTAAATGAAGGATGAATAGTAAAATGATGATAATCTAATCTATAGGGGATAAAAATAAGAGGATAGATTCTATTTGAATAGACGAGATGTGACAAATTCTTGTGCTGCTTTAGTTCCCTAATGGACATCATTCAAATAGAAATAGTAAATAGATTCAGTATCTTATTCAATCATCTAAAAAAAAAATCATTTTTTTTTTTTTTTTTACCTGGTCATGACAAATGGCACCTACTACAGATTCAAAAGCCTTTGCCTTAATAAGTGTCGGTACACCTTGTCCAGGCTGTTATAAGAAGAAGAAGAAAAAGAAAGAAAAAACAATGTAAAATATATAAATAATCTGGCAGCTATATTTTACATTGGGTTTATTTTATACTTACTGCTTTATATCGTAATCCATCGGTCAAGTCCAATACGTCAAATTGTTGAGCTAAATAATCGGAATCGGTGTACTTTGTGATATAATCGCGTAAATCGTTTTTATGAGCTGCATTACCCAATGATTTGACACCTTCTTCACATACAGTTAAACGTAAAACTTGGTTACCGAGACGTTGTAAACGATCATTGGTTGGAAGGTTGCCTTGTAAATAGGATCGATGAGTTAATGCTTGTTGTAAAATACCAGGTGTTTTGAATGTGATGTGTAATTTGGAAGCAGCTTGTTCAGCATTAAAGGTTTGTGTACTCATTTGTCGAACTATAATAAAAGAAGTGAATAAGAATATTCATTATCAATTTGATATAATATTTTTATCTATTTTACCATTGTTAAGGTATAATTTATGAAAAATAGGACGGAACATGGTTTTGTAACTGAAGAATAAAAAGAGAGAGAAAAAAAAAAGAGGAAGTTGAATGGTGAAGTAAGTATACCTCGCTTCAGAGGGAATAGTAAAAAAAAGCCACCCGCTGTTTTAAAATGTTATCCAAGTTCTGGGGGTCCAATCAAGACACCCCCCACATCAACCAATGAAAAAGAATTTTTTATTCCGACCGAGGTTTCTTTTTTTTAATGGTATTTTCTCTCCTTTCTTTCTTGCTTTTCTTTCTCTTATTTATTATTTTTATTGTTTGATTTCTATAAAGTTTCCTATAACATTATCATCGTCATCATTATTCCATGTTATTTAGGTCAAAAGAAAAACCAACAACACCGGAAGCATCTATCAAAGAATACACCACTAGTGAAGGTAGAAAAAAAAATAACAACCAACCCTTTTTAAGCAATCTTAGATCTCAATTAACTTAATTTTTTTTTTATTTATAGTGATTGTAGATGATCAATCATCTGTACACTTTGATCATGGTGTTGAACGTGAAGCTCAAGGTTCTAGTTTCTTAGCTTATTTCAACGTTGTTTGTGTTGGTAAGTAAATTCATCATTTTAACTATTAAGTATGGATTACTAACGATCTATTTTTTTTATTTTTATTTCTATATTTAGTGGCTGGAACAGGTGCTTTATCACTTCCGTAAATAAAAAAAAAATCATATTACAATATTATATATATATGGTGTTAATCAATCTTTTTATTTTTATTACATCTGCATTTAGTTATGCTTTACGACAAGGCGGATGGATCGGTAAAAAGAAAAAAAAAATGAAAAAATGAAAAAACTTTCGAGTTCTTAACTCAATCGAATGACTCATTAAGGGTGTTTTCCTTTTCAACTGACTTGTCCCTCTTTTTCTTTTTTCTTTAAAACTCAGGTCTTTTCATTCTTTTTCTGTCATGGATGTTCTCTACTTGTAAGTATAATAATACATGGATTATTTCTTTTTGTTTCTTTTTTCCTTGCATTCTTTTTTTTTCGTTTTGGTAGATACCGGCATTATTCTTATCAAATGTCTCTATCACAATGGACGGACACGATTATCATCTTACCAAGAAATTGCTCAAGATGCTTTCGGTACTATCGGTAGTTGGGTGGCCTTCTTCTTCACTTTTATCATCTTGATTGGTGTATCTGTATTATTCATGATGCTTGCTGGTTCTAATTTAACTGCTATTTGTCAAGGTACGTCGGCTGAGTTAAGTATGGAAATTTGGACCATCATTTGTTGTGCTGCTGTGGCTCTTCCTTTTGTCTTTTTCAAATCGATGAAAGAAGTTGGATTTCTCAGTGCATTTGGTGCTTTGGCAACTGTGATCACTATTTTGATTGTATTGGTGGAATCTATCAAGGACAAGAAAAATCATTCAAATGTACATACGGATTCTGTGATCTGGGATCAGTTTCCTATTGCTCTTAGCTCCATCGTGTTTTCTTTTGGTAGGATGATATAAAATATAAATGTAAGATTCTCTAATGACTAATTTTTTTTTTTTTTGGATGAATCAACGTTTTAGGTGGTAATCCGGTTTATGCTCATGTGGAAGCTGGAATGCGTCGTCCTCAAGATTGGAACAAAGTGGTGTTTGCTGGACTGACAACATGCGTGATTATTTATCTTTTGATTGCTGTGCCAGGTTATGCTATTTATGGTAATCAAGTAGAATCTCCTGCTTACAACAGTATTCCTGATGGTCCTTCAAAGATTGCGGCTCAAATCATCATCACTCTTCATGTTATCTTCGCATGTCCTATCTTATTGACAGCATTATCTTTGGATCTCGAAAAATTATTCAAAATCTCATCCTTCCATCATTCCCGTTTGGTTGAAATTGCTCTTCGTATGACACTTCGTATTGTGATGATTGTTGTCGTGGCTGCTGTGGCAATCGAAGTACCTTTCTTTGGTGATTTCCTTAGTTTGCTTGGCGCGTTTTCCAATTGTGGTTTGGTATTGATTTTTCCCGTCGCGTTTTATCTTCGACTTACTGGTGTTCGGAATAAACCTTGGTATGAATTGATCGTCTGTTTCTTGATTGTGGTCTTGGGAATTGTTGGATTAATCTTTGGATCAAAGTCTGCCATTCTTAATCTTCGTGATGACTTTAACAAAACCTCTTCCTCCTCTTAGTAGTATATTTTATTTTATGTGTACATTTAGTTATACCCCCCTCTCTTTACTGTTTTTTTATTTGTTTGTTTTTGTCTCTTCTATTATTAGATTAATTTATTTATTTTTATAATAGTAAAATGATAACTTTATTTAATCCCAATGTTTCATATATATATAAGATGATCGATTGATCGCATGAGTTGATCTTCGGATAATCATTCCGTTCAGGAGCCAAGAAAAATAGAGATAGAAAAAAAAAAAAAGGGGGAATATTGATTTATGAATGGCACACAAAATAAAAAAGGATAACACTATCCCTTTTCATACTAGTTATCAAGGGTATCACTTTAACTATGTACTACTACTGATAATAATAATAACAATTATAGTAATAATAATAATAATAATAATAATAATAGTAATAATAACAATAGTAACAATAATAATAATAATAATAATAATAATATATACTTGAAACTAAGCTAAACACACGTGCGGTGTACCTTTTGAATGATTTTGAATTATATGTACTGAAAATCTTTAAAAATCCAAAGCCAGTTCGTATCAGCCAATCAAATGAAAATCCAAGTTTTTACAGTGGTCCCTTCCAAGACATGACCTACCGTAAGGGGATAAATCAAAAGATAAGGAGTTAGATATAAATCATTCAATTTCTCTCTCTGCCTTAGGTTATCTTAAAGAAGAGGAGACTTCATTCATCGATAACCGATTTTTTTTTTAACTACAGAAGTCGAAGTGGGGCTCATCTCAAGGGAAACAAAAGAAAGAAAGAATGGGTCTCGACGCCTCGACTCAGTATTTTTAGACGCAGCCTTTTTCTATTTTTTTTTTCTTTCCTTTTCTTCCCCCTTTTTTTTTTCTCTTTTTTTCTTTCTTTCTTCTTTTTCTTTTATTTGTCACTTGTTTCTTCTTATGGATGATGCCACCTTTTAGTCACGATTCATCAACTTCACCATCTACACCATTATCACCTTCTATAGACACAACCTTTCGTAGACATCATCTATCAGCGTCAGACATGATCGCTGTGGACTTGGGTCAAAACAGTAATAGCAATATCAAATATTATAAGGACAAACCACCTTCTCGGTTCTTCTATTTCCCTTCACGGACAGCAAGAAAATATAGACAACAACCTCGATGGCTCAAGATTTTAGTTTTGATGGCTGGTATTCTCTTTTTATTTGGTTACGTGCCTTTCTTCAAATTTGTTAAGGAATTTCCACCTTTAGATTCTTCAAGTCCTTTACCAATACAAGATAAGGTCATCCAACAACAACAACAACCTATATACCCAGAAACAGTTCGTGATCAGATTATACTTTATCGTATCATTGGAAATGACTTACCTCCACGACACAAGGAAGGTCAAACACTTTCTAACCTTCAGTTTATTTTGGAACATGAACCAGACTTCCCGAACACTCGAAAGATCTTTTTACTTAATCGTATCTCAAATACTGCTAATGAAGCCACCATCATTCGCCTTTTGGATCGTCACAACAAGGAATATATTCGACTACCTTTTGAAGAAGACGTTTATAGACAATTAGATTTTAGACTGGAAGATTTCACAGAACCTGACTTTTTACATTCGGATGACTATCGACGTTATAGTAAAGTTGCCAAATTACGGGCTTTGGATTATACTTATCATGATAAGAATCTATATGCTATGAATAATGTAAGTCTTATTATTATTATTATTTAAAAAAAAAAAATTAAATACTAAAAATATTGTTTTTTTTTCTATCTATAGAATGGTGGACGAAATACTGCTATTGAACATGCAAGAACAATCAAAAATGCAAAATGGATCATGCCTTTTGATGGTAATTGTTATCTTAGCAACAATGGATTTCAAGAAATTAAGACTCAATTGGATAATCACGGTGCGACCACCAAATACTTTATTGTACCAATGACTAGACTTTTGAATAACTCGGTACTTTTGAACAACTTGGATGAACGACCCAAAGCTCCTGAAGAACCTCAAATCATATTTCGTCATGATTCAACTGAAGAATATAATCTGAATATGCGATATGGTCGACGAAGCAAGGTAAGATATCTTTTTTTTTTTTTTTTTTGAATTGATATAAAAAGGGTGGGATGACTCAATAAACTTTTATATAGTTGGAACTTTTATGGACATTAGGTGCTTTGGAAAATAGACGACTCAGTAGACCAACTGTACCATGGGAACCAAGTGAACGACCTTATAGTCAAGACAAAGGGAATTTTCGAAGTATTGGATGGGTATATAGATTATTCAGCGGCAATCCACAACAAGAAGAAAATAAAAAGGAAGCATCATCTATCCGGGCATTCAATCGACTATTAGCTATTCAATCATCATTAGACAGTTTGGATGAAGGGATTGCTCGACGGTATTATCGACAGGACAAAATGTTTTTATACAATGAAAAGGAAATGGCGAATATTCGGTATAGCTATTGGAATAAAGATCAAGATATCACAGCAGTTGTTAAATCCCTGATGGCTCGTGCTGATACTATCATCGGTGATCTTTATACATACTATCCATCTGTAGTAGGCGAACACGATATGATGACAACAAATGATAACAGTGACGAAGAAAGCGACGTGACAGAGAAAAACACATCTCCACCTATCTCGACACTTGGACCGGAACGCTTAGGCACTTTATCTCAAAACGTGACAATATTGACTTTGGCGCATTATTTTGTTGGAAATGAAAATTATGGGAAAATGGCGGCAAACATGATTAGAGTTCATCTTTTGGAAGAAAAAGCAATGGCGGATGAAGATCAATATAGTTCAGCAAGAAGGATTCCGGATGATAGTCATTTATTGGACTTTTTATCAGATCAAGGTTATTCTTTCCCTAGTTTGGGTCGATTGGCAACTGGTACTTCAACAAAACATCATCATGCAGCATTTTCTTCACCATCTACCATACTAGCTAACAACAACAATAACAATAATAACAATAATAATCGCCTTCTCAATACTTCTGACCTCACCAAAACTGATCTCTCTTCATTATTGGATTGTGTTCGACTTTTACGACATATGCAACTTCTAACACATAAGGAATACATATATATGCAGGCTATGACAGCAGACTTTTTGGAATATTTGGTAACTTCACCAGCAGGAATCCATTTGGCTCAAATGACAGATCATCGTGGTGTTCTTTATGATCTTCAAGTGACATCTCTGGCTGCTTTCACAAACGATGTTCGATTATTACTACGTGTAGCTAATCGGTGTCGAATGCGGATTGGGAAGCAATTCGATCAAGATGGTGAACAACCTTACCAGCTCTTACGTCTTCAATCGATGATGATGATGCCTCAAGGACAGACAGTACTTGGTGGTAAAGATACTCCACAACCATCATGGCAAGCCTTGTTACACTATCAAAGTCTCAATTTGCAATACTGGACATCATTGGCTCGAGGGATTCAAAACACAAATGTAGCAAAGGATATCTGGCATTACACAGCAAAGAATGGTGCATCCATCTCACACTCAGTGACAAGACATCTTCAAACGTATGCACAACAAGCATCTCAATGGAATGACGAAGATAAAGCATGGGCACAGTCAAGATTACGACCTTTATTGATGATGGCTAAGGTGGCGTTTGAACATGCGGCTCAATCAACATCAGCACAACCTGATCGTGATCAAGCTGATCGACAATGGATCAACACAGCCGTGGAGAAAGCATTGTTTGGAAATCCATTTACGGTAGAACAAGAACCTACAAGTTTGGATCATCAAGATCCGGTGATGAATGAAACCATACAAGCCATTTTGGATGATCAATCAAAGGGTCGCCCCAGTATATCTCCCTTTTGGATGTTGAGTACGGTATGATTCCTTTTTTATTTATTTATTTATTAAAAAGAAAAGTATTGTTATATCCTCCATTTTATATATTAGATCTTTTTTCATCATTCTACATTTATGATCATACAATAAAATATATATCAATTTTTTTTTTTATTTTTCCTTTTTTTTTTTCTTCCAAACTATTCATCATGGATACGATCGACAGTAATCAAGCGTTTGGTCACATTCGCATACACACTCTTGATAATATTCTCAAATTTATGTTATGAATCCTATCACACATCATCATCATCATCATCCATAGGGTCATTCTTGATCTTTGTTTTCTCTTATATATATTCTTTTTTTTTTTTAAAAAAAAAAAAAAGATTAGTGATCTCTATCTGGAATACAGTGATAGTAGTCTGAAAATAGAAGCAATGGATGACATACTACTCATTAAGCATGACATATGAACAATTTTCATTAGATACAAGAGTTGTCAAATCAAATCATAATAAATAAAGAGATAAGGAGAGGGGTATGAAATGTTAAGTTTATTATAGTAAGTAAAAGGAGAGAGATAACTAAAAAAAAAAAAAAAAAAAAGAATGGAATGGGTTTGGTAGACTTTATTTCAAAAAAGGGGGAGAATCATCATTGGCAGATGATTCTTCTTGGATATCAAGTAATTGAGAAGACGGATGACTGGATTGTTGTTGTTGTTGAGGTTGTTGAGGTTGATTTCGTCTTTCGAATTCAGTATGTAAAAAGTCACGTACATGTTTTCCACTTCGCATTCTTAGGATTCGTAAGATGGTTTCACTACTAGGAAGATCCATGGCCACTGATTTGCGTTGAGATTTGGGTTTCTTGGCAATGGTATGTCTTGATTGGTATACAGTCTTGCTTCGATCAGTTTTCCTTCCGCCACGCATTTTCATTGCTACCTGATTCTTGAGAACAGTGTTGTATATTTCCATCAGTTTATCAGTTTCCATAGCATAAGCAGCATTGATTGCTAAAAGGGCATGATAACTTGAATTTTCAAGTCGATCCAAAGGAACGGCATCACCATCTTCACCACCATTAAATAGAATCTTCAGTAACTATATACATAAGGAAAGGGTCAACATCATATTCATTCTTTTTTTTTTTTTTTTTTGACGTACTTCCAGCCATTTGAAAACCACATGCATTTCGTATTCGTCCAAAGGAATCATATCAGACTGATGTTCAGACAAAGGTGGAAGCATAATACCTTCCAAGGTTAATAAGATATCCTTCCATATTTTCATGATCACTAGTTGCATGTTCGTTTCTGATAAGTTGTCATTGAGGATTTGAAGGTTTCGTTCCAGGTAATCTAGTACAGGTGCAATGCAATCTTCACAATCTTGTAAACTAGGTTCCACTTGAGTATTTGCTTTGCTAAAGGCTGAAAAGAAACTACGTTCTCGACCCAACAATGTGTCCAATGTTCGTCGCGATAGATGTTGACGCATATATTTGCCCATCTATTATAAAAATTAAAAAAAGAAAAGTCAATATAGTACTTTGATTAAAAAAAAAAAAGATCACTTTACCCTATCAACAATCAGACCAGCTGTATCGTTTTCAACACGTTTCAAAGTTCGTACTGCTTTCCCAAACCAGAATTGAATATCATCCTTTTCACCTTCCATGCTGACCCGTAAAACCAGTTTGCCTTGAGGATGAAGATTCAACACCAATTCGTGAGTCTGATAGTCATCAAAGTATTGAGGAGATAATTGGAACCAAACAGCACCACATTCATCATGAGTACCAATCAAGTCTTCATCGTAAACAACAGCTAATACATCCACCGTTTTTTCGTCCAGCCAAATATCAAACATTTGATCCCATCGAGGATTGAGTGTTTCATATACTGTCTTTGTTCTACTTGATTGCTTGTCACCGAATTCTAGGACTACATAAGGATCACTAAGACCGTTCTTATCCAGAGGAGGCAAATTTTCCGCACGGACCACCTTGACCGAGTACAAATAGTTTTTCTGTTCCACTTTCTCCGAAGCTGGCACACTGTGTTCTCGCATATACTCTGCCACATCATCCGCATCCACCAATTCATACAAACGATCTAATCGTAACCTGGCGGCTTCAATGTCATTGATTTTCACACATAGCTATTTCGTCATCAAACAAGAAAAAAAAAAAGGTAAGCTTGTATGTCAAACGGTCGTTTTTCCCCCATCGATTATTAACTTACCTCTTTTGTAAAATCTGGAGGTGTTTCCAATTCCTTCCCATATCTACTTCCAATAAGTTGTTGGGCCTTGCCAAAAAATGTTGCAGAACTTGTTAGAGATTCTTGATCACGGTTCGATTGAGGGAAAATATCATCCATAATCATGCTTTCAATTGAATAAGTGTATTGTTCAAGTGCAACTCCAATGATTTTAGATAATACAGTCAAAAATCGACAATGTTGGAGCTCGTTGGGCCATTGGAGATTTTGAACAAAGTCAACGGCTTGATGAAACATACTGAAAAGATCCACAATAGACGATGAATGCAAGGTTGTGTCGTTGATTCGAGTGAACTAGTTTGAATACAATATAAAATGGTTATTGACATCTAAAGGGTCACCCTTCTTCTCTCTCTCTTTTTTTTTTTTTGATTCATTTACCTCATCTTGTTTGATAGCGTTTTCTACCCATTCAAGTGTGGCATCGTTCGTAGTCATTAACCAGCGACGGACATGAGATAAGAACCAAGATTCCACTTTGAATAATACAGTCTTGTTTCTATTTTTTTTTTTAAAAAAAAAAAAGAAATGAAAGGAATCAGAGAATTAATTTGATAGGTTGAAATAATATTGTCAAACACTTACTTTGGGCCATGTTGATCATACAGACGTTTCAAACTAAGAACTTTGTTGTAAAGTTCAAATGTAACTTCGATAGGAGCAGTTTTACAAGCAGGCATATAGGACCAATTTTCGATTTCTAAAGCAAAGTAGGGCATTTGCCGAGCCATGATGATACCAGGAACATTGATAATACTATATAGGAGAAGAAGGAAAAGAAGTATTATTAAATTTCAAATTCCCAGAAGCAGTGTATAATAAGTAATTGAAAACTTACTCTTTCAGAGGTGTTTTGAATTTCTTGTTGGTGAGAGAAACATATTCCTTGATCAGTTTGTCAGCCAAAGTCAGCAAGTTCGTCAGATCATCTTCTTCTTGATTATTAGCTTCTCGTTCAACAAGTCTCCATCTTTCTACAGCGGCTCCCTAGGTTAAGAATATATTAAAAAAATAATTTCAGTATGAGTTGATCATTTCATTAAAATAATAAACATTTATTTCCATTACCTCTACTACTTCTTCAAGGTTGAGTAATTGTTGTACAGGATTGGCATGATCTTCGAGATATGCAGGATTTTCATAAATTTTGTCCAACATTGCAATAAGATCACTAATCCACTGAGGACTATGACATGTTCCAAAAAGAGTAGGTGTAAGGAAGGAAACAAGGATAATAAAATAATAACCGGAAAAAAAAAAAAGATAAAAACACTTACTTAATTTTCCAATAGGTTGACAAGGCATCAGCCAATTCATGCAGCAGAGTATGGTTCAATCCTTCAAAGACACGAATCAAACTTTCACGCTAAATAACGATAAAAATTAAGAATGTTAGTATTTTTTTTTTTTTTTTTTTTTTACGCAGAATCAGATCCAATTCATATCTTTAACTTACATCATTGATAGCCCATGTACTAACATCATTTTCTTTGATAACCCTATCCAAAGCTCGAGTAGCATCATTCACATCATCATGATCCAATTGTTCATATTCAAATCTCGTCTTGACCAGTTCCAAATAAAGAACAGCACGGTAAGGAGCAGAAAGTCGCCATGTCTTCCAACATTCACGTAATAGTTCATCCGATTGCTGCGAAAGAACACTTGATTTTGCACGGTCAGCTTCGGCGTTTGAGCTTGTATCCTTTTCAATGCACAAATCCATAAGTAATCGATAGTAAGAGCGTGGATCATTTGGAATATAGGTAAAAGCACTTTCAGGTCGCTATCACAAAAAAAAAAAAAAAAAAAAAAAAAAAAGAGTCAGTTACATATCTTGATAATAATAATAATAATAATAATAATAGAGCTTACATTGTCACCATCTCCATTTGGAATAGAGGATCGATTGTTGTTTGATAATAAGTTTGATTTACCAACATCAGTTTCGCTACCAGCACCCAGGGAGAGATTTGGATTCATCAACATGAGTGACTTCATCAATTCTGTCAGTTGCTTGACTTCCCGTTTTTGCCAATTGTCATATACTTGCTGTGAGGCATAGTCTTCCCTACGACCGGGAAAAGGTTGATTTGTATGGACATTATTGATACATTTCTTTAGATCAAGTAAAAGAGCCTAAAAGAGAGAAAAGAAGAGGAATTCAGTAAATGAATCTTCTTATATATGTATATAAAACGTACCGATTCCGAGCAAAGAGGTTCTAGTTCACGTAGCTTTTTGCGATGTTCCAAATCATCCACATCGAAAACAAGTTTGACTGTTTGTACCATAGGATACTTTTCCAGAGCTTCAAAGGAATCCATAGTTGACTTGTCGTTATTTCGTTGATCAGAAGTTGATCTTTTAGAAGATCCCAAGAAACCATTGAGTTTGTCCATTAGTTCAGGAGTAGCTAATTGAGGAGCATCTTCTTCCACAGTGGCAATGACCAATTCAGCAAAACGAGCAATATATTGATTGAGATCACCATACCAGACCGCCGGATTAGGATTATCCCGTTTAAGTTCGACTTCACTTGTTTTCAAAAAGATGATCACCAAGTCATTGATTGTACCTGTAGGTTTGTATCGATGTTGTTGAAGTACCTTTTGGAACTGACGTACCACAGTCAAGAAACGTTTGTCAAGATATTCAGGTTTCACAGTATTTTCACCAGAGACGATATCTTCTAGTCGTCGTATCAGACCTCGCACTACTTCTTTTGTCAATTTATCAGGTTTGCTGTTGCCACTATCTGTAATACTTCCAAACATATCCCCTACACTACTGAGATGAACAGAAGTATGTCTATCTTGCTTTTTATTGGATACTTCCTTGTCATTTGGTTGAAGTTGTTCATGGAAAGCTCTGATGGCACATCGTAATGTATATTCGTATACTGATTTCTTGTTGATGGTTCTACCAGTTCTACGACCACCTGCTCCACCACGTCGTAAAGTAGACCCTTTCTTCACTTCCATATTTCAGAAAAAGTGACAATATATTTGATAAATGTTAAAATGTAAGAATAGAAAGGAAAGAGCGACCGAAAAAAAAAAAAAAAGGAACCCACACAAAAATAGTGTTTCACAAAAATAGGCGGATACTGAAAACGAATGGGCCTATTTTCTGATTCGCTGTTACCTTAGCCCCTCCTTTTGGTACCACCTCAGGCACCATCACCTTTTTGTCGAAACTTTGGTTCCACTTGAAGCTGAGTGATAGAAAATAAAGAAAAGCCCTTTTTCTATAAAATGAATATGAATGATCCTTTATCTTGGTTATAAAAAAAAAAAATGAAATCATGATAATATTGAATCTTTGTAAAATAGATTCCATTTTCTTTGGATACGCATTTGTATATGATCGACACATTCAAATCTATATCATCAAGAATATTCTAGTTATAATATCAAACCTTTGCCTAAACTCGGATTACAGTATCAACAGACGCCTTTTTTTTTTTTTTTTTTTTTTGTACAAAATTGCAAAGCTATGATACAAATATATCTATTTTCATTTACAGTGATGGATGCACAAGAGGTGAAAGCCTGGAGTGCATTGAATTGTACCAAAAAAGGAAAGTCCAATTAAAATTAGAATAAATATGTTTATCATAAAAAAAAAAAAGCATAAGTCATTCTTCTTCTTTCTCTATATGGTGCTAGTTGTGATCAAGACATTTACTTTAAACAGTGATGTAGGTTGTTGCTTAGTTAGTTGATACAATATACCAAAAGTGAGGTGGCCTTGATTTGCTTCTATCCACAGGATTACCACTATGATACACCGTATACAACGTTCATCAGCAACCCATTAAAAAGAAGGGGCAACGTTAAAAGACACGTACAGTATGATTATTTTCATTATGCACAACCATCATTACTGCCATTCATCCACTATCTCATCATCCATCATCCAGTACATAACCCAATTGGAAACTTTAAAAGATAATAATCACTATAGTGTTCTTTATTGATGTTAAGTAATACAACTAGATTACAAATAATGCACTAATGGAAAGGTACCCTGAGATCGTTCATTCATTGTAATCTTCCGAATGATTTGATGATAGTTTTCAAGGCTCTTGTTTGCTGTTGTTGTCGCTTCCCAGAAAGATCAGATTGTTGTAAAAGGTATGCTACGTCGGCCAAAAGAGCAGGAGTCAAATGGAATGTTTGTTCTTGTCCAGTATGTATAGCGGTGTGTGTACTGTCTTTACTTTGATGTGTTTTTTCAAATGATTCGGCAACAGTAACTGCTTTGTTGATGATATGGTCCGGTAAACCCGCCATTTTTGCTACATTCATCCCAAATGATTTTTCACAAATCCCTTCCATTAGTTTGTACAAGAAGATAACTTTGTGTTCATCGTCATCCATAATATATCCCCTATATCAAAAACAAAAAAAAAAAAATTGAATATATTAAATATACACAACCTAAAAAAAAAAAAGGAATGTAGACAGAGGGACTTACATATGCATGTTCTTGATAGATGGATTCCGTTCGAATTCACGACATAGTGTATGATAATGAGTAGAAAACATGGCCAAACATCCAACATGGGTCGCCAAATAATGAAGAACAGCATATGCAATTGAATAACCATCAAAAGTTGAGGTCCCACGACCAAGTTCATCTAGAATAACCATCGATCTAGGTGTTGCTTCATGTAAAATTTTAGAAGTTTCGGCTAATTCTACCATAAATGTTGATTGTCCTGCTAGGATATTGTCATTTGCACCAATGCGGGTATAGATCCGATCACAAGCAGTCATCCTACATGCTTTAGCTGGGACATATCCACCAAGCTGTGCCATAATGATCGCAACACATGTCTAAACAAAATTCAATGGATACATGAGTGTTTGATTTTTTTATTTTTTTTTTTTTTCCTTTGACAATCAACTTTACCTGACGTAAAAGTGTTGACTTGCCGCCCATGTTTGGACCTGTTAAAACCATGATGTTAGGTCGATCTTCACCACCAAGAGTAGTATCATTTGGGATAAAGTCAGTTGTTGCGCTATATATATAGGTTTTTTTTTTTTTTTTTTTTTTTTTTTTTTTTTTTTTTTGTAAAAAAAAAGGAGAAGAGACAGTGATTAGATGAAGATGATATGATACTATGTCAAACTTACCCAGAGACAATACAAGGATGACGTAATTCTTCAAATTCAAGGACACTTGTTTCTTGATCAGTAAATTCAGGTCGACACGAAGGTTCTATATACATATTGAAACGTAAAGACAAGAAAAAAGGGTTTAGAAAATAACATCGAAAATATGTCTTTCATAATACTTTACCACCTAATCTTGATGAACCCTTGCAAAGTCCAAGTAAAGCATCAAGGTGTGCCAAATGTTTTACCACATCAAGCCATAAGTCATAATGTTCATCAAATTCAGAATAGACTTGGTTGGCGAAATTCTTGGTATAAGCATTTTTAATTTCCAAATGCTCTTTATATTGTGTAACAAGTTCTCGAAGAGTAGCATTCCAATAGCGGTTCACTTTCTATAGGCATCATATTTATGAGTTAATATATATATATATAAAGGAAAAGGGACAGAGAGAACAATTCAAATGTAAACTTACTGAAGTTGATGACATTCTAATCCAGTCCTTTGGTACTGTAATATTCTTTGGGACTTCTATTTGATATATTTCTTTGCCAAGATCCTTGTATTCCAATCGACTTGATCTAAGATAAATGATGAATATATTGGTTTGATAAAAAAAAAGTTAGTTCAAGTAAAAGTCAAAACATTTACTTCTTTTGACGCTTACTTTAATTCTAGTTTCATTTGTGCCAAGTGAGTGGCAAATGCCTTTTCCAATCCTTTCAGATCATCATTGATATCGTCCCAGTCCTTGTTTACACCTTGTTTTGGAATGATGGCTGTCATTTTTTGATCTGTAAAGAAATAAGGTTAAATCTTTACTTTATCTTTTTTTCTTTTCTTTTTTTTCTTTTTTTTGTTACACTTACAATCAATATCCACTTCAGCGATAATAAAGGCTCCACCAAAGTATTCAAGTTGATCATTGATTGGAGGGAATTTCGTCACTAAGGTTTTTAAAAGAACAGATTCAAATGATGGACATACTGACGATAACCAGTCGATAAGGGTCTGTATTTTGCAAAATTTAGAATTAGAAATAGATTATAAGTGTTTGATTCATCCCATATCATTCCCGCCTATTTTCTTTTTTTTTTCCTTTCATATCTAAATAAAATCTTACCTTTGCTTTCTTGAATCCATCAAGTACTAATAAAAATTCCGAAACTTTGCAACGTTTAGAATGAATACGTGAAATAAGTCGTTCCAGATCAGGTAGTTCAGCAAATACAGTTGAAATCCGTTCATGAATTTCAGGCATATTCATCAAATCCTCTACAGCATCTTGTCTCGTCTTGATATCGTTCAGTTGGCGTAAAGGATGGCATAACCATCTCTTGAAGAGTCGCTTTCCAAATGGAGTAATACTATTGGCAAGAAGCTTGAATACCGTTCCATCAGTTGAGCCATCAAATGAATTTTCAAAGATTTCCAAGTTAGCAAGCGTTTGGCCGTCTAGTACCAAAGAAGTGGCATTTTGTAAAGGATCATATGGATGGAAGTTTCGAGCTGATAATAGTTCTTTATCCAATTTCAACTATGTATAATCATAAAAAAAAAAAGAATTAGAACACAACAGACTTTTTTTATTTTCATTGTCTTTACCGATCGTAGGTACCAAATCAATCCTCCAATAGCAGATAATAATACAGGAGTTTTCGCAGCAGTTTGTAAAGCAGTAGGCCATGAATCTAAAGGATAATTATGTAAATATGATTCATTATCAAAATGATCATTTTCAATATTTTTTACTCGGTTGAAGTTTACCCATAGAATCCAAATCATCATTGGAGTTACCTTGCGTGAAATAGGCACCAATACGAATTTCATCAGCTGTAACACGGTCATCCCAGAATTCGGATTCAGGTATCAACATATTCCAAATAGGATTATTGAGGCAATTCTTGAGGATACGAGAAGTATCTGCACTGAGGCGACCCTATATATATATATATATATATATAAACACGGCAACCCAATCAGCTAATCGCTTATAATATATAGATATGATTTTTTACCTTTTCAGTCACAAGTTCCCTTGGTTTGATTTGCATAATGAGAGTTTCAAAATTGGTTCGATTTCTATCATCTTGGAATGTCACCAAATTGAATTCAGCAGTTGAAGTATCCACAAAACAAATACCGAACAAAGGATCTGATTGATCTGATGGGCAGTATTCCTAAATAATAATAATAATAATAATAATAATAAGGTCAAATCAAGAACTTTCATTTCACAGATAAAAATTATGTTTACCTTGATAGCCATACAATAAGTTCCCATGTCATCTGTCAAAAGACCAGCATCCACAAGTGTACCAGCTGTCAATACTGAGGTCAATTCTCTTCGGATCACCTTATCTTCTTTTGATTTCGTCTTTGATTCTTGTCTATCACGCATTGATTTTCCAATAGCATTTTCCATTTGGTCCACACGAGCAACTTTGTGGCTAGAAATATATATATATATATAAGTCAACATGATTTCCTATAAAAATGATACTTACCCACGAGCAATAAATTGTGCAGCCCAATAATCAAAGGAGGATTCTGGTACACCAACCATACGCATATTCACTCTATCTGTCATCTTCAAATCAAAGTCTTGATGTCCAATATCTGCATCCTTTTCATATAGTTCTATTATGTATTCAAAACATCAAAATTAAAAACAAAAAATCATTATATCCTTCTTTCTTTTTTTGGAACCGTACCATAAAATTTGCCTTTTTTGAAGAAAACGACCTAAAAATGTAATAATGATTATGGTAATGAGAACAGAGAAGATAGCAAAAAAAAAAAAAAAAAAATAATAGTAATCTACTTACAGAATCCCATTGCTTTGATTTAATTTCCCAAAATTGTTTTTCAAATGGTGTAAAATTCTTCCAAGCAGAAGGTGGAACATAGAGAGTACGAGGATCATAATCCGGTGAATCTAGGGACGAAAATTAAAATCAAAAGTGAATAACGTGAGATAGTAAGCAACAGCAACAGATTAAACTCTTATAGATCTCATTTTTCCAATCTTACCAGGAGGATTTCCATTTGCATCCTTTGGGTTGGCTAACCAGCTGTACCGTACATCATTCTTTTCCTTGAATGCCTTGTTTCTTCCCTGTTGCAATAAAAAATAAAATAAAATAATAAAAAAAAGTGAGAGAAAATGGATTAATAACCATTCATAGATAAGGTAATATTGGGACATATTTAGTAATCTACCATTTGCTTTTCCGATTTTGTTGTGGATGTCAAAAAGTTTGTTTTCGAAATGGATGCTGGCGACTGCTTTGTTGTAGATGCTGGACCTGGAGAATTCATTGTAAACTTCTACAAATTGATCAATCACCATAAAAAGAAAAAAGTTGAATGAGTTGATAATAAATCAAATCGTTCTATTCATCTTTTTTTTTTTCTACTCAATTTACTCTAAATCGCTCTTGTATAGGAGATATCTGTGGTTCTGTTTCCATAGCCGTTGCAGGAATAATATCGTCATCACTATCCATTGTACAATCTAATAATATAGGTAGGAAAGAAAAAAAGGTCAAATATTTTTCCACGAAAGAATATGGATCAGTTTCATAGCTATAAGTCAATTTTACCAAAGTTGCCATCGTCATAATCATCATCCTCATCGTGGTCTTTTGTAATATCAAGTTTAAATTCATCGCTGCTATCATCGTCTTCAATGACTCGTCTTGAGCGTCGTTTCCGAGGCTTGTTATCTATCACCAATAATAATAATAAAAAAAAAAACAAATGAAAAGGAAAAACAACACATTAGTATGCACTCGCTACTATTTGTTCTTTTCCTCTAATCCATATACCTGAATGTGGGATATCTTTGACATTGTCACTACCTTCATCGTCGTCATCATCTGTTTCCGCATATATGATACGTTTCTTTGATCGTCGCTATTGGCATTTCCAAAATAAATAAATAAATAAGCAAATAAACAAAAAAAAAAGAATGTAATGAGAAAAGTATTCAAAAAGATACAGTGCTTAGAATCGTTTCCAAAAACAATGAACTTACACTTTTCCTAGTATCAGTATCGTCGTTGTCATCGTTGTCATCATTAGCTGTTGATGGTGAAGTTGAAGAGTCCTGTTTAACAGTATGAGAAGGTTGATCACGATCTCTTACAGCTAACGATTCAGTGGTCATTGGTTTGACAGCATGTTGTTTCTGTGGCTCTTGCTTTTTTATCGTTTGTGGTTGTGACGAAGGTTGCTTGAAGAATGAGAAAAGTGTTTGTTGACCCTTTATCTGCTGATTGGAGCCACCGGCCATAATAAAATGGTGTAGAAAGGAAAATGTGTAAGAATGTCAACAGAGAAACGAAAGAAAAAAAAAAAAAATAAAAAATAAAAAATCGCGTAGTTTTTTTTTCTGTTGTGCTTCACACTGGCTGCGTTTCAATTTCGCGTTTAGAGTCGCAATGTATGTATATCGATAGTCTTTGCCTCTTTTTCGAAATAACAATAACAAAAATATAATAATGATGGATATGTACAATATATTTATTGAGATGAAGAAAAACGAAATCAAAAAAAAGAAATAGTATCATAGTAATAAAGAAGTAAAAAGTAAAAAGTAAAAAGTAAAAAGTAAAAATAAAAATAAAAATAAAAGACTATTCAAATAACCTTTCCGCTTTACTTTTCCAATTCTGTAGTTCATCCAATAAACTGGCATGTTTCTGACCCACATCACGTCGATGATCGATAGCACTGGATAGTTGACCACGAATACCTTCCACCGTTGTTTCCAACTGACTGATCCTCTTGGCTCGTTCTTCCATCATGGCGGCTGATGATTGTAAGATCTTGTTTTCTTGTTCCATTTCTTTGACTTTTTCTTCTAAAATGGTAGTGGATGATTGGAAGACCTTGTTTTCTTGTTCCATTTCTTTGACTTTTTCTTCCAGATCATGAGTATATGCCACCAATGTTTCTAGTTCATTCAAAACACCCACATATTTCTTTTCCAGTGATTCCAGTTCGTTCAAAGTACCAACATGTTTCCTTTTCAGTGATTCCAGTTGTTCTTGTTTTTCTCTAGTTTGACGTTGTTGCTGTTTATCGCGTGATAACTGCTGATCCAATTCCATTCGTGCTTCTTCCAGTTGCCTTGAGAGTGCATCGCGTTCCTGTGAGACAGCATCAAGTTCTTCTTGGACCCGGGCTAATTGTTCCTTCATTGATGTCTTTTCATAGTACATCTTGTGTATCGTTTGTTTCATATCATCGAGCTGAACACCCACCTTAGACATTGCTGTTTCCAAATCCGATATACGTTCATCTTTTTCTACCATTATCAATGACTTGTTTTGAGCGATCTGTAAAGTGGATGTGAGATGAGACTTGTCCCGTTGCAATCGAGTGATATAACCTTCTCGTTCTGTCAGTGTTCTTCGTAGATGAGCAATATCAGCAGCACTTGATTCCAACAAATCATCCTTTTCTTGTACCCAGTTTTCAAGCTTTTCAATGTCAGTTTGCAGTTGCCTTATGGTATCCATTTTTGTCATCAGGTCTTTCTTCAGCTTGTTTTCTTGCGATCGATGTCTTGCCATTGCATCCTCAAGTCTTTCATCCATATTGATATTCCATTTAGCCTCCTGACTTTCATGTTGTGCTTCCCGGTCTACCAATCGTTTCTTCATGTCTTCCAATTGAGCAGATTTGTGTACAGTTTCAGATTTGAGCTGTTGTAGTTGATCATCCAAGTTTTGCGTCAATAGTTCCAATTCTAATACGCGATCGTTCTTTTCCATCAGCCTTTGTTCAGTATCCTTCATTTGAGAAAGAGTAGCTTCCCTATCCGCTAGTCGTCTCTTCATATCTTCCAACTGGGCAGCTTTGTGTACGGTTTCAGATTTGAGTTGTTGTAGTTTGTCATTCAAGTCTTCAGTTAAGAGTTCCAATTCTGATATGCGATCCTTTTCCATCATCCTTTGTTGTGCTTCTCGTTGTTGAAGAGTAGCTTCCTGGTTCTCCAATTGTTTCTTCAGTTCTTCCAGTTGAGCAGATTTGTGTTTGGTTTCAGATTTGAATTGTTGTAGTTGATCATCCAAGTCCTGTGTCAAAATTTCCATTTTCGTAATGCGGTTTTTTTTTTCCATCAGTTCTTGTTGTGTGTCCTTCAATTTATTTTCTGTATCAGCTTTCTCTGCCAGTTGTCTCTTCATGTCTTCCAGTTGAGTAGATTTGTATCTGGTTTCAGAGTTGAGTCGTTGTAGTTGACCATCCAAGTCTTGCGTCAAGATCTCCAATTCTGATATGCGATCCTTCTTTTCCAACAGGCTTTGTTGTATATCTTTTGTTTCCTGAAGAATAGTTTCCCGATCCTTCAATTGTTTTTCCATGTCTTCTAGTTGAGTGGATTTGTGTTTGTTTTCAGATTTGAGTCGTTGCAGTTGATCATCCAAGTCTTCAGTTAAGAGTTCCAATTCTGCTATGCGATCCTTTTCCATTAGCCTTTGTTCTGTCTCGCGTTGTTGAAGAGTAGTTTCCCGATCCTCCAATCGTTTCTTCAGTTCTTCCAGTTGAGCAGATTTGTGTTTGGTTTCAGATTTGAGTTGTTGTAATTGATTATTCAAGTCTTGTGTTAAGAGTTCCAATTCAGTTATGTGATCCTTTTTCTCTGCCAGTTTTTGTTGTGTATCCTTCATTTGCTTTTCCATGTCGCTTTTGTATGTCCAAAGATTTGTTAGATGATCAGATGTATCGGCCGCTTCTTCCCCCCTTTGCTTTTCTGATTCCATCAGCTTGTTTTCCAAGTCATTGATCCTATTATCCTTGTTGGCTAAACGAAGCTTCATATCTTGCATTTGTTCTTCCAAATTTGTCAGATGATCAGATGAATTGGCTGCCTTCTTGTACCGTTCGAGTTCATCCACCAAGATATGTATTCTTTGCTGATAAGAAGACTTTAAATCGGCCATCTTACTTTGTAGTTCATCCCTTTCCAATTCCATCATGGATGCACGTTCATTGGCTAACTTTTCTCTTCCAAGCATATCTTGTAAATGAGTTTTTGCTTCATTGATCACGTCGTCAGTAGAGGTATTTTTGTTGGTGGTATTGGAATGTACAGAATGATTGTCCACAGCATCAAGTATAGTTCTTGAAGAAGATCGTCGGCCAGTAGAAGAACTAGTGAGAGAAACACGTCGATGAGGAGAAAAAGTAGGATGTGGTCTTGAGAAGGTATGATTGCGTTTGGTTTGAGAGAATCCATTCTCCATTGAATACGGTCGTTCTTTTTTTAGTTTTTTAATACAAAGAAGAGAGGAGAGTCAAATATTAGCCACTTGATTGAATAAAAGACAATAGCTTAAACTTTTATATATAAATATATTTTGAACTTACTTGAAGTTGATGTTGAAGATATACTTGTTCGAGTTGCCATGAAGAATTGATATGATTATTGAAACAAAGAAAAAGTATTGTAAAAGGAAAGGAGAAAATTAAAAATAAAAACACGACTTTTATCACACATTTGTTTTGAAGTCCGCAAAAGAAAAAAAAAATTCAGTTGGAATGAGATAAGGCATGAAAATAAAAATAATATTCTGTCGAATTGAGATAAAAACAAAAGACGATTACTGTAAAATCATAGAAATAATCATGGAATATCCTATTGAATTTCTTTATTTTATTAATTTCAAGAAAAAAAATAAAAAGATAAACTACACTATATCCAAATACTAGATCATCTTATTTCTAATAACTAAAAACCACTTTATAGTATAACGATTTTAAACATGACCCATCACTACCGAAAAGCGTAACGTTCGTTTGGTAGGACTGATTTTCATTTCAGAGCAACATACAGATGGACGGTCAGATATCGATTCTGGTGAGGAAGATGGGCTATAAGACGATATTGAGTTAGGTAGATTGGTCATAGAAGAGCTGAATAATGGTGGAGGCGATGACGATGGGGAAGATAAAGAGGATGATGATGATGGTGAAATAGTATCTGAAATTCTTGGTACTTCTGTTGATGAAGTAGAGGTTCTATCCTGACGTTGAGTTGGTCTGTTCATAGTCGATACATTGGGATTTGTTGTACGAGAGGTATGATGACTAGTTGACCTATTGTTGTTGTTGATTTCATCTGCACACAAAATGGTACTTCGCCACCCCTATTGTTTCCAATGCAAAAATGAGTATATAAATAAATAATAAACCTAGCGTGTCCATCCTATATACATATCTTACCCAGCTTTGTAATACAGAAAAATCATCAGGACTACTTTGAAACAAGGTCAATGCATGTTTTGGTGCTCTTGAAGGACAGAAGATCTTGAACCAAGTTTTAGTCACACGTCGATGATCAGAGAATCGAGAAAATGAAGCTTGATCAGAAAGAATATCTTGATATCTATTGGTTAGAGATTCTTGGTGAGGAGCGGAAGATGTCATTGGAGGATCTGATAGTGAAGTGTCGTTGTTTTGTTGCTGATGGTGTTGATAATGATGAAGATGATGTGGTCGTTGATGATGGTTCATTTCAGAGGAGACTGATTGTCGATGCAAATAAACCCCAAGCTGAGGTATTTCTTTTCGTTGAGATTTTGTTTTTTGAATATACATATTCCAATTGGATCTATATATATATATAAACCATGAGTGGAGAAAGATTCTTTTTTTTTTTTTTTTTTTTTTTTTTTTTTTTTTTGCTTTACCCTGCATAAAATACTGTTTTTGAGTAGATCCGGACATTTCTTTTGAGATTTGCTACATCTTTAAATTCTACACTGAACCTGAATGGGGGGTATTGTGAATACTGCGTAGTATCTACTGTTGGTGAAGCTGTTGATATCGACTTCGAAGGTTCTTGGGGATTCGTAGTTTGGTATTCAGTCGGTTGATCTTTCATGTGTACTTTGTTACGAGGTTGCCGATTTGCTGTAATGTAAGACTTTGCAGTTTCACCTGTGTATGAAATACTATCATCAGTTGGAATTGGATATTGGGTATGTTGATTCTGTGTTCGGTTGGTATCAGGTGGTATTGTTGTTGTCATGTCGAGCATTTTATCGTGTTCCTTTGCTGTTTCAATCCTTGAACGCATTTGTACTTGATTCCATAGGGCGTCTTTCAGAATAGTATCAGGTACCATGGCTTCACCAGTGAATGGATTGATATCCTTCCGTATAGAATTCAATTGTTCAAAAGTCATATGCATAAAATATATACAATTGGATATAATTTCATTGTATTCTACCAAGACTGATTGTATGTCATCCCCAATGTAATCGTATTGTTGATGTTTTTGTTGATGTTGGTGTTGTTGATGTTGTTGACGTTGACGTTGTTGTTGTCGTTGATGATGTTGATGATGGTGATGATGATGATGATGTAACGTTGGCGGTAAATCGATATCCGTTGACCAGGATATTTTCGTTCCAGACGCATTATCTTTGTTATTAATTTTGGTTTCTGTTGATGAAGACGGTGTTCCACAGAAATCTTCAAATAAATCATGCGCCGTTGAGTTGTCACATTCTTCTTCTGTCAAATCTTCTTCCGAGTGATCCAAGGACGATGAAGCTGACTCCTTTTGATTCAATTGAATTATTACATAAGGTGATTCAGATTGTTGTTTCCCTTTAGACCAATGATGGTATTGTTGATGAATAAGAGATTTCATAAATTGATACCGTTGATATTCACTTCCAAATAAAAAAAAAAAAAAAAAGGACAAGGGTGAGTCGGAGTACGCGTGCATAATGTGATAAAAACTAGGGGCAAAAAGGGGGATTACCTTGGTACAAAAAAGGCATCTGAGTTCATAATCCTTCTCAACCATGCTGGAGATATACCACCAAGTAGTCGACGATCCATAGAATAGGCTTCCCGGCATAAAAAGGTGAAGATAGCATCACATATACGATCAGAACCATAGAGAAGATGGGTGTCGGCAAATAACAAATAATCAATTGCATTATAATCGGATAACGTCTGCAAGATGAATTCCACACAAAGTTCACACATACTGTTCAATTGGAAGAAAGAGCATGTGGCTAGGAGAGGCTGGACATTGGTATGATTGATATCGGGAGAGCATATTTTTCCATAAAGTCTTTCGAGTACAAATTGAAAAGAATCGGCAGTGATAAAGGTGTGCTTGTCAAAATGGAGAGTGATTTCATTCGTGGTGCTTTCAAGGAATCCGCCCTGAAACAGAGTTTGAAAATATGGGTTCTGGTCCAATATCAGCCGATGTAAATGGTATTTGCCTTGCCAAGCTGGTACAAGTACAACAACATCACTTCCAATACCTTCTATAAGTCCACGTTGATACATATGTTGTGATAAGTTCATGGAGTGTTGTTGCCAATCATATATTGTTGAGACAAAATGTGTATCTATGCGAGGTATTTCCATATTGTCGGTATTGTTATTAGTTTTACCATGAGAATGTATAACTGAAGAAGTAGATGGATAAATATTGTCGCCAATGATATTTGTGCTATAATGTATGTAAGGATGATCCGTCACTTTGGAAATGGTATGCTGAAGTTCGGTGGATAAGCATGGAGGAGTTTCGATTGTTGGTTGCTGTTGGCTAGAGTTATCGCTGTTGTTAGGCAACGGATTGATATTTGAAGATGTATCATTCATCTGTTATTTAAACAACAAATATAGATAATGAAGTTGAAAAACAAGGACCCAGGTAAAAAAAATAAAATAAAATAAAATAAAAAAGACTGATAAAAAAAAAAAAGAGGAACGAAACAGAGAAAAAAAGAAACGGAATTTTTTTTATTGATTGTTGGAAGTCAGGTGAGGCAAAAAATATTTCACCTCAACAAATATATATAAAATACAGTAAGTTAAATAAAAACTATATATTGGATCCACGTAATTGTTCGATTTCCCGTCGTAAGTTGTCATTTTCTTTTTGAAGTTGAATATTTTCTTTTGTTGACGATTGTAACAGTTGTTCCAAATAAGCCTAAAGGAATAAATACCATTATTTTGGTTAATAAATTGATCATAAAGTTCATATTTTTATTTATCACTTACCACAGTAGCCTGTATATCATCACTTGGAGGTCTTTCTGTTGTAACTATATTGGCAGGTTTTGTTGGATTTGGTGATGATATTTGCTTAGATTTGGCCATCATATTGGATAATCCGGTTGCAGAGCAAATTTCCTGAATCAAATGACGTTGAGCTTCGTTATATCGCAAAAGTTCTTCGAATTGAGCCAATAGTGTTGTAGATGAATCGGAAGTAGTGCTACCATGAGTACGAAGACCTTGACCTCGCAATAATGACGACGATGGTGAAGTTGTAGATGAAGAGGCTGACATGGAATGAGATGAATCATATGCATGATGTCCTATTCCTCTCAAAAAATAAAAAAAAGAATTAAAAAAAAAATATGATGATTTATTGTTTAGACTTATCAATTATAAAACAAAGGAGCTTTTTTTTTTTTTTTTTTTTTTTTTTTTTTTTTTTTTGATGTTACCTTCGTTCTTATCCAGAGGTGCAAATCGACCTGGGTCAGTGACACTTCCAGCTGTGGTGAGTTCAAATCGTCCAATTTTTCTTGATTCTCCTGTTGATTGATTATCCAATTCTCTTTCAGCTAAAGGTGATCTTGTTCGCGCAGATCCTTCCCTAGAGAGAGTCGATGGTGGTGGTACATGAGATCCATAATTTGAATTTTCGCGAGAAAGTGGTACTCCTTGATAAAGCATAATACTAGTAGATGATTGAGGGGAATGACTAAGTACTTCAAATCTTGATTTACGATCACCTATCAGGAAATTAATAAGATAAGTAAATCATAATAATAATAATAATAATAAACAGGATAAATTTTGTTTTGCTTGTATTCTTACTTGGATTGTCTTGATTATTCCTTTCATCATTCAAAGAATCCGTCATACTATTAGCAGTATCACTAAAACTTGCTTGCCTTGATGTGGTTTGATTGATGTGGAAACGTCCAACTTTGGTAATTTCACCATCCTATTCAAGATATTAGAAAATACTAAATAAGTAACTGGATAAAAGAAAAAAATTGTCCATTTTACTTACACTCTGATCATCTTTAGTATCAGCAGCATCAGGTATAGCAGAGGGACTGAGAGATCGAATAGAAGTATTTGTAAGCATTGAACCAGGATGATCACTGTAAGATGTCTCTTCGATAACAAAGCGAGATTTCTTAGGTTGTTTAGAAGATGCAGCATTTACTGAAGTCATTGTAGTCATAGTTGTAGTTGCAATGGCTGCAGCTGAAGAGGATATAGCTGATGGTTGAGGTGGATTCCTTACAACGACATCACCAAATGAAATGTGTCGTTTCGTACTTTGCTGTTGTTGTTGTTGTTGTTGTTGTTGTTGTTGTTGTTGTTGTTGCTGTTGTTGATGATGTGGATCGTTGGTTTCATCAGAAGTTGGTATCATAGAATGAGTATCAGGAAGGTCATCATTGACATCGTCGTTGTCAAAATCCCATTCGTCTGTTTTTGTGATGGTCATCTGTCGTTGAGAAATCTTTTTTCGAGGGCGTTGATCCAAAGGTGTCAGGTCTTGTAAAATAGATTTCACTAGATAGTCTTTACGTTTGCTTTGCTTAAAAAATGGATGTTGTAAAAGTTTCTCAGCTGTTGGTCTAAATTCAAAAAAAAAAAAAAATGAGTATATTGATATGAATAAAGTTAACATTTTTTTTGTACCTTTTTTCTGGATCCTTGATTAAGCAAGAGTCAATCATATCTTTAAATAATTTAGAGTATTTGTGTCCGGTTGTTTCACGATCCAAAGTAGGTGGGTCACTAGAAAGAGTCATCATTAATACCTTGAGAGGAGGAAGTTTAGCAAAAGGAGCATGACCTGTGGCAAGTTCAATAGAGGTAATACCGAAACTCCAAATATCAGCCTTATAATCGTATCCAGCTTGTTCCATAACTTCAGGGGCCATCCAACAAGGCTATAATGCATATGAAGAATAAAACATTATATATAGATAGATATAAATATTGATATTGAATTACTTACTGTTCCCACAAATGTTTTACGTTTCCCACGTTCACCAGTTTCCATCAATGAACTAGAAACACCAAAATCAGCAAGTAAGACAGTACCATCATCATCCATCAAAAGATTCCCAGCCTTAACATCGCGATGAATATGACCATTCTTATGGAAGTAAGCAATACCTTCTAAAGCTTGTTTCAATATAGTAGCAATACTAAGTTCATCAAAACCATTTGGAAATCCAGTTTTCATAATATCTAAACATGAACCTGACAAAATAAGAAGATAAATTAGTATAAGAAAGTATATATACATATATTTACCTCCAGCAGAATAAGGGGTAACAATATATAGTTTTGATCCATGAACAAAAGAACCGTAAACGCGTAAAACATTAGGATGTTTTGATAAAGCCATCAAAGCAGTTTCTCTCTATATTAAATATTAAATAAGATATAAATTAAATAAATGTTTTTTTTATATATTTATATTTATATTTATATATGTAGAATTTCTTGTTTACCCGAAGTTCATCAATTTGATTTCTTTCAAACATATCTAAATCAATCATTTTGACAGCGACTCTTTTATTAATAGGTTTGTAAATAGCACTATATACAATAGCAGAAGAACCATAACCTATAATAATAATAATAATAATAATAATAGATGAGTCTTAAATATATATATATATATTACCAATAGGTTGTTGAAGTTCGAAATCGTCAATATTATTAAATATTGGAAGGTCAGGTTGAATTTGAGATGGTACAGGAGAAGTTGGAGTAGAATGTTCAGGTTGAGTAGAAGTCATAATTTTTAAACCATGAAAGAGATCAGGATTTGGTTTTGTAGAAGGAATAAGAATAGAACGAGCTGATGAAGGTCTTCTTGATAAGGAGTTTGGTTGTTCTTCGGAGCTAGTAAGTAAAACAGACGGTGGTGGTTGATTGTTCATGGTATAAAAAAAAAAAATAGTCTATATATATATAAAACCCCACAAAAAGGGGAGGAAAAGATAATAAAAAAGAGAGAGGAGAGTTTAATAAAAAGGGAGACAGAGAATAAGAAAAAAAAAAAATAAGAAATTGAGAAAAGAAAGGAGAGAATAAAAAAAAAAAGCTGGGATGTAAAAACATATAACGCTCACCTTGTTTACGTTTCTTTTGTGTATGTGTGTGTAACAAATTTTCTCTTATATTCCTTTTTTTTTTTTTTTTTTTTTTTTCTTTCCTTTTCTTCATAATATTTTTTTACCAAAATAGTTTCACATCTTTCAACTATGGAACAGCCACCTTTAGGCTCTGGTGTTTCCAAATCCCCTTCCCTTCCCTTTGATACATCATCTTCTAATACAAAACAATATCAACATGATTCCTTTTTCACGCGTGTATTTGGTCATCATTCCCAGGAGTCTTCTAGAGGTAAGAAAGAAAAAAAAAATAATAACAGTTTTCTCAGCCCCTTATTTTTTTTTCTTCCTCTCTCTTTCTCTCTCTCTCTTTATTATTATTATTATTATTATTATTATTATTGTCATTGTTATTAATTTTATATATATATATTTTATATTTGTAATAAGCTGCTTCACCTTTACAACTTCCTCCTAAACCAACTCAAACATTATCATCTACTACAAGTAAACGGACTTGTTCACGACATATACGAAACTCTTCTACTGGTACTATTCCATCTCCTGAACAGTCTTCAACTCCTATCATCTTACCATCTAAGAACAATTCAAGTATGCAACGTAGACGTTCTTTTGACAATACAACACAACCTACAACTACTTTTAGAGAACCTTTATCAGTCTCTTTTCAAGATAAACCTACAAAAGACCCATCTCGTTGTAAACATGCCAATCCTGTACCGTTTCCCAGAGGTGGTAGACAAATAGGTGAATCTCATATACCACAGAATTATACCACTCAACAACAACAACAAAAACCCCTTACTCGAAGTAACTCTGGTGATCCTCACAAACATGATCAAGGTTAGTATAATTCTTCTTTTCTTTCTTATTAGTTACTCAATTTTTTTCTTTTTTCTTTCTTTCTTTCTTTTTTTTTTTTTTAAAAAAAAAGATCCACCTACTGCTCCTAAGGATAAGAAAAGACATTTATTTTGGGTTTTAACAAAAAAGAAAAGTAAGTTCATATATTATTCTTTTTTCTTTTTTTTATTCTTTTTAAATTTTTTATTTTTTGTCGTTAGGTCGAAATGAACTCAATATGTCCAATTATTCTCATAACAACTACACAGCGTCAACTCACTCGTCAAGTATATCTTCTCAAGCTTCTTCTGCTCCAAGTACAACTTCTACCTTATCCGCTAATAATCCTCGAAAACGATCAAATGACAACGATATTTATGCTCATCGAAGTACACATCCTTTGGAACAACCTCTCATAGAAGATCATTCACGGTTTATGCAAAGAGGTCCAATTACCAACTTATATTCCAATGCCAATCATATGATGTCCTCCTCTTCTTCTTCATCTTCTGCAAGTGAAAGAAAACGATCTGTTGGTCAACAATCAGGGAAAAAACAATCAAAAGAAAGAGAAAAGTCAGATGGAAGTATATATTACATGAAGGATAAATCAAGAAAAGATTTGAAGGTAATATAAGAAATCGGGGACAATATCATTTTTATTAACTTACAGCATTTCTCTTTTCTTTCTCTCCTTTCGATCTATAGGATATCGAATGTAAGTACTTTTTTTTTTTTACTATTATTATTATTATTATTGTCATGTGATGGATCAGTCACTAGAATTCATTCTTTTTTTTTTTCTTTTCTTTATTTTATCATAGTGGACCAGAATTTTACAAGTATGGATGGTATAGTTAATCCTGAATATTATCAAATCCAACCAACTTTGATACCTTCATCTACTTCTACTACATTATGTGATCAACAGGTATGTCCTTTATTATTATTATTATTACTATTATATATATATTTATATATATTAAACAAGTCATGCACTAACATTCCTTTTACAAATATTAGGTTTCTGAAATACCTTCCAATGCGGAATCTTGGGCTCCACCTGATAGTTGGGCTGTTCAACCTCCTGGTATGATGACTACTACTGATTTATCGTCAACTACTGCTGCTGTAGATGAAGAAACACATGATTCTGATGAATATACTCTCGTGGATCAAGATAAATATGACATCAAGAAGAAAAACGTAAGTTAACACCAACTACATATAATCTAAAAAAAAAAAAAAAAGATCAATCAATCTGATGGATACTCAAATGATATATTTTTTCATTTTCAAAAAAAAAAAAAAAATGATAGTTTTGTATTCGAATCTTTAGACCTGATGAAACCTTTGGTACTTTACAAGTTGCTTTACATACAACAACTGCTGAACTTATGCAAAAATTAGCTGGGAAATTCTTCTTACCTGATATGACAAAATATAATTTGGTTTTAAGGCGGCACAAACTTGGTAATTTAGTGCGAATGAAAGGTGCAAAGGAGTATTTTTATTTATCATTTTTATTTATTGGATATGATAGAACGTGTACTTGGAGCGAATGAAAGACCATTACAAATTCAAAAAATGTTACTGGAACAAATGGGTTATACGGATGATGACAAAATTGAAGATGTTGGACGTGAAGATAATTCTTATCTTTTACGATTTACATTTGGTCCAAATATTAATCAGACAATCTCTCAAGATGACGCTGAATTTGGTGCTCACATTGATTTACAAGCTAGAAATCTACCAACGATTCCTATCTTCCTATATAAACATGCTACTCGAATTGTATCTCTAGACATCTCCAGAAATTTGTTGATTGAAATACCTGTGGATTTTGTACAAATGTGTAAAGGATTGCAACAATTACGACTTACTAACAACGATTATATTTCTGTACCTGCATCAACACGACATATAAGATCACTTAAACAACTCAATCTATCTGGAAACCGACTACGTGATTTACAACACGCTCAACTTCATGAAATTGAAGGGCTACGAGCTCTTCGTGTATACAACAATAGACTGGACTCTCTACCATCCTCATTCGCCTCATTCAAATATCTTACCACTCTTTATATATCCAACAATTCGTTTACTTCATTTCCAGCTGTCGTTTGCCAAATTACCAGCTTGGAATGCTTGGATATCAGTTTCAATAAGATCAACGCTTTTCCAGATGATTTCGGTCAATTAGTCAACTTGGAATCACTTTATGCCATTGCCAATCGAATTAGTGGACCTCTTCCTCCAACCTTTGCAAAACTTGTCAAACTTCAAGAACTAGATGTACGTCAAAATTTTATTACCGACTTGGAAGTTCTTTGTGATTTACCCAGATTGGAACTAGTATCTGTCGATTATAACTCTATTAGTATTGCCAATTACGACTTTTTGCACCTTCGACGACTCAAAATGTACAAGAATTATCTCACTCAATTCAGTCTAACTCCTAAACCTGACAATGCCTTGACAGCACATTCTCCTTTATCGTGTCGCCTGACTGAACTGAATCTCTCGAACTGCAAACTTTCATCATTGTCTGATGATATCTTTGTGCATACGGTGCTGCTCGAACATTTGGTACTGGATAGCAACACTCTCAACTGTATACCTAGCAGTATTGGTTCACTATATAAACTGGTACGACTTTCGGTGCAAAACAACAATTTGGATAGCCTACCTGCAGAAATCTCCAAGTTACATGAACTCAAGATCCTAGATGCTCAAAAAAACAACCTGAAGACTTTGCCTAAAGAAATTTGGTTATGCCCTTCGTTACAAATCTTGAATTGTTCATCCAACTTGCTAGAATCATTCCCAGAACCATACTCTGTCCCAGGTGTTGCATTACATCTTCCACTGACTCCTCAAGGTGAAGCGGTCGTTTCTTCTGTTGTTGCCAATGATAATGTCTTACAAGCTCAACTAGGTACTAATGCTGGACAAGGAGTAGTTCCAATGACAAATGGCGATTCTACTTTCAATCCACCACTTCATCATCCTGGATCTGATGATACGATGAAGGAAATTGATGGTATTATCAATAACAACAACAATGGTGGTGAAAACAACAATAACGGCAACAACAATGCTACTATTGGCAGTAGTAACAACAGTATCACTAATAGCAACAGTAATCACAGCATCCTCAACAACAATACGAATAATAATACCAATAGCATACGGCGCTTGCCATCCGATCCTGTGTCTATCAATACGTTGACTCCATCAAACACATCAGCATCTTTATCATCAACAGGGAATGGATCAAATCACTTATTATCACCTCAAGCACCACCCAACTTTAATCCACCTTCCTTTTTTGCCAGTCCTCGCAATCATCCTCCACCTCTCTCATTATCACTGCGACAATTATTTTTGGGCGATAATCGATTAACGGATGATGATATCTGGTCTCCTCTTTCACTCTTCTTGGAATTACGCACTCTGAATTTGTCTTTCAATGATCTATTTGAAATCCCTCCTGATGGACTCTGTCATCAGCACTTGTATGAATTATATCTTTCTGGAAATCAACTGACATCTCTACCAGCCGATGATATTGAAAAATTGTCTTATTTACGTGTTTTGGCGGTCAATGGAAATAAACTTCAAACCCTTCCAGCAGAAATTGGCAAACTACGGAAACTTTTGGTATTGGATGTTGGCAACAATTTATTGAAGTACAATATTGCCAATTGGCCTTATGATTGGAATTGGTATGTATCTCTTTACAAAAAAAAAAAAAAAAAAAAAAAAAAAAAAGGAAATCTAAATATTGATCTTTTTGTTATTATTACTATTATTCTATAAAAAATATTAGGAATTGGAATCTGGGACTCAAGTATTTGAATTTATCTGGCAATAAACGATTGGAAATCAAGAAAACCCATCCTGATCCTGCTAATCCAAAGGAAAAAGATTTATCTGATTTTAGTGCATTGACGCGATTACGAATGCTTGGTTTGATGGACATTACTATTCTTGGAGTATCTACACCTGAAGAATTCCACAATAGACGTGTTCGAACATCTCCTTCTGAAGTGAACTCTATGGCATATGGTATTGCTGATTGGTTGGGACCTAGTGATCATTTGGCAACATGGGATTTGGTGATGCCACGATTCCGTAACAATGATGATGAAAGTATTTTTGGACTTTTTGATGGGCGCAAGAATTCGAAATCTGGATGCAAGCTTACCAAATACTTGAACGACAATCTGACCTACCATTTTTACAATGAACTTCGCAAGACCAAAGGAGATGACACTATTGTAAGTGCTGTACGACGTATGTTCTTGAGCCTGCAAAAGGAACTTGGATCAAGCATTGGTGAAGAAAAAGATTCGGGTGCGTCTGCTGTAATGTGTTATATTGTGGGTACCAAACTGTATGTAGCCAATGTAGGTGATGCTCTTGCCGTGATCTCTCGCAACAATGGACAAGCCTTTGAAATCACTCAAAAACATATTCCCCTCAATCCAAGTGAGATATCTCGTATTCGATCTGCTGGTGGTTATGTCTCTAATGCTGGTTTGTTGAATGGTGAATTGAATGTATCTCGTAGCTTCGGTCATTTCCATTTGATTCCTGTTGTCAATGCCAATCCTTATATATCAACAATTGACTTGACAGAAGATGATGAATTTGTAATTATGGCCTCTCGTGGACTTTGGGATAGAATGTCTTATCAAACGGCTGTGGATGTAGCTCGAACTGAAAAAGATGACTTGATGGCAGCTGCTCAAAAATTAAGGGATTTTGCTATCACTTATGGAGCTGACGACAATATCATGGTAATGGTCATTGGTGTTAGTGATCTCTTTGACAAGCGTGATAAACGATACCGACATATGCGTGGTGGTAATATTGGTCCTGGACGTGGCGGTGTACCTGATAATGGTTTATTAGTGGATGATTTGACTGGTATGCTTGTTGGTAAGAACAAACGACGTGGAAAGGAAGAAGGACCTGGTGACTCGGTAAGTTCCTTCATACAAAAAAAAAAAAAAAAAAAAGATCTGTTTTTATTTTGTTTTGTTAGTTTTTATCTCACTTGTGTTATTTTTTTTTTTTTTATTTTTATTTATTATTAGACTTTGGCAAGATTGGAAAGAGAAATTCCTCCTCCTATCAACCAAGTAGCACTTGTATTCACTGATATCAAAAGCTCTACTCAATTCTGGGAAACTCAACCTGAAAATATGCGATCAGCTATTAAGATTCATGATAACTTATTGCGACGTACTCTACGAAATGTGGGTGGATATGAAGTCAAGACAGAAGGTGACGCATTTATGGTATGTTTCCAATCTATTACGGCGGCTCTACTCTGGTGTTTTACGGTTCAACTTCAACTTTTAGAAGCTGATTGGCCAGCTGGGATCTTAGATACTGAAGAAGGACGTGAAATTGAAAAAGATAACGTGATTATTTACAGGGGACTTTCAGTACGTATGGGGATTCATTGGGGTATGCCTGTATTTGAACGAAATCCTATTACCAATCGAATGGATTATTTTGGACCTGTGGTGAACAAAGCAAGTCGAATTTGTAATGCTGCTGATGGTGGTCAAATATGTGTATCTTCAGATGTAGTAGCGGCTTTACGAAACTTCCCTGGTGTGTTGGATACAAACAATGGCATTGTTACTTTTGATGATTCAACAAATACAACGACAACTTCAGCAGCAGCAACAGCAGCAGCGGCGGCGGCTAGTGGCAGTTTTTCTGTTATTCGTGATATGCAACAACTCAAACGACTTGGTTTTCATATCATGGAATTAGGTGAACGACGATTGAAAGGATTGGAAACTCCGGAAATGCTTAGCTTGGTTTATCCCAAACAATTATCAGCTCGCATGGAATTGGACAAGAGCGAAATGATGACACAGGAAGCACCACCCGTACTTAAGGCTCATATGTCTCCTAAATCAACAGAACCACCTTCTTTAGCACCATCACCACGGTTGGATCCTGAAGATGTACGCGAATTGGATATATCATTAGTAGCTGATAATCATCTAACACCGTGTGATTCTACTTATCAACATCGACAAATGAAATCACAAGATCAACAACAATACAAACCATCAACACGTACCATTGATCCAGCATTGGTCTCTTCTCTCAGCAATCTGGCCATCCGATTGGAACGATTGACGGCAGGCAATGTACTGACAAGCAGTAAAGCAGGTAGTTCAATTTGTGGCAAATATACATCATCAGGTCATAATGGCAATCCATCTATGATTGTTAGTACTGCACCTTGGGGACTTGGTAAACTCTTGGATAAGCATATCATGGAAGAAGCAACTGACGAAGAACTGGTGATCTTGATGGAGAACTGTGTGGCCAGAGTGGAAAATGCTGCATCATCATTGTATCTACAAAAAGTGGGTCGTTTTGCTTCTGTATTGGAAAAATTGGGTGAAGCTGTGGAATTGGATCCTATGCATATCTTACGTGCGTTACAAATGTACTCTGAAGTGGCTAGATTGGATACCAAACATTCTTCTGATTCCTTTCGATTTTGATTTTATTATTATTATTATTCCCCACTTCTTTATATATTTCTTCATTTTAGTATAGTTTTTTTTTTTTTTTTTTTTTTTTTTTTTTTTTTTTTTTTTTTTCATCCATTCCCTCGTATTATTTATTTACTTTATTATATATATATTTCAATTGTATATCCTTCTACACTTTTTTTGTATTTTTTTTTTTTTAAGAAAAAAAGAAGATTCTTTCCCTCCTCTCTTACCATACTATTCAAATAAAAAACCCTGTTGGATGTTCATCTCTTTGCATAATACGGAGTGTTGATGATGGATGACTCTATGTTTTTGATAATGATTCTCTTTTTCTTTTTTTTTTTTTTTCCCTTGTATTTCTATTTGATGATAGTGAATCGACTAGGATGATGGGAACTACTCTTGAATGATGAAGGCGGATACAAGAGGGAAAAAACAAGTAAAGAGATGATATCTTTTTTTTTTTTTTTTTTTTTTTTTTTGTAATGGTGTTATCAATGATCTCTTTGAGTCTATTATAACAACACTTAGCTTAATAAATAAAATCGTCTTTATTGGAAGAAATGAATGAGATACGAACAATGTGGAAAGTACAAACATATACATTGCATAGTAATAATAATAAAGTCATAAAGTACAGTAAGAATCAATGGAATCAAATATATATGATATATATATAAAGGGAGAATAATAATCTAAACTAAAAGGTTTCATCTTGATCAGGACAGTCTTGAGTAAGATGATCACCATCGGCATCACAATATTCACAATACTGCCAAAAAAAAAATTAATATCTATTCATTCTTTTTTTTTTTTTTTTTTTTTTTTTTTTTTTTTTTTTTTTTTTTACCATGAGATTCTTTGCATCCTGTTTGTAATTTTGACAAGATAATAAATCATGACCAAGTTGTCCACAAAGTTCACAAACAGTAGAAGAAGAAGAAGAAGATGAGAGCCGAGCCAGCTGTTTTTCCAAACGTCTCACCTTGTCACGTTCCTTTTCCAATTGATCCTCGGCATCCCCTTGACCAAATACATTTGTCTCGACCAAAGCTTCCAAATCAGCCAGTTCCTTGCCCAGTTTTTGAATTTCGATTTGTTTACGTAATAATTCTTGTTCATGGTCTTGTTTGGCTTGTTCGAGTTGTTGCTCCAATTGTTTCACGTTTGGATGTTCTACTGTACCTTCTTTCTTTGGGTTATCATCTGCCATTGCCAACATTTCATCCATCAATCGCATACATTCTTGTTCCATACTATGATATTGATCTTTCCAATGCGCCGATTGTTGTTCTAGTTCTGCAAGTCGATCAGAATCTGGATTTTTTGTTGTTGCTTCCAATTTTTCAATTGCTTGTTGCCATTCCTTTTCCATGCTAGCATGCGCCATTTTCATCTGATAAAGATCATCTTCGGCCTTTGCCTGAGCTTCGAATGCGGCATCGGCTTCTTCCATCAGTCGTCGTTTGTCATCAATCTCCTTGGCCATTTCTTGTTGGAGTGCTGAATATTGAGTACTCAAGGTATGTTGATGTCGTCGTGATTGTTGTAATTCTTCCCGTAATGATTCTAATTCTGTCATCAATGTACGCATTGTTGCACGTTCGTTCTCCAATTCTGTCATGGTCAAATCCAATTGATCTTCTAGTCGATGACGTTGTTCAGACCATGATCTTGCATCTATACTGTGTTGAGAAGATAGTCGATGGTGTCGCAAAGAGGAAGATTCATCGTCATCATTGATTTCATCATAATTATTGCTACCATTATTGTTTTGTCCAATCATCATCATCAAATCATCATTGTCATCTGTACCATCGGCATCAAAAGTGTGTAATTGTCGTTTCAAATTGTCCAAAGCAGATTGAGTTTGACGCAACCGAGTGTCCTTTTCATCTAGAAGAGTGGAATGATCTTGTTTCAATTGGGCAACTGATTGTTCATAGGCGTGGATAGCTTCCAGTCCAGTTTTTCGTAGAGTATCACATTCTTTTTCCAAGGAGAGGGAGAGCTGTTTTTCCTGTTCAAGTTCATTTCGTAATGAGTTTAATTGACCGGCATGTTCTCTTGCGCGTTGTTCTTGAGTTTGAGCAGCTTGACCTGCCTGTTCTTGAAGAGTAGCCACTAAAGTTTCTAACTTTGTCACACGTCGTGCGTATTGTTCTTCTGTTGCATCATCACGGACTTGTTGAGCTGCTTTCTCTTTATAGGTGGATAGCTCTTGAGTAAGGTCATCAATCGTACTTTGTTGTGATATCATTTGTTGTTGTAATCGGTTCATGGCCTGTTCCTTATCTTCCACTTGCAGTGCATAGCTTTCTTTGGCGGAAACCAGTCGTTCAAATGCTGCATCTTTGTTTTGCATTTGTTCCACAAGTATATCCTTTTCACGTTGAGTTCTTTGCAAAAGATCATATAATTGATGCATCTCATCCATATTTATTAAAGGTTTATTGTTATTTGGAGATGATGATGAAGGTGGTGGTGGTGGTGAAGTGGATGAAGATGTATTCAAAGTAGTTGCTGTTGTCGATGTTGATGAAGCCGAGGTCGTTGCTGTACTTGGTGTATGTGGTGATGATAATGAAGACGAAGATGGTGATGAAGATAGAATACCAGAAGAAACATCTTGTTGATAATCATTTGTCAGATCCTTTTTCTTTGGGTCGATGATATGAACAACAGGATTTGATGAAGAGATTCGAACAGCAGAAGCACGTTTATTGGAGATATTGTGAGATTCTGATGTAGTTGTATTGCTACTTGATGATGTAGATGAACGTTTGACAGACGGTAAAGCTGAAGATCGTTGGCGTGTTGGGGAGGTAGATGGTCGTTTCATAACAGGTGAAGCAGATGCACGGGTTTTAGGAGATCTTGTGCTGATAGAAGATTTGTTACTAGGTAATCGAGTAGTAATAGAACGCTTTGTTGCTGTGGGTAAAGGAAGAGGAGTTGTTTGATTCTTTGTTGATGAAGATATTGATTTGGTTGAGACATGTGCTGATTTGCTTGGTACAGGTTTAACATGTGTTTTGATACGTTCCCGACCTGAACGTTGTTTGATTGATTTGGGATCAGAAATACATATCACTTTGGACGCCAAGACAAAAAGACCGGTTTGTTCTGGGCAACTAAAGTATTGAACACTATATTTGCATAATAAAAGAAAATTAATAAAAAATCATCATTTATCAATATCATATTTATTATTATTTTTTTTTTTTTTTACCCTTGAACAGTTCCATTGTTTTTACCAGTACCAATAGTATCTAATTCTATACCAGTCCATATTCCAGGTTTGAAATGAGTTTCACCTATAAATCGTAGAGTTCCTACCAAGTTCAAAGTAGGTACAGACACGCGTGCATCTACTACGAGGGAATCCTTGTCTTGTGATGATGATAATTCATCAAAGTTATGAGAAGTAGACTTTATATGTGTAGCCAATGATTTTGTAAAGTTACTAGTAGTTTTATAGTCGTCTTGTTGCTTTGAAGTATTATTATTATTAGTGGCAAGTAAGGTTGAGTTGGAAGTAAAAGTAGTAGGTAAAGGAGGTCGAGCTATTTTGGACATGAAGGATAATAATAATAAAAGGTATACAATATATATGTAAGGGAAATAAGTAGATGATTATTGAGAAGAAAGAAAAAAAAAAAATAGGAAAGAAAAAAGAAATTAAAAAAATTTGAAAGGCAGGGCCAAAAAAAAAAAAAAATCTGCGAATTGTTAAACGATTTGGTACCACCTAAAAAAAAAAGTGTTATCAAATGATTGTTTTTTGTTTTTTTTTTTTTTTTCCTTTGATCGTCATCATTCCAAGAAAAAAAAAAGTGATTTTCATTTTTTAAAAATTGTCTTTAATCAATAAAGACATCTTGTTTATTTTTTATTTCAAAATATGTTGATAATTTTATAACAATAAAAAAGAAGAAAAGTACGATCAAGATCGACTATAACAATAAAGAATAATATATATAGAAAAAAAAAGGAATACATAAACGAGGAGTTTTTTTTTCTTTTTTTTTTTTTATATAAAAAGGGGAAGAATGTTTATATAAACTATTTACAAATTCAAAGGGGAAGTAGGTGGACTAGATAAAGATTGATGAGATTGATTTTCATAGACCATAGCAGGATGTTGACGTAAAGGAAGCTTGGTCATAATACTTGATAAAGGACGACGTTGAGTAGTTTCTTCTTCATCAGAAAGTTCTTGTTGATCATCAGAGGAATCAGCATCCATGATCAACATGGGTTTTTCTTCTTCTATCATTGTATCACCTGGACCAGCCTGTTGTTGTTGTTGTTGTTGTTGATGATAGATAAGATCTTGTTGTTGACGCATCATAGATATGCCCAGCATTTTAATACGTAAATAAGCTCTTTCCAATTCCATTCTAGTATCTTGAAGTGTAGTATCTTTTTGTTGAGTAATAGTTTTGAGGGCGTTAATAGTGTAACGTGCAAATGATAATTCTCGTTGAAGATGTTCATTTTGTTGAGTAAGATAAGCATTATCAATTTCAAGACGAGTCAATTTCTTTTCAGGAGTAAGTCCAGTTTCTATATATAATATAAAAAAAAAAGATATTCAATATCATTCATAATATATATATATATATATATATAATTTTTACCTTGAAGATGAAGACGACTAAATTGACTTGTCATTTGGGAATTCACAGAATCAAAAGACATCATGTACAATAAAAAGGAAGAATAAAAGGTATATATATAAACAGAACTATGTATAAAATAATAATAATAATAAAAAAACAGACCAGCTGTTAACGTTTAAGAAAGAAAGGAAGAAAGAAAACAAGGAGAAGAGTGAAAAGAAAGGAAGAAGAAAAAAAATAAGTGATAAAAAACAGAAATAAGAGAAAAGGAAAAGAAAAAAAGGAAGAAAAACAAAAAAAAATTCGCTTTTTAAAATAGAGATGACGGAAAACAAATAACGGGTCTAAGTTTGGTAAGGTTTCTCCTTAACCACTTGTTTCAACCATGCGTTTATTGGCATTTTTTCAGTTGTATCATAACTTAGTCTTTTTTTTTTCCCTTCCCCTTTCCCTCCCTTCCTTACATATTTTTCAATCTTGACTAAAAAAAATAATAATAATGATAAAGTATCTTCTTTTTTTTTTTTTTTTTTTTGATAGATTCAATCATCCTTTAACAGAAATCTAAGCATAATAATTCCACATACACATGAATTGGATCGAGCACCTTACATTTAGCTCCGCCCCACTCCCCCCGATCAGCCCAAATATAACCAGTTTTCCTTTTCTTATAACGAGATATAAAAGAAAAAAAAATAAGGGGGAAGAGGTCCCATCATCTTTTCCTTACTTAAAAAAAAAACAAAAAAAAAAAAACTATGATTTTGAAAATAAAGAAAGATTGATTAAAGTCATCTTAGTTTATAGTAAAATAAAAAATCAACTATTTATAGATGAAGTTGAAATTTTTATTTCGGGAAAGAGCGTATTTAAGCAAATATGGTAATTAAAGAAAAAAAAAAAAAAAGGGCGCGTTTTTACAAGACTGGCTGAGAATGGTTGATCTTTTTGTCAACAACTCCCTCCTTAAGTGTAACATACTGAGAATCAAAATTTGAATCCTAAAGATTTATTATTACAAAAAGTATACAGTAGATAGATAGATGATCAACATGTCTATCAAACTTTTAAACAATATCTATTCACAGTATTTTTAGTACCACCTGGAATTTGTCCCTGAATTAAACATACAGTGGAAGGATTATTGACAACAACTACTTTAGAAAAATTAACAGTCTTATTTTGTTCATTTTGAATAGAAATAGATGACATTGTAGTTTTAGATAAATTAAAAAAAGATGATGATTGACATGATGATGATGATGCTGATGATGATGATGTAGGAGAAACATCTATAATATATAATTTGGTCATCATATATTGAATATTTAAAATATAAAGAAAATAATAAAAAAGAAAAAAAAAGAAAAAGAGAAATAACTATTTTTTTTTATATTAAAAGAAAAGAAAAGAAGAAAAAAAAGCTTGTTTTGTTCCTGGACTACAAACAATGACGACAAAAGGGGCCTCATGATGATTTTTTTTTTTTCAGTCAAACACAAACAAAAAAAAAAAAAAGATTATGTCACAAGACTTGTTTTTCTTTTTGGTATCATGATACTAATGATGGATATTTGTTGGATGATGAAGGAGAGTAACAACAGAAAGAAAAAAAGAAAAAAAACGTGGTAAATATTCAAGAATAAGAAAAGAAAGGATAATCTATTTGACAAAAAAAAAAATCATTCTTCACAGCTTAAAAAAAAAAAAAAAAAAACCTGAAAAAAGGACCATTTTCAAAGGCAGTTCAGTGCATGAATATCAACTCCCTACAATCTCCTTTTCCTTACATTTTTATATATAATTTTTACCAGAGAAAACAAAAAGCTTTAGGGTCTTTTTCTTTTTTTTTTTTTTCTCCATCTTCATCTCTTTTCTTCCTCTTTATTTTTTCATTATTATTATTATATTTTACAAGTCATTATTATAAAATGTCAACATCACAAGAACAAACTAGTTTGAAAAAAGGTTACTAAAAAAAATAAAAAAAAAATAAAAAAAACGTGACTCTTCCACTATTGTATTTTTTGTAACCTTCTTTTTTATTATTTCCCCAACTTTTTATATTTAGACTTTAATAGTCAATTACAACATAAACAGAAACATTTAGTAGCACGTCGTTCTGTAGCAGCAACAACATATCAAACAGAACAACAACATACTCAACTTCTCAAACTTTGTAAATCTAGTCCTTCTTTATCACGTCATTTCTCACTTGGTACAAAAAACAAAGTAACAAAGCTTTACAATACAAACAACATTTCTTCTCCAACACAACATAACTATCAAGTCGATATACGTTTATCTAGTCATTATTATCGATCATCAACTATGGAACAGCATAATTCATCCACTCATTCTTTAACTTCTACTTTGGGAAAAACTTCTGACGGAAGTAGACCAAATTCTCATATATTATCAATACAACAACAACAACAATATTCAAATTTATCACCTGCTGCAACTGCTTTAGTTAATAATGATCCTAATATGTATAGTTTAGGAAAAGCAAGAGATAGGACTTCTTTCAAAGGTGTATTGGATAAATTTGTCATTGGATTTACTGGTAAAAAAAAAAAAAAAAAAAAATAGAAAGATAGAAATAAGGATGTGAGGGGAAATAGGAGGACTAAAGAAAAAGGGGAGAGAGAGAGAAAAAAAAAAGATGTAGGAGAGGGGTAAAGGGAATATATATGTAACTCTCTTTTTTTTTTTTTAATAGATATGTTGTCAAGTAATAGTAACAATAAACAAGCTTCTGATATTTCTTTACCTTTTAATACTCGACATGTCACGCACGTTGGTTTTGATGCTCATACTGGTGAATTTACTGGATTACCTAATGAATGGCAAGTTCTTTTACGACATAGTGGTATCACAAAGAAAGAACAAGAACAAAATCCACAGGTATAAAATGAATATACAAAAAAAAAAAAAAAAAATGATGATTGACTTATTCTATAAATATTTTTTTTTGTAGGCGGTTATTGATGCTATTGAATTCTATCAAGGAACAAGAAATTTGACAGAAGGTGTTTGGAACAAGATCCCAAAAGCTGAATCTTCTCAATCAATAATGATCGATGATCATGAAAAGACTTCTACTTGGAAACGTTGGTCAAAATTCAAAACCTTGGATAAAAAACGAAAATCGACACCACTTCAATCAACTTATTCAGTAATATATTAAACAATAACTAGATCTGATCATTTATTCTTTTATTATTGTTATTATTTTGATAGATTTCTGGTCCTTCCAATTCCATCCCAGGTAACAAAAAAGGAAATAGAAATAAAAGTAGTCCACATTAATATTCTAAGAACTTTTATTATTATTATTATTATTATTATTATTATTATTATTATTATTATTGCTATCTCATATATAGAAACTTTTGATACAAACAATAACGACAATCAAAATTATCAAACGAAAGATCGAACATTGGAAACATCTACATCTACACCTGTCACAGCCTGGACAAATTCGCAATCACAAATGGACAATAACCAAGGCAATGATGACAACAACAATATCCCATCAATGACTTCACCGTGTACCACCTCTATATCTAATGACGATACAGATAACAACGAAACTAACGTCGATGATGAAAAGAAAAATGACAATATCAATCTCGCTACTACTGCTAGTAGTAGTAATACGGCAAACCAAGTCAGTGTCGGCAAAGAAATGGATCAATCTCCTAAGTCTAGTACTCAAGATTCTCAAACATCTATACCTGGAGCAGCAATCAAACGACGATCTTCAAAAGAAAGGAAACAAAACGCTCTCAAGGATGCTGAAGTGGTGAATCGATTAAAGGAAATATGTGGTAATGTGGATCCTACTACTATTTATACTGATATGGTGAAAATTGGTCAAGGGTAAACTACATCAATATGTATATATATATATAACTCTGTTCTTTATTTCCATGTTTATTTATCTTTCTTACTCTAATATTTTATATAGTGCTTCTGGAGGTGTATACACTGCCCATCATCATTCTGACAAGGAAGGAGGTGAACCAGTAGCCATCAAACAAATGAATTTACAACAACAACCCAAAAAAGAATTGATTATCAATGAAATCGTTGTCATGAAGCAATCGCAACATCCCAATATTGTCAATTTTATCAATTCATATCTCTGGAAAGGTGATCTCTGGGTAATCATGGAATATATGGAAGGTGGTAGTTTGACTGATGTGGTGACTTGTAATATGATGACTGAAGGACAGATTGCTGCTGTCTGTCGTGAAGTTCTTCGTGGTCTTCGTCATCTTCATGGAAATGGAGTCATTCACCGTGATATCAAGAGTGACAACATTTTGCTTAGTCTTCAAGGAGATATCAAATTGAGTAAGTTAGGAAAGAAAGTAATGAAAAAAAAAAAGAAAGAAATCAATTTTATTCATTTTTTTTCTATAATTCAATAGCTGATTTTGGTTTTTGTGCTCAATTAAATGATAGTCAAACCAAGCGAACAACTATGGTTGGCACTCCATACTGGGTAAATCTTATCAAAAAAAAAAAAAAAAAAAAAAAAAGGATGATGATATTAATTAAAAATCAAACTTCCTTATTGTTACATATATAGATGGCTCCTGAAGTGGTGACTAGAAAGGAATATGGACCTAAGGTAGATATCTGGTCTCTAGGAATCATGTCTATTGAAATGGTAGAAGGTGAACCACCTTATTTGAATGAAAACCCTTTGCGTGCGTTGTACCTGATTGCCACTAATGGAACACCTCAATTACAAGATCCAGACGCACTCAGTGAAGAATTCCGTGATTTTTTGGAACAAAGTCTTCAAGTGGATTGTGACAAACGACCTTCAGCGGATGATATTCTCAAACATCCCTTCTTGGAAAAGGCCGATCCTTTACGCTCCTTGGCTCCTTTGATCCGTGCTGCAAGGGAAAGTATGCAAACGCAAGATTGATGTCTTTATATATATATATATGCTCTCTTCGTACCATTCTTCTGTTGGTTGTATCTTCTTTTTCTTTTTCTTTCTTTTTTTTTTTTTTGTATTCGTTTATTCCCAACTTTTTCTTGTTTCGTTTATTTTAGTATTATACCTAGTTCCTTATTTTTCTTCTTCTTTTTTTAATCTACTTCATTTTGCCCTTTATTTTTATATAAAAAAAGATGGTTTTCAGTAACCAAATATTTTCGCGTCTTCGGAGTTTTTTTGGTGTTTTTTTTTTTTAATAAGTTTTTGTGTCGTTCGTTCTCCCTTTCGCCTTTTATGCTTCTATTGTTCCCTTCCCCTTCATTTCATTCAATTTACTATATCATCCTTTTTGATATCTTTCTATCTTTTTTCTTTTTTGATATCTGATTAAATCTATCCCTATTCCCCACACTTACTTTAATCTTTTGATGTGGACAAAGAATCGAACTTCTCAACCTCAAAAACAAAAATCTTCCCAATCTTCCACTGCTACCACAAAAGCCTCTTCTTTATTTGGTGTGTCAGCAAGAAGACAACCTTTTAATCGATCATCAACTTCTAATGGTGGTATCTCAACAAGACGATCGGACTTACAACACCTTTCGAACGATAAAGGTACAAACATCCAAGTGGTTTTACGTTGCAGGTAAAAATCTTTTGATCAGCTTGAATCTACTTTTTACAATGAGTTGCATTTATTCATCTTTTAATTTTTGTTGGATAAACGTAGAGGACGAAACGAAACAGAACTTGCAGCTGAATCCCCTATTATTTTGGAACCCTCTGGCCACAAAGACGTACTTCTTACTACATCCAACAAACGTTTCTCTTTTGATCGGGTCTTTGATCAGCATGCCACTCAAGAACACATTTACAATGAGGTAGTACAACCTATACTGGATCAAGTCTTGGAAGGGTAAAAAAAAAAAAAAAAAAAAAAAGGGAAAGATATTTATAATATATGGTGTTATTATTGTCAGTTAGTTTTTATCTAATTTTTTTTTATTTTTTATTTTTTTTTTTTTGTTATCTATCATGATAGGTTTAATTGTACTATATTTGCCTATGGACAAACCGGTAGTGGAAAAACGTAAGTTACTTAAAGAATATGAAAGTAGAAATTAAATTATATGATTATGATTTAGGTACACGATGGAAGGAGAACTTGAACAGCGGACAGTAGACGCAGGTATCATTCCAAGGGTAATCGATAATCTTTTTGAAACATTAGAAAGTAAAGGAACCGAATATTCTGTCAAAGTTTCACTATTGGAACTGTACAATGAAGAACTACGTGATCTACTGAATCCTACAAATCATCAACAAGGACGACAAATTAAAATATTCGAAGACAAGATCAGCTCGGGTGTGATTGTACAAGGTATTGACGAAAAATATGTACAAAATGCAGAAGAAGGCTTGAATATATTACGGTCTGGTATCAAATACAGGAGTATTGGGGCAACAAAATGCAATGACAAATCAAGGTACATAATAAGAGCAAATAAAAATATATACATTTGATTCGGTCTAAAAAAATCTCTTTTTTTTTTCTCTCTCTTTCCTCTTTTTATTTATAGTCGATCACATTGTATATTCTCTATCAATATTCATATTAGAGAATCTATACCTGGAAAAGAAGATGTATTTCGAATTGGAAAACTCAACTTGGTGGATTTGGCAGGATCAGAAAATATCAATCGGTCTGGAGCAGAACTTGTTAGGGCACGTGAAGCAGGGATGATCAATCAAAGTTTATTGACATTAGGCCGTGTGATTAACCATTTGGTAGAACATTCGACTCATATACCCTATAGGTAAAATAGAGAAAAAAAAATCAACAAAATATTCTCAATGTAGAATAATGATATTCATTTTTTTTTTTCAATTTATTAATGAACAGAGAAAGCAAGTTGACTCGGTTACTCAAAGATTCACTTGGAGGGAAAACAAGAACATGCATCATTGCTACAGTATCGATTGCTAAAATGAATCAAGAAGAAATTATCAGTACATTAGATTATGCCAATCGTGCCAAGAACATTCGAAATCGACCTGAAGCCAATCAACCTTCCAATCGCAACATTCATCTTCATGATTTAGAATTGAAGATTGAACAACTCAAGGCCGATTTACAAGCCAGCTACGAAAAGAACGGTGTTTATATGACTCAGAAATCTTATGATGCTCTCAAGGATGAAAATCAACAACTGAAAGATGCGGTAAAGGATAAGCAAGATCGATTGGACAAAGCGAAACAAGAATTACTTCAAACAGAATCAAAAATGCGTGATGTTACGGTAATAAGAAAATGATCACTTTCAAGGCTATGTATTATAAGTGAACGAATGACTGATTGGATACATTTCTTTTTCTTTTCTTTTTTTTTTTGATTTTTATTGCAGGCCAAAATTGATTCGATTATTAGAGATTGTGATCGAAAGGTGGAACATATCAAGATGGAAGAAAAAGAAATGCGTACTCAACAGACGGACCAATTGTTGGATTATTTTGGTTTATTCGAATTAGATCTACGTTCTCTTCATAAAGAGGTAAAGGGATATCTAATTTTATCATTGTTTTTTATTTTTTATTTTTTTTTGTTCCACTAGATACAAACGATTAGCAAGCGATATACTCAATTATACCAACGACACATTCAAGATGATCAACATCACTTGGAATCCTGTGAAAGTGATATTAATAAATGGAAATCTATAGTGCAAGAATCTATGGAGCAACAGGTAAAAATGGAAGGAACTATATAGGGAGAAAAACAAAGTCATACGATGGATTATGTTTCAATATACACTTACATGACAATCATTATTATTATTATTTGATAGATACATCGATTAAAAGAACAAAACAAGAAACAACGAGAGCTCTTCCAAAAAGAAAAAGAACAAGAAGAAAAGACTTGGGAAAAGGTGCAACAAATGATTATTGAACTTGGAAAATCTCGACAAGATAGTTTAGAAACGACTCTATCTTCTCTGAATCATTCTATGATGGACAACATTAGTTTGACAGAATCTTCAACATTCAAAATTGAATCTGAAACCAAGAAACAGATGTCACACTTCAAAATCAAAAAGGATGAAATTGGAACCATGACAACGGAATTACACGATGATCAAGACAGATATAAAAAGGTATAGTATCATAATAGATCATTTCTTTTGCATAAAGTTAGATTCATCAACTCCGTCTTTCTTTTTTTTTTTCCGTTATTATATAGATTTTGTCAAAGATTACATCGATTGGATCTCTTAGTGAAACACAACAGCAATTGATTCGTAATAGATCGGAATCAGCAAATAATGAAGGTAAGATTAAGAATAAAATAAAAATATCACATATATATTTGGCTCATGTTATTTGATAGGTGTACGGAAACGGACATTAGAAGAACCAGACAAGGATCCTCTACCTACGAAACGTACTGTTCGGTGAATATTCAATGATAGATACAGTCATTTGGACTGTGGATGGATTCTTTGACTTTTGTTATTTGTTATTACTTTATCATCACTATCCACTTGTACATCTCCTTATACCATTTTATGTATATACAATATTATAATAAAACAGTGTTTATTATTACTATTCTAATTATCATTATTATTACATTGTACCATTGATCATTTGTTATTTTTTTTTTAATTCATCATGACGAAGAACATGTCTAGTTGCAGTGTAACCTATCATTCAAGTCATGGGTACTCATTTTATTACTTCCTAAAATGGTTGAAAATGGAAGTTTTTCTTTTTCTTTTTCTTTTTCCTTTTCCTTTTTTTTTTTCTGGCAAACTTGAAACTTATCCTGATAAGCACCCTTTTCTTTCATTTACCATCGTCACTATTAATGGAATACAAGGAAAGTACTTACTTTTCTTTTTTCGTGCTCCCTCGTTTTCTCTCCTCCTTGTTTTTGTTACAAAATTTAACTTTGACAAGGTGACATCATTCTGTCATTTAAATAATCTCTTAATCACCACCCCTTTCCTTCTGACATGTCTTGAATCACCTTCTGTGAAGGGGAATATCTTGGCCGCATTAACAAGAATTCAAACCTCCGCTAACATTGTTGTGATTGGCTCGCCATTTCATTTCCTTTTTCTTCTTTGCCCGCGACAGCCTTTTTTTTTTTCTTTCTTTCCAACTTTTTTTTTTTCTTCTATAATTCTCTATACCCTTTTCTTCCCTCAAAACGTCACTGACATTTTGTACAATTCTCCCTTTCCTCTTGGCAATAGGTAAAATACAGAACGGTACTTGATCGTAATAAAAAAAAAACTATTCATGTTGTATATTGATTCCTCTCATGCTTTTTTCTCTTTTCTTTTCTTTTCTTTTCTTTTTTGGGTCTCGTTCTGTTACTTTTATTTGTTTCAATCATCCGTTTCTTAGAATTCGAAAACTGATACTATGTCTGGGTCTGGGAACATTAAAGTAGTTGTTCGATGTCGTCCTTTGAATAGTAAAGGTAATACAAGAACTAAAGTATTGTAATGGAAACCTACTGTGGACTCTTCATATTAGAAACTAACACCTTGTTTATTATTATTATTATTATTTTGGTATATTGTAGAATTGGCAAGAGGAGCTACTAATCTTGTCCGTATGGAAGGAAATCAAACCATTGTCTCTCAACCTTCTACTCCATCCACAGGAAACAACAACCGACATCGTGACCAAAACAACCATGGCAATAGTGATGATATCAAAGCCTTTACCTTTGACCGATCTTTTTGGTCAGTTGATCCTAACAGTAACAACTATGCATCACAAGAAACAGTTTACGAAGATTTAGGTCAAGAATTACTAGATCATGCTTTCCATGGTTACAACTGCTGTATCTTTGCTTGTAAGTTCATATACCTTTTTTTTTTTTTTTTTGGTACCTGAAACGTATGATCTGACTTTATTTTTTTTGAAAAAAAAATCTCGTGGATAATTCATATTTTTAGATGGTCAAACAGGATCAGGAAAATCTTATACAATGATGGGTTATGGTGAAGACAAAGGAATTATACCAAAAACATGTGCAGAACTTTTCTCTCGGATAGCTTCGACAACAGATGAAGTGATAAGTTATCAAGTAGAAGTTTCGTATCTGGAAATCTACAACGAAAAGGTACGTGATTTGTTGAATCCAAGGAACAAGAGTAATCTCAAAGTACGGGAACATCCTAGTCTTGGTCCTTATGTGGAAGATTTATCTCGATTGGCAGTCAAATCATTCGATGACATTGATCATTTGATGAATGAAGGAAACAAGGTAATACAAATAAATAAATATAAAAGAGGAAATGAAAAAAAAGGGAGGACAACAATAGAACGATACTAACTACTTTTATGACGATGTGATTATTTTATTTTAGGCTCGAACTGTTGCTGCAACTAATATGAACGAAACATCCTCAAGATCACATGCAGTCTTCACCATCTTTTTGACTTCAAAAAAATCGGATCCCAGCTCAAAACAGATTACTGAAAAAGTGAGTCGTATTAGTCTTGTTGATTTGGCAGGAAGTGAACGAGCTGATAGTACAGGTGCTACTGGTGCAAGACTGAAGGAAGGTGCAAATATCAATCGATCTCTGGCGACTCTTGGCAAGGTGATTGCAGCTCTAGCTGAAAAATCTTCTACTCTGGATACGAAAAAGAATAAGAAAACAAAAGAGCATTTTATACCATATCGAGATTCTGTAAGTTGATTTATTATAAAAGAAGAAAAAAAAGTCAAAACCTTTATTAATGACTAATATCCTTTCTTTTTTTTTTTTTTTTTTTTGAAGGTATTGACATGGTTACTCAAAGATTGTCTTGGTGGAAACTCTCGAACAGCAATGATTGCAGCCATCTCCCCTGCTGACTATGAAGAAACACTTAGTACTTTACGATATGCTGATCAAGCCAAACGTATTAAGAACAAGCCTGTCATCAACGAAGATCCAAATGCGAAACTCATCCGAGAACTCAAAGAGGAACTACAAGCTTTGCGCGATACCCTTATGGCTTATGCACCTGAAGAAGTGGAGAAAATAGCATCACACACTAGTCCTAGTATTCTTGGAAGTAAGTCAACGCCTCGTCTTGGTGCATCCTCACCTTCTCCGAAACCACTAACTACGACTTCAACCATTTCAATACCAGTAACATCACCTTCAGCTACAGCACCCACGCGAACGCCCTCACCTGGCACACCTATGAAGGAAATATCATTTTCTGATGCATTTGGAGTGACAAGAAAAATGACTATGGCCGAAATGGTAGAACAGCTCAAAGCATCACAGAAGCTCTTGGACTCTTTGAATCAAACATGGGAGGAAAAATTAGCAAAATCACAAGAAGTACATAATGAACGGGAAAAGGCTTTGGTGGCTCTTGGAATTCTACTGGAACGCGATAATGGTATGGGTATTCATACGCCCAAGCAAATCCCTCATTTGGTCAATTTGAATGAAGATCCTCTAATGACCGAGTGTCTTGTGTATCAAATCAAACCTGGAATAACAAGAGTTGGGCGATTCGAAAGTGATAATATGGATATACGACTCAGTGGGCCAAATATCATGGATGGACATTGTTATTTTGAAAATAATGACGGCGTAGTGACGATCTTCCCTACTACAGGCTCAATGACAATGGTGAATGGATTGGGAATTACGGAACAAAAACGATTACACAACGGTTATCGAATTATACTTGGTGATTATCATGTTTTCCGATTCAATCATCCTGAAGAAGTGCGAAAGGAACGGGATAGGATGAGTTCTGATTATATATCATCATTTGGAATGACTTCAAGTGGACGAAATAGCAGAATGACAGATCGATCTGATTCTCCAGCACTGTTCTCTTCCGATCGTGACAGTGGTAATTACAGCATAAGCGCTAGTGGACCTCCTGATATTGTGGATTGGAACTTTGCTAAACGGGAGGCGGTCTTGAACTATTACAACGGCAACAGTGTCAACGGTGACTTTTCAAAACGGATATCATTGATGGATGATGAAACAATGTCACGAACAACAACTTCGTCTATACGGTTCAGCAATGGCTCTCTACCATTATCTATGGGTATTCAAAATGACGACGACAATAGTATTAAACGTGGGAACCGGTACAGTGGTAGTCAACTTTCGATCGATACTGGTATTTATTCTGCTCTGGATGGATTATCAAGTTTGGATTATATGGAAACAATGAACGATGATTTTGATAGCGCTAGCAATATTATCAAGCGGGAAAATGTACAACTTCAACTTCGACGACAAAAAGAAGACTACGAGGAACGTATTCGGTTAGCGATTCTTTCGGACAATAATAGTCAATCAAGTGATATACAAGATATGGAAATGAAACTACAACGTGTGGTCGACAATATGCATCGTATGATGGAAAAACAAAAGCAAGCGTACGAATCCAAAATCATGAGACTCTCATCAAAGCTACCTTTGGATGTACTGAAATCACCTCTCTCACCTCTTTATTCACCAACTGAACAAAAATTGGCTTCCGATGTAATCAAGCAATGGAGACGTCTACACTATGTCCTTATGGCTGAAGCAATTCTGGTACATTCAATTATACTGAAGGAAGCAAATATCATCGCCAAAGATCTTGGAAAGAATGTCTCTTATCAATTTACTGTAATCCATGACAATGCCATGATTTCATCACGTTCATTCTGGGAATCCACCTCTGCTCTTCAACAACACGAATCATTTTTATCAACCAACAACAATAGTGATAATACTGAATTGAATGATTACGCCGACCTCGATCTTCAGCAAGCTGCAAAACCCTGTGTAGGAGTACAAGTGATTGACAAGAAACACGATGCTATTTATTACTGGTCTCTCCCTGAAATCAAACGTCGTCTCAAACGTATGCAAAGCCTTTATGATTTTACTGATCGGCCATTGTCAAGAACTCAATTCAATTGGAAGGATCCATTTTGCCAAACACCCTGTCCTCGATTTACACTCATTGGATTAGCTAGTGTGCCTATGCGGAATCTTGCTCTTCAAGTATCTGTGGAAAGTACGGTGGATATTTATAATCGCAACTCATGCCTGGTGATGGGACAACTTCGATTACTGATAACTCCAATTGCAAGATCAACAAATAGATCATACAAAAGACGGAGCTCTACTTCATATTTGGCCACAAGTTTGAACAGCAACCATTCAACAAATTCATCTGTTTTATCTGAATCATTATTATCTCCTGGTTCGACATCATCATCAGCATCTAAGAATGACAGCATCAATGATTCTTTTCCTCATGTGGGTCAACAACAAGTCTTTGAAATACAAATTTTGGAGCTCTTTGGTCTTGATGAAAATCTGTTTACACAAGTTCATGCTCAAATTCGACTCTCTTGTTTTGGAAACATTGTACCACATTCTGATGAAGACAAAATCTATGCTACGGAACCTATGAGTGGATTTGGAACTGGTCCTATCTATTTCAATCATACGCAAACTTTGACTTCTACCATTACAAACGATATGTTGAATAAGATAATGACGGAAAATCTGACTGTGGAGATTTATGGACAAGCTCGACCAGAACACCTGTATAGTATTATTGAACGACACATTGAACGTGAAAAGGCTGCTGATAGTAATAACAACAAAAACAACAACAACAACAATAACAACAATAACAACAACAATAACAACAATAACAACAACAACAACAATGATGATGATGATGATGATGGGAATGCGAACAAGAAGAATGGAAAAAAGAATGTTGACGACAATAATGATACTCTGGATACTCACTTTCACCACCAAAGTCATACCGATGATCATCAACATGCAACAACTAGTACAGCATCATCATCAACTTCTACACCTGATACAATACCAATCACCACTACTAGTCCTTCTTCAGCTCCCAATCGGCGGATGCGATTAAAGATTCCTGTACGATCATATACGGATGATGGATTACTGTTGAAGGAACGTCATCATGTAGTTGCCTGGGTACAAGTATTCGAATTGGGTGAAGATGGAGAATATAGTCCTGTGAATGTAGTGGCTTACTCTTCTCAAGATCAAGGATGTTTCTACCTACGTCAAGGTTTACAACGGCGGATTAGGATTACGATGGTACATGACTCTGGACTTCGCTTACCATGGAAGAACATAACAAATATGAACATCAGCAATGTTATACTCTCGACAGACAACGCAGTTGATGATAAATCCAAATTGAAGGTTGAAACCGATACATCAGCACAATCGCCAGTTTCAATCAACCTATACCAAGATCAACCGTTGGAATATAACCGTGATGGCACCAGTGTATTAATAGCACAAGGACCTTGGGACAGTTCATTACATGACTCTATTCATCTGAACCGCATCACTCCTCCTCAACAACGTATCAGAACCACGTTATCCTGGGAAGTAACGTGTGACAAGTGCACCCATCCACTCTCCTTCTCAATGAACCTTAGTATGAGAATCCATAGTCGTGATTTGGCTCCACCTTGCAACACACACAACAATAATAACAACAATTCATCCTCCTCCGCCATCCTTCACTATTTCTCAAGCGCCTTTTATCAGTATCATCACATGTCTAGCAAACTTCGTGGTCTTTTTTCAGTTCATCTCACACCTCCTCTTACTCGTCAAGTATCACAACTTTGGCGCGTCAATACTGCCAATAGATATGTTCGTGGTGAAGAACTATTGGGCCCTGAACGTCGATTACGTGGAATCTCCTTGATTGAGGATTACCGAAAAGCAAGGAAAAGAATGATTATGCGACAGCAGGTTCTGGCTACACGACACACATTGACTTTAATGGAACAACAACACAAACGACAGCAACGTCGATCACAATATCAACAACAACGACAGATGATGGAACCAAGGACATCAACCATAGATGGAGATATGGAAAATAAGACGGTTTTAGTTCAAAAAGTGATTCGACTATGGAATTGTCAGTTTGGACTGCAACAAGAGGTAAGATAAAGAAAAAATAGGGTTACCCTTTTTTTTTTTTTGTTTATTTATTTCTTCCTTTATTATTATCGTTATTATTTGTAGATTATCATCAATCACAATCCACCATCACCGACATCACCTCAAAGTGCCATCTCTAACTCATCCCTCCGACCTATCAAAGACGCTGATATCAACTTCAAACTGGCCCCTCAAATACAATACATTTTACCGAGTGACACTGTAACCAAGAAAGGATATCTTTTCCATCCGCAACATGCTGAAAATGAGACTTGGATAAAACATTGGTTTACTCTTCGAAGGTAATAGATCATATTTTATGTTATTATTTTTCTAAATTCTTGATTATATATATATATTGTGGTAGGCCATTTATTATGGTATATCAAGATCAAACAGAAATCGAAGAAATAGCTGTCATTGATTTGACTCGTGTACGTGTGGAACATCGAAAGGATCTGGAAGATTTGATACAGGTAAGAGGAGATACAATTCACTTTTAGGACTTCTCATAGTGACAAACCTCTTTTTTTTTTTTTTCTATTCTTTTTCTTAACCTTTATTATTTTATTTCTATTAGAAACCCAATGCCTTTGCCATCTATACTACCAACAATGCCTACCTATTCCAAGCAAAAACTACGGATGATATGATCGATTGGATTACAAAAGTAGATCAGTTTTATCCTGTGGATACCTTAAAATCATAATCAAATCATTCGATTAGGTGGATGATCCCTTTTTTATTATTATTATTATTATTATTAGTTAGTTAGTTCTTTTACATATATATATGATACCTTTTTTTCCCCATATCGTTTATTCTCTTATTATTTCCTCCCTCTATTTATGTATTTATCCCCTTAACTTCATGCCTTACTGTTTCTCCTCTTTCTCTTTTGTATGACTACTACTCTTTCTATTCTCTTGTTTAGATTCTATTCTTTTTTTTTTTCACATAAATTACAAATAAACTGAAGATTCAAAAAAAAAAAAAAAAAAATGAATCAACACATTAAACATAATAACAAGAATTTTATTGATCAGATATAAGATTCACTAGAAAACTGTACAATTATATGCATTAACAACGCAAATAGGATCATGTCCAAGAATATAAAGATAGGCGTACTATAATCGGGTCCTAATAATAATAATAATATTCAATATCCATATGACGAGAAACCCATTGCCTTTTTTTTTTTTTTTTTTTTTTACCAAGTACTAAATCATCAGGTATCATCATAACATGACAGCAATTGTCTGCACCGGCAGATGCAAGGTATTTCCCGGTATGGTCAAAGGTTAAACTTGTGATCGCAAATCCATGTGCCTTGTCTAGCTTTAACACCGGCTAATCATATCCCAAAAAAAAAAAAATACATCAGTTCCATTCATGCATCTTTTCTTTTTTTTTTCTACTTGATGATTACTCTTAACGTTGATGTATCCACTAGTCCCACGGAAAGATCAGTACAAGCATAAGCCAATAAATCACCTTTATCACTGCAATGAAAAAAAAAAGAAAGAGAATGGTGATAATGTATAAATAACTTACCGATTTTTTTTTTTTTTTTACCTTAAACAAAAAGTAGTAATATTTTTCCTACTAATACGACATGTGGTAGCCTTTCGCAATGGGTAAGGTTTCCGTTTCTTGATAGACCAGACACAGAGAAAAGCACCTTTGCTTCCTTTGGATGATGATGGATTGACGATGGCATAAAGTGTATTGTTAACAAAACGGCAAGCGCGGTATTCACACTGGGTATAACGATTCAGACGAGGACTATCAATGACTTGGATGACTGTACCGTCCTGGATGGATAAGATGATCATGGCTTTGGAAGTTGCAATCGCTACATGTGTTTCTGCTGTATCGATATCACAATCTTGAACATGTTGGAATCGTAAGGGAGGAAATGCTACTTGGAGTTCTGGTACTTTCAATACACTGACCTTACCATCTGTTGTTCCTGTAAGTAGATATTTGCCAGAATGACTAAATCGCGTGATTTTCTAGTTTCCCAAAGAAAAAAAAAAAAAAGGAAAAATAAAATAAAACAAAGTGGTAATTACTAAATCCGTTCTATCATAACATTGAATGAGCCTTTTTTTTTTCTTTACTTGGTATTCTTCAGGATTCTTGCTTGAGCTTGTACATGTCTTCTTGATCATTTTGATGGTTCTATTGAATATAAAACCATATATATAACAAATATATATATTTGAGTCAATAATCTTGTTCCCACCTCTTCTTGTTTGTTTCTTACCCTTCATGCGTATCAAATAACCGACATTGTTGATTTTGTCCTTGTTCGATAAGTTCATGAGAACTATTGATTCCTGCTGCTATCATGGGTAACTATATAATGTAAAAAAAAGATAATGATGTAAGATGACTTTGTTTCTTTACCAAATTATCTTATTTTCTTGGTCCTTTTTTTTTTTTGTTACCTGAGGATGAGTTGCCACTGACATTGCACAATCTTCTTGTTCCGATAATTCTACTGATGAAGTTTCTTTTAACCTTCGTTTCTTCGCATCCACCATCAACTTGATCTATAAAAGTCATGCATATAATCATATTTTTAGTCAATTATAGGTAACACTGACTATGACTTACGATTTTGTTTTTAGTTCCAGTTGTACTAGCACCGTCTCCTCCAGCAGCTACAAGTTGATTGTCCATTGAGAATTGTAAACCATAAACAGGAAAGTCAACCCGTTTCTTGAAGGTGACGATGCGACCCATGTATAAGAAAAAAATAAATGATGAACAAAAAAAAAAAAAAAAAAAAAAAAAAAATATAAATAAGAGGAAGAAAAAAGTGAGAAAAAAAAAAACCTCCCTCCCATTTTTTTTTTTTGTTCATCCAAAGAAAAAACAAAAATGAAAAAAATGACCGGAGAGTGAAATTGGCCCGTGGTTGAATGATCATGTTGTCAAACTAATCGTATCCTTAGTTATTCCATACAGTTATTCATCATGATTTATTGTTTTTTTTTTGTTCCTTAACAACTATATTGTATAAATGAAATATCATTTCTATATTCTTTTATTTTATTTTAAACTAAATATAAATATGATCATATAAAATAATCTTTATATATCTGATATTGTTTTACAGTATCAATTTACCTTCAAGTGTTCATTTGAATCTCCTCTTGCATGAATACCCCCTCAATCCTCCTTTTCTTTTTCCCCCATATCCCAACTCTCTCTCTCTCTATTATCTTGGATGAGTTTAAACAATAATATTGAATTGTTAGTCGATAAAAAAAAGAGTAGATGATTAAAATATAGTTAAAATTGATTCACTTTATAATTAGGTTTATGGATCTCTCAATGATTACCATCGGGATGTAAAAGATATTGACTCGACCAAATTTAAAAAGCTTAATTTTAGAGCCTCCCCCTTTTTTTTTATTATTATTATGATGATTGTAGTGTGGGAATGAAACAAAAGATGATGATTGGATACTGTTGAGAAAGGGTCAAACAGTAAAACTTTATATTTGTTGCCATGATCTAAAAAAGGGAATCTCAAGGGACCAAAATTTAAAAAGAATTTAATAAAAAAAAAAAATGACATATTGTGACTAACTTTTTGTTCTAGTCTGTGAGTCCCGGATTCCGTTACCGTTGTCGAATATCAAACTCCTTCTTTCTTCTCTCTTTTTTTTTTCTTTTCTTTTCCTTCGTCTTTTCTTTTATATATATATATATATATATTAACCTTTTTTCTTTATCACTTCACCATGGCAGCAACTAATGAATGGACTCCATATAGCTGGAAATCAAAGCCTATCGTACAAGATGTTGTCTATCAAGATCAAAAGAATGTCGATCGGGTGATTGGTAAACTTCGTACTTTACCACCACTTGTCTCTACCAAAGAAGTAAGATAACTATTACTACTATTGTTACATGATATCTTATTAATACTTTTAATAGATTGACGACTTGAGAGAACAACTTCGTCAAGTGGCTCTAGGTGAATCTTTCTTATTACAAGGTGGTGATTGTGCTGAATTGTTCGACTATTGTTCTCAGGTATAAAAAAAAAAAAAAATATTGTACAATTCTGAATTATTCTTATATTATTTATTATTTATATACTTGATAGGATCCTATTGAAGCTAAACTTAAGGTACTTCTTCAAATGTCATTAGTTCTTGTATGGGGTGGTCGTACTCCTGTCACTCGTATCGCTCGTATGGCTGGTCAATATGCTAAACCTCGAAGCAAACCTACTGAAATATATAATGGCAAGGAAATCTTAACTTTTAGGTAATATCATAGAAATAAAAATATATCGTCAACATCATCTTACTATATCCTTTTTTTTTTTTTTTTTGATAGAGGTGACAATGTGAATGGCTATGATCCCGAAGATCGTGAAGCTGATCCCGAAAGATTACTCGGGTAAATGAAACTCATATAAAAAGAAACGATGACATTTGTTCTAAAGCATACTAAACTCCGTTTATTTGATTTAGCGCTTATTTCCACTCTGCCGCGACCCTGAATTATGTAAGAACCTTGGTGGATTCTGGTTTTGCTGGTATGATCATATCAATCCATCATGTACACTGAATATTAACCTGTTTTTTTTTTATTTCCTTAGATTTACATGAACCTTCGACCTGGAACTTGAATCATGTACAATCCAATGCTGTACGAGGGGAATATCAATCTATTGTCAATCAACTGACAGATGCTTTGGACTTTATGAAAACAGTGGGAGCAGACGCATCAACATCAACTACTCAAAACGCTCTTCAAAAAGTCGACTTTTTTGTATCACATGAAGCATTACTCCTTGAATTCGAAGCATCCTTGACTCGATTATTACCTACCAGTAGAGATAAGACTCAACAAAAATATTATAACGCTGGAGCTCACTTTTTGTGGATTGGAGATCGTACACGACAACCAGATGGTGCTCATGTAGAATATATGCGTGGTATTGAAAATCCAATTGGTATCAAAGTCGGTCCTACCACCAAGCCCGATGATCTAGTGGAACTTTTGAACACTGTCAATCCTACCAAGGCTATCGGCAAAGTTACATTGATTACTCGATTTGGTGCTGGAAAAGTAGATACTTATTTACCTCAACATATCGAAGCTGTACGAAAATCAGGTCATGTGCCTGTGTGGGTATGTGATCCTATGCATGGAAATACAAAGAATGCTTCTGGTGGTGTCAAAACTCGTCATTTTGTAGATATCATTCAAGAATTGTCCGAAGCCTTCCGTGTACACAAGGATTGTCAAAGCAAGTTGAATGGTGTTCATTTTGAATTGACTGGTGATTCCGTAACTGGTAAGTTTTCTTGTTGATTGAAAAGAAAAAGGATTACTCACCTTTTTTTTAAAAATATATATATATATATATAGAATGTGTTGGTGGTTCCATGAACTTGACAGATGAAGACTTATCCACCAATTATCAAACTCATTGTGATCCTCGATTGAACTATGAACAAGCTTTGGATGTGGCCTTTTTGATTGCAAAGTATTACCAAAAAGAACGTGAATCTGATGATTTCCCTAGTTTGTAGTTCCCTTTTTTTTTTTTTTTTTTTAGTAACATCACTCTAACCTTATACATCATCATTTCTTTTACACACACACATATATATATATATATATCACACCTTTTTGTCATTTATGGTTCGTGTTTCTTTTCATATCCTACTACAACGATAAGCAAATGTTTACAATAATAAAAAAAAAGTTAGATTTTCTTTTTACCTTCATTGATCCTACTCTTTATACTGGAAAAATAAAAAGACATCGTCAATTAAATAAATTCTTCTCTTTAACACTAGACAAGACTTTCCTTCATCCCACAGATATATATATATAGGTACATATAAATTCAAAGATAAAAAGATAAAAAGAAAGAAAAAAGGTAATAAAAAAGAACTAAAAATCCTTTGCTCTTAAGACCTTAATTTTTACCCGTTTCAGACTCCACGTGGCAATGTTTTATCTAATCGTCTTCTTTTTTTTTATAGTAGTAGTGGCATACATATATCATTTCTTTACAGAGAGCAAAAAAAAAAAAAAAAAAAAAAAAAAAAAAAAAAAAGTGTTGATACTTCAAATCATGATGACGGAAGAATATTGATGTTTTATGCCGTAGAAACATGTACTACACAAAATCGATCCACGCATTCTAAAATGTCAGGTGGTCTAGAAAATCCAAGTAATCCCTACGATGAACAATTTTTAATAATTCAGAGACAATAAAAGTAAATGGATGATGATGGTGATGATGATGATGATGATGATGATAATGGTACTCTTAGAATCATGATGATTCTATGATGAGTCCTAAACTCTTTTACCATATATTGCAAATGTAAGTTATCGCATGATGCGATTTTTAAAAAACTAGCCTATTGTTTCAATCACCTATTCATACAATGCGTATATGTAATACAGATGTTAGTCTTGAAAAATATAGATGTCATGGTGAAGGACGAGTAATACGTTGATGGATGCAAAGACATGCTTTTCTTCCATATGAAAGCGTGATTAAAGGAAAAACGCACTATGATTGACCTACCAATTTTGTGCCCGTAATTTTTTTAAACCTATTTAAAGTAAGAGCTCTTTTCTTTTTTTTTTTTTTTTTTTTATGAATTCATAAATTATGATTATTTATTTATTTAATAATTCAGTTTATATTATTTATCAGGTGCTGCACATAGTACCATAACCATTTGCGACGGAAAGACAGCAACCATGTGAAGTATTTGAAGGACAACCGCTAGTTGGAGCTCGAGCACAGTCTGTTCCCAACCGATTTTGAGCAATGCCAACAAAATCTTCACAACACACTTCAATTTGTGGACTGGAACATGTTTGAGCATAACATAATGTTATGTAAGTAATAAAAATTCCTAGTTGCAATTTCATTCAAAATAATGGATTATTTTTTTATATATTATAAACTTAACTTTTAAAGAAGATGAAAAATTTATTTTCAGGCACCTTTTTATATAATTCATTTGAGTAGTAAGCATCGTTACACATAAAACTTTGCAAATAAACATCAGATACATTTGAATAAATAATCATCTGTGTGAATATAAAGACAAACCAGTATGTACAATGGCGATCACGACTGCTAGAATGCAATGCAAGCTTGTGAACCTCTGCTACTTGATGATTACGTATTCAAATGATAATCATTTGCATGAAGATAAAGGCAAAACAGCATGTACGGTGGCGATCATCACTGTTAGAATGCAATGTAAACTTGCGAACCTTCACTACTTGATGATCATTTATTCAAATGTAAATATTGAAATATCAATCGATAGGCAGAGCTTTTCAATGATATAAGCGTTATTTGATGGTTACTTGTTTCATGATGTTAAGTGAAAAGTACAGAACTCCGAAACGTTCTGATAGCCGTGTTGTCCATGATCCTTTTTTTTTTTTTTCTTTTCTTTTTTTTTTTTTTTCTGTTGCTTTTTTCTTCACTTTTTCTTTTTAATCAATGACTTTTTGAACATTGTAAGTTACCATTATATACATTACTTTACTAATCTACATTATATATACTTAAATTCACTCTTTACATATTATACTTTTCTGTACTTGCTATATATACTTATTCTATACTTATTCTTTTTTTTTTCTTCGTCTTAGTCTCTCATACTTGAACTAAATCTATTTTGGTTTCTTTTTATTCTTTCTATGGACATATAGTAGATAGATATATGAAGGAATATACAATAGGATTAACTTATATGCAAGTTAAGAAAAATACCTCTCCTATCCAACTCTTTATCATAAGAAATTAGTTTATTGAATAGTTTAGTCTTTTAGTTATAGTGTTTTATATTATATTCTCATTTAAATAAAATCATATTTTTATTATTGTTTATTATATTGTCATTCCACTATTATTATACCATCATTTATCTATTTGTCCTCTATCATCATCATTATCAAAAGGAGTAATAAGAAAGAATGGGTATGATTATTATTTTATTTTCACTAAAAAATAAAAAAAAAGATCCATATACACATCGGTATCTTGTTTCTGCTATTTCTCTTCATACATTACATCCATCATTTTTAAGAATAGATATTCTCTTATTATCAATCATCATCATGACAATAGCAAGCTGTACCTGTATACTGTTGATTGTTCGTCTTCTCTCTTACGAAAATAACGATGTCATTGATCAATTGCTTGGATTCAGCTGTCATTTAATTTATTTAAGGAACCAGGTACAGAAATGCATTGATGACTGTTCGAGAAAAATAATAATTATGATTTTATTAAAGAAAGAGAATATAAACATATATAATTGATATACTAAGTACCATTCTAAACTACAAGTAAAAAGAATCACTAACGATTCATAAGCCAGAATTAGAGAAAAAGATAAAGATGATACTTTTAATTGATTGTATAATCCAATCCAGTTGAATCCTATAATATATCCAGTTCATCCATGTTGTCCATACCTTATGACAATAGCACGTATTCATTTTGTTTCATTCTGTGATCCTATGTATATATATATATCTATCTATTCCGCTGATTCAGATGTATAGCCACTTCGCGTAATTATCCTATTGATACTATATTTAAATGATCAAGTCTTCGTGTATCTAGATTTCTTTCATTCTTTCAGACATATATTCAGTGATGATGATTGTCAAGGATACCGATTATGAAGTATGAGAAGGAGAAAGAACGGTAATTCTAGATGGATAGATGTTGTAGTAAAAAGATCAAGATCAGAAGAACGTATATAATAAAAAAAAAAGGAAGGAGGTTAGAAAGAAAAAGAAGAAAAGCACTTGTTTTTGCAGCTTACCTTTAATAAGAGTAAATATTTGTAAAAACTACATAGATAAAATGAGTAGGATATAGTAACCAAATTGGAATGAATAAAAAAAAGAAGAAAGAAAGAAAAAAAGGAAAGAAAGAAAAAAAAAAAAGAAAAGATTACTTTATATGTCTACCTGATCGGAGCCAGTTTAAAAAATCCTGCAAATCAAATCTACCAATCATAAGAAATCACATAGGTTTAAGTTGCTTTTTTTTTGAATTGATTTTTTTTATTATTGATTATAGTAATATCATAATGATGATGGTGATGATGATAATGATGATGATGATATATTAGAATAAACACTTTCAAGTGAATGATTTTATCAATTGTTTCATATTCCTTGTATTCATTGAACTTTGAATAATCATGATAGTTGAAGAAAGATCACAAAAGAAAAAGGAATATCAAACATATGTGTTAAATCAATTTGAACAACTTTTTATTAATCTAATGGAACATCAATTAAATTCATATTGAATAATAAATCAGTTTAAATATCATAAATCGATTATCCTGATAATATAAAATAATAAAAGTAATGAATATAAATTATGAAAAGCGGTAGTTGAACATCCAAAAAAGGAAAGGCTCAATTCATGAGGTTATATAAAATAGACCTCGCTTTTTTTTTTTATTTTCTCACACTTTCTTCTTCTTTTTCTTCTTATTTATCACTACTTTTATAAACTTCTTCTTTTTTCTATTTTGTATAAAAAGTAAGTAAAGATATAATAAAAGGAACTTTATATATTTGTTAACTAAACTCTCTCTCTCTCTCTCTTTTTTTTTTTTTTTTTTTATCTTGTTATAGAAATATCATCTCTTGACGCTTCTTTGCAAACTGAATCCTCAATATATATTCAACAGATCATGAAACTATAACAATGGATATAACTATCAAAGGTACTACTATAAATCCAAAAGAAAAAAAAAGAAATAGTAAAATATTAAGTGATTTAGGTATGGCTGCGATTCTTATTCTTTCCTTTTTTTTTTTTTTTTTTCTCAGTAGTATTCCAGTATAATGCCAATGGAAAGGCTATTGAATATATCTATCAATTATGGTTATCAAGCACAAACAAAACATAATCAAGAATATTATCTTTGAAGGTAAGACTTAAAATACGATAATGCAGGATCTGTCAATCAAGGTATCATATTTTTTTTTTTTGTTGATGGGTAGTGTCACAAATACAAGTTTAGCTGTTTATATGTTACTCTATTCTCTATAAAGGCATCCTTCTTATCAAGATGGTTTTCATCAACCTCGTTATCCTCGTGGAAATTGATATCGTTGTCATTACTATCGCTGTCACCCATCAAATATTACTGGTATAAGTTCCAACTACAGTGGAATATATATATTATGCACATCAATCATTAACATTTATTTGTTAAATAGATAGGTTGTCATGATACATCGTCCATAAGTCTTGTCATGTTACTATCATTCAAGTATTATGATCATTTTCAAGTGCGGTCGATTAGTGTACTCAAAGTAAGATATAAAAAAAAATGAAAAAGAATATTTAAAATATGATTCTCGTTCTCTTTTTCTTTTTCTTTTTTCTTTTTTTATCATTTTGATGCACCATCATCCTATATATACAGATCACAGAACCAAACGAAAATTGGATACATAAAAAGGATGAATAACTAATGTAACTATATTATTAACAAGAAACTGGAAAGGGAAATCGATTTGTTTACAAATAGATGACATTTTTTTCTACAGTTTCTTTTATTGATAGTTTTAGTCTTATTATATTATATTCTTCTTCTTCTCTAATAAAGTTTACCTTTATATCATCATTATCTTATTATTATTATTATTATTTTATTCAACTATGCAAATCATAAGTGTTTTCCATAAATGGTATACATTCAAAGTCCGGTCCCAATGTGGGGTGTGTTGGATCAAAAAAAAAAAGGTCTGGAGGTTCCAATCTCAAAAAAAAAAAAGTTGGTTGTCGAGATCAAAAAAAAAAAATCTGGGAGATTGAAAAAAAGAAAAAATTGTTGGAGGCAATGGAAAAAAGTTGGACCAAAGCTCTGACATTGGCGCACTCTCACTTTTTTTCCTTTTGCTTTTTTTTTTATCTTTTTTTTTTTTTTTTTTTTTTTTTTTTTTTTACTTTTTTTACTTTTTTTACTTTTTTTTTCACTTTTTTTTTTTTTAACCAATTGAGACTTTGAACGTTTGTAAGTTACCATACATTACTTTACTAATCTATATTATATACTTAAAAGTCACTCTTTACATATTATACATTCTTGCTATTATGCTTAGTTTCTTACTTCATTCTCATTGTATAAACTATTTTTTTTTTTTGTGAAAATACTGTAGATAGAACATACAATAGAATCAACTGGGAATAAAATAGGTTTCTATTAGACAAAGAACAGCAAGTCAGGAAAAAGTATCTCGTTTACTTCTCTTTGGTTCTTTCCTATCTACCTCTTGATCATGTAAAAAATTAGTTTATTCAGTAATTTAGTCTTCTAGTTGGTGCTTTTTATATTATATTTTATATCATCTTTTACTCTTACATTCTCATTTAAATAAAACCTTTTTTTTTTTTCATCATCGTTTATTATGTTGTCATCGACTATTACTCTATCACCACATATCAGCATCACATATCATTCATCACATATCACTCATCACATATCATTCATCACATATCATTCATCACATATCATTCATCACATATCATTCATCACATATCATTCATCACATATCATTCATTCTTTTTTTTTTTTTTTTTAATTTCCACATATTCCAATTCTACAAATTCTAGGTATTTTTTTATTGAAGGAGTTGTCATCATCATCATTTTGCATAGTATCTATTCTACATGATTGTCAAAAAGTATGTCCAACTTTTCCAGTATCAATCAAAGATTCCACAACGCGTTCACTAGAAATACATAAAAAAAAAATCAAAAAGATTGTATATATTAATATTAGGTTCACTTACTGAGGCAAGTAGGTTCGATTTGGATAGAACACATAATCTTGAGGGGCCTCATTCAAGTTGGTAATGGAGGAGGTATAAATATCAGCAAACTAAGGGACACACATATACACAAGAAAAAAAGTGAGATTCCAATATATATATATATATATGTATTAAAAAAAAAGAAAAAAGTTCTTTTTTTTTTTTTTTTTTTTTTTTTACCTTTCGTATCTTGTTTGCAAAGAAGGTTGGATTATTATGAGTCCGGAAGACACTACCAAAGTGGCGATTAAAGACAATCTTGAGTTCCAATCGTACACAAGCACGTTCTGCTCTCCATGCTTCAATCACTCCCCTGAGTCCATCCGGTCGTTTATGTTCATCATAACTTTGAGCTTCTTTCAGTAATTGTTCCAATCGAAGTAACCAAGATAATGTATGACGATATGAAGGTGTGTTTCGAATTTCTATTTCTTCTGCAAGTTCATGTATAATGGCACCCTAAATAGAATATATATATATCATTATATGTTGATAATTCCCTCTCCTATATATATATAAATCATCTTAATTTACTGTTCGCCATCCTTGTTGTACAGTTGGATCAACAAGATCAGAATAGACATGATCACCAAAATAAAGTACTCTTTGACCAGACCTATAAAACAAAAAAAAAAAAAAAAGGAGTTTGAGTAAGAAATCTTTTTTATTATTGTTATTTTCTTTACCATCCAGTCAGTTTTGAAAAATCATTCAAATTACCACCTTGATAGACTTCACCAGGTTCAAATCTTTGGACAGCATCCCAAGTAGGTTCGCGTGTACGACGGAAAGGACGACGAGAATGATAAAAGTCAGGTTTGCCAGCAGATACGATCACACAATCAAAAAGATCACGCCAATCAGGACTTGAAGTCAAATACGTCATACCAACATCGCTTTTTCATAATATATAAAATCAATATTAATATATATATATGATCAAACCATTATTATACTTACATGAAAGGTAATGTGCTGTTCGTCATTAAAAATGTTTTCTTCCCACCTTTTCTCAAGTGTTGCAGATATTCCACTAATTTTGGAGAAGGATCCAAATATTTTGCTATATCTTTGTTGATGGATGCATGGAGTCGACCACCCATTCCAGTTAAACGAGATCCAATATGAAGTATTCGTGCTGCATGACTAACATCATCACAAAGATATCGAGGATGGAAACTTGAATAAGAGAAGGAAGAAAGAAAAAAAAAAGTGAATATCATCAACAATAATAATAAAGTTTATTTACCTGATTCCATTTTCTCTAAAATACTGAAGTACATCGCTCAATATACAAGCCTGAGGTATGGAAAATAGATCATTCAATTGGAACATATTGTTGCGTAAATAATCAGGAGCTATATGTAATCCTCTGTGTAGATCAACAACTTCATTTTTGTTCCTGATAGGTTCACGACCAACTAAAAAAAAAAAAAAAAAAAAAAAAATTAAATAAGAAGAAAAAAAAAAAAGATTTAAATCATTATCATATATAATATATATATATTACCATGTACAGTATTCAGTTGAATATTTGCCATATTATCTATTTTCATCAACCATCCATTATTGAAATCTAACAATAGAAGAAAAAAAAAAAGATATTTATATGATTTATTCCTTTAATTTTCTTATTCTTTTTACCATAGTGAAGACCACGAATAGCAAAGTTAGGATCAAATTGAAGATCTATACATAGAGATACTATAAGTAATTATATTGTTTAAATAAATAATTTTGATTACCTTTGATTTGACTGGGATAACGAAATGTATCAACCAAAAGTTCTTTGAGAATATCATAAATGGATTTGGACATTTCATTTCTGTAATTCGCAAGGGTATACTAAATATGGACAAAAGAAGCTGAAGTTAAAACCCATGTGCATGATATATATGCTTTTTTTGTTTTATTTTATTAAACTTGCATCATAATCGAATCCATAAACTTGTATATGTCCAAGGTTTAATTCATTATTAATAAACCTATTCATCCAAAATTAGATGATTGATTAGTTTTTACATTAATAATAATAATATTGACTTACACATCTTCAGGTGAAGTCAATCCTAACCCATAAAGCGAATCAGATAAATCAGAATAACTAGACCCAGGAGGACTCAATTTCTCCTTTTCTTCTGCCACTTTAGAAATAGGATCTTCAGTCATGGCTAAAATAGTAGCATTATCTTGTTTAGCTGACATGAGATGTTTGAGTTTCTTTTCTTGATATTTCTTGGTAAAATGTTCTAAAGCATTTGTTTCAATTGGTTTTGAATGTTGATGAGGATGGTGATGATAATAACGATATGAATGTACATTCAATTTCGACTTTTTCAAAAAGAAACAAGTAAATCGATACATTTCAAAAAAAAAAAAAAAGATAAACGCGACAGAATAAAAAGAAAGAAAAAAAAAAAAAAGAATAAAAAGGAAAAAAGTGGGAAAATTAGGAAAGAAGAGATAAAAAAAAAAAAAAGGACATTTGACCGTGAAGGAAAAATATGCAGCCGAGAGCGGTGATTTCATTGAGTTTGTGTCATATTTATTTCAATAATGTGATGTACATTTTTTTCCCAATAAAAAAAAAAGAAACAACAGAGTACTAATAATAAAATAACAAAGATTTATTTTATTATTAAAAAAAAAAGGGGTGGAAGTGGTAACAATGATGAAATTTTTTTTTTCTATACATACAAGTGGAGGGAAAGAGGAAGTTTTTTGGTCATAAATATAAAACTATAACGGAATCCAATAAGAGTTGTAAAAAAAAAAACGATGGTAGGAACATATCTAATGGTCTCCCATGAATTAAAAGAAAAAAAAAATAATGAGGGTAGAATAAAATAACGTACAATGATAAATGTCAAACATATAAACAATATACATTAATACATAATGTTGGGGGAATACTATACTATTCAGTCTTGTCCTTGGTTTCTTTTCCTTTTCCTTTTCCATGTTCTTTATTGTCAGTGGCTTCATCTTCATTTTCCCGTTTACGTTTGATTCCTCTTTGACTTGTACCATTAGTAGAAGGACCTTCTTCAGTTGAATTTTCCATACGTGTGTCTTCTGTTGATGTTGTTGACGATGATATATTGTTTCTGGAAGTATCTGGGGTCAACCATGATTCAAATGCAGGAGAGTTAAAAATAGGTGATGATGATGTTGATTCTTGATTCCTACCACGTCGTCCATCCATTTCTGCATTAGCTAATACTGATCCCAAGAAATGATTGATCAAACTTATTCCCTGAATAACCCTTGCAGCTCGAAGGACTCTTCGGAATAACGCTGCATTTTCCTTAAAAAAAAAAAAAAGGAGGTTAAGTGGGGAGACATATCACTATTTCTATCATACATATATCAATAATACTTACTTCGTGCCCTGTTGCTGATCCTTCATCTTGTAACGTCCGTGCGGTTTCTCGTAACCAAGGTGTACCTTGTTCCATAAGATTGGCCAATTCATTCATCACCATACCAACTTGTGTTGTCTGCGAATTGTTACCATCCCCACGAAGAGTAGTTCGAATTTCTTGAATAAAATCAGGTGAAGATGCCGATGTATATGGAATTTGATTCATTTCTATGTAAATGGGAAGAAAATAGGGGTCAGATTGTCATATTGATCTTTTTTTTTTTGTTCCCTTACGCTGTTCTAAAGGAGCTGATAGAATACTTCGAACATTGCGAATATAGGCCATAGTACGTGCTAATCGCATTTCAACAGATGACTAGGTAGTAAAAAAAAAAAAAAATTCAGATGATATCCTTTTTTTTTTTTAACTAATAGTAATGATAGATACTCACTGGAAATGGAAGACGAGGTGGTTGCATAGATTGTCTTGATTCTGAAGAGGTGTTAGTTGTGCTTTGGTTATTGTTGATATTGTTTGTGTTGTTGTTATCATTGTTATTGTTGCCATTCCTGTTAGATGCATTGTCAAGCGATCGTCGAATTTCAAATGGTGATCTGGTCAAAAAGCTTGGGAATATACTCGTCGTAGTAGAAGTTTGATGTCGTCCATTCTATGTCAAACAAAAACAAAATAAATTTATGAGAAACAAATAATCATTCAAAAATATTCTCGATTATTATTTGTTTAGTTTCACTTACATTTGCATTGTTGGATGTTGTATTTGAACCAGTAGTTGATCTTGTATTTCTTCCATTTTGAGTTCCACTAAAAGGATTCGCTCCAGCCAAACCATTCATAATAGAAGAGAGGAACTAAATTATAATAATAAGAAAAGAAATCATCAGAAATCATCGCAAACATATTTTTTTTTATTTCTACATAATGATAATCTTACCGATCCATGATCAGCAGGATCGCCTATATGAGCATCCAGTGTAATGAAAGTGTATCCTTCCATCAAAGGTAGTCGGCTTGCTATAGAGGGGAAAGGTCGATTTCTATTTCCAAATATACGACGATTGGCTGGTCGTGGTTCATCTACATTATTAAAAGTGAGTTACAAAAAAAAAAAAAAATATAGTTCTATCTTCTTTCGTTCAGTTCTATCTTACCATTCATAGGATTTTGTGGTGCATCCAAAGGTCGAATTACCAAATGTATTACTTTGCCGTCGTCCAAATTAGCTAATGGTGATCAATAAGATAATAAAACAGTAAAGAGGAGTATTTAGTTATTAATTCAAACCATTCAATTTTTTTTCTTTTCTTTTTATTACCATAGTCCATTAAGTTCTTATCATCTTTGAGTACCTTGCCTTGAAAAATCAATCGTTGTCGGCCGCTGTCCACATCTAAAGTTGCTTGAATTTCATTCTTCAGCTCCAATACCGAAGAATTACGAGGAAGTGTAACAGAATGAGTTCTTTGTTCGAGAGATTTGATTTGTAAGCCAATAAGAACAGATGAAGGACTATGATTATTGTTACTATTGGTGGTATTCGAAGTGGTAGTAGAAGCTGTTGTTGCTGTTGTGGATGTATTTATGGATGGTGAAGAAGTTGAAGATTTTTCAGGCATGATTAATAATAATAATAATAATAAATAAAATTAATACTAATGAAATAGTAAAACAAGATGAAGTGGAATAATGTGCCGTAAAGATAGGCAATGGAGGAGAATATATTTAAATAAAGAAAGTTGACTAAAGAGAAAAGAAGAAGAAGAAAAAAAATATGATGAATATATAAGCTAACCGGAGTTGAAATGGAGACCAGTGTGGTTGGGTGAAGGCAGCGTCACTGGACTTCTGAGAGGAAAAAAAAAAATCTCCCTCTATTTTATTCTCATTTTCTATCTTTCTCCTTTTCATTTAAGGATACATATATATATATATATATTTATAATGTTACGGTTTAAGAAACACGAAAAGAAAGGTATAATGTCAATATTGGAAACACACACACACATATATATATATATATATATAAATGAATAATATTATTAATATTCTTTTTTTTGGGGGTATGATTTATTCAATACTTTTTGTAGAAGAAGTGGATAAAGCAGTCGAACAACGATCTTCACAAACAGAAAAAACTAACTCAAGTAACAAGGATGAAAAACGGTCAAATTATTCTTCCAGAGATAGATCTCATTCACCTAGAAGACATCGTTCTCCTGATAGACGTCGTTCTCCAGATGATCGTCATCGACGCCACCACCGTAGATCACTTTCGCCCAGAAGAAGAGAAGACAGATCATCTAGAAGATATTCTTCCCGATCAAGATCACCTCCACATCATCGACGTCACCGATCACGTAGTCCTTCACCTGTGAAAAAGAAGAAATCATCGACAGAAAAGGTAAATAATATAGTTTTGTTATTTCTCAAGTGTATTAATATGTTTTAAAATAGAAAAAACCAGCCAGACCTAGCTTTGCTTATAAACTGATTGAACTCGAAATCAATGATCGTTTGGGTAAAAAAGTACGTGTTAAGTGTAGTCCTAAGGATACTGTAGGTGATTTCAAAAAGTTGGCTGCGGCTCAAATTGGTACTGAACCTCAAAAGATTGTATTGAAAAAATGGTACAAGGAATTCAAGGATCATATCACATTGGAAGATTGTAAGTCGATGAAAAAAAAAAAAAAAAAAAAGTGAATCATAGTGTTACCATACTTATTATTTTTATTATTATTTATTCACGAAATAGATGAATTAAACGATGGCATGAATGTGGAATTGTATTACCGATAGAATAGTTCTACCATTTTATTATACGTTTGATTTTACCTTTTTTGAATAAAGAAATCATTTACCAAATTTAGAGGAATGTTGCTTTGCTAAGTAAAATATCAAAATAGATGTGGTGGTTTTCGTATACAAATCATCTCTTTTTATTAAGTTTTCTGACGCGGGGTTGAAATGGTAGCTTCCTTTTTTTTTTTTTTTTTTTTTTTTTTTTTTGGTCTTTTCTATCTTCTTTCTCAACACTTTTTTTATTATTATTATTATTATTCAACAAGGTAAAATCAATTATTAATAATAAATTATATCTTTCGTTTTCCAATGGGGAATGGTCATATCCTTATTTGAAGTGGACTTTTTTCGATATATGTGACTATGGAATAAAAACAAAAGGCGCATATACCACCAACAAAGACTTCTTTATGCACAAATCTGCTTGCGTCGAATATGAAGATATCAATATTGAAAACGACTATGATAACAACAACAATGGCTTGATATGGATGTAGATAAAGGTAAGTACACGAAGAATCAGTATACCCACTTCATACTACACCATTGAAATTTACTTTGATCATAGTTTTGTTGACCTTTTCTTTTTTTTTCTTTTTTTTCTTTTTTTTTTATCTAGTTTATCGTTTATCCGATGTAAGATAACACCATATACAGGAACAATTGAAATGACAGATGAATTATCAAATATATGGAAACTATCTTTTTTTGTATGATAGACGACATGTTTATAACAATCAATAGCGACAAACAACGGTGACAAGACTATGGATCAGGACAAGCAAAGACAGCAGCTCTCATGTGACAATAATCACCATTCGTGCATCATCCGGCAATGTGGGATTCAATTATTACATATATTTATAATTACCAATTGCTACAACTTGGTAAGGCCTCATATGACAAACGAATCAGAAATATATATATATGATCATACATCTGACCTCCTTCTTTTTTTTTCTTTTTTTGGATACAGACTATTCGGATCATGACATATTGATGAGGATGATATCTTTTCTTGGTTCCATTGGCCTGGGCACAAGGTATCGATTTTTTTTTTAAAAAAAAAGAAGGAATGGGATTGGACATATATATATATATTATGTATGATTTTAATACCGCTCTTAACCATGCTTCTTTAAAGTAGTGTATATTTCCTTGATTCACGGGAAAATTGTCAATACTGTCTCATTAATACAATTTGGAATCAGCATTTATCCTTGGGCACATGGTGTCGACTTATTGATACCCCAGGAAAGCTACAGGTATACCTCAATTGGTGGAAAGCGATTCTCTTTTTTTTTTTTCTTACTTATTATGTTTTGACATAACTTGGTTTAGTTGAATGATTAGATAGTATATTTAGATAGGAAGAGTATCTCTAGTATTTACAATTAAATATCATATTTACTTCGTTTACTATTCTCCTGAAAACAATAATAATAATAAAATTGGTACCTCACAAACTGTCTTCAGCGATCAACAAATATGATTTTGTAATACTCGGAATGATCTTTGCTATCACAATATGACCAGCACGTAAAAGACAATGAATTTGATTATTTATGGAAATATAAGGGATAGAAGAAGCAACAGGAGACCATATCTTTACTTTTTTTTATTATTATTATTATTTGTTACTGGAAAAAAAAGGGGGTAAGATGCAGGCAGAAAAAAGAAATGACACGTGAGCACCGACTTTCCTTTCTTGACTTGATGAACTTTTATAGGATGATGTCTGTTGCATAGCATGTTGATTTGGTTGACTCTATGATAAATAATAATAATAACGATGATGATGATGGTGATGGTAATACATGATGGCAACGGTATGATGAAATATATAAAATAATATAAAAGATGATGGACGCGGTGTAACTAAGAGAATAAAATCATTCCCCCCCCCTTCTTTAAATCCAGTTCAGTTCTTCTTTCTCTCTCTCTTTTTTTTTTTCTAGACCCACGGAAAGAAAACACTCCTCCCTTAATAGTACTCCTTAATCATGACATCATACTTACACCTATGTCGGTTATCGGAGGGGACGATCCATCTTTTTTTTCTTTTTATTTTTTTCATAGTGTATTGAAAGGGAGGTGAAGGGTAAATTCATGCATTTCAACACAAGAGTAATCAATGGTGGGGGTGGATTCCCTGAAAGTATTGAATGTCCGCTTTGACAGGTACTTCTACCGAATGAATTTATCTTTTTGTCCACAATAATGATAATATAAATAATGATGATGATGATGATGATGATTCATTTTATAACAATATAAACATAATCAAATTTATTTTAGAATTTAGTAGATAGAAAAGAAAGAAAAGAGATGCAGTAGGTACATGAATATGATTTGTTATTGTTATGGTTTATCAAAAACAACACTTATGTACGAAAATACATAAATACAAAAAAAAAAAAAAAAATCATCCACGTTCTATCTATTCATAGTTGACATTATGATATGAGTTCCCTTCACCATCATCCAGTTACGTTTTCATCTTCAACCTCCCCCCTTGAAATATCTTTTTAACCCCTACAATTTCCTTTTTTGTTTTTTTCACTCTATCTTTCTCTATAGATAATAAAGTATGAATGATTATGGTATATAAATGATTATATATAAGTGAATATATCTTAGTGCCTATCTCTCTATCAGATTACACTTTTACTAAAATACCCCTAAGTCTTTTCTATTGGATCCCCTCCCCCTTTTTTTTTTATTCTTGTTCTTTTCCCCAGTAATTTCTTCCCTTATCAACCAATAGTTAACTCCCCCCATTTTTCTTCTCTACTTACTAAAAGGTTTACATTCTTTACTCAAATATTAACAACAACGAACGAACTCTGGCTCTTCGCCTTACACAGGTCTACATTTCCTATTATGTTCATATAATTCAAATTCCGCTACAATAAACATAAAAGGTTGGATTCTTTTGTTTCTCTTTCTTTTCCTTTTTTTTTTTTTATCTCTTTGTTGTTATTATCATTATTATTATTATATTTCATATTATATATATATATATATATATATATATCCCTATACATATACGTATCTTTTTTTTATCCATCTTTGAAAAATTGAAGGAAATTGTATAACTACTTCTAGTTATCTATTTTCTGGCTTTTTCCTTTTTTCTCTTCTTTGATTCATACCTTTTGGTCTCTTGGTCATCATAAAACCCGAATTTATGTTTTTGTATTTCTATTTGTCCAATTGGCATTGATCTTCCCATCCTTTTTTTTTTTTTTTTTATTATTTTCATTTTATTCATTTTTACTTTTTTTTGTATTCACGCAATAAAAAAAGTCTATTTTGTTACCATTGTGTGTTTTATATTTTATATACCATATATATATATCTTTTGATTGATATTACTTTGGAACAACAACAACGACAACAACTATAACAACAACTTCAAACAATATATTCAATACAATGGATATCGACATCTTACCATTACCAAAGCTTGAAAGAATATCATCATCATACTCATCATCAACTTGCAACTCTTCTACATCACCCAACGTTTTACCAGAATCTATGAAGGTATTAGAAGAACAACAGATTTCCGACTTTGATGATCGATATGACCAATTATTATCACCTGCAACACCGTCAAACTCACCACAATCCATGATGACTCGATCACCAGTCCCGACAACTAGGAAAAGAAAAAGAAAAAGTTCCATCATGATTATCAAGCCTACCAGGTGGTCACCTCCTCTTCAATGCAATCAAAAAATGAGTGGATCCAATAGTATCAACCATCATCCAACAACCACTGCAGTTGATACTGACTTCAAACCCTCCTTCTACAATCCGAATGAAATCAAACATCGACGACGCATCTCTAGTCAACAATGCGAAGTATTGGAAGCAGAATATCAAAATAATATCAAACCAAATGCAACCAAACGACATCAATTAGCTGAACGATTAGGAATGACACCCAGGACAGTACAAATTTGGTTCCAGAACAAACGGGCTAAAGCTAAACAGCAGCGACATCAACGGCAACATCATCATCATCACCAAGAAAATCGATCATCACCTTCAACAGAAATATCATCACCCTCATCACCCTCATCATCATCGCCATCATCATCATCATCATCATCATATTCTTTGTCATCTTTAGCAACAAATTCTTTGGATATTATGACCTTTGATGATGGAAGATTGGATCCTATTTATCTGGTGGACAATTGTGATATGACAACAGCAGAGTATCAAACTACCAAAAATGGAATACTGTGGCACTCAAATGACGATACGAAGAACACGAATGCAGTAGTAGCACCAATGATGACCCCTTCTGGATCAGGCATGATGGATGATCATGGGACCATCAAATCATCATCACCATTATCATCAACAATACCGTTTTCAGCTTCAAAATCAGGCACTTTTGGGACATGCGACGCTTTTCGAACATGGCTATATCCAACAAGCAACGTTATACATCCATACAACGAGACCATGAAAACCAACGAATTGTTATTTGCTCATTCAACAACTTCCACTGCACCATCGTCGCTATCATCATCACCATTACAACAATATGCTTCTCTGAATTCTAAATCATCACAAATGCACCAATCAGAATCACATGATAACGACCATTGTCTCAATAACAACGACACTAACAACAATACGATCATTTCCTGGAATAATGGTTTACACAATGACAAGGATGATGATGATATGTCTTCTTTCGTATTAAACTGGATGCAAAAATCATCAAACAATACTGAAGCTGATTCGTTCATGACACCAATGTGGCCGTATATAATGAATCAACAGGTAATTTAGTTCTGCTTTTTTCTTCTTCTTATGATCAAGTCACTCATCTCTTTCTTTTTTTTTTTTTATTATCATTATAGAACATTCAACATTTGCCATTCCCTTTAGGTCAAGATGATTGGACTTGTTTCCCTATCTAGGCATGAATTATGATCAATTGAATTTCCGAAGAAGATCTCTCACTGTACGTCTCCCTTATTTGGAATATGCATCTTTACTTTCTTTTTTTTTTTATGATTTCTTTTATCTCTTATGCCTCTTTTTTTTTTATATATGTCAATTAATATATGTCCTTTTTTTTATTTCTTTTATATGAATCCCCCTTCCCTTCATTTCCTCGATTATTACGACCTATTTATGTATACTAGTCTTATTATTTTTAAACGTTTGCCTTATGTTTATTTATTTATTTATTGGATTCCATTCTGTTTAATACTATGTTGCGTAATTGGTTGGATGAGTCTATCATTGACGAAACTACTCCAACTCGCTCTTTGTTTTATATATATATTTTCAATAAAGTCTTATCTTCTTTTGGTAGTCTTTTCTTTTTTCTAGTTTTTTAGTTTTGTATTACGGGAAGACATAGAAAAATTAAGAGAGATGAGGGGAATTTTTCATTCTCAGGTGAGGTCCAAAAGATTTTTCCTTTTTTTTTTTTTTTTTTTTTCTCTCGTCTTTGTTCGCTTTTTTATGGGTCTTTTCCGTTCCACTCATCATACGACAAGTCCTTATGATGAAGAGGAGCCTTTACAAGGTCATCATGAAGTGTTAGAATTAGAACCAACATCAAGTACACTACGAAGAACTTCGTTTTCTTCAGATACATCTTCTATTTTTGACGACAATACTTTGAATCATGATAATGAATCTAAACAACGCCAACGACAGAAACGAAGACGAAGATATCAACAACAACGTCTTCGACGTCAACAACAACAACAACAACCTGGATATCAACGTTTAGGTGGTCAACTTGTTGATGCTTGGCATTCTGTTACCACTGCTGCTGCCGCGGCTGCCGCTGCTCACCTTCATCATGATCACGACGTTGGTCATTTGACAGAAGACGATACCGAACCAGCTCAATATCCTGAAGATAATATTGATAATCGATTCAAACGATCCTTGTATTTACTATTGGAAGAACCTTCAAGTAGCCGTGCGGCGTTTTGTACAAATGTAGTGGTCTCCTTTTTGATTGTATCAAGTGCAGTTATGACAACGATTGAAACCATTCCTACTTTCCGATCAGCTGAAAGTAATCGCGTTTGGTAAGTGTTTTATAAGGATCAAGTGCCTATGTGTCTCAAAAATGATAATGGATAAATGACAATATATAATAATTTTATTTATTTTTTTTATTGTAATTTGGTAATTAGGTTTCATTTGGAATCTACCATGGTAGCTCTATTTACTTTGGAATATATTCTTCGGTTATTTGCTCATTCTGACTCTTTACAGATGCTCAAGAGATTCGTGATTGGTAATTTTATGGTTATAGACTGATATTTTCATACCATATTCTGACTGATTTTTTTTTTCTTTTTTGATTTCCTATATAGCACCCATCTCGATTATTGATTTTATATCGATTGTCCCTTTTTATATTGAAGTCATTGCTCAACGTGATACGGTAAGTGAAGGAAAGAACTAATATTATACATATATTCGTGTTATTGGATGCCTATTGATTCTTATTTTTCACACACATGCACAAACTCTTGTGGTTATGTTTAGACATACGAGTTTCGATTCACCATCTTGCGACTATTTCGACTTTTACGATTATTCAAGACATACAAGTATTCCAATGCGATTATTATGACAATTGAAGTGATGATGGTTGCTCTTCGGAGATCAGGTGATGCGCTGTCTGCTCTCTTCTTCTTTTTGGTGACATGTGTAGTATTGTTTTCAACCTTACTTTACTTTGCGGAACGGGGCACTTGGGATGAAACTCTGAAGACCTTTGTCGATCCTGAAGGAAACCCTAGGTATAAAATAGGCAGATCATCATGAATATGAATCAGATGGAATGGCTAATACTTTTTTCATATACAATAGTGCATTTGACAGTATCCCTGCTGCCTTTTGGTTTGTTCTAGTGACCATCACAACCACTGGCTATGGTACATCTCAAAAAAAAAAAAAAATCGATTGTAGTATCATTTCAAGTTCTCATCGTTTTTCTACCTTTTTTTTTTTTTTTAAAAAAAAAAAAATTGTTTAGGTGACATGGTGCCGACTACTTTCATTGGAAAACTGGTGACATTCCCTGCAATGATGTTTGGTGTGTTGGTAATGACTCTTCTATTAAAAAAAAATGCGATGATCTTTCTTTCTTTCCCTATCTCTTTCTCTTTTTTTTTTTTTTTTTTTTTTTAATCTAATCTTTTTTTTTTTTAATCTTTGTAGCTGATTGCATTACCATCCATCATTGTTGGAAGAAATTTTACAATTGTATGGGAATCTATGAGACGGCGACAGTATTTAGAACAACTTCAAGCACCTCAACCGGTCGACGGATCTACAGATCCAGATACAGCAACTACACCTATGCATCCACCTTTGTCAGCATATCACCATTCAACGACTAGGCGACCGTCGATGGCAATTGACGATCCTTTAGGAACTACACTTACTTCGTTACGACCACGATCAGGAAGTATGAATACAAACAACGGAACGGATCAACCCTTCAATATATTAGATACAGGCGATGAGGCGTTATTCAACCAACTTCATTCATTAATAACCATTACTAGACAGAATCAAGAAGATATACAAAGGATACTTACTCTTTTGGAATCTCGATCAGCTACTACGGCTTTATCTTCGACAATGACTGCTAACGACGTTACTGGTCATTCTCAACAGCTCAACGGTCTGGATAATGCAAGCAATCAACCGACTGTGGCACCAACACGGACTTCTTTGGATAGGATCGCCGAAGAATAGTTTTTTTTTTTTCGATATACAATACACTTATATATATATACATGATACATAGTTTTTTTTTTTTTCTCTTTTTGCTCTATTATTTTTTCATCGTCATATATCTATTACTACATATTGGTTTACTTTTATATATATATAGATAAACGTGTTTGTTTATAAATAAATACACCTTATTCAATAATACTGGATTTTTCCATAAATAAAAAAAATTTACGTGCAAATGAATTGTGGCACACGTGAATCATTTTTCTAGCTCATGCCAAATGGTTTTCTGGCACACGCCGATCGTTTTCGCGGTGCACGCAGATGATTTCTTGTACTCGCATATGTGTAACTGCTTTGCGATAAATGTAATGGATTTATGAGACAAAATTGATTTGTGGGTGACCTTTGAATGCCAGAAAAAAAAAAAAAAGGAGAATATCCTTGTGTCAAAAATGACAAATTATACGACAATCTTGATTTTTGGATGCCAGTAAAGAAAAAACAAAGACATCGTTATGTCAAAAACGATAAATTGTGGGATAACTTTGATTTTTGGACGTCAGTGACAAGGTCATCGATTATAAAAAATCCTTACTAATTAATAGTTTTATTCAAACAAAACAAATAGATGAAGAAAAAAATAATGGTTTTTTTTTTATTTTTATTTTATCATGAACGAATGAATAGATAAGGAATAGATAAAAAAAAAAAGTGAAAACTAAGAAGACGATTGGAAGTATCATGCTTTTTGCCATTGATGGGTATCGGTGATACAGGGTTCAGTGCTAGAATGATGACCAGGGATACCAGAGATGTGAGCCGAGAGAATACTACTGGCGGTTGATTGAACTGGAGTGAGATCATCATCATCCTCCTCTTTCTTCATTTTGGTATCCATGGTAAACTGTTTGATTAAAAGATAACCAGTGATTACCCCTATATGAAAAAAAAAGAGGATGAATGAATATAATTCTTTTTTTTTTTTTTTTTTGACACTTACAATCAAAGGAATACAAATCAGCAGATAATCCACCCACGGCACGACATGAAATCAAAATAGCTGTCAAGATATTAGAAGCAACGACACCAATACTATATAAAGCGATAGAGAAAACAAATGAGTCTTTTTTTTTTTTTTTTTTTTTGTTTGAATCTACTTACGAAAACATCATGCTGTTGGAGAATAAAAATTTATGGATATCATTACCAAGCATACGATAATGTCGGCGAATGACAGAAAGGAATGCGAATGTTAAAAAGAGATTGCTACTGATGTCGAGACTTAGTTTTGCAAGTGCTGGCCATTCCACTATACCATAAATTAATGTAAATAGCCATAAACTAGAGAGCGTTATTTTAATCATACTTACGATTATTGAGCTGATTAAAATGATCAATAATGGGATGATAGTTGATAAAAAAAAAAAAAAGGATGAATACATAATATGCTTTACCTTTTTGTGAGTAACTTACCACACAGTTACCAATAAAATCACGATGAGAATCAACCTTGCCAATAGTAGCATATAAAAAGATCAAGGCCACATAACCCGTGTTAATGAAGGAACCCAAGACAAGAAGCCATTTTCGACGATTATGACAAATATAAGCCTTGTAGAGAAGAATCGATTGAATGCAGCATCCACCCAAATTGACACAGATGATGGATACCCAGTATCTCTATCAAGATGTAGAATGGATTATGATTATTTTATATTATCTTTTTTTTAAAACAAAAAAACAGTTGATATACTGATGATGTTAGTACTTACAAATTCACAACTGACAGAGGTCAAAGGATTTAATAGACTACAAAGAATGACAAAAAAGGCCAAACAGACATTCAACAAAACTACAGCGTGTAACCATTTTCTTGATTTCCAAATGAGACTGATAGCTGTCATTATCTGCCATGCTGTACAAGTCAAACAAATAGCCATATATACCAAAGTATATTGTGATTCCATAAACCGATAATATTCATCACTAGCACCAATACAATTCACAAATTTGTCATGTTCATCTTGTCCTAATGTTTGATTGTTAGCCACTGATGTCCCGTTACTAGTTTGTTCCATTTTTTTTTTTTTTTTGAAAAAGAGATATAATAAAAAAAGAAAGAAATATAAAAAGAAAAAAATAAAAAAATAAATAAATAAAAAAAAAAGAGACAAAGAAAGAGAATATATATAGAGAAAAATCTTACTAGACTTTATCCTTGGGAATCCTTCCATTTTCCCCTTGAATAATGATTCTCAACCATGAAGTAAATTCGGTTTGGTCGTTTTACTTTATACTCAACGACTTTTCTTCTTTTTTTTTTTTTTTTTTTTCAAAATCATGATATCAACACTTTAACAAAGGATAATTTCAAGTCATCATCATATTGAAAATAAGAGTGGTTTGTCTACAAAGTCATTTCGTCATCCAAGGAAGTAATAAAGAAAAAAAAGACATTGAGGAGATATTATGCAAATTGACGATTCAAAGAGTTCTTTTGTCCGCCTAAAAAGGAAAATTATTTATTCTTTCAAAAGTAACAAGTGTTTTTGACTCAAGTGATACTTCAAATTCATTATGGATGTTTGTGCATGTTGTGGTTTTAAGGGATGATGTTTCATTATTTCAATGATAAATATTAAGATGATGAGGAGTAACAATGCAAAAAGAATTATCATGATGTCACTTTTGCTTATCCAAGAGAGAGAAAAAAAAAAAAGGAATTTAATGTATATATCGCATAAAGAAAACTTTAGTCATATTCGCTTACCGCCTTCCAATCATTTGTCTATGGATTTCTTTCTTTGGCGAGATTGACTAATAAGATTTATGTCCGCACAAAAAAAAAAAAAAAGGTATTCTTTTTCTATTTTTCTTTCTCTTCCTCCTTTTTTTTTTCTTTTCTTTTTCACTTTTCAAATGATCAAAGCTGCATTGCAGACTTCTTATTTACGTGCCTGCTTTAATACTACTCGTCCTTATACTGCAAAGAAATTCAATATGACTTCTATGAAATCCATTGTTACTTCGGTTACTGTACCCAAGGTTTGTAATTTTTTTTTTTTAAATAAACCCATATTAATTTATTCTTTCTTTTAGCTTTCAGATCCTTCCTTGTTTCGTCAAGAAGCCTTTATCAATAATAACTGGGTATCCAAGACTGAAACTTTCGCAGTTGAAGGTAAACAAACAAATAGTGTAGTAATGTACCATAGAGAGATGGTGTTATCGTGGGAAAGGAAGAACATAACAAGGAACTGAAGTTTACGTATCTTTTTTTTTTTTTTTTTAACTAAACACGTTTATTTTAATTAGATCCTGCTACGGGTGAACAAATTGGTACAGTGCCTGATATGGGTATTGAAGAAACACGACAAGCGATTGATGTGGCAGCTGATTCTTTCAAAAATTGGTCTCGCACTACTGGTAAAGAACGTCATGATCTTTTGAAGAAATGGTATGATGCTATTATGGCGAATCAAGAAGATTTGGCTACTATTTTGACTTGGGAAAATGGCAAGACATTGACGGAAGCACGTGGTGAAATTGCATATGGTGCTAGCTTTTATGAATGGTTTGCTGAAGAAGCGGTACGCATGTATGGTACAACCATCCCATCTCCTATGCCTGGTCAACGTTATTTGACTATCAAGCAACCTGTTGGTCCTGTAGGTATCATTCTTCCTTTCAATTTCCCCACTGCCATGTTGACTCGTAAGGTCGGTGCTGCTCTTGCTGCTGGTTGTACCGTTGTCATCAAACCTGGTGCTGAAGTCCCTTATTCTGCTCTTGCTTTATGTGAATTGGCCAAACGTGTTGGTATTCCTGCTGGTGTTATTAATGTCATCACATCCGAAAAACATGTTGCTGATGTTGGTAAAGAATTATGTACTAATCCTGCTATCAAGAAGATCTCTTTTACTGGTTCTGTAAGTTCAATTTAGTATCATCATATATATATATATATATATGAATTAACTTTTCTTTTCTTTTTTTTTTTTTTTTTTTTTTTAAAAAAAAATAGACGGCTGTTGGTAAACTCTTGATGTCTCAAAGTGCTGGTACAATGAAGAAATTATCTATGGAATTAGGTGGCAATGCACCTTTCATTGTATTTGATGATGCTGATTTAGATGCAGCAGTGGATGGAGCTCTTGCATCGAAATTCCGTGGTACTGGACAAACTTGTGTATGTGCTAATCGTATCTATGTTCAACGTGGTATTTATAATCAATTCGCTGAAAAGCTTGCTGCCAAGGTTGGTCAATTCAAGGTTGGACATGGCTTTGATCCCAAAACGACACATGGACCTTTGATCAATTCACGGGCAGTAGAAAAAGTACAACGTCATTTGGATGATGCTGTTCAGAAGGGTGCTAAGGTGATTGTGGGTGGCAATGCTCTAGGTGGAAATTTCTTTGAACCTACTGTGGTGACTGGTATGACAAATGATATGACAATTGCGAATGAAGAAACCTTTGGTCCTATTGCTGGTTTATTTGCTTTTGATACAGAAGAAGAAATCATTCAACGTGCAAACAATACTCCTTTCGGTTTGGCTGCTTACTTTTATTCTCGTGATGTTGGTCGTGTGTGGCGTGTATCTGAACAATTGGAAACTGGTATGGTGGGTGCTAATTCTGGTATTATTTCTAGTTGTTATGCTCCATTTGGTGGTGTGAAGGAAAGTGGACTTGGTCGTGAAGGTTCTTTACATGGTATTGATGATTATGTTCATATCAAATATATCAATATGGGTGGTATTCAATAGATTATCATTATATATATATCTTTTTTTCTTTCTTTTGTATAGTTATTATTATTATTATTATTATTATTTTATTTTATTATATATTCAGTTGAACAAAAATAAATAAATAAAATCATTCTTTGTAATTTAGTTATGGATGCAAAATAATTTAGACTTTTTTATAAAGTTTATCCGATCATTTTAAGTGCCCTTTTATCTTTTTTTTTTTAGGTGGGGTTTTGTGTCACCTGGGGGGATTGAACCTTTGTCAGAAGAATCTCTTTTTTCGGCTTCTTTCGCAACTTTATTCTTTTTAATACAATCCTTTTTTTTTTCTTTTTCTTTTCTTTCTTTCTTTTTTTCTCTCTATTCATCATTATTCTTTATTTTACATTCTTATGACTATTACGAAACATATATCCAAATTCGTACCCAGTGGTCGACGTACTTGGATGGTAAATACATATATATATCAAACACAAAACGCACAACTTGATAGTCCCTTTCCTAATAAACCTTTTGCTTATATTGATGAAGTTGATGAAGACTAATATATATATACATATATTTTTGGTGTTATTATTATAGAGTACTGCTGGTATTGAACGTGCTCACCGAGCCATCTTGTTTCCAGGTACATGGTTACCGAAAAAAAAAATCGATACAATTGTACTTTAAAACTAACCAACCATACCTTTTTTTTTTCTTTATTATTCTTCCTTAAAAAAATTCCTTATTTTTATGAATCATTGTTTTTTTATTGTTGGGGATTGTATGACGATATTATTTTTTGTTATTACTTAATTATTTTTTTTAAGGGCAAGGATCACAATATGTGGGCATGGGCAAGGATTTGTATCACCTGTATCCAAGATCGGCCAAGTTGGTATTTGATGAAGCAAATGAGGCGTTGGGGTATGACTTGAAATCATTGATCTTTGAAGGACATCAAGAAAAATTAAAGTTAACGGAAAATGCACAACCAGCCATATTGACAACGTCCCTAGCGATGCTCCGAGTATTGGAATTGGAATTTGGTTTGGATGTAGCAAAGGCTTGTGGTTACGCATTAGGTCATTCACTTGGGGAATATACTGCCTTGGTCGCTACTAAATCTTTATCGCTTGCTGATGCCGTGCGTTTAGTTCGATTACGTGGAGAAGCCATGACGCGTTCTGTTAGTGATTTGCATACAAATACTGCCATGGCTGCTTTGGTGGTACGCAAAGGCAAACTACTCGACTTGGAAGATGCTATTGGGGAAATCAAGGATATGTTGCCAAAAGGGGAAGTCGTGGAATTGGCTAATATTAATAGTGTAAGTTGAATTAAGTAGAATGATCAAAATGGGTAAAAATAAGAAAGGATTGATTTTTTTTTCTCTTTTCTATTATACATATAGTCATTTCAAGTGGTCATCAGTGGAACTAGCAAAGGTGTCGATGCAACTTCGCGTATTTTACAACAACGTCAACTAGCAGCTAGGGCAGTGGATCTTCCAGTATCGTAAGTTCTTGTGAATGATGCTGTTGATTTTTGTGAAAAAAAAAATCCTTACTGATTCTCTTTTTTTTTTTTTTTTTTTTTCTATTTGCTATGATCTAAATTAACTCTTTTTGATTGACGGATATATAGTGCTCCATTTCATTGTGAATTTATGGCAGAGGCAGCTCAAGTGATGAAGGATGCTTTGAAAAGTGTGACATTTCAAAAACCATGTGTCGATGTTATTTCCAATGTAACAGCCAAACCAGTAAGTAACAAGAAAAAAAAAGATCGCCATTTTACTAAATTTTGTTTTCATATTGATAGTATACTACGGCCGAAGAAATTCCTGAACATCTTGTACAACAAATCACATCAGCTATTCAATGGTCTCGAAGCATCACTTATTGTAAGGGTCAAGATGTTGATGAATTTATTTGTTTTGGACCTGGCAAAGTATTATCCAACCTTTTGAAGAAAGAATATCCTTTGGATCAAATCAAGTAAGTTAAAAAGATAGGGAAGGAAATTTCAAACATGGAAAAAAAAAAGATCTTTACTAATTTTTTTTCTTTTTTTTTTTTTAGATCCATTACTAGTGCAGATGATATTCTTCATCATGCTGAAGAGTTTTATTGAAACAATAGTTTAGATCCTTGTCCCTTTGTCGTTTGATTTATATTTAGCATCATTATTAATCAACATTGTCATCCCGGTTATTGAGTGTTACCACCATCGTTATTATTATCATCATCATCTGTGATTTGTATTCTTTTCCCTCTCACTTTTCCCTTCTTCCTTACTTGTATATATATTCCGCTTTTATCATTGATATTCTTTTTAGATTGTCCTTTTCTATCCAATTTTTTTTTCTTCCATATCTTTTGAATAAACAATTCATTGTAACATAAATCTGCTTTTATATATTAAAAAAAAAAAACGTATAAAATGATTGAAAGTTTTTATTGGTATATATAAATATTTAAAACATAAATAGTTATTCTACATCGTTGGATTGCCAGCGAGCCGAGTTCAAGATGTTGAAGATAACAGGATAGGTAGTGATGTGATTATCATGAGCCCAAATCGTATCCATATGTTCATAACCCGGAATGCGTTCTACATGCACCAAATCCAAAGAGGGGAAAGAGAAGTTATACTGATACTGATTTGATGTAGCAAGTTGACGAGTATTTATATCCAAGCCATGATGATCATACCCTTCAAAGGATCGCACAAACGAAGCCCCATCTACCAAATAGTCTTCACCGCCATAAATTAATGCCAAAGGAATCTTGTCATACGATTCTTGGATTTGATTTCCTCTGTCAGTCATGTATAAACACACTCCTTGCTTACCCCATCCTTCTAACCAATCTGACAAAAGTCGCGTACTAGCAGGTCGAGGTGTAAATTGAAAATACTTGATTTTGCGTCGTTTCACCCAATGATGATCCCACCATGCAAACAAGTAAGAGAAGACACTATAAGCGAGAGTACACATGATTGTTGGTGAGAAGAATTGTTGTGCCACAGTCATCATATTTAAAAACGCCTTGTTGCCTATATTAATAATAATAATAATAATAATTAGAATTATCATCATAAATACCTTATTGAAACATACCAAAAAAGAAACGGAATGTATTCTTTTCCAATTGAATCAATAGTCGCAAAGGAAACGCGGTAACCAAGGTACCAGAAATTACTGCAGGAGCAAGGGCAATAAAGCAACTCATCTTGCTGGCCAGTTCAGGTTGTAGAGATAAAGCGATAAAAACCAGAGCATTACCTTGAGAATGACCAATATAAGCGACCTAAATAAAATAAATAAAAGTGAATAAAAGTATTTTCATATATATATAACTTTACCCTTTCTTGTCCAGTTGTAGTTCGAATATGATCTAACATAGCAGGGAAATCCTGGAGAGCCAGTTCCTTTAAGCCCCAGTTCCAATAACAAGGATCTTTTGGTGAAAGTGAGATATGGTCCAATCCTCCAATAGCACGGTTATTACCAGTCCAAATATCATAACCTTGATCCACTAAAGCAAATACAAGAGATTTCTTTTCATTGAGTACAAATGCACCTGAACATTGGAATAAACCATGACCAAGGAAAACAGGTTTTCTATATTCTATTAAAAAAGAAAAAAAAATCAACAAACAAAAAAAAAAAAAAAAAAAAAAAAGAAAAGGAGGGAAAAGATCATAATGTTTGAACTAGTTTCAATTACCGCCTACACTTTGCCCTTGTGGGTAAAAACGATACATCTTTAGTATGTAGCCATCACGAGTAATCACTTGATGTTGTTGGCAACCATAACCCCATCTTTCAGCATAATACATTTCATCTTGAGTGATTTCTTCATCTAAGGAAAGGTGATCCAAGTGTTGTTGTTGGTGACTATTGATAAGTCGCATACGTGCGGTGTTCAAAAGAGCGATGAGTGTAAAAAAGGCGACAATAGGATATGTAAGACAAAATGAAATCATATCCATGCGAAAATCAATTAAATAACGTTTCCATAAAGGCAAAGTAGTGTATGAACATCTACATTGTGGTGCATGAAAATGCCCTGAAAGAATAGAAGAGGATGATTCTATACGTACATGACATTGTTCATCTTGTTGCTTATCAGTGATCGTAGTTGAAACACTTGTCGTATTGATACAACTGTGTAAACTGGATTGAAGAAGTAGATCATCTTCTTTAATGATTTTATAAGAAGGAATATGCATCAAAAATGAAGAAGAAGAAAAAAGAAAAGATATTAAAAAAAAAGGAGTCAGGGTTTTTTTTTTCAAGTTGTTTAAATAAAAAAAAATTCCCTTGCAGGATAAAGTGATCAGATTTTTTTCACATGATGAAGGGCCAATGATAATATTATATGACAGGATAATGGTTTTTTTTTTTTTTTTATTTACAAATATAATCTAAGCTAAATGACAAGTAAAACACAGGAGGGGGGGGAATCATGAAGTTGGTAAATCATATACATTATAAGGAATAGTTCTATCTAAATCGTTATCACTATCCATTGATGAAGTAGGAGGAGTATTAATATTTGTATCATCGTTGGATTGGGAATTATTATGTGTTTCATATTTGGAGAAAGAAAACTATAAATATAAAAAAAAACAAAAACAAGAATTGAATAGGATCGTATGAAAAAAAAGTTTTTTTTTTTTTTCTTTTGTTCTTTTTTTCAATTAACCTTTTCTTGAACATCTTGCTTAGACCAAGGTGATTTTGTAAGTTGACCTTTTAATAGAGTACATATAAGTACTGGAGCTTCACCATCGAGAAAGTTGTCATGAATAGTATTAATACGTTGTAGTTTTGCTGAATCCATAAAGGAAAAGAAATTTTTTTTTTTTTTAAAAAAAAGAAAGAAAGACTAGGAAATGATCTCCGCCATAAATCTCGTTACAATTTTTTTTTTATTTTGTTGTTTTTTCAACGTCATGTAGGGTTTTCCCTTTTTTTTTTTTTTTCTCTCTTCTTCTTCTTCTTTTCTCTTTCAGTTTTTCTTTCGACCTTGTTATTTTGTATACACTCTTTCTCCACTCTTTTAATAACTATTTTAAATTCATTTTTATTTTATTTTGATAAACCCATTCTCCTTACTACTACTTTGTCGATCACTTTCTTTTTTCTTTTGAATATATTTTATATATGTGTAGTCTATGAGCGCACATATTTCAACCTTCTCTGATTCGGATCTCTCGTTACATTTATCTGAAGGATCAACCTTATCCTCCGAATCTGATCATTCTATTCCTAGCTCAAAACCAACTTTGAATAATAATAAGAAGAAGAAATCCTCCATGGCCGATAAAAAGAAAAAGAAACCTTCCAAAAAGTCTACTGTATCACCAAAGAAAACTGTCAAACCAGTCAAAGAAGAACCTTTATATTGTATTTGTCGTCAACCTTATGATGGAAAAGCTTTTATGATAGAATGTGATAATTGTCAAGGTAAAAAAAAAAAAAAAGATAATCAAATCAAATCAATTATATTAATATATATTTTTTTTATTATAGAATGGTTTCATGGTCAATGTGTTGGTATCAATCCAAAATCTGTCATCAAACATTATTATTGTGATAATTGTCAAAAGAAAATTCAAGACGCCAAAGCTACCAATGCAAAAGGTAAATCACAGAACCAAAAAAAAAAGTCACCCTTCTCTTTTTTCATTTCAAAAAGTTTAATGTTTAACCTTAAAATTTTCGTTAGGTCGGGGAAAGAAAGCAAATACAAAGAAAGCAACCTCTCGAAAGAAATCTAACAAAGGCAACAATACAAACAATCAATCTATATCAGTCTCACTTCCATCACCACCAACTCCGCTTCCACCACAGCAAAACCTGACTTCAACATCAAATAGCGATCAAGTAGATGAAGAGGATGAAGATTTAGATGATATCTGTCCTATATGTGAATTTGAATGTACTTGTGGAACATCTGTTATCAATGCCGATCCAATTCCTTCGCTTACTCCACCTACTACAACAGTATCATCTTGTACGTATTTATATATATATGAAATAATAATAATAGACATGATATTAAATATCTTTTTTTTTAATGGATTTGATTAGTGACACTTGTGGTAAAGGAACCTTTGACACCCTCTCTCGATACCCCGAAACAAACAAATTCAACATCCAATACTTTAAAACAACCAAAACAACAAGCAACAAAGGGTAAAAAAGGCAAAATAGCAAAGAAAAGTCTGCAATACGATGCTCTTTCAGATGACGAAGATGTGGATATTTTGGATGAAGAAGATAACAATGACAACAATAATGATGATGGCGACAATGGTGATGATGATGATGATGATGATGGCATTAATCAATCGATAGACGATTCTGACAGCTACTACTCTGGTGATGATGGTCTAATCATGGATCCTTTTTCATCAGATGATGATACCTCTGGCAGCGATGATGACCCTCAAATCGACATGGACAACTTATCACCTTATCCTGATAGTCAAATCGGCTCTTATTCCTCAAGTATCCATATTGATTCTGGTGAAGAAGAAGAAGAAGATATTGAACAAGAAGAAGAAAGGGCGATTATTGCAGAAATGATGGAACATGGATTATCAGACGCCAATGACAGCACAGATGATTCTGATGACGAGAATGAATACTACATAGAAGATGAAGATTCAGAAGATGTAGATTACGCAAATGACAACCTGGACCCATCAGATGATATGGCAGATGAAGAAGCTTATTATCGTCGATCAAATGGATTGTGGGCATCTTCAGATGAAGAAGAAGAAGATGATGATGATGACGATGATATGACTTTTCATAGTGATCCTGGACCTTTACATTCAGATGATGGCGAACATGGAAATCTAGAAACTTTTATCTTCAATGGTGATGGAAACAGCTTATTTACAAATATTGCCGAAGCATTTGTCCAAGTATTAGCTCCTTTAGCAACAGGAAATCAACATATACATTCAGATTCTACTACTGTACCAAACTCTCCAGTCTCAGCAGTTCCTCTCAACGTGGCAACATTTGATCTAGGTGCCAATGCAGCAGATTATCTCAATTCAGCACCGACAAGTCCTATTAGTCATCGAACAGACGACTTTTTACGACGACCATCTTTACCAAGTAGTACTGTTTTAGCAGCACATGGACACCGTGATATGGATTTGGCATCGGATGCACTCAGTGTTCTCTCTTCTGTTCTCTCTTCTGAAGCACTATTACCAATACAACATCCTACAATAGAAACGAATAAAACGATAACAAAGCCGACCAAGGACCAATCAGATGATATAGGAACGACACCATCTATCTCCTCACCATCTGTACCTTTATCTGGATTGATTTCGACTATTACTGATGATACTGTCCTTTCTATCTCACCTGAAACTACCACTGAGTCTTCAACGTCAACATCATCACCATCATCTTCATCACTTCAGCAACAACAACAACCAGTGGAATCCACAGAAACAAGTACATCTTCAATAAATTCCACAACCCCTCCGGCTTATGATTTGGCGTCATTATTACCTCCTGACATGAAGATTCCTGAACAGTTATTAGATTTGATCAAGTCATCTCTGGCGGCTAGTTTTAGTGAAAAGGGTGGCACAACAAATACATCATCGACAGCAACATCATCGACAGCAACATCATCGACTTCAGCATCAAGTAAAAAATTATCCAGTGCTACAATATCACGTCAGCTATTACCTAAACCTACTTTGGATGGAAGTTCCGTTGATGTCGAATCTTTGCCTGCTAGTACTGAATTGGAAAAAAAGCGACCTTCACCTATCGTAAGTGTGACATTCTATCTTTTTTTTTTTTTGAAAGTTAACTAATCAAACTGGTTCCGGTTTTAATATATATATATATATATATAGGTGACTCAACCAGAAAAGAAACGTCGTCGATCAGATAGCAAAATGGACAATGCTAGTATGGACGGCGACATGAAACTAGATCAAGAGGAAGTTGATGATGATGTTACCAAGGATGAAGGATTAGTCTCCATGGATGAATTATTGGATACCTCACAATTGGATACACGATCGGACGGTGATACGATGGATACGGTAGATGATCGATATGCTCGTGATTTATCTCGATGGGAGCGGGTCCCCATTGGTGCATTTAGGTTAATGCGATCCAAGAACAGACTTTGGTTGAACCGTTGATTCCTTCCTGTTATTATTTATTTTTCTTCTTTTTCTTCTCCCCTCCCTTTTTTTTTTAGTATATAGTCATATTATTATTATTTTTATTATTACTGTTATTATTATTCTTATTGTTTTAGCATTTAGATTTTATTTATACACTCAGCATTATGTATTTCCCCTCCGTTTCTGTATTCTTATATACTACAATTGTACATTTCTTCTCTCTCTCTCTCTCTCTCACTTCTTCCTTTTTGTTGTTTATACATCATTCAAAGCATTTTGTTTTTTCATCATTCAATCAAATCACAATAAAAAAGTTTATTTTATTTAATACATAAAAAAAGGTGGAACATAAAGTGAACCAATGAGAATAATTTGTTAATCAAAGATAAGGGTCAAGTGTTTATGATTTTTTTTTTTTGTTTTTTGTTTTTTGTTTTTTTTTTTTTTTTTTTTTTTGCTTTTTTATGCATTTTTAATTTAATAAAATTCTATGTAATCATTGCCTGTATTGTCATCATTATTGTCATCACGTATATTCTTAGTATCATAGCGTTCAGCATTCATCATCATCTCAGGAATGATCATCATCATACTATGGCCATATCAGTATTTCTATCATCAAACACCATCAACTATTATCAACTATTATCAATCTGGGAAACACTAGAGTTTTATTCAAATATACGTCTATAATCAACAGAAACTATCATCAAAGAAAAAAAAAAGTACTACGAACCACACTTATACTATTGTACACTGTTTTCACTCGAAAGACCCATCCTCCATAATATCATTGTTCATTTTGAGTTTGATTAGCTTGTTTTGCTTGTAATGCCTTGATCCATTTCTCTTCCCGATCTGATTTCATTTTTTCAAGAGCTTCTCGGACTTCTTTGGAAGTTGTAGGTGGTTGCTACAAACAAAGAAAAAAAAAAAGTGGTGTGATAGTCAAAATGAGTAACGGAGTGAGAACCATCAAAAATGTCCCTGGCCTTAAAACATATTCCTTGGTTGAACAAAAAAAAAAGTTACTTACATAAGTAGTATTGTAATCAGGCCAGAACTTGATGCCTTTAACATAATTATCATAGAATTGAGGTCCACCAAAGTATAACATGACACCTACAGGAAAAAAGACATATACACCGAACTATATGCATATACATTCAATAGTCAAAATAAAAGAGAAACGTTAAAAGAAGAATGAATATTTTAAGCTATCAATGTATATTGGAGGGAGTAATAATAATAAGAAGAAGTAGGGGAGTAAATTAGTGTTCTACTCTTACCTTGACGATTTCCAATTGTGGTCCAGCCATTGTTATGTATAGTAAAGGAAAGAAAGAGAAGTAAAGAAAAGAAAAAAAAAGTCAGTGGTAAAAAAAAAAAAAAAAAAAAAAAAAAAAGGTGATAAAAATGGAAATCAACGTCACTGTCTTTGCATTTCCGCTCCAGCAGCTATTTTATCATTACATTTTTCCAAAACTTTCTTTTTTTCTTCATTCAGTTTTTTTCTCTTGAATACTTGTATCAAATGTCAGATTCTTTGGAAGAAATCAAGTAAGTAAAAAAAAAAAAAAAAAAAAAAAAAAGAAATAGAATTATATTTAAATATAGAATACTAATAATTTTATCCTTCCTTTTTTTCAGTGCTCACCGAGCTAAATTGGGTTTACCAGCCATCAGTGCCGAAGTTGAAGAAAATAGTGAAGGAGAACAAATAGAAGAACCTATCGATAAAGATCAAGAAGCCTATGACAATTATCAACGAGTTAAGGAAGAAAAAGAAAAGGCGACAAAAAGACAAGAGATTTTGGATAGAATTGAAAAGTAAGTGAAAATAAAAATATAGTTATATATATCATAGATTAATCTTTTTTTTTTTTTAACATGATTAGATCCAAGAATCGAAGAAAGCAACATGAAAAACTAAAAGGAAAAGGATTGGCGGACGACGATGACGATGTTGATGCTTTGGCTTGGATTCGAAAATCACGTCAAAGAGAAAAAGAACTTGCTGAACAACGGGCAAAAGCATTACAAGATATGGATGAAGAACAGCAACGACAACAACAACCAAAGTACAAGGCATCAGATCTTCGAGGACTCAAAGTAGCTCATGATATCTCGGCTTTTGAAGAAGGCATGGAAACTATTTTAACACTCAAGGATCGTGGTATTCTGGATGAAGATGGTGCTGAAGCTGGATCTGACGATGAATTGACCAATGTGAATCTGGAAGATCGAGAACGACTGGAGAAGAATTTGGAAAATAAAAAGAAAAAGCCTGGATATAACCCTTATGACGATGATGAATTCTTACTTGGAGAAGGAGAACGACCCAGTATTCTTTCACAGTACGACGAAGAGAAGAAAAAGGAAGGTTTTGTACTAGGTAAACATGGTAGCGTCACTTCAGCATCTGTAGCAGCAACGAGGGCAAAACACCAAGCTAGTCAACCTCAACTATCTGTGGCAGAGAAATTGAAAGCACAATCTTTAGATTATGACAAGACTCAGAACATCAAGGATTATTATACCCAGGATGAAATCAATCTTACATTCAAGAAACCCAAAAAGTTGAAGAAGAAGAAGAAAATCAGACAACGACCATCAACTATGGATGATGAACAACAAGAAACATCAAAACAGTCGGTAGAAGATGGCAATCAACAAGAAGAAGAAGAAGAAGAAAAAGAAAGAATACCTTATCAACCTCCTTTGGATGCCAACTTTGTAGATGATGATGATCTGCAACAAGCTTTAGCCAGAGCTCGAAGGGAAGCTAATCGACAAAAGAAGAAACAGTTAAAACGAATGACTCCTGAAGATATTGCACGATCCATTGCGGAAGAACGACAATCTCAAGTAACTCCAGGTGAAGAAGATAATAATGATGATGATCAAGAACAAGGTGGATTGGTACTTTCAGAAACAACCGAATTCCTCAACTCTGTAGGCAATGTACCGATTTATGCAAGGGAACAACGACAAACACGTACTCCTGATGTTGAACAAGAAAATGAGGTGACCAAGAAAACGACTGTAACAGATATGGATGAAGAACCATATGAATCGACATCTCCTCCACCTCAAGCTGATACGAATACTGATAAGCCTATAGAAGACAAAGATTTGGAACAAGTGATAGATGAACCATTGGTTGGTCATGGGTTGGCTGCTACTCTCTCATTACTTACTCAGAAAGGTAACAAACACATATATATAGAAGTAGCATAAATACTGATTACTTTTTTTTTTTTTTTTTTTGATAATAGGCTTAATGAAAAAGGCAACTCCAGCACAAATAGAACGAGATCGAATTGTAGCGGATCAAATTAAATGGCAAGCAGAAAGTCGAAAACGGGAACAACAATTAAATCGACAAATCCAACAACGCAACAGTGGTAGTGGTGAAAGAGATCGACATAGGGATTATGATGTGGAACGACAAAAAGAACGTGAAGAAAGAGATAGGTTACGAGAACAACAACTACGAATGGAAAATTACAAACCGGATGTGTTTTTAGAATATGTAGATGATCAAGGTCATGTTTTGAATACAAAGGAAGTAAGTAGTATATATAAAGAATAATAAAAAAAAAAAAAGATTGATGATTTTTTTTTTTCCATTGTTAGGCATTCCGATATCAATCTCATAAATTCCATGGCAAAACATCTGGCAAGGGCAAGACAGAAAAACGTATGCAAAAGTTGGAAGAAGAAAGAAAACTCAATATGATGAGTAGTACGGATACTCCATTAAATTTGGCGGGTGCTCTCTTGGAACGTCAACAAAAGACTGGTAATGCACATGTGGTCCTCAGTGTGGGTAATCGTGGGGTGGTACCTTCCGAAGCAGCCAAGGAATTAGGTATCAAGCGTAGTTTAGAACAAAAAAAGGATTCACCAAATAAAAAACGATGAAAGGGTTGTATTGTCATTATCACATTATTTATATTATTTTCAAATCAATAAAATTTTTTTTTTATTTCAATGAAATCAAGACTATACTACAAAGGGAGTCAATGATAGGCCATTTTTTTTTCCAATATCCTGCGATAATCTTTGTAGGATAGCCCAATATCTAATTGTTGACAAGTGAAAATCAAAAAGGTGACAGGATAATCAAAGTAATTCCAGGAAGCATTTTGTACTTCGGATAATGATTGTTATGTATGTTAGGTGACACGAATCTATTTTAGACTTTTTGTCATGAATGAACCGTGACTTTATACAAAAAAAAAAAAAAACCAGTTTTTCTTTTTCTTTTTACTCCTAACCTGTTGATATTTTTTTTTTATGTATTGAAAAAAAAAGAAAGAAAAACAAAAAAAAAAAGGGGGAAAGGGAAATAGGCTACAACAAATGAGGGGGAAAATGAATGATCCTTATCATTGTTGTACTCACGACAAACGTTATAGCCAAATACAGTATGAGCGCGTGTCTTTTTTTTTCTTTGTTATAATATAAATAATTCATTAATGATGGATTCTATCATTATATGAAATGCAATTTTTTTTTTTTTTTTACTTGTACAAATCATTAAAACAAAAGTACCATAGTTTCCATTGGTCAGCTTGAGATGTTCCATAACCTGACTTTACAGAATGATGAATGGTACATTTCCTTTTTGGGTTCTTACCAATTAAAGTCCGTCAAAGAATGAGGAGCAATCTTTTTTTTTTTTTTTTAATTTTTCTCTTATTCTTTCTTCTTTTTCTTTTTTTTTCCCTTTTTTTTCCCCCTTTCTATCAATGACATACAGAGGTAGTTTATTATCTTTGTACCCTCCTACATTAAACTCACTCAAGGGTAAACAAGAAACAGATTTATCCTTTGAAGAAGAACTTCCAGCAACTGCACCTGTATTTGAAGGCCACTTGTATTTACGAACCGATAAAAAACAATGGCAGTGGAGACTATTTCGATTTGACGGTACCTCTTTTACTTGTTTATCTACTCGCAAAGTCAAGCTTCCTCCAAATACTCATGTTGATGCACCATTGAACGATCTACACCTATTACATTCTTTACCTTCCTTTACCTCTACGTCATTAACTTCACCATTACTTGCCACTCCCAAAAACAAGTCCCGTCAAACTTCTACAACCACTTCAGCACCTCCTCTTGCTAATTATTATCAACTACCAAAATGGGCTATCGATATTGTCAATATATCTGCTGTTTCTGTACTCAAACCATCCAAAAAGAAGAAACAATTGATATCCTCTCAAAAACATGCAAGATGCTTCTGTGTTCGTACTTTTGATGGTGAATGTTACATTATGAAAGCACAAAAACAAAAGGATTTAGAACGTTGGTTATTTGTCTTGACGAAAATGTGGAAATTTACGCAAGCAATGAAACATCAACTTTTATCTCAGCAGCCTCAGCATCAACAGATCATTCGACAACAACAACAGTATCATCATCAACCTTATCATTCGACATTATCTTCTCCTACAAAATCACCTTCTCAACTACAACAACAACAACAACAACAACAATTACAAGATACAATCCCTCTTTCTCGTATGTATCAGCGTCCTCATCATACATCCTTGAAAAACATCAACAACAATGCTACGCAATCACCCATGGTAAGAATACAAAAAAAAAAAAAAAAAAGGTTACTTGTTTTTACTTTTATAGTAAAATAACTTTATTTTTAGGTCACAACAACAACATTTTCACAATTACCATCCTCAGCCATGCACAACCAACCTCCATCACCAGTAGGAGCAGCAGTAACTACAAAATCAACATCTGTCTACGAAAAAAAATATCAACATCCATCACTCTCCGCGGAAAAAGTAGAATGCATTGATGCTTGGCGTCAGTCTCTTAGTGAACTTATGGCCTCCGATCCTCAGTTACGACTTTCTTCTCCGCCACCGATTGAATCTATTCCTGATGATGATCAAATCAGTGTGATAAGCGATATGACCAGTATTAGTCATCGACAGCCTCATTTACGACGACGTATATCGATTGCATCTTCTAGTAGCAAACGATCCATTCGTTCCAATAAAGTCAAACCGCGTGATCAACAAAAAGTCAGTCCTCAGTTAAAGAAGAAACGATCAAACGATGTGAAGAATTGGATTGAACCCAGAAAAATGGATTCCCACGGCAACATTATCGGTTCATCACCTATTGGACTTCCTCCTATCGATACTTATCAAGTGGCTTATTTTCAAGATTGTAAAACTACGGCAAGATCTTCATCATCGGGCTCTTTACATTTGGACCATGACGATACTCAACAAAAAGAAGTACAAAATAAAAATACAACAACCGTGATGTTGGATCGACATGCAAAATACCACAACTCCACTCGTGCCAAACAAATACAAATTGTTGACGTCCAGCACTCACCCATAACGCCACAACAACAGTCTATTGATATCACAACAACATCATCATCTTGTCGACCTCGCTCTAATTCGTCTGCCCAGCAAAGTAAATTCGTCTCACCCTCCGACAACTTTCCTCCAACGCGCCGATCTTTGGATAATAATAATAATAATAGCAATACAGATTCAACCATTCGTTCACCACCAACATCAATGCTTGCTGAATCACCATTGTATTCATTGGCTCATGTTGACAGTAAAAATCAAGATGAAGAGGAGATTAGTTTGGCCGATCTCCAGCGTTCACTAAAACGGGCAAGTTTACAACATCATCAACAAAGAACAGTCTCTTCATCCTCCTTACCAGCATCTACTCAAAACCAACAATACAATCATCGTCATTCATACACCCATCATCATCCTCAACACCAACCGTATCACTCTTCAGTGTCAGTAGCAGCACCTGCCGTCCCTCCAGTGCCATATAATAACCATCTAGGTATGATATCTCGTGCTTCCATACTTTCTGGTACCACACCACAATATGCTGAGCCAGAATTGGATCAACAAGAAGAAAAATGGAAAAAGCAACAACGATCTAGGTCATGGATGCCTTCATGTGAACAACAGAAAATCATTCAGCAACGTCGATCCTTTCAATTAGATACTACTCATTGGTGATCTCTTTACTTTATTTTATTATTATTTATTCTTATTATTATTTATTATCCATGTACTTCCCCAGATTTATTTTTTTATTTTTTTTTTATTTTATTTTTATTTTTTTGTTTTCTATACACTCCCTTTTTATGATTTTTCCTTCTTATCATTAATCTATACCCTTGTCAGTTTATTTCATCCATTGTTGATGAGTCCATACAATAAAATTATTATATATATATATCCTTTTTATTTTTAAAAAGATCTACATGCATGCACATTCTACATGATAAAAACCTGTTTCAATCATGATTATCCTATTTACACCTTCTCACTGCGGATCTTTATACACAACACTATATCAAAGAAGAAAAAAAGATACATATGTTGTGTGCGGTGAACGAAGAACTGGAAATGATGAATATGTCCAAAATAATTCATCTGCTTGCATTGATGTAGAATGATCAAACACATACACACACAAAAAAAAAAAAAAAAAAAAAAAAAGAGAGAGATGGTACTTTTACAATGTATTATTTCATGCATCTTTTCTAATATACGGATAAAGACCGAGTATGATGATCCTTTCGTTTCTTTTGTCTTTATTCAAAGGTATACATAACCACTAAGCTATCAATAAGATAAAACTACATGCTTATTCTCGTTGGACAAGTGCAAATAAACCGAGTACGCCCAATAAAACATATTTGACCATAGGGTAATCATTCATCACAATGGTCACCATGCCGACATAAGGAACAAACCTAGAATAGAATATTATCTTTAGTACATCCTCTTTTTTTTTTTTTTTTTTTTATATGGAGTCTTTCTCTCTCTAATTTCATTATCTTACCCTCGAACTTTGCCTACAACATTTTCTTGATGAATCCACATTTGACGATAATCATAAAGACTACGGTCGTCACCAGGATTATTGTCACCTTTTGTCAATAAGTATTGTTTACCAGTGACCGCACTACATCCAACAAAAAAAAAAAAAAAAAAAGAAATAAATCCAGTGTTCAATTATAAATAGACGCGTACTGTTTCTATGTTTTCTTACTTACTCATCATGAAGCTTGATGACGCGATGAACAATAGGAACAGGTCGTTCAGGTAACTTGAATACACAGATATCATTGACTTGAATAGGTTCATTAGGTAAAGAAAGTACTAAAAGATCACCACGATGGAAAGCAGGTTCCATACTTCCACTATATATTATGGGATGAGTATCTTTTTTCTTTTAAAAATAATAAATGAATTAATACCTGAGTACAACAACAATTGGACTTTCATTATTCAATGCCAAAGCCAAACCTTTCCAGATCATCAATGCTGATGCCAAGATGGTAAGGATGTTTAAGACTTGAAGAGCCACCTATGAAAATAATTTAATTAAAAGGAGTATTTGGTGTTAATTCATCAAAGAGTATAAAGATTATATATATATAAAAGGACAACGTGTTTCACGTAGGAGGAACTTTTTTTTTTTTTTGGTACCTGTCGCGCATTCATACGTCGTAGTTCAGCAAACATGATAGTAATGTAAAAAGAAATAAATCCAAAAAGTATTAATATGAATGATAAAAGAGTGGGTTAAGAAAGAACTACTTGAAAAAAAAAATGGTTTTCCAGTCCCTTATGTTTTCAATGCCCGTCTTTGCCACGTTCGATCTTTTTCGCTCCTTTTTTTATTTTTTTATTTTCTCTTTTTTTTTTTCTTTTTTTTTCTTTCTTTCTTGTGTTGATAGTTCTTTTTATCTTCATACCCCTCACTAAATATCAAATATTAAAAAAAAAAAAGATGATATCAGTATCAACGGAAATGGAGGAAACACTTAAACGCATCTCTTCACGAAAAGGTGTCAAAGGTGTCATCATCATGAACCATGCTGGACAAACTATTCGAACAACTATGGATACAGAACTTACTAAACAATATGCAATGCAATACAGTGCATTGGTTGTACAATCTCAAACTACTGTGACTACACTTGATGAAGAGGTAATAATAATAATAAAAAGAAAAAAGAAAAAAATCAAACTAAAACTTTTTACTATTAGAATGAATTGACATTTTTACGAATAAGAACCAAGAAACATGAAGTCATGATTGCACCAAGTAAGTGATAAAGCGAAGTCATAGGTTTAATTAATTATTCATATTTTACTGTTATAGATGAAGAATACGTGTTACTGGTGATCCAAAATCCTGCAGAAACACTCCAATCATAGATTAGTCTTTATATCCTTTCGTGTTGTAGTTTATGAATAAAATTTTTATATATGAAACATTATTTCTTATCAATGATTTATTATTGATTACTTTTAGAGTATAGTTTATAAACTAAAAGCATTGCAGTCACCCACTAAAAGACATGCAAAGAAAAAGAAAAGGGCATCGAGCTTTGAAAACGGGGTAAAGCCCGATCGGTTTTTTTTTTCTTTTCCTTTTTCTTTTTCTTTTTTTTTTATCTTATTTATTGTTTTATTTATTCTTATATACCACTTTATATATATATATATATTTGTACACATCACTTTTCTTTTTCTTCTCTACATTTGTACCGTCAAAGAACCATTCATTATGACGGAACAATACAATATCTATAATGATATGATGAATCAAGACAGTCCCATACAACAACCACTTTCTTCTGTTCTTTTGGTCCTAGAACAAGATTCCTTACCAGTAACTCTTCAAGATGGCATCAATAAGATCAAGAAGCATATCCCATATCAAAATCTTGTCTTTGATTCAGAGATCCCTCTTCATTATTCAGGCTACAAGTGGTACCCAAGGTAAAAATAAACATAATACTATCTATTTTATGTCATATAACTAAATATTTATATATATATAAAATAAAATCAATTAGGTTTCAATATGATCCAAATCTTAGGGCAGGCCAAGTACAAGTCGAAAGTGGACAAATTTCTTCTTGTTTTGATAATACTTTACAACAACAGCAACAAAAGTTTGAAATCCTTATACGTTATAATCGACAAATTGAAGGTTAAAAAAAAAGAAAAAAATCAATCACTACATTTATTTTACTGTTCACACACAGTTGTTAATCCCTCTTTTTTTTATATATATGATTTAGCATTTCGTGGTCTTGGAAGATTACTAGGTGCTGCAAGACATCCATCCATCTTCTCTGGTAATCATGATCATTTGATCAATTTTACCGAACAATCTCGTTTCGACACTCAAGGGTAAAAACAAGCTCAAATATATAATGATAATATATTTATTATTTTATTTTATAGTGTCATGGTGGATTGTAGTAGAAATGGTGTGTTGAAGGTGAAAAATGTCAAACAATTACTCTGTTACATGGCCATGATGGGATTGAATATGTTACAACTTTATACTGAAGATACTTATGAGGTATATGCCATCATGCTAATTTCAGCTCCGACTTGAATATTCATCCTCGTTTTTTTTTTAGGTGGAAGGTGAACCTTTATTTGGCTATATGCGTGGAAAATACACAAGGCGAGAATTATGTCGTATCGATGATTATGCATATGATTTGTAGGTTTTCTAAACAATGAAAAAAGAACAATTCAATTAAGTTCATTTTTTTTTTTTTTTTTTTTTTTTTGGTAGAGGGATCGAAGTCATTCCTTGTATTCAAACCTTGGGACATCTTGGTCAAATCCTTCAATGGCCAAACTATAGTCATTTACGTGATAACAGTGAAGTCTTACTAGCAGGATCCGAAGCCACCTATGAGTTTATAGAAAAGTTAATAAGTTCTGCCACTGGTCCTTTTAGGTCTAAACGAATTCACCTTGGTATGGATGAGGTAATATTTCAAAAAGAAAAAAAAAATCGATTTTGTTTTTTTTTTTTATCCATTTTTTTTTTTTTTTATGATAGGCTTATGGTTTAGGTGAAGGAAGGTATCGTCAGATTTTTGGTTATAAGGAACCCACACAAATATTTACTTATCATTTACAACGAGTCATGGAGATCTGTTCAAGATATGGCGTACAACCAATGATTTGGTCTGACAGTAAGTGATAGAAAAAAAAAAAAAAAGAATAAATGATAATTTATTTATTCTGTATTTGGTAGTGTTATTTTGTTTAGCGGCCAAAAGCAATTCATTACAAGGATATTATGATCAAGGCAACAATCCTGCGACTCCAGAATTGGTGGAAAGCATGCCTGAGAATATTGATTTGATCTTTTGGGACTATTATCATACAAGTGAAGACGATTATTCCCAAAAACTACAACAGCATCGAGATTTGGGCTGTTCTCAACCCTGGTTAGCTTGTAAGTGATTGTTATGATGACTCATATCAACCTTAACACACTCTTTTTTTTTTTTAATTAGCTGGTGCATGGACATGGAGTAGATTCTGGACAGCATTACCATTTACTTTTCAAACCATTCGTGCAAGTCTATTGGCAGCAAAGAACAAGGACACTGGAGTGAAAAATGCTTTTATTACTATATGGGGTGATGAAGGCAATGAATGTGATGTGTAAGTAAAAAATATGGATGGTGAATTTATTTTGACTTTTTTTTTGATAGATTTTCCTCATTACCTGGTATCCATTATTATGCTCAACTTGGTTATTGTGATGACGATGATGTAGATTTGAGTGTGCTCAAATATAATTTTGGTAATCATCAAAATATGAAATGGGGAAATTTAATATTTATTTTTTTTATTCATTACGTAGATGCTATATGTGGTGGTAATTTTGACGATTGGGTTTATGCATCCAAGGTAACACAAACAAGATAAGAATGACGAGGAATGATTTCTTTTTTTTTTAAAAAAAAAAAAGTGACCCTTTTATGTGATCTGTTCATACTATTTGTTTGTTTAGATTGATGATAGCCCTTCTGGAAATCCAATTACAACAAGAACTCATTTTAGCGCCAATCCTTCTAAATGGCTACTGTGGGAAGGTAAGAAAAGCATGATCTAAAACATTTTCTCACTTTCAATCCATAGATCCAATGCTTGGTTTTTTGACCCCACAATACAATGATGAAGATATGGAAACACATTATGGAGAAATTGCCCATCATTTGTTTACAGCATTTGATCATGTAGAGGATAATCATGACATGCAATTGGAAGATCCAATCAAGCAATATCCTCTGAATAATAGATTGGAATTACCAGCACGAGTGGCCATGGTGCTTTCATTGAAATGTCAACTACGTCAACGATGTGCAGCAGCTTACCGGGCGAGGGATTATGCTCAACTCTACGACTTGACCACCAACCGATTGACACAACTACGTAACCAAGTGGAAGCATTGTGGCAATACCATCGCCGTTTATGGATGACGATGTACAAACCGTTTGGATGGGAAGTGTTGGAATTACGTTATGGAGGCTTGATGACTCGACTGGCGACCATGTATGATAGATTGATGGCCTATTTGACTAAAAAGAACAAGACTCTTGGTGATGATGACAGCGATGAGGATGATGATAATAGTTTAGCTGAATTTGACATTGATCTACAATGCTTATTTTATGGATCCAAAACAAACATGTTATTAGATTATTCTCGTGTAGTCACCCCTTCACGTCCTGGTTAATAAAGAACATTCTTTTTGATATTTATGCATGTTGAATCATTAAGGAGTATGGGAATAATTTTTCTTTAAAGATGAAACTTGTTGATGGTGTCACGAATGCCTTTTTTTAGAGTTAACAGCGATAGATATGAAAAGCACATGATCATCCTTATTATTAGACAGCTTTTTCAATTTATTTTGTAACAATCATGAAAAAGAAAAATGATACAGGAATATATAGATAAAACTAGATAGAGACAACAAAAAAAAAAAAAAAGAAGAATGTATGTACGAATGGATGACAATGAGACATGTACAAAAAAAAAAAAAATAATACTAATGATAAATAAAAAATAAGATATGTTTTTTTTTTTTTCTTTTCATGGAAAAATGATGGGATTATTTGAGAGAGGCAGTATAAGACATGGAACGTCTACGTACACCTTCAAAAGCATTTTGGATGGATAATGCAGTGGGCATGAAAGAAGGATATTCCATAGGTGAGTCAATGACTGGACTTGGTTGTGATCGCATAGAAAGTCGACGTACGTTGGTCATATCCAATGAAGGTGGTGGTGATGATGAGACGGATGCTCGACGATGATGGAATGGAGCACAACCTGAAGTATGTGATGAAAATGTATCTGGTTTTTCAAACGTACGACCACATTTGCAACGGAAAGGCATAATAAAAGTTGTGAGAAAAAGAAAGAAAAGAAATAATAAATGATGATTGATTTTATGTGCATTTTTTTTTTCTCACTCCAATGATATCATCAGCAGATAGATGAATGTTTTCCGCCTTTTGTGCTACTGAACCAAGAATAAGGAATGTCGCGTGATCGTCAACAAAAAGGGATGCTTACAAATGTAACCATGACAACAACAATAATAAGGCATGTGTGTGACTTTATTTCTAAGTTAAAACAATATACATACATAAATAATATAAAGATGATATGAAGGATATAAAAAACTATTGACAATCTACAATGGCCCAATCGTGATCATAGTACATTTCCCTTGTATGTACATCCTCCACATGATATAAGAATTCAAAGCGACCCCTTGACAAGAAGCAGAGTGGTATCACATGTGTTACCATGCCATTCGCAGGAATCTCTGGTAATACTATCTGATGTAACCCTTGCATCAACAATTTTCCTGATAGATCATATTCTTTCGCACCACTATTATAACTTTGTACTGGTTGTACGCGTAAGATAAGCTTGACAGGTCGAACTAAGAAATAGTTAAAAAAAAATTAGATATAACCAAAAAAAAAAAAAAAAAAAAAGATTTACCTTGCCGATTACGGATGGAAACTTGCATCGTGATAAAATCATTACAATCACATTGAAATTGTCGATGAGCTGTCTTGTGTACATTGGGTCCCTCCAAATCGACCAAGAATTCAATATCTTCCTTCTTCAAAATCGCCAATTGTTGTGTTGATAGTCGTAAAGAGGGTCTTAAATTCAAAATACCATGTCGTCCTGTAGATTGACATTGCCATGTTGCTTGAATTCTTTCCAATAGTTTTTCTCGATACCAAAACATCAGTAATCTAGCTCTTTCTTGTTCAGGTGCCATCTTTGGTCCTTGTGATACTACAAATTGCTTGTTGGGTTCAAATGAAGGGATGGGCTGACGACACGTTTCTGCAGATAAAAACATTCGTTTTACAGGTAACACCAATCTACCAAAAAAAAAAAAAAAATCAGATATTCAAATCTTTGCAGAAAACCTGTATATATGCTTTCAGGAGAAAGGGAGAAAAAAAATTTTACCTTCTTGTCCATCCAGGTTGAATTGATAAGACAGTTTCAACAGGAGAGTTAGTCTTGTCCAAATCATCTACTTTGAATGACACATCAAATGGCACAGTCCAAGTATTGCGTATATCCAAAGTTACTAAACAATATTCGTTCTTGTCTTGATGTTGATCGAATGCTTGTTGAGTCAATAAAATGAGATCCTCTACAGGTTGTTGACCGTCCACTAATTGTCTTTCATCGTTATTAGTCAGAGAATCGTTATTTGCCCCTATTGCTCCACTATGTCGTAAATAAAGGATATCCCAATTCAATGGTTCCAAGTTTTGATATACCGTCACCAGGACAGGCAAATAAAGTTGTCGAGTAAAGAAACTGGTAGTCAGTGATGAAGATGATGGTGAGGAAGGTGATGATTCTGGTGGTGAAGGAGATGATACTGTTGAATCAAATGAAGCATCAATAAGTCGGTCTAAATACCCATAATCCATTTGAATTGTTCCACCAGAGCTAAAGATAATACAGAAAAATATCAACAAAAAGACCTTTATAAATTTTTGTTTGTTCACTTACCATCCACGTTTTCCGTAAACATTGACAATAATTTCAGTTTTTTCACCACAATCTAAATATATCTTTTTGCCAATCGATTGTGTTCGATCCTTACTAGAGCCTTCCCAAGAAAATACAGGCATATCCTTAATGAAGAGTTCAATTTCGTATTGTTGTTCCATAGGTAGTTCCGTGTTAATAGGTAATGGGTTGGATGAGGTTGAATCTGTAAAGGAAAGGGTGATAAAGTCAACCGGTATATTGCCAATGTTTTCAATTTCCATTTTTATATGCGTCCTACAAAAAAAAAAAAAAGAAATTAACTGGCTATCTTCATACTATACAAATGAATGTAATAACTTACATTTCGCCTTCATAAAGCATAACAGCACCATGTAATAACGAAGTTGATGTAATCTTCAATAGTGGCTGATCATCAATCACTTGTACCTTGTAATATTCAATGGGTCCAGGATCTTCATTTGTTTCTGTAAAGCAATAATGATTAGCTCATAAATACTTCAAACGAATTTGTATTTCTTTTTTTTTTTTACCTTGTTTCTTGCTAGCATTTTGAATTGCTTGAAGACCAGTATATTTGAATTTGGCGAAATCTTCATAAGTGGGTTCTTGTTTGTTATTTTTGTTTTGTTCCATTTTCTTTTTTGCTGAGAGATCATGTATAAACTCTTGTTCTGCAAATCCAACAATACGAATAATACAACCACGGATCAATAAGGTTCCGCTTTCTTCTGGAGTTCCAGTAAGTCGTAAAGATATAGTTCCATAGGCAGGGATAGAGGCTGACATTGGCACAGGGTTGAATGGTACGCCAGAGGTACTGATAATTCATAAATGTGATAAGTATTAGTTTATTTCCTTTAAATAATAATTACCTTAATGTTGCATTTTGGAGTTCTAAATCAAATCCAAAAGGATTGGTCAGAGTCACTTTGAATTCACAGAGTTCATTCTTGACGAGATTCACACGGTTCTATATAAAGATAATAAAATGTAAGATTTGATACTTTTCTTTTTTATTTTTTTTTTTTTACCTCTTCATTTTTCTTTTGTGCAAATGGATTGTAGATAAAAGGATCACCAGTAGCTTTGGTAGTGGCAACAGCAGATTTATTAATAACAGGATGTTCGTAAACCGCTTTTCGAGGAATGGCCTGAACAGCTTCGATGGCAGTAACAATGTTGACACCCCAATAATTGACATTGCTTTCCACATGACCAGAACGTTTCCCCATGGCTACAATGCGTTGAATCGAAGAAGCAAGTCGAATTTGTTCATCTTTGGGAATGTATTGATATAGATTTTTCAGTAACACCGTGGTATAATATAGCATGGACCCATAGTCTATTCCAAGGGGGGTTTACAAAAAAAAAAGAGAGAATAGTGAGTCAAACTATATATGATTACTTTTATTCACCTATTTTATGTACATACCAGGAAGCGCTTCAGATATGGCAATACATTGTCGTAGAATATCAATTTGAAGAGTAGCCCAACCAACACGAGCATTTTGCTTGTATAAACTTCTAGCTTGATGCGCAGATGTGCCTTGATCTTGATTTTGCATGGCATTCAGAGCACCACCATCTAATACATTACGTTCTAAAATTCATATAATAGATGTAAAACAGAGAAAAGATAAGTAAGGAAGCTAGTTTGATGGATAATCAGTTTACCTCCAATACCATAAACTTCACAAATACGCTTCAAAACTTGTAAAATACCATCATTGTTCTTTTCAGAACCTTTGCCAGGATCCCGGGGAGCATTTGATAAAGTGGCCCTGCTTTGAATCAAGAGAGGTAACATGCAATGGATACTTTCATGCATGGACCAAGCTGCCTTTCGGTGATAACCAATACAAGATAAAATGGTACTCATTTGTGTCATGAAATTAATCTAAAGATCAAAAAAAAAAAAAAAAAAAAAAAAAAAAGATCAATAACACCATACAATATAAGAATTACTTTCTTTCAACATACTTGATCTAATAACGGTAATTGATCTAATTGAGTAGACCAAATTCGCATCACCCATTCAGCAATTTCATATCGAGGTATAGGAATGACAGTAGTTGTCTTTGTTTTGTTGGTAGTTTCAGGAGAAGTAGTTGGTGGTATGTTGACAGAAGGTGGTAAACCGTCGGTATTGGGAGATGGTGAGATTTTACCTTGCACAACAAGAGCCAAGACTTGATCATTCCATCCTTTGTTGATATAAACAGTCAATAAGAGACGTGATACTTTGATACAAGCTTCAGCATAAACTAGACCAGGTAATGGGATAGAAGAGGTAGTATGAACCTTATTGTAATATTGAATAAGAGCCGTATATTGATCAATTAATTCAGTGAATGTGGATGGTGCTGGTTTGAGAGAAATATCTTCCATTCCATGGTCCTTGTTGGTAGTGGTTGGTGACATGGGTGATTCAGTAGGACTTGGTGGATCGACTTTTCGTGATACGATATGCTACCAAAGAAAAAAAAAAAAAAAGAGTTAATAACATCATCAGTCAATAATAATATTCCTGATTATTTTTTTTTTTTTTGATTTTAACATACTCCAATATCTCCTTGTAAATATTCTAATAATAAAGTCGCACAGGCCAATCCTTCCATTGCACTTGCTAACCATAGAAAGTCAGATGTTGTTTTGGTCATTTCAATTGCTTGTTGATAACTACAAATAAAAGAAATATTTCGTCATTTAATTATATAAATCATAATAGATTTTAACTTACTGGCTAACTGCATCAGGTAATCGCCCAGCTAATAGATAAAAGTCTGCAAATAACTTTTTGATCCGACCTGGCGTTCTTCGTTTCGTTTTGGTAAGATCACTTGTACCTTGAGCACTGTTTGTTCTTGACATACTTGGTGAAGGAATAGGTGGGAGAGTAGCCATTTTGTTAAAAGTGGGTGAAGCAGTAGTAGAGTTGTTGGAGGCCATGGATGAAGCACGCTTCAGAAAGGAGCTTGATGTAGAATGAGTTGGTGCTGGTGTTGGAGGAGGTTGAGAAGTACGATGCTGTAATTTGGCCCCAGTAGGTGTACTAGCAGAAGGTTGAGGTGTAATAGTAGTAGAATGTCCATTGTTTATAGTATGATCATAAAATTGTTGTTGTTGTTGTTGTTGTGTATAATGCGGTTTTTGTTGTGGTACTTGATATTGAACTTGCATAGGAGATTCTAACGATGGTAAAGATTCAATTCGTGTGGCCTATCAAATAATATATTAGTTCCTAATTATACTTCCTATTCTATTCTTATCACTTACAATATTGGCAAATTGGCTAAGAATTTCACTAGCAAAGTCGCATACCATAGTACTCATATAGAAGGATAAGTTACCCACATTTGGAATCATGATAAGACCTTTTGTATCGTCAGGTTGATTTTCAGTGGGATCAAAGGCAAAACATCGAGTGGCAATAGCAGTAGGATATTTGTTGAGAGTATTGACAAAATGTTTGTAACCTTCGCTTAAATCTTTATCTTTCCATTCTTGACAATCCATGATACCAATTACCTAAATATTCTTTCATAGTTAATATTCTATTTATTTATTTATTTTATTGACAGGCTTACACCAAATATTCGTCTATGAGGTTGAAAATCTTCCAAATGAGCATGATCCCTTCTATAACTTGTTACAAACTGAAAGTGCATTTGACCTTCTTGAAATACTTGACTACTAAACTTGGCTATAGAAAAAACAAAAAGAAAGATTTAATGGAAAAAGATGATGATGATAATATATAATATATCTTACCACTGGCACCTTTTTGTAGATCAGGAGTAACATCACCTAAACGTACCATACTAAATTGTTTAACAAGTTCTACATGTTTCCAAAACGTTGACTTTTTAATAGGAGCGACAGGTACCAAAAGAACTCGTACACGACAAGATGATGTGATATTCACAGCCAAATCCATATATATATCTGTATATTCTTTGTGTATTGGCTGATATTTTTCCAAACTAGGTGTTTTAATGGAGAACAAAAAAAAAAAAAAAAAGGAGTAAGAAAAAGAAATTCAAATTTTCCTGTTGTTATTTCTTTTTTTTTTTTTTGAATTTGGGCGGAGTGAACAGTGTATCACCAAAAATACAGTTTTACATGTTCTCGAAAAATCATTATTTTTTTTTCTTTCTTTTCTTTTCTTTTTCTTTCTTTCTTTCTCGTTTTCTTTTTAAATTATATAATGTACATTCCTGAAGCAAATTTACAAAATATTCTTATTAACCTTTATATTTTAGTCTCTGGTATCGTTTTTGTCTATCGAGAAACGAATCCTTCTACTCAGTTAGGTTATTCTAAATTCACCAAATTTAGTAAATCAAATACTATGGTAAATTTATATCTTATTTTTATTTTATTTTTTTTTTATATATTCATGTTTTTATTTTTTTTTATTTATTAAAAAAGGTACCTTCTAAGTATGGTATGTTAGTTATTTATTTTCCAAGTATGATCTTATGTCTTATTGGTGTACTTTGGTCATTGTCTCAACCACGTCATGTCAAACTTGTAGCTCTATTTTCTCTTCTTCATTTTGTTAAACGTATCTATGTAAACTTATATATACATTTATATCAATTTCTTACAGTTTCAACTCAATAATATCTATATATATATCATTTAGGAAGTGTTATTCATACATCATTATTCTGGTCAATCTTTATTTAAAGACAATATTACCATTGCCTGTTCTTATGCTGGATTCTCTATTATTCAACTCTATTTTACTTCTTCAGTACCCAAATCTCGAGTAAATCAATTTGAAATTCTTTGTGGCACATTGTTATACTTTTTTGGTGAAGGATTGAATCATTATCATCATCTTATTCTTGCTGATTTACGAAAAGACGGTAGTAAGGAATATAAAGTAAGATGAAGAATGAAAAGAACAATAAAATAAATGAATATCCTGTCAGGGGCAAAAAAAAGAAATGGAAACTCAAAAATAATTAATCTTTTTCTTTATTAGATTCCACAAGGTGGATTGTTCAATTTTATCTGGTGTCCTCATTATGTAAAGCACCTTTTTTAGCAAATATTATATTTATATTATTTTCATTGTACTGATTCTTATTATTACTATTATTATTTTTTTTTTATTAGTTGGGGGAAATCATTGCTTTTATCGCCATGTCACTACTTTCTCAACATATTTCCACCTTGGCGTTCCAATCAATCTCCATTCTTTATCTCGCTGTACGTGCCTACAATACACGTCTGTGGTATGAACATAAATTTGGCAAGATTCCAAAAAAGGCATGTCTGGTTCCTGGGCTTTTCTAGTTGGATGACATTTTATGTACTGATCAAACTCGTTTAGTACCTTTTTTTTTTTAGATTAGTTTAAATTTATTAGATTTCTTTTTACCCCATTGATCAGAATTAGATCTTAATAGTTTTGATGATACCTCTATTACTATAATTTTTTCCTTTATTTTGGTTCCCCTATCAAAACATTCGTCATCTTCCTTTTACTTATCATCCATCAAAATAAAGATGCATGTTGTATTGTATGTCTTTCATGTCAGCTACAAGTTTTATCATAAAACACTATTATAATCATTATTATGCAAACTGGCTATATCGCTTCTCAATTTACTTGTCGCATGATCATCTGTATGCATCCTATAGAGCGATCTTATCCAAAAACGGCTCTCATTCATCCAAAAGAATATCAAATAGAAAATGATAAAACAAGTGATACGGACTAGAATACTTACACATGCAACCCCCTTTTCTCCTTTTTAATTCATATGGTTCATATGGATGATGGACATTGAAACTTGGATATTAGATGCTGACACACCATGATTGAAAAAAAAAGATGGTGGTGATATGATGGATGTTTAAAGGATGTCATATATTTTTTCAAAAACATCTGTTTCAAATATTCCTGTACATGAAAAAAAAACTAGTGAATAATAGACCAAAAAAATTTTCTTTATTCATGCTAATAATAATAATAAAAAAAAAAAGAAAAAACAAATATGAATAGATGAAAAACAAAATAAAATAAAAACGACCAAAAAAAAAAAAAGATATAGATATGTAAGTTGTATATAAGAAACGAGGACGGCTATAAAAAAAAAAACTATACTATATAGAGATTAACGGTATTGTTGAGTCCACGCTGTTCAAAACCCATTTGTAAATCATCATTAGAACCAATGGTGATCAGATCGCCGTCTTCATCTTGGTATTTGAGACCAGTCAAAGTCAATGCACTTGTACTAATAGTTGAGCTATCACATCTCATTTTGCGTTCGATGCGTTCCACTAATTCCTTGTAATCAATAGTCAAAGGTACAATCAATACATAGATACTACCAAGATGATGCACCTTCACCTTGGTGGCTGTGGAAGTGGCTCCAAGATGATGATGATTAGTATCGCCGGTAAAAGATGATGTATTTGAATCAAAATTATACAAAGGTCGCCGTAAATCTTGATCCCCATTGCTTCTTCGTTTGTCGAACCGAGAAGAGGTGGTATCGTAATGTTGATGCTGCTGAAAATGATGATGATGATGAGATAAATGATGATATGGGTATGCAGGTGTGGGTGGTATGGATCCATCGTAGTTATCTTGTTCTGTAGTTGGATGGATGTTAGGACTGCTTTGTGAGCGTAATCGGGTGGGAATACTATTGATATTGTTTTTATTCATCGTGAGATCAGGTAAAGGTTTGTCTGTAGGTTGTTTATGATGATGACTGGATGATAAAGAAAATGATAGTGGTGTTTTTGGTGTGTTGATGGTAGATGAATAAGTATCGTAATCGTCATCAATATCATCTCCTTGATCATTCATATGGTGTTCATTGAGCATGTGTTGAGTAATAAGTTCAGTGGTAGGTACAGAGTGAAATTGATGATCCTCTATCATAGTGGGTGTACTAGGATATCTTGATGAATTGCTACTAGATGCCATACGAGTAGTTGGTGAAGAAGGATAACTAGTAGGTGGAGAAATAGTTGGTCGAGGTAAAGGTGGAAGTGTCATACCATGAACTGTTGCGTCGTAGAAATTCTGTCGAGATGATGGTGGTAATCTGTGTTCATGATCAAGATCATCCATGTGTCTTTCTTGATCATCATCCTCTTCTTCTTCATCATCATCATCATGTGAATCAAGTATACTAGAATCCAATCGAGATAACATATGTGATCCAGGTGTCGTCGGTAATGCAAGGTACTGTGGTGATGAAGGTGATGACATTGCTGTTGTTGCCGTTGCCGTCGCTGTTGCTTGTGCTGCTGCTGCTGCTGCTGCCGCTGATTGTTTGGCTTCTCTGGCTTGTTGTTTCATTTGTTTGATAAGTCGATTGAGTGATGATTCCCATAATTGTAGTTGTTCTTGATGTCGACATTTTAAAGTAAATGAATCCAACCGAAATTGTTGACCAGGTTGAAGATACTTTTCAGACCAAAATATACACAAAGACCAATTACCATCTTGACTAGTATCATTGACTTGAGCCACTCGTGACATGAGGATCCTTCCACGTACACCAAGTCGTTCGGATGTTGTATTTGGTCCAGAGATAGCATCTGATGTTGTAGTTGTTGTTGCTGATGTTGAAGCATTTCCATTGCCTTGTTGATCCTTTTTCTTGTTCTTTTTCTGAGATTTTTTATGATTTCCATCCTTGCCTTCCTTATCCTTTTCCTCGCGACATACAAATAAGCATTTTTCAAAAAGATAGACAATAAGTTCTCGACCAGGATCACCACGATATACCATAAACTTATCATGAAGTAGTAAAGGACCAAAATCGTCAATATCAGAGGGAGGCCAATCTTCTACACGATTTTTCAAATCTTGTACAGTGATCAAATTTTCTTGTCGTCTTTTAGTTTCATTCACCTTTGCGGCGACTCTTTGAATAGCTTCGAGCCCCTGTTTGGTTTCATCAAAAAAGGGCCAATGAGATGGAGTACTTTTGACCAATTGTTTCATCAAGAGAGGGTACTTGCATATACGTTGTACAGGTTTAATAAGGATAGACGGTAATTCAAAAGAGGGAGATAACACATGAGCCAATTGTTCCAAAGCATGAATTTCACGAAGTACCAATGATTGAGCAGTTTGGAAATTGGCACAAAAAGGTTCATAAACTGAAAAAGTTTCTTCATGTTGTAAAAAGAGTAATCCAAATCTTTGATCTTGAGGAGCACCATCAGCTTGTTCTTCTACTTGTACCAGGAATCGACGTTGACAATCCACCATAGCATTAAGGTTTCCAAATAATTGATATAATGTATCAGGAGGAAGTACTTCTTGATTTTGAGCCTCTAGCATATAATTCTATATGAATAAAAAGTGTGGTCATAAGTTTAGTAATCAGATCAATGTTTTCTTTTTTTCTTTAACAGTGTGTATATATGTATATGCGTGTGTGTGAAATGATGAAAGAATATGAGAGGGAAAAAAAAAATAGGAGTAACTAAATAACAAAAAGGTGAATATGGATAGAGGGAGAGAATGAAGATAAAAAAAAAAAAAATAAGGGATGATTATATATGTATTTTACCTGTAAAGTTTCAAGGTCTTGTACATACTTTCGTTCAGTTTCAAGTAATTCAATCACTATCTTATCACGAGTATCTTTTGGAGAAGTATTTGTATCAGAGTCAATATTAGATATTGTAGGTAAAAAGATGATTCCTTCAGATTTCAACATTTCAACAACTCTTTTCAAGACATTCACTACCTTTTTTTTTTAAAAAAAAAAAATATAATAATAATAAAAATAAATAATAATGAATACAATAAATAAGATATATATATATATAATGACTTACTTTTACAAAACCATTTGTATCATCTTGAAATACATCTTTTAAAGTGAAGAGAGTATCAGAAGTAAAATGAAGTTGATCTCGACAAGCAATAATAAAGTGATACACGTAAGCCTTTGGTTTTTGTGCAGTTGTAGAAGAAGAAGAAGGATTTTGTTGTTCCAAAGAAATTGGGTGTTCAGGTCTTAAAGTATTGAATAAGATACATAAACTAGTACCTTGTCGACAAAAGTGCCATAATTTAGACATGGGAGTCACTATAGTAGTTGCATCGGATATAGTTAAATAAGGTTGTAATGGTTGTATAGTAGAAAGAGCTTGTAAAACATATCTACAAGTATGATATAAAGAATTCTTTTGTGTTGCTTGTTTGTTAGTCAAAGAATCATTGGGAATGGGTATATCAATAGTGGTCATAATCTAAATAGTAATATAGAAAATAGATATATAAAAAAAAGAGTCACCACCAATAAAAGTGAGACAAAATATAAAAAAAAAAAAAAAAAAGAAGAAGAAGAAGAAAGAAAAAAAAAAGATAGATAAAAGAAAAACAAAAAGAACAAAAAAGAAAAACAAAAAGAACCAAAAAAAAAAGGGGGAAAAAAAGAGAGGTAATACAAAAAAAAGAAAAAGATTATATATAAATCATTCATCAACGATACAGTTTTTTAGATTCCGTTTATGGAATCGTACCTTGGTTTTATTTCTTATATATAGGAGACAACTGTCAAACCTAAGAAATAATAGGAAATCATCATCTTCCTTCTTCTCCCCAATTCCCTTTTTTAACTTATTCGTTATACAGTGTTTTCAAAGTTTTTTGTCGGGTCACAAGAAAATGCTTTTCGTGATGTTATCAAATAAAATATCGTACTTTCCCAAAATGAATGGCGCATTACCACTTTTTCAGATATCGCTCCAGAGATGGCGGTAGAGTACATTAAAAGCACACAACACATTGATGATAACTTGTTTATTAATAATAAAAGACACAAAAGAAAAGTAACATAAGCTTTTCATATTTTTAGCAGCTTTGGGTGTTGTCCATTCTTTTTTAGGTATCAATTGATTGATGATTCATGATCGATGATTTATGATTGATGATATGTGATAACGGATGATTGTATATTGGATGATTACAGGATGGATGATATGTGATAATGGATGATTATATGTTGGATGATTGTATGATTGTATGATGGATGATGAAACATTGTCGTCAATCACTGTACAAATTTCTGATAAAATACAAAATACTTCATTCTAGTTACCTTCTGACAGAACAGCATTTTCTTTTTCTTTTCTTTTTTTCTTTGAAAAATGTCAAAACACTCTTTTATCAGCCAACATGATAAATCAATATAATAATAATGATTCATCACATCAATGGAAATTAAAAAATACAATAATAAATGTGCTGTACACAATCATACTACCATTTAAAATAGAACAACTAAAAAAAAAAAAAAAGGAATCTAGTCATTAAACTAAAACACGACAAAAACAAGTCAGTACCATGTATCACTTAGTACATAAATATTGTAATAATAGAATTTAATGTAGAACATCTATGTAATTAACTTTATTATAAAGAGAGAAATGTTGCTAATACTAAAAAAAAATGATGAAGTAGATACTAAAAATAATAAAGTAGATGATAAATTAAATACAATAGAAAGAGAGAAATGTTGTTAATACTAAAAAAAAAATGATGATGAATTAGATACAATATAAAGATAGAAATGTTGCTAATATTTAAAAAAGATGATAAAACTTGCTTACATCTTGTCTCATCATTTTATCTACTAAAATTAGCTCATAATTGCAGGGGTGATTCATTTTCTTATAAAAGGATCTCTTTGATTTAACTTTTTTTTATTTCTTTACATTACACTCATCTTACGGGTCTGCCTTTTGGCTTACCTGCCTGCTTTTTGGTCTGCCTTCTTCTTTTTTTTTTTTTGCCTATCTTTTTCTTCACAAGTATTCTTTAATGGTTCAATAGCCGTTGTCTATAATTTTCTTTACAAGTATTCTTTAATGGTTTAATCACCGTTGTCTCAATCACTCTTTTTTTTGTCTATCTTTTTATTTACAAGTTTTCTTTAATGGTTTAAACACTGTTGGTTCAATTAATATAACAACTTAACAATTTAACAATTTCCGGGATGGTTATCGCCATCCTACTTTCGCTACGGCGATCTCGTTACACTTAAATGGTAAGCTAGTGAAATATTTTTATCTGGATAAGTATTACTCATTTTTTTATTTTTTTTTTTTTATATGTTAACTTGGTGAACTCAATTGGTGGATTTCCTTTTTTTTTTTTTTTTTTTTTTTTTTTTTTGATTACTCTTTTTTTCATGATATCTATTTTCTTATATTCTCTATTTGATTATGCGACAATTATATTTTTTTTCTTCTTGTCATTTATTTTCTATCCTTACGATATTTTATTTCCTATTTTTGCGCCATCTTATTCTTTGAATTCCGTCAATTATTGTTGAATAAAGTGTAGTTTTGGATCTTACATTTGCATTGATTTTCCGTGTTGTTCTAATCCTTACTTTTTCACACTCAGTCATTGACATATCGTTATTGGCCGTCACCACACCTCAAAATAGAAAAGAAAAATAAAACACTTCTTTTTTTCTTTCCTTTTTTTTTCATTTATAAACTTTATATATATATATATATTTTTATGGTTCGACACCTTTTGACCTTGTTGAACAAGCGTCCTTTATTACTTGTACCTAATTCTTTATTATCCAATCGACAGTTTCATGCTACTTATCTTCAACAAGATCTTTTTAAAAAACACCCTTATCATTTATTCGAACCTTTACGACAATATGCTCCTGTATTCCCAATGAAAGGAAGTCAAATACAACCTTTATATCAACCTTCTGACTTTTATAAAGAACTCAAGGTTAAATTTTTATTTTATTTTATTTTATTTTATTGTTTTCATTTCTTATTATTATTATATATATATTTTGAATAGACACGCATTCTGTTAGCAAAACAACGTATTTTTATAGCTGCTCTTTATATTGGTCAATCAGAAAAAGAACTTGTAAGTCTATCATAGAAAATAATACACCAATAAAATAAAAATATTCTTATTAAATTATAGGTGGATACCATACGACAAGCCTTATCTCAATCCAAACAACTTCAAGTACATATTCTCATCGATTGTTTACGAGGTACAAGAACTTCTAAAGGTGAAAGCTCAGCGACACTTTTAACAAGTCTATTACAAGAATATCCAAATCAAGTACAAGTTTCTATGTATCATACACCTGATCTCAAAGGTGTATTGAAAAGGACCTTACCTCCAAGATTTAATGAAAGTATTGGGTTGATGCATCTTAAAGTATATGGATTTGATGATACAGTCATGCTTAGTGGGTAAGAATATATTATTATACATGATAAATTTTTGTAACTTTTTTTATTATTTTATTATTATTATATAGAGCCAACCTAAGTACAGATTATTTTACAAATCGACAGGATCGTTATATTCTATTCCACGATAAACAATTGACAAATTATTATCAAAACTTACTCAAAATCGTCGGTACTTTATCTTATCAACTCACTGACAAAGGATACATGGTGATGCCTATTGCAACTGCTGATCCAGTTCGTCATAGTCAACAATACAAACGTCAAGCAAGAGAACGATTACTTGCATTTATAGATAGATACAATGATATCACCAACAAACCTACTATCAAAAGTACAGTGGATGATGATGAAACAAATGATACTGTGGTATTACCAGTGATTCAAATGGGACCATTTGGTATTCGACAAGACGAAAAAGTGACCTTATCCTTATTAGAAATCACTCATCGACATGGTATTTCAAACGCTGAAAGTCAACATCACTGGTGGACTATTCATTTAACTTCTGGTTATTTCAATTTTACTGATCGATACAAACAATTCATCCTGAATACTCAAGCCAAATTCAAATTCTTGACAGCATCTCCAGAGGTAATCCTTTTTTTTTTTTTTTTTTTTTTTTTTTTTTGCTAATATACCAATAATATCTATATATTAGGCAAATGGATTCTTTAATTCAAAAGGTGTATCAAGATTCCTCCCTCCGGCATATACACATATTGAAAGACAATTTTATCGACAAGTGGTCAAGGTTGGAAAAGAAAAATTGATTACTATTGAAGAATATAAACGACCTGGATGGACATATCATGCAAAAGGTTAGAAATAAAATAAAAAAGGGAGTTCAATGTGGAGAAGAACTGACTTTTTTTTTTAGGTTTATGGGTCAGCTTTGCAAGAAAAACGTGGCCTTCATTAACCATGGTAGGATCTCCCAATTTTGGACATCGATCAAGCCAACGCGATTTGGAAGCTCAAGCTCTAGTGGTGACGGAAAATAAGCCATTACAACAAGCATTATTTAAGGTAAAAAAAAAAAAAATAGGATGTGAATTTATTATTGATGTCGTGGTTCCTGTTCTACTTTAGGAAGTTGATATGTTACACCAATATTCTGAACCCGTTTCCAAGGAGACTTTCCAACAACAAGATAGACGTGTTCCTTATGGCGTTCGAGTAGCAACATCCATTGTCAAAACCATGTTATAACCCATCCTTCTCTATTTTATTTTAGTTTTTATAATATATATATAGTGACCTAGATATTCCCCTTCACATCCACTGTTTAGATATATTGTTACAGCCTGCATATCCATTATCTGATTATATAATAGTAATAATGATATTAATAAAAAAAGTGTATTTTCAACTTCCTTTTACTAGTTAGATGTTTATTGTTTTCTGTAATCCTACTTTTTTTTTACTATATATCAAGGCCATGTGTATTAAGGGTGACACTGCATTTATTGCAACGTTGTACTTTGGGAAAAGAAAAAAAAGATCAACTGGATTACCAACGGTAAAACATCATGCGCTTTTTTTTTGGATTTTTCAATTAGGGAAATAAAAAAAGTGAAATTCCATTTATTTATTTATTTATTTTTTCACATCCCCTTTTGCTAAGATAAAGGAAAAGGGGAGATTACCTGATGATGATGATGATATAATATCTTTTTTTTTTTTTTTGATTGGGGTGGAATGATTTCTACAAAAATGGTGACTTTTATCTTTTTCTGGGACATCATCATTTGGATTATCTAGCTCCTCTTTTTTTTAATGATACCCCATGATGATTTCATTGAGAGAATAAAAAAGAACAAGTTATCACATGGCATTTGTTCACCGATCGGGTTGGAACGAATAAATAAAAAAAAAAAAAAAAAGATTGACATCAATAGAATCGGTTCACCTTTTTTTTTCACATATCGAACCTTTTTTTTTCCGAGAGGTTCCTTTTAATCAAAGCACATACACAGGATCAGGTGAGCGGATGATAAAAAAAAAAAGATAACTTGTCGGTATGCCTGTATACAATGAGTTGTTTTCATGCAAAGCATATACCAATCGGGCAACAACGTGTGGAGGTTCGGATCTCTCTCCATGCTGTCATCCTTTACTTTCCCCCTGCGGAATCAAAAAAAAAAAAAAAAAAAAAAAAAAAAACTAGATGTCACATTATACCCAAAGTCGAGTTTGAATAATGTTCTAAAAACGGAAATCGTGTACGGAGACATATAAAGGAAAACAAAAAAGAAAAAGCAGACTTGACAGGTGATGATTACCACAATGAGGGAAGTAATAATAATAAAGTTTAATATATCACTTTCTAGTTAATGAATTTATAAATAAGAATGCTAATTGGATCATTTTTTGGGGGAAAGAGGAAAAAAAAAAAAAAGAGAGAGTATTGGGTATTGATGAAATAAATTTCATCTCTCCTTCTGAGCTAAACTACGATAGGATAAAAAAAATTGGATGATATTATAGATTGTCATGACTTTTTTTTTTTTGAACAAGGTATGGAAGAATGGATATGATTTGACGTTAGGATGATCTATAGTGTCATCGCTTCCTTGGTGAAACGGGACAATACTAGAATAATAATAATAATAAAAAAAAAGGAGATGTTTATCAGATCCTTGCCTTTAATATCAATATTATTTACAATACCTTTGTTTGATGAAGTTGTGACCCGCAAATCAAACAGTAATGTTGAACAGTAGAATTTACTCGTATCGTATCAATTTCATACTTTTTTTGATGATGGTCAATGTTGATGGAGGAGATGATCATTTTTCTTAAACGTTGAATTGACAGGTAATATCAAGCAAGTGATAAAAAAAAATAAAGGTTCCCTTTATTAAGAATATAAAGTGAAGTGATGATGATCTCTATAATTAATGAAGATGATAAAGTAAAGAAAAAAAAAAGAAAGTCATAAAAATAAAATAACAAGTGAATTTTTTGCTGATTTATATAAAGGGAAAAAGTGTCATTCTTTTGGAAACAAGGTCTCAAGTGTGTAACTCAAAATAGTGACACATATTACATGTAAACACTCACACAGAAGATGAAAGATAAAAATGACTCTAATAAAAAAAAAAAAAAAAAAAAAAAAAAAAAAAAAAAAAAAAACGAGTTTAAACCTGAGCTGTCTACTTTTAAGAAAAGCTTAAAAAAAAAAAGCTCGTTCCGAGGAAACACACTGCTATTCACCAAGTATAATGTCATTAAGGAATGATGACTTGATTTTCAGATGTTTAGTTTTCTATTAGACGAAATCATCAAGATGATAATATACGTAATTGATCTATTAATCATAACATAGCTTACACCTAATGAAAACAACCATGATGAACCTTGAACTTCATAAAAAGATAGAAATAATAATAATAATAACAGAACAAAATAACAAGAACATATGATGGATTTGTGTTCACATCATCATCCTTGTTGGTACGTGCACTTGTTTATTTATCTTCTTCTTTTTGAGACTACGCTATCTCTTTCTCATGATAATTGGAACCATCATCCCACTCTTCATTTCAGAAGTCAACAATAAGAAAACAACAACATTCTTTTTTTTTTTTTTATTGTGATGACCATATGATGATGAGTGATAAAAGCCAACCAAAAGAATAATTTTTATTCCATTTCATCTACAATAATAGTAATAAAAATAAGAGACTAGCTAACATGTGAAAACAGCTAAACTAAAAAAAAAAAACCTATGCTGTATCTACTTATTTATTCATCCATCCACTTGAAATGTTAAGTTGATAGGATTAATAATAAAAGAATAAGTTTCTTTACATCCATCGTCCATAAAATAGTAGACATCATTATCATTGATCCATTGTTTGATAATTCTGAATAAAGTCCATATAGATTTGTTGTCTCTTATCTCATTCTAGTATCCAGTTTATTTTGACGATCCCAATAAAACATCCCTTCAGTTGCACAGAATTCCAAAGACGTACAAGCTTGAACCATAACAACAACAACAACAACAAAAAAAAAAAAAAAAAAAAAAAAAAAGAGAGAGAGAGGCAAAGAGCCTGGATCAATACGTTATCAAACTTTCGTGAAACCTATTGAAAATAAAACCTGTGTGTGATTTCTTCGAATTTGCCTTTTATTCTGTTTTATGAGATATGAATTCTATGGTTTCTTCTATGACATATAATGATCGGATGATGAATGATTGATTTGATCAATAAGCCTGAAAACATTTGATTTAATAAGTGATTATGAGATTCGATAGGTTCAATGAGATTGAAGGAAAAAAAAAAATATAAAAGGCACTTTTTTTTCATTTTCTCTTTTTTTTTTTTTTTTTGCTTTTTTGAACTACTTCCTTGTTGGTGTCTTTTGTTGTCCTCTGGTTATATGTCTCTTGCATGATCTGTCTGTCTCTTTTCACTTTGGAGTCCTTTATTACCTTTTCAAGTTGTTTCCATTATTTCTCAGCACCACACATCCTGAATGGGTTGATGTTTGCTTGCTGCTAGATGATCATTTTTTAGTAAGTGCACATATATAAATAATAATTAGATCACACTAACCATTTTTTTTTCCATGTTCTTCTTTTCAACCACCGAAATGGGGGGCGAAATACGTAGATCCGTTAGTCGGGGGGAACGCATAAAAAAAAAAAAAAAGGGTTGCTCCTTCTTTATTGTTCCTTCGACTCTTGCTCCTATATTTTTCATATACGTAAACCTATATACATACATATATATATCTATTTGCATATAAAATGCTATATTTTTATTATTTTTCATCTCTCTTTTTATCATTACTATCTTCTTGAGTTAAATCCCATTCCTTTCCCTTCTCCCCTTCCCTTCCTTCTATTTATTATTATGAAAACTATTTCTTTTGAACTACTGAATAAAAAGTTTGACGATCAATATACTTTTGATCTTCAGGGTTATGTAAGTGGCGACTACTAAAAAGAAAAAAGAAATACATTACTCATTATATTTCATCTAGTTGTCATTCCAAGATTTCACTATCAATATGAAAACGTTAAATAGAAGTATTAAACAAACACCATTACCACGACACCGTCATCTCTGGGTTAGCATGTTATGGTTTTTATGGTTAGCCAGTGCTTGTATTTTTTATATTGTGTATATGCAAGACCTTCCTCTTTGGATTATTCTTCTTTTATCTTTGATACTTCTTATTTTTACCTGTGGTTTTATTTATATATATCAACGACGCATTCACAAGGTAAACAGATATATCTCAAGAAATTGTCTTATTATACTGATGATTTTTGTTGGTTTGACTTTATTTAGTTTGAAACGGTAGCAATGGAAGCTTGTGATCAATTGAATGAAACCGAAAGAACCAGAGGGATTAGTTATCAGCTATGGAAAAATGGTGACCCGTGTCCAAGATATCAAACTGACCTTTCTTGGTATTTTATGTTTGGTGCTCAATCTATCTATGTAAGTCTATATGATAAATAAATAATTAAAAAAAAATCAGAAGCACGATATCTGATATCTGATTCTTTTTTTTTTTTTTTTTTTTTTGTCATGTCTTCTTGTAGGAAATGGTGATTCAATTTGATGATCGGTATAATCAGCGATATTCCAAGGATTTTGTTAGTGTACCACTCTATTCAGCCTTACCTGGTATTACCGTAGAGGATGAAAAGTCAAATGAAATCAATTCCCCTTTTTTATCCAGTGATGAAAAATCTCAAGTTGCTCTCTCTGTTGTCTAGTAGATTTTATTATTAGTAGTATTATTATTATTTTTCTCCCCTTTTCTGTTGCCTATTATCTTACTGTTGTCCCCTCTCCTATCTTCATCATCACCATCTCCTTTTCTTCTTTTTCTACTTTTTTTTTCTCTATACCATTTTGCTTTTCCCTTGCTTCCTTATCATCACCTTATTTGTCATACAACATTATAATAAAATAAAAAAATTAGTATTCAATGATTGGAAATCCAATCTTCTTTACATACTATTTGTCTTTTATTTATAATGAACAGATGTATTTCTTCCTCAAACCGGGTTGCTTGATTATCCATCACTATGCCCCCTTTTTCTTTTCTACCGTTCTCTACTGTATCCCCTTATTTCTTCAAAATTACTACCCCGTTTGATTGAAAAAAAAAAAAAAAAAAAAAAAAAAACAGACGAAGTTGTATTAATACGAGAGCTGGACCTGCTATTTCGACCAATATTCAAGCGAACATACTGAAATCAGTCTTTATCCATGATGACAGACTTTATCATCCTGAATAATAGTATTGTATAATGGCATGATGATGAATGACATGTGCTGATATAACAACAAATGATAAAAATATGATTTTATTTAAAAAAGAATGTAAAGTAAAAGATAATATAAAGGCACTTGCTAAAAAACTAACTATTGAATGAACTAATTTCCATTATGCAAGAGTTATATATCTATATCCAGTTGATACTATTGCATAATCCTGCCGTATATCTATCTACTGTATTTTTACATAAAGAGTAAACATGAATAACAGACCAAATGGCAACCAAACGATAGATTAGTTCAGAGTATGAGAATGAGAGACTAAAAAAAAAAATAAGAAAAGGAAGATAGACTCAGTATAGACTCAGTATAGAAGTATGTATGTAAAAGAGTGAGTAGATAGTGGGAATGAGGGAAGATGTATCATGATTACCTATCAGTTTAATAAATAATGTTGATGATCACCACATAATGGATGTCACTGCAGTCGATACTTGCACTAATAATATCTGATGCATGACGATGATAGTAATGGTGATGAGACATGATATCATAATGATGCAGTTATCAATTCCACGAGGATGATGGCCCAGATGATGATAATGATTCAGACTAATCTTGAATAAAAAGAATACCTTTAAAATGAATAGAGTAGCGTATAGGTAACTAAATTTGTATTTATGACACTACCCATCAAAGGGGAACAAGGAAAGGTGGTATATATTAGTTGATAAGTCCTTCAATATCATATTATAGATCCTACCTTTAAATATAATATCCTTGATCGTTTTCCACTTTTGCTGATAACCATAAATGATAGATATGTTCAATAAATAACCTTTTCCCTGACAATATACTGGAAAAACACTAGAAAAAAAAGAAAAGAAAAGAAAGGAATCAGATTCATAATCCTAATCATACCTAAATCACTTACTATTTCTTTATTTTGGAATGTGTTATAGTACGTTTGATAATGATAATGATAGTTCCATTGTTATAGCTTTGCGATCCATTGAATACATGTTGAAGATCTAGTTTGCAATAAGAGCCAATAGAGATGGAGTGATAGTATTTCTATAGCAAGATAAAAAAGAGAAGAGTCCTAGTTAATATACAATGAATATATAAAGTTCCCTTTTATTGTATACATATTCACTTACTTTTTATACGAAATAAAAAAAAAAAGATGTTTACAAAAAATAGTGATAAGAAAGAAGAAGAAAGTGTGAGAAAATAAAATAGAGGAAGTTGCTGTCATTTTAAATAACTCTGAGTCTTTCCTTTTTTGGATGTTCAACTACCACATATAAGCAGCTTCTATTCGTGATTTAACCTAGAATAATGCGATTGTTAATTCCATCCTATAACAAACTTACCAAACTATTAATGCATAAGATAATAATAATAATAATAAAAATGTTATCAAATTGATTTAACCTATATTATTCTCAATTGATAATCATTTTTTTTAATCTTCCTTTAGTGATACCAGTTCAATAAATGCATGAAATATGAAATAAGATATAAAGACAATTCACTTGAAAGCGACTATTCTAATATATCATCATCATCATCATCATATTAATCAACAAAGAAATCAATTCAAAAATATATATATAAAAAAAGGAACTAGAACTGTGTGCTTCCTTATGACTGGTTGATTTGGATTTGCAGGATTTTTTAAACAGGCTCCGATCAGGTAGACATATAAAATGATGTTTTTTCTTTTTTTTTTTTCTTTCTCTTTTCTTTCTTTCTTTCTTCCTTTCTTTCCTTTTTCACTTTTTTTTTCTATTAAACAAACATCATGGCTCAAGCATACAACAGAGATTTGACTCAACTTATTATGCGTCCCAATGTTGGTAAAGTTGGTAAACCAGTACGTGTAAGAAGCAATTTCTTTGAAATGACAAGTCTTCCAGCTCAAAATATACAACACTTGAATATTCAAATATTACCTGATGGTACTCCTCCCCTTATTCTCAGAAAGGTGTGGCAATCTTTTGAAGATAGTCTTAAAGGTCAAGCTTTTCTTAACAAGGTCAAACCTATCTTTGATGGTCGTGCAAATCTTTTTTCTCCAAAACCGCTCAAATGTGGTGATGATAGTCTTGGTATTTCTTTTGAAGTAAGTAAATAGAAAAAAAAATGACGTATATTTTATCATATTGCTTATTATTTCATCCCCAACATTATTATATTTTTTTTTTTTTGATCACTCTTTTTTTCTATTGGTTCATTTATATTCATCATTTTTATTCTTGTTTATAGGTCAATCTTCAAGAAGGAAATCGTTCTGGTGGTATTTTCAAGTTAAATATCAAGCCTGTAGGTGTAATCAACATGAGTGAACTACAATTATTCTTGGATGGAAAGTCTGGTATTACCAACAATTGTTTAACTGGTAAAAAAAAGAAAAAAGAATAATATCATTATATCCCTTTTTTTTTTATTAACTCTTTTTTTAACCTTTTCTTTCTTTCTTTTTTTCGTTTTTTCTTCTAAAATTGTGCTACAGCCATTATGGTTCTTGATGTACTATTCCGTCACGTTCCAAGCATGCAATATTCCACTGTGGGTCGATCCTTTTTTACTCCCCAAGATAAACGTCCTTTACCTAATGGTGCTGAAGTATGGCAAGGCTTTTATCAATCTGCTCGTCCAACTAAAGGTAATATATAAAACATATAATACTTAATATTTTTTTTTTTATTAATATTTCATTATTCATTGTTTATAGGCAAAATGATGATCAATGTTGATGTCAGTGCTACTGCTTTCTATGAATCTGGTCCTCTTCATGAGATGTTACCCAAGATACTCGACCGCCGCAGTCTTGATGATCTTCGTCGTGGTATTCCTGATCGTGAACGTATCAAAGTTGAAAAAATACTCAAGAATCTCAAGATCGTTGTTGTCCATCGTGGTGCTGAAAAACGATTGAAGTACAAGATTAACAAGCTCACTCCTACCTCTGTTGAAAATACTGTATTCAAGGATGACTCTGGAAATGAAATGAACGTTGCTCAATATTTTCAAAAGACTTACAACAGACGTTTGGCCTTTCCTTTCTTACCCTGTATTGTTGTCAAGAAAGATATCTTTTTACCTATGGAAGTTTGTGAAGTCATTCCTGGTCAACGCCATTTGAAGAAATTGAATGAAAAGCAAACTGCTGAAATGATCAAATTTACTTGTCAGAAGCCCAATGTCCGTGCTAACAAGATCAATCAAGGTGTCAATCTTCTCAAATACAAGGATAACCCATATATTCAACAATTTGGTGTTAATGTCAAGTCTGATATGACCATGATCAATGCTCGTGTTCTTTCTACTCCAAAGATTTCTTATCATGCTTCATCTCAAGATGCTACTTTTGCTCCTATAGGTGGTGCTTGGAATCTTCGTGGTAAGAAAGTCGCAAAGGGTGCCAACTTGGGTTCTTGGTCTATTGTTAATTTTGCAAGAAATGTCCATGATGGTATGATCCAACGTTTCATTCGTGAATTATGTCAAACGTTTGCTGATACTGGTTTGGTACGTTAGTTTCTTAAAAAAAACATGATTTATACTAATCCTTTTTTTATTTATTCCTTTTATGATTATAAATATAGAATGTGATCAATCGACAGCCACCTATTACTCATGCTGATCCTCAAGGCAATATTGAACGTACTCTCAAGGAAGCTTGGTTGAAGGCTGGTAATGCTGCTAAAGCTCAACCTCAATTGATTCTCTGTATCATGCCCAACACTGGTACTCCACTTTATGCTGAAATCAAGCGTATCTCTGATACAGGTAAAACAAACATATAGAAAAATAAGGATGATGATGATGATGATTTTCATGACATAATCTCATATCTTTTTTTTTTTTTTATATATGTAGTTATTGGTATTCCTACTCAATGTGTTCAAAGCAAGCATATTGGTGATGCTAAGAAACAATATTGTGCCAATGTCTGTTTGAAAGTGAATATGAAGCTTGGTGGTGTTAACTTGTTCATGGATGGCTCTCAAATTCCTTTCATCTCGAACAAACCTACTATTGTCTTTGGTGCTGATGTTACTCATCCTGCTCCTGGTGACATGAACAGACCTTCCGTTGCTGCTTTGACTGCAAGTATGGATTCCTATGCATCAAGATATGCTTCAACTGTCCGTGTTCAAGCCAATCGTACTGAAATAGTAGCTGATTTAGCCAATATGGTCAAGGAACTGTTGAAGACATTCTACCAAAACTGTGGTCAAAAACCTCAACAAATCTTGTTCTATCGTGATGGTACGTCTGAAGGTGAATTTGATCAAGTGCTCAAAAACGAAATTGGTGCCATCCATGCTGCTTGTGCTTCCTTGGATAAGACTTACAAACCTCCTGTCACCTTTGTGGTTGTTCAAAAACGTCATCATGCTCGATTCTTCCCTGTTGAACCTCGTGATGCTGATCGAACTGGTAATTGTCAACCTGGTACTGTCGTGGATACTGATATCGTACATCCTTTCGAATTTGATTTTTGTAAGTATTCAAATGATTATATATATTAGGATGAAATATTGATTTATATATATATATATATATATATATTTTCTTTCTTAGATTTACAATCACATGCTGGTCTCCAAGGAACTTCTCGTCCTACTCACTACCATGTACTTTATGATGATAATAATTTTTCTCCTGATGCTCTTCAAGAACTCACTTATCGTCTGTGTTATATCTATGGTCGTGCCACTCGTACTGTCTCTATCTGTCCTCCTGCTTACTATGCTGATTTGGTTGCTGCTCGTGCTCGATTCCATCGTAAGGGTGAAAACTGGGAAGACACTGATGCTACAAGTGAATCAATGGATAGTGATGCCCAAATGGCCAGTTTCGCTGTTGTCAAACCTGATTTACAAAGAGTCATGTACTTCATGTAAATGGATAGTTTAGTTTTCATCTTTTTATATTATTTACTCAGTAAATTCATAGTTTAGTTTTTTTTTATATATATTGTTTACTCTGTAAATTTACGGTTTAGTTTTTTTTTAATATTCTTCGCCTTTTTTTTTTCTTTGCATTTGTATATACATCTCTCTCTCTCTCTCTCCAATAAACCTAAAATTCGTTTCTTTTTAATAATGATACCTCTTTTATCATGGTGCTGGGATGATGGAATGCTATGCTGATTGGGTAATATGATGATTGGATGATATAATGGTGTGATGATTGGAATAGTAACATGACTTATGATATTGATTAGTGATCATTACAAAACGGTAACATTGCCGTAGTTTTGTGGCGTTGCAGGCGTTGCAATAGTCATTGATATTTATTATCCATTTCAAGAAAAAGGACTAACTAAAAACAAAAAAGTATGATAAGAATAATATAATGAGACAGTGGGAAAGATAGATGGGATGAAAATGTAGTAGTACTGTATACAAAAGAAAAATATATATCTTTATATTATATAATGGGAGGAGAAGGGAATAGACAAAGTGACAGATCATAATCTTGATGAAGATAGTAATAGCTGGAGGATTCGAGCGGAGCCCAGATGGAATAAAGGAAAGTAGGTTTATTTTGAAGCACTAATATGACCACAGCTCTTGCAAGTTCGTAATTCTTCAGTTGTTGCAAATCTTTCAACAATAGGTTTCAATTGGGAACCAAGATCAGTACAATGAAATGCTTCTTCATAAATGATTTTTCGACAACTAGGTTCTTCACAATACCAACGTAATCTATCTATTCCATCAAGATGAGTCATTAAAAAAAAAAACGTTAATAAAAAAAAATCACATATAAAAATGTCCCTTGTGTCACCATCTCCACTTTTTTTTCCTATCTATCTATCATCAGTTTGTTTTTTTTTTATATATATTTATTTATTCTTACCTATATGATGTGGTAATCTTTCACGTTCAACTACTAAACCCATCGAGTTGGCAAATCGTACAGGATTGTGAGGTACATTGGCTACATAAATGGATAAAAAAGGCAATGTCAAGGTGGAGTTTTAATACAATGAATCAATCAAACTATTAAATGATATTGAAGGGTTTTGTCTTGTAGACTGATGGTTTAACTTCAAAGCCAGTTGATAGGATGAAGATAAACTACCAGTCGTAAAAGAACAAAAAAAAAAAAAAAAAAAAAAATTCAAAATAAAAAAAAAAAGCTTACCAGGTAAAAGAAACATATCACCTTCATTGACATATATATCTTTGAATTCACCATCGTCCACTACTTTGATGAGCAATTGACCTTTGACTTGATAGAACCATTCCTAACCATACAAAAAAAAAAAAAAAGGTGATTCAGTCAGTCATGTCCGCATATGTTCTTTTTTTCTTTTTATACCTCGGTTTCATTGACATGATAGTCCGATCGTCTGTTAGGACCACCGACGACCATAATAATAGTATCTTTTCCTCTAAAGAGTAAATAGTTATTGATCGGTGGTTGTAGTTTATCTTCGTTTTCTGCAAGCCATTTTGTAAAGTTGAGAGGTGGAGCCAACATGATTTCTAATGACAACAAAAGAAAGAAAGAAAGAAAAAAAAAAAAAGCCCAACAAAGATTTTTTTTAAAATGGCGCCAGATTGACATTTTGGTTCAAATCTGACAAAGACCCAGTTTTTCGACTATGAATCATGTGGCAACATTTGTCTATCAGATTGAAAAGACTACTGATCTCGATCATGGGAACCGATATCAGTAACCTTTTTTTTTTTTTTTTGTTATTACACCACCATGGAGACACGGACATAAGAGAAGATGAGATATTTAAGAAATGTTGTCATCATCAAACCTTACAGATACGGCGAAATTTGTGCCGAGGACAAAAAAAAAAAAAAAAAAAAAAAAATCAAAAGGTCTGTTTAGAATGTAACCCTTTTTGTAGATTTTATGACAAATCAAATTATATCAATAAAATGATGCATCTACAACGATTCATGCTTTCCTGTTTGTATTATACTATTTTTTTTCCTTTTTTTTTTTTATTTGAGTGATATTTGCAAAATAGACATAAATAACGAAAAAAAAAGAGAGGGAACTATGATCTACGTGACACAATGTAAATGAAACAGGGAGATATATATATAAAAAAAAAAGAGGAAAAGAACGAGTATATATAAAAAAATTGAATAATGTAATCCATCCATCTTCTTGAGTCCATCTCCTTTTTAATCTTGATCCCAGTGACCTTGTTGTTTGGGAGGTTTGGGTCCACCCGCAGGTTTGGACATGATGATCTAATAAAAAAAAAAAAAGAGTAATGAATATTCTATTTGTTTATTAATAGTGAAATAGTACTTACTTGATCTACTCTGAGAATAGTGATCGCAGTATCAGCAGCTAACTTGAGAGCCCAATATTTGGCAGCAACGATATCATAAATATTGGCCTTCACAGCATCCAAAGTACCATCATTGTTATTCTATCAATAAATAATAATAATAAAAATTAATTACCCAAATACCTTTCTATCTTATATCTACCGACGTACTTCAACATCTACACCAATAGTAGCACCAGATTCAGATTCTTGATAATGAGCAGCATATAAACGAGACAAGGTAGCAGTAGCATCCATACCAGCATTGTCACACAAAGTACGAGGAATCACTTCTAAAGCTTCAGCAAACTTCTTAATAGCATGTTGATTTAAACCAGGAGTCTTTGCAGCTACAGTTTGAAGACGTTTGTTAAGTTCCATTTCCACCGCACCAGCACCTGGTAATAGACGACCATCACGAGTAACAGCCTTGATGACATTGACACCATCATCAATAGCCCGTTCAATATCATCCATATGGTTTTGAGTGGCACCACGAATCACAATGGTGGTTGTACGTGATTGTTCGCTTTGTTCTTGACGGAATACAGTCACACGGTCACTACCAATTTCAACAGTTTCTACTACATCACAATAACCCATTTCTTCAGCCATAGGGGCACCCAAACGAGCCAATGCAGTACCGCCAACCACTCGACATAAGCGACGAAGATCAAACTTGGAAAGGACTTTAACAGCCATGATATTAAATCGATTCAAATAATGTAAGGCCAATTCACCAATACCGGCACCAGTCACTACCACCTTCACACCAGCGTCAGCGAGTTCTTGGAAAATCTACATAATACAAACATGTTAATAACTATATATATATTGTTATTTTTTATACAATATTACCTTTTCCATATGCTTTTCTTCATCTTTGCTGAAATTCAACATTTCTTGTGCATTGTGGATCAAAACAGTTCCTTTGGTTTCAGTTTGAGCAATATCAAGAGGACAGGTAAAGATGGCCACTTTGGCTTTAGCAGCATTTTGAATAACACCTAACAAAAAGACATGATGATGAATATATATAAATTGAAAATGGTTTTTCTTTGTCATTCTTACCTTCAGGTTCACGACCAAATACCATACCCTTTACCACTCTAGATTCATAAATACTAGAACCCATTACCTTGACCACTCGAATATTGTCAACATTGAAATCTTTGGGGTTCTTGGGCATAATATTGCAGGCAGCTTCTACAACAAGATCACCTAGTAAGTCTTCATAACCAATTTGTTTGGCACTAATGGCTGATCGAATGGCCTTTTTCAATTCTTCCTTTGAAAACAAATCTTCAATTTTTCCCACCGAAAGTTCTATTCATCGAAATAAAAATATAAGAACATTAGAAATATATATATATATATATGTGTGTTTGTTGATTTATTACCAGGCAAGATGTCAAGAGCACGGTCACGAGCAAGTTCATAACCTTGAACAATCTCTGAAGGATGAAGACCAAGACGTAAAAGATGTTCAGCCTTTTGTAAAAGAGCACCAGCAAACACAATGACAAAGTTAGTATTATCTCCTAATTCAGATTCTTGTTGTTGAGAGGCCATCACCAACAGTTTAGCAGCAGGATGGATCACTTCTAGTTCTCGAATAATAGTGGCGGCATCATTGGTGACAAATAACTTTTCAAGATGGTTGATGATCATCTTATTTCGACCTGATAAAGTGAAAAAAAAGATTGGTTAGTGAACTTTTTTTTTTTTTTTTATTCATCACACACACATATAATTTTATTTATTCCTGTTATTATTATCATTATTATTTTTTTTTTTTACCATTGGGACCCATAGAAGTTCGGACAACTTCAGAAAGTTCATGAGTAGCTTCAATGTTGCGTAAAACAGCTTCATCTACACCTTGTTGGATCTAATAATAAAGATGACGTGTAAGTACTTTCAATAATTGTATCATCACAATGTCAATATCTATTATTGTTTCATTCTATACCTTATAACCTTCTCTGAATAGTTGAGGAAGAGTACTTTTGGGGACACGTAAAGCCATAGTTGTATGATGAGAAACGCGTAGATGGTATGTGTATATATAAAGTACAGAAAAAAAAAAAAAAAAAAAGAGAAAGAAACCTGTCAAAATGGTTGGTAGCAGTAAAAAAATATATTGTTTTTTTGGCCCGACGTCAGCCTCCCATCCTACTATTTGAATAACCGATACACGCCTTAAAGCAAAACCTGGATATTAACTCGTGGAGGTTTTCAAAGTCGCATCCATCTCATCAACCCGTCATCTTCTCCATTTATCGGTAACTTCACTGATTTCTCTTTGGTTTATTCATTAAAACATTCGACCCAATATCTGTATATTATAACTTCATTCAGGATAGATATGCACAGCATTTTTTTTTTTTTTTTTTTTTTTTACACTTTCGTAATTCGCTTAAAAGTCATCATCATTGGATCAAATTTGAATCGAAGATACATCAAGATATTCTCTTTCAATTATTTTAATGACAAGGTATATCTTGCCTCCCAATTTATAATGCAACTTAAAAAAAATAAAAATCAATATTATCATCTCTCATCCAATAATGACCATCATCCTATAAAACTACCACCATTCCATTCCTCTCAAAAAAGTAGCTTAACAACATCTAATCCCATTTTATCTCTTATCTTGCCATCTAATTTACAATAAACATCAAAGGATTTTTATCGATTTTTTCAGAAATCGCCTGATGATCCCCTGACGATGGATTTTTACAGCCAAACTTTGGCTGAGGAGTTCCAAAATTTTGGCTGTGAAATCCAAAAGTTCATTTCATTTTTTCAATCCTGCACACAAGGTTAGCAAAAACTTTTGTCTTTCCCTTTCTCACTCAAAAAGTCATCATCATCATACCAGATTTGAACACAATATAGAACAACCCATTTTTCTTTCATTTTATCTTGTAGATGATCATCTCAAATATAGAGTAAATTAAAAAAAAAAAAGATGATTATCAATGTCATACTAATTGGCATCCTATTTTCAACCACCAAGAATGGGGACCTTGAAATTCAAGACGTAAAGCGTTCGTTTTATTGATCAAAAACCAATATATATATATATATATAAATAATCTAATCAGAATCTAAACTATCAATTACTTATATTCATTTTAATCTACTTGTCTTCTTTGTCGCAACTGTTATAGAAGGAAACAAAAAAAAAAAAAGTAAGTAACAGAACCTTGAAGTCATGTTTTAATAACTTACAGCATCAGCCAATGAGGCAGCAGCATTGGAAGGAGGTGTAGTCGTTGAACCAGGACGTGCAGGGATCACCGGTTTGTTTAAATTACTTGGTCTTGCAGGAACAACAGGCTTTGGGGCTATCACCGGAGGAGGTCGTCGACCAGTAACAGGAGGGGTTGAGGTTGATACTGGCCTAGCTGCAGGTACGGGTGCTTGTGAAGAAGACGAAGTTGAATTGGCAGCAGCTGCTTTTCTTGCTTCCAGTTGAGCTTTCCAAGGTGGGACACCATTCGATCCAAGAGGTGCAGCTACACCAGGCATCACAGGAATTGGAGTTGATTGATTAGTTGTCATTGTTGATGCAGGAGGAGATGGCTTATTGTTGGAAATTGTGTTGACCGGTGTTGCTGGTACGACAGGAGTGGGTGTACTAGAAATACTATGTGCTGCTGGGATTGATTGTGATAATGATGATGATGGAAGAGGTACAGAAGGAGGAGGTCGACGTCCTCTTGCAGGTGGCGGAGGTGCTGGTGCTGGTGCTACATATTCTTCCAAATAATTGTTCGGTACCCATCCTTCAATACCATTAAGTCGAGCAAGCCACCACCCTATAGATGTCAAATACAATGCGAAAAAAAAAATCATCATCATTGATTAGTAATCCATCCAAGTCATACATCTAATTTATCCCTTCATGATAATCATGATGATCTTACCATTATCGTCCTTTTCAACAATTTCCAATATATCACCCTTTTCAAACGAGATTTCGCCTTCTTGATCAGAATGGAATGGATAGATAGCTTTATAAGTTGGTAATTTTGGAGTGGTTGTTACAGGTGCTGGAGGTGCAGGTGCTGGAGGAGGAGGTGGAGGAGGAACTTGACGTCCACCAATTGAAGGAGTTTGATTGTTAGATTGAATATTTGACATTGGTCGTGGAGCAGAAGGAACAGTAGTAGTATTAGAAACAACAGGTCGAGCTGCTGGAGGAGGTTTCTTGGTAACGTTTTTCCTCGTAGATGCTGTTGTATTTCTAGGTTTCACTGGACATGGTGGATCAGATACTAGTTATAAGTAATAAAAAAGTCAGTTTCTTTTCTTCTTTTTTTTTCATTTATATATAATTCTTGTAAGCATTTTTTTTTTTTTTACCACTTGTAGCAGGTTCTCCAGAAGAAATTCGGACAGTATGACTTTTATAAATACCATCACCTACAGCAGTTTCATCCTTGATAAATTTCATAATGACTTGTTTTCCACCCTTTTTCTTGTATGGGAATTGAGAATCTATATTGACATTGATTCTTCCACCAGTTTGTTGTAACATGTGAGCTAACAATTCTGTTTTGAAGAGACATGATAAAACAGTATCGCCATCAGGAGCGCCATCCACATGGAGAACAAACCAATCATCACGAAGATTGGACAGACTAACACCACTAATCTTATTCAAAAATATCACCTTTTCGTCTACCATCGAGAGAACTTGTTCCTTTTTCGTAGTCATGACTATATGAAGAGCTTGATTCGTCTACAAGTATAAAAAAGAAAAAAGAAAAAAAAAGGATATTGAGTAAAAAAAAATATCTTTTACTTATATCTTGTCTATTTGGATGACTTACCAAAACCAACGTACGTGGACTTGGGACACTTGATCGCATAGCTCTTGCCACAAGGGTTTGACCACGCATACTGAAGATAATTTCTTCGTTGTTAGCAAAAGTAATAGCATCACGAGTCATGCTAGCAGCTCCACTTCCATTTATGATATCCAAATAATCGCCAGTGAATTTTCGCATGCTGAGAAGTGAATATCGTCGTCGTTCTTTCTTGTTACCCAAAATCTGATGACCGTATTCACGCATTTGTAGATACCCAATGTTGTATTTGTTTTGACGCCAGAATCTTTGAATTTTTCTAGCACATTCATGTTTGTGACGAACGTAAGCGCGCCAGGCCCTTTGAATCCTTGTTGCCATGTTGTGCCAATATCGATCTCGCATATGTTCTAAAGCAAATATCTATAAGATAATATATATTTTAGCAGAGAATTCCATTCAGTAGATATATAATTTGCATACTTACTGTTTCAGGATGTCGAATAAACACCTTGGAAGTTCCCATTTGCCATTCATCAGTTGGGATATTGTTGTGTTTCAGAATTTCATACGATCCAGTTTTGGCATCACCATTCCATACATATTCACCAGCGTAGCCAGTTGTAGGACTGAGTAAATAGAAACGTTCCAAAAATTTATCAAAAATCTGTTACAAAAAAAAAAAAAAATGAGTTCACTTGTCTATAAACATAAAAATGTTGATAATCTGACTTACCGTTCTATAAGCAAAACCAGCTCTTCGGACACGAATGTTTTCACATAAACCAAGATATTGTACTTGATGAAGAACTCGTTTTTGATCATATTCAGAGGAACTACGATTGTCGTTTGGTTTGATTGTACGAATATAGCTTGGATGACATTGCATCAGTTTGGTCACTAGAGCATTACATGAAACCTTGATCTTGTCACCAGCAGTAGGTGGTCGCTTCTTGGAGTTGGGGTCAATACGTTCAGGGAAGAGAGTTTGAGAGATGAATTGATTGGTTGAGGCTGTTACCAGTTCCAAAAGATCCTTCAAAAGGGCATCCTTGTTTTTGTCTGTCATACCTTCCACATTATACAATACGTCACCAGCATAGTGTCGAATTAAAAACTTGGAACCACGAGATTCAAAATGAGGATTGTTCGCCAGGAAGCCAAGTCGTTGTACAAAAGAATTGTCAGCAGCACTAGAATCAGCATGAGCTGTAGCACAAGCATCATTGAGAGCAGCAAACACGCCAGGAGGACGTTTTTCTTCGATGAGATCACATACCACCTTGTTGTTAAAGAACTTGATAGGAGTCCATTCGATTTGTTCACGAACATATTCTTCTTGTTCAGCCTTTAAAGTAAGTTCAATAAAGATTTGTTGTAATTTTTCATTGACATAGTTGATGCACATTTGTTCAAAGCTGTTATCTTCAAAGATTTCAAAACCATAGATATCGAGAACACCAATGACATATTCAGCACCACCACGAGATTCCAACGATACATTGACACGTGCGACAATCCATTCGAAAAGACGCTCATAAATGGATTTAGACAGAGCATCACGTACAGCTGTTGCCTGAGTAACATTGAGAGGTACTTCATACACACTACCTATAGTCAAAAATGGAAATAAGAAATACGTCCATGTCATCTTTGTGTCCTATCACTTTCTTACCCCGTCTTCCACCTCGTTGTGTTTCCATGATCCGACTAGTCAGTGCCTTGGAAAGGGATTCACTGTCAACCTCCAACAAATAAGCGACAAAGTTGGCCACTAAAAAAAAAAAAAAAAAAAAAAAAAAAAAAAAAAAAGATATCGGATTAACTCTTTTGTGAAATGATAATATATCTATATTGTTGTTACCATCCCCATCAGCAATAACAGCATTTCCAGAATTATCTTCATCAAATACCAAATTTCCAATCCACAAGATAGTAGCCAATAATTTGAAAATTTCATCTTGTTCTGATTTTTGAAGTCCAATAATATTCATCGCATTCTATCAATGAAATCACAAATTGAGTGAATAAAAAAAAAAAAGAGGATTGCTGTCTCTTTATTTTATTTTATTTTATTTTCTTACCAAAGTATCCTGGAAATCACGAATGTCATCAATACCTTCTACTTCCAAACAATTGCTTCGGCTTGTGTACAAATAACTTTCAGGACCTTGAAGACCGAATGTTTCTGTAAAAGGATGATTTCAAAAAAGGGATGAGACGTGATCAGTAACTGCTTTTTTTTTAAAAAAAAAAAGAATCGAATTATATAATGTACCTTGATATTCAGGAGTAGCCCCTTTTGTCAATTGATAGAATACATGAAAGTTTCGTTCATTTTCGATTTGGCCAACTACCCGATTCTAAGATATTTCGTATATAAATCAATTGATGAGAAAAAGGAGAAGAGATGAGATTCATTTCAAAAGTACCTTTTCCAACAAATAATTTGTGATGATTGCACCAACAGGTTGACCTTGAGCATTGAATTGAATTTCCAGATATTTACCCTAAATAAATATAATAACACGAGCTTAGTTCTTTTGTTCATTTTTCCTTTTTCTGCCTCGTACATGACGACTCGAATTGTTGTTTCGTAAAGTTTTCGCACATCCAAAACTTTCTAATAAAGGATTTGTGGCCAGCACCATCTCCTTGATTTCTTGAATAGATGAATTGGCACCTTCCCCAGAAACAGCAGCTATATATTGCATAATCCGTTTGGCAGCTTCTGTTTTCCCAGCACCAGATTCACCACTACAAGAAAAGAAATTAGAAATTAAATCGTTTTATGATTATTCCTTAATCTTTATTTTTACCTAATAATGACACATTGATTTTCTTTGTAACTTTTCATATGATGATAGGAAGCTTCAGCTATAGCAAAGACATGAGGGGGCATCTAATAAAGTAAAATAAAAACGATAAGGAACTTCGGACTTTTTGTCATATCCCATTACTATTTTTACCTCCAGCAAGTTTTTCCCTTGATAGTTTGAGAGGACTTCATCAGTATAGATGCCAAGGTCTCGAAAAGGATTCACACTAATAAGGACATGACCAATATATGTCTATATAAAAAACGATTTTTTTTTTTTTTACAAGTGTTAGTTTAAAAGAAGGTATATAAAACAATGTAAAAATAACCAACTTTACATAGATTTCCCCATTTTGCCATCTTTTCATCAAATTTTCATTGATAGCTTCGTTTGTAATCTTGGTTAGGAGAGTCATATCAGATACACCAACAATTTTCTTTTTGACACCTTCTTTCCAATCGGCTTTGACTGGTCGGTTCGCCTTGATCATCTTCTTCTCTCCTCCTTTCTTATTGCCCAATGGTTTCTATAAAGGGGAAAAAAATAATCATTATCAAAGAAAACAAAGAAAGAAGAAATATGAGTACAACCTATATCTGTCATTCCTATTGTGAATGTAATATTTAATCATGAATCCTTACTTTGATAGCCATTGTGGAATCAGTATGTGTATCTTTCGATAACAAAGAAAAAGAAAAAGAAAAGAAAGTAAAAAATGAAAATCAATAAAAGTGTAAAAATGATATGGATTTTCGTCCTGCCATATTCGAACGCCGTCTTGGCCTAGAAATCGACCAATTAGGAACGACCCCTTAAAGGGCACTTGTTGCTTTCGCTTTATTGGTGAAAGAAGGCTTTCAAGCATAAAAATAAAATTGTAGAAGTGTCTTGTACAATAAAACTCTTTCAATATACCCTAACAACACTTTCAGAACAAAAAAGAAAGAAAAAAAAGTCAATATTATAATTACTGCGCATATATTTATTATCCATTTTTCATATACATAATAAATATTAATAATAAAACTACAACTATGCTATCATGAGAAACTATTTCGTATTCTATCCTAAAAGTAATCGTATCACATTTTGCTATCCCAACTACGTTGATAAAATAAAAAGTTACGAGATTAGATTGCTAAATCCCCATTTTTATATACTGATCTTTATCATACTTACTTCTTGAAAGAGACTATAATTTACAAGGGCTACAGGTTTCTTGGCTTGTATATCCGATGGGGTTGAAGACTGATGGGATAACTTGCGTGATTTTGTTTGTGATAAAGAAATCTATTTTTTATTTTATTTTATTTTATTTTTTTAAAAAAAAAAGAGAGAGAGAAGGTGTTAATAATAATACTATTTTTTTTTCTATTCCTTGAGTTACCTTTTGTCGTTTCAATCGTTCTGAATCTTTCAATTTAGCCGTACCACGATGATTAGTGGAAGATGAGTGAGATTTTGATAATGAAGATGGAATTTGTATAGATGATTGTGGAGCTATCAGTGGAGAAGTTGATTTTGATTGCAGTGGAGTTGATAATCCGTATCGAGATTGATTGGCTTGGTAGGCTCTAGCAAGTTTTGATGGTGGTTTTGAGACATTGAAGACATTGTCGTTTGACGGCGTGTCTCGATCTTGATTGATAGTATTGGACATGTAAGAGGGTGAAGTATGATGTCGATACGATTGTTGTACTTGACACCGATAAATAGCAGCTCTAGTGAAAAGATCAAAAGGATTAAAAACATCATTATGCATTTTGAACAAAGAGGAGTCAAATGTTCAGGAAAAAAAAGGGGGGGAAAGAGAAAGAAGGCATTATACTTACGTCTTACTGGCTGCTTTCTTGGTGTCCTGGAATAATTTGCTACTATTATTGCTAGTCGATGATTTTCCTACAATAAAAAAAAAAAATACAAGTATTAATACCAAACAAATCAAAAAGAAAGCTTGATCATGTGCTATTATTTACGATTTTCGTATGTTCGCCCGCGAACTTCACCTTTGATCATCTTGATAGATCGAGCTTTTTTTTCATGTTGAATCTTATTATATTGACTTTTGACCTTTTCGCTAATGATCTTTTTCCGTTCTTCATTCTCCCGATATCGTTTCTAAAAAGTAGAAGATACAAAAAAGTTAGTAACAATAGAGCAATAGTAATCTCATTCTCACACGCAAGTACTATTCATTTTTATTATTACCAAGTAAAGACCACGCCAAGTGGTTGAATCTTGATGATCACCTTGATGATATGCATCTAACAGATCTTTGAAGATTGACATATGTCTTAGCCAAAGTTCTAGAGTCAGAATATAAAAATAAAAAGAAAAGGTCAAAAAGATGATCTTAAAAGGAAAAAAAAAACCAATCTAAGAGTATTTACCATCAGATTCAGGTAGGAGATGCTGATATAAATAAAAAAAAAAAGAAAAGGCAGAATGTCAGTATGATCAACAATGAGTTGTATAAATACTTTACCGGATTCAACCGTTCAATAAGATATAATTGTTGAGGAGTTGCTTTTTTAAGTGAAGGTTTGAGAAGAGAGTACGGGACATTTCCGACATAAGTGAGTCCTGTTATAAAAAAAAAGAAAAGAAACCACAAAAGAAAAAAAAAAAAATAGGATCAGAAAAAGAGATATTAGAGTAAGCCCGTAATAATAATAGATAGAACTATTTCTGTAATATTCTTACCATCAATGTTGTTTGTCAAAATATCTTGAGAGATAACAAGTAAAGACTTGACTTGAAATGGCATTAGATGCTTTATAAAAGTATTGTTATTGGTAAATATATCGTAAAAGAGAGTATTATGCAGAAGGTATTAAACATTTAATTACTTGGACGGACAAAAAAAAAAAAAAAAAAAAAAAAAAAGCAACAAAGTTTTGTGAAGTCAAATGTAGAGATTGGATGGAACATTTGATTTTGTAAACACCGATACCTAAAAAGGGAATGGGTCTAGTTTTTTTTTTTTTTTTTTTTTTTTGTTTGATCGAAAACGGCAACTCTATGATAGAATGAAATTAGATTAGATTATTTTTGGATTTAGTCGTAGAAATCAAAATAACTTCTTAGTATAATAGAAAAAGTGACATCAAAGGGGGAGAATGAGAGTCAAACTCAAAAATGAAATAATGACAAAAGATGCACTGCTTTTCTTTTAAATTTGCAGCAGGCATCAACCCGAATTGGAAATATGATATGAATAGTACATCCCTCCCCTTTCTCTCTTGTAAAATAAAAGTGATTGTTTCCGGTTGAACTTCCCCTTCTTTATCAATCAGTAGATATATAGAATATTTCTTTTTTCCTTTTTTTTATCTTTTTTCTTTTTTCCTTTCTTTTTTCCTTTTTTTTTTTCGTTTTCTTCAAAGTGAAGAATATTCGACTTTGAATTCAATATGAATGAAAAGTTGGACGACATCACCATTTCTTCTTCATCAAAAAAACAAACTACTTACACAGATGATATGTCAAAGTGTAATGATTCTTTAACAGAAAAAGAAGAAATTCATTTTAAAGAGATCATACCTGAAAAATCATATCAAGAAAATGAAGAAACAGATATTGAAATTGTAAATAAACTCGCCACAATTGATGATGATCCAAATATGGTAGCTTTTACCTTTAGATCTGTATTGGTGGGAGTAGTAAGTTAAAAAAAAGCAAGAGAATCAACACGTTGAAAAAAAAAAGGGGGGATGGGGTGATGCCAAAAAATAAAAAAAGAAGTGGCATAATTTCAATTGCTTTAACAATTATCATTATCTAATTTATCATTTATTATTATTCAAAAAGATTCTTTCTGGAATCAGTTCATCAGTAAGCCAATTAATGTTATTCAAACCAGTGGGGATTCCATTGACTACAACTTTTATGTTGATGGTTGGTTATGTGTCTTGTAAAGCTATGGAAAAATATTTACCTACTGGGGGATGGCTCAATCCTGGACCTTTTAATACAAAAGAACATACATGTATCTATGTAATGGTATCATCGGCTAATACGGCTGCTTATGGTACTATGGTACTAGCTGCACAACATTTATATTATCACAATGTCCCATCCGTTTTAGGTTCAATAGCTATGTTACTTGCTACTCAATTAGTAGGTTATGGTATTGCTGGTCAACTACGACAGACCTTAGTTTATCCTGCAAAAATGATTTGGTAAGATTTTACTTTTATCGATCAAGGGGGTTGTTCATCTAGCATAAATATACCTCCCCACTTTTAAATGCCCGCATCTTATCTCACTTTTTTTTTTTTTTTTTTTTTTTTTTTAAAAAAAATCAACAGGCCGGCATCTCTTCCTACTATTTCTCTTTTACGTACACTTAATGCCAATAATGAAGAATCAAGATGGAGAACACGTTTTTTCTTTATTACTTTTGCTGCCATCTTTATTTACGAATTCATTCCTCAATACATGTTTCCTCTCTTAGGGGGTATATCCGTAGTATGTCTCGCTAATCGTAAATCTATTTGGGCTCAACGTTTATTTGGTGGTCTAGCAGGTGAAAAAAAAAAAAATAATAAATATAAAGTATGTATTTCTTACCTTCTTCTTTTACATAGTGAATGAGGGCCTTGGTATCCTACAACTTAGCTTTGATTGGAATTACTTGGCATCATTGTCTCCTTTGGTATTTCCTCTTTGGGTTCAAATGAATATATATGCTGGTGTATTACTTTTGTATGTGTTGGCTCCACTATTATATTACTTTGACGTTTGGAATGCTCAAAAGTTCCCATTCATGTCCAATTCTCTCTTCTTTCTTAATCAAACTACTGGAGAATCCAAAGTATATCCTCAACATCAAGTGCTCAACCTTGATAACTCGTTGAATTATACAAAATTGGAACAAGTCGGTCATCCTCATTTTACTACTCTTGGTGCTATTGGTTATTTGTTTATGAATTTTGCGGTTACAGCCTCGGTTACTCATGTTCTACTTTATCATGGTAACATCATTTGGGATACTATCTCTTCTACAAGAAAAAAACTCGGTGCAAGTACGGATATACATATGAGGTTGATGTCTGTTTACAAAGAGGTATTTTAATCATTCCTTTACTTGGATTTTACTAATCTTTTCTTCCTATGATGGGATAGTAGGTACCAAACTGGTGGTATTATTGTTTATTTGGTGGTGGTATAGCTATGAATATTGGTGTTGCCTATGCGAATGAAAGTAGATTACCTTGGTGGGGTGTTATAACAGCTATTTCTATTTCTTTGGCGCTCTCTCTCCCTTTGAATATGATTGAAGCCGTGACTGGACAAGGATTTGGACTCAATGTGTTTGCTGAAATGGTTGGTGGCTTTCTCTTTCCAGGACAACCCGGTAATAAATAATAAAAAGAAATAGATATTGTTATCCGCATAGGATGCTTGTATACTTATTTATCTATCTATCAAAAAGTGGCCAATATGTACTTCAAAACACTTGGTTATAACACATTGGCACAAGCTGGACGATTGGCTCATGATCTCAAGATTGGGCATTATATGAAAGTACCTCCACGGTTGGTTTTTTTCCATCAAATGCTTGGTACTGTCGTTGGCAGCCTTTTCAACTATCTAATCAATACTGTAAGTTATCCAAAAGAATATCAAGAAAGAAGAGATGAAACAAAACATTACAAAAAAAAAAAAGTGGAACTGGAATTGACTCTATTATTATTATTATTGTTAGATCATTGTTACTAGTCAAAAGGAAATATTACTGGATCCTGCAACAAATAGTAATACTTGGAATGGTGCATCGATACAAGCAATGAATGCAGCAGCGATATCATGGTAAAATCTTGCTTGGGAAGTATACAACAAAGATTTCTTACCATTTTTTTTTTTTTTTTTTTTTTTTTGGATATCAAAAGGGGAGCTATTGGACCTATGGCAATGTTTGGACCAGATACACAATATTCCATTATACTTTGGGCATTTTTAATAGGATTCATATTACCACTTCCATTTTATTTCCTTCATCGACGGTTTCCGGATGTTGGATTCAACTTGGTCAACGTTCCAATGATTCTTGCTGGTTTACTGATTATGCCTGGATCTGCCTCTTCCTATGTCCTTGTCTCGTTTATTCTCACCATTTCTTCACAATGGTATATCAAAAAGTATCGTCGCGACTGGTTTGTCAAGTACAATTATCTTGTGTCAACAGCATTGGATTCTGGCACGTCTTTGATGGTCTTCTTTGTGGCTTTCGCTTTGATGGGTGGTGGTGATGGAAATGCTTATCCTTTCCCAGTCTGGTTTGGGAATAGATCAGGTAAATTCAATTTGTTAATCTAAAAATCTTCACATGTTTTTCTCTTTCCATTCATTACTAACCATGTATTTATTTTCATTTATTTCTCTATAGATGCCAAATATGCTGATTACTGCTGTATGGACTGCAAATGATTTTTTTTTTTAATAATTAGCTTTAGCTTTTGAACCAAATTATCCCCCTTTTTTTTCAATAAAGACCGGCCAACTATTAACTATTCTCCTACTTCTAACGACTGTATTTATGTTGTGATGTCCTATTGTTGTTATTATTACCTCGCTTGTCATGATCCTTCATTAGGTACTATTCGTCCATCATCACATTTTATCTATAAAAAGGAATCTGAATCACTCATACAGATCTCACTATAGAAAAATTGATAACGACCAATTATGAATCAACATGGAAACCATTAATCATCTTCTCCCAATAAATGAATCATCATAGATATTATGAATAATAAAACATGAATCAGCATAAAAATTAAAAGTCAAAAAAGTTTATCTTTATTTCATTTCCGGAAGAATCTAATTAATAGTAATAATAAAAAGCAACAATGCCAAACTATATACTAGAGTTCATCCTTCTCTGGTCGTTTCTCCTTTTTCTTGGTGATTACCATCGTTTCGGTGGATTGAGGAACTGGTTCGATCTGACCTTGGTATTTGGCATAGTTGTGTTTGTTCATGCGTGCCTGCAAGTCTTTCAAATAAGGTAGGATCTGGTGATATCTATCGAGCTGAATCATGTTAAAGTAAACGTGGAGACCTGCCGAGTTGAGGTCACATCCTTCCTTGGAAAGTATGGCATCTTCTATAAGTGTGATATCGTCGAGCTATAACAAGAATACATCATAAAATTGATCAGTCTATATTCCTCCCTTATATCTATCTATCTATCTTTCTTTTGTCTTTAATTACTTGGCTGGCTTGATATTTATCGTTATATTGATCGCTATATACTATTATCATTACACAATAAATATAGAGTTAATATCATCAAAATAAAATCGTTTTTTTCTAGATATTTATTTTACCTTGTAAACTAATAGGTCCATTGGATTGACAGAGGGTATGAACATTCGATTTCGAATCATCCAATAGTTTGCCATCAAAGTTGCTATGACGGGCGAATACCTAAAAATAATAATAATAATAAGGTTAAATATATATGTAACATAAGATCTATCTTAAATCAAACATCATCATATCATTCTTTTGATTGATATACCTTTGAAAAGTAATGAGACATATCACCACCATTTCGTCGAATACTTTCACCATGGGTAAAGATAATCTTGCTTTGGACACCTACATCTTCGCCATCACCTTCCCAAGCTGCTGTTTCGGGATCGTAATAAACCAGTTCACCCAAGGAAGGCCAATCCATGGTATATTCAGGTTGTACATAGATAAAAGGACATTTATATTGCTCGTATTCATTCGTTCCCAATGTGCGATCTGCTTGAGTTTTACATACACGGTCAATGATGGTTTCCATTTCCTTAAAAGTCACTACACTATCAGGGTCATCCACTATCGAGTTGATGTTCAATACCACCACTTGTTGGAATACTTGTCGTACATAGTCAAATACTTGAGCCAAATAATCTGAAAAACTGATGTTCGTTTCTTTGTTATCAGAACTACACAACGTTGTCTCGCCATTTCTATATATTAACAAAAAAGAAGAACAATAGTTTAAAGAAAAGATATCCTTGTACACTATTTTCTTACCTTGTACATAAATTCAAATCCAAATGCCGGATACCTGTATAAAGATAGAAAAAAGAAAAAAAAAATACTATCAAAAACTGAAGTTTTTTATTATATTTCATCTTACCATCTTGAAGCATGTCAGTAACAGGTCGAGCTTGAGTGGAATCTGGACATTGATATGAATCAGGAGAAAGACCAGCATTATGAACACCTAACCAAAAAAAGTAATTGACGGGAAGATCCTTGTACTCTGGGAAGCCATTACAAGGTAAAGGTTGTTCACTATATTTTTGACAGGGAGTTGAGAACGTAATAGGGTGTTAGCTACATTGTTCTTTATAGTAATTGATGGTTAAGGTTTTCTTACGTATAAGATGCATAAGTCGATTGTATAAGACCAAGAAGAAAGGTTGCTGATGTAAAGATGGCTTTCAGTGTAGGCATACTGTTTAAAGAGAAAAAAAAAAAAAAGCAAAAAATGAGGATGGCGAAAAAAGCACTTCTTCCAAAGTTTGGACTTTTCACTCCGCCGCCAAGCTTTGAATTTTTTCTTTCATTTCTCCCTCTTCTTTTTCTCTTTTTTTTTTTTTTTTTTTTTTTTTTTTATGATCTAACCAAGACTTTATCTGTACATGAACCTTCCTTAGAACTGTATAACATTCATAATGTCCTTTAAATCGGTATCTTGTACTGGTAAGCGTGAAAGAATACAAGAAACTATCTAACTAATAATAATAATAATATTATTATTTGATATGTAGAATGTCGCAAACAACATAGAAAGTGTGTACGTCCTGTTGATGCTGATCCTTGTATACGATGTCAGCGTATGCAACTTGTATGTGTACTACCGTCATCTGAACATACGATAGATCCTAATGAAGCGGTGGATGGAACTAAGCAACTGAAGCGAATGCGGGAGACTGTCGATCTACTTCAACAAACTATTCAACAAGTCGAACTGGAAATGGAACAATATCGAAACAGCAACAGCTTTTGTCCTAAACCGTCAGCAATACAAGAGAATGTTATGACTGCAACTTGCTGTGATAAATTTGTGGATCCCGTTTGTTGGTCGGTGGACGATTCATTTAGCGAAAGCGAAAATAGTTGCAGTACAGGTGGTAGCAACCATACCAATATCAACGATATGGAAGAGGATGAACTAGTACAAGGCAATGATGCTATGGATGATTCTCATGATAGTGATAATACGCAACTACAACGTTTTGATGATCCGCAACAACAACAACAACAACAGCAACAACAACAACAAGAACAAAAACAACAACGACTTTTACTATCGAATGGCAAGGAATGGAAAATGACATTGGTCAATGGTCAATGGAGAATTGAAACTGGGATCAATACTATCAGCGGACTTGAACATCTCAGTCAAACATTGTATCGAGCACTATCACCATTTCAAAATATTTGTGTGGATACACCTATTACAATTGCACCATGCGAATCTCGGACATTGTTCCCTGTTACCATCAAATTAGCTCGCAATCATTTATTATATTCAGTTAGAGCAACATTGGAAAGTCAGCGTCTTTTCCCAACACCTTCTATACTACTCAATGAACCTAAAATGGTGATCGATAGACTGGTTGACATGTATTTCGAACGTTACAATCCTTCTATGACCTTTGTGCACGAATCTACTTATCTGACTTATTATCATCAATTGAAGAATCCTTTAAAATGTCCGGTGACAATGGCTCTTTGTTCTTATGTATGCTGCGGTCATCATGGAGCGACGACAACAACAGACGATAGTATGGATGACGATGACGATTCTATTTATCCATCATGGTACGCGAGAATGGTGGATCGACGTGCGATGGGCGAATATTTTTATCGACAATGCCGTGATATATTGGATGATACTTTTGATGACCCTCGACGACGATTGGAAACGGTGATGGCTATCAACATTCTCAAACGATTCTTAATGAATACTCTTCGGGTGTCGGAAATGCGAAAATTGGAAACGATGGCATATCTTATCTGTCTTGATTTAAAACCACAGTATCAATCCCCAGCACAAACATCCAAGGTGGAATGGGCGATGTTTGCTCGACATTTTGCATTCTCAGTCTGGTGCCATGTGGCAGTGGATTTCTTTATGGATAGTATTTCGCAGCATGATGACGTTGATTTTATCCATTTGGAACCTCTTCCTGGTGAATCCGAATATACTCGACAATTCTTGTCACTGCAAAACTTATTTTTCGACATATTCCTGGATCGATCGGTGTGTACTGTTTTTGAACATTGTCAGAATATACTGTTAGGCAACGAGGTAGAGATGACTTTGGAAATGATTTTACGATTTGAACAAGTAACAATCAAGTGGTGGCAAAACCTACCGGCAGATTTCCAACTGTGTGATGATCCTTACAGTTTTGATGCAGTTAAAGCCATGATTTATCAAACTCAAGACGATTGCAAATTGACGTTATTTGTCTTCTTTTTGGATTTGATCATTACTTTCCATTCATGTCTTTTGAAGGTTCGAACCAAGGTGATTGATAACAACAACATAGTAGACACTGATAATGATGTTTTATCTCTGATGCATGAAAAATCCGTCAAGGTATGCTTGGAACTCTCTGAAATGTTAGTTTTGGTAATAAATCAATTGGATTCGAATGTTGCATATACACAATGTAAGCTCAAACAAAAAAAAAAAAAATCAAAAAAGGAAGATGAAATGATAATCCTTTTCTCTTTTTTTTTTTTTTTTAAAAAAAAATGTATATAAATTAGTTCTTAGTGATGTGTTTCTATTCGTTGCAGTGGATGTACTTGCTTCATTAACCTTTGATGAAGATAAGACGGTGGCTCTCAAGGCAAAACAAAAATTGGCCATGTGTTTCTCTGCATTGGATGCTGCTGACTTTATGGCTGGTCATCGTGTTCCTTTGGCATCATCACCTCTTACGGCTAATCTGATCAATTCAAACGCTACTTTATTCCATTTGTATAATCAATATCCTCAACCTCGTTATGCCCTTTTATATGATATGTGTCGTTTTCTTTCTCCTTTAGAATCTAATCCATCTTCTTATTTATGATATTTATTGTATTATTATTATTATTATTATTATTATTATTATTATTATTATTATTCTTTGTGATCATGTGTTTGTTTTTTTTCGATAGTTTAGAATAATAATTGCATTCTATCATCCTCTTTTAATAAATCAAAACGTATTTTTTTTTGTTGTTTTCTATTTTCAATATAAAAAAAAATCCTCGTTTTATATACGTATCAATTACATAAATAATAGTGATGATGATGATGAATACAAAATGACAATCTCCGCTAGTGATCGATCCTCAATAAAAAGTGTAACAATATACAACAAAAAAGGGGGGAAATCAAAGGGGAAAATAAGGTTTTGGCTTTCATTGGTCAATGAAAAAAAAAAGAGTAGGTTGCTTGGCTGAGTGTAAATAAAGTTCAATTTTTTTCATTTTCTTTTTTTTCACACACACTTTTTTTTTTTGATCCTTTTTTTTTTTTTACTTTTTTCTTTTTCCGTTTTCTTCCCTCTTTATCATATTCCTTAAAAAAAAAAACTTGGATTATTTTGAATGCAGCATTTATCTCAAGAATACGATTCAAGATCACTTCATCATCCATCTGTAAATAATACAGTTTTTTCAGATCAAAATATGATTCAACAAATGGGAGACGAGGATTCGGATGATGATAGTAGTAAACCGGGCAAAAGATCAGGAAGAAGAAAAATCAAGATAGAGTATATTGAAGATAAGTCAAGAAGACATATCACTTTTTCAAAAAGGAAAGCTGGTATTATGAAAAAGGTAAATTCGTCAGATGCATCTCCTCTTTTAGTTAATACATCAATGGATCGTCATCTTACCTTTTTATAATAGGCTTATGAACTCAGTACATTGACAGGAACTCAAGTATTATTATTGGTAGTCTCTGAAACTGGTCTTGTGTAAGTAACAAAAAAAATAAAAATAAAAATAAAAATAAAAATAAAAATAAAAGATGCTTATTTTTTTTTTTTCATTGATTTTTTTTAGTTACACATTTACCACACCGAAATTACAACCATTAGTTACAAAACCTGAAGGAAAAAATTTGATTCAAGCTTGTTTGAATGCCCCTGAAGCAACTTCTGGTTCTGATCAACATACTGCTGTAAGTGTTAACAAAAAAAAAAAAAAAAAAAAAAAAAAAAAGACGCCATTTATAGATTATTCATTCTTTTATTGTTATTACCTCAGCCTCATCCACCTACATCACCCAAACCAAATCAAACTAGTGCAACCAATATGATCAAATCAGAACCATACTCCTCATCTCTACATCATCATGGATCAAATAATGTATATTCTCAACAACAACAACAACGAGACAACAAGGTAAGTGCTATCATCAGAAACCATATATTTGTTTGATGATGTTTTATTTATTTATTCTTTTCTGATAGGTCCCGTTATCGCAAACATCGAGTTACCATCATACGTCAACAAATGAATCTTACTCTCAGCAACAAAGTTATCATCAACAACAGCATCCTCATCATCAACCTCATTCTTATGGTCCTCCTTCCACCCCTTATCCATCATCTTACGATACAAATCATACTTATCCTTCTTATTCAAATAACAATCATTCTTCTTATTTACATCCCCAAGGTAGCCATTCATCCTTTTAACTCAATAAATAAAAACATTCGAACAATTATTTTTTTTTTGTATGATTTATATATATATATTTTTTTTTTGATGGAATGATTTTTTTTTCTTTGTGAGAATATTATTTGTTGTCAAACAAAAAAAGATATTCTTTTAAAGTTATATCATTGGGTCGATCACTTTGTATTCCCATTTTCATCCCCCATCTGACGTTCATCTCCCGACGTTACCTAAATCATCTCGTATTGGTTGCACAACACATACCGTTCATCCTCCTCATGGTATTTGCCATTACGTAGGAGAATGAACAAATAAAAAGTGACAAATTATTTATTGATCATTGTACAAGTAAATGGTGTAAAACACTTGATATTACATAAGGAATGAATACAAAAGTATTTGTGCAAATATGAAAACATGTTACCATGTACAAACAATAACGAGATATCATCATTCTTCAAATAAACAACGCACACACACACACATGTAGATCAATGATAAGAAAAAAAACAACTTTATTTTGAATTTGTATCATAGATGTATATATATAAAAATTCAACTAAGGAGGGTAGGATAGATAGATAAGGATCTAATAATAATAATAATAATAAAAGGTAGGGAACGAGTTCAATTAAGCTTTGTATAATAGATCAATAAAACCAGCAGCTACATCTTCAACAATAGACTTGTCAGGAATACTTGCAGCAGTACCATAAATGGCCGCCGTACTACCTTTACCACTATCAGGGTTAGTCACCAATTCTTCTACAGATTCCTTGAGATCCTTAACAAATTGATCTGCACTGTTAACCCATAACATTGTCACTGAGATATGTAATGCCGCTGGATTTTGTAAGGGACTGATATTCCATCCGCGTGCTGATAGTTTATCTCCAACATCATATATATTCATTGTTTCTACTGATCCAAAAGCAACTACCAAAAAAAAAAAAAATTGTTATTATTGTAATATCCAATTTATATTTCAATTATTTCTTTCGTTATGACTTACCCACAGGACCAATAGGATCGCCTTTCACATGTAATTGTGGTATCGATTCAATACTATCCATCAAACATAGTTGTTAGCTTACTCCTTCAATAGTTTTTTTTTTTTTTTTTTTTTTTTTTTTTTTTTTTTTTTTTTTTTTTTTTTTTTTACCCTTTCTGAATTTTTCGTCTTGCTTGAATAATTTGTTGACAAGTATCTAAATAACCATCTTCTCCCATTTTCATTAAAGCAGCCCAGCAACCAGCAATCAAAGCACCAGGTCTATAAAAATAAATGTATATTTAAATATATACAGAAAAAAGGTCTGTCAAATCATCCATGTTGAATTTACCTTGAACCAGCCACGCTAGGTGAAGCATAGATACCTCCAGTCCAATCGGCAGATAAGAAATATTGATACTTTCGAATGCTTGGATAACGATACATAATGATGGAGGATCCCTTTGCAGCAAATCCATACTATCGACCAAAAAAAAAAAAAAAAAAATTAAGGTTATCTCATGTATCACTTTTTTTTCTGTTTCTTCTTCCCTCCTCTTACCTTGTGAGTATCACACGAGATGGATGTCACACCATCCACTCTGAAATCGAAAGAAGTAGTGGGTAAACCGGCCTTTTCAAGGAATGGCATGACAAAAGAACCCAAACAACAATCCACATGTAATCCAATCTTGTATTTTTTGGCTAGTTGTCCCAAAGCTACAATGTCATCTGCAATACCATGAGGGAAATTTACCACAGAGCCAGCAATCTATATATGGAAAATAAAAGATTTCATACTCAGTAACCTTTTTGTTCAACAAATATCCTTATATCCGCACCCATATATCTCTTTTTTTTTAAGCTCATTTGTACCATGATTGTATTTCTTGTAATCGCTTTGGCCATCTTCTTTACATCCACCTTGTAAGTAATAGGGTCCACAGGTACAGTAATCAATTTGATATTAAAATATTCAGCCGCTTTCATAAATGCTGCATGAATAGTAACAGGCACTACCCTAAAAGAAAATAAACAAAATATCGATATAAATAGAGTCAGCATAATGATTGATGATTATTACAATACTTTACATTTCAGGATCATGAATGCCTTTCAAATCTTTGTACATATCACGATAGGTCTTGCAAGCCATTACAATAGATTCAGTTCCACCACTTGTCATTGTTCCACATCCAGTTGCAGGAGCGTTATACATACTTAATACCATTGCTACGGATTCAGCTTCCATACGTCGAATACCAGGGAAAACCTCAGGATGTAAAGGATTGGCTACAGCAAACATACGGTAAGCTTCTGCTAAGAGTTCCGTCAATTCATCACCACCATGATAAATTGTACCAGATACTTTTCCACTCTTCCAATCAGCACATTTGATGTTTTGTAATCTATATTCAAAATTATTATTATTATTCCAAAAAGTCATCCTTTTGTATCTCATGATCTTACTTTTTCAGATTATCCAGTACTTCTTGTTGTGACATACCATGTGCAGGTAATCGATGATGATGCGTAATATCGCCTTCTTTGGAGAATATGGATTCTTCCATTTCACGAATAGTCTTATTGAGTTCAGCGTCGATTTTAGCTTGGACAGAAGGTAATTTACGTAGTTGTCGAAATACAAACTAAATCAAAATTACATTAATTCTTAAGAATCACCTTCTTTTTTCTTGTATATTATTTTACCTTTTTAATAAAATCTCTAAAATCAGTTAATGCACGCACAGGACCACCTACAATCACCTTGGCATAAAAACGACCCCAATAATGGTATAAGACCAAGAGAAAGACAATGTTCTTGATGAGTCCAAGCTGTCGACTATCCAATACTCTATTTAAAAAGGAGGTTAATTTTAATAAAGTTTCAGGTTTAGATAAGGAATTGGCCATGATAGAATTTAAAAAGATTAAAAAAAAGAAATAAAAAGGAAAAAAGGAAAAAAAAAAAAAAGAAATGGAAAAAAGAAGACACCAAGGAAAAATAATATATGTGTGCGTTTTGAAAGAGGATTTGAATATCCGCAACAAAAAAAAAAAGTAACTTTCAAAGAACCTAAAAAGGAATGTCAAAAAAAAAGGGTTCATACACAAACATCCAGAATATATTATATAATTTTTATTCAATGAAATCAAAGCTATCTAAATTAAAAAATCTATTAACTATTGAGCTACAACATCTACCTTGGAGATGCGTAATACGGTATGAGTTTGCTTATGTTCAATGGTACGCTTATAGTTCTTTCTTCTTTTCTTCTTGACAATTTGAATCAACTTGCTCTTGGTATGTTCAATCACAGTAGCTTGAATATCGTATAAATTTTCTTGCACATAAGGTTGACCGACCAGTGAATAGTCTTTACTGCCCAATTCTCGTACACGATCCAACTTTAATACATCACCCACTTTGACATCTTTAAGTCGGTTCACAATCACCTTGTCATTTTGTGTAATCAAAAAAGGTCGTCCTGCGATTTCAGCAACTGCATAGTAACGTAATTGATCTCGTAGTTTTTGTACACATGAAGCTGTTGTAGAATCGAGTGATGTTGATAAACCACGACGAAGGATATCTATACAAAAAAAAAATAATAATAATATCAGTCATCTTATAACAAATAAAAAAGAATTCTTAAAAGTGACATTTTACTTGATGGTGATGATAAAGTAGCTAAATAAAATAAAAAATAAAAAAGTATCAGGAAAAGTTCATCAATTTATTTTATATTCTAAAATGGAACTTACCTCTTATACTGGATGATGCATGGATACCAACGTTTCGTAAGGCTGAAAAGAACATGGTAAAAAAATATAAAGTGAAAAGAAAAGAAAAAAAAAAAATAGAAACAAAAATGGAGCCCAGATTTTTTTTTTTCTTTGGTTCAATTCAGAGCGCCCTGGCAAAATATCAGTGGCTGAGCATTGCCACAACTCATTCAGTCTACTTATCTTTTTTTCGCATGATTTTTTTTTTTTTTTTTTTTTTGATCTCTCCCATTTCCCCACTCATGCAATTTGTCCAATAGTTGAACATCATTTCCGATGATAGGTAATGAAAGTTGTTCTTTCCAAAAAAAAATATTATATATAAAATCATTTATTTATTTTTAATGTACCCAAAAAAAGTACATAGTTATTTCAATTGAATTCTTTTAATAATTGTGGACAAAGAGAAGTTTTTTAATTTTGAAAATTGATAATAAAATTCGATTTTAAATGAGAATCACGAAAAAGAAAGTTTTACATGAAAAGGGAAATTCATCAATCATGGGAAAATTTTTGCCCGGTTTCCTTGCTACTATTTATGCCTCTTTTTTTTCTTTTTTCTTTTTTTTCTTTTACTTCTTCTCATCATCCTTTCTTTTTTTCTTTTTTTATTTCTTCTTCTTCTTCTCTTCCTTTCTTTTTTATTCTATTGCAAATGGTATTATATAAATTCATTGCTCGACCTAATATTTGGACAAGACATATCATTCAACGACCTTCCATTAGTATGGGCATGATGGCAATAAGGCGTTCCACGTCATCTTCCAACTCGGAAAAGCAAACGATGATACCAAGCTTTGTTCAAGATTGGCAGCAAACCAAACAACGGGTACGACTGGTGGAAAAGGATACGATAGATGCATCCTCGTTTAATCTTATGGGTAATAGTTTAAATGATCCTATCTATCATCATGACCATCTACCTACGACAGGAACAGAACTCCCACCTGGTTGGCATTTGGCGTATTTCCCTCCTCGGTGCCCTGAACAGGACCTATCCAAGGATGGATATGAACAAGATTGGAAACCTCCTTCTCCTTTTGATCATAGAATGTGGGCTGGTGGTAAACTACGATGGAATCAAAAGAACAGGTTACGTGTAGGTCAAGACGTTACCATGACATCTCAGTTGAAACGACTCGATTGGCATCCTGGAGGTCAACGTGGAGATACTCTTTTCACTTGGGTAGATAAAACAATAGGGAACAAAGATGGTTGGGCCGTTGTAGAAACAAGATGTTGGGCTTTTGTCAAGGATCAACCCGATAAGCCATTGGAAAAGAAGAAACAAAAACAAATATTGAATCAAAGTAAACATTTTGGGCAAAAAAAAAAAAAAAAAAAAGGTAGAGGAATTGGACAACTGACGAGTACTATTTTTTTTTTTTTTTTTTTTTTTTTGTAGATATCCTTGATCATCCTGATTTCACCTTTTCATGGACACCATCACCTATCATGCTTTTCCGTTTCTCAGCTTTGACCTTCAATTCTCATTTGATTCATTATGATCAACAATATTCAAAAGAAGTGGAACGTCAACAAGGTAAAAAAAAAAAAAAAAAAAAAAAAAAAGGTGATGTAAAGATTGTGAAAAAAAAAAGAAAACCTAATATAGATCATGATTCAAATTAGATTGCCTCGTTCATGGTCCTTTGTCACTTACTTGGATGCTAGACAGCCTTCATCGACATCTTAAAAAAGTGGATACAAACAAGTATATTGAATCGTTGGAATATCGATGTTATCGACCATTGATAGTACGTCAACCATTGGTGGTGGCTGGAAAACAACAAGCAGAAAACCCTGGTGATTTCGACCTCTGGGTGCTGGATGCTCAAGGAAATGTGGCCGTACATGGTGTAGCCTCTGTTGGTTTCTCAATGTAGTATAGTTATGATTTTTTTTTATCTAGTTAGTTTGTTGTTGTCAAAGGATGATTTTTCCAATAAACCCTCTTATACCTTATGCTTTTTCGTAATATTAAAGTATTTATCACGACAATGTGTTGGAAATGAAATACATGAACGAAATATCCTCGTTGCGATGATGAATAATGATGTGATGATAATGGAATGGATATGTCTATGTTCCGAAAGTTCTGCCTTGATTTCCATCGAAGTGAAACTAACCTTTGTACGTGATCTTTGTCATCTCACAAAGTTTGGGTATAAAGATAGATAATCCTATATCATGTCGATGCCTGATAGATTATCTCAATTATTCCATGATTTTCTCTTTCTTTTTCATAAATGTGTTCTTGACTGGAAACAAACAATAATAGCAAGTAATTAATAAAAATTAAGGGGATGATAAACTTGATTTTATTTTTTTTGAATATACAAAAAAAAAAAAAAAATAACTATCATAATTAAAAAAAAAGAAAATGAATCATACTAAACTGAAAACTACGAAAAGAAATAAAAGAATCGCCCGAAGCACTAAATATTTTTGATTTTCTTGCTGGTAGGTATATCTTCTCTTCCATCCAATAATCCTGTTCTTTTATATGATTGATGATGTAGATAATCTTGTTGCTGCTGCTGTTGATTGCTGTTGTTATTCCATTTTGATTTGGTGTTGTTCGTACCGTTTGGTAAAGGCCAATAAAAAGTAGAATTAGAATTTGATGTTCCGGTGGCAGTGGCAGGAGTGGTGGCGAATTGTAAAGGACTAGGGAGTTCATTTTGAGTCTGATAAAAATGAGGATAAAAAGAGGATGGACTTGGCAAATTTTGTACAAATTGTTGTTGTTGAGTGGATGTGACTACAGAGTGAAGGTAATTTGTTGATGTATTTTTTGTGTTGCTACCAGTGGCGCTATGATCTGGACGAGAAATCACTGTGGAAGTGGCAATATCTGGAGGATTCTAAAAATAAATATTGGTAAACAGGAATGACAGGGGAAAAAAATTAAAGTTTTCTTTTTTTCTCTTTTTCGATTATAGATGTTACCTGATTTGATTTGATTGTTCCAATTACAGGTGGTTCAACTTCGGCGTTATTTTCCTTCGGTATATCGAGTGTCAATTTCGGCCGTTGCGATAAATAGGTAGTAGAATTGTTCTTTAGATAACCATTGGTTCTTGACGATGATGATGATGACGGTGATGATACTGATGACGATGAAGAAGAAACGTATGATGCTGGTGCACATGAAGTATTCCCATTAATGAATGCCGACGATGTTAGTGTGGAAGACGAATAATTCACATTTGCTGCGTCAGTAATATTGGGAGACGAAGATGGCGTTGAAGACGTTGTTGGCGTTGCTATATTTTTGGAAATTGTCATACTCTGTGATATACTTGACTGATCCAACGATGATGATGATGATTGCATTTTCCGTGCTGTCAGATCGGTAGTTGAATTGATGGTAGATCTCATATGAGAAGGCTGTTCATATCTAGGTTGCATATGGAACATTGGTTTGAGTGACGACTATATGATGCATAAGTAAAAAAAAAAAAAAATGTTCAGTTAATAACAAGTCTTGTGTTTCTTCCTTTGTTTGAAGTGATATGAATTTACATGAGGATCAGAATACAAGGGATAAGGTTGACCTTCAATTGTGTTGTTGTATACCGGATAAGAGGACATGTTAATGGTAGATGAAGTTTCTTGAGTTGAATCAGTCGTAAAAGTGGGTAGATGTCTAGATACCATAGAAGAGGAAGAAATGGAAGGATCTTCATTGTCCGATAGGTCAAGAGAACCATCATCATGATGATTTCTATCACCATTTGCAAACTATGGATGATCATCACGATCAGTATAATAGATTTACCTTTTTTTTTTTTTTTGCTTCTTTTGATTGAATAATACTTACGTCATTATTTGTTTTAGTCTCATAAGGATCACCAAACTGATAGTAGTAAACAGAAAAAAAAAATGATTAATTGGTATATTATATATATATATATATTGAAGTTTACCTCTGTATATCGCATCAATACTTTATCAATATCATTACTTGAATATTGTACCAATTTGTTGTTTGAATTAAAGATAATCAAGGCAATATCACATCCACAAAGTACACTTAGTTCATAAGCTTTTTTCATAAGTCCATTTTTTCTTTTGAGAAAGGTAACCTAAGTGATAATAAATTATTTAACTATTCTTTCCTTTCAAAGTGGATCTAATTTACCTGTCTGTTGCGATCATCATGAATTGGTTGGATCTTGATTTTTCTGCGTCCCATGTCAAGAGTATAAATAGTAAAAAGATATAAATATAAATATATATATATATATATATATATATATAAAAAAAGGATACTGCGAAGAAAAGAAAGGTGTTTAATGAAAAAAGGGTGAAATTGAAATGTATTATAGGCAAAAAAAGAAAAAAAAAACCAATGCACCGAAAAAAATCTAAAAATAGACAAGCTCCCCTTTCCTTTATTGATACTCAGACATGACATGACAAGACATCATAAGTGAAAAAAAAAATATGATTTTTATTTTATTAAACGATTCAATTCATTCATCAATATACCCCCAACACTAGCAACATTCATAGATTCTACATTGTTTGCCATAGGCATGGATATTCTAATTTCATCGTCCAATCCTTGTACACCTTTATGTTCAGAGCTAAGAATCAGCGCTGGTCGTTTCGGTAACATGGGTTCCTTGTCCTTAAAATTCCATAACCATGGACCTGTTCCAATAGTTGGTTGATTTTTTACTTGATCATAATATCCAGTAAGAGGTGACCAGAGATCCGATGTATTCATTGTTTGTGGCATCATATCCGCAACCAAAGGCGTCATATCGTATGATTTTAAAAATTCCACAAGTTGTGATATCGGTAACACGTTATATTTCCATCGTAAATTGAGCGCTCTTGATGCACGTATCGTTTTATCGTTGTAAAAGTCGCATGTTCCTGTAGTCAACACTCCAGAATCCCAACCAAGTGCCTTACCAGTACGTATCAGAGTGCCAAGATTACCAGGATCATTGACATGATCACATACTAAGAACCGATCTACTTGATCTTTGGATGGTAGCGTATGATCAGGTATAGGGATTTCTGCAAACACTTCATGTCTTCCAGGGCGTGAAGCTGTACCAAGAATTCTTCGAGTCAAATCAACATCCACCAAATAGTAATATTCTGAAAGGAAAGCATCAGGATTCTGAATCACTTGTAAAGCAGGGAATTTAATAGCTGATTCAGTATAAGGTTCTCGTTCTGCTGTCACTACTAGACTTTTGATCTGTTGTCCTTCGTCTCGTAATTCACGAATAGTTTTCATTCCTTGTACCAAAACCGTATTTTGTTGTAGGCGATATTGTTTACCTTCACGAAGTTTGATAAAATGTTGTACATATTTATTTTGTTGACTTGCTAGCCGTTTAAATAGTTTTGGAAATTGATATAATGCTGGTTTCGATGACATGTTTGAAATTGAAAGAAAAAGAAACAAGAAAAAAAAAAAAGGAGATTTTCAAAGTCACTGGAAAAAAAAATCAAAAAGAAAAAAAAAAGTGAGTGAGCGGAGTTGCCTTTTTAATCGAACAAAAGAAAAAATCAGGTACAAACAGTAACAAATGATAGTATAAAATAAAACAGAAGGGTCTCTTTTTCTTTTTTAGTTTTATTTTTTATTTGATTACAATAGATGATTACAATTATATTGACTATCACTACATTGAGTATTACTATATACTATGCCAAGAATTATATCAGATATGGATCAGTGAAAAATCAACTTTATCCTCCTTTTGCTCCACAACGAATACCTTTATTTGGCCATACTTTACATTTTATCAAACCAATCTCTGTACAAGAAGTATTTCGATTATGGAGTTTACAGGTTGGATCTGTTTTTACCGTACAACTTGGATCTAAGTATTGGGTAGTACTGAATTCTGTTCAAGCTGTTAAAGATTTAATTGTGGAAAGAAGTACAATTTATTCTTCAAGAGATTTACCTTCCACTTTAGTAGATGATATCATGGCTGGAGGTTAGTTTTCTTGTTTTTCCAAAAAAAAAAAAAAAAATAGGAAGATTATTTGTATGATGATCAATGATAGAAAAATGTTTGGTATTGTTCTTCTTACCTTTTTTTTTCTTTTCTTTCTTAAAAATATAGTAAATAAAGGTGGTGCCTTTGCTTTTTATCCTTATGGTCCTGAATGGAGACACCTGAGAAGAATTGGTCGGTATATGAAAAATCCAACAGAAAAAAAAAAGCTATTTTTCACTTATCTCTCTTTTTTTTTCCTTTTCTTTTCTTTCTTTTTTTTTTTTTTTTTTTTTTTTTTTATCTTCGTATTCCTTTCATATTAAAGCTCATGGTGGATTGGTGAAAAGAAAGATCAATGATTATCAATCTATCTTCAATGAACGACGAACAGCATTACTTTCGAATATTTGGCGAAATAGTCAACAAAATAACTGTATCTTTCTCACCAATTTTATTGAGCATTACACCATGACATCTATACTTACCATTGCCTTTGGTAACATATGCAACTTTGAAGCAGGTGATACTCGTCTACATGAAGCCTTTGCCTTGACTGAACGTGCTGCTGCAAGTTTTGGCACTCGAGAACAATTGACTGAATTTTTCCCTATTCTCAAATATGTGCTTCCAAGTCGTAAGTCAGAATACAAAGATGTAAGAAAGAAAATGAATGGTTTTTATGGTGGTTTATTGGACGAATTCAAAGCAAAATGGGAAAATGATCAACATGCTACTGAAGAATGTTTTATCAAAGATATCCTGTCTGGGGGAGAACTAACTGATTTACAAATGATGAATTTTATCACTGTGTTTGTTGGTGCAGGTAAATACAAATGAAGCACCATACATAAATCGTAATAGATGATTTGACCTGATTCTTTTTTTTTTTTTTTTTTTTTTGAATAAGTAGGCTCTGAAACAACTGCTTCCACTCTAGAATGGATGATTGCCCTTTTAGGGAATGATCCTGATATTCAAGATAAAGTATATAAAGAGATTGAAGAGAACGTTGGTTTGGATCGACTACCTGAAGCTAATGATGGTAAGGAAATGTTTTTTTTTTTTTTTTGTGATTGATGTTCTAACATACAAACGATACATGATAAATTTTTATCTCGACATAGAACGATATCTCCCCTATCTACAATGTGTTATTCATGAAACTCTTCGATTTCGTTCCCCAGCACCAATGGCAGTACCTCACGCAACCAGTGAAAATGATATCTACAAAAATTGGCTCATTCCAGCAAACACCACCATCATTATCAATCTGCACGCCATTCATAAAGATCCTATTCGATATCCCAAGCCTGATCTATTCTACCCTGATCGTCATATGGATTATGTTCAACGACAACTACATCAACAAACACAACGATTTAGTCAAACAATAGAGGATCGCCCTCATCTTGCCTTTTCTACAGGACGACGTGTATGTGTAGGAATTCATCTGGCTGAAAGAAGTATTTTTATGGCTGCAAGCGCTTTATTAGCATGTTTTCGCTTTGAACGTGAATCTATGGATCTCATCGACATCGACACTCCAAAAGATATTCGATCACCCACTCTTAGTCCTTCCCCTTACAAGATCAAGGTTATCCCAAGGCATGATCATGTTGACTCCTTCCTTACAGTTTAGTTTTACCTTAATTTTTTTTTTTCTAGATTAGCAATCTTATATTTCTATCATGATTGGTTAATAAAATTCATTTTATTTACGCTACTTTCTACAATTGTTTTAGTAGCCATCTACGTCCTGTCATCATATATAACCATCATCTATCATACTATTCTCCACTACGCAACCTTCGTCACCATCATATGATTAACATCTGCCTTTATCCATTATCACCAAGACGCCGTACTTATTGCCCTTTTGTTGCATTCCGTCCTAGGTACGGTACACATAATAGAAATCGTTTATAACGACAAAGATCTTGTGTATAGAACTGCATGTTCGCTTTATTGTAAAAATAAATAAATACTTGTTTAAATGCATGAATGATGATGAAGATAATATAAACAAGGGAAAAAAAAAAGGAATGAAGAAGAGTAACTAAAGTAAATAAAGATGTACTGGTATTTTCTATTATTCTAAAGTGGATAATCTATTCTAATTGTTCATATTATTGAAATACTTGGGAGCTGCCAAAGGTAACCAGGCACTTTGAATGGTAGATACACTTCGAACATAATGTTTGGTAGTAAATACCTATAGATAGACAAATAGGAGCAAAAGACAAAATAATAATAATAATAATAATAATAAAGGTGTTAATAAATGCTCTGCTCTTTCTAAAATTGTACTCATCACTTTTATTTTTTTTTCTCTTACCAGTTCATTGTACATGATGCCTTCCACACGTTTTCCAAACATGGCCGATCCAGGATGTATTTTAACAGTTTGACTACCAGCAACGCTTTTATAAGATCCATCAGGTTGTAACAAAGCCGAGTTTTGAAAAAATCCAGTCAAAAAGCATTTCAATACTTGATCTGTATCAGTACCACAAGTTGTAGAAGGATTGATGCCAATACGTTCACAAAATCGAATAAGCTGATCCCTAACATCCAAGGCTATCTTGACGTTTCGAATGTTGATAAAATGATCCTTGCACCACCCAATGTCACCTTTCACTTCCCAATAAGCTTTGAGCACGTTCAGTAACGTCAGATGATCACCATCAGGATGTAAGAATTTCCGCCTTGATTCATTCGCTTCTTCACGTTTGTCCGAAGGTGTAAAGAAGATGGAATCTACAGATAGTAACGATACAATGGCTATTACTTCCATAGAGCATCCATAATCACTAGATTGAATAATCACTTTGGAAAAAGTGGGATCCAGTGGAAATTCAGACATTTTCTTTCCTAATGTTGATAAATGTCCTTTGTCATCAATGGCACCAAGTGCATAAAGTTCTTCAAGAGCGCGAATTACTATTAGTTTGTAAAAAAAGAAAAAAAATGGAAATATGAGAAAAAGTTTGAGAAATAATATATATATATATATATATGAAGGCATTGATTTTACTTACATGAAGCTCTAGAGGGTCGATCCATATAATCAAATTCCAAGACATTGTCAATACCAGAAGCTTTCAAAGATAATACAGCAGCAGCTAGGTTACATCGACGTATTTCAGGTACTGTGTCATCATCTAATTCCCTAAATGCATCTTCAGTATATAGTCTATAACATACACCAGCAGCCTATCAAAATCGATAATTAAAAAAAAAAAAAAAAAGATATTAGATATATCCAGGATTTTTCAGAAAAAATATTATTTTTTCATTTGTGGTTTTTACCTCTCTTCCAGCACGACCGGTTCGCTGCCAAGCAGAGCTTTTGGATATAGGATGGAGCAATAAGGATTCAACACCAATTTTTGGATTGAAACCACGTAACTTGGCCAAACCACAGTCAATGACATATTTGATTCCAGGAATAGTAATACTTGTTTCGGCAATGTTGGTTGCTAGAATCACCTTACGAGTTTTTGGAGGCGCGGGATCAAAAACTTTTTGTTGTTGTGATGGAGGTAAAGCAGCAAATAAAGGACAGGCTAATAATTTTTGCTGAGAAGGTTTTAATTGAGATGCATATTCATTGATGAGTGATGTGAGTGTTTCAATTGCGTCTTGTCCTATTATCAACAAAAATAAGAAGATGTGTTAGTAAAAAGAAAAAAAATGATATTTGTCAGATTCATATTTTTCCTTTTTTTTTTTTTTTTTTTTTTTACCAGGTAAAAACATTAATATATCACCCTTAGGATTCTTGACATGGATTTGGAAGATAGTGACCAAAGATGCATCCAAGTAGTCTGCTTGAGGTTCTTGAGTAAAGTAAGTATCAACAGGAAATAATCGACCAGAGACATAGAGGATCTTTGCACTATCAAACAGATATATATAAATATATATACTAAACACATCAAAAATGGATAACCATTTCTATTTTTCTTACCCATCAAAGAATTCACTAAACTTTTCAGCATCTAATGTAGCACTCATGACGACAATTTTGAGTTCTTCCACATCTTCACCGTTGGCACGTTTTTCCTTTCGGATTCTTTGAATTTTCTTTACCATACCAAATAACATATCCGTTCGTAGGGTTCGTTCATGTGCTTCATCCAAAACAATCACTTTGTATCGTAATAATAATTCATCAGATAAAACTTCCCTGAGTAACATACCATCAGTCAAATATTTAATCAATGTAGCATCACTTGAAGTATCATCGAAACGCACAGTATAACCAATCTAAATATATAAAATATATCTTTCAATATTAACTCTTTTACATATATATATATATTTACTTTTCCTCCAAGTGTAGTCAAAGTTTCTTCTGCCACACGTTTCGCCAAATTCACAGCAGCAACTCGTCTTGGTTGAGTGACAGCAATGGCACCTTTATCGTAGGACGCCATTCCTGCTTCCAATATAAATTGAGGAATTTCTATTGAATAAAAAAAAATAATTAAAAATAATTAAAAATAAGATCAACTATTCATAATGAGAGAACTTACGAGTAGTTTTCCCTGAACCAGTTTCACCCATAACAATGACAGTAGAGGCATCTTGTATATTTTGAATAATAGAATCTCGACCTAAATATATATATAAAGTTAATATAAATAATGAAATGATATCAACCTTATATTACCAGAATAAATAGGAAGTTGTTTACGAAATTGGAGCATTTCCTTTTTCTTTTGTTTGAATGTTGTGTGATCTATAGATTGCTTGTCACTGGCATGAAATTTTTGATCCTGTTGTTGTTGTATCTTTTTCTTTTTATTGCTTTGTTGTGATACATGTTTATTATTAAATGGTTTGTTGACATTGCTAGTTTCCTGGTCTTCGTCAAAATGGATTACTCGTTTCATATTTTAATCGTAGATCAAAATTTTGTCGGTCAAGGAGAAGAGGAAAAAAAAAAAAAACAAATGCCAGAAGACAAAAGGCACAAATTCAACCACCGACTCAATGCCTTTTTGATTTTTTTTTCTTTTCCCTTTTCCCTTCTCTATTGTTCTTATCTTGTATCTAAATATCAAGTTTATCAATAACCTCGATATTTTTCTTTTTTCTTTTTTCTTTTTTTTTTGCGCAACCGTGTCATTTTGTTTATCAACTATCGAAAAAATCTGTTTCGGCGCATTTTTCCGGTTACTGCGTTTGGCGGTAAGAAAACGACAAGTTTGGTAAAAACATACTATTTCAAGTTTTTAGGTTTGTCGACCATTTGGACAACCCTTTCTTCTTTTTGAACATCTACTATTGAATGTGGTGACATGGCAAGCTATCTTTGTTTATTCCTGACTCTTGAATTATTTTGGTGACATTATCTTCATGGCCATTCTTTTTGTGTGTATTGAAAAGAAAGGAAAAAAAAAAAAAGTAAGTTAAAAGCAATCAGGCGACAGCTGATATCTATATGTGGAAAGTAACATATTTTTAAGCATTGTTTGAAGTTTTTCTAGTATGATTGGTTAGAATAGACCTCTCCGAAGATTACGATCAAAAAACCGCCGGCGCATTCAGCGAAACGTGGTGTACACATTACTGCGGTCCTCTTTATTGTTCGTCACACACAAACACACATATGGTAAGGTTATATAAGAATTAAAAAATAAAATTGACAATTTGATCACTCATTCTTTCTTAATTGATAAATGGTAGATACTCCTCAAGATTTACATCAGTCAAATCCGGAAACTAGTACGAACGATCAATCGTCTAAATCAAGCAAAAAGTACAAGAAAGAAAAGAAAAAATCAGTACCAGTACATCAATTATTTCGATTTGCCAATGGTTTAGACCGTGTCCTTATTCTAGTTGGTTTACTCTGTTCTGCTGCTACTGGTGCTTTAGTTCCTATTGGTATCATTGTTTTTGGGAAATACTTGAATGTTCTTATTGACTCGCTCTCGGATCCTTCAAAAATTGTGGATGAAACACTTCCGGTGATCCTTACTCTAGTATATATGGGAATAGGTCTCTTTGTTGCTGCGTATTTAGCTCAATGTTGTTGGATCATTACAGGCGAAAGGTAATTAAAGGATAGGAATAAAATAAGAATGAGTTAAAAAAAAAAACCACACTAAATATTATTATTTTTATATAGTCAAACAAGACGGATTAGATTCAAATACCTTCATTCTGTACTTCGGCAAGATATGTCATGGTTTGATAAAGCAGAAGAAGGATCCTTAACAACACGTCTATCTGCTGATGCTCAACTTATTCAAGATGGGATTTCTGAAAAGTTTGGTTTATTTACTGTTTGTATGGCTCAACTTCTTAGTGGCTATATTACTGCATTGGCTACTAATTGGAAATTAGCTCTGGTTATTCTTGCTTCAGCTCCTGCAATGGTATTATCTGCTATTATCATGGGCTATTTTGTTACCAAGTATACAGAAAAATCTCAAGATGCTTATGCTCATGCTGGATCAGTGGCAGAACAAGCATTTTCAGGTTTACGAACTGTTTATGCCTTTTCTATGCAATCAAGATTTGTGGAAAGATATAACAAAGAATTATTCAAGGCTCGTGCATATGGATACAAACGTGGTATTGCTCTTGGCGTTGGAACTGGTGTTCTTTTATTTTCCTTTTTTGGTGTTTACGCCTTGGCATTTTGGTATGGTTCGAAACTAGTCTTTAGTAATACCATCAATGGACCGACAATTATTGTTGTACTAGAAGCTATCGTTACTGGATCATGTACGTTTTCAAAAATATATATATATATATATAATACGTAGGCAAGGAAAAAATGACTAACATCTAGGTTTTTTTTTTTTTTTTTTTATCTTTCTGTTTTCTGTCATATTTTACAGCCGGTTTAATGAATCTTCCACCAAATCTTACTGCCGTGGCCAACGCTTGTGGTGCTGCTCAAAATATATTCGCAACAATTGACAGGAAATCAGAAATAGACTCTGATAGCAAGGAAGGAGACCGACTAGATGATGATATGCTTTCTGGCAACATTGAGTTCCGTGATATCAATTTTGTATATCCTACTAGACCGGATATCACCATTCTCGACAAATTCAACTTGAAAATCAAAGGTGGACAAAAAATAGCACTTGTTGGTAAATCAGGATCTGGAAAATCAACTACCATTCAACTTTTACAACGGTTTTATGATCCTGGTCAAGGTCATGTCTATTTGGATAATCATGATTTACGCGATTTGAATGTGGGTTGGCTCAGGGAACAAATGGGTGTAGTATCTCAAGAACCAAATCTTTTTAATATGACAATTCGACAAAATATTATGCTTGGTACTTCACGATCTGTTTCGAATCAAGAATTGGTGGCTGCTTGCAAGACTGCTAATTGTCACAAGTTTATTACTCAATTACCTCAAGGCTATGACACTTTGGTTGGAGAAAGTGCATCCATGCTCTCTGGTGGTCAAAAACAAAGAATCGCTATTGCTCGAGCTATTATCAAAAATCCCAGGATCCTGTTATTAGATGAAGTGAGTATTTTTTTTTTATATGTGCATGCTTTAAATACCTGCATCAGTTTTCCTAACCCTATTTTGTTTTGATTTGATATGTAGGCCACATCAGCTCTTGATACTCAATCAGAACGGATTGTCCAACGTGCTTTAGATGCCGCATCGAAAAATAGAACAACTATTATGATAGCACATCGTCTTTCTACTATCAGGAATGCTGATATGATAGTGGTCATGGACAATGGGAAACTTATTGAACAAGGCACTCATAAGGAATTAATAGAACTTGGTCAGGTATATGCAGATTTGGTCAAAAAACAAGAAATTGCCAGCAACGAAGATGAATCTTCGGATGAAATCAACACGGAGATAGAAACGCCATCATCAGATGAAGAAAAAATGACTTTTGTAGTAGATGAACCGAAGGTATCCACTGCCGAACTCGAAAAAGTGATAACAACGACAAGTATTGTGGACCCATTGACAACATCAACACAGACTGCCTACGAACTCAAAATCGAACGTATGCGTGAAGATAAGGCTTTGAAGATTTCTCAATCGGCTCCTGTTCTACGTGTTCTTTACGATATGCGACCAGAATGGTTCTTATTATCAATTGGTTATATTGGTGCAAGTATCTCTGGTATTCCCTTTCCTTTGTTTGCTCTATTATTTTCCAAGGTGATTATCTCCATTTCTATTGCGCCAAATACCAACCCTGGTCCAATGGAAGGTCCTAATTTATATGCTTTTTTATTTATGATTGTGGGTCTTGTTTGTTTCTTCAGTTTATCCGCGAAAATTGTATGTTTTGAATTGGCAGGTGAATCTTATTCAAGAAGATTACGATTTCAACTCTTCAAGGCATATCTCAAACAGGAAGTGGGATTCTATGATCAAACTGGAAACAGTACTGGAGCTTTGACAACACAATTATCTACTGATACCAAAAACGTCAATGAAATGGTGACCAAAGCTTGGGGTGAAGTACTACAAATTACAGTTACTGGGATTGTTGGTAATACAATATGAAGACTCTTTTATGATCAGTCTCTGATTTTGATATATTATTATATTATCCGTAGGTTTGGTGATGGCTTTTGTTTACTGTTGGCAACTTACTCTTGTTATCTTGGGAATGGCGCCTTTTCTCCTGTTTGGTACATTTTATGAAGCCAAGGTTGAAAAGGGTTTTACAGACAATACAAGCAAAGCATATTCGGAAAGTGGTGAAGTGGCAAATGAAGCAATCAAAGGTATTCGCACAGTGGCCTCTCTGAATCAACAACAATATTTTGAAGATCAGTTTTACAAGTCAACAGAAAGACCTCATCTATTGACTCGACGAAAAGCGTTGGTCTCTTCATTCGGTTATGCCCTCATGCAAAGTGTCATTATCTTTACTGAATGTGTAGCATTCTATGCTGGTATGCGATTTATTGCAAATGGATGGATTGGATTCAACGAAATGTTTACAAGTCTTATGATGGTGATGCTCACTGCCATGGGCGTAGGTCAATCTTTAGTAAGCAATGAAAAAAAAAAAGTGGTTAAGCAGATATATGAAATGCTCATCTTTTCTTTATATATCTACCCTTGTCACTTTATTAGGTCTTTACGAAAACATTCATCAAGGCCAAGGTATCTGCTATTGCCATCTTTGATATCATCGACAGACAACCAGCTATCGATCCAGATCTGGAAGGAGCCGAACCTAAAAATGTTGATGGTGATGTCAAGTTCCAAGGTGTGGCATTCTCTTATCCTTCACGACCGGATACTTGTATCTTCAATGGTGACTTTAATTTACATGCGAAATCAAATCAAACAGTTGCGTTAGTAGGTCACAGTGGCAATGGTAAAATAAAAAGAAAAGAAAAAAATAAAGTTAATTCAATCATTTTTGTTCACTCTTTTCTCTCTCTCTTTTTTTTTTTTTTTTTCTCAAATAGGAAAATCTACAGTCATTGGTATGCTTCAGCGTTGGTATGATCCTCAAAAAGGATCAGTGCTTTTAGATGATCACAATATCAACTCATTAACACTAGGTCATCTGCGATCAAACATGGCATTGGTATCTCAGGAGCCGATCTTATTTGACTTATCGATCAAGGAAAACATTGAACTAGGTGTCGAAGGTGAACTGTCATCTGATACACTTATAGAAGCATGCAAGCAAGCCAATATCTATGATTTTATCAAGGAACTACCGAATGGTTATGAATCTCGTGTTGGTGATAAGGGGTAAGATGAATTTTAAATAGACAAAACATCGTTTTAATTTTTTTTTTTTAACTTTGCAGATCTCAACTTTCTGGTGGACAAAAGCAAAGAATTGCCATCGCAAGAGCTCTAGTTCGTCAACCTAAAATCTTATTATTGGATGAAGCGACAAGTGCTTTGGATAGTGAATCGGAAAAGTTGGTTCAAGAAGCTCTCGATAATGTTATCCAACAAGGTGGCCGTACCACCATTACTATTGCTCATCGACTTTCTTCCATCCAGGTAAATAAATGAATTTCTGCAACCGCATAAAATCTGGAACATCTATTCCTCATTTCTTTTTTTTTTTTTTTTTTTTTTTTGTTTGTAGAATTCGGATATTATTTGTGTCATCAATGATGGTCGTGTGGTAGAACAAGGCTCTCATCAAGAATTACTGAAGTTGAAGGGCTTATATGCTGAATTAGTGGAACAACAGTCTCTCAATGTGTCATAGATCCTATTTACCCTAGCATACTCATCTACCTATCTATGTAAATTTATTCACATAATCTAGCCATAGTTTAAATTACTCCTCTACTCTTATCATCACTGGTGTCAAACATATATAAATATATATCTCATCCTTTAATAAAGTTTTATTCTCTGTATCATATATATATATTTATATTTTTGTGTATCATCATCAGAAAAAAAAATATTCATCCATTATATCATAATATGTAGAAACAAATAGAATAGAATACTAAAAAACAATCTTTTTTTTTTATTTCAAAACGTATGGAATGGATGGCAGACTAAAGTGAAAGGGTGTCATTCTAAATAAACGAAGAGTAAATATATGGTAGTCATGGAGTGATTGTTGTTGTATAAGTAGATCGTATGGAATGTAATGATACTACAATGAGCGATATGATATTTCAAAGGACATTACTAATAGTTGCGGTTGTTGTTGTTGTTGCTGTTGACAATTTAGTGTTCTTCATCATGGTGACCATGATCCCAAGGATGTTGAAGACCCTATAAGAAAAAAAAAAAACAAATAATGATACATTTTAATTTAAAAAAAAAAGGCAAACAAATTAATAATTATTATTAGCAAGTCCACTCCCTCCTTTTGAATCTTCATAGACATTTTGTTGTTGTTGTGTTTTGCGAAAACTTACCAATAAGACAGGACCATCTTGCTTTGCGCGATACATCATCCAGAACCACATGGAAGCACCTAAAGCCTTGCCAGTAAAACGGTGCCAGAAGCTAGCAACATGAGGATGGAAAGCACCAGCTGCCATGATTGAATTTATATAATATTTCTATTAACAAAAGAAAAAAAAAAAAAAAAAAAAAGAAAGAGATTGTTTGGAACTAGAAAAAAAAAAAATCAAAACATCCAAAATCCAAGCGGGGTTCACAATAACGTCACGGTGCGGACGTATCAAGGTACAATTGCCCCATTCAAATCAATGATGATCATTCTAATCATATAACACAATAATAATAATAATAATGTATATCAAAAAAGAGTTGACGTTTTTTTATTTTCAAAAGAATCATTGCATCAATATACAAAAAAAAAAAAGGAAACAATCAAATCAAAAAAGAGTCAAAGAAAAGGAAGGGCAAAAAAAAAGAGACATGATGATCAGGATTTTATTTAAACAACAGTACCAGAGGCAGAAGCAATACGAGGCCACAAATCGGCACATTCCTTGGCAACAGGACCAGTGATGGCAGAACCCTTCATTTCACCCTTGGGGTTAACAATAACACCAGCGTTATCTTCAAAGTAAAGGAAGACACCATCACGACGGCGCCAAGCCTTACGTTGACGAATAACAACAGCAGGCATAACTAATCATCGATGATGTAAGATTGCATAATATCAAAAAAAAAAAAATCAATTGAATATGTCAATAAATTTTCAAAAACTATATAATCATTTCTTAATATTTTTTTTGAAACTTACCCTTCTTTCGCAATTCAGGCTTACCCTTCTTAACAGAAGCGACAACCATATCACCAGCACCAGCAGCGGGGAGTCTGTTCAAACGACCCTTGATGTTACGGACAGCAATGACATATAAGTTCTTAGCACCAGAGTTGTCAGCGCAGTTCATGACAGCACCAACGGGTAAACCGAGAGTCATGCGGTACTTTGTGCCGGAAATGCTTACTATTAACAGAGAGATAAAAAAAAAAAAAAGGATGAGTAAAATATAAAACATCGTGGTCGTAAATATCGTTTAATGCTAATCGGATCCATGATATCGTGAGCCGAAACAGAATGTCGTATTAAAAAAAAAGTCCAAAAAAAAAGTATCCATTCCATCCGTATCAATATATATATCCAGGTTATAAAGAGAATGAGTTGTTGTTGATTGTTGTATCAAGATGAGTGAATGAATGAACAGATGGATGGATGGATGGATGGATGGATGGATGGATGGATGGATGGATGGATGGTCCAAAAGATCCATATTTCTCCCAAAAAAAAAAAACCTATTCATTCATCCATCCATCTATCCATCCGTCTATTCATTCATATGTTCGTCCATCTATTCGCATTCTGTTTCATTTCTAATATCATGTATCGTTTTGGCATTCCGTAGTTTGTTGATAGTTCATACCTTTAGGCATTGCAAAAAGATATATAAAATCAGGAAAAGAGAAGGATCTCAATATTGAAAACGACAAATTGACATATTTCCATTTTCAGTCCCGCCATCGCCCAAAATTCAAGTTTTGCCCGGCCTTTCAAATCACACCTTTTCTTTTTAATTTATTCTTTCTCTCTCTCTCTTTCTCCCTTCTTCCTTCTCTTCTTCCACTTCGCACTCTTTCTACCATGCAGCTAAAACTCGAACCTCATTGTCTTGACGATCCTACTACAGAATCCTTTGTTATACCTGGAGCTAAAGTGTTTGATCGTTACTTCGATTGTCCCTTAGGTAATTGTCGTCTTTTAGAATATTACTTTTTTTTTTTTATTTTTTTTTTTTTTTTTTGTTTCTCACGCTTACTTTTTTTTTCCCCTCTATACAATTAGATTACTCTAATACCAATTCCTTAGAAACCATCAAGGTATTTGTTCGTCACCTCGTTCCTATCAACAAGGTCAAGGATATCAAAACTCTTCCGTTTTTACTTTATTTACAGGTAGGAACAATTGGACCCTTTTTTTTTTTTCTTTTTGTTGGGATATGAATAGTATATTCAACATAATTTTTTTTTTGTATGATTAGGGTGGACCTGGATTTGAAGTGGCTTCTCCCAGTACTGCACTATCTGGTTGGATTAAGGTTGCATTTGAACAAGGTTTTCAAGTACTTTTATTGGATCAACGTGGTACTGGTTTATCGACTCCAGTATCTGCCACTTCTTTGGAAAAATTCCCTACTGATGACGATAAAGTGAACTATTTGACTCATTTTCGTGCGGACAGCATTGTACGTGATTGCGAAACCATTCGACTTGCATTAACAAAGGATCGAGTATCTACAGAAAGTCAACGTATTTCTCTTTTGGGTCAAAGTTTTGGTGGATTTTGTATTACGACATACCTTTCGTTATTGTAAGTGGCTATTTTTTTTTTTGTTACTATCAATGATAACCCTGCCTTTTTATTATTATTATTATTTAGTCCTCAATCTATTCACAAGGCTTATATTACAGGTGGTGTGCCTCCTCTAGTGGATAATCCTGATACTGTCTATCGATCCCTCTATCCTCGTATCTTGAAGAAAAACAAGCTATATTACAAGAAATTCCCGCAAGATGTAGTCAAAGTTCGTCGTATTCATGAATTCCTCTGGCAAAATAATGTCACACTACCCAATGGTGGTAAACTGTCTCCTCGTCGATTTTTACAATTAGGTATTCTCTTTGGAGGTTCTGGAGGTAAATAGAATATTGTATATATTATTATCGCTTAACTTTTTTTTTTTTTTGTATTCTATAGGATATGATACTTTGCATGAAACTGTTACTTTTTGTATTAACGATTTGGACAACATCAACAAGCTTAGTTACCGTACTCTGAATCATATTCAACAACTTCAAAGCTGGGATACCAATGTCATCTATTGTATTCTTCATGAAGCGATCTATTGTCAAAATCAACAATCAAGTCGATGGTCTGCAGAAAGAGTGATGAAGGAAGAACAATTTGCGAGTGATTTCGAATGGCGATTAGATCGATTACAACCTGATCAAGCTGTGAATTTTACAGGGGAAACCATTTATCCTTTTATGTTAGATGACTTCTCCGAACTACGTCCTTTAGCAACAGTGGCTCACAAATTGGCAGAATACAAGTGGAAGGATCTATATCACATTCCTACCTTGAATACTTTGGATTCGGATGATGGCAAGATGGAATTGGCCGGGGTTAGCTACTTTGATGATATGTATGTGGATCGCGATCATTCTGAATACACTGCTAGTCAAATCAATGGATTCCAACAGTACATCACTAATCAGTATGCACACAAGTAAGTCATCAATATATATATATATATATATATTGTAGTCATGATATTAATTTTTTTTTTGTTTCTTATAGTGGTCTTCATGTTGATAGCGAAAATGTTTTGAATTATTTAATCAAACTTGGTAGAGGAGATGTAGCGTATGATCGATAGATAAATAGATAGCTAGTTAGATAAATAGATTAGATATTAGTTGAATAAAACGTGACTAGACCATCTGATGCAACAAGTGTATATTATAGAAATTTGATACTGGTTGAAACATCCTTTATCTTTATTATTATTATTATTTTTTTTTTTTTTTTTTTTTTTTTTTTTTTTTTTTTTTTTTTTTTTTTTTTTTAGATCTGGGGTGGGATTATCGTTTTAAGTAATGATGACGGATGGTGTAATCCAGAATAATATGTACTATGGAACATCCAAAGTTAAATTTCTTGTTGTATATATCATTATCACAGTACGCATGATATGATCAACTTAAAAGATAATATCACTATTAGATGATTGGATCTTAAAGAATAAAACTATTATGTATTATATTCATTTGAAACAACAGAGTAATCATTTAGATAGTTACTATATGATCAGTTGAGCATGTTTTAAGATATCCAATATAATAGAATTCCCTTGTCTGGATACACCCCCCCAAAAAAAAAGGATTGTTTTCAATTTCCCTTTCTATTGTATGTACTGTTTGTTTAGTTTCTACTATGATGAAATGAAGTGCCCCTTTATGTTTCATTCGGTATTTGAATTACCGAAAATGGTTCCTTTTTTTTTCAAGACAGAAGAAATTGCATGAATCAAAGTGGCATGAACAAACGGATACCGAGATTTTTTTTTTTTTTTTATCACAGTATCTTTCCTTTTTTCTTAAGAAAAAAAAATATCACCACTCTTATGATTATTAATAATAATAGGGATCAAGTTAGGATTATTTTAAAAGTGAAAATAAAAAAAAAAGATAAACCTTCCATCTGAGAATTTTGTGAGAGCATGACCATGACACTAGGAAACCAAATCACTGTAATATTCTAATAGGAATGAATATTATACATGACAAATATATTAGATTATCATAGAATGATTATTCCTTAAAGGACAAAAAGATGATCTTTTTACTTTCAAGAACAAATAAACAAAACGAATAAAACTAAAAATAGATGACTTCACACGGGCAAACATTTTTCGTTTATTTAGTTTCATCATATATAAAAAAAACTAAGGCAAACAACTCCAAACAGTTCCAAGAGTGGCAAGTATCACTGAAATAATGAGGAATGTCCAATTGATAATCAAATCCTTGTATGTCATTGAACCATGATAGAGTTGATGGTAACATGCCAAAGGGAAAATCACAGAAATACCAAAACTAAATAAAGCACCCAAAAGTGACTAATACACACACATTCAAAGGAGTGAGATCATTTTTATTTTCTTTTTTTTTTTATTTATTTATTTTACCATGATACGATCGAATCCAGGAAAAACGGTAGCAATGTAAATGACAAAGGCGCTCAAGGCAATTCGTCCAATAATAGATAGTAAGTGTCGTTTCCATACATGATCCTTACACCAAGCATCCACACGATTTTGACTTTGTAACCATAGTTCCCAAGAGAGATTTACAGGATTCAACATCAAGCCATATTTTGCCACAGGGATCAAGACAATTAAATAAACAGCACCTTGATTGATCCATTTGTTGTATCCTGGCGTTCGGGCTAAATTTTGAGTAATCTATCCATAATAGGTAATAAAAAAAAAAGGATGAGTCAAACATCTGTTCTTTTTTCTATTTGAATTTTTACCTCCTGCATTGTATCCAAACCAAACATTAAATAACCAGTTACTGCCATCACCAAATATACAGTAAAGGTAATCAAATAAGTTACATCTACCATACGATCATATTTCTTGGGTTCAGCCATATCACGATATAAACTTGGAAATACTGCATGACCAGAATAAACAGCCATCAAAAGTCCAAAACTAAGTGGTATATTAAATGGTTCAGATGGAATCCATTCTGTTTGCTATAATAAAACAATGAATAATAAATAACAAAATAGGCAATAAATCGTTTTGGATACTTCTTTTTTTTTTTGTCTTACCATTGGATCCCATAAACTTCCTGGTTGATTTGGTTTAGTCCATCCATCCAAAACGACAATGAGTACCAAAAAAGCACTACTAAATACCCCAATCACACTTGTATAAGCTAATTTGCTAATAGGTAAAAATGTCATGGGTGTCAAAACACAAAAGGAAATCATTCTTGTTGTAATCAAATCTAGATCAAATAGCGTTTCAAGGCCATCACCCAACAAGATGGCCATGGCAACTCTATATAAATAGAATAAATATGGTTACTGATGATATGATATATCAAACAAAATAAAATAATAAGATTCCCACAATCAATCATTCTCCTATAGTGTTTCTCTTACCCCAATGTAAAAAGTTCCAAGATAAATACTCCACTGATGACACTACGCCCACGTTCACCAAAAGCAGCCGCACCCATATCAGCATACGTCAGAGCACCAGAAGGAGCAGCATCCAAACAACGAGCAAGGACCTTGGCAGAATAATTAGTTGAAATGGTACAAAATAAAAAAGTAGACATCCCAATCAACCAACCACTATATCGAATACCAAGAGGTAAAGCCAATGCACCGATACCAACAAGTACATTAACAGAATTGAAAATTGATTGAAGAAAGCTTGATTGTGGAATATAATGTATTTGTTGTTGAAGATCTTGATGATATTCATCTCGTAGGATCATGGTACCAAGAGTAGTATGTCTTGATAAAGCCGGGAAAAAGGAGAGTCCAGCACTAGTATGATTTGAGAAAATGCTTTCTGTGTCCAATCTATTAAAAAAAAAGAGTTAGGATGATGATCATAGATTGTAAATGATTTTTTACCTTTGTTTTCGATCATTTCGTCTTGCTTCTTCTTCCAATTCAGCATGATCTATGGTAGCAGGCCTTGATAACGATAAATTGTCAGCCATATATAAAGCAGAAGTTCGAGAATAAGAACCAGCAAAGGAACTTAGAGCACTTCGAATAGACCTATTGCTGTCATGTATACCAGTTTGAGATTGAGTGTGGTACAATGACAAGTCTAGACTTTCATTTTCAGATAGAGGAGTAACACCACCTTGAATAGTTCCATAGTTTGGTAATTGAGATGGATGAGTATTAGTAGGTACCCGTATTTGTGTTGGTAAAGAAGATGATATCTGTTCCATTAAAAGAAACTATAAAAATAAATAAATAATAAAAATGAAAAGAAAAAGAAAAAGATGGATTAGAATTAAAAATTGTAGCATTTATATATGTTCTTTATTTTGATTTGGATGTTAAAATTCCGCAATGTACCTTTTGTTTCCAAATGTAATACGAAACTGTTCCATCCTATACTAAAAAAAAAAAAAAAAAATAAAAAAATAACGTAATATAGATCGTCATTATCATCAATGCATAAAAAAGAATGAGGGATAAAAAATATAGTATAAACACCTCATACTATAAATCATCATCATCATCTTACCACTTAAGGTCATTCGCATTTGTATCACGTCACGAGAATTTCAGTTGTTTTTCCCCATTTTTCCATTTTTCCCTCCTCTCTTTCTTTAACTATAATAGACAGTATCGAAATAAATAAAAAAAAAAGATGAATAAAATGTTATAATCATAATTCCAAACTATACTATATCAAAAGAAAAAAATAAAAAAAAAGTATTATATGGATTAAGTATAACATACATTATATA